TTTTGCTACTAGATATTTTTGTAACAGATATTTATAATTGTTGTGTCCAGAATGTTTTTGTGTGTATAATTGATTTTAAAAATACAAATATTTTTTTTGCCATTTCACCCAAACCGCCATCGGCATCTTGGAAAAGTTTCAGTGAACATAATTTCAACCAGAAAGAAAAACCTTTGCATATTTGGGGTTAATTATCATTGGGCAACAAAAGTCAATATCTCAATAGATGTGGCTAAGCAACCACAAGGAAATTATGTTCACTGAAACTTTTCCAAGATGCCGATGGCGGTTTGGGTGAAATTTTTATTTCACTGAAATTGCCAATAGTTTAAACATGTATAAATAATTGTTGTGCAGATAACAAACTCTGAATGACCTCCTTATTGAAGCATTTTCTATCAATGCAAATTTCTTACTGAGAATTCCTATTTTAAAAGTTACTTATGACATGTCTACATAGAAGTTCATTGACTCATCAATTTTAGCTTGAATCAGTCTATCTTGTAGTTCTCTCATTGAAGCTTCTAACTCTACTTTTTGTGGTAAAGTACTTCCAACTTCAGCATGTGTTGATCTCTCCTGGTTGTTGCTTGGGTAGTCAAAGTTAGATCAGAACCCAAAGTGTGTGGTGATGTTCAACAGGAACTTTACTAGCTGCTAGGATCTTCTTCATATTGTAGAGTAAGCAACAGAGTTTAAACTGCACATTGTATACAGTTGTGTTTCTAATTCTCACAACTTCTCTATTTGATAGTCTCTTAAATGTGTTACCTAGTTCTCCAAATGTGCTCTCAACCATTGATCTAAATGACCCAAGTTTGCTATTATATTCTAACTCTGCTTCACTTAAGTTGGTTCCTCTTGGCTTTCTAACTGGTAAGCAAAAGTTATGCATTCCAAAATTCTCATTCTCTTCTGCTTCTGTTAACTCTTCCAGAATACTTTGAGGATAACCACCATCTAAAACAACACAATCTACTGGAGAGATGTATTTCAATAGTGACATATTCTTAATCATCTTAGAGTCTGGGTGGTCTTTACATTCCTCAGTTGGTGAAACAAGGACAACCATTCCATTCAAATCAATGCAAACTTGTGTTCTATATCCTGACTTCTTCAACTTGAAGGAATAAAGATTTGGTTTGTATGCACCATTATGTAGAGCTCGTGAGTCATGTCCATCTAACATAAGAGTTATATGCTTAAAGTTTGTTGGATTCTGAATCTTTGCTGAGATCACTCTTAGTTCTGGAGTGGAGAACATTGTGTGCAAGTAGTGTGAAAGCTTCTTGTTCAACTCACTTAACTCTGAGATATAGAACATATTATGAATTACTTGGTAGCTGCTCTTAGGAATAAACCTCTCCATCTCATTGATTGATAGCCCAGCAACTAACTGGTACAAAATCAAGAGTCCTTTCTCAACATTTCTGTAAGGACATGGATACTGCTTTCCACCAAATAGAACATTTAAGAAGAAGAACACAGGGATCATTCCAAGTTGCTTTACAAGTGTATCTTTGATGAGCTTTATTTCTTTCACTTCATGAGCTTCACTCCTATAGTACTTCTGTTGTTTATGTACTAACCAGTCTTCATCAAGAAATCTCCACTTTGTTGTGTAGAGCACATTCCACTCCTTCTCTCTTAATTCTTGTAATTGATTGTCCATCTGTGTGAGGTAGTCATAAATAAAAATTTCAACTTTTATCAATTTTAGAAAATGGGATCATTCCAGAACTTCTTCAAGCAACATTTAGCTGAGATGTGTGAGGAAGAAAGAGATATGCTTACTCTGCTACTTATTCATGACTTTGATATGAGTGATGACTTAGCAATACAAGTGCGTAATTGGATCCAACATATTGCTACTGATTGTGAGGTAAGGGTTGAACATGTGTATGATGTTTGTCATACTTTCCATAGAGATATGGAGAGAATGGTTGCTTATACTATGTTTTAAAATGGCTGCTATTCAACTGTGATTGTTCTATATCCCACACTTATAACTCTTAGATATATTTGTTGCTTTCTTTCTCCTAACTGTTGAGAAATTGCTTTTCCAATAGAACTGTCAACTGGTGTCCTAATAAGAGTTGGCTGTTTATCTCTCCCTTTAATAAGAATATCAACATAGAAGTATGAATGTCCTCTAAAAGTATGGAGTGCATAATGTGTAGCTGTAAATTCATCACCTAACTGAAGAACATTGTAAGCAACTCTATACAATGAAGGTTTCAGATCTGTATTCTCTTTGATAAATATATGGCTAGTTTCATCAAGTGTGATATTGTCTATTGCTGTTGTTAATGCATTGATGTTTTCCTCTTTTGCAGAATATTTATCCTCTGACATTTTTGATAGACATATCTTACTCTTTGCTTGCTTACTATCTATCCAACCAATATGCATTCCTTTATAGTTAACTAATCCCATCTCTTCAAAAGTGTGATACTGCTTAGTTGTAGGATAAGTTGACCAGAAGGAGTTTCTCTGACTTGGAACAATAGTTATATTCTCATCAACTCTTCTAAGAACTTTTTCTGTTTCAAGACCACTCTCAAGTGAATCATATATTTGATAAAGTGTAGGTCTGTTGTTGAATGAGAGATTAGCAACAACTACCATTGGATCATCATTCTTGTTTAGTTTCTTAATAATTCCTTGCTTCTTTGATGTGATAGAGTTAAACCAATGACAATATGCTAGAGTATGCTGTTGTCTCACATAAATGCAAACTGTATAACAACTACTAACTTTATCAACAAGTGCTATCCACTGCTTTTCATAAGAAGTTGCAAATGTTCTGCATTCATTCATGAACTGAACTGTGTTAAGAAGCAAGTTACTATTCCATTCAACTGTTTGCATCTGAGAAGAATGTACAGTTAGTTCTATCCTAGTCAAACCAGAGTTTCTGCAAGCATACAATGTTTCTCCAAAGTTGTGCAAAGTTGGCATTACAAATTCAGAAAGTTTGGAACTAAGAGGATTACGAACTTCACCACTCTCAAGAAGCTGAATAAACTTGTTGTAAATTTTGTTCTTAACTTTAACATCTCCTTTCTTTGTATACCAGCTAATACAGTTAGAGCCAGACTTGCGTAAATCATCTACAACATCTTTCTTTTCAACTCCTCTTTCTAAAAGGTATTTATAGATAATATTTCTAGATGAGATATTCATACAATCCATTGTGATGTCATAATTCTGTAGAAATATTTTGTGATCAGCCATAGTAGCAAACTTCACTGTTAACAAAGAACTAGTTATTGCAATGTTTGGGGTAGATACTTTGTAAATAGCAACTGGTCCATATTGCTCACTAATCTTGCTTCTAACATACTTATAACCAAAACCTTCTCCAAATACTTTATGCAATCTAACACTAGCTGACTTCTGCTTTACCTTTATATCTGATTCAATGCATTTCTCAACAACAACCTCAACAATGAATGAGTCAACAAATATTTCAGAAGAGTGCTTAAATCCAAGTTGCTCTACACCTCTAGCAGTATACCTAGCATCAGCAACATCAGGCATATTTCTTCTTTCTGACAACACTCTTGTTAGTAATGCTCTTAGTTCACTTTGGAAGGGGGTCATTCCTGGACTTGTAAATTTTAGTAAATTACAATTTTGTTAGATAGTTATTTGAATAATCGTTTTCAGAACTATTTTTTGCTACTAGATATTTTTGTAACAGATATTTATAATTGTTGTGTCCAGAATGTTTTTGTGTGTATAATTGATTTTAAAAATACAAATATTTTTTTTGCCATTTCACCCAAACCGCCATCGGCATCTTGGAAAAGTTTCAGTGAACATAATTTCCTTGTGGTTGCTTAGCCACATCTATTGAGATATTGACTTTTGTTGCCCAATGATAATTAACCCCAAATATGCAAAGGTTTTTCTTTCTGGTTGAAATTATGTTCACTGAAACTTTTCCAAGATGCCAATGGCGGTTTGGGTGAAATTTTTATTTCACTGAAATTGCCAATAGTTTAAACATGTATAAATAATTGTTGTGCAGATAACAAACTCTGAATGACCTCCATACTGATACTATAAAAAATCATATCATAGAATTATATTGCTTTAAAGGAGAGCATAAGCATAGTTGCTCAATATTTATAGTTGATTATCCCTTTTATGAACTAGCTATCAATCTCATTTCTCTTCAGTGTTGAATACTAGTCACATAAGTATCAGCTATATATTCATCATCTATACATATAGGGACAGCACTGAAGCATTGATCATTTCCTTCATATTATTTCATCTCATATTGAATATATGATAGTACCATGCATTGTTGAGTAACATTGTGAATGAGATATTAATATAGAAGAGGGAGTGCAGCAGAGTTATGGGCAGAGATTTCACACTATTCAAACAATGATAAGGTATAGAAATAGCACTATGAAGTCAAAGTAAGTCAAATTTTTGCCACTTAAATTTTTCTACTTTTTTACTATTACTTCGATATCATACAAAGTACAATGCTTAGCGAACTTTTGACTGCATATAGTTATACTATGCTAAGCCCCATTGAACATATAATGAATAGAAGTATCTACGTTATCTGATGAATGAGATAAAGAAAGTAAAAGTTGAAAAAAAAATTTTGTGACTCAATTTTGCCACTCAGTGTATATCATATGAGATGATCAAGATATCAAAAGTTTAAATAAATAAATAAAAAATCTATTATTACTCAATTATGCCACCTAGTGTTCACAGAGATAGCTGCCTTTACCATGTGCTGTGCATTCATAGGTCTATATTACTCGTCATACTCTTGTACTATCCATGATATACTGCGAATATGGCTATCTCTGCAATGCTTACAAATGCAATGGAAATTGGACAATAGAATACTATATTATTAACAACGGATACTATATGCCACATTGGAGGAATGGAGCGCATGACAAGGGTGAACATTTCAATTAGAACGGGTGGGGAGCGTGCGTGCTGCGTGGACGGCGGCTTCCAGGGGAGAGGTGTGTGCGGTAATGCTGCATCATGTTGTCCTGGCGCGAGAAGCGGCTATTGCAGCTGGGATGCAGGCATACAAAGTTCTTCTCGCCTGTGTGGATGCGATGGTGGCGTGAGAGATGGCCACTGGTCGTAAATGCCTTTCCGCAGCCGGGGTGCGAGCACTTGTACTTGCGCACTGTAATTGTCCGGGGAATGATGCGAGTGCATGGCGGGAGTACCAGGGGCATAGGGTTCAGGACCCTTTGCGGTTGCCTGTGCAGCGGCTTGGCACACGAGCTGGCCATGTGGCATGCATCGGCCTAAAAAGTTGAGCGGTGGGAAGGGAAGCGGTGAGTTGGAGCAGCTGCGCAGGAGAGGCGACTGGTCGGGTGTCAGCCCAGGAATCGACGAGCGGCAGCTAAGGTCTTGAGGGGTGTCCTCGTTGAGCAGGCTGACACGAGTCCCGTTGGCACTTGTGACCGAGAATGAGCGATGGCAGATGTTGCGGGGCATGCTGGGCAGACCAAGTGGTGCGGTAGAGGTCGAATACATCGCTTGAGCAGGTGATGGTGGTGTGGTTTGGTAGGTCTGAGTGTGCAGGGAATGGAGGATGCGGTGATGTCGGATGCGATGTGGAACAATCTGAGGGTATAGTGCAGAACCCAGGGCTGCACAGGAGCCATTTATACATGGCCTGGGAGACGGTCCCGCGCCGGTCCCACGAGCACACTTGCAAGCAGCAAACAATGGCCCGTAATGTGAATGCGTGGGGAGGCTGGCTAAAAAACCTTTCTAGCTTTTAGCCGCTCGTAAGCAGAAGAATGCATTGGCATCCAGCATGTTTGCTGCTCCGCTGCGCTGGCGGGCAACCTCATCGCAACGGAAACAACAAGTTCAGAGAATCCAGGTCAAAACGGTCTGGAGAATACAAGGCACATGCGAGTTCTCACAGCGGCCGCTAATTGTTGGTGGTGGACACAAGATGGTTGGAGCACGATGGGTGGGCGAGGACAAAGCAAGGCTATCACTGTTTACACTCTAAATCTGCTGAATGAATCTACAAACTACTCTCGCCCGAATAGGAAAGGCGGTGGTGCATGGTTGAGCCAAGCGACGCAGCCAAGCACAATGCGCAGTTGCGGTCAGAACCTTAACCGGCTACAAACAAATCAGAAGCGGTTCTGCTTGTCAAGGCTCGCTTGCATTCGGTCCTGAACAGGAAGCCGCGGTCCACACGCAGCCCGGTTCCCCAGGCTCCAACCTGGGGAATGTAAGCCCTACACCAGTGCCTAGGATGGGAGAGCAGCATGGAAAGGGCGCTTATATGCACGATATAGTAGCTAATATATTGCGCCTGCTATTAATAGGGCCTGCAGTGCTGCGCCGTCGAAATGCAGCAGTATCGGGAAGGGTAGGGACTGAGCTCGGTGCTTGGTGCCTGGCTTTTTACCACGTTCCTTGCTGCACGCAACTAGTGCTTGAAGCTCCAGCTGAGAACAATGCGTGGCACCCTTCCACAACGAGGGGTTTGGCGGGGGATGTTTGACACTCGCCAAATCCACCAACCAAGCCCCTTTGCCCTCGAGCGCTTGGCTGCTCGCATATCCACTTTTGATTCATCCGCCTCCCAGCCTTCTCAACCACTCTATTCCCCAAGGCCAGGCGTGTTTGCGGCCACCAGGTGGTGTTTTTGAGGATTTTGGAACAAAACATGGTTCGAGCTGAACTTGGGCGCCTCTATCTGTGTCCTCACATTGTCTGGTGTGTTTGGCCGGGCGGGCAGGCATCTGGCATGGGGGAGACGCGGTGGCGCCCATGTCAACACTGCGCAGCGGGACCGGGTGGGCCTTGGCAGACCAGCCTCTCCAGTGCAGCCTTTGCGCATGCGCCCAAATCCTCAAGCACATATGAACCAGAAGCTGGCAGATTCCATATATGGCAAGTCGAGCGCATTTAGCGCGAATGGCGCATTTGGTTACCACGCCAAAGTCAAGCACAGCGTTTATTATCTTAAGCAGCGGCTTGTGATGAAAGTGGTTATCTCACGGATGTAGTTGTTCAAAACTGCGCGGAAGTAGTCGTTCTCGATGGGAGCAGATGTGGCAGGATTTGGATTAAACAGCGGGTTCTTGGTTACGTACTCGACGTAGATGTTCCGGTATATCATCTCCAGTACCTGCTGCATGGATGCCGTGTGAGGATCAGTGTTGAGGATGAATTTAACACCGGTCGGTGACTCATAGTAGTGCATGCGGTAGGTATTTGTGGCAAAGGACATGAAGCCGCCCGGGTTGCCACCTTGCGGGCCGTCTTTGCCGCTGAGCTTGTTGACAATGTTTCGTGTAGAGAAGGCGACGCCGTAGACCAGCTTGGCTTCTTCTTCCATGGGCAAGTTCCGCTGGGCAGAGCCATGTGTGGAGTTGGCGGACGAGGGCCACACAGTGGGGCGGTGCTGGTCGAGCGAGTTCCGGTCCTGGGTATCACTGCTCGCTCCACGTGCCGTCGCCTGGACAGTGCTGGAGTCAGCTGGCTGACCGGGACGTGTGGTGAGCGGCGAGTTCTGGCAGGCCCACTCGGTGTAGAAAATGCATTCGCAATGGCGGTCGAAAATGTAAATGTTGTAAATGATGGTCATCAGCAAGAGGGCAAAGGCACGATTAGAGTGAAAAAGTGGTGCTAATTCGGTGGTTGAATTTGCGGCAAGCAAGAGGCCTTTGGCGCAATGAAATTTTCAGAGTGGAATGAAATACAGCACGTGATGCAAGGCGTGGGTGGGGACGAACGCGTAGGAAAAAATATTCTTTTTCTTTGATATTTCCCATTTGCGAATTCCTGCTTTTGCTCTTTTTGACTCTAATTATTCATTCACGGCCATTTATTTTTATTCCATTTATTTCGCTAGTGGTACTCGGTAATGACAAACAATCGGCAGCCTCCCGATTCAGCATATTCGCAGGGCGGTGGTGGGCGGTACCGTGGCTCGCGGGACTGGGACCGAGGGTATCGTGATCGGGTCGGTGGAGGTGGACCACCGCGACAGCAGTTGCAGCCTGTCGCAAGGCGTAGTGCGAGACCGGGCGCGGTCGCGGTCGGCCGATCGTGGACGGCATGGGCCCGGACCATATTCCGAAGGGCGCACGGGCTACGGGCGGCCATCACCAGCACAGGCGCGGGGCGTGGGGTACGAACGCGACCGGCTCCGTGGAGACTACGAGCGCGACCGCGAGTGGGACCGCAGCGGCGGGCGGTATCAGTGGACGCATGCAGAGCTACGATGGCGGGTTCCACGACTCGCAGGCACGGCACTACGGGCGTGGGGCGCGCAGCCAGGACCCGTATGCGCGCAGCTCGCGGTACCAGGTGCCAGCGTACATGCGGCGGAGCACCGAACCGAGCGACTCGCTAGAGGAGGGCGAGCTGGACATTGACGACCGCATCTCGCGCAGGACCAGCAACCCAAATGCAATTCCGGTAGCGCCTCGGCAGTTCAGAGCTGGACGCGAGACGGTGAGTCCAAGCCAGCGCAGGACAGGACTAGGATTTAGGAACGAGCGGCGGTCGCCTCGGCCACTGGCAAGCCAGGAGTCGGCGTTCAGTTCACAGCCGGCATTCATCGACCGGCGGAGATCGTCGGGCTCGGGATCAGCACCACGATCAACACAGGCGAGCAGACAGAATACGCCTTCACCGCGGCGGCACACGCCTCTAGTCGAGTCGCCTGAGACAGAGGAAATCAGGATCACCGATAGCCAAGCACCCAGCGGTGATGAGGGCGAGCGCACAGCAAATGCACCTGCAGCAAGCACATCAGAGTTACCACGGCGCCACTTGGAGACGCGGCTATCTGACATTGACCGGGAAATTGCCGAGTGCCAGGAGAAGCTAGTGATGATCTCGTCGACCAGTTCGAAAGCACCAGCGGCAGCACCGGCAAGCCAGCAGCGCGGCTCCAATGACCGCGCAGTACCCGCATCACCACCAATCAAAGCTAGTGGCCCGGGCGCCAGGGCAGCCGAGTCGGGTGTGGAGATCATCGATGGGTCTAGCCGTGGAGAAGGAGGTGGATCCGGTGCCCAAGCAGATGCGGGAGGGGAGAAGGACGAGTCGGAGCACGCAGCTTCAGTTGTTCCACAGGTTGTGTCGGACAAGACCAAGGCAGCATTTTCAGGGGGACACGCATCAGATGGCAGCGGACGATGAGGCACAGTTGGGCGAGGGTGATGCAGGCGGGTTCGGGCTTGATAGCAGCAGTGATGCGGACGACAGCGACGGCGACGGCGACAGCAGCAGGCGCCGGGTTCGGCACCGCAAAGACAGCATGCGGGCAATCATCAACGACGTGTACAGCGAGAACCAGCGCAAGGCAGGCCGAGGTGCAAGCGTCGATGGCGGCGCCGTTCCTGACTGCCTTCCCCAGCTTTGTTCCAGGATCATACCCGAGTCCCAGCGACTGGCCGTTCTGGGCCGAGAACCAGCGGGTGCATGAGAAGCTGAAGCCATTCCTGGTCCGGATTCTTGGCAGGGAAAAGGCCAAGCGCACGGCGCATGCACGGCAGCTGCAGGAGCAGTATGCGGATCTGTATGCCAAATGGCGCAAGCGTGTGGAGAAGCTGGACCGGCAGCGCGAAGCCAAGCACCGGGCAGCTAGCGGCGGAGGGACCAAGTTTGGGGCGACAGGATCGGCGGGCAGCAGCAGCACCAACCTCAGCTCAGCCAACAGCGGCAGCGGAGCGCAGTTCGGGTCGACGTTCCACCGGCGGCGGCACGGCAGTGGCCCATCGAACCCAGCAGTGGACGAGTTTCGGATTCAGCACCGGGCCGCTGTTCACGGCGTCGGCGACGCTGGCGACGGCTCACGAGGGCGTAGGACGGGCCGACGAGCTGTTCACTTCGGACGCGGTGCACTCGGAGGCCGAACTGCAGGCCATCATCGAGCGGCTGCAGTACGACGACGCACGCAACCCAGACTTCCGCAGCCAGCGCACAGCAGCAACCATCCCTGACATGGTTGTGGGCGAGAAGGAGCGGGCGCTGCTGCGGTTCAACAACAACAGCCACCGCATCGACGACCCAGTGGCGTTCTATCACGTGCAGATGGCAGAGCCCGGGTCGGCCGAGTACCGGCGGGTGGCCTACGGAAACAACGGCGACACCGACCACTACTGGACGCAGGCGGAGGTCAGTGCGTTTGTGGCGGCATACCTGGCGCACCCTAAGCAGTTCGGAAAGATTGCGTCGTACATCCCACACAAGTCGATGAATGACTGCGTGCTCTTCTACTACCGCAACAAGAAGCCGCTGCGGCTCAAGGCACTGGAAGCCAAAAGCTCCAAGCGCGCGCGTCGGTCGCGCCAAGCCAGCTCGTCTGGCGGCCGCAAGCGCAAGGAGCGTGCCAAGGAGCGCCGCGAGCGCCGCGCGCGTGAGGAGCGCGAGAAAATGGCCATGGAGGCAGCGGCCGAGTGTGCTCCCAGCGATGCGATGCCTACACTGCTGGACGATGCGTCGGCCTCGCACGCGCGATCCAGTGCCCTGCCTAGCGACGATGACACCACAGCCAGCCGATGCCTGCGACATCCTTGAGCAGCGCACCCGCAGCAACGCCCTGCTGCGCAGCATCATCGCCGCCAACCGCCAGCGCAAGGCCGTGACGTCCCCGATCGCCAGGCCCCTCGACGCCCGCGCGTCGCTGGGCATCACAGCGCAGACCGTCGCTGAGCGCCCGCCGTCGGCTCGGCGATGCTGATGACGACGCAGCATCGGCAAGCGGCCGTGAGCAGCCCGCCCCGTCTTCACCAGCGTCGCCAGTGCAACCACAGCCCAGACCTCAGGGCAGCGATGAGCCGATGAGCCAGCCCCTGTCGGATCCGGCCCAGCCAGCAGCAGCCAGCAGCAACTAATGGAGGTTGATGAGGACGCCGAGGAGCTGGAGGAGATGGACGATGAGGAGGAAGGCGAGCTTGTCGAAGACTCGCACTGGGAGCCACACCGACCACGCGCCAACCGCGCAAAGTCGCAGCACCGCCTGTCAGAGCTCAACGCCTACGCCATGGGCGGCAGCATTGTTCGCACACGCCGCGCCCGTGAGTTGGACGACGACCCGCCCAGCCCCGCATCCGATGATGACGAGGACTCCGCCCTGTATATGCGCACTACCGCCGCCTCGGCCCCTGCTGATGCTGGTGACGCTGCTGTCGAGGAGGAGGAGATCATCGAGGCCAGCGGTATCGTTGCCGACCGATTGCAGCCAGCCCTGGCCACACCGCAGGCCCTGCCGCGCGTCATTTCCCGCAAGAGCTCGTCGCGGCTTTGGTCGCCACGCTGACCACCATCGTCGACAGCTCTGCTGTGCCTGTCGCCGACAGTGCTAAGCGAGCCGATGTGCGTCCCCGCTCGCTCAGCCCAGTGCCGTCCTCAGCTGAGCTGTCGCCACCCAAGGAGTCCGCCCTGGATCGCTTCGTCACCGAGGAGCCATCGGTCTTGCAGCGGGCCATCAGCTCATATGAAACCCTGCTTATGTGCGGCAGCGGTAGCCCCGCTGGCAATACGCTGGCGGAGGCCAAGACTACCAGCATGGCTGAGCGTGTCCCATCCATGAACTTTGTCGCTGCTCACCGTGCTACCAGTGGCCAGGCATCGGCCTCAGCCCCCTTGCTGGACGCTTTGGTCGAGGAGCTGGCTGGTGCCGAAGATAAGGTGCTGGTCGGTGCTGCCGTGTGGGGTCGTGACGACCGCCGACGCGTGCTGCGGGCCTTCCACAAGTTTGCCATTGACTTTGCCCAGGTTGCGTCGCTGATGCCAACAAAGACCATGGCCCAGTGCCGCTACTTTTATTACCACTACCGCACCCCTGGCGGCAAGATGGTCAGCGAGATCATCCCCATCACTGCCGAGTCGGTCCGCCGGTGCTGCTGTGACACCAAAGCCCCTGGCGTCGCCTCCGCCGGCTTCAAGCGACCATCCCTCTTGTGCTGCCACAGGCCAACACAAAGCCTAAGCCGCCAAAGCCCAGGAGCAGCTTGTCAAAGGCCACCCACATTCCCCACCCACTGGTCTTGCCCCCGCCTGCCAGCAGCGATACGGCAGCCGAGCCTGCTGCTAAGCGCCCACGCGCCATGTCTCCACCCGAGCCAGAGTATCGTCCGCAGCATTTGCGCTCAAACGCCAATTCAGACGACGACGATGACGACGATGACGAGACCCCGTTAGCTGCCCAGCTTGCTGAGGTTCTGGCCGCCCAGGGTGCTGAGGAAGCCGCTGTGCTGGCTGCCAGCTGCCGCTCGTCACCGACCCCGCTAGCACCCGCCGGTTTGCCTGCGCCACGCGTGCCCAGCGACAGCTCGCGCCCACTATCTGCTGTCGCTCAGCTACCAGCGCACAGCCAGCAGCGCCGCATGTCCGATATTGCCCAGGTTCGCCCTGAGCTAATGGGTGCCCCGTCGCAGACTGTCTCGTCGCTGGTGCTCCCGTCGAAGCCCATCTCCAAGAGCCCCATGACACCGGGCGTCGCCTTTGCTGGCGAGTCGCCCACTGGAGTTGCCCACCATGGCCCGCTGCGCACACCGTCGCCGGCTGCGTCAGGCGCCATGACTGCAAAGAAGAGCGGCTACTCGTCGTACTGGTCGGTACATGAGCGCTCGGCCTTCATGCACTACGTGGCTCGCCTTGGCCCTGACTGGGCAGCAATTGCCGAGGCCATTGGCTCCAAGACCGCCACTCAGGCCCGCAACTACTTCCGCACCAACCGCGAGAAACTGAAGCTGGATGTGGTTCTGGCCGAGTACGAGCGCAACAAGGCTGCTGGCACTGTGCCACCAATGGCTCCCTATGTAGTGCCTGGCTCCAGCTCCACCCACCCTGCTGGTGCCTCTGCCGACGCAGCTGGCGCTGCCCCGCGGAAGGAGAAGCGCGGCCGGAAGCGCAAGACTGAATCCAGAACCTCGCCGGCTGTGCCTGAGAACATGCCGCTGGCAATGAGCCTGGCAGTCAACCAGCCCCACCATGCCCAGCCTATTGCTGCCCAGCCCATCACTGCGCCAGCTACGCTGACCAGCATCCCGACCATCGGCATTGATGGCGGCAGGGCGGTGGTGGTTGCGCGCCCATCCGTTGCTGTCCCTCCACCGCCGTTCGCCCAGGATGGCCCACGCAGTGCTGGCGTTACCAAAGCGCAGAGATATCCCCCATCGCAGATCCAGACTGCCCATACCTTCCACCATCAGCCCCCGGCCTCGATCGGTCAGTCTCACCCCACCAGGCCAATGTGGGCTACTCAGCAACAGCAGCAGCCTCAGCAGCAGCAGGCGCAACAGCAGCCACGACCCTCTCCCATTGCCCCATCCTATGCGCCCTCCCAGCAACAGCCGCACCAGCCAGCCTACTCCCTGCCTCCATTGATGGTGCGTGGCCATGATATGCCCGATCGACTGCCCGTAGTCACCCATCGCGGCGATTCAGACACCCCATCGTCCCAGCCCACCCCGCCCCCGGTCGACGGTCTACCCCGGTTCTCATCGTCACCTGCTCCGCCTGTGCATCAGCGGCCGCGTATTTCCAGCCCGCTTCCCCGCATCAATGCCACTCGCACCTACAGCCCAGCGTCGCTGCCGCCGCATCCGCACAGTGCGCTGAATATAGCAAGCATCACCAACAGCGAGCCTCGCAAGATGAGCGTGACCAAAATCAACGCTCTGCTCAACGACGATGAGCCACCCCCACCGACCAGCAAGTGGCAGGAGCCAGCCTCTGCTCCACCAAAACCTGCTGTGAGCAACGACGATGAGGCAACGGGCATGGCTGCGTTGGCGTTGGCCTCAATGATGGAGGCTGGACGGCCTGCTTCCAGCAAACCACAGCAGCAGCCGTTGCCGCCCAGTTCAAATCGCCCGATCGAGCCGGTGCCACCGCATATTCCAGCTGGCACCTCGCATATTTCCAACAGCCAGCCGATACAGTCGTCCCCAATCAGTGCCTTCCAGCCAGTGCACAGTCGCTCACCTCCGATTGTGAGCCCACGACCAGCGTCTGCTGGCCCCACTGCCTTCCAGCCGCGCCTAGCCTCGCCAGCACACCCGTACCCCACGCACCAGCAGCCTCCAGTGCAAATGTACCAGCCCGCCCCACCTCGCACAAGCGCCGGGTACATACCACCACCACCCGGCCACCCAATGGGCAGCGAAGGGAGGCAGCAGACCACAGTGCTGCCTCCCATCATGACCCACTCGTCACCGCCGCCGCCTCAGCCGCAGCCAACACCGCATATTCCTGTCCAGCAGCATCAGCAACGTGTAATTGGCCAGTCACCACAGGTTTCCCAGATGCATGGTCAGATGCCATCTCGCCAGCCTGCATACCTGCCGCCTGCAAGTCTGCCGCAAACATACCCGATGTCTGCACCCAGCCATACTCCAGCCCCGCCAGCTCACTCGCATTTCTATATGCAGCAACCCCCGCCACCGTCTCAGCAGCAGCAGCACCAACGTATGCCGGTGATGCACCAGCGATCGCCAATTGGCCATCCACAGGCACCACCCCCACTACACCAACAGCGGTATCCGCCGCCGCAGCCGCCCCAGCAGCCATACGATGATCTGCAGCGGTATCCGGACCAGCAGCGACCACGCTAGTGTTATAGTCGTTCTATATTTGCCATATCCTGTGGTTATCACTCAGTACAACATATCCACCATCACCCCCATCTCTATCAGCCAGTGCTCCCATCCTTGCCGGCTACTTCTTTGCTGGTGACCACAGCTTTGTGTTTAGGCGCACACAACGACTTTTCAACTGCTGCCATTACGACACCAACGCACACATCGCTCGCTTTCAACTCTGCGTAGAAATCCGGCTGACAGCACACCTGCTGCTGCATAGGTGCATAGAGCTATGCTTACTGCATGGTGTTGCCTGAATTGTACGGGCGACATAGTTTCCCATCTGCCCACATGTACAAAGTGCGCCGCTATGCCATTCGAGTTCGGCATTAGCAGCATCGTAGAAATGCACAGTCGTTGTTTTACCGACTAATCTTGTCGCTTGAATATACAAAGCTGGATAACCAGATACCACAGGCACCTAGTATTATACCAACGCTGTTACCCTGGGCTCGATGCATACCGCCAGGAGAACCTAGAGCCTGTTGGCCAGAGTACATTATATCTGGCTTTATTCTGTCAAGTTTTATTGGCCAGGTGTTTTCACCAGCATTGCTGCCTGCAATGCCCCACAGTAAACTGAACAGATAAACATTCCCTAATGCCCCCGTTAGCGGCGGCCATATCTCCGCCTTTTACTGGAATTGCTATCAAAATACTTTACACCGCGTGTAGTATCACCCTTGGATTCTCCAGCCAACTGAAGTACATCTGTGGCTTGTACTAACGCTATTTGCATTAACAAAGTCAATCACAGCACCATCCGATGGAAGGCTTACTTGTCTGGTCGCAGTTGATATAATTGCTGCCTAATAAATACAATAAAAGGAATGACCGGAAATAACCATGCTCGTCACTTTCAGCAGCGGCTGCATATGGTTACATATTTCGCACCTACCTAGCGTGAGCATAGCAGAGCACCAAAAGCCTACCAGACACCATAGATGCATCGCATATAAAGGCCACTTGCCCTTGGTCCATATCCCGCTTCCACAAAATGTAGCCCAAGATAACATCAGCTCAAAAGTATGATGTCATTTGCTATTTGCTATTTTTGACATGTTATGACACCTTGTTTTAAATACAGTACTATTTCCATCGCCCCACACTCCTACTTTATGGTTTTGGCCCTTCACATCCACAAGATACACTGATGAGTGGCTCGTATGCACCTAGCTATCGGCTCGCTGAGTCAACCTCTAAGGCGACTTCAAGGTCCACTGCCTCAGGCACATGGCAGTAACACTGCGAAAGGAGGAATACTGCCATGTCTACGGAGGCTTTATTTTCTACGTTTTACCATGGTAAAAATGCTGCGTGTGACGATGTGAGCTGACAGGGGCTGAGCACGGTCGTTCCAGTGAGCGAGAAATTAAGTCGCTCTCAAAGGTGCTGGCAATGATGGAGTTGTCATCGTCCATCAGGGCAAATGCCAGCTGGCTCTCCATCGGCTTGTCCTCGATTTGCGCGACAGTGTAAAACATGGTGGGCAATGAAGCCAATAGCAGTATCCAATTTCCGATTACTTGGTTGAGAAAGGGCACCTTACGAGCACCGATCTGCCAAGAGACCGCGGCGCCCAGCGACTGTACGCCCTTGTAAAAACCAATATATCGCGCGGTGATTTTGGTGTCATTGGTAAGCGTCCCGATTACCCAGTATGCTACATTTTGGTACCATGCGTCAACCATTCCCATGAAGAAGTACAAGAAGATCGGGCCCACTGCCCGACTACCTTGTAGAAAGTCTACTGGGCCGCCTGTGTAATCGGTGTCCGGCATTCCCCGAGTGTACCGCAACTGGACAACCAAGGTTGCCGCCCACACTGCATTAAATGCCAGTGAGGTTATGAGGACTGCGTAGCGACCCCGTGTCTGGCGCGGCCACCGCGAGGCATCCAGCAGCAGCGACAGGACAAAAGACCCAATGATCTGGGATAGCCAGTAGAGCAAGTTGTTGAAAGACCGCGTGCGCAGTGTGAAAATAGCAGCATTGTACTGTGAGAACTGGTACCCGTAAAAGAAGTTTGAGGTGAACGACATGGGCAGCAGCAACAGCATCCATTTGTTGGCCAGTAGACGTATTATCTCTACTGATTCGCGTCGCACGCTGTGCCTATCGACTACACTTGCACGCGTGCCATTATTGCGAATGATCTCGGTCGACGGGGCTAGCATCAGCGCCATCAGCGCGCCAAAGCACTCCAGCATGACAAACATAAGGTAAACTGCGTCTGTGAGCGACCCCGAATGGTAAAAGTTTAATGCAAATGGGAGCAGGCCGCCGATCAGGCCGCCTAGATTGAAAATGACCCAGAATATTGAAATGAAGCGTCCCTTTTCGTGTTCCATAGGATACGCTACCATTACCACGCCCTGGGCAGCCCACAGCACGCCAGCACCTATGCCCAGCACGCAGCCCGCAACAATGGTTAAGTAGCTGTGGCCAGTGTGGTTGTAGAACACGTAGGAACCAGTGTAGAATGCATATGTGAGGCAGGCTGCTGCTGTCGGATATCGAACACCGCAGACATTGACTATGCCGCCGCCCAGAATGCTAAACACGCAGAATGTTGCGTATAGCGCTGTGTTTGCGTTGTTGCTTGTGCTTGTGTCGAGTTGCCCAGCACCGCCTAGCCCGTTCAACGCGTTGAACATGCCTGGACACAGAAAGCACACACTGCTGATGATGAGCACCTGCCCCAGCGGACTGTTGTAACGGACCATGCGTAAGTATATGAGCAGAGGCGACGAGAGTGGAGAGATATGCGGAAGAGTGTGGCGATGGCAGAGGGTTCCAGCAAGACTGGCTCTTGTGCACAACACCGGGTATGCAGCATTATTAATAGCCTGTGTCGGCGCCCAGCTGACGAGCAGTTGCTGCTGCCTGTGTATGTGCTGCATTGTGTCTGCGTTTGCCGGAGTGGCACAGCCCACATGGCCGAACATCCGTGCCGAGAGATCCTAGATGGGCAGTAGGGATACGCGGTGGCATGCTAAGCCACAGGCCAAGACGCACTCACTGTGCGCTGCCAATTCAGTCGGCCAAAACAGACTGCGTGCAAACAGCCTTGTAGCAGGAGTGCGTCAACATAGCACCCGGAATGATTCTCCAACAGACACCAGACGGCAGACAGTTTGCTATCATGCATTCACACAGAATACAATGGGTGGAAAGCGAAAGGAAGGAACAGAGCGATACAAATACACCGACAGATGCCGCAGGGCCATTATTTGGCCGGCTTCGGCCTCAGCCTGCTGCTGGGAGCCAGCAGCCGGAATACGCGTTTTGGCAGAAGCAGCTCGAGCGGCTGGAGTACCAGAACACCTAGCACAGCCATCACAACGGCGCCTAGCATGTGCCACAGGGGGCGGAGCCAGAGCCGGCAGTACATGGCCCAGATCAGGTGCAAATACACAGCAGCCCAGCCCACTGTCCCAAAAGCGACTGGTGCTTCCGATCCGCTGCAATCGGCGGTCGCCTGCATGCTGGCATCTGCTGTGTCTTGGCCATCACTGCTGCCGGCCACTTCAGCTGCTGTTGAGGCGGGTGGTGTGTACGGGCCCTGGACGTGTGCAACGCTGAGCATTTCTGCATAAAGCGAGCGCTGGCGCACCATGGCAGGTGCTGCAGCTGAGTCTTGCTGCGCATAGTCCATGGTTGAGTTCATAATAGCACGCATTGCGCTGACTTGCCGCTCGAGCTCGCAGACGTACTGCTTGCGGTCGTCTAGTCGTGCCAGCAGGTGCTGAGCAACCGCATTGGCCTCGGCGGTGGCGCTCCTGGCTTCTGTGACTGTGCGCTCAGTAGCCTGGAGCTCCTGGCCCTGGCGCTCTTCGCGACGTCTGGCCTCATCCAGCTCGGCATGCAAGTCCCTGATACGCTCAGCTAGCTCGCGGGTCTCGGTCTCTGCCAACGCGAGCTTACTCTTGATACGAGCGACTGCACGCTGGTGCCGCCGCTCAGTCTGTTTAGCAGCTACCTGGGCTGATGTCTTCAGATGTGCAATCTCGTCCTGGTGTGCTTTTGCCTGGCGCTCGTGCCATTGCACTTGCTTCTCAGCCTTGACCAGAATGCCTCTGTCGCTCTGTGCACGCCGTCTTGTCTCGTCGATTTCGGCCTGGAGCTTTTCGATCTGATCCAGGTACTGCGCAATCTCGGCCTCACGGCTGTCCAGCTGTCGCGAGAGGTCATTGATGGTGCGTTTGTGCTGCTTTACTTGGAAGAAATACTCGTCATCGTTAAACGGGGGTGTGTGCGACTGCAGGGTTGGTGTTGACGACTGCGATGCAATAGATTCAGTGTCCCACAGGTCCACTGTGTCGGCAAAAAACGGCGTGTGCGGGCCAGGCAGGGGTTTGCGTCGGCGGCGTGGGGAGCCTGCCATGGGCGGTGTTAGCGGGAACGGACTGCGTCGCTGTGGCCAGGAATCGCTGGAATGTACAATGTCCATAAAGCAAATTGAGACACGAGTAAGAATATGTGAAGAGAGAGAAAGAGAGATAGTGTGTTTGTATGTTTGTTGGCCAACAAAATAGTGCAGGTATGCGGGGGAAGAAATAGTGGAGGCGCAAGGCTCGTTACAAAATGAAAAGGTCGTTAATAGTCGAGTGAGGGGCCGTTAAAAATCGCAGGAAGCAAAGAAGAGCCGCACAATCGCCGATTCCACTGGCGCCTGAGGGGCAGAGGGAGAACAGCGAGGGCTGTGCTGGTGTGTTGCTGAGTCTGAGCAAGAGAGCGGTTTGTAGAAGCAAATAGATTGGCCGTGCTTGCGGAACTGCGCGGTCAGCCAATGCTCGCCGTGCAGCGATCAGGAGCACTTGCATCTGGGAACTGGCGCCAAAACAAGGGCAGCGGTGCAGGAGGGCTGGTGCTGTGCTTGGGAGGAGAAATGTCGCCTGTGCTTTTTTTAGGGCTACCTTCACATGTCGAGATGGCCCTGTTTGCTGGTGCGCAGTAACGCGCCAGGAGTTTGCTATTTTCCCTCCTCTGCTCCCTGTCCCGCGATCCCTGGAAGAGCGGTCTAATAATATGCCCGGGGTGTCAAATGCGCGCATGGTGATGGCCCTTGGAAGCTGACGGTTATTTCTGGCAACTAGTGGATGGTGTATAAAGCGTGCACATCTACCGGCGGACGGGTGTGCCTGGCCCATATAACGGCGTCTTGAATATTCCAGCAACAGCCAATATCCTCTTGTATATTCCTTTTCGACCAGCACAACCCGACTCACGCCGATGGGGTACTACCACCAGCTGCAGAAGCCGCTCGCCGAACACTCCTATGCGTTCTACCCGCTGATCACCATTGCCACTCTGGCAATAATCATCAGTCGCATCATAGCCCTATCCCATTTCCGGCACCACGACTTCCCGTCGCCCTGGACCACAGTCGTGTCGTTCGGCGACGAGCTGACGGACTGCGGCAACGGCGCTCACATCACCGGTGGGAAATACCCGAACGACCATTCCTACTGGCACCACCGGTTCAGCAACGGACCAAACTGGATCGACAACCTGATTACAAACTTTGGCGGGCTGGAGAAGGTCAAGATGCGCAATTTTGCCCACGGCGGGGCCACCACCGATAATGCTCTGCTGCCAGGGAGCCTGCTTGGCCATTACATCCCAAGCACGCACCAGCAAGTGCGCGGGTTCATGTTGAAATCACGGCATGCCGCATACCCAGAGACAGACACCACGCTATACACAGTGTGGACCGGCATGAATGACTGCCTGGCTTTGGGCGGGATTGGGTCGCCAAACCGGAATCGAAACTTCACCACCGAAGATATCATCGACAGTGTATTCCAGGACATCATCCAGATGGAGCACGAGTCTCACAACAAGGTCAACTTTGTGGTTCTTTTGACGCCGCCGCCGGTCGAGGACATGCCGATGGTGCGCAACGAAAAGTCAGAGAAGCGCCTGCTTGTGCAGAGCGCTGTGCAGAGCATTGTACAGGAGCTGCCCAGCTTACTTCTTGACAAGTTCAACCAAGTTGGCTACGCGACCATGACCGATACGTTCCAGCTGACACCGTCAACAGGGCAGAGAGTTCTGCCGAACCACAGAACCAGGACCGACTCGCCGATCTCGCACTTCCTCTCTGTTGACCTACCCAAAGATTACTCGCACACGCTGCCGCACGAGCATAATGGCTGGACCAAAGCCAACACCACCGCACCAGCCCTGGCGACGCCGCCAAAGAGCACTCTGTCAATCCACTCCAAGACATCACCCCCCGACGATCTGCACCGTCCGCTGCTGAGACTGCACAGGCGCAGCAAGCCAGCCATGGCAGCTCCCGCTGCGCCACAAGCCAAGCTGCACATAATGGTGTATGACGCCTACCACTTCATCAAGCATGCCCAAAAGAACCCGCAGTGCTTTGACTTCAACCCGTCGGCGGTCAACCAGACATGTGGTGATGAGCCGCAGGGCTGCTTTGATCGCGTGTGGATGGACGACACCAACTTGAACACTGCAGTGCACTACTGGATGGCGCGCGATCTGAATGTGCGCTTGAGGATGTGGCACTACCGTGTCGCCCACGGAAGCTTGGATACAGCCATGAAGAACTCAACACGGCTGAAGGAGCTCGAAGAGGAGATGCTCGGATATGCCTGCCCCATGCGTCCGGCACCAGTGGAGTTCTGAACCAGGGGAGTTCTGAACCAGGGGAGTTCTAAACCAGTGGAGTTCTGAACCAGTCGAGTTCTGAGATACTGTACAAGAAAATCAGCGGTTGCAAGGGATCGGTGAGCAGTCTCCATAAACTGGCTCTGATTGCTAATGGCCGTGGTCCCTGAAAACCATCACTTCGAATTTTATTTTTTGTTTTCAAAACTCTTTCCTGCATTTTTGCGCTCGTTACAAATACACATCACACGCGCTGAATCAAAGGATGGTTGTCGAGATCGGGCCGTCAAACATAGAATCGCAGTTTGCGCTCGACGCACTGCGGCAGGGGATCCGGGTCGACGGACGCGGGATCTACGACTACCGCACACTTAAAATCGCCTGCGGGCCGACTCCCGGACTCGTCGAGGTGCAGCTGGGGGAGACGCGGGTTCTGGCACGTGTTTCCTGCGAGGTGTCGCGGCCGTTCCCGGATCGTCCCACCGAAGGAATCGTGCAGTTCAATGCCGAGCTCTCCTCCATGGCAGCCCCCGGCTTTGACTCTGGCAGGCCGTCTACGCAGGAAGTCGCGGTGGCACGCATGATCGAGCGCACTGTGAAGCAGAGCCGGGCGATCGATGCCGAGGCGCTATGCATTTTGGCTGGCGACAAGGTGTGGGCCGTGCGTGTTGACCTGCATTTCCTGTCGCACAGCGGCAACCTTATCGACGCAGCGTCGATTGCGGCTATCACGGCGCTGAAGCATTTCAAGCGGCCCGACGTGACGGTTGACGGCGAGGAGGCGATCATCCACGACCCGCGCGACCGCAATCCGGTACCGCTTAGCATCCACCACACACCAATCTGCGTGACATTTGGATTCCTGGGCGACGGCGAGCTGATGGTCGTTGATCCGAGCCTGCTGGAGGAGCAGGTGCAGGTGTCCAGCTTCACCATCACGCTCAATGCCCACCGCGAGATATGCGCGCTGAGCAAGGCAGGCGGTGTGCCACTGGACCAGGAGCAGATTGACAGATGCACGCAGCTGGCGCTGACAAAGGTCGAGGAGCTCAACGAGAAGATCAGCGAGGCTATCAAGAGCGCCGTCCCCGACACAAACTAGCCCGCCTTCTGGCCACAGCAAACGACAGGTGGCTGTCGCGCAAGCACCTCGCTATTCCTAGAAAAACTCTGAATATATTTTTGTTGAAACTGGCTGTCTGGTCTACTCGTACTCGTCGTCGTCATCCTCATCTGAGCGCTGGTAGTCGAGCCAACGGATAACCGGATTGAACCGCTTGTAGAACCCGGCGACAAACGCCGCTTCAGAGAACTTGGTCGCCGCTGCATGTCTGGCCGCCTTGCGCATGGCGCTGGCAGTGATCTCAGGCATCCCGAGCCCGAGCTGGATCATCTTTGCAAACTCGTCAGCAGACTTGGCCACCATGCCCACCGGGAACGTCTTCTCCTCCTCACTGTCGGCGCTGCCCAAGAATGCCTTCGCATCCTGCTCGCTCGGCACCTCTGGCTCGCCATCCTCGGAGATGCGGACAGCCGGCGTGATAATGTCCAGCTTGGGTCCAGCAGAGTCGTGACCGACAGTCAGCAAGCCAGCAGCCAGCATCTCGACGACGTTGATTCCAAAGTGCTCGTCCTTCATGGTATGCATGCCGACACGGCCAAACTTTAGCCATTCGAGGACCTGGCTCCACGGAGCATTGACAATGACGTGGACCTGGCGCTCGATACCAAGCCGCTTGGCCAGCTGGCGCAGCTCCTCGGCGCGGGCCTCATCCTCAATGTTGCGCGCACCGCCCAGCATGATCATCATCGGGTACTGCGCAATGTCTGGCTTCGTACCCGACGCCTCGTACTGTCTTGCGCTGCTGAGCAAAGACTCTGGCGTCGGCGCCACGCTCGTAGTTGGCAGCTTCAAGCCAGTGTTGCTATCCAGGAACTTTGCAAATGCCTCGACCTGCGTCTTGTGGTTCTTCTCGGGTCGGAACTGTGCCAGCGAGACCACAAATGGCATGCGGTTGGATGTTGGAAACTCGACCAGCGCCTTGGTGTCGCAGGGCGGATACAAAACCTGGGTCATCTTGGGCTTGCCGAACAGCTTGACAATGTGCCCATGTGTCCATGACGAGTTGGTCATGATGGTCGCTGCAAAAGATCCTGCAAATGCATACGCGTGCGCAAATGCCTGATAGTACACGGATTTGAGATATGTCAGCACCGGGCTCTGGGCGATCTTGGCGTCATTATTGAAGCCAGACTCGCGCGAGCTAACCATAGTCTGCATGTCGCTTGATATCGACGGGTAGTGCGTGTACGAGACAGCGGGGATTTTGGCTGTCACCAGGCGCACTAGCGGGTATGTGAACGCATATCCAACGGTTTCAATGAAGATGTCCGGCATGAACTTGTTCAGTGCCTCGCTGGCCAGCACAACTGATCCAATGCTCTGCAGAAGCAGCGTGAGCCGAGGGTACTTGTTGTCAACCCACGACCGGCCCGCCAGCTCGACCACGTAGATTGTTTCGGGCTTGATGTCCATTCCAAACTTGCTTTTGACGTTCTGTAGCAGCGTGTCGCGGTCGACCTTGTCGCCAGAGTAAATCACACACACCACAAACGGATACTTGTTCTGGATAGCCTTGATCATTGTCCATAGAACGCGCTCGCCGCCGCCGCCCGCATTCGGGTACGGGTGGAAGAATCCCGCATAGTACGCTTCATGCTCGGAGGTATCAGGCTTTGTCGCAGCCTGGACCTTCGCCTTGCACTCGTTCTGGTGTGCGTCGGTGCCGGTTGTCAGAAACCGGATCGTCATGAAGCCGATGAAGACGACCATCACGACCACGCCAAACACAAAGCAGTTGTGGATAGCCTGCTCAAGCGTCGGCATTGTTAAAAAAAAAAAAAAAACAGTGCAATATAGCAGAGGGCAGGTGGAAGGGAGATGGGTGGGGAGGGAGCAATAGAGAGCAGAACCAGCTTGCAAGAGAACCGAAGATGGAAGAAGGAAAAAGAGCTTTGACGTGGATGTTTAGGCGGGCGAGAGATTGGCGATTCAGCCGGAAAAAGCAAGAGCGCGGCCAGCAAGCCGAGTCGACCACGTGTGCCAGTGTGCAACCACCAATCATCGCTGGATCACCGGTGATCGGATCTAGCGGCGACGCGTAGCGGCCATTGAAAGAAAACGCGTGTGGCGTCGCCAATCGGCTCCAGCACCTAGCCCTCCTTCCTTCGGTGTGCTGCTCCACTGTATTCCACAGCAGATAGCTGCTGCTCACTTCCACTTCCACCTCCACTCATACTCTCACCCTCCCCTCCTTTCTGACATTTGCCTTGAGCCTGAGACAAATTTACATGAGCTCAAGACGCCGTTCTACGCGTGCCGCCAAGGCCCCTGAGCGGCTTGATTCCACGCCAGCCACGCCCAAAAAGCGTGCAAGCAAGACGCGTTCAGCAAGGGCCACCACCAGCAACAAGCGCCAAAAGACGCCGAGACGCACGGCTGCGCAGCAGAGCCGCGTCAGCGACGACGATGACGACGAGAGCGCGTCAGAGGTAGCCGATTCGGATAACGAGGATGATCTTGACGAGACCAGCGATTATGAGGCCAGGTCGAAGCTGGCTTCACGCACTCCTCGCAAGCAGATAACTGCAGCAAAGAAGCCGAGGGCCACGCCGCAGCAACAGCAGCAGCAGAAGAAGAAGAAGAAGAAGCAGGCAGACAAGGCCGCCGAGGCTCCGACTGGCGCAGACATGGAGATCACAGCCGACGAGTCGCTGCTGCTTTCGACGATCCAGGACGACAAAGTCGCGTTGGCCCAGGTTGCATCCGACTGGATTGACTCGTACCGCGACAACATTGATGAGGCGCTATGCGAGCTTATCAACTTTGTGCTCAAGCTCGCGGGCTGCCCCAGCAAGATCGCCGAAGGGGCGGTGTACGATGCCGACGAGATTGGCTCGGTGCTCGAAGGCTTGCAGAAGCAGTGCATCGCGGTGCTGAAGCAAGGCGGGGCGTCGAGCGCGGAGATTGCCGACGGGCTACTGATGGGCAAGACCAAAGAGCAGCGCAAGTTTCGCAAGAACACGCTTCAGTTTGTGGCCAAGGTGGTTGAGATCGGCCAGCACCAGCTTGTCTTTGACCAGATCAACGAGGAGAACAGCCTGTCGACGTTCACCGAGATCCTGCTGCAGTGGCTGGTCAATATGGCTGGGTCCTCGTATCGCCCATTCAGGCACATCGCAACGCTGATCACCATGGCTGTTCAATCGGCGCTGGTGGGCATTCGTGTGCGCATCAGCGCTGAGCAGCAGACGACGCACCGTCAGCTTGAGGCAGAGCAGAGTCGCTTGTTCAAGTCCAGACGCAGCAACCGCGAGTCGGCTCGTGGCGAACAGCTGCGCACGCGTGTCGCCACCCTGACAGAGCAGGACGAGCTGGCAGAGGCTGCATTCAAGGCGTTCTACGACACCGTGTTTATCTACCGCTACCGCGATGTACATGCGATCATCCGCTCGGAATGTCTGGTGCCGCTAGCGTCGTGGTGCCGCGCCTACCCGGCATCTTATCTGGATACCGAGTATTTGCGCTACATGGGCTGGTCGCTCAACGACAGAGACCCTCGTGTGCGCGAAGTCGCACTGCTGGCGATTGCCGGTCCACTGATCCAGGGAAGGCCCAGCACCAGCAACCAGGGAACAGTGGGTAGCGGTGTGGGCACGCTGAGCGGCGTCGACTCGGTTTCTGAGGACTCGATTACCGAGGGCATCCGACCGTTCATTGTGCGGTTCCTGCCCCGGCTGGTTCAGATAGCCGTGGGCGACGTGGACACCAGGGTGCAAGTTGCTGCACTCAAACTGTTGTCGCTTCTGGGTAAGCACGACTACCTTGATCCGACCGCACGTATCGGCGATATCCGGTATGCGAAGCGCCAGGCGGGCAGCAATGGGGAAGGCTCGACCAAACCCAAGAAGAAGAGCACCAGCAAGCGCAAGGCGAGCAAGCGCAGCCGCGGATCGTACAAGAACTCGCTGTCACAGCAAATGCTCGAGGAGTCAAGCAGTGAGAGCGACAGCGATGACGACGAAGAAGGTGAAGGCGAGGATAACAACACGGCCACCAACAACCTGAGCGACGCGGATCCCAGCATGCTGCATCTGCAGACACTGTACAGCAACAACGAGGACTTGGAGGATAATGCGCTGCCTTGCCCGCACCACACGGTAATGACGTACCTGGCACCGCTTGTCGCACACACACACGCCACGGTTCGTGCAGCGGCTGCAGATATGGTTGCATGGTGGATCAGGCAGGACTGGATTACTTCAGCGCACACTATGGCCTTTGGTGTTGATTCGGCATTAAATGGTAGCGGACTGAACCTCGATGACGAAAGTGAAGAGGTGGAGCCAGCCAGGGATGCCGATGACGACGAGGACATGCCGCAGGTGACTGACGACATGGGCGGTCTGGAGGGCGACGCCAGCGCCACCATCACCGATATTCTCGAGACTCCGGCCAGAAGGAAGCGCGCTAAGAAATGGCTTCTGTACAAGTCGCTGGGTGCCTTCCTATGGCGCCTGGCGTATGCAGATCAGCAGAAAGCGCGCGATACCAGTGACACAGCCGACGTCGATGGGATGGATGCTGAGGCCAAGCAGCAGTGGGTGCTTGAGCAGGCGGCGTCACGCATCGAGGAGATCTGGTCCACACCCGCTTCGTCTCTTGGGTTTTCGCTGAGCGAGGAGACTGTGGCTGCCCTCGCGGGCTGTACCATCGGAGATACTCCGGCAACGCCTCTTGATGCGGAGATCGAAAGGGCTGTGGGCGCCAACACCGGAACAGTGCTCCCGCGGCTGGTTGCAGCGGCGCAGGCACTCTACCACAAGCTGCCTGAGCTCGCTGATGTCGATACCATCTCGTCATTCTTGACCTGGGACCACTCGACACGGGCTACTAGCAGCGGAGAGCCAGTAGCACTCTCGCGCTTCTCATTAGCCCCGGCTGAGGAGACGGCGCTGCTGCAGTCGTATGCGGTATGGGTGCTGGAGCGCAGCAAAACAATCAGCGACAAGCTCAAGCGGGTGCGCAACAAGAAGGAGAAGGCTGATTTGGAGGACGAGCTGCGGGCGCCGTCCAAGCAGTGGCAATCGACAATGGTACCATTGCTTGAGCGTAACATTGACAGCCCAGCCAGGCTCCTTCCGCTGGTTTTCTTGGCCGCTGAGTCGCTGGATCCACAGGTTCTGTTTGACGCAAACAGGACAGCAGCGCTGCAGGACATTGCCAGGAACCTGATGCTGGTGCTCGATCGCTATGGTGGCAACGTGCGGCTGGCGCGGCTGGTTGTCGGCTTCTTGGAGCGTGTCGATGCGACTAAGATTCTGCGTGTAGCCGATGAAATGGCCGAGGACACTGATGGCCAAGGGCGGACACCGGCAGCCACTACGCCCGGTCCGCTGGTCAGCAAGGCAGCGCAGTCGACCGTTGCTGCGCTGTCAACAGCTGTAGCTGCTGTGCCTGAGACTGGTGTTCGCGCCAGCTCCTCTGCATATGCCGACGTTTACGCCCGCGTTGTCGCCCTGCGCTCGTTTATCCATACCAAAGACATTTCGGCGCTGATGGCCGCCAGCGGCGAGTCTCCTGGAACCATGAATGAGCACATGGACATCTGCGATCGCTCTCCCGAGTGTGCCATTGAGCAAGTTTTTGCGTTACTCGCCTCGGCAGCACGGAGCCTCAGCTCGCAAACAGTGCCTGAGAGCACAGCTTTGGCCGCACTCGACACTGCGTATCACTTCCTGCTCTGGCGCGCGCTGAATCTTGACAGGCTGCTTGTACAAGGATCTGGCAAACCCTACAGCGATGCTGACCCGACGCCATTCTGGCAGCGCGTCGACGCATCTGCCAAACAACTTGTGTGCGATCGCGACACACTTGTTGCAAACTGCATGGAGCTGGCCGACATCACTGGTACAAACTACCGGCGGCTGCGCGAGCTGGCATTCACCGTGCTGGGCAACACGACCAAGCTGTTTACTGGCAGTCTGGCACGCCGCCCTGCAGAGCCGGCTGTCGAATCTGCGGCCATCCGCCACACTGCAGCACTGCGTCGCACGCTGAGCATGCCCAGCAGCTTCTCAGTGCAGCAGCGACTCGCACAGTTCTTTGGCCACAAGGTGTCGACGTGGTCTGGCCTGCTGTCGTCGCTGTCAGGATATGAGCCTGAGCTTTCTGGAGACCTGGCTGCCACTGCACCTTGGTACCAGGCAGCGCCATCATCGTGGAGCACAGCTTACGCACGGTTCTGCGGGCAGTCGGCCGATTGGGCCCAGTGGCTCGGTGCGCGCATCGTGCCTGCTGCACAGCTCTCGCTGCTTGCCGCTCATACCGGCATGCTCGGACTCGAGCCATTAGAGAAGAGGCAGCAGTATGCGGTGGATGGTGACCAGGCCAAGCACCACCACAGGCCGCGGCGTATTGCTGGATTCGTCACACTGTCTGCATTTGACCATATCGTTCAGGCAGCCGTGGACGCACTGAAGCCGACTCTGGTCGTCCAGAGCAGTCGCGAATCAGCTATGACCGCTTACGAATCAGCTATGCGTGCGTGCCACCAGACAAATTTAGCGACTGCCGATTCACCTATGGCAGACTCTGTCAACGTGGCAACGCTGGCTCGCTTTATAGCCACTGCGCTGAAGACTGTCTCACCAGCCACTAGCCGTGCTACAGCTGCGGATGCTCCGAGTTTCGTGCTTGCACCCGTGGTTATCGGCAACGAGTGGGTCAAGCACCACAAGCAAGCCATTGATTTCGGTCTCTCGCTCGCAATTCCTGCGGCAGCTGAGGCGGAGAACGGTGATGCCGGCATTCAGTCCCGGGAACCTGCCAGCAGTGAGACCTGGGAGACCAAGGCAGCGCCGTGGTTTGTCGCTCTGAGCCAGACTGTTGCAGGCATTCTGAGACCGCGCCATGCCGAAACCCTGAATCGGCACCTGGATGCGGAGCTCAAAAAGCACAGGCTGATCCAAGGCAGCGACGATACGGCTGAGGACTGTGAGCACGCGATTAATGCGGTTGCGTCCTACCAGAAGGCTCTGGACAAGGAGCTGGCAAAGCTGAGCGCTATTAATGCGCGCATGGCTGAGGTGCGTGCAGCTACTGAGCCCGTGCTTGAGATGCCCACGTCAGACGGCATGGATGTTGACGAGTAGCCATTTTCCTTTCATATTTCCAACTATATTCTCCAATGATCCCCTCTTGCTTGTTTGACGCTTATTATTACCGTTCTAGGAACCACTGGGATTACTTTGCTCGCGATGCGAGCTCGGCTGCTAGTCAGCATGGGTTGACACGTCGATAAGAGCATCACGGCGAACCGATCATTTGAACGTGTTCGACTGTTGTTAGTGGAACGGTGATCTTGGACATCTCCTGTCTTGATGGTCTGCTCAGCGCTGGCTCGCTGCTGCTGGCAACAGAATCGCCTGCTGCTGCACGCCTCTTGCGCGGCCTCTTCGTTGCCGGGGTGGTGCCAGAAGCATCGGCAGCAATAGCCGTAGAACGGCAGAACTATCCAGAAACACCGCCTGAATCATAGAGTGACTGGAAAATGAGTCTGAAGTTTAGAACTGCTGCGAGACTGCGGTTCAAGAGCCGAGACGAATAGGCCCGCCTGTATTGTGCCATGGCCCGCTTACATGACTCGCTTGTACAGCGGAGAAGGCCATGACACTCCCTCCACCACTGAGCTCTTCAGTCTCTGATAGAGGTGCAAGGGCATATTAGCCACTGTTCAAAGACACATTCGGGACTCGCATTACACGAAAGTAAATACATACCCATGTCAGGTGCTCACGTTATTAATCTCTTTCCTCTCATTTGGCATTGCCGCTATCTACCGCCCTACATCTTCCACGATGTGCTCTAGGCCACCAGCATAATCTGTTTTAGAATTTATTGGATGCGGAATAGGTGAGAATCCTTGTTGGCAGCAAAGTGCTTGGAGACCAGCCTGCGCAAAACATCTTCTGCGATGCTCATATGCGGGCCATCGATCATCTCAAACTCGACTTTGTTTGCCTGATGAAGCTTGCGTAGTCCAAGCCAGTCTTCCTTGTACATGGTCGTATTCTGCACAGGTATATCGTTTCCATCTTCGTCAGTGAACCCAAACCATGCTGACCCAGGCGGAGAGATCATCTGCTCTTCGCTGAACTGCACGAGCACGAGTCCTTCGAGGCTACTCAGGCGCTTCTTATATTGCTCATTCTTCTTGTCGAGCTCGTTGTTGATGTCGGGCAAAAATATGCTGTACTGCAAGTACTGGCTGAGGCGAGCAGGATCTTTAAAGTACTGTGCCTGAACCACATGGTCACGGATATACCACGAGTACACACCCTTGCTGGCCAGCTGGCGCATCCACCGGCACATGGCTGAGCTTGGATCGGTGCACTCAGGAACTTTAGCCACACCCATATGCGGAGATCCAAACGTTAGAAGAACCTTGGGCTGCAGCCAAGTACAGCGCTGGACCAAGGCACGCAGAAACAGCCCACCTTGCGAGAATCCTATCATATTGACGTCCTGGTGTAGCTCTGGGATGCCAGCCAAGTCGTTGCACACCTGCTCAAGCTGGGTGTTCAGGTTGCCGAAGAATCCAGCATTCTGATCAGCATTCTCGCTGTTGCCGATCCGCACTGAGTGCACAAAGGCACCAGGAAGCTCGTCTGAGACTATTTGTGCGACCCAGCCCATCGTATCATTATTGCAGCAGGTATCTCCCATGCCATGCCAGAGAATGACCGGCGCATGCATTCCAGATAAGCCTGCTGCTGCTGCTGATGTCACTGCCAGGGCGTACGAAAGTGAAAGGGTAGAAAAGAGCTGCATGCTAGTGAAGGGAAGCCACTGATACAGGATAAAATACTGTGCTATTGTGGTGCATGCCAAAATCCAATGCTGGCATTCTTTTGCCGTTGTCAGCCGCGGTCGGAGGAATATGGTTTGTCCAAGTCTCCGCTCAACCCCCGACCTTGCCCTTGATATACTCTACATTTCTCCTTTTCCAGCGAGGCATTGATATCACTCTGTCCTGAAATTCTACCAGGGACTGGTTGCGCGCGCGCTCCGCCGCTCTGGTCGGTGGAGATCGGGCGTTCGATGCCAGCTCTGGGGATGATGAGTCATTTATGAGTCAAGCTCGGAAAGGACCCTAGACAAACGGGGTTCATGACGACTCTTTACTTGAAGCTGACCTTTTTTTCGATACTCTTTTTTCGCTGATGAGGATATCCAAATTGCATGTCCATCTAGAGCGAAAGAATAGTGTGGCTCTTAGTGATCCTAGAGCGGCACTTAGTCGTCAGCCGGGCTGATTGGCGGTAACAGCGCATCACTCGACACATTTGACACTAGTGATGGTGACGACGGCGTTGCCGACTTGGGGCTGACCCTGTCTCTTGACTCGCTGCCCGGCGAGTGCGCGCTACACGGTGACCGGCTGGCCTGTGAATGTGTGCGCTTGGGCAGATGCTGGGCGGTGCTAATGCTGGGCGAGCCCCCAGAGTCTTGTTGAGCGTCCTTATTCTGGCAGATCGGAGAGCCAGTGTGATTCAGTCGGGGCTGCGGTGGGCCCCTGCTGCTGACCAGAGACGACCGCAGCGAGGACACTGGCGATACGCCTGGCATACTCACTCGACTAGCCAGCGGAGTGCGCAGCGCCAGTGGCGACTGCGGGTTGGCGGACTCTTCATCTGACGAATGCAGCGTAGGCTCGGTGCCAATGTAGCGTGACCGCTTAGCCATTGGCGACTCGAGCAACGATGGGGCAGTCAGTGCGCGCTTGCGGCTAGCCTCCGTTGACCTATCTATGCCCTCGGGTCGCTGTGGCACATAGCTTGTCTGCACGACTATTGATGGCTGATGTTGCTGCCGGCGAATGTATCGTGGGATACGCTCTGGGCTACGTCTGTCGTCAGCCTGTGCCATGGCAGCTAAGGCCGCAGTTGCAGAATTTGACGACGGCACCGACGACACACGCTGCGCGGGCTCAGTGTTGGAGAGACTGTCAGCGTTGCTAACACCCAGTCCAAACCCGCTGGTCGATGGCGCAGTGCGTGAGGCAGGCGGGCACATGGACCCCACCGAACCCATGCGACTGCGCCCCAGCAGCGGCAGGTGCTGCTTCTGCACCATGGAGTAATGTGCTGGTATTTTCATTTGCTGCAAGCGCAAGACTGCCGGCGGAGGATGGTGGGATCGCAGTGTCTCCAAGTGGCGTACAACCCGTCGTGGTGGACGAATACTGGCATGCAGAGCACGCTTTGGACGTGTAAAGAATTCGTCGTCGGTCTCAGTAGTGGACCCATCATCCTCGTAGCCATTCGCTACATCTATCGGACGCCTGAGCTCAAGTCGTTCTGCGCTAATAGAGTTTCCGCTATGCGGGGATTCAGCAGTGGGCTGCAGGCCGTTGGTCTGGTCTATCAGACTGCCAATGGATCGTCGGACCGTGGTGTATGGTCGATTGACAAAGAACTGCATGTCGGCACTCTCGGTGGTCTCACCAGATATTGTGGTGTTGTGAGGTGGCTCTAGCTGGTCGCTGTCATCCGCCGTGATTACATCGACGCCTGCCTCGTCTATGGCACTCGTGGCCATGGACTGATCGGTCTCCGAGCCTAGAAACTGGTTAGACACATTGGAACCGATTTCTGCAACCAATGATCGATGCGCTCTTGCGTGTCTGTATGCGCGCGGAACTTCCATGCTCTGCTGCCGACATGATGGCGACAGCGGCATTGGTGAACCGTTTGAATACCCATCGTCGTCGTCGTCATCATCATCGTAGTAGCCCTCTACCTCCTCTGTGCTTGTGCCTGGAAGTGCGCTGACATTCTCAGTTCCCTCTGCATGCACGCGATGACGGTACCGAGGCAGCCGCCGGCGCATCACGGGCTCCGATGCTGGTGACTCAATGAAGCTGCCCAAAGATGGATTCAAGGACCGTGGTAGCATCTGCAGGCCGCGTGCTGATGGGTGGGCTGGTGTGCGGTATGTGCGTCGCTCAGCTGATGTTGGGAGTCTTGGCGGTTCGCTTAATTCGTGCATCCGGTGCGTCGGAGTGATATTACGTCGCGGGGTGGTCAGGGCTTGCATCAGTACTGGCTCGTCTTCATCATCTGTTGATTCGCCATTGCCGGGTCTCTGCTGCTGGTAACCACTGGTGTTTTGCGGGTACCCGCCTCGTCTACTTGTGCGCAACGCAGTAGCCGACATGGGCAGCGGGGGCCTCCCAATACCAGTAATGGAATAAACGGTGCGATTTCTGGCTATCCGGTCACTAGCAGGCATAGCTGGCTCAGCCAGCTGCAGATCAGATGTCCCCTCTGACGGCTCCCTTGATGATCCCCTAGGCATACTAGGTGATGGCCGCAGATTCGCACTGTGGTATCGGGATCTCAGCCGCGCGCTATACGACCGCAATGTCTGTTCGTCCTCCGATACTGTATCGCTACCGCTGTCCTCAGCACCATCACCATTTCTAGTTAGCAACCGTGCTGGGGTGACATTCTGCGACAAGCCAGATCTTGCAAACGCAGGCTTTGGTGTGTTGTGTGCCATCCACCGCCGGCGTCCTGGTAGTGGTGGGCTTGTTGCTGTGACAAGCGCTAACACATCCAGCTGACTAGCTGGAATTGCAGACGCCACTGACACTGGCACTAGCGACCCAGGCTCTGACACGTTGTGTGCGATGTCCACTGCTGCGCTGTCCGCTTTTGCTTCCTGCAAACCCGTACCTTCGCTGATAGCGTGCGAGAGGTGTGGTTTGGGTGTTTTTTGGTCCAGCCGCATTGCAGCCCGTGTGCTGGGTGAGTTGGGCGGCGACGGTGATCCAGAATGCGTACCAAGCGAGCCTCGCCGCGACTCGACATGCAGCATTGCTGGCATCTCCGACTCGTGCTGCTGCTTTGACGTGCTGGTCATGACTGGCGGAGATGCCAGCGATGCCAGGATTCCAAGTGGACTCTCGGTGGCGTCTACATATAAGGCCATGGCATTAGCAGCAAACTTTATGGATTCTGTATGATATGCAACCGCTTTGCCAATGCGTTACCTTGATTGATAGAGCTGTGCTTGCGAACTGGTGTGGCTTCTTTCATTGCCTTTGTGTGTCTATGTCTATTTTTGAGTTTCTTTGGCCGATCGATGCAATACAATTTGCGATCTACAATGTCTCTAGTCCTAACAGCGGCAAAAGCGTCTGTGCGTTAGTAGACAAAAACTTCGCCAAGGCTGCAGATTGGGCTGGAAAGAGGAGCCAGCAAGGAACACGAAAGCAGCAAAAAATGGTGCTGCCGGAATGCAAGAGTTCGGCTATCCCCCTGTGGGTAAAGCGGCCGGCCATTGCACTATTCTCCTTACAGATCAATAGAAGCACTCTATTCGGCAGGTCGTGTGCGGTGGTACATAAAGTGAGTCGAAGAACAAAACGAGAAATGGACAAGAAGATGCAGGAACACAAGCTTGATTTGCAAACGCACCACCCCTCTTCCACTATACAAGTAAACAGAGAGGCAGCAAATTCCTTTCCATGCTACGGTGTACTGCTGGGGAAGAGAAACAGCAAAGTCATTTACAGGTCGAGTGCAGTTTTTTCGCGAGAAAGGCACAGGGCGTGGGTGCAAACAGGCTGGCAGTTATCTGCGTAGTTGGTCATGCGTGCGCGGCTCGCAGTACTATCCTCTGTCAAATCCAAACAGGTGTCCAGCGATGCCCAGACATGAGAATACCCGTAGCACGGCGGTTTTGCAGTATGCAGAAAAGCTCAAATTGCACTGTGCTGGCAAATTTCTAGCGTACCTGAATGTAGACACTGCAAGTGTAGTCTAGTGGCAACAGCCAGTACACTTGTGAATGCCGCGAACCCGAATGACTGTGCAGAGCAGGCGCTTCCCCTTCTTTGTGCTAAACAACCAGCGTCCAGGTGCTTGGCGCCAAAAAAAAAAAAGAAAAAAGACACCCAGAGATAATGGCAACAAAGGATATAAAGAGAAAAGGGGACAGAGCCGGGGAGTCCGAGGGTCGACGTGAGACAGAGCGCCTTTGTTGACAATAAAAATACGGAATGTACTCAAGGCCGCGACCGAAATTCAAAGGAAGCAAGCGTGCGAGGGTATGATAATAAGAGGAAGAGCTAGTGGCGTGTAGAGACAACGCAGGAGGGTGGAGCTAAAGGGGACAGAATGCGGATAGCATAGAGAAACCAACGAGAACACGGGTGAAAATGATAAACAACAGTTTTTTCTCCAGGCCAAAGGAAAAGGTTGTTTTGAAAATGGGCCACGCAGCCAATCATGCAATCAAGCGCATTCTCCAGAGCTCGCCCAAGTGAGGGCGCTGTGCGGAGGAGGCTTGGAAAATGGGCAGGCGTATCCAGTTCGTATCAAGGCTGCTCTAGTTGCTCAACAAGGGAAAAGATATCATCAGCGAGAAAATTTTATCTGCATGGCACGGTCTGCCGCGATCCTGAATCCATCGAGCACATCGCGAGCGGCTGCGGCATCGCGCGCTGACTCGTAATCAACAAACGCAATGCCCTGCTTGCCCTCGATCTGGCGCACCTGGCGGAAGCCAGCATACTGCTGGAACAGGCCTGCAAGCACATCGACCGACAAGTCCTCGGGCAGGTTGGCGACAAACAGCGTGGGCGCCGACACCCCCTCTGCATCTGCACCCTGCGGTCCGATCTCCTGCTCTGGCGCTTCCTCGGCTGGCGGCATGGGCCCAATGTCGCTGTCGTCGTCGCTGTCGTCGTCACGCATATCCTGCTCGCCATCAGATTCCTCGTCCGCGTCCCCAACAGCTCTCCGCTTCGCCTCACGCTCCTCTGCTTCCTCGCTGGCTTGCCGCTTGGCACCTTCGGTGATCCCCAGCAGGCGTTTCCGCTGCTCGGCGCTCGTGTGCTCGCGCTTCTCGCCATATTTGTACGTGCCGTCCTTTTGCGCAACCACGTCCGACTTGCTGAGGGCATATTCTATGCAAAGTGGTCGGCCAAAGACTGTGCGGCCGCTCAGGTGCCGCATGGCTGTGGTTGCGCTGGCGATGTCTGAGAATACTATAAACGCCTGGCCGCGCATTTTTGTGGTCTTCAGAGCAACAATGTCCAGGACGCGGCCGTACGAGACGCAGAGACTGTAGAGAGTCTCCTTGAGCACAGGCTTCTGGATTTTGTCGTTCAGGTTCCGTATGTACAGCGTCTGGTTGGGTGGTATCGCGGCCATGGCTATGAATAAATATGCAGATTCACAAAAGCAGAATTTTCACGGAAATATATTTCAAGCCGACGTGGCCACTTTGCACCTTGTGGTATTGCCTGGATTTCAAAAAAGCTTGCTGGCATCATTATCTTGCAGCATCAGCGGAGGCTGCCAAAGCCGTGGGACCGGGCAGACCGGCCAAACCCGCCCATGGTGTGCATCATGTCGAAGCCGTCAAACATGGAGCCGCCCGGGCCATGGCTCACCAGTGGCATGTGCTTGTTGCGACCGGCCTGCAGTGCAGAATTGGCACGCTGGGCCACATTGCGCACGGAGCCCACAGCGCTGGTGATGGCGCCTAGGTACGCGGCAATCTCGTAGTTGGTCTCTTCCTGCGCCATCGCCTTGTTGAACAGTGCATCGTCCAGCACCACAGGCCTGTTGCACAGCACGCGCTTCACCAGCTGCAGCACGTCAGGGTCGTACGGCGCCGTACCAGCGATGACCTGGGAAACATACGCCTGAAGAATACGGATGTCCTTGTGCAGCATCTCCAGTGCGTTGCGCTGGCCGGTCAGGAACATAGCGATCTTGGATGCATCTGCCAGTGTCTTGGCCGCCGCTCCGCCCACCATGGTCTCATCAGATACCATTGTAGACACGTTCGCCACATGATCAATGGCCACGCGCTCGGCCTCACCGGTCTCTACAGCGATCCGTAGCGGCTCCAGGCGCGATGCCCATGCGATTTGGTCGTTGGCTGGTGTATTGCTGGTGTCCAGACCCTCCACGTAAATGGCCGGCTCCTCGTCATCCATCGCGTCACCATACAGCGCTGCCCGCGGCACTGCCGCTGGCGCCTGCGTCTCATACACGGCCACCGGCAGAGCCAGCCCACTGCTGCCGCCCTCCTCGTCGCCCTCCCCCGCCATTGCCGCGTCAAACACCAGGAGCAGCGGTGTTGCATTCAGATTCATGATCTGCTGGTGCAGCGTACACATCAGCCGCGTCACCCGCAGGCTGGACGACACAAAGTACCACCCAACAAGGTCGTCCTCGGGGAAAATCTGCCGCATGTGGTCCATGCGCTTCAGGTAGTGGGTGCTGTCAAGCTCGTACGTGCCGTCGTTGCGCGGCTGCCGGAACACCAGCTCAAACGAGTGGAACAGCTCGGTACGGCTCTCCTTCTGCCGCCCCAGTAGGGCCCCGCACACAAGCCCGGGCTCCTGCTTGCCGTGCTTGGTCTGCGCCAGCGTGCGCGTCGCGTGCTCTGAGATGTTCAGCAGCACCAGCGGGTGCACTGCGGCCGTAGCTGCGTTTCGCGAGGTCATTTGTCAGTAGGCTGTGTGGATTGCTGAAAATGGTCTTAAAACTGAAAAAGGTGTCAATTCGGGCTTTCTGCTGCGGGAGGAACAACAGAGAAGAGTGACCCCTGGCCAGCCAGTCCGCTGCTGTGATGGAGCTGCAGCTCTGCCTGGAGTGCTGATGTCAACAGCGCCTGCCCCATGCCCCCGGCGAAATCGTCGCATAGAATACAAGTTTATTTTATTTTGCGTCGAAATGGACTCTAGTCGAAAGCGAGGGCTCTTGTAGATGCTGCGGCCGCTGCGTTACGGCTTCCGGAACTCGGTCAGCACCGGGTAAATGGCCTCGAACGCCTGGTAGATTTCGCCACGCACCTTGGCGCCGGTCAGCACAATCTTGCCCGACACAAAAATCAGCAGCACGATCTTGGGTTTGACCATGCGGTAGATGAGGCCAGGGAACAGCTCCGGCTCATAGCTCGAGAACGTCCCGTGCGAGTATGCCAGGCCCTCGAGCCGGATCGGGAACTTGACATCACACGACCCGACGATGTTCTGGATCTTGAAGTCTGTGAACTTGGCCGGGAACCCGAGCTTTTGCACAATCCGCGCGTACTTGCGTGCCGCCAGCTTTGAGTCGTCCTCCGACTTTGCGCCGGTCACCACCATCTTGCCCGACGCGAAAATCAGCGCTGTGGTCTTGGGCTCGCGGATTCGCATGATGACGGCCGCAAAACGCTACTCAGTACACACAGCACCGTCAGCATAGAGTTGGGTGGATGAAATGTGAAACATGGATGCGCCGTGCGTGGGCTGGCCCCAGAGAGCTGGAGCATGCAAGGACGCGCCCCCACTCCACACACATGGGGAGGGAGAGACGACCACTACCCGCGTGCCGCCTCCCCCGCCCGCTGCGCCTCTTGGCCCGCAATAATTACCTTTGGATTGTACTCGGCGTTGCGCGCATGGAGCGCAATCGTCTTGAGGTCAAGACGGCAGTCCAGGTTGACCGTTGCAACAATGTTTCTAAACAGTATTGGCAAAGATGGGCTTTTGAGAAACAGTCCTACCAACCGACAACACACCCGTCTCCTCTCCTCTGCAACACTTACTGTAATGTAGGCACGATGCCTGCGACACCAACGATGCCGTTCTCTGCAGCGGCGTCGTCGCCACCAGCAGCTGACGGCCCGGCCTCTGCTGGCGCTGCATCCGACGGGTTGGTGATGGCCGCAACGCTGTTGCTCCCGTTGCCGTTCGGCGACTTTGGCAGGCTCAGCGACTGGTCGCCCTGCACTGCGCTCTGTGTGTTGGGGGGCGTGACGAAGGCCATGGTATGTGCTTTTGTATGTAAACTGAGGGAAATATACGCGTGTGCTAATTACAGGATAGTGCTTACACCCGCCACTGAGGACTCGTCAAAACAAATTGGCAGTCCAGTTTGACGCGGGCTGGGTTTACGGGAGACAAGCAGTCCACAAAAATAATTTATGGCCACAGGGAATGAGGGAGTGACGAGGCTCTAGTTGAAGAGAGAAAAACGCGCTTTCTCGTGCCAGCAACTGCAAAGTACTCGAAAAATGCGAGTGCTAAGGGATGGGGGAATGAAGGGGGAAAGAGATTCGTGATGGGGAAGTTGGCGCCTTTATAAAGCGAGCCAGATTTTGGCGGGCGCGGCTGGGCCCTTTTATACTCGCGCCGCCCACGCACTTATGGCGAGCAAGTGGGCTTTTTTCTGGCCCAATGTCAGTAATGGAGAAAATTTTTGATTTTTTTGGGGCGAGAGGGGAGACGAGAGAGCCAGATATGTCGCGTCCTGATTGGCTGCGCCAAAACAATTGGCGTTTCGCAGCAAAGCGGCACAGCGATTGGGGGAACAGCACAGCCCCCATCACGTGTGGGGCGATGAAGAGTGGCAGCGAAGAAAGCACAACCGGCAGAAGCGCAGGTCGCGGTGCAAGGGACGAGGAGGGGAAGGACATGGAGGATATCCTCTGAGGCTACCAGGGGATGTCTTGGGCGACCCTCGGCGGGTCTATCACGGGGAGGACGAAGACATTGGGAAGAGGTATTAAAACACTTTTATTAGAAGAGGCGGAGGAGAGCAGATGCAGAGAAGAAAGCGCTGTGCCCGCCTGCTGTGCTCCATCCATGCCAAAATTGCTGGGGAGGCGGTGGCGCTGTCCACAGCAGAGAATAGGCTGCAAGCACTGATCCGCGGATCAGCATTCGGTGATCCATCCGATCAGTGCATGAAAGCTGACTCGGTGACACACCATGGCCCAGTGGCATTGGCGAGAATGCCGCACCTGGCTGGCAGCCTAGTGGCTATGGTGTGCCTGCGATGTCAGCGCAGACTTGCTGCGCTTTTGTGCCTGTCATGGCAGCCTACACGCATCACTACAACTGCTGAATTGACTGCACTCGCTGGGATTCACTCTCGCTCGCACTGCTTCCTTGCCTGTATGTTGTCGATATATAATAGGTGCCAAGGAACTACAATACATTGCCACACTCGACCGGCTTTGTGCCCGAGAATAGGGCAGCCAATCCATACGCTATGCTGCGATACCCCTGGCCCTCCACCTGGAACCCTGCGGTCTTCAGCTCCTGCAGGAATTCAGGCGGCGACGGAAATGAGAGTGCACTTCTATTCAGACGCAGCGACATGGTCCGATCCCCTATGGTCCCAGTGATAAGGTACAGAACAAACTGGACGAGTAGCCTCCTAACAACCTTCCCAATGCACCAGGACCCGGTATTAAACTCTGCAACATATATCTTCCCCCCTGGCTTTAGCACCCGCATGGCCTCACTCAGCGCCCTGTCGCGGTAAACCATATTGTGCATCCCGAGGTAGCAACAATAAATGTCAAAAGTGCAGTTCTGAATATCAGATATGTGCTCGGCATTTCCCTCTATAAACTCGACGCGGCCGTCCTTGACCCACTTGGTGTTTCCGAGTCGTCTCTTGGCAATATCAAGCATATCGGCATTTAGGTCAACAAGGGTAGCAGTGGATGGCGCGTCGTGGTTGGTTATGTCTTGATACTCAAAAAAACACATGGCCATATCCCCGGTTCCAGCTGCCATATCCAAAAACGCTACTCCTGGCGCTGGTGCAATTATTTCCATGCCTCTTCTCTTTGCAATTGCAGCCAGTGGAATGGAGGATTCGCTATTATACTTGTCATACACCGAAGCGAGTGCAGAGTATGCTTCGTTCATGTCCGCCTGCTTGTTAGAAATTGGCTCGCCGTTGCTGGTGCACACATCACCAGCTGAAGGGTATTCCTCAGAAGTCATGTATGGTGTTATTTGCGCCTGGAAATTGTTGGAAGGAAAGAGGAATGCGCTGCTCGCACGGATTTTTTCAAGCAAGCACTGCCTTTATGAACTCCTAGGTGTGATGGTTAGAGGAGTGAACAATCTTATGAGCAAGCCGCCACCCTTGGATTTTTTCCAGGAAAATCCAGTTTTGCACTATACAGAGGAGCACAATGCATTTCCGCATCATTTTTGAATTGCCTAGCTCAAAACAATAATATTCCTACTAGAATTGCCCTGCTCGCGATGCGAGCTCGGCTGCTAGTCAGCATGGGTTGACATGTCGATACGAGCATCACGGCGAACTGGTCATTTGAACGTGTCGGATGGTTGTTGGTGCAGTGGCGATCATGGACATCTCCCATCTTGATAGCCTGCTCAGGGCAGGCGTTTCAGTGCTGGTTCGCTGCTGCTGGCAACAGAATCGCCTGCTGCTGCACGCCTCTTGCGCGACCTCTTTGTTGCAGGGGTGGTGCCGGAAGCATTGGCAGCAATGGCCGTAGAACGACAGAACCGTTCAGGAATACTGCCTGAATCACAGAGTGACTGGAAAACGAGTCTGAAGTTTAGAACTGCTGCAAGATCGCGGTTCACGAGCCGAGACGAATAGGCTCGCCTGTATTGTGCCATGGCCCGCTTACATGACTCGCTTGTACAGCGGAGAAGGCCATGGCACTTTACAGTTGGGTTCTTCGATCTCTGGTAGGGCCGTAGATTGTGAACATGCCGGAATGTCTGCAGCGACCTTTCGCAGCAGAACGGGCACATCGACGATGTCCGGAATTCGTCGATCAGATAGACTTCAAAGTTGTGTGCAGCCTTCTTGGCCAATTTTCTCCCCTTTCTGCTGCTTTCCTTGCCTCTGTTGCTGCCCTCTTTGCTGCATTGATCTTGATAACCTCCTCACGTGTTTTCGAAATAAACACCTGCTTGATTATTTGCTTGTCTAAGCGCACATGGCCTGGGATCTATGATGTCCGCAGAGGCAACCATTGGGGGGAGACTTGCCAAGCTGCTCATTCTCAATAAGCTGGCATAGGTGAATGTATGCACGCAGATGCTTAAGTGGATTTACCTTGGCATCATAGTATCGGCTATCTTTGGCGAATGTGTACTTGGCATCATAGGCATTAAGGACTGGTGCCAGCTTGTTGTAGATTGCAAGCATCGGCGGGGCGAGCACACTGAGATCAGGGTGCCTAGAGGCAACTGCCTGGCGGAGCTTCTGTGCAGGTGTATAGATACACACTTGACATGCGTTATTGAACTCAGCATTGGACACATTGCCCATTGTATTGTGCAGTGTGTTTTTACGGCTGCGAACATCAATCAATTTGGCCAGAATCCGCTGTATGCAAGTGCCATAGTGCAACACAATATTGTTCTTGTATGCTGTCATCAGCTTGGTATCCACGTATGTTGCTACTTGATTCATTTCACGTACACCATGTAGCTCGATATCGCCATTATGCAATAGATAATCATAAATATGATATCTAACTACATCACCAAAATCTGCGCTCGACAGTTCTGACTTGTCCTTCCGGTTGACGAAATCCTTGGTAGATATGACAGTCTTCGCCTTCAGGTTGTGGTATATGAATAAATAAATAAAACGAAATAATCCCTTTTTCACAAGTATTGAATGGTCAAAAGCATCATCATAAGCTAGTTGATGGAGTAATATCCATCGTGCAAGCATGTATGTATGCTCTTTGATGATATTGACGCTGTGTACAAATTGCTCTAGGCGGGGCAACATAGAATCACGGAAGCCAATACCACCAAGTGATGTCTTTATGACAGTAGTGCTGCGGGTAATATTCATTTGAGAAATTCGGTAGGCAAAGTAAGAAGAGAAATGATGCTGTTCAGTTTTGCTTTATTGCGTATGCATAGCATTAAGAACTTTTTATTAATAATGATCTGGCTTGCATGGTTCATAGGGCCCTTAGCACTGATACAGTCTCTTGAATCAGTCTATACAGACTGGGTCCATTATAGCCCAAATACTACTGCTTACACATGTTCATAAGACAAATTAATTTATAAGATAAATCCACAAATATTACATGACTGCTAGAAGAGCCATATGTCCTTATTCAATAGATGCATATAAATAAATATCTTAAGAGTATTATATAGCTAATGATGACTACTATGATGATTCCATAGAAGTAATTAGGCTGACTAATAATGAGAACAGCTCTTATGCTGAATCAATGAAGGTATCTAGTAGAAACCTGTGACTACTATAATAATAACTTATCACCCTAGTTTAGTGTTATGAATGACCTCTATATATTATGGGGGTCATTCTAGGATTTGTAAATTTTAGTAATTTTCAATTTTGTTGGATAGATTTTTAAATAATCATTTTCAGAACTATTTTTTACTACTAATTATTTTTTCATAGTTATTATTAATTACTGTGTCCAGAATGTTTTTGTGAGTATAATTGATTTTAAAAATACAAATATTTTTTTTGCCATTTTACCCAAACTACCATTGGCATCTTGGAAAAGTTTTAGTGAATATAATTTCAACTAGAAAGAAAAATTTTGCATATTAGGGGTTAATTATCATTGGGTAACAAAAGTCAATATCTCAATAGATGTAGCTAAGCAATCATAAGGAAATTATATTCACTGAAACTTTTCTAAGATGCCAATAGCAGTTTGGGTGAAATTTTTATTTCACTGAAATTGCCAATAGTTTAAACATGTATATATAATTTTTATGCAGATAACTAACTCTGAATGACCTCCTATATTGATTCAAGCTGCTTTTATAAAACTAATAAGCTATAAGGCTACTATTCACTACTTGCTTACTTTTTATATACTATTCTTATAAAACTATATATTTGATTACCTCACATATACTAATAGCATCCTAGTATAAATAATTAATTGATAATCTTAGTATTGTTGCATGCCTAATGTGGCTGTCCCTAACATTAACATGTCAGCCGAATCAGGTGATAGAAATCCAGGTGCCAATAAGAGCCCTGCTACAGCCTATGATATAGAGGTAGAGTCTAGCCTCTGATAAGTTGCATAGATAGCAGTATTAAAAACTCCCCTGCATAACTTGTCTATTCCCTTTTCTCTCTTTTCTTTAGTATTAAATATACCTTTTAAAAACCCCTATACAGTTGACTGATATAATAGTATTACTATTGAAATTTAGGGTCTAGAGTCCCTTTATGTCATTATAGATAAGGCTAATATATATAATATCCTAGACAGATTATTATCTTCCCTACTTCTAATTAGTTATTTTTATAGAGTTGCTTTGTCTATATACCTATTAACTACTCATCCTCTAGGTTAATAGCTATTCCTTATATATCAGTGAGGCTAATATATAGCTATATACAAATTGCTTCTAATAATAGAAAATGTTCATAGTAAGAATATAACTAGGATTTAGTTCCTTTTATAAATAAAGTATGTATAGTCTTAGGACTCTGGGCATATATCAGATATAAAATTATACTAGTATATAGCCTAGGAATATCCTTATTAACATCAGTTATATATATATATATATATATATATATCTCTCTCTCTCTCTCTGTTCACTTGAAAAGACAAAAGCCTAAGCATAATAGTTATAAGCATCTTAATAGAGAATTATGTGTTCAGAAAGGAAGCACTAGCAATGGCAATCAATATGGCTTATATGTTTCTGCTGTACCATATAGTGTTTATTTAAATCTAGCCACAAGTGGTCTATGCTCATAGTTGGCACAGATTTCTTTACTATACTACAAGCAAAAATATAGTTCTAAATCCTTATGATTTCAAGAACCCATGGATCAAGACCCTTAGGCCACAATGGCCAGCTATACTATTCCAGGCAGCCAGCACCACTATTTAGATAGGCACCCACCCTTTTCGCCTGGCGATTCCTCCTTCGTTCTTTCATATACCATATTTCATACGTTCAATATATGCTGTGGAAAGGCGCCTGGAGAGTAAACGTATTCCAGACAGTTGCAGGAAGCTGTCTATCTAAGAGTATCATACCCAAGACACAACAAATTGCATAGTTCTTTGTGCCATTTCCACCGTTGAAAGTTTATGATATTGCGCAAAAGGTATAAAATATACAGGAAGAACTGGTGGTATAGTATTGGTCGGTATATACTAGCATAGTATAGGAATTTGCCCAGTGTGCCGATGCTGCTGTAGTTGCACGACATCAATTACACTGGCGAATCCGACCGAAGAAAGCATACTGGGTATTTGCAAGCATAGCTACTCTTTTCTTCCACCGCACATTATAATCTCTGTCTAGCATGTTGAGGGCTATCCACCGCGTAGTCATGTCCCCAAACACCGGCTTTTGGGGGAGTCGTATACCTGCCCTACACTCGGTCATTGCCACAGACTCGGGTCCAGCCAATCAGAATCAGGGAATTAGCTGCTGATTGCTTTAGGCCAAAATCGATTTTCTGGACAAATCAGCACCCAGCAAAAGTCGTTAACAAAATCAAGCATGACGTAGTTGATTGCCGCTCAGGCACAAGCCATGACCGCATAGTGCATGCTGGGCAACATAGCGTGGGTCGCACGGGGGGTTTAAAGCCGTTTCAAAAACCGGACACGATCGACACCAGTGCTGTATTCTCCTACCTGTCCTGATGCATAAGGATTTGGCTCTATAGAATGCCTGGTGTTCTGATTTTGAGCATTTTCTCATAGGCATGTTTGGGAGTAAATGCAGCGGAAGGTGCTGCAGAAGAATCTCTTTAATGGATCTCATGGGAATGGCAAGTGGGGAGGGAGGGAGGCAAGAAGAGGGGGTGTGGCGAACATATATATAAAAGCTTTCAGCGGCTCCCGGCTGTGCATTGTAAGAGTCCCTCGTTCCCACCACGACGCCCCTTTTCCTCTTTATTTATTGCACACTATCAGGGACCTTTTTCCATAAGAAATGTTATTACCTCTTCGTGCTGGCGGCTCTAGTCGCCTGCACTCTGGTGCACCGCTGGCCCGGCACAGCATGTGGTCCGCTGTACTTCACATGCTGCTACTGCTGGCTGCTGTCTCCACAGTGTCGGGTAAACCGATGTGGAATGAAGGTAAGGTGTCATCGATGGCTACTGCTATAGCACTGCACCATTTGTTTGTACATAGCACTGATGCTAACCCGTCGCGATTTCTGTGCTATAGTGAACAAGTATCAGTCGAATGGTGACCTCTGCCCGCCAAAGACGGACCAGTCAAGGGCGTGCCCTGCGGTTTGCGTGTACGATCTTAGCAACTGTCCGAACGAGGCTGTTTGCCCCGACAACCAGCAGCTGTGTAAGGACGGAAAATGCCACGACTCTTGCACCGCGGAAATCGACGAGACTAACCCGTGCACGTGCGGCTGGGACTCTGGAATCCTCCCGTCAGCGGCCAAGGACCTGGTCCCGTGCCCGCTGTTTGCCAATGTCACCATTGCCAACCTCTACTCGTTCAACTCGACCGACACGGTGTTTGACGCGTGCGTTGCCAGCGCCGAGCTCTCCAACAACAACGACTACGGAATCTGGGGCTCCAACTGGCCGCAGCAGTCTGCCAGCGACTCTGGATTCCTGGGTGTCTGGGCCAAGTGCCCGAAAAAGAAGCCGCAGCATATGTACACGTTCCGCGAGCCCATGTGGATTGCCACGTTTACAGTCCTGTTCGGCTATGTTGGCCTGCTGGCCATCTGGTATGCCTTCAAGCTGTTCCGTGAGCGTGGTTTCCGCAGCTCACCCACAGACGAGGCGAGCAACTCTGCTGGCACATCAGCCGAGAAGACTCAGCTCAAATCGTCGGCCGGGTCGGATGTCGGGTCGGATGAGGACGACACATCATTTGACTCGGACAATACGCGCTTGACCGGATACCGCAACAACATATTTGGCACGGCTATGACATGGCTGCTTCTGGCGCTGGGATTCGTGTGGCTGGTCTGGCTGTTTGTACTGACAACCGACTACTACGGCAGCCTCCCGCCGGGCAAGGCAAACAAGACATCGTGTGTCCTGTCATACAACGACTGCGTGCTGGGCAACCAGACGTTCATCTTCCTGTGGTGCTTCTTCGTGTTCATGATCGTCACTGTGACTGTGTACCGGTTCCGCCTGCGTAACTTCTTCCGCCTGCGCGCCGCGCCGATTGACGGACATGTTGTGTGTGTCGAGCACCGTGTGGAGCCCCAGATCATGCTGCAGAGCGAGCGCAGCGTGCTGGTCGACAATGTGCGTTACCTGGCCAAGATCTTCAAGCGTTTTGTTGGCTGGGACTGGAACGTGGCAACGGTCCCGATGAAGCTGACGGCTCAGGGCCGCAAGTACTTCACATACCAGTGCACGCGCTTTGTGTATGACGACGAGGCTGGCCAGTTTGCACCATTCTCGTTCGAGCTAGGCCGTACCAACGCCGACTACGTTGCCAAGCACACCGGTCTGACGGCCGAGGAGGCCGAATACCGCGCCGAGCTGCTGGGGTCCAACTTCATCGAGGTGTCGGTTCCCAACTGGTTCTTCGCATTCCTGCGCGAGATCACCAGCTTCATCTCGCTCTACCAGGTCCTGGCGCTCCTGCTGTTCTACTACGACTTCTACTGGCAGGTGGGCATTGTCGACACCGGCATTATCCTACTATCCATGACCTTCAAGGTCGCTGTGCGCAAGCTGTCCGAGGAACGCCTCAAGCGCATGGCCGAGCAGGACGATCAGGTGCATGTGCGTCGCAACGGCAACTGGGTGCAAATATCTTCACGTGATCTTGTCCCAGGCGACGTCATCCAGCTAACCACCGGCATGCACATGTCGTGCGACTGCATTCTGATTTCCGGAAATGCCGTCGTCAACGAGTCCTCGCTGACTGGCGAGCCCCTGCCTGTGCGCAAGTTCCCGCTTCGCAACGACGACACCCCATTCAGCGTCGAGGCCAACAAAAACAACCAGCTGTATGCTGGCACTGTGATCAGCCAGGTGCAGCCTGTCGGAAACTCGGCTGGTGACTTCCTGACCGACCAGCACGTGCTTGGGCTGGTGCACCGCACTGGTACTGCCTCCGACAAGGGTAAGCTTGTGCGCAAGATCCTGTTCCCGCAGCCGCTGTCGTTTATTTTCAACGAGCAGCTCAAGGTCGTCTTCGTCATCCTGCTGATATACACTCTGGCCATCTGCCTGACTTTTGCCATCTACTTCTACCAGGGCTCGCCTGTGGCTACGTGGTTCTACTTCTCGTTCTGTGGAATGCAGGCCATCTCGCCGCTGCTGCCTGCCGGTCTGGTAGCTGGCCAGTCGATGGCTGCGTATCGGCTGAAGAAGAAGCGCATATTCTGTGTCGACCCACAGCGCATCATGATGGCCGGCAAGGTGCAGATCTTCTGCTTCGACAAGACCGGCACGCTGACCAAGGAGGGTCTGGAATTCTACGGCGGCCAGTGCGTGGACGGCAATGCTTTCCAAGGCTTCGAGAATGCCTTGCCAAACACCAGTATCCTGTTCCAGCAAGCCGTTGCCAGCTGCCATGCTGTCACCGACCTTAACGGACAGCTTATTGGAAATCCAGTCGACATTGAGCAGTTCCGGGCGTCAAAATCTACCATCGATCCGGCCCCCAAGTACCTTGACACCATCATCCCTGCCGACGGCTCGTCCTTGGGCAAGCTGCATGTCGTCCGCCGCTTCGAGTTTGTCCATGCCCGCGCCTCGATGTCAGTCGTTGTCATGGATGAAACGACTGGTAGGCTGCATGTGTTTGTTAAGGGCTCGTTTGAGCGCATCAAGCAGGCGGCTAGATCTCCCTCGATCCCTGCAGACTACGACAAGCAATGCGCCAATCTGGCTCGTGAGGGCTGCTATGTTTTGTCGGTTGCACACAAGGAGCTGGACATCACTCTGGAGAAGCTTAAGGATCTGACCCAGGACGAAATCGAGGACTGCTGTGATTTGATCGGACTGCTGGTATTCAAGAACCTGCTCAAGGAGGATACAGCCGATGCTATTGCTGAGCTCAAGCACGGGTCCACCCGCACAGTCATGATCACTGGCGACACTGCCCTCACTGGCGTGTACATTGCGCGGCAGTGCGGTATGGTCCCACCGAACAACAAGGTTCTGCTCGGCGATATCAACAAAAAGACACGCACATTAGTATGGACTGATGTCGACACTGACGAGGAGGTGGCTGATATCGCACCGCTCACGAACGAGCTTGGCCCTGACGGGTATCCGACCACCGAGCTGGCGCTGACTAGCGCTGCCTTCCAGCACATGGATTCGACCGGCGAGCTGGCACCTATTCTGCTCAACACGCGTATCTTTGCGCGCATGAAGCCCAACGACAAGGTACGCTGCGTGCAGCTGCACATGGGTCACGGTATCACGGCTATGTGTGGCGATGGTGGCAACGACTGCGGGGCATTGCGTGCTGCTCATGTTGGCCTGGCTCTGTCGGATGCTGAGGCATCGATTGTATCGCCGTTCTCGTCCAGCAACCGCTCTATCTTCTCGTGCGTGGAGCTTCTGATCCAGAGCCGTGCCGGTCTGTCAACGTCGTTTGCCAACTATCGCGCACTGATTCTGTACGGCACCACAATGACCATGGGGAAGCTGATCTCGTTCTACCACGCCGACTCCATGTCACAGCCGATCTGGATGGTTATTGATTCGCTGATTGCTACCAGCATGGCCATCACCGTCACGTTCCTGCCGCCGGCCAAGAAGCTCTCGCCCTTCCGTCCCACAGCGCGTCTTTTGGGCCCCGAAATCATGTCGTCTGTCATTGGTGTCGTGGTGATCAACTGGCTCTTCATGGCGTGCGTGTGGGTGTGGACATACCAGCAGCCGTGGTTCCGCTGTCACGAGTTTGACTCGTCGTCCTCGGACTTGATGAAGTGGTATCTGCTTGGTGACAACTACGAGGCAGCAATCATGACATATGTGCTGATTTACCAGTTCATGAACAACGGGTTCTTGGTCAACTACGGCTACCGCCACCGCCGGGCGTGGTACTATAACCCGGCTCTGCTAGGCATGTTTGCATTGCTGCTGATCATGTTTTCGTACGCCGAGCTTGGTCCGCCCAGCCGTCTCTCGTGCACGTTCCGTCTAAACTGTGGCAACCCCGATGCAATCGTGGCCCAAGGCTACAAGCGCCCGACCTGGTCTATCGAAGAGTACCAGAACCCAACTGGCCACAACATCTTGCCTTCTGACTTCAAGTGGAAGTTGTGGGGCTATTCACTCGGCAATATGGTCGCAGGCAACCTGTGGCAGATCCTTGTAGTGTACGGTCCTGTCCGCGCATGGCTGCAGAAGAAGAGGCCTTTGCGCCGTTTGAAGCTGAAGCTCTGAGCAATTTCCATTTCACACTTCGGCTTTTCACACTTCAGCCTTTCATAATTCGCTTATTTCTTTTACTTTTGCTGGCTAGTGCGTGCTGTTAACCTTAGGAATGGGACGAGTGTTTACGAGCGTGTATGTGAGCTAAAATCAAAAATGAAACAAGATTGACTGAAGGAAAAGGGGAGGGTCCGGTCGGCCTGAGGTCTGATTTTATGTGGTTTGGTTGTTGGCATGGTGACGTGGGAGTGGATCGACACTCCAATGTCAACACGTGCCATCCAGCGCTAATATAACCACTCTTCAGAAATCCGACCGGTTATTCGGGATAAAGAGGTTACAAGGGCAGAGTCTGAGGGAGTTACTCTAGCGCTTGGAGTCTGTCCCTAGCCTTAGTGTTAGAGGTTCTACCAATTAATAGCTAGACAAAATATGTAATGCTTGGCAGGACATGGAAAGTTAGCAGTAGTACGATATAGCCTGAGTGCCTAGGTGCTGCTGCCGAGTTTTTCGTAGTGTGCAGGTATCTACAGGATGGTATCTACAGCAGCAGCTATCACTGTCCTCCTTGCTCGCTACCTCATATCTGCTGCGCTTGAGCTATTTTCTGGCGGTCAATGTATATGCTAGTTTTGAAAATGCTTTTAAGGGAACCACGCGGTGCCAGCATGAGGATGACCGTGTCTTTGTATTTACCAGGATCCTTGATTCCCAGGTATACGCTGGAAATTCAAACTTCACCCCTCCTTATTGCATCCATGGTTGCTAGCACCTCCGCCCATATGGCGATGATTTCCCCATGCCCGAGATATTATCCACGTGGAGAGAAGTGCCCTTCCCTTCCCTTCCCTTCCCTTCCCTTCCCTTCCTTCGGGTATATTGTTGGATTACCCGATAGCCACCCCTTTGGCTACCACCAGCCCCTATGTAGGCATACCATCCTGTGGTTGTCGCCCGCTGGGACCTGGACTGCCAGCCAAACCGTAACTGTCAAGTTCTCTCTTGGAGGTGCTCCGCATGAGGGTGGTCACTGTGAGTTCTCGCTGTCGTATGATGGTGGCAGGACGTTCGCGGCTGTGCACCAGGGACTCGGCAAGTGCTTATCAATGCTGGGACCAACGATTTTCGCACATTCTCCTTTGCGCTTCCCTCGAATATCCCAGGGCCAAACAAGGCTGCATTTGTGTGGGCATGGGTCAGCACTATTGGCAACCGTGAGTTTTAAATGAATTGTGCTGATGTTGCTATCAGGGGAAGATCAGGTTCCTATACTGGTAAAATGATGGCAACTGTCTGCCATTCTGGATATCCGACGATTCTGGAGTTTGGCGGCAACCCCAAAACCGGACTTCAGTACTATGATGGCTCACAGCCTGTCACGATGACCTCGACTGGAACGTAGTCTGCTGCTCGGTTGAATTAGCACACAGAGCATATAGCCAAACCAAGAGTATTTTTATCACCAACGTTCTTGTGCTGGTTATTAAATCCGCATTGTGCCTGCAAAGCAGTGCAACTGGGCAGTCAACATTAGGCAATATTCATTGATTGTTGTATTAATACGCAGTAGTTTCTGAGGTGTGAAAGGTTGGTTCTAAGCAGCAGAAAGGCTACGTCCGAGATAACTCCGCAATATAAGCTTTATACTCCAAAAAAATGTTCAACCGTCCGCTAGAGTATTTTTTATTGACTGGAAGGATTTATGCTCTTTTGAGCCTCACAGTGAGTATGCATGGCTCGCTCTGTGAACTCTTAAAAATAGCAGCCTCTCTTTAAGTAAATGGATTCAGACCTTGAGGGGTTAAATATATATTAAAGCCACTGGTAAAATCGAACCTGGAGCCATATGTTAAAGCCTTATTTGCCTTTACTCCTTCGTATATTGTGGATCGACGAATTCCGGACATCGTCGATGTGCCCGTTCTGCTGCGAAAAGTTGCTGCAGATATTCTGGTATGTTCCCAACCCGCGGCCCTACCAGAAATCGAAGAACCCAACTGTGAAGTGCCATGGCCTTCTCCGCTGTACAAGCGAGTCATGTAAGCGGGCCATGGCACAATACAGGCGGGCCTATTCGTCTCGGCTCTTGAACCGCGATCTCGCAGCAGTTCTAAACTTCAGACTCGTTTCCAGTCACTCTGTGATTCAGGAGGTGTTTCTGAATAGTTCCACCGTTCTACGGCCATTGCTGCCAATGCTTCTGGCACCACTCCGGCAACAAAGAGGCTGCGCAAGAGGCGTACAGCAGCAGGCGATTCTGTTGCCAGCAGCAGCGAACCAGCGCTGAAACGCCCGCGCTGAGCAGGCCACCAAGGTGGGAGATGTCCATGATCGACATTGCACCAACAACCATCCGACACGTTCAAATGACCGGTTCGCTGTGATGCTTTTATCGACGTGTCAAACCATGCTGACCAGCAGCCGAGCTCACATCGCGTGCAAAGTAGGTCTAATATTGTATAAAAGGTTACAGCTATGAGTTACAGCAAAGGCCCCTCAAGAAACTTGGTAGCTCTTCCTATTAGCAAAAAAAGTCACTTCTTGCCACCTGCTCACCCATGTCCTAATTGCACTTCTCAGATATGCGCTCGGCCACTGTCCTCCTTTCTTTTGCCTCCACCACTGCCATCGCCCAAGAGATCAGTTCCGCCAATGGTCCTAGCATAATCGCCAGCCCAAATGCAATCTCGGGCCCTAATGTCAACTTTGGCTGGCAGTCAGGTGGATCACTCTTCGCTGAGGGATCCAGGCCCGGACAGAGCAGTAATGGCTTCAATAGCATTATTGGGTCGTCGATCTCGAACATAAAGACTAGCGATGTGTCTAGAGGAAATACAATCAACAATCCGTCACAGTCGCATATCAAAGGTGGCGATGGATGGGCGGCCAGCGGCGAGACTAACCAGCTCGGCCCAGTGCATAGCACATCCAGTGCTGGTGGGTTCATTCACTGCAGCAATGATGTTGTTCTTAGCAATAATGGCGGTAAGGCAGCTCCCGATATTTCTCGGTTTGTTCCGCCCGGATTTGTCTCCGGCAGGTTCGCTACCCCGGTCGGGGGCTCTGCCTTTGTTCCTCCTAGAGCTGTCAACAACGGCATAATAAATGGGACCCACAGGCGCAGCAGCGATGTTTTGTTTGCGAATGGCCAGCGTCAGGCCAGCGCTGTTGCCGGCAGTGGTTATGGCGGATTCGCTGGCCCCCAGTTTGCCCTGGCCACTATCCACCCGATGGTAGCAGAGCAGAGCGGGCAAAAAAACCATTGTCATCCAGAACCAGGCATAGCACAGCGGTGGGGAGCAAGGTGCTGAGCATTGGACACGCCTATTCATGGTGCAGGCCGTTCTGGGGATGAGGAATGATTCACGCGGCAAAGTCGCTTTCCTCTGAAAGTGTTCCGCTTTTTGAGCGCACAGTATTCGAGATCACCTGGTATCCTATGCAGAAAGAGCGGAGTCTGAAAGCTGCCAAGACTGCAAGGCCGATCATCAGGTAAAATTTTTTATTTTTTTGTATGGTTGGTAGTATGAAAGGCATTGGGGGGTTGTTCAAAAATATTGACGCTACGTGGAATTTCGGGCTGAAGCGCAAACAAAAGCAAATTGTGAGAGCGAGAAGAAAACTTGTACAAAAGAAAAAGTAATAAGTCAAATGGTGGGGGGTAAGAGGATATGCCAGAAGTTGAGAACGTGTAGTGGGTGGGAGAGACAATGGAAACAAAGCACAGAAGGCAGGAGCGGAACGAGGCTTAGCAGGTGCATGCCGAGTCGTAGTAAACCGGGCAACACGGGACGACCCCTCGCTTGCCAAATAGGGACTGCCAGGGGTGGACAATGGCGGAGGATATCCCGGACAGCTATCTAGAGGATTCTAAAGGACCCGGTCAGCGACGCATGCTCGGCATTGTCGGCAAAGCCAATGGCCGAGTCCACGGCACTGACAGCATGGGGCTTGACGGCAAGCAGCGACAGCGACGAGGTCGACGAGCGAGTGGACGACACAGGCGTCGACAGCGCAGCCGACTTGTTTGCAGCGTCGCCGGGCTGTGGGTTCAGGGTTGGCGAGTATCCAGGCGGGTTGCCGGTGAGAGAGCCCCACAGCGTCGAAGGCACCAAAGGCAGCAGCCGGCTTGTCGCTGGAAGACGATGGGAAGATCAGGCTCTGCGAGTGCTGCAGCGTGGGGCGGACAGACAGACGGCGCTGGCCTATGACGCCGACGCTGGGGCGGCGCTCAATGGGTGGTGGCTGTTGCTGTTGCTGCGGCTGTTGCTGCTGTTGCTGCTGTTGCTGCTTAGCAGCCTCGGGGCTGTTGGTGGAGCTACGGTGGGAGCTGAGGGCCAGCACACTCAGGCGGCGGCTTAGGAACTCACCGGGGCTGGGCACCAGCATTCCAGGGGCCGACAGGCGGTGGGAGTCGTAGCGCGGGGCGTGATGGTCGTCCGGCAAGGAACGGCATGCTCGAGTCGAGCTGCGCGCTGGCGTTGCGGGCGTGGGCTGGGCCCAGTACGTGCTGGCTGGAGGAAAAGTACAGCGGCGAGTCAAGAGCACCTGCCACGGGAGTCGACAGCATCGACGGCTCGTAGTAGCAGTGCTGCTGCTGTGGATGCGGGGCGTGTGGTGTGGTAGGCGTGGCAAAGAACTCGAGGGCGCCAGCATGCATGGGTGATGCATTGTAGAAGCCCTGCGGTGTATACGTCTCAGGCGGATGCTGGTACGGTGGGCCGGGTGGAACCAGCAGCGCGGGCGGCGGAGCATTGGCAGCCAGCAGCGGCATGGCCAGCTGCAGCGGGCGTTGCACGGCACAAGCATCGGCAGAGGTGAGCCCCAGCCCCAGCTGCTGCGCGGGGTGCTTACCAAAGCTGGCCGAGCGACGGACTGGCGTAGCATCAGCACCGCTGACAGCTGGCACGGTGGTGGATCTGGTTCCGCCGGTGGTTGTGCCGGGCATGGCTCTGTGATCCGGCCCCAGCTGAGCCGCACGCGCGAGCCGCCCAGTAGGTGGCCGTTGAGAGCCCGCATGGCGGCCTCAGCACACGCAGCGCTTGGCGAAGGTGACGAAGCCGCAGCCGCGGTTCGGCGGGATCTTGCAGTAGACAACCTCGCCGTGCGTGGCAAAGAAGTCGTGCAGCTCGTGCTCGCTCACCGGCCCCATCAGCCCGCCCACAAACACTGGTGGTGTTGAACGGGTCGGTTGGCCGGGTTGTACGACTCGTTGCTGCCGTCGCTCGACGCCGACGACGCCGGCGAACCGGCTCCGTCGCGCACCGGCTCGACTGCTACCGTTCCGCGCTTGGGCGTCGCTGCCGAGACACGCACCGGGCGCGAGCCAATCAGCCAGCCCTGCATCTCAACCAGCGCGCGCTGGTGCTCATGCTCGTCGGCGAACCGCACGAAGCCGTACCCACGCGGCACCGCTGTCACAGGGTCCACCACGACCTTGGCTGTGCGCACCGATGCATAGCGGCTGCGGAACTCGCTGGCCAGCAACACATCGGAGACCTCAGGAGCCAGGTCGCCGACAAACAGCGAGAACTCGGCCGCATCACCTACATGGCTGGATGCCAGCGGCGCGGCGCCTGCTGCCAGGCACCATGGCGCCTGCCGCCCGGTTGAGGCGGAAGGCGCGCAGGAACGGCATTGGCATCGGCGCGCCGTTGTGTGTGGCTAGCAGCCGCTCGGCGTCTGCAGGCGAGGCGACCTCCACGAAGCAGTAATTGGCCGGCCCGCCTGTTAGCCGGTCCCGGATCATCTTCACCGCCACGTGCTCGCCCATGCGCGCCCAGATCTGGCCGCACACACTCCTCGTCCATCCACGGCTCAATGTCGCCCATCCACAGCTGGCTTGCTGACGCCTGCTGCTGCTGCTGCTGCTGCTGCTGCTGCCCGAGTGTAGTGCTGCTGATGGCCTTGTACTGCGCAGCCGCAGACTGCCCACTCCAGCCTATAGTAGATGGGGCGGCGGCATTGTTTGACAGTGGCGGCGGTGTCACACCAGAGGTGTCAATCCTTGCGGGATCAAACAAGGACAGGCGCCGGAAGTCTTGCCCCGGGCCGAATTTGAATTCACTGGCGCTGGCACCGCTACCACCACCACCACCGCTGGCACCACCCGCTGCGGTGGCAGTCTGATGCAGATATGGCGTCGAGTATGCCATCAGCTGGAAATAGGTGAACGGGGGGTGTCTATACTGTCAGTAAGAATATAAAAAGGGATGGGATGGAATATACGCAGCCGCTTGTGAAAAAATCAAGGAAAAAGGATGAGGATACTTGTAACTGGAACGGGGCGAGTGATTTGTGTATGTGTGGCAAGGGATGGGAAGAGAGTGAAAAAGAAAGGCGGCGGTTGAGAAAGAGTGAATCGAAGCGACAGAAGGAAAAGAAAGCAAAGAAAAATGCGTGTGCAGATAAAAAGGACGAGCAGGAATGTTTGTTAAACCCTGCTCCCTACAAAAAAGCTTTTCTTGCAGGGCCGGTGTGGAGTTTGAAAATACTTGGAGGATGCACAGTACGTATGGAGAGGGAAAGCAGAAAGTTAGAGCCTGCGTGGTGGGGCGCGGGTTGGAAATCTAACAAATAACGAGGAGGAGGGGGAGCGTATGTGCTACGATGATTTGCCCCTCAGCCAAAGAGAGATTGTGTGTTGAAAATGAATACGAGCGATTGCGGGATTACAGCGAGGGGAATACGAGGGCAGAACGAGGGGCCCTGGAGGAGTATTGCGGAGCAAAGGTCTGCGCGCGCTGGGTTTATTCTTTTCGTGTGGATAAACAATAAGTAGTAGGGCGGCAGAGAAGAGGAGAAAGAATGAATACAGGATGCCAGCTTGAACAAGAAGCCAAGAGGAGAAAAGGTGGGCCAGCAAAAGGAGGAAATTTCCGCCTGCACGTTTATTTGAAGCGATTCTATCATCCAATTTTCTGTTGAGGGGTGTGCTCTTGGGGGAGAGCAAGGCTCTGCCATCGGACAAGTAAGCCCCAGGAGTGGCGGCTTGCGCCCGTGTTGTTTCCGTTTCGCCTCGAGTCAAACACGCCGGCGTCCAAAAAGGAACCCCGAGTAAAAGCGCACACGACGGAGTACAAACATTCCTATTGCTGTATTGCTTTTTCTCGCAGTCGACAAGCGGCGAGCCATGCAAGGCGCACTGTTCCCTCCCCTCGTCCAATTCCCACTGTGAGCAGCAGGCCCCAGTCCCTCCGCTCCGTGCTGTTCTGGGCGACCCGATGACGTGCCTAATTAAAAATAGGACTCGGGTTCCTGGGAACAGGAAGTAATCGGCGGCACTGCGTTTATTGTGTATCGTCGTAGTTGCCGCCCGGTTTCCCTCCTGTCGGAGCTTGAATTGCGGGCCATAAACACGCAAACATCGGTTTTGCTGAACCGGTGGCCCGCCCACCTCGCTTCAATGTACATCTGTCTAAATTAGGAAAAGACTGGTGTGCCTGCTCCGTCCACAACAAATCGTTATTTTTAAACTTCTTGATCCACCCACAGCAGGCACTGACAACAACAACAACATCCGGCCCAGAAGGTAAATAGAGGAAGCCACATGGGACACACTCCCGCAATTTCCCACTTCAGCCTGCTAGTCCTGGCCTAGCTCGCCGCCGCACCAGCTTCAGTGAACTGCTGCCACACGGCGGATATTTTTCTCCCAGATGGCTTTGGGCTGGCAGCGTCACGTTTAATGAGCCAGGCATGCTGTCATGTGAGGGCAGCACCCAACCCATTCAGGGACGCCAGTCCCTCTGCACGAGCCGGGTACCTTGTGCATGCGGCTCGCCGGCTCAGCGGCTCGCTTTTTGCTTCGGCTCCGCTGCCAAGCATGGGTGCAGGCTTTTGTCAGCGATGGCAAAAAAATAAGCCGTGCTGTGACTATTCGCCGCTGCCAGCTCCGGATTTTTCTCCTCTTATCGTCTGACAGGCTGTTCTTTTCCATTCCATTTCCTATTGCCCACCCAAATTCCGTTTTTTTTTTTTCTTGCTCGTAGGCACTCACTATTAACACCAAGCAATGTTGACAAATGCACTGAGGACACTTGCGCCTCGGGTCCGCACCGCCGGCCTGCGCACATCGAGACTGCTGTCGACCACGACGCGCACTCGCTATGCAGCCGAGCCGGTGGCCAACCACAACAAGCCCACTGAAGCGCTGGACTCAAACACGATGCCGATCTACCTGGACGCACAGGCAACGACGCCGCTGGACCCGCGCGTGCTGGATGCCATGATGCCGTATATGACCGAGGAGTACGGCAACCCGCACTCGCGCACGCACAAGTACGGATGGGAGACTGAGCATGCGGTGGACACAGCGCGCGAGCAGGTGGCTAATCTGATCGGAGCCCACCCCAAAGAAATCATCTTCACGTCGGGAGCCACGGAGGCGAACAACACGGCGATCAAGGGCGTGGCGCGGTTCTACAAGGGCAAGAAGAACCACGTCATTACCAGCCAGACCGAGCACAAGTGCGTGCTGGACTCGTGCCGCGTGCTGCAGGAGGAGGGCATCGAGGTGACGTATCTGCCGGTCGACAAGGGCGGACGCATTGATCTGGATCAGCTGAAGCGCGAGATCCGGCCCACCACATCGCTGGTCTCGATCATGGCCGTCAACAACGAGATCGGCGTGGTCCAGGACATCAAGGAGATCGGCCGCCTGTGCCGCGAGCGCCGCGTGTTCTTCCACACCGACGCCGCGCAGGCTGCTGGCAAGATCCCGCTGGACGTCAACGAGATGAACATCGACCTGATGAGCATCTCGGGCCACAAGCTCTACGGCCCCAAGGGCGTCGGCGCTATGTTTGTGCGTCGCCGCCCGCGCGTGCGGCTCGAGCCAATCATGACCGGCGGTGGTCAGGAGCGCGGGCTGCGCAGCGGCACGGTTCCGTCGCCGCTAGTGGTCGGCATGGGTGCTGCTGCTGCCCTGGCTCAGCGCGAGGCTGCGTATGACTACGCCCACATCTCCAGCCTCGCCTGCCGCCTCATCGACGGCATCCAGTCGCGTGTTTCGCACGTGGTGCGCAATGGCAACCCCAACCACATGTACCCGGGCTGCGTCAACCTGTCCTTCTCCTTCGTTGAGGGCGAGTCGCTGCTGATGGCACTCAAGAACGTTGCCCTGTCGTCTGGCTCTGCCTGCACGTCGGCGTCGCTCGAGCCGTCCTATGTGCTGCGTGCTCTGGGCGCCGAGGACGACATGGCCCACTCGTCCATTCGCTTTGGCCTCGGCCGCTTCACCACCGAGAGCGAGGTTGACTATGTCGTGCAGAACGTCGCTGCTCACGTCGAGCGTCTGCGCGAGATGAGCCCGCTGTGGGAGATGTTCCAGGAGGGCATCGACCTGAAGAGCATCGAGTGGTCGCAGCACTAAATGACTAGTTCGTCCACTGCCACATAAAAATATATTCCAAATCTCCTATATGCGCAGTCGGATCTTTTGCTCCAGCACACCGCAAGTCTCGCTGAGTCGCCGGCTGGATGTCTTGGCCCACATGTCTGCCCACTCGCTGAGGTCGCGCGCTGGCAGCGGAACCCCGTTGATTTCCATCGCCAGCACCACGCATGCTGCCCCGAGTCTCCGCGATGACCCCGAATCGTCCAGCAGCCCGGCCCTGACTGCATCGCTAGCCATACGCCATGCCGTGCGTGCCACATTCTTGACTTGCACACCAATACGTTCTACGGCCACCACATGTTTGTTCTGCTTGAGCATGTCTCGTTATTGCAGCTTTACTTGGCATGCCATTTGCCACTTACCGGTGTCGTCTGGCGGGATGCCCTTGTCCGCCCACCACGCCATGCCGTACACAATCTGCACTATCCACCGGTGTGGCAGATCCACGTCCACATTGAATCCAAGCACACGTAGCACGACCAGCTCTGCCTTGTCCATGGTCTCGCGCAGCGCGTTCAGTGTGTCGCCAACTGCCAGGAATGCCTGTGAGGGATTCGCTATTTTGTACCCAACGTTGATGATGTCGCGCTGTTTGCGTGGCTCTTCCGTGATCTTCGTTGCCAAGTAGATGCACACCATCATACATATCTACAATACAAGAAAGAGCACACGTATGCCTTGGTGTATGAGAATTGCTGTTATGCCAGGGCTGCGTGGTCAGGCCCATATAATGTTGTACGTGCCTTGGGGTCCAGGGGGTCGGCTGCCAGCCCGCTCTTGCTGACATTCCGCCGATACCTGTGTAACAGCGCCATGCCAGACAATACCGCTGCCGTCGGCAGCTCCAGCATCTGTGCCGCAATCTCCATGTATTCTAGCTCGTCTGCTGTGACTCTATGCTCCATTCTTGCGTCTCTGAATTGTGTACGAATTTTTTGTCTTTGCTGAAAACTCTAAAATCCTGCAAAAAAAACTACTGTGCTTATTTAGTTTGGAAGCCTGATCGGTCTGAAATATGGAAACTGGCACACCCGCGCTCACAACTTGTGTTGACACAAGGCAAAACTACATATATTCTTCTCAGCCAAGAAAAGGCACTGCTCTCAGTAGAACGCAACCGTGTACAGAAGCTTGTGCGGGAACCTGCTCTGCACATCCTCAACAATGCTGTCCATGTCACGCTCCAAGTCGTCCGACTCGATGATCAGCCGCGCCAGCTCCAGGATCGTCTTCCCGCCCTTAACCGCCTCATCGTGGTTATCTTTAATCTCAATATTAATAACATGCACCGGCCGACTCAGCGTCCCGCCTCTGGAGAAAATCTCCTCGCACACCGCATCAAAAACCTTCTCCTCGCACGTAAAAATAATGTCGTGCGAGTCACGCTCTAGCTGGAACCGCTGCGGTGCCTCCTTCACCTTGCGGTTGCGGTCGAGCATCATCAGCAGCCCGTTGCGGGTATACAGGTTCTGGTCCTGCATTTTCAGCTCGCTGTAGATGCGGTTGTACGGTGTGCCGAATTCGTACACGTTCGGCCTGTCTTGCGACGGGCCGGGGAGGCGCACCTGTGTGCCTGTGCCGTACGAGCAGATGTTGTAGCCGTGCTTCTTCAGCTGGTAGTGGCCCTCCATGCTGCGATTCATGTTACTCGCGCAGATTACAGCAAATTTTACCATTTTCAAAGGCTGCAAATGAAGTAGTACGTGGAGTATAGGGTAAGGTGTGGGAGATGTAATGATAAACCAAAAACAAAACGATTCGAAAACGTTTTGCTTCTCATATATACATGTGGTTGGTTTTTTTATAAGATATATGGGTATCACATGATGCGGCCTTTTACTGGTTGTTTTCGCAGGTGCTGGATTCTTTATACAAAAAACAATTAGTAAAATGTCGAGGCAGGGAGGTTCGTAGTGTTGGCGATAAAGCCAATGTAGTAATTTACATGCGTGTACACTCCAAAGCCCGTGGGCTGAGCACAAGCCTGGCTGCCTTTCTGATCAGGATCAGTTCCGTGACTTGCCAACCCAATCAGGTACGGCTTGTTCTTCACGAAACCAACAAGACCCGATCCCCAGTCGCGCCCACATGCACCAGAGTTCGGTGTCAGGCTGTTCTGTGTACATGTCTGCGGGCCGTTGCTGGTCTGGAATCCCTTGAGATACTTCCTGCACTTGTCGGATGAGCCCACCTTGACGATGGTTTTTCTCAGAATGTCTGACGATGTGTCATTTTTGGTAGCGTTGGTCCTGCTTCCCCAGCCAGCAAAGTTCATTGCCGAGCCATCAACAACCTTGCCCTTGAATACAGGGATCTTTGCAACGTTGCTGTTATCCAGTGGCAAAGCTGGGACGGAAACCAGGGCAATATTGTTCGCGTTTCCCTTTGGCTCATATTCTGGGTGAACAACAAGGTCAATGGCAGGGTATAGTAGCTGCTTTTTACGGTTGTGGTTTCCGAATCCGACCAGCAGTCTGCTCGGTGATACCACATCGCCAGTGGTTCCGTTGGTGAAGCAGCTGGCTGCTGTGACAATGACGTGCTTGTGGATTATCGATCCGCCGCAGATGAACTCGATCCCTTTGTCGGTGGTGCGCGAGATTGTTACAAGAAAGGGAAACTCTTCAGGCGAGGCACTTCCGCCGCCAATAACACGCTTGTTGAAGCTCCAGCCGAGCGCCTGTACCTGGGCAGAGGCAAGTGCAAGCGATACCGCGACAGTCAAAATATTCATGGCTAGCAGCTATCAAAATGTAGGATTTTACCTTGGTCGTGGGAGGAAGGCAGAAGAGGGTTGCTGAAGTACACTGTTGTGCAGTGGTGCTGGGCGGCCTTTGTACCGAGCTTTTATACCATCGGCTGCTTTGGAACATGGCAAACGCATTTTCATGGCATGCTTCTTCTCGATACTTGGCCGGTACTAAAAATAGATCGTCTGCAGAATACTTGCAGGAAATCACAGCTCGCTTATGTGTGCTCTATTGTGCAAGGAACCAGCGCATCTTGTTTTGGATGTAGCCAAATTATTTTTAGAAGCAAATCAGGATCGCAAGTACCATACCGGTTATTACTGGATGTCAAATGCTACAGATGTATGTAGTAATCATTATCTCTTGGCCAGCTCAACCGATTGCTGGTTGTTGTCGTGATTGTCCACACTGATGTTTTGCAAAGACAGGTGCTAGCCCGCATGTAGCTTTGAAGGAGAGCTGCTTTATTATCAAGACAGTAGGAAAACAAAAGAGATACATAGTCTACAGGAAAGAAAGAGAGTAGCTTAGGCATACTCGGTCTTGCTGATATCGTCGTTGTCTTTGGAGGCGCGGATCTGGTAGCGGCTGCCGAGGACACAGTGGAAGCCAACCGAGTGGACAGCGACAACGTCCTCAGCCTTGAGCCCCTTGGTCTCAGGCAGGAAGAAGAAGCAGAAGACAAAGGCAGCGATGTTGAAGCCCATGAAGAAGAAAAAGGTGTAGTCGCCCATAGCCTCCTGCATCGGCGAGAAGTAGACACCGATAGCGAAGGTGAACAGGTAATTGACTGCACCGCCAATGGCAGCCATGGCCGACATGGCGTAGGCCGGGGTCATCTCGGCAGCAGCAGCCCAGGGCAGGGGACCGACACCAAAGTTGAAGAACACGTTGTACAGGAAGACCATAGTGATGACAAGGCCGTCAATGCCCTTGATGGAGCCAACAGCCATCAGCATCGAGAAGAGAGCCATGGTACCGTGCGACAGCAGCATCAGGGTACGACGGCCGAAGCGAGCGCCCAACAGCATGCCGACGAACGTGAAAATGGCAGCAACAATCGAAATGACGCACGACAGGATCTGGGCAGTGGTCGGGATCTGCGACGGGTCGTCCTTGGTGGTGCGGTTGAAGATCTGGGTCGAGTAGAAAATGACAGCATTGATACCGGACATCTGCTGGAAGAACATGAGCATACAGACAACGATGAACTGGTGGCGGAGGTTGTCGGGAGTGTGGCCAAGAATGAGATCCATGACATTCACCTTGGGGGCCTCTTCAGCGCGAGCCTGTGCCTTGGCATCGTCGTCAACCATGTCCTGAAGCTCCTGCTCGATGTCAGCGCCCTTGCGCAGCTTAATCAGAGCAGCACGGGCCTCCTCGACGCGGCCATGAGAGACGAGCCACTTGGGCGACTCGACACAGATGGGGAACAGCAGGGTGGTGGCAACGCCAATGACACCAGTGATACCGAATAGGATGCGCCACAGAGGGGGCTTGGCGAGGCCGAGCGAGACGGCGTTGGCCAGCAGAATACCCACATTGGTGGCCAGCTGGAGGGTTCCGCCGAGGATATCGCGAGCCTTGGGAGTGGTGATTTCGCCGACATAGACCGACAGGGCACCGTTACAGAAGCCAGCAGCGAAACCGACAAACAGGCGGCCGACAATCAGCTGGCCCAGAGATGTGGTGGTCGAGAGAAGGACACCGCCGACCAGGGCAAGCAGCGGGCCCCAGGTGAGCACGAACTTGCGACCAAACTTGTCGGAGATAGGGTTGCCGGCAATGGTGCCGATCAGAGCGCCGATAGCAAAGCAGCCGACAGCCACACCCCAGATGGTGGACTCGGTCGGGATACACGAGGGGAAGGGTCCGTTGTAGTGCTTCTCGCCGGTCACACAGTTGGAGATAACGTCGCCGGGAATGTTGATGACACCAATGTTCCAGCCAAAGTTGACACTGCCCAGGGCTGCCATCATGGCACAGAAGCACTGGTACTTTGTCACGCTGAGCGTACGCGAGTCAACAGACATGGTTAACAGAGTTTAAATGGTAGCAATAAAGGTATACAAATAGGTAGTCGTAGAGGGAATAGTTGGTATTAGTAGGGCATGGCCGCTTTTTTGGTGTTGTAGGATGGAGAATTCAGGTATTTTACAGGCCATGGTGCTGACGTTTTATATCGATTTTGTCTTGAGATGTACATGTCGGAAACCAGCAAAGTTTGTACTCGCGCATATTTGTGAGGGGCCTGTGTCTGCGCCTAGCACAAGTCATGACAGCGAAAAATAGGTGTTCTAGAAATCAGGTCTGTTACACTGGCACCCGCAACTTTTTCTACTCGCTAGAGCAAAGGTCGGGCGACGCCTGGGCTGCGTGAGGGCAGCACTGGGCAATTGGGTCGAGTAGTTCCAGTGACGACTTCAGACCATCTCCAGACGAGCTTCCGTATTCAGCACAAATGAAGAGTATTTGTGCTGATGTGGTCTGTCTGGTGAGCCAGGATGGGGGAGCCTTTGGGGGCGGTCATGGTCAGCACACTCTGTATCCTTGCATGGATACGCTGGCCACTTTGTGGTTCCACTTGCGTTCCGTCCGGGTCGGATGTTGACTGGGCCTATATTTTACAGAGTTATCCCAGATCGTATGACCGGGTACAGTCGGTTATTGGCTGGATGTGGTGCAGGCTGCCATCAACTTTATGCATGCAGCACACGCGAGGGGTCCCACTGCGCTAGCCCACTGCACAAGAGCTGCTTGTGGCTGTCCAGATCGGGTGGTGGTTCCTGGGCTGAGCGCTGGAGTGACAGTCCTGGAGTCGATTTTTGGATGTTGGTGTCGCTATGGCCAGTGTTCCCCGTGAGTACTTTTGGAAGGCAAAAAAGAATACGGCGAATATATCTGGCAAGCCAAAAGGATCCTGGGAGACCTTCGTAGGCCGATAGCTTTCATCAGTGTGTACAAAGGAAGCAAATTGGTGTATTTATGTAGCAAAAGTGGCTCTGAGAAATGTCGGCTGGGTGTCGAATGCTCTGCTGTTCGTCTGCACATAGTCCTCCATTTCAGCAACAGTATCCTCTGGGACTTTGACTTTCAGTAGAGATGGAAGCCGCGAGATGAGGCTGCACAGCGTGGCCATATCAAGAGCGACTGTCCACGGATCGTCGATGTATACAATGAGTTCTTGGAGACTTGTGCTGAGTGGTTTTGGTGTAGCAGTGGTGCGCAGGAGTGGTGCAGTTCCTTCAGTTTGCCGTTCGGGCTGACTACAGAATGGCTGCAGGTGGTTGTACCAGACCTCCAAATACCACAGTGAAGGAAGCTGGGCGAGAAGGTGTCCAACGCTCTGCCAGTCTATCGAGTGGACTTCCAGCGTTAGCCGCTTCAACCCAGGCCAGCAAATGGCGCCTGTGAACGCATACGGGAACCCACCTATGCATGCATTCTGAACTGTTGAGTCTGTCGAGAGGTATCTGTCGATTGCTGCCAGCCAGTTTGGATCCAGAGCCACGGTATCTTTTGTTGTGTTCAGTGTGAGCCTGGTCAATGAACTAATGATGTCCGTGTCGATTTCCTCAACATGTCGCATGCTCTCAAGCGCATTGAATGAATCCAGCGATGACGGACTGAAGACGGAGTAAAAGTTTGTGAACGCATCGAATGAGCGACTGATGTGAAGGTGCCGCAGTCGAGGGAACTGCAGCCGCTTGAGGTCGGCTCCGATGGGCACAGGCTCGCTGGTGTTGCGTGCAAATGTCAGTTCGAGCCGCTGCAGGTTTGTAAACTCGATGTGTGTCGAGCCTGTGTCGGCAAAGTTGCGCCATGGGAATGCACAGGTCATGTTTGTGATGCGCAGCGTGTGGAGCTGGGTGACGGGGATACATGAGGGCTCGATCTTGTCTGCAATCGCCGACGCGTCAAATTCGACTTTGGTCAGACCCTCAGCTGATAGCCTGAGCTGACGCTGCGGGTATATGCCAGTCAACGAGAGCGATTGGAGCTGTGGGAGGTAGTGGCATGCCAGGCGGTCAATTACCTCTGTGAGGTGGCTGCTAGAGTACCCTGCGCATGAGGCATGGTCGATGGCGGTGAGGCCCGGGAGACACTGAGCGATGAGCGCGCTCGCTGCCTCGGCTGCGCTATCGTCAAACCCACCGGAGCTCGCGACAAATGACCCAACAAATCTGAGCGACCTGATCCCTGGCCACAAGGAAACAGCGAACCCAATCTGGAAAAGTGCGCTCGCGAATTCAAAGGTGTTCTCGCCGGTCTTATTGACAATCCGCAATTCTTTGCAATAATCCTGCATAGACGAGTATTCAACTGATCCCGAGTTCGACATCCATAGGTAGCGCGCCTCACGCCTGAATAAGCTATTCTGCAGCCACTTCCCCCAAGTGTCGTCTACCGCGCGCTCGTTACTGACGTACTCCAAGATGACGGTGCTGTGAAGGCAGAGACGCAGGTGTTCCTCCCATTTGCGACAGACGGTGGCAAGGAGGGCCACGCAGCGGTGCTCCTGAATGCCATAGTTGCCATTGAGGATTGTATTGCTGGCTATTGCCAGTGTTCTTCGCACAATATCGCCATTAGCTAGTGTGTTCAGTTGCAGGGTGGGTCGGCTCATGGCTGTGAAGAGAGTACTGTAAAAAGGTGGGCTGTGCTGCAATAAGAAAGAAAGAAGCGGAGAGTAGAGGGGGTTCATTCCAGGATTCTGGGCGTACTGTCCTCCCTTTTTATAACGCTAAGAATCCGTACCACGCGGGAACCAATGCGTAGCCCAAAAAATCATGAGAACATGCCTGCACATCCATCAGGATGCAGGATTGGCACTGTATTCAGGCAATAAGCGTGTTTGAGCACGGGCCGACTGGTGCGGAATTACGAAATAAATAGAAGGTAGAGAATGCGTTGTTCCATTCAGTCAAAAAAGTTGACTACTGCAGATGCCACAGCCGGAGGGAGGGATCTTTTTTTTTTTTTTTTAGCCCTGGGCAGTCATAAAAATATCATTGTTGCGATGCGCAGGCAGCTATAGACAACATGCATATATTCTAGACTAATATGCGATTTAATGGAAGCAGTGCTTACAAACTACAGGAGGGGGTAGGGATACTGCAGAGGTTGCGGCACCTCTATGTACTCGCTATTACTGAAGTGGATGAAGTGTATTGCTTATACGCAGGAAACCTACGCGTGTTTTGGTGCTGCTGCTTAACATGTACAATTTCCAGTGACTACGCACCAGCATGCGCCACCAACCAGATTGCAGCTGCTCACATGGCCAGTGATGTAAGCATGTCTTCGGATGCGATATATTGCGCCAGACCTTAGTTCGATTGATCATGGACAGTGCTTGAGGCAGCATGCCGATGTATAGCTCTAGCTTAAAAGGAGTCAGGAGCGGGCCATCTTTCAAGTCAGCAGCTACCTGTCCCTTCTATCTACAGAGTATCAGCGCTGAACATCTTTAACACCGTTCATTTCACCATGCCAATCACCAGAAACAGCGCAGGACGTGGCGAGAAGCTTGACGACCTAGTCAGCAGTGTATCAGGACGCCGCTACATCGAAGAGATTATACAACAGGCAGTCAAGAAAAACGTCAAGGAAGCAGTCAAGGGAGAGCTGGGAAGGCTTGCCACGAAGCTCGACAAGTTCATGGAGCGGATTGAAGAGGAAAACCGCGTGTTTGGCCAGAAGTTGGACGAGATTCGCGATGACTTGGACATGGAGCGCAGATACTCGAAGAAGGCGCGCACTGAGGAGAGCAAGAAGCCGGTGCCTCCTGCTGTGCAATACCTGCCGATAACGCCAAGCGAGATCAACATGGTGAAGCAGGCCATGGGCCGTGTTACCTGGCACCGCTGTCCCAATGGACACCAGTTTTCTGTCGGTGAGTGCGGTACTGTCGCCGTGACAGCTAGCTGCATAGAATGCCGTGCTTTGCTGCACTAGATAGCGTGTTTAGGCAGCAGCTGTGCACAAGTATGATGTTGAAGACATTAGTGGCAGCAGCTCAGTTCGATGAATCACAGGGGTGCAGCTTGGCAGGGCTATATAAAGGTCTTCCACACACCGCTCCACACACTCTTTCTCAGGCCTCATTTCAAATTTCAATATCATTTATCTCCTCGCCATGTGCATTAGCGCGTCAACCAGATGCAGCAAGGAACTCCCAGACCTGAACGGGTTTCCAGTTACCAGTGGCGGTGTTGAGGACATGGTCCAGCAGGCAGTGAAGGAAGCGGTGGGCAATGAGCTGGAGCACACCACAACGGTAGTCAACAAGCAGTTTGACAGTCTTCTAGCAATTGTGGACAAAACCAGCAGAACTGGACACTCAGCCTCTAGCAATGGACCAGCAGGAGCGGTGCAGTATCTGCCGGTGTCAAACGATGAGATAGCCATGGCCAAAAGGGCTCTGTCAGCATATCAGTGACGCAGAATCCCAAGCGGACATGTGCATGTCGTTAGTGGCCCCACGAATGGATCGGACAGTGGCGGATGCACCGAATGCCTTTGCCCTCTGCACACGTAGCATGTCTTGCATACGATGGTAGTGTTCCACATTAAGAAAACGTTAGAGAAATTGATACTAGGTAAGAAAAGGCAACAGGTCTGAGGGGAGCCAGAGCGCCAAAGCTGATATGGGGAATATAGGTGGTTATATATGGTGTTTAGTAGATGGCAGTGTAGTTTCCGACCTTGTCCTTCTGCTGCTGGGAGATGCACTCGGCAATCCACACGATGTTGCGGATCTCCTGCTCCTTCAGGCGAAGCCACGAGTAGAACACACCGTAGTGGAACTGCTGCTCAAACGACTCTTTGTTGAGCTGGACCTCGCGCGCAAAGAACCGGTCCTCCAGCGACAGATCATTGCCACCAGCACCACCTGACGACGCATTCAGATTGACACCAGCCAGCATCATCCGGTACTCGCTGTACTGCTCCAGCACAGCCTTCACCTGGTCCATGTCGTCGACGCGGGCCAGCTTTGTCTGCGCCTCGGGGTACATGTTGCCTAGGCGCGGGTACAGCTTCGCGCGCTCCTCCTTGGACAGCTCGGTGCCGAACGAATTGATCGTAATGTTGACCGTCCGGCGGTCGGCCTCAAACTTTAGCACCTCGCCCATCACCGACGCCGTCGGATCGCCCAGCGTCTCGCAGTACCTGTTAAAGTCCTCCAGATATGCCTTGTAGAGCGTGTTGCGGATGATCTCGATGTTCAGCTCGTTCAGATCCTCTGCTGACAGGCACTCGCGGAAATACCCCGCCAGCGGCGAGTCCACCATCACTGTGTTGTACAGCTCCTGGACGGTCGTCGCCACGCACAGCGCAGGCATCGTGTCGAAGAACCCGAGCGGATGGCACTTGTCCAGCAGGTCGTGGGTGTCGCGTTCATGCAGCGTGCCTGTAATCAGCAGGATCACGTTGTCGATCATGTACCCGTATGTGATATAGTCAAGGAACTTTGAGATCGGCTCGGCCGAGTTCTGCTGCAGGAACTGGAACTCCTGAACCAGCGCGTCGGTGCACCGCGCCGACAGCGTGGAGGTCGACATGGGTGAGGGCTCGTTCTGCAGGAACGGTCCGTAGTCTGTGGTCGCAAGCTGCAGCTTCAAGTCTACGGCAGAGAAATGTGGGTGGCATGAGCGTATGCTGATGACAAAGAGACTAGCTGAATGCTGGCTTTCCGGCTCCTCAAATAAAACTCACCATCCATAGTGTCGCATTGGGTCAGATTCATGTACTGGTGCGTGGTCAGCAGGCCGTCGCGGTACCCGCGCAGGATGCCTTCCAGGAAGCCACCGTCAACGTTGAAGTAAATCTCGTTCATTTTTCGTCTGCACGCGTCAACAGAGATTGTAAATGCAAAAGGTCTGAAATTTGAGCAGTTGCGGAGACAGAAAAGAGTGCGAGAAAATCAGCAGCCCAAATGGCCACACAATCCTCCCGATGCGGTCATCGCGAACCGCCTGAGCCGCGGCCTTGTTCCAGCTCACGGGCCACCAGGCGCACTCGGCTGGTCCCTTTTTCAGATGCATTGGCGATGGTTTATGGTGTATAGCATTGCAAGAACGATGGGGTTTAGGTTTTGGAGAAAAAGAACAGCATTTTAAATATCATCTACAAGGGGCAGTGCATGTATGTCTTGATTATCTACTTCCTATGACGACGGGTAGTACTGCTGCTGCATTCCATAGGCAGCCGGGTTGAATTGCGGCTGCGGCTGCTGTGGCTGCTGCGGTTGCTGGAAATTTGGCTGGGAGAACTGTAGGTTCTCATACGACATCATCATTGGTGGGGCACTAGGATCAGGCACGGCGCCGGGCGGGTACATCATCTGGGGTTGCATCATCTGGGGGGGCACCATCTGGGGGGGCACCATCTGCATTTGCAGGTCGGCTTGCTGGTACATGGTCTGCATCTGCGGCTGCATAGTGCCGTAGATGGCCGGTTGTAGCTGCATTTGTGAAGCCGCTGTCATCTGCTGGATCTGTGGTTGGCCTTGCATCATCATCATAGGCACAGGCGTGGCACCACCAGGAATGAATCCGCCAGCATTGGACATCATCGGGTCGGGCACAAACATCATTGAATCGTTCGGAAACTGCATCTGCGGCAGGCTGATACTCGACATGTTGGCCGGCTGCGACATCGTCATAATCTGCTGTGGCTGTGGCGGTGGCTGCTGCTGAACCATTGGCTGCTGCTGGATGTGGCCTGGAGACTGGTTAGGCGCTGGATATCCGGCAGGCTGATCAGCGAGACCCATGTTGGTGACTCGGCTGTTGGGAGCGACTGGTGGTTGAGGCAAGACCTTTGACGGGGCAGGTGGTGCAGCCGCCGCTGGCTGGGCAGCAATGCTGGCGCCCATATACGCCGGGTTGAATGCCGGCACGGGCTCTGGCGGCTGTGGCAGCACCTTTCCCTGCACAGCCATGTCGCTAGAGTTTGGGGGCGAGAACAGGTTCATTAGCTGCGGGGTTCCCATGGGCTGCGGCACCTGGCCTTGCATTCCGGCCATGGGTGGTACGGGGACCACAGGCTGACTCACATTATTGGCCATGGTCCCGAACATGTTGGGCTGGCCCATAGCAAATTGGCCCGGCAGCATGGTCTGGCCAAACTGCGTGCCCATGGGCATCATGGCCGGTGGCATGCCGCCTGAAATCGTCCCGCTGGCCACCGGCACTGGCAGTGGCTTCTTGCCGTGCTTGTTGGCGTACTGGGCAACCAGCTCGGGTCGGTACCCTGAGGCAGACGAGTACGGCCGCACCTCGCTCAGCGCTGGCCGCGCAGGGGCACCAGAAGCCTTCCCTGACGGGGCAGTGTTTGCCGTGCCTGGCTGAGAATTACCATTGAGGGTTTGGGGCGGCAGCGGCGAGGGCGCTGATGCCAATGTATCGGCCGGTGTGCTGACCTTCGGGGCCACAGCCGGAATCGTTGTGTCGAGCTCGTCTTCCTCCGCAAGATCCGCTTTGCTGGGTCGTTTCCGGCCATCCTACACGAGCAGCGATAGATTGTGCATGTCAGAATACATGTTTGCGGGTGACTGCTGCTGTCATTGCAGAGTCCGCCAGCGAGACCGGTGATTTCCTGTTGCCACTCTTGCAGAATGCATCTCTCTTACCCTTGGCGTGTAGGTGAACTCGATGTAGATCTGACCAGCAGGCCTCTCTTTATGCTTCAGCGCATACCATCCTAAAAATAGCCTGGAACGTGTTAGATGTTGCGTAGCTTCAGGTAAATTCCTTTCCGAGACAAAATAGATGCTTGGCCAGCTTCCAAACAGGACCTGCATGCTCGCTGGATGAAATCCAAGGTGCCTCTGGCAGCGTTCTAGGCAAACTCCCTTGCACATCGAACAGCCTGTGCGGGGTTCGGCCACTGGCAGCCAAGGGCCGTGGAATGGTCTCACACCAAAATGACTTACCGTCAACCTCCTCCTCCTCAAAGATCCTCGCCAGGTCGACCACGCACGACCCAATATCCTCAAACTTGTGGGGGCCGTCGAGCTCCAGCGCCCTGACCATCAGCTGGGTCTTCCCGAGCCCGCCGATGGAGAAAAACAGGCGGTCGTTCCACTGCGGCGTGGCACCGCCCTTTTTGTCGACCTGGGTCCGCTTCTTGGTCGTGCCGATGGCAAGCTCGACTATCGAGTCCTGCTTGCCGAAGCGAGTGCGGTTGGGCAGATTGCGGCCGCCAATTATGTGCACCTCCAGCTTGCCCTCTGCACTGGCAACGGCGGAAGACATGGTTCTTTGCGTTCTGCGAGTAACAGTGTGAAGTGTAAAGTGGAAAACAAAAAAGGCGGAGCAGAGAAGGTGTGCGAGAAAGGGCGGGTTAACGAGGTCGAAGGAGAAGAGGAAAAAGAGGCAGGGTTCACCAAAAATGCGGGCGCCATGTGGGTTGTCAGCAGCGAAAAATCGCCCCCATTGTTTGAAGATGCAGCGCACAAATGCGAGGGGATGTTTTTTTTTTGTTTTCTGATTTCTGACGGTTGCTTATCTCACGCGCAGTTCCCCTACTATTTCAAAATCAGCGGCTTCTTCCAATTCGAACATGTTCCGCTCGGCCTTGGCACACTTTCCACGGACTCCCCTGCGGGCACCGTCAACAGCAGCGCGGCGGTTCCTCATGGTGGGTCCCAATGCGGTGCGCATCGGACAGGTGATCGACTACCAGAACACGCCCCAGATCGTGGTGGGCAAGGACCACGGCGGCACAGGCCGCGGGGCGGCGGTGATCAAGCTCACAATGAAGCACGCGGTGACAGGCGCACGTACCCAGGTGCGGTTCCGCGGCAGCGACGAGTTCGAGGTGATGACGCTGATCCAGCGGGACTTCCAGCACCTGTACAGCGACGAGTCGAAGGCACATCTGATGGACATGCAGACGTTCGAGGAGCTGAGCATGCCGCTGGAGAACCTCGAGGGCGGCAAAGACAAGATGGCCTTCCTGGAGGACGGCATGGACGTGGTGGTGCAGGTGCTGGATCCTGAGCTCGGACCGATCTCGTGGCGGCTGCCAGCACGGCATGCGTACAAGGTGCGCAGCGTCGAGGTTCGCGTTGCCAAGGACAAGGGAGCCACATATGTGCCGGCTATCCTGGAGAACGGCGCCAAGGTGACGGTGCCCGACTTTATCAAGCCAGGAGAGACAATCATCGTCGACATCGACCAGGCGATGTATGTGAGCCGTGCGTGACCTACCGTAAGCGGCAGGTTCCTGGTTTAGGGCGGATCGCTGGCCGTGGGAAACACCAGCAGTCTCAGGAGCAGGTGCCCGCCGCGCGTTTCCTTCTTAAATAGCCCCACCCCCTGAGCTCCATTGGCAAATAAACCCCTCCTTGCATCTCTACTTCACTCCATCCCAGCCTCGCACTATACTAACACAACCATGCAGTCAGTGATCGTCTACGGAGGCCGCGGCGCGCTTGGAGCCGCCATCGTCAAGTACTTCAAGCAGCAGGCCTGGAGGGTCATCAGCATCGACATTGCTGCCAACGTGTCCGCTGACCACAGCATCACCGTGTCGCCCGACCACGATCTGCCGCAGCAGGGCCAGCACGTGCAGACCCAGCTAGCCGCATTCCTGCAAGGCTCCCAGGTCGACGCCGTGCTGTGCGTGGCCGGCGGCTGGCAGGGCGGCAGCGCAAAGAGCGCCGAGTTCCTGGCCAACGCCGACCTCTCGATCAAGCAGTCTATCAACACGTCAATCATCGCGGCCAATCTTGCTGCCCTGCACATGCGTCAGGGCGGTCTGCTGGCGCTGACCGGCGCCGTGCCTGCGCTGGCCGGAACCCCGGGCATGATCGGCTATGGAATGGCCAAGGCTGCTGTGCACCAGATGGTGAAGAGCCTAGCTATGGCCGACAGCGGTGTTGACGGGAGCGTGGTGGGGATCCTGCCGGTTACTTTGGATACCCCCGGAAACCGTGCTGGCATGCCAGGTGCCGATACTTCGTCGTGGACGCCGCTGGAGGATGTCGCGCAGCTGCTGTACAAGTGGGCAGGTGCTCAGGACAAATGCGAGAGCGGTCGGCTGTACAAGATCATTACCGAGAACGCTGTCACCAGGATCGAGTAGCTAGTTATGTCGTCGAGATATGTCGTTAAAACTGATATGGACAGTATCCCCATGAAATCGTGTTGCCAGTGCCGAACAGGCTATTCCCCAGGACTTGTTCTGGCAGCCTTGCTCAGTGCTTTCGTAAATAATGCACATCGCCGTGTCTTCACCTATATATAAGATTTTATAGTCGAAAAAGTGTCCGGCCGTCCGCTAGAACCTTTTTATTAAACAAATAAAACTCTTTTGAGCTTCAACACGAGTTTGGGTGGTTTGCTCTGTAAACTCCTTTTGATTTTGTGCGGTATCTGACCTCATCGGTGAAACCAGGGTGACGAGCTGGTATTGTAGTGGTCACAGGTCTCTACTAGATATCTCCATTGGTTCAGCACAAGAGCTGCTCTCATTGTCGGTTGGCCTGATAACTTCCATGGCATCATCATGGTGGTCATCACCGGCTGCGCAACACTCTTAGGATATTTGTTTATGAGCACCTATTGAATAGGGCCATATAGCTCTTCTAGCGGCCATGCAATATTTGTGGGTTTATTTTATAAATTAATTTGTCTTATGAACATGCGTAAGCGGTAGTATTTGGGCCACAATAGACCCAGTCTGTATAGACTTATTCAAGAGACTGTATCAGTGCTAAGGGCCCCAAGAACCATGCAAGCCAGATCATTTTTAATAAAAAGTTCTTGATGCTATGCATACGCAATAAAGCAAAACTGAACAGCATCATTTCTCTTCTTACTTGCCTATTGGATTTCTCAAATGAACATTACCTGCAGCACTACTGCCATAAAGACATCACTTGGTGGTATTGGCTTCGGTTATTCTATGTTGCCCCGCCTAGAGCAATTTGTACACAGCGTCAATATCATCAAAGAGCATACATACATGCTTGCACGATGGATACTACTCCATCAACTAGCTGACAATGATGCTTTTGACCCAGCAACATTTGTGAAAAAGGGTTTTTTTCGTTTTATTTATTTATTCATTTATTGCAACCTGAAGGCGAAGACTGTCATATCTGCCGAGGACTTCGTCAACCGGAAGGACAAGTCAAAACTGTCGAGTGCAGATTTCGGTGATGTAGTTAGATACCATATTTATGATTATCTATTGCATAATGGCGATATCGAGCTACATGGTGTATGCGACATGAATCAAGTAGCAACATATGTTGATACCGAGCTGCTAACAGCATACAAGAACAATATTGTGTTGCACTATGGCACTTGCCTACAGCGGATTCTGGCCAAATTGATTGATATTCGCAGCCGCAAAAACACACTGCACAGTACAATGGGCAATGTGTCCAAGGCTGAGTTCAATAATGCATGTCAAGTGTGTATTTATACACCTGCACAGAAGCTCCGCCAGGCAGTTGCCTCTAGGCACCCTGACCTCAGTGTGCTCACCCCACCGATGCTTGCAATCTACAACAAGCTGGCACCAGTCCTCAATGCCTATGATGCCAAGTACAGATTTGCCAAAGACAGCCGATACTATGATGCCAAGGTAAATCCACTTAAGCATCTGCGTGCATACATTCGTCTATGCCAGCTTATCGAGAATGAGCAGCTTGGCAAGTCTCCCCCCCCCAATGCTTGCCTCTGCGGACATCATAGATCCCAGGCCATGTGCGCTTAGACAAGCAAATAATCAAGCAGGCGTTTATTTCGAAAACACGCGAGCAGGTTACCAAGATCAGTGCAGCAAAGAGGGTAGCAACAGAGGCAAGGAAAGCAGCAGAAAAGGGCGAAAAATTGGCCAAGAAGGCTGCACGCGAAGCAGCGAAGATGCCATCAGATGAAACAGAGGCCACTGCAGCACCTGCAGCAGTAACGGCCGATTCACTTGCAGGTGCATCGGCTGCAGCAGCAGACATTCCGGCATGTTCCCAACCCGCGGCCCTACCAGAGATCGAAAAACCCAACTGTGAAGTGCCATGGCCTTCTCCGCTGTACAAGCGAGTCATGTAAGCGGGCCATGGCACAATACAGGCGGGCCTATTCGTCTCGGCTCTTGAACCGCGATCTCGCAGCAGTTCTAAACTTCAGACTCATTTTCCAGTCACTCTGTGATTCAGGCAGTATTCCTGAACGGTTCTGTCGGTCTACGGCCATTGCTGCCAATGCTTCTGGCACCACACCGGCAACAAAGAGGCCGCGCAAGAGGCATGTAGCAGCGAACCAGCGCTGAAGCGCCTGCACTGAGTAGGCCATCAAGATGGGAGATGTCCATGATCGCCATTGCACCAACAACCATCCGACATGTTCAAATGACCAGTTCGCCGTGGTGCTCTTATCGACGTGTCAGCCCATGCTGACTAGTAGCCGAGCTCGCATCGCGAGCAGAGTATTTCTAGTATGGATTTCATTTTGGGAGGTAGCGTAAAAAGTGTGAACTACTCGTCACAGACGCCGCGCCTTCTTCGGACGGCACCCGTTGAACGGAACTGGGGTGGTATCAACGACACGGCAGACAGCCCAGTTAGTAACACTGTGCACCGCCTTGAACACAGCATCACGTCCAGCGCCAAATCCCTTCAGCCTCAGCTCGACCTTGTTCACGGGAATCGCCTTCTCTCTGACCGCGTTCGCAATGTGCACCGTGGCCTGATATGCAGGCTCAAACCCAGCCCTCTGCGCCTTCTTGAACCCGACAGTACCGCCGCTGGCATTGACAATCACCCGGCCATTCGCGTCCGTCAGCGACAGGATCGTGTTATTTGATGACGCGTGGACATGCAGCACCAGCGTGTCCATCGGATCCTCCTCAACCTCGCCCTGCCGCGAGACGCCGCCGTACTTTCCCGATCCGCTGAATCCAGCATAGTCACCCTTCATCGGCGCATCACGGCTCAACAGGTTGCTGTACCGCCCCAGCGCCTGACCCGCGCTCTTGCTGCTGCCGAGGCTGTCCAGGAGCGAGCCAAACGCCGCCGTGCTTGCGTCACCCTTCTTCGCAGGTTCGTTGGCCTTTGTGGTGGGCTCGGCTGTGGGGGCAGCGGGCTCTGTGGGCTTGTCTGTGTACAGGCGCTGTTGCTGGGTTCTGCCGAGGGCCAGAGGCGTGATCGGGCGCGCCAGCACATACCGTAGTGTCCGTTGTGCGAGCATATCAGTGTCCTTGTTATCAAAGCGTGTTTCTACAGCAGCGACGGTCTGTGCAAAACCGATTCAACGAAAATGAGCCAAATTGCAAATGCAAGCAAAGAAGAGTGGAATTTGAAAAACTTATCGTAAAACCACGCTTTGGATCGTGCACCAGAAAAACAGCTGATCTGATCAGTGAGTATTACTGTCGTGATCACAGCATGTGCCAAGAGTGTAATTCTGAATGGGGAAAGCTCACATGTACACTTCAAAGACCATCTAGTTTTTGTGCTTCCTGTCCTTCTTGTCCTTCTTCTCCCTCTTGTCCTTCTTGTCCTTCTTGTCCTTCTTGTCCCTCTTTTCCTTCTTGCGCTTCTTCTTGTCGCTTTCTTCGTTTTCCTCCCGCATGATCTCGTTCTTGAGTGCAATCTTCTCCAAAATACGCTTGCCCTCGCACGGCGGGAAGCTGGGCAAGTGGTAGTATTGCGGGGCGATCTCCAGCAACCACTCGGGCTTGACCTCGGTAACGGTGCGGATGTAGTGGCGCTTGGTCAGTACAAACTCGTTGTACATAACCCACTCAGGCTTACGTGTCAGCACGGACGACGGGTGCAGCAGCACAATCTGGTTATCCTTGACCGTCAAGTACTGTCCGTTGCGCTCAAGATGGGCGACCTGCATGAAGTAACCTGCTGTCAGCGCCCTACGGATCTGCGGGTAGTACTGCGGGCTGTTGAATGAATTTGAAACCAGTGGGATCTCGTGCTTGACCGCAATGCGCCTCAGCTGCTCGCGGATATTGTCGGCGGCCTTGAGCGAGCGGTACTGCAAAAAGTTGTCCCAGCACCACTGCGAATGATTCGCCTCGTCAGTACTCTTGTATGCATGATAGACGTTCAGCAGCGTCATGTGGTCGCCATCCATGTGCGCAAACTCGCCCTTGGCCAGATCGGCTGCGCGCTGTGCCTCGCGCGGACGCAAAAAGACATTGGGCACAGACAGCATCGCGGCAATTGACAGGGCCTCATTGCTGCACCCGTAGTCAGCCGAGCTGATAATCATCTTTGACAACTGCGGGTCGATCGGGAAGTCGGAGATGATGTGACCGATGGGGGTAAGATTTGCCTCGTCGTCCAAGGCTCCCAGATAATGAAGCAGCTCCAGGGCGCGCATCAGGACCTCGGGCGCGCACGGGTCCATCAGATCAAGGTGGACCAGATCGTCGATGCCGAGCTTCTTGAGCTGCAAGACGATGGTGCCCAGATTGCTGCGCAGGATCTCCGGGTACGTCTGCTCAATCAGATCGTTGTTGTACGACTTCTCGGTGTACAGCCGGAAGCATTTGCCTGGCCTGGTACGGCCGGCACGGCCAGCACGCTGCTGCGCAGCGGCACGCGAAATGGGCGACACCAGCAGAGACTCGACACGCACGCGCGGGTTGTACACCTTTTGCTTTGCAAACCCAGGGTCAATGACATAGACAATGCCGTCGATAGTTAGCGATGTCTCGGCAATATTCGTCGACACGACAATCTTGCGGCCGGGGGAACCGCCAGGGTTCCTGGGCTCAGGCGCCTTGTCAAAGATGCGCTGCTGCATGTTGGGTGGCAGGGTCGAGTACAGGGGCACAACAAGCAAGGGTCCGGCATTGGCGCGGCGGATCAGGTCGTCGCCACGCGCACGCAGCATGCGGCACGCCTCTTCGATCTCCTCCTCACCAGTCAGGAACACCAGAATATCACCCTCAGGCTCTGTGGCGTGGACCTGCAGGGCAGTCTTGATCGCCGCCTCCAGGTAGTCGCGCTCGGGCTCGGGTGTATAAAGGGTCTGGACCGGGAACGTGCGCCCGGGGACTGTCAGCAGGGGCGCGTCGTTGAAGTACTTTTGGAACTTGCCAGCATCCAGCGTGGCACTCATGACAATGATCTTGATGTCAGAGCGGCGCCGGGCAATGTTCTTCATTAGCGACATCAGAATATCCGTCGACAACGTGCGCTCGTGCGCTTCGTCGATGATGATGGCCGAGTACCGCGTCAGCATGTTGTCCGACATAGCCTCGCGCAGCAGCATACCGTCAGTACAATACTTGAGGACGGTGTTGCTCGAAGTGCAGTCCTCGAAACGGATCGAGTAGCCGACTTCCTTGCCCAGCTTCACGTCCATCTCGTCCGCCACACGCTGCGCAACACTCATAGCTGCCACTCGCCGCGGCTGCGTACACGCAATGAGCTTTCCGTCAAGCTGCGGCAGCATGTCCATGAGCAGGTACTGCGGGATCTGCGTGGTCTTTCCGGACCCGGTCTCTCCCACGAGCACAACGAACTGGTTGTTGTGGATCAGCTCCAAAAAGCTCTGGCGCTGCTTGTTGACAGGAAGGCCGCGACGCGTCCCCAGGATCTTCTTGTATTTGTCGCTGTACTCGCGATCTGTAAAACCGCTGAACTGCGCATCCTCGGCCGCCTCCTGCTGCTCGGCAGTAGTCTGGCCAGGCACCAGGGCGTTGAAGGCTTCGTTGCGCGTGGCCCGCTCGGCGGGATCGGTGTCTGTCTGCATGTGCGCCAGATACGGGTTGTCGCGAATTTCTGCCATTGGCGTGGTTGGAAAATATAGGGTGAAATTGTGAGTAGCGCAATGGGGGCAAGAGCAGGAAGAGAGTAGGTGGCTATCCGTCCTCCCTCGCTGACTACTTGCCCGCTGGCAAGGCAGCAAGAGATGAAAAAAAATATTTTGGTCAAGTGTTTGATTTGTTGATTCTCACCGGTTATTACTTCCAGGCGCACACCTGATCTGCAGCTTCCACGTATAGTGACGGCACAGGCGTCACGGCCGCAGCGCAACTAGCGTGTGGGTGAGTTGTGATGTGGCTATGTTCCACTTGCTGGCCAGCTTGTGCCGAGCTGGCTCCAGCGAGTCCAGCCAGCTCCTTTCCTACTCCATGTCCCTAAGTTCATAGCGGGCACCGCAAGAACCACAAAGGCAGTGCACACAACCGCTATAACAGTTCCCTTCTTCTCGACTGTTTTGGTGTTCACGGCATTAGTGGGATAGACTGTGTTTTCTCAGTAGCCTGGGAGTACTGAAAACGTGACCTCAGAGACGTCAAGGCTTTGTCCAACAATGAACTGCAGCTGCAGATCAGCGCCGTGGTCAACTACTGCACACGCGTGGGCTGCCTGCGCTCTTCTGCTCAGTTTCTGTTTAGCTTACAAGCACATTTTTTCCACAGGTTATTACACCATGGCTGCTGAGTCGTCCATAGAGAAAAACATTGACAAAATCGGCGGCATTGTCGTGGCTGGCGTGCTGGCTGCCAGCTTTCTGTTGCTGCTGTGGCAAGTGGTACGCCTCCGCTTTACCCCACTGCTCCCCGCACTTCTGTTCACCGTGCTCAGCGCCATCGGCTGGCTTCTATCAGCAATTGGCGCCATTCGGGAAGACAAGTCGATGAACGACCAGGGCCACAAGGTCTACGCTGCATCCTTCATGTTCCTGATGTTTGGTGCGCTCCTGCTACTCGCAAAGTGGGCTGCTATCCGCTCGGGCGTCAGCTGGAACCGCATAACCATTGTGATGGCAGGAGTGTCGGCTGTAGCCAGCGTTGTATTCGGCAGCCTGGAGGCTGCTGGCCAGATTGACTGGCTCAAAACTCCAAGTGACATGCCTAAAACAACGCTAAAGGTGGCCGAAATCGGCTTCCTTGTCCTGTCGGTTGTGTACTTGGGCACAGTTGTGCGCTTCACTGTCCACGAGGCCATGGTGTACCAGGCGCCGCGTGTGCGCATGTCCTTTTACATCACTGCATTCCTGCTGTTTGTGCGCAGTCTGTTTTACATGCTGGTAGCGCTGCGTGTCATAAAGCTGGACACGGACAAGCGTCGCCTGTACCTGTTCTTTTTGACGACCGTACCTGAGACCATATCGTGCTTGGTGTGGGCACTGACTTTTGTTGCGCGCGACTTGAAGGCAACAAGGGTCGAGCCTATTGGTGAACTGCCGCCGTCCGACGCCGACTTCCGCCCCGTGGTGGTGCCGACGCACGGCGAGGGGACAGATCCATACAAGCTGGATACGGAGCCGACTCGCGACAGCATGTTTGACAGCGCTGGCCGCCAGCAGCAAAACACAGCCGGGCAGGTGCAATTTGAGAGCTCTTACGCATATGAGACGCCTATGGCACAAGACGGCCCGCAGGGGTTCAATCCATGGGCCACCGTCAGCAACAGCTCGTATGATGTACAACCACCGCCACAGCAGCCACTGCAGATAACTACCACTACACAGCTTTCGCAGTCATATGGAAACACGTCGTATGGCACTGGCGTGCAGTTCGACCAGAATGCGGGCGCGTCTTACCCTAGTGCTGGTGGCGCCCCTCACCACTCCACCTTTGTCAAGACGCCATACCCGCCAGCAAACCCTGCCCCGCAGGTATCGTACGCGCCCAGCAATGCCTATGCCACGCAACCACCTGCAGGCCACGGATACTTTGGGTACCAGACACAGCACGATTTCCAGCCATCGCCAGGCAGTGGTGCCGAGTACCAGGAGCCAAGCCCGCAGCCCCATCGAGCATACGAGTGAGGGGCCGGCTCTTGGCAAGCGCAGGCTATTTTTATCTTCCCCATTTTCCCGCATAATCTTTTGGCACGTCTGTAATTTCTCATTCCTTTTACCCAATCTATGACATCGGCTTCGAGTGGGTGTGTGCTGAGACATTGGTAGTCAGATCGCTCTCATCCAGCATAAAGAAGGCTGCTGTGGAGGGACAGGTGTTTACAATCCCTATACTTCCCCAGCCATCGCTGTGCCCGAAAAGCATGCTGCTGGCCGCTGCGTTACGCACTAAAAATCGAGCAAGCACCGGCCACAGCCACCTTGTTTTCTCAGGTTTATATTGCTTTGGGAGGGACAGTTTAATATGCTGCGTGCGCATGTGAACCACTTGTCTATCGTATACCTAGAGCGTCCATTTATGCATACCGGCGATGGCACACCTGCCTGCTGACCGGTGCAATAAATAGCCATATCAATGACTCCCCAGAAAGGCATACCTGTTCCGCAATACAAATCCCAGCCCTAGCACATTTTCTTTATTTTCAATTCCAATCTCTGGCCCTTGCACATTCTGGTCAGATCCCCACACGTAAATACACAATGAGGAAACCACATCTCTTGTTGTTGGTATCGCTGCTGTTTGGTACGCTTGGTACAGCCAGCCTGCCTTACCACCACCATGCATCGAATGCCGAGCCAGTAACATCCAGCGCCGTCCTTCCCGAAACCATTGTACAAGACATGTTACATGTTGATGTTACCACACGTGATCCGGACCTCGAGTTGTTACCCTCCCCATCCGGAAACAACCGCGTAGCAGCCTCTGGGAAACCTGATGCTGAATCTGAACCTACAGAGGCGCTTGATACTGGCGCCGAATCCGCCGAAGTGTCTAAAATAGCAGCCGATCTGACCAAAGCGACCACTGGGGTATCAGACGCTGCTGTCAAAGGAGTTGTGCGCAAGGGCTGCCACAAAAACAAAGCAGCACATGATGGAGGATCGGATAGCAACGGATGCTCGTGCTGCTGCTGCCACCATGAGGGCACTCCCACGTACCATCTGACTATGCCTGACCCAACCCTGGAAGGTATGGCCACGATCTCTTTGCCTGTTGTGGGCCCGCCGTATAAGTACGGGTGCGGTGACTGCCATCGCGCGCTGCCGTGTGTTGAGCCAACGCCTGTCTGTGGATCACGGTGCTGTATAAACCAGCCATGTGGTTGTGGCTGCCCTGCTTGCCGCTACGCACCACCACCACCTTGCTGCTGCCCGCCACCACCGCCGCCGCCATGCTGCTGTGGTTGCCCTCCCTGCTGCTGCCAGGACCCCTGCTGTTGCCAGAACAACTGCTGCTGCCAGGATAATTGCTGCTGCCAGGACCCTTGCTGTTGCCAGAACAACTGTTGCTGCCAAAACCCATGCTGGTGTCAGAACCCGTGTTGCAATTGCTGTGGTGATGACGGTGGCCAAAATGGCAAAAAGAAGCTATCGCATGGAAGCACTCACGCTTTGGCCGGAAAGAAAGGCAAGCACAAGTGCAAGAAGAGCCATGGTAGTCAGCGCGACGCAGACGATGGTGGTGAAGAGTAAACAGGCATCGCTCACTGGTCAATTTCCGATTTTTTTGTCTGCTTCTGCTCCATATGGATTTCTGGTATTGTTTCAAGCCTTAATATTTTTCATATTCACTTTTGATATTTTTATATTCTAACAACCATACCCTAGCCTTGTGTCATGAATACTCCACAAGTTATAGTGAATGCTGCGCTGTATTTCGACCAACGTGGTAGTACCAGCAGCCGCTTTGGGCTGGCGATGCAACCCCCATCGCATGTTTTGCGATGCAAATAACTGCCACAATAGGAACGAATTCTCTTAGATACTATGTGTAGGCGGTCCCTGGGAAAAAGTGCATGTTCGTATTTGCGCTACAATTTCCAGCACTTTCATTTATTATATTACTACAACCAGGGTGCAGGGCCCACACCTACTGAGGATATTTTCGCATGCCAAATCGTTAAATAATGAACCAATATGCTCTGTCCATGGTGCAGGACCCAATACAGAAAATCGGTATAGCATGTTACAATTTCATGGCCATGGCAAACAACCCCAAGACAGGGCATCAGACAGAATATTCATGCCTACTTGTGCACTACACATCACTTGAATATTGTATAAATTCAGCTCTGTGCTTTAGAATCTAGCAACAGTCAACCCGCGACACACAACATCAATTCCATTGCATTTGACCTCATCTCCCCTTCTCATTTTTCACGCACAGCATCGACACTACCATTTTACAGTTCCAGAAACAACAAGATGCAAAGATCATCACTTATCGCTCTTCTGGCGCTTCTTGCTTTCGCTGTTGTCTCACTTGCCGATCCAGCTGTCTCCCAGGTCAAGGGAAAGGCGCATGCCCACAGTCCAGAGGTTTCTCACGAGAAGGTGGCCTCCATAGCCCCTTCGAAGACAGCAGACCCAGTTATCTTTGTCAGACATGCTAAGGCACTCTGCGATGATGGATATTGCCATAGTGGCGGGCCGTGCTGTGGTAATGGTGGTTGGGATGGGTACGGTAGATGCGGAGGGTGTGGCTCTGGAGGGCATTGCTGTAGCAACGGATATAATACCTGGGGCGCTCCTGGTGTCGAAAACTTTGGCTATGCCGGCTATAGACCATATGGACCATACAACGGATATGGACCATACAACGGATACGGTCCATACAACGGATACGGTCCATACAACGGATACGGTCCATACAATGGATACGGTGGATATGGTCCATATGGCGGATATGGGGGGTACGGACCGTACGGCGGGTATGGCGGATACGGGGGATATGGTGGTAATGGTGAGTGTTGCTGCCAATCCCAGTGCTGTCCACCTTGCTGTACAACAGTCCTTCACACTGTTGTTCACCAAACTTGCTGCGCCGAGCCTGGTAACTGCTGCTGCAATGGCGGCTATGGCGGCTATGGCGGCTATGGTGGTGAGGGTGGTGAGAGTGGTTACTAATAAGCTCTGTTTGTGCATTAACAATATCTTTTTTCCATCCCAGCTCCCTTATTTCGATCCACGGTTGGCGCGTTTCAGCTTTCTTGGTACTTCAATTATTCCTAGTCATTTTTTTGCGAAAATCTAAAACATGGAACTAGGGCCAAGAGACCACTAGCTCTATTCCTTGTGGCCTCTTGAGTCTACTTCTAATCTTACTCTACTGCCATGTCTTGATCACCGTAAACGCGCTGAGACGTCCAACACACTTGTTTTTGCTCGAACTCTACTCCTAGCCTCCACAGAACAAATTCCTCACAGGATCCTGCTCACGGTTCCAGAATATTTCTCCCTTACGCGTTTTTGAATGCACACTGTGGAGTCCGTGCATCCTGAACTAGGAACACAGTATGAGTGACGAGATAGGTGTGGGTGGGAATTATCCAAGTCCTATTCACGCAACTTCAATTCTCAACACGCTTGTCTACGGCCTGGGTTCCCCACAAAATATGAGCGATATGCCTGTCTTATCCACTGTTTCGATGCACCTCCATAGACTGCGCCAGTTTTGCTGGGTCGTGTGCAAAGTGGGTGGCCAGTGTACCGGGATTTGAAGCGGATGGGAACACGTATATAACTTGGCTGGTATGGCGCAACTCCCTTACCAAGTCTATCTCCAATTCACTAGTAACAGCATTCTGTTATACTCTACTTAGCTCTGTTCTTTTCATTCCCAGTAATTCATTGGATTCACACGCCCAGCAGATTCCAAAAATTATTTTGCTACACTACCGCTGCCATCGTCTTTCACTGCATAACCTCCACACAATCAACCAGCCTGCTTCATTAAGCAATCTATATATTTACAGATTTGCTAAAGTATACACGCAAAAATGCAGACGCCGAGTCTCCTGCTAGTGCTTACCTTCCTTGCGATACTTCTGGGAGTTGCTACATCTCAACCGGCATCTGATCAGAACAGGAACAGTGCACCGCTGATCATCACCCCACATCAGGCAGCGGCAGTGGCCCACCCGGGTCCTCTGCAGCAGCTCCTGCAGCCGCAATGTGCAAAGATCGACGAACCTCATGTCGAGCCTGAGAATTCTCCCGCCACCACCCCTTCAGTTTCTCTTCGCTCTAACCCCATCTCGCCCCTTTCTGCTCTACACACTCAGGCTAAGGACCTCCACTGTTGTGGTTGCTGCAATGGATGCGGTGGCTGTGGTGGTTGTTGTAATGGGTGCGGTGGATGCGGCGGCTGTGGTGGATGCGGTGGCGGTTGCGGCGGCTGTGGTGGATGTGGTTGCGGTGGTTGCGGTGGTTGCGGATGCGGTGGCTGTGGCGGCTGCGGTGGTTGCGGATGCGGCGGCTGTGGTGGATGCGGTGGATGCGGTGGTTGTGGCGGTTGCGGTCAGTGTGGTGGATGCGGTGGTTGTGGCGGTTGCGGTCAGTGTGGTGGATGCGGTGGATGCGGTGGTTGTGGTGGATGCTGCCGCGGTTGCGGCTGTGGTGGATGCGGTGGCTATGGAGGCTATGGCGGTTGTGGTCAGTGTGGTGGTTGCGGAGGTTGCGGCGGCTGCGGTCAGTGTGGTGGGTGTGGTGGATGTGGTGGATGTGGTGGATATGGTGGCTATGGCGGTTGTGGTGGCTGTGGCGGGTGTGGGTGCTGCCGTGGTGGGTGCGGTGGATGCGGTGGATGCGGCGGGTGCGGATGCGGCGGATGTGGTGGCTGCGGCGGGATGCGGGTGGGTTGCGGATGCGGTGGATGTGGTGGCTGCGGTGGCTGCTGCCGTGGCTAATAAGATACGCCCTACTTGCGACCAGCTAGTTCCAGAAATACGGACAGTGTTGCTACCACCAACTCTCATTTTTATCATTAGAGGCAATACTTCGAAATCCGGCTATTTTCTACAAACCGATTTTGTCATCTCCTTATCATCGGTACTTGTGTCGATGGCAGGGATCATTATCACCAAGCCTCGCTCACTTCACTTCAATCTTTTCTTATATCACGCATAGTTCATTAATATTTTGTGAATCTATTATAATATTAGCGCTATCCAAATCCTTTTAGAGTCCACATTGTCACACTTTCCACCTAGAATTCCCGCTGATTCATTATGTGGTAAAGCTGTTTTTGATTTATATACCGGTGATGGATCAGTTAAACAGCCTTTCTTGTTCGATAAATCGGATACCAGATATTCCCGCAGATTATTCGAATAGGAATTTAATAGCATGTGCCTTAATATTGGATTTTGAGCTCCCACAGCGGCCTCATTAGCGTAGAGTTGAGCCTGAGTATGCCCTATGGATATTGTCTTCCCACATGTATTAAAAAAGCGTGGATTACCCACAGACTGCTAATTACTCCCACATAATAAGCCCCCCTCATCAAACTAAGGTACACCCAAAGTCTGATATTATGTGGGCAATATATCATTGGAGAGTGAATTAAATGCGGAGATATGCGACCCGCCTTTTCTCCCACCCCATGGGGTAATATATAGACAAGTGAGGTTTAGTTGCCTCTGGTTGGCAGTTACGCAACCCTATATAAACTGTGGCAGGTGGAAACCGGCACCCAACACAACAACATCAGCAAACCTTATTAGGTTCTCTTGTCACCTATCTATTTCTTACCGTCTCAACGGCCAGCAGTTCCTAGCCAGCAACTAGCCCAGCTACACGTTAACCACTTTTACTTGATCATAATATCTGCTAATCGGTTTCGATAATGTTCAAGCCTACCTTCATTGCGTTCCTTGCATTCCTTGCCCTCATTATGGCGGCAATGGCTGCTCCGGCGACGAATGTGAATGCTGCTGTTACCAAAAACGGCGCGGCCGTCGCTGCTGCTCCTGTTCACGCTGCTGCTCCTGTTCACGCTGCCGCCCCTGCTCATGTTGCCGCTCCTGCCCACGCTGCTGCAGTGCCAGTTCCTGCTGCGGCCCACGAGACCAAGGGTGCCAGCAAGAACTTTTGCGATGGTGCCTGGCAGCACGACTCCTGCTGCTGCTATCCCGGTCCTTGCTGCCATCATGAGTGCTGCTGCCATGAGCCGTGCTGCTGCCACCACGAGTGCTGCTGCCATGAACCGTGCTGCTGCCACCACGAGTGCTGCTGCCACGAGCCATGCTGCTGCCATCATGAGTGCTGCTGCCATGAGCCGTGCTGCCACCACGATTGCTGCTGCCATGAACCGTGCTGCTGCCACCACGAGTGCTGCTGCCATGAGCCGTGCTGCCACCACGACTGCTGCTGCCACCACGACTGCTGCTGCCATGATCCTTGCTGCCATCACGATTGCTGCTGCCACCACGACTGCTGCTGCCACCATGACTGCTGCGGTCCGGCTTGCTACCACATCAAGCGCACTGCTATCTACAAGAACGGCTGCCTCCAGCACGTCTGGTGCGACTCGTGCTGCAACAGCAACGTTTGTTCCTAAGTTACCTCAACTACTTATCAGATTGATACCAATCAACTAATCATTACTCTAAAGCACTCCCAATGCTCCTTTCCTAATTACCTAACACTCAGGTAGAACCTTTGTGGTTTATTCATATAGAGGTCAATCTGCTAGTTAGCTTTTAGTCGACAAATATCAATAAAAATCCTTTGTTGCAAAGCATATGTTCAAAAGTGTATCGAATTACCAATGTATGCATTGTTTTACAGCCGCTTACTGCACAAATACCGCTACAAATCATGGCTGTGTAACGAGCGCAATATACTGCATTCAATGCGATGCAATATTGCCTTTGGCAGATATTATTTCCAACCAGTGTGCCTGTATATTATCCATTTTATTTTTGCACCCTGGCTATCCCTATACGAGCCATGCGGAGATGATTACATTGCAAGCTACATAAGCTGCATTAATTATAGTAGTGGAAAAGCCGGAGAGGACAATATACCGTGAGATGGAAGGATTTGCCTTGTATACTGTGGGTTGGCTTTTCAAAAATGAACCCCCCCACCATATTTTATATGTCCGTCCTCCACACCCCTGATCAAAGCCCACATCTGTGACAGCAATAAGCAATATCACACGTTCCCCTTTGAAATAGGCAAATATTTCCTCTAACATTAGTATGTCCGGAATAGCGGTGCAGCGAGCAGAGCTTAGCTTGACGCTAATACTGATTGCTTTCGTCACATTTTTCGTATATATTAACCAGCATGGGCTGCGATTTCTATTTTCAAATCAGACACTGATGTTTCCACAGCCTCATTAATATCATCATCTCTCGCACATTAACACCCATTGCACGCACTGCTACTTAGTCGACCTAATTACCCTCCTCGACCTCTACCCTAATGCAGAAATCGGCATTCTTTACGTTCTTGGCCTTCTTGGCTTTCATGCTTGGCGCGCTCGCCGTACCAACAAACAACGCCGCCACAACCAGTGTTGATGCCAAGAAGACTGCTGCTGCTGCTACCCATGCTGCTACTCCTGCTTCAATTGCTTCGGTTCAGACTCCGGTGACTGCCACTTTTAGCCCCGAACCAGCTGTTTGCCAATACTCCTGATGACGTCAATGCATGCAAGACTGCTGGAAGCCCAACTCAGGCCGCCGCCGATAACAGACACGCCAGGGAAGACCCTGTGCTGTGATTGTTGCTGCCAGCCGTGTTGCCAGCCATGTTGCCAGCCGTGCTTGCCAGCCGTGCTGCATTATCTGCTGCGGTAAGAAGGGCTGCAAGGACTGCTGTTGCCACCAGTGCATCTGCTGCCAGCCGTGCTGCCACGAATGCTGCTGTCATGCTCCTTGCTGCCAGCCTTGCTGCCAGCCTTGCTGCCAGCCTTGCTGCTGCCACCATGACTGCTGTAACCCGTGCTGCCATCATGAGTGCTGCCACCATGAGTGCTGCCACAACGACGGCTGCTGCTGCCACCATGAGTGCTGCCACCACGACTGCTGCTGCAATCCGTGCTGCCACCAGGAATGTTGCCACCACGATTGCTGCTGCCATGAGCCATGCTGCTGCCATGAGCCATGCTGCTGCCACCATGACTGCTGCTGCCATCATGACTGCTGCTGCCACGATCCCTGCTGCCACCATGACTGCTGCTGCCACGATCCCTGCTGCCAACATATCTGCCACACTGTCATCCATACATTCTGCCCACCGCCTCCCTGCTGCCATCAGCCTTGCTGCTGCACTCCTCCGTGCTGCCCCCCTCCGTGCTGCCCCCCCCTCCTTGCTGCCACCAGCCATGCTGCCAGCAACCTTGCTGCCCTCCTCCGTGCGGCAACCACTACTAAACACCATAGCGGTGTTGTGACTCGCTCTTAAAATGCACGTTTACGTCACTACTATAATAATCATTGCTAATTAGTTAACATCTTCATACTTTTGCAGTGGATCGTTCGATATTTATTTCGCCTGCTAAATAAATCCAGTGCCATATAACAGTATTACTTCACAAGCAAAAACATGAAGGCATGCTACTTATGTTTCTGGCAGTGGCAAATGACTGTATCTCCTCAGTCACTCATTGGACAATTGACAGATATGGTTCTTACCATCAAATGTCGCATTGGCCAGTACTAAGCATTTACATTCCTTGTCCATTGCTGATCCGGAATGACACGCAACTATCGCTGGCCCATCACTCGAGCATGGGACATGCAGAGCTTTTTGATGGCAACACCCTACAATTCGACTGCAATGGAATCAAACGATCAGTTTACTATACATTTATTGTACCTGTGGTTTAGAGTAATCAGGCCGGTATACACGTACCCCTCTGCATACGCTGGCTGCTGTTGAAAAGAGTCTGGTGGGAGCCCGACATTGCGATGTCTGTCGTAATGATATGTGGCAAATGCTCCACAATACTTTCCCGAATCATCGGTTGATAATTATTGCGTGTGAAGCAATTCGTGAAAAGCCAATATGCAAAATGGAGTATGCTAAATTACTAATATGCGGGATAGCCTCAATGCAACCTAAGCAGCAGCTCGCAAGCACGCACATGTGCAATAGGGTTTGCGAGAGAAAAGAGTCAGAGGACAGTCCCTTGCCAGGATATATAAACGGTCGGAACCCTTGTTCCAACTCACAAAAACACCATCATCATCTGCCTAGTCATCTGCATTTTCACTATATTGCATCTGAATTTAGTATCTTGCATCCTTTCATCCATCCAGTATTTTGATATTCGCCTAGTCACCTAATCATCGTTTTTGCATCCATCGAGTCCAAGCTATGGTTAACTTCAAATCCTTCGTTTCAATTTCTGCTCACTATCGGCGCTGCAACCGCTTCTCCCCTTGTAGCTGCCGGCACCAACCTCAATGGGAACAACGCTGTCTCAGTCGCAGCCAATCCAGGCTGCTGGCTTCTCGGCAACGCCTATTTCCGCTGCTATTCCGCGCAGCTCGAACACCCCTGCCCTTGACTCGACTATTCCACAGGAAAAGATTGGCCTGGGCTGCCGATGCAGCCAACCATGTGAACTTTTCCAACAGGCGGGCTCGTGCTAGTGCAAAGAACAACATGCCTGGCAAGTGTACCCAAGAACACACAGGCTAATGACCAAGGCCAAATGTGGCTCATCTTCCCTGAGTCTGAGCAGGTCGTGAAGCCCCCTCAGGAGAGCAACAGCCAGGTCCGCCAGACCCTAACCAAGAATTCTTCGGCTTCTGGCAAGGCACCTGCTGCCACCCCGACTGCCGGAAAGAACGCAAAATCTGTCTCTGCAAACGGCAAGCAGAAGGGCGTGACTGGTGGTCGTCCTGCTGGAAAGAATCTCTGCTGCGGATGCTGTGGATGCTGTTGCCCATGCTGCTGCTGCCACTGCTGCCACTGCTGCCCATGCTGCTGCTGCCACTGCTGCCCATGCTGCTGCTGCAAGTGCTGCTGCTGCAAGTGCTGCTGTTGCAAGTGCTGCTGCTGCCCGTGCTGCTGCTGCTGCCACGACTGCTGCGGCTGCTGCGGTGGCGGCGGCGGCGGCTACTAAGGTGGATGGTTGGAACTAGATTGCCAAACCACATCACTATCTAGTTTCACTGAAGATCTGCAAACCAATAGTCTTCTCCGACTTTGTTTTTTCTATTTTATAGATTTAATATCTTGCCTCATGATGTTTAATCTCTTTCTAATCGCTGTGCTCGTTATTCGGACACTAATGGTTACCTAATATAGCCAATAGCTGAACTAGATTCCTGGTGCGCTGTAGTATAACTTTGCTATACTCAGGGTGGCATACCAATTAACTTTATTTCTGGAACAGTTCAGACAAGTACGTGTATATGTCTTCAACACGCTGGGTGAGTTCCAGCTGCAGACCCTCTTCCTAACCATACTACTCCTAGTGCTGCTGCTATCCATGGGCATGTTTGTCTGCCTAAATTACAATTCAGTGCCGATAGTATGGAAGCGCCATCCTCTACCACAGCTCAGGCGCTAGATCTATGAAACGCGATATAAACTGGTGTGTTTCTTTGTCTATGACATACTTCTCTCGGTAGACTTTTGTTGCGGGGTAGGTTAGTATGAGAGAGACAGCCAAGAGCAAATTTCTATTTGGGGTCCTTGGCATTTTTTAATATCCTCCAAATATTAATCGTGAGAAAGCGACGCTCTATACGGGCACGTCACCATATTCGCAAAAAGGACTCACCGATATTAGCACTATCGATGCAAGCAGTATCAGCTATGTTTCTCATATTTCCCGATACATCTAATACATAAATTGCTGCATTCACCATTAGAGTATTTGAGAAAATAACGCCTTTGCACACTACCACTCACCTGAGTACGTATCTCCGCAGGCCAATGACTATGCAAGTATTCCTAGAAGGGGTGCTTACCATTTTGATATATAAGAGTCGACAGTCAGCAGGCCACCCCTAGATATTCTCAGCATTCACGCACCAGCTTTTCTATTTGCTTCCTCTGCTTCCCCCTGTCTGCTACCCGCCTCCATTTCGCCAACCCTGCCCTCAAATACAGCCTTATCTGTCCATCTGCTAAAATGGTCAGCTTTGCCCTCCGCCCCTTTGCCTTCCTTACCCTCGCTGCCGTTGCATTCGCTGCCCCAGCTGCTCAGGTTGAGACCACTCAGGCTCTTGCTGCTGATCATGCTGCTCCACTGCTCCACTGCTGTCAGCACCCTGGGTCAGAGCATGCCGCAGATAGCTCAACCAGGTCAAGTGAATATGGCTCCTGCAGCTGTTAAGAAGGATAGCTTTCCGATGGAGAACCATGGTGTTGATACGCACTCCTACCAGCAGGCTGCAAATAACGCCCAGGCTCAGCATGGCCAAGAGCAGATGACACCGATGTGGCTCATCTTCCCGTGTGAGGACAACTGCCAGAACAACATGGCTGCTCAGCAACAAAAGATGCCGGGTAGTGCCCCAGCTGATAACCACCGTGGACTTGGGCTATTCCAAAAGAGTGCGGCTGGGGTTGTCCGCAAGTCTAGCGAAGGAGGGGTTGGTAAGAACATTGACGCAAGTAAGTCGGCAGCCTCAGAAATCGCCTAGCAGTGTTGCTCAGAACAACAAGAGCGGTCAGCTTGTTGGAAATCTGAGCAACAAGAGCGGTCAACTAGTTGGAAAGGCGGCCGTCGCTGCCAATGGGAAGAATGCTGTTCAGATTGGTCGTGATGGAAAGCCTATTGCAGGTCGCCGTGCTGGCAAGAACCTTTGCTGCTGCTGCTGCTGCCCTTGCTGCTGCTGCTGCTGCCCTTGCTGCTGCTGTTGCTGCTGCAAGTGCTGCTGCTGCCACTGCTGCCACTGCTGCTGCTGCCCCTGCTGCTGCTGCTGATGCCACTAAACAAGCGGTAGTAGTGCGCTTGGTTCACAATGAACCCGGGTCACGGGCTCACCCATCAATCAGTGCTTGCTTTTGGCTACATAGCAGTCGGCCAAAGGTAAGGCACTTTTACATTTAAAGTGCTTACCTGAGAAACGATGACTCTTGTTGATATCTATTCTTCTCTGTGGTTAGATCTAATCTCTTGTTTACCCGCCGCTATAAAATACAAACCAATCTACTTAGCATAAGCCCCTCAGCCACACAGTGTAGTATAGTGCAGTGTAGCTGTCCATGGCTCATCTCAACTCGCCTATTTTCCTCTGCTGCCGCAAGCTTTACATCATATATTTCCATTATCCGGCAGGCTCATTCTGCAAATGGTTCCCGAAATCAGCCCAAGCGCATAGAAAAACAGTGCCCATGATCCAAAGATTGAGGGTAGTAGTGTTTCTGGGGACCGTGTGCGTGGGGATAGCGACTGGTGGGTGCATTTTCTTTGGGCTTCACCACCCACACCCACGTACCCCCACATTTAATATATACCGTTTTGGACACGATAGAGCAAACGGAGTGAGGCTATGCACAGCCAGAAGCCAAGTGTGAAAATTGGACGTGGTAATATTCCCTTGGACAGCACTGCCGTGTGATGTTAGCATCTGCACTCACTCGCTTATCGTGTGTCTGCTCAATTCCTTTTCCCTGGTAGACCAGATTGTTCGCAGGGTAGTGTGGTAAACCGCTCACTTGCTCTGGTAACGTGTGCAAAATTTGCTCGTGTGCGCCTCAGTGCGCAAGTTCTTTTGGAGGCTGTTTTATTGGTACACCAGTTTCTCAAGAGCAGCTGGTATATAAGGTCCAACATCCGCGACCGCCTACCTATCTAACCCTCATCAGCAATTCGATCCTCTTAGCCCTCCCTGCTCTCTCCTGCCACAGCCCCTCAGCGTTTTTGCAGCAAGCTCCATCATCCCTTTTAGCCCTGAAGTCCAGATTTTCGGTATAAGTCAAATGGCCCATCCGTGTCCTTCGCCTCTTCTCTGCTGTGCTCATTGCCTCCACAGGCCACAGCTTTCTCACCTGCAGGCACCATTCCCTGAATCATCTGCTTCATCCTGCCCCACTGGCTGCTGCACACAATGAGCTACCGCAGGCCATCCCTTGGCAGAGCAACGAATGGCTATTCGCTTGTTGACATCAAGATGTCTCCTTCGGAGCCAAATGCCCCACAGGCATCTACCTCGGCGCACAACACATTTGAGACTACAGGCCACTGTCACCGTCTGCGCCGAAGGACCCTCGCTTTCGATTCCGGCGCCTATGGCTGCTGCCCCTGTTCATGCCCAACCCCAACCTGCATCCGAACCCAGTATTCTGCAACGCTGGTAACAGCAACACTATAGATGCTCGTTGCCGCATGGCTGCCGACAGTTCTGTCCCAACCACTACCACTTGGCCCCAACGCCCAGCAGCAAGGCCAGCAGCCACATATGGAGCAAATGATGCTCTTCTTCCCATGTGCCGTTCCCAGAAATGGGAACAGCCATCCTGGTGACTCCAGACCAGCAGCAGGCATGGATGCGCCAGTTCCAGCAGTGCATCCGGGCTTCTGGAAACGCACGCATGGCCAACTGCTTCAACAGCCGCAATCGCTGTTTCTTTCGCTTCGCCCACTGGTAATGCTAAGGCCCCTGTGGCCTCTATTACTACGCCAAATCAGCTTCAGCTCAGACTCCCTCTTCAGCTGCCCGCAGTACCCTGGTCAAAAGCAATGCTGCTGCTGCCCAGGTTAACCGCTCTGCTGGCATCGTTCGCAACAGGCAAGGCTAGTTCTGGCCGTCGCGCTGGCAAAAACCTTTGCTGCTGCTGCTGCTGCTGCCCCTGCTGCTGCTGCTGTTGCTGTTGCCCCTGCTGCTGTTGCTGCCCCTGCTGCTGTTGCTAAACATACCTCTACCACCATCAAATCTGCATTGGCTGCCCTTGCGCGTATTAGCTGCAAAGGCATACAGTGTATCCACCTCACGCTTTCTCTTGCAAACTCTGCCACATTTTTATTCTGATCAGCTCCCCCTTCCTACTATTCTCACATTCCTCGCACTAATCTCCAAAATATGTCTCATAATAAATCATTGAACCAGCAGTTGGGTGGCGATATGCAGTGGCCACACCTTGCGAACATTGCCAAACTACCCACTGAGTATCACAAAACTCACAAGGTGTTTATCTTTGATGGAGTACGAACCACAACCCCCGCTTTACGAAATACCTTGTGAATTCTTTTGATAGCGGAGGTTTGTCTTGGAATTCAGCCGCACCATCCCTCGAGCCTTTGCTACTGTTCTACACCATTTCTGAGACCCCACTGGCCTGCCACCGCCACCGATCAAGAAAGCACCATGAGAATAATCTAGTGCTGTTTATGTGACAGGGTAAAACACAGGTACAACCTGCCTGGGAAGGGTGTGACCATTTTTCATGTGGGGAAGATAGCCCAATGCCATTATGAGCCGAATTTCAAGTGGTGCTGTGATGTTGTCCTGGCTCTATAAGACGTGTGGTGTCTGGTAGAATTCCATTAAAATCGGGTTTCAAGTAATCAATACGACCTCACCGCTATACACCCAACTTGTTTACAGCCACCCTGCATATTTTTATATTTTTGCATATCATCACCCAGTCATTTACTAGACACTGCACCCACTTGATCAGCCACATATATCACGACAAGACGGGATACAATGCTAGCACGCACTGCTATTGCCGTTATTGCGATCCTGCTGCTGCAAGTGCACGCTTTCCCTCAGTCGATCCCCGTGGTTGCAGCCGTTGGTTCCACAATCGCTGCCCCAGAAGCAGCGGCCGAACATACCGCTCTGCCCGATTCTGACGCTAACCTGCACGACTGTGTGGTAGTGCATGAGGCTGGAGGCGACCCATCTATCACCGAATCTGAACTGGATGCCATATCTGTTCCCTTGACTGAGACACTATGTCCCTCTGCCCTGACTCCTGCCGTGCAAACAGCTGCATTGCCTGCGCCGATACAGCAGGTTATGGCAGTTGTTGCCGCAGTGTCAGTACCTGTCCTTCCCCGTTCACGCCCCATTCAAATGGCTCAGCAGCAGCTCACTGTTGCCAATCCGTTTGCTTCTGCTGCTACCCCTGTCCAACCACCCGCGATTGCCCCAGCTGGCGCACCGATTATCGCTAGTCCAGCTGTATCAGCCTCGGCGCAATCGAGCACGTCGGCATCACCCACCCCAAAAACAAACAGCAGATTTGCACATATCTGGAGCGGGAGTGGTGCTATCTCAAACAGCACACAAGGACGCTGCTGGTGGTCAGACACAGCAAGACCTCACACAGGCACAGCCCTTGCCGGGATCGCGCTGGCGACACAGAAAGGGCAACCACATGCGCAAGTGGATTGGGATGCCAAACATTATTTTCCACCAAGGGGTCAACGGCTCAAAAAGCTACTGGGGACCAGAGGGCATGCAGCCGTTCGATAACGTGGTTATGCGGTTTGGCGACAAGAACCAGTTTCACTCATACGGCACAATGTTCATCAACGACACAGTTACCAATGGGCTCCGGCCATACTTCTTCATGGGCAACGGTACAATGATAGACGGATGGATGACCGTTGGAAACGATACCAAGATGCTGGATATAGCGATGAATGGCACTGAAGTGCGCGGCAACAACCTCTGTTGCTGTTGCTGCTGCCCGTGTTGTTGTTGTTGCTGCCCGTGCTGCTGCTGCTGCTGCCACTGCTGCCATTGTTGTCATTGCTGCTGCTGCCACTGCTGCTGCTGCCACTGTTGCCATTGCTGCTGCCACTGTTGCTGCTGCCATCCTTGCTGCTGCTGCTGCCATCCTTGCTGCCACTGCTGCCAGCCATGCTGCTGCCACCAGTGCTGTCAACCATGCTGTCAGCCATGCTGTGACCAAGGCTTGTTGCGGTGGTGACGAAGGCTGCGATGGGGGAGGTGAGGGTGGTGGTGAAGGCGAGGGCGATGGTGGTGAGGGTGAGGGTGAAGGCGAAGGCGAAGGCGAAGGAGAGAGCGGCGGGAATGGCGAGAGCGGCGGGAATGGCGAGAACGGTGGCGAAGGCAATGACGACAGCAATGGTGGAAGCGACGGCGGGAACAATGGACAGGGTGGTGCCTATGAGTTCGGCCAAGGGTTCAACGGAGACCAGAACAGAGCATGCTGCCAGCCTCCGCCTCCTCCGCCTCCTCCACCTCCTATCTACGTCCATCACCTTGTTACCCACGTTGGCTGCCCGCAGGTTCTGGGCGGTGTTCCTGCTGTTGAAGCTGTTGCCAGCACAGTGGCCAATACTGAGATTGGCCAAGCGGCTGCAACATGTGGAACTCCGTGTATCAGGTATGTTGCTGGTCCCGCTGGTCCTGCTGGTCCTGCTGGTCCTGCTGGAGCCCCTGGTGCTCCTGGTGCTCCTGGTGCTCCTGGTTCTCCTGGTTCTCCTGGTTCTCCTGGTCCCGCTGGCCCTCAAGGCGAGACTGGTCCTGCTGGGTCGCCTGTGCGTACCCGTACATGCTATTCCGGCTGCAGTGTGCAGCCTGCAGCATTCGCACGCACTGTTTCCGATCAGAATCGGTGCGTGCTCATTCGTGGGGGGACTGCTATTGGTGCCCAGTCAGCTGTCAGGCCTGGAGGCACACCTGCTCAGGTTGGTAGCCAGGCTGCTGTTGCTGCTGCTGCTCCAATGTATGCAGCCCGTCCCCCGGCATACATCCCACGATCCCCTGCATATGCACCTGCCTCCAACGCATATATTCCAGGCTCTCCTCTCGTTAGAGGACGCAAGTACTTGAACAGCAATACCAAAAAGTGACCTTGCTACAGGGTCTCCTCTGGCATCTGTTTGAGCTACTCCTAGCACTTTCTTCAACACCTCTTGCATTTTGGCACACATTCCCTTATGTAATTTTTAGTACCTTCCACATCAACAATTTATGCCTCATAGTAGGCAAATCAACATTAATATTAGGTGTCACACAGCCACAAACAACCGCTGTGTCTAAACATGGCTGTGTCCACGTACCCTTGGCGCCGACAAGGTCAGCTATATGAGCTGTTTCTACCTCAGCCGTATACTCGATTGCATAAAGGCAGAGTCTCGTTCGAAATCCTTGTGCAGTAATCAGGATGATGCAATAAACAATTTACCCAAACAACAAGACACGCGAGTGGAACACCAGTTGAGCTCCTACGCCCATCTATCGTCCTCCCCCCCCCCACCAGTATTTGTCGTAGATTAGCTACTATCGTGAGAATAATAATCGTTAATTTATGCGGAGACATAAAGAAAAGAAACACTAAATATTCGAATCTCTGTAAATGCTGGAAATAATCTGAGACGGCTAAGAAAGGCGGGGTGGTTGAAAAATATGAGAGGTAATCGTTGATGGGAACGCACAGCAGATGAATGCATTCTGGCTTCCTGGTAGATAGCCCTGGGAGCATGTGGGAGCAACACATACACTGCTTTCCTCCTCAGTCCCCCTCTTCCTCGTCCCCCTGAATTTCATCAGGAACCCACGGTCTTTAGCACCCTGTGCGGGATATGAATATTTCTGCAATGATGAGTGCCTGGGAGTTTGACTGCTTGCGAATGGCGCGGGTGTCGTGTGTGATTTCATATTTATACCTGGCTGCAGATCACTCAGGCATACCTCCAGTATCACATCTATTCAGCAGTCTTACAGTGTGCTCTAATAGTTTACCCACTCTTCCACATATAGCACTTGCTCTCCTCGTGCGTCTGGCATCTCTTTATTGCTTAGAGTTTCAGTCCGGTACACCTTGCTATTTATTTATATCTTTCTTACACTCCACACTTCCACTGTCTGTAATCGCACTGCTCTCGTAGTAGCTGTAACAGCAGCATTTCACAGCCCGTTTATTGTTTTCTTTCGTCTGTCACCCGACACATCTGTGTATATCAGCCGCATTTCCTTCCTCATCAGCAGCTTTCTCCACAATGACAAGGACCTTCTTCAGCGCCATCTTGGCGCTACTGGCGTTTGTGCTAGTCGTATCAGCAGGCGGGTATGGGTCAGATGGGGAGCCGACGGCGACAGACTGCGGCAGGTCCAGCAACTGTAGCACTGCCGCCTCCTTTGACGGTCGCGTACCAGAACCCGTGCAACCCATGCTGCGTTAACTGCCACACGTACTCTGATCTGCATGTCGATAACGATGATGATTGCTGCTGCAAGCCCGCGGCGGTGATCAAGACGCACAATTTTGTGAAGGAGGTCCACTACAAGTGCTGCACTGGCCCGTGCGGTGAGGTGTGCTGCGAGCCGTGCTGCACCAGGATCCAGTGCAATCCGTGCTGCGATAAGGGTCCGATCTCCATTTGTTCTGATGGCTGCCACTGCTGCTGCTGCCGCCGCGACGGATCCTGCTGCCACCAGGACTGCTGCCATCACGAGTGCTGCTGCCACGAGCCCTGCTGCTGCCACAATGAGTGCTGCTGCCACCCCTGCTGCCACCACGAGCACTGCTGCTGCCAGCGCGAGTGCTGCGGCCACGTGGATCCGTGCTGCTACTGCCACCACGACTGCTGCTGCCATGATGAGCCGGGCTGCTGCTGCCGCAAGGAGTGCTGCTGCCACGAGGATCCGTGCGGATGCGATCACAAGTGCTGCTGCTGCCACAAGAATGGCGACTGCTGCCACAAAGAGTGCTGCTGCCATCATGAGGATCCGTGCTGCTGCCATCACGAGACCTGCTGCCACCACGAAGGACCCTGCTGCTGCCACCATGAGACCTGCTGCAACCATGAGGATCCGTGCGGCTGCCACCGCGATGTTTGCTGCTGCCACAAGGAGGGTGATTGCTGCTGCTGCCACGAGGAGCACGACGGATGCGGCCAGTGTGGCTGCTGCGGCTGCTGCCACCATGACTCTTGCTGCGAGCGGTGCATCGTTACGCACGCGATCGCCGACAACTGTGGCACGCACTACTGTGTGACCAACTGCGTCAAGGACCAGTGCGGCAACCGGTGTGTCGAGACCCACCACTGCTTCGCGCCCAACAAGAGCCCGTGCAGCTGCGACGATGGCCTGTCGACTGAGTGCTGCGTGACCCACTACATCGTCGAGCCGCCTTGCGGGTGCGGATGCGGATGCGGATGCGGATGCTTCCAGGGATGCCCGACTCCGATCTGCACACCGTCGTTCTCCCCTCCGCCACCTCCGCCTCCACCGTCGCCCTGCCCTCCGGCTCCCCAGTGCCCAGCCTGCCCGCCCCCTGCCCCCGCTTGTCCAACGTGCCCGGCTTGCAGCGACGGCAGCAGTGGTGCTCCGGCCCCTACTTCGAGTCCTGCCAGCTCAGCGCCCTATGGCGGCCACTAAAGGTGGCCAGCAATATGAAACCCGAGCAGGCTGGCCCATGGATCTTACGAGGACTCTGTCGTTTATCGACTGCCCTGTTGTGTGGTACGAGATATGGCGAGCCGTCCTCCAGGAATTCCGCAAGTCAGCAGGCTCCTTTTCTGCTGCCCAGCTTCGTGCTGAGACTCCAACCTACCATCCAGTTACTCTTTTCTCCCCCGTTTTTATATCCCGTTAGTTGCGCTTTACTACCACTTCACTCCTAATTACTCCTATGCTCTCTTCCATCTCTGATATTGCAGGCAAAAAGGGTATTCGCGCCCTTGTGCCTCTACTACAATATGATGTGCCTACGTTCGACGCATAATGGAAAGAAAAAAAGGGAATGTGCGTGCTCTCAGACACTCGGCCACAAGGCACGAGAGGTTCGTCGTCACGAGCCAGGTCCTGCGGGTGGGTTTACCCCTGCAAAGAGAGGATCCCACAGGAATGTTGCCCCCGCTCAAGGGTCGGACATTGAGCTGTTCATCATCGAGCACAGCCCACCAGAGTCACGCCGCTGCACCTGATCTGAGCAGTGAATTGGGTATTTCTACATGGCTCGGTGCGGACGCGATTGGGCATCGAAACCACGCGGCACAAGGACGGGCGTGCGGGCGCGAGCGCGCGGGTGGGGACACCAAAAATTGTGGTTTGTCATCTGTCCGAGCTGAAAGCAGGTGTCGACTTTGGCGAGCCGGCTTGTGCCTTCGATTTAAGATCCTTGTCCGACTTTCCGGCTGGCCGCAGGCTATGAGGTGATTTCCTTTTTTCCTCAACTGCAATAGAAGGAAAGTGGGCTGCGCCCGTAGTTGCCACCACTGGCTGGCGCATTCGCAGTTTGGCGACAGGCAGCTGAGTGGGCAGGCGCGCACTTGTCCGAATCAGCTGGCATGACGGGTGGGAGGATATATCCCGGCGATTGCGTAATCTGCGAATTGGTCCCGCAGAGTAGCAGTGACTGTCGCGTACAAAAGGCGCGACAATGCAGGCACTGCTTCTGCGTCTGCTTCCCTGTCCAACATTTTTTCAAACCCGCTCTTACAGTTCACCCTTTGGAAAAAGAATACTTTCCGCTCTTCCCGCCGCAAGCCCAGCTTTTATAGCCCAGCCCATTTTAGTCCCCCTGCTTCACACTAGCTCCTGCCGACTATCCTGAATTTCTCTTTTCAGTTGCCAATCTTTGTTGCCCAAGCACTTTTAAGAACCCGCACTCTTTCCTGGTATTATTAGAAACGAACCATGTCTGCTACCACTGAGACTACCGCGCCCGCAGCCGCCCCTCTCATCGACGAGTACCCGAACAAGGTGTTTGTGGGCAATCTGTCATTCAAGACGACAGATGGGCAGCTGCATGACTATTTTGCCGAGGTTGGCGAGGTCAAGGAGGCGCGCATCATCACGCGCGGGCCGCGCTCGCTCGGCTACGGCTTTGTTGCCTTCGGTGACGACGCGACGGTGCAGAAGGCTGTGGAGCTCCGCAACCACACCGAGTTTGGCGGGCGGCAGATCAACGTTGAGGCAGCGCGCCCGATGCCCGAGAGCGCGATCGCCGCGCGCGCGCAGCACATATCGGGGGATGCCAAGCCTGCTGGCCAGCGCCGTGCGCGCAAGCCGCGTGCGCGCAAGGAGGCAGCCCGCGTCGACACTGCCGAGAGCAGTGATACTCAGAAGGAGGAGGCCACCGAGGGCAGTGAGGCGAAGCCGCGTAGCGCCAGGCGCGGCGGCAGGCGGTTCGGTGCCCGCCGGTTCCCGGCCAAGGACAAGGAGGAGTCGAAGACTGAGGACGCGGAGCCGAAGAAGGTAGAGCCGAAGAAGGCAGAGCGGAAGCCCCGCGAGAAGAAGCCCGTGGATGAGGACCGCACGCCGTCGGACACTGTTGTGTTTGTCGGAAACCTGCCATTCTCGACCACGGATGAGGAGCTGGCGAAGCTGTTTGGCGAGTTCTCGATTGCCTCGGCGCATGTCGTTGTGAACAAGAAGTCGAACCGCCCCAAGGGCTTTGGCTTCGTGACGTTTGCCAACAACGCCGAGCAGAAGAAGGCACTGGACAAGCTGGCTGCCGAGCCGTTCCAGGTGAGCGAGCGTGTGCTGACCATCAAGGCTGCGCTGAGCGAGACACCGGCTGTCACTGAAGGAGAGAGCGCTTAAGAATCTGTCTAATTTTTTTTTGCTGTTGCCGAAACACGTCTAATTTTACCGCTTGTTTGTTGGGACACGCAGCCGCATATGTGGACTTGCTGACCCCTGTGTCGATCCTGTTGCAACTGGAAACCAAAACATGCTGGACTATAAAGCGTCGCGCAGAAACAATATGCAGCCCAGCAATGCGACGGGTCCTGTGGTTCATTGCCCTGTATTCCCAGACGCATCAATGGCTGGTGCGTGGACGCCGCGCCTCACCAGTGCCCTGTATGCCCAATGCTCTGCCTTGCGGATAGCCGCAGCCGCTGCGTTATCGCCTTTGGTAGTGATTATGTCTCTTGTCCATATGCCCATCATGCCGTTGAAGTTTGCCAGCGCGACATCCGTCATCAATCTGTCGCCGACGACAGCGATCTTCCCCGGGCACACATTTCCAAATGCCTCGATTACCTCGGGACCACACCCCGGCTTCTTGACAGCATGTCTGAGCACACGCACGCCCAATGCCGCTTCAACCGCGCGCGCTGCAGCATCGTCTGTGTCGTCTGGAGTGCCAGCAGAGTTGGATACAATCATAACATTGCTTCGGAGAGAACACATCGAGGCAGTTTTCCCAGGCGGGCAGGAACTCAGTGTGGACTACATCGAGGTAGGGAGCAGTGAGACAGTTATCTTTGTCGAAGACCATGTATTCAATGCCGGACTGGCGCAGTTTGGCAAACGGGATAGCGCGGATGTCGGCTACTGCGAGGTGCGGCATCAGGAGGCGTGGGCGGGCTAGAAGCTGGAAGGCCGCCCGGATTCCGGCGGTATTAAAAGACTGGACCATCACTAATGAACAGAAACGCAGAGCATCGTGGCACTTGCTGCGCACTGCTAGTGACCCGCAGTTTGTCCATGCTATATCCATTTTATGGTACCTCAAAACATATTGATATTCGCTAGTTTAGCCTGCTAGTGTACACCAGTTCGCCGCTTGGGCTGCTCACCCCACGCCCAAACTTGATCAGCCATCCATCAATGGTCTTTTTCAGCACTGCCTCCGCTGCCCCGTCGCCACTGGCCAGCAGCTCTGGATCCACATCAACCAGATCCTCCAGGAAGGGTACAATCTCTGATCTGGCCCACTTCGACTTCACGCTAAACAGCTTTTTGCATCCGCACCCGTGGCTCATGCGGCAAGGCACTGCGGAATAGCGGGTTCAGTGTAACAGACCGGTACGTGACGCCATGAGTGGTGTGCAGCATCTGGCTCTCAGCACCAGCAGTCACATACGCCATTTCCCTTACTATCGAGTCTGGGACACTCTTGCTGGACCAGTGCTCTGGCGCGCCAATAAATTCTGTCAGATGTGGCGGCATAGCAGCGTGCATTGCTTTTAGGAACTCGGCGGCCGGCCACGGGCGCATTTGCTCAGCCACAAAGATCTGCTCGGCCAGATACTTTGCCACCTTGGTGCCGTCAATCGTGTAGACTGCTGGGGCAGAGCAGGTCCCAAATCTGGCCAGCACCGCGTCGAACCGCTTCAAACAGCAGCTGCTCGTTGCCTGGTTCGCTGCATAGCGCACTGAAGACCATTTGCGCGTCAACTTTGTCCCGTGGCCACCCACGCTCAATCTGCGTGGCCAGTACAAGTCCGCAGTAGCTCCATACAGTAGCCAGCATCTAGCACGCGCCAGTGGCCAGTAGCCGGACTCGCGGAATGCCGGAATCTCAGCCAGCACCCTCCTGCACAGCTTTCTGCTAGCCTGCACGTGTCGCAGCAATGTGTCATCGGTAACCTCTCCTGGGCTCTTGTGCATCGTCAAGCATCTGCTCAAACTCAACGCCTCGGAATGCGCCGCGCTCATCCCAGGCCAGAACCTCCTTCAGGCGGGCACGGATCTGCGGATACGTCGGCTGCAGCTCCCAGGTCTGGCTGAGCTTGGCCTTCAGCTCATATGCGTCGCCAGCAGCGAACAGGTAGAGGTTGTTGGATGTGTGTGCGGTGTGGAGCTCGTAGGCCCTTGTCGTCCAGGTCGATCAGTGTCGCAATGTCCGCGTCGCGCCCACGCACAACCAGCCGCTGCTCGCCGGATGTTCCGCAGGAGGCCTCGAGCTGGGCAAGGATCCCGGGCGTCAGCTCCAGCATCCGGAGGCTTTCTGGGTATGACTCGGCCGCTGACAAATGAACTGGCTCAGTCATTATTTAAAGAAAATTAGCATTGGCAAGTAGAGGAGAACAGAGCTGCTTCTTTGGTCAGCACGTGCAACGTGGACATCTGGAGGGGGGATTGCGCTGAGCCGATTTCCTAATTCAATTAGGCCGAAAGTCGGCGGAGCCCGGGATTGGGGGAGAGGACTGCTGGTGGGACTGCAGTAGCTGCGCTGGCGTTACGAACCGGAGGTACTGCCCAGTGTTTCCGCGCAGTAGCTGATTCACTACGACAAGCAGGCCATGGTCGGACAAATACACCCTATGTAGCCTGCAGCAGAGGCGACGATGTGGCCTCGGCATGTCCGGAAGTCGACAGCCGCGCGACACCAGGCGTACGGGTGGAAGGGGTGAGAAAGCGGGGATTAGTAATTTAATGCCCGAGGTTTGACAGACGTCACTGGGAAGCGCAGCGCGGATCACGATAAGCCCAAAAAATTTTCGCATGCGAAGCTGTCACGGCAGGTGTGGCGCCCTCCTTGGCCCAGCGGCCTTGCATCCGCGGGTCTATAAAAGGAGCGGGATCCGGGCATCGGTCGACCCCTGCTCTTTTCTCCTCATCGTCCTGTTTTTCAGCTTTCTTTTACAATCTTCTCATCAGACAAAAATGGTTCTTGCTCCTCGCACTCTTGCCCCCAACTTCACTGCCCCGGCTCTGGTCGACGGCGAGATCAAGGATATCTCCCTCTCCGACTACAAGGGCAAGTACGTCGTTCTGTTCTCGTGGCCGTTTGACTTCACGTTCGTGTGCCCGACCGAGATCTGCGCGTTCTCTGACGCGGTCGCTGAGTTCGAGGCAGCTGGCGCGCAGGTTCTGGGCTTCTCGTGCGACTCGGCCTTCACGCACTTCAACTGGGTGCAGCAGCCGCGCAAGGAGGGTGGTCTGGGCGAGATCAAGTTCCCGATGATCGCCGATACCACGCAGAAGATCTCGCGCGACTACGGCGTGCTGGTCGAGGAGGAGGGCGCCCCGTTCCGTGCCACCTACATCATCGATCCCGAGCAGAAGATCCGCATCGTGCAGGTCAACGATCTGCCCGTCGGCCGCAGCGTCAACGAGACTCTGCGCCTGCTGCAGGCCCTGCAGTTCACCGACAAGCACGGCGAGGTGTGCCCGCTCGGCTGGGAGAAGGGCGATGCCACCATCAAGCCCGAGATTGCTGCGTCCAAGGACTTCTTTGCCAAGGCCAACTAGAGCGTGCCTTTGATTCTATCACCACAAAATAAAAAAGCCTTGTCACCATCCACTGCCAGCCTCCCCTGTCTCCCCCACTCCTGTCTCCGGTAACACAGATTTGGGCTGATGATGCAATGGTGCGTATACAAGGGCGGACAGAACTACAATATATACGTCTAGCGGACTCTATACTCTAGCAGATATGCGTGCGGCTGCTCGATGCGTCTGTAGTAGTTTTCGACGATGCGCACTGTTGAAAACCCGCTGGCGTGATAGAACCGCAGCGCATCGTCGTTGGTGATATGCACGTGCAGTACAAGTCGCCTGACAGCCGGGTCTGCCCTCGCATACCTGACTGCGCTATCCAGCAGCACCTTGCCCACGCCTAGCCTCCTGTACGGCGCCAGCACGCCGAGCGTCATGATATACGCCTCCAGCACGGCCGGTGCCCCGGGCCGCTGGCATGACGCCAGCTGGAGAGTCGGCGAACCCCCATGGCTGCTTCCGGACGCCCACTGTGCCGATGCACTTTTCCTTGTCTGTGCTGGACGTCGACGAACGCCAGCATTGCGTGCTGGTCGGGCATCAGCAGCGCCTTGTAGAACGAATGGCCGTATTGTACCGGGAACAGCACCGAGTTCAGCCGCTTGACTTTGGAGAGTGTGTCGGTGCTTACATGCTGCAGGCTCACTTGCCGCCCGTGCATCGTGTATGTTGTGTTGCCGAGCATTGCCTCTTTCTCTGTGTATGCTGGTGCTTCTTCCTCGGGCTCGGGCTCGTGTATGCGTCGTTGGTGCCGGAACAGAATTACTAATTGCCACAGGAGGAGACCGACAAGAGGCAGAAACAGGAGCTGCGTGAACATCAAGCCCCGCTGTTGCAGTGTAATATGGTGTTTTCGTTTTCTCCACCTCGATGAACCGGTTTTCGACGTCCTGTGAAAGTATTTGCCCGCTCCTGGACCTTTCTTTTGTGTAACACTACGGTCCGGCTCCTCGACAGATATGAGGATACTCGCAGTTATCAGGAAACGATTGGGACGGTATTATTCCCCCCGTAAGAATAGCATAAATTAACAAAGCGCAAGAAGGTGGCTTTCACCCTGCTCGCCGTTTTTGCATCGCAGCTGTCAAGCGCATTGGAGAGAACCGGCTGCCTGTCCCCGCTAACAAACGACACACGGCCGTTCGCTTATTGGAAAAGGGCGAATCCCAAAAGCGCGTCGCTCATGCACGCAGCAATGCTCTTCCTCTCAGAAGATTCCGGGGTTGCCGATCGTCCGCAACTCATCAGGCGCGTTGCGGCTTGGCATGGCACCGCCCCCGACTTTTTGCGCTCGAAGCCGAGCCGGTGCACACTCGGCTCGCAGGCGTGCTGTCGCCCACACGTGTCATTTCCAATTTTCTCTTGCTGCTTGGCGTGCCCTCTGTCCTCTCGCTTGTAATTATGAATTCGATTTCGCGACACACATTTCTGACACGCAGCTACATTCTCTCCCTGCTGAACAGCAGTGCCCCGCCCCCACAGCAGTCGTCTGCGCGGGTTGAGCGACACGACCTGCTAGATCACCCGTCGCTGCAGACCGCCACCAAGTGCTGCGTGTTCATCAAGGCCGTCGGCCGCTCAATGGGATTCCCCACACGCACCATTAACACCGCCCAGCTGCTGGTGCACCGCACGTATATCTACCGGCCGCAACCGCAGGCAACAGCAACGGACATCGCGACCGCGTGCTTGTTTGTGGCTGCAAAGATGGAGGAGACGCTAAAGAAGCTGAGAGACATCCTGGTGCATGCCTTTATCGCGTCGTCGCAGACTATGGAGGACGCCCGGACTGTGCCATCAAGTACTATTGATAAGATGCGGCCGGGCGTTCTGGCCAGCGAGCAGTTTGTCCTGGACGTCATTGGATATGACTTCCGTACCACCCATCCGCACCTGCTGTTGGTGAAGATGGCAAAGTTATCAGGGCGCTGAGCAGCCGACGGTGAGGGCAGCGTGGACGATTCTGGCCGACTGTTACTACACCACCTTGCCGGTGCAGTTTCCAACCGCGGTGCTAGCCGCGGGCGCCCTGTGTTTGGCGTGGAACCTGGACTGCGAGACACCGCAGGATGCAAGCCAGTTTGTGCTTCGCCTCTACTGCGCTAACACACAGACGGGGAGTAAGCGTGCTAGAGAAGAGGACCTGCCAGCGGTGCCGGTGGACCGCCCGACAGCGATTGAGCTGAGCTCTGAGTGGTGGACTGCGTTTGGCGTATCGACAAGCGACCTACGGAGCTTTGTGCGCCAGATGGTTGATTTCCACCTGCTGTTCTTCACAAACATCGCTTCGGCGCAATACGCCGAGCGCTACAGGACCGGTCCTGCCAAGCAAGGAAATGTCACAGCGGATCGGGCAATGGCGCCTGCGGCTCGGCAATGCCTCGATTACGCCAGTTTCGCCAAATAATTAGTATTGTGAGAACTATTCACATTAACATGACCCGATGCTTGCTGCGCCCGCGTGCTGCCGCCTTAGCTTGGACTGTACAAAGGCCGGGTTCGCAACAAACACAATCAGCAATAGTACGCCGACGCTGTCGTTGGAGAAGTCGCGCGTTGACATTGCCCATTTCTGCCCCGGATACGCGTACACAAGGATCTGCCCGATGCCTGTGCCCACATGCGCGAATCAGGTTGATTATCGGGTACATGGCCAGGTAGTATATGGACCGGGACACCTTGCGGCCATAGTACAGGCGGTCGAGAGAGTCGGGGCTGCACGGGAGCTGGTTGCTGCCGCGTCGCCGTGGCTGGTGTCGTCCATGGGTAGCGCCGCGAAGCTCCCGAGGAGGCCGCGCCTGCCAGCGACTGCGCTGCTATCCGAGATTGGCAAGACCAGAGTGTCGATTTCGCGTTTCAGTATGCGCCATTCGCGGATTGTTCTCCAGAACCCGGCGCCCACCAGCGCCAAAGACGCAATGGAGCATATTATGATCACCATGGTCAGCGTGATAATATGGTAATGCTGCTGCGCCCAATTCCCCTCAACAATATACAGATTCGAGGCGCCGAGCTTGCCGTCCCATGCCAGTATCGGCATGGCCACCACAAACGCCATGCCCAGTGATGCCGGAATATACCACTTGTGCAGATGCCGCGCCGACCGGTAGTGCAGCGCAAAGTTTAGCAAGAGGTCAATCGAGAACGCCGTTATTAGGAAGAAATACGCAAATGGGAGAAACGAAATGTCCAGGAACCCGTACATTACCCTGACAAACACCTGGTTCGTCTGGATGCTTGCAGGCAAGTGTGCGAAGAAGATGTCGAGGAAGCTGATGCTGCGGTTCACAGTTACCACAGCTGCCATGGCAAGCGAGAGCTGCAGGAACATGCTAAAGACCCAGCCGTCGCGCTTCACCAGATAGAGGATTAGGAGGCATTGCGACACTGAGCAGACAAGTGAGAATCCGCAGAACACACTGTCAGAGATCGTATGCCCTGCATCAATACATTTCTTTGTGCTCTGTCCAGTATATCGACCCAATGCGCTATCTGTCGATGCCCACTTTTGGATATATCGAGCTGATGAAGAGGAATAACAGCAACGATAATAATAATAATAACAACAACAATAATAATAATAGCCAGAAGAGCGGGAATATGGCAACAGTAAAGAATGGAGAGCAAAAGAGAAAGAGGTCCTTTTTGCAACCAGGAGGAAAGTAGCAGTCGGGAGAGCGGTAGAGATTATAAAAGAAACAGTAGGAGAGCAGAGCGCTTTTATATTTTCCAGGCACGAGTTTCTATGATTAGAGAATGTGTATATTTACTCGAGGAGAAAGGCAGACTGAATGGAGCAGAAGAGAGGAGTTTGTTCATTAACGACAACAAGAACCCGGCCACGGGGCAAACTTTCGTGCCAGCAAGCGATAGAGAATGTTTCTTTGAGAACAATTAATAAAACAGCTGGCCAGTTGTTTGTGAAGGTGGAAGAGGAGGACATGGTATTTTATCCATGGGCATCAACGTTTTTGTGCGCCGCCCAAAGCTGAGGTAAATTCTACCGCAACATCACCACGTCTTTTGTCACCTAGACAACAATTTCCACTCCCCAGATGCAGCATTTATTGCACGCAACCGCTTGTCACCCGAGTCGCTTTATTTCCTTTCTTCTGCCAAGCAAGCAGCTTTTACTGGCGAGAGAAAGTGGTCCTCCCCAATTCCAGACAAGAACAGCACGTATGCATGGCGTATGTGCACATCAATTCCCTTGTCTCCCGACCTGCCTGATCCTCCTCGCCAGTCACTCGAATGTATCATATGGACACGCACTCCCTGGTCAAATAAAGCGCACCGCACCATGGAGCAAACGCACTGATTGTTGGAAAGCCGAAACGAACTGCCGCTGCTTTCCGGCGCACTGTGAGAGGCGACAGGTCGGCATGTTCGGCTAGTGATTTCAATTGGCCAGCAAAGGCAGCTGCACATTGTCCAGCACCACCTTGAACAGACAATCGACTCAACAACATGCCCTTTATGAGTGGGAATGTAGCGCCACGCTTGTCCAGTTGATTATTCTTGCTTCTAAATACAGAATGCATGGGAACCGACAAGTGGAGGAGCTGGCACATAGCGACATGCCATTATTTGCTAATGTCTTGTCCGCAGCCCTGCTGCTCGGCAGTTTTCAGATACTGCGCAAAACCAACCATGTCGGTTACAAAGTAACCGCCGATCCGCTTGCATGTAAGCAACGCCCGGCTATTGTGTAGCTTGAGTTTTGTTTATGCAAGCATAATGCACACCCCCCGGCTTTCTGGAAATGCCGAGTCGTGTCTAGAACTGAATTGTCGCTTTTCATTGCTTTTCTGAATTATTGACTGCCTGCTGTTTGCGAAAACACATATTACAAACAGGCGCGCGCCTCACCAGGCCCCAGACTCCATCATTAATATTCTGCGTCCTTGCAAGTATATATTGCGTGGACCCCGATCAGAAACCTATTGTGCACGATGTGACAGAAGAGTGCTCATTCTGCACATTCTCCCCACCTTGGTCAAGCAGTGTTTCTCTTTTGCTCGATCATTATACCATTATGTCGCTTTCCATCCATATTTCCTTTTGCACAGCTACCTGAATGCACACCCAAGATACTAGAGACGTTGCTCACACCAACCTGGACATTACTGTGAAACACTGGAGGTCGATGAATCAGGCGCTGACAATAACCAGTAGCATCGCGCTATTTTTCTCTGTGCTGGCCATTGCCTCATTCTTTGTTCTCCTTGCCAACAACGCATACCGTATGAGCCTGCCGCTTTTGAAGCTGACCACATCGATCCAGACAGTGAATATGCTGGCCCTGATAATCACATTGTGCCAAGGAGAAATCCACATCCGTGCCGAGCTCTTGTGCAGCTGCTTGCGCTATATCCAATTCATCTGCTACCTTAGCTCAATTTTTATGTCGTGCTCTGCTACCGTCCACCTCTGGCTCGTAATCACCCGCCGCAACTTGAAGAAAGCAGCTCAGTGCGAGCGGTGGTACTTTGTCGTACCGTTTGCCCTAGCCTTCACACTGTCGGCCATCCTAGCTGCCCTGCCGAATACCGCATACGGTATAAGGAACCGGTGCTTAGGAGCAGCAATCCCATCAAAGAAATATCTGATAATCCGGTGGTGTCTGTACTACGGGTGGTTCGTTATCTCGTCGGCCATTGCAATCTGTTGTATGATTAGCGTCTTGATCTCCGCGCGGAGGCTGACGAGGACAACGCCGCCGAGCGACGTCAGAGCGTTCCTTACTACCGAGGACTACCGAGATGCTGTAAACTCGCGCGCCAACAGCAAGCGCCTACGATCGCTGGTGGCATACACGATTACTTACCCTGTAATTGTCGTGGTATGCAACATGCCGCAGCTCATACATGAGCTTTTGTCAACGGTTCTGAAGCGGCCAATGGAGGGCTTATACATTGCTGCGATGGTGCTTTTGTATAGCCAGGGATTTTTCCTGTCACTCGCGTTCTTTTCGTATCCAGCCGTGCGACATTCAGCGAGAGAGATGATACATGCAGCCGTGCAGTACTGGGTGATCGAGCAGGAGGAGTTCTGGCGGATGCAACACCATGATGCTGGGGAGCGCAATATACGGCAGCAGGAGATTGGCGATTTCCCAACGGATAAGCGGGATGCAAACAACTTTACGTCCATGCGTGGACGCCTATACCACTTCATTCTGTGCCTCACCCCTGAAGGACGGCTGGCTCGGGCCCAGTAGATACCTTCCGCTCAAAAGCAGGTTATACTGGTCCGCACCTGGTCAAATATAAAAAGGAATTGTAATTATAATACCACTGACGTAATCATGCCACCGAGAAGGCTGGCGAAACCCATGTCTGGCAGCTGCTCTTGCTCTTGGCGTCACCGAGAGGACGCAAGGCATCGAGGCGCACAGTGTATATTCCCCTTGCAAGCTGCACAGGCTTGGTCCCCTGTGCATCACTATACACAGTGCCGTTGACAATGCCGTGATACAGATATGTGTCGGCAGTCTGCTGGTTGCGTGGCACATACGGGTTGTACCCTCCAACAATATAGCCTTTGGTCACGTTCTTTGTGTTCTGTAGCGACAGGGTAACGAGACGTGATGGCACCTCCAGACGCCAGTTGACTGCAATTGGGTTCGTCCCATTAGCACCGAATGTCGTCGGGCTATCGAGAGTTTTTCCGTTGATATCAGTAAGAACAGGCAGTCCCTCGGACGGGTCAGCAAGCACATCGATTTTGCTGTAATCTCCGTTGAATCCTGCGTAGGGTACGACATACGACGAAGCCTTAGACTCTCCAGACCAGGTTAGAGTGAAATTAAGGAAGCCGCCGTAGAACCACCGCCCAGATTCCTTCAGACCGTATGGCGAAATGATGTAGACATCGACACTGCGCGACTTGCCGGCACCTACTGAGCTTGATCCAGACAATGACGGAATATAGACCTGCGGCAACGTCGACTTGTCCTGGGACCCCGAGGCATCGGCTGGCCACACACGGGGCACAGCTGTAAAAGTACCATCTGCGTTGGAGTTTGTCAGAGAGTCGGCAACCGAGTGTGAGAATGATATGCGCGCAGACTTCCTCTTGTCGGTGTTTCTGATAGTTACAGTACGGCGCGCCCAGCGCACATTTGCAGACGAACTAAACCCAGCAACACCACTCAGGCGACCATGGTTTGTGTTGTTGATTGGGATCAGAGAAGGCGATACCTGGGCGCGGGCTGTGATCGCATCGTATATGTTTACCAGACCGCCGCCGCTCCAATATGGATGGATCTTCTTGCCACTGGTCTGGTCATCACGGGGCTTGGCAGCGTTTACGAGAGCTTGTGCGATGTCCGATACGCTGTAGCTTGGGAATGCCTGCTTCAGCAGTGCAACTGTGCCCGAGATGTACGGTGTAGCCATCGAGGTTCCTGACATCGACGTGTAGCCACCAAACTTGAGTGGATATGTCGAATAGATGTTGCCACCGGGTGCCGAGATATAAGGTGCCATATCAAGTTCAGGTCCAGGTCCATACGAGCTGAAATCGGACATCTGGCCGGCGGTAGAGCTAGGCACAGTGATAATGCTGCCCTTGGGCGCCTTGATTCGGACACCTCCACTAGTCAGGGCACTGACTGCATATGCACCGTCGTCTTTAGAAATGAGAACTAAAGGAATTTCCACCGTCTCGTCTGTAACCGAAGGGCTGAACATACCCACCACGTTGTTGTAAATGATGACGCCAACTGCCCCAGCAGCCTGGGCATTGACTGCCTTCTCGTTGAACGTGCAATTGCCACGCTGGACAAGCGCAACCTTGCCCTTCAAGTCCTGGCTGATCGTGGCGCAGCCCAGATTGCTGTTTGTCGAGTTGGATACGCCCGCTAGAGACACAGGGTCGGGAAACACAAAGGGAACATCAGCATTGCCTGGCGTTGAGCTTGAGATTGACTTGTCTCCTGCACCTGCGATAATATCAATGGCACCGCCTGTGTTGTTCCAGTTGTCAATCGACCCAACGCTGATGACGCCCTGGCCAAGAGCAGGCGATCCTGCGGTGAACAGGCCAGCAGCACCCTCATTTCCATTGGCAGCGACGACAACGACGCCCTTCTTGACCATGTTCGAACAGGCCACAGCCGTTGGGTCCTCTGGCCAGCCACCACCGCCCAACGACAGGGACATGATGTCAACGCCATCCCTGTACGCAGCTTCAATACCAGAGATGATCAGGTCGTCAGATGACGACACATTGCCGTCTACAGGGCAGCTGAAGATGCGGTACATGCCCATGGTGGCATCTTGAGCGACACCAATGACGGTGGGGCCTTGACCAGCGATAATACCAGCAACATGGGTTCCGTGGCCTGCGCAGTCCATCGGATAAGGACCAGGGGTGATAATCGGATTGGCATCGTTTGGATTGTACAAATCGCCGACAAAATCTGAGCCGAACTGCCACATGCAGCCAGAGGTCTTCCAGCAGTTGCCAAGCTCGGGGTGGTTGAAGTCGACACCGCTGTCAATAATACCGATCTTCAGGCCCTTTCCAGTGAACCCGAGGTTCTGCACAACAGCATCAACACCAGTAGCATGGTGGAGGTACGGGTACGTGATGTTCACTGGCGATGTCTGCACGGGAATTGTTAGGATTTTGACTGGCCACACACGCTTGACGCCTGGCAGTGACGCGAGTTGTGCTGGGTCGAAGTTTTTGTCGGCCCTAACGGAGTACCCATTGAACAACGTGTTGTACTGCTTGTCCACAATGAACTTGGGCACTGACTTGGCAAAGCTTGAGGTGGCGCTGGTGGCAGCTGCACGCACATCAGTACTGCCTGGTTCGCCCTCAAGCTCGACGATGAAGGACCCAGGCTTGATATTGACCCCGGCTGGATACTTGACCACTCTCTGGATGGCACCTTGCACATCACTGCTGAGTGCCTGCGTAGTTTGCTGGCCCAATGCAGCGAGCAAGAAGAGGAACGCAGATGAGGTGACCCGCATTACTATCAACGGCTGATGGAAGGGTAGGACTAGATGATGCTATAGATTATTCCAAAAAAATATACGGAGAGACGAAATAGGCAACCAATACACTGGAAGGAGAGGAGGTAATGAGGGTTTGCCAGTTCATTTGCTCTGGAATTCGCAACGATCTTTTTATAGTGTTTCCAGGATACTTGTTCAGCAGGCTCTTCTTCCTATTTGGCCCTTCTATCCGACCAGACTGGTCACGCTCCCTCACTAAACACCCGCTCTCCCCACTTTCACTTATACAAGGACTCACACTGCCGCGTTTTCGGCTAAAGCGGTTTTCACGTTCTTGCCAATCTTGTTTATTGCGTCTGCATGCGCTGCATCTGCCAGAGTGCATGCCCTGGGCAGTTTTTCTTTGGTAGTGACCATACTTTGCCACTTGCACTTTTTAGCAGTCCGTTTTTGTTTTTGCAAGTTTGGCCGTGGTTTTGTTCTCGCGCAGACACGGCCAGATTCTGTCAGCTTGATTCTGGTCCAGAGGAATGTTGCCTCTTATTGACAACCTCGTATATGCATTGCCAGCGATGTCTACATCAAGAAAAGCCTCTGGCATTGCCCGTCCAGGGCAGTCTCGGGCTGACGCGGCTCTACGTGGGTGGCTACCCGACAAAGGTGTTGAAGTATGCAACCATGCCTTTCCTGCCCACCACCACCCATACAAAATGCATCGTGCTGGTCATTCTCTGGGGGGCTCCTTCCCAGGATCATTGTCAAGGGCGTAGAGAACAACCAGCACGACATTTGTTTCTCAAGGTGGCCAGCGGAGTCGAGCTTGCTGCATTGTTGGCGCGATCTACCCCCCGAGAGGTATGCCTTCCTACCAAAGTGTAAGAGCGGAAGCAAGGCATAAACAACATTGCAGCTGGCCACGCTATGCATGAGGGCAGTGTGTGGGAGAGTGCGACTTTTGGACACGCTCTATTGCTGTGGTTTGTTCTATGGGCTGCTGAGGCACGGTGACATGTCGGCAATGCTTCCTTTTGTTTTACTAGAATTGCTCTGCTCGCGATGCGAGCTCGGCTGCTAGTCAGCATGGGTTGACACGTCGATAAGGGCATCACGGCGAACCGATCATTTGAACGTGTCGGATGGTTGTTGGTGCAATGTCGATCATGGACATCTCCCACCTTGGTGGCCTGCTCAGCGCAGGCGCTTCAGCGCTGGTTCTCTGCTGCTGGCAGCAGAATCGCCTGCTGCTGCACGCCTCTTGCGCGACCTCTTTGTTGCAGGGGTAGTGCCAGAAGCATCGGCAACAATGGCCGTAAAGCGACGGAACCGTTCAGGAATACTGCCTGAATCACAGAGTGACTGGAAAATGAGCTTGAAGTTTAGAACTGCTGCGAGGTCGCGGTTCAAGAGTCGAGACGAATAGGCCCGCCTGTATTGTGCCATGGCCTGCTTACATGACTCGCTTGTACAGCGGAGAAGGCCATGGCACTTCACAGTTGGGTTCTTCGATCTCTGGTAGGGCCGCGGATTGGGAACATGCCGGAATGTCTGCAGCGACTTTTCGCAGCAGAACGGGCACATCGACGATGTCCGGAATTCGTCGATCAGATAGACTTCAAAGCCATGGTGCTTGAACTTGTCGCGCCATCTCTTGCCACGAATTGGCGCATGGTGTCGGGCCATCGGCGCACTCCAATTACCCATGATCAGCACTGGATCTGGACCGAACTTGCTCCGGAGTTTTGCGGCAAGCCTGTGGTCTGCACGGGCCTGGTTCATGAATGAATCAAGGCGCTGCTTGCGGTGAAGCGGGTACACCTTGGGACTGGTACTGGCACCTGGATGGGCCTTCCAGCGCCTCTGGTGCTGCTTGTTTGACTTAGTGGGCTGCTGCTCTGGTAACCTTCGCGCTGTCATCGTGTTGGCATAGAACGGTGCTAGGACACACCGCACAGATGCACAGGCAGCAACGTAGGCACGGAATTTTGCTGGGCTAAGGGTCCGGTAGCAGTGCTTGGAAAGCCCTGCCTCTACTCTGCGGACAGCATCTTCTGGGACTTGATCCTTTGTAGCCCAGCGAATCCTGTCATAGTGGCGCAGCTTGAGCTCCTTATTGCGCTGCTGCCGTGTGTAGCGGTAGAGCATTTTTTTTCACCCTCTTTCCCATTGCTGCTATTTTCGTGCATCATGTATAGCAAATCGCCCCGACCTGGATCGATGAATACACAGCGGCCTTTCAGATTCTGCAGCTCTGGCTGTGGGATCTGGTGGATATAGCGACAGTCAGTTATAGTATTGCCTCCCACAGCATCAGCATCTACTGCACCATCAGCCTTGAATATCTTGTCTTGCAACAAAATTCATATCGTTACACCATCTGTTGTCGCCATTCCGTGGAATTTTCTATCACCATGTGCCTTAAATGGCTTTGATGTTAGATCTGCGACCCGGCCCCACACATCCCACACGGGTTGTGTGATCCCTTGGACCGGGTCGTGTGCACAGACTGGGGGTGCTGATGCATATGCATTGTTAAGTGCTGCAACAGTGTCTGCTGCTGCTGCCGATGCAGCAGCAAGTGAATCAGCCGCTACTGCTGCAGTTGCTGCAGTGGCCTCTGTTGCATCCGATGGCATCTTCGCTGCTTCGCGTGCAGCCTTCTTGGCCAATTTTTCGCCCTTTTCTGCTGCTTTCCTTGCCTCGGTTGCTGCCCTCTTTGCTGCACTGATCTTGGTAACCTGCTCGCGTGTTTTCGAAACAAACACCTGCTTGATTATTTGCTTGTCTAAGCGCACATGGCCTGGGATCCATGATGTCCGCAGAGGCAAGCATTGGGGGGGAGACTTGCCAAGCTGCTCATTCTCGATAAGCTGGCATAGGCGAATGTATGCACGCAGATGCTTAAGTGGATTTACCTTGGCATCATAGTATCGGCTGTCTTTGGCGAATCTGTACTTGGCACCATAGGCATTAAGGACTGGTGCCAGCTTGTTGTAGATTGCAAGCATCGGTGGGGTGAGCACACTGAGATCAGGGTGCCTAGAGGCAACTGCCTGGCGGAGCTTCTGTGCAGGTATATAAACATACACTTGACATGCATTATTGAACTCAGCCTTGGACACATTGCCCATTGTACTGTGCAGTGTGTTTTTGCGGCTGCGAATATCAATCAATTTGGCCAGAATCCGCTGTAGGCAAGTGCCATAGTGCAACACAATGTTGTTCTTGTATGCTGTCATCAGCTCGGTATCCACGTATGTTGCTACTTGATTCATTTCACGTACACCATGTAGCTCAATATCGCCATTATGCAATAGATAATCATAAATATGGTATCTAACTACATCACTGAAATCTGCTTTCAACAGTTCTGACCTGTCCTTCCAGTTGACGAAATCCTTGGCAGATATGGTCGTCTTTGCCTTCAGGTTGCGATAAATAAATAAATAAATGGAACGAAAAAACCCCTTTTTCACAAATGTTGCTGGGTCAAAAGCATCCCCGTCAGCTAGCTGATGGAGTAGTATCCATCGTGCAAGCATGTATGTATGCTCTTTGATGATATTGACGCTGTGTACAAATTGCTCTAGGCGGGGCAACATAGAATCACGGAAGCCAATACCACCAAGTGATGTCTTTATGACAGTAGTACTGCGGGTAATATTCATTTGAGAAATTCAATAGGCAAAGTAAGAAGAGAAATGATGCTGTTCAGTTTTGGTTTATTGCGTATGCATAGCATTAAGAACTTTTTATTAAAAATGATCTGGCTTGCATGGTTCTTGGGGCCCTTAGCACTGATACAGTCTCTTGAATCAGTCTATACAGACCGGGTCCATTGTGGCCCAAATACTACTGCTTACGCATGTTCATAAGACAAATTAATTTATAAAATAAACCCACAAATATTGCATGACCGCTAGAAGAGCTACATGACCTTATTCAATAGGTGCTCATAAATAAACATCCTAAGAGTGTTGCGCAGCTGGTGATGACCACCATGATGACACTATGGAAGTTATCAGGCCGACCGACAATGAGAGCAGCTCTTGCGCTGAACCAATGGAGATATCTAGTGGAGACCTGTGACCACTACAATAACAACTTGTCACCCTGGTTTCACCGATGAGGTCAGATGCCGCACAAGATCAAAAAGGAGTCTACAGAGCAAGTCACTCAAACCCGTGTTGAAGCTTAAGAGTTTTTTTTTAACCAAGTAAATAATTTCTAGCGGACGGTCGGACACTTTTTGGACTATAAAATCTTATATATAGGTAAAGGTACTGGCCGGTGATCCCCATCCAAACTTTCTGGAGGCGACTATTTATTATGGAATCTGCGTATTAGGATTCATATTAATATCGCCTTTTGCATGTCTTTGTTTATTTAGAAGCTGGCTCGGAGCCTAGGAAATAGAAGGCTGGCTTTGCTATTTGCAAGATCTATAAGAAAGAACGGAATGGAAATATATTGCGTGTTTGCCAATCCTCTCAGCCCCAAGTCCAGGCGACATAGTGACCAAGCTCTCATGCAAATGGGATTGGCACCTTGCGCATCAGGGCGTCCATTTGTGTGGGAACCGCTTTGATGTTGCGATTGACAACCCAGTCCATGCATCCGGTCTCATTCCTGTTTTCATCCACCTAACAGATCGTTTTAGCGAGAACACCGGATATTGCGCGGGTTTTTGCTGGCATAAAAGACCCCCACCATGTTGCTCGATGCCACTTTCTCCTGCCCACGCGCTCTGCTCGGTCGGAGAGATCACTTTTTGTCATGGTAGCATAGTTGCATGCGACTGGAGTGTAGGCGGATGTGCCTATGCTTTCCGTTTCTCATGTTCCACATTTCGAAGGGCAAATATGAAGAATTGTAAACGTAGGTTATGCAGGAATACTGTTCGTCTACGGTCTGCTTTGGCGGATAATGATAGGAGAGCATTGGATTTAAGCACAAAACAACTAACTCAGAATGGTACGCAAAGTATCTGTAGTGACTTATCATTCTTGTGTGGGTGGAATATTGAACAGATCGATTGCTAGATATCGGGTCTAGACACGCGTCTATGAGACTGTGAAAGCAGGCGATATCCATGTCTGGAAGTCCTTCTGGCTCGTAGGGTTGCCTAGCGGGCGCAGAGCATCAAGCCGCACTTTATATTGGCCAGCAAGTCACATTAGCAGGCTTCGTGCCAAGCTCGTCCTTGGAACACCCGCTTCGTGACAAGCGCAGTGTAGAGATACGTTTCGGCAGCCTGAAGATTACGCGGGACATACTCGAGGTAGCCACCAGTGACATAGCCCAAGGAAGTGTTCTTCATGTCCACCAAAGTGACCTTCACAATGCGCGAGGGGACCTCCAGACGGAAGTTCACTACAGCAGGGGTAGTGTCAGTGACGCTGAACTTGGTGCCTTCGATGGGGATTCCCTTGGTATCAGTCAGGATCGGCAAACCCTCCGAAGGCTGGGACAAGACATCCAGCTGGCGGTAGTTTCCGTTGAATCCGGTGTACGGGACAGTGAAGCTCTTGGCAGTATTCTTTTCGCCGGACCAAGTCATGGTGAAGTTCAGGAACCCACCGTAGAACCAGCGGTCAGACTCTTTAAGACCGTATGGAGCGATGATGAACACGTCCACACTGCGCTTCTCTCCAGGTTCAAGGATGTCGTAGTATTGGAGGTCAGGCACATATACCTGCGGAAGCGTCGTGGGCCCTTGGGATCCAGAAGCATCAGCAGGCCAGACACGCGGATTGACAGCAAAAGAACCATCTGCGTTCCAGTTGGAGAGGGAGTCGGCCACCGAGTTTGAGAACGAGACGCGTGCCGACTTCTTCTTGTCCAGATTCTTAAGGTCGATGGTGCGGACGGCCCAGCGGACACTCTGCGAGGAGCTAAATCCCTCCACTCCGTCTAGATATCCGAGTTTGGTGTCATTCAGGGCAATCACCGGCGGAGACACTTGTGCACGGGTTGTGATGGCATCGTAGATATTGACCAGACCACCGCCGCTCCAGAACGGGATGAATATTCTTGCCTGTCTTGGCGTCAGCACGTGGTTTGGCCGAGTTGATCAGGACGCGGTGAATTTCGGCGACACTGTATTTGGGGAACGCCTGCTTCAGCAGCGCGACGGTTCCAGACGTGTACGGCGTGGCCATCGACGTTCCTGACTTTGATCCATAGCGGCCCATGTTGATTGGCACCGTCGAGTAAATGTTGCCACCTGGTGCGGAGATGCGTGGGGCAATGTCGAGCTCCGCTGACGGCCCATACGAGCTGAAGCTGGACATTTGGCCACCGGTCTCGCTGGGGACGGTTACAATATCACCCTTCTGAGCCCTGACTGAGACACCCCCTGCAGTCGAGCGCGGAGACGATGTACTGGCCATCTGACAGCGAGATACCAACAACAGGAATTGTCACTGTTGTATCGGTAACCGACGGGGAAATGGCACCAGCAACATTGTTATAGATGACCACACCAGTAGCACCCGCAGCCTGGGCATGGACCACCTTCTCGTTGAACGTGCAAGTGCCGCGCTGGATAAGCGCAATCTTGCCCTTCAGATCCTGGCTGATCGTGGCACAGCCCAGGTTGCTGTTGGCAGAGTCCACTGCCGCAGCTATCGGAGCTGGGGGGTTAAAGACGAACGGGATATTCTCGTTGGACGAGAGTGAGATTGAGATACGTTTGTCTCCCGACGGTGTAATAATATCGGCGGCGCCGCCTGTGTTGTTCCAGTTGTCAACTGATCCAACGCTGAGCACACCCGAACCGACTGCAGGAGCTCCAGCAGTGTACAACCCAGATGCACCGTCATTACCATTGGCAGCAACGACAACAACACCCTTCTTGGCTAAATTGCTGCAGACAACGGCTGATGGGCCCTCTGGCCAGCTGACACCGCCCAGCGACAGCGAGATAATGTCAGCACCGTCTCTGTACGCGGCCTCAGCAGCTGCGATAATAACGTCATCCGAAGTTGTGACACCCTTGCCGTTCTTGGGACAGCCAAACACGCGATACATGCCCATGGTGGCATCTTGAGCAACACCAATCACTTGAGGTCCTTGGCCAGCGATGATGCCAGCAACGTGAGTTCCATGGCCCGTGCAGTCCATCGGGTGTGGCCCAGGCTTGATAACAGGGACTGGGTCGTTCGGATCATAGTCGTCACCGACGAGATCATAACCCAACTGCCACATGCAGCCAAAGGTCTTCCAGCAGTTGCCGAGTTCGGGATGGTTGAAAGTCGACGCCGCTGTCAATAACACCGATCTTGACGCCCTTTCCAGTGAACCCGAGGTTCTGCACAACAGCATCAACACCCAGTAGCATGGTGCAGGTACGGATATGTGATATTTGCTGACGACTGCTGGATATGGCTGAGTAAGGAGTCTGACCGGCCAGACACGCTTGACACCTGGCAGCGATCGCGAGCTGGATCGGATCAAAGTTCTCAGTAGTCTTGACAGAGAATCCGTTAAACAGGGTGCTGTATTGCTTGTCAACAGTGAACTTTGACGTGGTCTTCGCGAAGCTGGAAGTAGCGCTGCCGGCAATTGCCTGCACATTGGTACTGCCAGGCTCACCATCAAGCTCGACGATAAATGCACCAGGACGAATGTCGGAGTTAGCGGAGTACTTGGCAACCTTGTGAAGAGCATCCTGCACATTGGCACTGACAGCCTGGACGGACTGCTGGCTCAGCGCAGCAATGGCGAGGAGGAATAGGGAGGAGGTAACACGCATATTTGATGAATTAATATGGCGGGTTTCAGGAAGTAGCAAAAATAGGAATAGCGGCTGATGAATGTCGATGTCCAGATGCAGCGAAATTTTTCTGGATTTTATAGGCTGTCAATTCGATAGTGCTGGTCATCGAGGAGGTGCCTTCTCTCTGGGAAAAGCATCTCGCATGAAATTGTGCTGGCCAGGGCTCTCGCAACATTCTACCTGGTTTTGGCGAGCCATGCATATGTGCTTGGAGCACAGAAGATTCCCTGCGTTGGATCATCAAGCCTGCCAGTCAGCTGTCCCCGCAGTCCCTAGACAAGCAGCCCATTCTGCTCTCACAGTTCTTTCCCACAGTGAGCGGTCTCTTCACGGGCTGCATGAAACTGGTTCCATTAGAAGGGACCACAGGGCGCATGAATGTGAATATTCGTGCACCGATAGTCCTGCAATATTGCAATTCGATAATAAAAATGCTTGAGGCGGGCTTTATGAGTGCAGCAATATATAATTGCTGCCGCAAATTGTCCCTCAAAAATAAATATGCCGAGCTGGAATATCCGGCTGTACCCCCAGGCCCAGAGCACAAACACAAGTTGCCTGTTTGTAGGCGCACCTCGGCTGTTATCAATAGGCTGCAGAAATACGTGGCCAAAACATGGGCAAAGTTCTCATGATCACTTTACTCCTCCAATTTCAGAAACGAGGGCATGCCCATCGATGGGTTGCCAAAAACACGATTTCACCTTTTTGTTTGACCATGTGTGGTTGTTTTGTCTGAAAATCGAAGGCAGCAATACCTGTTTTTGCCTGGTGCTAATCCAAGAGATGTTCAGGTGCCCAGTAGGCGATTCCGGCACTTGCTGCCGGTCTGCTCAGCTCCGTTTCCCACGAGCAAGTGTTGGTCGGCCAATGCAAACTCGATCATGGTCTTCGGGTATTTTCATTTGAAACGCACACCATGCTCATGCTTGTTTATTGCCATGTAAAATACAGCTTACGCAAATGAGATCGCAGGTGATATCCAAGCCTGGTAGTCCTTGGGGTTCTTGGGGTTTCCGAGCGGACGAAGTGCATTCAGATTGATCTGGTACTGGCCAGCAGGGACCTTCACCCGCTGGGTCATCAGCGTATCCTTGAATACTGTGCCGTTGGCCACAGCCGAGTACATGAAGGTTTCTGGGGTCTGCAGGTTGCGCGAGACGTACTCAAGGTAGCCGCCTGGAAGATACCCCATCGTCTTCTTCTTTGAATCTTGCAGCGTGATTGAGACAAGGCGTGATGGAAGCTCAAGACGGAAGTTGAAGACCTGTGGGGTCTTTTCAGTGACAGGTGCTGTGGTTACATTGCCGCTTGCATCGGCTAGCAGTGGGAATCCCTCGGATGGGTCAGCAAGCACATCAAGCTGGCGATAGTTGCCGTTAAACCCAGCATATGGAATAACAAATGAAGAGGCACCATTGGACTTGTCACCCCAGGACATGGTGAAGTTCAGGAATCCGCCGTAGAACCAGCGCTCAGAGTCCTTCAGGCCATACGGGGCAGTGATTACAACAGCAATATTGCGTGTCTGGCCAGGACCAACCAGGTTGTTACTGTGAAGTTCAGGTGCATATGCCTGGGGCATAGTGCTCCAGCCAGTCTGAGCCGTTGTGTCTGCAGGCCAAACACGAGGTTTCGGGTTGAACGTACCATCAGCCGCCCATGGTGTGAGTGAGTCTGCAACAGAGTTGCTGAAGGAGATGCGGGCCGCCTTATGTGGGTCGGTGTTCTTGATCGACACTCTGCGTACAGACCAGCGAGGGAAGTACCCCATCATTGAGCCAAACACAGAGCTGAGCGGCCCACTCATGGTGTTGTTGAGCGCAAGCGCTGACGGCGAAAACTCAACACGCGAATTGATAGCGTCAAAGATGTTGACCAGGCCGCTGCCGCTCCAGTACGGGTGGATGTTCTTGCCAGTGGTCTTGTCGCTGCGAGGCTTGGCAGTAGTAGAAAGGGCCTGGCGTAGTTGGTCGACACTGTATTTCGGATGTGCTTGCTTGAACAGAGCAGCAGTACCCGAGATGTACGGTGTGGCCATTGAGGTTCCAGACATTGATATGTAGCCGCCAAGTTTCAGCGGATATGTCGAATAGATGTTGCCGCCAGGAGCGGAAACAATAGGTGCGATATCCAGCTCCGGTGACGGACCATACGAGCTGAAATCTGACATCTCGCCACCGGTCGTAGCAGGTACTGTGGCAACGTTGCTCTTGGGCGCCTTAACAGTAACATTCCCGCTGGCCAAGGCACTGACAGCATACGCGCCGTCTTCTTGAGTAATGATAACAACCGGAATAGTAACGCTGGGGTCCGTAACCGATGGACTCATCATACCAGGTGCGTTGTTGTAGACGATTACTCCAGCTGCCCCAGCAGCCTGGGCATTTGCTGCTTTCTCGTTGAACGTGCAATTGCCACGCTGGATAAGCGCAACCTTGCCCTTCAGGTCCTGGCTGATCGTGGCGCAGCCCAGCTTGCTGTTTGCAGAGTCGACGACGGTGACCAGTGGCACATTGTTTTCAAAGACAAACGGAAAATCTCCGTTTGCTGGCGTCGATGCCAGCAACTTCTTGGTGCCAGCACCTGATACCACGTCAATGGCATTCCCGGTTATGTTCCAATTGTCGACTGATCCAACGCTGATTACGCCATGACCGAGCCCCGGAGATCCAGCAGTGAACAGACCAGCGTCGCCGTCATTGCCATTGGCCACAACGACGATGATACCCTTCTTGACCATGTTTGAGCAGGCAACTGATGTTGGGTCCTCGGGCCAGCCACCGCCGCCCAGCGACAGCGAGATAATGTCGGCGCCTTCCTTGTAAGCAGCCTCAACTCCGGCAATGATGAATTCGTCCGATGTGGTCGGCTCGGTGCCATTCTTGGGACAGCCAAACACGCGATACATGCCCATGGTGGCATCTTGAGCAACACCAATCACTTGAGGTCCTTGGCCAGCGATGATGCCAGCAACGTGAGTTCCGTGGCCCATGCAATCCATTGGGTGTGGCCCAGGCTTGACAACAGGGACTGGGTCGTTCGGGTTAAAGTCGTCTCCAACAAGATCAGCACCGAACTGCCACATACAGCCAAAGGTCTTCCAGCAGTTGCCGAGTTCGGGATGGTTGAAATCGACGCCGCTGTCAATAACACCGATCTTGACGCCCTTTCCAGTGAACCCGAGGTTCTGCACAACAGCATCAACCCCAGTAGCATGATGCAGGTACGGATATGTGATGTTTGTTGGCGATGCCTGATACTGCAGTTTGCGAATACGGTTCGGCCATACACGCTTGACTCCTGGGATTGAGGCAATCTGGATCGGATCAAAGTCCTTGTTGGCATGCAAAGTAAAGCCATTGAATAGCTCTGTGAAGTGCTTTCCAATGGTGAATTTGGGGGCCGAGGGCGCAAAGTTAGATGTAAAGCTGGAAGCGACACTGTTGGTGATTGCCTGGATGTTGGTGTTGCCGGGAGTGCCATCGAGCTCGACAATATAGGAGCCTGCCTTAACATTTACGCCACTCGGATACTGCATTACCTTCTGGATAGCAGCCTGGATGTCTACGCCCGCGGCATGCGCGGACGGCTGGCTCAAGCAGACAAATGTCAGCAAGAGAATGCTTGAGGTAAATTTCATGAGTGGAAAGTCGAAGTTGGGGGAAAGGGACGAGCTATATCAAAACCGGGTAGGATGCTAGTGGGAGGGGTTCAAGGTATAGGAGAGAAAAGGGCAAGCCGAAAGAGAAGAGGCAGGGTGTGCGCTAGGAGGTCGTGGGAGTAGAAGGAGGCGGTGGTACGAGGAGGCGGTGGTAGGAAGTTAGGTAAAAGAAGAAATGGTTGCAAACAATAGCTGCTTTATACCAGGACCACCCTCCACATGCAGTTCGCAATTGTGTGCTTGTGCCGCACAGCCTCACAGCTCAGACTGGCCGGGCTAGTCGGGAATAGAGAACAATAAATCAAGTGCTCGTCTTCGAATAGGATGTCTCAATGCCCATCACCCATGTGAGCCGGGAATTTGAAGAGCCATGCCCCCTCAGCTACGCAAATGTTTCCGAATGCAACTCCCAACACCTTTTTTCGTTGCCCTTTCATACATGAACAAAATTTCACAAACTCCCTAAAACCAGCAAATGATCCACATGTTACAGCCTCCGTCCAGAGCCATCATATAAACACTGTAGATCCCCTGCTTGTCTCTCATATCCCCCATTTTCTTCGTGGCATGTATGATCAGCGAACCCAAGACCACTGCAAAGTCTACGACGAAACCTGGCCATCCACCTCCATGTGCTCAGATTTGCTAGGAGAAAAAGGCTCATTTAGCCTCAAGACTGCATCTAGCAAGGTAAGATTCTTGTAGACTCCAAGCCTGCTTCTCCTTCATCGCTGCGCTCCCACAGACATCGGAGTGCGCATAAGCAAATGGTCTACAAACTGCAGCAGCGGATGTTCCGGCACAACAGTTCGTGGGAAACCCGCTTGCTGAAACGTAGGTGGCCATAGCCTATCCCTGCAAAAGGAGCAGACCAGGACCATTTGAACCTGTCGCAAGCATGTGATATGCAGCAGGCTTCTATCAAGATGGGGGATAGGACGGCAGGGATCGTGGGGACACTGTGGATCCGACGATCCGTGATGTCCACCCAAGACCGCTACGGCATGGTCCCTCTCCACCACTAGCAGGCGCCCACCAGCCTCTCCCACTGCAACATTCTTGATCGATCTTCTATGCTTGCCATCGTTTCGGCACGTCCTGAATGGCCTTCCTATGCACAGCAGGCACAGAGCCTGCTTGGTCTGTAATCGATGATCAGCCACTCAGCCGATTAGTTGTCCCTTGTCCATTTTGCATGATAAAAATCCAGTGGTGAGCCAGAAGCAGATACGTCACTGAGGTGCGAGAACGGGACGCTTTGCTTTATGTTGGTGCCTTTTTCTTGCATTTCGCAATGGTTGCTGTTCACGATGACAATTCCACATCCACTGACAATAAACCAGCGCCAGTCCATGCCAATTCAGGACCAGGAGGCGACAGCATGGACAAGAAGCTACCTATCTGCCAGCAGAAGCGCCAGCAGCCCTGCACATAGAGCAGAACCCTATGACTACCCCCAAGAGGTACACGCATCAGCAAAGTCTGCACTCAACGCCTACGCGTTTTATCGCAGTGCACAGCCACTAGCGGAATTCACTTGAGTCAAGCCCGTACCTCGCTTATTTGCTAATCTCATTCTAGGTATACTGCGGAAAGCGCAGAGTGCAACAACAACGACAAGCGCACCACTATCAGCGAAGCGGACTGCCGGGTCATTAACCGATGATACGCTGAGCCTCGATTCTGCCAGCGACAGCGAGTTCCCGGACGCCCTCTCGCTGCTGAAAACGCCAGTCGTAAGCAGGCAGCAGCAGAATGCCCATGCTTCAACCCCCCACTCTGCTGAGCTCAATAAGGCGAACAAGCACAAAAAAGGCCGCAAGCGCAAGCGTGTATCGTTAGGCAAGGCAAAGTCAGATGTACCGTGTATACAGAAACCTTGCTGGTACTGATGACTGATGCTCTCCAGTCACTGCAGATACCGGGTGAGCTTGTGATGGCGTACTACCTGCGTAAGTATTATCCAGCACGCATCACATCGCGAGTAGGCGAGCATCGGTTTAGAGTGGAGTTTTTTGATGGCTACAGTGGCACAAGTGGACCGCAGGCGCATCTTTACACAGTATGAATCAGGATTCTATACGTGCGATCTAGGCGTGCTTCAGCTTATAGGAGACATACCTGCAGAGGCTGAGCCAAGTGGATGTAAAGCAGAGCTGGAGAGTGCAGACATTGACCAGGAGTTTGAGGATGACCTAAAGACTTTCGATTACCTTGTCAGCGATCTGGAGAAGGTCAGGGGCTTCCTGGACGACTTGCATAGTTGCCCGATGGACAATGTTGCTGAGCTGTCTAAGACCGAGGACCGTCTGGGTATTTTCTTTGGAGGGGACAGAGTAAAAAAGAGACAGCTTATGTCGCGTGTGCGCAGAGGGCATTTGAATGGCCTCGAATTTGACTTTATCGGCCGACTGCTGGGCAAATGGTTCAAAACACCTCCAAAGGCAGCACTCGGCGATCTGGCTGAGATGATGCCTACAAAAATACCAGAGTCAGCGAAGCAAGCACGCCGTCCCGCAACCACGGTGCAATCTGGCAACCTTGTAGTGGGATTTAACCATGAGGTGCTCTTGCCGCACGCAATCAAGCGGCTCATTCAATTGCGTGATACATGCTCCCTGGAGGAAGCCGAGGATCGCATGGGTACTGAGGTCGGTGCATACGCATGGGCAGAAGCAGATCATGGCCATCCGCAGAATCGGTCAGCGCAGCGCTCTGTAACAGAATCCCTGTATATGGATGCAAACGCCCTGTATATCTAAATATAGTTTATTCGGCAGATGTGTTTCTATCTTACGAGTTTTGTGGAAGAGTAATGTCGAGAGCCGCTGAGTAGTGGATATCCGACCCACATACCGGGCAGCCTCAACCATTGCCCATGAACTGTTGAAGCATTTGGCTGACGCCTGGGATCTGGGTTGCAAGGCGTGTCAGAATGATGATCAGCATGACCGCTCGATCTGGAATATTTGCCCCTTCCTCGCGCGCCTCTCTGACATGCTCGACGATACATTCGACAAAGTCCACGAATGGCGTAACGGTGCTGTTCCCCATCAGGCCCGAGATGATATTCGGGATTGACGGGAGTGTGTTGTTGGTCTGGCCGCCTTGGCCACCTTGGCCACCTTGGCCGCCTAGGCCGGGGAACCCACCTCCGAAAGACATTTTAAAAAAGACTGTGGGTGCTGTTATGCAGAATGTAGGCAAGGTCCAGAATTTGGTATCAAAGACATGCAGGGTCTGTGCGTGGATGTAGGTTTATGCGACATAGCTGCCTTATTTGTTATTACTGTGGACTCCGATGAGAGGGGCAACAGCTGGCAGTAGACAGCGCGCATGGGTGGCCAACATAGACGTCATTTACAGAAGATATTCTACTAAAGAAAAATGCACTAGATCTCCTGTGATCCCAAATCCGACGGCTGATCTCAGAATGCGGCTTGTTGATATTTGCGCTGGGCGGGTTGGAGTGCTTATGAATGATTCCTCGCTCTCTCCACTGCCAACACATTTTCTAAAAACCACAACACTAATTTCCAGATGGGATTCCCCGGCGCCAACACCACAACCGACCATAGGAATTTGTTCCTGTCGGACGAGCAGATAGACGCGATCCAGGCCAAGGAGGCAAAGGAGCGCGACCCTATTCGGCAGAAACTCGGCAACCCTGTCAAGGCACCAGGACGGATTCTCAGCTTTGCTATTGCCGATCAGACTGCTGTGCTTGCGCTGGCCAGTCACAAAGCAGCTGTAGCCAACTTGACGACCAAGGAATGCCAGAAACAACAACAGGTCAAGCACACAGGTCCGGTGACTGCAGTGGCACTACTCAGCGAAAAATACACTGTCGGCGGCTCGCGCATTGCGCTCTCGGCGTCGTGGGATAAGACCGTTAAGGTGTGGTGCGTGGACCAGCCAACCCGTGTCGTGGCAGTGCTTGCTGGCCATGCTGACTTTGTCAAATGCATGGCTGCACACCCAACACTGCCTATGGTGTACACTGGATCGGCAGACAAATCTGTTATGATATGGAAACTACCTGAGACGCTGTTCACTGATGCGGCTGCTGAGAGTCCGGTCGAGATCAGTCCGTTTAAGACGATCAAGGGCGACCACACTGGCCAGATCTATGCAATTGCCCTCGATAGCACAGGATCTGTCTTGTATTCGACGGGCTCAGACGCATCGATCCGCGCCTGGGATGCCAGCACAGGCCAGGCAGCCAAAGTTGACAACGAGATCTGGGAGATCGAGCGTGGTCACCACAAAACCAACGTTTTTGACATCAAGGTTTCCGAAAACATGCTGTGGACGGCATCGGCAGACAAGACTGCGGTCGGGTGGGATATGGACACACGGAAGCCCGATATAACCATGCAGCACAAGGCATTTGTCACGTCGGTGTTGCCAGTTATGCAGGCCGGTGTGGTTATCACTGGCACGCGTGGCGGCGACATTTCCGTGTGGCGTGTGAGCGCCGGAGCACCGGAGCTCATTCGTGAGATCCACGCACACAGCGACGATGTCGTGTGCTTGCGGCAGCAGGGCCGTCTGTTCTACTCGTCAAGTCTGGACGAGACCTTGCGGGTGTGGGATATCAAGGAAGTGATTGATTTCAAGGGCGGCATGAGCTATGTGCCGCCTGAGCTAGCCGCGCTAAGGCAGCAGCAAAAGAAGGCGGCAGAGACAATGCTCACGGAGGATGAGGAGCGCGAGCTTGCCGAGCTCATGGACGGCCTAGATGAGTTGTAGCCCCTCCACAAGCAAAAGCTTAAATAAACCATACACGGAATACGCTACCTGGCAGCATTGGCGTATTGCCGTCGCTGGTAACCGACTACCAATGTGAGCGTGAGTTATATTGAACCAGTGGATTTCAGAACTTGAACTCTTTATTGCGGCGCTTCGAAGCACTGCCACCATCATCGGCCGTCTTGCGTTTGCGCGTCTGAGCTTTGGCATGGTCAGACGCTGCATCTGGCAGATCCTCATGTCTGCTGTTGCCACTGGCGCCTCGGCCAGCAGTGGTACTACCAGCAGCCTCATACTTGGCCAGCAGCTTCTGCTGATCGAGGGTATCGAGCTCCTCTGCGTCCAGGCTGACATCGACACCTCGGTCCATGGGCTTCGCAGCACGTCCACTGCCAGACTTGGCTGCCTTCTTCGATGGGTCAAAGGCTGCCCCTACATCATACGTGTACTGCGAGCCCATCAGTCCGCCCATCTGCTGCGCCGCCTGTTCGTTCAGCACCGTGTAGAGATCGCGATCGGCATCGCTAGTTGAAGTCGGTGCAGGTTTGCGAGTGTGCACAACGCTGGGCGTCTCGAGACCAGACGGCAAAGTGCTGGCGACTGGCTCCGGTTTAGCAGCCTCTTCTGGCACCTCTTCGTCTTGGCCCGCGGCGTCGCTGGCTGCCTCCTCATCCTCCTCATCCTCCTCGCTCTCGCTGTCTTCTTCATCTGACGACCCAGCCTCCAGATCGCCCCAATGCTTCTTGGGGCCAGTTTTCATCGGCACCGGAACAGCGGGCTCCCCCGTAGCAGCGGCAAACACGTCACCGTATAGCGGCCGACCAAACTCGTCTACAGGCGGCCTGCCCCAGCCGCCCGGGTGGTAGCCCCACTGGGCACCCTGTGGAATTGGCGCATTGAGACCAGGGATTACCAGGTTCGGGTAGGACGGCGGCGGACCAAACCTCTGCATATTGATCAGCCATGGCGGTGGTGCCAGCGGCGGCACATTAAGTGCCTGCCTCAGCCCATCTGACAGCGTCCCAGGCGTAAAACTATACGAGGTGTCTGACTCCTTCCCTTCGTAAAACAAGTCGCCATGCCCAGTCATGTTCTTGGGTGGCGTCTGGAACCTGAAAAAAGCGTCGTGGAGACGCTGGTAATCCAGCGTCAGCTTGTGCATTTTCGGCTGAATCCGCTCGCGCGCCCTGGCGCCCGCCGTTTTCTCATCCTCCTTTTCCTTGGCCGCATCGCGCATCTCCATGATCCCTGTGGCCTTGATGAAGTCTGGCAGCTCGAACGGCGGCTTCTCCATGCCGCGCTTGTACTGCAGATACTTTTTCTTCTGCGCCCAGTGCACGGGCACGGGAACCGTGTTGCGCAGCGCCTTTAATGCCACCAGCAGATGCGGGTCGCGCGCACTGATATCTGTCCATTCAACAACCTCAGGCCGCGCCGCCGCCTGCTTGAGCTCGGCCACCGACATGCGATTGCGCTTGCGCTGTCGCCGCGACTCCTTTCGATCTGCAGCGTCTTCTTCGGCCTCGCTCTCGCTGGTTTCGTCGCCAGCTATGGTCTCTTCGATGCTGTCGTGCTTTTGTACCGGCGCTGCCTTCTCGCTGGATGCCTCTTCTTCCTCGTCTATTTGAGCACCAAAGGATTTTGCGGCATTGGCGTTGAAATGCTCGAATACCTCCGCAAAGGCAGCCAGCTCGGGCTTGTCGAGCGTAGGCTCGTCAGTGGCAATATACTCGATTTGGACATTGCTCGGCACCTTCTGTTCGGTCGCTGTGTACAGTGCGGCCAGGCGCTGGCTGCGCGCCTCGGCCTCAGCAATCTTTTCCCTGCGCGACTTCTTCTTCCGCCGCTTGTTGTTGCTGGTCTGTGCTGGTCGGTTGTTGGCCTTGGCGTCTACAGACGACATGCTGCTGGGTAGTGTGGGTGTATAGAAACAAGCAATGAATTAAAGCTGGCAAACTGGTGGCAAAGTCGAGACAACGTAATCTCACGCTACTATTTGATTTGAAAATCATCCATTTTATGGGCACTTGAACTGGCGGCCAGAACTTTTCCCGGCCAGCGGCTCCTGCGACAAGCCCATCGGACAGCTCATCTGTAGGCTGCCGCTTGGTGAACACCACAAGCTCTCCTCATTGTCCCAGATGCCTGGAGCATCCGTCCCACCTCAGCCGACCAAGAAGCCATTTTTTTCGTCGCTTTGGCAGATTGTTTTTGTTTTGCTGCCGTTGCTGCTCATAGCACATGCTGTCGGCATCCGCTCTGCCCGTGCATATGCCAAGAAGCAAGTCTTCAGAGCGAATACTCGAAGCCCTAGAAGCGTGTTTCAGCATAGTCCCTAAAATCGGCCTTCAATGTACATGTAGCCATCCTCGAGGCAGTTTGCATTCCCGCTCAACACCAATGAGCGGATGCGCAGGCAGATCTTGCTCGCAATCACCATATTGCTTTCTGTTGTTTCTCAGCAAGATGGGTAGGGATGCAGTATCAAACCTAGGTAACACAATAATCGGAATGTGCGAATGCGTGTGAATAGAGCGAGGCAGCAACATTGTTTTGGAATCGCCCCTCCGGGATCACTCGGACTATCCGGTGGCACCGAGGATTCGCAAAGTCTAAAAAAAGAACAACCATCCTAGGCTGCGAAAGAAACGGAGGGAGCCGGTTTACAGCTTGTGGTCAAAGGCGACAACGTTACGGTCGATGTCCAGATGCATCCTCAAGGTATTTGGCGCACCAAGCAGCCCGGACGACACGAACCCGTGCTTATCGAGCTTGTCTAGCGCCATCTCGTATCCAGGCATGAACCTCGAGATAAAGTCCTCCAGCTGCGTGTCCGAAAGCGAACTCCTGCCGGAGGCTGCCAGCTCATCCTCCTGCTGCTTGCGCCACCGATATACAACATCGACATTGGACACGCGCATATACACCCATGCATCAATCAGCGTATACAAAGACGTCTCGTAGGCCTCCAGATTCCCGTTAATCTCAGCCAGGTTGGCGTCGGTGAAGCTGCGCGAGTGCTTGAACAGCGGACTGTCTGAGTCGCGCACATTGCCAAGGAACCTTGCAAACTCCATCCTGTCCAGCATGCGGAACCCTAGATTCCACCCCTCGAACAGCACGACATCGACGGGCTTCGCCACCGCCCACTGCCTCCGATCCACCTGGTCGCCGTATCCGCCATTCAGGCTCTTGTCATACTGCGGAATTGGCGTATCTTGCCCGCGCAAAAGCCCCTCGAGCGTCTGATGCCCCAGCATGTGGTCGTGCGTGCCTGCCTGGCCGCGGAACCTAAGCAGCGGGTTGTCGCGGTGCTGCGAGGCCAGCTGCTCCTGCTGCTTGTATGGCAGGTAGAGGTCATCGAGCGAGAATCCAACTGTCGTGATTTTGCGCGCTTGCAGGTAGGCCACCAGCCCGCGCACCAGAGTGGTTTTGCCTGAGCCCTGTGGCCCGTTGATGCCCACGATCAGCGGCTGGCGGCTGGGGATGGCGCGCTTTTGCGCTAGCTTGCGAATAATGAAGTCGCCAGACTTGCTGACCCGGTCCCTGACGCTAGCCTTGCCCAAACTCGACATTCCTGGAAGCATTCGAATAAAAAGAAAAAAGGAGGCAAGTGCTATTCACGAAATAGGAAACCGCTTTTTTCACAACAAAGTATATTATCATCCGCCCCCCTAAACTGTTTTATTGCTGTGCATGGTTATGTCACCCGAGTCAAAAAACGATCTTTTGGGGAGGGACACCACATATCCAGAAAAACGTGGTATGGGCATAGATGGGGAGGGCATGCAGATTATTGCGTATTCGCATTCTGCATGGATGGTGTAGGGTGACGCGCTATTGCAATGTTGTGGAATGCAGGAACGGCTTGGCCTTGACAGTGGATGTTTTTGAAGAAAGGCGACAGCACCATCAAGATGAGAGGGGAATTTTGTAAAAGTACACAAAAATACCGACAAAACCAAGAATAAAAAGGAGGGCAAGGGGGTGTGCAAAAGACATACAGGTGCACTGCCCAGTTAAAGAAAAGAATAAAGAACTATTTTTGAACGGCCGGCGGGATTAGCTCGGTTGCAATATTAGCGTAGATAGGGGATTCATGTCTACAATATCTCCTGTCCCCCTGGGGTTTATTGGCTGCCGTGGTGCGGCATATATCTGGCCGACGAGACCGGCACGTCGAGGATGTTGCGCAAAGACGCCGACATGGGCGGCAAGCGCATGTCGGCGGGCTGCGAGGGCTGGGACTGCGGCACCAGCGTGCCAAACGCAGGCGCGCACAGATTGGCAATGCTCGGCAGCGTGACCTGCCGCTCCCCTCGCTGCCCGTCCTCCACTGCCTGCAAGCTGCCCTGGCGCCTGCGTCCAGCCGCCCGCTCCCCGTCCTCCAACGCCCCGGAGCTCTTGCGCTTCACTGAGCGCTCGGCCTTAGCTGCCAGCCCGCCGCACTCGGTCATCAAAAGCTTCTTCACCACCGCCACATCCAGACTGCCCAGCGCCGCCAAAGACGACGCCGCATCAAGGTCCTTCAGCTCGCGGCGCTTCGCCTCCAGCGCCCGGCGCTGGTTCTGCTTGTAGTAGCGCAGGCCGCAGGCATTGCAGAGCGTGCGCGGGCCCGCCGGCCCCGATCGCCACACGGACGATACGGTTGTGATGCATTCGTGGCAGAGCGACGTGTTGCGTGGCTTGATTGTCCCGTTGATTACGTCCATCCGGCCCAGGTCAAACGCGTGCTTCATGTTCACTGCAGCTCCCAGCAACTGCTCAAAGTACAGGGGGTCGTCGTCCGCGTATCGAGACATATTGGAAAGACCGCGCAGGAGCTCGCTTGTGCTGTCCTGCAACTACATTGGAGATGCATCACATTGTTTTCAGGGATTAGCATGTTTGCCCATTTTAAGACAAGCCATTCCACCCTCCACTGCCCCCTTCCCACTATTATCGTGCATGATGAAGGCAATATGTTTGGGGAGTCCCTTCTTTGGGCGATTCGTGAATAGCATGTGTGAGTGCAATATACCGCCGATTGATAGCAGCATGGAAAGCAGGAGGGGGAGAGGTAGCGGCGGGGGATCGACAACGCAAAAAAGACGCTTGTTTCGTAACACCACCCCCTGGTCGCCGCAAAAGTGGCATTATCATGGCAATGCAAAAGAAAGCAGAGGTGCAGACATGGGAGCGAAAAGGATGTATGGAAAGGGGGATTTGCAAGGTGGTGCGCAACTACACTATCTCACCCTAGGGCGTCAAATAGGGAGGAGAAGGAGGGGCACGAATAGGCCACAGAAAGGACCAAAATAGAACAGAAAAAGCGAGCAGTTACGCAAGGCGAAATAGAACAAGATTGGGTGATGTGCGGGGCCCCCTGCTATGGAACAGAGTGTTGTTCAGATTTGACTGGACATATTGTTGCACACTGGAGGTGAAAAGTAGGCCAGAATCAACAGCTCGCCCAGGAGAAAAATCATCTCGGTTTTTCTCTAACAAACCTACCAGTTGGAAATGCTGAGAGTTCATGTAGAGTGGCTCCTCAACAAAGTGGCGGGCAGCTCGCTTGTTTTGTTTCCGTTTTATCAACGGTGGCTGTGGCGGCTGTGAGCGGTGTGAGCCGCCCAAGCCATTCTGTCTATCGGCAGTGGATGGGCCAGCTGGCTCACAGGAATCGCCCATAGGGAAGTGTGGGATAGAGGGAAAATAAGGCGGGACTGGCGATAGATGCAAAAACGGAGCTAGACAAGAATGGCTGGCATATAATCCACAAGCTTGGGGGATATCTCTCCACAGCAGGAATGTGGTGGGGTGTGTAAAGGACAGTAATAAAGAAAAAGTGGTTCAAAAAAAAAAACGAAAAGAACAAAAAAGAGGGAGGAACAAAAGTAATCGTGTTCAACCAGTTGTAAGAGAAAAACCTGCAAATGGAAAAACAGGCACACAGGAAAAAACGAGCGGCGATGCTGTTCACAAAAATGACCTGCCTCACTGAGCCAACGAGAAGAAGGAGGCAGCAGTGAACAACAGGGAAATGTGGGTTCGGAGTTCAGGTGCTTGCAAGCCTTGTTTTCTGCATAAGTGGGTCAATCGCCCCAGTGGGGGCCAAAAAACGCACTGCTGATTTACACGCATTTGCGCTTCTTTTTTCTCGTACACCGCCAAAGTCATGCTCGGCTCGCCGGGCCGGCCCCAACCGCGCCTGTAGCCCGGCTAAAATGCCGTCATGGTTTCTCGCAGGGCATCAGTTTTTGGGAGCACAGCACCATGCATTTATTTTTCGCTTCATGCCTGCACGGCTTTTGCCGACGACATGCCGGAGATTGCATGCTGCTGGGCGGGCCCCGCATCCGCCTTGTTTTGTCGCGGCTGGGTGGCGTAGCAGCCTATTGTTGGTGGGGTGGGAGATTCTGCTGGCCAGGTTCAGCACAGCAATGCACAAGCAAGCCGGGCGGGCAATAGATGCGGATTGCACTTTGGCGCTAAGCGCGTCTGCACCGGGCGGTCACAGCGTGCTGACCAGGGTCGGGGCAACGCGCTTCTTCTCTTTACTGCGAACCGGCGGCTGCACGACCGGCTGAACAGGCTGTGCTGGCAGGATGTTCTCACGGTAATGCGACTGGACCGGCATGGGTGGCGACGGCTGGTCGATTGCAACAACAGAGGCAAAGCCATCAATAGAGGAGATCAGCAGATGCGAGCCATCGCTGGTCCATGCTAGATCTGTGATCATGGCGTAGTGCAGGCCGCCCATCAGCGCCAGCGCCGCACACCTTGACGTATCGTAGATGGCGACAGCGCCCTGGCTGGCCACAGCCAGCATCATGCGCTGGCCATTATTTGCCAGCCACCCAGCGCTCTCAGCCTGGAAGGCACAAGGCGCCCAGCGCGTGGCCACCACGGGCTTTGTGTGGCCAGCCAGGGCAACACAGGGCGGGGCGTGGAGGCGGTCGCGGGCCCACAGGTAGCAGCAGTTGCGGCGGTGCTTCTGCACGCCTGCAGCAGTCGCCACCAGGCGGCCGTCGGGGGAGAAGGCCGGGCGGCGGAAGAACGACGCCAGGTTGTCGTCGTGGAACAGGCGGTGGCCACGTGCATTGGGCTCGCTGCTATCGGCAGGCATCGACTGGTGGGTGGCCACAAGACTGACCGCGTCGGCGCCGGGCTTGACGTCGCCGGTGGCCACCCAGCGGTAGACGCGCATGGACCGGTCGCTGCCCTGCGTGACTATAAACTCGCCCAGCGGATCCCATGCCACGCCCTGCACGTAGTGCGTGTGGTCAGCCAGCACCTGTATGCACCGGCCCTCGCCCGCATCCCAGATCCGCGCGGTATTGTCGACCGATGCGCTGGCGATGTAGCGCCCGCACGGACTCCACGCCAAGTCACAGATATCCGCCAATGACCCGCGCAGCATGCGCACGGGCCGCCAGGTCTCAGGCTCAACGAACCCATCGGTCTCCACCAGATTCTGCCTTGCCGCCTCGACCTGATGCCACAGCATGATCACGCCGTCGTCACCAGCCGATGCCAGCGTGCTGCTGACCGGCGAGAACCGCACAATGTTCACTGGCCGCTGGTGCCGGTTCAGGCTGGCAAGGAACTCCACTGCCGGCGAATGCGGGTCGGCGTCGCGCTCGTGCTGTGGTTTGAGCCGCCAGAGCCGCACGTTGTTGTCGCCGCCGCCCGACGCGAACCGCCAGCCGCCTGCCTCACACTTGTAGTTGCGGTCAAAGTCCACGCTGAATATCGGCAGCTTGTCGTGCCAGTTTATCTGTACAGTCTTCACGCGCATTTTGAATATGTAGTGGCTGGGGGGATATAAAGCCGCCTTTGCTGCTTTGCATCGTTTTGAATTTACTTTGTTATGCTGCAGTGCGATGCTTATGGTGGCGGCGGACTGATCGCCTGCCAGGCTATTTGCACCCTACACATTGGCCGCTTGACATTCTCCCTGCTACCAACAGCCAAGAGCCAGCGCCAATGCGCCAAGACGCCCTCTATGTGAAAAACAACACCCTGGTATGCACAGTGATGTACTTTTTTCACCAGCAACTTGTTTATCGCCGTCCTGCATGACCCTCTGCAAGATCTGCCTGATGTATTTCTTCTCGCCGCACGTCCCTTTCAAGGAGAGGAGCGCATTGGCTTTTTTTTTCTCTCTTCAATTCTATATGGTTTTTTATTACTTTAATAATAATGGATGACGACCGCGTAATATTCAATCGCTCTCCGCCGCCGCCATACTCGGAAGCCGACCCAGCCACGCAGCCCCCACAGTACATCACCGGTGACCACAGCATCAGCATGATTCAGAACCAGTCACCGCAGTTCACCAACCCAACCATAGCCGACGACGCCGAGTTCATCCGCACCAGCGTCCCCCTGCTTGCAGGCCGGGCCATATCCGACACCGGGGCATTCCACTGGAATATCGACAGCTGGCAAGCACTGCTGAAGCGCAACACCAGCGCGACCTTTTACGTGGGCGGCCGGCGGTGGAAGCTCCTGGTGTATCCGCACGGCAACAACGCCCCAGGCCAGGTGTCGCTGTACCTCTGCCATACGCCGACCTCCACGGCCCCGCCGGTCCATGCATCGTTTGCGCTGGCCATCTCTAATTCCAAAATGCCCGCGGTTATGTCGGTGAACAGCACCTCGCATGTGTTTGCGCCCGAAGACGACTGGGGCTTCACACGCTTTATTTCCAGAAAGGACCTGCGTGTGCGTCTGCCCGGGTACAGTCGCCCGGTATTGCAGAATGGCCGGGCAAGGATCAGCGCCTATGTGCGTGTATATCGCAGTGGGGAGTCGCCGGAGCCCGAGGACCAGGTGGTCAGCGAGCCCACGCACCTCCACACCGGCCACATTGGCCTGGTAGCCGACCCAGCCTCGCTGTACCTCAACTCGGTGGTCCTGTCGCTGTACCACATCCCGCAGTTCCGCCACGCCATCGCCCGCATTGCCGACTCCGGCGCTGCCCGGATGGCCGTGGGCACTGCCATGCAGGATCTCTTCCACAGCCTCACATTGCAGGACTCGCCGCCCTCGGCTGCCGCCCTGGTAGCAGCCATTCACGACCAGTCGGACGAAACCCCGGCTACATCCACCATCCAGCATTACATGCGTTTGCTGTGCGAATGCCTGGCTCGTCGGATGGCAGACACACCGGACGAATCCCTGATTGACTGCCTGTTTATGGGCACTGAGCGCACCACCACCGAGTGCCTGAATGTCAGCTACGCGAACTCGCGCTCCGAGCCCATTTACGATCTGGCGCTGAACATCACCAATGTATCGACACTGCAGCAGGCCATCGAGCGATACTGTGCGCCCGAGACCCTGGACGGTAGCAACAAATACCGAACGTCCGAATTTGGCTACCAGGATGCTGTGCGGTTCAGCCGCTTCGAGTCATTGCCGCCTGTCCTGCACGTTCACCTGAACCGCTTCGAATACGATCTGGACACAGGCGAGCTGGACAAGAACCAGAACTGGATCCAGTACCCCGAGTCGCTGGATATGGCCGAATTCATGGCCTACGATGCCGATCAGTCCATGTCGTGGCAGTACACCCTGCATGGCGTCCTGCTGCACCACGGTGATATGCTCAGCGGCCGGTATTTCTGCCTGATGCGCTCAGACATATCTGACGGGTGGCTTTGCTACGAGGACGACCTTGTGTATCCGGTGTCTCCAGACTTTGTGCTGGATACCACCAATGACATCAGCAGTGAACTGACCGACCCGCGGGCACTTGACCACCAGCAGGCAGGCCGCTTTGACAATGCATATGCCCTTGTCTACATCCGCACATGCATGCTCCCGCAGGTCTGCGGCTCTGACCAGCCCCTGACTCTGCCACTCCCGCGCCGCACCCTGCGCGCCGCCTCGATACTCTCCCAGGGCTCCATCCACATGCCCACACTGACCATTTACATAATCGACAACAAGCAAGGAGTAAGATACCCGGGGTTTGATCTCTGCAGCCACCCGAACATCCCGGGCGCCTCGGCGTCGCTGATCGAGCTGACGTTCTCCTTGACCACCTCGTCGTCTGACTTTATACTGCAGGCGTGCTCGGCATTGGGCCGATTGCCAACCGAGGTCAGGTTCTGGCACATGGCGACCCGCGTCAACAAAACACTGCGCTGCGATTCTCCGATCGACTGGCAGAACATCTCGGCCGTGCGCGACTTGATGAAAATCCAGGGGTCGGCCTACAGCTCCGTGTACTTGTACTGCGAGCTGCGACAGCTCAGCGACCCCGTGTATTTCTTCAAGAACCCGGTGCCCCCAAACACCACCATGGTGCATTTGAAGTTCTACGACCCTGTAATGCCGAGCCTTGTTGCGCTTGGCCACATCTACGTTAACGCCAAGTTGCCTATTAGGACTGTGCTGCCGATTCTGTGCGCCCGGGCACAACTACCCAAGAAATCCAGGCTGTGGGTGTTTGAAGAAATCAGGCCCAGGATGATTGAAAGGCTGGATGTGAATTTGACCTTCGACCAGGCAGAGCTGGCCACTGGAGATATTGTTTGCTTCCAGGCGGAATTGCCCCACGGTGAGGAGCAAGGCGTGCCATTTGGCCACCATGCCCGCTTGCCCGACTTCTTTGCCCACCTAGCCGAACGCCAGGGGCTGTAACTTTGTATACTTTTTTTTCTGTCTCTGCAGCTAAAACTCACGATAATAGCACTGTGGCTTGGCTACCACTTGGACCCCTATGCATGGCTGAGTCAGTACACCATTGCAGTATGAAATGCGTGCTGAGAGGCCCAGCCCCCCTTTGACTTTTTCTTTTCCTCCTCTATCCACTAGACCTTTTTCTCATGCCTGTTTTTCAAGCAGAATTTGGAGTTTTTTAGAATCGCTACGTAAAGCGGAAATCCCTCTGGCTTATGGCGATTCTCTCCCGTACATTCTAATACATTTCTGCCTGCAAATCCCGCCTTTTCAAGGCCTTGACCTAGATCCTGCTGTGCTCCATCCCCTTGCCATTGCCTTCCTTCCCTTGTTCTTCAATCTCATCACTGCTCTATGTATTATACTGCTACTAATGGAGCGTGCCACACCTGACCTAAACAGCATTGCTGGCGGCCATATACTAGGGCAAATACTGGATATTGTGCGCGACCGCATCCTGCACCCTACATTTGGTATAGCTGATCACCGCACACTCTTTGAACTGGCACTTGTGTGCCGCCAGTGGAAACGCCACCTGGATTTATCCCTCACCCGCACCCTCATCGTAGAATTCCAGGACATGCAGGGCACATCCAGCCGGACCATGGTCTCGTGCCTATGCAGCATGCTTGGCTATCATGAGACTCGGCACAAAATAGTAACAAACACCAGCGCCTTTTCAACATGCACAGCCGGCAATCCCCAGGATTTGCGCATAAAGCCAGGAGCTGGAGCAATTTTGGGTGCAATAGAACAAGTTGTGTCTGCCAAGTGGCAGAGTATCGAGACGCTCACACTGGTAGGATGTTTTTCCGACGGATGTGAAAGGAGTGCGGATCAGACAGCAGGTGTTTTGGCGAATATTCTGCCGAATCTCACGAACATTGACTTTGCCCATGCCCACCATACCAGCAGCGGGCTTCGCTCAGTACTACGTGCTTTGAACAGGAGGTTTATGCCACGGTTAAAGTCACTATGTGCGGTTGAACCCCTAGCCAGCAGCGGGTTACCTGTGGCATCAGAATACCTCACCAGCATGGACATTGACGCACGATTCATCACAAGCGGCACATGCGCATTGACTGTTATGTGCCCGCAATTGCAGTCTCTCCGAATAACCAACATTGGCGGTGGCTTTCCATGGCCCCTGTTTGCCCTATCAGCCGCGGGCCACACGGAATTCCCTGATCTGCGCTCATTGACTCTGAAATTTGCCATCAGCCGCCAGCCGCCCAGGGACTCCCTACCAAGCCACCATATGCATACATTTCCGGCGCTACGGCGGCTTCTGGTAACAAACGCGTACGAGCACTCGACCAACCCCTACCTGGCCTTCCTATGCTCTCCCCTGACACACCTCGTGATACAAGAGCACGCAGAAACCTTCCGAGGGATCGATGTGCGGCTCCTGCATAATATCCACCACCTATCCATCACTATCTCTGGAAATGCCTGGAAGCCAGTTGCTGCATGTACGGAGTCGTGTGCAGGGCTGCTGGCGGCCTGGTCATCTGCACGCACCGCCTGCCTATCGGGTTTTGATTTCAGCGATGCCACATTAGTTAACTGGCCACATCTGCAGCGGCTCTCGCTATTCACCCGGTCGGTCACGCTGGCATCTGTGGGGAGAATTCTGGCCCAGCTCCCCAGCCTGTGGCTGCTTGAGCTCGAGTTCGAGCATTTGCAGAACGCCAGCTCTTGGGTGACTGTTGGCCACAGTGGGGCGATGAGTGCTAGCTTGCAGAGGTGTTCAGTGTCGGTCGACTCCCCCCGCCGCATTCCGTGTGTGGAGGTGTGGCTCGAGTCTGTGGTCTGCCGGATACCGTCACTCTTGAGCCTGCACATTCCCAGACTGTATGCTGCTGGGCTACAGGCGCTTGCTGACCGAAATGCCCTGGCCGTTAAAGTGTCTGCGCAGTAGGTGTTATATTTGACAACTAATATAATTCCTTCCCTCAAGGGTAATAGCCCATTTGGCTTGAAATCCTTCCATCAGCCGAGGCCCACAAACCCCACCAAGTGTGCAGTGGACCCGTGTCTGTCGATTTTTGTCGCTGACTGGTGCAATTTGCCCAATTGAGCGGTCGTATGCTTTTCTTCGCCTAACGATCCGAAAATATACACGGCGGGTTGCGTTATTGTGCACAAACCTCTACACTGGCTTTGAAAAACATTCTGCACCAGGTTACTCAAAGACCATCTCCGGATAAGGTGCCTAGCACCCATGTGCAGATGACCAGTGCTGACCGTGCCACCCTCACCTAACCTCCGAGCAAACGAGTGTCTTGAAAATGACCAGTCATGGCTGTCTTCAGTCAATCGCCTAGACTACCGGGTCGTACGATCAGCAAGCCCAATGGAGGCGCTAGTGCAAATGTGGCACCACTATCTGCTCGCCTCCCTCGGTCTTCATTGCAAAGTGTGCTCGCTGTCTTCCCCCCCCCAACGCCCTCGCATCATGGGCTCACCCGACAGACTCCATTAAATGCATTTGAGAGGTATTTGGGACTGAGCCCGGAGTCTCCCACGAGGATGGTCTGAACCCCCTCGGCACTATTCGATCCAATCGGACAGGCAGCTCATGCAGAGTCCTAGCGTCGCCCGACTACGCTCTGGCAAGTAGAAAATATGCGCTGCTGCTGGTATGACATGCCTGACTTCTAGAACATATTCTCCCTGCCATGGCTTGTGCCAGGTTAAGGCTTAAGGCACATGCATAGGTTACTTTGCACTCCCCCCTTTCGACTGGCACGGTTCACCTCCAGACTCTATAAAATGTCGGTGCCATGGGCTGCAAAATACCTGAATTCTCCATCCTACAACACCAAAAAAGCGGCCATGCCCTACTAATACCAACTATTCCCTCTACGACTACCTATTTGTATACCTTTATTGCTACCATTTAAACTCTGTTAACCATGTCTGTTGACTCGCGTACGCTCAGCGTGACAAAGTACCAGTGCTTCTGTGCCATGATGGCTGCCCTGGGCAGTGTCAACTTTGGCTGGAACATTGGTGTCATCAACATTCCCGGCGACGTTATCTCCAACTGTGTGACTGGCGAGAAGCACTACAACGGACCCTTCCCCTCGTGTATCCCGACCGAGTCCACCATCTGGGGTGTGGCTGTCGGCTGCTTTGCTATCGGTGCTCTGATCGGCACCATTGCCGGCAACCCTATCTCCGACCGGTACGGCCGCAAGTTCGTGCTCACCTGGGGCCCGCTGCTTGCCCTGGTCGGCGGTGTCCTTCTCTCGACCACCACATCTCTGGGCCAGCTGATTGTCGGCCGTCTGTTTGTCGGTTTCGCTGCTGGCTTCTGTAACGGTGCCCTGTCAGTCTATGTCGGCGAAATCACCACTCCCAAGGCTCGCGATATCCTCGGCGGAACCCTCCAGCTGGCCACCAACGTGGGTATTCTGCTGGCCAACGCCGTCTCGCTCGGCCTCGCCAAGCCCCCTCTGTGGCGCATCCTATTCGGTATCACTGGTGTCATTGGCGTTGCCACCACCCTGCTGTTCCCCATCTGTGTCGAGTCGCCCAAGTGGCTCGTCTCTCGTGGCCGCGTCGAGGAGGCCCGTGCTGCTCTGATTAAGCTGCGCAAGGGCGCTGACATCGAGCAGGAGCTTCAGGACATGGTTGACGACGATGCCAAGGCACAGGCTCGCGCTGAAGAGGCCCCCAAGGTGAATGTCATGGATCTCATTCTTGGCCGCACTCCCGACAACCTCCGCCACCAGTTCATCGTTGTCTGTATGCTCATGTTCTTCCAGCAGATGTCCGGTATCAATGCTGTCATTTTCTACTCGACCCAGATCTTCAACCGAACCACCAAGGACGACCCGTCGCAGATCCCGACCACTGCCCAGATCCTGTCGTGCGTCATTTCGATTGTTGCTGCCATTTTCACGTTCGTCGGCATGCTGTTGGGCGCTCGCTTCGGCCGTCGTACCCTGATGCTGCTGTCGCACGGTACCATGGCCCTCTTCTCGATGCTGATGGCTGTTGGCTCCATCAAGGGCATTGACGGCCTTGTCATCACCATGGTCTTCCTGTACAACGTGTTCTTCAACTTTGGTGTCGGTCCCCTGCCCTGGGCTGCTGCTGCCGAGATGACCCCGGCCTACGCCATGTCGGCCATGGCTGCCATTGGCGGTGCTGTCAATTACCTGTTCACCTTCGCTATCGGTGTCTACTTCTCGCCGATGCAGGAGGCTATGGGCGACTACACCTTCTTCTTCTTCATGGGCTTCAACATCGCCGCCTTTGTCTTCTGCTTCTTCTTCCTGCCTGAGACCAAGGGGCTCAAGGTCGAGGATGTTGTCGCTGTCCATTCGGTTGGGCTCCACTGTGTCCTCGGTAGCCGCTACCAGATCCGCGCCTCCAAAGACAACGACGATTCCGAGAAGGCTGAGTACGCCTAAATTAATCCTTTCTTTCTGCTATCTACTCAATCCGCTTCTCTCTTGTCTCAGCTTTAATTAAAACAGTCTCACTTTCAAAAAGAAAAATTAATTCTGAGAATGGTTGGATATGCTGTTCAGCTGCCATATACGATAGCCGATACTAGGGCACAATGACGGGAGGCAGCAATGTGGGTCTCAAATGGGCAAATAAGGTTGGGAGTGCCAGTCACGGTGCTAGCATCGCATAACCACCACTCAGTTATCGACTCTGATGCATCTGTGTGGTGGGCAATGCGAGCCATATAGCGGTCGCTAGATAATATGATGTTACTCAGGATTTTGGCATATGTGGCTGATCTGCTAGCATATGCATTACCAACCAAGTACACATTGCTTTATGCTATACTGTACAGCAAAATGAGCTGGTCTAGGAAATTGGCCATAGCCTATGTGATGACAATCTTACCAACAGGATTCTATACCTTGATCAGCTGATAGTTATACTCAGTGGTAGCCAAGGTCAGCAATGATCACAGGTTGCTCTGCTTATAACCATAGCCTTTGTATGTGTCCTCAGGGTAGTGTCCAAACACAACACCAAAGGCCATTATAGCCAAATTTACTATAGCCTTAGTCTTGCTGTTAAACTATAAATTATTATGAAAGTAACCACTGTAACAACAAAAGTTAATAGAATCTGGTCAGAATTGACACTGTAGAACCTATTGTTTAGAGCAACATATAGCCTAGCTAGGAATACCTATAAACTAATTTTTATTAGCTTATTAATACTGCCATTATACTATATGGTGGGCAAGATCAGAGGTAGTACTGAACTACCTAGAGACCTCCTATAGTATGGCACCAATATCATAAATCTGGTGGGAAGAATATTTTATATTAGATTTAGATAAGGATATATAGACTAATCTAGTACTACTATCTAATGATAAGATACTGGCTAGTACCTTCAACTCTGCTATAGAGGCCATTTGCAAATAAGAAAGTTTAAAGAAACTAAGTATCTTATAGTAGAATAACCAATTAACAAATTAGAAATCATTTACAAGTAGTTAATAAATAATTTATAATCAGAATATTTAGTAATAGCCAAAAAGATATTAGTAGCTAGATTAACTAATAAACAAAAATACAAGAAAGAGTACTTCTATGAAACACTATTAGTATCTTTTATTTATTTGTTCTTCTAGTTATTATATTAATGATAGTTTCTACTAAATATTCTAGATTTTTAATTATATTTTTATCTTAGTAAATGATTTCTATATCATTATTTAATTATTCTTTTTATTAGTTTCTTAACCAGTATAAATTTATATATCTTTAAATAACTTTTAATATAGGAAGTATAGGTAATATGGTTATACTTAATAGGTATTTTATATAGCTTCAGCAAAGTAATATATAGTAGGATGTATTATGCAGCATTTATATAAGTATTAGTAATTAATATTGAATAAGTGTATTGGCAAAGAGTGTCCTAGTGATTTGGGAGCTACTGTAGATAGGATAGCTAAAATAATAATAATAATAATAATAGTATATTCACCAGAACTAGAATACCAACCACCCTATGTGTTCTGAATTACACATAGCCCACTGGCAGTCATACTCAAATAGAGTTGTATAGGCATAGGCTGCAAGGAATTACTAGTATGAATGCCGATCAATCTAGCTTGGCGAATGATTCTATTGGATATGTGTCTATTTTCTAGAAACCAGAAATTGGGATGCCTTCTTGGCTCAGTTGGCAGAGCGTCTGCCTAGTAAGCAGAAGGTCGCCAGTTCGATTCTGGCAGAAGGCAATCACTTTTGACCCTCCCTTTTATGTCGAGTTGGCGCGTTTTCCGTGCGGTTTCTTTTTTGCTTGTGCGCTTGGCCGCTGCGCAAGTGCAGACACCTCCCCGGGGTGCCCCATGTCCCTGCCTGTGTCTCTTCCTGCGGTGGTGCCAATTTTTCAAAAATAAAAGCGATAAAGGTTGGAAAGCGAAAGAAAGGGCCTGGGCGCCTCCTCTCCACCATTAAATAAACACACCACCGCTCTACAGAATGCCACATCGACCACCCAGCATTTGGCCTAAAGGTGAACTTCGCCACAGAAACCGTCCTACAAAACAAAAAGCAACTGGTGCAAAAATCGACGCCTGCAGGATTCGAACCTGCGCGTAGAAACTACAATGCCTTAGCAGGGCATCGCCTTAACCACTCGGCCAAAGCGTCACATATTTCTTATTGGCTGAAAATTAATCATTACTAATATTTAACTTTGGCGATCATCTAAACCCCTCTATGTGGTAGCTGTACAAGTGCCAGCTCGGCGCATCTGATTCCATCAGCGACAGTAGCAATAATAGAGTAGCAATAATAGGCCAGATCCATACATGTCGATTGAAATCATGATTCATATTTCGGTATAGAAAAGTGAGTTTTTAGCATATCAACCAATCTTTGTTTTATACAATATTTAGTGCTTCCTGGTAGAACGTCTATGTAGACAATCTACTATAGACCAGAGTTGCTGAGAATGCCACAAGAATGTATCCCATGCACTGTATCATTGCAGCTGACCTCCTACTGATCAATAGTGTGCTACGCATAATCACTGCTGCTCTGTTATTCTACTGTTTATACTGCTTAATCCTATACTTGTAGATATGTTTTTTTATCCACAGTCTACTTCCCATGTTTTCAGATCCCTCTAAGAGTTTCTGATGGGCTTTAAGAAGTACTGAGTATTCTGGGCTGATGTTGGATAGCAGACTTCACTAAACTTCCTTTCCAGACCAATTGTTTTCATACCAAACACTAGTTGTTGTGATACTGGTAACTTAACGTGGTATATAATTAGTGACAGTAAAGAATCTAAGGAGAGCTGCTGACGTGCTGGCATGTACTGAACTATATAGTGTGGCTACTATACTCTTGCGTACGCACTGTGGCGTGGATCTAGGGATCAGGATCAGTTATACAACACTAGTGATATTGTACTTTAGGAATTCGCCAAGCTGGTTTCCCTACTCTTCTTGACTGCCTTTTTGTTTACTCTATGCTAGTTGTGGTGTTGAAAACCAGTTTCCCCATTGACGTTATATGATCGACATATTCCTTATTCCAGATCAGGAGGTATCGTCAATTACTAGCACCTGCTTCTACAATTCCCTGTAGGTGTCATAACGATTAATCTCCTGTCCGCTAAGACCTTCTTTCTCCTTTCTCTCTAGTTCATTGTTTCTATGACACCCTTTCGAAGTGGCCATTTTATAGCCACTCCATATGGTGCCATAGTTGAAAAATCATCAACTTTTTACCCTTTTACACTAGTTGAAGAGAAGCATACATGCCCATTTGTCAGCAAAAAGCACTACATACCTATAAGTTTGATTACCTACCCAATGTGTTCTTGAAGATATCTACAGGTGCCTTGGTCTGGAACTAGTAGGCCTATCCTACTTACCTACTCCATGTCTGAGGTTATGAGCTTTTGAGTTGGGTCGGGCTGTAGCACCCAAGTAAAGGAGAATATATTGAGAAAATACAGACCAAGCCAGTCTTAAAGAGATATTAAGGAGTTAGCGAAAAAAAAAAAAAAAAAAAAAAAAGGAGAGACCAGACCAGTGACTGGACCGATTCGAGAATAAAAAAGAAAGAACAAGAAAAAGATGAGGAGAAGTAATCTAATTTTCCGATACCCCATTCGCTCTTGACTGCTGGTACCATTATGCAGCAGCATCCATATGAGCTCTACCAAGAATCACTAGGTCAACCTTTCAAGAGCCCACTCTGATAAGCCAGCGAGCTAGGAAAGCACCTCACCAATACCTCCAATACTCAATTGGCTGACCAAGGCATGCTCGGTGCCATATGAATTATTTTAGAAGCCGACCCGCTCCTCACAGGAAACACAGCTACTTTAGGGAACAGTGCCGGGAGCACAATGACTAAACCCACCTGCTGCCTGATTTTTAATACCACAGCACTGCTTGCTAATGGCAAATTATCAGCTGGCCAATCATGACAAATTGCCTTCTGCGATTATAACAAGTTACTAGCTGTTAGTCAGACAGCCTCTACTATTAGTATTCAATTTGTAGCTGCACCAAGTATATAAGCCCAGCATCCGTTCCCGCTGTCCGGCTTTCGACATCAACTTACCCCTATAAACAACTCGCGCAGTATCACTATATCAACCTGCTCTCCTTCTTTTCTGCAGCTTTTTTTATACACAATCACTTACCACAGCAAAAATGGCTCTCCCCAAGGTTTTCATCATCTCCTACTCGACCTATGGCCATATCCATACTGTTTCGCAGTCAATCAAAGAGGGACTCGAGAAGACTGGTCTGGTTGATATCGAGCATTACCAGTTCCCAGAGACACTCTCAGATGAAGTCCTTGGCAAAATGCATGCAGCGCCCAAGCCAGATATCCCTGTCATCACTGTTGACAAGCTGACTGAAGCTGACGGTTTCCTGTTTGGCTTCCCAACCCGCTTTGGTGCAGCACCCGCTCAGGTTAAGGCACTGTTTGATGCCACTGGCAGCCTGTGGGCTAAGGGGGCCCTGTACGGCAAGCCTGCTGGCATTTTCTTCTCTACGGGCTCACAGCATGGTGGACAGGAGACAACCGCATTCTCCTTCCTGCCCAATCTGGCACACCATGGCATGATCTACGTGCCTACTGGATTCCGTAACCAGAATCTGTTTGACAACTCGGAGGTTGTTGGCGGGTCGCCCTGGGGCACTGGAACTGTTGCCGGTGGTGATGGCTCCCGTCAACCTAACAAGAAGGAGCTGTCTGTAGCTGTGACCCAGGGCGAGGAGTTTGCCAAGGTCGTTGCCCGCCTCTCGGCTTAACTAATTCAACACATGCTTTTTATTGTGTGCCATCTCATGTGTAAAACAATAGACGAAATAAAAAATATCGGTCTAATCATCGTCTTGCTGAACATAGAGGTCTAGGAATGGCTGTAAAGTAGCTGTTGACATTCGGGGTCCGGAGTCCCCCTGCGCCACCATAGACAAGGCCGAAACGCATACGTACAAAGGCCCAGACAGACGACCAGCCTTCCTTCTTCCCCTCAGTCATTTTGAGAAGTTATTTTTCCATATATTCGATAACCACTCATTCCCCAAGCTAACAGTAGCTACCATACGACATGCGCTGGCCATTGGAGATATATACGCTAGAAGCAAATGTTTGCTGAAGATGTATTACTGGTGTGCTATGGAACAGCTGCTTTAGTTTTTGAGATGGATATAGTTGAATGCACTCTTGTGGACAGTGCGTGTGCCGTACTTGTGGCGCTTGTAGTTGTATTCTTCAATGGTGACCATATCTCCCGAGACGCTGGAGACCCACACGACGTGGCCGTATGTGCTGCCGCGGTCAGTCTGGCCCACTGCTCCTGGGGCTGGCGTGTCATTAACCGTGACTCCCGAGGCGCGTGCTGCGTCATCCCACTGGTTGGCATTGCCCCATGCATTGCCCTTGTAGCGGTTGTGGAAATCGATGCCCAGACGCGAGTTAATGCGCCAGGCAACAAAACTGACACACTGGCATGAGTAGTACCGCCACTTGTCGACAATGTCACAGTTGCCGTTGTACGGGTAGTCATCAGCCATTGGACCTGCCGACCCAGGGTTGGTGTTGCCAGAGGGTCCAGGGGTTCCAGGGTCACCACCGGACGCATCGCACTTGTCAACAACATAGTTACTGGTTCCGGTCTGGACATAGTAGTCGGCAACATAGCAGCCGTCCTGGGTCTTGCCCCACAGGGAGTCGCCCCTGATTGTCTCGCCTTCGGTTTGGCAGGAGAGAGTGACGTCGTCACCACGGCTGTATGTGCGGACAACGCTGTTGCTGGTGCCAGGACCGGAGCGGCAGTTGACGCTGTCTCCGTTGATGGCATAGCCGGAGACTAGCTGAGACGATGAGAGGAGAGCGGAAACGCTGAGCGTGGCAATGGCGGAGAGCTTCATTTTCGGGTGTAGGTGTATGTTTTTTGTTGTGGTCTGGAGCCTTTTCGATGGAGGTATCTGCAGTGGATTATATACCCATCTCCACCAGCACGCACCGAATCTATCTATCTATTTTTAGCAGCGCGTCGGTATTGCGCTAGGCTCCAGTAAATTTGTTTGCTTTAAGATATGCAACTGCGTTGCCCTGTTTCTGCAAGAAACCTGGGCAAGCAGTCCGATGTGTCTTTGGCACAAAAGAAAGAGCACAACTCGGCATCATGCAGCTTCTGACGATACATGAGAAAAAGCTATTTTCAGACCATGCATGGCGGCGCACCAGACAGGTTTGTTTGTCAAAACGTTGCATCAACACGCTACTGCTACTAACCACGCTACACAATTCTACGACTGCGCTGTCTGTCTTATTTTTAGACCATGGGCCTGCAGGACCACAGGCTGTCTTTTGTAAGCAGGCTGTCAGGAACATGTATTTTTAGCTGATGTGCTCGACATGCATTGATCTTCGCAAATGGGGTTTAGAAAAAAAAAAAAAAAAAACCAGTCGGTACCCAATGTGCAAATGTGGTGGCCACGTTGGTCCTAAAAAGACAAAAAAGGAGTGACCCGGGTCAACAAAAAATAATGGGGCCTGCAGGAGTCGAACCAACAACCTTTCGCTCTGGAGGCGAACGCGCTACCATTGCGCCAAGGCCCCATCGAACCAACGAAATAACGAATTCTGGAATCGGCTCATTTCAGGCTATAGTCATGATAATGACAAATAGCGCAATATGTTGATAAGCATGCATACCGATCACCCTTCTGTCGCCTGTTTGCTTTGGGCCCAGTAGGATGCAAACTGTACTCGCCTAAGCTAACCATCTGAACTTGCGATATCGTCCCCGGTGACTGGGTCATTCCCAGCAAAGCTGCTGTGCATTACTTTATTGCTGCTTTGACTTCATGTTGTGAGTGTCAGGCCTGGCATGCTCTTAAATGCATATGCGCACTACTCCCAGCAAACCCCTTCATGGCTGTATTGCCATCAGCTGGCTTCTGAAGACAATATATTCTTTTTTTTTTTTACAGCAACCGGCTTACGAAAAAGCTTCTATGGTGCGGGTCACCAGGATTAGCGAGTCCATGAATCCATTGACGCTGACACGCAGAATCCGCGCTGTCTCGGCATTGAATGTCACCACTAGATTGCTGACATCAGTTTTAATCTGTCAGCTAGACTTGCTACTCCTAGTTGTAACTATTAGTAATAATATGTTTATACTATCTAAATCAGTTTTGATTTCTTTAGACTACTAGAAATACCCTGCTCATGATGCAGGTTTGGCTGCTAATCAGCATGGGTTGACACATCAATAAGAGCATCATGGCAAACCGGCCATTTGAATGTGTCAGATGGTTGTTGGTGGAATGGCGATCATGGACATTGTTGGAATCTCAAGATCTGATTACTGTGAACTACATAGTTTTTCATCCTGTTGTCCTTTTTCTTCTTTTTTTGGCTGTGCCACCTGAGCGATGGTATAAACCCTTTTCGCTCGCCTCTCCCTTCCTACTTCTCTTTAGCCTTCTTCATCAATATATATTCCTTAACTCTGTCACTTTCTATTGTTGATACGCTCACAACGCTCGCATATTTCTGGATTAAGATACCATCACTTGACAGCTTATTCAGAATCTGCGCTACACGAAAGTTACACACATATTCACATATAAGGTATCTTTCACTACTCGTTCTTTTCTTTTACCCTACACCACCCATCGTGTGCTTTAGACCCACACCAATTCCTTCAGAGCCAGTCAGTGCTTTCTATCGTTCTCACGTCAATTACCGGGCGGAGCCCTTATCAAATGCGGTATGCACAGCGTGCATGAACAGATAAGCCAGGCATCCAATTGGAAGGATTCTGAGGCCGCCTACAACATGCATACTGCTCCTGCACGGAATATCCGATTGGGTTGGACAGGCATCCCACCGAATTGTAAAGACTGTGCATGAGTGTGGTGACAAACCCAGGGACATAAACATTGAGCAAGTCTTGGCATTTTTCAAGCGTGATGACCGGCATATAAATCTGCTAAAGCTCTTCGACCTCTTGTCCAAAAGTGTTCCACTCGTCACTTTTTGTTCTCGTATTCCTATCTATCACGCCTTTTCAACATTAGCCAGACAGATATGGCGGTTCTCAATACCCCTATTCGCATTATCATCGCCGGCGGAAATTATGGCGGACTCGGTGCCGCCAAAGCGATATACACGCATCTGTTGGCTACCAACAGCGACTACGATGGTACCAAACAGGCACCGCCCAACCCAAACATCCAGATCACGCTAGTTGACAGGCGCGACGGATTCGTGCATTACCTAGGTATGACGCGTGGACTGAGTCAGCTGGACTATGGGCGCAAGCTGTGGGCACCGTACTCTTCGATGCCATGGCTGCAGCACCCATCGTTTATCATCCGCAAAGAAATTATCTCTCAAGTCACTCCGCACTTTGTTGAGCTGGCTGGATCTCAGGAACGGCTCGAATTCGACTATTTGGTCTTGGCCATGGGGGTCAGTCGTCAAGCGCCTATCGGTGTTAGCGCATCCACCAAGGACGAATTCATTAGGGACCTTGAGTACGACCATGCTTTAATCAAAAGCGCCGAATCAATCGTAGTTGTCGGTGGAGGAGCAGTCGGTACAGAGCTGGCAGCGGATCTAAAGACGGATTTCCCTGAGAAGACCATTACGCTAGTACATTCACGCGACCTACCTGTGCCTGGGCCATTCCTATATGAGTTCCGGCAGGGAGCAGCTGATATTCTGTGCAAGCTGGGTGTCAATACTCTGTTCAGTCAGCGGGTAGTCAATGAGACCCCTGTTGATGATCTGGGATCGAGTGAGGCACTTGAGTTTTCAGATATCCTCCCTGAGCTAGTAAACTCAGTCAAGCGCAATGTAGTCATTGAGACTAGCAGCGGTGAGAATGTCAAGGCAGATCTGGTGTTCAACTGCCTGGGTGCCAAGACCAAGGAGACTCTTATCAAACTGCCATCGTCGACAGCTGAACCGATGTTCACGCCTAATGGTATCCGTGTCAAGAGTTCGCTGCAGCTCGACGACCCCAATTACCCCCACATTTTCGCTGTGGGTGACATTTGCAACCGGGCACAGATCAAGTTTGCTGGAGCTGCGGCATCTGGCGGTAGACTAGCGGGCAAAAACATTGCTAGACTCGTTGCTGCAGTCTCCACCGAAAATATAGCCGCAGAGTTGGAGGAGTCTCGACCACCCAAATTGTCGATGAAGCTAATTCTAGGCGAAAAGCACGCGCTCATCCAGGGAAAAGGCCATGTGGTTCCCAGTGATGAAGCAATCCACAAATGCGCACCAGACATCAAGCTTGGGAAGGCTATTCGCAGCACCTTCGTTGGCACATATCCTGTCAATAAGTAAAGTGGGTTGCTGCTCCGGGGCCAAAAAAGTGCCTTGCCTCTTTTGTTCACCGAATATTTACTATTATACGCTGATAATGGTTTGTTTGAGTTCCTTGCCAGACCTGGTTCTGGACAAAGTTGTCTGTGAGTTTTACACTCTGCATGTGGTTTCTGAGCCACGACAGCACCTAAAAGTCCATAGTGCGCGGCTTATACCACTACTCAGCACATGCCGACGTGTTCGCCAGGCAACCTTGCCCTATCTGTATCGGATCGTGTGTTGTAACCTTCAGCGGTATGGGGCAGGGGTTGACCGGGCTGCTACTTGGAGCGCTCATTCTCTGGACCGCATACCGTCGGAGCAGCGCAGGCAAATCGAACACTTGGTTATCGATGCATCGACGTGTGTGGTAGACTCGGTCGTATTGCAAAGGTTCTTGACTGACCAGCAGATAAGCTCGATAAGCTTCCCTGCGATCCGGTCGATGGTAATCCGGCAGTATCTTGAGCGCAACCGTAGCTGGCTGATTTCACGCAGCCAAGACTTGACGACTACATTCAGTGACTATCTTATCGAAAACTTCAGCTGCATCGAGCGGTTAGAGTACATGGCTACTGGTACCGACACAATATCCGATATGCATCCATTATACAGCCTAGTCCCTCGTATGCCTCTGCTGCGCACGTTGGTATCAACTGCTACAATACCGCCAGAACTAGCAGACATAGACCAGCCGCTTAGCACATTGTATGTCTGCAAGTCTATCCCAATATCCACCGCAAATAGACCTTGGGTTGTATCGCAAGCGATTTCGCAGTCGCTGACCTCACTGACTATGAAAAACTTTAGTTTGCGCGACATCCTGTTTCTGTTCAGACAAAGCTCTGCCGACACTACTATGTCCGCTTTTCCAAACCTGAGGTTACTTGATTTGGAGCTTTCGGTTCTACTGCATGGCGATGGTAACACGGACGATTTCGATCAGGAGCATTTTGAGCTACCAAGTCTGACTTATTTGCGGCTTGCAAGTGATGCAGACCTCTGCGTAAGCTTCCAGCGACGGATAAGATACCCACAGCTGCTTGACCTCGTAATTGAGCTGCCACAAAGAGATACCACTGTCGATTTCTACCTTTGTGACACACCAGCTCTTCGCCTGCTGCGTGTTATCGGTGATACATCAAGAAACATTCCTGAAGATCCTCGGTGCTGTGACGCTGATCTGCGACCGCTGCTCACCATCTGCTACAACTTACACATGCTTGATCTGAGGGTGCGCCGAATCCCACTTCCCTGCCTTAGACCAGTCAATCCAAGTGAGGACCAAGTTTTTGTGCTACAGCGACTGGAGATACATTTCCCAATTGCAACTGAGCAGCTTGCCCAGCTGTTGTTGTGTTTGCCGATGCTAATCCACTTGTCTGTTGCCTGGTGCGAACACCCAAGATATCCAGAGCTTGCTTTAGATTCACCTACAATTTCCCCATCCCTGGAGATCATTTCAGTGCCAAGTATATTTGGTGTACTGGATGATGTACCGTTCCGACGGTTTGCTGAATTGACTAGACACATGCCAGTACTGCAGACGATCAGAGCCCCAGCGATGATTGCCAATATGATTGAATTGGCAATTTGGCGCAATAGGCGTGGAATGAAGGACGGCGCTCTAGATATGCCACAGTTCAATTTCGTAGATTCAGGAGCAGTCTCAGACAGTTGAGATGCAAATATTTGTTCATCCCAACCCATGGTCTTGACTATTTCCTCATCCGCAGCAATAGCCTTCTTTTTCTTCCTCAGTCGCTCGACACTGCCTGTTCTGGTAGTGATATACTTTAAATATCCAATTAATATCCAAGTATCGCTCTACCCCAGCAGTTCAGCACTGATGCTTTTCCAACAGCTATTTTACGAGTCGAGCAAAAGTGTTCCTCCAAATGTGACAGACCTACCATTGGGCAGACATTTGCCGCCTAGACAAAATGGATAGGAGCTATCGTACATAGACAAGGTCGTGGGCAATGGAACTAATGCGACCATGCTAGTCCTTCTTCAATTCTCGCATGGCTGATCATAATACTGGTGTACTCGCTTGGATGGTGTGCCGTGTCAACACACATTTGTACAAACAGCAACAAACACACTACTACAGTAACATATCTGATGCAATGGACCTCTCAGTAGCACCTGGATACGGATCGTCATTAGAGTTATCGTCGGAGTTAGAATCCGATGTGCTGCGTAGAACTCCTGCCACAAATGAGAGGAAAGGAGGGTCGAGGCAGTCCATGCAGCCATAATGTGCCTTAGACACAAGGCTGGCGGTGATTTTTCCACCTCCTAGGGTGTCGTCACATCAAGGTGGCAGCAACAAAATCAAAATAGCTGTCGATTTGATACCTAGGCACAACCCCGCTCCTGGTGCATCAGCGACAGTGAAAGAAAAGCATATAGGCAAGCCGGACATGCCCAATGTGAAGCATAGCAAGTTTTCGGATCTAGCCAGTATTTTACCTGCCCCTAGGGGTACTGCTTCCCGAACGATACCGAAGCAGCAGCAACAGCAGCAGCAGGCTGACAATACTGGCGCAGACAGCCAGCAGACCACCCCAAAAAAAACTTCGCCTATGTTGGTCCCGTATTCTGTAGCATCTGGGAAATGTACATCAGGGAATCCAGGAACAGACAAGGCCACAGGGTGTCGCGCCAAATCACCTGATGTGGAGAAATCTGAAGCAATCGCTGTCTATTCATCTGCACAGTCTGCTAAGCCCTCTGTCAGCCCGTTCTTTACGCTATCGGAGCCCCGTCCAATGCCACATATGCCGATGATATGCGTCTGGAGTAGGACAGGTCGGAAAGTATACCTGATTCCGATGCCCTGGATGCCTTGCAAAGCCAACATGGTACTTCTCGGCTCGTATATGATGCAATCAGCGGATACTACTACGGTTACGTGTCCAATCAATGCCTTTATTACGACACCTACATCGGCATACACATCGATGCTGCAGAGTTGTATCCCGAGATGCAGTATGAAAACGAAGACAGCGATCACCAGCAGCCCTTGACCTTTGCCATCGATGACGCTGGCCTGGAGGCGCTTATTGGCCGCGGGGCTTTCAGGTGGGGTGAGGCATTTGGGATTAACGTAGGCGCAGCCAGAAATGTTTCCTAGCAGGCCCAACTTGCCGATGCAGAGAACTTTGATACCCGCACTGCCCAGACCGCTGCTGCTGCGCCATCTCGCCCACATGCGCCTCGCAAAGATGCTGCAAACATTGACCAGGTCAGCAAGGAGCAGAAGCAGAGGCACAATGCCACGTACCTTGCCATACAGTCGTAGGAGCAGGGGACTCGGGTTAAGGCGATCCAGGTGAAAATCTGCCAGGGCTTCACCCTGGCAGGCGAAAAAAGACTGCCAGATGTGGTATAGTAAGTGTTGCAAACCTGACGATATGAGCCGCATATGTATATTCAACAGCATTTCATGTTAGCACGCCTCTGGAGCCATTGTAGGATTCCGAGTTATGGACGACGCAATCGATAAGCGGGTGGCCGACTGCGATTTTGCCTTCTGATGTATCCGGGTAGATATGCGTCCCTTTTTTGAGCCTGAATGAAGGTCATGGCGCTCACGCGTGCATACAGATGCTGTGTTTGTTTTAGCGGGGTAAAACAAGAGTGAGGTGGTTCGTGGGTGGAGGCCTGAGCAAAAAAACCCTTTCCGACATTCAGCGAGCCGGCCTGTGTCTGCTGCTATTCCCAAAAAAAAACAATGTCTTATACCACTAATGACGACCATGTTGCTGGGTATGGGCATCGCGAGCCGAGAGAAGCTTCCGTGTCGCCAGAGAGCCTATGGCCGCCATCTCTGGCGATCGTGCCTCGTCATCATTGTTCGCTGGCTTGAAGGGCTCATCCGATGAGTGCTCCCCCTATTCACTTGCCCTTATCGATGGCGCTAATCGGAGATCAGCACTGGATCAAAGCGATCGATAGCGATCGCAGTCGGGAATGCGTGGGGCTGGGCCAATATCAGGCCTCATCAAGGAGCTGCCGCACGCACATCCATTGGCTGCACCTGTCACGGCTGTGTGCTTTTGTCGAGTCAACGCTGCTGCACAAGACCTGATTTTCGCGTACTTCCTGAAGCAGTCTCAGCCTGTGTAGCCTTTTTCCTCACATGTGCACTGATTCGCCGACAGGACTCTGGCCCGGAAATCTCCATAAACCTTCCCTCCCTCTTAATCCGCTGTCTCTCCCCTCTTCCGGAGCGCAGGAACTAGATGAAGGTCGTTGTGGGCCATGCGGATATAAAACCCATGCCACATTCCGCTGACACCCTGCAATGCCGGTTCTTCTGTATTCCACGTCAGACATCCACCAAGACCCAGCGTCCAACCATTGTGAAAGCACCTCAACGCGCGCCTCACATTAATTTTCTATATTCCCTGTTCGCTACTGCTATTCTTTTCCGCGTTATTCTACATTCGCTGTCTTGTTAAGCGTCAGGCGTCCTGTTTTGCCTTGACAGCCAGCCTACTGAATACAGACACAAAATAATACTGTCGCCACAAACGACCACGCACCAAGCCTCGTAGGGATTTCCTTCTGCTCCCTCAAAATTTTGGCATTGCAAACGTCGTGCCGCTATTATACTCGCACACAAGTCTGGAGCACTGCACCGACGCCAGCGCCAATTGTGAGACGAAAAGCCTTTCCTTTTTCTTCCATCTAAGAACACATATTGGCTATATTCTACTACCTCCAGCACCATCTCCTTGCAAGCTTGTCCTGTGCTCCTGCAAGATATTCAATATTTTCAACCATGGCTGAGCATCTGAAACGATTCGACACGGACACGCCGCAAATCAACACTGGCGACACGGCCTGGATCCTGGTCTCTTCGGCGCTCGTGTTCATCATGGTACCTGGTGTCGGGTACTTCTACAGTGGCATGGCTCGCAGCAAGAACGCCGTCAGTCTGGTCTTCCTGTGTATGATCGCCATGGCTGTGGTCAGCATCCAATGGATACTGCTCGGTTTCTCACTGGCGCTGTCTGACAAGTCCGGCAACAAGTTCATTGGTGACGCGACTTACGGACTGCTGCTTGATGTTGCTGACAGACCGCATCCGAATGCACCATCCATCCCTGCTAATGTCTATGCCATCTTCCAGTGCATGTTCGCTGCGCTGACACCGGCGCTGGCCCTCGGTGGAGCCGCCGAGCGCATTCGCATATTCCCAGCAATCGTTTTCACGTTTGTATGGACCACTATTGTATACGACCCGATTGCGTACTGGTCGTGGGCCCCCAACGGCTGGCTCTTCACCATGGGCTCGCTGGACTATGCTGGCGGCACTCCAGTGCATATTGCATCCGGCTTTGGTGCCCTGGCCTTCTCTATCATTCTCGGCAAGCGCCATGGCTTTGGCTCGGAAAAGTTTGAGCCGCACAACTACCTCAACATCATCCTTGGTACCTCGCTGCTGTGGTTTGGTTGGTTTGGCTTCAACGGTGGTTCTGCTGTTGCTGCCAACGGCCGTGCTGGCATGGCTTCGAGTGTCACACATATTGCTGCGTGCATGGGCGGCCTTTCCTGGTCAGTGGTCGCGTATTTCCGCAACGGCAAAAAGTTCTCCAGCTTCCACTTCTGCTCTGGCGCTATTGCTGGTCTGGTTGCCATTACTCCTGCCTCAGGCTTCGTTGCTCCTTGGGCTGCGCTCGTTTTTGGTCTTGTTGCTGGTGTTTGCTGCCACTATGCGGTTGACTTCAAGGAGAAGTTTGGATTTGACGATGCCCTCGATGTGTTCGCTGTTCACGGCATTGGCGGTATGGTTGGAAACCTTCTGACTGGCATCTTTGCCAGCAAGGCTGTCGCCGAGCTCAATGGATCCTACATCGATGGTGGCTGGATTGACCACCACTGGAAGCAGCTTGCCATCCAACTAGCAGCTAGCACCTCGGGTGCAGCTTGGTCATTTGTGATTACCTCCATCATCCTGCTGACTCTGAACCTGATTCCCTCGCTACACCTGCGTATTGACGAAGAGAGCGAGCTTCACGGTACAGATGTTGCCGAGATGGGCGAGCATGGCTACAAGTTTGCTGGTTCACACCTGCCTCTGCGCAGCGTCAACTCGCCGTCGACCATGGAAAGCGGTGGTGCCGCTCGCCCAGCCACCCTGGTATCAACCGATCAGCAATCTGTAAAGTCGTCGATTTCTGAGGTTGCCGAGAAGCAAGTAGAGGGCACTGCTGTCAACGCACTTTAAATTTTAAAGCAGTGGGAGCTTCTAAGCAGGACAGCAATACCGAAAGTGTGTTTTCTTTCCTCCCTTCTACCTCAGCGCTTGAACATTGGTCCTTTTCTCTTTTCTCGTTCTGCATTGCACAGCGATAACTGGCTCTTAGTTCTGATTTGCCAGTCAACACCCGCTCTCTGGCTCATGTTTTTAACCTCCCCACATCCACTTGGTCCACATAATACCTCCAACATCTCTATCGTCTTCATCGTTTTTCAAGACACTACCTCTGATTCTATTCACACCATATATCATAATTGCTGTATCTCTCTTTTCTCTTTTCTCTTCTTTTCTTTTCTTATGAAATTATAGTCTAAAAAGCGTCCGACCGTCCGCTAGAACGTTTCTGATTGCTTGAAAGGACCCACCTTCTTTGAGCCTCACAGCGAGTATGCATTACTTGCTCTGTGGACACCTAAAACAGCATTCTCTCTTTTGGCGGATGGATTCAGATCGTGCCATGGCAAATATATATCTTAAAAACACTGGTAAAAACGAATTTGGAACCATATATTAAAGCCCTGCTTATCTTGGCTCCTTCGTATTTTGCAGGTCCAACAATCCGATAAGCGAATCACCCAGCTTCCGCATTCTTGGTGTTCAGATTTGGAACCGGTGGCTTTCTGCGAAACTGCGGAGCAAGTTCAGTCCAAATCTAGTACTAGTCATGGGTAATTGGGGTGCACCGATGGTCCGACACCATGCGCCGATTTGCGGCAAGGGATAGCACATCAATTTCAACCACCATAGCTTTAAAGTCTATCTAACTGATGAACTCCGAGCATCATCGATGTGCCTGTCCTGCTGCGAAAAGTCCCTGCTGTTGACATTCGGGCAACCCCATTCCCTTCGCCACCATGTGCAGATCTAAATCCCCACCTGTATAAACATCGTGGGCCGGAACGGCCCCATCCTCCCTTTTTTCCTCAGCAATCCTTAGTCATATTCATTCCATAAAGCTCATAACTACTGGACTCTCTGAAGATTAACACCTGTAGACATTCCGGCATGTTCTCAACCCGTGCCCCTACCAGAGATCGAAGAACCCAGCTGTAGAGTGCCATGGCCTTCTCCGCTGTACAAGCGAGTCATGTAAGCGGGCCATGGCACAATACAGGCGGGCCTATTTGTCTCGGCTCTTGAACCGCGACATTGCAGCAGTTCTAAACTTCAGACTCATTTTCCAGTCACTCTGTGGTTTAGGCTATATTCCTGGATGGCTCTGCCGTTCTGTAGTCATTATTACCAATGCCCCTGCCCCACTGCGGCTACAAAGAACCCGCGCAAGAGGCGTGCTGCAGCTGCAGGTGATTCTGCTGCTAGCAGCGGCGAACCAGCGCTGAAACGCCTGCGCTGAGCAGGCTATCGAGACAGAAGATGAGCAAGGTCATCATTTCGCTGATAATCATCAGACATGTTCAAATGGTCGGTTCACCGTGATGCTTTTATCGATGTGTCGAGCCATGCTGACTAGTAGCCGAGCTCACATCGCAAGCAAAGTGCTTCTAGTACCTTTAATAAGATGTCCCACAACCGTAGAGCAGAAAATTTGTCCGTGTCATCCAGAATAATCATGCATTGGATAAGCTATCCCAGTAGCTATTACATGCGCAACCTGTGCATCAAGCGACAGCGAGTCATGTATGTAATCTATTGTGTTTCTAGATTAAGCATGGGGTGGAATGTGTGCATACTTGGTTGTAGGGTTGGCTGAAAGTACACCAGAATCTGATTTGCAATAGCAGTATTCTTGTCAGTGTATTATTGCAATAAAGTTCCATAGTTATTGGTGCTGGTAAATGTACTGGGTTATATAAAGGCAACAGTCCCGAAAGCAGGGGTGATGTGGAAACTGGCTTTTCCTGTATTCTTCCAGCCACACAACTGCTGGTTCGGGTAAGTGGTTGGGCCAGTAACTGTGCGGAAGAAGTTCATGCGCCAATTGGTGCCCTTTGGGTTCTCAGCGTTGAACAGGGCGAGCGGGATCGATGAGGTCGAAACCCACTTGTGGTTGGGCTTATCCAGCGCCGTGGTGACCTTAAAGCCGTCCCCAAACGGATCAGAGATGAACGCATGGTCGAAAGGCGCACCCGTAGTGCGCACTCGCGACGGGTTGTACACAAATGAGTTGTAGGTGACATTGTTCGGGCTCACTTCGTACTCGAAATAGGTCTGAGGATTGTCGGTTCCCTTGTAGATGAATGCCTCCATGACCTCGTAGGCCCAGATGTCGCCATTAGTAGTCTGCGAGGGGTCAAAGTAGAAGTTGGTCTCACCGTATGCTGTGAACACCAAGTTCAGAGCTGTAGACGTGTAGCACAGGCCGATAGTGGTCAGCGGGCATGCAGTTTGCTCAGGAATAGTCTTGTCAAATCTGACAGTCACTGTTGAGGGGCAGGCAGGCACTTGAACATCTGCCTTGGTTGGCGGGCAAGGCTTGTCACTGGCACCATTGGCATTGGCGAAGGCGGCAAAGATGGTAGCCCCAAGAGCGATGATCGAGGTAAGCGAGTACATTGTTGGAATTAACAATAAGCAGGGTGGTTGAGTAGTGGCTCGGCGGATAGCAAGTGTGCAAGTTGAAAGGTGCGGTCACGACGATGGCTGAGTAGGAATTATATTAAGTAAAAGATAAAGAGAGGGAAGAAGAGACGAGTAGATGGTGGCTCTGGTGGTGAGTGTGGTTTGTGCGGAGAGACGACGCCATGTTTTCCCCACCTTATATAGGTCTTTACCAAGCCCTCTCAACGGCGTTCGTAGCAGCGGAGGAAACCCATGACACACATGATTGCACCCACGCCCGCGACATTATTCTGTTTGCAGCATGCCGCCAACAAGGTGGTGCGAAAGGGCAGTGCTTCCGCTCACGCGATGCATGCAACTGCAGTCCCTTCGCCGGTTGTTGCAAACAGCGGAACTGTGGATTGGCTGCTATCCTTTTTGTATGCTCACAAACTGCAGAATTCTTACAAACATAACGAATACCTAAAACTGTGAACGGCAAAAACATTTGGGCAATGAAGGAGCGGGTTCTACCAGAATATAAACACAGCTTGAGGTCAAGCCAAGGAGCATACATGCCTTCATGCCTAATAATTATCTTTGGTATTCTGCAAGATCACAAAGGAGAACAGTAGATCAGTGGCGAACTGCAGAATATCAAATACGGAGAACATAACACGAATGAGGGTTCCTGCAGGATTCGTTGGTAAAAGTAAAGTGTTGAGCGTTATTATTCTCCTGCTACCGTGCCTGGAAGCCTGAAACCGACGTGATATATACGAATGCATTCGACGAGAGTGGACATACTCTTGCGCTCCTTATGGACATGGCATTTATTGCCTGAAGATCTGGAGTACAATCAGAGCGGGCAAACATCTATGCGCTCTGGCCACCTGTAGGATTCCAAGGGTCTTGTTCAGAGGAGAAACCAGTATCAAAAAGCGAATGCACGAGTATTGGTTGGTCACTGGCTGGCCGGGGTTCACCTGGCAATTGCAGAAATAGGCGAGGATAGCTCCTCGCCTTTCCTCGATCCACAAATCATCTATACACTCAGTGCCTGGTGGAAATGCAGTGGACAATGTGTGTGAAAATGGCTCTTTGTGATCGTGCCATCCACATGACTGCTCAGCCTTGAAGGTCGTATTTGCTGCTGGACCCCTGCCATCTTTGCGCACAGCTGACTACGGCCAATTGCTCGCCTCTGCGCCAAGAATGGCCACATATTGTTCGGAGGTATGCGAAGTATGCATGCAGCCTGGAACTACCCGCTGCTATCTTGGCCCCATCCCTCTATGCGTGAAGTGCAGAAAGCCCCACAAAAATGCTTGCACAAAAGCGCGAGTTTGCCAACAGAATGCGGAATGCTTACCAAAATAAACAAAGCCCATCTGCTGCCTATCGATTCTCAAGGAGTGCCGACGCAGTACCAAGCAAGTGTACATATTCTGCAGGTAAATCGTCAGTTGAGCACAGTGCGGAGGTTCCCCCGCGCCAAAAAGGGTAAAGGGTTGGTACCCCTGGGGGATGGTCCCCACATACAGCAAAAATATGCCCCTCTTGGAGAACTCACCGAGCGCTGCATCCTGAGAAAAAGACACAAGAGGTGTAGTGGTGACCATACGGCTTACACCCCGCCCAATATAACGGCATTACATCCAGATAGCCGATGCGATCCTCCTAAGAATCGAGTACACAATAGCACAAGGGACAGGCACATGGAGCCACCAGCCGAAAGTGAGCTGGTTTGTCGTCCTCTCAAGCAACAAACTTTGGGTAGCATATATAGCCATTGCTGTGTGGATTAAGAAAGTGTAATGTATTATCAAATGCATAGGCTGCGTCTTCAAGTAAGGTGTTCAAACAAAGGCGACGGTTCCAAAGAAAGGAGTAATGTGGAAATTCATTGCGTTCGTGTTCTTCCAGCCGCACAGCTGCTGGTCCGGGTAAGTGGTTGGGCCAGTGACTGTGCGGAAGAAGTTCATGCGCCAGTTGGTGCCCTTTGGGTTCTCAGCGTTGAACAGGGCGAGCGGGATCGATGAGGTCGAAATCCACTTGTTGTTGGGCTTATCCAGTGCCGTGGTGACCTTGAAGCCGTCGCCGAATGGGTTTGAGACGAATGCATGATCGAACGGAGTACCTGCTGCGCGGGTGCGCGACGGATTAAAAATAAACGCATTGTAGGTGACGTTGTTCGGGCTCACTTCGTACTCGAAATAGGTCTGAGGATTGTCGGTTCCCTTGTAGATGAATGCCTCCATGACCTCGTAGGCCCAGATGTCGCCATTAGTAGTCTGCGAGGGATCAAAGTAGAAGTTGGTCTCACCGTATGCTGTGAACACCAAGTTCAGAGCTGTAGACGTGTAGCAGAGGTCAACAGTAGTCTGTGGGCATGGCGCAAGATCAGGGATAGCCTGATTGAACGAGGCAGTTGCAGTTGCAGGGCAGGCCGGGACGTTTAGATCAGCAGCACTGGCCAGCGAGGTGAGAGCAGCGATAGGCTAGGACGATGCTTGAGATAGGCGAGCGCATAGTCGTCAGATGTGCTTGAGAGACAGTTAAATGATCAATAGCTAGCTGCAAATGCTGCTTTGGTGGTGAAATATGTCGTATGGATGTGAGTGGAATATAGGAGACAGTAGCAGTTCTTTTATACCCAAGAGCCAGACTGCATCGTTGTAGCAGCACACAGGGGCAAATACCCCCAGATGCAGCCTCCTGGTTCCTTCGTTTTTCTATGGATTCACAGAGCCGCCACCTTGACACTCTGCAGCCAACTCCTTCCCCATCAACCCACTGCTCGCTCCTTTGCAAATGGTGCAGAGTGTACACATTGATCTTCGACAAGTATGCGTGAATGTGGTGGCGGAAATCTTCGGGGCATTGCCCCCATTGAACTCGCCACTTTTATTGACCGGCGCGGACGTACCAAACCATGCTAATATCCTGTTTCCAACATTTCCCTTTGAGCAACCTGCTGTCTCAGAACCATAGAAGATGGGGCTGCAAAAAGATTGCTCATCAAAAGGCTCTGCCTGCGAAAAAAAGGACAAGGTTGGATCTGGTTTAGTTGATCTGCCGCTGACTGCAGATCGATCCACCATATGCCAGCCTGTGCGCAGTGCATCACCAACCGTAATTCCAGAAAAGAGCAAAAAAGGACTAGTGATGTAGAGATCACACATCGCCGCAAAAAAGCGGGCCGTCTGAACCTCACCCTCCGACATACACGGCGACAATCTCGCCGGATCCAGCCTGCAAAGCATCATCAATGGGATCGTCACAGCACTTCTCCACAAATAGCGTGTCAAGGCTATGTTGGTGCTGGGCTGCCTGATCCCATGACAGATAATGTCCGCCCGTCCACCGCCGAATGGACGTCTATCCAATCCCAATCCACGTTGCAGGAGGTAGGGTGTGCGGATTTTTAGAAGCAGTGTCTCCAAATATGCAAGGCAGCAGAGCATGTATGATATACGCGGCCATTATTTGGGCAATATAAGCTCAATGCGTTCACTACTTCTTTCAGCATCGGCCATGCAGACCGGCTCCTATTGATCTCGGTGCCTTTTTTTAGCGGTTTGGCCAGAGCCATCTCTGCTATCCTCTTCGAGTTAGTTCCCACAACAAATGGCCAAGTGACATAGGAAAATCTGCCGGGGCTCGGATTTTCCGTTTCTTTTGCTCGATGTACACCTTGACTGCAAACGCTGCTGACAGGCAGATCTGCTGATGGAGTTGATCGCACAAAGTTCAAAAGAATGCCAGTACCAGTTCTGGTCTAGCTTTTGTTGCGGCGCTCAATGAAAATCGTAAGGAAGTGAGCGACGCCTGTAGGCAAGACCTTCCATGCCTGGCGAGTGAAGGTATGTAAGAATGGACAAGGAACACCCTTTGTCCATTGAGCTGGCCACAGATTGCCTTGCTCGCCGGGCCAATTGTGCAGCGGCAGCCGGCATGAATATGCCTGCCGTATTTGGCAGCTACTGGCTGGATAATATCAATGCCTCCAGGATGGATAAGGATGTCACCCGAGTAAGTGCCAGCAATATTCGCTGGAATGCAGCAGATATGCAGTGACAGTCCACAGCTCAGTCAGGCCACATAATGCAAACCAGCAATGCCCCACCGCATTGTGCATGACAGATCTTGGTTGCAAATCCCGCCTGTCACCGATGCGAAGGGCAGCAAAATGTGGAGCAAGCGTTATAGCCAGCTTTTGAGCAACGGCGATGCTGGCAGAAATGCCTTTGCAGGAGCTCGATGCAGGATGGATGGTTGGATGTGGTACGTGGAAATTTGCTGCGGACATGCCCAACACAGCTCAAGGCCATTCCCGCTGACCCGCTCTTTGCTGTTCCGCTATTCCACTGGAAACGAGCAAGCACCAGAGCGAGCAATGCTTTGCATCGTCTCACGCACCTGTATGCAACGTAAGGCCACTGGCACAGCCAAAAATCAATATGCAGCACTAGTAATATCCGGAAAGAACAAGCGGTCAATTTATTAAAATAGTGGGATCAGGCCAACACCTAAAAACGGCAAAAACAAGTTGTAAGGCAGCATGCTGCTTTTCATGACGACCCAGCCAGCTTCAGCTTGATGCCGCCTGTTTTTGCGGCAGGAGGGACTGGTGCTGCGATAGTGGGGAGGGTGGTCAGGTCAGGCGTCGGTGGCTTCTGAGATGTGGCTCCTGGAGCTCCACCATTAGCCTCGCCCGACTTACTTACCGTTGGGCCTGCTCCACCCTGCTCTTGGCCAGGCTTCGACGCCCCAGAGGAGCTGGTGCCAGCCTCGGCCAGCGCCGCCTTGCTTGCTTCTGCTGTAGGCATGGACTCTTTCGCTGCACTGCTCTGTGCGGCAGCGAATCCACTTGTGGATGGTACTGCAGCACTGGCAACCTTTGGTTTTCTTGTTCTGTTGCTCAGAGGCACTCTGCTGCCCGTCGCTGGCCGCTCCATCGCTCTGGCGCTTCTTCAAAGATTTGTGTTTGCGGCTGCGCGGCTGACCATCAAACACCTCGTCCGGCAGCTGCGGGCCACGCAAGAACCGCACCGTCATTGACATCGACTCCTCCTTCCACAGATCCGGCACCTTAATGAGCTTGATGTACTCCTGGGTGGCCCATGATAGATCCATGCGCTGCTTCCCAGTGCTATTGGACTGGCCGTTCCTTAATCAGCAGCCCAATGTAGAATGCCGACGTGTACAGCTTCTTCTTAGAGCCCTTCTCCTCGTTCTCAGCCTCGTTCTCAGCCTCGTTCTCAGCCTTGGCCTTACCCTCACCGCTCGTCTTACTCTCGCTGCTTGCGTCAGTCTCGGGCAGGACTCCCTGGCGGATCTTGCGGACTTCCTCATCAGTAGTTGCAACAAAGCTGTGATCAAAGCTCTTGATATACGGGTGGGCAAGCACGATCTGATCGGTCATCCTCGAGCTTCATGATGTAGTGTCTGATACGCGCGTCCGCCAAACCATGCAGACGGTGGTGGTCGTCTTCGTCTTCGGATGTAACATTCACCTGCAGATAGTGTCTATACCTGTAGAAGAAATCACTCTTCTCAAACAACTCGTCCCAGACCGCCTTTTTGGTCATAATACGGTCAGTGATTTCAGCACCGCGTTTGAACTCGGCCATGATGATCGTCTTGGTTGATGTCGACACGTTGTGGGTCGCGCACATCGACGGGTACGCAGGCGTAATGATTGGCATCTTGTGTGCCTCGTCCTGAGCATACAGTTTTGGATTCCACACACGCACCTGCAGCGGACCGTCCTCGATTGTCTTGAGCAAGACAGGCGACGGCCACTTTCCAGTTGAACATGATGCGGAAGAACCGTGCAACAATAGTACCCGCGCACGCATTCGGGTACAGCTGGCACACACGCGCAACAGGCATAGCCCACGCAACACCACCAAAGAACCCCATAGCGTTCGAGTACACCGCACGCCGCTTGGCCCACAGCTTAATGCACCGCAGCGCCAGTCGGAAGTTTGGTATGTTTGGCACCAGCCGCAGGATTTCATCAGTCACACGCGACCCGTTGACACTTCGAATACTGGCATCATCTAGGTTGCGCAGCAGATTCGTGTCCAGCAGCTCCAGGTCTTCGGCAATTGTCGGCAACTGCAGCGACGCAAACGTCAGGTCGATATCAACCCCACCAAACTGCATTTTGATGACGGGCACAAACGCATCGTGCACTGGCGTCAGCTCCTCGACCTCGGGGCGGCCCTTGAGCAGCCCGTGCATAATCTCGAAAAAGTCTTCGCGAGTGACATGTGCTGGAGCCACACACAGCGTATCGATATCAGCACCAGCAGCGTGTACACCGAGTCGGTACGATCCAAATGTGAATATTTTGCCGTGGCAGTCGCGCGCAACTGACTCGGGCAGCCCGTGCTTCAGCGACGCCTTGTACACAAACTCTTGCGTCAATTTGTCGATTTTTCCCAATACAAGCTCACTAGGGAAACCGCGCCGGCGAAAGAATAGACGTTAATGAGGCCAAATGGAGACAGAATTCAAGGCAGAGTAGCACAGTGCATTTCTTTTCCTAGTCACTTACCGGTTGCGACTGGCCTCCTCGGTTTCGAATTGCCCGGCCGCCTTCAGCACCTCAAGTAGTTTCTCCGTGACCACCAACTCCTCCGCAGTCGGCAGAGAGGTGGAGACAGGCGGAGTGACGCCAAGGTACTTTGTCGTGCTCATTGTCGATGGCAAATAAATGGAGCTGGATTGGGCTAAATTGCAGGCTAATAGTAAATAAACAGAGGCGGAGCAAAGCCAAAGCCCCCAAATATTGAGCGCTTTAATGGGTGCTCTCTGGAATGTTCAGATTAGGCGATTTGATCATGATCCATGCAGGCGCTCTAGCTGGTGCCAGCAACAATGCTCCAAATATCGGCATGGTGTGCGACGGCACAAGGCTTTTGCGTAGATGGCAGTGGCGGAGAAGGGCTTCCGGCAGCACGCTTTGCTCTGGCTACCGTCTAATCGCTACGGTCTCTGTCACTGTTGTCTGTACCTGTTTAGATTCGCTTACCTCTATACTCTCCTCCATGCTGGCCATACCTGCCGGCAACAGCATCAGTGCAGGCACCAGCGATGAGCTGCGGGATGCAATGGGAATAACCATAGCTCCATTCTGAGCCTTACAGCTTTTGACCAAGTGCCCTGTCTAGTACCCCACCATACTGCTAGGCTCAAGTAGTTTTGTCGCTAACTACGAACCGGAGATCCCTGGCTATTTACTGAGAGGTCAAGCTTCCTAGAATACAGCTTTTCTTTACGAGTGGGCACCAGCAGCGATGACCAATCCCAGCAAGCCCATGTTGTGGACAGAGTCTTGCTCTGTGAAGAGCGCTGGGTATTGCAGACGCATGTGATTTGAGCGCAGCTGCATGTGTCAAGCAGGTATCAATCCGTAGCCTCTGCTCTCCACGCAGGCACTGTCCTGCCGCCTACCCAATGACCCGAGCCATGTCTGCAATCGGCTTGTGGTGGAATAAAACATGGCCATGGTCAAAGGAAAAAGAGGCGGGTGATCAGCCGCAACATGTGAAAATCGAAGCATAAGCAGCACAGCAGGTACGCGGGGGCTTTTCAACGAAGGAATGGCCAAGCGAGGCTGCAACAACTGCGTTTGTTTTATATGCGAATACTGCTACTGTATGCCTCACTTCGCATCTACGGAGCGCCCAGGTCACTTGCCTTCCATGCAGCAGCCACATATTTGCTGCAAATGCAGATAAACTAGCGCGCAGGCGTGCCTGCTCATCCTTCGCTCTGTCCCTTTCCTCCTCTCCGACGCCCACTTTCTGCCCCTTGTTTCATGCTCAAATACCCCATCCTCAGACCTAGTATATTTGTATACCACTTGTTATAATACCGATATCGCACCGACACGCACACATACCCTCCTCATCCCTCACCGCCTTTGCACTTACCTGGCTAGCCCACACACATATACAGTCCCGCATCGGCTATCCGCTGCATTAGTCGCGTCTGTGTAGCTTGGTTGGTCGGACAATTAAAACCTTGAGCCCGTTCAGACAGCAATTGCCAGTAGACACGGCCTTCTGGAAAAATGTCCAGTGTTACACACTCACGCGTCTGGTTCCACAAGCAGTAAGTTTGAATGTCAACAGGACCAACACCGCCGCAGCCCAATATGTCTGCTGTGTGCCAGCCGAGGAGTGCACAAAAGAGCGATCGCTACTAAAAAAGCACCCTTGCGTTTTATATTGCCTTCTGCAAACTCTCTCTGCTGATCGCCCAAGCGTAGAATACTGCTGTATCTGTGCCGGTACGTATTTGCAATAACTTTCCTTTGTACCCCATAGCCAAATTGCTTCGCTCATAGGCTACTCTGTTCTGTGGCGGAGAAAACAGCACCCCCTTTTTAACCCGCCGGCACTGCCTTATACCGCCTTGTCCTGTGTAGCACCGTGCTTTATTCCTGACGATGTGCTACCTCATTTGACACTCCGCGATCGGCGCCACTTGAGTAACGCCAGAGTACTTGGCAGACGCGGAATTTCGCACCCCGCACTGACATGGAAGCACAACAGCGATCACAACGTTATGGCATGCGTCGGGTACACCTACCATGTCTACGAATCTTTTGATCCGGCCAACCCCACCCACTGTCTATCAGTTCATAGATCATGCTATGCGCTGCTGACAGAACGGCTCGAGACGACGTGCATGGTGGACTCACACAGCCTGATGCACAAACTGGCACCCCACATTGGACCCCGTGGAGTGCTGGCCTTGCCTACGCCTAAACGCGTGCCCCCAGATGCATACTCGCACTGGATGATGTGTGACCCCACTGATATTCCTGCGACACCACTATCGCTGGAATTCAGCACATGCAGAGATATGCCACTGGGAGCGGTGGCGGCAGAGTGTGCGGATCTGCTTCTGGACAGTGGAGAGCGTGATATTCCTCACCAGCTTTTAACGCCCCCGCTTTCGCCGGCCGACTCACACCGGTGCTCAGAATTTGAACCACCAGAGCAACTGCCTCCTCCAGCCAAAGTCAAGTATGACTTGCTATCACTCCCACCGCATGTTTTGCTCGGAATTGTAGCAAACCTGGAGCTGCACAGCATCTACAACTTGGCACAAACGTGCTCTGCATTCCGCATGTATTTTGGCATGGGCTCGTCGATATGGGCGTTGATGTGCCATTCCACTTTTGCCTACGCACCAAAATTCTCCAGCCCAGCACACTCTGCCTCGTACTATTTGAAAGTGCGTGGCAACACGCGGCTCGAGCGCCAGGTACTATGGCAGCGCAGGCGCATAGAGGACATTATTAAGCAAATGGAAACCATATACCATTCTGCCCAAATCTAACAAGCAAGTTGGTACCAGTACATATATTCGAAGAAAGCGTGATGAAAGATGACATAACATGTTATTTACTAGAAATACTCTGCTCGCGATGCGAGCTCGGCTGCTAGCGCAGTGAGGGTGCGAGCCAGCTGGTCGATACCTGGGAAATAATTACCAGGGACCACCACCGACGACTTGAGCGCTGGCAGCAGCAGCAACAGCGGCGATGACAAGGACAGCAGTGTAGGCGTTCATGGTTGGAGTAGTTGGTATTTGAGGCGCTGATTAGTATTAAAACTGTGTGGCTATTACTGAGATGAACAGCCTCCAGAGCGCCCACCCCCACGCCCCTTTTATATCGCTGCTCCGCAGCATTTCTCTGTCTTTACGGATGCCCTTGAAAGAGCCAGAATGCTGGACAGTCTTGAATTTGCACAATAGCATTGGTGTCGTCCAGGAAAGCAGGTATTTCGCACAATTCCTAGCTGTCAATTGCATTGCCCATTCTACAATGTAGAATCGTATCCATTCTATGCTACGCACTCTGCCACGGGTTCCAATTCATTATTCAGCTGTCGATTATTGTCGGAATAGATATCTGGTACGTTGGTAAATGGGAATACCTGTATTTCACAATCTGAAATTAGACTTGCTGTCCCCGCACAACCCAGAGATATCCATCTATTCCGACAATAAAAAAAAAGCCGATGCGTCAAAACAACCACGTACGCGAAGCCGGTCAAGGGTATGACATCCAATTTTGCATTGTACAAACAGTCTCCCCTCCCCCATTGAATTAGCCATCCAATTGGAAAACAGGGTGGCCAGCGTCACGGCATGGGCAGAGTATGTCTACAGACCCCACCGCCAACAGAACAAGCGTAGGCGCAGGGACAAGCTACCCAATTGTGCAATAGCATTGTATTGCCAGCACAACAAACTGGTGGTGTGGAGGCACTTTTTCTGAGCTGGTCAGCAATAGTTTCTCGGTCACATCTACTTTCAAGAGTTCGGCACCAGCCTAGCTGTGGATCTTTTGTGTGCGGCTCGCACCACTCGAATAATACCTTACTGACTGGGGTTTCGATAACTGCGCCCATGCTGATGGCTCCACAGCAAGAGTGGGTTTAGTTTTCTAGAATGCTCTCGGGCTGGTGTAAGGCAGGACAACCTGCTTTGTTTTATTTAGGCCGTTGGCAGACCTTGGCCATGTTGCCTATGGAGGAGTATAATGTCTCCAATAAGCGGTATAACAAGTCTGCAGCGGAATGTTTTGTGGGGATATGAGCGATGTGCGCGTCATGTGCGGTGCAACTCGGAAAAAGACACAACACCTCGCCAAGAGGCAACCAATAACCAAACCAGCTTGAAGGGCTGCCTACTTCTGTCGGCACGTCAGTCGGGGCAAGAAGCTGCTTATCTGTGCTATACGTCGAATTATCTTGCTCGGCGCAAATCGACAACATTGCCACGATATGTCAGAATTGTGCGTTGGATGAGTAACGGTGCGACAAAAATGTCTAATGGCACCCTTCCCCATGCTTCCCACCACTGGACTGAAATTTGCTGCACCGATCCATCGAAAAAAGTTTTTTTGAGAATCGGTACAACCTCAAGTCAAGGCGACAGTACTTTCGCTTTGTTTACGTTTTTCATGCGGGCCTCAATAGTACATCACCCCCATGCCCCCGATAGCATATTCCAACCGCCGGAACTCAGACTGAAAAGGAACAGGCCCATGGAGCGAAACACCAGGAGAGAAGAATAGATCGGGATGGTTGGGATAGTATGAGCCAAGTGTGCGTGGCATGCAATGGATCGGGGGAGACCCTGGCAGGGAGCTGAATATGGCGATGCTAAAGCTGAGCTGGTACAAAACAAAAATCACAACAAACCTGGTGGGAGCCGAGCGCCAGGAAGGGCGGGATGTTTGTCTGTGGTACACTGGGCCCAGTGGTCCAAAACAGCGAAAATTATACCCTCTCACCCCCACCGCTGTAGGCGTCAGCTCAAGTTATACTCCGCCGCTGCAACCACGCTATCGCCGCAAAAGGGGGCGGGCGCGAAAATTAGAGTGTGACAAGCTTCAATGTTTACGTTTGAAGACACGAAATAGTGATTGAGGAGCCCATTGCGCAGACAGGTTCCGGGACCTAAAAATGGCGGGCCTTTCGCCGGAGCTGGTTTTACCTGCATGGGAAAAGATCTGGCAGTATCGGTATAAAGATCACTACTCCTGCACCCTATATTCCACAACTATTGTCTTGTCCAAACACCAGCTTCCCTCTTCTCCTCTGGCTGCCATCGCCCCTGCCCTTGACTTTTTTCTAACCTACCTGCTGTTCGCACCCAGACAGTCAACTCCTGCCTATCACTTTTCTCCTGACCCCTTTCCTTGTCACATAGTCTATTTTCTTCTCAATCCAGTATCTCTGTACCCCTTGTTACATAGCAACCAATCTGTACATTTATCTATTCCAGCCTTTTCCTTTGTCCTAAAGAACGTATTTTCGTGGAATCTGCTTCTCTCCGTTTGCCTCACACATACAGCCATGGATGATACCCGAGATTTGACAAAGCGCTTCAAATCCATTGCTCCGCTCTCTGTTGGAACCCGGACAGCTAAGCGGCGCGTGGTGTCGGCCAGTGACCTGGCACCGACGGCCAAGCGGGCGCAATTCATAAAGAACAAAGACCTGTACCAAGGCCATTCACAGGACGTAATCTTAGCCAAATCGCTCATCGATCCCGAGCAGAAATGCTCCATAACGACGATCAAGGCATACGTGACGCACGTGTGCGCGTGGTTCCGGTACTGCCGCACACTGCCCGAACCCAACTACAAGCTGGTAAATGAGGAGAAGCTCTCTGGTTTCCTCAAGTGGGCAACACAGACTCCGAGGCTACCCTCAAAGCGCAACCCACGGCGTAGCACCGACCAGACACAGGAACGCCAGCGCCGGTGGCTCCATGTCATATCAGTCGGCGCGCCGCTACGTCGAGGGCGGGATCCTTGCACTCTGGCGGCGGTTCCGCAAGCCCGACGAGGAGAACCCGCTGCATGCCCTCAGCTATCCTGAGCACCAAGTACGCGATCCGTGAGGCATCGCAGCAGTCCAAGGTCCCGCGGTCCCAGCAGGAACGGCAGCATGTGGCATTTGCCGTCACTAGCGAGCAGGAGATGTCGATTGTGCAGCGGTATTTTGCCATGGACCCGCACGTCGGCGTGCAGGCATGGGCCCACTATGTACTGGGTGCCTCGACATGGATCCCTGGCAACCACCGCCTGCACCTACGGCTCAGCAGCCTGACGGTCAACAACCGGCCACACGAACAGCTCGACTCGATCCCGCTACTCGAATTCAAAGGCGTCGCCCGAGTCAGCCCAGCACGTTGGACGGTTTGCTGAAATCGGTGTTGCGCGCCACACCAATCCGCTTCTGTGCCCATGGTATGCCATTTCTTTGCTGATTTTCATGCAGTGGCATGCGCAGCCGACAGCGTCGGCTAACGCCTCACTCGCCGATCTTGGCACGTGGCTGGGGCAGGCCCTGTTCCAGTCTTACGACCAGGCCAACGGTCCTGTTCCAGTCCGACGAGGACCGCGTGCAGGCGATCGCGCACTCCATCTCACACGCCAACATGTCCGCCTTACCAGGCGTCTAACATCAACTACACTCCCGACATGCATGTGGTGCGTGCGCGAGACAAGATCATGGGTGAGCCGCTGGGCATGTCAGCCACGCAGGTCGTGAGGCTTGCCAAATGGCGCATCCACCATCGCCGCGAGGGCGTTTCGCGCTCTCAAGCCTTCCTTGACCTGGCGCTGGTGATCTCCGGCCAGTCACCGCCCCAGGAAAACAACCCTGACACATACAAGCCCCTGGCACGCACCAAGGTCCCGGTGCCCGATCAGCTGGTCTATGGTGTATTCCCATGGCTGCAAAAGTTTTCATCGAACCTTGAGACTCGCACCCGCGCCATGACCATGCCGGACCGCCCTAGCCCTGCTGGAGTCCGCCAATCGGCCAAGGGGGCTGGTAAGACTGAGAAGCTTGCTAGCCTTCAAGTGATGCGCGAGTTTGCCCGTGTGCTGATCCAGGACACTGCCGCATTGCTGATTGACCCACAGTGGTCCGAGCTCATTCAGACGCACCCACTATTCAGTGCGCCTGTGTTCCACTCGCCGGTGTTTGTCCAGTTCTGTAACTATGCCTCACACCTTGATCACTCCATTGCAGTCCTCGTCCACCCCTGTCCCACATCCATTGCAGCCGGTTCCCAACCAGCAGCAGCCAGTGCAAGAAAGCACACTGGAGGCATTCCCTTCGATGCCCACCGACATGCAGGTTCTGTCTGCTGAGCCGCTCCTGGACCTGCTGCCGCCCACGCTGCCCCAACCGACCACGTACCAGCCGCGGGTCTCGGCGGCCTACGATGCCCTCGCTGCCCGATTTGGCCACCACGCCACGCCCTGACATCATACCAATGGGTGGTATGTTCTCCGGCTACTGCACACCCCAGGAATCCTCCAGCATCACACCAACGACGTCTCTGCCGTTCTTCGCCACCAGCGCCAGTCAGAACAATATGCAGAACGCCAGCTGTCCGGGGTTCTACGCACCATCAATTGATCAGCTGCTGCTGTCGGATCCTAGCTCCGCAAAGACCCTGAACCAGGATATCCTGAATCTGGTCGGATACTTTGCCAACCCTGATGACAATTCTTCGTGTGGCCTGGCACAGCCGCAGGATGCACCATCGATGAACAAGTCAGTGTCCATGTATGCGCTGCACACGCCGTCAGGGCCTATCAGTCCTGTGCCGTCTGCTCAGCAGCAGCACCAGCAGCAACAACAAAGCTACTTGGCCAATATTCAATCAGCTTTGACAGGCCTAGTTGGAATGTCGACACAGCCATCCCCGATCTACAACTTGGGCCAGCAGCAGCAGCAACAGCCGCAGGGGTTTATGATGCCCATGCTCAGCCGGTCCCAGACCATGCAGCAAGACGTCTCACACACCCAGTCGCAGCAGTATTTGTAATATTTTGATTTAATTAAACTGCTTTTCAACTGTCGTACTAGCAAGCCTGCAAGACACGGCTTTGTTATCCGCAGCATCCGCCAGACGCACACCCGCCGCGAGCATTCCGGCCAGGTCCACCAAACTGCGAGCCCAGGCTGCTCATATCGCGCACAGTCGCACCTGTCCACTGCTCACTGCTGCTGGCCGGCCGCCGTGGCTGGATACCAAATGGCCCGCGCAATAGCCTTTCTTCATCGTGTTGTTGCTCCTCTGTGGAGTCGTGATTGTTGCTGCTGCTACTGCCGTATGCGTGCCGCTGTTGGTATATCTGCCGCCGCCGCTGGTCCTCAGTAGTAAGACGCCTTTGTTGGCCTCTTGAATGTACGGCATCCAGTATTGCCGAAGCAAGGTAGTAGAGCACAACACAACCTACTAACACTGGAAACGCGTGCTCCTGGACAGTTGTAAGAAGCGAGGACCTCATTGCTGAATTCGAAAAACACTTGCACAGATAGGAGGAAAAAAATAGAGAAAAAAATAAGAAAGACGAGAAAAAAAAGGACATGTCAAGAAGACAAGGAAATCTGCTCAGTCTCCATTCTGCGCAGTGCCGGCTGGCAGAAAGCTTCTAAATGATAAATTAATTTTGAAGGGGTTTTAAGTTAGAATGATTGCAAGACTCTCAAAGCCGGAGCAGCTACCTGCCACGAGCGACATCTGCAAACGTGGGCTTCCTGGCCTCATCTGGCTTGTGTTGCTGCTGCTGCTGCTGCTGCTGCTGCTTCATAGTTGAAGCCTGCAGATGGCGCTTCAGGTCAGCATTCTGGACCTGGCCTGACAGACAACGCCTAGCCACAGCCCTGGCAGCCAGGCCACTGACAGACTGAAGTCTCGCGACTCCTCTCCTCAGGAGTCAGGACACGCGAGGCTGCCGACCTCTGCTGCATATGAGTCCTACTGTTGCGGAATAGACCCAGCGATGACGCACTTCGGTTGGCCGGTTGCCCGTTCCCTAGGCCTAGTGACGCCCTGCCCTCATAGCTGGCAGGACGTCGAGCGATAAATGGATGGCACGGTAGGGCTGACAGGCGACATCTGCTGTACGACTGGTTCTGCAGCGTAGCCGCAGTAAGTTGGTGGAGAAATCGGCTCGACCGTAGGCACCAGGCCTGGCGGCACTGCCGGCGGCGAGTCCACGCGCCACTCGGGGTCACCAATTTGGATGCTGCATGATACAGGTGTGTATACTGAGTAGTTACCAGCTGCATGTCCGGGGAACTCCCGCGTGCCAGAGTGGTCATCAGGCGGCGTACACTGCCCGCTGTTCCACTGCGCCATGCCTCCATGCACCGCCTTGCTGCTGATGCCATGTGCTGCTAACGCCAGCGGCGCCCGCGCTGCCTCGTCTCGAGTTGTGGGCCACAAGCTACTCAGAATATCGTCGATGTCGTCGCTTTCGGATGACGCTGATGCCGAGTCCAGCCGCTGGTACTCGTAATAGTGCTGGTGCTGCTGAAACTGCTGGTGCACGGCTGTGTACATGATATATGGGAGATGCAGAGGATGGGTAATGAATCGGGCAATTGTACGGGAGAGGAAGGGAGAGAGGTTGGGAGCCAGCTCCACACAAAATAAATACGAATAGGGTAGCGAAAAATAGGAGACCGAGGGGGGAAGCGGTAGTTGAGGATCTGAGCAGGTCGTATTTATATGCACAAAACGCAGAATCCCATGTGGAGAGGAGGGAGAGCGAAACGAAGCAGACCTTGTATTTTTAGCAAGCCCGCAGAATGAAGGAATAAATGAAGGCCAGTAGCAGCAAGGCGAGCCACAGGCAAAATGTTCAAAAGGGAAATGGAAAAACTTTTTATAAGCCGTGCTTGCAAAGAAAATTATCCCAGCACGCGCTGCCGCCACATGTATATGCACGCAAGACTATAAAAAGAGCGAATAATAGAAATGCTCTGAAGGGAGGCGGAAGGGAAGGAAAGGAGAGGTAGACTGTAAACAAGAACTGAGCTATTTTATTTGGGGGAGACCGAGTGGAAAGAGAAGGAAAAAATTTCAACGTTTTCTGTGCCACGGGTGAGAGAGAAAAACACAAGGACCATGGATGGAATCCAGAAAGAGGGCTGTGCTACCCAGGCGGACCTGTCGCTTTTTGTAGTGCTAGGCAGCCGGACAGAAGAGAACCGCCAACCTTGGCCTGCTGTTCCTCGCGACAAGGTCGAAATGTAAGGAAATCGATGCGCACAACGGCGACTAGGGGGTGGGGAGCGCGGGGATGGACAGTTTCATGCCCATTGTCCTCACCTGGGTCAGCATGTTGTGCTGTTTTCTACGCACACCGCATGTTTTTCCTCGCAACCTGGGCCACACGGCGGTTCCTTCAGTCGATGAACAGCAGTAGTCAGCGAGCAGCAGACAGTTCTATCTTTTCCCGGTCCATCCTTTGTGATGCTCGGCAGTAGTAGCCGTGGTGGGCCCAAGACTCCTGCCGCCGCGGTCTGGATCCTGGATGCGCAGGTCACAGAAGAGGTGAGCAAAAAGGAAAAAAGCTCCGATCAAGCCAGAGTCGATGGAGCAACTAGCAGGTACCCTTTTTCTTACTCCCGATGGCCGCTCACCCTGCTGCTCCCCTTCCAATGGACGATCACCAGCATATTGACCAGCACAACCACCATTCATTAACTGGCGTCGGAGTTGGCTAGAATTTGGCACACATGTGGGTTCCAGAAACCTGGTGGTAGATATCGCAAGAGTTTTTCAAAAACACATTCTGGAAGGCTGGGATATTTTTCTACAGACCCTTGTCGTACGATCCCTTGGCGTACAGTACGTTGAGCTGGTTAAGCTGCGTTTGGAGCGCATCGACCCACACCTTCAGCTCACCGTATACCTGGTCGTTGTCGCCGCCCAGCTTGACATAAAAGTCCTTGCGGTACGGGCACGCCTTCATAGCCAGGCTGAACACGCCCTTGACCACAAAGTTGTGGAACTGCTTCAGCGTCGCCTGGTACGCATCCGTGAACGACTTGGACAGCTCCTCCGACGTGTTCGACAGGTTCTTGCTCAGACCTAGAGCGGTGAACTCGAGTCCCCTATATAACTCTGAATTAGTTTTCTGTTCGTCGCTAATGCGTGACCCAGTGCCAGCAATATCGATTTCAATACAACGCCCCCTCCGCGCACACACTGCTAGTCGGACTCTGCCGGGATATCCTTACCTCTTCAACCACAACAGACCCTGCGTGGCAGTGCGATCCTTGGTACCCGCCTCATCAAGGACGATCTTTTCGAGTGTATTGTACTTGACAGGGTCGCTGTTAAGCTTGGCCTGGACCTTGGCAATATTGCCGCTAATGTCCGACTTGACTGGTGCAAACGCAGTCGAGCCCAACTCATCTAGATTTGGAATTTCGTCAACAGCGCTGCAACTTAGCTGCTATACTGAAAGAAAAAAGAAGCTCTACAGAGTAGCCTCATGGCTCCTACTGACGGCCATATTCTTTCTTACCGAAAAGCATGACGACACCCGCTGGCCGCGTCCAGGAACTCCTTGGTGTTGATACCATCATCAGTAATCGGTGACGTTGTTGAAACGGAGTGGAACACGCTCGACGAAAGTAGCCATCTTTGTAGAATCTAGGTTACTTTGAATTTGAAAGCAGTTGGTAATTAAAGGTGCAAAAAGAAAGAGTAGATGGTAGGAAAGAAACTGAGCTCTCACCTAAACCGCAACATCCGAAAACTATGTTTTGGATACGAATGTGAAGCTGATGATTATCCAGCAGATCTGCTGTTGACGTAGTCCGCTCCACTTGCTTCTACTTGGCAAGTCGGTGCTTGTCTGCATGCGCATCAGTGCGCATGGTCCTAGGACCACACAGCAACGGACACATCCACTTACGGCCGACAGAGCCTACAAGACACTCGGCACAGGGCCTATTTCCATGGCTATGTCCAGAATGTGACACGCGGTAGTGGATGGATCACCACCCACAACAGACTGCTCCTTCGTTTTGCCACAATGAATTTTGCAACTGGTTAAAGCGGTTTCACACTCGACTGGAATTATTTCCAGTTACTTTTCATCTCAACCATGGTCGACCTACCCCACAGCGTGACATACACATTCCCTTTCATCGAGTCCACGGCTGGCAGACATCGCCAAGAACTCGCTATCGGTTGATCGCGAGATCAATGGTGACAAGTCCAGCCGGCAGATTACAACCGACGGCAGCAATCTAGTGGTGACATTCAGTGCCGAGACAGCGCGGATTCTGCGTGTCAGCGTCAATGGATTCATGGACTCGCTAATCCTGGTGACCCGCACCATAGAAGCTTTTTCGTAAGCCGGTTCCTGTAAAAAAAAAAAAGAATATATTGTCTTCAGAAGCCAGCTGATGGCAATACAGCCATGAAGGGGTTTGCTGGGAGTAGAGCGCATATACATTTAAGAGCATGCCAGGCCTGACACTCACAACATGAAGTCAAAGCAGCAATAAAGTAATGCACAGCAGCTTTGCTAGGAATGATCCAGTCACTGGGGACGATATCGCAAGTTCAGATGGTTAGCTTGGGCAAGTACAGTTTGCATCCTACTGGGCCCAAAGCAAACAGGCGACAGAAGGGGTGATCGGTATGCATGCTTATCAACATATTGCGCTATTAGTAATTATCATGACTATAGCCTGAAATGAGCCAATTTCCAGAACTTGTTATTTCATTGGTTCGATGGGGCCTTGGCGCAATGGTAGCGCGTTCGCCTCCAGAGCGAAAGGTTGTTGGTTCGACTCCTGCAGGCCCCATTGTTTTTTGTTGGCCCGGGTCGCCCCTTCTTTGTCTTTTTAGGACCAACGTGGCCACCACATTTGCACATTGGGTACCGACTGGTTTTTTTTTTCTTTTTCTAAACCCCATTTGCGAAGATCAATGCATGTCGGGAACATCAGCTAAAAATACATGTTCCTGACAGCCTGCTTACAAAAGACAGCCTGTGGTCCTGCAGGCCCATGATCTAAAAATAAGACAGACAGCGTAGTCGTAGAATTGTGTAGCTTGGTTAGTAGCAGTAGCGTGTTGATGCAACGTTTTGACAAACAAACCTGTCTGGTGTGCCGCCATGCATGGTCTGAAAATAGCTTTCTCTCACGTATCATCAGAAGCTGCATGATGCCGAGTTGCACTCTTTCTTTTGTGCCAAAGACACATCGGGCTGCTTGCCCAGGTTTCTTGCAGAAACAGGGCAACGCAGTTGCATATCTTAAAGCAAACAAACCTGCTGGAGCCTAGCGCAATACCGACGCGCTGCTAAAAATAGATAGATAGATTCGGTGCGTGCTGGTGGAGATGGGTATATAATCCACTGTAGATACCTCCATCGAAAAGGCTCCAGACCACAACAAAAAACATACACCTACACCCGAAAATGAAGCTCTCCACCATTGCCACGCTCAGCGTTTCCGCTCTCCTCTCATCGTCTCAGCTAGTCTCCGGCTATGCCATCAACGGAGACAGCGTCAACTGCCGCTCCGGTCCTGGCACCAGCAACAGCGTTGTCCGCACATACAGCCGTGGTGACGACGTCACTCTCTCCTGCCAAACCGAAGGCGAGACAATCAGGGGCGACTCCCTGTGGGGCAAGACCCAGGACGGCTGCTATGTTGCCGACTATTATGTCCAGACCGGAACCAGTAACTATGTTGTTGGCAAGTGCGATGCGTCCAGTGGTGACCCTGGAACCCCTGGTCCCTCTGGCAACACCAACCCTGGGTCGGCAGGTCCAATGGGTGATGACTACCCGTACAACGGCAACTGTGATATTGTCGACAAGTGGCGGTACTACTCATGCCAGTGTGTCAGTTTTGTTGCCTGGCGCATTAACTCGCGTCTGGGCATCGATTTCCACAACCGCTACAAGGGCAATGCATGGGGCAATGCCAACCAGTGGGATGACGCAGCACGCGCCTCGGGTGTCACAGGTTAATGACACGCCAGCTCCAGGAGCAGTGGGCCAGACTGACCGCGGCAGCACATACGGCCACGTCGTGTGGGTCTCCAGCGTCTCGGGAGATATGGTCACCATTGAAGAATACAACTACAAGCGCCACAAGTACGGCACACGCACTGTCCACAAGAGTGCATTCAACTATATCCATCTCAAAAACTAAAGCAGCTGTTCCATAGCACACCAGTAATACATCTTCAGCAAACATTTGCTTCTAGCGTATATATCTCCAATGGCCAGCGCATGTCGTATGGTAGCCTGTACTTTTACAAGGCCCATGTCCCTAGACCCTCTATGTTCAGCAAGACGATGATTAGACCGATATTTTTTTCATTTCATCTATTGTTTTACACATGAGATGGCACACAATAAAAAGCATGTGTTGAATTAGTTAAGCCGAGAGGCGGGCAACGACCTTGGCAAACTCCTCGCCCTGTGTCACAGCCACAGACAGTTCCTTCTCGTTAGGTTGACGGGAGCCATCGCCACCAGCAACAGTTCCAGTGCCCCAGGGCGACCCGCCAACAACCTCCGAGTTGTCAAACAGATTCTGGTTACGGAATCCAGTAGGCACGTAGATCATGCCATGGTGTGCCAGATTGGGCAGGAAGGAGAATGCGGTTGTCTCCTGCCCACCATGCTGTGAGCCTGTAGAGAAGAAAATGCCAGCAGGCTTGCCGTACAGGGCCCCCTTGGCCCACAGGCTGCCAGTGGCATCAAACAGTGCCTTAACCTGAGCGGGTGCTGCACCAAAGCGGGTTGGGAAGCCAAACAGGAAACCGTCAGCTTCAGTCAGCTTGTCAACAGTGATGACAGGGATATTTGGCTTGGGCGCTGCATGCATTTTGCCAAGGACTTCATCTGGGAGTGTCTCTGGGAACTGGTAATGCTCGATATCAACCAGACCAGTCTTCTCGAGTCCCTCTTTAATTGACTGTGAAACAGTATGGATATGGCCGTAGGTCGAGTAGGAGATGATGAAAACCTTGGGGAGAGCCATTTTTGTTGTGGTAAGTGATTGTGTATAAAAAAGCTGCAGAAAAGAAGGGGAGAGCAGGTTGATATAGTGATACTGCACGAGTTGTTTATAGGGGTAAGTTGATGTCGAAAGCCAGACAGCGGGAACAGATGCTGGGCTTATATACTAGGTGCAGCTACAAATTGAATACTAATAGTAGATGCTGTCTGACTAACAGCTAGTAACTTGTTATAATCGCAGAAGGCAATTTGTCATGATTGGCCAGCTGATAATTTGCCATTAGCAAGCAGTGCTGTGGTATTAAAAATCAGGCAGCAGGTGGGTTTAGTCATTGTGCTCCCGGCACTGTTCCCTAAAGCAGTAGTGTTTCCTGTGAGGAGCGGGTCAGCTTCTAAAATAATTCATATGGCACCAAGCATGCCTTGGTCAGCTAATTGAGTATTGGAGGTATTGGTAAGGTGCTTTCCTAGCTCGCTGGCTCAGTAGAGTGGGCTCTTAAAAGGTTGACCTAGTGATTCTTGGTAGAGCTCATATGGATGCTGCTGCATAATGGTACCAGTAGTTGAGAGTGAATGGGGTATCAGAAAATTAGATTACTTCTCATCTTTTTCTTTTTCTCATTCTTTCTTTTTTATTCTCGAATTGGTCCAGTCACTGGTCTGGTCACTCTCCTTTTTTTTCACTAACTCCCTAATATCTCGTTAAGACTAGCTTGGTTTGTCTTTTCTCAATATATTATCCTTTACTTGGGTGCTACAGCCCAACCTAGCTCAATATCTCATAACCTCAGACATGGAGTAGGTAAGTAGGGTAGGCCTACTAGTTCCAGACCAAGGCACCTATAGATATCTTCAAGAACACCTTGGGTAGGTAATCAAACCTATAGGTATGTAGTGCTTTTTGCTGACAAATAGGCATATATGTTTCTCTTCAACTAGTGTAAAGGGGTAAAAAGTTGATAATTTTTCAACTATGGCACTATATAAAGTGGCTATAAAATGGCCACTTCAAAAGGGTATCATAGAAACAATGGACTAGAAAGAAAGAAGAAAGAAGAAAGAAGATCTTAGTGGACAGGAGATTAATTGTTATGATACCTATAGAGAATTGTAGAAGCAGGTAATAGTAATTGACAATATCTTCTGATCTGGAATAAGGAATATATTGATCACATAATGTTGATAGGGAAACTGGTTTTCAACACCACAACCAGCATAGAGTAAACAAAATGGCAGTCAAGAAGAGTAAGGAAGCCAGCTTAGCAAATTCCTAAAGTACTATATTACTAGTGTTTGGTATGAAAACAATTGGTCTAGAAAGGAAGCTTAGTTAAGTCTGTTATCCAATATTAGCCCAGAATACTCAGTACTTCTTAAAGCCCATCAGAAACTCTTAGAGGGATCTGAAAACATGGGAAGTAGACTATGGATAAAAAAACATATCTACAAGTATATGATTAAGCAGTATAAACAGTAGTATAACAGAGCAGCAGTGATTATGCATAGCACACTATTGATCAGTAGGAGGTCAGCTGCAATGATACAGTGTGTGGGATACATTCTTATGGCATTCTCACCAACTCTGGTCTATAGTAGATTGTCTACATAGATGTTCTACTAGGAAGCACTAAACATTGTATAAAACAAAGATTGGTTGATATGCCAAAAACTCACTTTTCTATACTGAAACATGAATCAGGATTTCAATCAACATGTATAGATTTTCAATCAACATGTATAGATCTGGCCTATTATTGCTATTGTCGCTGATGGAATCAGATGCGCCGAGCTGGCATTTGTACAGATACCACATAGAGGGTATTTAGATGATCGCCAAAGTTAAATATTAGTAAGGAATAATTTGCAGCCAATAAGAAATATGCGACGCTTTGGCCGAGTGGTTAAGGCGATGCCCTGCTAAGGCATTGTAGTTTCTACGCGCAGGTTCGAATCCTGCAGGCGTCGATTTTTGCACCAGTTGCTTTTTGTTTTGTAAGACGGTTTCTGTGGCGAAGTTCACCTTTAGGCCAAATGCTGGGTGGTTGATGTGGCATTCTGTAGAGCTGTGGTGTGTTTTTATTTAATGGTGGAGAGGAGGCGCCCAGGCCCTTTCTTTCGCTATCCAACCCTTATCGCTTGTATTTTTGAAAAATTGGCACCACCGCAGGAAGAGACACAGGCAGGGGCATGGGGCACCCCGGGAAGGTGTCTGTATTTGCGCAGCGGCCAAGAGCACAAGCAAAAAAGAAACCGCACCAACTCGGCATAAAAGGGAGGGGCAAAAATGACTGCCTTCTGCCAGAATCGAACTGGCGACCTTCTGCTTACTAGGCAGACGCTCTGCCAACTGAGCCAAGAAGGCATTCCAACTTCTGATTTTCAGAAAATCGGCACGTATCCAATAGAATCATTCGCCAAGCTAGATTGATCGGCATTCATACTAGTAATTCCTCGCGGCCTATGCTTATACAGCTCTATTTGAGTATGACTACCAGTGGGCTATGTGTAATTCAGAACACATGGGGTGGTTGGTGTTCTAGTTCTGGCGAATCTATTTTTTTTGGCCAACCTATCTACAGTATCTCCCAAATCACTAGGACACTCTTTGCTATTACACTTATTCAATATTAATTACTAGTGTTGTGCTAATAAGGGGGTGTGGATAAGTTTGGATTTCAAAACTAAAGAAAAAGGGAAAGAGAAAGGAAAACTAGTAATGCCACACATTAGCCTTTTTGAAGATTCTGTTGCAGTGTGATGTCTGACCTCATCAGTGAAACCGAGGTGGAAAGCTGTGATTGTAGTGGTCACAAGTCTCTGCTGGATATCTCCATTGGTTCAGTGTGAGAGCTGCTCTCATTGTCGGTCGACTCGATAACTTCTATGGCATCATCATGGCAGTCATTGTCAACCATGCAACACTAGTACTTATATAAATGCTGAATAGTACATCCTATTATATATTACTTTGCTGAAACTATATATAATGCCTATCAAGTATAGCTATAGTGCTTAAATTTCCTATATTATATAACTAATACCTAATGAATATTATATCTACCTACTATAGTAGGGGCTCTTTATAATATAGTATGCTCTACTATGAACCTTGCTACTGCTGTTATAGCAATTGTTAGGAATGTGATAATAATTATTAGGAATATACTATAAATTGTAAGAGTGATTAGATTTCCTCTATTACTTTTGGCTATACTTATAAGCTAGAAGGGATGGACAATAATGCAGTTATAGTAGCAGTTCTATACTAGGGTATCACAGTAGGGATAAAGTATATAGACTCAGAAGATAACATTATTGATATAATAAAATTTGCAGATATATATAATTCCTTTAGTTTAATAAATATTCTAATATTATATTAGTATCATAGATAAAAACTGAAATCCTATTCTGAGTGCAGCATAAAAGGATATAATATAGCTTAGCAAGTTTTGAATAGGCATATTACTGTAGAGATTTAAAAAAGGCAGTTTGTTATCTATGTTTAGCTAAAGATATGTTTCCTTTCAATATAGGTATATAGATAAAACCAGACAAACCATAAAGGAAGTTGCTCCTATCATTTGGAAAAAGGGTGGTCAAAGGCTGAATCTGCAACTCTGGTGAATCTATAAAGGGTGTTTATTTTACAGAACTGACTGTATCAATACTACTAGTGAAAAATGGTGAATGCTAGGTCAGGCATATTGGCCAATTTTCTATCAGCACTAATACAGGTCGAGGGAGTTTCTGGATATCATACTAGCATTGTGTCTATAGAAACTAAACAAGGCTTCTTAACATATAGGCTGACACCCTTTTACCTACAAAGCAGATTTTCCTACTAGCAGAAACATAGCCTATATGTTTATCAAGAAGCATAGTTATCCTAAAGGAAGGCATAGCTAGTGAAGGACAGCACACCACAATAATAATCCAGCTAGGTCTAACCCAAAAGCCTATCCAGAAATACGCCAAAGGTGCTTTGCAAAATGGGATATACAGAAGAAGCCACCAGTTAGAATAAGCCAGGCGGGTAATCCCCCACATCCATGTGGACAGAGACGATGCCGGGAGACCGCTTTAATAGACCGCCAGACCGCGGTTATTGTTGCCAAAACCGGGTGCACTGGTGGGACACTGATGCGTGTGTCCTAGTGTGATCAGCAATCTCCTGCATGGCGCATGAATCCACCTGTATGAGGGGAGGGTGCACCAATGGGATGCCAAAAAACACGGTGATGGCGGCGCGCCCAATGGGCTAAGGGGGACTGTGAAGTGAGTGGGACCGCATGCGTCAAAGGGTGGCAGTGAGGGAAAGGGGCCGAATTATGATGAAAGAGGGAGAAAAAACAAAAGGGAGAGCCAGTGATCGGCATTGGCTTATCCCAACAGCGGCCAGAGGCAGGCGCATTTTTATTCTTTCTAATCCCCAGTCGTGCCAGGTTCTGGCGCCAAGCAGCGCAGAGTGGGGGTCTATTCTCCCACATCCGAAAATAACATGCATGTGGCAGGCGGAATAAATAGAAAGGAGCAAAAGAAGCAGATTGCCAGCGCTCAGATAGCGCAAGTGCATGTACAGCGCAAGTATATATGCGTAGGGCCGGCTGGCGACAGCCTTTTGGCCACCTTTTGTCTGTCAGACCGATTCCCCCATCAAAAAAGGCACCAGTGTCCTCTTTTCGCGATTTCCTCTTGTAAATTCATAGTGTGCTAAAAATCCAGAACGCAGTTTGGGAACACCAGCACATTTTCAGCTTATTATCACCACTTTCCCGAGTTGTTTGCACAGCTCGTACATAAAACGATTTCCTCTTGCATTTCAGGTCTGTTTTGGCCCTTCTAACCTCCCCTTCTCTTCTCCCCTTTTCACCCTCTTACCCCACCTTCCGCCCTTACACCTTTCCGCCCTTCCCTTTTCCCCTACACAATCTACTTTTTATTTTCCTCGTTTTTTTTTTTAATCACCCCACCCTTTTTTAGCCCTGGTCTTTGAGGTTCAGAACCGCTGCATTGTTACTGTTTTGAGCCCCCACACAAACGGACCGGATAAAAATCGACAAGCAGGAAACAAAGGTCTTACAAACGCAGAGTTTAGACCTAGCGTCCGCTGGCACTCCTGTTGGTTTAAGCAGAGCTTAGATGAACACGCGGAGAGTCTATGTAGCACTGGCTCTGCTAGCCGCCCTGGCGGTCCCGGCCAGTGCTGCCACACCAAACCACATGAATGGGCTTGTGGTCCGCCAGAATGGCGGCCCCCCTGGAGGACCTGTAGGTGTCATAAGTACAAAACTTTATTTCTGGGAACACCAACGTACAAAGTGCGGCTCCATTTTGACTCTTAAGGCAATAAGGGCAAATATTAATATTTTTGCAATTTTTGCACGCAACTTATTTATAGGACCAGAGCAGCGGCATCGTCCCAACGACAGGCGTAGTTGGTATCACAACTCTCGAGCTGAACGACGACAGCACGCGGAACTCGGCAGAGACGGCCCAGACCACTGATGGGACCGTGGCTGAGCCTACGCCCACTCGAAGCGACCCGGCTTCCAACAACGTCACCTCTGATGTGGCTCCAAGCTCCAACACCACACCGAGGGATACCGCAACTGCCACCGCTACTAAGGAGGAGGTTGAGAGTGACACCGCACCGACCAACACCAAAGAACCCACCACTGCTGATGATACAACACGCGCACCCACCTCCGCCGCTGACGACACCACAAGTGCATTGCCATCCAGAGACAGTAGCCGTGCCAACCCCACTACTGATGGCGATACGACCCCTGTTGCCCCGACCTCAGATGCAGGTACATCAGATGCCGGCACCGCCACCCGTGTCACCTCGTTCCAGACCAGGCCCACTGCGGAGCCCACCACCAGCAATGATACAACGCCTGTCGCCCCGACTTCACAGGCAGGTACTTCGGATGTTGACAGCACCACTCGTCCTTCGCCTACCCGGAACAGCCCCACCGTCGAGCCCACCACCAACAATGACACAACGCGTGTTGAGCCCACCACTGACAATGATACAACGCCTGTTGCTCCAACCTCGCAGGCCAACACATCAGAAGTCAATGTCACCACTCGCTCCTCGCCTACCCGGAACAGCCCCACTGCAGAGCCCACCACTGACAATGACACAACGCCTGTTGCTCCAACCTCACAGGCAGGTACTTCGGATGTTGACAACACCACTCGTCCCTCGCCTACCCGGAACAGCCCCACCGTCGAGCCCACCACCGACAATGACACAACGCCTGTTGCTTCAACCTCGCAGGCCAACACGTCAGAAGTCAATGTCACCACTCGTCCCTCGCCTACCCGGAACAGCCCCACCGTCGAGCCCACCACCGACAATGACACAACGCCTGTTGCTCCAACCTCGCAGGCCAACACGTCAGAAGTCAATGTCACCACTCGCTCCTCGCCTACCCGGAACAGCCCCACTGCAGAGCCCACCACCGACAATGATACAACGCCTGTCGCCCCAACCTCACAGGCAGATACTTCGGGTGTCGACAACACCACTCGTCCTTCGCCTACCCGGAACAGCCCCACTATTGAGCCCACTGCGAGCAGCGACTTCAGCCCGTTCCCAACTTCGATGACATTGTTCCCGACCTCTAAGACACTGTTGCCAACCTCCGTTGATCGTCCAACTGATGAGGACACCACACCTGTTGGCTCGTCATCGCGGGGTGGTAGCTCGGAAACCGAAAGACCCACCCGTTCGACACCATCAGGCCCTCTGACATTCACAAGCGAAGAGCCTACTGCAAGCAGCGAGTTTAGCCCGTTCCCAACTTCAGCGACATTGCTTCCAACCTCGGCAACCATGCCGCCGTCCTCATTGGCGACCACCATTGGTGCGACACCAACTCATAGCAGGCCCACCGTCGGACCCACTGCGAGCAGCGAGCCCACCCTGCCCCCATCATCGGTAGCCCCCTTCCCATCAAGCACTGATCAGTCTTCTGCTTTCCCATCTAGCCATACCGGCTCATCTAGCGCTTTCCAGACTGCGAGTGCCTCGACAGGTCCGACAGTTCCTACTGATGAGCCGTTGAGTACTAATTCAGTGACTAGCAGTAGAACAAATGTCCCGACATCTACTGGTTCTCAGAGCGAGCCCACTGCTCCTGGCACCTCGTCGCAGGCAACTGGACCAGCTACCGCTACAGAGACTGTGCCACCGTTCCTGGCAGCTCCTCGCAGGCGACTGGATCAGCTACTGCCTCTCAGAGCGAACCCACCGTTCCTGGCAGCTCATCGCAGGCGACTGGCTCGGTTACCGCTACAGAGACTGTACCCACCGCTCCTGGCAGCTCCTCGCAGGCGACTGGATCAGCTACTGCCTCTCAGAGCGAGCCCACCGTTCCTGGCAGCTCATCGCAGGTGACTGGACCAGCTACCGCTACAGAGACTGTGCCCACCGTTCCTGGCAGCTCCTCGCAGGCGACTGGATCAGCTACTGCCTCTCAGAGCGAACCCACCGTTCCTGGCAGCTCATCGCAGGCGACTGGCTCGGTTACCGCTACAGAGACTGTACCCACCGCTCCTGGCAGCTCCTCGCAGGCGACTGGATCAGCTACTGCCTCTCAGAGCGAGCCCACCGTTCCTGGCAGCTCATCGCAGGCGACTGGCTCGGTTACCGCTACAGAGACTGTACCCACCGCTCCTGGCAGCTCCTCGCAGGCGACTGGATCAGCTACCGCTACAGAGACTGTGCCCACCGTTCCTGGCAGCTCATCGCAGGCGACTGGCTCGGTTACCGCCACAGAGACTGTGCCTACCGCTCCTGGCAGCTCCTCGCAGGCGACTGGATCAGCTACCGCCTCTCAGAGCGAACCTACATTCCCAAGCAGTGCCACCCAGAGCAACGAATCGCAGGAGACTGGTGCTTCATCGGTAACTCGCCAGACGTCAATTGCAACTAGCAACGTTGATACTGGTGTAGCATCGAGCACCACTCCCTCAGCATCGCATCTCGCGAGCACTACGGTTGTGTCCCCTTCCACATCTGCCTCAACAACCGTGCAAATCACGGCGGCAGCTACGACCTCGACATCGATCAATGTCCCGACGTCGGCTGATCTCAGCAAGTTGACAGCCATTCCAACCACATCTTCATCCAAGATCACCGGTGTCCTGACGCTGACAGCGACTGGCACCCAGGGCCAAGCACCGTCGGCCACTCCGACGCCGCGTCTACCGATCATCACGAACCCGAGCCTGAAAGGTATGACGTGCTCACAGTGCATCAAGTTCACGTTGCGCATCAAAGGCATCTACGCCAACCTGATCGGCCCAGAAAACTACCTTGCCAATCAGTTCTTCTCGTTCCTGCCACCAGATGTGGCTAACGCTATGGGTATCAGCACGAGCCGCATCAACTCGCCCTACCTGCACCAGAACGCCGACGATATCTCCATTGCATCGACACCACTGCGCAAGCGGCAGACCATTGAGCCCAGCTACCCGCACTTCTACATGGATATGTTTGTGACCAAGTCCACGACGTCGGCGAACCCGAAGGCTGAGCTGCAGGCGCTGCTGACTAACCTTAAGACGCAGATCCGCGACGAATCAAGCAGCCTGTACCGGCAGAGCCAGTGGTCTCAGCTGATCGACTCGACATACTTCAAGGACTACAGCGATCCTGGACTCGATCAGCGGAGTGTCGCAGGCCGCCCCCAATGCACCGAACCAGGTCGACAGTCCGTTTGCCAGCACAGAAAAGTCGCGCTCGAACCTGAAGTGGATCGGAATCGGAATCGGAATCGCCGTGTTTGTGTATATCGTCATCATGGTCATCTGGATCCGTCGCCGACGCATGCGCCAGAAAGCAGGAGCTGCGTGCCAACTTTGTCAACATCTAGAAGCCCGTCTCGATTCATGCCCCTTTTATCAGCATAGTTATCTCTTTTTTATTCTACTCGTTCCTCCTTTCCCCTATCCGCTGTCCCCCTCAACAACTCGTAATTTCTCTCTTTCGTTTTTTGGTTTGTCTGAGTAAAGTCCCCAATATATTGTTGACGCTTCTCCGCTGACGCTAAAGTAGACAGAGCCTGGGACATGTGTCCAGCGATGAAACAGTAGTGTGCTGGTATTGTTTGCAAGAGGTTCCAGGCTTGTGCATCGGGGGATGTGCCTAATTTGTCCAACCAGACCATCAACGTCGATGAAAAAATATGCGGTCTGATCAGCGATGTGCCTATATTACACGAATTTCGCGTGTGGGTTGACAGCCTGTGAAATAGTGTTTCATGCACATACAGAAAGTAGAGGCTGCCTTGTTCATGCCTGCCAGCAAGGAGCAGCGACCCCGCGCCATCACCTGCTTCACAACCACACTCTGTTTGACTTGCACCTCGCTAAAGTGGGTTGGGAAAGGTTGCTTATCTGAGCAACAGCAGCGTGGTAAAAATAGTACACGGCGAGTGCGACAGCCAAGGAACCTGTCCCCAGAGATATTTAACCTGGAGGGCGTTGGTGGCCACCGTTGCATGCCCGAGAAGCAAAAACAGAATAATCGCGAACGGCATAATTCAGTGGTCTCATCCATTTTTCAGGTCGCTTGTTTTTCCATTCCACACGCTCTCGATTCCTCCTAATATCTGTCAGATTCCTCTGTATTTCCATCATTTCTTGCTGCTGCTCTTCAGTATCTTGTCCTGCACCTACATATCCACTTCAGCCTCCAAGATAGAATGTCTCTGATTCGCTTTTCTGACGAGATCGATGACAGTGGCGTTGAGATGATGCCAGCGACGACATCGCTGGACTACGGCCCCAGCAGCATAGGAATGCCGGGAGACCGGCGGCTCGGACACACGTGGGGGGCCAAGAGTGAGCCATTCAGTGTACGGGTTAGCAAAGGGGCTTCACAGGCTCCTGTTTTCGACAGCTACCTGAGCGATGAGAGTGACTGTCCGTTTTCAACTGACGATGAGACAAGCTAATGGCACAAAGCCGAGACGGCATAACGCGCAAAAATCTAGCAGCAGCAACATGGGCGTCGTGGGCGGGCGCAAGTACTTGAACCGGAGCCTGCTGGGCCAAGGAGACACGTATGATCTGGAGCAAAGGTATTTGTGTTTCCGTCAGCATGGACGTCGAAACCCAAGCCAAAGGCAGGCAGCGAAGGGATGGGGCTCGGAAATTGGTCGCTCCGCGGGACGCACATTCTCGTCTTCAACCACATCTACTGTCACATCGAATCGTAACTGCAGTAGGAGCCGGGCCACTACCCAAAAGCCAGAGAAGATTCGTCGCCATGAGTCTTGGATCGAGTCGTTACGCGGTCGCATGGGTCGTTCCAAGACACCCAGAGATTGCGAGGCAGATCCCGTCAGGAGCTCAGGATCTCTGCCTGACGATACTGGGTATTGGGGGGAGGATGACGAGGTCAACAGAGTGTGCACAGCGGAGGTCCACCAAAACACTCCGAAGCTGGCGGCAGGGACTGATAGACATCAGCTAAAACACCGCCAGTGTAAGAGCGAGTTGATAAACTTCAGTCGCAGTGATGTTACATTTGTCTCTGAGGCTGATGGTGCGGATACCATGGGATTTGACACCACCAGCACGGCCACCACCATGTCCGACAGCAGCAGTTCTTCCTGCCGCACCACTGCTGTCGAAGCCATGATGACCCATTTGCCGACCAGAACGACAACGAGGACGACGACTATCCGTACTACTAGAGTCGCCCTTCCAATCTCTCATTGTGCTTTACATTTGAACGATGCCTGTATGTAGCAAGATACACTTTTAGAAAAAAAAGGAGAGCGCAGCACTACTTGTTACTACTGGGCCGAGACAGGTGCTGGGCGATCAGCTGCGCCCGCTGTAGGGCATCGCTGAATGCCTTGTTGTTTGTGCCTGCCAGTGTCTGGGGAGGGTTCTGGCTGGCAGGCTGGAACTCGATCCGCTTGTTAATGCCTGTATTCCCCGATGCCCGGCGGACTGCAGACTCACGCGCCCTCCTCTCTTGCTCCTCAGCCAGCACACGGGCATCAAAGCCCTGCCGCAGTGTTTCCGGCTCAAACCCGGCGACCTGCAGGTTTGACCCTGTCTCCTGAATGTTCAGATGGTCGACCAGTCGATCGTAGATGTTCGGGTTGCGTAGTGTCTTGTTGCGTGCCAGCACCGCGTTGTAGTTGGCTCCCTGGTTCTTCAATGCGTGCCACTGATCGAATTTGGCCGCTAGTTCGGGTGCGCACGGCGTTGGGTTCGTCAGTGGTGCAAAGTCAGGAACCTTGTCGCTTCCCAACAGATTGTCCAGATCGCGCTGCACAGCTCTAAACCCTGAAAGTGCTTCGGCGTCTACGCCGCTGTACTCTGCAGAGGGCTCGCCGTCTGGCTCTGTGTCGCTGCCCTGAGGTGTGCCTTCAGCCGTATCCTCCTCTTCAATAGTTCCTTCCTTGGCCTTCTCCATAGGCCCCGTTGCTGTTGCTCATGCCTTCTTCGACTTCGTCGTTTTCGTCTGTGTCGTACTGTACAAGTTGGGTCGCCCGTACCCTCGTCCAGGGTGCCTTTCGAGTTCTCAAAGTCGCTGCTATCCTCGTTATCGCTGGCATATGCACCAAACGCAGTTGCCAGCACATTCTGCGGAGTGGCCATTCTAATGTACAAACAAAGGGTAAATGCGATATCAAAATTCGTTGGCAAAGAGGAAAGGCGGGTGAGGGAGGAAATTGGCCGTTTTTTTTTTGGATGCTGAAAGTGCATAAATTACGCGCGAATTTTTCATGCTATTTTCCGAAATTTTGATCGGTTGGAAGCCAATGCTATATTTCGAGACCATAGCAAATATAGCCCTCCTGGACAGGCATCGAAGCACAGAAATAAGTCCTGCAAAAAGCGTGGTTTATTTTTCGGGTGCCTACCAAGCAGCCTGAAAAGATTGAAATATTCATATGCTCGTTCGGCATGCCTTCGAAGAAGGCTGGTGGTTTTTGGACCCTGGTACCTTTACAAGCAAATGCTCTTTCACATTTCCTTTCTCTTTATCCATATCTGAACATTGTGCTCTCCTAACAAGCTCATATTATCGAAGCAAATGGTGCCCGACATAATAGAAGACTCAGGCGATATCAGTGTTGTCCCTGCCATGCATGAAATCCTGCGGCTGCAGGATCTGCTAAACACACCCACACCTCCGCTGGCCCATTCATCACAGCCCGCAAGACTCAGCACCCATGAATCAGCATCCTGGCCGATCATTCGGGCTACACTGTCAGCAGCCATGCCAAAATCCAGTTACATAGCACCATCGAGCTATTTACCCAAGTCCAGTACCTCGCGCCATCATCACCAGAAGCACCCGCAGCTTAATGCTGTACACCATTACGTGCTCGAAAACACATCACAGGTTGAGCAGACTCCTCTGCGACTGGGGCTCTCGACACCGGTATTAACCAGCGGTACAAAGAGCGTTGTCAGTCCGTCAAACACGCCAAGCCAGCCAACAGTCGGCCAACAGCAACAAAAGCAGGACAGCGCTATTGCATCAAGTGCCGTTAGCCGGGCACCACAGGTGCAAGATAGGCACACGGCCACGAGCGTGCGGGACCTGAGCGAAGAAGATATGATAGCGATGGGAACCCCGATCGCAACATTCTCTGATATCCCGGTACTGGCGGCCGATCCACAGGCAACAGAGCCTGTGATGGTGCTTCACATTGAGTCGTCGCCTACGACCATCGCTTCACCGATCCCTCCTGCAGCCACTACACGTGCTTTTGAGCCGCCAGCAACAAAGTTACCTGCCGGCAGACTCACTGGTGTATCTACCGTCGGCTATCAGGTACCCTTGACGTTCACGGTTGACTATCTACCGCCGCGTCTAGGGCATGCGACGCCGGTGACGTTGCCCGGGAGGATCACAACAAGGACGCCGTCAATATCCAAGATGAGGTCAACTGAAGCCGAGTCGCCTACCATCATGTCAGCGACAGATGTTGTGCCCAAGACTGCTACAACCAGCAACAGCCACGGGCCAGTTAACAGTGGTAGCAGTGAGACTACTGACCTGCCGCTCGGATTCATTGCATTAATCGTAATCGGTGTCCTACTCCTTACCGGTATTGCGCTGTATTTCTACTTCCGGCGTCGTGGTCGGCGTATGAGTGCGCGGACCCAGCAGGCAGCCATGGTCAACAGTACAGTGTCACACCCGATCCTATCGGATGACGACGACGACGACGACGACGAACTGACCTTTGAAGAGAAGCTACGTCGCATGCGTCCGGGTGGTGTATCCCGGTCGACTGCAGGCCAACCAATATCGAAGTCGTTTGATCGGCGGAGTGCTGGTCGAGTACAGCTGCCCACAGACTCGCTGTTCGATTCTGAGGATGTGAGCAAAGGCAGGAAAGCAGCAGCATTGGCTCCGCATAACCGGGTTGCGTCTATAACGTCGCAGCGACCAGGCCGCGCAGCACGCCAAGTGTCAGCGAATCAAGATATCGTCGCAGTGCCGCGTGCTACACGCCGGCAAAATACGACAATTTACACTGTGCACGGGCTGGCGACAGTAGGAACAGCAGTTCAAGGCTCATCATCCTCGGCCCATGCCGGGCCGCTGCTTGAAACACCAGGGTCAGCACAGGACTCGACAAGCGGTATACCCGGCCCGCGCGGGGGGATACGCAAGCCAAAGCATGGTCGCGGCAGAGCCGCTGCGCGACACAGTCCGATTCAACCCTCGCTTGCCACATCCAGCAAGGTCGACGATCTGTTCGAACGCCTCAAACAGCGTGTTGGCAATATAGTCAGCCCACGGTCTCAGCCCGCAGTGGTCGCACCTGTTGTAGAAAAGCCCGCCACCAAACCCACCCATCCATCACCTGCGAGTGTACCAGGCAGCAGCGAGAGCATCTCAGACAACTATCAGTTTTCCAAGCGCCACAAGCCACCACTAGGGCCGTTGCGTATTGTCGAGCCACACCTCCCTTCTCTTTCCGACGAGCTGGCCGTGCAGCGCAGTGATAGTGTGTATGTGCTGGGCGAGTTTGCCGACGGGTGGGTGTTGGCAATGAATGCGTCGCAGAATAATGAATGCGGAATGATTCCACGGCGCTGCCTGTTCTTTTCGACTGCTCACTTTATGACTCCGTCAGCCATCGAGGCAAGCCAGCCTAGGCAGCAGAGGTCACAGCAGGACCTTGGTCAGAGTGATAAGGGCAGGGCAAAGGCTCCTAGTGCCGAGTCACAGCACAGAAGGCGCGTATCTGATGGCAGCAGCTGGAAAGGCAGCAGCAAACAGGATGAAGAAGCAAATGGCTACTTTAAAGAGATCCTGCACAAGTTGTAAGTGCAGTCTGGATGGTACAGTTCTAACATGTTTCAACATCGCTATTATCAAAATATTCCATAACTTGCCTAGTCTATGGTGGTAGTGTGAGCGATATGTGCTGACCAGCAGCGATGGATGGCGACTTTAGCACAGTTGCTAGCACCTTCATGTCTCCGGTTATCGGCATTCTGCATATCGCCCTGGTCCAACAGTAGGTGTGTGTGACTGACCTGTCCCCAGGAGGTGCCTAGGCTAGGTCTCACGCTGACCGTGCCATCTGGCTGCTCGCGGACACTGACGCCATTGACGATAAGCGCTGCGCATGGAGGGTGTATCATGCGACAAAGCTGGCGCAGAGCAGCCCCGACTGCATGTATATGCACATCAACGTCCATATCCTTCTGGAGCGCACTGACAAGCAGTGGGCGGATGCTGTCAATGACCAGCAGATCATGGGAACCGTGCGACTCTGCGTCTGCAGTAGAGCGCATGTCAACAAACCCGTAGAGAAATGTTAACAGTGCGTCGATAGTCGTGCATTCTACAGTCGTAACACGCTCCATGGCCTCCTGCAGTGCCGATCCCGTCGTCTTCTTGCCCAAGTCTCGCAAGCGAGCTTGTAGCGTCTTTTGAATGCGCCACACTGACAAAGTACTGGTGTGTATATAGTAGACCCTGCGTGTGTTATCCGTGGCCTCTGGCAACAGCAGGTGGTGGGCGGCAAAAGATATAGCTAGCCCCGACTTGCCTACTCCTGACTTGCCGCATAGCTCCATAATGTGGCCCATGGGTAGCCCTCCGAGCAACAGCGAGTCTAATGCTGCGACACCGCTGCTAATAGCAGGTTCCTTCAACCTTGGCTGCAGTTCTAATGCGGTAGCTCCAGCACTAGCAAAGTGATCAAGTACTATCATGCGCAGCTGCTTGATGTGCGGATGCAGGGCAGCCGGTGTTTGCGAGAGCACGTCCGACTGCAGGAGTATGTCAAAGTCTGTCAGTACGCCGATGGCCTGGAGTGCCGACACGCAGGAGTCCAGTGGCAGCAGCCCCTTGGTGGCCTGCCTGATATACTTTGCTGAACCGAGTGGAGGCATGATAGTAGCGGCGTATAGATATTTGTCAGACAAGGGAGAGAGCGGTATGGCTGCGCCGCTCTGGTCACCTATTGGGAAAAAAATTGCCTGACTGGCATCTGCCAGTGATACAAGGTTGTGGTTCGCACACCAATTTCTGTCCACTTCCGAACCTTTGTTTTATTTTTTAAAAAATGTCCATTAATTTAGAAACCCTGACAACCTACAATGTACGGGTAGGGGCTTCAATCAGCCCGCAGACAGCCAATGACTCCGACGCGGCAGGTGCCCAGAGCTCGGAGGATAGCGAGTTCCACATAGTGTCGCGGCAATTGCCACGCAGCACAACCAAAGTGAGCCGGGAGACACTTGAAAATGGCAGCAACATTCGGGCACGGCTGCTGGACACGTCGGCCAAGCAGGCACTGCTGATGGAAATTGACGCGTGGGACCAGAAAACACAGTGCACCTATGAGGGTGACTATGATGTTGTGCCGCGGGACGTCGACGAGGTCGATTGCGTGTTGCTGTACGACAAAGAGAGCCAGGTGTTTGTGGTCGAACGGATATCGTCCAACTGCACGGTAAAGGCTGGTACCGTCAGTGGTGCTGCCAGTGCAAGTGCAGCTTCAGGGAAACTGGCGCTGCCCAGCAGCACATACGTGGCAGTAGAACCAAAGCCAAAGCCCAAAGGCAAGGCTACCTCAGATATGGAGGATGGCTCTGACGATGATGCGTTTGCGCTCGAGTTGGAGGGGATCCTCAACGATGGCAGTGAGTCGGGAGACGTATCGCGCAACCAGAGCCGCCGCGGCTCGAGCTCGCAGGCAGCACATAAACCACAGGGCCCGGACGACCAGCTGGGCATGGAGCTGGAGGAGAATATCGACGAGATACTGGATGCTGCTAGCGATGATGACATGTTTGAGGATGTCGAAGACGCGCAGTTCCACCACGACGACGATGTCAGGTCGCTGTCGGACCAGAACAGCGACGATGATATTGTGTTTGAGGACATCCCAGCGCCCATTGGCACCTCTGCGCCCTTTGAGACGTTTGAGGAAGTGGGAGAAGACGATGATAGCGAGTTCGAGACTGTTAATGTCGACGATGCCGGCAATGCAGACGACCTGTTTGGCGATATCGAGTCGGGTAGCACCTCGCCAATACATGCAGCGCCCAATTCAGCTACCTCGCAGAGTAAAGGCCTGTCGTCAGCAGCTGACCAGGATAACGAAAACTCTGACGAGTTTGATGATCTAGAAGAGGACCTAGAGCGTAGCCTTGGAGTTAGCTGAAATCCATGGTGTAGAGCATTTCTCCAAGCAAAACATAAAACAGCAGCATGTAATTGTCTATCAAGTAGCATGGGTATTCGGAGGACCATCGTATAGCGGCTATACCAGGCTGTGCATATGTCACGGCATCAGGCTATTGGTGCCTCGTTGCGTAGATTTCATGAAGTATCTAAATAGCCAATTTTTTAAACAAGGGGTGCTGCTATATAAGACCCAGCAAGTAGCTCGCCAACCACATGGTGGATGGGACAACAGGTGGAGCCTAACACGCAGTCAGCTAAGAGACAAGCATTTGCTCATGACACTGTATACGCAGCTGGCACTGGATGTAGCAAGTCTAAATTTAAGAAGTCTTGGGGCCTGGACCTACTACAGAAAACCAGAAAATGAGCTTAGTACATGTAGATGTTGTGCGAGTGCTGTATATGACAATAGAGATAAGAGGAGCTATGTACGTCTTGGCGGCAAATGTTTGAACAAGTTGATATGTGATTTATAACCTCCTGCAGTTTTAAATAGAAGAGCTAATCTGTGCTGACCACATCCACCATGGCGCTGTCGTCGCCTTCATTGCTGTTCTTCAGCTCTTCAGCAACTGGGGTGTTGGTTACAGCTGTAGACGCTGCTACAGACTCTTCAGCCATCTCGACATCCTCAGCACAGCCATTGCCTGCCTTCATCGCGCCCTTGGGTCTGTAGACGCTCTTGTACACCTTGACCGTGCCATCGTCGCTGCACGTAAACAAGAGCTTGCGCGATGGATGGAATTTGCAGTCGCGCACCTCAATTGTATCGTGATCACGCAGGATACCCGTGACCTTGCCAGTGGCAATGTGGAACGCAAACACCTGACCGTTGAGCGTTGGCGCCAGCAGGTACCGTCCGTTGCTGGCAATGCGAATTAGCCACGAGTTCGACAGGTAGTCTTCATTATAGTACCGCCGGATCTCCTGCAGCTCAAACTTGCCATCGGGCTCGGTCGGGTACACCAGCCGGTGCAAAGTGCATGTGTTGGGCCGTGAGGAGACCGTGTTGTCCTCGGCATCCAGCAATTCAACTCCACGCGTGACAAAGTATGCGTAGGGGCCGCTAGGTGCAGGCAGTTCGACTGGCGCCTCCGATGTCGTTGCGCCATTTGTCGCGTCGTCGTTTTCGATGATGCTGTATTTTTTAGAGCCAACTAGTGGCTTCTCGACAGGCTCAATGAACTTGCCGCAGTCGCAGTACGACGAGTATATGGGGTCAAAGCGCTGCACAATTACGCACCGCTCTAGATCCATGAGCGTGACATGGTCGTCGGTGGACGCTAGGAAGAAGCGGTTGCCAGTGCTGGGGACAAACGATACAGTAAATGCCATGCAGGTAACGCCATCGGTGATCTCCTTCGACTCCTCAAGCAGAACAATCCACGACGAGTCCATGTGCCAGCGCCGGATGTAGCCGTCCTGGCTGGTGGTCACAAAGTAGTTCTCGCCCTTGTACACAACGCCCTTGACGCTGAGGATCTCTTCTGCATGTCCCTCGAGTCTCGCCACTACCTCGCCCGTCAGCACGTTGAAGATCTTGAGTGGGCACGGCAGGATGTGGTTGTCCTCGTCGGCCTCCGACCACCGTTTGCGGTCCTTCAATTTGCCACCAACAACCAGGTACTCGCCGGTAGGAGTAAACTGGCCGACAAAGAACTCGTCAATGTTGGGCTCCGACTTGTCACGCAGCGTAGCTAGGCACTCGAATGATTCTGTGTCCCATATGTGAATCTGTCCGGAGCTGCCCAGCGTCGCCAGTAGTGTGCCGTCGGGCGACAGCGCAATTCCCGTCAGAGCCATCTGATCTGCAATGTTGGTTGGTATTAGCTCTAGCGGGTGCTCCTCGTCAATATAGTCGATGGGGCCGCCCATCGGGTCGCTCGCGTCAGTCGAGGCTGGGTGTGTTAATTGCGTCCAGTACTGGTCAGGGTACTGCTCCTTGAGCGCCGCAATCTCTGCTGGATCAAAAACAAGCGGCTTTGCTGGACCCTTAATATCGTCAAGCGTGGTTTGTCTTGCCTTCCCTTTGCCCTTTGCCGCGCGTTTCTTAGGAGCTCCGTACTCGCCATCGTCGGTCTTTGGCTTTGGCGGGCGTCCGCGACGGGGCTTTGGCTTTGGATTATCAGGATCCTCCTCCTCCGCAGCGTTTCTTGTTCTACCTGCTGCTGTACCAGCACCGCGTCCACGCCCACGCCCACGGCCGCGTTTAGAGGCTGGTGCGCCGCGCTTTGGTTTTGTGGTCTCAAAGTCGCTGTCAGAGTCTTCCTTTGCTGCCGCCCGTGTGCTGGCGGCCTGTTGTCGCAGCGCCGTCAGCGATTTGCTGAGCTCTGTGTCAGAGTCGAACATCTCGATATCGATCTCTTCGTCCGACGGGAGGTAGTCTCCAGGGTTAACCTAGGCAAAGGGTGGGTGGGCAAGGACGGTTTAGTATTGCAGGGCGGCTATGCATTTCACGTACACTTTTCACGCACCAGGTTGTCTTACCATTTTGTTTGCTGTGTGGAGGCAGAGTAAGTCGCGTCTCAGACTATGTGCTGCGAAGAGGATTGTGCCCTAATTGTTGGTGTTTAAAAATGCAGAGCAGAGAAGGGAGGGAGAGAATTTTAGTCGCAGCGTTGCGTTTCGTCGTTCAAAACGGCTCATTCTATCTGGTTCGGGGCTCTTCGGCTTCCATTAGCCGAAAATTTTTCACTCTCTTGCTCCGTTTGGGCTCATGTACAGTTTGCTCAATGGATACTCGGCGCTCTTTGCGGAATGCTTCCGAGCGAGCGTGTCTATGAATAGCGTACATACAATGTTTGGCCGTGGGCTGGCAGCAAAATGAAGAATGAAAGAGCAGCAAGAGTGCAAGTAACAAAAAACGGGCCGAAATGAACAGGCAAAAGAGCTGAAACGCGTTAATGGGGTTTAATATCAGTAAAAAGCGAGTAAAAACAAACGCGATCGCAGCATTTAGGCTCACCCGCGTCGAGATCGCGTCAGTATCACGCGATGACCCATACTCTTAGTGAAATTGCGCCGACAGCAAAAATATATACAAAAGGGCGGCGCCAGATGGGAAGTTGCTATCTAGTCCTCATTTACACCTTTTCTATCAGTCATGTCTACGCCAAGCCAGGAAGCAACAAAGGAGCTCATTGCGAAGAAGCGGGCTGAGGTTTTGGCTCGCATGGCTAAAATGGGAATTCCGACCAGTGCTGGCACAAGTAGCGTTCGACCCCCGCCTGCAGCAGCAGAATCATCGACAACATCCAGCGCACCGTCGCTGCATGCATCGATCGCTGCCACGCGCGCCCGAATCGAGGCTCGGATGAAGGCACAGGGCATTGGCGCCAGCAGCGTCCGGGCCAGCAGCAGCAAATCCGCAGCGATACCGACTGAGCTCCACCCAATGCTAAGCGGCGACATCAAATCCACGCGTGGAGTTCCCATGCCACGGATATCGTCGATAAAGGCGAACCAGCGCGTTCAGCCGCAGCCTAAGCGGATGAAGATTGAGCACGAGGCGCCGGTAGCATTTGCTGACCCGCAAAAGAACCCGTACTTTGACCCGCATTTGGGAGGCCAGCGCTCGGCAATGCCCAAGCAGCGTAGGCACGCCAAGAAAATCCATTTTGCACGGCCTGGCCGGTTTATTGAGCAGGGCGACCGGGTGCGTGCCGAGCAGAAGCTCGAGCAGCTCAAGGCCGAAATCGCCGAGCGCGCAGAGAAGGCGCGGCTCGAAGATGAGGTGCTGGACACGACTGCAATCCGGCCGCCGGAGCCGCCCACAGTTGAATGGTGGGACGCACCGCTGCTCTCGACCGACACATACACTGGCAGTACGTACAGGCTTGAAGGGGCCGAGTCGCCAATCACCGTGTACGTGCAGCACCCGGTACCACTTGAGCCGCCGCAATCAATCCTGGCTGGCGGGTCGGCCCCGAGCCAGCTCATCTTGACCAAAAAGGAGCGCAAGAAGATCAGGCGCCAGCGGCCGCGAGGAGCAGCAGCGCGACCACCGCGACAAGGTCATGGTGGGTCTGCTGCCGCCCGACCCGCCCAAGGTCAAGCTGGCCAACTTTATGCGCATCCTGGCCAATCAGTCGGTGCCCGACCCAACACGGCTCGAGGCGGAGGTGCGCAAACAGGTCGAGGCACGGCAAATCAGGCATGAGGAGGACAACAAGGCGCGGCAGTTGACAAAGGAGCAGCGGCATGCCAAATGGGAGGCCAAATTGCAGTCCGAGGAGGAAAAGGGTCTTGTGTCGGCCGTGTTCCGGATCAAGAAGCTGTCGCATGCGCAGCACAGGTTTAAGGTGGCGGTCAATGCGCGCGAATGGAGGATGACTGGCATTGCGGTAGTGTGTCCGCAGATGAGTGTAGTGATCGTTGAGGGCTCTGGAAAGGCGGTCAAGGCGTATAAAAAGCTAATGTTGCGGCGGATCGACTGGGCAGACAGTCAGCCCACACTTGAAACATCCGAGGACAAGCAGCCAGTGGCAGACGATCCGGATTCGGAACCTGTTGACTACTCTGATAACGACTGTTTCCTGATCTGGCAGGGGTCCATCGATGCCCGCAAATTCACGCAGTTCAATATGCGGACCTGCACAACCGAATCCGGAGCCAAGAACTGGCTGGCGCAGGCCGGAGCCGAGTCATTCTGGCAGCTGGCCGTGCAGTTTGACCCACACGACAGCATTACTCTGCTGAATACCCTCGTATGAGGCTAATTGGTTTTGGTAAGCATCGTCGGCGTATTAATAGATTCTAAATGGCGCTCGGTCCCTATGAGGGAAATGCACCGCTTGCCAATCGACTGTTTTCGATGGATGCTGGTTGAGTGGTGATGAAATCCTTCTATATCGTCCGACAATCCAAGCGCACTCCCACTCCCTGTTTGTCGCCCACACAGTGCTAGCAGGCAGACAGGTAAACAGCGGATGTATGTCTTGCGACCCAGTCGCTGCTTTTCGTGCGTTTTGCACGTGTCGCCTCCTCACTTGTGGCTTATTTCTATCACCACTCCAACAAATCAAGGGGTTAGAGGTATACCAATACGTGGACAGCGATACATCCGATACGTGCCCAGGATGGGCAGGCGGACTGCCCAATAGCGAATATGTCCGCTGATTGCCGAGGACACGGTGACAAAAGGACCCGGGATCGGTTACTGGATATAGCAAAAAGAGCCTTCGCATCGGGAGCCCAAGACCTCCCAGTGCCGCTCCATGCTACCAAAACAGAACAGAATGCCGCACCAGATCTTTGTTCGTTTATCTCAAGAGAGGACTCACTGCGGCAGCCACCCGCCAGTGGTTGGCTTTTCTGTTTCATGTCGCAGATCATGGAGTGACGGTTTCCCCCTCTGGCCTCCCACACAGCACCGGTATCCTTTGCACTTGCAGCACACACATGATATGGCCGTAATTGGCGTTTATATGGCGCAGGTGCAAAAAGCCACCGCAGCCGGGCAGTTATTTGCCGCCTGCGCGTGGGATGTGCAGTGCAGTGTAAAGGATGATCAGCCCGGCATGTCGCAGTCCTTTTCTGCCTGCAAAAATCACGGGAGGGAAAGCAGAAGCATAGGCGAATTGAGCAGCACAATCTGTAGTTCGGCAATAGCAAGGAGTAAAAAAAAGCAGCCGCATTTCTTTCCCTGTTTGCGTCTCGGCTGTATGCAAATGCCTTGCTGCAACGGTTGAGCCCAACAACGCAGGCAGAGGACAACAAAAATATTCATCCTTGGCCGAGAATCGCTGGATGCCTTAAAAGTCAGCAGGTTGGGCGCCAGGTCGCGGTAATTCGCAAAAATAAAAAGCTTTCATGTGCATCCCCATCTTCGAGCCTGCCCTTATCTTTAATATACACAGCGTTTCAGAGTTCTGTTGACTATTTATCAGGCAACATCTGCTCACCCCATTTCTGATCCTGCCAGTCCGATTCCTCTCTTCACTACCTCCCATCTGCTCCAGCCTTTTGGTCTTTTATTTATCCGTGGGCTTGTACTGCAACCGTGTTTCCCGTCACCAGTGGCCGTCCCTTTTTACTGCATCGCACCAAGTCTGCCTCACCCTTTCACGCGACTCGTACACGGAAAGCACCTCCGCTTAAAATTATAATAGTCTCCTGAGCCGAACTACCCTGGACGGTTATTTACGATCGAAGCGTTCTCAGCAGTGAGCCCGGAATTTCACGCCCACAGTCAAGCTAACTCTCGGTCACGCCCACAGTTGCGTTGAAAGCTAGTTGGACAAGCTCATCAGTTAGCGATCTATTTCCACCTCTACAATAGCCAAAGCGTAGTGGGGCTAGTATCATATATCCGTTCCTCCCGCCTATATTAGTCAGTCCAAATCCCTTGCCAGTTTAACCGCCGTCTCATCAACCGCCACCTTATCGAAACCTGGCTGTTTCCTTGATAAAACCACCCAGCACTCATATTTTCCTCTCCGCAAAAGATCGTCTTCTTTCTTCGACACAATGACTTCGGCGTCGCACAGCCTCAAATCTTCCACACACAAGCACTCAGAGAGCCTGTCGGACAGTTCAATGTCAGTCAGTACACGCAAGGATTCAGGCGCCAACTCGGTGTCGGCGCTCCCTACCGCTGCGGCTTTCCAGGGCCACATCCCAAAAACATCCAAGACCTTCCGGGTAGTCATCATCGGCGGATCGTTTGCCGGCATTCGCGCGGCGCAGGAGCTCGAGCAGCTGGTGTCACCCAGCATGGTCACGATCACAGTGATCGAGAAGCGCGACATGTATTTTTACAACCTGGGTGCCCTGCGCTCAATCGCCAAGCCCAGCCTGATCGACATGGTCTGGCTGCCATACACCAACGTCCTCAAGCACCCGAGCAACCGCGTGATCCAGGGTGAGGTTGCGTCCGTGTATGCCAACTCTGTGATCCTGTCTGATGGCCGCAAGATGGACTTTGACTCGCTGCTGGTCGCCACTGGCTCGATCTACCCGCCGCCGTGCAAGCTCGAGGTGTCGTCGTCGATCCAGGGCAAGGCCGAGATGCGCGTGACAGCAGAGAAGGTCAAGTCGGCACACGTAATTCTTATTATTGGCGGCGGTCCAACCGGCGTTGGCCTGGCAGCCGAGATCGTCACGGAGAACCCGACCAAGACCTGTGATCCTGGCGCACGCGGGCCCCACATTGCTGTCGTCGAACAAGAGCATGTCCATGTCGCGCAAGGCTCTGAAAAAGCTAAAAACCATGGGCGTCAAAGTGCTGCTGAACGAACGCGTCAATATCCCCGACGACGAGCCTCTGACGTACCGGATCGAGGGTCGCTGGCTCAAGACCTCACAGGGCCGCATGCTGTTCTCTGATCTGCAGTTCCTGTGCAACGGCATCACGTTCAACACAACCATCATGGACACGCTCGACCCCATATACAAGCACGACTACATCGACTTACGTACCAACCAGATCAAGGTCCGGCCGACCATGCAGATCGGCCATGCCGAAATGCCCTGGATCTTTTCTGCGGGCGATGTCTGCAACACCAATGGCGAAAAGCAGGCGTACCGTGCCGATAGCCAGGGCAGCCATGTCGCCAAGTGCATGGCCAAGATGGCCCACGCCTGGGCGCAGGGCGACTCGAAGTGGTACAGCGTGCCACTCAAGGCCTGGCGCGATCCAGCACAGTACATGTCCGTCGCCATGGGCCCAAAGTCGGGAATTACTGGAGACTCCGTGGATTGTGCTGGGCGACCTGCCGACGCGCGTCATGAAGAGCAAGGAGCTTTTCCTGGCCAAGCGCTACAAGGAGTTCAACCTAGAGTTCCCTGGTCTCCCAGACTCAACCACCGGGTCGCCGTCGCACACACCGCAGAGAGCCCCCGAGCCTGCTCCCGCCAAGCCTGCCATGAGTCGCATCGCCGAGCTCAAGAATGAACACAAGCAAAAAACATGGCCCAGTCAACAAGACCAGCCATGTAAGCTTGGCTGATAGCCATCGCAAGTTTGGCGACGTACCGCACATGGCTGCGACATCCATCGCCGAGGCCACTGCTGAGAGCCTCGACTACAACCACGAGCCGGACCGGATCTCACTGAGCCAGCCGTTTGTTGTTTCCAAAGACGCTATGCGCAAGGACTCGATGTTCGCAGTCACACAGAACCTGTCGCCGGTTGACTCTGCAGAGTCTGATAGCTGCTCGGAGATATCTGATAGTGAGCACGAGAACCTGTGCGAGCGTGTTCTGGCTAGCAGCCTCGCCGACAGCAGGGATAGCTGTGACACTGGGTCCCCGACATACAGTGTGATCACTCCCTCTATCAAGACACATCCGGGCCATGATCACAGGGCTCTGACTGCAAGGTCCGGTTCTGCCTAGACTGTTGCGCAAGCGGTCGTCGATTGGGGAGGCACTGCACATGGCAAACAACATGCCACCACTACCACCACCACTACCACCATCACTATCATTACTACCAGAACGATGGTCAGAACCTGGTGCCGCCGGTCCCGCCTACCCCGCCTACCCCGCCCGTAAGCTCACCGATGGACCAGGGTTGGCAGCACCGACTAGCTATTTATACCCTACTACTAATAATCTTCCTGTGTCTGTATTGAACAGTTTTGCACCCGAACCTGGCTCCATTACTCTGCATGTACCCGGCGATATGATCGCGAGATGCAGTCTGTGCTTTCATCGAGTAGAGTGGTTGTATTTTTCTATCGTCCCTTTTAGAAGTTGATTGGTATAAAGCACCCTACATTATCCGAGCCTAAACTGCGTGCATGGCAATGATGTGCTGCACATGCATCAAGTTTTAGCACAGCCGCGTTGCATCAACTGCCCCTTTCACCCTTACGCCAGGATCGTCCAAAGGAAATTCCGAGAGGATAAGGCAAGGCCAATTGTGCCGAAGGCCGATACGACAAAGGGGTAGCCCAGCATCAAGGATCACGCAGAGGACAAGTGACCGCCACGTGGTAACGGCTGCCGCTACTCTAGGTTGCGGGTAATGCGAACCTTCGCAGCAAGCTTCCTTCCCGCTCTTCTCCACTCTGCTCCACTCTGCTCCACTCTGGCCTCCACATCTTGTATAGATTTCCGGGAACTGCTGTTTAATATTCCAGAGCCTTATTCGTGAAAGTGGGGGGGCAAACTATGCTTTCATTCTTGACTCCCTCTCCCTCTGCCCATTCTCGATATCCACAAGCCATGGCACGACGGCCGCTTCCAGCCGACATCAAAGAGCATATATGCCGGATTATATACGACTACGATATCCGGCATACGTTCATCCCAGCTCCACGGTCACAAAGGGATACCCATGTACAAAAGGGCGGGTTCGACAATGTCAATGTCATACCTCTCCCATGTCGACTCTGAATGGCGCAGAGTAGCGCTCAAATATGCCTGGCGCACGATTCGCGTCACATCCCACGCAGCAGAGGCGTCCCTGGCAGAAATTCGCTTGACCCACGGCCACTTTACACGCAAACTCTATATTCTGGTCCAGTTCAAGAGCGTGAATAATGCATATTCTCGGCGGTACTCGTTCACACAAGAAAACAAAGCCATGCAGCCGTTTTGTGACCTGTCGCTGTGGCCGCATCTCGAGGAGCTTGAGATTGACTACGCACACAAGTGTGCCTTTCCGGGACTGGCAAAATACATCGAGCCGAGGCTTGGCAATATTCGCGTGCTGGCTTGTTACCGGGCGCGTGCCCATCGATATGCGAAGAGGCGCACTGTTTATGAAGGCAGCCGAGCTACGTGAGATCCATATCCGCGCGATGGTAAGCGAGAAGGACTCACTATCCACCATTACTACTGTTCCCGATTCGATCCTGACCAGACCCGTGATGCAAACGCTGACGCGCATGTCGATTACGCCGATGATTGACGTTCGGGTTGCACGGTGGGTGCTGAGCACGCAGAAGCAGACGCTGCGCTGGCTGGATGTAAATGGGTTTAATAGCGAGCAGCTCTTGGTAATCGGGCTGTTCTGTTCTAACCAGCCAGACTTGGTTGCACTCTCGCAGCAGTCCACAGGTGCAGTGGAGATATCTCGAGTCGCTGACAGTGAGCATGGTGAATCTGATGCCAATACAAGCCGAGCTGCCGGTCAGTTTCAGTCTCGATGCAGCGGAATTTCCTCAGCTACAGCGACTGCGAATGGGGCTGTGCTCACATTCTGCGCTATATTCGCGAACCCCACTGGACATTTCGTATTGTCAGACATTCACAACGAAATGGACAAAGCTCGTGTCGCTAGAAATACCGGCTATCGATGACAATGATGCCATACTCATTGCGCAGAATATGCCTCAGCTTGGCCGACTTTACGTGCCAGCTATTGCAGACATGCCACAGCTCAGCAAATCATATAGCGTAGCAGCCTTGTGGTATCTACTTACCTCTGGGTTGCCACTCAAGGTAATCCACATCGCCTCCAGCAGCAGTGAGAACACTGTAATCTGCTGTGAAACTTACCCACCAGCCATCGATTTTGCCCACATTCGCTCATTCCATCCACTACAAGTGCTACGCATACCGCAGACCGTTGTCTCGTCTGATCAGCTGCAGGATATTCGCTACAAATGTCTGCGTCTGTCTCAGGTGGTAACCAAGCCGCCTAAGCCGCCATCACCGACATACCAATTCCTTTGGAGCATTCTCGGAGCATAGCCCATGGCGGGTCTAGCAAATTACTTAGAGAGTAGTGACCAGTATAGAGTGCTGTATTGTAGTAAATATGGTCTATCCACAGAGAACGCATCTGGATTTCACTTATGATTGGGATAGGACTCGCCAACAGAGACATGTCTGGTGTAGCTGAAAAGCACTTGTTTGCAGATGCTACTGGGCGCAGTTCGACACCCATTTCGGTCGAGCTTGGAAAGAACCCGCGTGGCCTGGTATGCAGTACAGCTTCGGCGACAAGCCCGCTGTGGCCAACTCTGCTCAAGGACAGGCGTTCCATATAGGAACAGGTTATTTGGATGTCAACCTCGTACTCTTGCCACAATCCGTCAGCAGTCAGCTAGCTTTGCAGCCCACATACGCTCATATCGTTTATGGTCAACCAGGCACCTGTACACTGGAGCGAATCCACATAGGCAGTTGAAGACTCTGGTGGCAATACCTGGCCAACAATGCAAACGCTTAGCGGTAGTACCAGGAGACTGGCACCGAGAAAAACCATCCTGCTGCTATCCGGGGATTCCTTGACAGTGGGCCTGTGGTAGTGGGTGTCTTTATATATCCTTGTTTCTAGTCTATATTAGATTTCTCTTTCGCAAGATCTTCAGACAAGCACACCATGTTCAGTTCCTCTACTGGCTGTTAAAGCACAGGTTTTTCGTCTGCCACCGATTGCAAGTCAATTGATGCTTGTGGTAGGCCTCTTTCGAATAAATACAGAAGATTTCAACCAGCTGTGCTGCTGATCGGTAGCTGGCATTGGGGTGTTTTGGTGGTTGAGAACAGATCTCTACCATTACAAAAAGCTTGCAGCCAAGTATTGGGAACTGGTGCAAAATAAGGGGGGACAATCTAAAAACAGATACTGTATGGTGGGTTGCTTCCCTTATGCCAAGTTTGGAAGGCGCATAGTGAATGTCGCTTTCCCATCAAGTGAGAATAGAATCATCGGTGGATTTATTTTTGGATCATGACAGCACATGCAAACGCTAACATACAAAGCTAAACACAATGTCACAGAACAGTGTCACATACTACCTTTTTTTTTTTGATGCCGCTGCCAGCACCTAGGCACAGCAGCCTTACTTGTAACACCCATGGGTAGGGTCAGGATCGGTAGGTGGAGCGTGGTACTGGCCACAATACTTGCAGTCATATGTAGTGAGATCGGTATACAGGCAGGCAAACACAAGGGTATTAACAGGCGTCATGAATACACACAGACAAATTATATACAAATCCGATCAGAAACTAGAAACCCTGAAACCTCGAACACAAGCAGAAGAAAATGGACGCTTTTCTGGAGGTAGACATTGAGGAGGGCATTGGTGTCTGATTTTATACGCAGTGGCAGCTTAGGCAACGCCTCAGCAACACCTCAGGGGGCACTGGACTAGAAAACAGGTATATCGTCGTGTAAGGCTCTACAACCCGAGTCAAGCTATAAAAAGAGGGCGTTTGACCTGGCTCAGAATTTGAAATACAGCCCAAACGTGCCTAGATGTCCTGGCATTTCAAAATGTATTTGACAACTCCATCCCCCAAATCACGCCGCTTTTGCATAGTAAAAAGCGTGTTTTTAGCCGCCAATCTTAATCATTGGGCGGTTGGGCAGTTGTGACAAAATGTCAATACCTGCATGCGCCCTCTTCTTGCGCTTGACCGCCTTGCCAATAGTCTCGATGACCTCAGCGTCGGAGCTGCCGTCCCGGAGCATGTCGCGCAAACCGACCTCGGTATTCCCAAACAAGCACACTTTCAGGTTGCCATCCGCCAGCACCCTGACTCGGTTGCAGTCGGAGCAGAACGACTTGGTCATGGAGGTAATAAAGCCAAACTGCCCCCTGTATCCCTTGATCCTATATCCCTTGGCCGTGTGGTTGTCTTCCAGCGGCAGCCGCTCGATCCGGTCGCCGTAGAGCCTGACGAGGTTGTCGAGCAGTTCGCGATACGGAACCAGCTTCTGCTTGCCCCACTGGTTGCCGTCGAACGGCATGTACTCGATAAACCGCACATCAATGTCATCATCATGCGTCATTTCGACAAACGCCGGCACCTCGTCCTCATTCATGTTGCGCATGACAACCACATTGATCTTGACAAAGTCGAATCCCAGTGTGCCGGCGTCGGCAATTCGCCCGCAAGACATGGTCGGCGCCCTTGCGGCGCGTGAACAGTTCGAATTTGCGCGGATCCCTGGTGTCAATGCTGATATTGAGTCCATCCAGCCCCGCCTTGCGCAGCAGCGGGAGCTTGCGCCGCAATGCAATGCCGTTGGTGGTAATGGCGATTTTCTTCAGCCCCAGTGGCCGCAGCTCATTGAGACCAGAGATCAATTCCACAATGTCCTTGCGCACAGTCGGCTCGCCGCCCGTAAGCCGGATCTTGTCCACGCCCTGGGAAACGAATATGCGTGCCAGCCGGATTATCTCGGGCGTGGTCAAAAGCCGCTCGTTGGGCGTCAGGTCGACACCCTCAGCCGGCATGCAGTATTGGCACCGCAGGTTGCACCGCTCCTGTCACCGAGATGCGCAGGTAGTTGTGGAACCGGCCAAACAGGTCTGCGAGCATCGGCGGCTGCGGCTCGCTGGTGGGGACTGGCTTTGCTGCGGCACTGCTCAGGCCGCGGATACCGTGGGAGCGCAGCGTTGCAGTAAGCGGGCGCGGTAGTGCCGAGGAGCGAGCCAGCGCGAGCCGGGAAATTCGGTGCATTCGGGCAAAATGTGTTAAAAGTACAGGTAAAAACAGAGGGTAAACGAACACAGCGGAGGTGTGCCAACAAAAGAAGGCAGTATATGCACAAGTTATTGAATAAGGCGTGGAGACAAGAGGGCGAAGCTTGGTGTGTAGTGGCATGTGGCCGGCCACATCGTTTTATACCAGTGGCGGCTGTTCACGGACCCCTTAAGCTACGGCAATCCCCCTATCTCTCCGAGCCACCCAGTTATGTAGCTCGTATGCACGGTGGCACCACGGAACGCCGGGTTTGCCATCTCCCATGACACAGATCATCTGTCGGCGGAGAATTTGGCCGCCAGCGCTAGAGATTTGTAATCTTTTTTAATTGTGCACTGAATCAGCTACGGGGGAGATTGTCTAGTAAGAGCGTCCGAACAGAGCATAGCGCTTGGCCTCGTGGCCGCACTGGATGCACTTGGTCTGGCCCGGGACGATGGGGGGCTCGGCCGGCTGGTTGTACGGCAGACACAGCGACTTGGCGCCCATGGACGGCGCCTTGTCGTCCTCGGGCTCGTCGCCGAGGGAGTCGCGCGAGCTCCGCTCCTTGATCTGCTCCTCGCACTCCTCGCGCTCGCACCACGGGATGAGCGTCAGGCACTTGTCGTTCAGGGTCGGCACAAAGTTCTCCCAGTCCAGCACAATCTTGACACGCTCGTCCATGGTCTTGCGCGCCTTGACCAGCATATCCTTCTGGATGGTCTCGAGCAGCGCCGGAATGGCGGTCTCGATGTCGCTGCGGGACACGGGCTGCTTGGCGAAGGTGTCGCGGCGGACAGTCAGCACCGACTGCTTCTCCAGGTCCTTGGGGCCGATCTCGAGACGCAGCGGCACGCCGCGCAGCTCCCAGTGGCTGAACTTGAAGCCAGGCGTGTAGTTGTCGCGCAGGTCGGTCTCGACGCGCAGGCCGAGCTGCTTGAGCTGGTGGGCGACGTCCAGGCAGGCGTCGTACAGCTTGCGCCGCTCCTCGTCGGTGTGCTTAACGGTGATGCCGCAGGGGACAATGACGATCTGGGTCTCGGCGACGCGGGGCGGCAGAACCAGGCCCTTGTCGTCACCATGGACCATGACCATGACGCCGATGGTGCGCGTGGACAGACCCCACGACGTCTGGTGGACAAACAGCTTCGGGCGCTCGGCGCCGGTGGCCTCGGGGTCCTCGACGACGACGTTGAACATCTTGGAGAAGTTCTGGCCCAGGTAGTGCGACGTGCCGCCCTGAATACCGCGGCCCGTGGTCGGAATGAAGCCCTCGACGGTGGTGGTGGCCACGCCGCCAGCAAACTTCTCCTTCTCGGACTTGACTCCCTCGATGACGGGCACGGCAAGCAGCTCCTCGTAGATGCGGCGGTAGAGCTCGAGGATATCGCGCACCTCCACCATGGCCTCATCCTTGGTCAGGTGGGCGCAGTGGCCCTCCTGCCACAGGAACTCGCGCGTGCGCAGGAACGGCTGCGGGTTCTTGAACTCCCAGCGCACCACCGAGCACCACTGGTTGATCTTGAGCGGCAAATCGCGGTACGACTGAATCCACTTGGCAAAGTACGGGTACATGACGGTCTCGGAGGTGGGGCGGATAGCCAGCGGCTCGGCCAGATCCGACGAGCCGGCGCGCGTCACCCAGGCGACCTCGGGCGCAAAGCCCTCAATGTGGTCCTTCTCGCGCTCCAGCACACGCGACGACACAAACATCGGGAAGTAGCAGTTCTTGACACCCAGGTTGCGGATCCCGCCGTCAAAGAACTCCTGGATCTGCTGCCACACAAAGTACGCCAGCGGGCGCACGATGTAGCAGCCCGACACGTCGTAGTAGTCGAGCATCTCGGAGCGGGTGACCACCTGCTGGTACCACTTGGCGAAGTCGCCCTCCTTGGTGACCTCGATACCGAGCTTGGCCGAGCCCACGACCTCAGCGACCTCCTTCTTTGCAGCCTTCTTGGGCTTCTTCTCGGCCGCAGCCGGCTTCGGCGCAGGGGCCGCAGCAGCAAGCTTCTCAAAATCGATCGGGCGGAATGCGGCCAGACCAGGGACCGACTCGAGGAACGACGTCAGAGTTGCTGGGGCAATGAACACAGTGCGGGTGCTGTCCAGCGGGTGGAAGGCAATCTTGCCGACTCCGTCCGCCAGCAGAGCCTGGTCGACGACGACCTTGATGTGCTCGACGTTCTCAGCCGGCACGTTGCCCAGGGCAAAGGGCGAAACTACAAGCGAAGGAAAAAGCAAACACCGGAAATCCACACATCAGCCATCAGTCCGTGTGACTCACACAACAGGCTGCCGCCAGTACTTACCGGAGCCCTTCGACGTCTTGAAAATGTTGGTCAGCACATCGTCGTTGGCGAACCGCAGGTCCTTGAGTCCAAGCTCCTTGCCCAGCAGCGTCGAGTTGGTGCCGGAGTCGCCCTTGGCGATGACGACAACGGGCGCAATCGGCGCACTCTTGGGCTGCTTGGGCTTGAAGATCAGCGTCTTGGTCAGGACGTAGTCGCTGGGCACGCCCGAGACGGTCGCCAGGGCTTCGGCCCACTGGTCTACCGTGTCGACCGCTGCATGCTCGAATGCGGACTCGCTGAAGCCAAGAGTGTTGAGTTTAGAAATGAGCTCGGCAATCGACATTTGCTTTTTTGGCTAGCAGGGAAGGTAATAACAAATGCAGCACAAGATGTTAAAATGAATAAGGAAGAAGAGAAGGAAAGGGCAGGGCTTGAAGGACGGAAAAAAAGGACCGGTCGCTTTGAGGCTCAGCCCGATTGATTTGCCTGACGTAGCAAAAAATTTTGCTTGGAAAATGGCCGGCCCGCAAAGGTGGCAAGCCCATCGAGTTTATCACCTGGTTCCGTCGATGCCCTCAGTGCTGCTGATATCGCGTGCACATTCCTGGGTCCTCCCCCCACTGCCTTGCAGCAGCAGCATTCTCTCGAAGCGACATCAAGTACATTCATAGTGGGTTACATTCGGGGTAAGAAAGAAAGATTGAAGAGTAGGCTACATGTTTTTGTTTATTTTTATTTCCAGCCAGCGTCGGCTCCATTGTTGCCGCTGCGCTGGTACGGGTGGTGATGTGTGTTGCGACTGGTGGTGGTGGTGCTGTTGCCACGCTGAGTACTGCCGTTGTAGCCCCGACGAGACGACGAGTCTCTATATCCGCTACTGTCTCTGTAGCCGGCGCTGTCTCTGTAACCACCACCGTCCCGGTAGCTACCGCCATCTCTATATCCACCACCGTCTCTATAGCCACCGCTGTCTCTGTAACCACCGCTGTCTCTGTAGCCGCCGTCTCTGTATCCGTCGTTGCGCGAGCGGCTGTACGAGTCGTCACGGCGGTGGTACCTTCTATCGTCTCTCCGCCTGGGCGAGTAGTGCTCGGTATTCTGGCCCGTGTGCCTCGGGTAGTCGTTCTGCTGGTGGGCCGGCGGGGGCGGCTGGGCGACCGGCTGGGTGCCCTTGCGCTGCTGGTGCTTGCGCCTGTCAAACTCATGTGAGTGCTCAAACTTGGGCATATCCTCGGGGCGTGCCGGGAACGGCGGAGTGCAGAAAAAGTTGCTCTTCAGGGCATCGGCAGCCTCAGGGCGGCGGTCCGGGTCCAGCTGCAGCAGCTGCTCCAGCAGATCCACAGCGTCGTCACCGAAGCGCAGGAACTCGTCGCGCAGGCGCCGCGGGTAGCGTGCAAATTCGCTGACCTGCGAGCAGTCCGGCAGCTGCTGCCAGCGCGGCCACGAGGAGTTGTCGGGGGACCCGCAGACGCGGAAAATCTGCTCGAGCTGGTCAAGGTCGGTCTTGCCCTGGAACACGGGCCGGCCAAGCAGCATCTCGGCGAAAATGCAGCCGAACGCCCCACATGTCGATGGCGGTGGTATAGCGGCGCTCGCCGAGCAGGAGCTCAGGCGGGCGGTACCACCGCGTAACCACGCACTTGGTCATGTCCTTCTTGTCATCGAGGTTGAAGGTGCGTGCCAGGCCAAAGTCGGCAATGTACAGGGTGCCTTCGTTGTTGACAAGCAGGTTGCTGGCCTTCATGTCCCGGTGCATGACCTTGCTGGCATGCAGGTACGCGGTGCCCTCGAGGAGCTGCTTCAGGTACAGCTTGATGTGCTCGATCTTCAAGTGCACCTTGGGGTTCTCCAGCAGACCCGTCAGATCATGCTCCATGTACGGAAACACCATGTACACTGATGGCACGGCGCTGCGGCTCTCGTGCTTGACCAGCATGTCGGCCAGCGGCACCACGTTTGGATGACTGAGCGCCTTCAGCAGCTTGATCTCGCGGATGGCTGTGATCGGCAGCCCCTCCTTCTCGTTGTGCATCAGCACGCGCTTCAGTGCAACCACGTCGCCTGTGGCCTTGTGTACTGCCTTGTGCACCTCGCCGAAATGTGCCTTCGCCCACCTTTGTTGTCAGCTCGTAGTCCTCGAAGGCCGAGCACCCGATGAACTTTTTGCCGTCGCGGCGGCGTGCGCGCGGCGGACTCGGGCTGTTGCTGCTGACAGAGGGGCTCTCGGGCACCTGCTGCGTCCCGTTGCGCAGCTGGTCAGGCCGTGGCACAGACAGGTGAGTACGCGCATACTCGCGGGCCCTGGTGTCGCTGGCTGGGCCCATGGGTGGCTGTGTGGGCTCGGTGGGCACAGGTGGGCGCAAGGTCCTTGTTGCTCATGCTGGATGTGTAAAAAAGGTTTCGAAATCCGCGTGCAGAAATGCAGAAAATGAAAGGGAGGAGGTTCTTTCGCTTGTAAGCGACCTTTCAAGCGTGCAGTTTCAGGCTCCCTCCTCGACTTTCTGGTTTGCAAAATACAACAGCGAATGCGCCTGAAACGAAGAAAGAAAACCGGGAGTTGGAAAGAGAAAGAGTAAAAAAAAAAAAAGAATAGAAATCAGGAGAGAAAAAGCCCAAGAGACGAAAAAAAAAATTGTTTGTTCAGGCAGAAAGGGTGTATTCGGGGCTAACGGCATACTCTTTCTTTCGCAAAAACGCATCTTTCGATGACGACTCCGGAGCCCTACTTCTTCCCCCCGCTTTGGGAGCAGCGGCGGCGGCACATAGCCGACACGCTGTATGCACACAAGGTGCAGTCGGTGCTGGAGGTCGGCTGTGGCGAGGGCAACATCCTGAGCTTCCTGACAATGCCCACCGATGACGACGAGCATCCGATCACGCAGCTGGCTGGCATCGACATAGCCAAGGGCCTCGCTGCTGAACGCCAAAGCCCAGCTTCTCCCGGGCTATATGGACAAGACAGAGCCACGCGTCGACCCACTCACCATCACGCTGTATCATGGCGACGGCACCATCCCCATCTGTGGCCTGAGCGCCGACGCTGTCGTATGCTCTGAGGTGATTGAGCACGTGTATCCGGACCAGGTATCGGCGCTGACGCAGGCTGTGTTTGGCGGGTACCGGCCGCGCCTGGCAGTGTTTACGACGCCCAACGCCGAATTTAACGTCAACTTCCCTAACCTGCACTATGGCACTCCACAGGCCATGTTCAGGGACGCTGACCACAAGTTCGAGTGGACGCGTGACGAGTTCCGGCAGTGGGCGCAGGACTGCGCTGACACATACGGGTATGATGCTGGGTTTGTGGACGTGGGCAGGCAGATGCGCAATGCAGCTGCTGGGTTCGTTGCCTGCGGCGGGTGCACGCAGATGGCTGTGTTTGTCAGGCGCACGGCTCCAGAGCAGCAGTATCAGCACCAGGACAGCGGCGAGAGGTGTGGCCAGCCGCCGCAGCTGCTGGAGTCAATAGAATACCCGGTGTTCTCGGGGCGTCGCATGGCAGCCAAGCAGCTGGAGGCACTGGTAGAAGAGACCGCCAGAACGGAGGCCATGGACGGGGTGTTTACGCTGGAGCAGCTGTGGGGCAGGCCCAAGATCCAGCAGCAGTTCAAGCGCCGCGCCGCCCTGCGTGTCTGGGTCATTGGGAACCAGCTCTTTTCGCAAACCGACCACGACACATTCTGCCTGGAACGGCGCCGCTGAGCAGTGTGGGCATCCCAACATGCACACGCTCAAGCCTGGTGGCATGCAGCTGTGGTCAGTCCACTTGATCACGTGTGGTTACGACAATTGCATTTCTGTTGCTGGCCGGGAGGAGGCGCTTACCTCACACTTCTCCTCCCATCCACTTTTTAATACAACCTGCAAAAGGGCACTCTTTCTAACGTCCAATTTGCGTCCTGCTGCTATTATTTCTCGCAATCTCTGCTTCATTTGAGGATGAACATTAGCGCAAAAGTAGACAGCGACCTGCTGTTTATAAACTTTAACCAGGATTTCAGGTAGGCGCATCTCAATGCATATACGCAGTTGCTGAATTTCGCCTTCAATTTTCCTTGCTGGCTGCTAAACTCGCTTGTCTGCCTTGTAGCTGCTTGTCGGTGGGGACAAAGAACGGGTACAAGATATACAACTGCGAGCCGTTTGGGAAATGTTATGCGCGGTCCGAGGGCGGCATTGGGCTGGTGGAAATGCTGTTTTGCACGTCGCTGGTGGCACTGGTGGGCTCGGGTGACCAGCCTGCATTGTCGCCGCGGCGGCTGCAAATAATTAACACAAAGCGGCAGTCGATAATCTGTGAGCTGACGTTCCCAACCACTATTCTGGCGGTGAAGCTGAACCGCCGGCGCCTTATAGCGGTTCTGGAGGAGCAGATATACGTGTACGACATCAGCAACATGAAGCTCCTGCATACCATCGAGACGCCGCCGAACCCGAGCGCAATCTGTGCCATGTCGCCCAGCAGCGAGAACTGCTTTATCGCGTATCCGACGCCGGCGTCAGTCAGCGTGCCGCCCAGCAAGCCTGGCGGGGCGGTGGAGATTCCAGCGACCACCGATGTGATGGTGTTTGATGCCAACTCGTGCGAAGCCATCAACATCATCCAGGCCCACAAGAGCCCGATCTCGTACCTGGCCATGAACCGCGAGGGGACCATGCTGGCCACCGCGAGCGACAAGGGTACGGTTATCCGTGTGTTTTCGCTGCCGGGCGCCCAGAAGATTGCGCAGTTCCGGCGTGGTGCGTACCCGGCCAAGATCCACTCGATCACCTTCAATGCCACGTCGACGCTGCTGCTGGTCTCGTCAGACACCGACACCGTGCATATCTTCCGCGTCGCCGACGGCCGCAACCGCTCGTCAAAGAAACATGGCGGCTCGAATGGGTCGTCGCCCAGCAGCGCGCTGCATCCGACCGACTCGTACGCCAGCTCGATTGGGTCGGCCGAGACCGAAGTGTCTGGGTACGAGGGCAGTGGGCGGCAAGCGGACGGCGGGCGGGCGTCGCGGCGCTCCAATGGCCGGCAGGGCCAGGCGCCGTTCGAGGGCATGCTGCGCCGCGCGTCGTGGAAGGGCCTGGTGAGCAGCAAGATTGTGGGCAAGGCTGCGCAGCTCATGCCCGATATGCTGTCGGAGATGTGGGAGCCGTCGCGCGACTTTGCGTTCCTGAAGCTGCCAAAGTCCAACATCCAGAGTATTGCCGCCATGATGAGCTCGTGTCCGCAAATCATGGTGGCCACGTCCGACGGGTACTTTTACCAGTACAGCATTGACCTGGACAAAGGCGGCGAATGTGTGCTGCTGAAGCAGGACTGTCTGCTGGACAGCGCCGAGGAGCTGGGGGCCTATGCCAGCTAATACTTTCTTCCTTTTTGTACTCAATAGCGCTCTTTTTTAATTACTCTTCGAAATCCTCAATGAACTGCGCAAACTGCTCTGGCAGATCGCCATTCTCCCTGGCCTTCTTGAATGTCGTCACAGCCTTCTCGTACATTTCCTCCTGGGCGTCCTCCTCCTCCTGCACGTTGCCCAGGTTCAGCTGCACCTCGCCCAGCAGCAGCAATGCGTCGCCCTCTTGTCCCTCCAGCAGATCCTGTGCCTTGGTCAGCAGCTCGACAGCACGCTCGCGCTCCGGCACCTCGCCAGTCTCCTCGTCCTGCTGCTCCAGTAGCTCGCTTGCCCTGAGCCAGCTGGCACGCGCCAGCGCCAGCTTCACAGCCGCATCCAGCTCCAAGCCCTGCAAGGTGTCCTCGGCCCACCTGATCAGCTTGGTCGAGTCGTCGTCCGAAAGCCGGCGGCTGTCGGCCAGCGCCAAAACCAGATCGGCGGTAGCCACGGCCTCCTGCTGCTTGATCTGCTGGTCGACAAGCTCCAGGGCCCGATCAAACTCCCCCAGCGCCTCATCAACCCTGGATTCGCCCTCGGAGAGCTCCAAGGCGACCTTTGCCAGGCCCGAGTGGACGCGCCAGGCAAAGTCCCGCCCGCCCATGCGCTCCTTGGCCTGGGAAAGGCGCTGGTGCGCCAGTTCCAGGAACTGCGGTTTGTCGTCGGACTCGGCCAGCTCCGAGATGCTGAACAGGGCGGAGCCGTAGATCATGTAGAATTTGGGATCGAGATCGGGCGTGTCGGCCTGGGCCGTCTCGTGGTGCACCCGCAGCATGCGGTCGCATTCGTGGATGGTGCCGCGCAGAAGCACTACGGCGCGCTCCGGCTCCTCCAGTGCCTCCAGGGCGCCGTCAAAAATGCCCTCGAGCTCGTCCATTTCGTTGGTTTCCCCGTCGCCCTCGTTCTTGAGCATAATGGTGGCTGTCTTCTCGTCGTCAAAGTCATTGACCACCTGGGCGCCCTCCGCCGTCACCTCGGCCTTCTGCTTCTTGGCTGCGCGCGCCTTCAGGCCCATGGGCCGCTTCTTCTGGTTGACTTCAGGCATTTTAAATTAAAAATTTGGAAGGAAAATTTTGCGCAGGAACGAGAAAAAGGGGAGCTCAGAAAAATTTTTTATCCTTCTCCTGCTGCTTTCGTTGTCTGGTTGGGATGACGTGAGTAGATGCTATTTTTCGTTTGTCAGACCCAGGCTTCAAGCCGATTAGATCGCAAAAATGGGATACAGAAAACCGAAGCGATTAGAAGGCTGGGTCTCCCCCCAGCAGCCCGGAGGGCCGCCAGGAGGCTGGGTTGCTCTTAGGACAAACACTAGCGCGCTGAAGACATGGCGTAGGCCAACCTCGCGACTCTGTGCGCCTGTAAATAATAGACATAAGGAGTCCCAGATGCCCCGGCCCTTTCGGCCCTGAATGTCGACCAAACCCGCAACCAACCCAAAGTATGGTTTTCGATAAATTGGCGAATCCCGGAAAGGGCTCTGAAACAGCCAGCCTGGACGTCATGATGGCGTCAAAACAAAAAACGACGAAAAAAAAAAGCAAAATGGCTGTTCCATACTAATGCCGCATGCAGAGTGTGGGCATGTCGGGTGGTGGGCCTCGTCGTGGTGGCAAATGGGCAGCGTTCGTTTTACTTTGTTTGCTGCTGATTTTTCTTATCGACAATGTCGCTGGCAGACCTGTACAAGGATGGTTTGAGTGATAACGGAAGCGGGTCGGAGGGCGAAGAGGACGAGTATGTCCCAGGTAAGGCAACAAATCCGAAAAGCAGCTATTACGTGACGGCGGGGTATGGCCAAGAAAGAGTCTGCTGAGCCCGAATATGCCCCTCATCTGCTAGACAGCCTCGAGGAAAACGACGAGACGGACGGCGAGCAGGCCGAAGAGCCAGAGGATAGACCACCGTAAGCACAATGTGTGGACGCAAAATGGCCGGAATCCACAGGCCACTTGGGGGCGATGTGCATGACATGCAAGAATATGCATAATGCCCCGGATGCAGATGTAGGGAGCTCACAGAAGCGCAGGCGCAGGAGAAGAAGCGCAAGATCGACTCGATTTGGGAGGAGATGAACGCGCCGTCGGAGCGCCCCGCGAAGGCTGCCAGGCCGGAAGCCCCCCGGCCGGAATCAGCTGCGCCGCAGGCAGAGAACAGCAGGCCGCAGGATGACGGTAAGGAGGTCAGGCGGGCGGCACCAAGGCGGCGCGCATCAAGGTTCAGCAAGATCGCTGAGATGGTCGAGCAGCGGCGCGCCAAAAAGGAGAATACGCTGGACAAGGCCAGGCGCGAATGGTCGGGGTTCGTCGCAGAGCAGGGGATCCGCGAGGACCTGGACCAGGCCAACAAGGACGGGTAAGATGCTGCATGCAAAAAAAGAGAGCTCAGCTGCTTTTGCCTATGTGCTGATTACTCCATATGTCGTGGTAGGTTTGTCGAGCGCCAGGAGTTCTTGAGCCGGGTCAATGAGCGCACCTATGAGCGCTCACGGCAAAAGTAAAACAACCGCCTATCCCTTTTTCTCCATACTGGTGGGAAGTTGACGGACCGTGCGTCTATTTATCCCCAAGGGGGTGTTTATTACCGGTGGACGGAACCTACGGAATGAAAGGCGAATTGCGGCGAAATCGCTATAGTGGGCGCAGTTTTTTTTTTAATCTGCTCTTCGTGCGCCCTGGGCAATAAACTACAGTCGGTGTCAAATTGGCGAATGGAGTGCGATGCTGTATTAGGCCGTGCCCAATAAACCGCCGCGCAGGCGCAAGGGGATGGGTGTGCATTTCGGGCAGTGCACTTTTACGTCACGGTGGGATTGCAGGCAAAGGGGGGACCGACTGGCGCCGCGCTGATGCAGCGATCGGGTATAAAAAGGGCAGATGTGGTGGGAGCTCGCTGCCAAAGTAGCAAGCATCTTTTTTCCATTCGTCCTTTTTCTTTTCCTGGTCGCAAAGCAAGCGTCCAGCTCTGTAATTTTTCTCTTCACAGCACAAGCGTATCTAGAAGCCATGGTTCAAGGTAAGGGCGGGGGCTTTACATCGCGAGGCTTACGCTTCCCTGTACGACCGAGGGAGATGCGGGAAAGACAGTTAGTCACACTGTAGTGACTCTCATGCGGGCACGAGGGGGGCGCACGTCTTGTCCTGCCCCGCCCCGCAGCTTTTTCTCCTCCACTTCATATCCTCTGGCGGGAGCCTTCCATTACTATCTCTGAAACATTAGTCACTAGCGATTCTGTTTTAAAAAGCTATGCTCTCGCTGCTCGGCCGTTCGCGCGGCACCCCTCTCAACAAGACACTAACACGCATGCTTTCCACAACCATAGCCACTCAGCAGAAGGCCGACACCGGCAGCACGAACCCGTCGTCGGTGGACAAGCCGCGGCACACAGGCAAGGTGCTGACGACGACGTCGATGAACCCGCGGATCCGCGAGATGGAGTACGCGGTGCGCGGGGCGATTCCGATCCGCGCGGAGGAGCTGCGGGTGCAGCTGCAGAAGGCGCCGGAGTCGCTGCCGTTCAGCAAGATCACGGCGTGCAACATCGGCAACCCGCAGCAGCTGGAGCAGAAGCCGCTGACGTTCCTGCGGCAGGTGATTGCGCTGATGGAGTACACGGATCTGCTGAAGCCGGAGATGATTGAGATGACGCGCAAGCTGTTCCCGGAGGATGCGATTGCGAGGGCGAAGAGGAACCTTGGGTTCGTGGGGAATGCGGCCGGAGCGTATACGCACTCGCTGGGCATCCAGGAGATCCGCGAGGACGTGGCCAAGTTCATTGAGGAGCGTGACGGGTTCCCCTCGCACCCCGACAATATCTGCCTGACGTCTGGGTAAGTGGCACTTTGAGCTAAGCCCGAATTTGGGCGGCGGGAAATTTTTCCATTTGTGGCATATCTTTGGTTGGACTTGCAGATCACTAGCGCACGTTCCCACGTCTGGCCTTTTTCTGCTACTGACCCGGGTTTCTCTTTCTTTTCTTGGATGCTGTCTTTTGTAGAGCGTCGGGGGCAGTCGAGCGTGTGCTGGACGTGCTGATTGCGCACAGCAACGTGGGAATCATGATCCCGATCCCCCAGTACCCGCTGTACACCGCGACCCTGACACACATGGATGCCAAGGCAGTGCCGTACTACCTGCAGGAGGAGAAGGACTGGGGGCTCAGCATCTCGGGTCTGAAGGAGGCGCTGGACGCGGCCCGTGCTTCCGGCACCGACGTGCGCGCGCTGGTGGTGATCAACCCGGGCAACCCGACGGGCGGGTCGCTGTCGGCCGAGAACATCGCCGAGATTGTGCGGTTCTGCGAGCGCGAGCACCTGGTGATCCTGGCGGACGAGGTGTACCAGACCAACATCTACACCGAGACGAACCCGTTCGTGTCGTTCAAGAAGGTGGTGTCGCAGGAGCACTCGAACGTGGAGCTGTTCTCGTTCCACTCGATCTCGAAGGGCATGATTGGCGAGTGCGGGCGGCGTGGCGGATACTACGAGGCGGTGAACATTGACGAGGCGGTGATGGCGCAGCTGCTGAAGCTGGCGTCGGTCAGCCTGTGCCCGAACGTGCAGGGCCAGATGGCGGTGGACGTGATGGTGAATCCGCCGCGGCCCGGCGACGCCTCGTACCAGCAGTACGCGCAGGAGCTGGATGCCATCTTCCAGAGCATGAAGCGCCGCGCCAAGAAGCTGGCGGCGGCCTTCAACTCGCTGCCCAGCATGACCTGCAATGATGCGCAGGGCGCCATGTACCTGTTCCCGCGCGTCGAGTTCCCGCAGGCGTTCGTCGACGAGGCCAAGGCCCTGGGGCAGGTGCCTGACGGCCTGTACTGCATGCAGATGCTGGAGGCGACGGGCATCTCGGTGGTGCCGGGGTCGGGCTTCGGCCAGGTGCCGGGCACGTTCCACTTCCGCTCGACGTTCCTGCCGCAGGAGCACCTGTTTGACGAGTTCATCGATGGATTCAAAAAGTTCCATCCTGTCGTTCCTGGCCAGGTACGCGGCGAACCTCTAAGGCGGGGGACTAGACACTCTTCTATCTTCATCATCAACAAGGACCATATACTTTTCTTTCAAATGGTGCAGTGTTTCTCGAGCAGCTCCCTTGCCAGGTGCATCGATCCCAGATGCTACATATATGGACGCCAGGTTATATGCAGCCTCGCGCCGCAGGTCGCTAAAGTCGTCATCGGTAGCAGCAGAGTCCAGGGCAACCGGCAGCTCAAAGACGCGCTCGTAGAAATCAATGGCCAGATGCTCGGCGCCGACGGAATGGAAGGCGCGGGCATAGTTGTAGGCAATCTCCTGAATCGCAACCATATCATCAGGCACCGGCCGCTGCGCATTCCTGGCCGCCTGCTTGCAGCGCAGCTCGGCGTAGCGCTGGAGATACGTGAAGCCCTGCATCAGCACGCGGTGGCGGTTGGGCATATCGGAGCGGATGGCAAAGGCAAGATATGCAATCCCCAGCTGCAGCGCCGCGACTGGCATCCTCGGGCACCAGCGCCTGCACCAGCGTGTACTGCATCACCGCCTGGGTGGCAGTCCGCGACGCCGCCATGATGTTGGCGGACATTGCGTGCAGCGCGGCCACGTCGCGCCACGTCAGCGGCAGGCCTTTCGCGCGTCTCGCCCACAACCGCGTCGGAATCAGGCAGATCGGCGTACTTTGGAAGGTGCGCCAGCGCGTGCGGCAGCGTGTCGGATGAGCCGTAGACGCCGTCGGCCAGGAGCGAGAGCTGGCGACGCATGAATTTGTACATGGGCGGCGACGACATCAGCTGGCTGAGGCTGCTGGACCGGCACATGGCATACGACGCCAGGCGGTACACCGCCGCCTTGGCCGGCCGGCTGCCCCAGATGTACCGCACGGCCTTCGTAGGCTGTCTCGTGGTCGGCTATGCGCAGGGCGATGGACCAGGGATGCGGTCTTGAGAGTCCGGCGCCGCACGTGGTCGCGGACAAAGCAGTTGCACTGCACCACGTCGTCCAGCAGCTTGAGCGCCCGCGCCGACTCGCCGTCCACCGCCAGGCAGCGGGCGTACTGCAGGAATATGTCGTGCCACTCGCCAAAGCTGCTGCATCAGATACGATGTCGGCACCAGGTCGTCGTCCTCGCTGGTCTTCTTGGCCAGACGCTTCTTGATGCGAGCCATGCGCCGCTGCGCCATCGATGCCTTGTCGCCCACCGCCTGCCCGTTCTCTAGCTGCGTTGATGGCCTGCGTGCGGTAGCCGCGGAACGGGACGTGGACCGGTCCGCCATGTAGAAGAACGGCACGCGCTTCCAGTCCATGTACAGAAGGTATGCCGTCTGCCGGTACTCGGCGCGCGCTGCAGCATCACCGAGCCGCGGCTCCAGCTCCGCGAGCTTGGCGAACCACAGCCCGGCCTTGCGTGCCAGCGCCAGGTGCCGCTCGGTGCTGCTGTCAGGGCTGCGCCTGTGCCGGGCGTGCGCGTCGCCCACGACGCACCAGTCCCTGGGCTGCGTCGCTGCTCGGCCTGCTGCTGCTGCTGCGCCTGGTCGCGCGCGTCCTCGGCCTGGATCTCCTCGACCTCGCGCAGCAGCGCAAACGCCTTGTCCACATGGCCCAGCTCCTCATGCACCTCAGCCAGCAGCATCCGCGCATCGACTAGTCGCGCGGCCGCGCCTCCGCAACCAGCTCAAGGACACGCACGCGCCTGCTCCCAGCGCCCCAGCTCGCGGTACGCACGCGCCAGCGGCTCCCACAGCTCGACCGTGTCGGCTGCAGGCAGCAGACGCAAGGCGCTCCAGCAGATCCGGCCGCCTCCTGCGCGTGGCCGACGTCGACCATGCTGCGGCCGATGTCCAGGAACACATCCGCATACACGCCCATGTCCTGCTGGTCGACGACTTGCAGATGCACGTGCGCCTGCTCCGTCTGCCCCAGCAGAAGCCGGCACTGCCCCAGCTTGGCGCGCAGCTCCACCGGCAGCTCGTGGCCGCCGCCGGGCTGGTAGAACTCGGCGTCCAGGTCGTCGCTGTCCCACGTAGTCTCGTTACCGCGGCCCTGGATGAACCGCGCGCCAAGCTTGATTCGCAGCGATTCGCGTCCTGATACGCGTGCCGCATAATGTACAGCTCGGCTATCATGTTGATGTCCGAGTAGTCGTAGCCCTCCACTAGCCTCCATCGACACTGTCAACTGCCTGTTGTTGCGGTAGTACTCGCTCAGTTCGCCCCCCTGCCCCGTCGTCCAGCTCGCTGCTGGCGTACATTTTTGTGTAGCTGCGCACCAGCTCGTTGTAGTGCGAAACGGCTGCCGTGAACCACCCCAGAGCCGCTGCTGCATCCCCTCGGCTCTGCACTGCATGCCGTGCCGCGCTACGCACCAGCATCAGGTCGTGCGGCTCCAGCCGCAGCAGCTCGCGGTACGTGCGGGATATTTTTGTGTCACCTGTGCGCTCCTGCAATGCCAGCTTTCGCTTGAGCAGCTCCGGGTCGCGGCGGCCATTGCGGATTGCGTTGCTGATGCAGTAGAGCGCCGCCTTGCCAGTCCTCGTCGCTGGCCTGCCCCAGGGCCTGCTTGCGCTCGGCCGCCTCGCAGTGCATGGCGCTGAGACGCTCCCACAGCTCGTGGTTCGACGGCTGCAGGTGAGCCGCCAGTGTGTATAAATGCACTGCGTCGTCGGGCCTCCCTTGCTCGTCACGGATCAGCGCCATGGTGTACCATGCCTCCTGCGCATTGGCGTCCACACGAATTGCCTCGCACAGAACCTCATATGCTGCGTCCAGTTGCCTATCGACAAACAACGTGTTGGCCATACCCAGTAGTCGCTGTGCCTCGGGCTTTGCCCGGTGCCGGTTCGATGGCCGCCCGCGCTTCTGCCGCCCGATACCCGACATCCCACGCAATGCGTCTTTGAACCCATCCATGTCGCCTAGGAGATCGTCGTCTTCTTCTTCGTAGTTGCTGTCCTCGTCGTCTGTCAGGAACCCGCCCTCTAGGGCGTATGTGCCGGGCTTGTGGTGCTGCCCGTCGTGGTGCCGGGCGCACTTGCTCGTCATCGCCATCCTCTCCATCGTCACCATCGTCCGTCGCTGTTGGGCGCCTCTGTGTCCCAGTTGACAGTAAGCTTGTTGGCGAGTTCGGTTGATCCTGTGGCCATGCTGGCCATAGCGATAGCCGACTGCAGCACTGAGGCGTCAATCTGGTTCTCGTCCTCGTCCCCGCTGCTGTCGCTGCTGTCTGCCCGGTTCTGCTCGTCGAGCATCTCCAGCTCTTCCGAGTCCAGGTCCTCTTCGTCCAGAATATCTGAGTAGTATTCGCTGTCGTCCATGAATTGAAATAATGCAAAGTGGAAGCGCGCTTTTTTCTCTTTTGCGCATGTATTCAGTTTGGTATTTACTGCCTGCCTGCCCTCTTTATAGCTTGTGGGCGGCGAGGCGCGTTCACTATTGCCTACCACCAAATGCCTAGCGCCCACTCTGCAGCTTTCTCTTTCCTTCATTTCGCGTTCTTTTAAGCTCTCAATTCAATGGACACCCTCAACGTGCAAGACACTCCACTGGTCACCCTGCTGGACAGTCTGCTCACCGAATACAACGCCACTCTGCGCTCGCTACTCGGCCAGTTCGACACCGAAGCAAACAAAAACACTGACCCGCACGCCTCGCAGCGTCGCACGCAAACCACCCAGCGCCTGGCCGCCCTGGACCGCGACCTGCAGAAAATCTACACCGAGATCTCCGCCCATCCAGGCGCGCCAGGAGGAGATCCGCCAGACCCAGCTCAAGTCCATTGCCAGCCGCTCGGCCAAACTGCACTTTATCGAAAGCATCCTGGACTCTAAGCGCCAGCTCGAGACCACCGCCTTTGAGGCCCGCAAGACCCTCGATAGGGCCAAGCTCGCCGCTGACACAATGCCCGAGGTCACGGAGCTGATTGCGTATGCGAAGAGGATCAGTCCGTATACAAAGGCCCCGCCCAACTACGACCCAAAGAACTCGGTGGTGCCTGCAGAGCCGCCATATCCAGTCGAGGTCTCCATGCGCATGGGTGTGCTGAACCAGTACCGCGCGCGTCGTGCCATGAAAGCCGAGCGCGAGAACCTTGTCGAAGAAGACATGCACGAGTTTGCTGACGCTCCAGACGAGTTCCAGTTCGGCGACCTCGAGGCCAGCGACCTGCTGCTCGGCCTGGACCTCAACCCGGATCTCGAATAAAAGAAAATGTGCTACTTTATTACTCCTTTTTCAACACGGCAACCTTATCTGCCGCTGCTCGATCAGCTGCGCCAGGTGGCAGAACTGCGCTGTCGTGACGTCCTGCGGCCGCACCCTCGGATCGATCCCGCACTCCTCCAACAATGGCAGCTGACTGGCATCCCAGTCCTTGAAGATCCGCGCCAGCATCTTACGCCGCTTCATGAACGCAAACCGCACCACGCGCTCGAGCGATCCCAGCGACGACTGCAACAGCGGCTGCTCTAATGGCCGCAACTGCACCACCGTTGCGTCTACCTTGGGGCGCGGTACGAATCCCGATGCAGGCACCCGGTATATCTCGTAGGCATCGCACAGGGCCTGCGCTACTACCGACAGCCGCCCGCGCATGGGCTCGCCAGCCGCCGCTGCAATGCGCTGCCCCACCTCTTTCTGGAACATTAGCGACATCGACACCGAGCCTGCATTGAAAATCCCCTGCCGACCCTCCACCATCTTCAGCCACTGCAGCAGCATTGGTGTTGCCACGCCAAACGGCAGATTGCCCTAGCAAATGCACATGTGAGAACTCTCCATCGGCGCGCTTGAGAATCTCGCTGTGGTTGATTTCCAGCATGTCGCCTAAAATCACGCTGAACCTCCCCATTGACGCTTCCTGCAGCTGCTGCAGAGTCGGCAAGAACCGTGCATCCTTCTCCACCGCCACCACACGCTGTGCACCGCTGTCCAGAATCGAGCGCGTCAGGAGGCCGGGCCCGGGTCCCTACTTCGACGCAGAGCGCATTGTCCAGCTCAAGTCCCGGCCAGACTGACGATTTTGTCGGTGATGTTCTTGTCCATTATAAAGTTTTGCGAGAGCTGCTGTTTTGCGCGCAGGTCGTAGAGCCGGATCAGATCGCGGATCGAGGGCAGCTTGGGGAGTTTTGTCGCCATGTTCGTCAGGAATTTTATGAGTATCGAAATGTGGTTTTTTTTTCAGCCCTAAAGTCTAGGCGATTTCTGGGAGTGCAGCGCTTACTGGCTGTCATTGTCGATTTTGGGGAGGCCAGCAGGGCTGAGAAATCGAGCCTGCCCTGAAATATATACTTGGCAAAATGCATGTCTTTGAAGCTCAGGAGCTCCACGGCCACGCTAGTGGAATGCCTCCTAAGCGGTAAATCAGGAACAAATCTCAGTCGTTGCCTGCAGCCACCTTCAGGCTGCTGCAGATGACCGGAAAGCAACAACACGTCCTCCCTTACTAATTGCCATACACGGATGCTCCAGTGCATATAGCGCCTATAAACGCGGCTGGCCTGAGTTTGAAGGTGCTAGTCGCCTCTCTCATTAGCAATGACATTAGCAGTCTGTTAGCTGTGTGCCTTGCCTTTTCTGATTTCTTTAAAAAGATATTGACTGCACGCGATTATTGCGATATTTTCCATGGGCATATCTTCAGTGCAAGGGGAGAAATGCCTTGGTCACGCACATGCAAAATGTCTCTGCGTGGGGTTTTATAGAATTTAAAAATGGACTACACACCGGTGCCCCCTTGATTTCGAGCCCATTGTTCACTGAGTCCTTTCATCACACCTTGAAACAAGTCATCCCGGTGTTCAGAGCGCGGAGGGGGGGTGAACGCCGACTCCAAAAAGCAGATTCGTACACCAAAGAAACCTAAATCATGAATACCACTATCATACGGGGCCAATGGCAGCTTCACTGATATGGCAGCTGCTCAATCAGCCCAGCCATTTGACGACAAACGCCGAAGCTTGTAGATAAGCGTGTAGGAATAGCAGGTTGAGAAAATAGGCTGTTTATTCATGTCTGGACCCTTGCTATATCTTGAAATAGACCCGGCTATCAGCCAGTGCTCACTCCGCTATATCAAAAGATAGTAGCGAGCTACGGCGCTAGGTCTCCCGGATGGCCACATTTGGCGATGAGAAAGAGGGCCAACTATGTCAGAACTTGTACTATCAGCTGGGCTGCTCACTTTCATAAGCGGCACAGAACGTGTCTTCGCAGACAGGCCCTGGCATCGTGCTGCGGGGGGGGCGGTAAAAAGCGAAAATAGAACCATCAACCAGGGGGTACCCGGGTCTTTTCCGGGGGGGGGGTACCAACCATCCCCGCGACGTACAAAAACCAGTATGGCTTGGGAATTGCCTGTTTACTTGGCTCCAGTTTCTTGTACTCCTGGATGGCAGTGCTGCCACACGTCTTAATACCCATGTATTGGTATGTAAAGCGTAGCAGCGGTTGGCGCTCTCGCAGGAAAAACGCGGTGAGTCCCGGTCATAGCATGATGCAAATCACTTTCTATATGTGCCAATCAGTTAGAAATGGTGGATTGGCATGGGGAATGTCAGGGTTACAAGGGCTGCTGCAAAACGAGAATACCGTGTTCGGCGATATATGGAGAGGAAAGTCCACGTCAAGGATGCAAGAAAAGGGTGACCGCAACTATCTTTTAGGCCAAATGCGAAAAAGACCAGGCCATGGCCTCGCAGCTTGCTGGCAACAGCAGCGGCAGTTGCTCTACGGAATTAGCTGCAAGCATCGCTTTCCTGCATTGGTGGGATGACCGGAGAGAATGCTCCCTTTTGGTTTCCTTTTTGGAATCCCTTGGACAAAATCCACTATCTGAGGACGTTATGTAGGCTTTGCTCCTCGGGCTGCCCTAGTGCTGCCCTAGTGCTGTGAAGGGGAAGGCGACTGACGGCAGGGGGTGTAACCAACATTTTCATTTTTCTCTTTTTCAAAAAATAAAAAACAAAAATCTTTGAATAAACGTGCCAGATTCCCGATGGGCTGGCGGCATCGCCGTTCAGCGACCGCCAATTGCCGCTTGGCCAAGTCGCGCTCTCACATACAAAAGGCGACGCTGAGTATATACCCTCGCCCGCCGTACTTGAATCAAACACCATTTCTTTTTATTTCTTCGGACTCCTCTTTCATTTATAGTGTTCGCCAATTGCTCGTGCCAGCATCTTTCCATGCCGCCAGTGCTGGTTTAGCTAAACAAGTTGCACCCTTGCTCGGCTCAAATACTATTCCTCTTCCTGCTACCACTCCCTGTACCAACCTGGGTAGCTGTATCCTTTTAACTTATTGCAATCCCCGTACCTTGTGGTTTTCAACTGCTAGCGGCTCTTCAGAACGCTTTCATACTTCTATTCCCCTGCTCTACATCCAAGGCTGTCTCTCCTTTTCCTCCTCTGGTTCTGAAAGCACCTCCTGCAACGCTATCGCGAGTTTGAGTGCTGGTTTTGTTTTGGATAGATACTCACCAACCACCAACTGGAAGGCTTAACTAAGTATTCAGGTAAGCATGCGGCCACGAGCTCCCGGATACAAAATAAGTCCAAGATGTTTAACTACTGCTGGATCTTGCACCACCATACACCACGCTTTGCAATCGGGCCCTCGGTCTGCATTTCACGTATCAATTATAAAATCCACATCCTATATGGGTATCATCCCAAAGCATCGCAGTGGGATCCTGGGGATACATAATCCAAGGTACTTAAGGATATGTGTCGACCCATGCCAAGCTCTGATGGCTACACAAAACCATATGGATCTTCTGTCCCCTCACATCCAGCTCTGTCAGGGGCACATACATCTTGGACCTGTGGGTATCGGCCCCACGGTCATTAGCCCTGCAACTCAGATGGACAGCAAAGCGGGTATTCCCCTTCCCCTTGAACTAGTCGATACCAGCTGCTCACCGACCATGTGTAGGAGATGCCCACACCCTTTCAGTTACTCCTTAACTGAACTGCATCTGCTCCTATCCTTCCACATCCGGATTTCTTGCAGTTTCTGTTCAATCACGCTAATGCCCTGCGTAGAAAAGCCCGCCAAAATTTTAACTACTGAATCTGCTGCAAAAGGCCACAGTCTAACTGGAATATCCAAGCTGGACAATGTAGACACTATCATGGATTCGATGCCCTCCTCTGGCCCTGGGGCACTGCAGCAGGCCGAGTTTCTTGCCAACTTGTATCACCACGCGTCGCCCCTTGACACTCTGCTGTGTGTCACGCAGTCTGTGCCGGCGCCTCAGCATCTGCCCACAATCCCTGCCTCGCCCAGATACATCAGGCGTTGCCACACACGGCATACCGTGTGTGGTTCCCTCGAATTTTCCGAAAAATTGGACCACGCTTGGCTGGCTACAGGCCACTTCTGGTCAGCATGCACCCCCGCCTGTCTCACAGGTCTGTATCCGGCCAACAACACCAGCACCAGCCCCAATACCTGCTGTGCATTTCCAAGTACCGTGTCGGCTGCGGATCCCAATGTCGCGAATTTGCCTGCCCTGAGTTGGTCGTCGTCTAGCACTGCTTCAACATCAGGAAGAGCCAGCGTCGAGTCAGTGACAAACGTCAATATATTTAATGCCGTCGCCCAGGTCACCGAAGTCGCTATCCATCAGATGCGAAGTGTGCTTGAAGCACTTCACTAGGCCATCATCACTAAAAGCCCACATGCTCACCCATACGGGCGAGAAACCCCATATGTGCTTGTATCTCAGGATGTAACAAACGCTACACAACGAAGTACAACCTGCGTCGCCATATGCGGACGCATGAGGATGAGCACATGGGAGCATGCGCTCCTCGCAAGTCGCGAAAGATCTCGAAGGCGCCGTCTGCCTTCACAGACATCATCAAATATGGACGCTACGTATCTGTATCTAGCGCAGTCAGGCAACCCAATGGTTGGTGCATTGCTGGATGTGCCTCAGCAAGAACCCAGCGCTATGGATCGCTTCCATAACGTGGCACTGGCACAATCTACGCCAGGAATTTGTGTTTTTCGGAGCACCAAGGCTCGTCAGCCCTGCGGACCTCGAACTGTAAGTAGTTTTTTGTTTCTCAATTGTTATTCTGTTTCCTACAATGCAGATAATACTATTAAATAGCCGAATCCTCCACATAATACCAATCAAGATGAGTTAAACACTGCCCACTGAATCTTGTCGTTAGCGAGCTCAACTAGAGCCTGCCTATGGCTGCCTGTTATTGCCTGCTCAATCATACAGCAGTACGGAGGGCCGTTCTGGTCACCACTGAGCACACTATCAGATTGAAGTCCTGCCATATACTGATCCAGCCAAGACCCGACCTCATATGCCATACTTCTACTGTTCATCTTCGCTCAATTACAGATACTATCGAATACCGTATAAGGAAGAGCCCATGTAATTGTTCGATGAACAATAAAGCTCCGGGTGGGGAGGGAGGAAGAAAGGAGACCGCCATTCTGGTCTCCTCCATGACAAGGCAAAACCCAAACATTTATGTCAATGTGTGTGGCCAATGCCGCTTGGAGTCTCCAGCAGTCTACCTCGCACCGCAATTTCTTAGATACAATATCGTCGGATGATTATACTTATGAAATAAGAACAGCGGGGTTGAAACGATAATAACAAAGAGGCTATTCCAACGAAAAACGCTCCCTAACCTCGGTATACTCGTAGGCATCGTCGACTGCGGCCTGCTCGGCGTCCCTGCCGTCAAACATGGCTCTGTTTGCCTTAAGCTGTGCCTTGCGCGCATCATAGTCAGCAATAGGCCTCCTTGAGCCCGATGCCGATGTTGCGGTAGCACTGCACTGACACGTAAGTGGTGATCAGGATCAGAACCATGGTCACCACGATGAAGAACGTCAGGTATTTGCGTGTGTCACGGTACGGATCCTTGTCCGAGTCGATATTGACGTTCATGCGAATCAGCTTGTAGATAAAGTATGCTGGCGACAGGCCCAAACAGATGGTGACACCCAGCATCATCCGCTTGTGTTCGATCTTGAGTGCCCAGAACGACATGACCAGGAACAGCACGCTGCCAGGGATAACCAGGCCAATTTGCACCCAGGTCTCGGGGTCGCGGATGTTGAGCACCAGAGTCGCCAGCTGGACCGAATACGAGATGAAAAAGAATATGTCCAGCTTCAGCAGCGTTAGCAGGATCTGGTGCCACTTGTATGCTCTTCTAAGCCGCAGATTGGCGCCTAGCTTCTTGTATGTCTTCCAACCAAACAGCTGGTACAGCTCCCAGTTGAGCATTGCAAAGGTCAGCGAGCAGAGCGAGTACACAACCATGATGGTAATTTGCAGAATGCGCATGTCGTTGTCGTTCTTAAAGATGCGCGCCGTGACGCTGGGCCGAATATAAAACGTCGTGTACTGGATCAGCGAGTATATCAGGCACATCAGATTGAATATGGTGGCAGCAATAATCTGGATAGTGTTCTTGTGTGCCACGGCCTCCCAGCACAGAATGAGCAGGAATATCTGCGCGACGATGAATATCACGTCGTACACGATAAACGAGTCCTTTGTAATCGATACGGAAGTGGTCGGGTCCTGCACGCCAAACCCCCACTGGCTCTCGTTGCTCTTTTGGTATATGTCGACTGTGCGCTTAATCACGTATCCCTCGATGCAGATGATGGCAAAGCACCTCCAGCAGAGCCACGATGACAAACAGCCGCGCCCACACTGACTTTGGGATGCCGAGGCGCTTCAGCGTTATTCTCCCCTTCAGCATCGGTGATATATGTACAAGGTCGGCAAAAGGAGTATGCAAAAAGTTTGGAATTGAAAGGAAAAGAGAGAGAAAAGGTCGCTGAGAAGAGAGGGTTGGTGGAAAGAATAGGCAAAACACCAGTCCCCAAGAGCGTTGTCTATTAAAAACATCCATTTCTAATTATACTCGGGCGTTCGGCATTGTGTCGGGGATTGCCAGCCAGGATGCCCATCTGCCTGAGGTCCGCCACGTGATCGATGCTGTGTGCGCTGGCGAGAAGTGGGATCGAGGAGTGCCGTGAGTGGGGGTTGGCTCTGGGCTCAAGCGGTTCGCTTTTGCCTGTGCGGGATTCGGCGGTGGGCAGGGTGGACTTGGGCCTCTGTTGTCTGTTTCGCTTTCTTGAATTCGCTGTTTATCGTCTATTGTTTACGCCCTATTCCTAATACTCTTTTAGTCTCGTTAGTGCGCTACGTTCTTTTTATATTCTGTCATCTGGTGTTTGATTGTGGCAAGAATGAGCGAGCACGGAAACAACAACAACCCAGAGACGCTGCTCAACAGCAGCAGCACCACCGCCAGCGGCCGGCCGTTTCACGCCGAATCTGGGCGCGGCGGGGAATCTTGTGGCCGAGGAGAACCGGCCCACGTCGTCGCCGGCGATATCGGTGCGCTCAGTACACTCGGTGCAGTCGCTGCAGTCGGACGTGCCCACCATCAACTCGGGTCTGGCCAATATGGATGTCAGCAGCAACAGCAACACAAACCTGGTGTCTCCCGAGGCGCTGGCAGACAATGATGACGACAAATTCGTGCGGTCGGCAGCAGAGTACTCGCGGACCACAGTGGAGCGGGCTGCCATGGCCAAGCTCAAGCTGGAGAACTTTTACAAGGATCTGATGAAGCAGTGCATTGATCGCAATGACCGGCGCAAGGACCTCGAGGAGCGGCTGATAAGCGACAGCGGATCATCAGAGGAGCGCAAGCAGCGCCAGCTGCAAGGCCTGGGTGCCAAGGAAGGCAGCTTTATGCGGCTCCGACGCACCAGGCTTGGGGTTGCAGACTTCCAGACGGTAAAGGTCATTGGCCGCGGCGCGTTTGGCGAGGTGCGTCTGGTGCAGAAGCGAGACACGGGCAAAATCTTCGCCATGAAGGTGCTGCGCAAGAACGACATGATTAAGAAGGACCAGCTGGCGCACGTCCGCGCTGAGCGCGATGTGCTGGCCGAGTCCGACTCCAATGTGGGTGGTGCAGCTGTACTTTTCGTTCCAGGACTCGCGCAACCTCTACCTGATCATGGAGTTTCCTGCCCGGCGGCGACCTCATGACTATGCTAATCAAATATGACATCTTCCCCGAGGACGTGACCCGCTTTTATATGGCTGAATGCGTGCTGGCCCTGGAGGACGTGCACCGCCTGGGCTTTATCCACCGCGACATCAAGCCCGACAACATCCTGATTGACGAGGACGGCCATATCAAGCTGTCGGACTTTGGCCTGTCGACCGGGTTCCACCGCCAGCACGACTCGTCGTACTACCAGCGGCTGCTGGACAACATTCACAAGGAACACCCCGAGGACAAACCCACCGACGCTGCACCCAGCAGCAACTCGACGAGCCAGCAGTCGGCAGGAGAGACCATGCGGCGCGAAATCACACTGACGCTGTCGAGCAAGGAGAAGCTAGGCTACATGGAAGAAGAACCGGCGCCAGCTTGCGTACTCGACAGGTGGGCACACCCGACTACATTGCACCCGAGATCTTCATGCAGCAGGGCTATGGCAAGGCGTGCGACTGGTGGTCGCTGGGCGCAATCATGTTCGAGTGCCTGGTCGGATATCCGCCGTTCTGCAGCGAGTCGTCGCACGACACATACCGCAAGATCATGCACTGGCGCGAGTCGTTGGTGTTCCCCGACGACGTACGCCTGAGCCCCGAGTCGGTACATCTGGTGCGCTCGCTGCTGTGCGACCAGCAGCACCGCCTGGGCCGCAACGGTGCGTGGGAGCTGAAGCAGCACCCGTTCTTTGCTGGTGTCGACTGGGCATCGCTGCGCACGCGCACCCGCCCGCCATGGATCCCGCCCCTGTCGTCCATCACCGACACGTCGCACTTCCCCACCGACGAGATCGACCAGAACACGTCCCCGTTCGACAACATGGTGGCTGCCGAGTCCGAGCCCCAGAAGGACCTGGCCTTCGTTGGATACACATACAAGCGCTTTGACATGCTGACGCGCAAGAACGCCGTCTAAGCCATTGCTCTCCCTATACCCCCTTACACACAGCCTACTTTTACTTTTCTCTCTCCCCTTGTAAGGTCATTCAAAACATGCTCTTTACATCCATAACCCGTCGACAAGCGCGACCGCGGCCAATTTCTGCTGCCGATGCTGTTGCCGACGGAACGCAGCTGCTGTGATTTTATTATTTGTTTTTACCAAACCAAACCATGCCGCTTACGAATCGTTCGTCGCATCCCAGCACTTGCCCGCCCCGGTACCACTGTCCAGCGGCAGCGGCGCCTGTCCACATCTGCTTGGCACCTAAGCAACCGGCTCACGCACGTCGACGAGTCGGGCGAGGCCCACATGGTCGATGTCAGCGCAAAGACCCCGACCTTGCGCACAGCTGTGGCACGCGGCCGCGTTCTCATGAACAAAGAGACATTCGACCTCATCAAACAGGACGGGATCAAAAAGGGCAATGTGCTGACAGTGGCCCAGATTGCCGGCATCCAGGGCGCCAAAAAGCTGTTCGCAAATGATCCCGCTCTGCCATCCCATCAACCTGACCAAGGTTGCTGTAGAGTTTGCCTTGGTTGATGGCCTGGAGGAGCCGCATAGCTGTGCTGTCGAGATTTCGTCGCTGGTAAAGTGCAAGGGCGAGACAGGCGTCGAGATGGAGGCGCTGTCGGCGGTGTCGGTGGCAGCGTTGACTATTTTCGACATGTGCAAGGCGGTGACCAAGGACATGCGGATTGATGGCGTGCGGGTGGTGGAAAAATCGGGCGGCAAGAGCGGCCACTGGAAGAATGATGCTTAGAAATCGAGCAGCAGCTGAGCCAGGATCTTTTCAAGGTGGGACTCGTCGATTGGGCCCGTGGATCCCGACTCGCGGTGCTTTGCCTTGGCGCGCTCCAGTGCCTCCTTGATAAACAACGTCATGAATTCCGACGACAGGGCCAGTGCATCGGGCTTTATCCCCGTGTTGTCGTGGGCCCACGCCTTCTTGAACACGGCCTCCAATGCCTCCGGCTTGACCTTGTATCCGCTGTCGTCCATTGCTTGTCAGAATCAGAATATATCGGTAAATTACACATGGGGTAGTTGAGAAGCGTGCTATGGCGGAATGTCAATAGCCTATGAACTAGGTGCAGTGGTATGGGGCCTTGCTCACTTTAGCAGGTTCTTGAACCTCGTCTCTAGCTGCAGCGAGTATGCATCCAGCTCCTGCGCCATCTGCTCCAGGCTATCGACGGATGCAACCAAATCGTCGATCTCAGCCAGCTGCATCTCCATCTCCTTGTACGTCTGCTTGATCCTTGTACCCATGCACTAGCATGTCCTGAGTCTGCCGCGATACTCCCTCGTACTTGCTGATGGCAGCGTCGTTCAGCCTTCTCCAGCAGACTCAGGTCGTTCCCAGGACGCCTCCAGCTCGGATTGCAGGTACAGCGCACTGCTGTGGAACGCTTTCTTTGACGCATTCTGTATTGGGTCGGCGCTCGCCGGGGCGCTGCTAGTGCTGGTGCTGCTGGTGCTGCTGTCTGGCGCCTTGCTCGGTGTGGATGACATTTGTTTCAAAGAGCGGGAATTGGTTCAGAAAGCAAAACTGGCTGGACGCACGGCAAATGCCACTGGTTTCGGCGCTGTAGCAGCAAGCTCGACCTGTATGGGAACGTGCTCTCCTTGATTCAATCGGAGCGATGATCAGCCTCTGAAAAATACCGCTTTTTTCCAGGGTGTTTGCTGGCGTGACTCTTCATTGCACATGTCTTCTTTCCATTTGGTGTATTTTTCTTCTTCTTTTCTTGTACAATTACCGACGACCCTTCCCCCATATAACTTATTACTATTGTCATGTACGACTCTGCAGCGAATGGCCACTCGTATTCCACACCCTCATCGCCCAGCCCATACACGAGCCAGCCGGCCGGTAGCGACAGCAAACCCACATACGACAAGGAGTTAGCGTCGTTGTTTCGGGCAACTGCAGCCAACGTCACCCAGCTCTACAAGGAGGCGAGCGAAATCGGACAGACTGCGTACAAGTCGGGGTACGAGCAGTGTTACAACGACATCTTGGAGCTGGCGCTGGCAGCTGCACATATGCCTGGGAATGAGGGCCAGCCGCTGACGCTGCAGCAGCTGCTGGAGTTTGCGCGGCAGAGGAGAATCGCCCCCAAAACAGCGTTCCAACATGCGGCTACATCACGCATGATGCAGTCCGAACAGCTCTCAAGGTACATACTTTCCGCTACGGATGAACTGGGCTGTATCCCTAGGGCAGGTTAAACTCTTGCTCATTTCGATCACGGATTCGCCCCTTAATTAAAACTCGCAATGCATTCTAATCTGCTTCTGTGCTGTGGCCTGTGTGGGGGCCGGCTGCTGTCGGATTAAAACTGTAGGCACACGGCTGGTCGGCGGAAAACAAGGTGTTCCGCGGCTCCAGCTTCTCCCGCAGTGCAGTGTAAGTTGTCAAATGCATGTCCCTTCTTGGTGTTGTTCCTGTGAACGGCATCGTCGAACGCCGCCCTTATTGGCATGCGAAGACTGACAAACGTGGCCATGTTTAACGAGTTGTGTAGTTGGATTCAGAGACGCTGGTCACGCCTACCTCACCGCATGCCGTTGGGGATCCTGCTCTGTCGCCGCCTGAAACATGCACATTCGACAATCCTGCGGTCACGATGGCGGCAGTGCCAGAGCAGCTTGCTGCGGACGTGTCCGGCATCAGCAGCTGCCCAGAGTACGGCCGGCAGCGCACAAACGAGCTGAAAAGACGCAGCAGTATCCAGGCACGACGCAACAAGCGGCAGCTTGACGCATTCGAAGTCCTATGGACATCGAGCCCCCAAGGCGGCGACAGCGCCGCGAGGATGTGGAGATGTCGTAACAGGGTCGCTTCCGGTGCTTGTGCCGAATAAACATGCATTTCAGGATTTGAGACGTGTACGGTGCGGATATACCAAGCCTGTAGCATTTCTGCTCTGGAAAAACGATCGACGCTGCTGCACCCGGGGAAGCTTGCGTCCTATCCTTTCGTATTCCGATATCTTATACGAGGAGCATATCACTCTCCCGCCCAGCTGCTGCCACATACTGAACATATCTGCACAGCCCACCCAAACAATGGACAGAACATTCCGAAAAAGGCATTCTTTTATAGCCAGATGACTGATGGGGAGGTGAGAACAATGGGGCAATACCCTTGTCCCAAGCGCAAAGGTGTGGATTTGTATGTACGCTCTCTTTTATCATTTTTTGTACATAAAAATTTATTACATGCTTGTGAGATTGCGGCGGAGAACCGCCTGACACAATGGGTCTGCACCAGGCACTCACGGGGGGACGTGCTGTAATGTAAATAGATGACATTCAGCTGAGAAGGAGAGTACACCCTCCGTTTTTCCTGGCCAACCAAGGAATCCTTATCGATCTTATCAGCCGATAAGGCGCATTTGTGCAGCAACGTACATGAGCTGAAGCCGGGAAGATGTCGGCTTCGGCTGCTGTGTGCTTCCTGCTGTTCAGTGCTGGCAGCAAGCAACACCGAGGTAGAGGAACGACTGGCTGGAGGTATTTTGAGCAATGGCAGTCTTTTGTTGGTTGCCAGGGAAGGAGAGAAAACCACTTTATGCACGGTTCTCGCGAGGACAGGAGCTGGGTTGCCGGCCATGCACTTCGGTGTCGTTCCTGTGCATTATAAAGCGCGAGTGGCAAGAGGTCTAGGGTTCATGCTTTTCATGTACGAGCCTCCTGTCCAGCCGCAGGCTTTATGTGATCACCTACCCATCTCCACTCTCTCAGGCACACTACAAGTGATGGGTGACGTAGATCACTAGTGAATCCGCGCACTTCTAGGATGGCGAGCAGATATACCCTCTTTGCAGCACTCTTTCGGGGCCGTAGCTGCGGTCAATTTCCAGCCAACCAAAAGAATAATAGAATTCAATAATCGCAGGGGGATGACCCAAGAGGGGGTGCGAGTAGGGGGTGCCTACCACCCTGTGGTCGGTGATGTAGGAAACCAAGTTGAGTTGCATTTAGAGATAAGCGGATGGTATGCGCGTCTCCTTCCCCGTGGCCACATTTTTACAACGGAACGATTGCAGCCCGACGTGCAGAGAGAAAATTATTTACTCGGTGCCCTGACTGCGGACGAACCTTGATATTCTGTGAGCGGTGTCTAATTCTGCGGCCGACGGGGCTTCTCTCAACCAGAAACCTAGCTTGTAGCGCAGCAGATGTTCTACATGTGGATTGTCACTTTGGGCTCCCTACATTTAATAATATAGTCAGATTGCCTGGTTTTCCCATAGTAACAAAAAGGGGAACTCACAGCAGCTGCTGGTGAGGAATTCATGCCAAGTAATGGCGGCTTTGGAGAGCAATGTGCGATGCAAACAGGCTGAAGGAAATGGGGGAGAGTGCGGCAAACGCAGAGGAGCTACAATTGCATTGTGCTTTTGCATGGATGCTTCTGGGACAGAGGGAGGGATTGACAGCCCTTTTTCACTCACCCTCCGATCCATGTCATACGGGTCGCCGCAGCTGACCGTCAGAACCCATTTGGCTTCTCAACAGAGGGAGGGGCTGGCGGAGGGATGGCGAAGAGGTGCTGTTAACATGCATATTATTAGTTCAGAACGGAGCCATCAGGACGAGGGTTCAAGCAGAGCGTTCACAGTTAAAGAATGCCGAAAGTTGACATCAGCTGCACTCTTCCTGCTATCCCTGCCCAGGCTACATATCCAAAGCGGGCTTCTGTATAAAAAGATGACCTCCTGTTTCGATGGCCATCATTTCCCCCCATTTCCCCCATTTCCCCTCATCTCCCCCCATCTCCCACTTCCCAACTCCAAAGAGTCTAACCCAATTATTCAAACTTCTCCTTGCCATTACCCCAATTCTCAGCTTCGTGTATGAAATATCTACCAATGTACGGAGCTCCTGAACTGGAACAGCAGGCCTGACGACCCTGGCCCCTTCACTGCCGACTTCACTTATCCTGAGACCGCCTCAGATGGTTCTCTCCTCCACACAGCGCCTTCTTCACAACTATATAGCCGAGATTTCCCTGCGCCGTGCTCCTTCAAGTATGGAAGCCATGCACGCCCTTCTTGGTCAGCAGTCGATGTATAGCAATTCGGTACAAGCTCAGGCCGCCATCGACCCCAGGCTGCTCCAGATGCCATCCCCTGCGCATGAGCCTGTCACCATCGATACATTCCAGTACAACTATTCGGTTCCTACTTCCTTTGCCGACCCGCGGATTATATCTGGGTCCTCCGACCTGTATCTGTATTCCAGCACCGCCTGTCCCTGCGCCTGCCATTCCGGCATTCACAAAGCCCCTACCAAGGTATTTTTGCAGACATCAATGCACCGCTGCCGACCGACGCTGACCAATCATTCCAGGCGTGGAACTTTATATACAATCAAGGCCCTGCAGCCCCGCAGGTGGACTTCGGGCTCGAGACCACTTTTGGCGACTCTATGATATCCAGCCCTTTTCATACCCTTACTCACGGCGCTCCTGCGGGACCCAGCGCTCTGCCAGCACCCGCCAGTAGCTCAAAGGAGCTACCCAAGATGGTCAACTTGGGGCGTCTTGATACCTTCATGGCCTCCGACCCCGTCCTGCCGTCACAGCGCTGGGACAGTCTGAAAGACAAAGGTAACAATACCTTGGCTTCAGCCCAGAGTCCATTTCATTTCATCGATGGGCGCTGTCTGGAAACGCCATGCTCACTATTACCCTTTAAAACAAGTATGCTATTTTGTAGGCACAGCGAAGGCGCAGGCGAAGGCAATAGCAAAGGCAGTGCAGCCAGCTGCTTCGCCACCAAGCTCAGTCGATACCATCACTGCCGACTGCTGGCAGGCATTAAACCTAAGGTAAGGCAACCCAGAATTTCAATGAGAGCTACCCTTTGTCCTACTCCCGCCGCACAAGATAGCGATGAATGTGCAGCGCCTGGCACATGTGCCCTGATATGTACACCGAAACCCCCGGCAAAAAGAAGAGGTCGTATTCCTGGCACTGTCCTCGGAAGTACGCGGACAAACTTCACAACACACCAGCGCTTTGGCATTAAGACAGCGAATTGGATTAAGAGTACTATGCTCAGGGATTACTATATCCTTAAAGTGACACAAGCCTTGAGATTAACAGAGCGCCAGATAAAGAGAAAGCATGGCGATCAAGAAAGTACCGCACGAAAAAGAGAAGAGCTGGAGCTGATACCGACCTTCCTGTGGCATGAATATCCCTCAATTCTGCATACCTACTTTATAGCATCTACATTCGAATACACAGTTTACAAACTTCAGATTGCACCTGGAAAACATTTTGTCCTGACGGTGCATGGGGGTATCGTTCGCCTGCTTGTCCGCACCTAGTTATTCTTGGCAACAATGCCGTATACAATGGCGACACTTGCGCATCTACTGATTGCCGGTAGATTCCCGCCTTCATTCCAGTCGAGTGGACAGGTTCCCTTTCCCTCTGCGAGCTTTTCTTCGCATGCACTGAGAAATAAAGAACGCCAACCACCAGCTCCTTTATTAGAAAGCGGATAGGGTTTCCTTTCAGGTACAATAAAACAACGACTAAAAGAACGCAATAAGGGAGTGGGAGTGTGAATGTAGGCTAGGTGATGCACCTTGTGCATGAAAACATGCACCGGCAATCTCTTGCGAACGATATTCGGATATCCATCCTGCGCGACAGGGTAAATGCGCGGCGGAGGGTGTTTTGTTGGGAGAGACCTGAGCTGTCGCAGGACACACATATTCCAATGTTCCCTGGACATTCAGTCGCTGTCATGCAAGCCTAAATCCACTCCCTTTTTGCTCTTTGACAGGCTAATCTTCACCCAGGGGATCCGCTGTCTACATTTTGATGATTCGGAGGAGAGGTTATTTGAGACTGGATTTTCAACAGGTCACAGCAAAGAAAACTATCGGTATATGTGCGTTGTTGGAGCGAAGCGCTATTTTTAGTCTGGCAGGCAAGTTAGAGGGGATATGGACAAAGTATCCAGTCAGTTGAAGCCATGGAGACAAGGGTGCAAGCCCCCAGTCGAATGATGACCCGCCCAAGGCTCATTCGACGGCAATGGACAATGGGTTGGATAGGCGATTCCTTGATTCCCCTGGCTCCATGACGAAAGACAAGGTGCTTGATGGCGGTGGTCATGCGCATACTGATCCCTTGTGTGAGCCTCTCAGATGTGCGGAACGGTGTGGAGAGATGGACGAGTGGTTCAGCTACCTTCGATTTCTCTAATTATAGAAAGGCGGCGACGGTGGGGCTAATGGCAACCTTGAAGACACCGCTATTCTCAGGTACTCCACGCCTATGGCCGATGTCTCCTGTGCCCAGCACTCCCTTGTGTGTTAATCGGCTCCTCACGGATGACAATGCTGCGTGTAGTGGGCAGCGTAAAAATTGCCCGAACCAGAGGAGTGTTTCGACATAGTTGTCCGCTTTCTATTTTTAACACTCCAGCAGAACCACCTATCACCTTGCTGCTGGTCGCTTGCTCCAGACATGTCCTGCGGCACGTACAGTCTCTGTGGAGAGGTGCTGGGATGGAGCTCTGGAGGGAGGAATTGGCCAGGCATGGCTACCCAATTACCTGCATCAGCATTGCGCTCGTTCCCCCTCCCTCCAGCCCACGCTGCCCCTTATGCTTGCCGCCATCTGCCCAAAACATCAGCGACAGAGGCAGGAAAAACGGACACTGTGCCTTGTTTCCGGAAATCAGCTCAGGCGCCAAATTGTGCGAGGAAAAAGGCGCCCGCATCTCGAACAACAGCCAAAAGAATTTATTCAGCAGGCTGCGGGGCAAAAATAGACACTGGCTTTCGGGCACGAGGGGTGGGCTGGCAACCTGCATCTGCAACAAAACGGGGTGAGGTTGGGTGGAAAATAGGTCGCCCGTTGTGGTGGTAGGTGCAGATGAAGAAAACCCACTGCTGGACTCATGATGTAGGCAAAAAAAAAAAAGAATGGCCAAGCAGGCAAGGCGGTTAGCTGGCATCCCATGCTGCTTGCAGCTAATGATAAATAGAGCACCGTTCCCGCCACTCGTTCCTCAACTTTTTTGTTTACGACATCTGGCAGTTCTGTGTTCTTGCTTATTTTTCGACAACTTCAATGGGTACCGGTCTCAGTAAATAGCAAACATTTACTCGGCAACTTCTATTACTACTTCTATACATCGCATCTCATACACTGGCCACGTTTTTGCTCAACTGCCACCTCCCAGCTTCAATCGGGGTTCCGCTCCATTTACACACTTTACATATTTTTAGACTTGCCCGTGCAACAGCACATAATAGCGCGCACACAAAACCTACAACCCATGGATTCTTTTATTTCCAGCAACATCGCCAGCACCGAGAACATGGCTACCCTAGCTGCCTCCATTGTACACGCCTCTCCTTCGGGCCTTCTTGAGCTTGAGCAAGCACCATCACATATGTTCCTCGCCGAGACTGGCATCCAGCCTCTAGCAAAAGACGGGCTCCAAGTGGCTGGCATCACCGAGGCCCTTGACTTTCCAGCCACTGCCTCATCCATCCCAGCCCACCTTATCGACCAGCTCGCGTCGCTGTCCTCGTCGGTGGCAACCCCGAGCGAGTCGCCATTCCTCGCCATCGATGTGTTTGACGAGTGCACTTCGTCAGGGACCCTTGCTGCCCCACCGATGCACCATGTGCAGCAAGTTGGAGATTTCCGCCCTCAGCGAACGGGCACTCCTCTCACACAAATTGGCGACCTGCCTATTTCAGCGGTAGGAGCACCAGCGGGCATTCCAGAACACTATCCGAATATGTTCGCTTTTCCGCTGGATCCCGCGGCCGAGCAGCTCTCGGCTGCGCTGGTTGCGGACGCAGTTGCTGCGGTGGTATCCCCTGCCATGGTGGCCAGCACTGGGTGCCTTGACCCGCAGGCGCTGCACGCGGTGTCTAGAACGCCCTTTGCCGACGGTATGCCTGGGTACCTGTCGCAACACTCCGAATACCCGTCGCGGTCGTCGACACCGCTGGTGAAGCTGGCCGGCAGCGGGCTCAATCCTCAGTACACGCCAATGACTGGCTTGAATCCTAAAAAACTGAATCACCGTCTCGATCGCATCCGCCCGCGCCGCGCACTGAGCATTGGTGGCCCAGCCGCCTTGCAGGCTGCCATGATGCATGGGCTGCCTGACCACCTACCCCAGACCTGCCAGTACCCACACTTTTCATCGCCCTGCGTAGCCTCGTATCGTCCTGGGCACCGCACGCCCTTGACAAGCTCGGGCGTGGTTCGCCACCACAGGTCAGGCTCCGAAAACATCCTGGTCTCGCCATATCAGTCAGCGTTCAGCGACTCGTACCTTGGGTCGTCGCGGGATTCAAGCACGAGCCCACAGATGGGGTCCATTAGCCGGCGCCCCCGGGGGCACTCACTTCTCAGTACCACACAGGGCGTGCGGTCGCCAAAGCTCAGCGGCATGTCAGACTTCAGCGACATCGATAATGACCTCCAGCCGCGCAAGCAGCTGACGGAGGATCAGAAAAACACATACTTTACATGGCTGTACAAGAACAGACATGACCCGAAGCCCAAGGGCAAGGAGCGCGAGCGCCTGCGCAGCGTCGACGACATGAGCCCTGCGCGGTTTAAGACCTGGTTTGCCAATGCCCGTCGCCGGTACTTTACTATCGACACTGTCGATGGTGTGCAGCGGTATCAGCTCAATGCGCGGTTCTACGAGGTGTGCCGCCGCTATGGTATTCGCCTTGAGTAGGCGCTTATTTCATTTTCATCTCCATTCATTTCATTTTTACTCGCAATGTACAGACCCCGCTATTCCTCTCTCTGTTTTCTCCAACCTGACGTTAGCCTGATTTTGTCGCATAATGTCCGAGGGTATTTTTAGTGCAGAGCTGTCAGCTGGGCCTGAAAGTGGAGTGCTGGTTTTTCCATTGTGCGATTCATACAGCAGAACGAGCGCAAACGGAAATCGACGAGATATGCGGATGCTGTGCTTGTATTCATTGTGTCGCCAGCAAGTGAGAAGGGACAGATTTGCTCAATTCGTGGATAGTGCCTGTTGGCTCTATGCAGTTGCAGCACCTTGAAGAGCTGGCATTGTTTTGATATCCGAGTGCAGATTTCGGCGTGGTAGATGTGCTCTCTTGCTAGGCCAGCCACCAACAATACACAGGTTTGTTTTGGCATGGGAAGGGTTTCTTGGCGGCGGATGAAGAGATGCAAAGGCATTTATGAACTCGGATATAGCTATCGCTGTGGACTACCCGCCGTGGGCTCCCCTGTGCTGAAAATCGGATATGCTGTCCCAACTGCATCATCAGCCTTTGCCAACCACAAAGGTCGAGTAAATACGAAGAACTACAATAATAAGCGACATTTAACAGTCGGAACTAAAGGACAGATCATTGGCAGGCCGGGTGCTGCTCCGATACCACATGTGGATGGGGACCTGGCCTGTCCATTGCGTCCGCCCTGGTACCGTATATGCCAGATACGGGTATATCGTGATCAGATCACAATTTGCACCTCGAATCACCAGCACCTAACCCTGCTCTAGCTGCCAGGCGCGGGGGTCGAAGCCAGGCGGCAGACGCAGGTGCTGCAATGCGTCACTCTAGCTTTCGACATTTCGACTTTTTGTTCTTTTATTTTGCATCATCTAGCAACAGCCATGATTTTGCTCGAGCCCAACAGCTATGTTCTAGAGGAGACGCTGCTCGCACGCTTCAACAGCGAAAAGCATGAGGTGGTGGACATCACGCTGGTAGATTTCGACAACGTCATTTACCATGTGCAGACGCAGGCAGAGCAGCGCAACCTGCTGACGCTGGGGGTTGAGATGAAGTACTTCAACGAGGTGGTGCAGTACGGTGCCAACGAGATCCTGCAGCGCGAGTACGGGCCGTACCTGTCGTCGTCGGCCAGCGGGCAGTACCAAATCACGCTTGAGTTCAACCTGGACTCGCTGCCGGAAGACAAGGCAGGGCTGGCGAAGCATGTGTCGATGCTGAAGCGCAACGTCCTGGCGTCGCCGTTTGTGCGTGCGTTCGAATACTGGGAGTCGCAGCAGGAGGGGGCAGGGCCGCTGATGGCGACGCACTACCGCGAGGACGAGGCAATCTACGTGCAGGCGCAGCAGGACCGAGTGACAGTGATCTTCAGCACGCTGTTCCGGGAGGAGGTGGACCGGGTGCTGGGGCGGGTGTTCCTGCAGGAGTTCGTCGATGCGCGGCGCCAGGCGTCGATCCAGAATGCACCGCAGGTGTTCTACTCGAGCCGCGAGGCGCCGCTGGAGATCCGCCACCTGCCGGGCCTGAAGCAGGACGAGAGCGTCGGGTATGTGTCGTTTGTGCTGTTCCCGCGGCACTTTGCCGATGCTGACGTGCGCGAGAAGACCATCTCGCAGATCCAGCTGTTCCGCGACTACCTGCACTACCACATCAAGTGCGCCAAGGCGTACATGCACTCGCGCATGCGTACCCGCGTCACGTCGTTCCTCAAGGTCATTAACCGTGCCAAGCCCGACCGCACCACAGCCACGTCGGAAAAGAGGACAGCCACCGGCCGCTACTTCCGCCCGCAGTTCCGCCAGGCATCGGCGTCGCCGCAGCTGGGTGGCGAGAGCGAGTGGTGAGTTTATACTTAGGGATCCATATTAAAGACATATAACCCTCCCCTGTCTTCGACTGTCTCTTGCATTTCGCTGGTCATCACCGGCTGGGTCACCTGAGATAATCAGGAACACGGCTCCAGCGGATATTTTCTGCGGTCCATACCCGATCGCGGCGGTTTCTCCACTGGAGTGCTACTTTTATGCGCGAGACTGTTTTTTTCTTCTGCTCTCTGCTTTTCTGTCATTACATTCCCCAGTCCTAAAATGAATTCGCCAAGCAGACGAGGACTCAGCACAGCAGCGCAGCTTGTGCGGTATCAGAGCACCAGGGCTGATCGTGTTTTCGCAGCCACCAAGCTCGGCGACTGCACGCTCAGCCGGACGCCCGATCAGCTCGCCCAGCTGCCGCCCATGGGGTACGTGTATCTGGGACAGATTCCCTACAAGCAGGCGCTCTCGCTGCAGAACCAGCTCAGCCGGCTGCGCATCGACGAAATCTACTCTGGGCCGCAGAAGACGCGGACACCGCGGTCCTCGCGGAAGCTCTCGGATACCATAATCCTGCTGCAGCACCAGCCAGTGTATACTAAATGGACGGCGAAACCGCGGCACGCTGAGCCAGCCGGAGCTGGACCGCCTGCATGGCCTCGGGTGCGAGTACTTTGAGACGGACCGGGGCGGCGAGATCACATTCCACGGGCCGGGACAGCTGGTGGCGTACCCAAGCATGTACTTGCTGGACCATTTTCTGGGCACAAAGTGCTATGTGAAGGGGCTGGAGAACGTGGTGATTGAGAGTTGCGCGCAGTTTGGTGTCGATGCGGACCGGCTCGAGGGGTTCCCAGGCGTGTGGACATCGGGGACGGAGAAGGTCGCGGCGCTGGGCACGCATGTCCGGCGGTACGTGACCTCGCATGGCTTTGCGCTGAACTGCACCACGGATCTGAAGTGGTTCACTGAGATTGTGCCGTGCGGGCTGGAGGGCAAGACGGCGACATCGCTTAAGACGGTGCTGGCGTCGCAGGGCAAGACGGCTGATGTCAGTGTCGATACAGTGCTGCCTGTGGTCGTCGACAGTTTCAGCAAGGTGTTTGGGTGCGATGTCAAGCCGCTCGAGGATGTATCGCCGCACACATTCAACGTGCTACAGGAGCTGCTAAAGAAGCAATACATTTGAACGGCTGATATTAGTTTGGTACTCGAACGGAAGGAAAAATGAAGACATGTAATTTACGATGCGGCCGTGTAGAAGTAGTACTGCTGCCACAGGGGCTGGTAGTCCTGGATCAGCGCGCCCAGCAGGCTGAGCAGTGGCTTGTTGTTGCACCAGTCGGCTACCCTGGTGAGGCGCGATTCAGTGAATCTGTCAAAGAACGGCGAGCGCAGCAAATAGTACAGGAACAGCCACTTTCTGCGCGACAGCTCGTCCTTCTCGACGGTGCGCTCGGAGCCCGACGCAGGCCGCAGGTCGGTGCGGATCAGCTGTCTGCTAGCCAGCTCAACGACCAGCGACAGCGCCCAGGGCCGCCAGTCGCGCTTGCCCATCTTGCGCAGCGACAGGACGTAGATGATCGGACGCAGAATGAACAGCAGCTCGCCAGCGAGCCCCATCGGTCCGTATTTGCGGATCAGCGACAGCGCAGGGGCGACCTTCTCGGGCTCCCGCGCCTCGGCGGTCACGAAGCCGCCCAGGTCGGCGTTCCCCTCGGTCTGCGACAGAATGCCACGCACTCGACTTGAACTTCAGCCCACTGCGCTCGCCCTTCCACAGCGCGACCGTCTGGGTCCTGCGCGACGGCAGCTCTGCGTGCCGAGCCCAGCGACGCTGGGTCAACCAGGCGCTCAGGCACCACGGTGCCGGTGACCATCCTCCGGCCGCTCAGCTTGAGCAGGCTTAGCCGGGCAACAACCTTGATGATCTCTATCCAGCTGACGACCTTCCACCGCATCTTCTCGCCGCACCTTTTCACCAACCGCCATTTCAATGAGCTTCTCGCTGAACTGCAGGCTGCTCAGCAGCAGCGACAGAATGCGGTACAGGTCGGAGCTGCGCGCCAGCTTACCCTGGTACCGGTTGAACGGCGTGACGTCAACCGATATCCTCTTGCCGTCCTTGCCGACCAGCAGTCCGGATTTGGCCGCCTTGGCCAGCAGCCCGTCGTGGTACACGCCGACGAAGCTGAGCAATGTGTAGATGGCCTCGGATGCGATCTCGGCGTCCGCAAAGCGTCCTAAATGGGTGGGCGGGTGGTTTAGCACGCAGGTCTACCGGGTCCCTGGGTGCGTCTCCGCGGTCTACTTGCCTGGCAGAATATATGTCAGCGTCCGGAGCCCATTCTCGATAGAGTTGACCTGCGCGGCGTTGTTGACAACAAAGTCGGCGTACTTCTGGAACATTGAATTGGGCACGAGGAATTATTCAAAAGGAAAAGCTAAAGATAAACGGAGACAGGAGTGGTGGCATTTTCTTTTTCGGAAGCCAACGGAGAGCCACGCCTCCGCGCGAGGCGGCAGACTAATCACATGCCACTGCTTTGTTTCGATGAGTGCCTGTGCCATGTATTGGCTTAAAAAGCGCATTATCGGTCCGTGCAGACCGGAAAGGAAGCTCCGGTTGCAGCAACCCACGTCGCCGGAGCAGTCGTTATTTCCCGGCCCTCAGTCCCCCTCCCCCGCAGGATCATGCCCTCGAGATGTGCTTGTCGGGATTCATGATGTTGTTTGGGTCGAACTGCTGCTTGATGGTCTTCATCGTCCTCGATGACTGTGGCCGACTTGGAGTACTTCAGGAACTCGCCCTTGTGCTTTCCAAGCCCGTGCTCGGCGGCCACCGACCCCTGCCTGCTGCCCACCCACTCGTACACCCACGGCTCCATGACCTCCTCAACAATGCCCCCAAACTCCTTAGCAATGACCTGGAGATGAATGTTGTCGTCGCCGATGTGGCCAAATATCGTAACGTCCTTGACAGGCGAATCAGCTTGACCGTAGATGCCCTCGGCAGTCAGATGCTCTTTGACAGCGACCAGCAGGTCGTGCTGGTGCTTGGACGGAAGGCTGAAGTCGTAGACATGCATGCACCCGCTCTTGCCGTGGGCAGTGGCCATCTGCTGGCGGAACACCCAGACGCGCTCCATCTCGTCGGCGTCTCTGAACACCTTGGAGTCGTCAATCAGGCGCTCCTCGCGCAGCTTGTCCAAAAACGCATCCATCTTTTCGACGTCGTGCTGCATGTAGGAGCCACGCGTCTCGATGAGCACGCAGAACTCGTGGGCGGTCTCCAGCGGGCTCTCGTAGTGCTCGTACTCGACCACCAGCTCGTTGCAGCGCTTCTCCCAGAACTCGAATGCCGAGATGATTTCGCCGAGGCTCTGCCTGGCGAGCACAAAGGCGCGCTGGATCTTGCAGAAATCAGTCAGTCCCAGAACCACCAGCTGCGAGGACGCAGGCTTGGGCGCCAGGGCAATGGCGACGGCGGTGACCACGCCCAGCGTGCCCTCCGCACCAATGAACAGCTGCTTCAGGTCGTACCCGGACGCATCCTTCTTGAGCGTAAACAGCAGGTCCAGGACCCGCCCATCGGGCAGCACGACTTCCAGCCCCAGCACCGTACCGTGCATGCTGCCGTAGCGCAGGTACCGCAGTCCGCCGGCACTGGTGCTGACGTTGCCGCCAATCATGCACTTATTGCGCGACCCCAGGTCCACCGGCACAATGTACCCGAGCTGCTGCATGTGGCGATCCAGGTCGTCCAGCACGCACCCGGCCTCGGCCACCACCACGCCCGAAACCTCATCAATGTCTCGCACCTTGTTCATGTCCCGCATGCACAGCAGCACTTCGTCGCGCTCGGCAATTGCCCCGCCCCCTGTGCCGCTGTTTCCGCCTTGCGTGACCACACTGATGCGCCGCTTGTTGCAGTGCGCGAGAACCTGGGACACCTGCTCGGTGGTCTTGGGCAGCACCATCACCTTCGACGACCCACGGTACTTGCCAAATACGTCAATGTTGTACTGGCTGTCGAGCTTGGTCTCGGAGTGGACCACCTGTGCGCCAGTCTGCGCAAAAAAAGTCAATGTCGCTGGCCGTGATAGGCGTGGTTTCAGTCATGTTTGTAATTGGAAAGTAGGCGAGAGATAGAGTAGTGCCCCTGAACCATCGGCATGGAATACGTGTTGCTGGCGGGGAACGGGGTTTAGGGGGATGTGCGCGCATTTCCCACGAGACGAGTCTGCCTCAGACATCCACTTTTCCAGCGCGGGGGCACGGACCTTTGGGGGCTGTCATCTCTGGTCGGCGCAGCTCCAGACCCAGCCCGCCTGTGAACTTGCCGATCCCTCCCGCGTCGCGATCCGCATTGCTCACAGAACAGGCTTTTCAATGTCTGCGACACGGTACCAGTTCATTCCGGCTTCTACCGCAAGCATGTGGCGTCTTCTTGGAATTGCATGCCAGTGCAGCCTCCAGGGGCAGGCCGAAGGAGATAAACGGCGAATGGAAAGCCGTAGAAGCGTCGCTTGTTTCAGGCCACCCTACAGCAATCTGCTATCATCAAGGACGATCGATAATGGCCTCCCCAGGTTAATTGCCGCTAATGACTCCAATTGGCCAGCTCTCAGGGTATCTGTGAGCGAAAACCACGGGCAAATGACTCAGAGGAAGATAAAGAAGTTTTTGGCCCACCCCAGACGAAACGTTTAAAAGGAGGCGAGACGGGTCCTCCATCCCAGCCCGCGCCCAACTAGCCAGCCAAACTTCTTCTCTCCTCCAGTATTGTCTTGTTCTTTTTCCAAGGGTTACCGAGGGCCTTTTTATTATTTCCTCCTGTCTGAATTCATAGCCAGCAAAGCGCCAGCAGTTGTTACAGCCATGGCTCCATCGTCCAACGTCTCTTCGCCGCGGGTCGAGAACCCTGCCGGCAAGCCGATTCTCGTGCTGAAGTTTGGTGGAACGAGCGTCGGCAAGTTCATCCAGAACATCTGCGGCCAGATCATTCCGTAAGTACATCGAGCAGGCGAACAGGAACAATGGACAGTGTGAGCATTACGGCAAACGCACACTCGCCGGTGTGAATAACGCCGGTGGCTGATTGCGAGTATCACCGTGTGTCCGGTGAAGGCGCGGGTGCAACTCTGGGCCAGCCAAGCCATCAGCTGTGGCCAATGCTACAATCAGCGACCATACCTTTATGCACAAGAGGCGGCCGATCCTCTCTACGCATGATGCATGATGCCGCCAGCTGTCTTGCTCCTACTATGGACCAGTGCTGCCGTCTTATCGACTATTTATTGTGCAATATGTACATGTCGCACTCACACCGGCAATCAATTTTTCTGCTGCTGCTGTCTCTCTGTAGGAATCTCCTCAAAACACACCGCGTTGTTGTCGTCTGCTCGGCACGCAGCACCGACGTCAAGGCTAAGGGCACCACCACGCGCCTGGTCAAGGCCGCCGACGCTGTGCTGGGTGACGCGAGCGTTGACCACCAGCAGATCGTACAAGACATCCTGGATGACCACATCGAGGCCTCGCGCGAGAACATCACAGACCCTGAGATCCGGGACCAGCTGGAGAAGAGCCTAACCGAGGTGTGCCACCGCTTGAAGGTGTTCCTAGAGGCAGCCGAGGTCATCAACGAGGTGTCGCCCAAGTCAAAGGACGTCATTATTGGAACCGGTGAGAAGCTTGCGTGTGAATACGTCGCATCAGTCCTGCAGGACAAGGGCGTCGACGCTGCCTACGTCAACCTGGAGAAGGCTGTGGACCGGCACTTTGACTCGGGCCACCTGGACCAGACATTCTACGACTACCTGGCGCAGCGCTTTGCCGAGATTGTAAATGACTGCGGCAACCGCGTTCCGGTCGTCACCGGCTACTTTGGCCCGTGCCCCGGCAGTATCCTGTACAGCATTGGCCGCGGCTACACTGATCTGACTGCTGCACTGATCGCCGTTGGGGTTGGCGCACAGGAATTGCAGGTGTGGAAGGAAGTCGATGGCATCTTTACAGCAGATCCTCGCAAGGTGCCGTCGGCACGATTGCTGAAGATCATCACGCCTGAGGAGGCCGCTGAGCTGACCTTCTACGGCTCGGAGGTCATCCACCCATTCACCATGGAGCAGGTCATCCGCGCATCGATTCCGATCCGCATCAAGAATGTGCAGAGCCCGGCCGGTGCCGGCACTGTGATCTTCCCCGACCTGCTGTCACGGCCGACAAGCGGTCTGGCGACCAGCGAGACGTCACCGACTGTGCACACACCCGAGATGCTGCTGGAGAACGGCTACATGCTGGATCTCTCGCGGCGGCATCCGACAGCTGTAACCATCAAGGACGACATCATTGTGCTTAACATCCACTCGAACCGCAAGAGCGTGTCGCACGGCTTCTTTGCGCGCATCTTCTCGATCCTCGACAAGTACGGCGTCAGCGTCGACCTGATTTCGACGTCCGAGGTGCACGTGTCGATGGCGCTGTCGGCATCAGTCATTGAGCGCAACCTGCAGCCTGCCATCCAGGAGCTGAGCCGCCTGGGAACCGTCGACATCATGCGGAATATGGCCATTCTCTCGCTGGTCGGCAAGCAGATGCGCAACATGGTTGGAATTGCCGGTAGCATGTTCCAGACCCTGGCCAAGGCTGGCGTCAACATCGAAATGATCAGTCAGGGTGCGTCGGAGATCAACATCAGCTGTGTCATTGACAACGCCCGGTCGGCTGTTGCGCTGCGCGCCATCCACGAGAACCTGCTTTCGGGCGTCAAGACAAATCTGATGCACGACCCCGAGGTCATCCGCGAGCTGCAGAAGCGCGGGCTCACCACTGGCCTCCACACCACCATGAGCGAGCTCTCATTAGATTCCCTGACAAAGAAGCACTAAATATATTTGAACGCTTGACTACTATTCCTCCTGCGGCTGGAGGTTGGGCCACCGCCAGTGGAAGTACTGCTGCTCGTGCACCCATGTCGCCTTCTCGACCTTCTTCATCTCGTCGCGGAACGACTGGTACTGCAGGAGATCAAGAAACGCCAGTGCGTTCGGGTACACAACGAATCGCGCATACTCAGGCTTCTGCCAGTATCTGAGGTACTTCAAGTAGTTTACAAACGCAGGCTGGTCAAAGTACCCCTGCTGGGCCAGAAAGTTGATGTACCAAGGGTTCGCCAGGCACTGCACGAATTCGAGCTCTACTTCGAACCGCTCCTTTGCCAGCTTGTCTTCCTGCATGCCATTCAGGGGCTCTGTCTTTTGTGTGGCACTGTCCGACAGCATCGACGAGTCTGGCACAATGGCTTCTGACATGCTTTGAAACTGTAATTGGAAAAAAAGAACGGATGCAGCCTACTAAAAGATATTGGCCGTACTCACTTCTAACTAATGTAAATTTCAGAGAAACGTGCACAACAATGGGACCATCACCAGGCCAGCAACTCCTTGAGCCGATTCGCAACGGTCTGGAAGTCTGACATGAGCTGCTGGTCGTAGTGGTCCCTCCACGCATACTGCTTTATGGTCTGCGCCAAACTAACGAGCCCGGCGCGGTAGCTATTGGAATTGGGATCCGTCAGGAATGCCTCCAGTGCTGTGCGGTCATTTAGGATAATAGCGAGGCTCTTGAACAGCTTGGTTTCGCTATTCGAGTTGGGCTTGGCCTTGTTGATTTGCTCAGAAAGCCGGCAGACGCAGACCTTTTGGTCAACTGACAGCCCTGCTAAAATAGAGGGTAGAGTGGCAAAGAGAAGCAGACAAACCTGTGTACGGGAAAGCATTTTGAATACTTGTGATGCAGTGTTTGGGATATGACATATTGGTGGCATTGCTTGAATTCTGCTACCATTTTATACGCATCCCTACATTTTCCAGTTGTTATCCTATGCAGTTCAGGTAGTAGAATTGTCTCGGAATGAATCTGGTGCTTGGCACTTGTGTCTCCCTCTGTCGTACGCCACTAAGACCGATGTTTAGCATTGCCGGTATACTGCAGTAGCATGTAGTCACACGACCCTCTCAAGGTGTTTATTTCAATTTTTAGGCAAAGCTTTCGAGGAGCAACAGGTAGTGCAGTCGCCAAGGTTTTCGTGAGAGTGGTATTAATATACTGGTCTGCCGTACAGCAAGGCAACGGCTGGGCATTTGAATGCTAGCATCACAGAAGCAGGCTGCAAGGTCTCTGCGACCAGCTAGATTCAGAATAAAAAGGATCATATTATAAAGCCACATCTTTATCAACTTTGCAGTCTCGTATGGCGCCACAAGGAAATCCATCATTACCATCCATTGACACAACCCAGTGCCGGGCTATCTCCCGGACATTTATCAGTACTGGCCGTGGATTCATCTCTGACTTTTTAAGCCACTGCTGCTGCTGCAGGGAAAGTGAGAGCGACGGTCCTGGCGTGAGTTATAAACCTAAAGATGTAAGGAGTAAAAGCGTATTTGGTGCTGCGTGGTAGCCTACCACGGAAATGCAGATGCTAGGACTTGTATCACTTCGACCAATCGAGCCCTAGAGCCCTTTGGTAGTGTGGCTGTATACATCTCAACCAGTAGTGCTCAAGTGGCTTCCGTGTCGCTACCATGTCGTCGTCGTTGTTGCTTGTGCGTTGAATATACTGTGGAAACTAGAACAGGTATGTTGTCTTTTGAAAAGAAAGCAAGCTATCCAACGCTTCTAAGAATAGTGGGTATAGCTTATTTTCGTTGCTGTAGTGTTGCATCCTGCCTGGGTCTCAGTACCAGAGTCTTCGTCGAAGTGGTTCTGAAGGGAGATGTGGCTATTCTTAATGTATAAAAACTCTAGGAGGACCAACACATGGGAAATTCCTCGTTGGTTGTTCATATAATTTGAGGCAGTAGTAATAATATAATTGGAGACTATTATTTGTGTTAACATGCTAACGGTTTTCGTACGTGGCATACCCGACAGAATCACCGCTGATTCCTGAGGCTTCATGTTTGTGGTGATTAAAAGTATATTAGCGTAGTATTTCTCTCTAACTCTACTCTTGTTCTGCTGGTCTACCTATCATCTCGGGCAGACTACTTTGTAGCACGAACAGCAGAGCGCCCATATATCAATCCGCGCAGTAGGATGCCTGTAGATGCCAGCAAGCGCCAAAAGGGGATAAGCGTAAACAGCCTTCCTAGCAGCGTGGTACGCAGCCAGTAATTGCGGGGATATATAAGATCCCTCATACCACTCTTCCAAGCGTTCTCTGGCCCGCTGTAAGGCGGAGTGCGTATCGAATCAACTCGGGGTGGTGGGAACCACAGCTTGTTTTTCATCACTGAACGGTGGTGTGAAAAAGTGTCGAACGAATACTTGCCCATATATCTGCCGAAACCTGACGGGCCGGTGCCGCCAAACGGATAGTTGTTTGCTGCCATGTGGTACATTGTATCGTTTGACACAGCAGAGCCCGAGCGCGTGTTGGCAACTATATACTCTGTGGTCTTGGAGCTGCCGAACGCATAGAGCGCCAAGGGCTGGTCGCGCGAGTTGATCAAGTTCACAGCCTCATCAAGCGTGTCGTAGGTGATGATTGGCAAAATTGGCCCAAACAACTCGTGGCTCATTAGCGGATCGTTGGGATGGACGCCATCGACCAGCGTCGGTGGGATGTAGCGGTCGGCCTGGTCAGCCTGGTCATCGGTACAGTTGATAATATTACCCTTGGTGGCGTCCAACAGCTCCATGATGCGCTGCCAGTGGCGGCCATTGATGATGCGCGTGTAGTCAGGCGATTTCTGCGGTGACTTGGTGTAGGCATTCTCGATAAAATTCCGGAATAGAACGACCAGCTTGTCCTTGATTGAGCGGTGAACTAGCAGGTAGTCAGCCCCAACACAGGTCTGGCCAGAGTTTGCTAGCTTGGCCCACATGATGCGTGTAGCAGTAGCCCCGAGATCTGCCACGTCGTGGTGAACAACGACTGGCGACTTGCCGCCCAGTTCCAAGGTCACTCCAGCCAAGTGCTCAGCAGCAGCCTTTGCGACAAGACGGCCAACCTTGCCGTTTCCAGTGTAGAAAATATGGTCGAGTTTCTGCTTTAGAAGCTCGGAAGTCTCGGCTGCTCCACCTTGCACCACACGCACAGCATTGGGATCGAGGCACTCAGATACTAGAATCTCGATGGCCATAGCGCTGTGAGGTGCCAATTCTGATGGCTTGAGCACAACAGTATTACCGGCAGCCAGGGCACCGATGAGCGGCAGCAAAACCAGTCGTATCGGGTAGTTCCACGCGCCGATAATTGCTACAGTCCCGTGCGGCACTTTGCGAACTTCCATCGAGCACATCAACAGCGCGGCCTGCTCGCTCCCCAGCTTGTGCTTATCAGGCTTGGCCCACTTGTCCATGTACTTCAAAAACTGCCCAATCTCGTATTCGACAGGCGCAATCTCGAACACCTCGCTTTCCACAGTAGGACGCCCAAGGTCCATACTGAGCGCATCGAGCAGCAGCTTGGAGTTCTTGCGAACGCCGGCGAGAAGCGAATTTAGCTGCTGTTTACGGAACTTGATGTCGCGTGTCGTTCCCTGCGCAAAACTTGCACGCATCTCCTGCACTGTTACGCCAATAGCATTTATTGATGTAGGGCAGAGCTCGGGCTCAGCAGAAAGACCAGATATAATGGTATGCTCTTTCTCCATTTGGCTGCGAATATTGGCGTTTGCTGAAGCCGTCTTGGTAAAAGAGTGAGGAATGTACGGAAATACTGCAATATATAACGGAAGTCAATAATGGTTGTCCGAGCAGGTATCAGGCACGAGGGCCCATGCGCTTTTTAAGCGGGCATCTGGGACCCTCTTACAGCGTCCAGATTCCTGCAATGCCTTTATTCGAATACTTTGCAAAGATTCTGAGCATGCTTACTGTTAGTCCTACGGAAAAACTGGCATACAGTCACCAGATGCAATGGCTGTCCAGATATACAAGCAGCTCTCACACCGCAGCTCTACTATTTGTACGTATATATTGTTTTTTTTCGGTTATATGTCAAGCACAGACTTTACCGCTCTTGCGCATTCGCTGTGTTTGCCCATCCCCATTGGCCATCGCTGAAGCAGCACTCATCATGTTCCTCTCACCATTGGGATGGTTGTAAGTGAACCAGTACTTACGACGCCCGCGATGAGAACCCCTCTACTAGACATACATAGATGGTATCAGTAATTCCTTTCAAAGGGGGTTCTTTACTAGGTCCGGCTGGTTCTCAGGCTGACCCATGCATAGTCATGAATCCCTAGGACAGGGTGCGCTTGGCCATTTCAAGTACTGGTACATTTGCTTTCTCTTGTTCTTGCATTACCTTCTGAGCAAGGTCCTCTCCTTGTGTTGCAGCAGGAGGCACATACACTGGTGTCGCCAACTACTAAAGTGCCATTCCAGAAGACAGGTGGCGACCAAGCCGAAACTCGGTATACTTGCTGGCTTGTGGCTTAGCCTACCGATGGCTCGAGATCCGCTGGTTTCGATTCTGGCTCACGGCATGCTCACCCTGATGCGAAATACGAGGGCATGAAGCCAAGCCTTCAAGGAACACAGGACGCACGAGTTGCCGAGTTTTCATTTCTTGCTTCCGACCAAAACGCTTTGCAACCTCTTCAAGCCCTTGCTATACCTCGCCGACAAACACCTCGCCAATTTACAACAGCGTGCTTTTCATTTTCAAATATCAACGATGCCGCCGGTCTTGCGCGAGAGGCACAAGGACGCGCGCAAAAACAAAAGCAAGGGCAAGACTAAGGCCAAAAGCAAGGGCAAAACCAAAACCAAGACCAAAACCAAGAGCAAGAAGGTCAGGGTCAAGGAAGAAGATGAGGTCAAGGTCAAAGAGGAAGACAGCTCCAGCACACACCCGTATTCAGGGCAAGATGGTCCAGATAGAAAGGTACCAGCTCAAGCGCCTGCACTTGTGCCTGAACCCATCGTCGATCGCACCGCACCAGAGTCGAGTTCAGGAGATATGCGTGTTCCAGAGCCTGCTCCAGCGCACGCGTCACTACCAAGAAATCGGCTCCCCCTTGTACCCATTAATGACGATGAGCCTGCGCTGGAGTTCCTAAGCGGTAGCAAAGGAAAGCTGAGCCGCACCTCTGGTGTCATCTCCGATATAACCGGCATTACCTTGGAGCAGTTGCGCGCCGTATGGAATCGCGCTTGCTCAAACGGGAGCCGTATGCAAATCACTGGTCAGCACCGCTGCTTTGAGCTCTGCGGTGCTACGAACAGGCCAGGTGGATACATGCAGCTGTATGTCAACCGTAGGAAGCAGATGGCGCATGTAGTGGCATATATGCTGTGGTACCGCAAGTACTACTTGGATCAGCGTGTGTACCACCTCTGTGATAACAATGTTTGCATCAACCCTGCGCACTTGGTGCAGGGATCGGAAGGGAAGTACATATCGCACAACCGCCACGGTTGGCGGCTCGATAATGGACAGCAGCACGCATCAGACGGCATGGCTCTACAGCTGCCTGTGTTCGAGGAGGGCGCGATGCTATACAACCCGATGCATGGCTTGACATAGATTCGCATGGTAATGTCATGGTTCCATTAAAGTACGTGGGATGAGATGGGAAGCTGCTGTCATAAAAGCATGGTGGTGTGTATAGATGGCAATATTAAAAAGACGGGTACCTAGAGGTTAGCCTTGGGGCTCAGCTTCGTGGCGAAGCCGTCAAAGAACTTTGCAAAATACTGCGCAGTCTGATCGGGATCCTCATGCAGCAGCAAATGGCCTCTGCCCTTCATGACATAGTGCTCGCAGTCGTTAATTGGCTTGATGACTCTGCGAATATGCTCCCCGGCGACGGCTGTGATGTCTCGCCAGTCAAGAACACGGTCGGGCACTGCACCTTCCAGATATTCCAGGTTGCATATGGCGATGCAATCATAGCGCCTGCGAACACCCCAGCCTCGTTAATCGGCCGGCACTTCAGCACAAGCTTCCCGCCGACCTCCTCTAGGCCGTGCTTGATGTGCAGGTCGAGAATGCGCTTATCCCAGATCTTGAAGAACGGGTGCGGCTCAAAGTACTTGCGCGCAGCCTCCTCGTCTTTCCACTCCGCCCGCCGCCCCATGGTCATCTTCACGATCGCCGAATTGCGGTTTAGCTCGACCTGGTTAAACAGAACCGGGTCGGCAATAACCAGGCCCGAGAACGTCAGCGGTGAGATTTCCTCCGCCAAAAGCATCGATGCTGCACCCCACGAGTGGCCAATGCCAATTACGTTCTGGCGCACGCCCAGCTGCCGCACAACTGCCAGGATGTCGCTGGCATTGTTGAACCAGGTCGAGAACTCCTCAATCGCAACTGACTCGCGGTTCAGAACGGCGCTGTCTCCGTGGTTGTACGAATCGATCGCGACTGCCTGGCTGATGCTCCAGGGCCGCGACGATTGGGCGGAGAAGAGCTGCTCAAGGACCGGCTCCCAGAGCTCCTTGTGGAACCCGTTGGCGTGGGATAAGAGCAAGGTCATGGAGTAGCCCGAGGGCTTGGGCGTCGAGGACTGGTAAACATTTGCAACGATCCGCTGGCCCTTGCGCGCACCGTCAAACACACGCCTGGCAACATTCATGGGTAAAGAAACCGAAAAGACAAGTGTATGGCGGTGAAAAAATGAAGCCGTTTGCGAAATGCGGCGAGAGATCGTGATTTATAAGCAGTTTCTGGCTTTCACGTTCCGTGCCACATGATTCGGCATTGGGCCAAATCGCGAAATCCGCCTGCGCACTTTTTTCTCTGGGTCTAATCCGCTGCGTCGGTTCTGGCGGCGCTCTTAATCCTCCGGGTGCAGATAGTTTATCGGAGCTGTGGTGTTGAAAAGAGAGAGGGATGCGCCATTTTCAAGTTCCGTTGCGGCACAAGATCCAGGCTTCGGTTTGATGGAAAGGGCACCGACACCGTGACGTTTCAAGCCGCTCAGCTGCCCTACATCCTACGTTTAGCTGAATTGCACGCAGCAGCCCTGGTAGCTTCAGCTTTGGACAATGTGCATCATGCCAGAAGCAGCGTGTTGTAGACATTGTCTTAATTACAACGAACACATTAATGGTACAGGAGGGAGCCTTTTTCATGTAAGAATGGGATTGTATCAGTCGGCAGAGATCCCCTCTTCGAGCTCGTTGATGAGGTCGTCAAAGTTTTCATCATCATCCTCGTCGTCTTCGCCCCAGTCCTCGTCCTCCTCGTCATCTTCATCTGCCTCGCCTTCGTCGTCTTCCCGATATCCTTCCTCGGCGCCTTCAAACAGCGATGCATCAATGCCGTCTTCGTCATACTCGCCCTTTTCCTGGCCCTCGCCCATGCGGCTATCGCGGTAGTCATCAAGAATAGACTTCTTCGGCTTGTTCGACATACCCAGCGACCTGGCTAAACGCTGCCGGGAACTGAGGCTGGTGACCTCCTCCATCTCCTCCGATTCGTCGTCGTCACCGTCTTCATTGGCTGCACCATTGGCATTTCCTGGCTCGACATCGAGAGCGAGTGACGACATACGGTGTCTTGGCGAGCTCGACGCATCCCCATCAGCTTCTGTATCCGCTGCTTTGTGCTGTGTCCTGCGCCGCTTCATCCGGTGCTTCGCACCATGGTCCTGGCCGCCCTTCTCGCTTTCGTCCGTGCTACTGTCGCCAAACGCATCGCTGCTATCAGCCTGGGCCTCATCCAGCGCTTCAGCGCCATCCTTTGATCCAATGCGCTGCCGCATGGCCTGTTTCATCGCGACCTGGCGCAGATTAACGCCGCTGTTGCTGTGCGAATTGCCTGCTGGTGTCCGCGGGCGCTCGCTGTCAGAGTCGCTCTCGTTCATAAACTCGTCAAGCTCGCGCTCGACATCGTCCCAGTCAAGGTGATGAAGGTAGTCTTCGACCTCCGACTCGCGGATACGGAAGTTCGCCTCCTGCTTCTCAATCTCCTCCTCGAGATCAGTGGTGTTGCCGCTAAAGTCGTCATCGCGTGCAGACTGCGCCTTTAGGCGCTGTAGGGCGGCGGGCTTCGGCTTCTTCTGGTCGCCCAACGTGTCCTCGGACTTGCGCTTGCGCGACCCAGGAACCGGAAGCGCTTGGCAAAGCTGCGGGATCGCTGGCGGGGTCGTCGTTAGCGGGCACAATAAACGACGACATGCTCTCGATAACGCTGTCTGGTGGCTGCTCGGTAGTGCTCGCTGCTAGCTTGGCCTTTTGGGGATCCGATCCGCTATCGTCGTCGTCATCAACCGACGATTCGTCGCTGGGCTCGCCGTTTCCCTCTTCCAGCTGCTTGTTGCGCGCATCGACAATATCCTTGTCCTCCTCAGTACCACAGATACTGTGTCTCGTCAAGCCTTGTCCACTGGCTCATAGAGTCCAGCAGCCACGCAACAGTGACGACGATTGGCGGGTGCCTGCGCATGTTTCCGCTCTTGGAGTTTTTCAGACGCCGTGCCTTGTGCACTTTGGCTGTATCCCGTTTGCCAGCGACCATAGTGCGTGGTGCGCTTGCTGACATCAGTCTCGCAGCGCGCACCAAACTGCTCAGCCCACCGCCAAAGATCGCTTTTCTCGGGCGGCGGAGCACCAGGGTGGATGGGGATCACTGCGCTGAACACCAGAGTGATTCCTTTCAGAACACTGTTCTTCATGCGCGGCAGCAGAGTTGTCACATCAGGCAGCGGCGGGACTGAGGGAGGGCTTGAGCTTGGCATAGTAGTTTTGGTGCAGCTGGGTCAGCACCTTGAGCATATGAGTAAGCTCATGGTCGTTGTCGGAGAGCGTTGGCTCTGGGCGTCCCTCGGGCTGATCAGTGTCCATTTCCTTGCCGTTATCGTCGGTATCCGGTCCGGCGCGTGGAATCGGTGTGGTGGGCGGCAGCATGCCAGAGTTGATATCGCCGACGCCGCTAAAGAAGGCGTATGGCTGGACCTTGATGAGGTTCGGCGACCACTGCCAGACATCAGCGCGATCGTCGAGGGCGACAACCATGCTTGTGTCGCACGGGAACAGGCGCCGCAAGGTCTTGTGTGTGACCGACCCGCTCTCGTCGCGCGACAGAATGCGCTCCTTGAAGTACCTGTGCCCGGGATCAATTGTGGCGGCAACAGCCTCGGCGTAATGGCGTGTGCCCATAGTGTAGATGTGCATTTCGTACATATCCGAGATCTTCTCCAGAAACTCGCGCAGGTTTGGCCGTAGCTTGATGTAGTAGCGGTGCGGGCCGTCGGGCAATACAAACGCGCCAATGTCGTCGGGCAGGGCAGTCGGCGGCTCGCTGGCACTGCTGTTGGGTCCGTGGTAGTTTTCAATGAGCCACTTTTCAAAGCTCGGGTCCTGCGAGGCGAAGGCATGGATGATTGTTTGGTCGAGGTCGATGATCAGGGAGAGCTTCTTGGCCTTCCACAAGCGGTGCATGGTCTCGCTCTCGAGCCGATTGGCCTCCTCGTAGCTGACACGCAGGCCCTTGGCGTCGTGTGACATGTTGATGTTAGCCCTCGACGCATCAATGCCCGACTGGTCAACACTATATTAAATAAATACCGGCGAATCGATGTTAGCACGCAAGGTGGTGGAGGGGAGGCGCGTGACATGGATAGCTAGCATCGAAAGTCCAGATGTGCATATATCCAGGTCCATCGCTCGTTTACTTACCGAGTCATATCCATGCCGCAAATCGAGCAGAGGCCGTTGAAGACTACGTCATGGCCGCACGGCTGGGTAATCTCAAGCAGGGCATCGCCGTGGCGGACGACCTCGCCAGTCCTGCCCAGAATAGCCGTGACCTTGCCGTCCAGCGGCGACCGCAGATACTCGCGCTTCTTCATGTAGCCATCTTTGTCAATGGTCCTTCGCAGGGCCTGCTCGAGAACAGGGTCGGATGATACGGGCTGATTTGGGTCGACTTTGACACGGTATTCATAGGTGAGCAGCGGCGTGTCCTTGTCGACGACATCGTCTACTGTGACTTTGAATTCAACCACCTTGGCTGGCTCATGTCGCCGCGGAATGACTATCGTGTTGACAGCTTCCATTTGTGATAGGAGAGATAATAAAAGCCTGCTGTGTTGAGGGGGGTGTAGGAGGGATTTTGCTTGAAGAAAAAGTAAAAATCGGAATAAATTTTTTGTTTTAAACTAAGGAGGAGATTTGCTGGCGGCGCGTGGACGCGGTTTTTATGCGGTCGGCGATTGTGAGAGGCAGGCCGGCTTATGGAGATGGTTGTGCGGCAGGTGGCCCGACCACCCCTACTCCAAAAATCAGTGGGCCAGGCTTCAGTCAGTACGAGGTTCGCCCACTCGGCTGGAGACGAAATTGCGCATCTTTCGGAGGAGTGGTCCAGCGTGACACAGGACAGAGGAACCTCAGGCAGGAGAGCCGACGGTGGAGACAGTGCCCGGGTGGCCAAATAATAAAGTGCGGATCAGGTGGGCGGCAGACAAGCTTCTGAGGAACAGGCAACCCCTCACCGGAGCCACATTTTCTTCTCTCCCAGGCTTTCTGTTTTATTTTTATTCCTCCACACTTTTTGCAAATGCGCCTGACAATTACAGTGCACCCGTCGACGACGTTCAACATCGAAGTCGACGACTCCATGGAGCTCGAGAACCTGAGGGCACTGCTTGAGATGGAGGCAAGTATGCAGGCAGCAGGCAGGCAGGCAGCAGGGGCAGGTGCAGCAAGGTACACGTCACTAACCAGGGTATTACGTAGGCAGACATCCCAGTGCAGAACCAGACGATTCTGCATAACGGGCAAGCGCTGACGAACGCAAAGGCATCGCTCAAGAACCTTGGACTGCAGAACGACGACATGGTGTACCTGTTTGACAGCACCAAGCAGCAGGCGCCAACACCAGCACCAGTCGCAGGGCCAGCGGCGGGAACCAGCCCGCAGATGGAGTCCCTGCGGCAGCGGCTTCTGAACGACCCGGTGCTCCTGCAGCAGCTGTCGCAGGGACAGCCGGAAATCGGAACGGGCGGCTCGGTCGAACCCAGCAGAGTTTGCGCGGCTCGTGGGGCAGCTCGAGGCGCAGCGGCAGCAGGCGGAGCAGCAGCGGCAGCAAGAAATCGAGGAGCTGAACGCGGACCCGTTCAATGTGGAGGCGCAGCGACGCATTGAGGAGGCGATCCGGCAGGAGAACGTGGCACGCAATATGGAGATTGCGATGGAGCACAACCCCGAGTCGTTTGCGCAGGTGACGATGCTGTACATCAACGTGGAGGTCAACGGGACGCCCGTCAAGGCGTTTGTCGACTCGGGTGCCCAAGCCACGATTATGAGCCCGGACTGCGCAGAGCGCTGCGGAATCATGCGGCTGCTGGACACGCGGTTCGCAGGCATTGCGCGCGGTGTCGGGCAGGCCAGGATCCTGGGCCGTGTGCATAACGCGCAGATGAAGGTGGGTGGGCAGATGCTGCTGTGCTCGTTTACGGTTATGGAGGGGAAGCATGTGGATCTACTGTTCGGCCTGGACATGCTCAAGCGCCACCAGGCGTGCATTGACCTGAAGCACAACGCGCTGGTGATTGGCGATGAGAGCATTGGCTTCCGGCCCGAGCACGAGCTGCCCAAGATGATAGACGACGCCGAGCAGCCCGAGCAGACAGGCGCTCCGGCTGTGCCGCCAGGTGGCATGGCTGCGGCACCGGCAGTCCAGCCAGCGGCCCAACCAGGGGCTGGCCAGGCCAAGTACCCGGAGGAGACGGTCCAGGCGATCATGTCGTTTGGCGTGACTCGCGAGCAGGCCATCAGCGCCCTGGACGCAGCCAGCGGCAACCCGGACGTGGCAGCCAGCTTCCTGTTCCCTTGAGGCTGCAGCTAGAAATAAATGGTATTAGATAACTAAGAAACTTATTGGGTCTGCCAGTTGTTGAAGTTCTGGTACTGGTTCAGCGGGAAGCTGCCGCCAAGCGGCTGTCCTCCGCGACGGGCACCATTTGGAACCGTGCCCTGGTGCTGCGGCGGCTGCTGCTGCGGCGGAAGTTGCTGCGCAGCCGGGTCCTGCTGCTGGTGTGGCTGTTGCTGCAACCGCCCGTCGGCCTGCGGGTGCGTGCGGTTAGGGAGCATCAGCAATGGATTGACGCCATAGATGCCCTGGGTGCCAAACATATTGTGGAGATGCGGCGGCTGCTGGGCTTGCTGAGCCTGCTGCTGCAACTGGATGCTGTTGGCGTCGGTAACGGCGGCAATGGAGTTCGCCTGGGGCCGCGAGAACTGGTGCTGCTGCTGGTATGTGGGCAGCGGCGAATTTGACGGCAGCACCAGGTTGTTGATAGCACCCAGAGGCGGTGACGTGGCGGTGACCGTGGGTTGGCGGTACGCGGGATTCTGGCGCTGCTGCGGATTGTGCATGTACTGCTGCTGGTACTGGTGGAAGCCGGGCGCCTGGCCCTGCATCGACGTCATCGGATTGGTGACGCTGAGCTGCGGCGACGCGGCCGAGGCGGCAACAGCGGCTGGCTGGCGCATGCGGATATCCACGGCCCGCTGGGCCTGCATCTGCATCTGCTGGGCTTGGGCTTGGGCCTGCACCTGCTGAGCCTGTTGGGCCTGTACCTGCTGGGCCTGCTGAGCCTGCTGGGCCTGTTGAGCTTGCTGCTGGGCCTGCTGCTGGGCCTGCTGCTGAGCTTGCTGCTGCTGCTGCTGCTGCTGCTGCTGCTGCAACTGCTGCTCGCGGTTCTGTGTATTAGCAACGCTCCTGTCAAATCTGGCATTGCCAGCTGCATGCTGCTGTCTTTCGTACTGCTGCTTCGCAGCATCATCCTCTGGTGCAGCCGCAGCCGCAGCCGTCCCAGCCGCCGCAGGCTGATTAGCAGCTGGATCAGAGATCACCGATATGGCGGTTGGCCGGGGCGCCGGCGACTGCCTGGCATAGCCGGGCGGCCGCGACACTGCTCGCTCAGGGTACGCCGGCTCGGTGCTAAGAAACACCGACGGATCGCGGGCCTCAGCCGACACGCCAGCGGCCTGCGCCCTGCTGTGCGAATGCACCTGCATGGGCTGCGACGGTAGCGCCAGCGACGTGTTGACCGACCGCTGTGCAATAGCCGGCGACGACGCCGCGTGCTGCGAAATAATATGATGCGACAACGTGGCCAGAGCCAAAGGCGTCGGTGTCGGCTCCTGGGCTGGCGGCTGCTTCTTCTTGCTTGGCTTCGGCTCCACCGGGTTTTTGCGCGGGCGGCCGCGCGGCCGCTTCACCACGCCAGTGGGCTGCTTGGGGGCAGGCGCAGGGGCAATCGGCGCAACCCCGGCGTTGCCGTTGAGCTCTGGCGAGTGTTCGGTGCGGCGCGCGGCGATCGGCGGCTCGGTGCGTGCGGGCGTTGCAGGCACATGCAGGAACTGGGCCGGCGTCGGCGCTGCCACCGAGGGCGGCGGCGGCGGCGCTGTGCGCATGCGCACCAGGCCGCTCTCGTCGGCGTCGGCGCCGCCCTCGGAGATTGTCGGCAATGCGGGACGGTCGGAGTTGCTGCTTTTCCACTCCAGGTGCTGGTTGAGCCGGCGGATCTCGCTCAGAACCTCGGCCACTGCGTCTGGGTTGCGTGCGGCCGACCAGCACAGGTCCGAGCACGCGGCCGACAGCTGCAGGAACAGGTTCTTGAACTCCTCGGTGGGCCCGCGGTAGCTGCCGTTTTCCTGCGCTTGCGTGGCCGCCGCCGCCGCCGCCGTTATGCTGGCCACGTCGCCGGTCCGCAGCGAGTTCGGCTGTGGCACCAGGGCGTCGTAGCGAGCCGCCAGCGAGTGGTTGTGCTCGAGCCGCAGCATGATGATCTTCCACATGCCTGAGGCTTGCCGCGACGCCCGCGCCAGCCAGCGGCATCCGGTCTTCATGGATTTCCGGCGGTGTGCGCCCGAGTGCGCCAGGGACTTGTGCGAGGCCTCGGGTGTCTCGGCATCTGACCGGCCCACGCTGTCCTCGCGCTTCGCGTCCTTGCTACGCGGCACTCCCTCGGATGAACACACGATGTCGCGTTTGCGGATGGTCCCTTCCTTGTCGCGCTCCACGTCGTCTAGTCGCACATTGAATCCGTTCTCTACCGCGAATTGCCGCACATGCTGGATAAACGCGTCCTGCGTTGCAAACAGCTGCTCCGGAAAAAGCGTGCACTTGTCGTTGGACATGCAAATTATTAGCAAGGGGTGGGTAGGCTAATTCGGCTCTGAACCCTCGGGTGCCCGTGGGGGGTAGCTGGGGGGGTTCGATTAAAATTGCTATAAAGCGCTAGAAAATAAGTGTTGAAAATACACAAAAAAGCTGGCGTCCTTTCTGACCAGGCCGGGGTGTGCCTTACCCGCTGCGCCTGCCCCCCTCCCCAAATATAGCAGCCCTGTCCTCCATCCTGACTGCCCCTGCGAGCCGGTCCCGTGATCAATTGCTCCCACGAGCTGCATATCCTGAGTCGACTGCCGGCAACACACTCTCACGCTATCGCACTGCTGCACTGTTGCACCGTCACCACCCTCCAGCTCACACCCTCTCACCGCCCTCGCTCTCACAATGTCCCTAGCACGCCCCTCGTCGTCTCTCATCATCACTGCCCCCTGGCGGGCAGCAGCATCGCCCTACAACTACCGCATCCTGATGGCCAAGCGCGTCAGTAGCGGCAGCTTCGAGAACGCCTATGTGTTTCCCGGCGGCGTGGAGGAGCCCAGCGACTCGCAATGGCAAATGTCACCACACAAGGTCTGTGCGCTCCGCGAGACCTTCGAAGAAACAGGCATTCTGCTCGCCTCGCCCACATCGACGGCCAGCCCTGGCCAGGACTTTTTCTCCCAGTGCTCCACCCGCACGCTCCTGGATATCCGCCAGATTGGCCGGTGGGTGACGCCGCGCGAGCAAAAGAAGCGCTTCGACACGCGCTTCTTTTTGCTGTCGGTGCGGGATGCCGATACGGAGATTCTGGGTCAGATCAAGCGCGCCAGCGTGCAGGAGTCTGAGCTGGTGCGTCTGGACTGGCTCACACCCGGCGAGATCCTGGAGGCCAACAGAGGCGCCACGCTGCCGCTGTTTCCACCACAGTTCTATATTGTCAACGAGCTGAGCAGGTGGCGCAGATGGCAGGACCTCGGCGCGGATCCGCTGGCGCTGGGCGACCCCGATAACCCTATCGAGCCGCTGCTGATTAAGCACAATGGGAATATGGTGTCGCTGTTCCCGGGCGACTGCGCCTATCCGAGAGGCACTGAGAGAACCCCAAGCGCCAGTCTGGATGGCTGTGACGGCCCGCTGCATCGTGTGGTGATGAAGAGAGCCAAGACTGGCGGATTCGTCCAGTGCGATCTCCAGAAGCGCCTTGGTGTGAGTGCGCCAAAGCTCTGACGTGTGCCTCCGTTTCCCCTGTTTTTGGCCGAATCATGCGATTCTGATCCTCCCTCTCCACCAGAGGCGTCATTGAGCACCGCCCTGCTTTATACAGCCCGCGGATCGGCACTGTGCCATGCGTCGGCTTCCTTGCACATGTAGTGAGACCTGCCTTCTATTTTTGCCGAGAGGTGTTGGGTTGCTGGCGATAAAAATAATGAATCTGCCAAAATAAACACTCTTCATCACCGAGTAACAGGCACGCAGCGCTGTCAAATCACCTGGAGGCCTACTGGCGCCTTCTCTCCTCCACTGTTTGCATGCACTTCTTTTCTACCACCTGCTCTTACTTGTAACCATGCGTCTGCCGTTCAGCCGTAACAAAAAGTCAAAAAAGCCTAACGAGTCCTTTGACAAACTGCCAGGCGACGATGCACATTCCTATGCCTCTGATGGCAGCGACATCGCCAATGACGGGACCGCCCGCGATTCCCTCTCCAAACCCAACCTCGGCGACATCGCCGGGCAGCCGGTGCACAGCTTGACCAGCCGGCAGCGCGGGCTGTCAAACGGCAGCATCGGGTTCTCAGTGACCAGCGTCGGACGGCCGATATCCACCGTGCTATCGAACCAGCTGCACTCGCCCTCACACGATCTGCAGCTGGCGCAGCTTGAGGAGGAGCTGGATACGATCATGGACGAGATGGGTCTGGAGGGCGAGCAGCGGATGAACATGAAGGCGATGCCGGTGGACAGCAAGCTGCAGTTGATCCAAACGCACAAGATGACGAGCCACGCCCAGAGGCTCATCACGCCGCTGTCGGAGCACCTGAAGATTCTGACCAAGGCCGGCACGCAGTCGCTGCCACGGTCGCGACTGGAGAAACTGCGCGTGGATATTTCGTACCAGAGCGTGCAGCAGATCCGCGGCTTCATCGATGACGGCGGCCTGAAGGTACTGCTGAGCCATTTGGTGCAGCTCAATAGCCGCAAGACTGCGCTCCGCCGCCAGGACGAGCTCATGAAGGAGCATGAGCTGCTGAGGTGCATTCTGGGTGCGATCAAAGTGCAGGCGGGTGCCGAGTATGTGACCGACGGGACATCACACCTGCGCCATATCCTGAACTCGGTCGATCCGCGCTGGCTGCAGTGCTCGACCGTGGCCCTGCGCATTGTCTGCTATCTGCTGCAGCTGCAGAGCCTCGAGTGCTCGGACGCCGTGGTGGCTGCATTGTTCCGCAGCGACGACCTGTCGGATCCCAACAATAAGCGCTCGGCCTTTGTCGCCTGGATGGAGACCGTGGAGACCGCGGCTGGCGAGTACAGCGTGGCTCAAGGCAAGGACCTGGTGGCCGAGTCGAATATCGTCGAGTTCATGTCATACACGCTGATGCTGATTGGGGCACTGCTGGACAACAACCACGAGGATCTGGCCCTGAGGGTCAAGCTATACAGCAAGTTTGGCGACCACGACATGTTTGCCCTGTTCAGTTCGCTCAGGAGCTGGGGCGTGTCGGTCATTGACTCGCATCTGAACCGCTGGGACGAGGTGCTGCGCCGCGACTACAACATCGCGCGATCGATGAAGCCTGGCCAGATCCTGATGGAGAACAGCCGAGACAGCTCAGTCATAGACAGTTCGGCATTCAAGACTTTTGTGGAGCGATACGAGAGGGCTAGGGATGCCCACCTCATCGACCAGTCAGACGACGATGCCGACAGCTACCTCAACATGAACGTGTCCACATATGCGATCCCGACGGCCAATAGCGAGACCACCTACGAAATGCCCGCGGCCCGGTTCGACTCGACGCGCTCAGTCCCACAAGTCTCGCACAGCGACCACCCCTCGCCCAGCAACAATAACCCGTTCTTCCACAGCCTGAGCAACTCACCGCGGCCGCTGTCGACGTCGGCGGTCGACGAGAGCCAGGACGTGGAGGCGCAGAGGGCGTTCCCGTTCACCATGCATAACCGCAGCCGCTCGAATGTGGCGGAGACCGGGAGTCTCCGGGCACTGCGGGCGCCGGGCGCGTCGCCGGGCCCAAGAGCCGCCATTCCACCGATGACCCCGGCCAAGAGCCCGGCGGGCCCTGTGGGATTGGCGAAGAGCGCAAATGTGCTGCTGCAGAAGTCGCTGGCAGCCATTGCGAACGACGGCAAGGGACTAGCGCTGGGCGAGGCAAAGGAGCTGTATCGTGAGTTGCTAGCAATCTCGCAGGTGACGCAGGAGCTGCTAGACACCGTGGATCTGGCAGAGTTCAGCAGCAAGCAGTAATGGACTAATCTCGGTCACCCATCATCGCTGTAACCTCGCTGGCCCTGCTTTTGAAGTACTCTAGCCTGCTTTTCTCTCTTTGCAAATTTTCATTACTTTTTCCTCGTTCTAATTTCAGTTTCTTTTTTTTTTTTTTTTTCATACAGATGGCAGGCAAGGCTGTAGATTTGGACGTCGATGACATGGACTTCCCACTGCCAGAGCAGCAGTCGCGCGCGTTCCCGGCCGAGGGCATCCGTATCGGGCAGAGCCTGGGTGGAGTGAAGTTTGTGAACGACGAATCGCGCTTCAAGCGGTGGGTATGCCTGTACCCGCTGTACTTCGACAAGGCGCGCTCAGTGGAGCAGGGCCGCAAGGTGCCGCAGTCGTTGGCGGTGGAGCAGCCGTTTGCGCGGCAGATCGCTGCCGCGGTCAAGGAGGTCGGCTTCAACGTGTGCTACGAGCCGGGCAAGACGCACCCGCGCGATTTCTTCAACCCCGGGCGCGTGCGCGTGCAGCTCTTTGACGAGGAACACCGGCCGGTCCGCCATGACATCCAGACGCGCAAGAAGCTGATGCGCTATGTGGCCGAGAGAATGCCCCACGTCAGTGCCGAGCGCGAGAAGGAGCCGACGCTGCAGGATCTGATTGACTCGGGTGCCATGCCTGTGTTGCCTGGCATGCCGCCGCCCGGCGCCAACAACGACGAAGAGGAGCCGGCTGCGCAGCCCAAGCCTGGCAAGCAAAAGAAAAATAAGAAAAAGGGAAAGGCGAAGCATCTTGTTTGAAGAATACACATGACTATGAATGCACGTTGGTGATGCGCCAGTTGCCTGGTGTGTATATGTACACTTTGTTGTCCGGTGACGGGCCCGGGGGCGGCGACGGCGGGAATGTCACGGTGTATGACGTGGTGGGCTGTTCATCATAGTAATGGTGGTGTTTGACCACAGTCTTTGCGGGCTTTCTGGCAGGCTGTTCGCTGTGGTGGTGGTGATGGTAGTGCTTGACCACAGGCCGCTTGGGTTGCGCAGTGCTGTCGGATTTCGGGAACAGCGAGAACCTCTCCTTGGGCTTGTCCTTTTTGCGCGCCGTAGTACATTCATATACGTCGTAGTGCGACTTGACAGTGCACTGGTGGCCGTTGGTAGGCGCACAGTTGCAATGCGTGCAGACAGTCAGCGGGGTCTTGTGGCGCCAGTACTCGCCATAGCGCCTGTCGCGCTCGGCGCAGTGGGGACAGCAGTGGGCTGCGGTTGCCGGCTTGCCGAAAAGCTTGTCAAAGAATCCCATGGCAGGAAAAATGATAAAATGAAATAAAAATCAAGGAGTGAAGGCGAAGAACAACGCGGCGAGGTGTTTCGAATAAAAATTTTGACAGTAAATCGTCAAAGCGCCAGGACTGCATGTCAGCTCCTGGGTGCATGCTTTGCACAGCGGCGGTTTAATACAGCATGCACCCCTTTGGTGCCAACTGCACAAAGCAATTGCCCAATATCGCTTTCTGTGGTGATGTACATACCTGGTGTCCGAGATCAAGGCGCAAATAGCAAGTCATGTGGATTGATCGGTTGATTTGCAGATTCCTGCGATGCTTGCCGTGATTTTCTATTTATCTCCAGGCTGCATCGCAATTTTTCAGCTAGTCTTGTCTCCATTTCCTCTCGTTCCATTCCTAAAAAAAATTCACCACAGTTGTTTGAAATCATGTCGTCGTTGCTTGCGCGTTTAACCGGCCGGGCAGCCTTCACCATGGCCCGCAGCATGTCGACAGAGGCAGCAGCCGCCACCGAGAAGGTGGGGCGGCAAATTGCCATTCCGCGGCCGCGCGGGCAGTTCGACAGCCCGGCGACGTTCCTCCAGACGATCGGACGCGGGTGCGAAAAGTTCACAGACAAGTTCCGCGACTGGGACCATTTGTTCCGCGCCGACTCGCTGGCCATGAAGAAGGATCTGGGCATCGGACCCAAGCAGCGGAAATGGATCCTGATGTGGACCAACAAGTACCGCATGGGCATTGATCCGTATCTGATTGAGCCCAGCAAGAAGCACTCGATGAAGCGCGTCGACAGACTGGCCAGGGCCAAGAGACGCGGACGCAAGTGAAGGGATCTTTCAATAGCTCGCCTAATGTTGCTTGCCAAAATGCCACTAGCGTATATCCACAATTGTTTTGATCGCCAGTGTGTGCGATGGTGGCACTCGTCTGGGTGCCAAAGTGCCCTTCACGTCACACCTCTTCTCCTGTTTCCACCTGGAAAACTTTTTTCTTCTACTTTTTGGCCCTCTAATCGCAATAGCACGCTTTTCTTGTATACCGAGCACAGGAGAGAACCCCACAGCTGCCGCTATAGCCAGTACACCCGCGTATTTCTTTTTCCACGAGCAGCGCAAACCCGCAAATGCTAAAGTTTGAGAATTCGTTCTGGGACAATCCAGGGCCAGGACAGCAGCCCCGATATGAGCGGGGGCCCCAGCGGCTCTACGAGAAGCTCGAGCAAGGCTCCAGCGAGTGTGACGAGCTCCTTTCCTTTCTGCGCGACCGCGTGATGATCGAGGAGGCGTATGCCAACAGCCTGCGCCAGCTGTCCGAGCGGCGGCTGTCCCCCAAGGGCTTTGGGCGCGACGAGGGCGCGACGCTCAAGACAGCGTACCGCGGGCTGGTCGCCGAATGCATGGCGCTCTCCGAGGCCCACGCCGATTTGGCGCTGGAGCTGACCAACTCTGTGATCATGCCCCTGCGGAATTTCGCCACCGAACACCGTGCCCGCGTGCGCTCGTCGTGGAAGATTATCGACGACACGGTCAGGCGTGCGTCGGCCGAGATTAACCAGGTCGACAGGAACCATCGGGTCTATACGCAGAAGGCTGCCATTGCTGAGCAGATGCGTCTGAAGGAGAGCCCGTCGGCGATGCAGCCGCCGGCTGGGTCCGATGTCTTCGAGGTGAAGCCGCGGCCCAGCATGAACCTGCCCACGGCGGAGGCAGCAGCTGCGCATGCGGCCGATGTGGCGCGCTCGGGGGCTGAGCCACTGTCGCCCATGGATGGACGTGTGCTGTCGTCAAGCGGCGATATCGGCGTGATCCACTCGCCGGTTCCGCCAGTGCAGGGTGAGCTAGATGTGGCCAGCATTGTGCTCGGCAACGTCGCCCTGACCAGGCACGAATTCCACGTCATGCTGCAGCGCATGCAGACCGAGGTGCAGCAGCACGACGTCAGATTTGGCATCCTTGGTACATTCCGCGGGTTGATCTCCGGCGAGAGCCTTGCTGGTTGGTGGTGCACCAACTATCCGACTGTGGTGCGCAACGAAGCCGACGCGATCTCGGTCGGCCAGAGCATGATGAATCAGGGGTATCTGCGCTTCATGGGTCGCGGCTCGCAGTTCCAGTCGCGCTCCAACGCCTACTACCAGTGGAAGAAGCCGGCGCTCGAGTTCCAGAGCGACGACGACTATGACAGCGACGATGAGCCGCTGGGCAACCGCCGCCCATTCATGGGCAAGGTCATGACGTACGAGCGGGCGCAGCGCGAGGCTGACGAGGCCAGCTCGATCTACCGCGATTCGGCTGTGCGCGCAGAGCTCCTGCGCACGGACCTCGAGGAGGGCCTGACAAACTACCTCGAGACGATGGAGGTCTGGGAGCTCAACCGCCTGATGAACATGAAGAGCACCATCAGCAGCTATGGCAAGGTCTGCAAGCTGCCAGTCCAGGCAGAGCTCTCAATCGCCGACCGCCTGGAGGTCTATGAGGAGAGCATCAAGCCGCAGCAGGATATCCAGTGGGCTATCGAGCACTACGGCACGGGGCGATTCACCCCACGGCCGATTCTGTTCCGCCCCTTCAGCCTCAGCCCGGCCGAGTACCAGATCTTTGGCGTGCCGCTCGACGAGCAGCTGGTGGTCTCACACAAGGACATCCCGCTGTTCCCAGCTAAGGCCCTGAGTCTGATCCGCAAGGCGTCACGGGACATGGAGCCTGCAGACCGGTACAAGATCTGGACCACTCGCACGCTGCTGAAGAACATCCACGAGCTGCGCAACGGCGTCAACCGCGGATCGCGCGTCACACTGAAGCAGCTACGCGAGTACGACCTGGCCGTGGTCGCCAACACTCTAGTTCTCTACCTGCTTGAACTGCCCCGCCCGCTGTGTCCTGATGAGATTTACGACCCCCTGCGTGCCGTCTACGGTTCGCGCAGCGAAAAGGACAGCTCGCTTGACGCCCTGCAGTCCATTAGCCACTTGTTGCAGGGCATCAGCTACGCGCACCTGAGGACATTGCAGGTCCTGTTTGCTACCATCAACGAGCAGATTCAAGGCGATGTAAGCCCTGAGCGGGAGGAGTTTGTGCGTGCAGTCAGCCAGCGCCTTGGCCCAGTTATCTTGCGAGCACACGAGATCGTCGGTGTCACCGTCAACCGCTTGCCGGAGCACTTTGCCCGCGACCTGATCGAAAACTACGATGTCATTTTGGCCAACATCCAGATTGAGCGGCCAACCAAACCCACAGAGCAGCCCATCAAGACCCACGAGGACGTAGACGAGCTCACCCGCAACATGGCTTCTATGGACACCGGTGCTGCTGGCAGCAGTGCTGCTGCAGTCGTTGGGCCATCAGCTATAGCATCGCCGCGGGTATCGCTGGAGAAGCCGCGCGCGTCCCTTTCGGCAGATGATGCCCAAAAGACAAAGCGGTCGTTTGATGATGACGAAATCTCTGTTGACAGTATCTTGGAGGATACGAATGATGCCAACCACAACTCGGAGAGCATGGATTACTTCCTCAAGGACGAGGACTCCGACGGTACCGACGATGACGACGATGACGACGATGACGAGGACAAGGACATTTAAACTACATTTTTTTCTTATCTCTTTCCAAACTACATGTCTATTCAGCTCTTTTCTACATTGCTTGAGGCAACACATCGAGTAGCTTTTGTCGAGGATGCAAGGCGTCATCCAGAGCCGACCAGTCTGCGATCGGCGAGTCGTTTAGCGACCAATTTGGCGATGCTTGGCGTTTGAGCCAGTTGAAATCGTCCACCTTGTCAAACGAATTCGAGATGCCTTTCAGCCCTGACCTTGCAAACTCCTCCTCCATGGCCTTCGATCCGAACTCTGGGTATGGCGCAAACCGGATCTCCGTTGACTTCTCAATGATCGGATGGCTGGCACAGTGCAAATATACATCGATATTCCGCGAGTTCTCCATGCGGAACTGCCGCACGCCAATGATGAAAACGCAATTGCTGGAGTCACGGATCGTTGTCGAGCCCGCAAATGGCCCACATATAACGATGCAATTTTGGAGTCGGCGGCAATTCAGTGCGCGTAGCGAACCGCCAATGCTGCGCAGATCCACAACACTCTCGGAGATGTCGCGCAGCTCGCCGTCAGTTGATGCGCTTGCAGCTGACCGTGGCTCGGCAACCACCCACTCGCCGGCAATATCCTTGAACACGTACGAATCCGAACTATCAGTGCTATTCGCCGCCTGCTCTGGCTGCGGCTCCTCGGCCTTCTTTGGCTGCACTTTGCTCGTAGTCGTTGCCTTCTTGAACTTGAACCCGAACCGCTTTGTTTCGCTTTGCTTGTGCAGCAGTGCGCGCAGCTCCTCCAGGTCCTTGGTCAAGTGCTTCTGGTCGTATGCGGGCAGGTATATGTTTGCCTCGCGTAAGGCGATATCCAGCTGGCGGAGGCGCTGGGCTGCTTCGGATCTGTTGCTGGCGATTGTGGACTTGATCGTAGCGTACTCGGCACGGAAGTGCTCGTAGAACTTTCCTGCCGCTGAGGCATTCGCCATGCTGCCTGCAGATGCCATGGCTGTTTTTCACACAGGTTTTATGGATGAGGAACCTAGAAAGATATAAATAGGCTGTGACAGTTGCTATCGCTGCCACTTTTGCAGTCCGGATTTGTATTTTGCTGTTGGGTAAGCCAGGAGAATGGGATTATCTGTGGGAGCAGCACCTTGTTGCTGAAAATAGCGCTTGGCCATGGGCAGATATGTGAAAGTGCCGTCAACACCAGAGGTAGACAACCGGCTAAGCAGCGTGTAGTGCGCTTCGACAGGTTGCCAAGTCTACTTTAGCCATCTACAGGATGCAGCTTACCACTGTAGTATCTTGTGCTGCAGCCCATGAGCAAAAGGTTTGCCGGACATTGTCAGAGAGTTTTGGATACTTGCAACCCTGTCGTGTATATTCTAGAACATAAAAGCTGGTATATCAAGTATAGATATTTTTAGAATGCTCCAATATTCCTGTGTTGCTTCTATGGTTATCGCAGATGATGTTGGCATCTTGGCTCAGGGCCACAATTAGGTTAACTTTTGTTTAAATAATTTCGTACGATGCTGTCCTAACACATCGACTTCACACAACTTTTCTAACCTATTTCGTCACTGTTTTGAAAATGCCCAGCATAATTTTGAGCTCGTCGGTCTTTCAGCATATGCTTAACCTCACAAATGTCGCTTTTGGCTACCTCCTGTCAGGTGTCATGTATGCTGTCGCCGTCAGTATTAGTTCTGCTCAGTTCGTGCAGTACACCAGGTCTGGTGGAAAAATGTTTCTTTATTTTGGCCGCTGGACTGTCCACCTTAGCGTCTGGAAGAAGATAGGCTATTTCATCGAGCTTGGTGTTGTGCTAGCCCCATCTCACTCCTCTGTTGTCTTGGAGCGCTTTGATATCCCTGGGATTGAGTACTGCAAGGGCATAGCCCGCAACATGACGCTGAATCCAGAACATCTGGCCACTACTCCCTCTGGCAAATGCAATGACCTCCTTCTAGATGGCTGGCTCTAGCATAGCTGCACTGGAATCGCTTATCCTCGCAACTTCCAGCTCGCAGATGCTGATGTTGTTCGGCGCAAAACTAGGTTCGACACTAGTTCTCGTGGATGGATAATGGAGCGAGATGACCCTAAGCTGGCATGAGGTAGTAGCACGGGCTACTTTCAGAACGGCTCTTTTGCTGCTCTTCCAGACCTGACCGAAGCCTTTGTTGAAAATGCGTCGGCGGCATTCGAGCCTGATCACATTGTCCAGAGCAGTCATAAGCTGCTCAACTACATCGTACCAGATTCAGATTACAACATTGCCGGTATGGCTGAGGGTAGCGCGCTGAATAGGTACACAACCACCTTGTTTTCTTCAGTCAACGATATGCTGGTTAATTTTTATACCAACAATACGCGCTTAGTTGAGAATATTCACGCTATTTCTCTCAGAAGGGACATGACTTTGTAGTACCACATTCGGATGAATAGTACGCACAAAGCCTATATTGATACGTATTATATGGACACACCATACGCCGGCATGTTTAAACAGTATAATCCCAACGTCAAGGACTCAATTGCCCCTTTTCAGTTTGGTGGATGTGTACTTGCATATTGAGTACTCCAGGAGCGTTTCGGAAGCCATATGCGAGCACGCCGATAGTTCGGTTAAGATTATGCGGACGTCCATGTGCCAGGGTCTTGTGGATATTGAATACGTATCCGGAAACATGTGCAATACAGTTTAGCACCAAATGGAGGTTAACTTCCTGGTAGCTGATGGCAAGGTGCGTGATTATTGGAAATTCAGTCCGGAATCGCTCAGCACAAGCATCGCCACAACAAATAAGGATGGCAGCATCATTAGTGGTATTACACTCTGCAGTTCGATATCGCTGACCCCTACCCAGAACCCCACTGCATGCAGCTGGTCTGTATTCAAAAAGTCAACCCGCAACTACCACACGCTTGCCTCAATTTTTGCATCTACCGGCAGACTCATTGAATCAGGGTCAATTCCCCTTCCAGGCCATGACTACAAGTATATACAGGGTGTCGTAGTCCACGCGAGCGGGATAGTTGCATTTTCGGTCATTCTTGCGTCTGCAGCAGTGCTGGGGCTGATTCTATTCCTGACGAAAATCATGAATCTTTATTCCTACCATGCAATGGACGTTGTTGCCAGTACAGCACTCGAGGAGAAGGTCAGTATATGCGAGCCCTCAACCCTGGAATACCACCATGACGGAAGCCACGATTCGGGATACAATATGGCTGTAAACGAGTTTGTTCTCAAGGGAATACGTTCGAACAAGGACGAGTTGTCTTGTGAGCCGACGGTAGTATGAGCGAATCCTGTTCCTATCTTCAATCACATAGATAATTGTATTTATTACTCAGAATTGTACCCACTCGAAAACACCATGGTGTGCGCACCAGCGGGAGCCGTTCGAAAGCTCACAAATGAAAATGGCTTCCAATGAGACCGATCCATTGTCATGGGTGTGGGCAAGTGCTGAGCTGGCTATAGATCCGCTCTATTCGCACAAAGATGACCCACAAATACGATTCCTCTCCAAGAGCATTTCCGGCAACAGCCAGTTTATGCGTCTGCCACCTGTTGCTGGTAGTTCCCACCAATCGCATACTTTGTTGTGAAGAAATCTAGGGCCGAGCTGATTTCGAATAGTTCGTTCGAATGCCAGCTTTACCAAGTTGAGGATGAGCTTGTGAAAATCAAAAGGCAGATCTATACAATCACATTTGCTCACAAAGAAACCTGGCATGGCCCAGGGATTCTGAGTTGACTGGCAGGGTTTGGGCACGCTGCTGCCTTTTCTGGTAAACACATTGCATCTTAGTCTAGTTGCTGTTTTGTGTGGAACACACCCAGGAAATGCACATGTCTGTAGGTATTCGGTAAGCTTTTGGGCACATTGGGCGGTGGGCCAGGCAGCCTCCATGTACTATCTGCCCCCTTGAATTCTATCCGGTCAGGCTGCATTCGAACTTCCCATGTGGTGATGCCAGATCCAATCGCTGATGTAGCGTCTGATTTCTAAAGGAGGGGCACTCTTCACAATCTCATACACAGACTGTGTGAATCCTCCTCCTCACATGCTACATTTTGCGGTGTGGGAATCGCTTTCCAGGATGTGAGCCAGTAGGCAGCAGCAAAAAGCATGCTTCGAACAGGATTTGTGGGGACTGTCGCTTTTCTGTCCAAGTAATAGTATGAGTGTATTCTTGACAGTCGACATCCAGCTTCAAATGCCCTGAGGAGGGAGGACCAGGCATGCAATCGGCAAGATATTTAAATAGCCCACTTTGCACACGGTGTCTGGGTGTTCCTTATCCTCTCTACCTTGTTCCCCAGTAATACTATTTTTCTTATCTTTCACTAACTCCAAGCCAGATCTCCATCATGAACTTCTTCAACGTCCCTGCCAGCGCTCTTCTTGCGCTTGTCCTGATTGTTGGTGTCGCTAACGCTAACCCGGCCGACCTTGGCAAGCGTGGTCGCGAATGCTGTGGCTACGCTGGTGGCCGCTGCCTTTCGTGCGACTAAATCTGTCAATACCATACGGCGACACCTGCCGCTCATCGATAACTTCATTTGAACGCTGGTTTCTCAAGGTGTCGCAATATATCCACTATCTAACTCCAATGTTGGTAGGAATCACCTGCAAATGCCTTTAGCTGTGAGACCGTACTATTGTGCTTAAATGTTTTACTGGCACTATGTGCTGCAATCAGCAGAGGTATTTTCACATTGCTGGGCTCGATTACATCTTTAGCTACGAGCACAGCCTTGTGGCCAAAACAACCTAGCTGAATGCAGGTATTGGTGAAAAGGGTGTTATAATCGTGATATCCCAAAATGTTTGCAGCTTCAGGTATCCTTTCTGTCTGATGAGGATGGGTTACCATGCGTCACGTAAACACCCACATTATCATAACTTGGTATGAATATGACGCTTACCTAGGTGAGAGGCTGCTTCTTATTATGCTGCTGGTATGTTCAAGTTCGCATATACGGTATTCGAACAATGCTTGGATTGTGATGTCTGACCATCGGGAGGTATTGAGAGACGTAGTAATCCTTACGTGGCACTAGAATACCAGACACTGCTCATAACAGAAAACAATGCGAGTTCATGGTGTCCTTGCCAGAACAATTGGTATTACTACCGATTGAAAACAAGCTAACAGAATCATGGTCATGGCCACCACTGACACCAAAAAGGGTGTCGTTGGCCTCACTTGCAATTTGCTGTGTGCTAATAGCAAACAGATATCTCTGTGGAATCATATGATGGCACAACCTGTAAAAGGGTGTCAATTTCCACCATCGCCAATCTTCCTTGCAAAGCTAGACATATCCTGACAATAGATTCCTGATAGCCATTCCATGCGTCAGAATCCCTTTGCGAGATCACTTGCATTGCTACGCCGACGTTCGGTTTCTGTCAAGGGCAGAGGTTGTCAGATATTTGACATCGGGATATTTGCCTGATTGGATCACCATCCTACATGTGCCTTTGAGCGGCTTTCAAATTGCTATGTGTAATCAAGAATGCGATTAACCAAGGGGCTGCACAAAGAGGGGCTGTCAGATACGCAGCGATCCAATGCACCGAACATGCGTGTGTTCTGCTGACAGCAGATTAACAGGTACTTGCGCCTAGGCTTGGGATTGGTTCTACGGTAGTTTTGCGGGTTGTTCTATTTTTGGTGGGGCGGGAGAGGTTGTCAACGTAGCACCTCATCGGCTGATATATGGAGGAGCCATGCGGATTGCACAGCGAACAACCACAACTCCGTTAAATTGGCCTTGGGCCGCTCTGTTGCCAATTTTGTGCTGTTTTCAACCTCACCTCTCCTCCCCCCAGCACATCGGTCCCTAAACAGTAGCCATGACGTTTTTAACTCCGACAGCATTCCAAGTCTTCCTTTCAATATCAGGCCTGATGACTGGCTATATTGCTGCGTTTATTATGTCCTTTATTGCAGCATGTATGAAGTCGGTACAATTCGCACAGTACACAACGTCAGGCATGATGATGTTGGCTGCATTCCCGCGGTGGACAAACCATCTTACTCCGTGGAGGAAGCTTGGGTATTTTGTGTGCCTGGTCATCGTGCTTCTTTCATACCACTCCTCTATCGCGCTTGAGCGTTTTGGAAGGTACGGAATGGAATATGTTGTTGGAGAGAATGCAACAGTTGCCATCGATTTTAACCTGCTAGCGACCGTCCCGCCTAGCAAGTGCAAAGACTACCTCGCAGACAATCTCCAGTGGTACAATTGCACTGCCATCGCCGACCCACGCGAATTCCAAATTCTGCCATTGGAGGACCAGCAGTTCTCGACAATGTTCAACGACACGTCTCGCGGATGGACAATCGACAGGGAGGATGTTGAGACCGCATGGGTGTCTCCTCAATTGTACCTTCAGAACGGCGCGTTTGTCGCTCTGCCCGACCTGTCGAGATCATACCCTCAGAACAAGTCGTCTGTATTCGAGCCAGACCATGTTGTGCTGACGAACATGACTTATTTTGATGTTCAAAGTCTGTACCCTATCTCTGGACGAACACACAGCGGAGTATACAATGCCCTGAACATCTTTGCCACCACGCAGTACAATCTTGGCCCAAAGGGACTGGTGGACTACTACAGTGACAACTCCCGCCTGACACAAGGAATCTACGCCATTCAGCTGGACAAGGACATGATCCTGTACTATCACGTTCGGGTTAACAGCACACACCACGCGTACAACTCCACCTATTGCAAGGACACGCCGTATGGGGATATGTTTATGGAGCATTACGCCAACATTGCCGATGCCGGTGTGCCCTTCAGCGAGCTCGACAGCAACAAAGTACACAACTATACTGGCCATGTTGCCGACATTGGTTTTGAACACACCGATTCCTCGTTCAAGGTGACGCTTACAAGCATCAGCCAGCAGAACGCACGTCTTGGCTACATGAGCAGCAACATGTGTGACACCTACTACTACCAGTCGGAAATCAGATACAAGATCGTTCAGACCGAATCCACTGGTGGTGGCACAGTCGCTCCTGCAGAATTTGGCACCAGCATTGTGACTATGGACGAGAACGGCTACAACATTGCAGGAATTTCGTTCTGTAGCTCAATTGCGCTATTCAATGACCCGTTTGCGCGCTGTGACTGGGGGAGCTTCACTAAAACCATCCAATACTACCACCCGCTTGTCAAGAGCGTGATGAGCTACAAGGGCGACCTACCGCCTGGCGAGATCCATGTAGCGGGGAACAAGTACAGCATCAAGGAGGGAATCTATATCGGAGCAGCGGCCAAGGCAGTGTTCGGTCTGATTGCCGGCCTTGCTGCTATCTTTGCTATTATACAGATAACCGTGCCTGGGTTCGGCCCGTATTCATCACACGCCATGGACATTATCGCTGCTGCATCGCTCGAAGAGCCGGGGAAGCTGGATGCGTTCCCTTGTGTGGCATTCCAGTATGACGGCAACCACATAGATGGCTACAGAGTCCGCCTTAATGGCTATGAAGTGCAGCTTCGACAATATGAGCAGCCCGGGATGTCGCGCAAGTCATTGGCGCCTTGGGCAAAGGCGAGCCAGAGTGATACCTTTTCCGACGCCGACACTGTATTCAGGAACTCGGGCGTATTTCGTCACCCTGTTTACAGGAATGTTTAAACACGGCACTAAGCTAATCTAATAAATATTGTCCTTTCATACAGCTTCAACGCTTATACACGAATTTCCAGCACACCGAATATTGCAAACGATTGGCCGGAGCACCACACGGCCCACGCATTTGCACTATATCGGTGTTTGCGACTACCGAACAATGGCCCTGAAACAGTCTACCAGGCCCAGCGGTCCTTTAGACTCTGTCTGAAACGCCGAGGGGCGGACAAGGACGGGAGGACCCATCCGGGGCCTGTTGCTGGCCACGCGAGCCCCATGGGTGCACAATGCACCGGCTCAGGTCCCAATTCTGGCGCCAGTGTACCCACCTGACAATGCCATGCTGTCCTGTTTTGTGTGGATAGCTGCAAGCCACAGGTTATATTGCACGAATATAGCAGACAAGGGCGACTAAACAGGGAGTTGCAGCTGTGGTGTAGATGTGGGAGTGGTCTCGCGAGCTGTGCTCCCTTCACTGCTAGTCTGCCAAAACCTCGCACTTCCCAAGAGCAGCCTATCCCAATACCAGTTATTTTCACCCGATTTTCCTCTGCGATGAGCCGACAGGGCAGCGTACCCAATACGACCACCACCAGCTCGACAGCCAACTGCAGCTGTGGGTCGGTTTGCTGGCTGTGTTGTGGGGGACTTGGGGGAAAGGTGGGGGAGTCGACCGCGGGCTCCAGCATGGAGCACGCCCAGCAGTCAACGTCCACTCAGCAGATGCGCCAGAACGGACACATCCGGCCCCTGCGCTCGTGGAGCTCGTCAGAGAAGCGAAGGCCGGTGGCTGAGGAGTCGATGGTGCGTTCGCGGACCAGCCCACGGAGATTCAGCGTGGGCGGCTCTGCCTCAGGGGCCATCAGTGGGTGTCGGTCCCGTGGCCAACTGGCGTTACACGCGTGGGCAGAAGAGGACGAAATGCAGCAGCCCATTTCGCCAAACTACTATTTGCAGAAAGCGTGTGGTGATCGGGCGGCAGATGGCGATCGCCGCGGAGCGGGTATAAATAGCACCGGCAGGCATTGGGTAGACGCAGGCAAAGAAGCACTTGGCGCCAAACCGTCGATCCCCGAAACACTGCACAACTTTTACGAGCTGGGGTCATCGAGCAGCTCCAGCGCACCGTCGTCAAGGCGCAACATTCCTGGGAGGCAAGTGCAGGGAGGGCGGTATTCGATTTCCATCCCGTCGATGATCAGCTCACCGCTGTCATTCAACCAGCCGTTTTTGGCATCCCGGACGTCGATGTATGGCAAGCACCCGCCGTCCAGCCAGATCCGGGCCGCACACATCGACTGGGACAGCCTGTCGATGATGGAGGAGCTTGGGTGGAATGCGCCGAGCAGCAGCCGTGCGGACTGGCAGGTCTGGCGCGGCCCTGGCGCGCCAGGTTTTGCGGCGAATGGCAGCACCAGCGGTCACGGGAAGGCCGCCAAGGGCGGCAATCCCTTTATGCAGCAACCCCAGGTCGCCTTTACGCAGCAGCTGCAGCTTCAGCATCAGCAGCAACAATACCTGCACTGTCTGCAGCACATGCAGCACATCAGCCAACAGCCCCACCCGACCCACCAGCAGTACCAAGGGCAGCAGCCCCACCACCCGCAGTTGCAGACGCACCAGCAATCGCAGACACACCAGCCGACGCAGCCCCCGCTTCCGACCATGCAGCCGCCAGCACATGCCCACCCGCAAGTGGCACCCCAGGCAGGGCCAAACGGAGCACAGCAGCCGATCCCTGTCCCCGGCGGGCACTTGTTTGGGGATGCTCTAGGAATGGCCGGCATAGCCGAGCACGGTGCTCGGTCGACACCGCTGTCGCTGCTGGGCGAGCGTGGCCAGCAGCTGGCGTGGGAGTACGCGCGCCAGTTCCACCCGATTTTAGTCAGCTTCTCCACCGCGTCGCCACACAAGCTGTCGGTGTCGTGGCGGTGGACGCTCTTGTTCTTCCTGGCATTATCGACGCTGTGCGTTGTTGTTGGAGTGCCGGTGGTTCTGACCATTCTGCTTCGCCAGGAGGAATCCTTTTTTGTGAAGCACTAGCTACCAAAACGTTTTCCACACGTCTTTGCAGAGCCCCATGCTTTATTTTTGCAAAGCGAACTGGTTCATTATTTTCATGCACCATCCCCAGAACACCTGGTCCTTTGTTTTGGCTTGTTGCAGGTTCGGAATCACTACTGAAATTAAAAAGTCTTGCGAAACCGTGGTCCCAGACAATGGCCTGCAGCGGCTCTTTCAAAAGAGTGAATGAACCGGCCACAGCTATTTTTAGTGCCCATTCGTGTTGTCGCAGTGCAAGACCGAAGGCACAGAACGGTCCCCGCCATTTTCGGGCCGCCGAGTGCGAGATTGTTGCGCAGTAGTCGGCGCCACGGCCAGGTGTGGCGGCGAGCATGAAAGCGGGGAAGCTAGGTCGCACAACTGTCGGGCGGGGGGTGGGCTGGGAACCCCACCCCGGGCCGCGCCAATGGCAGGCCGTAGACCGCTGATTGCACGACGCTAAAAAGGGAAGCGCTTGCAGCCCCAATGCACAGCGGTTTGCATTGATTTTCGCCCTGGCATTCATGGTTCTTTGTTGTCTTTGTTTCGAAAGGAAAATGCCACACCAGCCAGAGAAATCGAGCTGCACTGCGCTATTATAAAGACTAGGTCCAATCCTTCAGCCTCACGACAGACAAAAAACTTCCCTCTTCTCCTTTGTCGCTCTTTTTATTTCTTTGGAGATTCACTTCGCCTTGCACTTTTAATTATTCAGCTTCTGGCCTTGCCTATCCACTATTATTGCACCTCAGACACACACAAAAATGCAGACCCCTTCGTCTCGCTACTCATCCTCGCTCTCCTCGGAGGGCTCGTGCCCGCCGGTTCAGCTGCGCAAGCTGCAGGCAACACACGAGGGCTGGCTCTACAAGCAGAGCACAGGCTCGTTTATGCGGTCGTGGAAGCGGCGGTACGTTGTGCTGTCGGATGAGCGCCTTTATATCTTCAAGGAGAGCTTTGACTCGACATCCACAACATCTGTGGTGGCGCTGTCGAACTTCCGGTCCGTGCGGCGGGTGGCGAATCCGCGCAAGACCCCCTATGGTTTGGTTCTGATGACACACCGGCGGTCCTCTGTGTTTGAGGACCCGACCGACGAGGTCAAGGAGAACTTTGAGCTGGAGCTGTATGCCGAGTCGGAGGCGCAGCTGAACCAATGGCTTGACACTATCTCCAAGATCCTAGTCAACATGGACATGCGGTCGTTTGTATCGCCGCTGACCAGCTTCGATGCGCTGCTGCAGCGGGCAGGCAACATGCAGAGCCCGATGAGCTCGGTGCGCAGCCAGATTGCTCAGCACCGCGCGACATTGAGCCACTCGCCGTCCACAGCGACGCTGGTGTCGAATGGCTCGATGGAGGCCAAGGCGGTTTCTCCGCCAATCTCGGGCAGCGCCCTGGCCAGACTCGGCCTCTGAACAAACCACTCTTGCACACTCGCCCCCATTGTCCAATCCGCTTCTTTCACCATAGACTTTTTTATTCGCATTCTTATCCTTATAGACCGCATCTCTTTGCTAAATCCGCATTTTTCTTATCGCCCGCCCGCTCGTTTTCTATTACATCTTCACGCATCGTTTCCTCCTGTTTCTCTAATTAAATAAACGCACTCGTTGTCCCTTTCCTTTATGCCTGCTGGCATGCATGCAAGGAGCTTCCCTTGAAAGAGCGCATGCAGGCTAATCGCGCAGTCTTTGTGGCGAATAGAACCCTCGTGAGGAGTGCATATGCGGAATTTCTGCTTTGCGGGCGCATGTCTTTTCAGTCGGCTATTTTCTGTGCAAAAGCGGGAAAACTATTCTTTTCGGCTTATCTTCAATGGATGCCGGCTGTTTGCCCTGGGCACGTTATCATCATGTCATGGCTCCACTTGTGACCCTCACTCCCTGGCTCGAATGCTTGAACTGCTCGAACTGCTCGAACTGCTTGAACTGCTGCTCTGTCGCATGGTTTCGGGAGAGAGGCGGTCTCCTAACCTTTCCCACCACAGTGCAATGTGCGACTCCCTGCTCTCAGGCCATGATTGCCACGCTGCTGCGGCACGCTGCGGCCACGGCTTGCATTAATATCTATGCCATCAGCACTATAGAGTGGTATAAAAATACGACGCCAACAGCCACGGCCCTAAGCACTCTATCTCTCACCAGCTCTTCGCATTTTTAGTTCTAGCCCACCAACCGCAATCGCTCAAACAAAAACACAAGCATCATGCCGGTCGATCCCATTGCGCTCGTTGCCAACACGGTGTTCCGTAACTACACTGCATCAGTGGCCAAGCTAACTGGAGGACAAGTCAACTACGTCTGGCGCTTGGCTGACAGCAGCGGGAAATCGGTGATTGTAAAGTATGCGGATGAGCAGCTGGCGTCCTACCCCGAGATGCCGTTTTCAGTCGACCGCATGAAATTTGAGACCCGCGGACTGGCGCTTTTCCACAGTGTTCCCGGCGACAGTGGGCTCGAAGCACTGACCAAGCTCTCAGCAGATCTGAGAAAGACCGAGGGCGTGCGTGTCCCAAAGCTTCTGCACGTGGACCTGTCTGTGCCGTTTGTTGTGCTCGAGGATATAGGCGATCACAAGGGCTACGAAGACTGGTGCGCCACTAAGCCACCACTGGCTGACATAGAGTACGTGTGCGGGAAAATCGGCGAGTGGATCGCACATTTGCACGGCTTTGGGCACAAGCACCTCGACAAACTGGAGCCGCTGATGACAAATACGCCTGCCCGCGAGATGCTGCAGGACGTGCTGTACGAGGACACCAGCAGTCGCTGGATCAAGTATACCGAGTATGCCGACAAGAGCCAGATCTCGCAGCTGGTTAAAGACTTCAGCACCACCGTGAACCGCAGAATCAGCGGAGAGGTGCGGCCAAAGGACAGGGTGTTGCTGTTTGGCGACATGTGGTCTGGGTCGGTCATGTTTGACACTCAGGCCAGGCTGATCAACATTATCGACTTTGAGTTCGCCGACATCGGGCTTGTTTACGGAGACGTTGCGCACTTTGTTGCGCACCTGCTGCCTGTCTATGCACTCGGCAACGCCGACTACAACCCCAACTCGAGCCCATGCCCACCGCCGGTGGCAGCATTCTTGATATCATACGGGCGTGTGTTGAAAGAGCAGTATCCGCACATTCACAAGGCGCTTATCGACGAGACGATCGAGCAGTGCACGCGGTTCCTGGGAATTGAGATATCGAGAGATGTCATGATGGGCAACTGGTGCAGTTGTGGCAGCGGGCAGAAGCCAGGGACCACGCCGCTGACGTGCAAGTGCCTGGGGGTCTGGCTCGAGTTCTGTCGCAAGTACATTCTGGGGACCGACGACTCGGTCTTCAACCTGCTAAAGTAAAGATTTCTGGTTTATGCCCAGCGTGGGCGCTTGATCAGCTGGAGCAAAAAAGAAAAAAAAAAAAAAGACACTCTTTTGCAGCACCGCAAAACTCCCACTATACATTTTTAGTGTCGGTTTCATCCCATGCAGCGAGCGCCGCTCTTGCCTCCCTGCTGTAATATTCTCTCCCATTCCTTTGTCAATTAGACGCGCTTTAGAATGCAGCGATTAGTGACGCTCGGCACACTCTTCCGCTTACTGGTGGCCCTTGCCGCAGCACAGGGCGACACAGGACCAACCGCAGCCACAGCCAGCATACATACGGTACCGGAGCCTGCCAACAGCGTGGTTCCAGACCAAGCAGTACTGGCACCCACGGCCACCACACATGCAGACACAACATTCTTGGTCGCCAATACCACGCTGATCTCTACGGAACACAAAGAGCGACCGATAGCAAGCTTGGCTGGCTACACAGGCATCAACGCGCTGGATACGATACCGGAGACTGGGCTGTTATTGCGGCGAACAGACGGTATAGAGTCGTCAGAGACAACAGAGCACGTAGTAGCGGTTTCCGAACAGGTGCCTGAGCATGGCCATGTGCATGAGCATAAGCATGGGCATACGCACGGGCATGGATATGAGCATGTGCCTACACAGGTTGTAGACAATGCAGACGACGTGGAGGAGGGCCCAGCTATTGTCGACACAGTAGAGGATTCGTGGGAATCAGACATGGCTGACAATCCACCCGAACGCCCACTGAATGAGCCCCTGCCAACGACCATTGTCGCCGACGACCATGAGCAGACCGAAGACCACAGCACAACAACGACCGTTGGCTATTCACCGACGCCAGTGCCGCCACCATCTCTGCGGCGTGACGCCAAAGCTTTGAAAGATCGGTTCAACTACGCATCAGCAGACTGCGCAGCGGTAGTGCTGAAATCCAACCGCGAGGCACGCGGGCTGAAGGCGATTCTCAACACGAAGAAGGACCAGTACATGCTGAACACGTGTGCTGCGCGCGACAAGTTTGTGATTGTCGAGCTGTGCGACGACATCCTGATCGATACGCTGGTACTGGGCAATTACGAGTTCTTCTCAAGCACATTCAAAGACACTATGGTGTATGTCAGCGACCGGTATCCGCCCAAGAACAACACGTGGACGTTGCTGGGCCACTTCCAGGCGCGCAACTCCAGGGATGCCCAGGTATTCCCGGTGGTGGACCCAAAGCTATGGGCACGGTACGTCAAGGTCGAGTTCCGCTCGCACTACGGCCGAGAGTTCTACTGCCCAGTTACTGTACTTAAGGTATATGGTGCCACGCAGATGGAGCAATTCCGGAAGGAAGAGGAGGAAGAGGAGTTTTTGGAGACAGCGACGTTGACGGTTGACGCCGTGGCTACGCCTGCGTTTGACTACCCGTTCCGCATGCCGTACCGAACAGAACCGCTCGGCGTGGGCGCTCTGCCGGCCACTTCAGCAGCCAAGGCGTACTTGAAGGACATCCAGGAGCTTGTCGACGAGTATGAAGCAAATGAAGACGGCGAGGTCGACAGCACGCCGACCGCAGTGCCAATCCCCAAGGTGCCTGATTTGCCATGGGGCCAGCGCGAGAATGAGCTCACCGGCGCCGACCAAGACCAGGGCGACGACGAAGGCATCGACGACGAAGACGAAGACGAGGAATGTGACGGCGTCAATGTCATGTGCATCTACGACTCTGACGACTCTGACATGCCCGCTGCCCAGGAAACCGCAGATCGCAACCTTCCGCCTCTGGGCAGCGGTCCCGCGGCCAGCGTGCCTGTAGAGAACAACGGGATTGAGAAGCCGTATGAGCAGCCGGCAGCGCGCGGGCCGCCCCGGCAAGAGAGCATTTTCAAGACGATTATGCGGCGCCTCTCGCGGGTCGAGCGCAACATCACCCTGACATACCACTACCTGGAGGAGCAGCACCTGGTATTCAACATGATCCTGCAGCAGGTCGAGATGAGCAATCTGGAGCACCTGCAGCACGCAATCCGCCAGCTCAACCATACCACAATGAAGCAAATGCAGTCGCTGACCATGCTGAGCGAGGAGGTCTGGCGCGCAATCCTGTATGATATTGAAACGCACCAGCAGAAGACACAGTCTGATATGGACTCCATGTCCAGAAGGCTCGAGTACTTGGCCGAGGAGGTACTGTTTGAGAAGCGCATGAACCTGATGCAGCTGATGCTGCTGCTGACTATAGTTGCGCTCATTGCGCTGAACAAGGTTGCAACGAAGCTGGCTCTGATACCAGAAACGAAGAAGGAAAAGTGACATACACGCGACATTACTAGATAGTCTTTATATCTTTACCTATATATAAGATTTTATAGTCTAAAAAGTGTCCGATCGTCCGCTAGAACCTTATTAATTGATTAAAAGATAAAACATTTAAGCTTCAACATGGGTTTGGGTGGCTTGCTCTGTAAACTCCTTTTTGATCTTGTGCGGCATCCGACCTCATCGGTGAAACCAGGGTGACAAGTTGTTATTGTAGTGGTCACAGGTCTCCACTATATATCTCCATTGGTTCAGCACAAGAGCTGCTCTCATTGTTGGTCAGCCTGATAACTTCCATGGCATCATCATGGTGGTCATCACTGGCTGCGCAACACTCTTAGGATGTTTATTTATGAGCACCTATTGAATAAGGCCATGTAGCTCTTCTGGTGGTTATGCAATATTTGTGGGTTTATTTTATAAATTAATTTGTCTTATGAACATGCGTAAGCGGTAGTATTTGGGTCACAACGGACCCAGTCTGTATAGACTGATTCAAGAGACTATATTAATGCTGACAGCCCCAAGAACCATGCAAGCCAGATCATTTTTAATAAAAACTTCTTAATGCTATGCATACGCAATAAAGCAAAACTGAACAGCATCATTTCTCTTCTTACTTGCCTATTGAATTTCTCAAATGAATATTACCCGCAGCACTACTGTCATAAAGACATCACTTGGTGGTATTGGCTTCCGTGATTCTATGTTGCACCGCCTAGAGCAATTTGTACATAGTGTCAATATCATCAAAGAGCATATATACATGCTTGCACGATGGATATTACTCCATCAGCTAGCTGACGATGATGCTTTTGATCCCGCAATATTTGTGGAAAAGGGGCTTTTTCGTTCAATTTATTTATTTATATATCACAATCCGAAGGCAAAGACAGCCATATCTGCCGAGGATTTCGTCAACCGGAAGGACAAGTCAGAACTGTCGAGCGCAGATTTCGGTGATGTAGTTAGATACCATATTTATGATTATCTATTGCATAATGGCGATATCGAGCTACATGGTGTACGTGAAATGAATCAAGTAGCAACATACGTGGATACCGAGCTGATGACAGCATATAAGAGCAACATTGTGTTGCACTATGGCACTTGCCTACAGCGGATTCTGGCCAAATTGATTGATATTCGCAGCCGCAAAAACACACTGCACAGTACAATGGGCAATGTGTCTAAGGCTGAGTTCAATAATGCATGTCAAGTGTGTATTTATACACCTGCACAGAAGCTCCGCCAGGCAGTTGCCTCCAGGCACCCTGATCTCAGTGTGCTCACCCCACCGATGCTTGCAATCTACAACAAGCTGGCACCAGTGCTTAATGCATATGATACCAAATACAGATTCGCCAAAGACAGCCGATACTATGATGCCAAGGTAAATCCACTTCAGCATCTGCATCGGCTGCTGCAGCAGACATCCCGGCATGTTCCCAACCCGCGGCCCTACCAGAGATCGAAGAACCCAACTGTGAAGTACCATGGCCTTCTCCGCTGTACAAGCGAGTCATGTAAGCGGGCCACCAAGGTGGGAGATGTCCATGATCGCTATTGCACCAACAACCATACGACACATTCAAATGACCGGTTCGCCGTGATGCTCTTATCGACGTGTCAACCCATGCTGACTAGCAGCCGAGCTCGCATCGCGAGCAGAGCAATTCTAGTATCCAGAGAAGGGAAATGACAGCACAGCCTACTACAATGTGGCGCAGCAGATAGAGTACAGTTACCTAGCTATTGGCCAGCCAGCAATCCGCACAGGTTGTCTCTTCTTTCGTCTCCTTCCCTTCGCTTTGAGACTGAAATAATTGCATCCCCTCACCTACGTCTTGGCACCTCCACAGATCTAGGATGGATATGGAGTATCTGGGAGTGAGAGAAACGACAGCATTCTATCTAGCCGATGATGGAATATTAGTCAGGGAAGAGAAGGGAGACAGACTGGTTGCTTTGGATGAAACGCTTCTCCGAGTCGAGGAGGTTCCCGAGCTAAGAGCATACCCGTTGCTGACACAGGCTCCGCCCGCGACATATCTCCAGGTTCCATGCGTACCTATGAATAGCCCCTGGGGTTTCAACTGCAAGAACAGTATGAGGAGGGAGATACGGAACTTGACTGAAATCAGACACCCCAGTATACCCACTATACACGGGTACAGAGTAGTCCGCGGATACATCCTTGGGCTGTGCATCGACAAGTACGACGTGGCCCTGCACCAAATGCTGGAGCAAAAAATGCAGTTTGACAAAGAACAGTTCTTTCGCAACGTATGTGCTATTGTCGCGGCCATCCACGCCCAAGGATATGTCCACGCTGACATCCATCGGGGGAACATCATGGTCAAAAGCGACAACCCCGACGAGCCGTTCGTGATTGATTTCGACTCTGCAGAAAGGATTGGGAGTGAGATCAGCAGGCAAAGCAAGTACATAAACTACTTGCAAAACAGGATATTCGAGCCTAAAGTCGACATGGTGTTCTTGCTCTCACTCCGGAAGCAGCTTCAGCTGGACGGCAGCATCCTGGCGTACTATGGCGGATACACGCATGCTGCTGGGTGCAATGTGGACACCTGTGGACTAACCACTGGGGACGCTATGGACAGAGTTTGCTGACTCTTTCTAATGCTTCGAGGGGCGACGAGCAGTCGCGGGTGGGTAGGTCTAGTAGCAGTTTTCTCGCAGTTTTTATTATTTAAAACACGGCTACCGGCCTCAGAGTGTCGTCTTTGTGCCCTGTTTCATTTCTGATGGCTAAGGACAAAGTCGTCAGGATACCATAACCAGCTGTCCCCATGGCTAGCAGTAAATTCCAATCGGGCGTATTTTTACGGGCAGCTACACTTGCACTTCTCTTACTATTTCCTACATGAACTTATTTTCCTTGCACATACAAACATGTCATTAACGGGGTTTCTGTTTGGTAACGTCGACGAGGACGGGAAGCTGTCAGACACCGAGCTCGACGACGAGCTGCGCGACACGCTTGGCGGCGAGGGAGCCAGCAACTATCTGACCGGCATCCTCGGCTCCAGCCTCTTCAACGAGGCGCCCGAAAAACCCACATCAACGCAAGCAGCCGCGCCCAGGAGCGACTCGCCATCAATAAAGCCGCACGCAGATGCAGTTGACTTCTCAGATTTTAACGAGCTCGCAGACGACGCCGCGGTGCCCAAAAAATGGCGGGCAAACATGCTGCCATCACAGATACCACTGAGTGTGCGGCCTCAGGCGACAGTGGCCAGGGCAGAGGTCGACGATGACTACGATTCAGAGGAGGGGGATGCACAGGGCAACGGTGCGATGGAGAGCGACGCAGAGAGCCTGGAGGATCTGTTTGACTCACCCGCCAATCCACCAGCGCAGAGCACAGGCGAAAGGGGCGAGGATAAGGACGTCGACGAGAAGAGGGAGCAAACGCCGGAGCTGCCTATGTTGGCAGATACCTCGTCAACGGAATCTGCTGAGCTGCCAAAGGAGCAGCCCCCGGCAGTTGTGCCCCGGGTGGTCAAGCGGATTGCACCGGGCCCGCTGCAATTCACCGACCTGTTTGGGTGCCATATCATCAGACATGTCAAGAAGCCTCGACGGCCAACGTCGAGCTCCAGCGCAGAGCAGCAGCAGCAGCTAATAGTACCGCAGCGCCCGGCTCTGGACACGCGCAAGCTACTGGTGGCAGATAGTGTTGTGGAGCGGCCTCGGGATTTCCTGCGGCAGGTCATTTCACAGTCAATTGCAGCGGATGAGAACTCGCGGGTGTATGTCACGTTAGACGGCGAAACCGGACAGGTGACGTCGCAGAGAACTGGACCACGACAGAGCATTGACCAGCCATCACATCTGTTTGAGACAATGCCGTATCCGCTGGACCTGGAGGACTGGGAATCGCAGGTGATCTGGCAGGATCCAGATATTTCGGGTGCACCGCATCCAGTCGATGTGAATGAAATCATGCTGCGGCCCAAGAACAACATGATCGAGGACTACGAGTCGCACATTATCTGGGACCCAGAGGAGCCGTTTGCGCCGTGCTCGCAGCTGCAGATCAACATGAACGACACGCACATGCTGTTCGAGGACGCCAACAGCATCAAGGAGTCAAATGCACGCGAGGCCGAGCGTCTGCGGCTGCTTGAGGGTGTGGACCAGTTCAACCTGTCGAACGACCACTTTTACGAGGCGCTGCAGGAGGGCAAGGTGCATCGTGTGCGACAGACATTCGGACAGCTGATCATTGCGCACTCTCTGCCGGCCCTGCGTCTGCAGCCGCCGTACTTCAAGATGCGGCTGGCACGCAACGACTTGCGCTCATGGCACCGGCCATTCCTGCAGGCACCGATCGAAAAGCCTGTGCAGTTTGCGCGTGTGCGGACAGCCAAGAAGCGCAAGCAGAAGCACTCGATGGAGAACCCGTGGGCGGCCAAGGACATCACGCTTAAGGATACAGCCGACTGCGTGCTGGTGGAGTATTCGGAAGAGTACCCGCTGGTGCTGTCAAACGTCGGCATGGGCAGCGTGTTTGTCAACTATTACCGCAAGCGCGGGATGAACGACAAGTCATTCCCCAAGGTTGACCTTGGCGAGTTGTTTATCCTCGATGTGGCGGATGTGTCGCCGTTCCTGAACTTTGGCAATGTCGAGCCCGGGCAGGTCATCCCAGCGCTATACAACAACATGTTCCGCGCACCGCTGTTTTCGCACAAGGTGCGGCCGACCGACTTTCTGGTTGTCAAGCACGTGTCCAAGGGCGAGTCGCGGTGGTACGTGCGCGGCATCCAGTACCAGTACCTGGTTGGCCAAACGTACCCGCTGCAGGAAGTTCCGGCGCCGCATTCACGCAAGGTCACCACCACAATCAAGCATCGGCTGCAGGTGGCCGCGTATCGGCTGATGAACCGCAACCAGTACCACCTGCTGCAGATGGGCAAGCTGGCGCGCCTGTTCCCAGAATATAGCGACCTGCAGATCCGCCAGCGGCTGAAGGAGTTTTGCGAGTACCAGCGCAAGGGGCTGGGCGCCGGGTACTGGCGGCCCAAGCACAACATGCCGATTCCTGACGAAGAGAATCTGCGCAAGATGCTGACGCCCGAGATGCTGTGTGTGTTTGAGAGCATGCGCGTCGGCCAGCAGCAGCTGCACGATGCCGGAAAACTGGGCGAGGAAGAGGAAGATGACGAGGGCGGCGAGTCGAAGCTTTCGATTGAGGAGCTGCTGGCGCCATGGAATCTGACGCGCAACTTCATAAACGCGACGCAGGGCAAGGCCATGCTGAAGCTGTACGGTGAGGGCGATCCGACCGGCAAGGGCGATGGCTTCAGCTTTGTGCGAGTCTCCATGAAGGACATCTTCCTGCGGGCTGGCGAGAGTGTACAGGAGAAGCTGGCCGAGATTGAGGCGCGGCCCAAGAGTGCCCACCGGTATAATGTGGCCGAGCAGCAGCAGATTTACAAGGAGGAGATTATGCGGATCTGGAAGACCCAGTTTGCGGAGCTGTCGAGCCTGCAGCCGCCGCCCAGGCTTCAGCGCGACGCATACAAGGACGAGAACACCATTGTACCTGAAATCAACGACATGTTTGGCGACTCGGCCTACGGCCAGGATGTGTCGTCGGTGATGCCATCGCGCATGGTGCCGGGCAGCGCCATGGACGTCAGCCTGAAGCTGGCCCACGCGCTGGGCGGCTCGCAGACGGCCTCGCATGCCAACTTTGTGCAGCCGAACCGCAAGAGCCTGACCATCCGCCGTGCAGTCAAGTCGCCGTATACGGGCGAGCTGATGTGGCGTACCGAGGTGATCAAGGACTCGGCAGTGATCCAGGCGTATCTGCGCCAGCGGCGGATCATCGAGAATGCCGCCCACGACCGCGAGACCCAGTTTGACGCTGACGACTTGTTCAATGGCGGCACAGGTGTGGCTGTGGACTTGGCTGGCGAGACCCGCGCGCATCTGGCGAGGCTGAGGCGGGCGCGCGAGCGCCGAATGGAGGATGCGAGAGCCCATGAGAAGAGCCACATGACTACCTTCTCGCTGCCACAGCCAAACAAGCCCAAGAAGGAGGTGATCAGGCGGTGTGGCAATTGCGGCGAGCTTGGACATATGAAGACCAACAAAAAGTGCCCGCGCTACTACGAGTTCAACCCTGCTTGAGTAGAGCCGCCTGTGGCCTTGTGCATTGACTTCACATGGCGTCACATGCCTAAAGTGGGGTTTGTATGAAATACAGTTGACTTTTCTAGGCTCGGTGCAGTCTCAGACTCGAGTCGATGTGGGGTGCTTGATCAGCCCGGATCCGGGCTGGTGACCGATCCGCGGGAATTGACCGTCTGTAAACATGCATGCGCGCGTGAAAATGTCTGTGCGCCAGCAAAACCAGTCCGTCAGCAGCCTGCAATAAATCTGTCTATTCCTGGAGCTGCATCTTGCACCCACATCCTTACGTTTTCCTTGCACCCTCTTTTCATGGCCAGTAAGCCCAATGAAGCACACTAGACACATATTCGATGGCGCACGTGCCGGCCAGAAAATCGCTGCCAACGTCTACCAGAGCACAGCTCCCGACACGACTGGTCATGGAATCACCCTGCTCCTGACGCACGCGAATGGATTCCACAAGGAGCTGTGGGAGCCGGTTCTTGAGCAGATATTTTCCGCACAGGCGACGCGCTCCTGGCATGTAACCCGCGCAATCGCCATGGACTGGTGGAACCAGGGCGACAGTGCTGCATTGAACCCCGATATGCCCGGCGGACCGCTCCATGCCCGGTGGTTCGACTATGCGCGCGACATCCTGGCAGTTGTGCGGCAGCTCGGCGTCAGAAAGAACCTGGTTGGCATCGGCCATTCGTGGGGAGCGGCGAACTTGCAGCTGGCTGAGATTATGTCGCCATTGACTTTTGCTGGTCTTTTCCTTGTTGAGCCTGCGACTCCGACCGAAATCACGCCAGAGCAGAGCGAGTCACTGGCTGCTGTGGTGCGCAAGCGGCGGTTCCAGTGGAAATCGATGGAGGACGCGCACGCCCATTTCGAAAACCATTCCTTTGCAGAGTCATGGAATAAGCGCATGCTTGGGCTGTTCATTCAGCATGGCTTCATACATGGGATAGCCAGTCCATGCTCAAGTGCTTGCCAGGTCCTGAGGCCGATGGCTTTGCTGCTACCGCCTACGGTGCCCCGTTTATCGGTCGGAATCTGTGGCGAATCCAGTGTCCGTGCGTGTACCTAACTGGATCCGAGTCGGACAAGGTGACCACAGAGTTTATCCGCAATCTGATCGCGCCGATGCCGGACTGCGAGCATTTTGTGGCACAAGGCCGGGGCCACCTTTTACTCCATGAGGACCCGGATCTGACTGCTGCGCATTGCATCAGATCGCTAGATAAATTCGCCATGAAGCTTGGCTCCATCCCGAAGCTGTAACGCGGATATGCCATTGATGTAATCTATTGCGTGGTTAATAAAGCGGGGCGTATTGCGATAGACACAGTCCTGCATGTGCGATACCAACACGACATGCATGAGGAGGGTGCAGCCAGCAGTACTGTTGTGATCTGTGCAAAACCTAGGGATGCAAAGGATATAAGCGGATATATGCGTGCACAAGCTTGCTGCTACTCCCCAAAAAATCCTAATTTCCGTGTCCTCAGCTCGCACATTGGTGCCGGGCCAAAACTGCGGGCGGCGGGTGGTACTAACTGGGGGCAGAAGTGTGCAAGAAGAGCTGGCAGCAGTGGGCTGCTGTGTGGGTCATAAACTCCGTGCTCCGCTGTGAATTGCCCTTTTGAACTCCAGCTTTGGGCTACCTGGTCTAGCTTTTGCGGAGCAAGCAAACTTTATTTTCAGGAACGGGCTCCCATCCATACAACGCTGTGTTTCAAAATATTGCAATAATAACCGCCGCAATGTGCGGCGACTACTGTCCAATGGCCTTGGTGGACTATTGAGGAGAGCCGTCCGCGTAATAGCCCGAGGCGATGCAATCGATACCCGCAGATTTGGGGAAGGGAGAAGGCGAGTTCTGGAATGCAAGGGGCCAAACGAGCGAACAGACAGGCAACGTTTCTATTGCTCTGTTTACTCCGAACTTGCCACATTGGGTAACTGACTCTACCCTTTATCCCGAAATAGCGCTTCCCCTGCCCCATCGCCCCCAATACCCCCGCCCCAGGCTGCTATCGCAGACGCCATCGATAAGCGATATGACCCACTCGCTACGCGCACGACGACGTCGGCATTGGACACGCAAGGCTACAGTGTCCGCAGGAAAACAGTCCTGCGTGGGCAGTAGACAGCCACCACGCTATAAAAGGACCAGCACGCGGCCGTGTCGTTGCTTCCGACATTCACTCAGACATCCAAACCAAACAAGTATCTGTCAATACGCTCACTACTCTCTGCATTCTCAATCTCCACGAGTCACAAACCAAGTGGTCCTTGTCCATAGCCTTACTCTCAGAATATCTTTCTAATCTTCATAATCTCGAACCCAAAAATGCAGTCTTCGGTCTCTGCCCTTTCTCTCTATGCTCTGTCTGCCAAGCAGCAAGAGTTCCTGACCCAGATCGCTGGCTCATTCCACGTATCCGACGACCAGCTCTCGACCATCATCACCAAGCTCGAGTCTGAGCTTGCCCGCGGCCTCAAGACCAACGAGCAGTGCGAGCTGTACATGTCGCCGTCGCTCGTCAACTCCCAGAAGACCCCGACGGGCACTGCCCTCAGCATGGCCATCGAGTCTTCTGGCAAGCGCGTGCGTCTGAACTCTGTGACATTCAACGCCGATTCGTCGATTGCCGATACCAAGACCCAGATCTTCATCGCACCTACCCAGTGCATGGCCTCGGTCGACAGTCTATTTGAGCATGTTGCCTACAGCATCCGTGAGTTCCTCCACAACTACCACCTTGATGAGATTGCCGGCAAGTCGCCTCTGCCTCTTGGTTTCACGATTGGCTTCCCAGTGAGCAACTGCGGCGTGTGCGAGTCGACCAAGGAGGACTCGATTGACCTTGACGGTGCCGATATCACACAGTTGCTGCAGGACGTAGTCATCCGCCACCATCTGCCGGTGCAGGTCACCTCAGTCACCAACAACACTGTCAGCGCCCTGGTTGCTGCCCAGTTTGCTGACAAGACCACTCGCGTGGCTGCCTCGTTCAACAATGGCGTTAATGCTGCGTACTACGAGCCTGTCAGCAATGTCGAGACGTTCTCGTCTGCGGGCGTGACCAGGAATGCCAAGGTTGCCATTAACACTGAGCTTGGCCGGTTTGGCTCCTCCTCTGGCGTTCTGCCGCAAACCATGTGGGACCGCCGCATCGACCGCGAGTCGCGCAACCCCGGTCTGCGTTCGTTCGAGAAGCTGGTTGCCAGCCAGTATCTGGGTGAGATTGTGCGCAATCTGATCACTGACTTTATTGACAAGCACTTGCTGTTCTCGGTCAACTGCCCGGTCAAGGAGATCAGCACAGAATACTCGTTCCACACTGCCTATATTGGCAGCATCATGGACGACGAGACCAGGGACCTGGAGCGCGTCGGCGGCATTATTGCTGCTGAGTTTGGCATCGAGGCTTCGCTGGCCGACCGCCAGATCGTCCGTGCTCTTTGTGAAATCGTCGCCGCCCGCGCCTCGCGCCTGTCGGGTGCCGCGCTGGCTGCCCTGATCTTCAAGAGCAATGCCCATGTGGACTGTGCCTCGATTGCTCTCAGTGGTGCGCTGTTTGACATGAACCGCAAGGTCTACGAGCACACCATCGCAACCCTGCAGGAGCAGCTTCAGCGGTCGGCAGCCACAACGGCCACGGTCAGCCTGCAGCGCCGCGACTCGGATCTGATCGGTGCTGCTATTGATGCGGTCTGCTATTAAGAGCCCATGGCTCAAGTATCTCTTGAATCAGACAAATTGACTGTAAAAAACATTCCAAAAGCTTACCAAGCTATCATACATGGACATGTCTGTGCCTGGCTGTGGGTTGCGGACCAAGATGCTGAAATGCGACTTGTCCCGCTCAAGCGCTTCTCTGACCTGCTGGGTACAGTTTGGCTGGACAAACAGCGACTGCCATTTTTCAACCATCTTCTCTATGGTCTGCGGATCCGCTGCATAAAGGTCGTATTGCGGCGATATTGCCCCGCGGTAGACGATATAGTCGCGTAGCATGGCGATCTGGCACCGCTTGTTCAGCTGGGCTAGCTGCATGATATATGTTGAGCGGAACTTGCTGTGCGTGTCTGCAAGAGCGGCTAGTGCGTGTGCGTGTGCGGGCACCAGCTTCGATAGCTTGGTATCGATGTTTCGTAGGAGCAGAACGTGCTTGGTAAACTCGGCTACAACCGCATCTGTCAGATCGGCGTTGGATGTATTGGATAATGCTGCCGCCAGAACCATGTTGACTGACTGACCAAGACACGAGTCCGGGTCTGTCTTTTGGAGGAGTTGGCCGATCAACACACCGCGACTCCCGTCATCCATATGCGAAACCTGGCTGCACAGCGCCTCACCAAGTGCCAGTGCCTTTTGCTCGCCAGATCCTGTCAGATAATTGACCTCTATTTTGAGTCGCTCAGCCGAAACCATGTCGCCCTTGCTGGCTGATGTGCTCTGCTGCTCGAGTAGCCCGGACGCAATCGTCGCGCTTAGCATTGACAGGGCGCTCTGCTCCCTGGCTGATTCTAATTGCCTTGAGATGTCCCTAGCTAAAGACGCTACGGTTTTGTTATTGCCGCTGTCGGATCCGATGGCGCCAGGGTAATGCTGCAATGCTGCGATTCGAACGCTATGTGGGGTGAACTGGTTGGCAATTATTCTGGACAGTATCTCCTTCTCGCAGGGCGTGTCGAGGCTGGGGTTCAGGTATGTTTGCAACAGGTACTCTTTTGACACTTCTGGGCTGTGTGAGCGCACCAGATACACGACCTGATTCAGAACCTTGCTGCGCACATGGGGTTCATCTATTGTCGGCCACAGGAGATCGACGTGTTGCGACCAGGGGATAAGCGTCTCTGTCAGATACTTTGGAGTCCATGATGCGGCTGTCTCGGTAATCGACTGTTCGCCAGCAAGGATTATATGCGCTATCTGTGCACTAAGGGTTCCCATGGTATAGCTAGAGTTTATGCTGCGTATTCGGCGGCAGTGACAACAGATGGCATGATGTGGCAAGTCTGGCGTTACCGGCTGCGCTGATATGGGAATGGGCAGTGATAAGTAATGGCATGCAGCACCCACATATTCCAGGGACAGTATCGCATGTGGTGCCTTCACATGGGCCATGCTGTTGGCCCAGCCCGGTACCAATTGACTGGCGCAGACACTCTATACTGTTCGCCGCCGAACCGAGCGCAGGGGCTTGATCGGCCCAAGGCAAATGGATTTATAGCGTGATCACAACAGCACGCAAGCGGCTCTCGTACTCTAGCCTGCCTTTTTCTACTCCAGTTTCGCTGCTAATTTCACGATAACCCAGCATTACAATCCAGTTTCGCAGACAGCAGCATGGCGGACACGAGCATCGAGGAGCCCCTGGACCTGGTTCGGCTGAGCCTGGACGAGCGCATTTACGTCAAACTCCGTGGCGACCGGGAATTGCGTGGGCGGCTGCATGCATACGACCAGCACCTGAACATGGTGCTGGGCGAGGTCGAGGAGACCATCACAATTGCCGAGGTCAGCGACGAGTCGGCGGCATCGACAGTACGGACCGTCAACCGCAAGGTGCCCATGCTGTTCGTCCGCGGCGACGGCGTCATTCTGGTGTCGCCGCCCTCGCGCTCTTGAGGAAAATTATTTCGCAGCAGCCAATAAAAATTTTTGTACACTTTTTTCCAACGCGGTGTTGACCAAGGAAGAAAAAAGCTCAAGTCCCACTCGGTGTGTCTGCAAGAACACAAGCAGCTCTTTCTCGCCTCTTGCTTGCTGCATGCTCTGCTCTTTGTCCGTTTCCTACGCGAGTACTAGTCGCGCTGTTTTTCTGCCTCTCGAATCCACGGCTATTAATGCACCTGGTCGTACGCGCAGGAGTACGAATCTGCCTCTAGAACACCATTCCCCAGCTTGACACCAGGCCAAATGACAAAGGCGCTGCAGACCGACAAGCAAACAACAATAGCGTCGCCGCCGCGAGCCCCGCGCGGGCGACCTCGGGGCAGTCGAAGCCGCGGCCGGCCCCCGTCCAGCGCAGCGCGCGCGCCTGGGCGGCGACTCGGAAGACCGCCCAAGGCGGCCGTTGAAGCGGGTAGCCACGGGACGGACGACGAGGGAGCGCCCAAGCGGCGTCGCCCCTACGTAAAGCGCAAGCCTAAGCCGCAACCGCCACTCGACCCAGATGCACGTGTGTTCTTCTCCAACCGCCTCGACGCACACGCTGCAGACACCGGGCGGTTTATCCCAAAGGACGAGGATCGGCTGGCTTATGAGGAGGCACAGACAAAAGCCGGGCTCGTCGAGGCAAGCGAGACCGGGGTTCAGCCTATTGTTGACCCCAGCACGCCATCGACGCCTAGCGTAGGCTCGGGCGTTGGCTACCAGGTGAAGAAGATCCGCATAGGTGGGTATGAAATCGACTCGTGGTATATTTCGCCATACCCCGAAGAGTACAGCCGCCACTCGCTGCTGTACATCTGCGAATTCTGCCTGAAATATATCAAGAGCGAGTACACGTACAAGCGACACTGCTTGAAGTGTCCGTTGCGACATCCGCCAGGCGACGAAATCTACCGCGACGGCAACCTGTCGGTGTTTGAGGTCGACGGGCGCAAAAACAAGATATACTGCCAGAACCTGTGCCTGATTGGCAAGATGTTCCTAGACACAAAGACGCTGTACTATGACGTCGAGCCGTTTCTGTTCTACATTCTGTGCGAGTACGACCAGTTCGGGTACCACTTTGCTGGGTACTACTCCAAAGAGAAGCGGTCGGCACAGGGCTACAACCTCTCATGCATCATGATCTTGCCATCCAAGCAGCGTGAGGGCTACGGAAAGCTGATGATCGAATTCAGCTACCTGCTGTCTAAAAAGGAGGGCGTGCCGGGGTCTCCCGAGAAGCCGCTGTCGGATTTCGGGCTACTCAGTTACCGCAGCTACTGGCGCCGTGCAGTCTATGAGATACTGCTTGACCCCGACTCCTTACCAGAGTCAGGGGCAATCTCGATCGCCAACATCAGCCAGCGGACCGGGATGACGCCCGATGACATTGTTAGCACCCTGCAGACTGACGGCATGCTGCAGCGCGCCCCTGGATCGTCGGGCGCCTATACGATCGTCGCGGATGTAGCGAAGCTGGAGGAGTACGTTGGTAGAGCTCAGCAAAAGAATCCGCGCCGGATAGACTCCGAGAAGCTGCGATGGACACCATTCCTGACCAAAAGCATACCGCCGCCGCTGCCTGGCGCTCTGTCCGACAACTCTAAAGCAGACTCCGAAGACGACAGTGTGTCTACCTCGAGCGAGCTTTCGGTATAAATCTTGCAACAATATTCCTTTTTCAGTTCCTACCGCCTTGTACTTATCACCAATCGACCAACATCCTGATACAGCCTTCAAAAGCACCTGCGCAGTATCAGCGCATCGTGAGCCAACAACATGGCTGCTACTATAGGAGACGTATTATGTAAGGGCATGTCAGTCCTGGAACGCACACGATACAACTGTCATAACAAGTGTCATTTGAACTGGGTGTATTTTCATTCTTGACTAGTAGACGTGCCTAGTCACTGTTTCCTGCAACAGATAGAGGACTAAAATCTATAAAATTCGGTGGACGAGTAAAGGTGCACTATGGCAGAACATAGCACATACTGCATGTAATCTCGGACACCAAAAACAGTAATCCTACTTTCACTTTTTGAAGTGTGTTGCACATTTCTCTTGATATTGGCTCCTATGTATGATGGCGTTATTGGTTGGACAAAAACCCCTGCTTTACCAAATGGAGCACATAGGTGGCATTCCAAAAATAAAACTGCACCGCTATTTTGCGCGAATACAACACAGCACTCTGGGCTCTTTAAATGAAACAAGCCGTTGGATGTATAAACAGTGCTGGGATATGCAGCATATGGTTTCAGGAATTTCTGCAAACTATACAAGTGGCTTGTGCATGTGCTCTAATACAGCACGGCACTCTTGCTACCTCTTGTCTCCCAGTGCATAGGGAGTAGGGAATAGTGAGAACAAGATAGATATGATGAAACCACATACACCCTATCTTCTTGGAAATTTACACAGCCACTAAGATATGAGATCTAGGAGCTTTGGTGGTCAAAAAGCATGTAAATAGGAATAGGCATTTCTTCACTAGCTATTTACAATATCATAAACACCTATCGTATTTCCACTAGTCAGCTTTTGATTTAAAATATTCGCCAAAAAGTTGCCTTAGTTTCAATGATGATAGTCGCTGATAAGGTGCATTCTTGTATCCATGGTAAAGACAGCCACAAATTATTTGCGTATTTTCTAATTTAGAGTACCCAAACATTCATGGTCAATAGAGAAATGGACTGAATATATGGAAAGCACTGAAAAGCTGTTGGGAGCAGTTCACCAGACCTCTGAATATCGAGTAGGCCGTACAAACGTATATTGTCACATGTATACCCAGATAGCACTGCTCATACATAACGGTATGCTTATTTGTGGATCTTAATGTCACATAGATAGGGAAATTACCTTCAGTTTTACCTTAATTATTAACCCTATCCCTATCTCTTTGAATGCTATTCCAAAATGAACTTGCACAGTTTGCATCTGAGCAGCTTGGCTGGAGATGCCATTTTAAAGCGCACCGTTGTGCTAGTGCTTAAGGAATTACTACACGAAGTGTTGGATATGGCCGAATGGCAAAAGGCAGTACAGTTGGCGACTATGTCGGACGTGGCATCAGTATGCGAGTTCGCAGTTAAACCGCACAGCTATTGCCCAGTACTTTGGGTTCAACAAGGAAAACTGGCGCTCAGTTTCAATACTGCGGTTCGTTAGGGGATTATATTGACGATACAGAGCTGACAGGCGATGCTGCTGGTGTTCTGGCTGCACTTTTTAACGACGACATGCCAGGAATAGCTGAGATCCGCTATCCGTCGACATACGGATCGGATGCAATTATATTGGATCCTTTGTTTGATAGGGTTGCTACACATCTCCTGCCTAAGCTCCAATTCCTACGGATCGAGGAGCCGTTCCCTGAAAAGCCTGGCAGCGCCTTTTCTGAGAGTCTAACCAAACTTTGGTGCAATGGTATGTCAGTTGAAATTATTGGCTGGCTCCCGCGGGTAGACAATGGTCAACTCTGCACTATGCCACTCACCACATCCTGGTACATCACTTGAGATTGGGCTGTCCAGAGTTCGTCTGAAGCTATCTCGCTTCCTAACCTCAGCAAGCTCTCGATTTATCACGACATTGGCGGAGAACCTCCGTGTTCACTCTATACTGACAGTCTTCAAGTGCTATTCCCGAGGCTCCAGTCGCTGCAAACGCTAGGTGCCACGAATATATATTCTGACTTTTTAACCTCACGCACTCTCGCCTACCCCTTGGCGGATGTCAACCTCAGTGAGAATCCTAAACATATCGACAGCATCGATATCTCCTTGCTACTCACTCCGAGAACAGTTGCGCCTGGGCTCAGCAACTATCCCGGCAGGGCCGAGCGCAAGGTGGACAAGCTCCTTTCCAAAGCACTGGCATCCCAAGCCCAAGCAGTTGAGGCAAAATTCAAGCTCTTCGAATATCGCTTTCCTGTCTTGAATGGCATTGGGTGGACATGTCTGAGGCAATCCAGCATCGACATGCTGAGAATCCGTGTTGGTATTGCTGTATCGTTCATACCGGCATTGCCCAGACTCTGGTTCTTGGGTGTCAGGCAGAGCAAAGCCGACCCAGCTGATAGAGACGAAAGTATGTTCCCAGAGATGCACTCAATAGCCTTGCAGCACCTCTGCATCTATCATTCACAGGATACTGACATGGTGGGGCTGATGGCAATGGTTTGCTTGTATATTCTCTGCTTGCCCTCGCACAAAAAGGTCTGGTTCCTAAACATGCAGTTGCTGCGGTGGAGAAGTGGAGCGCTACTCTAGGTAGAACAATTTCTGTAAAGCACTTTGTTCTCCTTTGAACATTTAGCAATAAATGCCTTGTTTCCCTGGCTCTTCGCGCCGAGAAGGCAAATCTCCATAACTCCCCTTGAAGAAACAAACAAGGTTGCATTGTCAAAAATCCGGCCATTTTCTGGTGACGACAGCCAAACTGCAACACTAACTGCGGTGCATTATCTTTTGCTCTTCTTACAGCTTCATTTCCTACTTGAAAATGACTTTGGTCGATTGGTTCACGTATTTTTTGCATCCTGAGCAAATTCAGCAAGATTTCGGTGCAAGCCAGTGGCCTACAGAGGCAGAGCGGCGAACAGCAGCCCAGGAGCTGCTGAAGGGCCTGTTCGGCACCAACAACTTTCGCGACTACATTCTCAATTCATACCCGACATTACGCGATGCACACGGCCAGCAGCCAATGCAATATGCTGGGCCCACGCCACCATCGACGCCAATGTCACCAACCATGGGATCTGGTGCCGGCACAGGCGATATAGCACATATGGCGCGGATTGGACAGTGCAGCCGGTTTGCAGTGTCACCCGAAACAGGGCTACCAAGTGATACATTGCATAGTGTGCTTAAAGCGAACGGCCTACCGCCGCTAAGCGCTAAGCAGGACCGGCTGCTGAGCGTGGCAAAGGACTTGACCTTGCTTGTAAAGTTTAACGTTGAAGAGATTGAGCGGACGGTGCACGCGACTCTGCGGTTTGTCTACTACATGTACCTTATTGAGTCCTGCAAAGGCAAGGGCGGGTTTGCGGAGTGCGAGTTTCAGTTCAGGCGGTGGTGGGTTCGGTCAGCGTACCGCGAGGAGGACATTGGGCTGACGCTGGATGTGCCGAAGGGCGAAGCAATGTCACTAAACTGTAACAAAATCATGGAACACGCCGAGTCCCTGGATGCGTCTGGCACGGTGCTCAAATTCTGCGTATACTACGATATCGCACGCGTGCTGCTGGCCCAGAGCGAGTATCAGCAGGCGCTAAGCATGTTCCAGCAGTGCCAGGCAATTGATCCACAGCGGTGCAAGCCCGAAAAGTTTGGGCTATCTGGCTACAACACACGGCCCAGCGTAGACGAGTATGTGGATGCGTGCAAGGAAATTGCGTTCAACAGCGATGCCGACACTGATATGGCTGAAGACATCCAACAGACGCGCTCGGACAAGATCGCGTCATTGGTTGACAGTGGCGATTATCAGCCAGCTGTGGTGGAGTGTATGCTTGATATCCTGGAAAAGGGCGGGTCCAGTGATGGTTTCGCGTGGCTGCTTGATATACATCCAAAGATCATCAGCTTCTGCGCAAAGCAGACTACTGCGGCGACTGAATCGATACATAGCGCTCTGGTTGATGCGGCGGGTGCCTGGCTGCAGCAGCAGCAGCTGGCTGACGAGGATCGAGTCAGATGCTTGGATCAGGCTAGGGTGATTGCATCTTTCCTGACTGGCCACGGCTCTGTATATGCGCCAGTGGCAGCTACAGATATGCAGCTCGATGCAGAAAGCTGGCGTTCTAAGCAGGCTACGATCCCCGAGAGCCAAATGCTGGCCCATGAGTTGGTTAGCGCACAGGTCACAACCACGCAGCTGGCACTGTTGCGACTGTCGTGCGGGTACCTGGCTGGCCTGCGGCTGTTGGAAAAGGAGCAGTACAAGGAGGCGCAGGTGTGGTTCTCGCGCGCACTTGCGGAAATATCAGAATTCGTGCCGGCGACGCCGCAGGCGACCAACCCAATCATGGCGGCGGCTCTGGAGAAGGAGGAGGCGCTAAAGGCTTCGCTGGTAGCACAGGTATCTGTCCACGCAAAGCTAGCCGCGCTATTCTACCAGCTCGAGCAGGGCACGGACATTGCAGATGTAGCTGACGATATCGGCAGCATTATCGAGGACCAGGTGCCGATTCGATTCGAGTTCCTTGAAGGTCTGTCGCTGATCTGCTTGCGGCAAGGCAACAACAACGTGTTTACCAACCTGGTAGGCGCCATTGCCGCGAGTCCGAAGCTGTACCAGCAGCTGCCCGAGATCCACATCGCACTACTGCAGATAGCGTCGCTTTTGGTTTTGGTGCGCGATCTGCTGTTGACGACTGGCGTCGAAGTCGACAGGGCCATCGGCGAGCCCAACTACCGCTTTGACAGAGATGCGATTCCAAAGGAGCAGCTGGAGCAAGTGCGCGGGTCAGTGGCAGAAATCGCAAAGCTGCTGATGAAGATTCCGGTTGGATCTCGGTCGACAGAGTCGACAACGTTGCACACAGAGCTCGGCAGCATACCGCAGGTCGGAGCGGGCATGGAGAACGAAATCGAGCGGTTCTGCCGCATGTGGGGCGACCCCGTGTACCTGACTCTATTTGCTGCGCTGCTCAGTGAAATGTTGCAGACGGGCGAGCCGGTCAGCGGTCCGCTAGGGCTGTGCGATCTGATGGCGCTCATTACGCACCAGGACCCGAGTGATGCCGGCCCAGGCAAGCCGGTGGTCGGTGAGTTTGTCAACGGAAAGAACGACCATGGCCGCAAGAATGCAAAGCACCTGCGTGACATTGCGCTGATTGTGTTCCGGTACACGGTGCAGCTGGTGCCCAAGAGCCCTGCCATCTGGCTGTTCTTCTCTGCAGTTGCCTACAGCGCGCAAGGCTCAAAGTCCAAGCTCAACGAGCACCTGATGCCGCTGTTCATCGAGTTCCTGTCTCTACACACAGATGTGTTCTCGCCCGAGCTGCTCGATGGCTGCATCTCGTCTGAGTGGTTCCAGAAGCTGCTGCCTGCCATGATCCGGTCGCTAACGGACCTGGGTATGCGCGGTGCTGCGACAGTACTGCATCAGTACAGCACCGACATCAACTACGAGGTGGCAATGCCCCTGCTAGTGCAGGCGTTCGAGAGGAAGGAAATAGATCAGCAGATAACTCAGTTCTTCTGGGATTCCAGCATGGTTGAGTACGGCCAGTATCTGGGGAGATTGCCATCGAGCGCCGTCCATATCGAGTTCTCGGCGCCAGACTGCGAGCTCGCCAGCAGCAGGCCATTATTCCTGTCCGAGTTCTTTGGCTGGCTCTCGGGCGTACTAAGCCTCAAGTAGTAGCTGCTCTATTGCAAGCTCTGTCACCTGGCATAGTGCACATGCATAGCTCACTTGTCCTTTATCGCCTGCATGGATGCCGCCTCGCTTGATGGCGGACGGCACGTTTTGATAGGTATCCTTGTATGATTCCCGAACACGCAGTTTCGCAAATAAATGCATTTTCCACCGAGCTGTAATAAGAGAGGCAGGTAGCGCGAGGCCGTGCGGCTTGGCAACTCGGAAATTACAGCAGACGGAGGGTCTAGGTGCCATGTCGCCTGCGCAGCGGAAGTGGGCCGTGGGAGCCAGGACGTGCAGATTGCACAGGTGCAGACGGGTCGTGGAGTAGATCATGGTGTATCACGTGCCGCGCCCGTGCATCAGAAGCGCATGTGTAGCGTGTTTGTTTACGAGCGTGTGCCCTATGAATAGTAACCAGAAGAGAGCCACTACGTATCCCCGTGCCCGCCGCTGCTCTTTCCGTGCATGCACTACGCAGGAACACCGAGTCATGCCCTGGTTTCTGCCAGACGTGGGGGTGTTTCGGGTTATAAAAGACGAGCAGGGCAGCCCCTAGGGGTTTGAGCCGTCAGCATTCATTTCTCTTCAGCTGTCGCATATATTCTACTCTTTCAGCACCCCCAATCACCGATTCTACCCACTATGGCTGCTTCAGGATCCAACATCCTCACCTACCTCAAGTCGCTGGCGGCCGTGCGCGAGCGATCGCAGAAGGTGTACCAGCACGCCGAGCACAGCAATCTCCGCCACTTCTCGTTCGATGCCAGCAAGATCGAGTCGGTCGCCGACTACGTCATCTCCCTGATTGAGCGCGATCACGGCAGCATTGCCAAGGTGCCGACGCACGGCCGCTGGCGCTCCTACGTGGTTAAGGCCGACGCCGAGTCCCCACGCGATCTGGTTGCCGAGCATGTGGATGCATGGAAGGCCCAGGGCACCAGTGAGTCAGAGTGCACGCGTCGGATCATCGACCTGTTTGTCGTGTCGGTTCTGATCGACGCTGGCGCTGGCAGCAGGTGGAAGTACAAGGACGCACTGGGTACTTTCGAGCGCACCGAGGGGCTGGGCTTGGCTGCATTGCGGATGTTCGAGAAGGGCGTATTCTCAAGCTCCAAGGAGAACCCGTACCAGGCAGATGCCGTTGCATTGCAGAAGCTTACCGACAAGGATCTGCTGGACGGATTCCAGGTCTCAGACTCGAACCCACTATTGGCCGGCGAGAACCGCGCGCAGCTGTTGCGCAGCCTCGGAGATGCGTTGCAGCTGAGTCCGCAGTACTTTGCCAGTGCCGACAGCCAGGATCTGGCTCGGCCCGGATGCATGCTTGACTATCTGGTCAGGAACGCCGATGCTGGCAGTGCTGTATCGGTCGAGAAGATCTGGGAGGTCATCATCGTCGGCTTCGATCCGGTATGGCCCAAGTCGCGCACACAGTTCAACGGCGTGTCGCTGGGCGACGTGTGGCTGTGCGACACCCTAGTGCCCGTGTACGAGGACGACATTGGGAATGTTTTGGCTAAAGGCAAAGTCGAGTCGCTCGACTGCCTGGTAGCCTTCCACAAGCTGTCGCAGTGGCTGACATGGTCGCTGCTTGAGGTCGTTACCCGGCTCGGCAACCTGGCTGTCACAGATACAGAGCTGCTAACCGGCCTGCCCGAGTACCGCAACGGCGGGGTCTTTGTCGACATGGGCGTTCTGACGCTCAACCAGGACGACGTCGATCGCGGGCTGCGCAATGCCAAGGGCGGCATCCCCCAGTTCGAAGGCAGCGACTACGTCATCGTCGAGTGGCGCGCAATGACGGTGGTGCTGCTCGACAAGGTCGCCGAGATTATCAAGGACAAGTCGGGGCTCACAGGCAGCAACGTGCCCACGATGTTCCTGGGCCGGGTGCTGGAGGGCGGTACGTGGAAGGCGGGCCGGGAGAAGGCTGCTGAGCTGCGCCCGGCGACCAAGGAGCCGCCCATCAACATCATATCTGACGGCACGCTTTTCTGAAACTGTAAACACTAGCACTTGCAGCATGTCTATGTCTCAATATGCACCACCCGTCCAAGCCGACGGCTCAGGAGATTCTTTGATCGCGGGGATCCGCGTCATGCGGTTGAAAAATGGCCAGCAGGGAATCTGTTCCTGGCCTGCCTGCGCTTCTTTTGTTTTCACTATCCGCTCCTTTTCTAAAATATTTCGAGCTTGTGAATGATGGACGATTGGAAAGTAGCGCTTATCACTATTGGCAGCATTCTGGGCGGGGTCCTGGTGTCAGGGATTATCTCTGAGCTGTACCTGCGCGTCAATGCGGCGAAATTCAACGTCAAGGGCAAGCACTGCTACGTGACGGGCGGCAGCCAGGGCCTGGGCAAGTCCATTGCCGAGGATCTTGCGCGGCAGGGGGCACATGTCACGATTGTCGCACGCCGCGAGGCGGTGCTGAAGGAGGCGCTGGAGGAAATCAAAAAGCACGCTGGCGACAAGGACCAGAAGTTTGCCTATGTGTGCGCCGACGTAGCCAGCAAGGATGACGTGGAGCGCGCGGTGGGGGAGGCGGTGAAGAAGCAGGGCAAAGAGATCGAGTATGCGTTTCTGTCGGCAGGTGTGTCGAACCCCGGGTTCTTTGTCGAGCAGAGCGCCGACGTGCTGGAGCAGACGATGAAGGTGAACTACTTTGGCACTCTGTTCAGCGCCCATGCGATTGCGCGTCGCATGGTCAAGGAGAAGATTGCCGGTGGGCACATAGTCATGGTGAGCTCGACGCTGGGCATGTTTGGGCTTATTGGGTACGCTGGATACTGCGGGTCCAAGTTTGCTGTGCGCGGGCTGGCGGAGGCGCTGCGCGTCGAGCTGCAGATGCACAAGATCAACGTGCACTGCTACTTCCCGGGCACCATCTTCACGCCTGGGTACGAGACCGAGAACCTGACCAAGCCCAAGATCACAAAGGACATTGAGGGCGCCGACGATGGCCTGACGCCCGAGCAGTGCGCCAGAGGCATGTTCAAGGGGCTGAGACGCGGCGAGTGCGCGATCACCACCGACCCGATCTCGCTGCTGTTCCGCTGCAACACGCGTGGTGCGATGCCCACCAACAACTATGTCATCGACACGGTTGTGGCTGCCATCGGCTGGGTTGCGTTCCCGCCCTGGCGCTGGTATGTCGACTACATGGTCAAGTCGTTTCGCCACGAGAAACCAAAGGTCGAGTAGCAGCGACTCGCCAGTACGCTAGCCTTTTTGTTTATTTCAAGCATAAATGCAGAGTCTACATGATCTCCCTGACGGTCATCTTGCCGCGGATGCGCTCCATGACCTTGCGGTCAAAGACACAGTTGGGCATGGGCACCAGGCACGACGCTGATGCAGCCGCCAGTCCCGCTGCAAACGCCTCGACCATGACCTTGTCGTCCAGCATGTGGTTCATCATCACCGCGCTGCACGTGTCGCCGGCGCCCAGCGGGTTCAGCACCAGGTGGCCCTGCGGCGCCTGATCCGAGCCCAAAAAGTACTCTCTGTCTTTGAGCAGATCCGGGATGCTGAACGCATGCGCCCTGTTGTCCTGCACATTGGCCAGATACGCGGTGAATGGCCCGTCAGTGACGGCGACTGCGCCAATAGAATACCGCTGGCCGAGCTCCATTGCGACCTTTGCCAGATCGACATCCTTGGGCGTCTTGTCCTGGTATGCGGGCTCGAGCGCCGACAGGATGTTCAGCACCTCGCCAGAGTTCACCTTGAGGATATCGATGCATTTGGACTCGAGCACCGGATGTATATCTTTGACGGCATCGACAAACACCAGCGTCTTTTCTGTGCGCGCCTGGATGATGCGAGACACTGTGGTTGATTGGAGGCCCGGCGGAAATGTGCCGCATAGCGCCAGAGCCCTGGGCGGGTTCTCCGACTGCAGAATCTGCGTGGCCACCTGCTCGTACTCTTCCTCGGCGTGCTCGTCAATCAGCCCCGACACGCCGACCATTTCCGTCATATCGCCTGTGGACATGTCCAGGCACGTTGTGCAGGTGCGGGTCGGCAGCGACGTCCTGACTACGTGATTATCAGAATAAAATCAATCGATGGCGAAAATGCTAGCAGGGGCTTCCCCGGGTGGCTGGCACATGATGCATGGCTTCTGGTTGTAGAGCCGCTAGATGGTGCGAGATAGCCGGATGCTGAACAATGGAGGGCAATATTATGCCACCCCGCATTGTGCTTGCAGACCGGTCTCGCACTGGCATTGGGAGAACCTTACCTGTGATGTAGTCGAAGCCCTGCTCGTCCTCCATGGCCTCGATTTGCGTGCCTGTGGGCCCGCCCAGGATCTGTAGCAAGGTGACGCGATCCGCGCTCTTGTAGTACTGCTTTGTCGCCACCGCAAAGTTCTGGCCTACGCAGAGTACACGGGTAAGGTTTTTTTTTCAGTGCGAACGGCCCAATTCCTCGCTGGAGAGCCAGGGGGTTTATGACTTACCCTTGCCGCCGAGCGAGTTGGTCTGCATCGAGGCCCGGTTCACATCGCCCAGAGTGATCTTGTCGAACAGCACAGTGAGCTGGTACGCAGCGTTCGGAGCTACACGACGAGATGGATATACGAGGGTGCTGCTGAGAATACGAGGGCTTCTAGGAAAGAGTGCGTGTGGTGCTTTTCAGCCCTCCTTACCGAGACACAGAATGTCATTGCTGCGATGGGTGTCTGCGGAATTCATAGCGACGGCTTTCGAGGCAGGCATGAAGTTCAATATTGAGAGTAGGAGTGGGATATTAATAGAGAAGGGAGTGGATGGATGTCTGGAGTTTGGGGAGGAGTCGAGGAGAATGGCTCAGCGAAGCAATGCGGGATGGTAAACCGCTTTATACACCCGAGTTGGCTAAAAAAATTTGCTGCCTGCTCGGGAGCGTCATGTGTTGCACAGAAATAGAACACGTATCGGGTGAGAAGAGGTTATTGTGTTGCGTTGTCACTTTGCATTGGCCTATGTCTCCTAAACACCAGTTGTTCTTGGAAGCGAAAATGAAAACACGTCAGGTGGAGGTTATATGAACACCGGTAAAAATAGACCTGACTAATCGTGAAACTGCGGGACATCGGGATTCTCAATCGCGTGCACCTCTCGCTCAAACGCCGCCCTCTCCAAGCACTCCTCGGCGGCAAACTTCTTCCCCACCAGCTTTTGTGCGCTGGCAGTCCATTCAAAGTACGTGGCACGCACCAGACTGGCCCTCTTGACGTTGTATTTCTCTAGGAACTCGCTGCGCCGCCACTGCAGTGCCGCGGCAGGGTCCTCGTACTCGATGGCCGTGGAGATGTACCGCTCGGGGTGCAGCTCGCCGTCAGTCGGGATGTGCACGGACGCTGGCAGCGGCTTGCCTGTCTTGGGGTCGCGGTGGCCGACGCCGTGGCCAATGTAGCCCGGGCTGGTGAAGTCGGAGATCAGCTTGTAGCCGTTGGCCTCAGATGTGCCGTTCTCGAGATCAACGTCAGAGACAGCCTTGCAGCCGGTGCCGACGCCGGTACCTCGAAGCACAATTTCCTTCGGGACAGTCATATTGTGGAAAAACAGCTTATGCAATATAATGTTTCTGGAAGGGGAATGGAGGCGAAGGGAGGGGGAATTGCTAGTGTGGGCCAAAACATGGGCTGGCATTTCGAGATATTTAACCCACGCAGCCCCCTTTCCCTTCTACCCCGCACATCGGCACAGATGATCTCACCCTCCAGCGTCCTCCAGAGACTCTGGCTGTAAAAATAGCAAAGAGGGGTGGAGTTCTAGAATCTAATTCTTCAGCGCTCCTTCAAACAAGAATATATCCTCGCTCTGCCACATCTCGTCCTGATCGGCGGGCTTAATATCGTGGAAGCGGAAGCGATTTCCCCACAGCGCCATGAACTTGGCCTCGTCCTCGAACCTGCGCGACTCGTACGTCATAAGAACCTTGGTCTGTGGGCCTGCCAGCTTCCCCAGCGTGTTCGCCAGTGGCTCGTGGATATCGGTCACCCAGATGCCGTCGGACACCAGAATATAGTCGGGATGCGTAGCAATACCGGCGGGGGCAGTCCAGTCGATGCACTGGACAGATGTATTTGCTGCAGCGTTGTTCAGATCCACATTGTGCTGCAGCAGCGGAAGCAATTCCTGTTTGTCGGACAGGATCACCTTAGCTGTGGGTTCGATCAGGGCCACCGACAGACCGACCACGCCGGTGCCAGAGCCGAGCTCCAGAACCGTCTTGCCGGAGAGGTCCAGGCTGCCCAGCTTGACCTGCTTTTCAATGTATTTGGAGAGGACAAAGGCAGCATCCCACACGGTGGCTCCGACACCGAGCTTCAACTGGCCAGTCGGATCCTGCAAGATCTTAATCGCAGATGCACCTCCACATGCAAGGCCATATTCGCTCTCGATGCACTTTGCTGTATCCATTTCTCGTTGGTGCTGCTGGTGCTACTGGAACTGGGCTTTTGGGTATTAAAACGTGGAATTGGGTGGTGGTGCAGGATAGGCCACAAGCGAAATGCTCGCCATTTCTGACTCGGCGACAGAGGTCTAGGGAAATGGGAGCTGCCGGCACTTGGGCGTGAATGCCTCTATTTTTGTTCAAAAACCGTTCTCATGACCAGCGAAAGAACATGTGCGCATACGTGGTGCTTGTGACTGGTATCTCGTAGCAACCACCGCCCCCGTCCCCTACCATCGTGCACATGCGCTGCTTTCAATGGCCCACACAGGCCCTGTTGGAAAAACGTATATCCTTTTTATAGCGCGATTATCAGGAGACTGCCAGCCTATAGACTGAGTGAACAGATGCGGTAAAGGTGGTGGGGCTCTGCCAGCTTTTTTTTCCTTTCTTTCTTCGAACGAGCCATTCTGGACTCAACAGGTTTCTCAGCTCCGCTATTTTCTGTTCTCACTTTCAGTGCTTGTAAATGAAGTTTTCGAGCGCATTGCAATTCAATGCTGTGCCCGACTGGGCGCAGTACTACATAGAGTAAGTACTTTGTTCAATGCTAGCACCAGTAGAGGACGCAGGCATTCGTTCTCCACCCGTGGGGGGGGGGGAAGGCTGTAGCAGTACTCTCCCCACCATACCGCTGGTATCCACGGTAGGCTACCGCTAACTGACTGCCCTGTAGTTATTCGGGCTTGAAGAAGAATCTGTACATCATCGAGCGCGACATCATCGCCAAGCGCGGACAGACACAGTCGCCGCGCACCGACGAGAGCCGGACGCTGCTAGGTCCCCAGAACCAAGCATATGCAGCCTTTGTGCCATTGCTTGACAGCGAGCTGAGCAAGATCGAGAGCTTTTATCGGCGCAAGGAGGGCGAGCTACTGGGCAAGGCCAGCGAGATCGAATCGGAGCTAGGGCAGCTGAGGCTGTCGGTGCCATTCGAGCGCCAGCGGTCAGGCAGCTTCTTCCGCAAGCTGTCGGCTGTGGATATGGAAGATCCAGAGTCAGCGACTGGAGCATTGCTGCTCCGAGGCAGACACACGACGCAGCCGCAGCTGATCGACAGTGAAGGCGGATCGTCGTTGCGCGCACAGGCCAATGCGGCAGTATCGTCGCTGTCCGATACGCAGGAGGCGATCGACCTGGATTCGACGATTCCTGAGAACGTGACCAACGCCTACATTCCGGTCGACCACGACGACGACACGCGGACGCCTAGCTTTGCCAATGGCGAAGGCAGCAATCTGGTGACTGCTGCAGAGCAGCAGCGGGCCAGCGTCGGGCACCGGCGCACGGTCAGTCTGAGCGGCGTCGACGGCGTTCGGCGCGAGATCCGTAACCAGTCGCGCAATCTATTTATTCTGCTGCACGACTTGCGCTCGTACGCGCAGCTCAACTACACTGGGTTCAGCAAGATCACGAAAAAGTACGACAAGATCACCCATTCGGATCTGCGCTCCACGTACCTGGAGGACACGGTGCGCAAAGCATACCCGTTCACGACCCAAGCGCAGGCTGCACTGCGCGACCACATGGAGCAGCTGGCGTTTGTGTTTGGCGTGGCCTCGGACTTTTCGTCGATTGACCAGGCGCTGAAGGAGCTGAAGAAGTGCCTGCGCGAGGAGGTCGTGTGGGAGCGCAACACGGTGTGGCGCGACATGATTGCCAACGAGCGCATGGTCAATGCCGTCGGTGTTCAGTCACCCGAGCTCGACCACACGGGTGACATCACTTCGACGCCGCTGAAGCCACGCGGCATGACCAACACCAATAAGCAGCTCCTGCGCATTGCCTTCTGCACAGCGGTGTTTGCCATTGTGTGGGCCATCCCGATGTTTGACGGCCGGGAGCAGCAGCGGTGCTGGGCCATGCTGATATACGTGTCGCTGCTGTGGGCCACCGAGGCCCTGCCGCTGCACGTTACTGCGCTGCTGGTGCCGTTCCTAACCGTGATGCTCGGCGTCATGCGGTCGCCAGCCAAGTCGCACCACCACCTGGACGCAGGCGAGGCATCCAAGGCGGTGTTCTCGGCCATGTTCTCGTCGGTCATCATGCTGCTGCTGGGCGGGTTCTCGCTGGCAGCCGCGCTGAGCAAGCACGATATTGCGCGCATCATTGCGTCGTGGATCCTGTCCAAGGCCGGCACTAGCCCAAAGCTGGTGCTGCTGGCCAACATGTTTGTTGCCACATTTGCCAGCATGTGGATCAGCAATGTCGCAGCGCCCGTCCTGTGCTTCTCCCTGATCAAGCCCATTCTGCGCACGCTGCCCAACGGCAGCACCTTTGCTCCGTGTCTGATCATTGGCATTGCGCTGGCATCGAATGTGGGCGGTATGGCCTCACCTATTGCATCACCGCAGAATATCATCGCGCTCAACACCATGAAGCCGTCACCGTCGTGGCTCCAATGGTTTACCGTATCGATTCCTGTCTGTATTCTGTGCAATCTGGCCATCTGGGTGCTGCTGCTGGCCGTCTACCGTCCGCACCACACCACGCCGTCGATCCGCCAGACGCGGTTCACGCCCGAGAAGCTGAACAAGCGCCAGATCTACGTGTGCATCGTCTCGATCGGCACCATCGTACTGTGGTGCATGCAATCGAGTCTCTCGGGTATCTTTGGCGATATGGGCATCATTGCAATTCTGCCGCTGGTGCTCCTGTTTGCCTTCCCCAAGGTGCTGAGCAAGGAGGACTTTAACAACTTCCTGTGGACCGTTGTGATCCTGGCCATGGGCGGCATTGCGCTGGGCCGTGCTGTTGATTCGAGCGGCCTGCTGCACGAGCTGGCCAGCCACATCGAGCTGCTGGTCGATGGCTTCCCGGTCTTCACCGTGCTGTGCGTGTTCTGCGGGCTGATCCTCGTGTGCTGCACGTTCATCTCGCACACGGTCGGTGCCCTGATCATCCTTCCGATTGTCGCCGAGGTCGGCGCCAGGCTGCCTGAGCCCCACAGCCGTCTGCTGGTCATGGGTGCTGCGCTGATGGCCTCGGGCGCTATGGGGCTGCCGGTGTCTGGGTTCCCGAACATGAACGCCATTATGCTGGAGGATACCCTGGGCAACCCGTATCTGACCACTATGGACTTTTTCAAGGCTGGTATTCCATCCAGTGTTCTGGCCTACTTTATCATTATTTCGGTTGGATATGCGTGCATGTCGCTGCTTGGATTTTAGGAAATATATTGATTTGGTATAGTCTTTGATTGCAAGACGCGTCAGAAGACTCGCCGAGCTGTTCTGGCGCCGAACCGACGGCAGCAAACTCCGGCGATTCCGAGAGGCAGATAGCCGACGACCAGGCTCCTAACATGCAGCCTACTAGCGCCTCAGCACGAGACGAAGGCTCTGATGAGGATCTGTAGAGATAGCGGAATTTAGTCACCTCTCGAGTCACTCCTGTTGACATTCGAGGTCTGGAGTCCCCCTGGTCCACCATAGACAAGGCCGAAACGCATACGTACAAAGGCCCAGACAGACGACCAGCCTTCCTTCTTCCCCTCAGTCACTTTTTGAGAAAGTATGGTTCCATACTAGAAATACTCTGCTCATGATGCGAGCTCGGCTGCTAGTCAGCATGGGTTGACACGTCGATAAGAGCATCGCGGTGAACTGGCCATTTGAACGTGTCGGATGGTTGTTGGTGCAATGTCGATCATGGACATCTCCCACCTTGGTGGCCTGCTCAGCGCAGACGCTTCAGTGCTGGTTCGCTGCTGCTGGCAGCAGAATCGCCTGCTGCTGCACGCCTCTTGCGCGGGTTCTTTGTTTCAGGGGTGGCATCAAAAGCATCGGCAGCAATGGCCGTAGAACGACGGAACCGTTCAGGAATACTGCCTGAACCACAGAGTGACTGGAAAATGAGTCTGAAGTTTAGAACTGCTGCGAGATTGCGGTTCAAGAGCCGAGACGAATAGGCTCGCCTGTATTGTGCCATGGCCCGCTTACATGACTCGCTTGTACAGCGGAGAAGGCCATGGCACTTCACAACTGGGCTCTTCGATCGTTGGCAGGGGCGTGGGTTGGGAACATGCCGGAATGTCTGCAGCGACTTTTCGCAGCAGAACGGGCACATCGACGATGTCCGGAATTCGTTGATCAGATAGACTTCAAAGCCATGGTGCTTGAACTTGTCATGCCATCCCTTGCCACGAATCGGCGCATGGTGTCGGGCCATTGGCGCACTCCAATTGCCCATGATTAGCACTGGATCTGGACGGAACTTGCCCCGGAGTTTTGCGGCAAGCCTGTGGTCTGCACGGGCCTGGTTCATGAATGAATCAAGGCGCAGCTTGCGGTGAAGCGGGTACACCTTGGGACTGGTACTGACACCCGGATGGGCCTTCCAGCGCCTCTGGTGCTGCTTGTTTGACTTAGTTGGCTGCTGCTCTAGTAACATTCGCGCTGTCATCGTGTTGGCATAAAATGGTGCTAGGATACACCGCACAGATGCACGGGCAGCAACGTAGGCATGGAATTTTGCTGGGCTAAGGGTCCGGCAGCAGTGCTTGGAAAGCTCTGCCTCTGCTCTGCGGACAGCATCTTCTGGGACTTGATCCTTTGTAGCCCGACGAATCCTGTCATAGTGGCGCAGCTTGAGCTCCTTATTGCGCTGCTGTCGTGTGTAGTGGTAGAGCATTTTTTCACCCTCTTTCCCATTGCTGCTATTTTCGTGCATCATGTATAGCAAATCGCCCCGACCTGGATCGATGAATACACAGCGGCCTTTCAGATTCTGCAGCTCTGGCTGTGGGGTCTGGTGGATATAGCGACAGTCAGCTATAGCATTGCCTCCCACAGCATCGCCTCCTACAGTATCAGCATCTACTGCACCATCAGCCTTGGATATCTTGTCTTGCAACAAAATGCATATCGTTACACCATCTGCTGTTGCCATTCCGTGGAATTTTCTATCACCATGTGCCTTAAATGGCTTTGATGTTAGATCTGCGACCTGGCCCCACCCATCCTAAATTTCTGCTGCTTGGTAAATACTCGCCTGTCTTGCTCAGTTTGCATACCTGCATCTTTTACTGGACAACTAACTAGCACACGTCCTCTATCCACCTCACCTCTATCACTTTCGGAAATGGCTAAGGTATGGATCGCTAGATACCTATATGTATTGCATCCAATAAAGGGATGGTTGCAAAGCCGACTGGAATGATAGCTGACGGAGAGAAAGAACTGCAGATCCCACTGTATAGCTCAGTCATCTCCATTTCTAAGTATATGAAGCTATAGCACTTGAGCTGAGGTATCAACTCTAGCGAACAGTGTTGCTTTGTGTTGAGTTCAGCTAAATGTCCCATATAAGAAGACTCAAATTATATGTAGCCCAACCAGTGCACATCATTAATAGAACCAAGCTCTTGTGTCTGAAAAGCTACAGCTCTCTCCCTGGCAATAAAAAGTGCTGCTGCCTGCCTGCCTCCTCTCTTTCTTGGACCAAAATACAGTGCAGAAGAGTATGTCTGGTTGTCTTTGTCCTCCGCTCTGTGCATGATATCCGCACCATAGATGCACCTGGCTGCTTTTTTACTACAAAAAGCACGTACAAAAGACGCTGCAAATAGTTCACAGTTGAAATCAGGGAATGGGGACACACATTCCGTGCCATCAAGACAGAGACAAGCGTTCATGTATACTTCCTACCCAGTGCACTCGCTTGCAGCAAGGAGAATGCCAGAAAAACAAGACTCAATCCTGCCGAGTAGGGTTTTGCTTTTCTCCAAGACGTAGCTTACCTGGTCACCTGTTCTCTTGTGTCCTCCCTGCTCATGTTCCAACAGTCGGCCAGAATGTCATTGGCTTGCCGGATGGCCCTGGCTTTAATGTCTATTAAAAAACCACCAGGTGACCACATAATCGGATACGCTTTTCTGGACACTTGCAGCTCCCTCACAGCGAGGAACCGTGTCATTACAAAAGGGTTGTCAAAAACAACACTGTGACTACTTCAAAAAGGGGGTATAAGCACCATGGATGAGCACCGCCCACCCTGTCACTGTTCCTCATTACCTTTTCTACTCCTAACCACTTTATACTTTTGAGTATCTACCAGTGCTCCTCAAACGAATCTTCCACAATCTATCTATTTATCTATCATTTGTATTCATCATGTACCTTTCTATTTTGGACTCGCATTTGCCTAGGATCCTCCCCATGGATGCCACTAAAGTCACTACAGAGTCTATCGGTCCTATATCGACAATTACGGACTATAAGAATATTGAACGCTTCGTCAAAACTTATCCACACCGCGCAAAGGACCTCCCGGATCTTGCCTTCTCAGTCCTGCTGATGGAGTGCTTTGTTGAGTGTGCCTGTGTGGATGACGGTTGTCCACGAAGCCATGAACGCCGCTGGGTTACCAACATCGAGTTTATTATTTTCCATGGCAAGCTCCACTTGATCAAGGAATTCAGACTGATAGCCGAATCAGTCTACTGGAAACCATTGGGGCTCAGCGTAGAACTGAAGCGGCTGGCGCGTCATATCGGCAGGTCGCTACCGAATGTGAATCGCATTTTATTCCTTGGAGTCGGGCTACTCGAATTGGGCAGTGGTGACAAGTTCGTTGGCAATAGGGATCCTAAAGATACCAAAAGGTGGATCTACATACTATTCCCGCGGGTTAGTGACGTCAGATATTTTACTAAATCTGTGTGGGGACCATCACCAGGCTACATAACAGCACCTACTGACACGAATCCGCTATATAATCTGACGTTTTCAGCGTATTTTAGCCAGCTGGAGCATGTTCAGCTGCACATTCCCGTCTCTCTGGACTTGAGCCAGTTTTGTGTGAACCTCACGTCGCTTTCTATCAACCTCGAATATGTTCGCTGCCACAAGAAACTGCCAGCGATACCAGTCCGTCGCCTGAAGGTTCTACATATCTGGCAGATTGATGACATAGTTCCTTGGGACATATTTGAATTGAGCGGCCGTGAGTTGTTGTTCGATACGCTGGACGAGCTCACTCTTGAATTTATCGTGCCGATTACAAACCAAGTGCCATTTCCTGGAGTTTCGTTTGACATCCGTTTCCCGGTACTCAGCGTCCTACGCGTCTACAATTCGACATTTGTATACGGTGATATTTTTACGCATTTCCTTGACAGCGCGCTCAGTGAGCTAAGAATCATGGACGATCAGTGGGAGTTTGTTGATATTGACTGGCGAATTCTGAACAGCATACAGCGTCTGACAGTTCAGCATCCTACCGGTGAGACAGCTCGGGCCTGGTACGCATCTGTAATCATTCAATCCCTGTTCGATCAGCCATCCAGCATGACGGAAGCCTATCTCATAGGACATGTGCCCTACATGTTGCCAGTCAATATTGCGTGGCATAACCTGGCCAAGCTCCAGCTGTTTGTGACACATGCTGACAAGGATGGAATCGCCAACATGGTGGCACAGCTCCCAGTTCTTGAAGAGCTCGCGATTGAATGCGAATCAATGTATCTCAATGACGTTGGCTCGTCGATATATCCTGACCAACGGGGCACAGCTGAAGGTCTTGCCATAGTCGTTGATGAAGAAGATGACTCGCCTATCAGTGATACACTCAAGTGCTTCAAGGTACAGACACAGCGAGAATTCGATATATATGGTTTCTGTGATCTGGTTTGCCGCTTCCCTGCTGTCAGTGTTGCAGTAGTCATAAGCTATTATGTCGAAAGTGTTGAGAATATGCTCAATTGGCATTACCAAGGAGGGCGACAGATCAGTATTCAGCCATATCCTGAGCAATGACACCGTAGCTTTCTTGTCATTTCATATCTATTAGCATCAGTATCTCAGCTATATGCAACAATCAGAAAACGCCCCATACCCACATGTGGAAGTTGCGAGATTACAGCCTCGAGTAACCGTTGTTATGCGGTTCATTTTGTTTTGGATAGTGGCTATCTGAATCAACTAAGCCACATGTAGAGCATAGGCAGATTTTTTGACCGGAGATTGGCACCCGACGCTCACAAGCTCGAATAAATGTCTGGTTGACCAGTTCGAACAGAACAATAAGCACTAAAAACGGTGGTTATATGCAACTGATTTTAAACGAGACAATACTCTGCCCACCAAGCAGCTGGGGTAGGCGTTCGTCTGTACTGTGATGCACTCCAAAATGCTGTATAAGGGAAACTTCAACAGAAAATGGCAGTACCTTGCTCGGAAGATTTATGCACTTTGTGCATTAAAATATCCGAACACTCGATCTGGGCGGATACTCGTGGAGAGGACATCTATGGCTGCGAGCAGCATTTAAAAGTTATAGCAGATGACTTTTCTCACTATCCAACTACGTTAGAATTTGCAAACGTATTCGTATTCCGATGAATGGATAGTGTTAACCTAGGGGGCGAGTGGTTATCAAATATATGGAAAAATACCTTCTCAAAAAGCGACTAAGAGGAAGAAGGAAGGCTGGTCGTCTGTCTGGGCCTTTGTACCTATGCATTTCGGCCTTGTCCATGGTGGCGCAGGGGGGCTCCGGACCTCGAATGTCAACAGATAGTTCAATTCATAAAAGCACTCACTGGTTCATTAGCAAACTCTCTATTTGGCATTCTCTTCCGCTAGTTAGGAAGCTGTGCTACATGAGCAAAATAGAGGCGCTACTTGCCAGTGCTAATAGTATTGCAAGGGTTTCACTTTCCATTTGGCAGTTACTATTGCATGAGGCGCAGGAATGGAATCAAAACAGTGAAAGTGAATCATTTGTAGCATTAGCACAGCGCCCCAGAAAGATATAGGGCACAGGCATCTCTTTTGGTTGAGGTTTGCGCTCTAGCTTCATCTTTTACTATTCTCACACTCAGCTCCCCTTAACTTCTCCTGCACTTTAAGTCGAACATTAAAATACATAGCATGGCTTCTCTATGTTCAAACAAGCTGGCGCCGAGGCCAGGAGCGAGTGGAACGGCTGAGGTGAATAGCTATTCGCTTCAAGCTATTCAGACCATGCCGCCGGGAGATGAAACAACAGGAATCGAATGGAATGGTGTTAGCTAGGCTACCGAAATAATTCTTTTTCATGAAAAGCTCGAGCCAGGGGCATGATACATGCCTATCAAAGCTCCTTCTCAAATGGTTCGTAGTCTGGTACATCTTAGTACTGGTTCGATGTTTAATAAATTGAGGTTATCTTGCCGCAGCTGTCTCTGTAGGGACCAGCACAGAAACCGAAAATGCTAGCATCTGTTGGTGTAGCTGGATGTAGCTGTAAAAATTATGCTAGGTACCTAGATCTAGCTTGAGTGATGGGAGAATTCTACAATACGCTCAGGCTACCGGCTGATGTCAAGTGGATGTCGCTAAGACAATTGAGACCAACGGCAACAGCGGCAGACATTAATTCTTCGAAAGAACTTCTAAGGGCGCTGTCAGCATTCAAGTTCCTTGTAGCAGCGACACTTTGAAAAGTATAACTATATCTTCACGGCGTTCCAAAAGATCGGGTCCAGTAGATGACAGCACAAATGGTCGTCAGTAGCATCGCCTGCTGCATGCATTATAGCGTTTCCAAACACATGTGTTTTTGTGCCTTCAGCTAATGGCGGATATGCCTCTGCAGCACATGGTCTCCAGGGCATCACAGCACCTTCCTACCCATCGACTTACCTGGTCTTTGGATCGGGTGTGGCTCTGATAAATATGCCAAGACCACCAGTACTGCTATCAAAAGATTTTTCAGGCTGTCTAACGAAACTAGATATTCCAGAGTCTAGCAGCATTATTTTAGAATGGTGAGGTGTTGTTCTGGTATTAGTATCTGTATTATAGGGTATGGTCTAAGGTAAACATTTTTAAGTATCTCAGTCAATTCATTTGTCGATACTGCTTGATTCGGCCACAGGGTTCATCAAATTTCCAAGCAGGCTTGTATGCAATTTGGATGGGTAATTCCAAGAAATGTGTGTGTATATCCAGCAGAGTCGACTGATATCTAGCTAACCAAAAAGTTCTGCTTTGTGTTGCCAGTAGTGGGCATGGCGATCGACAGATGCGGGTTATTGACGTCAATTTGGTATAGGGAGAATGCAAGCGCAATGATAAGATATGAGCTGAGTACCATAGCACCTTTGAGACAAACAAAATGCTCATATTGGTGCTAGCCCTCAACTACCTAATCATGAATGGCTGCTCAAACTGGCTCAAAGTCACGGAAGAGTGTGGTGCAGCCAAAAAAAAAAGAGGGAAAAGCAGTGGCGGATCTGAATAGTGTTGTTGAGAATTAGAATGAACTGAGGTGAGAATAGGAACCCGTCATGTGTACCTGGTCTTACGTATGGTGGTATTGGAGTGCATTGATGCCCTGGGGCCAGCAGCACTTTGCACTTTTCCTATATTCATGTTATTGTTGTTTGGTAACCTAACTAAAAGTCCAGTTAGAGTTGTTTGATGTGGCTATCACGTGGATCTGCCAGGCGCCCAATGATGTGCCAGATATGGGGGTGACTTGAGCGATGGCTGCTTGGTGGAGGTTTTCGCTGGTTTCACTTTTCCTTTCCATCGAGTGCATTTAGACATTTTTCTTCCTCTTTTTTTGCATTCCACGAGAGCAATGTACACGCTTGTTTCCGGGGCATACAAGTATCTGACGCGGCAGGATGAATACACAATACTAATGCTTGGTCTCGATGGGTCGGGCAAAACAACGCTGCTGGAGCGTATCAAGCACATGTACATCGGTCTACCACTCATGGACGCGGACAAAATCAAGCCGACAGTGGGCGTGAACATCGGCAAAGTGCATGTAAAACGGACGCTGTTGAAGTTCATGGACTTGGGCGGTGCACGGGAGCTGCAGGGGATCTGGGAGTCGTACTACGGTGACGGCCACGCATTACTGTTTGTTATCGATTCAGTAGATGAGGAACGCCTGGGAGAGGCCAAGCAGACGCTGCTGCGGTTAATGAAGGACCGGGAACTGGAGGGTATTCCTATGCTGGTACTAGCAAACAAGCAGGATACGCAGGACGCTGGGTCACTGGTGCATGTTAAAGAAGTTGTTAATACGCTGGCCGACTGCATGGATGCACGGGATGTGAGGGTCATGGATGCTTCGGGCAAGGAGGGCCATGGAGTGAAGGCGGCCATTGACTGGCTATATAGTAGGATCATCGAGAACCGCCAGCGGAAACCGCCTGTCACCAATATATAATTTTGAAGTATATAAATGTCACCATAGTTTGGCACTTGCCAATGTTGGGGCTACGTGGCAGGATATCTCCGAGCAGCCGGTGCTTCGACATACACACCCTTTTCCGCCATCATCATTATGTCAAAGCTCGATATTGTAACTGGGCGCATGTCCAAGCTGATGCTGAGGCGGTGGCCCATGCTGGCGGAGCAGTGCCCGAAGGATGGCTGCCACGCCCCGCTGATGCGCAATCCTGAAACCGGCGAATCCAAATGTGTGTGGCACGATGCGCACGAGCTATTCCCCGATGAGCTGACGGAAGAGGAGGTGCAGGATAAAATATCGGAAACTGCCGAGGCGTCGGTTGGCGAGAGCGAAGAGGTGGAGGAGCCGATTGATACCGAAAAGGAGAGGATGCTCAAGGAGCGCCGTGCACAGAGCGACTTGGCCAGCGAGCTGATTGGCAAGAAGATGCTTGAGGGGTGGGCTATGATGGACAAGATGTGCCCGAACGAGTCGTGCCGTGCCGTGCCGCTGGTCAAGGATCGTGAGGAGGTGCAGTACTGCGTGATCTGTGAGAGGCGGTACATGGATGAGGCAGCGTACAAGAAGAGGTACGGCTCGATTCCTGATGCTGGACCAAGTAAGCCAGCGGCACCATCCAGGGCACCAGTAGCTGCTGCCCCTGCTGCCGCCGCAGAAATTACTGAGAAGAAGGCGCCTGCCAAGGCTGACTCGACGGCAGTGCAGAAGCGCTCTGAGCCGAGGGATGTCGCTCCGATCGATGCCGACTCGATTAGCGTCGCTGTAAAGGCGCTCGAGGACAAGGTCGTCAGTCTGTCACAGCAGCTGAGCACCACCACACACTACAAGGACGTGGAGCGCATTGCCAAGGCAATCAGCGCCTGCGCCAAGGCCATCAAGGCGTGCCGCGATTTGTAGATCAAGACCTTAGATCACCAACGCGAAGCCGACGTGTGCCTGCGCAGTCGACTTTTTGCTGGAATTTGCTGTTCACTAATTAAACAGTGCTTCTTCTGCTCTTCGAACCTTTCACATTCATTACTTTTGACACAATGGCGACACAGCTCAGCAACAACGCAAATGACACGCTGCCCTGGGTGGAAAAGTACCGGCCGGTGGAGCTCAAGGACGTGGTTGGCAATTCAGAGACGGTGGAGCGGCTCAGGGTGATCGCGCAGAGCGGCAACATGCCCAATCTGATTCTGACGGGGGCGCCGGGAATCGGCAAGACCACAAGCATCCTGTGCCTGGCGCATGCGCTGCTGGGGCCGTCGTTCAAGGAGGCAGTGATGGAGCTTAATGCGTCAGACGACCGCGGCATCGACGTGGTGCGTAACCGCATCAAGATGTTTGCGCAGAAAAAGGTGACGCTTCCAGCGGGGCGCCACAAGATCATCATCCTGGACGAGGCAGACAACATGACGCCTGGCGCGCAGCAGGCGCTGCGGCGGACGATGGAGCTGTACTCGAACACGACGCGGTTCGCCCTGGCCTGCAACCTGTCGGGCAAGATCATCGAGCCGATCCAGAGCCGGTGCGCAATTCTGCGGTATGGCAAGCTGACGAACGAGCAGGTGCTGCGGCGGCTGGTGGAGGTGTGCCGTGCCGAGTCGGTCGAGTACAGCCCCGATGGCCTGGAGGCTGTGGCGTTCTCTGCCGACGGCGACATGCGGCAGGCGGTCAACAACCTGCAGTCGACGGCCAGTGGGTTTGGCTTTGTGTCGCAGGAGAACGTGTTCCGCGTGTGCGACCAGCCGCACCCGGTGGTGATCCGCGCGATGCTGGAGAGCTGCGGTCAGGGCGACGTTGACAAGGCTGTGGCGTGCATCAGCTCGCTGTGGAACCAGGGGTACTCGGCCGTTGACATCGTCACTGCTGTGTTCCGTGTCGTCAAGGTTGACGACAGGCTGGATGAGGACAAGAAGCTCAAGTTTATCAGGGAGATCGGGATTACGCATATGCGCATTGTCGACGGGCTGCAGACGCTGGCGCAGCTGCAGGGCCTGGTCGCCAGACTGTGCAAGCTGGCGCTGCCGCCCAGCGCCTTTGCCGTGTAAGAGCACCCAGCCGGCTTTCACATGTCAGGAGATGTCTGATTATTGACTGGGGTGGAGTTGATGTTACATCGGTAATGCAGTTTGAAGAGTGCTTGTAGCGCAAAGTATATAAGCCTCGTCCCCATGCTGCCACTACCGCTCCCTCATTTTTGCCACCCAGCGCCTCTTTTCCTCTTCTTCCCCGCATACTCACCTAGCTCCTATTCTTTTAAAAAAGTACATGCTAATTACCCAGCAAGCAAGTAATTGTCTCCTGCTGTTCGTAATAGCCATAGCCGCGGCAGTCCTCGGCACCAGCACCAGCACCGGCGCAGCCAGCGCAGCAGCAGCCGAGCGGCTCTTGAACTGGGAGCCCCCACTGGCAATCGACAGCCAGCCCACACAGGCAGGGTTCCTGGTGCGCAGTCTGTATCGGATCCTGCAGAGCATTGGTTTTGTGGTGACGTCGGTCGTTTTGGTGATCGGCTACGGCGTTTTTGTCGTACTGCTGCCGGGGCTTTACAACCTAGCCAGATACCTGGTGCACGCCAGCAGCTCGGTGATGTTCTGCACCATTCTTGCGCTGGCCCTGGGTCTCAGCGGTTTGTATTACTTCCGATACTACTATGCAGCGCCGCCTAAGACGCAGTTACATGGCCACGAAGATCACAAATCGGCGACCGAGAGCGGCTTTGATTTGCACCCGGACGTGGTTGCACGCGGCGACGATGGCGACAGCATGTCCAGCTACTTGGCGTCGCTGGAGTCTCGCAGTAGCAGGGGTATCGGGTTCCCTACCGACTTCCTAAACATGTTCATGAAGAGCATCAGCATTTTCGGCTACATCGAGGAGCCAGTGTTCCACGAGTTCTCGCGGCAGCTGCAGACGCGTCGGCTGCTGGCAGGCGAGCGCATGTTTGATAATGACGGCGACCGCGACGACCAGAATTTCTATGTCGTTATCGACGGCCAGGTGCAGATTTACTTGGTTGACCAGGCCGATGGACAGGAGGCTGTGCAGGCATCTCCAGAGCACACGTTGCAGAATGACCCTGTCGACAGCTCCCAATTCAACACTGGCGAAAGCTCCTCGTGGTCAGCTTCATTCGACGATCTGGGCGCCGATTACGCATCCGACCTGAATGAGCAGCATGCGGGTGAAGTAGACGGCGAACCAGCAGGGTCGGCCATTCTGCTCAACGAGATTGGGCCGGGCGATGTGCTGTCGAGTCTATTTTCGATTCTGTCGCTGTTCACCGAGGGCGTTCCGCTACGCCAGCACGTGCACGACGATTTGCCCGCTGGCAATCATGCGGACAGTCGTGGTGGCGACCAGGTGTCCGCTGTAGATACGAGCGGGGTGCTGCGCAGCATCCACCTGCAGGACACAGCACGGCCGAACGTGATTGCAAGAGCCACCACCGACACTACCCTGGCCATGATTCCTGCCAACGCCTTCCAGCGAGTGACGCGTCTGTACCCAAAGGCTGCTGCACACATTCTGCAGGTTATCCTGACCAGGCTGCAGCGGGTGACGTTTGCCACCCTGTACGACTACTTGGATGTGCCGCACGAGCTGGTAGCCGTCGAGCGCAACATTGGCGAGCTGGCGAAATACTCGATAGACGCTGGCAAGGCACTGCAGGCTATCAAGGGCATTTATGGCAGCAGTTCAGCCGAGCAGACTAGCAGGGCTACTGCGCAGAGCCCTTTACTCAATGCCTCACGTGCTGGCACAGGCAACGACCTGCCCAGCTACTCTCATCGCTTCGGAGCTACCGCCGGGCTGCAGGCGTCGTGGAAGATCAGCCATGCTATGCTTAGTGCACTGGCCAAGCAGGTCACGCAGAAGCCGCCTATGGAGAATGAGCCCGAGGCTAGCCTGGAACTGCCAGAGGCAGCTAAGATTACGCGCAAGAACAGCACCCAGGACCACAGTCCCCGCCACCGCCGGGCAGGCAGCGACTCTATTCCCCTGGGCGGCGTGCCAAGCGGTGAGAGCATTGAGCAGCTGCGCAAAGATGCGCTGCATATGCTGTGTCTGAGCATCGGCCTGAATCCCGACACGGCCGATGGCCGGTATCCGCAAGCCAACACTGAAAGGCAGGCATTGACACCTACTGGGACAATGTCACCGGTGGCCCACTCGAGCACACCGACAAGCCGTCGCAGCAGCACCCACCGCAAACTGCCGCGGACCGAACATTTCCTCCCTCTTCTGCAGTCGATCAACCTGCCTGCATCCCAGCAGCGTGCAGCCTCTGGCACGCCGCCACTGCCGCTATCGGAGATTCCATCGCTGGCCAACGAGCTCGAGCTGTACTGCGTGCCCGACAATTTTGCTCTGGTTGAGCAAGGCGAGCGGCCCGCTGGTCTGTTTATTGTCCTGGACGGAACGGTCGAGGTGACGCCGCGCAGGTCTGCCGCGGGGTTTGCGCGTGGCGAAGGTGCGTATTCAGCTGGCTCAGCCGATGCCTCGCAGAAGCAGCAGATCAGCGACCTTACTGCACGCATGACGAAACTTGCACGCAAGGGCAACCGGGATATGGAGCGCAGGGAGCACCCCAAGGCACAGAGCAGCGGGGCGTCAAGCAGATCATCGCTGAACAGTGCGCCGAACTCACCGTTCAATCGCCCACAGCAGGTTTCCGGCTACGCGTTCCTCGGATCTGGCCTGGAAGATAGCATCGACGACGGGTATGATGGTATCATAGATGGTGGCCGGCGACTGCGGCGCCAGCCTTCAAAGCTGCCGCAGGAAAATGCAACCAAAACGTACAGGCTGGGTGCCGGCGATCTGGTCGGGTATCTTCCAGCACTTACGGATATGGCATCGTTCTGCACTGCACGTGCGCGCGGCAGAGTTATCGTTGGCATGGTGTCGCGATGGGCCTTGGATCGAATCTGTGAGCGCTATCCGATCATCTTGATGACGCTTGCACGTCGCATCACGTCGCAGCTGCCGCCGGTAGTGCTCAACATCGACTACGCTCTGGAATGGGCGCACGTGCGTGCTGGTGAGATGGTCTATAGGCGCGGTGAGATGAGCGATGCAGTCTACCTGGTGATAACTGGCCGTCTGCGGGCCTTTGTTGAGAAAGACAACGGCAGCATCAGTATCCTGGCGGAGTACGGCCAGGGCCAGTCGATTGGTGAACCCGGGCTGCTACTCAATGAGCCATGCTCTTCGAACCTGCATGCGATCCGCGATACGGAACTAGTGCGTATTCCGACTGCGCTGTTCAAGGCGCTGATGCGCACTGCCCCCAGCCTGACCTTCCACCTGAGCCGTGCCCTGGCTGTGCGTACAGCGCAGTCGCTGCAGAGCCACCAGCTGATGGAGCAGCAGCGTTCCCGACTGGCCGACGCTATGGGATCGCATGGCGGCGAGGGTGGCATGCGCAGCCACAACAAGAACCTGAAGAGCATTGGCATTATCCCTGTCAGCAACGACGTGCCTGTGCATGTCTTTGCACAGCAGCTTGAGCACGCGCTGCGCAGTGTGGCCGGCAGCGTTGCACTGCTAGACCATACTGCTGTGAGCCGTGTGCTGGGCCGCCATGCGTTTGGGCGCATGGCCAGGCTGAAGACCATGAGCTGGATCGCCGAGCTCGAGCAGCGCTGCCGGCTCCTTTTGCATGTGGCTGATGGCGGCATCAGCTCGCCGTGGACTCGGCACTGTGTGCGCCATGCTGACTTCATTCTGCTGGTAGGTGTTGGCGACGGTGACAGCAGTGTAGGCGATTATGAGCGCCTTTTGCTGTCACTGAAGACCACAGCGCGCAAGGAGCTGGTGCTTCTGCACGAGACACGCAGCTGCCCCACTGGCAGCACACGCGAGTGGCTCCGACTCCGGCCCTGGGTGCATGCCCACCACCATGTGCAGATGCCGCTGGGTGTGCTGGACATGGAGGGCGATATGGAGGGTGGTCAGTATGGCAGCGGTATCCTTGGCAGCGCCCGGTCACTGCTCGTCAACTCGCTGGTGCAGTCGTCGCGCAAGGTTCTGCCTAGAGTGACACGTCGGCATATCCGCATCCTCAAGTCGCGCATCGAGCACTATTACAACGCCCTGAAGCACAGCGACCCGTATGCACGCAAGACACTGCATGGCCCGCGCTCAGATTTTGCACGTCTGGCGCGCTACCTGTGCGGGAAATCAGTCGGCGTGGTCATGAGCGGTGGCGGCGCGCGAGGAATGGCTCTGCTGGGTGTTCTGCAGGCATTCGAAGAATCCGGGATTCCGGTGGACATGGTTGGTGGCACTAGCATTGGCGCGTTTGTCTCGGGTCTGTATGCACAGAGCCCCGACACTGTGTCGATTCATGGGCCAGCAAAGGCATTTGCACGCCGCATGAGCTCGACCTGGCGCTTCCTCCTGGACGTCACCTACCCGATTCTGGCGTACACGTCGGGCCGCGAGTTCAACCGTGCCATCTGGAAGGTGTTCCGTGATGCCGAGATCGAGGATCTGTGGCTGCCTTTCTACTGCATCACTGCCAACATCACTAGATCGCGGCCGGAGGTGCATATTGCTGGGCTTTTATGGCGGGTTGTGCGTGCCAGCATGTCCCTTAGCGGGTTCCTGCCTCCCCTGTGTGACGCCAACGGCGATCTGCTAGTCGACGGCGGGTACCTTGATAACCTGCCTGTGCGCGCCATGCAGAGCGAGCTCGGTGCCGACATGATCTTCGCTATTGATATTGCTGGCGAGAACGACTCGAGCCCTGTCAGGTACGGTGAGTCGGTGTCAGGACTCGGTGTTCTGCTGAACCACCTGAACCCATTCCGCAAGTACTGGATCCCAACTCTGTCCGAGGTGCAGACGCGCTTGACATACTCGTCGTCCGACAAGGAGCTGGAAAGCGCCAAGGCAAATTCCGGATGCGTGTACTTGCGTGTGCCGCCCAGGGATGTCGGCGTATTAGATTTTGGACGGTTTGATGAACTCCACCGGAGAGGGTACCAGTACGCAAAGCTGTGGATATCGGAGTGGCAGCGCGAAGGGCTGCTGGGGCTTTGGCAGGAAGACCGCGGTGCAGCAGGTGCCGGAAACTCACTGTCCACGAGCCATTCTGAGGGAGCAACGCCAAAGGCGCTCAAGTTGGCCCGCCGCAACTCAATTTGATCTGCGATTACAGCAACGAGCGCATTTACACATGTTGATGTAATAGCATACCGCACATTTAAATCGATTTGATACACTGGTAATATTGGAGGACTCGTGGGCATCACGATTTCGAGCTGCAGACACACTAATACTCGCACAGGTTGAACTCTTGCTCAAAATGCGACGAAGATACATCCTCGTTTTTTGCTGTGCGCTCCTCCATCAGCTTCAGACGCTCTTCCTTGGCCATCTCAAGCGACATGGGCCACTCAATATGCTCGACCAAACAATCCTTGATAGTAAGAGGCAGGTCACCAAACAACGGGAGCTCAAACACCTTCTCAGCCCACCAGTCCTGCTGCTGCGGGGGAACAACCTTAGTCGATGGAATTCTCATGGACGGATCGATGAGGAAGAAGGCAAGGATCTTGCGGTGGCCGGGCTTTGACGGATCCTTGAGCTTGAAGCCAGAGACCTGATGCTGGTAGGTGTTTGGGAAACAGATGCAGCGGCCATTAAGTGCTTCAACGCCACCAAGCTCTTGGGAAAGTGTGGCCGTACGATCTTCATCCAGCTCAATACCATACGCAAGCCTTATACCACGCGCATCACCTTCCTCACAGTCCAAGTAGGTGTCAACCGACTGGCGGAAATTGAGCCTGCTCTCTGTGATATTATCAACGTCGTAGTAGTAGATTCCCGTGGCAATGATGCGCTCGTTGGCCATGGCCTCGACATGCCAGCTGCCTCCCTCGTACTCTGGCTTGTCTGGAGTCAGTATGATGTTCGACATCTTGACAATCGCCTGAAGGCGACGACCGCGGAAGCTGAAGGCAGGAATAGGACGGTCTGGCATCGCGAAATCCTTTGGAGGGGGCGGAATGAACTCTCTGGTTTCAAGCCACCTTTCGTACTTGATGTCAAACGCGGCTGCATCAATGTTTTCTGAATCACCATCGTCATTTTCTGAATCATACGGGTTGCCTGCATCGGAGAACCAGTTCAATGGATCAGGTACAACGCGGTAACCACGCATAAACGCAAGATCCGTGACCACGTTCTCAAACATGGGCACGAAGCGCGCAAAGACGTTTGCGATAGTCGGATACAGCCTCGCATGCCTCACAGGATGGAGATTGTTGATATATGACTCGATTTCGACCGAGCCATCGTCGCGAACATGGAACTCACTGGGGAGCCAGCAGTACTGCCTCGACAAATAACCGCTGTCATCTGGAACGTTACCCATGTCTGAGTCTGCCGTTTCCTTGCGCCACCCATAAACACCGCACGGCCGACACTTGATAGTCGGCGGTTCCAGGGCAGCAACTGGCGAAGCGATGGGCTGGCACAGGAAAGAACCGTCGTAGAAAAGCGGGTACAGCGACGGGTGGATGAGGTTCAGCACCTGCTTGTTCGTGTTCGGGTGCCAGTCCTTCAGTTTCTCGGGAATATCTTCCAGGATAGACGCATATTCACGCAGCTCTTGTGCTAGGGCGTCGTTGATAAGGGAGTCAGAAGCCCAGACCATGTCGACGCCGCTGACCTCGATACCGGTCTCTGGATCGCGCAGCTTGGCGTAGTAGTCGAGCTCTTCCAGAACATATTTTATTTCCAGATCGGTCAGACCCTGGTTCTTGGCCTCAGCAGTCCACTTCTGGCGAATCTTGTCGTCCTGCATCTTGACGGTCCAGTTCGGCTTGGCCCTGATAGCACCGCTCATTGCGACCATACGCCTTTCCATTATCGTGCGCATGACGTCTAACTGTCTGGCATACACAGCGCTATCGCCAAACTTTTCACGAAGACGTTTGAACAGAGCATTGATGTCCATTGAAGGGGCGAGGGAATATAAAGACAGGATGCAGTTGAAGAGAAAAAGAGCAGGAGTTGTCCAGGTTGTGTTGTTTTTGATTCTGCAAAAGGTCTGAGGAGCGTTTTATAGGCACCCTCATACCTGTATTTTCCGCAGTCCATTCGCGTGGTTCATGCAGCTTGGGCCGAGCTGCACATCCAAACCGCCCATTCAGATACCACCTTTCTCATTATATTTGTGTACACTAAAATGTATTCAACAGGCAAGGTTTCCCTCCCGCAAGCTGACACTGTTGCTCTGCACATCGCTGATCTCGATTGACCTTGTCTCTGTGCTATGCGTCTGAAGTGTGCTCTCCGAATCACCATACTGCTGCGCAGCAACGTCCTTGTAATACGGAATCTCCGAGTGGAAATAGGTCTCCCCGCGGAACCAACCATGCGAGTCGGCGATGCCACGCAGGACAAAGAGCTGGCGGAACCAGACACCGGCAGTCATGAACAGTATCATCGCCACAATCTCTGCAATGAGAATTCCGGTGTGCTTACCGTTGTGCGGATAAGCACCAGTGACTACGTACTGAAAGATTCGGTAGCCGTTGTAGGACGGCATCGCGTAGAAGATCTTGTAAAAGCTAGGTGCAAGTTCAGGGGCGGTCGCACATGCGACAACAGTGCAGATAACAGTAGGGACGGATGGACAGGCGATAAAGAGAGGTGGAATGTTCAGGAACCAGTTGAACAGCCACAGTGCATTTGCCGAGTTGACTGCTGCTGCAATGAACCATATCTTGAAGAACGAGGCTGCAGTGTATTTTAGGGCATTTTCACTGTAGTCCGGACCACGGTATGCAAGGAATGCCAGCGACAAATAGAACGACAGGATGAGTGACATGCAGACGATGAGAGCTGGCCACATAATGGCCAGATCTCTGAATCGGACCTTGGTGAAGAATGGGAATGTTGTGAGCTTCCACATAATCATGACTGCCAATGAGCAAAGCAACATGCAGAAGCAGCCGAACATGAAGGCGAACGGTGCGTTGTTGTAGTTGTCTGGCGATGCCTCGACTGTTGTGTATCCAATGGGCTGCAGTAGCGCTGCTGCATTTGTTTGTGCCGCATCTGATCCACCGAGCCCCATCTGCTGCGACTGGAATGCCTTCACAAGTTGGAGCGAGTACTGGCTTGAAACTACAGATGCTGCCTCGGTCAGCCCTGCTTTGATGAACAACATCTCGCCAATCGGGTGCCGACCACTCGACTCGATAACAGTCAGCGCCTGTGAGGGGTCGTAGGATGAGCCATTATATAGTGCGTTGTTCAGCCTGTCGCTCAGGCCAGGATTTATGACCAGAGCTCCCCATGCGTTCTTCCGTACCCATGTCTCGACGCTTTCAGGAGAGTCAAAACCGCCCATGCGAACCCATGTCGGGAGAGAATCTGTTTCAGGGATATCCATGACCATTTGTGTTATATTAGCACCAACCGGACCGCCATCGAGATCGACTATCTGCACCGACACATTGTGTGCCAATGTACTGCGTTTGTATACACAGCCGTAGAATAGGCACAGTGGTACCCAGATCATGACTGAAAAGACTAACAGGAGTTTGAGATAGCTTATCGTAGGCGTGCGGATATGAGGGCGAAAACTGCTGCTGAAGATGCTCACGCGACCACTGTCGCTGTCAGACTGGTATCTCCAGGAATATAGTCCACGCATTGCAGGATTATGAAAATGTTTGCAGGCAAAAGGAATCAAAGGTAGAGAATATTTGAAGTGCGAGTCAGCTTGGAAACGAAGCAAGGAAGCAGGGAGAAGAAATTTATAGCTGCCCACTCAGGCACTAACAAGCCTTTACCTGTTGCCAACGGTATTCGGTATTCGGCAAAAGATGACTACGGAACAGTGACTATATGCGGCCAGTACCCAACTTCGGGGTTCCACTGGTGGATGGTGACTGCGTTTCATGCCAGAAATGAACACACTACATGAAAAGCGGACGAATCAGAAGCCAGGACATTTGGTTTGCGGCTTTAAGTCTATTCTCCGCCATATACAAGGATTATATAATCCGAAGGTGTCCGGCCATCCGCCAATATCTGAATAGGCTACAGTGCACAGCAGTGGTTGTATAAAAGTAATACCTTAAATGGTAGTCACATAGCAGCTTGTTATTGCCATTTCCATTGCCATTTGCGCACAGAGCATGTATAGTAGTCCCATACCTGGGAAGCAGCGCATTGAGACATGTAGACTCGCTATGGAGGCACGCTTTTTTATTACTTTCATACGTCGGTAATCGCTTCACTGTTGCTTGTTTTAGTTACAACATGACCGAAAAATTAAAGGAGCGCCAGGGCATGGGCGAAAAGAGGAAGCGTAGTAAAGAGAAGAGCACAGAGAGGGGCAAGACAACGAGAGTCAAGAAGGTGAAGGTCAAGAAGGAGGCGGCCACGAGTTCGGCTCCAGACGGATATATGAAGCCCGAACCTGCACACAGTACTGACCCGGTTGCCTCAATGGGAGCCTGAGCCTGAGCCTGAGCCTGATCTTGAGACCGAATCGGAATATGAGGAAGAAGGCACTTCATCCGGATCCGAGTCCGTGCCTGACCCGGAGTCTGAGGTTGAGTCCGGAGCCCAAATTTGCATCCCAAGAGGAGGACGCTGCACCAGATTCTGAACCCGAGTCGATCACCACCCCATTTGAGTCTCCGCCACTGGTACCACGTATAAACAGCGAGCTACCGCAGACAGAATTGCTAATCTCTGGCGAGGGTAGATGTAACCGCTCGAAGCGCGCACTCTCCATGCTCGAAGGTGTATCACTGGAGGAGCTTCGGTATATCTGGCAAGAGCTCTGCGATGGAAAGGATCGGATGACAATTAACGAAAAGTACGGGTGCTTTGATGTCAAAGGCTCAGCTATCAAGCCGGGTGGGGTCATGCAGCTAAGAATCAATGGCAAAAGGCTGGTGATGCACATACTCGTATACTTGCTGTGGTACCGCAGGCTCTACGTGGATATGCCGGTTTACCACCTTTGCAACAAGAACTGCTGTGCCAATCCGACGCATTTGATACAAGAACCCGTCGACTACAACAGAACGCGCAAAAAATGCAGGGAATCGTCGTTTACCAAATGCCCCCACTTGCCAAAGTGTCTAATTTTCGCCGAGATATAAAAGAGATGTCTGAATCTCCTTGCTTTATATAAAATGCATCGCTATCATCATTAGTTCATCCTAGCTCCACATAATTTTATTGCTGCCCCATAGCTTTACAATCTTTGTGAAACTCTATGCCCTTGTATCCTTTCTTGCCTCTGTCAAACTGCGCAGACTATCAAAGTGTCTCTGGTTGCGGCTTGGGTAACGAGTGAATCCCTTGTAATAGAGACCTCAATAGAGTCCTAGTCGTGCAGCATCTGCTTACGAGATATTGGATGCCAGAGTGCTATGACATAGAAGCATGCGACCCATTTGATTCAGGACATGCATCTTCGAATAGCCATATGCATAAAAAGATATTAGCGCATTTGAGTCGAGCCGTATGCTGCTGGAGCCGAATGGCACAAGCAGCAACAGTCTGAGACGCTCACCAAGATGAAGATTCATAGCGATGACTACTCAGGCCACCTGATTGTATCAGTTGCCATCCTGTCACATTCCGCAGGCTTCTCTCGCGACACCAGTCTGGCCCGATTTGGCAGCAGCCGCAGCAGGAGCCTGCCAGAACTCGAGCGAGCTGGGTTTCAAGACTGAAGGGACTGATTTTATCGCCCTCTTTCCAAGGGCGGCTGCGGCTGAAGGCTTGCGCGATCCTGATTGGCGGAGCTCCAGGAGGAAATCTTCAGAACAACTGTATAAAAAGGCTGAGATTTATTTGGCCCCGCTTCGTTGGCAGGCTGCTGCAAAGACACCTTGCGAGCTGCTTTTCCTCTCTGCACCGTTTTCTTTTTCTCACCTATTATATACTACACTTTTTGAGGTAAATACACATCGCCCGTGCGTGTTGGTGGCCGTGCAGACATTACACCGCCTATTGGTGTGCCGTGATTTTTGCTGTGTCGTCTGTAATCGCGCGTCTATTCTGCAATTGCGAGTGTGGCACCACCAGATTCGACAGCCCCTCCTCCTCGCTCTGGCGGGCACTTGCGTATGCGCATCCTCTGCATGCATAGTGTCTAGCAGGTTCCAGCGCGCCTTTGTGGGCTCCCTTTGTCCATGGACTATTGCTCCTCTGTGCGGCTTTGCTTTTAGACCACCGGCTTCTGGAGCCTTTTCATTTCTCGGCTCTCCTCTGTTTATCCGCACACTGTACTTATTTACCATCCAGCTGCTTTTGCCATTTCTACGTAGGAACCTCTATTATTTGAAACCATGGTCAAGCTTCAGTCGTCCGATAACGAGGAGTTTGAGGTTGGAAAGAATGTTGCCGTCCAGAGCGTGCTGATTAAGAACCTGCTCGAGGACCTGGGCGAGAGCGAGGAGGCCATCCCGCTGCCCAACGTCACCGGCAAGGTGCTCAAGAAGGTCATCGAGTACTGCGAGCACCACAAGGACGACCCCCCTCCCCTCCGGGACGACTATGACGATGTGCCGAAGCGGTCGGACGACATTGAGCCCTGGGACGAAAAGTTCATCAAGGTTGACCAGGAGCTGCTGTTTGAGATCCTGCTGGCCTCGAACTACATGGACATCAAGCCGCTGCTCGACCTCGGCTGCAAAACTGTTGCCAACATGATCCGCGGCAAGACCCCCGATGAGATCCGCAAGGCGTTCAACATTGTCGACGACTTCACTCCCGAGGAGAAGGAGCAGATTAGGAAGGAGAACGAGTGGGCCGAGGACCGCTAAGCGCGCAGTCTCGCTGCAGGCTTAGTCTCATAAACTCTTTTTTCCCCTTGTCTGTTCAATGCCAATTGAAAATTTTACTCTCATCTGTCCGCTGATCCCACAAATCGGGGTCAGGCTGGGCTTGTTTGGCTGGGCGCAACAGGAAAAACGTGCGCTGTGTCGCTTATTGAAAGAAACATAGCTTTGCTCTATCTTGTCTCTGACATATTTTTTATCACTACTGCCCGCTGGAACTAGTACTTTCCAGCAAAAAATGATGGCAGCCAGCACCAGTCGACTGGCTATAGCACGGGCTGGCGGAATCATGGCGCACATGCGGCAAGGATACACCATGCCGCTCATCATGGCACGCTCGTACGGGTCGAGCCCAGCTGCTGCTACGTGCGAAGCCACCGCCCACGCAGGGCCGACAGCACACAGCGTTTTCCAGTCGTTGGCGACGAACCGGCCAGTATTCAAAATCACAAAACCGATTGATATCATCAGAGAGCCAGCCGATTTCTATCAGGCGCTGCTGCGCGGCATCAGCCGTGCCAAGCACCGCATCTGCCTCAGCAGCCTGTACATCGGCAGCGAGGAGACAGAGCTGGTCTCCAAGCTTGACCAGGCGCTGACCAGATCGCCTGCACTGCAGGTTCACATTCTGGTTGACTGCCTGCGCGGCACGCGCACTAATCGGGCAGGCGAGAGCACGGCGACGCTGCTGGCACCGCTGGTCAGCAAGCATGGGCGGGATCGCGTCGTTGTGTCCATGTACCACACTCCGGCGCTCAGTGGAGTCAACAAGCGGGCGTGGCCGCAGAGGTTCAACGAAACGTTCGGGCTGCAGCACATCAAGGCGTACCTGTTTGATGACGAGCTGATAATGAGCGGAGCGAACCTGAGCCGCGACTACTTTACGAACCGGCAAGACCGGTACATGCGGCTCAGGGACGAGAAGCTGTGCGGGTACTTTGTCGGACTGCTACAGGCCATTGCCAAGTTCTCGTTTGAGCTGGTGCCCAGCAGGGGCTCTGGATTCCACCTGGCGATACACCAGTTCCCTGATCCGTCCAAGGACCCGCGCGGCTTTGTCCAGGAGGCAAACGAGGTAATGGCGTCGTTTTTGCACCGCGCCTCGGTAGAAAACAGCGTGCAAAAGATCTCGCACACAGACACGCTTGCGATCCCGACAGTGCAGATGAGCCAGCTGGGCATCACCCAGGACGAGCAGCACATGGCCGAGTTCTTCCAGATCACCGACCAGTTTGCACGGCAGCACCAGGCGTGCCGCAACTTTATGACATCCGCGTACTTCAACTTCTCGGACTTCCACAAGCACAATGTGCTGGCCAACCGCAGCCGGTGGGACCTGCTGGTAGCATCGCCCGAAGCCAACGGCTTCTTCACAGCCAGCGGGATCTCAAAATACATCCCCAACATGTACAGCATCATCGAGTACCAGTTCCTTCGCATGGTGCGCAAGCATGGCCGTAGCGACATTGCTGTTGAGGAGTACTCGCGACAAGGGTGGACGTACCATGGCAAGGGCGTGTGGTGCTATCTAGATCAGAAGCTGCCGCAGCTGACCATGATCGGGTCACCCAACTACGGGTACCGGTCGATATACTGTGACCTGGAAGCGCAGGTCACGCTGATCCCAGGTAGCGACGCGCTGCAGAACGATGTGCACCAGGAGGCACTAGGGCTGCTGTCGCATTCAAAGATGGTCAGCGAGGCAGAGCTGAAGCAGCGGATCCGCGGGTCACCGATGTGGCTTTATGGCTTGAAGCCATTTATTCTGAAGAAGATGTAGAAGGGTATGCTGAACCCCAATATATGAAACTGCTTGTTCATTTTGTTGTCTTTTGTCGCGTGCTTCTGCGCAACTGTGGTTTGGATTCGGCAGCTGTAGAAGCGGTAGCAGGCTGTTCTTGCTTGCGTTTCTTGGCTGCTGGCTTGTTCGCCGCGGGCTTCTTGTCCTTGGGATCCAGGTCGCCCGAGAACAGCAGGCCCTGCGCCCAGCCAGCATACGGCGAGAACAGCTTGATAAACAGCTGTTGAGCAAGCTCGTACGCCCTGTTGCTGGCAGTTTTGTGTGTCTTGAGCTGCCTTGCCAAGTCGATTATTTGGTCCTTTGCTTCCATGGGTAGCACCATCCCTGACTGCGTGCTGCCGCCAAGAATCCTGCCAATATACCGCTTCTGGGCGACCTGCCATATGTGGGTGTCAATGGGGACGGCGTCAATCTTGTCCAACGACATTAAGCAGACGCAGTCAGCAACCTTTGGCCCGACGCCGCTAAACTTCATCAGCTCGACACGCGCATCATCAAATGACAGACTTCGCAGAGAGAGCAGGAATTGCTCTGGGTCAGAGTGCTTTGTGAGCATCTCGACGGTCTTGGCGTAGTACTTGGCGCGGTACCCGAAGCCAAGCTCCTTCAGCGTGTCCTCGATATCTGCGTCCTTGGCCATCTGCATGACAGTCGGGAATGTGTGGAATGTGCCGAGGTCGGTTGTGATTGGAGTGCCATATCTCGCGCACAGCTTGTCGATGAGCATGGTGATGCGCTTGATGTTGTTGTTTGACGTTGCAATAAACGTAAACAGATTCTCGACTACTGGCTGCCGTAGCGTGCGCACCCCCTGCTGCGATTTTCCCAGTTCGGTGAAATGAGGGTCGCGCTGGCTCCATTCCCTGCACAAGGACTCGAAACTGACAGCGAGCTGGAAGTAATCACGGAGCTCGGCTTCCAGATCTGCACCAGGTTGGTCACCTATGCTGCCAAGCGACCGGTATAGCACGGTGCTGGGCGTCTGCTTCAGCGCCACAGCATGGCTCCAGAGCGCACATACCCACTCGTTGTCGCCCGTTGGCTTCCAACGGAATGCCTGGCCGCAGGTCAGTGTCGGATCAAGGCGCAACTCGTCTGGCGAGACCTGCAGATCGTGCCATTGTGAATCGTGCTCAGTCTTTACTGCCATATGGTGGAATCGTAGCTGACGGAGTATAAAGGGACGGATACAGTGTTGGAAATGGAGGCGGTTCATCTATCGACAAGACAGGTCTGTTGGCCGCGGTTGGGAGTGGTTTTGCTGCTGAGAGGGGGCGATCTGCATCATGGGTTACGCTATTTTGGATCGTTCTCAGATCCGCAATGCTCACCTGCTATATACCTCAGATGTATGTATTAGGTAATCACCCAGCATGTATGGCGCCGTCCAGGTTAGTCAGACATCATATATCCAGGAAAGGGCAAGCATCAATCAGTTTTCACATAATGAAACCCCCAGTCCTCAACGACAAATACGTGGATACCAGCCAGAGTTGTACGCCTACACAGGCTGCTTTTTCTTGGCTCGATTCAGCGGAACCCAGTGCCAGCTCCCACAAACAAGCTCTGCAAAAGCTACAGCACGGGTGGCAATTCCCCAAGAATTGGCAGAGGAAGGGATGTAGTGAACCAAGAGCGGAGCACAAGCCATCCATCCCATTCTGCAAGGGATTGGGTTGGGCTGAGATGCCAAGAAACGCAAAGAATTTGCTGCTGCGCCCTGGTGGGAAATTGCCTCCCAAGAAAATGCAATGAACTCCACAAACGCCCGCCATTATTCATCAGCAAGTTACCCGACGCCGGCATATTTACCCGCCAAGTAGAGCATGCCTACTGCACCGCACCCAGCACACGCATCTCATGACAAACCAAGAAATCGGCATCAGCCCAGCGGTGCGCTGTAGTCCGCCTCCACCGTGCTGCTGGCGGGGCTGGCAAGACTGGGCCGGCAATGGCGCCAAGAATTCTGAATGTCTTGGCGCCAGTCAACTGTTGTGCTAGAGCATGTATGCCTCACCCTACGATTGGCCCTCCCAGCGCTGCCTATAAAGGAGCGAGCGAAAACCGGCCTGCACGCCTATCAATTTTTTTGTTTCTTTTTAATTTCACTGCCTTTGGCAACTCGCGATATTCTTCAGTCCGAAGAGCCCCACTACAGAAAAACAGAGCACCGCACAATCTCGTATTCCCGCTAAGCCATGCTGGCGGAAAAAAGATTTGTGGAAGCGCACCATTCTTCTCCTTTCCTTTCCACTCTGCCGAAACGCTCGTCTGGTCACGGCTTTTTCAAATTCAACTCCAAAATGGCGATATTCGGGAAGCGCAGGACAAAGCTACAGTCGGCGATAAGTACGTATCTGCGCGTGGGCTCTTTACTGCCTGGTGATGGCTGAGATAGCCCGACATATCGGACAAGCACAGCTGCCACCAGCACTAGCATATCCATTCACCACTCACCACTTATCACTTATCACCACCGCGGTATCGCCTGGTGCGCGCTTTGCATCTTCCCTGTAGCCGAGGCAACCACCAATGTCAACGCCTACAACAAAGTATATAGCGCGTTTGCGCGGAATCCTGATAGGTAAGTCTGCCCGGCACGCTTAAAATAATCGCTGGTGGCCTCGTAACCCTGGACCAAGCAGATAGGCTAGAGCACGCGTTCCTTACCAGGTGGGCGCTGGTCGTGTTTTGAGATGGTGTGCAAAGGACGATTGCCCTAACTACGCTCTTTCCTCGCTATTTGGCTGACATCTGAGATCGACTAATAGCGCTGCACACTTTTGTTATTTTTAGCGCGATGGAGGCCTTCGAGTACGTGATTTCCAATATTGTCGACCGAGAGCAGAGCACCAGCAGCAACAGCAACAGCAATGGCAGCAAGCTGCTATCTCGGATGGGCGGTGGCGGCGCGCGCAGTCACCAGCCAGTAAACGAAGTCAATCGGTCGCTCGCGTATCTGGCGGTTTTGCAGGGAATCGTAGTGTCCTATCCGCGGCACATGAAGCCGCTGTTCAAGGATAAGATTGTGGCAGACGTGCTGTTCAAGACGATTGTGCAGTCGGAAGCCCCCGTGACTGTGCGCGAGACGTTGCTGTGCATGGTGTCAAACTGGTGCATACTTTACAGCGAGAGCCTCAGTGCCCGGGGTGCGCTGGAGGGAATTGTCGACAAGGTCAACGAAAGATCAAGTCTGACTCCTACAATTGGGCTGCTGCCGAGGCCGGCCATCACACTCAGGCAGGAGGGGTGGAAGTACCCGCCCAAACGACCAGGCCTGGTTCCTACGGGCCACACTTTTGACTTTGGCCAGTATTCGCCAAACTACATGCCGCAGCCGTATCCGTCGCCGCAGCTAATGCAGTCGCCCAACCACATTCCACCACGACCATACCCGTCACCACAGCTCATGCAGTTTGCGCCTTCACCACCCACATCGCCCCACCAACCGCGCCAGTTCGCATCAGCGCCGGTGACTCCTCATAATCAGCAAGCATTCGACGAGTCCGCGGGGTACACAGATCCAGTTGTTGCTGCGCAGCAGCAGGCGATCCTTGAAGCGCAGCGGCGGTCGATAGCCCCCAACGACGCAGCACTGCCGCCATACGAGCGGCCGAGCTCTCGCGACAGGATCGTGCTGTCGTACAACTTCCTTCAGCACATGGAGACGTCGGCGCAGGAGCTGAAGTCCCTCTGTGACATGCTGACCGAAACCCTGATCTCAATTAACGTCGAGGAGGACCCGCGGGCCAACGCGATTATCTCGGAGATGATGAAGGACATGGACCAGAAAAAGTCGGCGGTGGCCAACTTTGTCACCATGCTGTCAGAGGACCGTGTCGACCTGCTGCAGCTACTGACGTCGGCAGGCGACGAGGTTGGCCGCGTGCACTGGCTGTTTGACAACACGCTGCAGGCGCACAATGAGTGGCGGGCGATCCAAGAAAGCCTGAAGACGCAGGCGGCTGAGGACGCGGTGCTCAACAGCATAGCGTCGTCGTCAAAGGTCACGGGCAAACTCATAGAGGCCATGGCTGCGGCCTCTTCAACGGCAGTTGATGGCGAGCTCGGCCAGGGCTCGGCAGCTGGAGGTGCCTCGTCGCGGACGGTCCCGCAGAGCAGGTCCGATGAGATGATATACAGTGTCGACGACTCGGCTCCGCCGATGATGCGCATGTCGAGCAAGGCGCGCGGCAAGATGGCCGACGACTCTGAGGCAGTGGAGCAAGAAGAGGGCTGGGCCGAGCCCAGAGAGGCTGGCGGCTCGTCGTCATCTGGCCGTCCCAACAACTACCATCACCAGCACTAAGCACACATAATTCGGCATACAACAACTACTTTCACGCATATTACATTTGACCTTGTCTAGCGCCTTTTCCCTCTACAAAACAAAACAAAACAAAACAAAACCATTCACTCATTGCTGAGGTGGTTCATTTCCAGTCAGGATGTACGGATTGAGCGGGTTGACCTGGCTGTGCTGTTGCTGGTACGCGCTGCCGTCCTGCTGGCGTTGCCGTGCCTGGTTGCGATAAAAGAGCTGCAGTGTGAACTTGTGTGTGTCCTTGTCCCAGTACGTCCAGAACCTGCCTGGCCGCATATCGATCTCGCGGCTCTGGATCTTGAATGCAATCGTCTCATACGGCTCTGCTGCAAACAGCAGGTACTGGTACTGCCGGTTCGGCACCTCCACGTGCTGCTCGTACGCCGACATGAACCGGTGCCTTGGCTTTGTCTCCTCGGTGACCTCGGGATACGTGACCTCAACCAGCAACCCGAACTGGCGCGTGCGCGGGTCCCGTACTTTGGTCACCTTGTACCCGGGCCGCCCAATCTTGACCACGTTCTTTTTGACTTTGGGTGCGCTGGCAGTAGCGCGTGCTGGTGCCGTGTGGTCCTTGTCTTTGGCCTCAAGGGCAGCGCGGCGGGCGAGGTTTGTTTGGTGCTTTTTGCCCTGTGTGTGGGCGAGGTACGAACCTTCATTGTTGTGGAGGGTCAGGCAGAGCTTGCACTCGTACGAGCCGAGGTGGTTGCGCATAAAGTACGGGTCGCTTTCAATGTCAATGGTCTCCAGAGCCAGCTTGCGCAGCCGCTCGCGCCGAGCCACGTTGGACTCGGACGAGGTCATCATGCCGCCTGCTCCGGGCTTGGATCCTACGCGGTTCTGGAAATCCATGGCTGTGTGTGTGAGTTTGTGAGGGAAAAATAGCTGAAGCGATCGCGGTAGAATGATTTGGCTGACTTTAAATATATACCTGGATCGAGGTGGTTCCTGTTTAGGGGTGCAATTTCCACATTGGGTGGTGCCGCTAACGTTTGTGTATATTACAAGCAGCCCCTTCACAAAGTACTCTAGTGTAGTTTCGACGCCTGGGCGACCAAGGTCTGGATGACCTGGTTATATGTATCAATCTCCTCCTTTTTCTTTGCAACCTCGCCCATCCTTGCCTTGATGAGCTGGTCAATCGACTGCAGCGCCCGCGCAATATCCTCGTCCTGGGCATCGGACGTGCCTGTCGCGATGAGCCGGATGTCCTCGATAGTGAGTGGATCCAATTCCTGTGCACCCTGGTTGTCGCCGCGGGCCTGTGCGCGCAGCACAGACAGCGGAGTGAGAAGGTCGGATTTAAACTCCTCGGGCACATTGGCAGCGAGCGCGATCCATACCAGGTTCCGGAGCAGCCGCGATTCAGAAGCGTCTGGAGTGCACTTTCGCAGGCTGCGCTCCAGGCTGTCTATGCTGACAGTATCGGCTGCGGCTGTCACGGTGCTGCCGGTGTGTGTATCGATCTCGACAACCTCTGTGCTGCCAAAGGCTAGCTCAAGACATTGCTGCACAATATCGGTCTGCTCAGAATCGCCTGTAGCCCCGTTGAACAGCGCCTGTGCTGCTGACAGAACTGGGTCAGCAGTGGGAGCCACCGATGGCGCTGCTGCTGGCTGGGCTGGGTCAGGCTCGGAGACAGGTGCGCTGTCGAAATCGTCGAAATCGCCGAAATCGTCAAAGTCAGTAGCAGTGTCGGTATTGTCAGCACCAGTCTCCTGGCCGAAATCGCCAAACCCGCCAAAGTCGTCGTCGTCACCCGCTGCATTTGGAGATTCGCTCCAGGCCATTGTGCTGTCGTCAAAGTCTGCCATCCGCACACGCTCCAATGTAGAGAAAAAAATAGAGTAACGAGTTGTGGAAAAAAGGGGAAGGTTGAAAACTGTTGTGTTCAGGATGGTGTGGAGCACATCCCAGGCGTGGTGACAATGGCCATAAACCACGAGTCGCCAGCACCATGTACGAAAGGGGATCCTGGGTGTGCCGCGGGGTGGGCAAAAGGGCCGAGCTCATCCTGTATACGCAAGCGCTTTTCTATCTCCCTTCCACATATACGTAGATTTCCTGAACCATGTCAGCCGAACGCAAGGTCCACTGGATTCCCCTCGAGTCCAACCCCGAGGTAATCAACGCCATGATTGCGCGGCTCGGTGTGTCCTCCAGCATCGGGTTCAACGACGTCTGGGGCCTCGACGACGACCTCCTGGCGATGGTCGCGCAGCCCGTCAAGGCCGTCATTTTCCTGTTCCCGCTGACCGAAGAGTCCGAGGCCAGTCGTGCGCAGAAGATCGCCTCCGCCGCCAACACTGTGTCGCCCGACGTCTGGTTCATGCGGCAGACCATCGGCAATGCGTGCGGGACCATGGCAGTGATCCACGCGCTGGCCAACAACCAGGCAGACATCCCGATTAGCGGCCATCTGGCCGAGTTCTTCCAGAAGACCAAGGATCTGACGCCCGAGGAGCGCGCGGCATTGCTGGAGAACGACGAGGTCATTGCCGGCACGCATTTGGAGGGCGCCAGTGGCGGACAGACGGCGGCGCCCGACGCAGAAGCTGCGATTGACCTGCACTTCATTGCGTTTGCTAATGTCGACGGCGATATGTACGAGCTGGATGGCCGCCATGCTGCGCCCATCAACCACGGCGCGTCGACGGATGTGCTCAAGGTAGCGTGCTGAATATGGTGGCCGTGTGGCAGCCTTTCTGATGTATATATGCTAACACCCTGTTTTGGAGCTAACCATGTAGGACGCGGCCGGCGTTATCAGGCAGCGTATCCAGGAAATGGACGGCGAGTCCCTGGGATTCACGGTGCTTGCGCTTGGCCCACACCCAAGCCTCCAACAGTAGATGACTTTCCCAGCCCGAATTAGAGAATTCACTGCAGAGAAAAATCAGCCATAGAATGTCCCAAATTGCGCGATGCGTGCATCAAACGCGCAATAAGCCCGTGTGTCAGCTGGTAGGGTCAATCGCTCTGCGCGCTATATGCCAGCCAGGCTCTGCACTCTTGCTGCCATCGCAAAGTTGGACTAGGGTGTGCAACATTCTGCCAGCAACCCGCCGGCCAGACGTATAAATTGCCGGATGCACCCGGCAGGAGCGGCTGCTGGGCAAGTAAACAGTCTCTAAACTTCAATTTCTTCTCCCCAGACACTTTCATACTCTACAAATGGCTCCTCTCCGCCTTGGTTCGATTGCCCCTGACTTCACTGCCGAGACCACGGCCGGCGAGATCAACTTCCACGAGTTCATCGGCGACTCGTGGGCGGTCCTGTTCTCGCACCCGGCCGACTTTACGCCCGTGTGCACCACCGAGCTGGGCGAGGTCGCCAGGCTGACGCCCGAGTTCGAGAAGCGCAACGTCAAGGTCATCGGCCTGAGCACCAACGACCTCCACGACCACGCCGAGTGGGTTGACGACATCAACGAGGTCAACAACGTCAACCTCAAGTTCCCGATCATCGCCGACAAGGACCGCGAGGTGGCGACCCTGTACGACATGCTGGACAGCGTCGAGCACGACGCGTCCAACGTGGTCAACGGCATTCCGTTCACTGTCCGCTCGGTGTTTGTCATCGACCCGGCCAAGAAGATCCGGCTGATTCTGACCTACCCGGCCAGCTGCGGACGCAACTTCGACGAGCTCATCCGCTCCATCGACTCGCTGCAGCTGTCGGACCGCCAGCCGATTGCCACCCCCGCCAACTGGCAGCCCGGACAGGACGTCATCGTCCATGTGTCGGTGCCCACCGAGAAGGCCAAGGAGATCTTCCCCAAGGTCCGCGAGGCCAAGCCGTACCTGCGCTTCGCTACTCTCCCCGAGGAGAGCCAGTAAATTTGAGTTTCTCGTCTAACAATATCATCCAATTCCTAGCAAAAAAAGCAGCAGCGAGCGTCGCAAGCAAAAAGCACGCAATACCCGGCGGATGCACTGAGACTAGCCGCCAGCCGTGAGGATCGGCGTCTCTTTGGCGTGTGCGGGTAATATCGATTGCTATTTGTCAATACCTTTCAGCCATTATCAGAACCACCAACGTAGTCCACCCGGTGAACGGGTGCGTGCCCTTGCCCGTGCCGGTCTCCGGGTTGTACTGCTCCCAGAAGAACGCTGTGTCCTGGTACTGCTTGAAGATGTTGGCAATCAGGTTTGTGCGCAGCCGCGTGTAGATTCTGGCAGCCTGCTCCTGGAACGGGCCCTCGATGTGCATGTAGTTTGTGTGCAGCGACGACAGCACCAGGTAGTTGATGTTGATCCAGATTGGCCCGCGCCAGTAGTTCTCGCCCTTGCCATAGAACTTGTCGCTCTTGGACAGCGAGCGGAGCCCGTACTCGGTCCACAGCTCCTCGGGATCCTCGATCATATCCAGGATATGGCCCAGCTTGGGCGACTCGGCAGGCACCAGGCCCAGCAGCATCGGCAGCAAGCTGACGTAGCCGCGGTGGCACACAAACTTGGGCACCTCGGCATTCCCCTCGTCGTCCTCAAGCTCATCGTAGTCCTCGTTAGCACGCACAGTCACGTCGCAGTACATGTTCTCGTCCTCGTTCCAATGGAGCTCGTCAAGCGCCTTGATGGCCTTGTCAGCCATGGGCTCGCCCCCACCCACACCCTGCAGGGCAAGCTCATCCACCAGCCGCTGCATGTACGCAATCCATGCGTGCAGGTCCAGGTGCAGCTCCCCAGTGCTGGGTGGGGATGCGCGCGGGTAGTCGTCAAGCCCCGATGTCAGCGTGTGGGACTCGGAGCGGCCGCGCCATCTGAACCCGCTGGCAAACGCGCTCTCGTCGCTGGCCGTCTTGGCCGAGGACCCGCGCTGCGAGGTCAAAAAGTACTCGAGCATGCCGTTGGCCAGCTGGCCAAGCTCCGACAGCATGCGGTTCGCAAGCTCGTGGTCCAGGAGCATCCGGCTGCCCTCGCCTGCCGGCAGGTCCACCAGACCGCCCTCGCCCGCCTTGTGCAGGCTGGCAATTTCCTGGCGGCGACGCATAAACGCCTCGACGTTGAACAGCAGCGTCGGTGGATTGGCAAAGTTTGGGTACTGCACCTGGAACTCTTCGGGCACCTTGCTGCGCGCCTCGCTACCCAGAATCTGCTCGCGCGCTATCCACCCACCCATGGACGTGTTGCGCCAGCTCAGCAGCACTTGCATGCTCAGGTCATTGTCCCACTGGCCCACCAGCAGCTGGCTGAACCCTTCGTCCCACAGGAATCCGCGCGGGAAGAACGCACGCGACGGCGTCGTGGCAAACAGCGAGTACGGTGTGCTGAGCTCTGGCGCTGCGATCTCATCGGGCTCGCCGTACTCTGGCTTGGGGTCCGGCGACACCAGCCCGCTGCCGTGGAAATACCCTATGCCGCCCAGCAGGCTGCTGAGCGCGCTGCGAGCCATCGCCACGTGCTCGGTATCGAACCCCTTGGCTGCCAGCCCAAACGTGTGCTCAAAGCGCGCATCGAATTCCTTGCGGCGGGCACCAGCAACAGCCGTGATCGTCCCGCTGTCTATGCGTGCTGACTTGTCGGAGCACTCGTAGATGACGTCAAAGGCAAACTCCCCCTTGACCACCATCTGGGCGAACAGCAGGTTGCCGCCAGTCTCCAGACCTGTGTTGTCCAAAGAGAACAGCGCTGCTCCCGACAGCGGCATGTTGCCTGGGTCGACTTTTTCAATCGCCTGCGCCCGCTTGCGGGCTGCCGGCAGCAGGCGCTCCATGAACAGGTCCTTGGCCTTCCACACGTCGTCTCCAGGAACATTCATCGCAAGGCCCGCAACCTTCTGCCCGGCCTTGACTGCCTTAACCTTCCGCAGCTTCTTCGGCAGCCTCGGCGGCTTGTTGCTGGCCGCTGGCACAATGCGCGCCGTAAACTCGCCCAGCTCCTCGGTCTGTCCCCTGATGACTGCCACATCGTCCTCAATGCTCATCTTCATAGTGCCATTGCCCTCCATGCCAAAGTAATACATGAGCGCTGCCCCCTCCTTGCCCCCCTCCAGCGTCTTTCCCGTGATCCCGGCCGCCCAGCTGCCGCCGCGCTCTCCAGGCACTTTGATGAACTGCGATCTGATCTCGACCGCCTGGTCGCTATCGCGCATCGTCTGCTCGCCAAAATCCCGCCCGTTGTGCCGCGAATACCCGTACTCTGCCAGATTATCGCCCAGCTCGCACGAGTGCCGGATGCGCTGCCAGTTTGTCGGGTCGTCCATGCCAAACCACATAAGCCCGGTCATCAGCGTGTTGGGCACGCGCGGCCGGGTGCCAAAGTATATGTTCGGCCGGTATGTGCCCCAGAGCAGCGACGAGTCCAGGTCATCCTGCACCGTGCCATAGTCCGCACCCAGCACTGCCGCTGTCAGTCCAATTGCAACAGCCAGAATGCGCATAATGTACAGAAAAAAGTGAAGGTGAAGAGGTGCAGCTGTGTTGACGTAGGTAGCAAATCAAAAGTCAGTTCGTCACCAAAGCGATCCGAGTATTCCCAAACAAGGGCCTAATTAATAAAACAATTTTTTGCCGAGAGACAGGCTACCATGGCATTAATCAAATCTGCTACTGCACATCTGCAAGCAGGAGTCTACACAGCGCCAAAAGTCGGGAATGAACAGGCATTGCTTGAATCCATATATGGGCATCCACGCATTACTAAAAGAGACATAGACTATGGCCAAGCCTACCCGATAGGCGTCGATGACGGATCAGAGCTGGCAAGCACCGATTACAGCTGCACAACTGCTGCTGGAAGCTGAGCGCCGCAACAGGCATATATGCGGCGTTGCTATTCGCGTTTTGTTTCAGATATGCTTTTCTTTATCGGTTTTAAATGTATTCTACAACAAACTCAACATTTACCTAGTCTTAGCCAACACACCTTAGGTACTAGACTTGTCAAAAGCGATGCCAGGCAGGCAAGCCATGCTACATAAATACGCGATGTGCCGTGCTGAATCTGACTGCGTAAAGTGTACTGGTACTTGCCAACGACCCTTGCGTAGAATAGATAGTTTGATCAGTAGTTATATCTCGAGAGAGTCATTTGGTTCCTGGTCTCGTTGCTGCCATCAGCGATCGGATATTTGAGTGATATCCCCTGCAACTCATCGGAGCTCTTGTTCAAGAAGACAAACAACGACAACGACAACGAAATACGTGCCGCAGACTCGGACAACCAGAGTATATTCGTTAAAGGTTCTACCATCCAGTGCCCCGGGAGACTGCGTGGCTGTCTTGGCCACGTCATTTGGGGCACGTATGGTGGCAAAGACACAAGCATGAAGATCACCAGGACGCCTGCTAGACGGTTCTCAGAAGGCGCCACCTATCATATTCTGAGGTATCAGGATGTCATGAGTATTTATGAGCTATATCAGAGCGGTGTTTTGGTCAAGGACTTTTGTGGCCACCGCTTGGAGTTCAAGACCACATATCTGGATCATTGCCATGGTACCACGTCATAAGAATAATGCAGTTCCGAGAGATGCAGTCGCACTTTAATGGGCCACCAGAAACACTGTAGACCATGAAGTTGTCCCCTCTAGCACAACAAAAGAGATTTTGCGATGGCCTTGCTGATTTATAGCCTACTGCTCGATAGCCTACTGCTCGTTTTCACCGTCAATAAAAGGCCATAGTATATCAATGATGCAGGGACGGATGGTGTTGCGATCAATGTGGGCCAGAAGGTATGTTGAGACCATGGCAAGAATATAGAGAAATGAGATAGCAGTAAAGAGAACGGATAAACAGAAAGGAAAAAGAGTGGGTCAAGTCTTTTATAGTCGGTACGAGTGGTGAGGTTGCTGCCGTGAGCATTTGTTTTTTGGTGGACTCAAGGAACTGAGGCTTTCATGCAGACTCCGTCAAGACCACTGCAGCGATGATTATTGCACTGGGGTGTGGTTTTCTAGCCAAACATTTATTGCGAGGTCTACATTTGGCCTTTACCAGATACCAAGCAAGAAGCATATACGAAACATCTTAGCGCAGCAGCAATAAGGAAATAGAGCACATGCATTTGTATTGAGCGCACTTCACAATGCACGCAAAGCACGAATGCACAGCAGCCTGGTGGTGTTTTCTGTACATCAGTATATATAAGAATCGAGTATTGGTAACACATACATGTATTTTATGACGCATATAACTAAGCAAAGAACTTGACGCCAAGGTCATCGTCGGAGGAACCAACAAACAGCTGTGCCTTTCCCTGGCTTTGCAGGATATCTAACGCCCGCCTCAAAACAACAGTATCAAGCCCGCTGAACTCTACACCCAAGCACATTCTCATTAGTTGAAATGCTACCATATCTCTACAGTCTATCAACGGCAGCACCTACCTTGGTCACCAGTGTCATCGCCATTCGTCAGTTCATACACCGTCAGCACGGTATTGATCATCCCCCGATCGGTAACCCACTGGTGGATCATAGCCGCCCACTCCTCGGGCTTGCGCCAAAACACTAAGCACATGTCCTTTGTGTGCTTCGGGCCAACCCACACGGCATTCCCCTGCTTCACCAGCTCGTCGACGATCTCCCGCAATACATCGACGCGCAGTATGCGCTTGATCTGGTAGTTGTGGAATGGTGGCGAAAGCACTGCTTCAGATAGTGTCATTGTGTGTTGGCGCGTGTGCCGGTAAAAGGACAGAACCAGGTTGCACCAGAGCCGCCGCTGCTCCTGCCATGTCGCCTCTGCGGGTTGCCGCCTATTGATGCAGATAATAACGAGAGGGAGGTTTCAGTTTTTAGATACCTGAACTGGTGGACTAAAATGGGCACCCGCGCATTGAGCGCAAGCCTTGCGAAAGGCAGGCCATAGGGTTCTATTCTAACACCAACGTGGGCTATGCCTTACGTGAAGAATGGCGGGAAGCTGTAGATTTCAGGGAACTCAAACTGCTCTGTGGCTGTTGCCGTCGTCCTGTTCATGCTGACAAGAAGTACAAAAGTGGTAGTGGAATTAAGAGGGGGCAGGCCAATACAAGTAGACGCAAGAAAAAGGAATACCGTGCCGAGCAAAGAGAAGCCAAGCCCAGCCAAGCCGGCGGTGACGAAGAGGCACGAGCCAACAGGCGACTGGCTCCCGGCTCGGCTCGGCCTGGTGTGGAGGGGAAACAGAAAGCCGCCGAGTGCTAGAGAACACTGGCTGGGGGAAATCGAGGGGTTGATACCACCGCCCGCTTTCACACGCCGCCTCTTTCTTGCCTTCTCGTCTCTCCATCATCCACGTATTGCAAACTCTATTCATTAAAAATGGCGCAAAAGAAATCCAACAGCCTGGTCGACTCGTATCTGGTAGCCTACAATGCCGCATCGTTCGTTGGCTGGTCCTACGTGCTCTTCCAAACCGTGACATATCTTTTGGAGCACGGCACCGACCTCTCGGGGCTGTTCGACCAGGTCGGCTATGCGGTAATCTACGTGCAGACAGGTGCGCTCCTGGAGATCGTGCACTCGCTGCTTGGTTTTGTGCGCTCGAGCGTTCTGCCGGTTCTCACACAAGTGTACTCACGGCTGCTGTTGGTCTGGGGCACGCTGTATGTGTTTGACCAGCCCGAGGTGCGTGCCTCGTACGGCTTCGTTCTGATTCTGCTGGCATGGTCGATCACTGAGTGCGTGCGGTACAGCCACTACACGCTGTCGCTGCTGGGCATCCAGTCGCCGACGCTGCTGTATCTGCGGTACACGCTGTTTTACGTTCTGTATCCGACTGGCTTCTCGGGCGAGATGCTGGAGATGTGGGCGGCGCTGCCGTTTGCCGGTGCGATTCGGCCAGCCTTCAAGGGGTTCCTGCTGCTGAACATTATCAACTACCCGCCTGTGCTGTACAAGCTGTATACGCACATGATCCGCCAGCGCCGCAAGGTCCTGGGCGGTGAGACCAAGCCCAAGAAGGCAGTGGCGAGCACTACGGCTGCGACCAAGAAGAAGCTCTGAAAGATAGGGGGAGATAGTAAGTAGCAATACGCCATCACCTTTCTGCTACTGTTTCTTAATATACGGAGTTTTATTTTATTTTTTTGTTTCGCCATTCAGCAGTGCTTGAGGCAGACCCCAAAACGAGCCGGGGCGATTGAGCGCACACATAGGTGTAGGTCAAAGCATGGCGCTGGTATATCGCCATGTCTATATTATCACGGTCTATTGCGTATGTATTATTCCCCACCAAGTTATGAGCGGCCAGTATTTTCGCCCGAGGACCTGCTACGCCAAGAGTCGGCCAAGCGCAGCACCTGCCTGGGCGCCGAATGAAGCCCCAGACTCGCCAGTAACGAAGCGACAGAGGGCGAGCTACGAGGGCGAGCCAGACACATCCAAATGGGCAGTGCAGCCAGCACCCGACATATTCACGGGCACTGATCATACAATAATTGAGCAGCCATCCGAGCCCGCACCCGTCGATCCAGCAGAGCCAGCGGACGAGTTCGCCAATCTGCATGTGTCGCCGGAGGTCTTGAGACAGCTGCAGGAGCTGTGTATGGCGCAGCACGGCTTTGAGCGGCGACTGTGGGAGCACCGGCAAGCGATTGAGCGCGAAAACGAAAAGGCAATGCAGCAGCTGCTGGCGCGCGAAATGGTGCACAGCGTCAGCAGTAAGGAGAAGGAGGAGATGGCCAGGCAGCACCGACTCGCGCTGGAGCGTGCAGACCGCCGGGCTATCGAGAAACTCGACGACCTGCGGTACCGACAGCAAATGATGCTGCAGAGCATGGGGGTTCCAGAGTTCTTCCCCTCGTCCAGCGTAGATGTAATGGAGCGGCAGCAGCGGATTCTGCACCATCTGCTAAACCCGCTGCAATAGAAAGGAAAGAAAGGGGGATGGATGTTATTCACATAAAAGACATTAGATCTGGTCCGGGTTGAATGTGATCGGGATGTTCTGCCAGGCCTTGTAGTAGTCGTGGTCGCGCTGCTTGTGCTCGACGGCCCACTTTGTCACTCTCAGCTGGAACATGGACTCGAACATAAAGGCCATGGTGTTGTCAGCAACACGGCCAGGCAGCAGATCGCGCGTAGTGGCGTTCTCGACAGTCTTGGCGTCAGGGCCATGCGGCGTCATCATCGAGTGCAGGCTGGCGCCACCGGGCAGGAACCCGCCCTTCTTCGCCTCGTACTCGCCGTGAATCAGGCCCATGAACTCGCTCATGCAGTTGCGGTGGAAGTAGGGCGGGCGGAACGTATGCTGCTGCACCTCGAAGCGCGGCGGGAACACGACAAAGTCTGCCACAGCCGTGCCCGGATGAGCCGACTTGCAGGTCAGGACAGTGAAAATGGACGGGTCGATGTGGTCGTAGCTGACTGAGTTGATGACGTTAAAGTTGGCCAGGTCGTACTTGTACGGGGCGTAGTTGCCGTGCCATGCGACAACATCAAAGGGCGAGTGGTCCTGCTGCGCAGCAAACATCTCACCCTGGTACTTGTTGACGATCTCCCATGGAGTCGCTTGTGTGCTCGTACTTTGCCGTCGGCGTCTGGAAGTCGCGTGGGTTTGCCAGGCCGTTGGCGCCAATGGGGCCCAGGTCCGGCAGCTCAAAGTGGTTATCGTAGACCTCCAGGATGTATCCGCGGCTCGGTCCGTCCGGCAGGCCGACGGAGAAGCGGATGCCACGCTGGATCACGGCGATCTCGTTCGGCGCCACCATGATCGGACCAAACTCGGTCTGCACGTCCAGACGGCCCTGCTGCGGCACAATCAGCAGGTCGCCGTCCGAGTTGCAGAACGCGCGCTTATCCATGCTCTGCGTGGCCGTGTAGATGTGGACGGCCAGACCGCTCTTCAGGGCGGTGTCGCCGGCCCCGCCGATTGTGCGCAGACCGGTGACAAAGTCCAGCGGCTCCGACTCGGGGATCTCCGAAACGGCAGCCAGCGGATCTGCGTCGGCGTGATCTCAGTTGTGTGTGCGTCGAAGCTGACCGACAACCTGGTGCTGGCCGGGGAGGAACGGCTCGAAAGGGCTTGTGCCATGACCGCCGGGTGGATGCGATACAGCCAGGTGCGCTGGTTGCCGGCACGGACCCACGGTGAAGGCCGTGCCCGAGAGCTGCTCGGCGTAGAGCCCGTACGGGCACACCTGGGGAGTGTTCTGACCCACGGGCAGAGCGCCTGGGAGAGCCTCCGACGAGAAGTGGTTGCCAAAGCCGGGCTGGTACTCGTACGGGTCGCTGTGGGTGGCGGCGGCTGAAGACATTGGGTTGCTTGCGTTGCTGAAAAAAAAAAAGTGGGTTTGCAGTAGTGTTGAGGAGAAGAGATGCGATGTTTCTCACGGACCCTCCCGCCGCACTCCTCGCTTTTATACCCGCAGTGCGTGTAATCTATGCTAGCGGTGTCCGGTATCAGGCTGGCGAATGGGCGGCCGTTTGGTCCACGCCTTTACGGCTTTTACTCCCACGGTCGGCTTCTGTCACGGGTACATCTCTGATGGCAGATCCTTTCCGTTCTGCGCACGGGGGAGGCAGAGCACCGCTCAGTCTCTGCTGACACAGGAACGGCAAACAAAAAAGTGGCTCAACTAGTCAGGTTCCCGTTTTTCCCACGTACCCGAAACAGCCCAGCAGTGGTGCGTGCGGGGGTGCACAAACAGATAAGGCGGCAGCAACGGACATGCAGGCGTGGATAAACGGTTTAACCAAGTGGCCTCATTTTCTATTTCGCTTAGTGCGTCACATTGAAAGCAGCCTATTTGGCCTCGATCTTCTCCATGAGCTCGGGCACGATGGTGAACAGGTCGCCAACAAGGCCGTAGTCGGCGATCTGGAAGATAGGCGCATCAGCATCCTTGTTGATGGCCACGATGGTCTTGCTGTCCTTCATTCCAGCCAGATGCTGGATGGCGCCGGAAATGCCAATGGCAATGTACAGCTCGGGGGCGACGATGCGGCCGGTCTGGCCTACCTGCAGGCTGTTGTCGCAGTACCCGGCATCGACGGCCGCGCGCGACGCACCAACGGCAGCACCCAGCTTGTCAGCCTAGATCATAGATGACCTGGAAGCCCTCGGCAGACTTGACGGCACGGCCTCCGGCGACAACGCGCTTGGCGCTGGCCAGATCCGGGCGGTCGCTCTTGACCACATCCTCACGCACCCACTGTGTCAGCGGCTTGGCATCGACCTGCGGTGCCGCCTCCTCAGCGGCGGCCGACTCAGCAGCGGCAGCAGCTGGGAATGCAGTGGTGCGCACGGTAATGACCTTGACAGCATCGCTGCTCTTGACGGTGGCAATGGCATTGCCAGGCGTACACAGGCCGCACAAACGTGTCCTCGCTCTCGACAGCGGTGATGTCGGAGATCTGCTGCGTGTCGAGCAGCGCGGCCAGGCGCGGCATGATGCTCTTGCCCGCAGCAGTGTGTGCGGCGAACACGTGAGTGGACGACTCCTGCTTCTGGATCGCCTGCAGAAGGGTAGCCGTCGACTCGGGCTGCGCATGGATCAAACACGGCGTCCTTGGCCACAATGACCTTGTCGACTCCCTCGATCTTGCCCACGGCCTTGGCGGCGGCATCGGCAGTGGATCCGGCCACAACTGCCGTGACGGGGCCCGACAGCTTGCGCGCCGCTGTGATTGCGTTCAGAGCGCCTTCGTCAATGCCGCTGCCCTTGGCCTCGACAAACACGAGCGAGGCAAGGCCGGCCCGCTGTGAGGCGTACATGCGCGCAAGAGCTCCCTATAGCAATGGCGCACGGGGGTGTTAGTATCTAGTGTTATCTGGCCAGCCCTGGGAATATTTTCTGCGTCCCTCGGAGAATACTTTATGCGCCGCAAAAAACATACGTTCTTCAGAGCAGACACTGCGGCTGAGGCTGGTGCGAATAGGGGCAAACATGGCTGTTGTATCTGTACGAGAATATAGCGAGACAGGTGTCTAAGAGTTGGAATTGGAGAAAGAGAAAAAACAAGTAGCGAGCAAGTGGGAAGAAGAAGGGTGAGGCGATAGATACCCCTTTAGCACATGCAAAACTGCAGCACGCATCAATGCCGTCCACTGAGCCCGGCAGATATCTGGCTCCTGGGAACGAGTTCACGTGCCCGCACATACCTGCCCGCCTTATCTGCCAGCCGAGCCGGCTGCGACCTTGGGTCCCCGGCTCGAGCTGGCTGTGACGTCTCACGGTCTAGCGTTTATGCAAGCGTGCAACGGCTCCTAGCGTGTTTTTTTTCTTGCATTCAAGCTCTCCAGACTTTTTATACGTTTTTCAAATGGCGAATTTCCAGCTCAGGCAGTTCCACTTTTTCAAGCGCGACACGCTGGGCAGCCTGCCCGAGGTGTTTTCCAAGCCCGAGCTGCTCCTGGCCTCAAACAGCGGCGACCTCATTTTCCTGGCTGACGCAGATGGGTACATTCACATAGTCAACCGGTCGTTAATAGTCAAATCGTTCGTAGCCACCGGCGACATCCCCGGCACACGCATCACGCAGATGGTGCACCTTCCACCAGAGCCGCATGTTGCTGACCATTGAAGAAAACGTCAACACAGCAGCCACACGGCCAGTCATCAAGCTGTGGGCAGTGGACCGGCTTTTGCGACAAGGCGACACCCAGCCTGTCGCTGTCAAATACCAGCAGCCAAGCACCACGCCCTACCCCTTGACGGCAGTTGCAGCTACGCCATCAATCGGCCAGATCGCGCTGGGATTCGCTGGCGGCCATATTGTGCTGATTCGCGGCAATATCGCCAAGGGCAAGGCAACGAAGCAGCGCACATTGCATCTGGCACCAGAACCCATCACCAACCTGCACTTCTCGACAGACGACACAGGCACTAATGTAGCGCTGTTTGCAACGACGACTGCTCAGACGCTGGTGTTTGACACTGCAAGCTCGTCGGGCGCTCGGGCGGAGCCAAACGTGCTGGAAGAGCGCGGGTGCGGCATCGGGTGCTCGATGGTCAATGCACAGCGTGAACTGGTAGTGGCCAGAGACGAGGCCTATCTACTTTTACACTGCGGATGGCCGCGGTCCATGCTTTGCCTTCGATGCACCCAAGGTGCTGCTCCGGCACTACAAGCACTACCTGCTGCTGGCTACGGCGGTGCCCTCGGCCATGGCTCCCAATCTGCTTGACACGGGGTCTGCCGAGAGTCCTGTGCCGCAGCCCAACAGCCCTAGTGATTCCAAGACATATTCGTACAACGACGCAACCACATTCACAATCCTCGATACACGCAACAAACTAGTCGCATACACAGGTGTAGTAGCCGGGGGTGTGCGCGGCGTGGCAGCCGAGTGGGGCAGTGTGTTTGTGCTTGGCGGACACGGCACACTGGATCATTTCAACGAGAAGGACCTGCTTGAAAAGCTCGACACGCTGTACCGCCAGAACCTATATCCGCTGGCGGTCAAAATGGCCCAGAACGGAAACTACGACCAGGCGAGCGTTGCTGGCATTTACAAAAAGTACGGTGACTGGCTGTACAACAAGGACGAGTTTGACTCTGCCATGTCACAGTACACACAGACCATCGGGTACGTTGAGCCGTCGTATGTTATCCGCAAGTATCTAGGATGCCCAGCGTCTGGCCAGCCTGGCCGGGTACCTGCAGGAGCTGCACGCTGCTGGCATGGCATCGGCGGACCACACAACCCTGCTGCTGAACTGCTATACTAAGCTGCGCGACGAGGAGCGCCTTGACAAGTTTATCCACACGCAGGAGGATTTCCAGTTTGATATCGATACTGCCATCCACGTGTGTCGCCAGGCGGGCTTCTATAGCCAGGCGCTGTACTTGGCCGACAAGTTCAACAAGACAGGGCATGTACCTGAAGCTCAAGGTCGAGGACCAGGAGGACATCGAGGCTGCACTGGTATATATGCGCAAGCTCAACGACGCCGACATTTCTGTGTACCTAGCAGAGTTTGGGCGCCGCTGCCTAGCCAGTCTTCCCAAGGAGACCACAGAGCTGCTGGTCGATGTGTGTATCAACAGCATGGATCGCCCGCGTGCTGGTCAACGAGGCTGACAACGAAAGTGAGACCGGCTCACTATTGCGGTCGCTGCCGTCCAGCGCGCTCTCGCTGCGCAAGATCCAGCACCTGTTTGCCGATCAGCCGTCCTGGCTCGTGGCATTTCTGGAGAGCATCATTGCCAAGCGGTGGCAGGATCCGAGCAGCCTGATCTCCGACGAGGAGCGCGACATGCAGTCCGCCTGGAACACACTCTTGGAGCTCTACCTGTGCGGCGTCGAATCCCCGCTGCGTGCACAGACGGAGGCTGCCCGGCAATCGCCGCGGAGAGCACGCACTGGAGCTGCTGCGCAATCCGTCAGCACAGATTGACTGGGACCGGGCATACATTCTCTGTGCCTCCAACAACTTTTCTGACGGAATTGCCGGCCCTGTACGAGCAGCGCGGAGATGCATCGGCGCTGTTGGATCTATATATCGAGGAGGACGACGTTGCCAACATGCAGAAGCTGCTGGTGAAGCATGGCGAGCAGCAACCGGACCTGTATGTCAAGGCGCTGCACTACTTTGCGGCCAACCCGCAGCATGCTGACAACGAGCAGTCGCTGGCGCAGTGTCTGGCGACGATTGAGCGACATAATCTGATGTCGCCGCTGCGTGTGCTGCAGGCGCTGGGCGGTGACGGCGAGTCGGGTGTGACGCTCGGGATGGTGCGCTGGGTACATCAAGCGGCAGATCGAGACGACCACGCAGCGGATTGCCCAGAACGAGAAGGATGTTGTGGCATATGCGGCCGACTTCAAGAAACACCACAGCCAGATGCTCGACCTGCAGACAAAGCCGGTGGTGTTTCAGAGCACCAAGTGCTCGTCGTGTATGGCGCCGCTGGATCTGCCCAGCGTCCACTTTATGTGTAAGCACTCGTTCCATCAGCGGTGCTTGGGCGACGAGACCGACAGCTGCATACGGTGCAAAGCCCAGAACCAGAGGCTCGAGGATGAGCGACTGCGCCAGGAAACCAACAGCAAGAAGCATGCCGAGTTCTTTGACAAGCTGCAAAGCAGCGACGATGGCTTTGACGTCATTGCCAGCTGGTACTCAATGAGTCCGTTTGCCAACGTCAAGCTGGTAGACCAGTAGATATATTTTTTGTTAAAAAGAAAGCTTTAATGCAGCGGGCTCTGTCGCCTCAGGGCTTGACTGCCTTGCCGATGATCATGGGCATGATGCGCGCCTGTAGGTCGACCGAGAGCCGGATTGTGTCGTAATGCACCGACCGCCATTGCTTCATGGCAGCGATCTGCTCAGCCGGTCCGCCGATTGAGCTGGCACCCATGGACCAACAACTGCCCACACAGGCGTAATCCAGTCCTGCACAATTGCCCACGCTCTCGCATTCATATCCATGCCGACCTTGACTGTGCGGTCCGCTTTATCTGTCTGGCGCACATGCTCGATGAAATAGTAGGTGCCGCCGGGCTTCAGCAGACTGAAGATGTTGTCCAGCGTGGTCTGCGGGCAGCCCACCGTGCAGAGCGCAAACGACGTCACAATGGAGTCATACGGGGCCTCGTCGCGGATGAACTTCGGGATTTCGTTTTCGTCGTCGAGCGTGCCACGCACAATATTAAACGGCACGCCCTTGCTGGCGGTGCATTGGTCGCCGGCCGGATACTGACTCCGCGGTCGTAGGACCACGGCGAACCCACATTCCTCGGCGTTGGCCTGCTAGGCCCTTGTAGAGGAACGGGTTGGGCTCGAGCGCCGTGTAGGAGGTGATTTGCTTGTGGTCGATAAGCCGCTGGCCGGAAGTGTCGGTGCGGTGCCGTAGGAGCTTGAGCGAGGAGCCGTAGCCAGGCCCGATCTCCAGAACCTTGCCATGGATAGTCGGGCCAGATTTGTCGCCGGTACGGGTCCGCTTTGATGTCGTTGCGTGTGGACTCGCCGAGCCATATTTTGCTGAACGCCCAGTCGTATGTGCTCGACCAGGCACTGCCAAGCGAACTGAGTATGTACATGGAAAAAGAAAATCCCCGATATCCCTATTACGATTGCTGGTGAAAAAATGTGGTGAAAAATTACACGTTGGGAAGGCAAGAGGGCCCAGAGATTGAGAGATGGCCAGGCTATCGTTTTTTTATTTCCCCATTCCGATATTCAGTAGCAGAATTGCGAACATAACGGGCGTAGTAATTGGGCAGGCTTTGAAACACCCCTCCCATGGAGCGATTTCTTGCGTGAATAGTACCAGGCTGGAGTGCTGCCTGCTTTGCAGCTGTGGCGGATAGTTGAGGGTAAAAGAATGGGCATTCGCCTTACATATAAGCAGCATGGCACTCCCCCTGGTAATATACAAAGACTTGGCCATATAGACATCCAATTGAGTACCGCTATCAAAGCCATCATGTAAGGGTAAGCTTATTCTATTAGCCTTCCGAGGAAACATGCATTTCACTGGCACCCATCCGCCGGATAGTCAATATCCTCGACAACATCGAGCAGCTCCTTGGCCAGCTTGCGCTGCAGTTCCCTACCGCTGCCCGGCTGCCCGTCCAGATCAGGGATATACCTGACGGCGACGATTTTGCGCTTCCACAGGTCCAGCGGCTTGGGCACGCGGTCATTCTCGGGCACATCGGAGCCCCAGAACCCGGCGCCATCAAACACGGCGCCACCGGATTCCGTAACGAGCAAGGCGCCCGCAGCAAAATCCCAGGCGTGGGGCCCGCACTCCCAGTAGATTTCGGCCGAGCCCTTGGCAACCAGGGCAAGGTCGGGCGCAGCGGCACCGATTACGCGCAGATTCTGGACGCACGCGCCGCCGTCCTCCTTGTCGAGCAACAGGCGGGTCAGTGAGTCCTGTCCGCGACTTCATTGTCTTTGCAGAGCGGTCTGATCCGTGCTCGGTCAGCATCGCGCACTGCGTCAGGCTAGTAGGGCGACGTCAGCGCCGGCTTCTTCAGCAACTGGCAATTGCTGGCCATTAACAAACGCGCCTTGTCCGCGCACCGCCGTGTACAGCTCGCCCAATACCGGCAGGTACAGGACGCCGACCACCGGCTGCTTGTTGATCGCCAGGACCAATGCTGATGCCTGTATAGGGAAAATGGTGCACAAAGTTGTTGGTGCCGTCGACCGGGTCCACGATCCATGTGGGCTGGTCCGTGACCTTGTAGCCGTTGCCGTGCTCGGCTGTTGTCTCCTCGCCGACAAACTGGTGCGTCGGGTAGACAGCGCGCAGACGCGTGAAAATCGTCTCTTCGATGTATCTGTCCACTGCTGTTACGCAATCGGCTCCGTTGCCAAGTTTGTCTTCGGCTGCAAAGTCCGAGTTGGCAGCGAACTGGCCTGTGCGGTGGAACCCGTCCTTGAACGCCTCTCCGACATCCCTTGGCCAGCTGCACGGCGGTGGCGAGGTACTCTTGAAGTTCTGAATCGCTCATGGCAGTGTGATAAGAATAGATTCTATGACAAAGTGTAGAGATGAAAAGGCAAGAGGGGGCCAAGCGGTCTGACAGTTCCGCCAACATGTGTATTGTGGCGGGCTATGAATCTCCCCCGATCCGCTGGCTGCTCCGCTTGGCCGATCCCAACACTGAGAAACCGGGGCTTATAAACAAGCTGATCAGTTTCTGGTCCACCAGTCTACACCCAATAAACTGCAGCATTCCCTACATGTTCACTTTGGTTGTCTTTTTTAGGCTATGCGGCAAAGAAGATGGCATGAGGGGCCAGTCAATCAGGGTCTTGGGCACTGCTGTTTGTTTATCATGTACTCCCTGGTCGATATGGATAACAAGTGGATGCCAAGGCAAATGGGTGTCTCTCATAGACTGCTCAGGCAATACATCAACACCGTCCCATTGTGTTGTTCAGGAAAGCTGCAGTTAGTCGACATTTTGAAGTCCTCATACTTGCTTTTGCGCATTTACATGCCTCATTTTGCCATTCTTCTAGATGCCCCCCCCATTCACCCAGACGAACTGGACATGCAATTAGCTGAATTGGCTGTAGCACAGACACAAATTTATCCCAGTTTGTAATCTTCGTCATTATCAGCAGTCATTTCGATTGGATGACAGCTGGAACAGCAAGCTTCTTGATTGCATGCTGCAAAACTAATCATTCATTTTTGGTTCTTGAGCGATGTGAATACCTAAATAGTACCATTTACTCAGCTGCGGCCCTTGAAAGAGTACCGCGAAGTATAATTGATAACTGAAGTCTGTTAAAACTTTTTAAAACATGAAATGACAGTCGACATCTCTACGTGCACAAATTTTTACATGTGGCCGGATCTTTTGCACAAATGTACCAATTTGGTCAGTATACTCCTTATCTATAGCAACAAATTGGAGGAGCGGAAGGAAAAGCGGCATTCTGCATATAGCGTCTGTGTCAAAGTACCCCGGGGCGTCGATATCCAGAACCTGTAGGCATTTGTTAATTGGCTCAAGCCCTACTGTGCTCACTGTGTTATGTGCAATTGCAGTATCAATGACAGTCGGTGTAGTTGCCTCGTGAATATCCGCCTGCCTGTCGTATGTTCCCCAGAAATAGTTGTCGGTGTCAGTTGCGTCCATCGAGATGCAGGTGATTCGGAGGAACTTCAGAGTTGGCAGCTGTTCTAGAAGATGAACGATCATGTGACCTGGTTGCTATATCGGTAGAGAATGACAGGCTCACAAGATCTCTCCAAAGAATATGCGTCGGAAAAGGTACTAGGCATTCCATCAGTACATTTTGCACTGTAGAGTGAGTAAAATAGAAGCGAGTAATAAGGTCCTTTGAATCAGTGTACCAGCCAGGAGCCTCAGAGATACTTGTGGACAGTTGAAAGCTAGTGACATTGTGGATGATGCTGGTGTCAATGTAAGGGAGGGAGCGCTGATGCTCGTCAATACATAGATGACTAAGGGGTGCATTGGCCAATGCAGAATACATGTTTTTGTATACTCCCATGGATTGTTTTAGCGACAGCTTGAAAAGCTTTGGGAACACGTGTGCAAGGTGAGGGCATAGGCTGACGTTCTGCGACTTGGATCCACTAGCAGCCCTAAAGTCAAACTGTATCTCCTTCAGATTGGTATATATGGTCTTTCCACTATAGTTACCGCGGAAGCAGGTTAAGGGCACCTCGCCATCAATGTTATATAGCTTCAGCCGTTCGACGATATTGGGAGCCAGGCCAATGTTGGGCAGGGGAACTTTGATACAGTCCATATCAAGCTCCACATGAGTCAGCGAAAGATGCATTGGCGAGTTCAGGAGAAGCGTACTGGGCTGGTAGCACTGCAGAGACGAAAGTTTTGACAGGAACGTCTGGAGCAACATGGAATATCGAGGCGACATAGTATAGCTAGAAAAGTCAGCGGCAGTGAACTGTGTCGTCGGTATCTTTACGCATAGACCGATGCTCTGCAGGTTTCTAAAGTGTCTGGCAAAGAATTCGCTGAAAGAGTGGGCATCGGCAAATATGTCTTCTGTGTGATAGTCAGTCCCCGACCGAAGGACACCTTTACCGAAAAAGTGCAAACCTTGAAGCCTCCACCACGATGGTGATGTAAGGCCAAAGTATTTGAGTGCATTCGCGAGTAGGAGTGGGCCGGTGTAGTCGTCATACATGACAATGCGCAGGTCAGTCGCAGAACAGAGTCTCTTTTGATAGAGAATGGACCCGACATTGGATACCCAGGATACCCTCTTGTGCATCCGACTAGTCGAAGAGCTGCGAATAGCATAGATCTTCCTTTGGACAAAGACGTAGCGATAGACCTGCTGTGGCATACACTCGTTCCACAGACGACATAGAGTGGCGAGCTTCATCATGTCCCAGTACTTGGTGATGTGAAATGGGTTGTGGAACATACCATAGCAGAGAACACTGAGTATGCTCACAAGGACACCGGCAGGGAGATTGTTGATATGATTAGCATCCATAGTCGCAGGAAGGAATGAGCAAAGGAAAGCGAAGGAACAGGACGGCTCCTGGACATCCGCCTCCTTGCTTTATAGCTGTCTCCTGACACAGGCAAGGTGGTTTGTCGCCATGCCATGCCACACTGGAGATGTGTATCCGAATAGAGCCGGCTTTTTGGCCTATAGCTAAGCTGGATGCCAAAGTGTGGGAACGGCTTTTATGTTGGCATGCATACCAGCTGCAGAGAGGGAGAGGGAGAGGGAGAGGGAGAGGGAGAGGGAGAGGGAGTTCATGGGCCTTTGTGGTTGCTGAAAGAAAAGATTAATGTTGCAAAATGTCTGCAGCATTCATTATTGGGTGTCATGACATATCCCTTGGAGTTGGGTGCTCTCCAGTCTCTTTTAGAGTAAGACAGCTGAAATCCTACAGGAGAATACTTTTCTTGACCAAGACTGCCTTGCATACATCTCTGCTCATGTCAAAATGTAGACCAGCGAACGCACCGGCTTGTTTTGCCAACCATCGGCTCTTTGAATCGTGAGCATGAGCATGCATGACTCACAATCACCACACTGCTGCATGCAATTCCGGATAAGGGGATTGTATGCCAAACGTAGAGCCATTTATGTAGCTCTTCCAAGAGTTGTAGTGGCGAGGTGGGGCATGTAAAGCTACATGCTGGCCCTACCAAGCAGTGCAGCCAGAGTCTTTGCCCGCTGACCCAATGGCTGCCGATCGCTCAACATCTGTTGGGCTACTGGGCAGCCTATAGGACCTGCTGATCGGGCCCAGTGTCGGAGATGGATTTTGTGCTTATCAAAATTTTCAGAGTCTGAACCGCAATGCACACATGGAAATGTAGCATGACAAGTATACCGATGACCTGGAATTCGCGCATACCTACTGTGCGCGCACACGCCTAGACTGGCGCGACACGCACTATGCTTTGCGCAGGGGGCAGCGCCAGGCACGCAGGCGACAGAACCCAAGCGCAGGTTGGGCCTGAAAGTATGCATTTGGCGGATTTGCAACAGCGACCACACGCTGATTGGCCAGCCACTTCAAATTGACGCGCGGCTCGGTTGCGAGTCACAGTTCGGGTACCCCCTTGTCCCCATCGAAAAAATTTTATCGCCTAGACACTCGAGCATCGGCAGTGCGGCAGGGTCGGCATCGCCTTTAGATGGGCGCGGCGCTGGAGAGCTGGGAACTTCTTACTTCTCCTTTGCACGCTTTTTTAAACAACTAGGTACGTATGCTTTGATGTCGTTTTCTGCCGCCGCCTGTATGGGCCTTTGTGACTTGTCGCAGGCGCGGCTGTGCTTGTCCTTTATGCTTCTGCGATTAGACAGTGCCCAGGCGTATTCCTGCCGCGCGATCTATGAGCATGGCGGCGTGTTCTCGTAGCCCTGTGCGGCCCTCCATTCGCTCGTTCAAACAGCTTCTGCGGTCGGTCTCGGTCTTCCCTTGCATTGCCTGCGACGGGGGAGTGTCTATGTTTGCCTGCCGTCGCTGTTTGAAATTCGCATCTGCAGATTCAGCACTACACAAACCTAACAAGCCTCGCTCTCTGTAGTTTATTTAACGACAAAAGCAAATAACCATGGCCGACGATTCGCAGCACGAGCACGTTTTCGAGAGCTCCGAGTCCGGAGCTTCGCTCACCTACCCCATGCAGTGCTCTGCTCTGCGCAAGAACGGTTTCGTTGTCATCAAGGGCCGTCCCTGCAAGATCGTCGACATGTCGACCTCCAAGACTGGCAAGCACGGTCACGCCAAGGTCAACATGACTGCCATCGATATCTTCACTGGCAAGAAGCTTGAGGACATGTCGCCCTCCACCCACAACATGGAGGTCCCCAACGTCAAGCGTAACGAGTACACTCTGGTCGACATCTCGGGTGGTTTCCTGTCGCTCATGGACGACAACGCCGAGATGAAGGAGGACGTCGCCCTTCCCTCGAACGAGCTCGGTACCGACCTCGAGGCCGCTTTCGGCGAGGGCAGGGACATCCTTGTCACCGTCCTCAGCGCCATGAACGAGGAGGCTGTCGTCTCCTTCAAGGATGCCCCCAAGGGTAACTAAGTAGCCTGCCGGGTTTGTTTTCTATAAAAATCCTTTTGAATTAAATGACAATTCTTTTGGCAAAGCATTCTTCAAAGTCTACGCCCTGCCAGCAACGTTCTGGGCCATGCTCTGCCACCCGCCCGACGGCTCCTTCGCGTCGCGGAACATAAGCGAGATGCGCCGCGACTGCGGGACCGCCTTGCCGCCCCACGACCGCTGGGCCGGGTCCACGGTTATCTCGTGTGTGAACTGGTACCGGATGTGATTAGTCATAAAGTAGAGGCTGTTGGGATTCAGCAGCACGTCGACGCGCACCTCCGGATCATCCACATGCTTGAATGTGCTCACAGCAGGTCCCAGCAGACACAGCCCGCCGACCACGAATCCCGAGTAGTCTGGGTTGTCGACATGCGGCAGGATCTCGCCGTCCTGGTGCAAGTCGAGGATGTGCGGTGGCAGCCAGGCAAGGCTCGCGGGGAACAAGTCCCACACGCGGTCGAGAATGGACCGGATCTGGCCGTCGTACTTGCCCACAGTCGACCAGCCGGCAGACTTGCCGTTCGAGTGCCGGTCCGGACAATTCCACAGGATCCGGATCCAGGGGTTTTCCCAGGGCCTCAGCGACGCGCGCACCCACAGTGCGCCGCCGTGGCAACCACGCGCTTACCGAGCATTCGCGATAGTTGTGGATCCGCTTGTCGAAATGGCCCATCTCGTAGGAGCTTGCAAGGCGGCGCAGCTTCTTCTCGCAGTTCTTCACCAGCAAGGTGTGTTCGGCGTCGGTTATGAAGCCCGGGTGCAGGTACATATCGTTCGGGTCAAACCCCTTTGAGAGGTACTTGTCTGAGAACCGCAGGAACGGCGCAGCAGTCTCGGGCGACACAAGCCCAATCGGCTCAGTGTAGCGCGGGATTTCGCCGATCGTGGGCTTGATAAGCCGCGAGGACCCGCTGCTGCAGTCCTCGGAGAAGCTGCGCACAAGGCGCTGCAGGCTGGGGCTGGACGGACGAGCACGGCTGATTCGGGAGAGCATGGTGTTGCAGATGAGATGCGCGGATCTAGGTTAGAATAGTCAAAACACACACCGCGCAGCTGGTTGCGCCAGGCACGCGGAACACGTCCAATACCAAAGCGCCGTTTCACTATGGCACAAGCTCGACAGATCAGACCATTTTTTGTGCAGATGTCAATGGCGTGGGTCCACTATAGCGGCAGCTGCAATGTACAAATGTTCGCTTTATTCAAAACCCAGCGGTGTCGTCGCTGTTCGACCCGGATCCAAACACCCGGTTGCTTCCTGCGCCTGCGTTGGTAAATAGCGCCTTGTATGTAGGCGACATGCCTACCATGCTGCTGCTCGGCGGCGAGGACGACCCGAGGTGCTGTAGCGGATTCCTGGTTGGCGTCAATGGCGCGGAATCCAGCACATCGCTGCGATGCAGAGTCATGGGCGCAGTAGCCGGTGCAGCCAGAATCGGCGGGAGTGTGCGGTCGGCGTAATTTGGTGTCACTGTTGCCGACGCCATCGGTGACCGCATGAACGCAGCGGGCGGCGGCCCAGACGACATGCCCAGTGAGCTACAGTACGGTGGTCTGTATGCCAGGAGCGGCGCCATTTGTGCTGGGGCTGGTATCGCTGGCATCAATGACCCGGACCCGGCTACGCTTGGAGGCTGCTTTGGTCGAGGGTTTGAACTTGAATGGATCGCGGCGCTGCTGGATGCTGGCAGTGGCAATAGTAATGCCGCTGCTGGCAGGCGGCGTGGCAGTACGCTGCTCGGGAACTACTAGCTGCTGTCGGTGTCCCTCATGCTCTGGCACGGATCCTCGGGCAAGCGCCTTCGGGTGATCCATTTCCACCTGCGGTGCAGGTGCGGTGCTGCACTCTCGGGACTGCTAGGGAGCTGGAGTCGAACGGCCGGATCGGCAGAACCAGAGCTACTGACACTGGCAGTGCCAGGTTGTGTAGGGGTGGGCGGAAGCTGCTGCCAGCTCCTTGCTCCCTCGGCCGCATGTACGGCATCAGCCTCGGTGACCTGTTCTGCGGTCTGCTGCTGGGCTGCGGACCCTGAGCCCTGCGCGAGCGAGTCTCCCGAAAACGAGCTGCATTCTTCGGCCTGGCAAGTAAAAGTGCCTGTCTGGCTAGCCCAGTTCGCAGGAAGTCCAGGGACCGGCGATGCCAGCTGGTCTCTGCCAGCCCGGCCCGTCGGTAGATTTCCTCCATGTGCTCCAGTGTCGTTTGTTGCCCGAGTATCAGTGCCCTGGCTGCTGTAACCTGTCCTATTGGCCGTATTGTGCGCAACAGTTGGAGGTGTCCTTGTGGTGGAGGTGTTAGTGAATGGTCTTGAGGAAAATGTGGAGCTGCTGCCATTAGCAGATGTACCTGACCCATCTCCATTCGCCTGCTGAGGTCTTGTCTGCATCGCTGGTAGCGTCAGCGAGTTATTTGCAGCTGGCCCTGACACTGACATATCCATGCCACCATTGCCGTTGCTAGGGGCGCCTAATGTAGCACACACAGAAGAAGAGCGCCGCTTTCTTGGGTTAGGCAACTGTCTTGGGTCAGGATTTATGTTCTGACCATCGGCGGCGGCAGCTGTTCCTGACCTGTTTCCGTTTGTCTGTGGAGTCTGCATCCAAGGACCTGGTAGCATGGGCGCATGGCTACTCGAGCTGTTGTTCCTTTTACGGTGGTTGCCTGCGCTTCCATTCTGGGACTGAGGAATTGACGCACTGGACTGCGTTCCAGGCTGGCTGTTCACCTCAGCCTGCGACACAGCCTCGTCAACCCACTCGCTGTCGTTCTCAAGGTCAGCCAGGAGTTCGTTCATCTCCGCTTCACCGTCGCTGTCGCTGTCTGAATCCAGCGTCAGATCCACCACCTCAGTCCTGGAGCGCTTGCTAGACGGGCCCGACACCTCCACGTCGCTCAGATCAATCGCCTCACCAGCCGAGCTCCGCGAGTGCTTTCCAGAGGAAGCCACTAGTGCTGCCGCCGCCTCCTTCCTGCGCCATGCACCATCAGGGTCCACGTGAACCTGGTCGTCTGAGTCCTGCGTGCCGCGCAGAATCTCTTCAAAGTATCCGTCAACAATCAGCTCCTGCCATGATTTCACAGCAATCGAGCATATCGGACACTTCCACGTCGGCGTCTGCTCGTTCATTTTCAAAAACACCTCGCCATCAAAGCACTGGGAGTGGTTGCAGTACTTTGATCGCATTGGCGTTGTGATGCGCACTAGACCCAGCGGGCACTTCAGGCTAACCAGAGCGCCGTCAGCGACCACGTCGTCGTCGGCATTGCCCACAGGCCTGAAGAACTGCTGGCGCACCGTCTCTGCATCGACGAAGCTGACTTGTCGGATCTGTTCTGCAATCGACTCAGCTGTGTGCTGCCGGACCAACATGGCCACCGCCACCCAGCTCGTGTGGGACGTGTAAATGATACACACGCTGTTATCGACCCCCATCTGCAGGTTTACCTGGTCCATCAGGTTCCACGGTGGTGTCTCCTGGCTCGGGCGCTGCGGCGGGCGCTGGATGCTGCGCCCATTAACCACCACGCTGCACATCGACGGATACTGCACTGCAAGCGTGTTTTGTGATGGCTGGTTTGCAAAGCTAGTGGCCAGCGCGTACTGGCACATGTACAGATATACCCCGTACTGGGCCCTCTGTGGCCGATCCATGTTTTTCGTCAACATATCAACCTGGTCGGCGGACAGCTTGAACTTGAAGTTCACCGACACCTGCCGCCCGTGTGTCTCCCGGCACACAATGATGTCGCCGACTTTGCTATACGGCGCCAGAAACGACGAATCACTGAAAACAATCTTCGCTAGTCCAGACATTTCGCTCGAGCGCGGCCGATGGTGGTTTGCTGGTGCCCGCGCTGGCGCTGCCGGCGAACTGAGGAACTGCCCATTGACCAACCCGCCAGGCACCGCTCCAGGAATGCCTACGCTTGAGTGGTACTGCGGCGATGGCCCGTGGTTGCGATGGCCGCCGTGAAAACGCAGCACTTCCAGTTGATGCCTGAAAGTTTACTGGCAGAAACCGAACCCAGTCCATGTCCTCGGGAATCGAATGGGCGCGGTTGTCGTGCCACTGGAACCTGTCGAACATCTGCAGACCCGACGACAGAAACCGCATAAAGCTCAGCGTCCGTCCGTACCCGACTTTGCTGTGCGCATTATACAGGTTCCTCAGCTCGTCATGCAATTGTGCTATGTAGTCAGCTTTTCGATGCACAGCCAGTTGCTGCCGGCTGATCTCCGGGTGTGATGTCTTTATGTAGTTGAGTATCGCCTTTAAGTCTGGAATTCGAAGCTTGTCGAGCAGCCGAGGTTGTATAGACTATATAGAGCGGTCCTGTATATGAGTAGGCTGGGGGAGGCTTCATTCGTGATGGCACGTCGCGACAGACCCTGGTATCTCCCTTACCTGCGGCCGGTCAAATACTGTGGGCATTGCTTGTTACTCTCCCGCGTATTGGTTGTCTGAAATGCGTGCAAATAAAGTGTAGTACGGAGGAAGAAACGCGCGAGTGGTTTCCGAGGTGTGAGGGGTCCTTTAAATACAGGAATGCATTAAATAATTGGGCAGAAAGCGACGCAATTCAAGCGAAGGCGAAATAGAAAAAATTGGTGGCAAGAAAGAAAAGCTGCGCGGCTCGCATCAGCACAAGACTTTGCTGATGTCCCCAACTCCCCGAGCCTATTTTTTTTTGACAGCCTGAAAATTGACAGACTCAGTACTTTGGAATTAGCACGCAGAAATCGGCTACCATCTAGTCGAAGACGATCTTTGTCCCCTTGACGTTCTTTGCCTGCTCCATCAGCTCCTTCTGCCGGCGCTTGGCCTCCCACGACGGGTGCAGGTGTTCTGCAGCCTTCTCTTGGGGCTTCTCCTGGGGCTTCTCGCTCTTGGTCTCCCTGACCACTGTCGGCCCGTCATCGCCAAACACAATCTTCTTGCTCTTTGGCGCCATTGCCAGCATCTGCCGCTCACGCCGCTTTGCTTCCCATGACGGATGCATTGCCTGCTCCTTGATCGGCGCCTTCGGCTGGCGCTGTTCAGTCTGCTGCATCCGGGGCTTCTTCTCCTTCTCCAGAAGCTTGATGTGGTTCGCCTCCTTGCCGAATTTGCGCTCCGCCAGACGGCGCCGCGCACGCTGCCCCATGCGGTTCTTGGGCTGCTTGGATCCATAGATCTTGTCAAAATCCTCATCGTAATCCTTGCCATAGTCGAGCTCATCATCCTTGCTCTTCTTCGCTTTCTTCTTTCGAGGCTTGTCGGAGTCGCTGTCGTCGCTGGCCAGATCACCCAGACTGGTAACGTACACAGATGAGGACTCCTTGAGGCTCTTCGCTTTGCCTGACTCGTTCTCAAGATCGGACGTTGACTCGTACCCGTCCGAATCAAAATCAGATCCAGATATGAAACCATCCCCGGTCTCCTCATCCTGTGCGTCGCCCACAGACTCCTTCTTTGGAGCAGGGTCCTGTTCTGTGGTCTTCTTCTTTTTGATAAACCGCTCTCTGCTCGGCGGTGGCACGCCCTTCAGGATGCTCTCGAGCTCCAGCACCTGCTTGCCAATCGCCGGCCCCATCAGCTTCCCATTCAGCACCCGTTGCATCGCCTTGTCATCATTCAGTTCCACCGCCTGCTCTTCCTCATCGTTGTCCAGAGCCTCGCGCACAGCCCTGCTCTTTTTCTTCATCCGCCGCACTGCCATCCCCACCACAACATCCAAGTCCACAGCTTTGATCTGCGCCAACAGCTGCTCGGTTGCCTCCACGGAATCGCCCTTTTCGCGCGCCGTCTTTAACTGCCGCGATGTTTTTTGAACCTCCTGCCCCTGGATCTTCTTAGCCAGGCTGCGTAGCTCGCGCTTGATGTGGAATAGCTTGGTCTTGATCTTTTCGTTGCGCAGCTTGGTCAGCTCCTCGACCAGAGCCAGGTCGGGAGACTCCGTCTCCTTGTCTTTGTGCCGCTTCTCTTCCGCCTGCTTCGCCTTATGTGTCGAGGCACCCTTACCTGTGCGTGCCTCAAGCAGGGCTATCTGCCAATTTATGTTTTTGGACGACATGGATAAATTGAAGTGGTTGAAAGGGTGAAGAAAAAATACCATGACCTGGAGAAAAAGGTGGATTTTTGCAATGCACTTTTTCGACGATTACACAATTAAGGAGCGGTGCTTGTTCAAGCTCGAAAGGCTAATCACCACTGATCTCGCACACACCCAACACTACTAGCTAGCATTGCAAGGATGGTGGTGTATATCACGCCTCGATTTATTCAACCACTAGCCGTGCAACGAGGCACCAGTGCTGATCCGGGGTCTGGCCACTAAGGCGTCCATAGCTGTTTCTAGTTCCCTTTACGCATGAAGCACTCACAAAGTGCCCGTACTAATTGGCCCCTCCCTTCGCAGCAAGAGACAGCAAGTACCAACATCTTGCTTGTAGCTTTCTCGTGGCTTCAACTTTTAAGATTCCCTCTGACCTTGATCTGCTACATCCGGTGACAGCTGTGTATACAGCATCACGAGCGGATGCTTGTTTCTGATCCAGCTGCGTGTTGGATCCAGCTGGTATGCCCAAGTGCCAGGTGGTGGGCAAAGTACATGTTGACCATACAATAAAGAGCTTAATAGTGCTTGCACCAGTATCTGTGGGATATCACTGGGTAGAGAGTGAGCAACAAGCGATCGAGATATCTAGCTCAGGACATCGATTCCGGTTAGCCATTTGGTGATGCCTGGTAGCTTTATCGAGCAAGTCAATTTGTGTATTTGATAGCTTGTTCTGATTGGCATATCTCCTTGCTAGTTTTGAAATACATGGATGTCTGCAAAATACAAATCAGTATTAATTAGCGTAATCGCCAAAAGGATTGCATACACAGATCATTTAGGACCGAAATCTACAGTTCATGGTTGCGCGCTAGCACATCAGCTGCGTTCTACTATTTGTTGGCCATAAGGTCAGTAACGTTGATCAAATGGGGTTATTCTACCAGTGTTTCTGGCCAAACCAGCAGTCGATTCGCTTGCACCATATTTCCATCAGCCATGGCTCAGTCGACGCTCGAATTCAGGGTAGACACGGACTTGCTCAATCCAAGGTTTGAAGGGTACCAGCTGCGGTTGCTGGACGATGACACAGCAATCCGGTCATTTGCTCTGGGGTCTGACCCAGTACAGCCGCGACAGCTCCCAAGCAACACCCACCTCACTTATGATGAGACATCGCACCGCGTGCGTTTTAACCATCTGTTCCCAGGGCCACTGCGCGACACATTCATGTATATCGACAAGGGCGGCTGCCTCAATATGATGCATGTAGGTAGGGATGACGTGCAAGCAACGCGCATGTTTGTAATTCCTGAGCCTGAAGCGTCATCGGCCATCGGTGGATACCCGTCGGCGTTTGCGTTAAGCCAAGATCTGGTGCTTGTGTTTGACGGGTTTGAAGACGTATTCATACTGCGGCGAGCGACCGGCGACCAGCAGCAGAAATCGGAATGGCGAGCAATGGGCAGGTTCACTATTGGTCAGGGCCACGTGGTTGCGGGCAGCACAGACAGCAGGAGCGCGATGTTCCAGTACACAGTGCTGGCAGCACATCTGAAACAAAAGCCGCCACATGGCACTGTCCGCATGTTTGTCTGCCACAGGGTACCGACTCCCACGCTCACCACCAGCGCCGAGAAGCACCAGCTGCGCAGCAATTCGCGCTTCTGCATCGAGTCACATGAGGTGAAAATTCCGCCAGCGGAACATGGCGCTGAGCAACTGACCTTGCTGTCTTCCGTTTCCCACACGCTGACGAGCCACGCAATCCCGCTCTATTGTCAAGTGGTGCCTGGCACTGATAATTACTTGCTTGGCGTCAAAGGGGGCATTGTCGCCGAGGATACCGAGCTTGGCTCGGCCACCGGTACGCCTGGAGCTCTGAATGCCGAACTGGAGCTGGCCTGTGCATCGCCCTACTACTGGATGCAGGAGCCTGCTGATGTTACTGTTTGCATTCAGCTTCCAGCACCAGTAACGGCCTCCCAAATTTCCTGCTCAATGACCAGCCTAGGGCTGACCCTCGAGTTTATGCACGCACCCGAGTGCTCACACATCGGGTACACGGAGGAGCGGTTCTTTGACGAGATCGACGCCGATTCATCTGTCTGGACGCTGGAGAACGGGCAACTACTGACACTGTATCTGGAAAAATCCAAGCCGAACGTGCGTTGGGCCACTGTGTTTTCCTGGGACGACGGGGTGCCGGAGACTATGGACAGAAACGAGTTTGCACAGATTCGCGAGCGGCTGGAGAAGTACACGTCCAGTGACCTAGACAGCCGCAGCCGTTCCCACGCCCCCTTGCCAGCAGCAATCAGCTCCATGGACATGGACGATGACGATCTGGACAACGAGGACTCTGGGATCGTGTTCTCTGTACGCGACGCTGCATCGGGTGCGGACCTGGCCAGCAGCGTTGGGGCGACAACTGACTGGCTGTGCCCGTGTCTGCCCGCTGCCGTGGAGCCGGGCTGTCCTGCTGAGCTGCCGCCAGTCTGCTTGCAGTCAGATGTTGATGCGGTGATCTTTGCGTTCTCACGCTCGCCAGTGCCTGCTCCCCGCCATACATGCACATTCCCAGCCATGGCCTTTATCCAGGCAAGCAAGCGTGAAAAGAGGCTTATGTACACTGATGCAGAAATGCATCTGGCGATCCTAGCTGAGGCGCGCAGACGCATATATGTGTACCGCCGTCCAGCCAAAGATCAGGTGAACGCAGGCCAAAACATCATCGACATCGACAACGGCCAGCAGCTGTTGGGGATACAGGTTGTTGGTGATATAATAGTTGTGCTATGCGAGGACTGCGTGTGTCTGGTTGACGTCGGATGTCTCTAAATCCTTGGTTTGGTGGCATGATGCTTGCAAATCACAACACACATCTCTGCCATCAGCAAACACCCGTCCCGAAGGCAAGCGATCGCTGCTCGCTGTCCAGAGCCGCGTCGGCCTTCACCGAGTCCACTCCGCAGTAGGGTCCTTGGGCTAGTTCAGGCAGGGTGGGGATGTGGACTATGCACATTGTAGACACCTTTTTGCTGTGATAGAAGTGTTCGGAGAATTTCTCTGTTTTGGATTCTGCCACAAACAATTTCGCGCATCGGCCAGAAGAATGGCGCCTCAAAATAACAGCCAGGTTGGCCCGTGCACCCAGCTTGTCAGTAGCTCGACAGCAGAAGAACGGGGAGGCTGGCCAGCGCAGTAGTGTGTGAATCTGCCCCTTTGGTTCGCTGGTGAATAAAGAAAGGAATCCAGACCAGCGCAGTAGGTCGAGTGGGAGGAGGAATTGACTAGCTGCATTAGCCATTGAAAGCATGGCGGTCCTTTCTCTAACTCCCAGCCATTTGCATGTAGCAGGCAGCACACACGGTGTAGATGGGTGGTGGTAGTGGCTTTTTTGTACTGTGGGCCGGGGGACAGCATATTTTCGAAAGGAAGTAGTGGGCACACGGCGGCTGGGAGGCTAACGAAGTACATTTTTGCATGGAGAATTGCGCACTGGGTGTGAAAGGACACGTTTTACATTTGTCCCTTGCGGCACACAGGAATTGTGAGCGAACAAGCTTTTTGTTTCGCAATAAAGAAAATTTTCTGGCACAGGTCCCTCCTCGTCTCATGGTGCGAGCACGCCGCTTGTAAAAATTTTTCTTCGCGATTTTCTCCCAGCCGGGCAGGTCCCCTCAGCTATAAAGCGGCCTTACCGCACTGCCGCACGGGCCATTGGAAGGAGGACATTGACACAAAAAACCTTTTTCCGCCCGCTTCTTTTTATTCTTTCTCCTGTTCCGCCTCTTGCACTGTGCAACTAGCATCCATCTGCTGTATATAGCCACTTCACACATCCCACGCCTGTCTGCACTCCCTAAAAGTCATAAGACCGTGCCCTGCGTCCATAGCTCCATCAGCATAGACCAATCACCCGCGTCACATCCCAACCTGCATAGATCGAAAATGTGCAACAACAATCTCCAGACCGTTTCCAGCTGTGCCGAGCACGCGCACCAGCAGCAGCACTCCGTTGTTTCCATGCACCTTCAGCACACCAACAGCTCAGTGGTTTGCGCCATTTGTGGGTACTTGGCAGCCGACCGGGATGCGATGTGGGACCACCTTCAGGTCTGCGACGCCCTGTAAAGGAGGTACCCGAGCAAACCGACGCTGCCCTGCCCAGAGCCCGGCAATTACCCCATGCACTCTGTCCTCCACCATCCAAGCACTGCATTTTCTCTACCTCCTCTCTTTCAAAACTCTTTCAAAAAAAAAAAGGTGCTGCCAGCTTCATTTCCCGGTTGTTGTGAATAACAGTTCTCGCACCTCGTCTAATTTTTATAATTTATCTGAAAAAGTGCTCCGACTCTTGCCCAGAGTCGTCAGTGCGCCAACGCCGCACCGACCTGTCTCGCGGCTTGAACGCTCCAAGAGGCGCGAATGAGCTAAAATCGTCAGTCTGTGACGCCATCGAGCTGCGCTGCGTGGCAGCACTGCGCCGCATCGGGAACCTTCTTTCACGACTGTCCGAGGCTGCAGAGCGCTCAGACGCCATGCTGCTGCGCGACCGCGAATCAGAGCGATACGATCTACGCGGTACCCCGCGCGACAGGTAGCTGCGTCGACCCATTGACTCTGTGGAGGTGTGCCGATGGTAGGAACTATCGTCGTCCATGTAGTACTGCGGCTGCATGCTCCTGTGGTACTCGCGTGCCATCACGTAGTCTTCCAATGTGCTAGTGGCCGCGTCGCGCTTTGGCGCAAACAGGTGTGGGTACACAAACTTGAAGTTGTATTCATCGTGCACCTCGCCACTGACGATCTGCTTGTCTTTGACCAGTGTCGTGTATGCCATCACCAGATACGTGCTTTGGACTGCAATCCCAGCAGCCAGCGGCAAGATGTAGTACCAGCTTGACCAGTCGAGGAAGGTCAGCACCAGAAGCTGCAGTGGCGATGCCCAGCAGAACATGTTGCGCGAAAAGGTTGTTGGTGTCCACATTGACATCTCCCAGATCTCGCCAAAGACGGTGTCATCGATGCCCATGATCTTCTTCCATATGTACCAGACTGGCCGGCCCCACAGCTTCAGTGCCCAGGCCGGCCGCTCGGTTCCCATGGTCATCCGTCTGCAACTGCTGGTCAGATTCCTTGCGCTCAAGTCTTTCATAAGCAGCTGGTACGTGCGCCTTGTAGTAAACAGCCGCCACGCATTTGCCATGCTGACACCAAATAGCATTAACTGAAGCAGCACCAGTATGCCATACCATGTTCTGTCCGACTCTGAGGCCACCGGTGCATCATCCCAGTAGTCCTTGCTGCCGCTTCTGATCGTGGTGCGGTATCGGTCTGTCGTATCTATCAGCACCTCGTGCTCAACTGTGTACCCAAAGTACTGCCGCATCGACCCCACTGCTATGTACATGCAGTTGAACGCTATAGCACACGGCCAGCTCGTGGTCTCCTGAGACCTTGTCCCAGTCGATGATCTCGTAGTCCTCGGCCAGGTGCAGCAGCCAGTCCCTGGGGCCCTCCTTGAGCCGCTCCCACAGGCTCACTTTCTTTTTCCGAATGTTGGCCATTGCGAAAGGCCGAAAATTGGGTCTGGTCTATGCAAATGAGTGAAATGAGCCGAGGTTAAGCTGAGAAATAGCACAGCGCAGTAGAGACAAACGCGCATGGCGCGCCTGAGCCTTTGTTTGTTGATTTTTGATTGCGCCAGCATCGCAGGCCGATCACCGTTTCCGAGTCGCCTGATCACCGCGGGACAGCCCGGCGCATATGCCAGCCCAGGCCTGGTTCCCAGCAGCTGGCACATGTGCGGACATGAGCAGACATGAGCAGGCTTTGCCGCCGCTCCCCTCCTTGCCAGGTAGAAAGGCGGCGCCTCTTCTTTCGAGGCTTTAAAAGGCGAGGGGCTCGTGGCTAGAACCTAATCCGCACACGTTCACAGCCTCGCTATATTTCTCCGCACCAATTGGGACATCTGCCTTCATTATCGGCTCCTTCTGCCCACCTGCTCTCATATATTCCGGACAATACGGTTGTCGTTTGCACCAGTGGCGTGCTATTGGCACCTGCTTGAAGTTGGTTGCTGACTGTTTACACAGCTTGTTTCCCATCTCAGACAAACAAGCTGCCATTTTTCCTTACCTCTCGCCTCATATTCTCGCATTTTCAGACCCTGCGCCTTATCTCAACCCCCCGCTCACAGGCAACGATGGTAGCTACCTATGTTGCTTCGTTTCTTCACCTGCTGTTCTCGTACACGCTGCTACGGATAGTCCCGGTGCAGCATCTGTTCCTGTTTGATCTAGTCGCATTTCCAGTATCACTGTTCCTCCTGTCGCGCGACATTGTTGTTGACTGGTACCTCCCCACTACTGCTGCCAAGGCACATCACACTCCTGGGTCCCGACCCGCATCGATAGCAGCTACTTCAGCCTGCTACTGAAAAGAGCAGCTCAGCGACCTCGGCGGTCCAGGGATGTAGGCAAGTCAGATGCCGCACCACGTCGTCGACTGTCAGACAAAGCCCTCTCAGAGAACGCCAAAAAGAGCAAGGCTGCAGAAGCTGGCGAGGCCGAGTCGATGGCGGCAAGCGACAGCGGGTGTGGCAAGAACTCTGTCCACCTCCACGCGGACAAGGGGCTATCGTTTGGCAAGATCTTTTTGCTGGTTCTGAACCTGGTTTCATTTGCGATGGTACTGGACTTTGTCTACCGGCCCGTGCTGTATCCTGGCGATGAGCTGGTCGTGTTCCGGCCTGGCTACGTGTCACATAGATCCGCAAAGCTCCACATTCGATTCCCTGAACCAGACCGACAGCTCGAGGTCCGCTATAAAGAGCTATCCGGCGGGGACAAGGTGGAGTTTGCAGCCAATACGCCATGGGAAACCCACACCATCCACCAGGCGCTGACGAACGAGACCGATTATACAGCGACACTGCTGATCTCGAATCTGAGCCCGTCAACAAAGTACCTGGTCGAGCTGCTTAGCAATTCCAGGGACAAAGGCGCTATTCCGCTTGAAACTGCACGGCACGATGCAGATTAAGACGGCGCCGGCTCCAGGGACGCCAATGAAGTACCGGTTTGCCACTGGATCCTGCATCAAGCCCAATTTCCCCTACACTCCGACAACATCGCCTGATGTGTTTGGCTTTGCCAATATGCTGGAGCACAGCGACGGCCTCGACATGGTCATGTTCCTCGGCGACTTCATTTACTCCGACCTTCCCTTCTACTTTGGACCTGAGCCCGAGGACTACCGAAGGCTGTACCGGCAGGTGTACATGACCAAATCAGCACAGCGCTTGCTGAACAAGGTTCCCATGCTTCACGTCTACGATGACCATGAAATTGTCAACAACTGGCATGAGCAGGACAAGCCACCCATGGGCGCAGCAATGCGTGCCTACCACGAGTATAATGGCAACCCGAATCCGGATCCGGTCGAGGCGCACCATGCGTATTACAACTTCACTGTCGGTAACATTGCCTTCTATGCCTGGGACACGCGCCGGTACCGCACGGACTGGGAGACCAAGGACGACCACGACAAGACAATGCTGGGCAGCTGCGCAGAAACAGCATTTCATGCAGTGGCTGCATGACGTGAATCACACGGCAGCCGTTAAATTTGTCGTCTCCTCGGTCCCCGTGACCGCTGGGTGGACCAACATCGACTCGGACCACGATACCTGGCGCGGATACATGACGGAGCGGGCTGAAATCCTCAATGTGACTCAATACGTGCCCAATCTGTATTATCTGTCAGGCGACAGACATGAGATGGCTGCTGTTGTGCTGCCCTCGGGCAATGTCGAGTTCTCGACGTCGCCTGTGAGCCAGTTCACGTTCCCACTCATCGGCGAATTCAAGGATGGCGAGTTTGGCGAGCAAACCCTGCATTATCGGAGGGCTGGGCATGTGAAGTTTGGTATTCTCGATGTTGACACGGAGACTAACCCCGATGCCCCCCGCGTTACATACAGCCTCTACACTGCCGACGAGCATGGTGCCAAGCGCCCGGCGTGGACGTACGAGAGCAACGGCGTGCCATGGCGCTAAAAATATTTTTTACTTTCGGACACATCTTTCTATTTTCCGTATAAACTATCATGATTACAAGAACGGGTGTCGGAAAGACGAGAAGAACTCAGAAAATCGGTAAAGAAGTGAAGTAGCGAAACGAAGAAAAGACAGAATAAAAAACGGGACTATAAACGACAGAGTAGAAGAGAGGATAGCAAGAGCGCACATAGGGTGTGCGTTCTCAGATGTTGGTAGACAGGTAGTTGCTAGGCGCAATCCCGACAGTGCCGTCGGCCTTCTGCACCTGCCACCACTTTCCGTTGCTGTCAACAATAGCCATGACCTCGTCCTTTGCAAACGACACCTCGTTCGGGTCGTCCGGATTGGCGTTGTACGCATACAGTGCCTTGGCACGGAACAGGCTGGCTGCCTGGCTGGTGCCGCTCTGCACCGAGTCCGACATGTACGGGTCGCCAAGGGTGCCGACAGCCGACGATGAGTTGTCGTAAGTGTGTGGTCGGCGTTGCAGTCACCTTGCGCATGCCCATCTTCATCACCTGCTCGTGTCGCGTCTCAACCGCGTCCATGCCCATGCCGCACAGGTCGGCCAGGTATGTTCCTGGGCCACTGCCCAGTGCTATGACCCACACAAAGAGCATGATTTGCACAAAGATGAGGCCGCCCGAAATGGCCTGCACTGCGCCTACCTCCGAGTTGATGTAGTAGCCGATGTTGCCGATTACTTGCGACATGGTCATTGCAATCATTGTCAGCAGCGCCAGGCGATATTTGTTCAGCCCGTTGGCCATGATGCACCATATTAAGACGCCTGCAAACAGCGGGATGTACACAAGAATGAACCAGGTGCTGCCGGCTACGTATGCGGGCTTTTGGAACGCGCACGCAGTTGAGACTATCCATCCGCCGAGCATAAATATCATCGTCGCCATGAACACGGGGTTCGAGTACAGCCGACGTGGTTCCATCGCCATCTTGTTTTTGGAAATAAAGCGCTGTGTCAAACAGCTCGATAAACAGAATATGAGAGAAAGGAGTATGTGGACTACTGCTGCGATAAAGCCAGTACACACGAATAAGGGAAGCGAGCTCCGAGCACCCCTTTTAAAACACAATAGGGAAAATAGGGAAGGTGGTAAGGGATATATGTGGAGGAGAAAAGGGTAGATAATAAAAAGTGGAACAATAGACCTTGCCAGGCGCTCGTTGGTGGCGGGTATATAGGAGTGGAAAATAAATGAAGGCGAGAAAAAGAGAAGCTGTCAAAGCCGCGAAAAATAGGAATGCACCAAGCGCAGAGATTGCTGAAAAGAACGAGAGGCGATGCGCGTGAAGGGACCAGGCTGGTTTGGTGGGTGGGGGAAAGGGTGTGTTTTTGCCGACTGGGATGAAGGAGCAGGCAGCAGCTAGCATCAAAAGCTGCTGTGAGAGCAATAAGCGAAAAAGGGAGGTGGAAAACAAACCGGTTTTGCCTTGAGGATGCAAATATCGGACAAGTCGTCGTGGGCAGCAATCAAAAAAGAAAAGCTTGGCTAGCAGGTTGGGTTAAAAATAGGTAGGAGAACCTCGTCTGCTGTGTATAGGCGCGTATTATGAAATTGACAGGCGATATCCGAGGATCCTGCTCGGTATCGATATCGAGATTGTCTTTTGTGCACGTAGCAGAGGGGCGGTATGCCACACGTAGGGGGGAGGGAGCGTGGGGGAGAGGGAGCAAGGGATGGGGGAGACGTACACGATAGGAGAGGGGAATAGAGGCAAGGGGTTGGAGCAGAGATGAAAAACGCACTGGCTGCTTTGGACGAACCCAGACCGAGACAGAGTTCATGGTCAGTCCGGCACTGTGAAGGAGTTGCGAATGAAAAATAGCGCTGATCGACGCGTTTCTAACTGCTGTCTCAAAATGGACGGCGGGACAGGCTGTGCCGAGTGGAAGGGCATGGGCGCACCAAGGGTTGCAGGGATTCGTTCAGTAAAGCCCGTCCCATGTCCCGTTTGCACGCACTCGCCTGCTCCCCCAAAAGAGGAGAGCGCAGCTTCTGGAACCGATCTGGTTCTGCTTCTCTCGGCGGTACCGAAATGCCACAGATTTTGCGCCGACGGTCCTGCCTGGGGACCATTGGGAGCTGCGCCCAGAGAGCAAACGCCCAGGAGTTGGGGCTGTCTGGTGCAGGCCATCGATCCTGGCACAGGGACGCCTATCAACGCCAGGCAATGCACATGGACATGTGGGCGGCACGGCGTGCAGGCACCCAGTGAGAAAATGCGGGCGCAGTGAGAACGGGGCAGCCCACGCTGTCCCTGTTTTCCCTCGCTTGGTGCAAAGGACAAAGGCGGGCAGCAGGAGATCGGCTCGGTCCGCTGATTTGCTGATGGGGATTTCTGATCCTGGTAATCGGCCAGCTGATTGTGATTCTTTTTTCGAGGTTCGCATCGGCTGGAACGCCTGGGTGTTATCCCCCAGGCGGCGCCTGCTCCCAACGGAAAACCTCCTTTTTACGCTTGTCAACTTTCAGAAGACAAAAACAATTTCAAAATGGCCGTCGGCAAGAATAAGTACGCGGATATACATTTATCGGGCGGATCGCATCCATCGCGGAATCTATTGCACGGATCGCATCGGACGCTAAAATCGTGGCCACACCACCATCCACCATCCGTTTAAAAATTTTCTGTAGGCGTCTGTCCAAGGGAAAGAAGGGCCTGAAGAAGAAGATGTAAGTAAATGCGACATTTGCTGAATGTTGCGCGAGGACGAATCTCGCGGACAGCGGAGGACAGCACCCGGCGTCGGCGGTCCTGGTCCTGGTGTCGGCAGGCGTGAATGCGCTGCGTTTGGCCAGAATGACATGGCACAAAAGGCTGACGCCGCGCAAATGGGAGGCTGTCCGGCTGACTGGAGACCAGGACTGGACAGGCCGATCAGCCGGTGGTCTACAAGTGAGGGGCTGCTCATTCAACGAAATGGTTCCGACGATTTACCAAAACACCCCTCTTTCGTTTCCTTGTTGCCCACTGTAGCATCGATCCCTTCAGCCGCAAGGAGTGGTACGACCTCCGCGCCCCTACCGTGTTCGAGACCCGCGTTGTCGGTAAGACTCTGGTCAACCGCACCCAGGGTACCAAGAACGCTGTGGACTACCTCAAGGGCCGTGTCGTTGAGGCTTCGCTCGGCGATCTGAACAAGGACGAGGAGCAGGCTTACCGCAAGTTCAAGCTGCGCGTCGATGAGGTCCACGGCAAGAACTGCCTGACCAGCTTCCACAGCATGAGCATCACCACCGACAAGCTGCGCTCGCTCGTCAAGAAGTGGCAGTCGCTCATTGAGGCTCACGTCGATGTCAAGACCACCGACGGTTACCTCGTGCGTCTGTTCGCCATTGGCTTCACCAAGCGCCGTGCGAACCAGGTTCAAGAAGACCACCTACGCCCAGACCGCCCAGATCCGTGCCATCCGCAAGAAGATGTTCGAGATCATGACCAAGGAGGCTACCTCGGGCTCGATGAAGGAGCTGGTCCAGAAGTTCATCCCCGAGTCGATCGGTCGCGAGATCGAGAAGGCTTGCCAGAACATCTACCCTCTCCAGAACGTGTACGTCAGCAAGTGCAAGGTCGTCAAGTTCCCGCGCACTGACGTCCAGAAGCTCATCGAGAGCCACGGCAACCTCGATGACGCTGGCAGCAAGGTCAAGAGCGAGTTCAAGGAGCCCGAGGTCCAGGCTGAGGTCTAAATCTCTCTCCCGCCCCGCAATTTACTATAGTGTTCTCTCATTTTTTGTGTTGAGCATTGCACCTCCAATGTCTCTGTCTCAATTGCAGGCGTTGTGTCCAAATAACAAAAAATAGTCCGGCCATTCCAAGTATGCTGAATGTGCATCTCCCTCATTGTAGCTATATCACATGCCATTTGGCCACACATTGCACATGCACACCCGGCCGGCCGCTGGTGGCAGGGTGGAGGCGCAAAGGCTGCAGAGCGGTACCAGACTCCCGACTCCGCTGCTGGCCGGCTGCAAAACGACCGCAGACCTTGCTGAAAGAATCCTCGGCCCATACGGTTGCTGTGTGGGCAGCAGGGGTGCGGCGACACATACCTTGGTGCACTCGGACACAGATAGACCTGGTCCTCGGGCCAGCGGAGGTTAGGGCAAGGCCCGTGGGGCGCTCGGCTCTCCGGGTGTGCAATGCCTGCTGCAAATCCTGGTCCCCCTTGAACAGGGCGCGACCTGTGCACACCGCTGGGCGAGGAATGGCACATGCGTGGGCGCGTCCCTCCTCCCCTCGGAAGATCGCGCCTCCACCGCCCCCGGTCCTGTGCACAGGGGCAGAGGTGTGCCGTGCGCTCAGCTGCAGCGCGCTGTCGCAGCGGGAAAGGAGCCTCGAGACAAGGGCAGCCGGGAAACCCATTTAAATAAGCAGCTGGCCCTTGCCTTCTTCCCATCTTTTTCCACTGTCCTTTATCTCCCGAAGCTGAAAGGTGCTATTTCGTTCTATCGTTTCTTTTCTTTTTGTAACACTACTCACACGAAAAACCTTCTATCTACACTATGTCGCTCGTTCAACTGTCGCCGCGTGTCGAGGAGCTCAGGAGCCGCCTGGCCAAGTTCGTTGAGGAGGAAGTGCATTCCGGCCGAGCACGAAGCCGAGCAGGCGCTGGGCCAGGGCGCGCAGCGCTGGAACACAGTCCCGCCCGTCATCGAGCGGCTGAAGAAGCGCGCACGCGAGCTCGGCCTGTGGAACCTGTTTCTGACCAAGGAATACAAGGAGGGACCGGGGCTGACCAACTACGAGTACGCAGTCCTGTGCGAGATCATGGGCCGCAGCCCGAACATTCGCGCCGGTCGCGACCAACTGCGCGGCGCCCGATACCGGCAACATGGAGGTGTTTGCCAAGTATGGCAACGCGGAGCAGAAGAAGCGCTGGCTGGAGCCGCTGATGAACGGCGAGATCCGCTCGGCCTTTGCCATGACCGAGCCCGCCGTGGCCTCGTCGGATGCCACCAACATTGCGACGTCGATCAAGCAGGACGGCGACCACTATGTCGTCAACGGCCACAAGTGGTGGATCTCGGGTGCCGGCCACCCCCAGTGTGCCGTGTTCATCGTCATGGGCAAGAGCGACACGAGCGCACGCAAGCACGAGCAGCAGTCGATTATCGTTGTGCCCGCCGACACCCCGGGCGTCACGGTGGTGCGGCCGCTGACGGTGTTTGGGTATGACGATGCGCCGCACGGCCACTGCGAGGTGCGCTTCGACAACGTGCGTGTGCCCAAGGAGAACCTGATCCTCGGCGAGGGCCGCGGCTTCGAGGTGATCCAGGGCCGCCTCGGCCCCGGCCGCATCCACCACTGCATGCGCTCGCTGGGTATGGCCGAGCGTCGCGCTCGAGCTGATGGTCCAGCGGGTGCAGAGCCGCACCACCTTTGGCCGCAAGATCGTCGAGCACGGCGTTGTCCTGGACTACATTGCCAAGTCGCGCATGGAGCTCGAGGCGTCGCGCATGCTGGTGCTGCGTGCTGCCGACATGATCGACAAGGTCGGCGCAAAGAACGCGAAGAAGGAAATTGCAATGGCCAAGGTCACTGTGCCCAACGTTGTCCTGGCAATCCTGGACCGCGCCATCCAGATGTACGGTGCCGGCGGTGTCGGCCAGGACACTCCGCTGGCCAGCATGTGGGCTGGGATGCGCACGCTGCGCATTGCCGATGGCCCCGACGAGGTCCACATCCGCCAGATCGCGCTGCTCGAGATCCAGGAGCAAAACGCGAAGCAGTCGGCCAAGCTGTAGACTCTTTCTTTTTTGAACCTTGTTTCAAATGAGATTGCCCCGTTATTGTCGCACTCGCCATATCCGGAAATGACGGGCCCGCAAAACTACCAGCGATACTTTGATCTTTGCAGTAAAAGACTACAAGGCGTGCCGCGGACCGCGGAGCTTAGCCAGCAGGCTCAGCGGAGCAGCCAGTCCGGTTGGCCGTCCCGTGATGGGCCGATTGCAGGCATGGGCAAGAACTCCTCAGACATAAGCCTGACAGCTTGCATTGGCACAAAGCGGGGCAAAGGAAGCGTTCGAAAGGCATTAACGGCTGCATACCTTAATTATCGTGTCGATCGTCATTCCGTGTCGACGCAAACATAACAAATCCTTGAACTGCCAGGCAGCTTTTTGGGGGGATACGGAATCCAGCACTGCACTGGGCAGAACAGCGTCGTCTCGGCGGGTGTCCCTGGCGACAGCAGCGGCTCTGCCTCGCTTTGCCAATGTTTGGAGACCAATGATCCCGCCAGTGTGCGGGCGGGGTGCAAATAGCGAGTGCGATGCATGAGCCTGGAACGAAAAACAGTAGTCGCCCAGCTTGGGCTCGTCATTCCAAGTTCCAGCAAATCCTCGCCAACGGAGCACAGCATTGTGCCATGGCCTGGAGGAGCACGCTCTTGAAACCTGCTGGCTTCTGAACGATGAGCTGCAAAAATAAAAAAGGGGGCTTAGTGAAAAAGGCGAGAAACGCCCGCAAAACAGGGCGCGCCACTCATCGGTCCTTCTCTGCTCTGCTCCTTGCAATTTTTTACTTTATTTTCTGGCGACTCGCCTTATCCTTCTTGTTTTTATATCTACACCAGCAGCGCTCTTGGTATTTCGTTTGTGCTTTGCAAAAAGGACGGGAACACAGAAAAGCCGCTTATATCATTTGCGAACGTGCGTACACCAGGCTGGAAAAATGTGGCAGTGGGCAGAGAGCAAGGGCGTGCTTGGAAAATATATGGAACCTGCCGCCTTGCCCTCCCTTGTTTACTTTTTTCTTTTTCCTCGTAACAAATTTACCCTCTTCGTGGATACTGATTTTCCGTTTACTATTTGCCAATTTAGATGGGTGACATTACCGACAGAATACTTGTGGCGAAGCGCGAGGCCGAGCAGCTCAAGGAGCGCATTCGGCTGACAAAGGAGAAGCTCGCTGACACCTCACGTACAGTATCCACAGTTCACAAAAGTTAATCATGGTGCAGCGCTCTTTTTTCAAGAGGGAAAGAAAAGCAGTCGAAAACGGGGACCACCTGGCCGCCTAGTCCCAATGAGGTAGTTCGGCTAAACGTTTTTTTTTATTACATTTGCTATAGTGCGAAATGCGGCAGCCTCGGTCGACCCTCTGCCCCGAATTGCAATGAAGGTGCGGCGGACGCTGAAGGGGCACCTGGCCAAGATCTATGCGATGCACTGGGCAGCGGACGAGCGGCACCTCGTGTCGGCGTCGCAGGACGGCAAGCTGATCGTGTGGGACGCGTTTAGCACAAACAAGATCCATGCGATCCCGCTGCGGTCCTCGTGGGTGATGACGTGCGCGTACGCACCCTCGGGTAACTTTGTAGCGTGCGGCGGCCTGGACAACCTGTGCTCGATCTACAACCTGAAGACACGCGAGGGGTCGGTCAAGGTTGCGCGCGAGCTGTCAGCCCACACCGGCTACCTGTCGTGCTGCCGGTTCATTTCTGACCGGCAGATCCTGACATCATCGGGCGACATGTCGTGCATGCTGTGGGACATCGACGCCGGCGTCAAGATCATGGAGTTCAACGACCACACCGGCGACGTCATGTCGCTGTCGCTGGCTCCCAGCAAGAACATCTTTGTCTCGGGTGCCTGCGATGCCACCGCCAAGGTGTGGGATATCAGGTCGGGTCGCTGTGTGCAGACCTTCACGGGCCACGAGAGCGACATCAATGCCGTGCAGTTCTTCCCGAACGGCAATGCCTTCGGTACCGGGCTCCGACGATGCCTCGTGCAGGCTGTTTGATCTGCGCGCGGACCGTGAACTCAACCAGTACACGCACGACAACATTCTGTGCGGCATCACATCCGTGGCCTTCTCGGCATCCGGCCGCCTGCTGTTTGCTGGCTATGACGACTTCAACTGCAATGTGTGGGATGTGCTCAAGGGCGACAAGGTGACGACGCTGTCGGGCCACGATAACCGTGTCAGCTGCCTCGGCGTCTCGAGTGACGGCATGGCCCTGGCGACTGGTTCGTGGGACAGCCTGCTGAAGGTGTGGGCTTGACAAAATTTCACATTCCTGCCTCATCCTTTTTCTTCCTTTCTACTCAACTTCTCATTCCTTGATAATTCCCTTTCAACATTTTTACCCTTTCTTTTTCCTCTCCTGACATTCTCCCGACTACTTTACCTTTTTCTTCTTCAACCTAACAGAGATTTAGTATCCTGAATATGTCTATTTGACTCACACGACCGCTTCCTACGCTGTGTATCAGACGCAAGAAAAAGAAATTGTGTTGAAGCGAAGCGGGTGGCCCCTCGACATACTCGCCGATTGGTGGTCAAGGTGCCTTTTGCCTGGCTATCGATTGTGAAGCTCGAGTGAATGATGATCTCCGAGAACAAATGTGGTTCTCAAATCAGCCGTGAGATTGTAAGCGCACTGAACTTCAAATAAATTAGAAATCACTTGAACAATCGTACATTCAGGAGTCGTATAGAGAAAACTACAATCCTTTGGTGTACGTATGCCAGGTGCGCCACTATTTATTCTTGAAGCCTTTGACATGGCGCAGGCATTACCTTTTCGGTCACTGCAAATCTAGCGTAAATGCTGATATCGCCATAGGAAAATGCTGCTGTATGAAAAAGAAGCCAGGTACGTATCAGTAGACGCCTCACACTCGTCCAGATATCAGAAACTAGCATACCCGTGCATTTCGGACCAAATCCTGAGTAAGAAGAAGTGGGAATCATCGTCAACTCTGATTCTATACATCATAGGGCACCAGATCCGGGAGGCAGTCAACGAACCTGTTGGCAAGATCCCCTGTGCCAAAATCAAACCAACAGTAAGAAAACTGTTTCCAGAAGGTTCCAAACGGACCATTCCTGAACTTTCATGGGTACTTTTCTTTCGGGCCATGATCTCTATGGAGCGAGATTCCAGGAACTAGGCTAGCACGAGCTCATTGAAAGGGACATTTGCATATAGATTGGATTGCAGCTGGAGTAGCAAGCGAGGTTTGATGTACCAGGCTATTTCGTTCAAAAGCTAATCGTGAAGATTCAGCCCAATAGTTTATCGCGAAGCTAGTCTGATTGGTGAAATTTCCTAGGCCGGTTGCATATGTCGCTTCTACTGGTGATCGGAGGGATTGGAAGCAGTGTGTGCTGATTGTTGGCACCAAATCCCCGCTCCAATGTAAAGATAGGTGGGTGAATCTAAGGCGTCCTGTGCGCTTGATTAGTGGGATTGTGAATACTACAAATACATTGCCTGAATCTCTTGGAATCAGATCTGCCTGGCGTTGCCATGGCAAGAACCTGTAGTTGGTATCGGTTGCTGCACATGCCCACTAATTGAATCTCCAGCAATACTATTTGCCTTTTCAGGATGCCGCGGAACAACAACAGGTGTATCCTTCATTTTTAGGATAGCCAAGATATGCCAAGCGAGGTGTTAGGGATGTCTTGGCGGGTATCATCCTATTCTTAGTCGGACAGAAAGGAAGGGATCTCCTCAATCTCTAAAAGAAGAGATTCACAAAACCTGTTTACCCATGCATCTAGCTGGCGGTCAACAGGATATAGGCCTTGGGATGAGGTGTGGGATTTGTTTTCTTGGAAGCAGTTTTCCACAAAGCAGCTACAAATCTTTCTATCAGAAGCCAGTTGCCACGACAATGCAGGTTTTCAATATGCCGAAGCGCAGGAAGCAATACCACGCTACCGGGTATAAAAGGTCGAAGCAGAACCGCACTGTCCAAAACCTCACCACCAACAACATCAGCAACCACATCAGCAACCACATCAGCAACCACATCAGCACCACATCAGCAACCACCTCACAAACCCACTCTACTCCAAGACAATCAACCATGAAGTTTACTGCCACCGCTCTCGGCCTCCTCGCCACCATCGCCACGACCAACGCCGCCATGTCCGCCTGCTCCAAGAAGATCGCTCTGGGTCTGACCAACATCTACGAGAACGGCGACACCGCCTTCCACTACGACTACTGCGAGAACATCCACGATGGCCGTGGGTTTCACTGCCGGTATCGCTGGCTTCTGCACCTGGCACCTCGGACGCCTGGGTCGTCCTGCAGGAGTATCACAAGATGACTGGCGGTAAGGACGAGTTCAGCAAGTACGATGCTGTCATGAAGAAGCTGGACAAGTCGGGCAGCGGCTCGACCAGCGGCCTGGACGGCTACTGCTCGGTGTGGGGCAAGCTGGGCAAGTCGGACGCAAAGTTCCGCGCCGCGCAGGACAAGGTGCGCGACGAGATGTACTTTGACCCGTCGCAGAAGCTCGCTGATACTCTTGGTGCCCAGCTCGACGTAACCCGCGCCCAGCTGTACGATACAACAATCCAGCACGGCGATGGCTCGGATCCCGACTCGGTTGGTGCACTGATCAAGAAGACCAGCGTGTCGATTCAAGGCCGATGCCAAGGGCTCGTCGGGCAGCACGCTCAAGATCAACGGCCACAATGTCGACGAGATCGTCTGGCTGACCAAGTTCCTGCAGGTGCGGCGCGGATGACCTGAAGAACCCGCACAACAAGGAGACGCAGAAGGAGTGGTCGGAGAGTGTCACTCGTGTCAAGTCGTACCAGTACGTGGTCGCCCAGAAGCAGTACAAGTGGAGCAACTCGATCAAGGCTCTGGACAACGATGGCAAGGCTACCACTGTCAAGTGCTAGATATGAAAGCACTCAATGTATTCCAAATACATACTTGCATCTATTTCCATGCATAGCAATACCCTTTGTGTCTATCAGATCTCCAAATGTGTCGAGCTAGGGCCAAGTGGCAGGCAATGGCCTCAATTGAAGGGGGCTTATCGAAGCAATCATCTTTGCTTTCACCATCATGCTGTTCGTCGCATGCTTCATTTTCATTTTTCGCTTGTCATAGAATCCGCTGCTCAGCTGTCGCCTGTGAGCGTGTTGAAACACATTACTTATTACCTTACGCCCGAAAAGTCTACTTATGTTGGCTGGCATTATCATAGCCCAGTATACGGGGCTATCAAGCAGATGACGCGTCTGTCGTTCATGGCGACAGGTATCTCTCAGCTATGGGTTTCAATATGTACACACAGGCGCCAAAGCCCAACCGCCACTTGGACTAGCCCATGCGCTTGATATCACTGACATGGTCAAGGGGATCACGAGGGAATTTCAAGCTGCATATATATTAGACGGTCCGGCGCTCGTCCACCTAAAGCGGTGCATACCGGTGGATGCTACTTTCCCGCATATTACGCACCTTTCCTTTGCGTTTACAGGAGAGTGTCGGATGCCAAAACAGAAATATCCAGTTGCTGTCAATGTGCGTATTCACTAAGGAGATGTTGTGTGTGTTTCCGGCAGTGTATTTTCTATTAACCTGAGGCCCGTCAAAGGAACTTCGGGTAAGGTGCTCTCTTGTCATGTGCATGATCTCCTAGAGTGCCTATTGACAAGAAGAAGCGCTATCGCAACTGACAGATACTTCTTGAATGCACTTTACCGCTTCCTCCCAATACAGCCCCCACAAACCCTTGGTAACCGATGCAAATGTTAAGGACAAATAATGTTTGTTGTTTTATCCGTGGAAGCTCTCGTCACTACAGATGCTACGCCTAAGGCTGGCTACATCCCACCAGTTCAGGCATGTCGTTTTCCACAGCAATGGCACAACTGCCGCGGATCCAAAGATTTCCTAAGATTCCTGGACATGCATCTTACCAACAATGCTATCGATGGTTTTAGCCGGTTCGATTTTCTGGATGAGGGACGGTTTAAGACGCTGTACTACCTGAAAACACGCAATCTATTTACTATGGCCGACAAGATCACCAAAGATCGTATTTCTCATATACTCCGTGCTTTTCACTGGACACCAGTGACCGAGCTCAGGAATGGGTTTGATCTCGACTATGCCATGCTTCAGCAGCACCATACGTGCCTTGAGCATCCCCTGGATTGAAATTCACATATAAGGGGATCATTCAACTGATTGCGTCTCTGCCATTCACTCGAGAGCTTGCAGTGGCTTGCCGCAACAGTGCTGTCCTGGATGACGCGACAGATTTACCAGACTTGGCCCTGCCTTAACCACAAATGGTCCTGAGCAATAAGGTTATCTTGAATATCATTGATCATGTTTGCCAGGCCATGGCCGGAACTGGCAGCACAACTGTGCTGGATACTCCTCCCTCTCAAACACTACAACGGATAGCCACCCACCTGGACCAGAAAGCGGGATATGTTCAGACTGCAAGAATGCTGGTCACCCTGGCACTAAGGTGCCCAACAGTCCGCACCTTTTGTTCTTGTTTCAGGAATTTGATCCTACCCTGCTCGGATCTCATGAGAAGCAAGCATTTCGCCAAGCTTGCTACTCGTTTGAGCACTGACAGCAACTAGGCTTTTGGAGTTGTTTCTCTTTTCCTCACCAATACACTGGTTCCCGGATATTCGACAATGAGCTGGTGGTCTATTATTGTATCCTTCAGACGCTATGTCGCCAACTGCGTATAGAGGCTGGTGACATTCGGGGCCCAGAGTTCCCCCTGTGCCATCATGGGCAACACCGAAACGTACATGTGTAATGGTCCCAGAAAGACAACCTGGTTTTCGTTCTTCCCCTTAGTCATGTTTCTGAGAAGTTATGTTTCCCTATATATCCTGGTCATGATACAGCAACAGTTCACATTCAACGCCGATATATTGGAGGCATTGATTATTCAATCATCAGATCTATGTCCGGATCAAGTTTTTTTGCTGGCTGAACATTTTTCTCTAAAGCTTCAGAGCAGATCAACAACTCTTTCCGTAAACTCTAGCTCTTCCAAAAACTTTTTATTTACACCACAATTTCAACAAAAAAGCACCAAATGGCACCAGCAGGCAAGCGTAAGGCGCCGTCGTTCAAGGTGGCAGACAAGCGGGAAGCCAAGAAGGCGGCCAAACACGAAGAGTCCGATGAGGATCGGTTCGCTATGAGTTCGGACGAAAGCTCGGAATCTTCGGCAGAGTCTGGGCAGGAGGAAGAGGAGGAAGAGCATGAGGACATGTCGGCAGAGCGCGCGAGCAAACAAGAGACGCATCCCAGCAAGGACAAGGTTTCGAAGGTGACAGGAGCGGAGGTACTGGCGCTGAACGAAGCGATCATTGCTGTTCAAGACGAACCTGTTCAAGCTGCAGATCGAGGAGCTGTTGCAGGAGAGCCGGGTGCAGGCGAGCAGCAAGGCGACGCGGGGACTGGACGCAGCGCTGCGGCAGTTGCGTGACGTAGTGGTAGGGCTGGATTCGGTTCCGGAGCAGTCGGTGGATGCGGCAGTGAACTACGTGTATAACCAGAGCAAGCGGGTGATGGCAGATGGGCGCGGCATCGACGTGCCGTTCCCGGACCCGGCGCCGCCTGTGGGCATGGCGATGAAGCTTGGGTTTGCGGCTCCGCAGGCAGTCCATGTGGTGGGCAGCTATGGGCTGGGTATGGCAGCGCGCACGCACCGAGGGATTCAATGTCGATGTGGCGGTGCAGATGCCGAGCGAGCTTTTGCAGGAGCGCGATTATGTGAACATGCGGTACGTGTACAAGCGGGCATTCTACGTGGCGGTGCTGTTGATCGGGATCAGGCAGTCGGCGCTGGGCGAGCTGTTTGAGGTGGGGCTGGGGCGGCTGCACGGCGATGTGCGGCAGCCGGTGGTGGAGCTGCGGGCGAAGGCCGGAGTGAAGCAGATGGGGAAGCTGGGGTGCGTGATCCGCGTGATCCCGACGTTTGGGCACGATGCGATGGCGCTGAAGAGACTGACGCCAGAGCGCAATCCACGTGCGGCCCGGCTTCTTGACAGGCACACCGGACGCAGCGGACGCCTCGCTGCCGGCAACGCCGCAGTATAACGCAGTGGTGCTGGGAGATGCGCTGCTGGTGACGCACATGAAGTACCTGCATGAGACGACTCAAGATGTGCCCGGAGTTTGTGCAGGCGGCTCAGCTGCTGCGGGTGTGGGATCAGCCAGCGCAACGGCGTGGGACGCACGGTGGGAAATGTGCCGGTGTGCGGAAGCGAGCGCGTCAGCGGGTTTGTGCTGACGATGCTGCTGGCGATATCTGGTGCGTGGCGTGCAGTCGGGCGGGCGCGCGGGGCCGAAGCTGGCGGGTACGATGAGCGGATACCAGCTGTTCAAGGGCACCATCGAGTTCCTTGCTGGGTCATGACTTCAGCGAAACGCCAGTACAGTTCGGTACAGACGCTGATCTGAGCGTGTTTGCGGAGCACTACAGCGGAGTATTTGTAGATCCGACATCGTCATTGAACCTTGCTGGCGGGGGTGCAAGCATGGGAGCTGGCAGAGCTGCGGCTGGCAGCGCAGCGGACCGCATATGATCTGAACAGCAATGGGGCAGACCGGTTCGCGGCAGTGTTCCTGAGCGCAGCATCCTGTGACTTGGCGGGCAAGTACGACCACGTGTTCCGGGTGACTGTTGATTTGAGCAAGTTCCTGAGCGCCAAGCACGGGGCAAAGCTGGATGCAGGCACGGCGGCTGCGCGAGCTGGAGTGGGGCAGCCCGGCGGCGGCGGTGCAGCATCGGCTGGCGTCGTTCCTGGGGGAGGCAATGGCGAAGCAGGCGCGGTGTGGTTGCAGTGCAGGATGGCGGCCTGGGGAGTTCAGTGACGCGACCAAGGCGATGCGCTCGCAGACGTTCTTCATTGGCGTGGTGGCCGATGCCAATGAGGCAAGGCGGCTGGTGGATCTGGGACCCAGCCCCGACTCTGACGCCGGATGCGGCCGCGCGGTTCCGGGCGTACTGGGGCGAGCGGGCGGAGCTGCGGCGGTTCCGCGACGGCTCGATCAGGCTCGCCACGGTGTGGGGCGGGTCGGGTATGTCGTTTGAGAAGCGCGCGCAGATTGTGCCGCGCATGGTCGCGTATCTGCTGCGGCGGCACTTTGGGGTGCAGGCGGCGGGGCCCGAGATCCTGCAGGCCGAGGACCTGGCGGTAGTGGACAAGAACCGGCCGAAGAATGCGGTGGCGGGTGAGGCGACGCTGTTCAGCCTGTCGACGGGTCTGGGGCGGTTTATGCAGTCGCGTGATGACGACGATGGAGTGGCGACGTTTGAGGCAGCAACCACAGCGTTCGATGCGCTGCAGAAAGAACTGAAGGAGCTGGAGGATGAGCTGCCGCTGCGGGTGCTACAGCTGCATGCGGTGTCGCCGGGGCTGCGGTACACGTCGGTGGTGCCGCCGAAGCGCGTGGATTCAGACGACTCGTACATTGAGCCACAGCACGTACTGGTGGAGTTCGAGTCATCAAGCAAGTGGCCAGACGACCTGACGGCGCTGCACAAGATCAAGGCGGCGTTCCTGATGCGGCTGAGCGAATGCTACACGGGACGGCACCCGGAGGCAACGGTCCAGGTGGGAAATCGGTTCCTGGGCTACGGCGCCTCCGACGGGCTGATGACAGGCATGGCGGCTTTGCATGTGGGTGGCGAGGAGAAACCAGGACTACGAGACCGACAATTTCCTGGATATCCGCCATGCGTCGGGGTTCACGTTCCGGCTGAGCGTACTAGTGCGAGCGCGAGGGGTCGGTGCTGGCGCAGAAGGCCAGCGAGATGCGCGGAGCGAAGCTGACGGCGCGCGCCGATGCGCTGGAGCTGGCGCACCGGCGGTGGACCCGCAATCACGTGTGGCGGGCGGCCCACCACCGCCGCATGCTGGATCTGAGCCAGCGCCACCACCCGGCGCTGTCGATGACGGTGCGGCTGCTGAAGCGCTGGCTGGCGCGCCACATGCTGCTGGGCCAGGCGGTAGGTATGGCCGAGGAAGTGGCCGAGCTGGTGGCCGCACGGGCCTTCACCGACGTCTCGGATGGTCTGCAGCCGCCGGCCACGGGCAGCGCCGGCTTTGTGCGGTGTCTGCGTGTGCTGGCCACGTGGGCGTGGGGCTGCCGATCTGTTTGTTGTGGACTTCCAGGCTGACCACCGCGAGAACACCGATGAGGATGACGATGAGGAGCCGGCACTGAAGCCGTTGGCGCAGGGTGTGTGGGTGCCTGCGGGCATGGGTGCCGAGGAGACGGCAGCGCTGCAGCACGAGTTCGAGGCCAAGAAGTTCCGCGCGGGCTGGCGCGTGGCGACCCAGGACGATCCGTCCGGCTCGTGGTTCGGGCAGGGCTCGGCGGTGCTGGCCCGGCGCATTGCTGCGCTGGCCAAGGCGTCGCTGGCGTGCGTGCGCCAGGCCTTGGCTACGGGCGACCCGGCTCAGCTGGCCATGGCGTTCACGACGCCGCTCAGCGACTACGACTTTGTGATCCGGCTCGACAAGGACATGGTGAGCCGGCGCTTCGAGCAGCCGCCCAGGGATGGCGTCAAGGAGGAGAAGGAGGAGGTGTTCAAGAACCTGAAGCCGGCGGAACCGGCGGTGCATGTGCATGCGAATCCGTTCAACCAGCCGGGCATGGTGGGGTTTGACCCGGTGGCCGAGTATGTGCGCGACCTGGTCAATGTGTACCACCGGTCGGCGCTGTTCTTCCATGATGTGTATGGCGGCCACGTGATTGCCGGGCTCTGGAACCCAGCGGCCGCTCAGCCCGCAGTGCTGAATCCGCGCGCCCACGCCAACGCCATGCCGGTCGACCGCAAGCAGGGGCTGGTCGGGCTCAACAAGGACGCAGTTATGGCCGAGATCATCCGCCTGGGCGAGGGCCTGGTGGCCGACGTAGTGCTGCAGCAGGATTAGGATTTATTGCAATATACGAATTGTCACGTCTCGCGTAGAAACCACGCGGCTTCGTACAGAATGTCGCCGGTGCGCTTCTCCAGCGCGCGGAACCTCCGCCAGTGCCCATCCAGCGCGGCCTCTGTGAGCCCCGGGAACTCCTGCACATGCGTGCCTGTGAGTCTGCCGGGGGCCAGCATCACGTGCTTGTACCACCGCCTGCCAGCCAGTCCCTCGGGGTCGGTGAGCATGCGCTCGAGCTTGTAGGCGCGGTCGTTGATGGACTTGCGCAGCCGCACGCACGCAGCCCGCCGCCTGCCCGACATCTGGCAGCCGGTGCCATAGACGCGCCGCAGCCTCGCGTAGTCATGCTCAACAAGCATGGCGTTTGTCTGCAGCACTCTCACCGCATGCCGGATATGCCTAACCCTCCTGGTCGCGTTGTGTTTCCGGGAAACCAGCCGCTCCAGGTCATGCAGGCTCCTGCGGATTCTGCCCACGTAGGCGGTGGGACGGAGCGCCAGCACCGGGTCGTCGGCCAGGCGCAGCAGCAGCATGCCGCTGAGCCGCGCAATCGCCTGCAGTCTGCGCATATGTGGGTCGGCGAACCTGAGCATCCATTGCAGGCTGTCGTGGTTTGCGTGGTGAGCGCCTGGCTGCCCCGTGAAGCCCAGTTCCAGCGAGCCCACGCCACCGTGCATCTGGAACGCAGCCGAATGCATGCCTGGCAAACCGACATGCGATATGTTTGCCAATGGCACCTGTCTGGCCACATCCTTGAGCAGACCAGCAAGCAGCGGCGAGGATGCGGCGGCAAGCGTGTGGCCGGAGACGCCCGTCACGTGCAAGGTATGCCACAGCCTCATGTCGTAGCCAGTCGATGTTGTCCTCGACCCACTCGGTTGCGCCCACATGGGCAAGCTCGCTGGCATCCCACGAGGCCAGGATGATTGTGCGGCGCGGTCGCCACCCGAGCCTCAGCAGCTGGCCCAGTCCCCTGGCCACCTCCAGCAACGCGCTGGTCCCGGCGCCCGCACCCGCGGCTCCGGCGCTCCAGGCGTCGTGGTGGCTGCCAATGATCACTGCATGGTCCGGCTCCTCCTCCCCGGCGATCCGCCCAATGACATTGCGTATCGGCCGCTGCTCATACTTTACCGAGTTCAAAACATTCACGTGCAAAGGGCTTGGCCCTGTCCAGTGTCCCGAGAACAGCACTCCGTGGCCCGCCAGCATCTGCAGCAATGGCAAGGCGGCGCGGAAGGGCAGCGGCAGGGACGGAATGCCAGGCAGGTTCTTGGCATCTGCCGGGTGGAGTCGCGGCGCCGTCCTGGTTGCTGCGTGGCCGGGCGTCAGTGGGTCGCCTGGGTAGATGTGCTGCAGGGCGGCTGAATCGCGCTCCAAAGAGCCCGCCGGCCGCCAGGGCCCGTCTGGGTAGACCTTGCCGCGCCCAGACCCATCGTCTTGTGGATCCGCAAATACCAGCACGCCCAGTGCGCCAAGCTGCTCTGCCAGCTGCACCTTCACGCCCAGCGCAACCCGCCCAGCCTTCACCAGCACCACATGGCCCTTGACACTGACATTCCAGGATGATAAGGCCTGGAAGTCGCTGGATTCGCCGTAGTTTGCGAACACCAAGGGCCCCGAGACATTGCCGCTGAACGAGTATGCGTGGAATGCCGGCAGATTCGTCCTGTACTGTGTGGCCGGGTCGCCGGGGATCTCGTCTTCTTTTAAATCAGCCGTATATTCGATTTTGTTCGTTGTGCCATTGAATACCACCACCTGCCGGTCTGCCGGCATGCCCACCCACGGATAGTACTCAATGGCTTTGGCCTCTATCCCGCATTGTGCGAAAAACCGCTTGTGTGTATTTGCCGGCCTCGTAGTCGCGTCCGCCAAAATGCGTGCTGGATGTGAGCATCTCAAGGTGGTGCTTTAGGTGCTTGGGCGAGGGGATCTTGAAGAACACCTTGCCGGCGTGGATCCGTCCCAGTGCATGTACTGGCTGGCTCATCAGGCAGTCGGGCAGCGACTGGCTGAAAATCGCCACTCCTGCAACCAGTACCACTGCTGCTGCTATTGCGACTATGATGTGTTGCAGCGATAGGCCGCTGCGGCTTTGCTTCAACGTGCTTGGTGATGCTCGCCCAGTAGCTCCTTGGTTGCTTCGTCCATGGCTGATCAGTGGTTTAAAAGGGGGTAACGAGCTGGCAAGACAGTAGAGGTGGAATAGACTTGCTTGGAGCTAGTTTTCTACTGCCTCTCTCTTCCCGATATAAGTACAAGCAGCGTTCACCGCATGGCTGTAATCGCATATTGCTGTAGCGCAGGACAACGGTCAATGTGCTTGGAAAGCCTCCGTACTAACTGTTACCGGCCCAGACCCTTTTCAATATATGCAATCTATCGACCGGCTGTATCTCGCCTCCCCCCGCATGCTCACACCATCAGACCAACTGGCCTGCAACCGCTGTCGGACCCGGGTCAGAAACCCAATGGGATCCAAATCAATATGCAGGCCACCTTCCATGGGAAACACAAGAATCCAATCTTTTAAAAGTCCGCACACGGGTAGCAGGAGTGTGAGCAATCTGCCTCCCTAAAATCGTGCATTCGCGCACCCCCGTTTCCCCCGATGTCGCAATACTCCCCCAATCCCAACTCTCCATGCTAGCGCCGCCTGTGAATATATGTGAAAAAGCGATTGTGACTGCACACCACAAGCACAGGCAAGAGTGCTTCGACCCAATAGCCGCCGGTGGATTGTCCCTTGGAGGTGTGAGCCACCTGCCGTGTGCACATATTCACCGCAGACGGTAGCAGTAGTGGGAAGATCTGCCATTTTGACCTCCCGGCTGCTGCCCAAATTAGGCCAGCTGTGAGCAAGTGATTTCAGTACCACCACCCGCCGTGATCACAGCAATGGTACCCCCATACGCCATATATAAGGCCCCCGAGGTCGTAGCCCCCCGACATTGCATAACTACATACACCATCCAGTCCTCCAACTTTTCTTTTCTCTTCCCACACTTTTTGTTGCATACCTAAGTACAAAAAAACAACAGCTTCGCCTATAAAATGTCTGCTCCTATCAAGTCCACTATCCTCGGCTTCCCGCGCATGGGCTCCGACCGCCAGCTCAAGAAGCTCGTCGAAGGCTTCTGGGCCGGCAAGATCACTGAGGCCGAGCTGGCCGCCGGCAGCAAGAAGCTGCGCGGCCGACCACTGGGCGCTGCAGGCCTCGTACGGGCTCAGCGAGGTGCCCGTGGGCGACTTCTCCTACTACGACCACGTCCTGGACGCTGCACTGACCGTCGGCATCATCCCCGAGCGCTACCAGCAGCTGGACGCCTGTCGGCTCGCAGGCGTACTTTGCCATGGGCCGCGGTCTGCAGAACAAGAGCATCAACGTCGACGTGCCGTCGCTCGAGATGAAGAAGTGGTTCGACACCAACTACCACTACATGGTGCCCGAGGTCGCCGACAACCAGCGCTTCGTGCTCCACAACACCAAGGTCCTGGACGAGTTCCTTGAGGCCAAGGAGCTCGGGCACAACGCGCGCCCGGTCATCCTGGGCCCGGTGTCACTGCTTGCCTTGAGCAAGCCCGCCAAGGGCGCCGCGACCAAGCCGCTGGACCACCTGGCCAATCCTGGTGCCAGTCTATGTGGAGCTCCTGCGCAAGCTCGCTGAAGCCGGCGCCCAGTGGGTGCAGGTTGACGAGCCCATTCTTGCCCTGGACCTGGATGCTGCCGTCTACAAGGCTGCCTTTGCCGAGACCTACAATGCCTTTGCCCAGGTCGCCGGGCTCAAGTTCCTGCTCACCAGCTACTTTGACCGCCTGGGCGATAACCTCGTCTGGGCCGCTGCACTGCCCGTGCACGGCATCCACCTGGACCTGGTCCGCGGCGCTGCCGACCTGGACGCGGCCCTGGAACTCATCCCCAAGGACAAGGTCATTTCGGCCGGTCTCATCAACGGCCGCAACATCTGGAAGGCTAACCTGGAGAAGCAGCTGTCGGTGCTTGCCAAAATCACCGCAGCACGCACCCCCGCGTCGGTCTGGGTCAGCTCGTCGTGCTCGCTGCTGCACTCGCCGCACTCGCTCAAGCCCGAGGACCGGCCACCTTGACGAAGAGACCCTGGGCTGGCTCTCGTTTGCTGAGGAGAAGCTCGAGGAAATCTCCATTCTGGCCCAGGCCGCCACCAACCCCGATGATGTCGCCGCCAAGCTGCAGGACAACTCGGCCAAGGTTCTGAGCCGCGCTACCTCTGAGCGCATCACCCGCGCGGCCGTGCAGAACCGCCTGGCGGAGCTGACGGCCGAGTCGTACCGGCGCCAGGCGCAGTTCAATGAGCGCCAGAAGGCACAGCGGGCGGCGCTCCGCCTGCCCCTGTTCCCGACCACTACCATTGGGTCGTTCCCGCAGACGGCCGAGGTGCGCCGGGCGCGCGCGCAGTTCCGCAAGGGCGCTTTGTCCCAGGCCGAGTACCAGAAGTACCTGGAGGAGGAGACGCAGAAGTGCATTGAGTGGCAGGACCAGGCCGGCCTGGATGTGCTGGTGCACGGCGAGTTCGAGCGCACCGACATGGTGGAGTTCTTTGGCGAGCACCTGGAGGGCTTTGTGTTCACCAAGAAGGGCTGGGTGCAGTCGTACGGCTCGCGCTGCGTCAAGCCGCCGGTCATTTTCGGCGATGTCTCGCGTCCGCACCCGATGACCGTGGATGTGGCCAGGTTTGCGCAGAAGTGCAGCCCGAACAAGCCCGTCAAGGGCATGCTGACCGGGCCCGTCACCATTCTGCAGTGGTCGTTTGTGCGCGATGACCAGCCGCGCTCACAGACTGCTGCGCAGATCGCCCTGGCTATCCGCGACGAGGTTGTCGACTTGGAGGCCGCCGGCATCAAGGTCATTCAGGTCGATGAGCCGGCCATCCGCGAGGGCCTGCCGCTGCGCAAGTCCGACTACAGCGCCTACCTCGAATGGTCCGTTAATGTGTTCCGTCTGGCCACCACCGGCGTGCGCAACGAGACCCAGGTGCACTCGCACTTTTGCTACAGCGACTTCAACGAGATCTTCACCGCCATTAAGAGCCTGGACGCCGATGTCATCACTATTGAGAACTCAAAGTCCGACCTCAAGCTGTTGGGCGCCCTGCAGGTCCACGGATACAGTGCTGAGATTGGCCCGGGTCTCTACGACATCCACTCGCCGCGCGTTCCCTCGGTTGAGGAGATGGCTGCCCGCTTCAGCGCCCTGCAGCAGTACATTCCCGCCGAGAACCTCTGGGCTAACCCTGATTGTGGTCTCAAGACCCGCGGCTGGCCTGAAGTCAAGGAGGCTCTGACCAACCTGGTTACTGTTGCCGCCAATGCCCGCAAGGCCCATGCGGCCAGCAACTAGATATGGTTTGTTACCTCTACGGAATTAAATCCATTTTCACTTATCACCACATTGTACCTCTGCAGTGATCCGAGAACCACACTTGGCTCAAAGGTGTGCCAGCTTTCGGAGCCTTATCGATCCAGACCAGGCGAAAGGGTATATTAGTTACCGGCCGGCCTGCATCTAGAGTTCACACACCTTACTTTTTGATTACTCTTCCATATGTTCTAATAGACAGCACAAGGAGCGGCCATTTGGATAAAAAATGCCTACAGAAGACTCTTCCCATACATGTTCGTCATGCTGATATACTAGCCTTGGGATTACAGGACTGATATCACATTCCCCAAATGTGCAACAAAACTGGGCTAATATAGCACTGAGGTAAGCGTCTCGCCACTTACCCTGCTGATAGCTATTTCTCATGATCATGCTTCAAGGAAAGTGAATCTCGACCATTCCATTTATATATTACTTAGTAAACAAACTCTGCAAGCTCCATCCAATGCCTGTTTTTCAGGATGCAGTCCATTACCGCTGGCGACGCAGACACATTGACAATAATATCCTTGCTTGCTGATGGCGACGGCATGAAAATGAATACACCTGCTCCGTAATCGGGGGGAACCGTCGTAAACGCCTGCACGCCGCTGCCAAAATCGGCGTCATACATCTTTAAGCGTCTGATGTTCGATGTGATGGTAAAGACATTGTAATGCGTAGCTAGAGCAGTAAATGTGCCCAGTTTGCAGCTTGGTGCATTAAATGTGTCCATGTACTCTGCGACATATGGCGGCGATATGTTGGATGTTTCTGACCGTACTTGACCAGCGATGTCTGCAATTGTCTGGGCAGTGAGTGGGGCTTGCGCGTGATCCATTGGATTCTTAATGTACACGCCTATCAGTGGATTCCCTACGTAGTTCAGATTACCCATTCCTAGTATACCGGTGACGTTGCAGTTGATCGAACAGCCGTGCTCCCCTTGGGCTCTTGTTCTGCATTGGAATAGCCGGGCAAACACCCCTTGCTGTTGCTTGCGGCTTCAAGCTCGGCCTGTCCGTGGACCTTGTAGGCGGTGGCAACCAGAAGGTCATTGTCGGATACGCGGGACCCAGGCGGCATACACTCAAGAACTTGGCTGCGTAGTTCGTCAAGCGCCTTGTGCGAGATGCGGAAGAGATGGCCACGTAGTGGAGTCTTGCTGTCAATAAAATTCAGCAACTTCCCGCGAGCTGTTGGCGACAGTCGCATAATGAAATTACCTATGCGCGAGTTCAGGGAAAGCACCTCCTTCGTCGTCTCACTGAGTGGTGTGCGCTCACTGGGTAGATACTGGAGCAGCAGAGCAGGATCAAAGCAGTACCCGACCTCTTCCAGCGGGTCACCAGTGATGAGCGTGCGTGTCTCATCCGCCCAGTGGTTGAGAAACGTAAAGTAGCTGGTACCATCTGCAACGCCATGGCAAAAGCCTGCCGAGATTATCATCCCACTGTTCTCCTTCAGCCGCACGACATGAATATTAAGGAGCTTGATCACCCCGGTGTCCTTTTCTGGGCAGGTAGTACTGCCGGTGGAGATTAAGTCACTTGGCCACGTCTCTGGGTTGTAGTCCGCCGAGTTGATATCAGAAAAGTGCACATCGGATTGCGTCTCGCGATAGATGGGCATATTTAGGTTGCATTTATCGACCACGACCTCCAACAGCTTATCGCGCGTCTGCTTAAGGTGCCCGAGTAGCCAAGGGAACTTGGTTAACGCCCTAGAGAACCCCTCCTTGAGCTTGTCACTAGGCATAAAGGTGCTGGAAGAATCACGGTTTTCGTAGAAGCACACCATCCGAGCATTCAAGATAGAAATAATCGTATCTGTCTTCCCGAGCTTGTATGACTTGGTTTCGACGTTTGCTGCAAGTGAATCCATATTGAAGAATAAATATTTATTTGAGTGCTGGAGGTGCCGTATTCGTAAAGGCACCTTGGCACTTTAAATATTTAGGAAGAAGAGGAGCAAGGGATAAATCAACCAAGCCGGTGAGAACCATCGATGGCAGCCTGCACGTAAAACTCCAAAACATAAACATACCACATAATATTGTCCAAAGTATTAGCCATGCAAAAGCCATACAGGTACACAGGCATTCTATCCATTCCATCCATTTAATGCGTCAGACAGCGCGCCCAGCGCTATTATAAGAAGGACACTAGACAATACGCTAATTGTTTCATAGTACACTCTTGGGGGTCAACACAAGTACGACGCTTGCCAATTGTAGGAAATGGTTTTATTATCAGGAATTTATAAGCGCCCCTATAAGTGGCGGCCACTCCGTATAGTCCTCACAAGAGCATGCCAATCCTGAGCCCATGTCCCGCCACCTCTATGCCATCTAACTGGCATTTAGGAATACCACTGTGTCACTGATACCAATGCTGCTAGATCATGTTCACCAGTATCTTGGATATTTTGTACGTCATGTTGACACGAAGGAGAGCAAACGTTTATCCGCAATATATAGGCTTAGTTTTTGAGAAACAGCTGATGAGAAAAGCGCGGCCCGTTGATCTGCTATAGCCCTTTTGAATATTCTTGGTCTTGTCCATGGCAGCACAGGACGATGTCTGCGTCCTCAGGCTAACAGAGATGATCGTCAGGGTGTAGCGTACCTCGATCATGGGTGCTGAAAGTAACTTTATCTATTCATGACGAGTAATACTCGAAAATACAGTGGTGTATAGAGATAATCACTAGAAAATTCGGGAGACGACTAGGCGCGGATCCTGAGGAGGACGGTCTGGTTGGCTGTATTTACAGGCCCGCCTGGTGGCTGTGCTGGGACCCGTCTGCCACCAGTATGCCCTTTTCGAATAGCAAGGAGAATGCCCAAAACGAGAACTGCCTGCACTGAACCCATCCAGCTTAGTGTATTGAAAAGAAATAGGTGAGGACTAGAATGAATACTGGAGTGCTCCGGCTATGAACACGAATGCTGATTTCGTCTGCAGAAATTCACGGGAGATTTACGAGCAGCGCTGTCTGCAAATCGCCTTCTGGTGGCAAGACCAAGCCAGCACGACGTTGGCCCAAGGGCAAAAATAGCACACGATAGATCTTCCATCTGCTTGTGAAGGAACTTGCTTCTTGAATTTCAATATGAACCGCGGATGTTCTGTATTGGACCCACCATTGTCTATTCTCAAGCAACTGGATGTGCGATTTGACAGTCCGCATCCACAATCCCAAACACCGCTCGGTATTTGATTTTGGTATGTCCATTGAGGCAGTGTACACATGCAGCTGCCAGAACAGCACCATGCGATATTATTGGTGTACTCTTGCATAAATTCTGGCTCTGGACAACACGCTTCACATGAAATTACATTCAATATGGCCAGTGGTTTCGCCCGCTAGACCTATTGAGAAGAGGATGGAAACATCCAAGCTTTTAAATCTTGCCAACACCAGCGCTGGCAGTGACCAGGGCAGGAACAGCCGAAGCAACAACTGGGGTCATAAGGAACTTTCTGTAGATGGTGAGCGGAGTTAGGGCTTCTATGTGCAAAGGACGGTAAGCGGTGCTGCCACTAGACTGGTCGTTAGGCACGCAGGCACGGCCAATGTACGTCTGGCAGTTTGACCAGGCCGAGGTCTGTGCACCGACAAATGGCGCAAACACGTACCCAGGGTCAGACTTGTAGCTGTACACGGGATACGTGACGTTCTTAAAGTAATTCCCTTCAGCAAGAGTGAACGAGGTGGTCGTCATGCCATCAATGGCACCCTCGCCAGTCAGCGTGTCAAAGTAGTTGTTAACCATATGCAGGCGAATGGTGCCATTCTTCAGGCCACCGGTGTGCGGGCCACGGCCAGATGTGTGGTAGATGTAGTTGTTGGCCACAGTGATCTTGTCGTTGGCGCCCAGGAACAGCCAGAGCCAGTAGTGCGAACCGTCACAGAACGACGAGCGCGTGCGGCGACCGTCAAAGTAGTTGTTAGTTATGGAAATGAACTTGGCTGCGCTGAAGCCAGTCACAATCATCTGGCGGCCGATGCGCGCAAAATGGTTATGATCGATGACAACGTTAGACGCACCGTCCATCTGGATAGCATCGCCACCCCAGATGATGCCGTCGTTAATGTCAGAGATTTGAATGTTCTGAATGACAATGTTGTTCTGGCCACCCTTGAGGATCAGGCCCTTGCCCAGCAGCTTGCCGGCCGAGCCAACACCAATGATCGACTTGTTCGAGCCCACAAGCAGAGGGGTGGTACCTGCGGCGTCGTATTTAACTGTGGTGCTCGTGCGTCCGTCACAGAAACCACTGCGAGCCAGCGCCAGTTCGTTATTGGCCGGGTTGGGGCACGCCTTCGTGATGCACCCAGTCTCAGTCATGATGCCCTCAGACCCACGGAAGTCGAAGGTCTTGGTGATCTTGATGATACGTGGAGTAGTGTCATTGCATTTGCCCGTGCTGTCCTTGGACCCACACAGCGCTGCCTTGAGCTCGGCAAGCGTGGTCGGCGTTACAGTGACGCCACCAGGACCGCCTCTGGTGACTGAGCCAAACCCAGGCGCGACTGCAGCCAGCGCAGTCGAGAGAGAAATGACGAGGGCCAAAGAAATCTTCATCAGCTATCAGAGAAAGGGGTGCGACGGGGTCCAGGAAAAGGGAGGATGGGAAGAGAATGCGCCAAGAGCGAGCGAGAGACTAGCCGCCTCTATGCGTTACAAACCAATGTACCAATGTGATGTCGGCTATTTTTTCTACAGACGTTGTACTTGTCGTCTATTGCCCTGTGAAAGCAGCAGCAAGATCCGCTTGGCAATGTATGAAATCTCGCGTGGAGGGACCAATCCTGTTTATTCTGTTCTACATCGTGTGCCAGAAAGGGGGATTGAAGAGTAAGAGTAAATAATGATGCAAAAGCGTGCTTGGCGGAGTAGTGGGGGGGTTTTTTTTTTACCAACATTGAGTGTTGGCCAAGAATCTTTTCGACAGCGATTTTAGAAAGTAGAACGAAATAAATACACCGAGATCCTCCTGCTTATTTTTGGACGGCAGGTAAGAGCGGAAAACGACACTCAATCCCGGTTTCCAAAGAATTGCAAAAGGAAACAGGAACTACCTGGATGAGAACATCGGCCGCAAACATTCAGGCGGGCACGCAGGTGCTGGTGGTGCAATCCTAGCGATGGCTCTCACACGACAACCTATTGCATGCGGGATCAGCTTGAACAGCACGCGGTTGAAGCGCTCCACATATGCATACTGGTTTGCATATCCTACCGCTTTCAGCATAGGGTGAGTGATGAGCTCCAACAAAATGTATTGGTTCGTATCAATGAAACTAGAGGGGCTTTTAGGGGAGGGTTAAGCGTTGCAATCGTGGACGGTCTTTGTCGCGTAGATAGTCTTAGTATTCGTCTTTGTTTTCGTCTTGGTCTTGGTCTTGGTCTTGGTGATCGTGATGTGCCTGTCAGATGAGAGTTGGGTGGGCTTCGGGACCGAAGGAGCGCTCGAGGTCACAGTAGGCTTGGGCCTGCCTGAGGTCTGGACAGCAGAAGCAGTAGGTGCAGCAACAGATGGGGTGCTTGGTGGTGACGAGCCAGCCCCACCAGTGTACAAAGGCGGGCCTGGGATTGGATAGCTGCTGTACGAGCTGTACAGGTTGAACAGGATGCCGGGGCTATTGGTCTTGTAGATACCTGGGATAGCATAGCCCTTGGGAACAGCACCACCACCGCCAGTAACCGAGACCTGGACACAGTTGGGATAGTACTGCGAGCCGCGAGCCGGGTTGACAGCATAGTCAGTGTCCGATTCGTGCAGCGCAATGATCTCAGTACGCAGCAAGTAGTTGCCAGCCTTGATGTCAGCAGGCAGCTTGACATTGAGCTTACCGCCGTTCGCACGGATCTTGTCCACACACCACTTCTTGGAACCGGCATCGTAGCCATCCTCGAACACCTTGAACCACACGTCACCCTTGCCGTTACTCGACAGCGGTGCCATGTACACAAGGCACGGGCCATAGTGGGACTCTGCAATGACATCGTCGGATGGCGAGTCGTTGTCATGGTGCCATTCGACGGTGATGGTAGAGCCAGCAGCAACAGGGCAAGTCTTGGTAGCAGTGGATGCAAGACCACCAACACCGCAGGTCAGGTCAGTCGACGACGGGTCCTTGACCGGGAAGTTGCGGTTGGCCGGGTAGGGGCGGATGCACTGACCCTCGGCGTACTTGGTACCGTCAAGAGTAACGTGGCTCAGGTAGGTGTGGGCATTGACCATCGAGGCCAGGCTGCCAAGGAGCATAAGAACAGAGGCAACTTTCATTTTAAAAGTACCAATTTCGTCTGTTGAAGCGGGGAATCGGTGTAGAGGAAGGTGCAGTTGTTGGTAGTGGAAGCGTGTATCTGTCGATTAGGACCAGCCTAGTAACAGAAATATCGTTCTTGGAGAGGGGAGGGGAGGAGGGGTGGCCTGGTAAATGAATGGGGGTAGGAAGTTCGAGTAAACTGTGCCTAGCTGTGTTGGTCTTTTATACGGCAAAAGTCCCCAGACATGTGTCGAGACTTCTACCCGGTGCAAAGGCACAACTTTCTCAGCAGATCGCATGTAGAACGGAAAAATACCAGACGAACATTGGCAGCAAGTCGCAGTGCATATCGCATTTCAACACATGTAAATGGAGCTTTCAAAAGGAGAAATTCAATCGCATGGCGGATGGCAGCAGTCCATCTACTCAACTAGGGATTGCCTTCGTCTCATCAGCTATGCGTAATCCATCCGAATGGCTGTTTTTAAGCACTTTTTCCCCGACTGGGATTTAAAGAGCCGAAGCTGCCTTGATCTGGGTGTATAGTAAGCCTGTATCCCCTCTGCAAGCGACCTTGAGGGTTGCTGATGCTGCTATATTTAGCACTGGTGGTTTGGATGGTGTCCAGTGACAGGGGCTATGCGGTCTGCTGGTTTTCTAGCCAGGCAGCATGGCATTTAGGCAGCTAGGTCAGCAACAAGTCCGCTCTAGCGCCTGAACAACAGTATGCCACCCCAGAGTTCTGCCGCCGATCTCCCTGAGCTGGCCCACTGAGCCAGTGAGCTGGCAGGGATACATGTCGCCGAGTCGCAAGCCGGCTTATGAGCAAGCAGTGCAGCGGGCGTGTGGGGAGAGGGCAGTCCCTCAAAAGAGCTATTGCAAGTTTACTCTATTTATCTAGTCTAATATGCCGCTCGGACATGTATCAGGTGTCACGTATGCAACCGAACAGCAGCGCTCCACAACAGAAGGGGGTATAGTGTTGCGATTGGACAGGTAGGGATAGTGCTGTGGGCTCGGTAGAACGAGATGGGGCAACAGGCAGGTGCCTACGAAATGGGAGAATCCATTCTCATTCTCGCCAAAGGAACATGCAGGCCGATATCCCCCTTTCTGAGTCGATAATGCAGTCAGCCTGGCCGCTTGCATGCATGTGCATTCGATTTTCCCGGCCAGATTCTGAATACGCAGTGAGAAAAGGGTGCCATTCTGGGACTAATTTACATTCAGCTCCAAACACAAAGACGTCAGCGAACAAATACAAAGCACGTTGGGATACATTGGAACTGCCCACAAATATGAGAGGTATCAAAATGTTTATTCAGAGAACATGATGTAGTGGTACAATAAGGTCGAACAAAAATCAACAGCGAAGAACGCGGTGGGAATAAGTTTAAGAGGTGTGGTTTTGGTGCCATCGCTAATTATGTACATGGGTGCTGGGTTCTGTTTGGGTTCACAACACTATCACTAGGGCCTAGTGACCTGTTGAGATCTTGTTGGTGAGCTTGCGCAGGTGCATCGAGCTGCGACGAGTCAGCTCCTTGATGCCTGCCAGGGTCGACTTGGGACCCTTGCCAGACGACGCCGAGTTCTTGCGGCGCATCCTGGGCGAGCTGTCGTCCTCATCGTCAGAGTCGAGGTCCAGCCACGACCCCTCAAGGTTGAGGCGGGACGAGCGATTCGACGATCCGGTGCTGAACTTTTGCACCACATCGCCGGTCTCGAGCATGGCGGTGCCCATGAATTTGGTGCTCTCTGCGAGCATGGCGGTTGGCGAGGTGGGGGCCGATGTCATGGGCACAGATGTGTTGACGTTAATGTTCATGCTCATTGTGAAGGGTGCGAGTTGAAAAATGGAAGATCAATGCGCGCTTAAAAGCAGGAAAACAAGGTGAGAGGATTTTTCTGTGCGAGATTTGTGGTGGGGGAATCGAATGAAATCGACAAGACGTACAGGAGGGCGAAATAGTATTTATAGGGCAAACCACGAATCTCGCTTTGTAGCACGGAGTGTTTGCGGGACAGGACGAAAAAGGCGGGTGTTGAGGGGGCGAGGGGGGGTCTGCGACCCCGTATTCGGAAGGCGGCGGCGCTTGCCGATCGCCAAGGATGCCGAGCAAATAGTGTGGAAATGCTGGACAATTGCCGCTGCTTATTGGCCAATATTTGTGAGCCATTTGCACTGGGTTTTTTTTGGCTCGCCTTTTGGTTCCGGCTGTTCTGGCCTGGGCTGCTGCGTGTTCCTGGGCAGGCAATCAGCGGGCAGCGAGCCTTGCGTGATGACTGTCAGTCGACAAAGAGTTTTGGATCACTCGACACTGCTGCTGCTGGCAGAGTCGGGCTGGCTGAGGAATCCGAGCACGGCACTGTGCACTCGTCCGAGGTTTCTCTCTCCCCACAGCAGGGTAGTCGACCATTGGCGAGGGGGTACTTCTGCAGCCCGGCTGCTCGAAACTAAAAGCCACCCAGCCAGGACCGTGTCGGCGGGTGACGCAGTGCCGTCTAGAGGGCGAGCAGGTGGGTGAAAGAGGGCATTCTGAAGGCGCGCTCCACGGGCCGTACTGGCAAAACTTCTGCCCCATTCTTCCAGCGCCCGTATCACCAAGAAAAGTTTTGACAGCTAGAGGTAGAAAATTGTGCTCGCCTGCGACAGATCTTTTTGTAACGCATTGTCCGTCACACATTGCATACTTGTTCGCCGACGTGCATTTATTTGCATGCCGTCCTCAATGTACCCAGACTAATATGGTTAAATTGAAACGCACACATTGTTCCTGACGTTCCAGACATAGCATGTATGAGGCTTCGTGCCCATGACCCTTTACAGATGGCTCATCGCCGCCAGATCCCCTCTGCCCGCGTCCCGGCTCCCCTTTCGCATGCTCTTTTCTCAGTGCCCTCATTCTCGCTGAAGATCGCACGCGTCAGGCTGAGGGGCAGTGCCGTTCTCTGTAATGGAGATCAATCTAAGGGGAGCGGTATGCGGCCACGCCTTGCTCTCACTCCTCTCGCTTTTGGGGGGTCCGCCGATCCCACATTAGAGACGCGCAAATCGGCATAGTGTCCGCGCACGTATGCACACACAAGGATGGACAGGATTGGTGTCTCCTTCATGCTCTCGGCCATACCGTGCCAAAAACACCTTGGTCTGAGCCGGGTAAGGGGAGATGTGAGGACGGATCGCTACCCTTGCTGACCAACTCTGGTGGTGTGATAGGGTACACGCGCTATCACTACACCGAATCGCAACATCGATGGACCGTCAGAGAACGAGCGTCACATACAATGATCAGCAGCCTAGCCTTCAGTCCAACTCCCTGCTCAGCTCGGCCATTCGCGAGCCAAAACCCGGCCCGCACCCGTAATGGTTGCTGTCAGTCTGCAGTTCCTTGGAACTCCAAGCAGACCATGGCAACGTTCATTTGTAGAGGCACTTTCCTGCCTCCATTGGTGCGGACGCCAGAGTTTCAAAAAGTAACTTCCCATTTGTTTGTGGCCTGGCACTGTGAGGACTCCAGCTATTTGGCCACTATATTCCAGACGGAAATGAACGGCTCTTAATGTCAAAAATAGATGAGCCAATGCGAGAATTTCTTTGCGGGCGAGCTCCGCTTGGCCCTCCGCTTCCAGCTCCCTTCAAGCTTCCGCGCGCAAGCGGGCTGCCACCATGCTCTTGGGCGCAGAACTGTCTTGTTCCTACTGGGTGCCCCGAGCAAGAGCGTGCCAAGAATACTCGCGCCCAAACCGCTTATCTCTGGGTCAGCACAATGAGCATTTCATTTGCTTTCTGGGTGCACAGCAAAGAATAGTCCGCCAGCACCACCGCTGTTCGCTGCGCTTGCTATTGCTCCCAGAAGTGCTACAAACCAGTAGAAGGGCGCCGGTTACCCGACCCGGGGACAGGAAGCGCGATGGAGAATGAATAATGCGCGGCTTCTGCCTTTTGCGTCTGTTTGCACTTGTTTACACAGGCGTGCCTGGAGTTTTGCGGAAGTAACCGCTCCATAGAACCGTGGCTAGTTACCGTGTGTTTGTGTACAAGAACGTGGCTCTGCGGGTGTTCAAGTGTACATACACTGCGGCAGTGGTGGCGAGGCGTCTGCTTGTGGCTGAGAAGATAAAGACCAACCATGCTATGTCGCCCACACCAGTCGGCAAGCAGGCGAACAATTCAAGCCAGGCATCACTGTAGAGCCGCTATTACTGGAGGCAGCACGCTGAACCACGGCCCAAGGCCATTTTTACTGAGCTGCAACAAGGGCGCCTCGCTTGTCCGCTTCCACATTGGCTGCTTCTAGCAAGCGATCTTGATTTCTCATTAGATTTTAATGCTTTTATTGGATCTGTTTGTGGATCAAGTGGCGAGGGCTTATATACAGCGCGGCGTAGAGGTGAATGAGGAATCCATGGAAGTGAGTGGAGGGTGCTTATATCTTGTTCTGGCACGACATCCCGGTGTTGCCGCCGATGCTGATTTTGCTGTAGAGGAAGCTGAGGGCATCCTCGGGGTTGTTACCCTGGCCTGCACTAAGGATCTTCTGGTCGCTGATTAGCGTGGTGGCAGTAGTAGTGCTTGCTGCATCTGAGCCGGTGTCGCCGATGTGCTTGGCGCCGGTCTGGGATGACTTGAAGAACTTGAAGAGAGGCATTGTGGTAGCTGTGTGAGGAAAGTGCTTTTGTTGATGGTATTGATGCTGTAGATTGATGCCCTGGAACACCACTCTTTATACTGATCCGACAGGCGGTAGCGAATGCAGCGTCTTGGCAGCAAATTTTTCTGGCTAAGTGTATATCGGGTGGCCGCAGGGAATCAAAGTCACAATAGCATGCACATAGGTTCCTGAAAAGGTAACACTTGCATGAATACCGCTCACTGTGCCTGCGGCCACGACGGCACTGTAGCAGGAAATATACAGGATTTAAAGGGTTGGGGAGGCGGCCGCAATGCGGATTTTCAGGTACAGCAAAGGGGGTGTGGCTCGGAGGTGGACAGGGGGGTGTGAAAGGGGTGCATCAGTCTTGTCTTGGTAATATAATTGCTGCTCCCCAATGCTGCGGCAACGCATTAACCAGCTTACCTATGCTTGGGCCACAAAAATAAATCTCCCAGCTCAAGGGATCGCCCGTGTTGACATCTCCGGCCGCCAATGTCTCGGTGTTATCTGCTAGTCACCTGCACACGGAAGGCATCATCTGTACGTACGTGCATGGCACAAGACATCCCGATTCCGCCTCCCTCAACATGTTTAGACAGCCCGGGTTTACCTAATTCAAAAGTCGGCAATTTGAGCAACAAGGATGTTGATGTCAATTTATGAGAAAAGCGAAATTCTATACAGGCAGAGAAAGGGTCGGCAGTAAAAGATGTATGCGTTTACATGCTCGGCGGGTTCAGGGTGGCGGCAGATACCATCTGGGTTTTGCCGCTGAGCAGGTAGCTCAGTGCGTCCTCTGGCGCGCCCGCCCTTTGATGCCGACAGAAGCGGGGTGTTACGTGTGTCTTGGTGTCCAACACCAGAGATTGTGCTTGCAGTGCTCTTCAGGCTGATGGTTTCGACGGATGTGACGGATTTGGCATCGGACTTGGTTGAGAAAAGCTTAGTGATCGTAGTCTTGAAGCTCATTGTTGCTGTTGGTAGAATCGTTGGTAGGAAGAGGTGAGAGATATACGTTCTTGGAGTGATGTTGATGTTGGGTCGGGGCGGTTCAGACAGAGAGTCTGCCTTCTTATACAGCCGGGGCTCTATGACTTGGGTCTTGGCGTTGTTGTCAGACATGGCCAGCCCACAGTGAGTGGAATTCGTTATCAAGTGTCACCTATGCGCCCAAATGGATCCCGTAGGCACTTCCGCTTGTTGGGCTGATGCTTTGGTGAAGATTAACATGTGCTTGGCTCAGCGATGGCATCATAGAAATTGACCGCGTTCCATGACAACGCCGCAGCAAGCAGAAAAAGATGTGCTTACCAACTGGCAATGAAGAAATCGGTGGAAAATCATTTGGTTTGGCCTGTACTTTTCGCATGGGATGTACACCTGGCACCCGACTGTATGCACTTTAAAAAATAAACAGGTTAGAAAAAGTTTCGGAAAAAATGCCAAGATTTGGAAAAAAAAAAAGCTCTCGAAACCCGTGTCCTGGCAAGGTATTTTTTCCACGCCGCATATAACAGCCTAGTTTTTGTATATACCCTTCAATCCGGCCTGTTGACATTCGGGCAACCCCATGCCCTTCGCCACCATGTGCAAATTCCAAATCCCCACCTGTATAAACATTGTGAGCTGGAACGGCCCATCCTCCCTTTTTTCTCCTCAGCAAATTTCCAGTCGTATTCATTCCATAAAGCTCATAACTACTGGATTCTGAAGGTTGAACACGGCCAACTATTGGTTTATGGTCATGGCCTGAGTGGGATGCCGTGTAATGTTTGCTAGTCCGACCATTCTACCTCTACTGTGGTGACCGATGTGTATATGGACAGGCGGGACTCAAATAAAATGGCATGGCGGCGTGTCTGACAAAAACAGCGTGACCCCCTGATGGATGGTGCTACAAACTCAGGTCAGTCCAAAGCAGGTCCTAACTGAGCCTACCAGGTAGCATAGCGGACCATACAGCCACTCTGATCAGAGAGGTTTCGATAAATATTGCGTATAAAGTGTGGCGAGTGTATTGAGCATGGAAATAAAATATAGCGATGATAAACAAAATTTATAGGACCGAGGGTTGTCCAAGCGTGCCAGACGCAGGAACAAAGCCAAGGAGGTAGGCCAGTGCGTCCTCTGCACTGCCGCCCTGCGACGCATCCAATGGCTTGCTGCTATTGTTAGTGGTGTTCGGGACCACAGTAGCCTCGGTGTTGGCAATGCTGGCCGAATCAGTAGTGTTGGTGACGTGGCTCATTGTAGAAAGGGTATCTTGGTGAAGAGGGTAGAAGGGATCTGGGTAGTTGTCGGTGTCTTGCCGTAGGTGGTGTTTTGCTGTGGATAGCGTTGGTGATGGATGTCGACATAGCCTGCAAGGCGGTTTTTATACAAGACACCAGCACCGTATGTCTTGGCAACACGGCACTTCCTGAGCGATTTGTATGGCAGCGGTGAAAGGGGCCGTACCTTTCTTTCTCATTCGGAGATGCCGCACTTTCGATTGATTCACATCTGTACAGAGGAGGTGAAGCAGAGTGATATATCAGCCTACATGCCACAGCTGCGGCAGGAAGCATTGCAAAGATTGCTGCTCGGCTGGCGAGATTGACACTGCATGCGGCACATCTAGAACTTGAATTGTGTGTTGGGCAATTCCAAGCTTTCTCAGAGGTGGGTAGGGGCAAATCAGCAAACCTATGGATTTTTCACCACCAGCCAACGCCAAGAACTTGTACTTTACAGGGCCACCATGCCCTTGGCCACTAAATACCAAAGTTTTTGCAATCCACTACCTGTTCACCACCGTAAACTCCCTTGAAGTTCTTGCAGCCAAATTGTGCAGCCAAATTGTTGGAGGCAAAAAAATCTCCAGCGAAAAAATCGAGACATTGCCATAGTCGCTCAACATTGTGCCATGGGGTACACCGGGTATCTGTGACTTACGCAGTCGATTTCGCCGATTCTCCCCCAGCCTCATTAACTACCTACTTCATATAAGCCAAACGCGTCTCTTTATACATACTGCGAAGAATGGCAAGCACAGAGGCAAGGACGTTCGAGGACATGGCTAGCAACGCCCATCGGCGCAAGCTGGCAATCTGGACACGATCAAAGCAAATGCCAAGAAGCTGGCTGAAACGGGCATCTGCAGCATATGCATTCTGCGACTAATCGATGTCCCCTGTGGCCCAGTATACCTCATGCAGTCACCAGCCAGCAAGCATACGCACCAGTCTCGATCTTCCGGCACCCGATGCCAGTGCGTGCCCGCTGTGTCTGGGTATTCTTGACCACGCTCACTCCAGCAAGGTAGCCGAGGAATTCAAGGCGCAGGCGTACGATGCCGATGATGTATCGGTCAGCATCGAACTGCCCAAATCGATCTACATACGCGAGCACTCGATGAGCCTATTTGCCAAGCGCAACCTAGCTGCTGTAAACAGCGGCCACCGCTATCCGGATATCAAGGATACTGCCAAGTTTCTGATCTCGCAGCGGCTGGTCGACTTGTGCTCGGTCCAGATCAACAACGACAGCGAAATGCGTGTGGAGGTCAGCTTTTCGCACGAGGAATCGGCCAGCGAGCATCAGTTCCTTATTGACCGTAGTGGCTCGTCAATCAAGACCAAGACCTTCCGCAAGCGCGGTGTGATGCATACGACTGGCGACTCCAAGGATGCCAGTTATCGTCGAGCTTGGCCGCTGCCCAGACGACGAGTTCACCGCTGGCTTTGGACAGCAACCGCCTGCAGTCGCCACAGCTGCTGCGCTGGACCCACCAGTACTCAAGCGCTCGTCGCTCTATATGGGGGCCGGTACTTGAAGCTCGAGCGGAATATCAGCCAGACGCCATTCATCGTCGACAACAAGCGCGTCACTGAGCTGTCGGTCGCTGAAGTCATTGGCGACCCGCTCAAGGCGCTGGTCAGGAGCGACGAGTACAACTTGGTCGGATCAGGTCGCGAAGACGCTGATGTGCGCATGCTCGGCGACGGCCGTCCGTTCTATGTTGAGTGCATCAACCCACGTATCAAAAAGGTGCCGCAGGTGGATATCACCAAGGTTGAACAGCAGCTGGTCGCCGCTAGCTCGCCTGTCCAGGTGCGCCGTCTCCAGATAATCAAGGCGGACGACACTTCGATCATCAAGGAGGGCCAGGACAGCAAGACCAAGCTGTACTGCGCCCTGGTGTGGTTTGCCAAGCCGCTGAGCAGTGAGAAGATCGAGGAGATCAATGCCCGGGGCAAGCAGGAGATTGTGCTGCAACAGAAGACGCCGATCCGTGTGCTGCACCGCCGCGCGCCGCTCACCCGCCCCAAGAGGCTGCTTGCGCTGGAAGTGGATCCCGCTGGAGGGCTGCTTCTACAAGGTCCGGATCGAGTCCGAGGCTGGCACGTACATCAAGGAGTTTGTGCACGGAGACCTTGGCCGCACAGCGCCATCACTGGCGGATATGGCTGGCGTAACTGCTGACATCCTCGAGCTCGACGTCGAGAACGTGTCGCTGGACTTCCCACCCACACTGTCGTCTTGAATAACTCGTTTACATTTTGGATTGTGACTTTTTTTATTGCCATCTAGTGCTTCGACTTCATATCGCTGATCTGGTGCACCTCCTTGACGTGGAACGGCGAGAAAATGCCCCTGACGCTGGGCGTGTCCGAAATAACATACTTGTTCCAGCGACGCTGCTTGTATCCGGCATGGTCTCGCAGCGACTTGACGACCTCGGGGATGTCGTCCTTCGTCACCTTCCGCAGGCACTTTGCCTTTTGTGCACCGTTCGTGTAGAAGGCGCGGATGATCGGATGGCGCGATGGCCGCGGCTGCACCACGACCTCGATCTGTGGGTTCTCCTTGGCGAACTTGACTGCTTCACCCTGCAGGTAGTCCTTGACGGGGTTGCTGCTGCCGCTGCGCTCGCAGTAGTTGAACACCATCTTGCGGCACGGGAACACGAACGCGCCCACCCCGTTCTTGGGCTTCGTCGCCTTGACCAGCGCGTCCTTCTCAGCGCGCACCAGCTCATTCAACACCCGCGGATAACGGAACGTCGCCATTTTGATTGTGTCCTTTGTGTATGTGCGAAAAGTGAAATGAAGCAAAAGTGAAAAAGGCCAAATTGCCACACTGGCTGATTTCGAAATGCACGGCTGCGATTTTTTTTCCTACTCTGCGATAAAAACCCAGGCTTGGATCAAAATATTATCTTGCTGATTAGGCTGCATTGGCTGCCTTCTTTTTTGCCTTCTGGCGGCTGCGCCGGTTCATGCCCTTCTTTTCGACCGGCACGTCCTCCTTGGTCGCTGGCTCTTCCTCGACAGCCGGTGTTGCCTCCGTCTTGGCAGCCTTGGCCTTGGCCTTCTGGCGGCTGCGCCGATCTTGGCTCTTCTTCTTAGCCGGCTCGACAGGCTTCTCTTCGGCCTTGGCTGCGGGCTCTTGGATCACCTTGACCTCCTTTTTACTCTTGTCCTTCTTTTCCTTCTTTTCCTTCTTGTCCTTGGACTTGTCCTTCTTGTCCTTGGATTTGTCCTTCTTGCTCTTCTTGCTCTTCTTCACCCGCTTCTCGCCGTCGACGCCATCATCAGACTTGCGTTTCTTGCTAGCCGCCTCCCACTCCTCGCGCTTATGGCGGGCCTTCTTCTTCACATAGATCATGCGCTTCTTGTCCAGATACTGCGACATGTCCTCGTCGATCTTCCACTCGGGCCGGTAGGGAGCAATGCGCTTGACAGATACATACTTGCTCAGGTTCTCTTCGTCCGCCAGCAAGATCTCTGCTGCTGACAGGCCGTAGCTGACCGGCTTGACCTTGGCAGTACTTGAACCGGGTCGGGAGGTCGCCACCGACAATGTCCTCAAAGTCAAGCTGGTACAGATCGTCCATGTATTCAGCGACCTTGTCCTTCAGCTCCGCCTTGTTGGCGTCGAGATCAGCTGCACGCTTGCTCGGACCCGTGCCGCCCTCCAGGTAGTCGGCATCCATGATAAAGTCGTCGCCGCCGGGCACGATGTCCCCGACATCAATGTCTTCGTCCCACTGTCGGCTTCTCCAGATCACCATTCTCGTAGTACTCGTTGCCAAACATCTGGTCCATCTGGGTGTCAAACTTGCTCGGGTCAAAGTCGCCGTCCAGATCCAGCTTGTCGACGCCCACATGCTTATTGCCGGTGATGCCCTGGATCTCCTTGAGCTTGTCAAGAATCTCCTTGCGCTTGCGGTTCTTGATCTGCTTGAGCTCCTCCGCCTTCTGGCGCTTGACCTCATCCTTGCGCTCCTTGGTACGCTCGCGCGCTAGCTTGCGGCGGTCATCCTTGCGACGCATTGAGCCTTCGATGTTGCGTGGATACGAGATGATCTGGTCGGCGCCGGGCTCCTCGAACCGGAAGTTGTACTTGCTCTCAAACTTATCTGTCAGCTCCATCAGCTGCTCATCCTCCTCCTTGTCGATGATCGTCTTGGCTTCGCGCTTCGCTGACGTCTTGGTGCTGTTGCCCTTCTCGATCCAGCCGCGGTTCAACACATAGTTCATCAGAAACTGCTGATCATCAACAGGTGCATCATCCTCGGATTTGCGGCCCTTTGCGTCCAGCGTTCTCCGCCTTGTACTCTTCCCAATTGTCAAAGGCCTCTTTGACGTGGTCGTCGCGCGCCATGTTCTCAAGCAGGAACTTCTTATAGTCCTCCTCTTCTGCCTCAAGCTCCTCCTGCGTCTTCTGCTTCTTGACAAGGAACTCGTCGCCTGAATCCATATCCTCGTCATCGCTGGCATCGACCGCCACCTTGAATGCATTCTTCAGATTCCTCCTGCTCCTCAACGTGCGTCCGCGGCACGCTCTTCTGGATTTCCCGGTCCTCGTCGACAACGCCGCCATGCTCCACCATCACCTTATGCTGGTAGTCCTTGAGGGTCATCGACTGGGCAGCGCGCGCCTTCGCTGCCTTTTGCTTCTCAGCCCACGCCTCCTGGGACTTCTTGATCTCCGCTTCTGAGAAGAAGTGCACCTTGCTGTCGTAAATGGCCTTGTCTTTGGACTGCAGAGCAGTTCAGGGTCTTCATGATCTGCGCGTCCAGCTCGGGCGTGATCAGCTCGCCAACCTCGTCCTCCTCAACATCAGACTCGTCGCTCGAGAACATCGCTGGCCTGGTTGTCGTCTGACAGATACTTTTCGATCTCGCCGTACTCGTCGCCGGCGCGCTGCCGCCGCTCCTCTGCGCGCAGCAGCTTCCGCTTGTCGACCCTTTGCCAGGTCAATGTGGCCAGCGTCAATATCCTCGTGGTCGCTCATTGGCAAGTGTAGGAATGTGTGTTGGGAAAGGGCCTTGCGAGTTGGGAACAAAGGTGGGAAACAGACTAACTGCGAGAAAACCGAGTTTTTATTCGGCAAAAATTAGCGCTGGGATCAAGATCACCGACAGGCGCGATCATGATTAATGTTCGGTCTTTGGATGCAGTCACATCTGCAATGCGGCTCTGTGGCGGCAGACAGCGGGGCTCGAAATGTGGCCTTCTTGCTTCTGCATACACCCGCACGTTGTTTTAATACCATCATCCACTCGGCTCTTAAAGCATGCACTCGATTCTGCTTATCGGCAAGGGCTTCCTTGGCGCGTACGTCAACGATCTGCTCACCAAGAAGAACGCTGACTTTGTTGCCACCACTCGCGACGGCCGTGACGGCACTATCAAGTGGAGCTTCCCTGACGAGTTCGAAAAGCTCGACGAGCCCATCGACTTCTCTGCTCTGCCCGCGGCGCAGAACGTTGTGATTACATTCCCGCTCAAGGGCGAGGAGTTTGCAGAGACGCTGGCCGACGGCTACCTCAAGCAGCATTCTTCGGTGGAAGGCTTCAAGCCAAACTGGATCTACATAGGGTCCACTCGGGGCTTCAAGGAAATTCCGAGCACCCGCTTCACCTGTCCCGGATATTGCGACCGGAGGTGCCCGCGTCGAGGCCGAGGAATTCTTTATTAGCAAGCACAACGCACAGGTGCTGAATCTGGCTGGGCTCTGGGGAGGTGTCCGTGCGCCCAAGAACTGGGGTCGGTTCTTCACCGACAAAAAGCTCCTGCGCACGCGCCTGTCGCTGCGCGAGCGCAGCCTGCATCTGACTCACTGTGCTGACGCTGCCCGTGTCATCTACGCGCTGATTCAGCAGAACAGCGATGGTCATCTGCCGGCTGGCCGCTGGCTGGTGTCGGACGGCAATGTGTATGACATGCTCGAGGAGCTGCTGGGCGATCCAGTCATCCGCGGCCTCGTTGAGGAGCTCATCCAGGAGCCTGAGGTCCAGGCCATGGTCGGCGCAGAAACCGTGGACCAGATCAAGGCTCGGCGACTCGGTGGTCACCATGCGCATCAACTCGGCGCACACCTGGGAGCAGTTTGGCATCAAGCCCATGTATCCGTATGTGCTGAACACCGACGACCCCTTCCACGGCGACTTCTAGAATGTATTCTTTTTCAAAAACACGATTAGTTCAGGAGCATCTTGCGGAAATCGTCATTTGACTTGGGCGCTGCAGCGGGGGCTGCTGTGCTGTCGCCGGTGGGATCATCCATTACCACGTCCTCTGGATCCTTCTGTTTAGGCGCCTTTGCCGAAGCTGCAAGCTTTTTGGTCGGGTGCTTGGCGGCCTTGCGCGGAACCAGGCTAGTCGGCGGCCACGTCGGATGTTCCATGTGTCGCCGACTTGCTCTGGGCTTACGGTGGCCTTGATCTTTTTGCCGTCGGCCTTGTGGCCGTTCAAGAGCTCGACAGCTTTCAGTGCTGCTGCTGCTGACTCCATGGTCAGGAAAATCTTGTCGCCCTGGTAGGTCCGGTACACATTGGTTACTTCACCTGACCTGCTTGGCCACACCGGCTATGTAGTCGTTTGTGGTAGCTGGTGCAAAGCCAACAATTCTGATTGACTCGCCGTCCGGCGGTGGACGGTGGGTGTGGGGCTGGTGCGGCCGGCTGCTGGGCTTTGCGTACTCCTGGACCAGGATTGCGCGTTTCTGGAGTTTGGTGCCGTTCTTGCCCAATGCACCCATATATGCAACCGGCGATGCCATCTCCACGCGTGCCTGCCCGCGGAACTTTGCCCTGCTGGTTTTTCAGCATAGCCACGACCTTGACTTGGTCTGATCCGCCCAGGAACTCTGCAACCTCAGTCTTAGACGCAGTGAATGGCAGGATTGCTTACAAACACCGTTGTTTTGCCATTCGCCGTCGTCACCAGCACCGTCGGCTGTCTGCTTGTCTTTTGGCCGCTTCGATTGCAATCCCTCATCTTTGGGCTGGGCATTCTCACTGGACTCAGCATCCATCAGCCTTTGTTGGCTCTGGTACCACATCCATAGCTAGTGCAGACTCTTCGATAGGCTCTTCAGACTGCTGCTGCCTCCCGCGCCTCCTTTTCTGCGACATTGTGTCTGCCTGCTCTGGAGCTGCCTGCTCTGGCTGTCTCGCTGCCTCCCTCTCGGCCCTGCGCTGGATCAGATTGGTTTGGCTGTTTACAATATGTTCGGCGGATCGGATCGTCGCCAAATTTCCCACCGAATGCTCAAAGGCAAGCCAGGAATCAAACAGCCGCGCTGGGTTATCTAGTTTGCGCTGGAGCTCCTTGTCGATACAGACTCCGTGCATTGGCAACCGACCCATGTGCTGTCTCAAAATCTGCTGCCAGCACCCAGGCTTCGGCACTCGACCTGCGCGCTCGGCACACTTTAGTCCACAGTCCGCGTGTGGCCTCAATGTCCTTGGCTATCGCTGCAGTGACAAAAAGGCTGTACCGCTCGAGACGCAGCATCGGGTCAGCCGTCTCAATCGGTAGCGAGTATGCTGTTGTGATGCAGGATGTGCATGTTGAGAGAAGGTCGGCGCTTGAAGTACCGCGGTTAAGCTGGAACTCTAGACGTGCCATATCAATCAGTGCAATTGCCGCCAGCGAGTACTCTGCCATGCTGTACTCGAGCGCATGCGTCGACATGGCGTAGTAATAGACATTCAGAGCCTCGTGCTTGCCGCTGACTGAGTATGTGGTTGAGATGGCGTGTGCCCACAGCTTTCCCGACCACGGGCAATTGGACCGTCCCTTGTTGGCTAAATCCAGGGCCAGTGGCTTCGTCCTTGGGCGCATCAAGCACGTAGCCAATGTACTCGTCCCACGCACTTGCTGAATAATAAAAGTCGCACAGTGCCCGCTCATATAGTCGTCTGCACCTCAAACGTGCTTACTGACTTGTCACGCTGCATCGAATCGATATACGCAGAGAACACACTCCAGCTGTTGCCCGTCGCAGCCAGTTCCTCCTCGAATTTCTCGCGCTTCTCGCACTGTGCCCGAGTCGCACAGACAATTTGGTTTGACCTGGACCATCTCCGCCTCGTAGTTGTCGTTTTTGTGGGTGGTGATAAACCCAGAGTAGGCAGCGAACGTCTCCGTCAAGCCCAGCATGAGGCTGCGACAGGCGATCAATGAACATCTGCTGCAGGACGTTTATCAGCTTTGGTGTATCCGCGTCCTCTGACGATGCGACCTCTTGCTCTAGCACTTCTTTCAGCTGGCTTCCAGATTGCCTGGCTCTGACTGTAGTGTGCACAAGTAGCGGCATATGCCTTCTGCAGCGTATCCAAGTAAAAGTTTGCCGATTCAAATGCTGCTTCGGCTGCAGCACGGTATTCCGAATCCGATGCCTGGAGTCGCGCATAGTCGATGTACCGCTGCCACATATCTAGCGATAGGTACTCTGCGGTGGCAAGCTCAAACACATGCACTATTTGCTTTACGCTGTCGGCTGTTTTGAATCCAGCGTTGTCAGCGTCTGCAGCCTCATTCAGCTCTTTCTCGATCCACATGGTCCACAGGTCACTAGGAATTGCCAAAACTGTATGCATGCGCTCCATTGCACCGCGCACTGAGTCGATATCGCCAACCTGGCTCAGCAGCCGAATCCATTCCGTGTATGCCTCGTAGTCATACGGATTCGTTTCCAGCTTTCCCGGAAGCGCTTCCATGACCTGCTCAAGTTTCTGGAGCTTGCTCTAGCTCGGATAGCTCCATTGTGAATATAGGCGTAGACGGAAACAATAAGGAATTTGCCGTTAAAAACCGGACTTGGCGCCATCACTGCCCTGCGTTATACCGCATACCTAAATTGCAGAGCAGTTTTGGGAGCCATATTTGTTTTGCACGCGTGTTCCCTCGCAACGTTTGGTAGTATAGTGGATACTGAGCTGCCTGAATACGGTGGCTCTAGCATGCCCAGAGCACACGATGGCTGCGCGGATCTATTGGTTTATTATCTGGAGTACAACGTCGCTGTTTCGCATACTAGTAGCTTAAAAGGTTCGCCTATTTCAAGTCCATCTGCTCCATCTGCAGATCGATCAGTTCCTGCTTGCCCGTTCGGATAAACTCCTCAATTGCTTTCTTCTCTGCCTGCAGGAACGCAAAGCGGCCTTCCAGATCGAACACCGACTGCTTCAGGTCCTGCAGGGACTCGCCCGTCGACCCCTCCAGGGACACCGACGGATTCTCAGCCTCCTTTTTCTCATTCAACTTGAATGCCCGCAGCTCCTCGAGCTCCTTGACTGTGCTGTTCTGCAGCTCCTCTTCCTGCGACTTGATGGCTCCTCGCGATTGCTCAGCCTTCAGCTTCTCCAGCTCCTGGTCGAGATCGTCAAGCTCAGCCCGTAGCTTCCGCTCCTCCTCGGCGTTCTTGCTTGAAGATGCATACCGAGATCCAGCCTCGTTCTTGAATGTCGACGAGGTCTTGAGCTTCGACAGGTAGCTGTCCGCCAGGGCCACATTCCCTGATTTCTCCCCATACAGGCCGGGTTTCTTTGAGTTTCCACCGGCCTGCGATGCATAGCCTGGCGACGACGACGACGACTTGCCGTACCGGTATCCATGGGTGCTCGCGCCCTGGCCTCCCGTAGCCGAGTCCAGGCTCAGTGACTTGTAAATATTGTCTTTGATTGCCGGTGGCAGCGTTGCAGGCACCGGTGCGCCGTTCCGGCACGCACTCAGGACATGAAGCAAATATATGAACTGCTGCTGGTTGAGCTGCTGGTACTTGCGCACATCAATCAGTCCCCACACCTGCGTCACCGTGTGGCGGGGTATTCCAATCGAGTTCAGGAACTCGTCCACGTCGAGCATGCGCACTGTTGATCCTCCGTGCGAGCGCTGATTAAAGATCCCCTGGTACTGTGCACGGTCGTTCTCGGGCACGTACCACTCGAGCGTGGCTGGCCCCTGCTGCGCGGGCGGTGACATGGATGCTGCAGGCGGTGGGCTGTACATGGTGTTGCTGGCTCCTGCTAGATACTGCGCCTTGGTCGATGGGACAAGCGTCGGCGGCAGCGTCCGTGGCACGCCGGGCAGCGAGTGGCCCAGTATAGAGTATACTATTTTGATTGCTATGCAGTACTCGTCAAAGTCCAAAAAGCCCGTCCTTGTCGATATCTGCAAGCTCCCAAATCTCTCCGAGCTGGTGTGTGGGCAGCCCCGACTGCATGAGAATCTGCCCGCGCGACATTTCCTACACAAGACCGGGGTAGTTAGCACCGCAGTTCTTGTTCTGTAAAGGCTCATCAGAAGCGGCCATGTGCGAAATGGTTACCTGGAAGCTTCCCGTTGATAGGGCCCGCTTGGGTAAAGTGCTGGTGATACGACTCGCGCTCGGCCTGGGAAATCGTAATGCTCATCTTTCCGACGCAAAAAAAGCTAAAATAATACAACGCTGCTGCTAAAAGCATGCCAGGTCACCTTGCCAGCGCTCTGGCCTGGGTTTAGGGCAGCGGGCAATGATCGTGATGATCCTGTAGATCCGAATATCAGGATCACATGGATCAAATATTCGCTGGAAGACTGGCAGCGCTGGCATGGACAGTTGCAGTTATTTTCCCGCATGCTGTGAGCCATGTGAGCTTGCAGTCGCTTGCTCCCAACATTGCTGGCAGTACCACCAGCACCGCCAGTACCACCAGCACCACCGGCCGCAGCAGCAGCGTCGGCGGCAGCAGCAGCCGTGGGAGCGTAGCAGAGGCTGCATCCTGGCCCAGGGACATCACCTTGAGGCAAGCGCATTGCTGTGAGTTCACCAAGCCGCCACGCAATCAGCGCTATTGTTTCCGTCCCCCCAACCTGCGTGACCATCCGTGCATCCCCATTCGCTGCGAGGGATTTTTGGGAGCAATCGTGGTAGCGCTCACACCGCCCTCTCCCCACGACTGCCTCCCAACACAATGCTCACAGCAGGCTATGTGTTTAAAAACTGAGCCTCCCGGCCTGCCCCAACAGCCAGCATAAAAAATTTTCACCCCTATCCCTCGCTTTTCTCTTTCTCCTCTTGTAATATTTTTTACTAAGGCTATACTCTGCTCCAAGAACATGTCGAACTACAAGGTCGCTGATATCTCCCTCGCCGCCTGGGGCCGCAAGGACATCGAGCTCTCCGAGAACGAGATGCCCGGTCTCATGTACCTGCGCAAGAAGTACGGCCCGTCGCAGCCGCTCAAGGGCGCCCGCATCGCCGGTTGCCTGCACATGACCATCCAGACCGCCGTCCTCATCGAGACCCTGACTGCCCTCGGTGCCGAGGTCTCCTGGAGCTCGTGCAACATCTTCTCGACCCAGGACCACGCTGCCGCTGCCATCGCTGAGTCCGGCGTCCCTGTCTTCGCCTGGAAGGGTGAGACCGACGAGGAGTACCTGTGGTGCATTGAGCAGACCCTGTCTGCCTTCAAGGACAACAAGCCGCTCAACATGATCCTCGATGACGGAGGTGATCTGACCACCCTGGTGCACGAGAAGTACCCGCAGTACCTGGCTGACATCAAGGGTGTCTCCGAGGAGACCACCACCGGTGTCCACCACCTGTACAAGATGTTCGAGGACGGCAAGCTCAAGGTCCCGGCCATCAACGTCAACGACTCGGTCACCAAGTCCAAGTTCGACAACCTGTACGGCTGCCGCGAGTCGCTCATCGACGGCATCAAGCGCGCCACCGACGTCATGATCGCCGGTAAGGTCGCTGTCGTCGGCGGCTACGGTCGATGTCGGCAAGGGCTGCGCTGCCGCTCTGCGCGGCATGGGTGCCCGCGTCCTGGTCACCGAGATTGACCCCATCAACGCCCTGCAGGCTGCCATGGAGGGCTACGAGGTCACCACCATGGAGGAGGCTACCGCCGAGGGCAACATCTTCGTCACCACCACTGGTAACCGCGACATCATCACTGGCGTCCACATGGCGAACATGAAGGAGGATGCCATCGTGTGCAACATTGGCCACTTTGACGTCGAGATTGACGTTGCCTGGCTCAAGGCCAACGCCGTCTCGGTTGACAACATCAAGGCTGGCGTCGACCGCTTCCTGATGCCCAACGGCCGCCACCTGATCCTGCTCGCTGAGGGCCGTCTGGTCAACCTGGCCTGCGCCACTGGCCACCCCAGCTTCGTCATGTCCAACTCGTTCTCGAACCAGGTCCTGGCTCAGATCGCTCTGTGGACCGACAACGCCAGCTACCCGCTGGGCGTCCACGTCCTGCCCAAGCTCCTCGACGAGGAGGTTGCCCGTGCCCACCTGGGCCAGATCGGCGTCAAGCTCACCACCCTGAGCGGTGCCCAGGCCGAGTACCTTGGCATCAGCGCCGAGGGCCCCTACAAGCGCGACGAGTACCGCTACTAAGCAGCCTAGTTTCTTTTGCATCACTTGTCATTGGAGAATCACAGAATTATCATCCCCTCGATCAATGCAGCAAGTGCCAGGCGTATGCGCCCGCCATATTGCTTTCAAGCGGAAAATGGCAATAAAACAGGCTTTGTTCAGATGCTGACGCTAAAAAAGACAATTTGAAGAACACACGCAGCGGCTAGATAGCTCGCTTGGCCAGCCCGCGCAGGTTACCCAGGAAGATGTGCGTCAGCTCCACAAACATGTTCGGCTTGTGCTCGGCGCACTTTGCGCGCTCAGCCATCATCAGCTCTGGCCTCGAGATCTCGACCTCGAGCTCGTGGGTGACTGTCGCAGGAGTGGTCTTGGGTGGCCCGACCGCATACGGATTGACTGGCCCCTTCTCATGCTCCGGAGTTGTCACCTGGGTCAGATCGAAGCTCCAGATGTCCTGTTTGTACGACAGCCGGTCCTTGTGCCGCTCGGCCTGCGCCTTCAGGTCCTCAGTGTCGGGTCTGCTCAGTGGCTGCTCCTCGTTGATCGAGATGCGAATGTCAAGCTTGGTCCGTGGCGAGTAGATGTCGAGGCTAGCAATGCGATTCTTGGTGATGACGCCTATGACCTGGCCGGTCTCCTTGTTCGTCGTCACCCGCACCCGCGTGCCATCCACCCGGTAAAAGTGATCCACCTCCTTTGTGTGCTTGTAGGCCACCCGCGTCCCGCGGAAGTCTGCGCGCCGCGTCTCGTCGACACGCTGGTTCAGTAGCTTGTTGAAATGCGCGTGCTGCTGCAGCTTCATATCGGCCTCGAAACGAATGTTTTTATCCTCCTTAATGACCGTTTCGGTCAAAACTGGCAGGTTTATGCGCATACCCGACTTTTTGTCCACCAGCAGGCCCAGCTTGCCCTCAATTTCGATGTTTGTGCGCCCGCCAATGTTGTTGAAGATAAAGTCCGACACCGCACGCAAAATGTCCTCGGTCGGTCGCACACCGAATATGTTTTGTTCGAAACGCGTGGGCAGCGGGCTGAACGGTCTGCCCTCATACTGCTGTGATGACTGTTGCTGCAGCAGCTGTTGCTGCTGTTGCTGTGTTGCTGTTGTTTGCTGTTGTTGGCTGTTTGCTGCTGTTGCTGTGCGATGCTGCTGTTAGTTCTGGTAACACTGCTGTTGTTGTAGCCTCCACCTGTGTTGGCATTCACGTTCGCGTTTGCATTTGAATTGACCGGGCTTTGCGTCTGAGGATAAACGACTCCGTTGCTGGGACCATACGAGTGGAATGTTGGCGACGGCAGCATCGACGGGTTATAGGGCTCTGGGTTCATTAGCGCGCTGAGCGACGCTGCCGATATACGCCTTGTGTACACAGGCGACTCGCTTCTCTGCCTTTTCCGCGGGTTTTCGTCAGTCATAGGCTTCGAGCTGTAATTTCTGCAGAGGGGAGATTCTTTGGCTGTCGCGTAAAGTGCAAATCGCGCTTAGCAGGGTGAGAATAAATAAATAAATGCCAAGGAGAGAAGGGGCCAATTCGCCGCTTGAAAAATATGAACGCAGACTCACATGGCTTTGGAGCGTCGGCTGGCTTTGTCCTTTGCACAAGGGTTCTAATTCGATTGGCTTTCACGTGGCCGATCGAATACAAAAAGCCAGGACACGATTGGCAGTCATGACCAACAACGCGTCTAGTTCCAGTTGTATGGCTGCATCTACACCATATGCACGCGCTCGGTGCCACATCTTCAGCATTCACGCATGCTCAGACATCAGATTCCAGATGTCATTTCCCAACGCTTGCCAGCTTTTTGTAGCCTGACACGTTTGGCCCTACATGGCACAGGCAGATCTCTCGATCAAAGCCCTGATCAAGACCCAGACATAGAGCCAATAGCATTACCATCGCTGGAGCTGCCTGTGCCATGTAGGGCCAAAGATACGCTATGCCATTTCACCGATCATGGCCATAGGAAGAATATGAAATATATTTGACATGCTATTGAAGATACAAGGCCCGTACATTTTATACCCGCCCTTCCGTCATCCGATCCCAATGCATCCACCTGTTGCCTCCATCCCTGTTGCTGCGTCACTTTTCGCTTTCCAAGCCTATGCCAGCATCACATGAACCCAGCGGCAGACATGTCTTGTTACATAGCTGGTGGATAGGAGACAAATGTGGCGGCAGGAGGGATAGCACGCTTAATGTCCGTATGTCCGTATCCAATAGGGGAGGGCCCGGTTGGCGTTCCTGTCAACTGCTGTCACGGGCCAATCTCTGACAGGGCCGTGGCTATCGTCCTTTACCACGCTTTGGTGCACGTTGACCGCAACAGACCAGTCTTTGTTGAAGGGGTCAGGCGTAGGAAAAATGGCACCAAAGATATCGTCAACAGCCACCGGCCAGTCTCTATGGGGGTCAGGAACTGAGGCATATAGGCCGTAGAAAGTGTGGACTGCCACTGGCCAGTCTCTACTGGGAGTGGGGGGTGCCTCATGGAGACCAAACAAAGTGTTGACAGCTACCGGCCAGTCTCTGTCTGGATCACCGGTATTATGCGGTGCTAGGGCACATTAACTGCACCACCAGTCGACGCGAACACCACTGAAAACAAAGCGACTACACATGCAGTATGCAAATTCATGTCCAGAGACGATATAAAGAGGCAAATAGTTATACAAGACAATAGTAACCTATCTTTTCTCGACCATCAAACCAGTTGTTCACCCCCTGTCGTCGAAGCTATCTATTATATATATTTATAGAAATTCCATGGGAAAGGCCAGCAGCCAAAGGTACTCTCTTCCACCATCCACCATCACCATCTGTGCATTCAGCAATGTACGTTCGCCGGAATATAGTCTGCATTGACAAATACATTCCCTTTTCCCGCAGCTGTTTTTCTACCTACATGTATGCCCACTCCCCTACACCCACATTGCAAGCAATCGAAATGTCGAATGGCTTGTATTTGCCAATCAAGCCCATTGACGATTTATTGCCAATTTGTAAAGCCAATGCCGGAGTCCGGAGAGAAGGCCACACGGAAAAGATGGAACGCATTGGTTAACACGAATATCCATTTTAGATGATGTATGTGTTGCAAGCAAAGAGGCGCAAGCGCCCTATTTACCACTGCCCTGCCGCCCCGCCAGGTGCCAGTTGCGTCAAGCCCTATGTGTTTCCTGGTGTATTGCTCATGCTGTGGTTGGGATGCGTATCGAACAACCGCCAGGTGCAGGCGCTAGCTGCAACTGCATACAGGTAGTCGCCAAGGCAAGGGACCAGCCGGAGCAGCCCACCACGATAACCCTCCACTAGCGTCGTTATTTTAGTGCATGAAGAGTATACTCGGAAATGGCTGAATGCAGAAATCTCTGGGTACCAACAAGAAACAAGGTGCATTGTTTACAGGGGTTCTGCACATGTCGTCCTCTGGGCATCGTGAAGTACGTTACAGCAGCACTATGCCAATTGCTCATCTAGGATCTTTTGCACGGTTCACCTAGTGGAGAGAATTATTTCGCTGATGTGTTCTGGGCATGCAGAAATTTGTATTCTCCCGAGTCCACATTTGCACTTCTGCCTACCCACACCTCCCAGCGCTAGAAACTGCCGAAAAAAAGGCAAAAACATTCTTGGCAACACCAAGTGTATTAGCATATTACCCACCGCGTCCAAGAAGATATCTCCTCGGCGAGGCTCGGCTGTTTGCCAGCCAAGCCATTATAACAGGTCAAGTGTCAGGTCGACAAATACACCGGCAGAGGAGGAGTGTAAGTGTGGCCATATATATAGACCATCGAATTTACTGTATAGAACGGCGAATGGCACAGGCCGGTGAATGTCGGTGGCATCTGTCCCCACTCCTACCGCCTCCGATACAAGCACTAGCCTGCCTTAATGGCGGGAGACATGGCGATAGACACGCCAACATTTTTTGGCCTGGTGCTGCGCCCGCACTGGTCAGTGATTTTCCCTGGCCCAATTTCTAGCACCTGCGTTCGTCGTTTCTATTCTCTTCCTCTCTCACTTGGCACTGCATGCTGCGCGCAGGGAATAATCGTGCCCCATGACCGCCACTGGACACCACTCGTCGTTTCTCTGTGCCCGATTGTTTTCTGGGTATATTCGGTGGGCCTGCTGTGCCCGGCTCCCCGAGAGGCCATGTGGACACCATGTTGATCCATTCTGGGATAGCAGCTGAAAAAGGCTCGAGATTGTCCACCCATGACCCATGCTCCGCCTGAGCAACAGAGGCACCTTGCTCTGGTCCTTTTAATTTAGAGTTTCCACTCGCTGAATGCCTCCCTGGTTCTATTTTTAGATGCCGCACCGCCGCCATGCAAATACCCGAGTATACTCAGAAGGGCTCCAGGAAGGGAGCAGTGAGGGACACAAAACAGGACAAGGGGGGAGAAAGAGGTGTCATGCGCGCACGTCAGCAGTTCAAGGTACTGAGAGCTCGAGTTATTGCCCTTCGCCACCACCATGCAGAAGTTGGCGACTGTTTTCCCACATTACGTCTGGAACCCGGTCAAAAAAGTGGTAGAGCCACCTTGCGTTTAAGCAAGAAAAAGTGGAGCGAGCAGCAGGACAAGCTCAGACCAGGTGCACAAATCCTAGATATAAATACCGATGACCGTGGAAAGCACCCCGAGTTATGCCTCACACCCACATCTCACACTCGCCACTCTTTTCCCACTCCTGTACACTTGTATTTTAGACAACCATGGGCACACAAAGAGACTATCCAACATTTGACCCTCGCGGAGGAGTCACCCCAGATGAAGCACGCGAACTGTCGGATACTGAAAAACACACTGCCGCTCATGTACTTTAGCTAGCCATCACTGTAAGCGAGCCTTCCTCCAACAAAAAAGACTGTCCGATGCACCGATATAATCACTTGCCTTTCTCGCTCTTTTTCTTTCCCCGACATCCAAGCGATTCCGCCAGATGTCTTGCCCCCTCCCAAAGGAACGCTTGGGGTGCAGCTCAGCTCAGCTTTCTGTAACATTAGCATGTTTAACTCGCAAATAAAACATATTGATGAATAGCTGTCATGTATTATTCACAAAATAGGAGTTATGCACCCAATAGGGCCGCCTGTGTTGTCCCGTAGCGTGTTTCTAGCGATTAAAGCAGTAGACAGCAGGATGCACAATCACGCTTCGAGCACACCTCAGAGTTACGTTCAGCAAGCCGTTGGATCTAACTCTCGCCATCACCCACACGTGGGTCAGGAATCGGCAGATCCCTGTAGACGACGTTCGGGCGGATAGTGTGCATGGACTATGGTGCTCAAGTAGAAAGAAAATAGCTGATTTTGTAGGGGATAAAGCAGTGCAGGCAATGCGCTGCCTAACTCCCCCGTGGCCACAGGCAGCTTTATATACATGCGAAAAAGGCGTCTTAGCCAGAAGGCTGCCTTCAATTGGGTAAGAAAATGCCAGGACACAATGGATATGCACAGACGCTAGTAGGAGAAAAAAACCTGCAAATGCCCAGATGTGCATGAAGCACAAGAGATGAATTGGTCGAATCGGGGCACCCCCGTCAGGACGAGGATTCGCAGAGACAAAGTCAATCTTTTATCCTTGCTGCATATAGACCGGCACAGCAGCCAGCCGTTTTATTCCGGGAAACGGAGGGGCTCATGCCGACCAGATGGAGGTGGAAACACGGCAGTGCAAGTGCCCAAACATGTGCTTACATCACATTTCCTGCATGAAGTAGATATAAGAGGCAGGCGTGTTGCCGAGAAAAGCCCACGGAACTTGGCGGCACAAATGCGCTTTCGAATGAATGATACCTGGAATGGAAACAGGGACAGCGAGATATTACTCCATGCACAGCGAGCCGTCCATCCCCTCGGCGATCAGCCGCCCGCGGGTTCCCGCACACATACCAGTGGAGCCGCGGTTTGCTATTGATAGATCTTCACACATGGAAATATCATGGCCCGGCCCTTATTGCCGATGCACAATGTCCCGGGCGCCAGGCAATTCGCTGGGCACCAGGCGCTATTCCGCTATGCTGAATGGCGGGGCCATGGTCCCAGCCGACGCGCTGCCGATACAGTTCGCTCGACGCAATCTGCTGACTCATATCCTTCAGCCGGGCCATCCACGCTGCCAGCTACTGCCATATATCTGGTTCATAATCGCCTCGCTTGGCATCAGCTGCGCAGACGAATCTCGCAGCACGCCGTAGAGATCATCGGCCCCAGAACAGGCCATTGGAACTCCATTAGGGCCCCCAGCATGCAGCACGGCAGGCATTATACGTTGCTGAGGAGCCTGTTTCACCGCGCCAGCCGACGCTTCGGCGTCTGCATCCAATCCCATGTACTTGCTGTTTTTGGACATTCCACGGGACTCAGTCGGCACCTTGTTCGACACGCTCATAGGCACAGCAAATCGCGGGTCGGCTGGTGGGCTAAGCGCACGTGTGGTTGGCCCGGCAAATGGCATTGCTGGGATGCACAGCTGCTGGATCCGCAGTGCTTGCCATAAAGACTCGTGGTTCCAACATGCCTCCATGTTGTTGAGGAACGGAGTGCCCGCGATAGTGGGCGGTGCGGCGCGGTGATCGGTCTGGCTGGCAGCAGGGCCCTCCCCGTCGGTTTCTGGAGCCGGTTTAAACAGCGCAGACGGCGGGTTTTCCAGAGACAATGGTATCCGCGGAGTCGGGCTGCAGCAGAGCCTCTTTGCCTGTGATAGATTGCCTGCATCTGCCTCTGGCAGGTGGCTGTGCATGGCGCTTCCGCTGAGAATCAAGAAACTGTTCAAGCCTGGTACGAATCTCCGGGCAGATCATTGCAGCGGCCGGCTCTCCAAACACCGACGAGCCGATGTCACCCAGACACACAAACTTTGTAATATAGAACCAGAACTGCGGCTTCCCCGATCTTGTGACTATGGTCGGGGCCTGCGAGTAGTTTTGCTTCGAGCTCCCGGGATTATACACCTTGAGCGCGTACTTTTGGACCTGGATGATCGTATTTCGGAGCCTGCGGGTGTTGGCGCCTCCACTGCTGCGCTGCTTCTCGAACTTTGCCATGGCCTTCTTGGACAGCGCGCAGTGGATGTAGTGGACCTTGTCGGAGACCTTGCAGCCGACCCCGTAGCTGGACGACTCAGGCTCGTTCTCAACCTCGATTATTTGGAAGCGACGGCCGCCAGCCTTTTGCTCGCCGTACCGGCATTTCCACTGGGCCAGTATCGTGTCGCTTATCCAGGGCGTCAGCTCTTGGGACATTTCGAAAGAAGAAGAAAAAAAATACAAATGCGCGCGAATGGAGCAACAAAGAAGAGCTTGAGCGGAGTGGATCGGTTCGTGGGTGACTATTGAAAAATGGTTCCAGCCGAGCCACAAACACCAAAGCCGAGACGTGGATTTTTCCCATTGCAATGAGACAGTCTGGCTGTGTTGCTTATCTCCGCACTAGTTTCTACGCCTTCCTCAATTTGTATTTCTAAGCAACACCAGGCAGAAATTTGCGACATGACAACTCTTGGGCGAGTAGTGGCCGCGCTGGCATCGTGCAGCAGGATGACCAGCACACTGCCGCGCCTGGCAGTGGCAAGACCGGCCCTCGGCAAACACACTCAGAGCAGCCGCCGTCTATCTACATCGCGCGTGCTCAGTGACCAGCTCCTCAAGGTGGGGCAAGCAACAGACTTCGAGACGGTGCTGGACAGGGCTGACGGGTACGCGCAGATTAGCGGGCGCGCAGTGATTGAGGTGGCCGGCACTGATGCATCGGAGTTCCTGCAGGGGATCCAGTGCAACCACATGCCGACCATCGATCAGGGCGGGCCCGGCATGCTGACCGGGTTCTTGGCGCCGCAGGGCCGCGTCATCGCCGACGCATTCGTGTATCCGCGCAACGCGGGTGTGAACTTCCCGCACCCGGTGTTCCTGGTCGAGGTCGATGCGGCTGCCAAGGACAGGCTGCTGAAAATCATGCGGTTCTACAAGCTGCGTGCACGGATCACCATCCGCGATGCAACAGACGAATACGCAGCCTGGAGCGTGTGGGGTCCTGGCAGCCAGGCACTGGTGGGCAGCGAGGAGCCGATCGGGAAAGTGCCGCGCGGCACCCTGGTGTTCAAGGGCGAGACGACGGCATCCGGCGATGTGTGGATGGCCGACACGCGCGCGCCGGGCATGGGTCTGCGGCTGCTTCTGCCCCGCGACACAGCGCGGCCGGCGCTGCCGCCCAGCTTCGAGGAGAAGTCCAGCGAGTTCTACTCGCTGCGACGCATCCTGAAAGGTGTTCCTGAGGGCGTCTCTGACTTTGTCCCCGACGTATCGGTGCCCCTGGAGTGCAATCTGGACTACATGCATGGCGTGCACTTCAGCAAGGGCTGCTATGTGGGCCAGGAGCTGACGATCCGGACACACCACCGCGGGGTCGTGCGTAAGCGCATTGTGCCTGTCATCCTGAGCTCGCCTGAGGAGAACCCCACCGGTGCCAATCCCCTGGTTGTGGATTTTGGCTTTGCGGCACGGGTCGCCGCGCAAACAGACGTGACCAGGCCCCAGGCAGGACCGGATAAACCGCGCAGCCGCAGGGTGGCGCCAGGCAAGCTCGGCAGCTGCGTCCACAACGCAGGGCTCGCACTGATGCGCCTGGAGCTCGTCGACGCGTATGTGCAGGGCGCTGGATCGGATGTGGCATTCGAGACTGCTGACGCCAGCGGCGCCAGACTGTTTGTCTCGCCGTGGTCTCCCAGCTGGTGGCCGGCTGCCGCCGCGGATCCGTCCCCTTGAGCAAGCCAGCCCTGCCAGCTGGTCTGCAGGCCGGCCAACCCGCAAGGCATTTTCCTGCCTTTCTGCATGTGCGCAAGGGGTGCCAAGTGCCACTCGCTTCATTCCACTACTTTTCGCTCCCCAAAAATTCCCTTTCGCCCCTCGTAGAATCAACTGCTCCCCCTTCCTTTATATTTTGAAGGAGCATGTCGAGACAGGAAAATAAAAATGGAAAAATTCTTTTCTCTTTCCTCTACTCCCACTTTTATTTTCTCCTCCTAAACGCTTGTTTTTTATCCACTATTTCATTCCTGTCCCTTTTGACCTTGCCTCACCTTTTCTGTCCTGCCAGCCCACTCCCTCGAAAGATAGCGGCCGGCGTTGCCTCGTATAACCACCTCTCCACTATTTGCATTCGAGAATATACGCAATTCGCCCGCCCTTTAAAATACCTCCCGCTTCGAGCTGTATCTGCTCTCCCCGCACCGAACGCAAAACACACGCAGGGCCATGTCAAAGGTACGTACCAAACCCGCACAGGTGCCACTTTAGCCTGATATGCGTGCATACTGAAATTTTTGATTATCCGTCGGGAAAATATTGTAGACCTCGAGGAGCAAAGGCGCAGCGGCGTCAAACGATGGCAGCGAAGGTAAGGATTTTGGCGCAGCGAGCCCGCAGGAGAATGAAATGTGATTTCCTGGCATGCTAAACTCACCAATTCTATTTTACCGCCTTTTTTGTAGAGAAGCACCACAAATACAGATGCCGTGATTTGAAGCGGCAGCTCGAAGAGCTTGAAGAGGTTGGTTTTCTCTTCCGATAATGAATACGTGAACAATCGCATGTTTGGAGGGGATCGCCATTATTAACGCTTTTTCTCGTGCCTGATACTTCCCATCACCCTGCCTGTAGTACAACGAGATGCTTGCTGTCAAGCTGTATCGCTCACAGAAGCGCCTGCGCCGGATGAAGATCGAGAGAAAGTAAGTGGCGTGCGTCCAATCCTGCACCTATGTAGGTGACGTCCTCCCTTTGCATAACCACTAAACCCTAAATCTCTTTTTGGAGCTGTGTAGTTTGCTGCTCGAGCGGCTTGATCGCACTCGCCGCTACACCGACTCGGCCTCTGACTCGGACGTGCCCCTGAAGGACTCGTTTGTTCGTGCCCACATCTCCGACAACGATGCCCCCGAGCCGCAACCACGTACTGCTGCCGCCGGACGGTCGCGCCGGCGTCAAAACCCCGCAAGCGGTGTCGGTACCCCGCAGCAGCAGACTCCCTCACACTCGTCGTCGGTTGATCCCTCGACAACCACCCGCAAGTCGGGCTCAAATAAGGATCCGAATGCCCCGAAGCGCCCGGCCAATGCCTTTGTTTTGTTCTGCCAGGCTGAGCGGCCCGGCGTCAAGAACTCGAGCGTCGAGATGAGCTCGGGCGAGCTGACCCGGGTGATGAGCCTCAGATGGAAGAACATGTCCGAGGATGAGCGGAAGCCGTACTTTGAGATCTACGATCGTGAGAAACTGAGGTACGAGAAGGAGATGTCGTCGTATATTGGTGGCTCGACCAACAACGCCGTGTCGTCGGCCGCGTCGGCGACGTCCACCGCTGTGCCCTCCGCCGCAGCTGGAGATATTGCCGACCAGGCATCTACCCACGGTGATACTGAGGCTGACGTTGAGGCACCGCCTCTAGACGCCAACACATCCACAGCTGCCCCATCTATCGATGGTGTAGACCTGTCAGCAAAGAGCGTGGTAGAGGACTCCAAGCCTACAGCGGGCGATGACAACCAGACCCATAGCAACGGAAAGGATGCTGAGGCGCAGCAGCAGGAGCAACAGGGAGAGCAGCAGCCATCGCCACCCCCTGTGGCCAACGGATCATCAGCCAGCACGGCCATTGTCGGTGCCATTGATAGTGCTGCCGCGGTAACAACCGAAACGGTGGAAGCAGCTGAAACAGCTGAGGGCAGTAATATTGCTCAAGAGGCTCCGGTTCCGGAATCTACGTCAGACACGGGGAATGAGCCGCCTCCACTTGCTACTGCACCGACTACTGCAGACGACGGAACTCCAAAATATCCGGCCGATAACCAAATTCACGAGCCACCACATGTAAGCAACGTTAACAAAATACTGGCTAACGATATGCCACCAGCCGAGCTATCGGCTTCGCAACAGAACGGGGTTGCAGACCAATGAGCGCCTTTTTTAAATAGATATCTTTTTACCATTGCCGCACATGGGCGAGGTTATTCAAAGCAAGCAAATGACAGCATCATTAGTGCCCAGCAGTAGAGTGCAACTAGTATGTCGCTAACCACCTAGTGGGTAGGCGTACCAGCTGAGCCCAATGTTGGAAATAGTCGAAAACAAGAGTGGAAAGAGAGAAGGGGTTTGCGCATTTACCGCCGGTGTGTTGGCACGGCTGATGACTGGTAGGCTGGTAGGCTGGCCTTCTAGAACACCGTATATGGTTCGTCTTTCTGTGTTGCCACAAATCCAGGGCCGCAGCCCTCGCACCAGGCTGTCTGAGCTAAAGGCTTATCTGGGATAGTTTTGGAGCTGCTGTTGTCAACTGCCCCCACGAGGGAGCAATACATTCAGTTCAGCCATATATTAATCTGTTATCCGAATTTGCTCCCTGCGATCAACGCGGGTGGAAACAGCTGATGTGCTTGAAACTTTATGCTATTATGCCGCTGCTCTCAGCACGCTGTCTATTTCTGCTGTATAACTAATCCTAATTCCTCTATCCACGCCATAGTGCGTATGCAAGGGTATAGCGGCTGCACGATATAGCTTAGCACACGTCAGTATAGTTGTAGGTCTTGGGAGCTTCTTTACCGTCACTAGCTTTGTATCACCCGAAATCTACCAGTATCCTAACGCTGTCATCCCTCAACAATAAATCCGAAGGATGCATATGACAAACAGCTTCGCTGGCATATGGCTAATATTTCCGTACCGGCCCAACAACGACGGTGTCGGCTCATTCATGAAAGTTGCGTATATATGCATATATAAACATGAGCTGCTTGGTGATATTAGTCGCTGGATATGAGCGCCTCATTTTTCACACCAATATTATAATTATCCGGTCTGTTCGGTGCTTCCTGTTGATGCAGATATGATTTAGAACAAGTCTTTTCAATCTTTGTCAACTTCACCCGAGACTGTCACCAGTAGCCTTTTATAGCCACACCGGCCAGCTGTCAAGAGGGCAATAAAGAAAACTAGAGCGAATTGCGCGTTTCTTAGCAGCCAGACCCCGTACCAGTACAAGAGGCTCGCCACAGCCAATGGCGGAACAGATTGAGACGTGATTCACAACCTCACATTTGCATGTTTAACTAGTAGAGATTCTACGTGCGCCTCTTCTTGCAGATGTGGCCCACAGGGTCAGACTTCACATCACGCAGCGTGTCGGCCGAAAAGCTACTGATCGCCTTACGCTCCGTCTCAACCTTGGTACGCATCTGGTTCTCGAGTGACGGCCGCTTCTTCGCGTCCTTCTCATCCATGATCTTGTTAGCCATATCAATCCATTCGCCACGTCTGGTTACGCCGTTATCAAAGTGCGTCTCAAACTTGCTCTTTATGCCCTGGAAATGCAGTGCTTCGCCGCCCGTGATCTCTTTCTTCTCCAGAGCCTCCAAGTCGCCAAACATCTTGGCCAGGTCTGTCTTCACTGTATCCAAGGTCGACTTTTTCTTATCCATATACGATTTGACGGCATCAAACTTGTCCTTGTCTTGCAGCGACGAACCCGGATACTTGGACATGAACATTTGCATCTTGAGACCGTTGACTTTGGATCCAATGACCTGCAGGTTTTTCGGTCCATTGATGTATCTGCGCACGCGGCTGTTGAACTCGGGGTCGACTTTCTCGATTCGCTTGCACATTTTGTCGCGCTTGGTTTTGTCCCGGACACCGGTGAACCGCATAAAATCGTTGAGCTCGTAAATGTGGTCACAGTTGGGCTTGTGATCCAGCTTTTCGAATCCATTGAGTGCCAGCGGCGGCTTGGACTGCAGGAATCCAGTTTGCACAACCCGACCATCGGAGCAGGTCAGCGACTTGTTGTTTTTGCGGGTTTGTGTCGTGGAGGGCACTTGGCAGAAACACTATGTAGCCATAATTAGCAATACTCAGTATTTCTGGAATTTAAGCGGCATGCATATATACTTACGTAGCGGTAGTCGTCCTTGTCCGTGTATCCGCGCAATTCGTGCGTGCTAGTCATGTCAAATATGCACCAGTCCTTGTCTCTGGTGGGTGAAGACTTTCTGATTACCCCCTGCGGGTGCTCGTACTTGTCGGATTCATCAAACCCTGTAATCCCCAGTGTCGAGTTTGTTGCCAGCAGACTAACCCGTGCTGCTGTGCCAGCCAGGTCCGGTATTTCAAACTGGATAATCTCGCCTACAGTTTGCAAAAATACAGTCAGTGCATGTAGCTAACAACTATACTCCTTGTTCAACTTACTTGCTGCATCGCATCCAGACTCCTTGATCAGTTTCTTCGCCTTTTCCAGCTTTGGCACCAGCCGTCTAAATAATGCCTGCACAGGCTTTGGGAACGACCCCCATGCACGCCTGAACACCAGCTTTGATGCCTGCGCGCCCTCGTCAACCAGCCGGATTGCGTTGCGGATGCCAGGCAGCTCCGCCAATGTATTCATAGCCCGGGCCATTTGTGTCTCAATGCTTGCGACTGCCCTTGCAGCACCAATAGCTTCGAGCCCCATGGTGATGGCCTCGCCAACCAGTCCGACAGCAATGTCAATGATCCCCCCGACCACCGCACCAACGACCAGTTCTATGAAGAACAGCGCAATGAATTTCGCTTCCTTTTTCTTCTCCTCTACCCACTCTCGATACTGGTAGAACTGGTCCAATGTATCATTGCCAGACTGTGTTCTGGCAATGGTCTGCACAACACCCTGGTACAGCGTGTCTATGTCTGTGGTCTGCAGTTCGTGCCTAAACCGCATGTCGTCGAGTGATGCCGATGCACTGTTGATGAATGCTGTTAGGAGCTCGCCGGTCTTTGGAGGATAGTCGTCCTTTAGACCTGGAATCTTGTTGACCGCCGAGAGACACCCGGCTATATCACGAGTGCTGCCGACCACCGATAGGTCTGCGGCAGGTGACGTGCCATTTGGAGTGTCGCGCATAATTGGTGGTGGACAGTAGAAGCCGCGGTCATCGGTGAACTTTGTTCCCATGACAAGCATGTCGTGAGAAAGACCAAGCGTTTCGTTGATATACTTGTCGAAGGCATGGACCGAGTTGTCGTCATCATTCAGTATGAACTCGGCTTCGTTCCACCAATCTGCCTCCTTGGGGCATTTCTTTGGCTTGTGTTGATACATGCTAAAGTAAACAAAATCGTCAGAATATTTGCCGTGCTTCGTTATGGAATTGCTCTCTGTGTACTTACTCTTTGCATGTAAACCATTCGCCGTGCTCGTAGCACACATCGGCAAGCTATGAGATGTTTTGGTTAGCGACACAGCATTAGTTTTACATGCTGAGGAAACACTAGCTTACCTGTTCATCAACCCTCCCACGCATATATTTCTGATACTTCTTTTGCCACTTTCCCTTCATATCCTGGTCCTTCAGATCCTCCTTTGCCGTGTCAATCAGCTGCTGCATCATGTGTGTTCCAGCAAGCAGATAGAGTTGGTAAATGCGTTCTGGCGCCAGTCCACCCACCTCTTCTACAACACTGTTCACTTCATCAAAGACGTTGTCCCAGAAATCGTCCCGCATGTACTTTTTCTCGCGGAGACTCATGCTGACTTTGATTCGCTTCAAAAAGTTGTCGTCGCTGATATCTCCTACATCCTGAATTTCGAAAAAGTCGAAAAACACGTCCTCGTCATCCTCATCTTCCTCGCCGAATGTATCGACGCCATCAGACCCATCCAGCGGCTGGTAAGGAAGCCCAGAAACTGCAGAAATGAGCGACCCGTAGCGGTCGTCAAGATCGATAGCCCAGATGCTGACTCCACCGAGACACAGATCTTTCGCTTCTTTGAGTTTTGCCTTTAGCGATACTTCGCTGTCATACGAGACGTAGTCGTTGTAGCCATAGAGCATTATATTGACGAGTGCCTGCTCATCATATCGGACGTGGTAGGCCTGCCTGTTGTCAAGCATATCTTTTATCTCTCCGTATGAGATATAGCCGCTGGTCTCTGTGCATTCACCAGGTGTGCCTCCAGTGGAAAACATGCATCCAGGATTATTACACGCCGGGTCTCTCATTGCAAACGATCTAATTGTATGACAATGGCTTTGTGATATTTCTTCTTCTGTGCCCTGCTATGTCCATGATTCTCGTTAACTTACCTTCCATAGAAGCCGAGACCCATCATAATCTTGTTTGACGATACTCCAGCCCGCTCAATGATTTTGAGCGCGTCTCTGATTTCGGTCATGTTAGTGTGTGGGTTGAGATAAGGGCCAAGGGACGTGATGTTTGCATCCCATGTGCCATGTAGGTCATATGACATGAATATGATATAGTCAAGGTACTCTGTCATTTCCTCAATTCTAAACCCGCGCAAATACCAAGGACTGGCTGGGGCAGCAATGGACAGCGATGCCTTTCCAATCTTTTCTCGTAGCTCTTTAATCCATGTGAGATAGTTGTCGTAATCGGGCTTGCGGCCGCCATGTTCACCAGATGTCGGGTACTCAAAGTCGATGTCAACGCCGTCAATGAGACCCTGCTCGATCCACTGCGAGATGGCATCGTTGAATTTTGTGCGGCGGTCTGATTTGGATATTAAATCAGAAAAGCGGTGCTCTGTCGGACCTGGGTCATTGAATGCCCACCCACCAACTAGACATGCAGGTAGAGGGTTAGCTACAGCGGTGAATGGCAATGCGAATAGCAGAGACCTCTCGAGCTACTTACATGACAGAATTATTTTTAGATCCGGGTTGATCTGTTTCATCTGGTGCATCTCCTGGAGCTGCACTGCCTGGTCATCATCGAGTGTAGGTAGAAAGCCGCTGCTGACATTTCCAAATGCATAGTGTATGTGTGTGAACTGACGAGGGTCAATCTTGTCGAATTTGTACTTGTGGCAGGTGCGGTTGACGGCCCAGGATTCGTAGTAACCGATTCTTTTTGACAATGTGCCTGAGCAAATCTTTTTATCCTTTGGCCAGCTCATGTCGCAGTTACTCTGACATCCGGTGCCTATAGCACCAGTTGGCTTTTTGCAAAACACCTCGTCGAATCCACAATATCCATACTCTGAGCAGCAGAGTTTCAGTGGACATGTCTTGTTTCCCTTTGATGTGAGACCGCACTCTGCTTTGGGGTCGACTTTGGGCAGCGGTGGTGTGCCGGGTGAAAGGCAAATGCCCATCCCAAGCTGGAGCCCATTGCATCCGGTCCACTTCCAGGTGCTATTGTTAAACCCTTCAATATCGGATGGTGACAGATCAAGCGGCTTGCCGATGGAGTAGCAAGTATCACCAGAAGTTACGTTGTGAGCATAGCAGGATCCATCTTTGTTCTTGTGAGGCTTCCTTGAGGGAAGCATTCCGGGAGTAACACAAAGCCGCTGGTCAACCATCAGCATGTTGCAGTCCAGGCCAATATTGAATAATTTCAGCCCAAACACCGAGATTTTGGCTTCCTCTGCAATCTTGTCACAGTAATCGCCTGGTTTTACCGTATAAACACGGCATTCGTTAGCACGCTCATTTGCAATAGGATCACCAGCAATAATGCCGGCGAGTGCTAACAGAATACAATACAAAAAGTAATGCATGGCTAATGTTTTTCTTAAGAAACTACCTGACGTAGAAATGACAGAAGGCAAGGCGGGCCAGGAGTGCACAGGAGGCCCCTTTATATCTTTCCAGTATATACTGATGGCTGCTTATCACAAAAGATATCCGTGCTGCACATCGCTGTGGCTGACTGTACACTGGTGAATCGACATCATGTCATAGTAGCATATACTACGCCAGTATAAAGGCAACCATGTATAATTAGTGGCGTGTATAATGGCGTATTGGCATGATGTCTTGCTGATCCTGATTTTGACTGCGGCAGCAGTGCTGCATGGGAAGTGTGACTTAAATGTAATGGCGGCTATTGCTCGGACATCGATATCGATAGGTTATACAAAGTGAGCATTGAGGCAGTTTGTTGTGCCACAAGTACCCTTACAACTTGACAGCTAGCGGTGTTTTTAGGTAGGTATCAAATGCATGTAATTACTCTGTCTGCATGAAGGTTCTGGGTATATTCTCCTTCACGGCATCCACCCCTAGATTCCAACCTGACATAAACACATATCTAGGCTATTACTGCCCAGGATACCTTGGATAATTAGGCACCAGGAATGGTGAGAGCGGCAGCATGGTGACGAGAACCTACTGAAAGTACCGTGGTCGGCAAGCGTTGTCCTGAAAGTAAAAATGTCTGAAGTATTGGACGTAGCATTGAACCACCTTGCAACCTTCAGCGAGGGTGACACCGTTTCGCCTATATTTAGCATATGACATCATAATCTGCTATATAAGCACGATTGCTCCTTAGTCAACCGGTATATCCAGCATGGTCTGTGGACAGCTATCATGCCTGGAAAGTTCCAAACAGCTGCAGCAATCTATTTTGGCTGCGTGAGAGCCATTTTGCAGCGTGATTTCTCGGTGCTACAATATCCCGGAACCGCTTACTCGGATATGCATGCTTACGTAGCATAATCCATATGCTCCGCAGGGATATGCGGAATATTTATTTTTAGAATCTCCTTGGTAGTTGCTGTACTTATAGGGTATGCCATTTAGCATGGTCGACATGTACAAAGGTGCATGTGGGGTGTGATTGGCAATGCCATGCGGTCATAGTTGCTGGTTAGTGGCGATTGCTAAAAATAGATGTTGCACTGTCGGACTCTGAAATGATCTTTATAGCTATCTCTACGTGAGATATAAAAGGGTCCCGCCACGCCTCCGCTCTGTCCCTTCGATATCAACACACAAACACACAAGCACAAGCGCCAACACAAACACGGACATCCAAGTACTACTATCTACCCTCCCTTTTAAAAATGAAGTTTATTGCCATCGCGTCAGCCTTCCTCGCCTCTATCGTATTGACCAGTGCCTACCCTATCCAGAAGGCTAGTGTTATCAACTGTCGCTCCTCGCCAAGTACATCTGGCAAGGTGGTGAAGACATACAAGCTCAACCAGGACATCAAGATCTCGTGTCAGGCCACAGGGATAGACGTCAAGGGCAACACGATCTGGGACAGGACCATGGATGGCTGCTACGTTTCTGACTACTACGTCAAGACAGGAAAGAATGGTTTTGTCGCTAAGAAATGCAGCGGCGGGGACAGCAAGCCTAACCCCAAGCCTACAGGCACGTACTGCAAGGGCATCAATGCCAGGGCTACTAAGCTGATCAAGTCTTTCGAGAGCTTCGTGCCGCAGCCCTCACCCGATCCCTCAGGCTTCCAGACCGTCGGATACGGCCACAAATGCCAGCAGGAGGGATGCAAGGAGGTCAAGTACAAGTTCCCGTTGACCCAGGCCACGGCCAGCGCACTGATGAGCCAGGATGTCGCTGTCCACACGGCGTGCCTTGCCAAGTTGCTAAAATCCAATGTCAAACTGAACGACAACCAGTGGGGCGCGCTCACTTCGTGGGTGTTCAACATTGGGTGCGGCAATCTGGCTTCGTCGGAGTTGACCGGCCGTCTTAACAAGGGAGAAAACCCGAACAAGGTCATTGACAGCGTGTTCCCCAACTGGCGCTCGTCCAAGGGAAAGATCCTGCCGGGCCTTAAGAGGCGCCGTGACGAGGAGATGCGGTTGGCTAAGGTTCCGTCCAAGAAGCAGGCGTTCCCGAGCTGCAAGTAAACCAAAGCCCCATTTCAAAAATGCAATTAGCTTTTCTCCTTCAGCAAACCAAGTAAATAGGTCAAACACACTCGCTAGACCGAACTTGGCTGTGCGTGCTGCTACTATACACAACAAAGCGCAGATCATGGATCGCTGTGGATGAACACGACATCAGCGTACATCTTATCTGCTAGGGGACCGGCAGTCCATAGAATTCAAGAATCGAAGGTTGAGTTTCCGAGAAAAAAGTATATTTTTCCTTCTATAGGAGAAAAAAGTGGAAGATAAAAAGTGTAAAAAGCTAGAGCTAGAGATTGGCCTGGGAGGGAGGTGAAGGGAGGAAGCGGCGGATTGGCAGTGTGAAGGAAGGGGAGGATGAGGAGACAGGCAGCCAAAAAAGATGTATGCGGAGGGAGGCTACTGAAGGGAGCGGGAAAGAGGGCTAACTTTTGAGGGAGGGCTATGGTACAGGGCAGGCGCGAGAGACAGCGGTATCGCAAAGGGAGGGGGCTGGAGTAGCGCGCCTATTGCTTCTTGGGCTGCTCAGCACCGTTCGCTTGCTGCTCGCCCTCTTCCTCCTCCTTGGGCTCGGTGTCGTGGATAATCTCCAGCATGCGGGCCTTGGTCATGTTGTTAACCTTGGCAAACCGCGTCTGGCACGCCGAGCGGTACGTGTAGGCCTTGCCGGGATCGCAAATGCATTTTGCGTGCATGGCGGGGTCGCGCGGGCAGTGCATGTTGCCGGGGTGCTGGTAGCCAATGTCCTCGAACCAGTGGATCTGGCCCTTGTGCAGGAGCAGGGTGGCGGCAATGGAGTGGATCGGGGCGTCGCCCCAGCGCTCGTAGAAGAAGCCCTGTGCGTCGTCGAGGTAGTTGAAGTATGACTCGTAGGCCTCGCTGCGGTACAGCGACAGATCGACAATCTCAAAGTTGGACCAGAAATGGCACAGGTTGTAGTTGCCGTCGGTGCCCATGACCCAGTTGACCAGCGAGTTCTCGGGCAGCAGATGCGGGTTCTTCTTGATCCACTCGCGTGTGTGGTGCCACAGAGTCTCGACCGTCCGGCGGCCCTCGCGCGGCGCAATGGTAAAACCGTACTTGAGGCCCTTCTTCTTCATGTAAACGAAGGGGTCGTAGTCGATGTCGCAGTAGTACTCGACGTCAGGCTCCAGGCGCCAGTACCAGTCCAGGTCGGCCACCAGCGGGTGCTTGTAGAACAGACCCGACTGGAAGCGGCACATGAAGCGGTATGACAGCGAGCCACCGTACAGGTACCGGTTCTTGTTGTACTCGAGCTTCTCGGCGGTCTTCTCAGGCGTCACACTCTTCGAGTAGCCCCAGTAGGTCTCGTTCAGCGTGCCAAAGCGCAGCTCGTTCTTGGTGATCGCCGAGATGCCGTCCTTGAACTCTTGTGTGAACGGCTCATCGTTCAGCAGCACGTACGGGTACTTGAACCGCCGGTTGAAGCGATCCTCAAACATGCGCATGCTCTTGCGCAGGCCGTTCAGCTCAGAGTTGCGCACCAGCACAACGATGGCGGCGTTCACACGCTCGCCGGCAACTGGCTCATCGTACGAGATGCGGGCAGGCGGAATTGAGTCGGTAGTGATCCCGTACATGTCTTTCTGCTCCTGCTCCTGCTGCTGTTGCTGCTGCTGTTGGCTGCCCTTGAGGATGTTTGGCAGAGGCAGGCTGGTGCGCAGGTTGGCGGTTGTCTGGGTACCGAGCGAGTGCGAGACCAGCCACAGCGTGAAGCAGACCGTTACCGAGGCAGCCAGCATCACGCCGAGCTTGTACATGCGTGCGGTGGGCGTGAACCCGGTAATCTTGGGAATTCCCATGTTGCTGGAATTGGAAATAATAAAACGAGTGGAAATAGAAGGGTTGCAAGGAAAGAGACGCAGGACAGGGGAGCAGGCGGGCTACCAAGAGGGAAAGAAGTAAATGCGCGTATGTGTGTTTGTTATTCCGTGGCGCTGTTCTACTGGAATTTTTCAGCCAAAAGAATAGAGCCCAGTCGTCAAGCGGCGGCACCCAGAAGAGACAATATGCGGGCGAATAAATAAGAGGAAGCGAATGTTTTCGTGAAGAGAAAAAGAAAGAGAGTTCCTCCTGGCTCTGCGGCCAGCGGGTACATCAGTGCGTCCTCGCCGAAGGTCCAGAAAATCAACCGTGTCCCAAGAAGAAAAAAACACTTGGGGAGGGGGTGCATTTGGGTCGCCGAGGGGAGAAGATCGGCGACAGCGGTGATTCGCTGAAATAGGCGGAATCGATGGCGAGGATGGGGTGGACTTGTGTGCTGACTGGCAATGTGCAGGCGCAAGAACCAGTGTGTAAGCATGCAGCCTTCCGCCGCATGGGCATGGGCGTGGGCACGTCGCACGCTTGGATCTTGATTTGGCGGGTCCATCGTCTGTTGAGTAACATCAGAAATAGACCGGTCCCAAAACTTTGCGGCCTGTCCGGTGGTGCGATGGACTGCCGATTGCCTGATCTGATCGGGCTTTGATCGAAAACGCTAGTGGGCACGGCTGACCAACTCGAGTTTCAGCCAGGCATTTTCCATTGCGCCTGGGGCAGCATACTCCAGCACCACCTCAATTCAGCGCGCCTTTTTGTATAATTTCCATTAACGCTTTTTCAGTTCCAAGTGCAAAAACATGAGTAAGTTTGCGATTCGGCCTCGCTAGGACCGCTAGCGCAGCATTCTCTGAAGCGGCAGCCGTGCTAACCTTTCGCACCGCATGTAGTCAACGAGCTCAGCAGCACGGATTCGGACTCGGAGTTTGCCAAGTACTGGGTGGAGTGGTTTATGTCGCTGGAGGGCAATGAGTACTACTGCGATGTGGATGAGGACTACATTCTGGACCGGTTCAACCTGACAGGGCTGAATTTCGAGGTGCCGCACTACCAGAAGGCGCTGGAGCTGATCACGGACCGGCTGCCGGATAAGCCCATGTCTGACGACCTGCGGGACCAGGTGGAGCGGTCGGCAAAGCACCTGTACGGGCTCATCCATGCACGCTACATCATCACGGCGCGCGGGCTGGTGAAGATGCTGGACAAGTACAAGCGCGGCGACTTTGGGCGGTGCCCGCGCGTGTACTGCCAGGGCAACCAGCTGCTGCCGGTGGGCGTAACTGACATTCCGAACCAAAAGGCGGTCAAGCTGTACTGCTGCCGGTGCGAGGACGTGTATAACCCAAAGTCGCGTCGCCACAACATGATTGATGGGGCACATTTCGGCACCAGCTTCCCGCACATGCTGTTCCAGGTGTACCCGTCGCTGAAGCCTGCGCCCAGCGACCAGCGGTATGTGCCGAGAATCTTTGGGTTCAAGCTGCACAACATTGCTGAGCTGCACAGGTGGCAGGACGAGCAGCGCGAGCAGCAGAAGCAGCGGCTCACTGCCGACAAGAAGTAGCTCTGTCCCGCCTGGCGGTGGTGCCCACAGGGTATCGTGCAGATTTCTTAGACATGAAGTGGTTCTTGTTCTTGTGCTAGTTGAAGGCGGTAATATACAGCTTTTTCCGTGTGTAATTGGACTGATGACTGATGCTTCGAGGGGGTCCACAGCTAGGAGGAAACCGGGTGCGGCGTTGTTGGCGATTTTCAGCATGGCCACGATACCAGTTATAAAGTCACGCAATGGCTTCTCATCCTTCCCCTCTTCTCCTCCGCTATACACGTTTTTTCCTACTGCACTTTCTATCTCCATATTATTTCTAGCATTCATTCCTGTATTCCTTTATGTGTAAGATGATTCCCGATGAAAAGAAGCCTGTGCCTTGGGGACTGCCGCCTCTGCGGTCCGAGGTCCTTGCGCGCCAGTCGGCCGAAGCGGCACCAGCGTCGTCGCAGCCTCCAGGCGGCACCACGCACACCACCAGCACGCACAGCGAGCACGCGTCCATCGACATGGGTGAAAAGAGATCGTCCATCGACCTGAACGAAAAGAAGCCGTTCATCGACACCCCTCCCTACGAGGATATCGGTGAGCCAGCCCTGGCCGTCTCCAGCAACGGTTACACGCCGCTGGCTCCGCGTCCACTGGACAGCAGCGTGCCCGGCAGCTCCAAGCGCCTGATGGTACTGGCAGGCGGGCTCTTGATGATTGGCGGACTAATCGCATTCATCAAGTGCGGAATGTACGACCCGACGAAGATAAACCCAGCGACCTTCACGCCGACGACTATCGGTACAGGCACCGAGACGCTGCTGACGGTCGAGAACCTGCTTGACGCGGGGTTTGACGAAAACAACACGGTTGCGTGGGACCGGCTGGCGGAGATGACAGACCTGTATGGGCACCGCATGACGGGCAGCGACGGATACGACCGGAGCGCCGAGTGGGTCCTCAAGACAATCAAGCAGGAGGACACGAATCTGACGGCCTGGGCCGAGCCTGTGTGGGTCAACCAGTGGGTGCGCGGCAGCGAGTCGCTGCGGCTGTTTGCGCCCACGCGGCCCTCGGGCTTCATCGACATCCCCGTGCTCGGACTCGGCAACTCCGTATCTACCCCACCGCAGGGCATCGAGGCCAAGATCATTCCCGTGCACTCGTTCGAGGAGCTGGCAGCGCTTGGCTCCGACGTGATCTCGGGCAACATCGTGCTGTTCAACATGCACTTTTCAGGATACGACAGGGTAGTGAAGTTCCGCGGTGGCGGCGCCCAGCAGGCAGCCAAGCTCGGCGCGCTTGCTGTGCTGGTGCAGTCGGCGACGCCTGACTCGTCGGTGGACTCGGTGCATACGGGCAACTCGATCCGGGCGTCAATCCCAGCAGCATCGGTCTCGCCGGCCGATGCCGGGCTCATTGAGCGCATGTACAGGCGGGCGCTTGCAGGCAAGTCTGCCGACCACGTGTTCCCGCGCGCCAAGCTGGTTATGAACAACAAGTTCACCGAGTCCTCCAAGCAGTCGTCCAACATCATCGTTGACTTCAAGGGCGCCGAGTACCCGGACGAGATCGTGCTGCTGTCGGGCCACTTTGATTCGTGGGATGTCGGCGTCGGTGCTATGGACGACGGTGCCGGTGCGTTTTTGGCCTGGGAGGCCGCGCGGCTGATCGCCAAGGAAGGCCGTGCGGCGCGTCGCACGATCCGCGTCGTCATGTGGAACAACGAGGAGACGCTGCAGCGCGGCGCCAACGCATACCTGGAGGCACACAAGGACGAGATCCACAAGCACCGGTTTGCGTTTGAAAGCGACATTGGCGTGTTTGAGCCCTGGGGGCTGGCTGTCCAGGCCGACAAGAAGCTGGTCAGCAACCTGGTCAACTACGGCCAGGATCTCATCAAGGTCCTGGGCGCTGGCAACATCACGGTCGTGGAGGATGCGCCTGGCGAGGACATTATGGGTCTGTGCAATGCCGGCGTGCCGTGCGCGGGTGTGTTAAGCCTGAGCCCCGAGGGCAACCTGACCCCGCTGGAGCCGCACTGGGAGGACCATTACTTCCGCCACCACCACGCCAACAGCGACCGTATGGAGGTCATTGATGCGGGCCAGCTCAGGCGCAGCGCCGCGGCACTGGCTGCCTGGGCGTATCTTGTTGCGGACATGTTCTAAATCTTTCTTTTAAATGTAGACCTGCTTCATGTGCTTTGAAATGTCAATCTCCTCTGCGTTGCTCGCGGCTGTCGTTGTCGTCGCCTGTTGCTGTTGCTGCTTTTGGTGCGCCTTGCGTTTCTTGATCTTGGCCATTTCCTTGCGCTGCTTCTTCGACTCGGCCTTCTTTTGGCGTGCGGCACCTTTTGTTGGCTTCTTTGACACTTTTTGTGAGTGTTGCTCGTGTTGGTCCTTGTGTTCCTCGGACTCCTCCGACTCCTTTAGTTCTTTTGGCTCGATTGGCTGATCCGGACCATTGTAGTTTGCTGGTCCGTCTGTAGCCCACCAAGAGCTGTCGTCTTTGGCCATCCACTCTACCAGTGCCTCAATCACTTGGTCCTGGTCCTGTTCCTGCAGTAGACGGCGCACCAGCGCATGATTCAGCACGCCAGTCGAATCCATGACAATCTTCTCCATCGGCGTCATGGGCGAGCTCTCATCCGCTGCTCTTCTTGCAAAGTCGTCATCCGAATCCCCGCCATCTCCAGGCTCCGGAGCTGCTACCTACACATGGGAGACCGCCGCGCATTTTATTCCAAATGGCATTCACTACGTTTTTAGTCTACATTATAATACAGTGTGCGCGCGAGTCATGCGTGCTTGGGCGCGCCTTCACCGCGGCCTTTGGCAATACCACGCCTGCCTGGTCATCCAGCGGCGGCGCAATGCTGTCCTGACTACTTGCTTTAATCTTTGGCAGGCCGTTGTGCGGGCCATGCCGGTTGCGCACCGACGAGTAGTGCTCGTACGAATGGTAGGCGATATGCACCGGCGGCATATTGCGCTGCGTGCTGTTGGGCTGGTCGGACGGCGCCCCGCTGATGACAAACACGTTGCCGCCGAGCTGGTACACTTTTATGTCGACGCGGTAGTTGCGCGCAAACGCCACCAGCTCCAGATTGCCCGCAAACACACCCAGTCGCCGCATATTGTACACATACTGCGGAAACGGCTGCGATTCGTCGATGAACGGCGCGAATTCGTCCGCATGCTGATCCATGTAGTCGCACACGGCTACGCGGTGCCGCGAGTGCGTATCAGGGGTCCCATCCACCTGGTCCGCCAGGGCTCTAAGTAATGCCTCGTTAAATGAAATGCAGGTGTCTATATTTAGGGGCTTCAATGAAGCCGTTGTGGTTAGGTTACCTGAATAGGCAGTTGCCGTCACCATCCATTTCCTTGCAGTACAGCCCGATCTTCTTCAGCGCCCGGTTCAGGCGGGTGAAATCGTCGTAGCCATGTGTCTCTGGGTCAAAGTTCTATATAAAAAGAAGCGTATCTTCAGCATTCACATTGCAGCCATCACGTACACCCGGTAGAGGGACGAGGCGGTGTCCGGGCAGTTTCCACAGCTTACCCTGACCAAGTGCTTTTTTCCTTTCACTAGGGCAAAAAAGCGATAAAAAGTGTGTTGATAGTGTTAGCGAGTGAGCACGAGCCGGAAGATGTGTGATAGACAGGGCGGATGGGTCTGCTGAGGTTACGTACTTGAGCTGTGTCGTTTTGAGCCCTGGCCTTCAGAATGCGTTCGAACCATTCAGCGGAATTGGCGAAATAGAGAAAGTGTAGGTGCAAATTTCCAACCGAGATAAACCTAATAGAGGCAAAGAGAGGCGGAAGGAAGCAAGATGGTGGCTGCTCACCCAGTTGCAAACAGGAGGCTATAAAATTGGGGAGGACGGGTATTGATGCCGGCGTATTGAGTGTGCGGAGAGAGCCCGCCAATTCCTTCCCCGCTCCAAGAACATAGTAGCTTTATTCACAACAAAATTCAGCGCACAGGAGCTAGATCCAGCATCAGACCACTGGCACTGGCTCCCAGCAGCGCCAGGCCGGCATTCGGCAGCACAGGCTTCGGAAACACGTTCCAGAACCGCAGGGTCTCGTCGGGCGCCGCAGTCACCACAGTCTGGCCATCAGGGCTATGCGCCATATACAGTACACGGCCCGTATGGCCACGTAACACACCCACGGGCTTCATGGCCGGGTAATCCCACACGACAACGTGGTTCTGCGAGAACCCATGCGAGCTGACGAGCTCCGAGCCATCCCTGGCCCAGCTCAGATTGCAGACCTGCGACCCCGAGTCCGTGCACGAGACCTGACGGCCAGTGGTTGAATCCCAGAACCGGATGGTCTTGTCGCCGGAGCCGCCGCCGCTAGCCAATAGGCCGCGACGCGTCGGCGACCATGCCAGGGCCTTGACAGCGGCAGTATGGTGAGTGAGACGGAAGAGCGGGCGGCGGAACATACGGGCGCCGGGGGCGATTTCGGGCTCGTCGACGTGCATCAGCGCATTCAGCGGGGTGCTTCGGATATCCCAGATCAGCAGCTGGTTGTCGTTGCCGCCGCTGGCCAGCTGCGTCTTGTCGGGCGACCAGCGCAGACCGCAGACCTCCTGCATATGTCCATAGTACGTCGACACAACGGCGGCCTGGCGCATGCGCGTGTCGCGGTTTATAATGCGCTTGTCGCGGCTGCCGGAGCTGATGGTGGTGGAGTTCCAGTCGAGCGAGCCGACGCGACGCGTGTGTCCAGCAAAGTCTCGGATCTTCACGGATCTTTCTGTATCCCAGATTTGCACGGTTCCGGAATTTGTGCCGATGGCGAGGTGGCGCCCGCGCTCGGCCCATTTCACGGATGTTATCTGGTCATCCGAGTCGAACAGCTCACGGACATGGCTTGTCCTGGCGTCCCACAGGAATACAGCCGAGCCGAGCGCCACAGCAACCTTGTCCTTGATCGACCAGTCGAGCAGGTTCAGGTAGTAGTCGTCGCTGATGCCAGGCGCATCCAGGACCTTGATGGGGTCGCGCGGCAGCCGGCGGACCGCGGGTTGCGGCTTGAGCATGCGGCGGGTCTCGGGCTTGACTGGCGACATCTGGTACGCCTCGTGGACCGGTGAGGCGCGGTCTAGCATAGTGCGGCCGGACTTGGACAATGTGCGGCGTGGCGACTTGTACGCAAACACCGGCGAATGCCCGGGGCTGGCCGGCGGCGTATTGGGCCGGCTACTGCCCGCCTGGCTGCTCGACCAGGGCATGGCCAGGGAGGGCAACTGGGGAGAGGTCGGCGGCAGCTGGGCGCGCAACGCCCGCCGGGTGATCGGCGATTTTGGTTTGGGTGCATTGGCTATTGGCGTGTGGTCGTTGAGGAGCTCGGAGCGCAGCATCGCGTCGTAGGTGCGGTTTGCTGTGTCGGTTGCTATGCGCTGCTCTAAAAGCAGCCCGCTACCGGCAATTGTGGGCGAGCTAGCGCGCACAAGCCCAATGTAGTCGGCCGCTTCGTTGGCGCGTGTTGGGATGAACCGGTCGTAGTTGAACTGCGGCGACCGTCGCACGTACCGGCTGGTCGGGCTGCTGCTGTGGTTAGGCAGTAGTGGCGGGGTTGGCTCTTGGAGCTGCTGCTGCTGCTGCTCGGCTTCACGCCGCCGTGCCATTGATCGGGTTACGACGCCTACCGGGTCGCTGGCATCGGATGCGCTACTTCGGTGCCGAGCACGGGGCTCTGAGGGCTCGCTGCCGCTGTTTTCGTGGAACGAAGCGGCGCGCACTCGCCTGGTAAACTCTGCATCCCACATAGCTGAAAAAGTGAAAAACGACAGAGGATGGTAAAGAAAAGTCGGCGTGTGGGGCGGCTAGAGAATTTCCTTGTATATCGACTGATCGCAATAAATAATGTATGATATGTATCACTGTGGATGGAGAAAAAAAGAAGGTTGAATACACGCGAGTGATGACGAAAAAGAGATATAAAGGCGCCAGGCACAAAAATTATTGTAAATAAATAGAAGGGGACGAAAATCATTGAGGAACTGAAAAAGAATGGCAGTCCCCGACCAGACATGAGCCTGCATACATCGCCTTCACCCTCGGTCTCTGATTGTGTGCATCAACATTCGCAATGTTGTCCCGCTCGCATCCCCCCTTCCCCTCCCCCGCATAGGCGTTCACAATTCACCCACGGCCACACGTCCCCGTCACATGTGCGGAATCAGATCTGATCAGCAGGCGCGTTAGCTTGCGATCGCCACAAGCAACTGAGCGGACTCCAAGCAGACGCCCTTTTTACAGCTCAGCCATCGCTCTCCTAGCTCTTGTAATAGTACCGAGGCTTTCTTTTTCGTTCCATTTAAAAATGTCGAATCCGGAGCAGACACAACCGAGGCCCAGTCGGGCGCGCGAGTACTGGTGCCACCAATGCCAGCAGGAAATCGTGCCAATGATGGCGCCGCACCCGGTGTGCCCGCGGTGCCACGGCGACTTTGTCGAAGAAGTAAGGAAGCGGACTGAAATAAGAGTGACGTGGAACTTTTCAATGGTCAATTTCCTGATTGCTAAAAACCACGGTATGTGTGTGGGAGCCATAGATTGATACGTCGAACGACCCGCGAGAGTTTGCGGCAGACACGGGCGAGGACGACGAGATGGAGCGGGAGTTTGGCGGAGCGGGCAACTATAACCAGGAGCTGCAAGGCATGCTGCAGGAGATTCTTACGCACATCATGGGGCCGGCAGGCGCAGCTGGCACAGCCGACAGTCAGGAGGCGGAACCACCAACGGCAGAAACGCCCGGGGGCAATGCGCAGGGGTTTTCAGGGATGCGGACGTTCACGTCGAATCTCAACAACGGGGCGCAGGTGTCGGTGTCATTTGGGTCGCTGGGCGGTTCGCCGCGCGGCAGCACGGAATCTCAGGAGCGGCCAGCGCGGCCAATGTTTATTGACCCAGAGGAGAATGCGCCGCTGAGCCTGGGCAACCTGCTATCGTCGTTGATGGGGGCGCTGGGGGGTCCGCGTGGGCAGGCGTCGTTTGGGTTTCCCGTGGGCAATCTGGGTGACTATGTGTGGAACCAGCGGTCGCTGGATGATGTCATCACGCAGCTGATGGAGCAGAACCAGAGCGCCCATGCACCGCCGCCGGCTAGCGAGGACGCGATCAAGGAACTGAGGCTGCGGGCGGTGACGGGCGAGGAGGCTGGGCGCAAGGAGGACTGCAGTATCTGCCAGGACGAGTACAAGCAGGGAGAGGAGGTCGTTGAGTTGCCGTGCAAGCATCTGTTTCATGACGAATGCATTAAACACTGGCTGAATGTCAACGGGACCTGCCCCATTTGCCGTGCTGGGATTGAAGCCGGTGGGGTGCCTGAGGGAATGCCAGTGCCGCACTCGGACTTGCCAGGTGCGTTCCCTGGCAGTGGAGGCGGAAATAGCAGCACTACTGGTGGCCAGGCAGCACCTGTGGTAGAACCCATGGATTTAGGAGGACGAGAGGACCCAGCACTAATGCCTGTACCACCCTCGGGCAATCAAGGCGCGTTCCCTCGCAGTGCGGCCAGAAACAACAGCAGCAGCACGGCTGACGGCCAGGCAGCACCCGAGGCCGAGCCCATGGACTAGAGAGGACGAGAGGAGCCCTGGTTGCCGGGGGTCACATGCAAAGTGTAAAACGACATGGCATTTTTATATCCAAAACTCAATTTACTATCCTGTGCAACAGAAAGTCTAGAGGCCAACGAGCGAGCTAGTGCAAGTGCTTCTGTACCAGATCGTAGACAGAATCCCAGGTGTCGCCGATGCTGTGGATGGTGTTGTGCTTGCGGTGCGGCTGGCCAAACTTGATGCCCATGTTCTTGCACCAGCTGGTGACGGAGCTGCTGTTACCAACAAAGATGCCCAGATCGGCGTCCATCATTGCCGGCAGATCGGTGAGCGAATCACCCGCATAGGCAACCCGCACCTGGTCGTGGCGTGCACCAGCGAGATCGCGCTTGATCCTAGCCATCACATTGACCTTGTCGCCAGCCACGACCATCTCTGGCTTCAGCACACCGGTGGAGACGCCCTTTATGTCGAATTCGCTGTCGTTGCTATAGATAGTGATGTTCTCTGCCATGACACCATTCGCCTGCAATGCGCCATAAATGAAATCCTTGGACCAGTTCACCGAGACCACATAGACCGGCATTTCACCGACGGCCCGATTGAGCAGCGCCGCGGCGCCCTGGCGGAACTTTACCAATGCACCGCCGTTCCTGAGATCCTGGTGGGTGGCGCCTGATAGGATCTTGTGCTCGGTAATGCGCTGCAGCGAGGCTTCCTCTACTGGGCGCAGGCCCTCAGAGTAATCGTCCAGGAGCCGGCGGTCGTAGTGGCCCTGGCGGGAGGCCAGGATAGGAGACCAGTGGGCATCGAAGGACTCGTAGTCTTTCATGTACTCGTCGGTGAACCACTGGAAGGGGCGGTGCTCGGGGTGCAGCAGCTTGACGGTGTTGACGACATCGGCGGTGGTATCGGCGGTGGTCAGGGTCTTGTCGAAGTCGACAGCGAGGATGCGCAGAGGCGGGGCGGGGCAGCGGTGGAGAAGCGACATGAGTGGAGTGCGCATAAGATTGTGGAGATAAGCAGAGAAAAAGGCTTGCCGTGGGGGAGCTTCCTTTCAAAAATGAAGTGGTTGAAGGGTAATACAGCGGGTGCGGATAATTGCTGGGATAAATTCCACAGATCGGTTTTCGTGCGGAGCGATTTATCCTTTGAACCGGTGTTTTTTCGAGGAGTCTACCGTCGGGAAGGGGGAATTTAAGCACGGCAGGCAATGCGGATCAGCAGCGGGGGCGGTCCAGAAGTGGAAAGTAGCCGGATTCCTAGAATCCCTGTTTCTGCGCTGATAGTCCAGCACGTGTGCGGCTCTTCTCTTCTTTGTTTCCCCCAAGCTCTCAATATTTTACACTCTTAGCGATGATAGCCGTAGAAACGCAGGCGAGTGGCGACCACAGCACGGCCCGTAAACGCAGTCCCTCGCACGCACACCACGACGTGTTCTCGCACACCCACCGTGTAGGCGGTGAGCAGCGGCAGGTGAGCTTCCGGCGGCTGCTGCAAGTGCTGGTGCGCGAGCACCGGTTCCTGGGGCCAAAACTATACGTGGCCATGGCTCATCTGGGCACAGGTGCACTGGTGTGGGTCGTGGGTGTATGGACAGGCAGCCTCGCACAGATGACGTATGCATCGCTGGTTCTCTACGATGCGTGGGCGTTGCTGCTGGACAATATGCCGGCGCTGCTCGAGTTCTCCGACAACCAGCACGGCTCCAGTGAGTATGCGTTTGGACTGGCCGAGCTGCCGACGGTTCTGCGGTTTGGTAACAGCCTAGTGCTGCTGTACCGCGCACTGCAGGCGGTCAAGGAGGGCATTGAGCACATAGCCGTGCGCGGCCATGGCCATGGTCTGGGTGCCGGTGAGTTTGAGACATACGCCCACACATCTACCGGCCACAACGCACACGCATTTGTGAGTGTGCTAGCAGTGTGCGCGGCTCTTGCGGCCACAGTTTGTGCAGCACGGCTTGGCAACCACCACGCAGCGTGGGAGATGCGCTCGCATCGGCAGCAGCCGGCGACCCATCCCATGCAGCATGTGGTTCTGAACCCCTGCAATGCAGCGTCGCTGGGCGCAGGCGTATGGGTGTTGCTGTTGGCACTGCTGGCGCCGGCGCACGAGGACTCGCTGATGGAGCCCATTGCGTGTCTGGTGGTGGCGGCTGCAATGGCGTATGCTGCGCTGCCAACGTGCATAGGTCTGGCGCGGCAGCTGCTGCTGGCCACGAAGCCGGAGCCGGCGGCGGCAGCACGGCAGGCGGCATGGCAGGTGGCTCGGCTGCCGGGCGTGAGCGCGTGCGAGCGCTGCCTTGTGTGGAGCGCTGCGGGCGAGCGCTTCGTGGGTGTGCTGCGGGTTGTGCTGCTGCCGGCCTGCGATTCCGCGGCCGTGAAGCGCCAGGTCGATGTGATTTTGTCGGCCAGCCGGCTCGGCGACTGGACGGTGGAGATGCGGAGAGCGCTCTGATTACGATCATAATATGAAAAAATCGCACTGGCCGGCAATTGTTTTTCATCTTCTTTTTGTACTCTCCCTGAAAATACAACTACTATCTATATTTTTGACATTTGACAATGGGCGGACCAGGTCTCGAGGTTGCGAAATTCACCTTCTACGTGTTCATGCCCATGGCCTTCATGGTGTACTTTGGCGGGCCGGGCTTCTACGAGCGCTACGTGGCCGACGAAGCCTTCAAGTTCAACCCGCCGCCCAAGATGAAGATGCCCACGGAGCCCGGCGATGTACAGCGTGCGCTCGACCAGCTGCGCGCCGACCGCGAGGCTCGCCGGCTCGCGCGCGAACAGGTCATCTCCCAGATGTCCAAAGAATAGACCACTTTATTAAATAAAACAACATCAACCTTACTCCCTCGCCGGTGCATAGCCGGGCGGTGCATCGTATGCCGGCGGGTGGTCGTACGCCGGCAGCTCCTCCTCGTACGCCGGCACCTCGCCGATCTGCCGGATCCGCTCGCCCATCTCGCGCACCTTGTTGGCAAAGTCATACCCGCCCCCCTCGGCAAACCCCAGTGACAGGAGCCCGCGCTGCGCCAGCCCGCCGCCCGCTACCGGCTCCACCTCGGCCTCGAACCGGTTCGCCCCGAATAGCGGCTGCGTGAACTTGGGCGACTGCAGGTGTGTGTGCGGCGCCGTGAACGACTCCACCTCGCCGGCTCGCGTGCGCTGTGAGAGAAACACGATGCGCTGGTTCGACACGAACGCTGTGCCCGCTGCCGACTTGTACGCGACGGAGTTCCCTGGGTACCCATTGCCTGTCTTTAGGCTGAACGACACGCCGTTGCAGTGGTACAGGAAGTTTTCGTTTGGCAGGGGCACCGGGTTGCGCATGTGCGCTTCAATCATTACCGCATTCAACGCCATAGCTTTATGCAACACTTTGTATAAAATAAATCACAAGAAACGTAAGCCTGTCGGACACGCAGTCCATGCATGGTTGCGCTCAAATCCCACATACTGCAGCCCGCTGCTTTTTCCCACCTCTTGGCACACGCTTAAAAAGTTTTACAAAACACTCTGCATTAACCAAAAAATAATTCCACCTAAGCTACTTTGCCCGCTTGAACAGCACCGCCGCAACCACCCCTGCCAGTGCAACCACTCCGCCCGTCATTGCCATGCCCAGCAGCCCCTCCTGGCTGACCTTGTGATCAATCACCGAGCGCAGCGACATTGCCTGCTTGTTCTGTGGCTCCAACGCCAGCAGCTGCTCATTGAATGCCCGTGCGCTCCCGTACTCTCCCATCTTGTAGTACCCGAGCGCCAGATAGTACATGCACTCGCGCTTGCGCTCCGGGAACTCCTTGTGGATCTCGTGCAGCAGCTGCACCCCAAGTTCCTGCTCGTGTCGTGCAGACGACTTCACCAGCCCCCATGCATAGTTGAACTTTGTCTGTACCCGCACCTTGCTGCCCTCGCGCTCGTACTGCCGCCGCAGCACCTGCAGCTCCCCGGCTGTAATTGGCACCTCTACGTCAATTGCATATGGTAGGTCCTTGCCCATTGTCGAAAAATACTTTAATTAGTCTGCAAGAACTGCTGAATTTGAAGGATAAGAGCAAACAATGGCCTAGTGGGATGCTCAAGCATGTGGGTTGCTGCTTTTTTAAATCGCTCATTCAAGGCATGACGTTGCCTACCACAAATCAATTATCCGAATTTGCTCCTTGTGATCAGCGCTGGTGGAAACAAGCGATGTACTTGAAACCCTTTGGTACTGTGCCATTACTCTAAACTGCATGATGTGTGAGTGTTACCTAACAAGCCAAGCAACCTGCCACATTATATGACTAAGGGGTATTTAGGTTTGTTTGATAACAACTGGCAGTGTACTCTTTATATCAATCTCATCAATCTTACATCATAGTTGTATTATTGAAATATGCTTAATATGAATCTTAGTTGCATACAACATATGTTAATATTTAATAGAAATATTCTACACAGATAGTGTTGTTCATTAATCCCTCTATATTATGCAATAATAATTAAACCTCAAACTATATTCTTTAATAACCAGATTTTTATATAACTATAGATATTCCTACTATTCCTACCTATTAAGACCCTATACTGCTAGCATCTATTAATGCCCTAGATCCTTAGCCTATAAAATACATATTAATATCATATAACTACAAAGAGCTTATAGTATATTCTTATACTAATTTATATTACTTTTTCTTCTTACTTTAGATATTTAGTAATATTTTCATTCAATACTAATTAGAGTATATAGAAAGTAATTACTTAAATGCATCTATACTATAGAGGTTATTTAGAGATTTTAAATTTCTTATTCCTAGAGTTAAATACTATTCCTATATCTAGCTAAATACTTCTCTTATAGATATAGCCCTTAGCAATTATTATATTAGTAAATGTATCTAACTATAGATACAAATACAGAACATATTATATTAGTGAAAATTATCAACAATACTACATAGTTAAGTTCTGGTGGTTATTTATAGTAGCTGATATATTTGTATTTTGAGTAAAAGAAAAACCTATAGAAACAATCTATATATCTATTATATATGGCCTTTTATCTATGCATTCTGAGGGTGGGCCTTATTCCCTTATGGCTAGTCTCATATACATATACACTACACTGCCAATTTGCTTAAGATAAAACTTATGATTTCTAAAAGTTAATCCTTTTACTACCATTTATATACAGTATACCTATTACTAAACAGTACATATAAAAGTTTAATGTCTGTATCAAAGCATAGTCTATAAATGTAGATTATGAGTGCCTATAACTCATACTTACATATATTATTACCAAAATAGCAAAAATAAAATCTGAAGATAATATTTTAGACATTAAAGTTTTTGATATTTATCAAAGTTGTTATTAGATACTTCTGTTTCAGCCCAATGAAGAGAAAATGTGGATGGTTTGATTTATAGCAATAATAGTGTCCTGACCAAGTTGCTAACATAGAGGGCAGGTTGTATGGCGGCTGCCTAGCGATGTCCAGGATACTGGGCATCTGATTAGTGCACCAGAACGCAACATGCTGCATGGGCTGGAATGTAGTGGTGAAGCAATCAATTGAAGCATTCATAAACTGTTTTTAAGCAGGAGCCAATTGCTGGGGCGCCGAGCCGATTTACCAGGACTGATCGAGCCGTTGCTGTGTTTGTTGACAGGTAAAATGGCTGACAGAACTGCCAAAAGCTGTTTCTCCTCTTCAGAGTCCTTTTGTAAACTATTCTTTCATTTCGCTAATTCTTTACTCGCATTCAACTGCACCTTCGTTTCTTTTTCCACAGGATGGGCAAACTGCAGATATCACCACGCGCACTGGTGTGCCAAAACTCAACGATCGAGGGCGACGTGCGCATCGGCAACGGCACTGTGGTGCACGTCGGGGCGTCCATTATCGCCAAGAACGGGCCTATCATTATCGGCGCCAGCAACATCATCAGCGAGCGCGTCGTCATCATCAACCTGCACCCAACGCCGCTGGTCATCGGTGACGAGAACCTGTTCGAGACTGAGGCTCGCATTGAGGGCTGCGGCATGGGCCATCGCAATGTTGTGCAGGTGCGTGGCAAAGTTCTAGGCAGTAGCACGTTGGGAAACAACTGTGTCGTTGGCACAATGTGCGAGACGGCGCCTGAGGAGATGATCTCTGACGGTACTGTGCTGTTTGGTAACCCGCAGGCACGGCGCATTCGGACAGACAACAATGCAGTAAGTTCAAGGACTCGTCTGAGGCAGGACCGGTGTATGCGCTGCTGTTTCGTGCCGCTGATCCGGGACACTGGGCACCTTGTAGGAGCATATGGCGGTTCACAAGAAGCACTTGGAGTATATTCACGAGGTAAGACATGTTCAGAGGTACACCAGTTCAGAATGCCAGGGAAGGAAAGTATCTGCTGAGCTACACTCTCTGCCCGTTTTCGCGTTTGTTATCTGTAGATGCTGCCGCGGTACAACCACATCATCGAAACCGAGTGACGGACCCAGAATGTGCTCGCCGGCTAGTTCTTGAGCTGGCGCCGCAGCTCCTCAAGCAGGTCCTTTTGGTTCGCCATGGTCGACGCTACACATTAAAAGTTGCAAATGGTACACTGAATATAACATGGTGCTGCTCGCTACACTGCCTCCTGCGGCGGATATGTCGCTGAACAACTTACATTTCTTGACACCCCACTTGCTTGCAGCCTTTGGGCCAGCAGCAGCAGCAGTGCCCTTGTGCACCGTGGGCTTCTCTACAGAGGCATATGAAGCAGAGTGCCTGATTGAGCTCGCAGCGTCCTTGGGTATACTGTGGTTGTGCTGTGCGACCTTCCCATGCTTACCTGCACTGCTGGACTTGGAATTGCTCAGAGAGTCCTGCGCATCGAGCCATCCTACAGAACGAAATTCACAGTGCGCCTCAGTGACTAGCCTCCTCCTAGCGCGCACAACTCCAAATGCTTGGTCACAACCTAGTTCTGCCTACCTCGCGCAATGTATCCCTCAACCTCGCTTGCCTTGAAGCTGGTTATTTTGCTCATTGTCGTCATAGAGTACAGAAATGCAGAGTGCGAAAAGAAGAGGAAAAGAGAAATTCTATTCAAAAAGGGTTTTTACAGAGTGAAACGGTGAACAAAAATGAACATTTTTATTGGGTATCGTCAAAAAAGAAGTCGCACTTGTCCAAGGAAGCACGCCCACTGATCTAGTCGTGCTGTTGCTGGTAGTGGCCCTGATGCTGGCTGCGGTACATGCCGCCGCGTCCACCACGGTTTCCGCCGCGCCCGCCCTGACCGCGTCCCCGACCGCCACGGCCACCGCGGCTACCCATGTTCCGCTTCTTGTTCATGTCCTCCTTCACCTTATCGAGAACCTACACCGAGCAAGTGTAAACCACGCGCGGTAATGCCATTAGTAGGCTGTACATATCACATGTGTACTCGTGTATCAGGACAGGGCAGCTGCATAGGTATGCAAACAGTTTGAGTACTTACCGCATCGGGAATCCGCAGGTACTTGATCGTGTTTCCGCGCACATAGGCTTCAGGCAAACGCCAAAACCGGTCCCCGTCCTACAAATAGCTTCGACAGTCAGTGCATTGTCTAGCAGCGGTTTCTCATCGATGGTCTCTAGTTCTCTGGGAGGTTCCCCCTTATCGATTCGGTTATCCACACGGGCATATACGTACGCTGGCGGTCTGGATGACCTCTCTTAATGTGATGTTCATAAAGTTGTCGCACTTTTCCAAGTGTCCGTTATATGTCTCGCCGTTTTTCAGCTCCACCAACTACAGTAGTATCGGGGTTTAGCGCAAAATGCAGCGTTGTGTGGAAGGTTCTCAGGATATCCCTGTGGCTCTTCACGGGACTGCACTTACAATTGGGTGGCCGACTGCGGCATTTAGTAGCGAAAGCGGCAACTACATAGTCAGTAAGCAGCATTATATCTGTTTAGTACAATGCCATGGCATTCTGCCACTGGAGGGGACTGTTGGTTCGACATCAGCTAGTACAGCCATTTCAGAATGAATGCATACCATTCCTAATAGCGTTTTGTTCCCTCTCCTGTCGTGCAGTCTGGCGCGTTTCTGTATTCCTTGGGTCCTATTATTAGCGAAAGTGCAAGGCGATGCCGAAATGAGGAAGGTGAAGTACTGGCAATTGCGAGGAAGGAAAGGGGCATTTTGCTTTCGCAGACGGCGACTGGGCGTCAGGCGGTACACGCTGGCACCACACTCGCCAAAAAATGCCCTATGCTGCCCAGCCAGGCAGGCTAGCAGATCATGCTGATTTTTGCTCGATCGATCACAGCAATTGTTTGATTAGCTCAGCCCATGGGCACAACTTTTTTTTTTTTTTTCTGAAACTAGCACTGCAGTACAACGATTTTTTCTTTCCTTGGTTCTAGCAATTCACGCTGTCTTCTGCACGCACTCTTCCCCTTCTGCACCACTACTTTTTGCAAATACCCCCAGTATACAGTCATGTCGCTGAACCACGAACTTGTGCTCAAGGCCTCCAAGGCCCTGCTGACGCACGCCAAGCAGCGCAGCGAGAAGGAGGACTCGTCGAACCTGCTGGCAGGACGAGAAGGAGACAGTGATCCTGCAGCTCGGACTGAAGCGGTTCAACAACAGGTCGCGGCACAAGCCGTACCGGATCCCGCTGCGGACAGCGATCTACGATTCGGACAGCCAGGTGTGCCTTGTTCACAAAGGACGACAGCAAGGAGTATGCGGCGAAAGATCATGGCGCTGGGCGTGCCTCAGATCAAGGAGGTGATCAGCATCAAGAAGCTGAAGCACGACCACAAGGCGTACGAGGCGAAGCGGCGTGTGCTGACATCGTACGATCTGTTTCTGACGGACGACCGGATCCTGAACAGCTTGCCGAAGGCCCTGGGCACCAAGTTCTTCCAGCGCAAGAAGCTGCCGTTCCCGGTCAACCTGGATGCCAGTGACTTGAAGAAGGAGCTCAGCAAGGCCATTGGGTCGACGTTCTACTCTCCTACCACGGGCACGACGTCGGTGGTCCGTGTGGGATCGACTGAGATGACGGCTGACCAGCTGGCTGAGAACATCGAGTGCGCGGTGGAGGCCATTGCGGCGCGTGTGCCTAAGGGATGGAAGAACGTCCAGTCGCTGCACATCAAGACCGGCAAGTCGCTGGCTCTGCCCATTTACAACTCGCTGCCTGAGGAGGCTGAGGCGATTGCGCGCATTGCTGGCGCCTCTGCTGCCAAGAAGGCTGAGGCTGAGGCTGAGGACGAGGACGAGGAGAGCGATGAGGAGGTAGATGCCAGCGAGGAAAACGAAGAGGAGGAAGAGGAAGAGGAGCAGATGCCGGCTAAGAAGCTCCGGAAGAGCCCGCTGTCGCGCGAGTCCAAGAAGCCCGCTGCTGCTACCAAGAAGTCGCCGGCCAAGAAGGGTCCGGCCAAGAAGCGGGGCTGTCAAGGCTTGAGCAATCCTAAAACTTTAGTATCTATTCCAACTCTCGAAAAGTAACCTTTACTCTGTCTTTTGCTTCTGTTGCGGCGACAAGCGCAGTGAACTGGCGATAGTTGAAGTACACGAGGAACAGCACAAACATGGCGCAGCTGAACAGCACATTCAGTACCGCATAGAGGTCGGGCAGCGCGCTAGGCGGAGGCACATATGCATTGGCAATGTGCAGACCAGCCATGACGGCCCACGAGATCCACTGCAGGGCCATCACCAGCAACGGGACACGCGCCTTGTCGGACGGGCACGCTGGACAGCTGCGCAGGAATGCCCAGCCAACAGCCATGACCCAGTAGGGGATTTGCAAACCGTCCTTGAACAGTAGCGGATACATGCTGAACAGCGCGATCTGCACAAACCAGTCGACAGCCCAAGGCTCGTCGTTGATCAGAAGCAGCGCTGGCGCCAATGGCAGCAGAATGCTCTTCTCATGCACCTGGAACGAGAGCAGGAAGAACGCCAGCGACGAGTTGACCAGCGCGTACGACAGCAGCCGTCGTTGTGTCGGCAGCCGAGCTGTTAGATTGCAGCCGTCTGACGCTGACAAACAAATGCAGACATGATGGCAGGAAAGCCGGTAGCCGTAGCCAGCGTTGCAGCTCGAAGCAGCGTCTGCGTGTCGTACTTGGCACGGAGCTTCACCGCGACATTCACAGCGCACCAGATGTTGGCCACCTTGTCCTCGATAGAGTCCGCGGGCCACAGGGAACACGCGCACCAGAATCTGCATAAGCTGGTCCGGCGACGTAATCCATGGGCTGAGCACTACCGCAAATGTCGCCACCACTGCTACGCCGAGCTTAATAAACAGGGCCAGCCCGTGCCTGCGCTGGAAGCACTTTGCTAGCAGATAGAAAAAGACCGCTGGCGCATAGTAGAGAGCCATCTGCTTGAACAGCAGCGAGCACGAGAACGCAATTGCCATGGCCACGTAGCGGCCTTGCATGGCAAAGCACACGCTCCACACCAGGAGCCCGAGCATCACCGAGTTGTACTGAAAGTGCCCGTTGTCAATCAGCGTCAGACACGGCTTGGATAAGCACCGACTAGAATCGCTGTCTGCCGCGCTGCCCACGACACCTTCTGATGCCTTGACATGAACAGCACCACCACTGCCGGCACGTATATGGCAAACTCAAACGCAATCACAGAGGCCCGCATAAACATCTTGCTCTCTGCTGTCTCAATTCCGCGGGACTGGAGCAGCGCTACCCATGACGGATCGATAAGGTTGGCCACTGCCCCGCAGAGCCAGCTCTGGAACGCTGTCAGCGGCGGGTAGTCCAGCCCCCAGTACTGTAGGTCGTAGAAGTACCACTCTGATGGCGCCAGGTGCGTTGTGATCTCCATCCAGTGCCGCTGTGCTTCGTAGTCAGCCGAACATGGGTGGCATGCCTGAGCCCAGAGTACCCGAATAGCCCAATGCACCAGCGCACTAGCAAGGAAAATAGCAGTGTTGTTGGGAGAGCAATGCCCTGTGCGTCCTGCTCCTCCAAAAACTGGAACCACTGCTTCATAGGCACAAGTCCGCCCTTGGGTCTCTTCACTGCCCGCCGTGTATCCTTCCTTAGTCTTCATTAAAATGCGCTGAATTGGAATTATGCTGTAAGGCGAGGGTTAAAAGGAGCTGCAAGCCTGTTTCTGCAAGAGCGGCCAGCCTTAATGGAGCTGCCTTTTGTCTCCTCCTAATCCTTTGATAAGAGCCACGTAGTAATTAAACCTTGTCGTAGATGACGACCAGATCCGTCCTGGGCCAGCTGCGGGGCGCGAGAACCCGTCTTGTACTGGCGAACCGGACGAGGGAGCGAGTGAATGCGTTGGCAGCTGTGCATCCTGAAAGTAAGCTAACCCAGATAGCGAGTCGTTGTGGTTATGAGGACCTGGGCATCCTGTGAACCGGAACTGGGACTCTGCTGCAACAGCCCGCTGCAGTAGCGCTATCCAGTCATCCATCTATGGCCAAGCACAGGTGGCGAGGAGTCTCGAGTTGCTGGCAAAGTGAGCCTGTGGCCGATAGATCAGGCTAGAGAGTTGGTACTGGTCCCCTCTGCTTCGCAGTACCAGGGGCACCTGATCGTATCCTCAAGGTCCAGGTACACTTGAAAGCATCAGGCCATGTTGTGCTGGCTTGTTGGAAGTAAGCCATGGATGATTGCCTATACCAAATTCAGCGTTCTTTCGCATTATGAGCACAAGCGGTATACAGTGCACGTTTAGTGTTATATCGACTATCCACTTGTACAGGTCCAGATTGAGTGCCGAAACCATCGCCACCGCGGGACTAGGTGAAATACGGACGTTAAGTGTCTTAGGCAATGGAACAACTTGGGTTAATAGTATGTGAATGCTGCATTAGCCTGCAAGCTGCTGTGTTTCTGGTTGACAAACATTTATCTGACAAGGGGGCGTGTGTACCTCGGCATGAAAAACAACTCCCATATAGACAAATGGCTGAAGGTATAGTGGCCATGTTAAATAATGCACTATTTCATCGTATGATAAAATAGCCAATTGTCTTGAATGCCATTATATTGCATGGGTGGTTCTCATCCAGCAGACTCGCTTACACACAATCCTTTAATGTTTCCAGTATAAGTGCTGAAGGTACGACTCTAGCAACAGCCTTCTCATCTCATCGGAAATTTATATTTCTTGCTCCTTTTTACTATGGACAACTTTGTAAACAGCATTGAATCGAAGAAGTATATCTGCAGACGGTTCGATATGCTAGCCTCGCATATAACCATACGAATGCTATTCTTTTATGCTAATTCCGCTGGTGCTGAAAACTTCATGCCAGGAGACAAGCTCCAGGAAGGATTCTATCGGACTCTTGCCCTCTGTCCCTGGTTCGCTGGTGAGCTTAAACAGACTCGGGGCGGCGGAATGGAGGTCATCGTCGACCAGGCCAATGTGAATATGCCCTGATTACTGTGAGTCACAGTCTTTAATACATTTCAGCAAGATCCAGTCTTCTGGGTTCAACCGCGCGATATGGCCCGATAACCTTGTTCCTGTTGGGCCGGTTCCCTGCCCTGACAAGGCTACTGGGAATGATCAAACTATCTGCATATTCACGTCGTGCGACTGAAGGACAACAGCGGAATGGCTATTTCAGTCAATTTCAACCATGGCGTCGCAGATGGCACCACCGTTATGACATTCCTCAACCGCTGGGCGGATGAGACACGTGCGCTAGTAACTGGTATACCCGTGGCGGAAACAACATTCTGCTTTGGTGCCGATATACTCAGGAGGCACCTGCCGAGTGAGCGTGCACCCCTCAGTGAAGTGTCCAGCAAAGTTCATTCAGCAAAATCCCGCGTGGCAGATTTCATAATGTGGCTCTCGATTAGCAAGCGCGCAAGGCTGATGAACTATTTGATAAACTCTGCTTCACCGCGCGGACATCTATTTCGGATTTCGCGTATCCAAGATTGATGGGCTCCGCAGCCAAGTACTCGAGCATCTGCCACATGGGACACGCCTGTCAACTAACGATATCATTTCGGCAGTTGCACATAAGGGTCCACGAACAGGCTGTGATAAGGAAGAGTCAGTGGATGGCTGACAAAAGCTAACTAATCGGAAGGAATGGAGCTGCAGGTGAACACTGTACTTTAGTCGTCGCTGACTGTCGCCGTCACCTTGGAATGTCAGAGCTGAACTACATGGGCAACCCAGGTATTTGGCGAATTTGTTCTCACCCCGATGCACCAGGCACATCAGCCAATTACTCCCAAGACTATTTCTGTGGTTGCTGGTCAGATCCGGTCGTTAATATCAGCGATTACTATCCCACGCATCGGGACAAAATGTTGATGCTTTTGATTCCGGTGAGAAACATGCCGCTAATTTCCTTGCCGTTGCCATGAACTACAAGCTTATAACACTTACAAGCAATACAGGTTTCTCCCAAGATGTACGCTGCGGACTTTGGCAATGGCGTCCAGGCATTTTCGACAGTGCATCCCGAATTCAACATGGGGCTATTTTCGATTATCCCATCACCACCCCCAAGCAAAGATATTCTTGTGAGTTTCAGTGACGCGTCTTCAGTAATGGACAGTTTCATGAAGAACGAGTTCTGGAGCGACTTTGCCGAGCTGGTTTACTAATATATATATGTACTTGCACTGTTTTCTAATAGTTCGTGATATGAAGAGAGCGGCTCTTTGATCATCTCAGTGGATTTTAGATCAATGACCAACGGACCCACAAAAACCAACAAAATTTGGGTGGAGGTAGGTGCCGCGCAGCAAGTGTCCACAGTTCCTAAGTGCACTCAGCCATAGCCCCATTCTGCATTCTAATTTCACAGCGTTTCAAAAGAATAAAACATGGACGAGAACGCTGGCGGGGTAGCGCACAGAGCAACAACCCGGGCGCGCGACCGCGTCAACATGGGGCTAGCACTAACGGTTACACGTAAAGGCCGCAAAATGCACATTGCTGAGGATACGCAGTCGACAATATCACACCAAAGCAACGAGCCTATCGACGTGCTCAAGATCAGCGCGGCAGTGAATGGTGAGGACAAAGAGAACGGCTCGGAAGAAGCCGCTAATTCAGTGGGTGCGGCCGGCCAGACCATCTATGGATTTCAAAAGAAGCCTGTGCGCGGACGCGGAGGCAGTGCCGCTGGTCGAGGCAGGGGAAGAGGGACGTGGACGTGGACGTGGACGTGGACGTGGACGTGGAAGAGGGCGTGGTGGGGCGACCGGTCGGCAGCAGAAAAACCTATCGGTGGCACAGGATGACCGGAGTGACGAAGAGGACGATGACGACGATGACGACGAAGAAGATGGTGAAGATGCACAAGACCACAGCGCGGTTCAGGGTGATGGCAGCGATGATGAGGGCATCTTCTCAAATGGAATGGATGTAGATGAAGGCATGATAGACGACTTTGAGCCGACATCAGGGCCCGCATACGAGCGCTACTTTCAGGACCTCCACACGACGCGCGGCTCCAAGACATCCGACAACACATTATCAAAACTGCCCGCGCTGAGCCAAGCTGAGTGCCGGCGTATCCTGGGCACAGTGCCACCCAAGCACGAAAAGGAGCTAGAGCTACTGGAGGAGCTACATCGGCGGCAGTTCCGGCAGTGGTACTTTGAGCTGGCATGCGGGTTCAATCTGGTATTCTACGGCTACGGGTCGAAGCGGCGGTTGATCAACATGTTTGCTACCGAAATGTCCGACGATGCGCCGGTTGCCATAGTCAACGGGTACTTCCCGACACTGAATCTCAAGGCTACGCTGGAGAAGATCCTGGGCGAGATTGCCGGGTTCAGCGACACGTCAGGGTCGGTTGCCGATCTGGCAGCGCTGATCAGCGGCTACTTTGACTCGGACAAGCGCGCAGTCGACAGCATGTACCTGGTGGTGCACAACATTGACGGTGCGTGTCTGCGCAAGCACCAGACGGCATTAGCAGTGCTGGGCAACTGCAGGAACATCCACCTGCTGGCCTCGGTCGACCATATCGAGGCGCCAGTGATGTGGGACACGACGCTGGCTACAAAATTCAACTGGGCGTGGCACGATCTGACCACGTTCGAGCCATATACCGTTGAGACCAGCTACGAGAACTTTAGCTCGACATCGACTGAAATCGGGCCGCGCGGCGTGCTGCATGTGCTGGCCAGTCTGACTGAGAACGCAAAGAGCGTGTTCCGCATCCTGGCCGAGCACCAGATTGGCGAGTCGGTCATGGGCGACGGTGGTGACGACACCAGTGCTGCGCAGCGACCAGGCACCTCCAAGTATCCGGGGATGCTGTACGCAGCCTACTTTGGCGCCTGTCGCGACCAGTTCCTGGTCAGCAGCGAGATGGCGTTCCGGTCACAGCTAACCGAATTCCGCGACCACAAGGTGATCCAGTCAAGGCACGCAGCGGACGGGTCCGAGACCGTCTACATCCCGCTGGACGCCAGCACGCTGGGCACGATCCTCGAGGGCATGGACTGATATGTGCAGAAAAACCAGAGCAGCTTTTACGTTTATTACATGACGAGTGGAATAAAGAAAAAGCTCCCCCACAACGAATGTAGCGTGCAGACGATGCGAAGCGGATTTAGAACACAAGAGCGGCACCCTTGGTCTTCTTGTCACCGCCGAGCTCGAAGTGCTTGCAGCGCTTGATGGCCAGCTGCTGCTTGAACTTGCAGACAGTGCACTCAAGACGGAGCACAATCTTCTTGGTCGTCTTAGCCTTCTTGTGGAAGACGGGCTTGGTCTGACCACCGAAACCAGACTGCTTCCGGTCGTAACGACGCTTACCCTGGGCGAACACGGAGGCCTTACCAGTCTTGTACTGGGTGACCTTGTGCGGGGTGTGCTTGCGGCAGGTCTTTCCCTTGCAGAAAGTGTTACGGGTCTTAGGAATGTTAACCTATGAGGCGGTGCAAAAGGCGACAGAGACGCGTAGGTATGCGTTTCCGGGCAACTGATTAGCAAAACGGGGTCCTCAACTCGGGGCAAATATTTCTCGTGTACAACACGGGCACGGTTGGCACGGTCTTCCAGGATTACAGTGCATGCGCGCCTAGTGTCCGCATCAGCCTGCTTTGCCCTAATTCGGGCATTGCCTCAGCAGCAGGTTGCGGCAGAGCTGGTAGGTGGAGGCTCGCAGTCGCTGTAACTGAATTGGTTGGCGCAGCGCATTTCTCCCCATGCAACGAAAAAGCCCTCTCACTCGCTTCCTCGCCATCAGCGGGTTTGAAATTCGAAATTCCTCCAATGCCTCCACTCCTACTATGCGCGCAAGCCGTATCCTTCCCGTTCCGTGCAATGGATTCTCCCGTGTGCAGATGGATGCGATCTTTACCATTCTGAATCTTTCCTCTGCTGCTCAAGTGGAACTAACGATGGCGAAAAAAAGGAAGATGCACCGACTGCTGCCAGTCTGCGGGCAGCTATGGCAGCGACTGGGATTCTGCGGCTGAAATGGCCACACACCAGCTTGATCAGTCTGTAGTGCAGAAAATAATGATCGATTTTGGAGCAGACTTTGATCCGATCACTGGAGCAGATCAGCGCAGCTTCAGTATTTTTTCACTTTTTTTTCGCCCTCAGTTTGATCCGCACTCGGCAGCACGGGCATCGACGACAAGCTAGTGCACGGCGCTTCTTTTCCACTTGCAAGCTCGTACAGTTCCATATATATTTTACACAACACAGCCAAAATGTCTCAGCTCGAATCGCTATTCGACGAGTTCAACCAGGAGGAGCAGCAGCAGCAGCAGCAGCAGGTGGTGACCAAGAAGGGGGGCGAGAAGACATCGGAGGACACACACACCAAGTCGATGCTCTTCGTGCGCGGGATTCCCAAGGACGCAACAAACACCGAGCTTGAGGAGTTCTTCAGCGAGGTCGGACCCATCCGCTCTTGCTTTGTGGTCACTGAGAAGAAGGAAGCCGAGGGATGGCCAGGAGGGCGAGGGCGAGGGCGAGAAGCCCGCTGACACTGTCCAGGCAGGCGATGGGAAGCCACAGAACCGTGGGTTTGGTTTTGTGCAGTTTGTGCTCGCTGAAGGATGCCCAGCGTGCGGTAGAAGAGCTCGTGGACACCAAGTTCCGCGGCCAGAAGCGGCTGATGCTCGACTTTGCCATGAAGAAGCACATGAAGGGCACCCCAGGCACAGAGAAGCCGCCTCCGCGTGCGCCCAAGCGGCCGCGCCCAGCAACTCCTGCTGGCGACAAGGACAGCAGTGCCGAGCAGCCCGAGAAGAAGCGCAAGAAGCCGTCGAACAACGAATCCCGCACGATCACGATCCAGGGCATCCCGAAGGGCACCACTAAGAAGCAGCTGATCAAGAAGGTCAAGAAGAGCGGCAACGTGCATTCGGTGTTCTACCCGACACCCTTTGAGGGCGCGACGCCCGAGCAGCTGCAGGATGGTGCGGGTGGTTCGGCCAATGTCACATTCGACGACCATGCCACAGCCCAGCGTGCCGTGCGCTCCTTGAACGACCATATCTTCAAGGGCGCCAAGTTGAAGGCCATGATGAAGCGCGAGTTTGTAGACAAGAATGCCCGCCTTATTGTGCGCAACCTGCCGTTCAAGGTGCGCGAGCGCGAGCTGGAGCGGTTGTTCTCAGGAAAGTGGAACCGTCCTCACTGTTGATCTGCCCCGCAAGTTCGTCGGCGGTCCTCTGCGCGGCTTCGCCTTCATCCAGATGGCCGATGTCGATAGCGCCCAGCGTGCTATTTCCAAGTGGAACGAGCACGAGCTGCACAACCGCAGTATCTCGGTCTCGCTGGCTGTGGCCAAGGACAAGTTCAAGGAAATGGAGGAGAGCGGCGAAATCGAAAAGCCCGAGTTTGCCGAAGAGCCTGCAAAGATGGAGGTCGATGAGGAGGCCAATGAAGAGGCCGAGGATGCTGATGCTGACGAAGAGAAGGATATGGACGGCGAGGACATCAAGGACGATCTGGTCGAGGAGGGATGCACGCTGTTCATTAGGAACCTGTCGTTCGACTCTGACGAGGACTCGCTGTTTGAGCACTTCCGCCAGTTCGGCAAGCTCCGCTACTGCCGCATCGTCTACGACCACGAGACTGGGCGGTCTCGCGGTACAGCCTTCGTGTGCTTCTGGAACGCTGCTGATGCTGCAAAGTGCCTCGCGGAGGCCCAGAAGGCCCAGGAGCTGTCGGAGAAGCTCAGCAGCGTACCCTCGGCCACCCTGCCCGACCAGCGCAACAAGTCGGTGCTGCTGCAAGAGGCGCCGGCTTCGCTTGAGGCCACGGCGCAGTTCACGCTTGACGGCCGTGTTCTGTCGATTGCCAAGGCAGTTGATCGTGGAACCGCCAACACGCTGACCACCGAGGGCATCAAGCAGCGCCAGAGCAAGGACAAGCGGAACACATATCTGCTCAAGGAAGGAGTCATCTTCCCCGACACGCCGGCGGCCCAGGCTCTGGCACCGGCGGACCTCGAGCACCACGTCAAGGAGTACGGACAGCGCAAGAACCAGATCCTGAAGAACCCGAACCTGTATCCTGTCCAAGACGCGCCTGTCGGTGCACAACATCCCGCGCTCGATCGACGAAAAGGACCTGCGCGCAGCCGCGATCTCGGCGATCTCCAAGTTCAAGCACGAGGCCAAGGAGGGCCAGCGCAAGGCGCTGACCAAGGAGGAGATGGCCGAGGGCTGGGACAAGGTGGCCAAGGTTGTGCAGTCCAAGATTGTGTGCTCGACCGACCGTGTGGATATAAGCACGGGCAAGCCGCGCAGCAAGGGGTATGGCTTCCTCGAGTTCTCGACGCACGCCCATGCGCTGGCGTGTCTGCGGTATCTTAACTTCCGTAACACCAAGCAGGCGTTTGCCAAGCAGCTGGCAGACGGCAAGGTGGCTGAGGGTGACAACAAGTCTCTGCATCAGATCTCGCGGCGCTCGCTGCGTGTCATGTTCTCGATTGAGAACGCCCAGATTATCAAGAAGCGCGAGCTCCGGTCGACTATCTCGCAGCGGAAGAGCGATCGGAAATGAGCGCAGGCAATGACAAGCCTGCCCGGGGCGGTGTGTCGAAGCAGCGTGGTGGAAAGGCTGGGGCTGGCAAGAGCGCTGGCAAGGGTGCTGCTGGTGGGCGGAAGGATGGCAAGAAGCGCTTCAACAAAAAGTAAATCCAGCAGGCTCCGTGACTTTAACAATATACTAAACAATCCCTCATTGCCTATGCACATGCAGACATGGAGCGTGTATGTCGCTAAAGATGGAGAACAACATACCAACATTTTCAGTTTGCCAAAAGAAACCTGGGGCATGCAGTGATCACCCAGTCGTGATTCGATCAGCAGTGCCTCAGATCGCGATTTTTTTTACTTTTTTTTTTTTGCTGCCAGTATTCGTGAGCAACCTCGCTCGTTTGCACGACTGTTCTTCTCGTATTCACGTCTACAGCCCCCCCCTTTTCCACGTTTAGCAAATGTCGTCGCGTATTATTGTTAAGAACCTGCCAAAGAATTACTCGGAGGAGCGGTTCCGCGAGCACTTTAGCAGCAAGGGCGAGGTAACCGACGCCCGCCTGATGCACAATGCGCAAGGGGACTTCCGGCGGTTCGGCTACATCGGGTATCGCACGGAAAAGGAGGCCAAAGGCAGCGCTCCGGTACTTCAACAACACATTCATCGACACGTCCAAGATCGTAGTGGAGGAGGCGCGGCCATACGGCGACGCAGCGCTGCCACGCCCCTGGTCGGTGTACACCAAGGGCACGACCTTGTATAACCGTGCGCATGGCATAGATCCGAATGAGGAGAAGAAGAAAGTACAGGCGGACGACAAGCAGCGGAGCCAGCGCGCAATCCGCACCCTGTACGAGGAGATCCTGGCTGGCAACCAGGACGACCCGAGGTTCAAGGAGTTTTTGCAGGCTATGGCGCCGCGTGCAAAGAACAAGACGTGGACCAATGACGATTATGCCAACTGGCAGGATAGCGAGATCAAGGCAGTGGAGAAGGCGGTTGCTGCGCGGCGAGAGCAGATCGAGGGCAAGGGCGCTGTGAAGAATAAGGCCAAGGTGGAGATGGTCGTCAATAAGAAGCCTGGAGGTGCGGGGCAGATGGTTGCCAAGACCCACGTCAAGTTTGGCGACTCCGATGATGAGGGTGAGGGTGAGGACGAGGACGAGGAGGACGAGGCGGCCGGCGACGATTCAAAGAACGACAATCTGTCGGACCTTGACTGGCTGCGCATGCACATGAGCTCCAAGCTTGATGACGAGGATGTGTTTGGCGAGGCTGCTGAGCCTGCAAAGCCCGAGGCCGACCCCGAGACCAAGTCCGATGAGCAGGCAGCCAGTGCTGAAGACGCCGAGAAGATCGTGCCGACCGATCCGCCCACCGATGCCGTCATGCAGATCCAGGAGACCGGACGGCTGTTTTTGCGGAACCTCCCGTACCTGGCAACCGAAGACGAGCTCCGCAAAGGCGTTTGAGAAGTTCGGCCCTCTGTCAGAGGTGCATATGCCGATCTCCAAGGATACGAAGCGGCCCAAGGGCTTCGCATACATCCTGTATCTGCTGCCTGAGCACGCAGTCAAGGCATTCAAGGCCATGGACAACCAGTACTTCATGGGCCGGCTGCTGCACGTGCTGCCCGGCAAGGAGAAGCCGCAGGCGCGCGAGCGCGAGGACCAGCAGGGCGGATTCAAGTCCAATGTGAAGAAGGAGCGTGACGCGAAACTCAAGGCACAGGCCGGCAGCGACTTCAACTGGAACTCTCTCTACATGAGCGCCGACGCCGTGGCCGACTCGATCGCCGACCGGCTCAAGATCGCCAAGGCCGATCTGCTGTCGGCCGACTCGACCAGCAACCCGGCGGTGCGCCTGGCCCTGGCCGAAACACACATCATCAACGACACCAAGCGGTTCTTCGAGGAGCAGGGCGTCCGGCTGGAGCGCTTTGAGAAGCGCGAGCGCAGCGACACGGTGGTCTTGGTCAAGAACATCCCGTTCAGCATCGACGAGGACGAGCTGCGCGCGCTGTTCGGCAAGTACGGCAGCCTGGGACGTGTGCTGGTGCCGCCGTCGCGTACAATCGCCATTGTCGAGTTCCTGGAGCCCAGCGAGGCCCGCACGGCGTTCCGCCATCTGGCCTACAAGCGCATCAAGGACGCGCCCATCTATCTCGAGCGCGCTCCCAAGGAGATTTTCACCACCGCCTACGACCCAGCCATGGATGCCGAGCGGGCCGAGAAGGCCAAGGCTGTAGCCGAGAGCAAGGCGCAGGTCGAGAAGGTTCACGAGGCAGTCCACGACACGGCGCAGTCGCATGTGTCGACGCAGGGAGCCAGCGCGCAGGGCGAGGTTGGCCGCGTGCTGTTCGTCAAGAACCTGAACTTTGATACCAACGAGGACACCCTGCGGCAGCTGTTTGGCGGCGTCGACGGACTAGCCAGCGTAGCCATCCGCCGCAAGAAGGACCCGAAGCGGCCTGGCAAGTGGCAGTCGATGGGCTTCGGCTTTGTTGAGTACAAGACAGCCGAGGCCGCGCAGCAAGCACTCAAATCATTCCAGGGCGCCGAGGTCGATGACCATGCGCTTGAGATCAAGATGTCCGACCGCGTGGCCAAGACCTCAGCTGGCGACACAGACGAGTCGCGTGCTAGCCTGGCCGGCGCCAAGAAGCCGAAGGGAACCAAAATTGTCGTCAAGAACGTGCCGTTCGAGGCGACCCGCAAGGATATCCGCGACCTGATTGCCACGTTTGGCCAGATCAAGTCGGTGCGCCTGCCCAAGAAGTTTTCGGGTGGCCACCGTGGTTTCGCCTTTGTCGAGTTTTTGACCCCGCAGGAAGCTCAGCATGTGCTGGACACTGTCAAGGATACACATCTGTACGGCCGCCATTTGGTGCTTGATTGGGCCGAGGAGGAGAACAGCCTGTCGGCTATTCGCGAGAAGGTCGGGCGGCAGTTTGCCAAGGACTCGGGCGAGCAGGGTGCCGGAAGCAAGCGGCGCAAGATTGAGATGGAGGCCGACGGTGACGAAGACATGTCGTCGGACTCTGACTAGGAAACTAAAAAAAAATACATGCCACTACCATAAATCGCATATCAGCTCTCAGGGCGTCAACAACTTTGCTAGCCAAAGCCGACGATCTCTCCAGAAAAGATTACACTGTCGCCTTCCTACCATGTCATCCAACTCTGTCCCCTTGCTAACCTACGCGGCCGAGCTGCTGCAGAGCTACTCGCGCCTAATCGTATACTCTGGCGACATCCTGCGCTCCCTGCCCGAGCCCCGCGAAGGCCTGAGCGCCGCCAACATCAAACCGAAAAAGGACGAAAGCACCGCCTTCCTGCGCGAATGGCAGCACCTGGAGGGCGTCTTTGACGAGTACATAATACGCCTCAACAATATCCGCACCCGGGCGCATGAGGAGCTGGAGGCTGCGCGTGTGCGCTGCCTGGTCGGCGAGGACATTGATCTGACGCTGCCTGCTTCCGTAATCAAGCTGACCAGTCGCCTGGAGGCGTTCAAGAAGCAGTACGAGGTCTTGCAGCACATCACGGGTGGCGGGTCTATCGAGGATGCTGCTGGGGATGATGCTGAGGAAGTGGTGGAAACTGAGGAGTTGCCAGCCGAGCCAATGAATGTTAAAACAGAGGAGGCAGTGAAGGAGGAAGGGCCAGATGAAGCGGAGGAGGAGGATGACAATGACTTTGAGGAAGCAGTCGTGGATACACAACCGGCAGAGACAGCGCCTGAACCCAACTCTCCAGCCTCAGCTCCAGCCCCAGCTCCAGCCCCCCCCCCCCCCCAGCTCCCCCCAGCTCCAGCCCCAGCTCTGACTCCCAGCTTCCAGCTTCCAATTCCAGCTCCCAGCTTCAGAGGCTACCAACCCAGCAGCAGAGCCTGCGGTTGAAGCTATCGATATCGGGTCAGACTCGCACAGCGACGCTATTGCTGTTGATTCAAGCTCGGATGTCGACAATGATGCCGACATGGAGGAGATATTCCAATAAACGCTGTATATTCCAAAAAAAAAAGGTGCTAACGCTACATGCTATCAAACGAATGAAGCTGCCCAACAACGTCAATACAAACGCCAGCAACGAGATCCAGCGTTGCCAGGCCCTCCTGGATCTGGGCAAACGCGGCCTCAAACACCACCTCGCGCCGCACCTCGGCCAGCCGGCCGTTGACCACCAGCATGTGGCCGGTCGTCGGGTCCTTCTTGAACGCATCGAGGATACCGCCCGAGTTCTTGACCGTGCGCCTGAACTTTAGCCAGTACGCATGCACAGCAAACACGCTGCCCATGAGTCCGCACTCGATCACCAGGTTCTCTGGCAGCGGAGGCGCGAACTTGTCCGTGTTCTCCCACTGCAGCGGCTGCAGCCCCTGCTGGCTGCCCAGGGCCAGCGTTGCCCGAGCCCTTTGGACATGGTCCAGCACGCGCTCAAAGAAGCCCAGCGCCTCGTCGACTGTGTCAAACTGCCCGTCGGCGGTCTTGCGGAGCGCTGACTTTATGTAGCTTCTTGCCTCCTGTGCCTGGCGCAACGGCAGTGTTTCGCTCTTCTTCAGGTACACGGTGGTGGGCTTGCCTTGGTTGAATTGGCTGCCCAGAGAGAGATCCAGGGAGAGCTGTGTGACCGAGGCGCCGCTGATGGTTGCCGTGCCCTTGGCGTCGGAGCTGGTCGAGGCGAGCTCGAGCACTGTGCTTGTGTTTCTGCGCTGCTCGGTCCAGGAATGTGAGCTTTTGGAGGCTGCTGTGGATGAACTGGATCGATTCGGGGATGCTGTCATTGAGTAGCCAGTGCAGCTCCTGGTTCATGACCTCTAGCTCGGCTCTTGTCTGCGATGCTTCGGTGCTGCCTGGGCCAACCTCTCCCAGCGTGCTGGGCAATGTCGTGTTGACAAGGGTGTCGTGCAGCGGCATTGTTCCAAGAGCAATAGATGATGTGGGTGTTTCTAAAGGATGCGCTGTGTGCAGACATTTTTTTCTTGCGCATGGGTACAAGCTCCGCGTGTTTTCAAATGTGCCTGTCTGGTGTGATTGCATATTTATGGTATGGAGCAGTGTGATGATAACGAAAGGTGGTATTTCAAAGCAGACAGACAGACAGCACTAACATAAATCTGTATCCTATTTACTTGCGGTGGCGGGCGCAGAAGGCAGCAATGCGCTCGGTAGCCGCCTTCAAGATGTCCTTGGGCGGAGTGATCACCAGGCGCACGGTGCCCGGGTAGTTGAAGCACTCGCCAGGCAGCAGCTCGACGTTCTCCTCCCACTTGAGCTGGTGGCAGAAGTCGGCGTCATTGGCAATGCCCTCGAACTTGTCGAAGCGCCAGACGCACCATCACGTACATGGCACCCTGCGGCGAAATAACCTCGATGCCATCGACCTTGTTGAGCTCCGACTCGAGGATGCGCGCGTGCTGCTCCAGCTGCGCATTCAGCTCGGGCAAATAGTCGGCAGGGACCTGGGTCAGGATCTTGGGAATGGCAGCCTGCACGATTCCGCACGGGCCGTTGATCAGCGTCGACAGGGCGAAGAGCCCGCGGCGCACGTCGGCCAGCGCATTGTTGCGGTCGTGGATCATGATCCAGCCCATGCGCCAGCCCGGCACCAGCCACTGCTTGGCCAGGCCTCCCAGCGCCAGAATCGGCACTGTCGTGGTCAGCGAGGCCTGTCGGCGTGAACACCTGGTCGCCAAACACCATGTCGGCGTAGATCTCGTCCGAGATCAGCGGGATCTGGTGCCGCTCGCACACCGCCAGAATCGCATTCAGGTGCGCCTTGGTGAAGTTGGAGCCGCACGGGTTCGACGGGTTGTTGATCAGCACGCACGCCGTCTTGTCGTCAATCAGCGACTCCATGTGCGCCAGGTCCACCTCCCAGTTCTTGTCCGCCTGCAGATTGTACAGCCGCGTCTCGATGTTGCGCGAGCCCGCGACCGTGTTGTACAGGCAGAAGCCGGGCCGGGGCAGAAGGATGTTCTGGCCCTCGTTGCACAGAACGCTGAATGGCCATTTCCACCGCTCCCGAGCACCCGCTGGTCATGATGATATCCTATGCATTGCGTGCGTAAAGGTGTGGCCAATAAAGGCGCAATTAGTGCCATGCGGTGGGGTCATGTGAAGCACAGGAACAGCCGCAGGCTGCAGGTTTTCCATTGGCACTTGAGCGTGTGAGAAAAAAATCGACTGCATGTCCGGGGCGCCCGTGCACCAAAAGTTCCCACGTTCTGCATAATTACCAAGTGCTCATCCGGCACGAGAATCGCCTCCCCCACTATTCCAGACAAAAAACAGGTAGGCATGCGTCCCGCTCCAGAGTGTGGACGAGTTGCACCCGCAGGAGACCTTGTTGCTCTATTCCCTTCACTTTGGGCGGCACCAGAACTAGCCGTCCCGTGTTCAGATAAGCCAAATAAAAGAGTGCTTTGCAAGATACTTTACCTCGGCGGTCAGCGGTGCCTCCGGGCAGGTGTATTTGTTGGCAACAGCCTCGCGCGTAGCGTGGATTCCTAATTATCAAGCGTGCGAACAAGCTTGTTTTTAGCACAAACAGGGCCAGTTGCGCAGCACAGCCACCAGGCCATCAAAAGGATCGAACACTTACCGACTGAAGGAGGGTAGCCGTTGAACTTGTACGAGCGCGCGGCCTCCTCGACAGCCTCGACGACGACCGGGTGGGTCTTGAAGTTGCCAAAGACCGTCGGGTCGCCAATGGACAGGCTGAGCATCTCCTTTGTGCTCTTGGGAGTCGACAGGGGCTGCACTGGGCGGGTCAGCACATCGCGGATGGGGTTGAAGGTGCGGCGCGACACATCGCTGGAAGCGATCGTGCCCCAGGGGCCGGTGGAAGTAGCAGACTCGTTGGCAGAGGGCATGGACAAAAAGGGCTCTAGAAGTTATAAATGGAGCAAAAAAGAGAAACAGAGGACTGTGGATCCCAGGCGGAAACGGCTGTTGCTTTTATAGCCGCGTCGCATCAAGCCACCTCTTCCCGAGGAAATCGATACTCGGCACAGACCTGCTCGCCTGTTGCAAGTACTGCATTCCGGTCGGGGGAGGGCTAACGAGTCATCACAGAAGCCCAGCGCCTTTCTGCGCGACATTGCCAATCATTTTTTTTGGAAGGAGAAATGCGCGGATTTCGGCCCTAGGTGTTACACGGAGCAGCTCAACTCTCTCCGGGCCGCGCCCCACCGCCTATGCCCCTGGCACACACTTCCTCCATTGCTCCCGTCAATGACACGGTTGCCGGATGTGGCTGAAACCAAATGCTCATATATCGAGAAAATTTAATGCAATACACAATCCTCAATAGCACTAGCTCTTTTTGAATGCGGCTGTGGTGACCGTCTGACCAACAACGCCGCCAAACTGGAACGACCGGTGCTTGACGCGGCCAACCAGCTTCAGATGTGGCGCGAACCTGGCAACCAGCTCGTCTTCGGTCCAATTGCACGATGTGATCAGGAACACGCCGTCGGTGCTCAGGCTATGGAACACCGATGCTGCGTATACGTCGCGCGCGCCAGTATCGATCTGGGCACCCTCCTCGTCGCCCTCCTTGGGCTTCAGGCAAATGGCATCATACGTGCCCTTATCCAAAACCACATCGAATTTGCGTTCCCCAGCGACCAGCGAGACATCCGCAGGGTTCAAAAAGTCCTGCACCCTGTACGTGATCTCCTGGCCACGCTGCTTGGCAATGCGCGTGGCCAGCTCGACTGCCTGCGCCGAGTAGTCGGTGCCAGTCAGGTTCGTGTAGCCCTCCTCGGCGAGGCCCAGCAGCAGGTGGCCGTTGCCGCACCCAACATCGAGGATGCGCGCATCAGCGTCGTCAATGTTGCGGCACACCCACTCGACCATCTTGTTGGCGCTGTCTTCGCCGAACCAGATCTCCCCAATGTCGCCGGTCTCGGCAAAGTTGTTGATCTCGCGGTCGTACACGCCGTCCCAGTGGTCCTTGCGGCCGAGCCGCGAGGCCTCAAACGAGGCAGCTGAGCCTTCGTCGTCGCTCATTGCTGTGGAATATTTTATTGAGATGCTTAGGTTTGGGAACGAAAAAAAGGATCGGTTCGGTAGAGGGGCCAACACAGGGGATTTCAATCGGCAACAAAAAAATTTCATCCTCGCTGGTTTTGATCTTTGGATCGCGGCGATCTGCAACCATTGGGCTTATGGCGAGGCTTCGGATGGCTTGAGATATGCGTGTATCGAGACAAGAATAAGCCGAGGAAGCTACTGCTGTGGTCGTCACGCACGCTCTTTTATGCGCGGTCGATGGCGTGGTCAGATCCCTCGTTGCCTGTCTCATGCGGAGCCCCAGACACCACAGGCTTACTCCTCAGTTTTCTGTGTCGGGGAGTGACCGGTAGACAAATGCCCGGGCCTGTTCCAGGAACTCGCTCTTGATATCCTCAGGCACCTCGGCGCGCGCATACGGAGTGACTTTCTCGGCAATCTCGTCGACGGTAACCTTGTCGGCGCCATTCTCGCTCTCGCGGATTATCCGCTGGCACCTGTCTTTGACCCGGTCTTGCCAGCCACTTGCCAGCAGCTTATTGCGCAGGATCTCTTGCAGCCGCTCGCGCTCCCCAGACTCGATGAACCGCCGCAGCAGCTCCTCGCGCACTTGCATTCCATCGGCCATGGCAGTATAAAATCGAGAGGGATTAGGAAAGGTGGTGTGAGGCTAGAATACAACGCTGCGTCGGAAAATTCGCTCGAGGCTGTGTCTCGCTGTGCATATATGGAACTGGGTCAATCCGGGAAAAGTATGGTTATTTGCGAAATTTAAGGCATGAAAGAGTGAATGAACAGAAAAGTAATAATTAGAGGGGCTTTAGAAGAGGACACGGGTGATGATGTTCTCCTGGATGCCTGTAATCTCCTCGTAGATAGTGCTGATCTCCTTCTGGTCGTTGACGGTGACATCGGCCATGAAGTAGGCGACGTCGCCCTTGGAGTCCGAGATCTGCTTGTTGACATTGTAGTCGGCCAGAATGTTGTTGATTTGCCGCAGCACACCCGGCACGTTCTGGTGCACGTTGACAATGCGCACAGTGGTGAGATCGCTAGACGGGATGGCGCGCAGGTCGCACTCGGCAAAGTTGACGGCGTTGACGGTAGCACCGGTGTTGATGTACTTGGTGATGGCCGTGGCGACCTCCACGCCGATCATGCGCTGCGCCTCCTCGGTCGACCCGCCAATGTGCGGAGTCAGCAGCGTGTTCGGGCAGTTGCGCAGCGGGCTGTCGAATCCGGGCCCGTTGGCCAGCGGCTCCGACGGGTACACGTCGACGGCAGCGCCGCCCAGGTGGCCGGACTGCAGGGACTCGGACAGCGCCTGGATGTCGACGACGGTTGCCGCGCGACGCGTTGATCAGGTATGAGCCCTGCTTTCATCAGCGCCAGCTCGCGCGCGCCGATCATGTTCTTGGTCTCGGGTGTCTCGGGAACATGCAGCGACACAAAGTCGGCCTGGCCGAGCAGCTCGTCGAGCGTGTCGGTGTTGCGGCTCATGCCGATGGGCATCACCGGCAGGATGTCGAACCAGATCACGTTCATGCCAAGCGACTCGGCGAGCACGCCGAGCTGTGTGCCGATGTGGCCGTAGCCGACGATGCCCAGCGTCTTGCCGCGGATCTCGTAGCACTTCTTCGACACCTTGTTCCACACGCCCTCGTGCATCTCGCGCGAGCGGTCGCCCAGCTGCCGTGCCAGCAAAATGATCTCGGCAATGACCAGCTCGGCCACGCTGCGGCTGTTGCTGAACGGCGAGTTGAAGACGGAAATCTACCAGGGTGAAGCAAGAAAGGCGGATTTAGAGCGGATGGTGCGTGCCAAGCAATTGTATTTTGGGGCAGGGCGGTCTTTGGAACCGAACCAGCAGTGAACGGCCATTCCGGTCCAGATACCATCGTGCTGCCTTTTTCCTCGACTGGAAGTGGTGGAAAATGCCCGATTGTCCACGCCGATAACAAGGCAAGAGGTGCATAGAGTGAAGCGTGCTGGTACTTACACCGCGAGACGCCGCATAGCTGAGGTTGACCTGGTTGGTGCCAATGCAGAAGCAGCCAATGGTGAGCAGCTTGTTAGGCATGGGACAGCACTTCCTCGGTGAGCTTGGTCTTGCTTCTACAAATGTGCGGGCCGGGCGAGGGATAGAGAGTTTCGAGTGAGTTTGGCATGAGCATGAGTGCGAAAAATGAGCGTGAAAATAATGAAGATTTGGGAAGACGAACAAGAAGGCTGTTACCCAACTGTTCACAGCAGCTGGGATTGTTGTGCTTTTTCAGCCGCCCGCAACAAAAGCGCACAGCCAAGAGCGAGCGATGTGCTGGAGGGATCCGCAGAACGCAGGAATGGCCCGCACTCTGGGTTATTTTGCCCAAAAAGCGCAGGGCTGCCTGGAGACCGTGCGCGTGAAAGGGCGCTGCAGCCGGCAAGACAAATCAAAAACAGCCAGGGTGGCGGATTACAGGAAACCGAGGTGGCCCATTCCTGCCTCAGTCAACAGTGCAAGTACTGGGAGCTGGTTCTGCAGGAGATTCTTACCTGATGCCGACGGCGTGCACGTCCTTGATCTTCTCAATAAGCGTGGCCTTGTCGAGTGCCTTGGTGTGGAATTCGACCTGGTACCCGGCCTTCTTCAAGATCTCAACCGCCTTGGCGACTGACGTTCTCGAGCAGAAGGATCTTGATGTCGCCGCTGTTGAACGGCTTCAGGCGGCGCGTGTGCGAGTCGCGCAGGTTGAAGCTGGCACGACGGGACACAGGCACAGTGTTGAGTTCGCTGCCGGTGGAAGTCTTGTCAACCATTATTGCTATGCAGGTAGAATTGATAAGAGACGTGTATTAGGATGCGTGAGCAAGCGTGCAGGCAAGCGCGGAGGGACTGAATCGCAGGCGGGCCGCGACGAGGACTAAAAAGACGTGCACGAATGCTTGGGCGGCGAATACCTACGTTTGCCGGTCGAAAAAGCGAGATTGGGTAAAAGAGGTAAAAACTCCGAGGGAGAATGGAGAACAAGCGCTGAGATAAAGAGCGTCTGGACCAGTGAGGAAGGCGCGGCCGTGCCCCTTTTAATACCTGTCCTGCTCACCGCTTTCACAACATCCCCTCTGTGAACTTGCGGCAATCACACTCTTGCACACACCCCCAACAGCTCCGACCCCTGGTCCTGTCCATTCGTCTGAGCGACGGGTATCTCTGGCCGAAGAAACGCATTTGCCAAAGCAATCGGAGCTTTGCTCGCTCTTTCGTCAGCTTCCGGAGAATACAGCCAGTGAGAGGAGGGCTGCGGGCAGCCTAATGACTGAATTGGCTTTTGCGGCTGACTGACTCTTTGATGTGCTCCCAGAATGCGGGTCGATCTTGCCGAGCCAGCCCGCCTATCTCGGAACACCAAGCCACCGCGAGCATTGATCGATCAGCCCAATCTACACAGATCACAGGATCCCAGTTGTTGTGATTTACTGATCACGTGAGCGACGCTCCAAACACAGCCAGCCAATTGCGAGCCTCCTGGTCAAAGACAAAGCCATGGCCGATTTCGCGCTGCGTCGCCAGCCCTCGCCCGAAACGACGCGATTTTTTACTCTAAACCTGAAGGCAAAAATTTTTACTTTTCTTAACCTACACTTTTCGATATCTCCCGCATCGACGCCTGTATCCAGCTCTTAGCGTAAGTGGGGCCTGCTGCAAGCCGACCATGTCCAGCACCACCATGCCTGCTGGGCCAGCGCAGAAGTCGGCCAATCCTTCAATGATGTCTGGCCCGTGCTCTTTGTGCTCCAGCGCTGCACATCACCTTGTTTGGACGCGTCTCGGTGACGGTGTTTACAATACAAGGTCGCAAAAGGCCGTCCCCATCTGGCTAAACCCGGTGTATTCATCTCGCGCTCCCCCTTTCTTCTCCATATCCAGTCTGTTTTTATCCAGCTCTGCCACGCCGTATATTGTCTATTTTTTTCGCAACCTTATTACTCTTACCAGCTGTAGAAAAACGAGGGGCCATTTCAACACATGGGAAACACGCAGAGCAACCTCCCGGTTTACTACAACGCCGACCCGACCAACACGGCGTACCTGCATTCGCTGAGCAAGTTCGTTGACCTTGCCAGCGAGTCGGTGGGCGGAGTCGTGGTCCAGGCCAGCAACGAGCGGTTCGGCGCCGCCAAGAACCTGGTGAAGACTCGTGCAGCCACTAGCAAGGCCGAGCGCAAGAGCGGCAGCAACGGTGACGCGTGGGTGACGCGGCGTCACAATCCCGAGACGGACTGGGCGATCATCCGGCTGGGCTCGGCTGGCACAATTGCTGGGTTCGACATTGACACAACAGGGCTTGACGGCGAGCAGGCGTACAAGGTGTCTATCCAGGCATGCCTGGCCAGTGAGGACGCTGTGGCTGACGACCAAGGAGACCTGGGCGTCGAGTGGGACGAGCTGCTGCCGATTGTCGAGGTGAAGGCTGACTCGCACCACCTGCTGGCGCTGTGGGCGGAGACGCAGGCTGTGTACAGCCACGTGCGGCTGACTCTGCATCCGGATGGCGGTGTGTCGCGGCTCCGCGTATTTGGCACCGTCGCAGCGGGCGCGGCAGGCGAGGGCGAGGCGGACCTGGCCTCAGTCAACAATGGCGCGCGCGTGGTGAGCGCCAGCAACGACAAGCTGGGTGCCAAGGAGAACCTGATTCTGCCGGGCCGCTCGTCGGCAGCTCAGCCCGAGACGCAGGGCTGGAAGACGGCGCGCAGCCGCAGCTCCACGCACAGCGACTGGGCCGTGGTGCGCCTTGGGTGAGCCTGGGTTCCTGACACGCATTGAGATCGACACGCACCTGTACGATGGGGACCAGCCCGTGGCTGCTGCCGGTCCAGGCGTGCTACACGCAGGCGGAGAACCCTGAGCAGGACACCGAGTGCTTCTGGTACCAGCTCATGCCGCGCATCGAGCTCAATGGCAACGGACCTGCACTCGTTCGATGTATCGCTCAATGACGTGCCGTTCTCTCACATCAAGCTGATCATCCACCCAGATGGTGGCGTCAGCCGTCTGCGTGCCTACGGCCAGCGTGTCGCCGAGATCGAGGAGGAGGCTGCCCGCGAAGAAGCCGAGGCGGCTGCTGAGGCTGAGGTTGCTGCCCAGGCTGGCCTTGACGCCGATACCCCCACTGAGGCTGCCGGCACCCCTGCCGAGCCCGATACCGAGAGCAAGGATGAGGGTGAGGACAACGCTGAGGCTGAGGTATCTGCGTTTGTTGTCATCGATAAGGTCGAGGAGGAGGAAGAGGAGCAGGAAGGAGCAGGAGCAGGACGAAGTAGAGGAGGAGCAAACGGAGGAGGAGCCAGTGAAGCAAGTCATCCCCAAGGCACCCGCCACGCCGTCTCCGCGCAAAAAGTCCAGGGCCAAGCGCCACCTGCACGCCACCGATGACTCGTCGGTGGATCAGTTCTCATCCAAGGCGGGCGAACTGATCGAGAGCCTAACCTCCCCTTCGCATGCCAAGAAACGCACTCGCACGCGGTCCCATGCTGAGGACACCGATATTTCTGCCAACACTGTCGAGTCCACTGCCGAGAAGCGCACGCGGCGCAAGTCCAAGCGCCGCCATGCCTAAAAGCTTATAAAAGTATCTTTTTCTGTTTTCTTGAGTGTCTTTTCTCTATCTCCAAGCATATCGTTGCGCCACATATCTTGTGCACTGGACTTGTCGAGCCCATGTATTAGTGGATATGCATGTGTATCTTTAGATAGTCTGATTGCCAGCTAAACGATTGAAGTTGGTTGTTGCTGTTGTCGCTGGAATATATAAATACCCATTGTTAATTGAGCCGTGCTTTTAGTTTGTGAGAGTACGCTATATCTCTGCAAGCTTGCCTCTCCGAAATGCTCCATCAAAACCACATGGGATACGAACTAAAATGAGAAAGAATGGGGGCATAACCCCAGTGGGCGCTTCCAGACTGATGCGTGTACACGCGGGATCATGAGGTGGCGGGTGAACGGCGAGAGATCATGATGCTAGAGATGAGTTTGAGAATGCAGTGACTAGGTGATTCGGCAACCTACACGTCTAGTTCTTGCTAGGGAACATTATGCATATCTGTGAAGGTGCCGCTTAGTCTACGCTTTGGCTAATCGGCTAAACTAGCTACCTATGACGCACTATTACTATGTTCTTATAGAAGTGACCTACTGAGTGTTTCAGGTGTGGTTTTCACATCTTCTGTTGGCAACATGGTTGATGTCAGCATGTCTTTGTGTCTGGAGGCGACTACTAAGCATCACGAACATCTGGAGGAACTACATACATAGCTTTTATCATGTTAGCAAACTGTATGTAGCTCAATTCCAGACACAAGATGCCAAGCTAGGAAAGTACCATGGGCTCTGCAGCGAACATGAGAGGGTTGGGCAGCATCTGACCTGCCACATGGATGTGATCTAAGCTGATCCGGCACTGATCTCCAAGCGGCTGCCTTGCCTCAACCCTGACGCAGACAAATTTCGGCCTAGAGACATTTCAGCTCTGTGACGAATTTCGTTTTGTTCTTCACTTTTACTGCATTGGCGTGACGTGCAATGAGCGACGCACCGAAGGAAACAACTGCGGCAACGCCAGACTCAGGCGGGCGTACGCGGAAGCCGCGTAGCCGCCACAAGAAGCATGGCGACGGCAAGGCCGAAAGCAAAGAGGGGTTGGACACCAAGCAGCAGAAGCCGGCTGTCCAGAAACCTCCGCAAAAACCGGCAGCCTCAAAGAAGGTCAGCAAGAGTGACGAGACTCCGGCACCCAAGCGGCCACCGAGGCGACGGGCAAAGACAGAGTCGGGCATCGATGGAGGCATTAAGGGTTCAAGCCATGGATCGGCCAACGAGCATACATCGCAGCGACCAGGCAGGCCAAGCGCAGCCACGAGTGGGGCTAGCACACCGATCACATCCCGCAAGTCCAAGCCCAAACCGGCAGAGAAGCCTAAACTGAAGGTGGGCGACAAGCCCAAGTCTGCTGGAGCAAAGAAGGGGGCAGACAAGTCCCAGCGAAAGTCAGGTGGGTGCAGCACACGAGAAGGATAGACAGGCGCGTGGCGGCAAGAGAAAACAGAGGGCTGAGAAGCAAAGGACACAGAAGCTCAAGGCTGAAGACAAGCCTGGGAGTAAACCAAGCCATGTGCCGGCCAAACCGTCAAAAAGCGTTGTTTCGCGAGCAAGCGGTATCGGGAACTGCTGCTATGGATGCAGCCAGGTCGAAACCGAAGCCCGCGAAAGCAAGGACCTTGCTGCTGCCAGCAGTTGCACTGCCGCAGCCGGTGAAGAGGGCGGTTAACACACGCGTATGTGTGCGACTTCTTCCTGCGGACCTCCCTGAGCATGTGTTTTGGAAGTCCATCGAGCCTGCCCTGCCGTGGTTTGCACCCGAGGACGCTGGGGATGTGGTAAAGGTGGACCGGTTTGTAGCATATCGGCCTGAACCAACAGAGGGCGACGCCAGCGACACTGAGAAGACCTGGAGATGGAGAGGTGAGTGGGAGTCAGTCGCTGGCGCCTACAGAGACTATGCAGGTCGATGTATACGAAAGCAAAAACATCAGCAGACTCGACTCTGAGCCATATTGGCGGCAGTATGTGCCTGGAAAGGTGCACAGAAGCAAGTCGAAGCCGCCGACGGCGTCACGCGCGTACATCCTGTTTGCCAGCATTCGATGAAGTCACCCACTTCCACCAGCGGTATCATGGCCACGTTTTTTGCAAGAACAACGTTGTGAGCCGCGCCCTGGTGGAGCTAGCCATGAGCCAGGAGATTCCACGTGACTACACACCAGCTAAAGACGCCATCGAGGGAACGATTGAGGACGACCCGGATTTCCAGGCGTTCCTAAATCCCAAGAGTACTGAGGAGCTGGCAGCAGAGGCTGCCAAGCAGGTACCGCCCAAGGTGTCGTATGCGGATGCGGCTAAGGTTAAAGGAGCGGCAACAGGACGACGATGTCACGCCGCTGGTGCGGTATCTGCGGGCGCTCAAGGGCTTCTCTGGATCAAGAGCATCGAGGACCAGCAGTGACAGAGCGAAGACGGCAGGCAGGGCGGGTGGAACGATGGCTGTGTCAGGCAGCTCGACGCCGAAACGGTCGCGGCGCCGGAATCGCTGAGGCATTAGACACAGCTGCTGCCTCTCGTTCGCCCGCTAGTCAGAGGGGGAGCATAGCTGGGGTTGGCCGTCAGCGATTAAGCATAGGGAGTGGAGAGCACATTAGCTGCGTGGGGTACACGATGACTTGCTGGTCATCTATAGTGCATGCCTCTCTTCCCGGATCCTGGCGATGAAGGGGAAACAGTGCGATCAGCCACCCGCCTTCTCTACTTCTTACTTTGCCAGGCTTGATCTCCCCACATCTATCCAGCAAGAATTAATATAATGGTAAACCCACAGCTCTGGCTACAGGACAGGCTCAATGAGACGTGTATGGACAGAATCCGGGGATGGCCAGACTTGCTCTCATGGCCGAGCCCGCGAAACCAAGACAACTGGGACCACACAATTGCATAGCTTTAAAACATTGGTGTGTTTTAGCATGTATGTACTGCCCAACAGAGCCTGGAGTCTGCCCACATCGCGCCAAATATTGCCCCTGTGCGGCGTCTGTCCCCGGGGATTATTCTGCCATATATCGCGAGAGTCTGCATCCCTGTTTTGTTTCCTAGTCTAGAGCCTTTCCCTGCTTCCAACACAGCTTTTTTTATACTTTCTAGTTGCACTATTACTACGTTCTACACCATGGGGAATCTAGTGGTAACGTTGGTAGTAGTGTTTCCTGCTTTCGCTAAATATATGGACGGTGACGGCCAGGCTAGCGACAGCCATTTACAGGACCACCCAAGGCAATCCGGAGCGTGCGCCCGCACCGACGTGCCCAATGCCTCTCACCAGCAGCGCGCAATCCACCGCCGATGCGGCTAAAACAGCCCAATCTGTGTGATCCAGACGTACGACAGCACTCTGGGTACGTTGACCTGGACGACGACAAACACGTGTTCTTCTGGTACTTTGGGTCACGGGTACGCCTGCATCCAGAGTTCAAAAAGGAAAACGACAGCGTTCCATTGGTGTTTTGGTTCTCGGGCGGGCCAGGCTGCTCATCCCAGATTGCCAACTGGCAAGAGAACGGACCGTGCCTGTACGTGCCAAGCGTGCGATTCTCCAAGGACATGTCGGATATCGCGCGCAAGGCACTGCCGCACCGGGTGGAGCGCAATCCATGGTCATGGAATTCTGTGGCCGATATTGTGTATATTGACCAGCCCGTAGGCACCGGATTCTCACACGGAAAGATGCCTAATTCAACAGAGGCGGCGACAGACACGGCATGGCGGACGATGCAGGCGGTGTACGCGTTTCTGCAAGACGAGGCGTCCCGGAACGGCGAGCGGGCAATAGACAACATGCATATATTTGGCGAATCATACGCGGGTCGGTACATCCCTGTGTTCACTGAATACCTTCTGCACATGAACGACCAACTAGAGCAGTCAGAAGACCTGCGGCAGCGCGGATTCCGACACCTTCCTCTGCGAGGAATCGGCATCGGCAATGGTATGTTTGATTATGCTCTGCAGACGCCAACGTACTACAAGATAGGATGTCGGTCGTCATACCCGCCAATGTTCAGTGCGCGGCAATGCTCGATCCTGAAGAACACGGTGAATCCACAGTGCATCCGCATGCTGACAGAGTGTTATGCGGCAAGCAAAGGGCAGAGCTCCGAGGGTATGCGCCGCGAGGGGTGCGTGGGGATTGAAATGGAGCGCTGGCGACTCAGGGACGTGTGTGCAGCAGCAGATTCGTACTGCAACGGCGCACTGAACTGGACGACGGCGGTAAGCACATACGATGTGCGGCAGGGCGCGCGCATGGTGCCCGACGACTACGTCAGTTTTTCTGCGTACCAGCGCGTTTGTCGATGCCGTAGGGGCCTCCTCGTCAATAACGTACCAGGAATGCTCGGACTCTATATTCGATCTGTTTGCATCAACAACCGACGAGATCTCGCGATCGGCAATCGTCCTCGCTGGAATACATCCTGGGCCGACAATTGCCGGTGCTGCTGTATAGTGGCGACGCTGACTTCATATGTAACTGGTACGGTACGGTCGCGGTTGCGAAAGCGCTTAACTGGCAAGGGAAAAGCAGGTTTGCGAACTCCAGGGTCAGCAATTGGTCGTGGCCGGCTAAGAACGGGACTGGCGTTCCGGCTGGGCAGTTCTTGAATGCCGATAATTTGACGTTTTTGAGGGTGTATGAGGCCGGACACGAGGTGCCATTCTATCAGCCAGAGGCCTCGCTATACATGCTGATGCAGTTTGTCACCCAGCAGCATTTGTCATAAGATAGTTTTATTTTCTCGTATTGCATTCAGTTTTACTTCTGTACATGCGCCAGTGTCTGTGGATATGGTGTGCAGCTCGGAAATTGGTGGCAGCATAAACAAGCCTGTGTCACAGTCACATGACAGTCGGTAAAGCTGGTTGGCTGGCGGCTGGCTGGCGGACAAGCAGCAGGGGAATTTTTTTGCCAAGACCAAGGATTCTGGCTGGCAATTTCGGCCCTTTCCATCTTTCCTTTTCTCGCATATTTTTATTTTTGCCAGTCTCTTTTCAATTCGCAGTCACCTTTTTTTATCTCTATATCTATCAGACATATGTTGGCTCTGGCAGCTCTGAAAAAGGCGCACGCCACGGCTGTGGCGGCACGAGTAGCCAGGCAGAGCCTCGGTAGCAAGGCTGCCTACCAGACATACACACAGCACAGCTCGTCGCTGGGTCGGACTCCCCGTGGTGGCGGCAAGTGGTGGACACGGTTCCTCGACTATATCCGTGGCAGCAGCAGCGCCATCGCCCGTAATGCGGCTAAAAGCGCAGCCTTCCAAGGCGTTCAGCAAGACTGCTGCGGCCCGTCTGCGCATGGTGATGCCGCAGGGACCAGGCTGGGCAGCACGTATGATGCTGAAATCGCGTGCTGGCGCTGTGAGGACTGCAGGCGCACGCGGCTATCTGCGGGCGATAACACAGTCGCTGGGTCAGGCTATGCGGGCGGGACCGGGAGCATCAGGGCGGATGGCGGGCCCTGGATCGGTGGGCATTTGGACCTGGCGGACGTTGGTCGCCGTATGCACGGTCATTTGCGCGCAGCTTCCATTCAGCGTCGCGGACGATGTCGTCAGCAAGAGTTGTAGCGTTGTTGCAGAGACAGACGATGGCGAGTGTGATGACACAGCAGCGCAAAGATCTATCGCTGGCGACGCCATTTGCCAATGAGACGCGCATCCGACTGCTGTCAATGCACGATGGCGGAGATGTGATGCAAGCAAAGCCATTGAAGGCAGGCTACAGGATGAAGGCTCGCAAGGCGGAGAAGCCAGCAGAGAGCGTGCATAAGCCAGCAGAGCAGGCCGATCCGCACCCAGCTGCGGCAGCAATTACTGAAGCGGTGCCAGTAGAGCACTGTGTTCTGGTGACGGTGCCATACACAGTATCGGCAATGTCGCAGCTGGCGGCGGGGCAGCAGGCGTCGTCGGCAGATGTCGCCCAGATGCTTGCGGATGCACAGAAGATGCAGCAGAGACATACGCTACTGCTGACCCGGCTTTTGGAAAAGCTGGCGGCTACGGGCTGGAACATCCAGTACAACCACATTTCGAGCCCGTCGGAGGGCGTGCAGATTGCTCTGCCGCCGTCCACAGGCATCCGCACGGCTGCCGAAATGGAGTCGCTGCTGTCGGACTGGGGCTTTGACATGTCTCTTTTTGCAGCGGTGGTCAAGGACCCAGCAGTGCCGCAGCCCCGGACGCCTGTGCGCTCGAACAAGACCAGCGGCACCATGTTGCTTGACTCGCAGGACATCGGACGATCTTGACTCGAGGCTGTTCTCGCTGATTGTCGATGATGTGGTTGACCCCGAGGAGGCATACCGCGAGGAAGTCAGGGATTTCTTGACTGACCTTGACAGAATGCCCAGGCTGTCGGCCTCCCGCAAACCCTCGGCGTTTGACGGCATGTACAAGAAACTCCAGCAGCAACGGCAGCAGCCTATGCTCTAGCCTCGCTTTTTCACCCTTTTGTTTTTTTTTTGTCTAGTGTATTTAAGCCCGTCCCTCCTTTAGCTCTACATCTCTGTCGTATCAGAGAAGCGCCAAATGTCTTTATCCTAGCTTCCGTCTGTGAAGAAGTTGCGGTCCTTCATACTGTCTGGCAAGTAAATCTGGTCCACAGGCCCTTCGTAGTCTGGGTTATACTTGTATCCCAAGCTGTACCCCATGTTTTTCATCATAGTCGTCGGCGCGTTGCGTAAATGTAGCGGCACAGGCCATGGGTTCTCGTCCTGCAGCGTCGCCTTGACTCTCTTGTATGCCTTGTACGTCTCGACGCTTTTCGGAGCCCTGGCCAAATATGTAATGCAGTGGGCCAAAATCGTATCGCACTCGGGCATTCCTATCGCCTGGCACGCATGGAATGCCGATACAGCCAGCGGCAATGCGTTGTTATCTGCGAGGCCAATGTCCTCGGAGGCCATGCGGATCATGCGCCGTGTAACGTACAGCGGGTCGTCGCCTCCAGCCAGAATGCGGCCAAGCCAGTACAGAGCGGCATTGGCGTCGCTGCCACGCACGCTCTTGTGGAGGGCCGAGATCAAGTCAAAAGTGCTCTTCGGCTCCGTAGACCATGTGTGTGCGCTGCAGCGCGTTTTTTATGTCGTCGAGCGACACTGCTTGTGGCGGGGTGTGGCTTGGCAGGGCGCTCATGGCCAGATCAACAGTGTTGATGGCGGACACGGGCATCGCCATCGCTGACAGAAGCCACGTACTTGGCCACCTCGTTGTCCAGGCCTGCCTGCGTTTCACCGAGGTCCTCTTGCTTCAGCTTGGCGGCTCTCTGGGCGATGCACTCGATGTCGTCTTCCAGTAAGGTTACCAAGGCGGAACACGCGGCAGCGGCTCAGCAGCGCGCTATTGAGCTTGAATGATGGATTCTCCGTGGTGGCCCCGATCAAGGTGATCTGGCCGCGCTCGAGATACGGCAGAAACACGTCCTGCTGAGCCTTGTTGAACCTGTGGATTTCGTCGAGAAACAGGATGGTGCGCTTCCTTGCCAGCCTGTTAATGTTGCCAGCCTCCTCAATGACCTTCTTCACATCAGATGTGTTCTGCGTTACAGCACTCATCTCCTTGAACACGGCTTTGGTGCGCCGGGCAATGATGCGTGCTAGCGTGGTTTTGCCCAGCCCGGGGTTGCCCCAGAAGATCATAGATGTGACCTGGTCATTTTCAATGATACGCCGCAGCATCCCTGTAGGGCCAACAAGGTCTTGCTGCCCGACAAACGTGTCAAGCGACATGGGACGCAGGCGTTCGGCCAAAGGGAGCTGCTTATTGCTGCGCCGCTTCTCTTCGTCATCTGCTGGCATATCCACTGTCTTTGGTTTGTCGCGTGTTGCGCTATCGAGGAACGGATCGGCTTGCTTCGGCGACTGCAGTGACTGCGAGTGAATCAACGCGGGCGGTCTGGATAAGTGCTGGGAGCCAGAGCGTGGTCGTTTTGACACTGGCGACCCTTTTGACGGAGATATGAGGAACGGCGAAGCAGGCTTGGTGCGCTTGCGGCTGGGCGTCACAGGCTCATCGTCCACGGCACCGGCAGCAGGTTCGCCAACTCCCTGGCACTCGCGATCCAGGTGGTCGTTCATGTACCACTCAGGCACGCTCTTGTTGCAAATTGGGCAGGCGACGATGCTGCTGCTGCTCATTGTGAAGTAATATTGTAGTGAGATGAAAAGCTGCTGTGTTTGATGCTGCTCCTGAGGCTGCGGTCTTTTGAGCGGACCTGGCTGATCAGCTAACCAAACCTGCTGATCCAACACCGAATAACCGACGCGTTTTGCGCGTTTACTGACACACGGGCTTTCCCTGTTTACCTTTTTTTTTGTCTGTCGTGAATTTGGTCCTAGTATTTAAGCAACTCTAATCCAGCGCTCCAGTATACTCTCCAGTTCAGTCATGCATTCGCTCGTGGCTGCCACCAGCGACATAGTTCGCGTGTGGGATTTGGCCATTGCCTCTAACAATCAACAGAGTAGCTCCAATTATGCTACCCTCCGACGCGGGGCCACCTCTACCGGCTACAGCGTCTCACACAACAAATCCTACACCGCAGGAAGCATGCGGGACAGTGTAAATGAGATCAAGGTGGTTTCGTGGTCGACGGACGGCAGCACGTTTGTGGTGGGCGGGAAAGGTCCGTATATGCGGCAGTTCAGTGCCTCTGGCGAGCCAATAATGGACATTCCCGGCAACGAAGATGACATTTCGGATATCGTGGCAATTCAGCACTATGGCAGCAACTCCGAGTCGATGTTTATTGCAGACAACACGAGCCGCCAGGTGCGGCGGTGGGATTTTGCAAGCACAAGCTTTGCGCAGACCTGCCAGACACACGACAACGATATCGCGTGTATGTCCGTAAGCGCCAAGAGGCGTCTGGTGGCAAGCGCGACACGGAAGGGCGGTGAGATTGCGCTCTACAACTTGGTGTACAACACCCGCACAGAGCTTCGGTCGGCAACGCACCGCGCAATGTTGAGCATGGACTTTTCGGCTAGTGCGCGCACGCCAGCTGATGGTGGGTAGCGAAGACGGGTTGCTGCAGCTGTTTGACGCGACGCGGTACGGTCGAGGCACCAGCCAAGACATTTGCACACGTGCATAGCGCGCCCGTGTGCGCATTGAAGTTCCACCCGGCAAACCTGAACTATGTGGTGAGCGCGGGGCTCGATGGCAAGATGGTTCTGACGGATACGGTTGTGCAGAGATCAAATCGCGATTTCGGTGATGGCCGAGGCCCCACTTACGTGCCTTGCGTGCCACCAATCACCAGTCGTGGTCGGCGTAGGCACCATTGACGGCGATGTGCTGGTGTATGATCTGCGAGGCTCGAGGACTCCGCTGTGGAAGCACAGGGTAGCGACACGCAAGCCCTTGGTCAGTATTGATTTTGCGTTTGAGCAGAGCGCGATGCCAGTGGCGACCGGGCGGCGGCCTAGTGGGGTGACCATGAGGTCGTCTGTGAGGAAAAGCGGCGGTAGTTCTGATGACAGTGGGATTGGCAGTGATCACAGGCGTGCGAGGCCAACAGCGGCTCCTCCGAGTAGTCGGGTTGTGGGCCGTGAGCCTAGAGCTACTGGTACTAGGTCGACCGAACCCACGCAGCGTGACAGCGTGAGACCGCCTCATAATCCGGCGATCAAGGCTCACCACCGCCAGGTTCTGAACCAGCTGCTCGAGAGTGCGCATAAGAAGGAACCGCGGTCCGAGCAATGCACTTGGAATCACGTCGCGCCAAGAGACCGAGGAGTTTGGGAGCCCGGAGAACGCTGTGCAGCACCAAGACGACGATTTGGAGAGCGTTAGCATGATTGCCAAGGATCGCTCGTTCATGGAAATGCTATCACCACCGAAGCCTATGGCCAGGGAGCCGGTACGCGCGGACCACAGAAAGGCATTGCCAGTGGCTCATGGCCACATGAAGTATGCTGAGGATCCCGACCTTCCGGTACAGCACGACGAGCTAGAGCAGATGCATGCTACAGGCCCAGACGCCGACCAGCACCATTTGGAGGATTTCGACGACGAATTTGACTTCAGTCCAGCTGAGCCTCTTCGCTACGCAGAGCCAGCGGAAGACGAGGCGGCAGAGGAGAGGCACGATATGGGCGATTCGATGATGGAAATGTTTACACCGGAGCGCGAGAAGCAGCACATTGTCCGCGGCCGCCGTGGCGAGATGGACGAATCGCCGCGGCCCGACAAGACACCATCAAAGATGGTCAGCAAGCTGATAGCTCAGCTGAAGAGCAGCCAGAAGAAGAAAACGACGATAGACTTTGCAGAACCACAAGAGTCCCGCAAGCCGGCCCCGTCACTGAAAACGCCTGGTAGGGCGAACGAATTTAGTGCGATTAGCCCGCGGTCGGCGAGATCGATTGAGAAGCGCCGGCAGGCGCAGATGCTCGAGTACGAGCGGGATTTTGAGCCGATGCCTAAGCGGAGAGCTGTACAGGGCTTTGAGCGTACGCCTAGGGTCGCCAATGAGCCAAAGTCGGCAAAGCGGTCGGCGGTCCGGTTCTTGAGCAGGGCACCGCCAAAGTACTCGAAGGAATCTGTCGAGGAAGATCTGGTGCCGAGGACAGGCACCAAAAGGCACCTCCAAGTATACGCCCAAGCCATGGATGCGCCATGTAGGGCTACCGTCGCGCAGACAGGAGGTTGAGGAGAAGGAGTCCCCAGTGTTTGCTGCTGTGGCCAAGCGACATGAGACAAAGGTTGCCAGACCGCTGGTGCGGCAGGTCGATCGGTCCTTGGACGAGGAGATTAGGGAGAAACAGAGGCCCTCGTATAGGGCAGACCCAGAGCCCGCTGTGGAGGAGGAGGAGGAGGAAGAAGAGGAAGAGGATAAACAGGAGTATGTTGAACGTGCCCCGAGAACCCCAGCGGCCGCCAGAAGAACCGAGCGGTCGACAGAGGCGGAGTACATGCGCAGCACAAGATACCAGCCCCGGGCCGTCCAAAAAGAAGATGATGAGGATCATTTTGAAGAGGGGGACGGGTTTGCTAAGCCAGCTGCAAAGACTCCTGCAAAAGCCAGAAGATCCGAGCCTCCAGCGGAGCGGCTGTCTGGCCAAGAGTTTGGACATGGCTCGCAGTATCGGCTCAGAACTGCCCAGAATGAGGAGGATGAGGATTTCGACGAGTATGTGGATGAGCGGCGGTACAAGCCCAAGCCAACCCTGAAGGCGTCATTGAGCCCGTCCAAGGTGCCTCGCCGACTTTCCGATTTCGATTCCGAGCCTGTGCCCGCACCAGAAACCGCCCCGCCCCCCGCCCCGCCCCCACCCCTCCTGTGCGATCGGCTGAGCAGCGTCCGCCTGTGCAGAAACGTGCAGCCCCCAGATCTGCAGCCACTGGTGCTGATATCTCTGCAAAGTCACCGCCTAGCCGCGCAATGCAGCCCAGAAGTCAGCAGCTGCAGAAGGAGGCGATTCCGCTTGCCAAGGTCCTGGTATCCGCTAAGCAGCGGCCGACACTGCCTACTACGGTCTCCGATGCCTCCTCGTCGAAGCAGACGGCGACCAGCGGAGCACCAAAGTCGCAAGGGGCGAGTGGAACTGGTTCGCCGTCGGTGGGTAGCAGTGTTCTGCAGAGCGCGCTAGTCGATGCTCTTGTGCCGATGCGCGAGCAAATCCGCGGCGAGATCCGCAATCTGCACCTGGACATGATAAAGCAGCACTTTGTGGTTCAGGAGCTGCTTCGGGGATTGCAGCGCGAGGCAGCTGAGTCGCAGGCGCTGCGGCAACAGATCGAGATGCTGCGCAAGGAGAACGAGCGTCTGATGCGCTATATCCCTTTCCACAACATGCTGGATGAGAGCGACTTGGCAGAGCGGCCCGGCGGTCCGAACGGCATTTCCAGGGTCAGCACATCGACACAGCATCATCATCAGCAGCAGCAGCAGCAGCGGTGGCGATAAGATGCGGACGATAAACGGTGGGAAAATTCGCACACTGTCCTGTCTGATTCGTGTCTGCGCCGCCGCTCGCCTCTGCTCCCTTTGTTTTTAAGTCACTATATATAAAAACGCGCCTCCTGTGTCCCAGCCTGTCGCCTAGTACCCTTGCCATCGACAGCATACCATCTTCTTCCGCTTTCGCGTCCTCTCATATTCGAAATTTTGTATAAATGCGCCTTTTAGCAACTGCCCTGCGTCGCTGTACCGCCACCCAGACTGCCTTCCCAAAGACGCTCCGCCCAGCCTACACGATGACCCGCTCGTTTGTCTCCGACGCAACCAAGGACTCGCCGGTCTGGAAGCTCGGCCACCTGAACCACGTCGCCATTGCGGTGCCCGACATGGAGCAGGCCACGTCGTTCTGGCGCAACATCATGCAGGCCAACAAGGTCAGCGACAGCGTTGCGCAGCCGGACCACGGCGTCTACACGGTCTTTGTTGAGCTGGGGAACACCAAGATCGAGCTTCTGCATCCATACGGTGACAAGAGCCCCATTGCAGGCTTTTTGGCCAAGAACAAGAACGGCGGAATCCACCACATTTGCATTAACGTCGACAACATCAAGGAGGCTCTGAAGACGCTGAAGGAGAAGGGCGTGAGGCCGCTGAGCGAGGAACCCAAGATCGGAGCGCACAACCTGCCTGTCGTGTTCTTGCATCCTAAAGACTGTGGCGGCGTGCTGGTCGAGCTCGAGGAACACGCTTAGTTTTTTGTTTTTTGGCTGAGAAACTAAATGCAAAAAAAGACCTCCGACATGTGAACTGCTGCTGATTGGCCCGGGGTATGACGTTGCATTTGGTCAGGGCCTGGTAGGCCCGTTTAGAGGTGACCTAGCACCTCGCGCTTCTCTACTTCCGTTCGGTTTTTCTCCGTTAATTGTTTGCTATTTTCCACTCTAGACCTTGCAGCCTGCTCTTTCCCTCCTGTCTCTTTCGTTGCTTTCGACCGCCCCAACTGTAAACCACCAAAGACGGCCCGCTGTCGTATATGCTCGGCCCTACCGGTCAATGTCACCAACAACCACAGCAACCATAGCCTTAAACCGCAGCAGCCAGGCGACACACAAGCCGAGTTGGCATTTACTAGACAGGCCAGGCAGCACCTCTGTGGACCCCCTCCCGCCGATGAGCAGCCATTTCTACGGGAATCCATGGGGAGCCCAGACCTTCACGGAGCCCGCGTACTCTACGCCATCACTGACGCAACTATCGCCTAGCCGGGCAGCACGTCGTGTTCGCGCAGCAAATGACCCGCTGGTATCGCCGTCGCGGGCACATATAAACGAGTTTGAGCTGGCGACCCGGAAACGAGCATTGAAAGACATGCTGGAATGTATTGACGACGCCATCTCGACACCGCTGCCGCATAATGATATACATATGGCGCGGGTGCGTGCAGATACAGATATAACAGTTCCGGAGGGCCCGCTGGTTGAAGGGCCGAGCCATGATAGTCCACGGCAAAAAGGCGCGGGCTTGGCAATTAGCCTGCCCAAAGACGGTGGCGTGCTGCCATTGCAGATCCACAGGGTGCCTGGGCGGCCATCGGCAGATGGCTTGCCAGGGCTTTCGTACGGAAAGAGCATATTGTCGGTTTCTGAAGGCAGTACTGTGGCCATATGTCTGTGCCAAGCCAGCAGCTGCGCACTATCAAAACTGTGAAGCACCTGGTCTCCAGTAACGATACGCTTGAGGGGATTTCGATCTTGTATGGCGTCTCGGTAAGTTGCAGATGATAGTGATCTGTATTTGCTCTGGTGCTACTACGTTTACTGATTTGTATTTCGTTACAACAGTAGGTCTCGAATCTGAAACGGCTCAATCGCCTGTGGTCGCCGAGCGAGCTGCTTACACGCGACCATCTGTATATTCCGCTGCGGGTCTGCTCGGGGAAATATACGCTGCAGTATATCGATTACATCAACTCGCGATATAGAGATGAATTATCGAGAAGACTAGTTCCAACCGTGCGGCAGTTGCATCTGATCGAGGTCGTCTTGGGCAGCGAGGAAGGAGTAGATACAAGCATGTCGTCGTGGCCTCGTGTGCCATACAAGAGTATACAAAAATATGTGTCCTTTGTGTTCTGACACTCATAGAATAGCTGCCCAAGGGCAATGCTGCCTGCGTTTATCTGCATGTAATATAATCACTTCTCTATGTAACAACACAATCTGAATCACAATGCATATGCGTATCGTCATGGAATTGGTCATTTCAGCCCTCAGGTAGATAGCGTTCATGGACCGTATAGTCAGCTATGATGGCAAAGAGAATGCATATCCACATCCCTGTACACTGGCCTATAGATACTCACTCTGGATGTCGCTCTGTGTAGTAGAAACACAAAACGCTGCAATAGTCACTACTACCAGCTACCATTCAGCATGGGGTAGCGAGCAAATAGTATTTAAACTGGCTCTACATCTTTTCAAATAGGCGCCTTGAAACAGCTACTCTAAGAGAAAGCTGGCATATTATGCTGACGGCAAGCACCAACCCCGTAAAAACAATCATGCTGTCGAAATCCGCTCCGTTACCGAACCGAGACAGTAGTGTGCCGGACGAGGGTGTTGCAGCAAGGAAGCCACACCCGCCTGCAAACATAACCAGCCCAATGATGGATGGCATGCGCTCAACACCAAAAATGCGGCTGGTAAGCACTGGCGGCAACCCAGCAACTATACCAGAAAAGAAGCCAAAGATAACTGAAAAGGCTATAGCTATGCTTGTCGAAGTAGATGGCAGCCATAGTGCAAACACACTATTGCAGCTAGCTGCTGTTGTGAATATCATCATATTGAGCGGGCCAACTCTATCACCCAGGGCACCAATTGCGATCCGACCCAACACGCTTGCCGCAATCATGGTTGATGACAAGTTGGCACCCCATGAAAGAAACTCCAGTGGTATGAGCACCAACCATGCACAAGTGGTGAATGTCATAACGGGTGCATAGTTTGCTGACACCAACACCCAAAAACCACGGCATTGCTGCCTGAATAGAACCAATCCATGATAAAAAGGACGCTGAGGTGTCGGGGAACTCGTTGACCTTGTAATCCTCCATGTAGACGCCATAGGTGATGGTAAGTCCATTAGAAAACATGAAGCCGAAAAATGCATCCAAGACAACAAGCCATGCTTACTTTGAGTCAACCTCTGGTAGAGATGAAATGGATGACACTGATGCCAAATTAACTGTACTGGCCGGTCTCTTCTCGTTCATACGAATGTCTGGGTCACTCGCGGCACGCAAACTCATAATCGATATCTTTCCCTTACCTTTATATAAGATTTTATAGTCTAAAAAGTATCCGACCGTCCGCTAGAACCTTTTAAACTGGTTGAAAGATAAAACTCTTAAGCTTCAGCACGAGCTTGGGTGACTTACTCTATAAACTCCTTTTTGATCTTGTGCGGCATCCGACCTCATCGGTGAAACCAGGGTGACAAGTTGTTATTGTAGTGGTCACAGGTCTCCACTATATATCTCCATTGGTTCAGCGCAAGAGCTGCTCTCATTGTCGGTCGGCCTGATAACTTCCATGGCGTCATCATGGTGGTCATCACCGGCTGCGCAACACCCTTAGGATATTCATTCATGAGCACCTATTGAATAAGGCCATATAGCTCTTCTGGTGGTTATGCAATATTTGTGGGTTTATTTTATAAATTAATTTGTCTTATGAACATGCGTAAGCAGTAGTATTTGGGCCACAATGGACCCAGTCTGTATAGACTGATTCAAGAGTCTGTATCAGTGCTAAGGGCCCCAAGAACCATGCAAGCCAGATAATTTTTAATAAAAAGTTCTTAATGCTATGCATACGCAATAAAGCAAAACTGAACAGCATCATTTCTCTTCTTGCCTACCGAATTTCTCAAATGAATATTACCCGCAGCACTACTGTCATAAAGACATCACTTGGTGGTATTGGCTTCCGTGATTCTATGTTGCCTCGCCTAGAGCAATTTGTACACAGCGTCAACATCATCAAAGAGCATACATACATGCTTGCACGATAGATACTACTCCATCAGCTAGCTTACGATGATGCCTTTGACCCAGCAACATTTGTGAAAAAGGGTTTTTTTCGTTTTATTTATTTATTTATATATCACAATCTGAAGGCAAAGACAGCCATGTCTGCCGAGGATTTCGTTAACTGGAAGGACAGGTCAGAACTGTCGAGCGCAGATTTCGGTGATGTAGTTGTATACTATATTTATGGTTATCTATTGCATAATGGCGATATCGAGCTACATGGCGTACGTGAAATGAATCAAGTAGCAACATACGTGGATACCGAGCTAATGACAGCATACAAGAACAACATTCTGTTGCAGTATGGCACTTGCCTACAGCGGATTCTGGCCAAATTGATTGATATTCGCAGCCGCAAAAACACACTGCACAGTACAATGGGCAATGTGTCTAAGGCTGAGTTCAATAATGCATGTCAAGTGTGTATTTTTACACCTGCACAGAAGCTCCGCCAGGCAGTTGCCTCTAGGCACCCTGATCTCAGTGTGTTCACCCCACCGATGCTTGCAATCTACAACAAGCTGGCACCAGCCCTTAATGCCTATGATGCCAAGTACAGATTCGCCAAAGGCAGCCGATACTATGATGCCAAGGCAAATCCACTTAAGCATCTGCGTGCATACATTCGCCTATGCCAGCTTATCGAGAATGAGCAGCTTGGCAAGTCTCCTCCCCAATGCTTGCCTCTGCGGACATCATGGATCCCAGGCCATGTGCGCTTAGACAAGCAAATAATCAAGCAGGTGTTTATTTTGAAAACACACGAGCAGGTTACAGAGATCAGTGCAGCAAAGAGGGTAGCAACAGAGGCAAGGAAAGCAGCAGAAAAGGGCGAAAAATTGGCCAAGAAGTCTGCACGCGAAGCAGCGAAGATGCCATCAGGTGCAACAGAGGCCACTGCAGCAACTGCAGCAGTAGTGGCTGATTCACTTGCTGCTGTATTGGCTGCTGCTGCAGACATCCCGGCATGTTCCCAACCCACGGCCCTACCAGAGATCGAAGAACCCAACTGTGAAGTGCCATGGCCTTCTCCGCTGTACAAGCGAGTCATGTAAGCGGGCCATGGCACAATACAGGCGAGCCTATTCGTCTCGGCTCTTGAACCGCGATCCCACAGCAGTTCTAAACTTCAGACTCGTTTTCCAGTCACTCTGTGATTCAGGCAGTATTCCTGAACGGTTCCGTCGTTCTACGGCCATTGCTGCTGATGCTTCTGGCACCACCCCTGCAATAAAGAGGCTGCGCAAGAGGCATGCAGCAGCGAACCAGCGCTGAAGCGCCTGCGCTGAGCAAGCCACCAAGATGGGAGATGTCCATGATCGACATTGCACCAACAACCATCCGACACGTCCAAATGACCGGTTCGCCGTGATGCTCTTATCGACGTGTCAACCCATGCTGATTAGCAGCCGAGCTCGCATCGCGAGCAGAGTATTTCTAGTAAAGATGAAAAAATCTGATAGTCTCGAAAATGTTAGCTTTGACGAGTGTCATTAATCCCAGGGAAATATACAGACATGGTGATAGCGGCTCCCACCGTATTTGATTGTATGTGTTGACATTCGGGCAACCCTATGCCCTTCGTCACCATGTGCAGATCCAAATCCCCACCTGTATAAACACTGGGCCGGAACGGCCCCACCCTCCCTTTTTTCTCCTCAGCAAATTTCCATTTATTCATTCCATAAAGCTCATAACTACTGGACTCTCTGAAGGTTAACAGTATGACCTGCTAAGAAGCAAAGGCGACCGCAACAAACAGATTATGTGTAGCATGCCATTATCAGGTGGAAGACAGCACTGCGTGGGTATTTTTGTAAACGCCCTTCTTTTACCTGCCACTTGACCGTTCGTTGATTTACATGCAGTGTAGGCTGTGGATACTGGGTATCGATTCAGGATAGGACAGCGAAATGAATATCCATAACACCCAGTTGTCACAGCCAAGGGCCATCACCAATGCTATCTGTAGGTGTGTTCCTGAGGAGGATCGTTTATCGACAGTATACACACCCAGTCACTAGCGTCATTTATATTTCCTGTATTACCTGAACAAGTGTCATTATCATGGAATTTCCACACGTCGGTGCTAATTGCTCATATGCTGGCTGTGCAGATCTGGACTTTCTACCTGTTACTTGTGACTACTGTACCAAGCAGTTCTGGTAAGACAGCTAAAATTGAGTTGAACATTCATGATAGACAGCCCAAGAAACATGCAGCAACCACTAATGCTGTAATCCCTCTACTGTAGCTCTACGCATGGTAACCCAATTGCACACCACTGCGACCAAATGCCTGAGCGGACGGTTGAGGCGACTAGTTCAACCAAGGACAAGGATTATATTCCAATAACAAAATATACGAAGCCTGCCCGTATGTAAGTACACGCAGCTACAGCAGATGAACCTAGAGCTATCTGGATGTATTCTTATAGTCCATTCATGCTCTGTATCAGTGATAATTCACCATTTGCACTGTTGTTTGTGATACATGTAGCGGGCCAAAGGACGTGCGTGCGCCAACCAAGAACGAGCTAACTGATAAGCAGAGGCAGGCTTTGGCTGCGCTTAAGCAGACGCACCAGTCAAGGGTGCCACTGCGAGCGGCGCCAGTGCCCAAGAAGCAGCCTGTGCGTGTAGTGCCCCGGATCGAGCTAATGAAACTCAAGGCCAAGGCCACCGGGAACCCGAACATGGCTATGGAGGACCGACTCTATCTCAGCGTGGCGTCTGAGGCAAAAACGATTGTCATGTTCATCAACAAGGTAAGCACAACTGCACATGCCACTCGACATTATTCGTGCTGCGGCTGTGCAGTAGGTCTCAGCTGCAATGGCATAAACGTGGATTAATTATGAAATGCCCTCATTGCCACTGATCAACACGGGCTTTACTGTATAGAAAGCAACTATCGGAAGCGCCACAGATCAGTTTGCAAGGCAGCTTGGGCTATCGATGCTCCCGGGAAAGGTAGCGTGCAGGCAATAGCGCAGTAGTCGCATCTCTAAGGACTTCAGACAACAACAGTCCCCCAATGTCTAATAGCTTTTGGCACCGGCATTTGCCTACTGCTAAATGTAGGTTTACAGCTTGCAGGTTGCTGCGTCGGGCGAGATGCTTTCCCCTGGGGATACCTTTGACCAGCTCCTGGTTGCACGGTCCGACACAACGTTCTTCAATGGGTGCAAGCTGGCCTTGATTGGCTAAGCGAGTGATCATTTGTTGTCGTTAAGGCGAGCCACATGATTTTCTGGACTGGCTTGATGCCGAGCGAGCTGTGGCTAGAAAGAAAGAAAGAAAGAAAGAAAAAAGAAAAAAGGTTTAGCACACAGCAAATTGCCTGTAGTGCATGGCACCTTCCCTCTCCCTTTTCTCCTCTCTATATCTCTATCTCTCCTTAGCATAAAGTGCAACAATAAACTCGCGGTCCATTTCGCATTTCCAGTTCACTCTTGGTGTCCCTAGCCGTTGTTGTTCCACACTGGCACAAGGAATTTCCCGCAGCTCAAATAATTCCGGTTCCTGTTTTCCTTTTACCCACCTTTTTCTCTCCCTCTCCCTATCCTTCAGACATTATTGGCACTTGCTGTCTTGGCTGACCAAAATTTCCCTAATTTTTCCTCTCTCGCGATTCGACAAGGAAAGAACCAATGGGCAAGCCAGATTCGACAAAGACAGTAAGTTGTTTACGATTGTAGGCAAGGGAAAAAATCGCCTACGAGGCTTTGCCCAAGGCTAACTAGAAATACTCAATGCTGGTGGTTGTAGCTTCAGGCTGATAAGCGCACAACGGGTATCCGCACCATGAAGATGGCACGGGAAACAGCACCGGTTCACAACCCGCGGTCCTTGCAGTCCAACGGCCATAGTCACCACCGCCATGCGCAGCAGCCACAGCACCAAGTGCGTCCGCGTGTGACAGGAGCCGCTGGGAATATAGCTGACAACGGCGAGTATGGCGACCGCGAGACAATGGTAGCACACCATATGCACGCTTCTCGGTCCGCTGGCCAGGAGCGTGAGGAGACACTTGTTCCTACGGCACAATCGAACCAGCCGCGTCGACCACGCACGCCGCCTATGGAGTCCACACACACCGCCCAAAAGTTGACGCACAATAGCAGCTCGCGGGTCAAAAGTCGCAACTGGAAGATCACAGATTTTGACATTGGCAAGGTGCTGGGCAAGGGCAAGTTTGGGCGAGCTTACCTGGCGCGTGAGCGCAACACGAACTTTATCTGTGCGCTGAAGGTGATGTTCAAGTCAGAGCTGAAGGAGCACAAGATTGAGAAGCAGCTTCGCCGCGAGGTCGAGATCCAGACGCATCTGCGGCACCCGCATATTCTGCGTCTGTACGGGTACTTCCATGACGAGAAGCGCGTGTATTTGATTCTCGAATATGCGGCCAACGGAGAGGTATACAAGCTGTTGAAGGAGCAAGGCAATTTCAGCGAGTCTGTGACGGCGCGGTATATTGCGCAGATGGCTGGCGCCTTGGACTATTTGCACGAGAAGCACGTTATCCATCGCGACATCAAGCCAGAGAACCTGCTGCTGAACGCGAACGGCGACCTGAAGATTGCTGACTTTGGATGGTCTGTGCATGCACCAAACTCCAGGCGCCATACGCTGTGCGGAACACTCGATTACTTGCCGCCAGAGATGGTTGAGGGCCGTGACCACAACGCAGCAGTCGATCTGTGGAGCCTGGGCGTGCTGATGTACGAGTTCTTGGTTGGTGTGCCACCATTTGAGGACCTGCAGAGCCACAAGGCCACGTACAGGCGTATCGCCAGGGTGGACCTGCACATACCGCCGTATGTCTCGCCCGACGCCGCCGATCTTATTACGCGTCTGCTGCAGTATGAAAGCACCAACCGTCTGCCGCTGAAGGATGTCCTGCGGCACCCGTGGATCCGAAAGCATGTCCCTGATCCCTATGGAATTTAGAGAAGGCATTGCAGCATTCCGCCTGCTGCCTAGCTCATCCCCTTCTTCCGTCTTTTTTTTTTTTTTCGTGCTATCGCTCACACATCTCCATTTACTTTATCCTCTTCTTTCGTTGCCCGTATCATACATGTCGTTCATCTCTACACCAAGTGCACTATGTTGCAAAATATTCTGAAGGTTCCGAGCTCAACTCATACACGTGCATGGTGCCGTCCATATAAACGACATACACAACCACTGAGCAGTACTGCGATAATCTGTCGATTGATCGCCGATATACAGCGATGCCATAGAGTCTGCTGGAGACGCGGATTGGCTCCAGCGGCTTGGCAGTGACTTTGTATGAGCAGCTGTGGTTGCTGGACTTGGGGCCAGACGATGCCTGCTGCTTCAGCTTAATAATTGCAGCATTGCCTGAATATGAAGCGGTGATGGCAATACCCAGCTCAGGGATCCATTCGAGAAACGCGATGCGATCGAAGAAGTCCATAGACTCCAGCCACGGGCCGCTTGTGCCGAGCACGGCAAACGGGATCTTGTCAACAACCGGCATGTACTCTTTGGCTGGATCAATCAGCACGATGTCGTAGTCTGTCCCGCACAGGATAAGCGGGGTGCGGCGTTCTATAGACGTCGTGTCTGCAGCGATAGCACTGTCTGTCAATAGCGACTCCTCGTTGCCGTGGTTAGTTAATAGACCAGCATCGCTTGCTTGGCCGCCGTCCTCGGCATCAAAGAACGGCTGGTCATCGCTGTGGCCCTCTGAGCTGTCGCCGCGGATATCTGAGCCGGTGGTTGGTGTATGTCCGTTCTGGATGTCGTCACTGTGATCCAGGATGGGGGCTTGAAGCGCGTTTCTTGGGGTAGGTTCGTCGTCGTCATCCCCTTCCTCCTCATCGACTACCTCCCAATCGACTTCCTCGCTCTGAGAGTCATCTTCAGTGTCGATGCCAGCGTTGGTTGTTTGGATATAGTGCATGAGCTGGGCTGACAGATCGCTAAGCACCCCCGCTCGCTCAGTATCTGTGCTGCTTCCTGCTTCCAGAGAGTCGGGCACAAAGTAGAATGGGTAAACAAACAAGGCTGACCAGCACCAGTGTCGGTCAAAGTAGCTGCAGATTGGTGTACCCGAGTCCAGATCCCACGCGCGGATGGACGAGTCGATGCTTGCCGATACCAGGTACTTGCCGCACGCTGAGAACGACACGTTTGGTATATTGTGGATATGGTCTTCCAAAAAGCTCTTTAGCCGCAGCTGTGCTGGCGCATCGGTGGGTGGACCTGGCGGCTCGAGGATGGTGATATTGTGTGAGTTTGCGCTGATCGCTATTGTGTTCGTTTCGCCGTGTATTGCGCATCCCCATGTGGAGCTGCTGTTCTTGTAGGTATACAGGATGGTGCCAGTGAGGTCGAGCTTCCAAATAATGACCCTTCCTGTATCGAAGACGGCAGCGACAACCTCTTGGTCAAACAGCGTGCCCAGACATATTGCGTTGATTTCGTCATTCTACAGCGCGACGGTACGGCAGCGAGGGGTTTAGAAGTAGGCACCAAATAACCGGTTTACTTTTACAAGCGTGCTGGTACTTACCAGTGGTCCGTCTGGATACAGAAAACGGGTTTTCAGGGTTGGCGGACGCGAGTAGTAGTCTATTTTGTAGACGTGGATGTCTTTGCCGATCGCTACCAGAAGCAGGTCCGAGCGTGTCGACGCTGCGCACAGATTGAGCTTGCCATGCCGCGCGGAGAACGTGTCGAATATGGTGGTTGTGAAGAGAAGCGATGTGTTCATGGTGTAGAATAGATGTTTAGTGACAAGAGCGTGTTCCTGGTTGTTTCGCACAAAGAGGTGTGCATAAAGTCAGAGGGCTCATGTGAGCAGCCGTTTTGGGAACCAGGAATTCTGTCTTTTGAGCTGCAAAGGCTGATGAGGAGGGTATGGATGGCAGACAGTCCCCGAGCGAGGCGGCCATAGCAGCTACTGTCCAAGGCAGAGATCGGCTGGGCATGGGGGTATTCGATATGTGTGGGCTGCATACACGCGTCTCCGGTGGCCCGGCAGTCCCAGCTGTGTATACAATATCACGGGCGAGTGCTTGTCTCTTACCCGACTGCGTGTTGGGTTCAGCTGGTTGGTTCGACTGGTTGTCCTGCCGGACGATTTGTTTTCTCAGCTGGCATTGACGGCGCCGAAGGGGGAGGGGGCGGGCCAAAAGAAAAGCCAAACTACAGACGCACCGTCGCTTCCAGTGTTTGTTTTCTTGTTTGAATTTCTCCTCTTGTGTACGACGTGTTTTTTTCTTCGCTATTGTTTTTTCTTCTTATTTGTATTGAGGTTTAGAGAAACAGTTTCTTCACCATGGGCTCGTTTATCTCGATGCTTCGTGGCGGGCCGAGCGACAGGCCAGTCGGGACGGGCCGGCCAGTACGCGAATCAGATGGCACAGCGCGGTTTTCGAAGCAATTCAGTGATTTCATCCTAGACCTCGGAGGTAAATGCTGGAATGCGCGGCTCATCTGAGGGGGAGACAGCGAGGGAATGCGCGTATTAATTCGTCCCACCCTCATTTTAGATGCCGACAGTGCAAAGTTTGAGCAGGAGTACTTTCCAGAGTATGCGGTGATTCTGCAGCGCGGGCCGGAGCTGCTGAGGCGGCTGCGCGCATACGTTGACAGCACACAGGAGATTCGGACAGCGATCACGAGTCCGACGGCAGAGAACGAGGAGGCGGCGTGGCGGAAGCTTGGGCCGTCGGTGATGCTGCTGAAGGAGTGCTACGAGCACGCGCAGGACATCGGTAAGCGGGGGAGCCTGGTGAGGACGCAGCTACGGGCAGACTGCAGTGCATTGCGTGAAGCTAAAGCCCTTTGTGTGTGTGCATGCTGTAGAGCGGGTGGTTCCGATGATCATTGAGCAGATCTGTGGACCGTCGAACGAGCAGGTCATCAGCAACATTAACAGAAACCGCGGTCTGTCGCGGTCATTTGCGGATATGATGCAGTACGCGTTTGATTTCGATGCGCTAAAGGTAAAGTATCAGTTTGCCGTCCCCCTTTTGCACCGCTTGTTGGTATTGGCAACAGGCGAGGGATGCGGGGGAGAGAGCGAGCGCTGGTTTGGGGAGAGGCACTTCAGCAGTTTATTTTTGGTTGCTAATCAATATGCAGCGACTTATTGCAATCCAATTTTTGTGTAGTCGTCAATCCCAGCGATCCAAAACGACTTTTCGTACTACCGCCGCACGCTGTCGCGCATGCAAAAGTCCCAAGACGTAAGTGCCTGGCGGGCTTGAATGCCGAACACGATGGTGTGAGTGGCGATGACTAGGATGATGAAGAGCTTCAAAGTGCATAAAAGCAGGCTAATCCACAACCCCGTTCTTCTTCTCTCCTTGCTAGCCGGGCATCCGCGAGTGCGTGATCTCCAACGACGTGTCGAACCACATGTCGCTGTTCTATGCGTACCACAACCCGCTGGTCAAGTCGGTGGTCGATGCGGCAAGCAAGTACGTCAGCGAGTCGGGCACGTCGCAGCATGTCCTCGAGTGTCTATCGGCGCTGGCAGCAGGTAGCTTCAATGCGATTAAGCAGCACAAGGTCGACGACGCGAAGCTGTGTGTGCAGGTACTGGTGACCTGCTGCATCCTCTACGACTGGATCTCGCCCCAAGGCGTGAACGGCCCGCAGTCGGCCATAGACACCCGGGCAGTGCTCCAGCTTGTGCGCGAGCGGCCGCTGGTAGACAGCAGGCCCGCCGAGGAGGTGCTGCGGTTCAACTGCCGAACGATACGCTAAAGTGTTCAGTCCTAGTCTCTAATTTTTCCCACCCACTCTCGCTCATAACCACCTCTTCCTTTTTCGTCTTTATTTTTTCGTTAACGCCGTTTCTAAATATTCCTCGCGCATTGTGGAAAGCGACCTGCAAACGGAAAACTGGCTGGCAATTCCATAGGTGCGGGCTTGAGCTGCAGGAGATTTTTGGTTAGGAGATGATTGGCCGCATTCTGCGTTTAAGCTCCACAGACTCGTTTCCCAGCTTTCTCCTTCGCAACGGCCAATTCGCTTTTTTACCAACCGGGCCACTGACCCAGAAAAAATTCTCTAAAAGCAGCCTTCCGTTTTATATCGCCTCTATCTCCTTTGCCCTATTCGCTTTTTCTGCTTCTCAGGTTCTATTTCGTCTCCTTTATATTTTCAGAAAGCGCGAGCGCGTCCTTTATTTTATTTTCGCCCCCGCCTATTTCCTACTTTTTCTTGATACTTTCTGTCTCGCTTTGCTCTCACATACGTTACATACCAAATAGAAACCTTCTCTTGTTCTTGAAGTAAGCCTCTGTCTTTCTCCGTCCCCCGTTTTCTCTCTCTTTTGTCGTATGGAGCACCCGGTTCAGTTTAGTAATGTTCAGCAGAACGCGAGCAATCGGCGGCAAATGTACGTATTTTCTTTTTCTGGGCCGAAATTCGGACACGCCAGCCCTTGTTCTACGATGCCTGGCGTTTTCCGTGCATGCTGGGCAACTCGGCGCCTCAGGACGGGCGTCAATAGCATCAAGTATTGGAAAGTGGGAGGGGTTGCGCGTATATTCCCCTCAGTCACCGCTAATAACGCCCCTTCTTGTTCCCACCGGTTGTAGAGAGCACAAGCTGGTTCTTCGCCAGGAGCCCAATCGCTCGCGAATGTGCGGAATTGGCGAGAAAGGTATGTGGCGGTCCATCTCTTTGGAATTGCAAAAGTGAATGCCCGAGGCCAGCAAAGGGCTTTTCTGGTTCCTGTGTCGCACAGGTGTGGTTCTCGGCGTTTTCTGGGCGCCATGTACGTAGGCGCTTGTGAAACTCTTCGATGCTGTGGTCTTTGCATGCTTTGCATACCGGGAGCTCCAATGCAGGCAGCAATAATCGCCACTCCTCTCCACCCCCATTTTTCCTGCGCCAAGCCTATCTTCGACCTGCGCATACCCTTTGCTTCCTTTTTGCCTCCCACTGCTATCCGTTTTGGAACATTAGCCTCCCCTCTCTCCCTTGTTGCTCCAAATGTGGATGTTACACTGCTGCTTTTTGACGACAATGGCCGATATGCATGTATGATGCACCAAATTTCCCAAACATATGACCCGGACTGGGCCAGACTTTTGCGACCGCACGCAGAATCCTGTGTGGACCGCGGGACAGGCGTGCCCGTTGGGAGCAAAAGCCAGCAAGCGGAACTGCACAGCCTCTGTGACTTTGGGCCGCTATGCTCACGTGTCACAGCCAAAGCCTGCACGAAAATGCGGTATTCTTTCCAAGCAACATTGAGCGTCTCCTCTAAACCCAATAGTTTATTCGCCTGCTCATTATTTTGTGCTGCACAACCCAGTGTTTTGGTATCATTGTTTTTGTGTTTTCCTTCCCATCATGTTTTCTGAGAATGTTTACACATTCTCACTCCACCCCTCTTCATCATCATCTTCTTGTAGCAGACCGTCGCCCTGTGGACCCGCCACCGATCATCCAGCTTCACGTGAATGACCCAACCACAGCAACCAACAACCGGTAAGTGCGCGTTGCAAAAATAGCTGAGGCAGTGGCAGTAGAACCTGAATGGAGGAACGCTCTCCACCCTGTCCCGACCACAAAACGCCGTTCTCTTTTTGCACAGATCTACGCAGTGTTTGTGCATTTTCCGATCTGCCCTCCCCGTTTTTCTCTTGCGTGTGTACAACTGTGTGTTGCTGACTGTCCCTCATCTCAATTAAATGGAGACCTTTGGTTTGCTATTAGGGCGTTCCTGCACAATCCGTACTACTTCATGTACGCCACTCTGATGGACGAGCATGGCGTACGGGAGCTGAACACACTGAGCGACAAGAAGGCGCGGACGATGACTGGCTCGGTGGTGGCATCGCTGGCCCACCTGAAAGACATTGACGGCACAGATGGCGCTTTCTTTGTTTTTCCCGATTTATCCGTGCGCTGCGAGGGGGCGTACCGCCTAAAGTTCTCGCTCTTTGAGATTGTTGGGAACCAGGTGTTTTTCTGCCAATCCATTACATCCGCTGTGTTTACGGTGTACTCGGCAAAGAAATTCCCAGGCATGGAGGAATCGACACCCCTGACAAAAATCTTTGCTGAGCAAGGTCTCAAGATCCGCGTTCGGAAGGAACAAAAGTCTGCCCGCGCAAAACAGTCTCGGTCGCGCCAGCCGCCTATTAATCCGGCTTTGCCGTCGAGTGAATCATCTCAACCGTCGATCCCGCAACACCACCACCACAACCAGCAACAGCACCAGCAGCACTGGGCTTCGGCCGATCACCACCCGACCCACTCTGCCCATCACCACCACCACTACCAGCAACAGCAGCAGGCTCCACCCCTCCGCCATCATCCACACCACCCCCACTCGGGCAGTGTAGAAAATGGATCGCCACCGTATCCACTCCCCCATGCAGCCAGCACCGGCAGCTCCCACTCTTCGGCCCCACCCCAGGTGTAACCATTCAAGGGCCCACGCCGTCGATGTCCACTAGCGCTGCCAATCTGCCGCCAATGCCACACGCACAGTACCCCCCTCCTCCCCCTGGCAGCTACCACCGGTCCTATCTGCCACCCGGCGCTGACAATGGCTACATGCCTCCATCTCAGCAGCCACTGCCTGTTCGTAGCATGTCCCCGGCCACCCACGCCCACTACCAGTATCAGCAGCAGCATTCAATGCCTCCAAGCAGCGGGTACACACCGCACCCCCCGCAAGCAGGCATGACCACGCCGATGCCCCCTATTTCGCGCCCAGGATCTGCGATATCACGCCAGCAGCCATCTCACTATGGAAGCGGCCACGCATTGCCGTCAATTGCCTCCGACTACCCGGATTATCCGCCGTCCTCGCACCGCCACTCACAGCCGATGTCACACACAGGATATCCTGCGTACCGCCAGCAAGGGCCTCCACCGCCCCCGCAACAGATGCACGCTGCCGATAGATACGGTCAGTCGCAACAGCAGCAGCAACAGCAACAGCAGCAACAGCAGCAGCAGCCAGCCGCAGCACCGCGCTATCCCCCGTACCACCGCCAGAGCCCCACGGTACATTCTGGTCACGGATTTGCCAGTGCCGGACCAGCGCTACAGCCCATACAGCCGCCCGCAGCCGGATTCGGGCATGTGGGCGGCAGGCAGTGGCAGCGGCGGCAGCGGCGGCGGCAGTGGCGATTCGTCGCGACGGGGTATGTCGCCCACTCCTCGCCTGCAGCACCCTACGCTGGTGGAATCGCCTGTAAACGATGCTTTGCCTGTCCCTGTCACACGCGGAGCAGCAGCCGTCGATGTATCGGCAGCAGTACCAGCTGACCCCGGTGCAGCGGCCCCAGCACCAGTCCTCGGTATCGCCGTCGATCCCCGATCACCCGCATACCGACGGGTCAAAGCGGATGGTGTCAATGTCGCCTCACCGGCACCACCCGTACCAGTCATCGGCACAGCGCCCACGCACGCCGCACTACCCGGTTACATCGCGGTCCAGCGTGCCGTCGCCATCCCTGATGGGCCACAAGTCGGTGACAGGCTCGGGCAACAGCAGCAGCAGTGCGACGCAGTATAATGTGACAGAAGGCGTTATGCCGCTGTCGACGGCGCCGGTCGGCATGACAACGGAGGCGACTACCCCGACAACAGTCATCGACGAGCCGCAACAGGGTCTGTCGACACATTCCCGGCGCATCGCCGTGCATAGCCTGCTGATTTCAGAGTCGTCGTCCATTTCCGAGGGCTCTAATCGGTCTCCGCCCTAAGAAAAGCACATCACACTACACAGAAGAAATAACCCACCCGTTTTCAGCGCATTTTAGGCATCGCATTTCTATAGTCTTCCTTCTCTCTCTTGGTATCGGCCTGCTAAAGAGTACTTTATTTCCCTATATCATAATGTAGCACCATACATCACTATGCCCCTGTATTCAGCCACACTGGGCACATGGTGATGCCAGCAGGTGGCGTGTGTCTCTGATTATCAGCCGCCGTTGATCTGATCCCCAATCGCAGTCACAAAGACAGTTCGTGCATGCCACAATGGCGTGCTTACGGTGATGCGTGGAGCAGCAAAAATTTTACCTAGGGCGTTTTTGGAGTTGGGATATATTGCAGAACAGCATAAAAGTGACAAGATTAGGCGATTTAGTTCTTGATGCCCATCCACTTCTGGAGCTGGTCGTAGAAGACCAGGACCAGAGCACCACCGGTACCGCGGATGATGTTGGACAGACCACCGTGGAAGAACACCTTCATACCAGCCTCCTGGTACAGCTTGCGCAGGCAGTCGAAGGGACCCGAGTACAGCTTCTCGGCACGGCCCGACTGCATCATGAGACGACGACGGACGGTATCCAGAGGGTACGAGATGAGACCGGCAACGACAGTGACGGTCTGGGCAACCAGCCACGAAGCGAAGAAGTTCGGGTTCTTGTTGTTGCCGAACACAACCTGCTTGAGAGTATCGTAACCACCAAAGTACGCAGCGCGGTAGACAATGATACCGGCGACCGACATGCCGAAGCCCTGGTACAGACCGCCCATGCCGTCCTTCTTGTAGATGGTCGAGATGCAGTTACCGAGACCGGTGAACTGACGGTTGGCGCCAGTGCCGATGTCGACAGCCATGCGGGTACGCGCGAAATCAAGAGGGTACACGAACAGCAGCGAGGTGGCTCCAGCCATACCGCCCGACGCCATGTTGGCACCGAAGAACTTCCAGAAGTCGGTCTTGGGGCTGTACTTGGGGAACATGGCCTTGTACTTGTCCTTGAAGGCAAAGTTCAGAGCCTGGGTCGGGAAGTAACGGATGACGTTCGACAGGTTACCGCGCCAGAACGAACCGACACCCTGCTCGGCGGGGATACGGCGGAAGGCATCCATGATACCCTTGTAGCGCTTGTCAGCAGCAATCTGGTCCGACGAGGCCTGGACCTGGAGCAGCAGCTTGACGCGCTCGATGGGGGCGACGATGGTCTTCGACACACCGGCGGAGATACCACCAGCGGCCAGATCCGCGACGAAGGACATAGCGGCGTTGTTCTTGGACTCGGACATTCTGTGTGTTTTTTTTCCTTAAGGAGTTAAGAGAAAAAAGTAAAAAGGAGGGGAGGAGAAGAAGATGCAAGAAGAACGGTGAAGAGGAAACTCGGGGAGCGGCCGTCGGGCGTCCGTTTGCAATTTATACGGCGGACGCGATATCAGCTCTGCATGGAGCGATAACAAACCCAGGGCGAGGAAAAATTGTTGGGACGAGCCCAATAGGCGGCGTGCGGCGCGGGCCAGCTTTGGGGCTGGCAGTTTGGATTTGCTCCGAGTGACTTTGAGGGCGCCTGCTTGCTGAGCAGGCCAGAAGGCATTCATGTGCATTTGAAAACAGTCACGGAGCGCCTCTGCCCCACCGCCCCTGTGATTCGACGGAGCTGTCGCCCATCGGGGCAGCCAGGGCATCTGTGCGCCTGGAGAAAGCGCAGAATTGGGCGCTGGCTGTAGCATACTCTGCTCTCGGCCGTCGTCACACTGCAGCTGCCAGGACTGCCCAGTGAAGAGACAGCCAGCGCGTGCAAGCGCAGAGCCCTGCCTCGCATCTGCTAGTAGCCCCCGCCGACTAGAGCTCGCAGTTTCCGCCACTACCAATAGGCGGCGGATCGCCACACCCCGCTTATTACTTTCCCCCAAGGCCAGGAGGCCTGTTCCTCCCGAGATTAAATGAAGACATGTATTAGAAAAAAAAAAGCCTGCAGAAAGTCGGCTGGATGCTTACAGCTTGCTGTTGTCCTTCTCCTTCTTCTCGCGCTCCTCGGCCTCGAGCTCCTCGAGGTACTTCTCGGCGTCGAGAGCAGCCATGCAGCCAGAGCCAGCAGCAGTGATGGCCTGGCGGTAGCGCTTGTCCTGGACGTCGCCGGCAGCAAAGACACCCTTGATGTTGGTCAGCGAGGTGCCGGGCTGGACCAGCAGGTAGCCGGACTCGTCGGTCTCGAGCTGGCCGCTGAGGAAGGCAGTGTTGGGGGTATGGCCGATGGCATAGAACAGACCCGAGACCTCGAGCTCGCGCGTCTCGTTGGTCTTGGCGTCCTTGAGCACAACATGGCTGAGCAGGTCGCCGTCGCCCTTGGCCTCAGTCACGTGGGTGTTCCACAGCACGGTGATCTTGGGGTTGGCAATGGCCCGCTTGGCCATGATATCAGAGGCACGCAGCGCGTCGCGACGCACGGCCAGATAGACATGGCTGGCATACTTGGTCAGGAACGTCGCCTCCTCGCAGGCGCTGTCGCCGCCGCCAACGACCACCAGCGGCTTGTTGCGGAAGATCGGCGCAGCGCCGTCGCACACAGCACACGCAGACATGCCCCGCTGCCAGTACGTGTCCTCGCCGGCAATGAACAGGCGCTTGGCTGTCGCTCCGGTGGCAATGATCAGCGCATCGCACGTGTCGGGCTTGTCCTCGGGGCCGTCGGCGTACTCGCGCCACAGCTTGAACGGCCGCGACGACAGGTCCACGCGCGTGATCGTCTCCGTGTGGATCTTGGTGCCGAACCGCTCCGACTGCTCGCGGAACTTGTCTGTCAGCTCGCCGCCCATCACGCCCGCGGGGAACCCGGGGAAGTTCTCGACGTCCGTGGTCGTCGTCAGCTGTCCACCGGGCGCCACACCGCCGGCCATCATGCCCTCGAACATCTCCGGCTCGAGGTTTGCCCGCGCTGCGTAGATAGCTGCGGTGTGTCCAGCGGGACCGGAACCAACAATGATCTAGAAAACGAGACAATGTCTGCATTAGCTGTTGCTGCTGCTGCTGCTGCTGCTGCTGCTGCTGCTGCTGCTGCTGCTCTTGCCGAATCTCTGGCAAATCCCGCTTCCTTTGGTCATTCAGCAGGGTACTTACAACTTTGGCGTGCATTTTGGGAATTGCTGTGTGTGAGAGAAACTGTCTATGGTGAGAGATAGAGGAGAGTGAGGAAGAAAAAGCGAGATGTAGTGGGCGACGGAGGCTTGCGAGAAACATAGCCAGAGTTTTATACTGAGAAGATGCTGAGAATCGGTCCCCCCCACAAAAGCCTCAGTGCCATTGGAGAAAGTTGGATCATGTAAAATGCCCGCGCAGCTGGAGTGATTAGTAATTTCGCCGCAATTCAGAACGAAATCACGTTCTGCGCCTGATCTGGCCGTGTCTGCTGCCCCGGAGCACAGGTAGCACTGGAGGGTCCGGGTTTTTGCTGTGTGGAAGCTGCGAGAGGCCACATCCCCCTCGGAACTGCCGGCAGGGGTTTGTCAGAATCGCATTTTGGAAATTAGCCGACGTGCACAGCGACGCATTCTGACGTCGCTGCTTCTATGTGTCCGCGCACATTATCACACCACCCGGTCCATTTCTTTGCCAATGCCGCTGCGGCGGTAGGACCCTTTGCCTCGGCACAGCATACCGGCTGATGTGTCAGTATTTGCCAATCGCCCTAAGGTCACGACGTCCTGGGATGAGGGGTGAGGGTTGTTTATTTGCCACACAAAAAAAAGAAAAAACCTTTTTCAGTACTCGCTCGAGTGACTAACGACATGTCCGCCCTTGATCGTTTTTAGAGTGGCTTTTGGATGCGGACATGATCATAAAACTACATGGAAAGATGGAAGGCAGCGAACAAGAAGATGGTGTGCCCTGGCCTAGATCATAAACTGGCCAGACAGCATCAGGTTGCGCATACGCGAGTCAGGCCGGCTGGGAGGATCGTCGTGCTCGCGGACCTCGCTCAGGATCTTGGACCTTGGATGCTGATCCTTGTCTAGAATACGCAGGCAACATACGGGATTAGTGAGGGGCCTCATTTGCAATACAACCTGCCATACAAGACTGGGCTTTTTTCCCAACTTACGGAATCCAAAGTCGCTGGCCGGAAACGCCTCGTGCAGATGCTGCGCCTGGTCAACCGGATGCTGGAGTGGCTACAGGATGTGCTTGTTAATTAGCTGAACACCAGGCACATGCGCTGGTAAACATGGCTCAAGAAACCCACAACGTACCTGGTTGGGAGGGGGGCCACCGCTGGCTGCCGATGCCGAGAACCGGCGGAACAGGCCGATGCCCGAGAACGCCGACATGGCCTGATCGCTGGGCGGCGAGCTGGCCATGGCTGGCTGGCCCGAGAATGAGTGGGCCGTGCTCCCCGACGGCATGCCGCTGGGGGCGACATTCCCATGGTCCCGTTGGGGCGCGCAGTAGCCATGGGAGTGAAGAACGTTCCCGGCCACCCGGTGAACGTGTTGCGGCGGTGTGCCGGAATGGGCATGGGGTCAGAAGGCTTGTCGCTGGAAGACATGCTTTTTTTTGGTGGTGCAAGAGTGACAAAAAATACAAACTTTTTTGGTGGATGTGTGCTAGTAGGTGGAAAGTAGAGGGAGGGGAGAGAAAGGGAGGAGAAAGTGCTACCGCCTCAGCAAACAGCAGCTGCCGGCAGCGTTGTTTTTGTACATCGCCTTGGCCCCATTGTTTCACATTGGAGGTGTGGCATCTCACGTGCACATACAACCCACTCTCGTCCCATGGCCCTATCCCATTTACGGAGCAAATTTGCCGGTGCGACAATCCAGCAGAGTGTTCCAAATTGCTATTTTTCTTCTCCGTCCTTTTTGCTCTTTTCGCTCGCCAAATGCAGCCGTCAGTCAAGGCCGTCACGCTGTCCCGGTGGTTTCTCCTGGTCGTCGGGCTCTGTGCGCTGATCCTCTTTATAGCATGCCCATCGCCGATCGAACAGGCCCGCGCCCTCACCCATCCAAAACAGCATGAGGATGTGCGCCTGAAGCCCGAGAATGCCCGCATTAACCACCCTGTGCGCGCCGCATTCGTGATCCTGGCACGCAACTCTGAGCTCCACGACCTGCGTGCCACCGTGCGCCAGCTCGAGGATCAGTTCAACCACAGGTATCGCTACCCATATGTGTTTCTGAACGACGAGCCGTTCACGGACGAGTTCAAGCAGAACATGGAATGGGCGACGTCAGGCGACTGCCACTTTGGCCTGGTGCCCTACGAGCACTGGTCGATCCCGCCGTGGATCGATCGGGTCAGGGCTCGCTGGGAAATGCACAAGATGGGAAACCGGGTGCCATATGGAGACAGCGAAAGCTACCGCAAAATGTGCAGGTATAAATCGCTCAAAACGAAAAGAAAGCAAATTGCCGGCATCTGCCTGAACATCCTATGCACGTGTATATTGCACTGGTGCACTAATTGGTATCTGGCATGCATGCAAGCTCGCAAATCCCGGTTGTTCAAGCTGTCATGTGCTAACCACTTGTCCTGGCGTTTTTGTTTGCTCGGAGAATAGGTTCGAATCAGGCTTCTTCTTCCGCCACCCGCTGCTGGACCAGTTCGACTGGTACTGGCGAGTCGAGCCTGGCGTCGAGTTCAGCTGCGCCATTCCCTACGACCCCTTCAAATACATGGCCGACAACAACAAGCTGTACGGGTTCACTATTACCTTGCGCGAGTTTCCGATAACCGTAAAGTCCCTGTGGAGCACAACCAACGCATTCCGCGCCGCATATCCCGAGTACGTCTCGCCCAACAACACCCTGTCCTGGCTGACCAACGACTCGGGCGACTACAACATGTGCCATTTCTGGTCAAACTTTGAGATCGGGAGCCTCGAGTTTTTGCGCTCGGAAAAGTATATGGCATATTTCAACTTTCTGGATCGCGCGGGCGGCTTCTTCATGGAGCGCTGGGGGACGCACCCGTGCACACCATGGCCGTAGCCATGTTCCTGAACAAGTCCCAGGTACACTATTTCGGCGATATCGGGTACTACCACAAGCCATTCCAGAACTGCCCTACCGACCCAACCTACAACGCCCAGTACTGCTTCTGCAGCGCCAACCGCTCCATGCTCTTTAACAGCGATTCCTGCACCAAGGACTGGCTAGCTCTGTAATTCTTTTTTGCCAATACATGCAAAATACCAAATGCCACCTACGTAATTCTTTTTGCGGATATATGCTAGGGGCACCTTGAGATTCGCTTTTCTGTCCAGGAATGGTTGACTGCTATTGCTTAGCAGTAATCCAGTCCCAAATGCTATCGCACTCGACAAGGAACCGCAGACCCGCTGCATTACTGACATTTAGCATGCTGACAAGCCCTCCCTACCCGCAAAAGACCGCCAACGTTGCTCCCGCTCATATACTTCCACATTCTAGCCTCACCCTCTATTCCAGGTGCCTCACCCTCTCATACCGGCTAGCTGCTGGCTGGCACAGGGGAATATGTAAACAGCTCTAATATTCTTTTGTTGCGCGGAGTAAGAGAATGCTGCTGCTTTTGGCCAGCCTCCAGACAACCAAACGGCATTTGAAGGTAGTAAGTTTGCATCTTTTATCTATACGGCTGCCTTCTCCCCCCACCATCCAGCCGGAGAACAACAACAACAACATCTCACCATGCTTTCACCGGTTTGGAGCAGCAAAGCATCCCAGACCCAAGTGCCCTAAACACTTACTGAATATAAAGTCACTGGTTGCCGCACACTGCCATTTCCAGAATATAGTATCCATCCTCATAGCGCATTTCACCGTTTTCTCTTTCTTCCACCTACATTTTTCTCCCACATCCTCTTCTCCCCTCTATCTCTTGGTCGTGGTTCGTTTTTGCAATCCCTTCCTTCCTTTTTACATTCACCCTGTCTTTTCTGGCTTGAGGCTACATTTCGCGCGCGCAAAGGCACATTAGAGGCACACATCCGCCCCCTTCTCATCCCGATTATCTCCCAAAATGAAGGTTACTAACACCATCTTCGCCCTGGCTTTCGCCGCTGCCACCGCTGCTGCTGGCGGCAACTACGTGGCTAGCAGTCCTCCGGCCATTCCAGCTCCCCAGCCGCCTGCTGTGGTAACCGTTATCCAGCCAGCCCCCCAGCCGCCCGCTGTTGTCACGATCATCCAGTCGGTTCCAATGAACCAAATCTCGATTATTGTTGCTGACTTCATGTACTCGCCTACCAGCGGCGGCATTGGTTCCCAGCCCGCCCTCCCCACCCCGATGCCGGTCATCACCGATGTCCCGGCTGTTCCGGGCCCGGCCTACGTGGCTAGCCCGCCACCCGTGGTCCCGCAGCCGGCCCAGCCCGGTGTCACAGTCATTGTGCCTCAGCCGGCCCAGCCCAGCGTTACTGTGATCCTCCCGCAGCCCCCTCAGCCTTCAGTCACTGAAGTTGTGCCTAGTGCCCCTCCTGCCGTTACCGAAGTTGTGCCTAGTGTTCCTCCTGCTGTCACCGAAGTCGTGCCTAGTGCCCCTCCTGCCGTCACCGAGGTTGTACCTGGTGCTCCACCTGCGCCCACTCCTGTACCCACTCCTGCGCCTACTGTCCCTGCCACTCCGTCGTACCAGGCTAGTAAGTTCAATAAGCGCAGCATCGAACAGTCTGCCATCAATAATTTGGTAAATGGCAACGGTGCCATGGTGTTCAACATCAACGGCCAGACGTACATGCTTCTTCGCCTGCCCGTCTCTATCCCGCAGGCAAGCCAGGCTGCGGTGCCGCTGCACAAGCGCGACACTCCGAGCAACCTGATCGATGACGCCACTACCAAGAACCTGGGCAGCGAGGCCCTGCTGTACGAGGTGCTCGGGAAGGTGTTTGCTCGTGTGATCCTGCCTGCCAATGCCCATGTCGGCATATCGCAACCTCAGGGCGCTGATGCACTGGGCAACCTTCTCAAGCGCGATCTGCTGAACAACATTCTTGGCGAGGTCATTGCCAGCGCTGTTGCTCCTCTCAACATTGTCGCCAACATTAATCCGGATGAGGATGGCAACGGTCTTGTCCCGAACCTCATTGGCGCCGTCAGTGCTACTATCCAGGCGTCACCGACTGTCACTGCTCATATCTTTGATGCTGATGATTACTCGGGTGACCTGCTCAAGCGTGACCTTGTTCCTAACCTTCTTCGGTGAGGTCATTGCCAGCGCTGTTGCTCCTATCAACATTGTTGCCAACATCCAGCACGACGATGACGGCAACGGTCTTGTTCCTAACCTCCTGGTGATGTCAGTGCTACCATCCGGGCGTCGCCAACAGTCACTGCTCACATTCTCGACTCTGGCGATGATTCGGGCAACCTTCTCAAGCGCGATCTGCTGAACAACATTCTTGGCGAGGTCATTGCCAGCGCTGTTGCTCCACTCAACATTGTCGCCAACATTAACCCGGATGAGGATGGCAATGGTCTTGTCCCTAACCTCATTGGCGCCGTCAGTGCACCATCCAGGCGTCGCCGACTGTCACTGTCCATATCTTTGATGCTGACGACTACTCGGGTGACCTACTCAAGCGCGACCTTGTTCCTAACCTTCTCGGTCGAGGTCAGTTGCCAGCGCTGTTGCTCCTATCAACATTGTTGCCAACATCCAGACACGACTGATGACGGCAACGGTCTTGTCCCCAACCTTCTGGGTGATGTCAGTGCTACCATCCAGGCGTCACCGACCAGTTCACTGCTCACATTCTCGACTCTGGCGATGATTCGGGCAACCTTCTCAAGCGCGATCTGCTGAACAACATTCTTGGCGAGGTCATTGCCAGCGCTGTTGCTCCGCTCAACATTGTCGCCAACATTAATCCGGACTGAGGATGGCAATGGTCTTGTCCCTAACCTCATTGGCGCCGTCAGTGCCACCATCCAGGCGTCGCCGACTGTCACTGCTCATATCTTTGATGCTGACTGATTACTCGGGTGACCTGCTCAAGCGCGACCTGCTGAAAAACATTCTCGGTGAAGTTGTTGCTAGTGCCGTCGCTCCTGTAGATGTCGTCGCCAACATTAACCCGGATGAGGATGGCAACTGGTCTTGTCCCGAACCTTATTGGTGCAATCAGCGCTACCGTCCAGGCGTCACCCGACTGTCACTGTGCACATCTTTGATCCTGACCAGGAGGCTGTGAGCAGCGCTCCTCTCAAGCGCGACCTTGTTCCTAACCTTCTTGGCGAGGTCATTGCCAGCGCTGTTGCTCCTATCAACATTGTTGCCAACATCCAGCACGATGATGACGGCAACGGCCTTGTCCCCAACCTTCTGGGTGATGTCAGTGCTTACCATCCGGCGTCACCGACCGTCACTGCTCACATTCTCGACTCTGGCGATGACTCGGGCAACCTTCTCTAAGCGTGACAATGCCCCGAAGCAGGGTGTGTTCACTGAGCATATCAACCGAGTCGCAGGTTGCTGTCTTCATCCCGATGTCAGCTTTCGGCGTCAACGCCGCTCGTTCCACCCCGACGGCCACTGTGCCAGGGTGGCCCTACCCCTACGGCTGCTCTTCAGAATGACAGCATTTTCCTCCGTGTTGTTCCTCCCTGCTGGGCCCCTGTCCTGAGCGAGACCTGGCGTCCTTTAGTTGCACTTTATGTCATTTTATCCCTAGCGTATTTTCATATTCTCTCTTCAGCGAACCCCTTAAAAACATAGCTTTTTCACCACAACACTGCTGGCCTGAAGGTACTTCTGTGGTTCACGTGTTCCAAAAGCTCCCAAACCAGGCTGAGCCACACTCCCCCTTCCCTGCTTCCCTCGGCTGATGACGCAGATACGCAGTGTGGGTCTGTGTTCTCGGCTTCTTTCTTCTCCTAGCGATAGTCCACCTTTTTACCATTTGCAATCTTTTACACTCCAATTATTAATGACAGACCCACGTCTGCTCGTAGCTGGCCATCGGAAGTTTCATAACGGACAACTCAGGGTAAGAAGCTGCTGCACAGGACAAGCAAGCAATGAAATGCAACGGAAATGCAACGGAAATGCCTCTGCTACCTTGACAGAATGTTGTTCTAACACCATGAGCTCGTGTGCTAGGAAGCAGCAGCAGCATATCTCGAGTATGTTGGAAACGCGGCACTCTCCATGCGTGAGTCTGTTTTGCGACAGCATACGGTGGACGTTGACGGCGCACACCAGACCTTCAAAGACTTGCAGCAGGTTATAACCCGTCTCGAAGATATCTATGACACGCTCGGGAGATCAGCCATCGCGCTGCCGCCGACTGCATCGCTAACCGGAGGCAACGCCAGTGACCCCGACTCGAGTAGCGATCATAATCCAGGTAGAAAGAGCGGGAGTGCTGAGCCCACGGGTCGCCTACCGCCGATTCCGCTGTCAGACCTGTCCAAGCTGGTAATCATGCGCACCTATGCTGCGACCATGGCCATGCAGCAGCGCAAGGCGCAGATTGGAAGAGCTGACACAGCACACGCGCGGCGGTTAATGGAGGAAGAGCAGATTGGCCGCGAAGACCTCGACAAACTGTCGCAGCACCTACGAGCAGTCGAGGCACTTAGCTTGACCGCCTGGGATGTTTGTGCGATCGCACGTGAGATCGCCTAGAATCGACACGCAGCTGTTTGCCCATGTCCAGGTGCCCGAGGATATGGTTGTCCGTAGCCGGGCGACGCAGTCGGGTGGAGCTGAGGTTGATGTAGCGAGCTCAGTGAGGAACTGTGCAGGGTTCGCCGTGTTCCTTGGCCATGCTGCAGCTGGAATACTACTGGACACAGCAGCATCGATAGCTAAAGGTGCAACTTCAAACCTGGCACCTCCTAGCGCCCGGTCTCCAGCACCAGCACCCAGACGTAGCATGGAGAGTGAGCATCGGGACAGGCACGCAGTGTCGTCGCTGTCTAACCTGAAGGGGCATCCACATATTGTAACCTGCTTGGTTGTGTTGACACACATACTTGTGCGCGTGTTTGGCGATTTCAATGGCGGAATTGCGGTACTCTGGGCACTGACACTGCCTGAGATCCGGCGGCTGCAAAGCCTATGGAGGCATGTGGACCAGCAAACCGTGGGGCTTCTCGAGGATTTGTGCGGTATGACTGGTATGCAGTCCGCCTCTGTCGGCTGCATTGCCCTAGGTCCATCAGGGTCGGCAGGCGAGGAGGCTGGGCGGCTCCATACCATCGACGAAGCGCGGTACCATAGCACGTTGAAGGCGGTGGCAGCAGAATTGAAGACCCGGTATACAGGCAATCCGTTGGACATACACTCACAGACCGCGAAATCGCTGATTGTTGCCATTCCATATATGCCACGCAGCATCAGCAGCCTACGCCGTCTTTACAGCATGTACACTATGTCAGCTGACGGGTCCCAAGTCCTGCTATCAGCACCAGGCGCACAGCTGCTTGACCAGGAAAAGCGGGTTTTTGGCTGGTGTCGCATTCATAGCAGTGCCAAAGCAGGATCGCATTCGCCACACGACCTGCGTCACCGGTCGCGTCAGCACACGTACATGCCTGGAATATACACTGTTGAGGCTGGCGATAATGTTTACCAGACATATATGCCGGTGACGCTCAGTGAGCTCATAGACACCGGCTGCTCTATGGAGCCAGCTAGACCACATACGCCCAGCATGTCGACGGCACGCGCAACGCAGCTGTCTGTTCGGGATGCGTCACTGCAACACTGGATTCTGACACGGCCGTTTTTTTCCACTGGACTGATACGCTCGGCCAGCGTGCGCATCCAGACGCCCTTGGCATCCGAGGCCGGGATATTCTTGGAGCGCAGCGAGTCGTCAGAGAGCGAGGCTGTATTGCAGTCAAGCTCGGCTACGCCTAATGTCGTGCACACCATGGTTGCGCCGCCTTCAGTATTGTCTGAGCCCACTACTTTTACTAGACACCTGGCAGCTCGAGACCACGACCAGCGGGATGTCGAGTCAGATATCGGGTCGATGCAGGTGCAGGTGCCGCTCAATGCGTACCGGATCAGCCATGAAACCAGCGAAGTTTCTTCGCAGGCCGATGATGTCTACGCAGACAATGTCGATGCCGAGCAGCTCCCCTCAGTCGACGACTTCCTGGGTCAATTCCTGGCCACCGAGCAGACCAAGATGGATGAACATGGCGTTCCTGACTACCTCCAATCGTCGGCTCTTGATCCTTTGCAAAGCAGCTCGCTTGAAGACGCGTCAGAAAACAGAGGCGAAGCTGGTGATGTTTTGGACAGTGTCAGCGATAAGAGCAGTGAGGGATCGGATGATAGTGTCAGTGTTCGCTCAAGCTCCAGTGAGGACAGCAGCGGGTCGGGGGGACTGAGCGATTTAGATCTACCGTCAGTTCCAGTGACTGGGAAACCGGCTGGAGAAGATGCCTACGAGGAAGTGATATCTGGCAATGCTCCAGATATGGGCAACAAGGACGCCAAAGCGGCTACGGATGGAAACAGTAACCCACAAGCAGCGGATGGAATCAGCAAGGAGGCGGACAGTAGCCTAGGCGAAGAGCCTGCCGACACCTCTGCCAACCAGGACGAGAAACTAGATGGGGCAGCAGCAGATCAGGACAAGGAACCAGCAGAGACTGCAGCAGCCCAAGACACGAAGGGCCAGCATGTGCGTTTAGATGAGCAAACCAAGAAGGGCTTGCCCTCCAAGGATGAAGCAGCTAATCCCGATCCGGCTGCTGCAAGCGATGCCTATATCAATACTGATGACGAGAGCACAGTGTCCAAGCATGAAGATGCGGGTGAGCCAGCTCCCATGTCACCAGCCACCTCGGCAGAGCCCAGATCGGGGACAGGCAGTAAGCGCCCTGACGAGCCATGACACCTCGATATCCCGAGAAACGAGATTATATCCGAATAGATGCCATCGTATATGCATTGTGCATACAGGGGTTGAATATGTAATACGAAATGCGTAATATAAAGTGTAAAAGATTAGAACATGCGTGTATCTTACTCCTCGCCGGTGATCTCCTCCAACGACTTTCCCTTGGTCTCCGGGATCCAGAAGGTCACAAAGAACCCGATGAGAGTGAAGAGGGCGAAGATCTCGATGAGGTGAGGAATCCAGGCGTTCGGGCCACCGCGGTCCTTCAGAGTCATCAGGCCAGCCTGGGCGACAATAGCACCAAGCTTACCAGCAGCGGCGGAGATACCATGGGCAGTGGAGCGGAAGCGAGTCGGGAAGACCTCTCCAGGCCACACAAAGCAAGTGACATTGGGGCCGAAGTTCTGGAACAGCTGGGCCAGCGTGAACAGCACAATGAAGCCGACGTTCGAGGCGTCCAGGATCTGGTGGTAGGCAAAGCCGATTACAACGTACAACACGGTGAGGGCAGCGAAGCCGATGAGCTGGATCCTCTTGCGACCAAGCCGCTCAATGGTGAACACGGTGATCCAGTAGCCGGGCACAGAGCCAAGCAGGTTGATGATGATGTTGCCAAGGCAGTTGCGCGACAGGACGCTGTACGGATCGCCGTTCTGCACGTCGCCGGAGAAGCCAATAGCGCTGATGACGACGGATGAGTTCAGGTTGATTCCATAGAACGCCACATCGAGCACAAACCAGGCAATCGAGGTGCCCAGCAGAACCTTCATGTTCTTCCACTGCCCAAAGTACTCGCCGAAGGTCTCGGCACGCTTGCTGCCCTTCTTCTGCGCCTTCTCGACAAGCTCATCCATATGCTCGTTGAACTGGCTAAAGTCCTTGATAGCCTCCTTCTGCATCGACAAGGTTGAAGAGCCGGCAGCCGGCGTCATGTCAGACTCCTGTGCAGCCTTCTTGGCCAGCAGCAGCTCGTCCTCAGCCTTGATGGCTTCAGTCTGGGCCTCGCGCTTCTCGGCCTCTGCCTGGAATTGCTTGGATTCGCTCATAGTCAGGCGCCAGTAGAGGGTGACAGCGCCGGGGATGGCACCAAAGCCGAGGCAGATGCGCCAGACGTAGTCCAGCGCGTAGACGTCATCACGGATAGCGCCCTTGAAGCATGCCAGGACAATAATAGCGACGATCGAGGCGCCCAGGTTACCGAACCCCTGGCAGGCGAACACAGCGGCCAGGTACTTGCCGCGGGAAGAGACCTCAGCATATTCGCTGGTAATGGTTGCGGCCAGCGGGTAATCGCCACCGACACCAATGCCGACAAACACAAGCCAGATGAACAGGAATACGAAAGCGTTAGCGCCGCGGACCGCGCTGGACGAGAAGGACGCGCCGACGGTGGAGATGATAACCAGGATGGCGCCCATCGAAAACACGCTGGTGCGACCAAACTTGTCACCAAGGCGGCCCAGAATCAGCTGGCCAAGGAGGCAACCGACCTGGACGCCGACCTTGACGAGCGTCGACCAGTTGTTGGGGACCACGTTTTTGGCCGAGCCCTCGGCGTCGTGGAAGTATACGTAGCCCATGATCATGACCAGGATGTTTGCTGAGAACATGAGGTAGGCGTCGGCAAAAAAGGCCGCGCCGCAGACAAGGAACGACTTGATCATCTGCCAGCGCGAGTGCAGCTCATCGTCAATTTCCTCCAGCTCCTGCTGCCGCTGGTACAGCTCAATGTCAATATCATGGGATTTGAGGTCCTTTATGTTGGCAGAGCTGTTCTGCTCAGATATTTCTGACAGATGTGACATGGTGAAATGTGCTGTATGTAGGCAGGATTTCGGAGCAATCAGGCCTGTCTTTATCCACAGATACGGGTAAATTAGATGGAAGGTACAATGCGCTTGCAGTAATCCGGATTGCAAAGCAGGCTGTGAACCGGGACAGCAGGTGGTCTCCTCGAGAGTTCCAGGAAAGAAGATAAAGGAGTACAGAAAGCTCTACGCTGGAAGCGACAGAAGAGAGGGAAGACTTGGGAACCGGTAGCAAGCGAGGAATGGCGAACGTGTGCTCTCGGGTAGGCCACGAAGCGCCCGTTGTTCTTTTAAAGCGTTCGATTTTCAGCGCCCAAGCATCCTCACGACTAAGCTGCTGACCCCACGTTGCCTCATCCGGAAAGTCTATTGGCCAGCTGCAACCCCTGTGTATCCAGCAGGATTTCCTGGCCCATCTCGGAATGGGCCAACTTTGGCCAAGGTGGGGGTGGTGCGGGGTCGCTGACTAGCGGCGAAATATCTTTCTCGTCAGTGATCATCCACATAGCTCAGACTGAGGTGCAAATGGAAACCACAGGCTCCCTCCGAGGGCCCAATTCGAATGGCTAGGGCTACACGGTTCATTCCAGTGGAATTCTGTTCCCCAACATCCGACGGGGCAGAAATGCAGGCAGGCGGTGGGGGATCGAGGGCGTGTGAGTCCGAGTGGGCCGCTGGCAACAGCAGCAGTCGCTACTGAAGCCAACTGCTGGAGCCAGACTGTGCCTGGCATCAGGTGGTGGCAGGGGGATATTGGCCTGCCTGCACAGGAGAACGAAGGAATATACAGAGTTGCGCAGGTGCAGATGTGTAGAAATTGGGATGTAGGAATATTTTGCCTGTGCATTGTTGCGCATCTCACTCCTAGCGGTGGACGAGGCGTTTGACCGCCACTCCGTTGATAAGCATGGATCCAATCCCCGGAGAAGGTGGAGGGATCGGCAGTCAAGCCATGGACGGGGCTTGGGGACGAGTGCGTTCGCACTGAAGTGCACCCGACTTGTCGTGATCGAGACACCGCTGGCATTTGCGGAGTTCGGCAATCCGAGCTAAATCACTTGATTGTATGATTTGATCGGTGATCGGCGCTCTCGTTTTTCGCTCTGGGTGGCGAGGTCACCAGCTGGCGCACTGCGAGCCATAAACAGACTCGCCTCTTGTCTCTGCAGCTCTTGCAACCAAAGCCTTTTTATACATACTATAGCACGATGGGAAACACAGGCGGCGACAAAACATACCTGGTGGGCGCTGAGGGCCGTGAGCAGATTAAGCGCATGATGAGCCTGGGCAAGCCCAAGCAGGTGATACTTGATTTTGGCAACGACAACGGCCTGGACATCCCAGCCAGCGAGTCCATCTACGGCTTGCTGGATTCACTGGGCCACAAGCGCCGCGACATCCACACAGCAGTACTTGACTCTGTAGTGTGTGCGGCAATGAGCCGCATACAGGGCGAGCGACTGCCATTAGACCAGCACCTGGCATTGCTGGCCAAGGTGAAGCGGTACTTTGCAGTGCCACAGCTGCAGAAAATCCCGCTGATGCTGCTGGCAAAGTGGCCGGATAACGTGCCTGATGACTACCGTGAAGCAATCCGTGGCAGCATGCAGCTGTACGAAGCGTGTAGCTTGGATGTGAGGCGCACGCTGTGGCGCAAGGACCTGCCACTGTTCCAGCAGCATATCCGGCCGCTGCTGGCAAAGTATGTCGCAGACGCGCAGCTGCGCTCAATGTCGCAAGAGATATACGGAATCAAGGTGCAGGAGTACTCGCGCAAACGGCGCCAGCACCCGGTGCTTCTCGAGATCTCGCATGCAATCAACACGGATCTGCATCTGTACAATGCAACGCTGGAATGATCCGCGAGCTGTTTATCAAGACGCAGGATCCGGCTCTGGGCACGCTGCGGCTGGACCTGGCGATGGTGATGCACGACTCTGACGTGTCGGTCATCATCGAGAGTGACGTGTGCCATGGGCTGGCGTGGTCGCTGGATGCGTGTATCATGCGGCAGACGATGGACCCGCGACGCGTGCTAGAGCTGCAGAGGTACTTTGACAACCTCGACTCGACTGACCCACCATATGGCGAAATTTCGCTCATTTAAGCAGCCCGTACTCGCGGCACATACTGGCGCAGTGCGTGCTGAACATCCTGGAGGACATTGCACCGAATTCTGAAGCCAGCTCAAAGTACCGTGACCTTACATGGCCTAGCCTGATACTGACCATTGGGCTCTCGGCCGGAAGCCTGCTGGTGCAGGACAGGCCAAAGATCCCGGCCATTAATCGCAATGTTCGAGCCAGGTTCTACCCGTCGCTGATATCGTTCATCAAGGAATCGATCAAATTTGACCGTGCTGTCGGTGTCCACGACGACGATGCCTATGGCGGTGGAGTCAAGAGGGCGCGCCGCGATTCAGCGGGTGCGTATAGCGGCAGGAGCGGCACTGCGGTGGTGGCAGTTACCGAGGAGAGCGGGCTGCGGCCTAGTCAAGACGATGTGATGGTCCTGAATTCCAGCGAGCTGGCCCGCCAGGTTCTGTACGCGTACCTACTGAAGCGCGTGGCTGCTGGAGATCTTGGCATGCTTAATGTGTGGCTGCCCTATATCGGCAAGGGGCTGCCCGAGTTTCTGGGGCTGCCCGAAGGCACGATCAAGGACCCGCTCAAAGCAGGCAGCTGCGAGGGCCACGCGTCTGGGGCTAATCCACCGCAGGCGGCCATTCCCGTGGAAAACGAGATACCTGCGTTTGAAATAGACGCATTCATTCAAAGCCTTGTGTCGTCAATCTGCAGCAACAAGGGTGTGTCGGCTACGCTGCTGAACACGATTGCAAACTGCCTTGACCAGCAGACTCAGCAGAAGAACATTGATAGTATTGACATCCCTCTGCTGAATCTGCTGGATGCGGTGGGCCAGGTCCGCCATACCGCACACGAGCAGGCCATTGTGCTGCTGACCGAGTTTGAGGGTGTTCTGGCAGCAGAATACAGCAACACGATGCTGGCTCACCGCGCAAGTGCAGGCTATGCAACCGCCGATGCCGGTCGTGTGCCGATCCAGAACAAGGAAAGCGCGTGTATTTTGTATACCAGTTCGCCGAGCGCGTTGCGTCGCACTATGTGGTTGACCCATCTCGGCTTGAGAACCTGAAGAAGGAATATGCGCAGCTGGAGACCGCGTCGCCGCAGCAGGCCTTCAAGTACCGAATCTGTGCAGCCAACTGCCTCAACTGTTCAAAATTCTTGTAGGCATTGGTTTGGCAGAATGGCAGCAATTCATTTTTAAAAGTTCAATATACGGCTAATTCTAGTTTATGTCTCTTGCATGTGCCTCCGACTCATAGACAACAACGCGCCAGATGCGCGCAACAAACGTCGATGCCTCATCGTCCAGGATAGCCGCCAGCTCCTCAACCAAGCCGTGCGGTGGCTTGTGTGCCAGCATATGGTCAGCAACGAATTTCGAGAGCTCGTCTAGCGAGGAGTCCTCCTCATCCTCGCCCAGGTACTCGACCAACCGCTTGCGTGTGGCCGGCTCGATCTTCCCATGCACCAGCTCTTCATCGACATGGTCCCACTTGATGGGCCATGCGAACAGCGCGTCAGGCTCTGAGGGTATCTCGGCAATCAGTTGCTCAATCTTGGTGCGCCGCGGATCGGGCTTCTCAGCAGGTCTCTCAGCAGGCTTTTCGGCAGGGGGTCGGCAGGCTTCTCGGCAGGCTTTTCAATAGGCTTCGGGGCAGGCTTCTCGGCAGGAGCTTTGTTCCTCTCCTCAGGTGCCTTCGACGAGCGCCTAGGGGTTTGCTGCTGTCCCTGCTGCTGCTTCTTTCGCGCCTCCTCGGCCAGCCTCTCTTCTTCGTGTCTCTGCTGTCTCCTATCTGCCACATCCAACTCGATCTCACGCTCCCTCACTGCTTTGCGGTGATGCCACCAGCGCTCGCGATCCCTGTAGTACTCATGATCGCCCATGCGCGCCTCTGCGTCGTCGTCCCAGGCCGCAAACCGCATCATCATAGTGTCACGCGCCCTTCCGCGCTCCTCGATGCGGTCCAGATCGCGCAGCAGCAGCTTCTCAATGTGCCTTGCACGGTCTGCTTCGTCACGGGCCAACCGGTTTTCACGCTCAGCAACATCGTCCAGGTACAGCCGTTTCCTGTGCGCCTCTGCTTGCTGCTTCTCCCAAGCCTCTTCGTCCTCAAGGCTGATCGACTCGTGGTCAGTGGGACGAGCGCGCGACACACTGCGGGTCGCTGATTTCGACTGTGTCTTTTTGTCAGATGAACTGGAGGCCTGCTCAGGAGTGGACTGGCCTGTCGGTTGCTTGCCTTTAATCTCTTCCGTGCCCTCACCAGCCTCAGCCGGTGCTTGGTCTTTCATCTCCTCTTTGACCTTCTCCACCGCCTCTTTCGCTGCGTGTACTGCGGTCTTTTGATCACTGTCGCTGCCGGCCTCAATCGAAACAAGCCGATCGCGGTGCATGTCCAATGTCCTCTGCATGTTCGCATCGACAGTGACCGCTAGCTTCCGGGGCTCGGTTCCCGGCAGCTCGCACTTTTCCTCGCCAAGCACCAGCAGTGCACACATAGCATCCCTCGGCGTGGCGAATTCGCAGAACCCGAATTTTTGCGGCTTGCCGTCAGCGTCATACACGCGTTTCCAGCTCGTGACAGTCCCACACGCCCCCAGTACCTTTTCGACCCACTCATCAGTGACGCCGCCCGTGATGTTGCCGACGAATGCTGTCACGGGACGGTCGCTGAGTGAGCTGCGTCGATCTAGCTGTGCGTCGGCACCTGGTGCATCCAGACCTTCGCCGGGCCCGAACGTGTTCACTATCGGTCCGCCAAACATATCTGGTGGTGCTGGTCGCGGGCCACGCGGCGCAAAGCCGCCAGAGGGTCGCCGTGGCTTGGTGTTCATGTACTGCATAGGTGGTACGTCGCCATAGCTGTCTATAGTATGCAAATATCGTTAGTGGCCTGTTCTTTCTAGGTGTGTTGCGCTGCATGGCCTTGGGCAGATTTTACCTAGCGGTGGTGGTTGGTACGGGCTCATTACGAAGTTCTGGGTATAATTTACAGTTCTAGAGGACGGGACAAATGTAAGCAAAAAGGGGGGAGCAAGAGCAGTTGCGAAGCAGAGAAGCCGAAGAAAAAAAACGTTGGCTATGCTTTTGACATTCGTCGATTGATTTTGCAGCCTTGAACCCCTACCAGTCGGCTCGGTTCGATCGACACCCATAGAAGCCCCATGCCGGCTGGTTCAGCTGATGAGCAGCGAAAGCATGGCACCCGCATCGCAGCAGCATCCGCTTCGCCTATTCACCCCTTTTCCCGCTCTCACTGATGAGCACGCTCGCTAACCACCGTCCCGTCCATGGCCATATCACGCACATGTCCATCAATAATATGTCTATGACGCCCAATGGTCAAGCCCAGAGCGACCCAGCCTTCCCAATGCCACGGTTTCAGTCGAGTGCATGGCGGTCGTACTGGTCCCACCGCAAAGACGAAGGGGATTCACTAATTAACTGCCCGGACTTGTTGTCTGCGGCTGAAGAGCTGTTGGAAATTCCTGGGTTCTGCAGCTCATCGTCTGCAAAAGTCCCCAAGGAACTGTGTGATAGGAATGGCGACATTTGCTCATACCGGCATTTGCAGAAACTGCAAAACAGAGGCTGGGCAGATACCATGTATGTGATTGCCAGATATACACAACCACGTACCTGAACAGAGGATGTCCTTACTAACTATATAGCCCGCTGTAGAGTGAAGAGCCTACCAGATAGCATTGACGAATGCAGTAATGACCAGGTTATGCAAAAGCTCGACCATGCGCTCCTTGTCGACCCAGAGTGCATAGCAGCGCTCAAAATGCGGGCTGTGCTGTGAGTATACCCTCGAGCGGCACTGCCGAAATAGACATTTGGCACTATATGCACCAAGCCTAACCTACCCCTCCTACATGTAGGCTAATCCGTACAAATCATATGTTGAGGGCCCGCCAAGACGCAGACAAGCTTGCTGTTGTTGTTCATGCTGCCAGACCCGCTGATGCTGCTCTACTTGACTTCGTTGACAGTCTGTATGAGCAGCTAGATGCCCATGACAGGTTGTCAAGACGCGAGAAATCTAGCCATATGCACTCACGCAGACGCCATTCAAGGTCACCACGTACAGATCGGCCCAGTAATCACTCACATTCACGCTCGCGGTCCAGGCCCAGAAGGCACAGAGGCGACCGTGATCGACGGCATCATCACCGTCATCACCATCACCGTCATCAGAGAGCTAGTGGGCATCGCCGGGATTCAGACGGCTATCGGCGGGAAAGGCACCGACAGCCTTGACCAAGTGCCCATTAGAAAGGCTCAAACAGCCGAATACAATAATATATGGCCGGCTTCTACCTTCATCGGCCAACAGCTCCAGGCTACCCTTGCATGTGTCATTCTTGGCCCACGGCCCACCGCACATAGTGATAGTCATTCAGAAGTGCATCCATTAGTTAACAACATAACCAGCTACGAGCAGCTTAGAGCCTCTCCTTCAGCTTCTCGCCCAGAGCCTTGATGTCGTCCATGTTGGCCGGCTTGGCAGGCCAGCCGAAGCCCAGACCCTCTTCGGCATTGGGCTTGGGAATAATGTGGAAATGGACATGCTTGACTTCCTGGTGAGCCAGGCGGCCGTTGTTCTGCAGGATGTTGTAGTTCTCCGCACCCAAGGCCGTAGCAATCTTCTTGGCGACAGGCATGGCGTCAGCCAAGAACTCGTCGGGTAGCTCGTGCATCTTTTCAGCATGGTACTTGGGGATGACCAGGGCATGGCCCTCGGAGAGCGGTCCGATGTCGAGGAACGAGAAGCTGTGCGCAGTCTCAGCGAGCTTCACAGACGGGATCTCACCCTTGATAATCTTGCAGAAGAGGCAGTCGGCAGCGAGCTTTGAAACCATTTGGGAGATTTATATAAAGACGAAATTAAAATTGGCTGAAGGAAATTGGAGAGAAGAACGAGGGAGTTCGCTGTGCCAGTGCGGAGAATGAATTGTCTATAGCAGCACCCTAATCCACAGCTGTGGTGATCACACCACAGTTACTCAAAGCCAATGCTTATGCGACTCAGCCGATCACAGATGATGAGACCGATTCATTACCCCAGGCTAGGCCACATAGTTAGGGCTATAAAGTAGACACCGGATCACTCCAGGAGTGACCCGGGAGGAATCATCTCTTCTTGTTTAATAATATTAACTGTCCCTATTAATTGATTAGTGCCTGGACGAGTAGACGAAGCTCGTGACCTTTAAATAGGGTCGCAACATTGGTAGCATCACCCAAGTCCCTTATTCTGTCCTCAGAACTATCGTCTACGTCCACTCTAATTTTCAGCACCATGAGCAACAACGCCAATGCCAGCCTTGCATGTGTCGTTCTTGGCCCACGGCCCACCGCGCATAGTGACAGTCATATTCAGAAGTGCATCCATTAGTTAACAACATAACCAGCTACGAGCAACTTAGAGCCTCTCCTTCAGCTTCTCGCCCAGAGCCTTGATGTCGTCCATGTTGGCCGGTTTGGCAGGCCAGCCGAAAACCAGACCCTCTTCGGCATTGGGCTTGGGAATAATATGGAAATGGGCATGCTTAACTTCCTGGTGAGCCAGGCGGCCGTTGTTCTGCAGGATGTTGTAGTTCTCCGCACCCAAGGCCGTAGCAATCTTCTTGGCAACAGGCATGGCGTCAGCCAAGAACTCGTCGGGCAGCTCGTGCATCTTTTCAGCATGGTACTTGGGGATGATCAGGACATGGCCCTCAGAGAGCAGTCCAGTGTAGAGGAATGAGAAGCTGTGCGCAGTCTCAGTGAGCTTCACAGACGGGATCTCACCCTTGACGATGTTGCAGAAGAGGCAGTCGGCAGCAAGCTTTGAAACCATTTGGGAGATTTATATAAAGACGAAATTAAAATTGGCTGAAGGAAACTGGAGAGAAGAGCGGGGGAGTTCGTTGTGCCAGTGCGGAGATTGAATTGTCTATAGCGGCACCCTAATCCACAACAATGGATTGTCTATAGCAGCACCCTAATCCACAGCGACAAATTTGTGATTTTTTACTGCAAAAATTGCAAAGGTGCTCTACTCGGCAGTCGTCGAGGCTGTCGCAGCCGGTGCCTTCTCGGCCGCTTTGCTCTGCTTTTTCTTCTCGAGGAACTTTTTGCGGGCCTCCATCAGCATAAACTCCTTGCGCTTCATCAGCACCTCGGCGCGCTTGCCCGCATCTGTTTCCCATACCTTCGGTGGCTGGGGCGGCAGGGGCTCTGTATCCGCGTCCTTGGAGATCCTCAACCGGCTGACCAACGGCGACTGAGCCGCATTAAGCTGGACGCCCGACGATGTGCCACCCGATCCCGCTGTCCGTCGCTGGCCGGTGCCCGAGTTTAGCGTCACTGTAGTCTCACCAATCATCACCGGCCTCGCTTGCGGTTGTCGCGCCTCGGGCGGCATAGGCAGCGTTCCGCCGTTGCGCAGAATGTTGTCACTGGTGATTACCGGCGAGCCCGTCCGAGACAGGTCCAGACGGATGGCAGCTTCGGGGATATCGGGGAACATGGCCTGGATTGTCTGTACGTGCTCCGGTCGTACGATGTGCAGTCGCCGGTGCTCTCGCCCTGCTGCGCCGCCGTGTCCCTGGTCGTTACCACCCTGGCCTACACGGTAGCAGTACACAGTTAGCTACACGGGCACCCGATTGCTGTCATTTCCCTCCAGGGCGCACTTACCAAGCAGCCAGCGGAGGACTACAAAGATTATGCCCAGCGCAATGAAGAATGTAATAGAGTCGTTCATAGCCTTGTACCCGTCTGTGTTAAATTGACGCGCAACTAGTGACCATCCAGGAGAATTTTGTGAATGCGAAAGAAAAAGAAGGGATAAAAATAAGTGTCGAAGGGTGGGACAAGAGAAAGCGTATAATTGGAGAGGCGCTTTCCACGCGTTAGTGTGCCTCAAGCATCGTGCTCCAAAATGTCACTGCGCACACATTTTTCCTGGATCTCGCTCCTGCTAAAGGCGTATATAATGGAGAGAGAAAACATATAACCAAGAACTCTATGGGCTGTTCAGCGCACCGGGCATGCTGATGACGGCGGCATCTGGATGGTCTTCATCCTCGCCGCCCATGGCCTCATAGGCGTCGCTCCGGAACGACAGGCCCGGGATCCCCGCCCCACTGTTCTGCAGCGACTGCACGGCACAGGCAACCGACAGGGGCTTAACCAGCAGATTGGCCAGTACGAATAGCAGCGTAAAGTTGAGCGAACCCTTCGCCAGAATCCACAGCACGTCGAGGACCCCGGTAGCAGCTAGGATTACAGCAAGCCGCTTCATTTGCACACCGTCGAATTCGCCACGCAGAACCAATAGACCGAACAGGGCCACAGGCAGGTTGTAGGTGGGTGCGGTGCCCAGGGCGCTGACGAGCGCAAGGCCAGTATGCACCAGCAGGAGCTGGCTCAGGTCAAGGTTGCGTGAGATCTGTGTAAAGGCGTCCATGCGCTGGCTATAAAACAACAAAGGAGAGTTCGTGGCGGACCATCATTCGGCGGGCCGCCAATGCCTGGATTCATGCACGGTCCAGAAATCGCGCTGATAATGGGCTGAAACACATTTATGTACTGACATGCTGAAGGCTTTTTACTCCTGGGTGAAGCCGTTCGGGTTGTTTTCCTGCCAGCGCCACAGGTCCTCGCACATCGACTTGAGGTCGCGGCTGACCTTGAAGCCTAGCTCGCCGGCAGCCTTGTCCGGGTTGCAGATAACCGTGGCGACATCGCCAGGACGGCGCGGGTCGTTGACGTACGGGATCTTGTGTCCACACGCAACCGACATGGCGTCGATCATCTCGAGCACAGACTGGCCGGTGCCTGAGCCTAGATTGAACACCTCGTAGCCGTGGTTATCCGGCAGGCGCTTGAGTGCTGCAACGTGGGCCTCGGCGAGGTCCATCACGTGGATGTAGTCGCGCACGCCCGTGCCGTCGCGCGTGTTGTAGTCGGTGCCAAACACATGCACCTCCTTCAGCTTGCCCACGGCCACCTGCGACACATACGGCATCAGGTTGTTCGGGATCTGCTTCGGATCCTCGCCCATACGGCCCGACACGTGCGCGCCCGTCGGGTTGAAGTACCGCAGCATGATGGCGTTCCACCCGTGCTCAGCATCGGTCACATCGCGAATGATGCTCTCCATGTACAGCTTGGTGCGGCCGTACGGGTTCGTGCAGCCCAGCGGGCTGTCCTCGCGCAGCGGCTTGCCCTCTGGGTCTGCCTTGTAGACGGTAGCAGACGACGAGAACACAATGTTCTTAACGTCAAACTCGATCATCACGTCGAGCAGGTTCAGCGTGCCGGTGATGTTGTTGCGGTAGTAGTTGAGCGGCTTGCGCACCGACTCGCCCACGGCCTTGAGCGCAGCAAAGTGGATCACGCTCGAGAACTTGTACTGCCGGAACACGCCACGCAAGCCCTCGAGGTCGCCCAGGTCTACCTTGTGGAACGGGATCGAGTTGTCCTTCAGGCCACCCAGCTCCTCAACGCGCCGGAGAGGGATGTCGCTGCTGTTGCAGAGATTGTCGACCACGACCACCTTGTAGCCTTGCTTGAGCAGCTCCAGGACAGTGTGCGAGCCGATGAACCCGGCACCACCGGTGACCAGGACGTATGTTGCGGACGACGAAGCTTCAGCCATGGTTGAAGAGTATGCGGAAAAGTAGAGGAAAATGGGGGTTTGGAGAGAAAACAGGAGCAGATGGCCCGACTCCACAGCAGAGCTATTTATAGCCCTGCGCTCCTCGCATTCGCACCAACTGACGCACGAGCTGCCGCTGATTTGGTCCTGGTCGAATCGGACGCTGGTCGAATCGGACGCTAGTCGAGCGACGCCCCCGTGTGCCACGCAGACACGCCACTGGAGGCAGGTGTGATCCCGAAACTGGTCTGTGGGGCAGCCCAGGACCGACTCGGTCCTTGCAGCGCCTGTCCCGGAGATCTGCCGAATAATCTGCCTTTCTAGCCCCCAATCCTCCCGAATAGTGGCCGTGATGGACACTTCCCAAGCCCGGAATTCCACTGTCCATCCGGTGATTCTATCGTCATCACCGCAGGATTATTAATCGAATCTGCTGCTGTCCAGACACCGTGCTACTTTGAATCAGCTCTGTATAAAACTCGTCCCACAGCTCGGTTATTTCCAGCCTTCTCTTCATTGACTTTACACGCCCGTTCGCTGTCTCCGCATATCTCTATCCTAGCATGCCTATCATCGAAGTCTTCACTAATGTCAAGAGCGCTGACACCAAGGATCTCTCACTGAAGGTCGCCAACCTTTCCACGCAGCTCCTGTCCAAGCCCATCGGCTACATGATGGTGAATGTCACCATTCAGGAAGGACTGACCTTTGGCGGAACTGATGCTCCGCAGCCCTGGTCAAGGTTGGTTGTATTGGCAATGTCGGTGGGTCGCTGAACGCGCCGATCGTTGCCAACCTTAATGACCTTGTCAGCAAGGAGCTGAATGTGAGTGGCACGCGCATCTTTGTCCTTGTTGACGAACTTCAAGGATCCAATGTTGCCCTTGATGGCCAAATATTTGGTTAAGAACTCGTTAGACTCTTGGCTTTTATGTAAAACCATCTATTACCCTACAACTAGTATTATCATCATATATTGCTGATTATCGTGGCCATTTCAGTCCTACCGCTCAGCCACTCCCTAGGTGGACAATCGAGTTCCCACCACCATGTGCTGTTCCCACCACCGATATTGTTTGCAGCCGCGCCATACATAGCTGGTGTCTATATAGTGCACCCCTTCTGGGTATAAATCCCACAGCAGCCCAATCGCCAGACTAGCTCTCCTTACTTCTTTTTCTATTTTCCACTCTTCCACCATGCCTGTCATCGAAATCGTTACCAACGTTCAGATCGAGGATACAAAGTCCCTCTCGGTCAAGGCCTCAAGCCCTCTTCACTCAATTACTATCAATTCCTGCCAACTTTGTGCTCACTTTCGTCAACGTCAATCCATCTATGACCTTTGGTGGAACTGACGAGCCCACAGCTCTCATCAATGCCTTGTATCTCCGTCAGACCAGCTGTCCGGCAAATAGCTTGGTTATCGAAAAGCTCACTGGGCTCGTAAACACCGAACTGGGAGTCGATCCCAAACGCGTTTTTGTGAATCTCAACTTCGGGAACCCCATGGATTTCGGTTGGAATGGTGAATTGCTGGCTCTTGTCACGTCCAGAGATGCAGGTATCCCTTTCCGCAGATAGGGACAGTCTAGAAACAATGCTCGACATCAGAGGGAAGAGAACTGCTGACTCACTACGCTCTCTATTCTCTTGAGGGCGTCGACTCCTGTTATTTAGTATCTAGTACCCAATTGTGTCGGTATTCATACGGCCTTTCATTCTGCCTTGTTCTTATTTTTGAGAAGAGTTACAATAAACTCAAATCGAAGCGTTAACCCTCCTTGCGAACAAGGCAATTGGCGCAGTAAGTTGGCAGCAGCATACCTGTGTAATAGATGCAGCCTTAATCAATGAGAATTAGTGAGTACTTTGGCCAAGAACCAAATGGCATACCACTGTGTACTCTTTATCCACAATATGGAACTCGTACAGTATATCTATTTGCACTCTCGCAAAGAAGCCCCGGACAAAAAGCCCTACCAAGACTCCTTGAAAGCAGGTGTACTATAAATATCAGACTGCTACCACATATTACCATCAACTCGGTGCTTTTCGATAATCTCGTTGATGCGGTTCTGCCGAACGATATACGGATGGTCAGCTGAGCCAAAGAATGCCTCCTTAGCCACACAGTGGCCCTTTATTGCGGTACAACGCACTGCATGCGGCAGCACATCGGCTGAGACGACCATGCCACTGGTAATCGGACCCACGTCACCTATATGGCTATCTCGGTAGACATTGACACCATATAAGCCCGTCTGTCAAAGGACGAATCTGAATCTGAACATTGCCAAAGTCGCCAGTGATGGTCTCGGGCCGATATCTGTGGTGCGTTTCGTTCCAGACAATATGAACATGGTCATTGCCAATATGCCGTTTCTTGGCTGTCTGTCGTGGATCCTTTGGGTCTAATGGCATGATACTAGGCCTCATGGAACACAAGTTCGACATGTTCGTCCGCAAAATACAAACAGACCTTCCCATCTGACCCGTCGCTCTCCATCTTGCCTGTGAATCCTTCAAATGTTGTCCAAGTCGACATACCAGCCAAGACTTCTGACGAACTGGCGGTACCTATCACTCGTATCACGGACTGTGTTTGACAGTATTTGGCTCTCATCGTGCTGTCCGATCCCGACATAGAACACTGCTACCTTGATCGTTTCTCGAAAGTGGATCTTATCTAGTGCGCGCAAGTCACGAATCAATGCCTCGCTCATTTTCAGTGTCACATGGACTGATTTCATTGTCTGGCCCATGTCGAACCCCTTGTGATAGCGAAGCAGCTCTTGGTAACAGTGCAGCTTTGACGTTTCACTACAAGTTAGATGAGGGTGAGAAAATAGGTCTGCAATGTATATAGTCTGCACCATGAGTTCCTCTAGAGCGCCTACCATTGCCTTGCCCTTGTATCTCCTGGTGCTGCCGTATATCTGCGTACCACGTCATCAACTACTGGGGAAATTGGGCGCGCTGTGTCGTTGTTTTCATCGACCGAAGAGACCGCCCGCAGCTCTTCCTTAATAAACGTTTTGATCTCTTCAAACATTTTGTGGTCCTCAGGGTCTGAGCCCTTCCTTTCGCGCCCCCAGTGCTGGTAACCGCTTGGGGTTAATGTGGCCTCGCGCATTGATGGCGGGATATCCGTACAGTTGAAGATATCTTTGGATGTCAGTGAGCTACAATTGCGATTGTGTGTTAGTGTCTAGCCTTCATATAGCAATATGCTACAAATTACAGCAATAATGCCCCAGCGTATATACTTACTGAACCACTGTCTCCTTATTGGAATGGTGGCGCCGAGAGCCGCTGGTTTTTGTCGAGTTGGCGTTTGACTTGTCTGAGTCGCGTCGATATTTGCACATAATGCTCTCGAGTTCATATGATTGTCTCTCGGGCAAGCATGTCATATCCTGTGGAATAAATATACGCCAAGCTTGTTTGCTCGCACAGCTGCGAACGCATCTAATGCAGACTACAATGCGGCACCCAAAAAACTGCGTTTAAGAAACCATGCTTGCATATCAGTGCAATGTTGAATAGGTGACAGTACTTACAGCTAGTGTCCTTTTCATCGAATATGGATAGGATCATATTTCCGTGAGCATATACGATGCACTCGTCCGTTCCTTCCTCATAATGCCTTGAACTATAGGTTTTTTACCACCAGCGGGCCTTTGAAAGAGATGGGTTGTGAGACACATGACAAAGGAATAGGAGCGATATTCTGTCTTGGTTTGACCGCTAGATATAACTTACGTTTTAGGGTTCAGGATATCCTGCTGCCGAACTGACTCATCAAAGTAATACATCAAATGCACGTGAACAATCTCGCCAAGTTGCTATATCTCCAATGACCACAAACAGAAAAATGGTTAGTATGTTCGGCGATACATTCAAGCACATATCATCCATATTGTTTACTTACCGATAGTAGCTTCGTAGCCTTATCCCTCTCTTGGGCCAGCTGCTGCTTGTTTTCCTGCATGTGCTGCTTCCACATCTGGGAGGGCTTATACAGTGCAGGCTCGAGTCGGAGCACCATTCCGTCGATCAGCTCATAGTGCACCAGATGCTGATTGTACAAATGCGGAATCGCCACGCTTGATGTGTGCGGGTGTGCGAAGCGCCTGGAAGATCTTTTCCACGAGAAAGTCGCGCACTGCGGCTGGATTCTGGATGTCACTCTTATTGACACCTTTCAGCGTTATCAGCCTGGAGCTGCTGACAGGATAATCGTAAGCAGCCGCGTAATTTCCCAGATTGCCTTGACTACGTTATTTACAATCCGTAGTGAGTGGCATGCATATCCATACAAGATGTCGTCAGCATTGGCTGATGAAATGTACTTGCCTTTGTCCATGCTAACGTGGTCCTCCAGACGATCAAGCTGCTCGATGATGGCTTTCATAAGCTCCAATGTGACCATCTGCAACCTGGGGTACCCAAGATACTCCATTGTGTTTGCACGGCCAGCGATCAGAAGCATTATGCTGTTGGCTGCGCTGTACACTGTTGGTAGCTTGTCCGAAAAAAGATGACTCAGGCATGAGATCAGACAGTTGGAGATGAGCTGGCTGTTTTGAAGGCTACTCGTTATCCAAATTGGATGAATGCTTTAGCCACAACTCGAAGTCATACGCCTGCTTATGATATGGTGGACACAGTAAAAACGTGGACTTACCTCTTATCCGAAATCGATAGCTCACTGGAGCAAATTACAGACAGCCCATGCATCACACTGTGGTCGACACGTAGCTGAGTTGACTCATCCAGGTTTGCTAGATAAGAGCCCCCAGTGCTCAGTCTCCAAAGCGACAAGCAAATACGGCCAAAAATCGGTCCCCCGTGCTCCCAAGCAAGAGCATACGTTTGTGAACCCTTGTGGCGAACTATAACCGGGTATTTTTGCTGTACTAAGCTGGGCACTGAGTCGATAAGAGGATCATGGGAGCCATTTGTGAATCCGCAGTGGGCATCTGTCAGCTTTTTCGTCCCAGCGTTGCGGTGGTTGGCGTACAGTGTCCGTTCGCTACTCAGCAGTGTCCCAATGGACATCAACAGCAGGCACGCATATTCAACAGTTGTATCGGATGGATCACCTGCGTATGTGTCCCTCTCAAACAACTACAAGCCAGATCATATTGTCATCCATGGTTCTGTGTATGTTAGTAGACCACGAGCAAGCTGACATTCCCTGCCGCTAGTTGTACCACTTACTAGACGATGCATAGCGCGCTCGATCAGATAGATAAGCATCCTGCTTCCTGGGATACCAGAGGATATAATATTGGAGCAGTTCTTCACAATTATCTCGACGATCTGCAGGTCGAATGGTTCGCCTGCAGCGATAGGGCTCAGATAGATGAGCATAATCTGGATGAAGTAGGATCGGAGGTCTAGACCAGATTTGGCAGTGGTATCGCTCATCAAACATCCAAGTTGCATTAATGACGTAAGCGCCAGTCGCCATCTTCACCATACGCGCTATATATGTGACGTCTTGCTTAATAAAATGATCTCTTCACACAAATGTGCAATGAAACTCCAATACATACCTGAACATGGACATTCCTTGGTTGATCCATTTGGGTATGTTTAGCAGAACCCCATCTTCCCCGGAGAATACGTCATTGGTGTTCAATACCACCCGTTCCACTGCCCAGCATTTGGCGAGGCCACGTAGAATGGCCTTGCTTCTGTCAACCTACAAATAGTTTTAAAGTCATCGTAGAGCATAGCTAACACAATGCATATGAATGTAATAGTATACTTACTTGGTGTGGGTCTAGCGACCCAAGGAGATTGACCCATGTCACCCATGCGGACTTCAGGCTTTCAGATGGATCTGTGTGCAGTCTAAAGTATGCACCAATGTCCACATCGACCCAGAGGGATTCCAGAAGCCACGTAATCTCAATAATATTTCCCACCATGTTCCACGCCACCTATGCCACAGAATGATGTCAGTAAGTGGTGTATCAACTCTGCAATGCTGCAAGTTCGGGAAGCCACGGGTTTGTTCTGCACTTACTCGGCGATTGGATGCGACCACCTCTTCCTTTTGTATATCGACATCAGCCGTATGGATGTTGACCTTGGTGCGCATCTGTGCCAACTGGCTGGTGGACTGATAGTTTCCTGGCCTATGCTCTAGTTTTGCTGGTCGAATAGCCGCCTGATCCCCCGTATCCTCGGACAAGGCACTCTCATGCGTTGTGGTTTCATCGCGAGCAGGTGGGACTAGCCTCTGCGAATGCGCGCTCCTCTCTGACGCCGACTGGGACTGGGTGCGTACTGTGCTGGTTTCAACCAGATCAATGCTCGATAGATTCCGGTGTTGAAAGGATGTTTTGTAAGCAGGCTTGGCTGAGGAGGATGTGTCTGCATGGAGTGTGGACGGAGCAGGGTTCTTTTTCTTTGCCAGTGACGCGACGATACGGCGCAGTGAGTGGGATGGCAGCGATTCATTCGTTGAGCCGCCAAAGGCGTAGGGCCCGGATCTTCAGCGCGTTTATATGACGTCTGCTTAGCACTGTGGGAAGGCGCAGCATTGATGTACTTCTTCAGGGCATCAATCCCCGCTACCAGCCACAGGTTGTCGTGATGAGGCAGAATCCCGGACTCGATACCATTGGTGATGCGCGACAGTAGCGTGGCTGCCATATTAGGCCCGTACTCGTACAGATTCCCAGTACCCGAGTAGCAAACACGCGTAAAAACATCCTGGTTTGGCGTAGGCGAGTCCACTGGGCCGTGTGGTGTCGAGGCATCGCTGGTATCCGATACATTGATGTTAGCCATCTTGGATTTGTCTCGGTTCAGGGCAGCAGCACGCGCAGACTTTTGCAAGTATGACATGATACGGCGCATAGTTGACCATACCAGATTCGAAGTGATATGAAACGGCGTTGACGTGTCAAATGCACCCTCGAGAACAAACTTGCCAGGGTTCTGATGAAATGTGGCGTCGAGCAGCTGCTCCATATACGCGTCAACCATGCGCCGACCACGACGCTGCCGTGACCCAGAAAACATGCTTTCGTGGATCAGCATGCGCTCATCGACTTGGTACAGCTCGCGACCGCGGGAAATCGTCATTGAGCGCAGGACATTTCCCCACACCTCCATATGGAATATCCACGGCGTCTTGATCGAGTAGAGCTGCGTTACCAGTGCTTGCACACTCTCCGTTGTGACGTCTAAAGCAATCCAGCTTGGAACTAAGCACTCGGTCATTAGTGTCAGCGCCTGGTTGGCGGCCGAATCCTCGTCGTAGACGTCGCTGGGCGTATCGGGCTGGCGCTTCAAGAACGACTCGACAATATCTTGCAGGCGGACGAGCATGTCAAATATAAAGCTGCGCGGAAGCACTCTGAAGTACGTGCGTATCATCACGCGGTGAACCAGAAGTGCGTTGTACATGAGCACCAGCTTTTCATCATCCCAGCTCCCCTGGTCAACCAGCATCATGACAATATTGTAGGCGCGTATCACATATGCCTCCAAGGTCCTACACAGACCCTGCTTGTCCCTTCTTGTTGGACGCAAGTGCATTGGCTGATACTCTTCGCGAGCCACCAGCCATAGTCTCACCACCGTTAGCGCTCCCAACGCGACCTCATAGCTGATCTTGGCCAATCCGGGGTCCTGATCCAGATGGTCACTCGTCTGTGCTCGATTCGCCAGCTCGCACGGATACCACAGCCCAAGGCAGAGCGTGTCTATGAAAAAATCGGTTGACTCGACGCTGTCATCCAGCATCAGATTGCGCATAAAGGCATAGGACTCGGGTGTCGCTGAAAACTGGTAGTTTATGTGGTGACTCGCCTTGTTAGCCTCGGGAATCCCTGGCTCATAGTCCGACTTGCTGGTGCTCGGCTGAGAAGATTTAGATGTCGCTGGAACTGACTGATACAGCTGATATACCATCCTCTCTTTTTGAGCGCGCAAAGTGGGCATCAGAAACTTGCCCTCAGGCAGCATGTGCTCGAATATCGGGATCATGCAGCGAAGCATGAAATTTATGAAGATGTACGACGCGTGAATCGGCATCCTGCGCACAGGCCTCCTATATCCGTCGGTTGTCTCCGCAAGCTCGCCGGCAGCTGGGTACAGCCAGCTCAGGTATTTGTTGCGGAAGCACCTGTAGTATGCAATCGACGATGCCTCGACTTCTGGACCGCTAAACGCAAGTACTGGTGTCACCAGGTGAAGGCAGTTACCGGTGCTGTTGGGCATGTTGAATATATGTGGCAGAGTGAACTCAAGCGAGAGGATCTTGAACGGATATACATGGGTCCGTGCTTGGAGTATGTGCGACTCGTATGCAGCGTAGGCAGCCCTAGGACTAGGTATCATGTTTGCGGTATACGCGATCGTCCCCAGTGCATGGCCCAGCATGGATAGCGCAGATAATCCCTGTGGGTTGGCAGTACACACGCGGTCCTGCATGACCGGACAGATGCTTGGACGACCAGACTCGAATGCTATAATCGCCCGTTGCCCACATCCGATGTTTGTGATGTCGATCCCACCACCGATGGCACAAAACAAATCGCCAACAATATGCGAGGCCGCTGGCATGTCGGCTACGGTGATCGCCTGCATCGAAATCATGTTTTCGAACAGATCTAGGATGCGTGGCGATATCTTGTCACCCAGACCCAGCATGTATGGAGTTAGCAGGTGTTGGCCGAGCGTGCGCAGGTCTTGGTTGTTGCCGTGATCCAGCAAGACGATCAAGATATTGACAATCTGTTCCTGGCACCACCCGGTGGCCATTAGCCGCGGCAGCAGAAGCATCATCTGGTACAGGATCTCGATTGGTGACAGTAGATCGACCATGGGTCGGCTGGCTGGCGATATAAACCGCTCGGGCAACGAATTCAAATACTCGACTTGTAAGACAAATGCGTCGTACAATGTCTGAAACAGCATGTCGTAGTATCTAGCATACACCCACACGATCTCGTTTGTCTTGCATGAACCCAGGAATGAAGTGAAGCTTGCTATCTGGGCTGCAGACTCTAGCCGCGGGTTGAGCCAGAGCATATTGCTCCGCTGTGCAGTACGTGGCTGGTCGCGTAGCTGGCTGATGAATGCACTGCTCACTTGTGTTTGAAATGACACGGGCAGGCTCTCGATATCCCCGAGTGTCGGCGGCAGGTTCACAGTGTCTGGGTACTCACTGGATCCGGCACCATGGCTGGAGCTGTCATAATCCGTAGGGCGGGGGTTTTGTTGCTTTATGACTTTTCTAAACATAATCGGTAGTAGGAAGTAAATGATTGAATAAGCGGAAACAAAAACGAAGCACATTCCTAATTCTAGTTGCGAGCCTGGCCATCATTCAAAGGGTGATGGCTGGCAAGTGTCTAGGCCATCCATATAAATTAAAATGCTCGTCCCTTGTTTTATAGACTCTTGGGTGAAACCGCAGTAAATAGTGGCAGTGCAGGCAAGTCTCGGTCGTGCACCTAGTAAAATGTATGTCGATGTGGGGGGGGTAGAAAACACCTTGTGGCTCAGCGAAGGTGCATTGAGCGGTTAAATTTGGTTTTGTTTTCACAGTCGATAAGGGTATCTGCGTTTTCTCCGACATTTTGCGATGCGTTGTTGCTGAGCTCACTGTGAAAGCCATGCGTGGTAGCAGTCAACGCGGCGAGCAGCATTCGCTGCCAGACCGAGGAGTGAGAGCTGCACGTTGCAGCTCCGGCACGATTTCTGTTGGGGGTGTAGCCGGAGCTCGGAACGGAGGTGCCATTGTTCGTAAGGAGCTGCACTATGCGAGGCCATCTCTATTGCCATATACGCGCATGTGCAGCGCATGCGATAGGGGTAAAATAGTAAAAGCCAAGCCATGTCTCCGTCTAAGCCGCCAGAAGCAAAAGTAGTTGGGAGAAAAAACTCCAGCGAAGCAGCAGCTCATTTTCCCTATAAAAAGAGCGAGCCTCCTGCTGGAGCCAAAAGATTCCTCATTCTCACAAAACGTTCCCTTCCTCACAACTTGATACTCCTGGCACCCTTAATACTAATACGCTCGATAAAACTGTCGCAACCACGTCCTGACCCTGCGAGCAGGTAGGCCACTTGGATGCCGGTCGCCGACGAGCCGGGGTTCGTTGCCTGAATAGGTGACGTTCACTGGTGGGGTGGACTGACCAGTGTGGATGTGGATGCCAAGCCCGCCGGGCTTCATTTCAGCTTCAAACCCAGGATACTGGTGGCTAAAAACAAGACTCGATTCTAAACCAGCCCTAAAACCTGCTTGTTTCAATACAACTCCACCCAGACAACTCTTGGCTGCGCTTTTCTTCGTCAAATCTAACTGGGGATGGGTCCGGGTCCCCTCCTAGTAAACGTCTGTGGTCTTTCACTCTCAAGAATGAAGCTGCTCCTGCCAGTGCTTGAGTCACCCGATACCAATAGCCACTTTTCTCCTGCCAGCACGTTGTATATATACTTTGCATTACCTCCATCAATTAACAGTACAATACTAATGCAGCATAGCACTAGAGTTTCAGTAAATACATCGGGTAGGAGGAGACGCTGAAAAGCGCTTAGACTCGGTGAATAGATTGAATCTATTTGCCAGCATCCTTCGTACCATGCCAGGGCACATTTAAATACCCCGTTTGTGCAATGGTTACATCCCTCACAGGTGCACTGCTTTCCTAGTTAATGCTTGCCGGGATACGCCTTTAATGTATTGGGACCGACCAAAAGACACGAAGAAAGAGCGGCCATCAAGTCGATACATGAGATCCGCAGTGCTCAGCACTGGATGCAAATGGAGATATGGATATGAATGTAGAGACTGAGTTCACCAGAAGAAAAGAGCTTTAAAGCTATGGCTAGTTGCGGTAGTTGTCCATGTTGTTCATGGTCATGCTCTGGGCCAGCGACATTGCGCCGCCGCTGCCGTCGTACGTGAACCCGACAAACTGCTCCTGCACGGTCTCGGACAGATTTGAGTCAGCAATGTACGAGTCCTGGGGCGGCTCGGCGGTGAATTCTTCGTCAAAGTTGCTGGTGTCGTTTGCCGACGCCACGCTGGGCTTGAATGGCGGCTCATACTGCTTGCCGATCAGGTAGTCCCAGTTGATCTCGGCAAAGAACGGCTGCTCCTTGATCTCGGACGCGCCGTTGTTGCCCAGGCGGCGCCGCGGGTCGCGCTGCAGCAGCCCACGCAGCAGCGACTTGGCCCGGTTGCCCATGTCGTCGGGGAACACCAGCTCGTCCTCCAGGATCCGCCGGTACATTTCGTTCACGTTCTCGTCGTAGAAGGGTGGCAGGCCTGTCATCATCTCGTACAGCAGAACGCCGAACGTCCACCAGTCAACCGTCTTTGTGTAGCCGCGGCCCTGCAGCAGCTCGGGCGCCAGGTACTCGGGCGTGCCGCAGAAGGTGTTGGTCGTCTCGTTGTCGCTCATGTTCAGCTTGCACAGCCCAAAGTCACACAGCGCAATGTGCCCGCTGTAGTCCAGCAGGATGTTCTCGGGCTTCAGGTCGCGGTAGATCACGTTGTACGAGTGCAGGCAGTCGAGTGCGCTCAGCAGCTCGGCGGCGTAGAACCGGCTTCGGTGCTGGTCGAACCGCCCCTCGCGCTGCAGGTGGTGGAACAGCTCGCCGCCGTTGATGAAGGCGAGCACCAGATACAGCTTCTCGGGCGTCTGGAACGAGAATTTGAGTGGCACAATGAACGGGTGGTTGATCTTGGCCAGCACGTTGCGCTCGGCCAGCGTGTGGGCCACCTCGGACCGCATCACGATCTTGGACTTGCTCAAAATCTTCATTGCGTAGATCCGGCCCGTGTCCAGCTTGCGCACCTGCATGACCTTGCCGAAGCTGCCCTTGCCGATAACCTTGAGCAGATCGAACTGGTCGATCGAGAGCGGCGTTGCGTCCTTCTTATTGAAGCAGTACTGCACGTGCAGGTGGCCCGAGTTGCCGGCTCCGCCCAGCAGCGGGATCCAGTCGTCGTACAGGCGCCCGTCCTGGAAGTCGGGCATGATCTGCACTGCTCCGAGGAAAATGGCTCCGCTGGTCGCCCCCTGCTGGCCGTTCGGCGACTGCTGCGGTGGCTGCTGTTGCTGCTGCGACGGCCCGTTGCGGCCCTGCGCTCCGCCGTTGCCGTTGCCGAACCGCTGGTAGCCACGTGGCTGCGGGGCGCGCTGGTACTGCAGCTCGGCTGTGCGCTGGTACAGCGACACCATGACCGGGCTTGTGCGCGACACATCACTATAAAAGGGAAGAAAAAGAGAAGCGGCGAATCGCAAATGAGGACGACAGAAATAGTACAGGGTGCTGGTTCGAACAACAGCAGACAGGCAAATAGAAGCACCATGGGTGGGACAGCCACCGCGAAGGCGCCCTTCATTTCGGCGAGAGTTCACAGTGAACCCGCCACCAGGCGAGAAATACTTTTTGTCTACTTACAAGCTCACCCGGTACTTCCAGATCGGATTGTGCATGTCGCCGCCCAGGCTAGTCACCACGGCCTCATTCTTGTCAAACTCGACCACGGCATACGGCCGCTGGTGGGCCTCGTTCTTGTACGGGGCATAGCGCGCCATCAGCTGCTGCGAGCCCGGCGGATACACCAGGCTGCGCGCCTCCATGACCCGGATCACAAGGATCCCCGACCGCTTCACTGGCTGCGAGTTGCCGCTTGCGCTTGGCAGCCCGTTGCTCGCCATCGTGCTGTGCTCGCTACGGCTCGACGCCTGCGACGCCGACCGCATCGACGCCGAAGAGTTCGCGCCGCTCCGGCTCTCACCGCGGGCCTGCGTTGACGGCTGCTGGCCACCGTAGTATCCAGCAGCAGGCTGCTGCTGCTGCTGGAATCCTGGGTGTCCGCCACCTGGGGCCTGCTGCCCGTATCCCGGATGTCCGCCCCGGAATGCACCCCCCTGGGCCTGCTGCTGCTGTTGCTGCTGTTGCTGCTGTTGCTGGTAATGGCCTGCATACTGCTGCTGTTGCTGCTGAGGGCGCGAGTTGTTGAAGAATCCGCCGCCTTGGGCCGCTCCGCCAGCGGGCTGGCCGAAAGCACCAGAGTTCCCTGGTCTGGGCTGGCTGTTGCTGTTCTCCTTGGGCTCTATTGGCAACAGGGAGAGTGGAGGTGGGTTAGTGGGCCTGGCGCATCCGCTTTGTTTTTTGAATTTCGCAGAGATGAGGGAGGGAGGGAGGGACAGAAGGCGGGCGTTCTCGTCAGGCACGCACCGACAGGCTGGCTATTGGAGTAAATAGCGGAAACACTTACTAGGACGCAACCACGACATGGTAAATAGGTTTACTTGGTCTAAAAGCACAGAGGAAAATAAGGAAATAAGCGAAAAATAGAAGTTCAAGAAGCAAATACGAGAAAGCGAATATCGAAAACAAGGTTCCCGGCACAAAGCTCGGCTCTAGCTTGAGGTGGTTCAGAAAAATTATTTTTGGAAAGGGGGATTGGCCGCTCCCCCCGGCCGCTTGAGGATGCCCAAGCATGACTTGTGTGTTGACAGATCTCCCCCACAGCGCTTGTCCAACTGCGACGGCCCTGGCTCTGTGGGCTGGCAGCTCCTTCGGGAGGGACCGAGCACACCGGCAGAGCGGCGGCAGGGGGAAATGGCCTGTGCTTCAACGAACGAGCGTGGGATGCGCACCTAGAGCTGGAGCCGCACACGAAGCTACGAAAACAAAACTGCTGCTAGTGACGATTATTAACGCATTAGCAGGAATTTCTAATCCAGATTTGGCGCATTGCTGGCACTCCTGCGCCAGGCTTTCCGCGACATGCACAGCCCCACTGTGCCCTCCAAATAAATGCTGTCTCCATCCGTATCCTTGGTAGCGGCTGTACGGGCATCAAAGTAAACGCCACTACAGGTGTCCCTGCCACCGACAGTGACCCTGTATCGTGTACGGAAGTAGTTTGTGATATCGCGTGGTAGCTGGGCGGTGGGGCTGTTGGAAGCACCAGCTTCGCTATTGCCTTGGACGTGCCACTCGTAAAGCCGACCGCGAGAGGCAACCAGAATGCAGTGATTCCTGCGGTGGAGAAGACCTCCAAGTTTGCTGTGGGTTCCTTTCCTGTTATTGACATCTGGCAAGTTTGACTGTGGAGAGCCGGTCGTGCTGGCATCGTCGGAACTGGTCTCGCTAATCTTGCCCCACCCCTTAGTGTCAATGAGGAGCTTTAGAGCAGATATGTTGGTCGAGCATATAAGGGGAATCCTAGGCATGATACGATGCTCGAGAGTCTCCTCAACCTCGTCATCATAATCCGTAAGTGCCGTCAGCCAGTATGGTGTCTGCCAATACAGCGGCGCAGATATCTGCATATCCAACCAGTCGATGGTAAGCGTGCATGCGCCAGAGCAGTGTCCTGGACACGTGCACCAAAGAGGCGGTCGACTAAACCACCGGTCATCTCTATGGGATTTGAGAGAAGGCACCTTGGCGATGACAGAGTGGAACAAGCAGGCTCTCTCTTGCGGCTTGTCAGGCATCAGCTCCTGGGCTTCAAACATCCGCTGCTCAATGAGTGTAAGCGGTGTACTGCTGGGCTGCTGTTTTCCATACCCCGGTGAAGGTGGGATTTCGGGCTGGAACGGTATCGCGCATGCTGCCCTGAATATACCGCGTACCTCGCTTGGTTGGGTGAGGCACTTGCTCTCCTTGTCAAATGCGTCAGCCGCAGAAAAATAGCCTGTAAGGAACAACTGTAGCAGCCATACTCTAGTGCCCCAATGCACAGCGAGCATATCGTTGCTGCCCAGGGCGCATCTAATTCTGCCATTGTTTACATACATGCGTCGGTACAGGGCAACAAGCAAAGCTGGATCAATGTCAATACGAGCAAGTGCGAAACTCTTTGTACCAACAGACGTATCCAAAGGTGCTCCCTGAGTGGCTGCCATGGCACGTTGAACCTCCCCGAAATCCTTATACGCGTAGAGGAGATTGCATAGGATGGCTGTCTCGCTACTTTCGCAAATCATGTCGCCAAGCGCACCCTTTAGTTTGCCGCGCAGCTGCGTGTATGCCGACTCGAGACGCTCGGATGTAGACGCCATCAACCTCTTATCTCCGTCCAGCTGGTACATCAGCTGGTAGATGTCGTTTATGTGGCCATTTTCGACCATAAATCCCGTCCGTAAATGAACCACATTCCATTTGTCGTGTGCGCCAGCAAGCAGGTACGGAGGGACGAAGGAAATATTGTGACAGAGTAGCATAGAGCGGATGCTGAGCAGGGAGACGGCATACAGCATGCGCGTGGCAGAGCACCCGTCGGTAGTGATATGAGAAGCCAGCTCAAATTCATTTTTCAGTGGGCACTGTGTGCCTTCCGAGATGCCTCTTTGGTGATACTCTCCTAGCGCGCGAATGCTGATGGGCTTGTTCGATAGATCAGCAAGCATGTGGTATAGCCCAAACCGAACCCACGGCTGGTGCTGGACACGTATGCGGTGTTTTGCCAGCTCCAGCATCTCGTAGTTGATGATGCTTGCGCGGTCTGGACCAGCAGCCGATCTTTTAAGATGCAGCTTCAGCCCGATCCAGGCTACAACACGACCAACCCATTTGGCCATCCGAAGCAAAATGTGCCCGAGGCTAGGAACGGCATCGAATATAAGCCAGTGGGCGAGAATACCAAGCCATTGCCACAGCGCGACTGTTTCAAACTGCCTCGGTGCAGACTGGGTAAGGTACACAGCTCTATCTAGTTCTCTTGTTCCAGTGTACCCGCCAATACGTGCAAGTTCAACCAGCGCGTCTCCGCCGCCATCGTCAATGATTGCCTTCAGGTCCTCTGCAGTCACAGGCTTTTTCCCGATGCAGCCAGGAATGCGCTCAACGTCGATGTTGCTTCTCACTCGCCGTGCCAGCGCTTCCTTGGTATGTTGGAAGCTGCGTGTGTCACATTGCGCTGAGCACGAGCATAGAGTAGTTCCCAGGTCATGGCCAATAGCTGCCTCTAGCCATTTCAGGAATGCTTTGAATGCCCGGTATGTGTGTCTGGTTGGGGCGAAGACCACTGCCTGGAACAGCCCAAAGGCAAAGAGCAGCAGAGCGATAGAGCCGCTGAGCAGGTCCATCTGGTGGACATCCACACCCGATCCGCCATTGAAGCTGTCGCTAGCAGGCAGTAGCGAGGGAACAGCAGTTTCGGCAATGCTAGGACTTGTGGTTAGAGTAAATATTGATGACATTGAGGCTGACAGGGCAAGAGAGCTTTGAAGGGAGAGAAAGAGAAGGCAAAAGTGCAGTAGAATCAATGGTATCTGCGCTATAAAAGCGATTTACATGTAGAGCAGACGTATCGATTGTCCATGCATGTTGCAGTGGTATTGTGTGTTCTGGGAATCCAAAACCGCAGTCTACTCGGTCGCCCTGAGGAGCCAAGAAACAAGAAATGGCAAGCGTGAAGTGAAGCTGAAGTCTCCTCAGATGATACTGCTGTGATATTGGTAACACAACCGTGATGTAAATCAAATGCATAAGCGCTTAGAAGATAAAAATATTCAACCCTCGACATTGGCAAAGGCCAAGGAACTAGCGGTAGGATTGGGCAGACCCAAGAACGACTGGCGGTTATTCGGGTTCGCGGCGCCCGACGGCAGCGTGGGCGAGTTTGAGATCGGATAGCTGACAAAGGCATTGAGCTTCCCGGACTCATACAGGCCCCGGACGGTCCTGCGGCGGCGCTCCGAAATGCGCGATCTAGGCAGCGAGTCGCGCGGAACAAAGACAATCTCGTCGACCAGTACCTGGTGGCGATCAAGCACGTTGTTGAAGACAAGGCAGGCCAGGTTCGGCAGGAAGGAGTCGGCGGGAGGGCGGCGCAGTGAAATCACCGCCACCAGACGCAGTCGTGTGGAGTCCACGGAGACTGCGCGGCTGCGCGCACTGCCGACCTGCGCCGAGCTGCCCACCGGCATATCGGCAGCAAAGGTGGTCTGCACAGTCGTCTGCATGACGACGCAGCCGCCGGGCAGAATGTCCTGCGAGGTATCTTCGGCCGCACGCTCAATGTCCGAGTAGAAATACATGTACTCGTCGACCGAGAAGGTCTCGGAAATCTTGCCCACCACGAACAAGTAGGGCTCGGCCGGTGCGCCGTCCTGCTCGCCAGACACCTGCAGATACAGGAAGCCGAGGTCGCCCGTGCGCACAAACTCGTGGTCGTGCGCGCCATCCAAAAACCCAGTCGCATCGTCGCCGTTCATCACCGGGCGGCCGCCGGGCGCTGCGTTGCCGGGCACCAGACGCTGCTTCAGCAAAGCATTGCTGTAGCTGCACACCCATACCTCGCCGATACTGCCGGCCGGCAGCGCAGTGCGCGTCAGCGGGTCGACTATGGCCACCATGGTGCTGCCAGAGACCTTGCCTGAGTCCTGCAGCGTCAGACTATGCAGGGCAGCCTCCTCGGGGCTCTCCATTTCAGACAGCGGCGGCAGTGCTACCACGCGGGCGCGGCGCAGCTCGTGCAAATCCAAACGCAGCGTCAACGGACAGACACCCAGGTAAGCGCGGGTGCTGATACAGGGGTTCATCAGAGTGCCGTACAGGGGGTTGATGGCCATCTCGTCGAGCCGCGCGGGGGCAAAGAAGTCGCGAATCCGGGCGAAGGTCACGGGATCGACGCGCTCTTCGGTGGCCAGAATCAGATTGCGCACCGAATGCAGCGAAAAGGTCGTGCGCATCTGGTTGGAAGCAATGAAGTTCATCGCGTGCTGCAGCATCGGCAGCGTGGCAAACGCATCCTTGACCTTGTGGCGCTGCACCAGATCAAACCACACCAATGGATTGGCGAAGAAATCGGCTGGCGACAGAAGCAGCGTCGCGCAGCCGACAAACACGCCCAGCATAGTGCAGTGCAGCAGACCGTAGCCGTTGTAGGCCCGCACCGACGCAATCACCGGCTGGCTGGACAGCATCTGGAAATCGCCCTTCTGCTGCGTGCAGAAGCCCATGATCGCTCCGGTGCGAATACGTCACGTACTGCGGCGTCGACGCCTGCGCTCCCGTAAACTGCATCACCAGCGCTGCGCGACGCGGCTCCGCCCACTGCGAAAGGAACTTGAAGCTGCCACGGCCCAGCACGTGCTTGGGGGCCTTTGGCGCCCGACCCACATGCAGGACACTGGGCATCTTGCTGCTACCCAGCAGCGCACGCAGGGCCGGGGCGCGCATGGCGCCTTCCATCATCTTGCTGCGGAAAACCTCGTCGCTGTGGGAATCCACCAGCATGTACGAGATCTTGAATTCACGCACAGTGGCCAGCAGTGGCGGCATGTCTTCCGAGAGCCGCGCCGCATCGGGCGGGGCGACAGCGACCGGGATGGCGCCGATAGCCAGGCAGGCATGCAGAGCGATGACGTAGCTGGGGCTGGGCGCGATGACCACCAGCACGTGATCGCCCGCGCCAACACGCTTCTTCTCCAGCATCAGCTGCGCCAGCGCCGACACCTTGGTAAGCAGCTTGGCGAACGACAGCGTCTTGATAGGGCGGCCGCGCTCGTCAAAGTGCGAAAAGGCTGGGTCGTCGGGGTGCTTCTGCGCGCGCCACACCAGCACATCGGTGATGCTCTTGAACGAATTCAGATCCACGCGCGAGCGCTCGTCCACCGTCGGCATTGCATCCTCCAGGCTGGTCTGCTGCACCCACCGGCCGTATAGAGCCACCGACGGGTCCTGGTACGAGTCGTCGGGCGGCAGCTGCGACGCTGGCGGCGGTAGATTCATGAACAGCCCGTCGGTCGACAGCCGCACAAACAGGCAATTGATGCGGCCGCTTTCGAACTGGTGGCGACACAGCTGGGCGTTCACTGTGCGCTTGCCGTACTGGAAGGCCCGCGGCAAAGTGTTTGGCGGGCACAGCGCGACTGCGTAGGCGTGCAGGCCGTGGCGGTTGCGGAGGACTCCGTAGATTTCGTCGGCGATGGTTGCGTACATGCCCGAGTTATGGCGCACCTCGGCCGCGATCACAGGGAAATGCGCGTCGTTGGCGTACATCTCGAAGGCCGTGCATTCGGTGATCTGCGGCAGGTACCGGCGGATCGTGCTGTTGATGTCGCCGGCGTAGTGGAAGCCGAGCTGCGGCTCGAGCCACGCGTTGTCGCCCAGCGTCAGCGTGCGGATGCGATCCTCATAGAACCCAAACACCAGCACCTGCCCCTGCACCACCGCGCCCATCAGCCCCGTGCGCAGGTACTCGCCGCTGCTGACCAGCTCGACGCCCGGCTCAGTGCTGTACGTGTACCGCGCCGCAAAGATGCTGCTGGTGAGCTTGGGCAACCCCCAGAAGCCCGACCCCAGAGCAGGCGAGTCAATCCACAGCTCGCCGATCGCGTCGGGCGCGCACAGCTCGCGCGTCTCGGGATCCACCACCGCAATGGTCGACTGGAACGCCGGGTAGCCGAACGAATGGTACCGCACCGTGCCAATACGGTCCACCTCGGCCTCGGTGCGCTGGTCAGGCAGTACCTCGATGCCGGTTCGCGCGGAATGCCGCCCGGTCCAGCACAAACTCGTACCCGCCGTGCTGCGACGCTGGCTGGACACCTGGCGGCGGGTAGGACGACAGACAGTCGCGCATGGCCATAAGGACGCTGCCGTGCTCGGCCAGCGTGCAGACCGGCGTGATCACCGGGTGGCCCTCGGTGTCGGCGATGCTCTGGTACGGGCAGCCGTACGGATGCAGTACGTTGCGGTTGAAGGTCGCGTGGAAGTCCGGGTCGACAAACAGTGCGTCCAGCAGCACTAGCCGCAGCGCCGCCAGGTTCGGCGGCGTCTTCTTGTCGTAGCCGGCGATCTGGGCCGGCTCGTCAGTGGCAGTCGACAGAACCGACTGCAGCCCGGTGTAGTCGCCCACGGCCACTGTAGCCCGGTACCGCGTCAGCAGCCCGATGTACGCGCCAGGCAGGTCGCACAGCGCGCTGCTAGTATACACCGACTGGTGCCCGCCAAAGCACCCGGCCAGGATGCCATACACAAGCCCAAAGTGTTGCCGCGGCTCGATATACGACACCACCACCTCGCTGGCGCGCTGAGCTGAGTCGCCCGCATGGCTGCTGCGTGGGCTGCTGCGCGCCGCTGACACAGCCGACATGCGCGTCGGGTTGCGCGGCATTGTCGATGGTGAGCCGCGCGCCGACGCCGCCGAACTGGCCCGATCCCGTGCGAGCTGCGGCGGGCCGGCCAGGCTGCTACGGAAGCTGGTTGTCGACGAAGCCGAGTTCTTGCGGATCCTGGGCAATGAGCCGACATTGCGCAGGCGGCCCAGGAAGCCAGTCGACCCGCCCCACCTCTTGCCCAGCGAGCCGCTGGCCGCGTGGTTCGCTGCGTCCACTGGCTCGGGCACCGGTGGCTCGCTGCCCAGCGCAGCGTCCAGCTCATGCATTGACCCGTGCTCGTCGTCGCTCTGCTCCAGCTCCACGCGGTGCTTGTACTTGCGGCCGATGCCCAGCATCCCCGTACTCATCATCCATCCAGTGCACTGCGTTAGGATCGCCCCATGCGTGACCTGCACACCCTTGAGCTCGCCGTTTGGGCTCTTGCTGAACTCTATGTACGCGACATCAGCGCCGCTCAGCTCGCCGATCCGTGTCTCCGTCGTGGTGCTGTAGGCCGTATCAGCTGGCTGCCGCGCATGGTGATGTTGCGCCGATGCGGTCTGCGCGCCCACCGGTGACAGCACACATCCCACCCAGGCTGTCGGTACGCACCCACGGCACATCGGCAGGCCAGCCAGGGGCCGACCGAGTTCTGGCTCAGGTCCTTGCTGAGCGACCGGATGTTGAGCTCCGTGGTCAACACCACCGCAGCTCCGGTCGAGTTCAGCACATGCACCAGCTCCGCATATGAGTCGCCGGCTACAATCGGCACCGCTGTCAGCCCTGCGTAGAAGCACCCGAACAGACTGCCTACAAACTCCAACATCTCGTACTTGCGATACACCAGCGCCACGCGGTCGCCCCATGCGGCCACGCCCTGCTGCCGGAGCACCTGCACCACGTGCATGGCCCGCACGTGCAGACCCTGCCACGTCCACGAGCCGATCTCCCGGCCCTTAGTGTCGATGCACGTGTACGCGATGCCGCTGGTGTCGTCTGCGCCCGGTGCTGCAGAACCGACGCCAGCGTCTGGTGTTGCCCCAGAAGCTGTCGCAGCTGTGCCGACTGCGCGTCATCGCCCACCACACGCGGCTCCACTACGGCTCCCACCGCTGCCGCCGACAGCGCGGGTTCGCCAGCCCACGGCTCGCCAGCCCATGGCTCGTACTCTGCTGGCGCTGTCATCGCCCCGGACGTTGCCTGCATTGTCCTGTGCTGCCTGGCTAGGTGCCGCGCACAGTCATTGCTCGTACCAGCTCTGTGTCAATGGCTGGTACCGGCGTACTGGGCATGTCAAAGTTGGCTGGCACCTCAGGCTCGGCCTCCTGGCGAATAGTACGACATGCGTCCAGCCGTCGTTGGCCGCCGGTCCAGCCTCGCTGTCTGTGTGGGCCTGCCGCACCTGGTCTGGCATTAGGCTGTGAGTCATTATCTGCTAGACCCTCGCTGCTGGTATGCCCTGGAGGATCGTACTCGCTGAGAGCCCGCGGCATTGCCGATTCCACGCCATCCACCTGCACAGAAGCCGAGTCCTCAGACATATCGCCAACAGTGTTTATCACCATCAGTCCCACCACTGACCGGCGACGAGTCACCGCCCAGCGCAATGCTGCTCGAGCTGCTCAGCTGCTGCGACACCACATTGTCTACCACCATGCCGCCACCGGCCGGCTCACGCGAGTCGGGTGAATCTGCCTCAATGGCCAGAGCATCTTCCTCCAACGGCGACTGCGCTGCGCTCTCAGCCGCCAGCTGCGCAAGCGTCGGCTGCTCGGGAACCACCATTGACTCACGCATGCTCGTCAAGTCAACATTCGACGCACGTGCAAGATCGTCCAGCGTGATCGACCCGCTGACCGCATCCAGAACGCTCTCCGACCCCGAACTCGCCAACGACAGTCTGCTGAACTTTTGGTCAGCTCCCTGTCCAGGATCCTCGCCCAGCGGCGACCGCGGCACTGCCATCTCGGCACTGCCCGCAAGCTGCGGAGTCACGCTGGCCGATTTGGGTGTCGGAATCCCGCTGCCCGCCGCGCTCACCTGGTGCTGGATAATCCCCGAGTCATCCCGCTTGTCACTGCTCAGCGAGCCATGCGACAATGCCGCGCTGGTGCGCCGGCTCTCCCTCTCGTCGCCAGACGACGGGAGATCGCCGAAATCCACCTCCTCGCCGATCCCGTACAATTTCGACCGCGTCTTCTCTGCCCGTCCCACTTGCACTTTGTCGGTGCGCCGGCCACGCGGGTACACCAGCGAGTTCATGCGCTTCACGTCGCCTGCCGCCGCCGCCGGCATGTCGCTGGTCGCATGCTTGGCGTCTTTGGTGATTTGATCCGGATTGAAGTCCGCCGGCCCAATGCTGTCGAATTCGTCTGCGCTGCTGTCGTCCGAGAACTGCGCCTGCTGGGCCGCCCGCTGCCCCAGCGGGTCCATCATATCGTCCAGCACGTGGTCCGCCCGCCCACTCGGCGCCCACCCGCTGTCCCACGCAATGTCGTCCACCACACGCCCGCCCACACTGTACGGCGTGCGCGCTCCGCTGCGCGGCGTGGTCTTGCCCGATGACCCGCTGCGCTGTGCCGGTGAGCCATTGCTCGAGGTGCGCTCGAGCGCATCCGTCGTAATACCCAGGGCCGTCCTGTTCGGTTGCAGCCGGAACGAAATGTTGGTTGGCGCGATATCGTCCGAGTCGTCCGAGTCATCGAATTCCCCCAGGAGGTCGTCAAAATTGATCCCGGGCTTCTTGAATCCCATCGCTGTCGATTGGCGCGTGCTGTAGTCTACCTTGACTGTCCGCCCGCCCGCACCGTCCGGACGCGCTTCCGAGGGCTCGCTGAACTGCACCTGTCTGCTGTCCGATGGGGGCATCAGCGAGCTCGGTGCCACTGCTCCCTGGCTTGCCTGGTACTCCTCCATGATATGCGTGATCTTCTTGCTGTACCCTTTTTGTGTAATATCGCCATCCAGGAGCTCCTGCTGTAGGTCGCGGATCCGCGCCTGGTACATCACCGGCAGCTCATCGAACGCTGCCTGCTGAATGCTGCTCTCCATTTGCTCTCCCCCGGGTCTGTCTAACAATTAGAGGTTCAACACTACACCTAGGAGTGGGGTTAGCGGTGGAATCGCCCAGTATGCAGAATGGCCTCACCCTTCCAAGCCAATGCCATCAGAGAGACGCCTCCTCCAGAATAAAGGTCTCTGTTCTGGAGTCAAAACAGAACGCGAACACACCAGCCCGCAATGGAAATCGCCAACAATTGAGCCGTTTTACTGCCAGCCAAAAAAGAAAACACTCCCCGCTCTGCTCCACGGCTGCGTATTGCAACATTTTGATAGTGCGCTGTAGTAGCGCCGGTAGTTGACCTTCGTGCAGAATAAAAAAGGCCAGCCCAAACTGCCACCAAATGCCAGGAACGATCTGCGTTTATTCGGACGCGCCATGCCAGACCCTGCAATCACCCACCATTCTGCCCATGCATGCCTCGATGCCCGCCTTTTGCTGTGCATGGCTTGCGATGATGCCAGCACGGCGCGCAGGAAATGCCAGTATTTGCTGATAAGCTGATTATCGCCTCTTGGCTTCCAGGGGACTGGTGTGCGGAGTAATAGCCGAGCAAAAAGGGGAGGAGTTCATAAGCAACGTCGGGCCAGAGTAGAAAGGACCACCTGCAACCTCTCCCCCTTGCACCGCCGGAATTCCAGCAAACCACATTGGCAAACACAGACCCAGAACATGAAAATTCCTTACGTTGTAGTATAAAGTATTTGCCGGCTTCGTAAGGAAACGCCCGCCAAGTGATAATGTAGGGTTGTATATTAAGGTGGTGTAGAAAGGGAGTAGCGTTTGTAGTAGGAAAGGCTGCTGGAGCTAGGCGAAGAAAGAAAGTAAGAAAAAAGCTCTTAATCGGCTGAGGCGAAAAGAGGAAAGAGGGACCTTCATGTTTTCTCGGGTGGTACTTTGCTGAAAACAAATCTGGCCTTCCAGAGTTCCACACTGCTTGGAATAACTTGATTGCGTCTGGCCACAGGCACATCGACCCTGCTAGAGGCAGCCCGGCCAAGCGCTGTGGAGGGCCCAGACCTTAGCAAGACTCCTTTGCGGCTCTAATTATAGACCAGATTGTCCTGGGAAGCCGATTTTCACCGCCAAAAATACGAATGCTACCCAGCAACTCCGTCGCGTGCAAAAAAGCTGGATGAAGCCCTCCTACGCCCGTGTGCCCGACGACACAAACGCCAGCACGTCCTCCAGCGCAACTGCCGCCTTCTCCTCCTTCACCGCCTCATCGACATCCATCCCGTGCCCTGTGCTGCCGGCCTTGGCCGCCAGGACAGCCTCCAACTGTGTTGCTGTGCCGCTTGCGCAGCTCCTTGAACGCAACCTCTGCCGTCAGCGCCAGTGCATCATGCACCTCGGTCTTTGCCTGCCAGTACTTTGCATTCCCGGCGCCATCCGGCTGCCCGCCAAACGCCATCTGCTGCTGGTCCGTCCTCGCTTCCTCCTCCATCTGCTCCTTGATCTGCTCCTCCGCGCGCTCGATCTCCGGCGCCAGCTTCGTGCGCAGCAGCACAGACAGAATCTGCAGCTCGTGGTCGCTCTGCAGTTGCTTTTGTGGCGCCACCACCATCTGCTGCAGAAGCTGCGCGTGGTTGCGGTTCACCTGCCTGGCTGAGCGTCGCGTAGCGTGCGGCCAGCACGTTGAATTTGCTGAGCAAAAGCGGCCACGGCATGATGTGCGGCGTGTCTGGACGGGTCTCCTCAGGTTATTGTGCCGAATGACTCTTGGAGCTGCTGCAGCTGCCCGCGCAGCGTCTCGAGCTCGGCGATGTTTGTGTCCGAGAACCCTGCCGCCATTGCAAAGACTGTTTACGTTTCGTTTCTGTTTTGGTGTGGGTAGGAAAGATTATCTGAATAGTCCCGCGGGGACTCGTCTATATTTTTTACATGCGGGCGGGCCGCTACTCGGTTATTTTGGCATTTGGGATCCTCCGTCGCCAGCTTATGGCCCAGTGTGGATATATGGATTTTTTCAGTGTCCCTTTGCGTAAATATGAAAACAAAGGGCTATGGACTATGGACTGTTGACAGACAAATCGACGGAGTGCACAATTTACAGCTCCTCCAGGGTCTTGATGGTCTCGTCGAGATCCGCCTTGACGGCAAGGTACTTCTCGTTGAGCTCCTCGTACTTGGTCTCGGCAATCTCGGCGTCCTTCTCGTTCTGGGTGATCCGGCGCTGCAGGCTCTCGACGGTAAGATCAAGGTTGCGGTTCCTAAAAGCATGAGGACAGGCGACGATCAGCAGCATATACACATACATTCCCCTCACGGGACCACCCCTCCATCTCCATATGCCCCACCAAAACGCTGGACACATGGAACGTCACGTATGTGGGCTATTAATAGAACTTACTCCTCCAGGGCCGCACGGAGCTGGGTCTCAGCCTCCTCCAGCTTCTCCTCCAAAATGTCGACCCGCTTGGACATGACATCGCCCTGGTTCAGCGACGCCTCGCTGTCCTTCTGGAGCTGCTTGGCCTCCTCGAGCTGGGCCTCCTTCCGCTCGAGCTCCTCCTCGAGGACGGAAATGCGGTTCTGGTACGAGATGAACTCCTGCTCGCGCTCGGTCTGCTGGTCGATGAGCTGCTTGTTGGCAGACTCCGAAGCCTCCAGATCGTCGGTGAGCTTCTCAATCTGCTCCTTGAACAGGTTCATCTTCTACACACCGGGCAGTTGCAGGGCACAGCACAGCACAGAGGGGCAATTAGTCTGGCAGATGCATAAAAGGAAAACACAGGCTGTCAGATTACTGGAGGAGGCGCCCAGCCTGGCTCTACTTACTTCGCGAAGCTTGTCCATTGTGATAGTGGTTTGAAATTCGAAGGCCTAGTGAGTAGAATTAAAAAGAAAGTAGAGATTGCCGGAGAGAAAGAAGCAGCCGCGAAGCGCTGGGCCCAGGAAAAGTTGTAAACAGCCCGTCTGCTTGGGCCGGGAAATGGCGCAAACACTGGGCAGCAGGAAAAGGCGGAGCAGGGGAGAGGGACCAAGCAGGATCGCCTCGCTGATTAAACCCCTGCTTGATATTTGATCCGGCGCCTGTTTGTTGTCCAGCGCCACAGCAGGGCCAGCCGGCTCAGGAACTGCGCGGTGGTGGGTTCCTGAAAATGCCAGGCGTGGGTTCCAAGCCCAGCTCGCATTGTCAGCACATGCACCTGCCTGCGGTATAGTCCAGTGCGCCTTGTCCCCTGATGCCGATGCTGAGTAGACCCGACTTTTTCATATAACTGCCTCCCACGGTTTGGTATCCCAGCCGTCTGTCCAGAGAAGTAGCATGTTTTTGTTTTTCGTCTGCCCACAGACTAAATTTAGAATGCTGGCTCCATGATCAGCCAGCATCTCTCCCGGCCTCTACTTCGCACCGGTGCTATTTCGACATCCCCCTCCCTTGCTCTCCATCCTCCCCGCAGTGCCCACACGCACCTTGGCGTACAATTGAGCTCCGTCTGGGCATAATTCAATCACACCGTCTCCAGTTTCATCTTTAATTTTTCCTCAAGCACAACCTAGGTTCCCTCGGCGTGTGAGCTCTATATTACGTGTGTGAAAGTTGGAGGCTGACCTCTCTGCAGGGCGAGATTCCAGCTGAGGGCGTTTTTTTAAAACACCAGTTCCACCCTGCTTCCCAAACACGCCCTCTCTTCTTTCCGCATCCTGTATTTTTCTCACTACCTCACCCACGCCTTGTATCTGTTTAATGGTCGCTACGGCCCGCCCTCGAGCTCTATCTGCGTCGCTGTGGAGAGCGCAGCAGGCGCCACATGGGGGACAATCGTCGGGCGACCCGGCGAATCTCACCAGTCAGAACCAGCGGCCGAGCCTGCCCACACCCACATTAACACCTGGCGGCATTGATCTGGCCCGCCCATTCACCATAGCTGCCGAGACGCAGCAAAACACCGAGGTAGGTTTTCGGCCGCCGGCCTTGTCCTTTCGGTTGCAAGGAAAAAAGACACACCAGGCATGCGAGCGCTGGCAGGCTCATCTGACGCACCCTGTTCCAGGCCTTCTGACGCTATCGAATCATATTCAGTGTAATTAACTTACCGTCTTTCAAACGTCACACCCGTAGGCACATGCCAGCCCCGTGGATCAGCAACCTTGCTTGCCACCGGATCCTACAAAGATTATCGACCTTGCCTACGTCGACCTGAACGGTGAGGAGCACTGCTGCTCAATCTGCTGTGACGTCCTCATCAACCCGTGTGTTCTGCGCGCCTGCAGTCACACATTCTGCCAAATGTGCATCCGCAAGGCAGTCTCCGTCCACCCGTCCTGCCCACTCTGCCGTGCGCCTGCGACGACCCGCGACCTGCTGCCAGCACCGCCCGAGCTGCTGAATGCCCTGGACAACCTTGTGTGCAAGTGCATCGAGAGCAGGTGTCCATGGACAGGCACACGCAGACAGTTTGTGGGCCATCTGAGAAACGAGTGCGAGTTTTGGCCTGTTGCCTGCGCATCCCACCCGCTGCACGAGGGGTGCTCAGAGGTGGTTCCGCGTAGTGAGCTGGCAGCACATCGCGCGTACTGCTCGTACCGCCAGATCCCGTGCCGCATGGGCTGTCCGTGGCACATTCTACAACTCGTCATCTATGGAAACACACTGCCGCGAGAGCTGCCCACTGCGCCCCACCGACTGCCCAAATTGCAAAGGTGCCAGTGTTGGCACACCAGCTGGCTGCGCACCGCAGCATCTGCGCATTGGAGCGGATTCCGTGCCCGAACCGCAATCTGCTCAATGCAGTGCCGAATTCAGGATGCAATGCTGTCATCGAGAGACGCAACTTGGAATTGCATTTGTGCGAGTGCCCGGCAGCGCCCCTGCGCGGGTTCTCGAAGGCACTGGAGCGCTATCTGGAGACCCTAGAAAGGAAAATCGAGACCATGCAGGTGAATCATCGGCGGGACTTGGAGAAAATGTCCAGGCTCGTGCTGTCCGGGCAGGGCGAGGATGCGATTTCTGCCGATCAGCTGCAGAGCATGGTGCGGTTCAATCCGGCGATCAGGAGCATCCACGCAATATACTACGAGCCTGGGCCGAACTGGCAGGGGCTGCTGGAGGGGCTGCTGGCCAGCAGCCATGCAAACATGGCCAGTGTCGATGGAAGTGAGCCGCCGGGCGCAAACAGGCTGGACCGGCGGGTGCATGCCTTTATGCATCAGAACGAGTTCACTCCGCCTGCCGGCTCCCTGCTCCGGTCACTGATGAGCACCGGGCAGTCCCCAACTGCTTCGGGCCGGCCACACACCGCTGCAGCGTCTCCGGATCGCAACAGCCCACGCCGTGGCACCGCACGGCACAGCAGCTTTGACCCGCACCATGGCGACCAGCTGGGTGTCGGCCCAGACCAGTCGCCTCTGCCGTCATTGGATGTCAAGCACCTGTCGCCCATGTTCCCGCACATCTCGAACGCTGGATCTCGAGGGCAGTTGCATCGAGAGCTCGGGCGCAGTGCTTCTTGCAAAGGTCCTCAAGGATCCGTTCTGCACCATCACTGCGCTGCGTCTGCCTGGCAACGATATCCGCGACCAAGGTATGGAGCACATGGCCAGGGCACTGGAGGTCAACGTGGTGCTGGAGCGTCTGGACCTGTCGAGGAACGGCGTCAGCGAGCGCGGCATCGACGTGCTGTTCCGATCGCTGGTGTATGGCGTGCCCAAGCTCGTCGAGCTGCGGCTGGCAGGAAGCGGACTAAAGTCGAAGCACATCAAAACGTTGGTACGCACGCTGACACGCAGGTGGTCGGCGAATGGCAGCCCGGCGTGTCAGGCGCAGCTGGCGCTTGGCCGATCCGCGCCTCAGACTGCCGAGCCATCTACCCGCACTCCGCCTGGAAACGGCTTGCAGCGGTTCCCGAATCTGCCTGGCTCGCCTATGCCTGCAGCAGCTGGGCTGGGTCCGTCGCGCCTGGCTGGCAGCGACACTATTCGCACGTATGCGTCCACCATCAGCGACGATATCCCACTGTCAATGTACCAACACCCGCCAGCAGGCGATGTGCGCGGATCGATCCCAATCCCTGCCTCTGCTGGCCAGCGCCTGCCATCTCGACCACAAATAAACCTACCTGGCTCAGCACCTATTGAGCGCTCCCTGAACGACCACCAGCTGATGTTTTCGTTGCCGGGCGGCGGCCGGTATCAGCTATTGACTGCTGAGCCAGAGGACAGCCGCCCACATACAAGCCATAGTCGGTCCTGCAGTGCACCGGGCCGTGGCAGACGGCGCACGGAGCAGCCCGCCCGCAGCGCCAGTCTGCAGATTCTTGATCTCAGCAACAACGAAATCACGTCCAGAGGCCTGGGTGAGCTTGCCAAGCTTCTCCGCCATCCGCAGTGCCGCCTGCAGGACCTGTACTTGAGGAGCAACCGGATCCGCGGCTCTCTGCATTGCAAGACCGCAGTGCTGCAGCCCACCAAGGACGCCGTGGGATCTGGGCTTATTCCCAGGCAGCCGTCAGCAGACGAAGAGAACACCAACAGCATCCGCGCATTCCTGGCAGCCATCCGCGCCCGCTGCACCAGCAGCAGGCAGACCGAGCCGATTAAACTACGGTGCATTGACATCCGCAACAACTTCATCGACTGCCATGCGGTATCGGCACTGCAGGATGCTGTGGAGGACCTGAACCGCGCGCTCAGCTGGCCATCGGACACACTGTATGGCAGCCGGGCTGATGGCGAGCCAGTGTCCCTGATCCGTCCCACAGTCAGGATCCTGTGCGAAGGCAATGTGCCCATGGTCCTAGCACGACCGCCACTGACGTACGAGTCGCGGATCTCTCAATTCGAATCGCGCCAGCAGTCTGCTAACCCGCCGCAGCAGGCAGGAAGCGACCAGATACTTGGCAGCAAACGTGCAGAGCTCACTTGGCTATATCGACGCAGACTCGGACGAGAGTGAAGACGAGTATGTGGATGCGCGGCTTGGCTTCAGCATGGAGGCGCTTCCACACGCTGCCATGCATGGGCACAGGGAGCAGTCCGAAACGATGCCGTCGTTGCCACCGATCGAGGCGCCGGCTCTGAATGATCTTGACACCTTGTACCGCGAGCCACTGCCGCCGTCTGTCGATCTGGGTGCCGAAATCGCTATGAGCAACGACTCGCCGTCGGTGTCGTTTGCGGAGGCCGCCGGGGATCAGACAGCGCCTACACGGACAAAGTCGCGGCGGAGGTCGTTCCGTGGGTTCGGGTTTGGCCTGTCGGCAGCGGCGGCGCCAGGCAGCAGGCAGTCGAGCAATGCCAGCAGCAGTGCGTCGGGCAGCCGGCACAGCAGCTGGTCGAGTGGCACCGGCTCGTCGATCGCTGCCAAGCTGGTGCGCCGGCTCAGCATCACCCGCACCGAGTGACAGTTTTTTCCTATTCTTCTACTAAATTCCCTGGCTCGCTTCTCTGGTCGCCCGCTCTCACGAGCAGAGTGATGCCCGCTGGCAAATCCCCTCTTCAGCTGCAACGGGTGTATGCACGGACGAGCAAGGCGGGGAGTGTGACAGAAAGAGAAAACCCCCGGCCACTCCAAACAGGAGCGGCATCGACCGCGTTAGACACTGAAAAGCAAGGCGGCGGTCAGACAAAGCCTTCTCTTCTCCCTATCCACACACCTTCTCGGCTGTTTTGTCCCTCGCTCTATTTTTCTACCACCATGGCGTCGCAGATTCCCTACGAGACATACCAGGCCTCGGCCACCTATCTGAAGTCGCAAATCGGCGACTTTGCCCCCACCATTGGCATCATCTGTGGCAGCGGTCTCGGCACGCTGGCTGACACGCTTCGAGGGCTCGGTCACCACCATCCAGTACAACGACATCCCAGGCTTTGTCAAGAGCACTGGTCGAGGGCCACAAGGGGCAGCTTGTGTTTGGCACGCTGGCTGGCAAGTCCGTCGTGTGCATGCAGGGCCGGTTCCACTGCTACGAGGGCTACTCGGTGCAGCAGGCGACCTTCCCCGTGCGCGTCTTCCACCTGCTGGGCGTCAAGACCCTCCTGGTGACCAATGCCGCCGGCGGCGTCAACCCGGCCTATGAGGTCGGCGACATTGCCCTTATCTCCTGACCACCTGTCGCTGCCAGGCATTGCAGGCCAGAACGCGCTCATCGGCCCCAATATCCCCGAGTTCGGCGTCCGCTTCCCGTCAATTTCGGATCTCTACACGCCCAGCCTGCGCCGCACAGCTGCCAAGGCGTTCCTGCAGAACAAGCGGCTCAGGGAGGAGCGCGGGTTCCGCGTCCACGAGGGCATCTACGCGTGGTGCTTTGGCCCGTGCTTCGAGTCGCGCGCCGAGCTGCGCGCGCTGAAGACCCTGGGCGCCGATCTCGTCGGCATGAGCACTGTCCCCGAGGCCGTTGTCGCCAAGCACTGCGGCATGGAGGTGCTGGCCATGTCGCTGGTCACAAACAAGTGCGTGGATCGCAAGGAGCCCGATCACCATCGCGTCCGGTGGAGGCCGAGCTGCGCGGAGAGACCCTGGAGGTTGTCCAGGAGGTGTTCCCGCACCACGAGGAGGTCATGGCCGCCGCTGCTGCGCGCACCCCCGACATCCAGGAGTTTGTTCGCTCGGTTATTCGCGATATTTAGACGCTATTTATTAGGGACACAAATGAACTATATACAGCATACTGCCGCTTGCCTTGCTTACTACAGAGATACGACGTGAGGACTGTGAGCAAATGTGCGCTTCGAATTCACATGGCACAGGGTTTCCAGCGTGCTCTCAGGAATAAAATCGGTATGGTTATCAACCTTCAGCAAGCACGCAGAAGCGCACCCACTGTCTGACTGACGTGCAAATGTATAAGGAGTATCATCACCGAGCCAAGGACGTGACTGTGCACCCAATTGAAACCTACCCTTGCGATTGAGAATTCGCCAGCTAAAAAATGAGAGCAGAGGAGACAAGGATGCAGCGAGGTTCAAGCAGAAAAAATTTCTCATGTTCATCAAAAGACCGGTTCATCTGATCGAGCCGGACAGCAATCGGTCCAGCTCATGCTCTATACACCATGTAGTAGCAACACACGTTCGACGATATATTGTTACACGATAAGGCTCTTTCTCCGGAGCAGCTCCTCCAGCTCGCCCTTGGCATGCTGGTCATAGAGTTCATCGCTACCGCCAATGCTCTTTCCATCGACAAATATGTTCGGGAACGTGTTGCGGCCGGAAACGCTGAGCAGCGCTGCCTTGACTGCTGTGATATCCGACTCCAGAATCAGCCTCCAGCACCTCATACACCAGCCCGTGCTGATCCCGGTACTCGCCCAGCAGCATCTTGGCTTTGCGTGAGTATGGACATGTCGTTTTGCTGAACACCATGACGCGGTTGCGCTTGATCAGCTGGTGGACCTTCTTCTCTTCGGGCGTCCAGTCCGGGTTCTCCTTCGTTCTCTGCCTCTTCGATCTCCTTGGCTATGCTCGACATATTCGCCTGCTCCTGGTCAAACTCGTCCTGTGCAATCGCCTTGCCCTTGACCAGCTCCTCCTTCAGCGCTCCAGAGTCGTACATGCCACGCAAGCCGACCAACCCGCCGACCTCCTTGCCGTTTACAAAGATGGCCGGCAAGGCTGTCGCGCCATACAGGTCCTTGAGCGCCAGCATGAACTCGGCGGCGTCCGCCTGCTCCTCGACCTTGACATACCCGTATTCCAGCTGGTACAGCTCCTTGTATCCATCGACAATGGCCTTGACCTTCAGGCTGTCGCTATCAAACGACCGGACATACACCATCAGCGGCGTCCGGGTGACCTCGTCCTTAACGCGGAGCTTCACTCCCTCCTCGTGCTGCGTGACCTTTGCCTTCTCAATGAGCCCCGACACAACAAAGTAGTCGCGCAGCTCGCCGGCAACATGCTTCGCGTACACCTCGTCGCTATCGCCAATGGGCGAGCCATTGACGAACATAATGGGGAAGTTGTCGTGTCCCGAAATGTCCTTGAGCGCCTGCTTGATTTCCTCCTCGTCATTGCGGTGATCGACGTCGAGCCACTTGAACTCCAGGCCGTAGTTGAGCTGGAACTGGTGGAGCAGATCCCAGAGCGCCCGCGAATGCACGATCGCGTTCTTGCCGATAACTGCTACATCGAACCTCTTGATGTATGCGTCAACAAACTCACGGCCCTGCAGCTGTGTCGCCTCCGGGAATCCCGCTACCGCCGGGTTTGGCTTGACCTTCTTCTCCTCCACGGGCTCTGGGGCGCCCAGGAGCGGCACATTGTGCGACTTGAAGGTCTCCACCAGATCGCCGTGCTTCTTGAAGTACGGGATGTCGCCGGGCTGCCCGCCCCAGGCAGTCCTGAACATGTACGTCAGCGGAAAGTTTTGCTTCCCCGACATCTTGAATAGGCGCTGGCGCATGGCAAAGAAGTTGTGCGGCTTCTCGTCGATAGCGACCCTGGCCAGTGTAAAGTTGTACGTCTTTTGCATCTCGGCAAACACCTCCAGCGTCTCCTTATCGACAGCAGTCCTGGTGGTAAACACCACCACCGTGTTGTTGTTCAGTGTCTCGGTCAGGAAGGTTGACGCCGTGTCCTCGACCGAATCCCTCAGCAGACCCTTGTGGCTGAGCATTGGGCCCAGGTTCTCCAGCTTTTCGAGCCGCTGGATGTCGTCGTTGCCGCCCACCGACACGCCGTCAATAAAGACGCTCGGGAACGTCGATCGCCCGTGCATTGTGGTCAGCGCCTGCTTCACACCCTCCGGGTCCTCCTGCAAGGTCCACCTCCACCACAATGTAGTCGGTGAGACCGTGCTGCTGGCGGTACTTTTCAAGCACGGCCTTGGCCATGCGCGCCTCCGGACACGTTGTCTTGCTGAACATCACCAGCCGGTGCCTTTGCAGAGTGTACTGCACAAAGTACTCGGCCTCGTTGTTGGAGAACCCGAGGTTGTCAATGTGCTGCTCCAGAAGCTTGCCAGGCTGCACGGGGTGGCTGGGGCTCGTCGGCACGGGGCTGGCGGGCACAAAGGCATCGCTGCTGGACGGCAGCTGGAAGAAAAGAAGCCCCAGCGTCACAACGCCCAGCAGCACTATGAGCCAGAACCGCTGGCGGTAGAGCGTGACGGTGATGCTCATGATGTATATTCTAGCGTGGTACAAGAAGAATACGTAGGATTGTTGCGAATTCGGAGGAAAGGTGAGGGAGAGAAAAGTAAACAACCAGCAAACAACGTGGTGCTTGCTAAAAATAAGCCGGCCACTCGGTGCCAATCCACACCACTGCTGGTGCGATGCCCTGCTAAAAAAAACCTGCTCAAAGAGGGAGGGTCCAGCAAGCATGACGCCCTAGAGCCCGCCGCCAGCGGCAGCATCCTCCCCTTCGCTTCTTGCTGCCCAGCTAATTTGTTGTTTGTTCTTTTCAGTACTCTATTTGTGTATTTCCATTTCAGCACATCTCGCACTCCATTATTTTTTCCAACACACGCCATGAGTCAGAGCCGTATGCGTTTGCCGCCGTCGCTTGCCGGGGCGTACAGGGTTACCCGTGATATCGGCCAGGGCGCCTACGGTCTTGTCTGGTAAGTAATAGACGAGCCTACTGCTGCTGTGGAGATAGTGCCGCGCCGTAATGCTAACAACGCCTTTTGCTCCTAGCGAGGCCGAACACATTGAGACTGGCCAGCGCGTGGCCATCAAGAAGGTGTCCCGTGTGGGCGAGCGGGACGTGCTGGCGAAGCGGTCGCTGCGCGAGATCAAGCTGATGCGGCACTTTAGCGGGCACGAGAACATCATCTCGCTGCTGGACATCGACGTGGCCAACACGCCCGAGTTCAACGAGATCTACCTGATCCAGGAGCTCATGGAGGCCGACCTCCAGCTGATTATCAGATCTGGCCAGCCGCTGTCGGACCCGCACTTTCAGTACTTTTTGTTCCAGCTCTGCCGTGGCCTAAAGTACATCCACTCTGCAGGCGTGCTGCACCGCGACCTGAAGCCCAGCAACCTGCTGGTGAATGCCAACTGTGCCCTGCGCATCTGCGACTTTGGCTTGGCACGCGGACTGGCTGAGACCCCCGAGGGCAACGCTGGGTTCATGACCGAGTATGTCGCGACGCGCTGGTACCGCGCCCCCGAGATCATGCTGTCGTTCCTGTCGTACACCAAGGCCATCGATATCTGGTCCGTCGGGTGCATCTTTGCCGAGTTGCTCGGCGGCAGGCCCCTGTTCAAGGGCCGCGACTATGTCGACCAGCTCAACCAGATCCTGCATATTCTGGGCACGCCCGCTGACGAGACCCTGAGCCGCATCGGCAGCGACCGCGCGCAAATGTACATCCGCTCGCTCCCGTATATGCCCAAGGTCCAGTTCTCGACCCTGTTCCCCGAGGCCACGCCGCTGGCGCTTGATCTGCTCGAGCGTCTGCTGGATTTCGACCCCAGCACGCGCATCACCGTCGAGGAGATCCTGGCCCACCCGTATCTGGCCGCCTACCACAATGTCGAGGATGAGCCCTCGTGCCCTGTCCCTTGCGACATGTCGTTCGAGGCCGTCACGGCCATGCCCCAGGTCAAGCGCATGATTATTGACGAGGTCATTGATTTCAAGCGCTCAGCAGAGCAGGCTGCCCATGAGGACGAGGAGATCGCTGACGACGGCAACATCCAGCAGTACTATGAGCAAGATGCCGACATGGCCACCAGCGCGATCCCCGAGGGCGCCGGTGCATTTGCAGCTGCTCGCGAGTTCCGCGACGCGAACTATGGCCAGGGTGGATATGAGGACGATGGTGAGCTTGGTATGGCTGCGGTGCATGGACAGAGCGCGGATGGAACGTCGCAGATGGCCGACCAGGATGCGCGCGCTCTGGAGCGTGAGCTGGCAGGCGAGAGTATGGCCTACTAGTGTATGCACCGCCCTGCGTATTTAATATTTCCTCTCGCTACTCTAACCAGTACATATGACTACATGGTGTTGACACGGCTAATAAAAAGAATAGCACAACTGCATCAGTAGCAAGAGAATTGCAAAGACATGCTGATATTTTACATAAAGATAGAACGATTTAACCGGATGGCTGCTGCAAGAGGAGTCAGCGGAAGTAACGGTGCACGATTGGGCGGGCCTCGTCCCAAGGCCCATGGATCTCGTTCTTGTACCGCTGGATCCAGATCAGCCACAGCGGACACCCAAAGGTAATGAACAGCGTGCCAAGCACATGTATCATTGCGACTGCCTGCGAGATGTCCAGAAACAATACCCATGCCAATAGCGCCAGCACCAGCGTCATGATCATCGATGCCTTCGCCGAGATACGCTTCAGGTACCGGCGCATGATTGGGAACAGGGCAAACCACTCGAGAGCAAACGACAAGAACGCAAACACACACATGTTGCTATCAAGCCGCGACGCAAGCAATACGCCAGCCAGAACTGCCGCATTCAGGGACACACTACCCGGAAACCGTATATTGGTCAGGTTCCCCGTGCTGTAGTCATGGAACGCCAGGTTGCCGAAAAACAGCATCACCGTCATGGCCCAAATCGTGTCGCTGCTAGTGTCTTCAGTCAGCGTGCGCAGGATCGGTGAGAGCCCAAACAAAAGCAGAGTGAAGAACACAGCGCCCTTTATCAGATTCCACCGCTCCACGCGCTGCTCAGGGGTGCGCAGCGAGTAGTTCAGCAAGCCCCAGAACCCAAACCCCACCATCGTCAAAGTTGTCGAGCCCCAGACAAGCGCCTCGCCCGTCAGGCTGCCGCGACGGAGATTAATAAACACCGCCAGAAACACCATGATGCTCGACAGGTGCTGCGTCACCACCGTTGTCTGCTGTACCACCGTCGAGTAGTCGTACATGCGCACGTTTGTGTTCTTCTGCAGTTCCATTAGGAACGTGTCATCGACATAGTCGTCGGCATAGTCCTGCTTAATGTACAGAAGCTTGCGCCATGGCTTCCGCGCCTGCACCAATGCAGGCGTCACGGTCTGCGTGGAGCTGGCTGTGGTTGGCTGTGTGGGCTGGCTGGCTGCAGGCTTACGGAACATATCGCGGGGCAGGGTACCAAAGAGGCTGCTGGATTTTGGTGCCACTGTTGGCGTGTCAGAGTCGGTCGCTATTGTCGGGTCGCTGGTGTTGCTCGCTGTTTTGCGAATTCCTTCTCGTGCTGCTGCCTCCTGCTGATTGTCCCGCCTGCGGCTGAGAAAGGGAACGCCTATCCTCGTAGGCACTATCTTCATTTTTGCCAAACTGTCTTCCAGCGATGTGATTAAGAAAGTAATAGAAAATGCAGCAAAATGAGAAAAGGGCTTGAGAAACAGCTGGTGGCAGCGCTTTGCTCCCAGACAAGGTCGAATCACGTGCATGACGGTGTGATCTGATTCCAAGATCTCGCGGCCCGACCTGGTACCTGACTGCATGGATCTGAGCTTGCAGATCTCCAGGTGTCATTTTCCGTGAATTGCCATGCTGCGCAGACTCGCCGCTGCTCGGCTGCTGCTGGCCCAGATATGCGAATAGGTGTTCCCTGCACATACGACATACGTAGCCGGAATGTCCTCATGCGAAGAACGCGAAAAGGTCGCGAATCTTCCTGGTTGACATAGCCTGTCGATCCACGATGCATTTCGTTGTATCTATTTTGGTCCGCCCCCCTCGTCTGTTTTTGCTAGTTAGTACCAGCATCGCTTGTAGAGCAGTGCTGGCGCCATATCAGCCGTGCCAGAGCATCTGTGCCGTATGTAGCTGGCCTCAGCTTACATAAGTCGAACGGAGCGCGTCTGACACGCGTCATGTCCTGCAGCTCGCGGAGAGCTGTTGGGTTGTTCTGCGAGCTGCTGTGTCAATCAGTCGCTCCAAAGCGATTCTCTCCCCACTTTCCACCAAGGACGTATGCTGTCAGTTCCGTCATGGGCAGGTCTAGGTGCAGCGATGAATGCTAGCCAGGACCTGCATGTATGCCCAAGAGAAATCACGAGATGCGCCTTGCTATGAGAAAGAAGCCTCTATTCATGAGGTGCCGTAGCTGGGAGATACATGCGCTTGTAGCTATCGACAACAAAGAGCTCTCCCTCTTCCGCCCGGCTCCGCAGAATTTATTTTGTTTTCCCTGGTGTCTCGGTAGTATTTCAGAGACGCCTGCGTTGCTCACTGCCCCCCGCCTATCGCCCCCGTGGTCAACAAAGAAGAAATACAGCAGTAGCAGGCTCTCGTGAAAATAAAGACAACCTCGATAATTTCTTGCTCATTCTTCATTGCCAATATCTTTCACGCTAATGGATACACATGTATACTCGGCCGCTGCTACGGGCGCTATGCACATCACACCACACAAGCTGAACCGGCTGCACTCACAGCTGTTGATCACAAAGAAGCCAAAGCGCCGCACGCCACTCCAGAGCATCCACATCCGCGCGCTCGAGCACGGGTGGCGGGTGCCTGTTGCCAATACGCCGCTGGGCGTGATAGGCAAGGATGAAAACGCCCAGATACACATACTTGGCACGCCGCTGCGTCGCCCGCGCCAGCGCACTGCACCGCGCCACTCGACCTGGCGGGTCCTGCAAAGCAGTGGTATCGAGAGCCGTAGGCATCTGGCAGCCGTACCATTTGCGTTCTAACGACAATAAATCGCTTGCAGAGCCGTGACAGCGCGGTTCGGACCGCAGCGCGGTGATCGACCGATCCCCACTGATTGATTTCGTGGGCTAGATCAACAGATATAAAATGTTTGCGGTTTAAAAGCCGACGCTGGCCGGACGCAGACGATCAGGCTTCCTTGTCTCTCCTCTCTTTGTCCGATAGCTCTATAAATAATCATCTACTTGGTAAGAGGTATGCATCTCCACGTAGTTCCTGCCCTGTGCTGTTTGCTTGATAGTGATGATCACAATAGACCTGTTCTGCAGCGCCGGCCTTACGAGGACTGGCTGCTCTGGAGATGAACCTATATTGCCAAAATAACTGAATCCAATATGCAACTGTTGCAGCTTTTTATATCCTTCGACCAACGGACCATATCTACTGACCATGCTGTTTGAGTTTAGGTAAAGTTGGCGACGCGGCCCAGTGCTTCTGTAGCTGTTTCTGCATGTGCTTGTAAATAAACTGTTAATCCTATGAAGCGTTGCAGTGAACCTTGATTACATCGTCTAAGCTCTCGAGATCCTCGATGGCCGATTCAACCTCCGCTGTCTGCTCCTCGCTGAGATCGACCGTTGTGTTTGGGATGTACGTGCCCTCCATGCGCTCCACTGCGTACTTGTGGTCGCCTGTCAGCGCCTTAGATACCGTCTGCAGCTCGCTGAACTCGCAAACAACCTCGACCTTGCCATCGCCGAGGTCCTCGATATCCTCTGCACCGGCCTCGATAGCCTTGTCAAACATCTCGTCCAGCGAATCCTCTGCCTCGCCATTCGAGAACCAGATCAGCCCCTTCCTGTCGAACATGTAGCTGACGGGCGCCATGGCTCCGCCATTCTTATTGAACTTGTTTCTGATCGCCTTGACGGTCCGATTCTTGTTGTCCGTGAGGCACTCAATAACCAGCGCAGTGCCGTGCGGCCCGAGTCCCTCGTACACGATGGCCTCGGCGGATGAGTACTCCTTGGACGTGGCCCGCTTGATTGCGCGCTCGATCGTGTCCTTTGGCATGTCGACGTTTTTGGCGTGCTTCATCGTTGCTGCCAAGCGCAGGTTAAACGCCGGGTCGGAGCCGCCCTCTACACTGTGTCCCGGGATTTAGCGATGTGCTGCATACTGCATACAGCGCTAGTTTCTAATGCCTACCTTTTGCCGCGGCAGTGATATCCTTGGACAGATTCGCAAACAGGGTGCCCTTTTTGACATCCGCCGCGCCCTTTGAGTGCTTGATCTTTGACCATTTGCTGTGTCCCGCAAACCGCTTCTGGCCGCCCAGCATGGCGCATGCGGGAAGTGCCGGCTGGACCCGTCCCGCGCGCAGCATTGCCAACACCGCACAGCGACTAGCCCGAGTGAGATGCATGGTATTATTCGAGAATATGGCTCGTGACGCGTCTGCCCTTGGGAATTTCCCAGAAGAAAAGTGGAATTCAGAAAGCAAAGAGATAGCGCCTAAAGCGCTGGCTGATCGGGGGTGATAAAGAAACCGACGTGGCTGATCGGCTCCTGATAGCGGCTTGCAGCTCAGGGGGCGGTGACTCTCCACGCAGCGCTTATCGCAGCTATCTGCCAGAAAATGGGCGCGTGCTGGAAATTCGGCGCCCTTTGAAAAATCTAGTCGAACGACCTGCCATTTCTGCTTGCCCTGGCAGGTCCTCTGTGCTTGAGTGCTCGGGGGCATTGCTCAAGCCAGGCCAAAGAGAGAACAGCCCGCATCGGGCCTGCTGGCACAGCTTCCTTCTGCGCACCCAGGGAAACAGGCAGAGCTCCAAGGACAGCGATCGCCGCTGATGGCTAAGGTGCATTTTTCTGTCAAATGTCCCGAGCTCGCATGATCGATAAGGGCCACTCTGTCGGGCTTCTGGGTATCAGGCACCATCAGCGAGCCAGCAGAACCCAACCGCTCGCCAGGGGCCATATGGATTTTCTCGACAGAAGCTTACAAACGCGGCTGACTATCGTTTTCTAATCGCTGGTGGCAGGAAATGGCGCTTTTTGGTACCTGCGAGAAAGTCAGTGCACCTTGGCTCAGGCCATCGTGTTAGCCGCAGGGCATACCGCATTGAAAACTGCCTCCGTGCGCAGATACGCTAGAGCCATCCCTCAGCGCGAAACCGGGCGGTCTAAGCGCCCCTCCGTCCGTTTGCTCCCGCTGAAAAGCGTGGTTTTGTTGCCAGGCGAAAAAAGCGGTCACAAGCCCGTTTGAAAAATTAATCGCCCCTCTCGCCTGTCCAGCACATGCAAGGCCCAGGGGCGAACCCGACGGCCTCGCACCGGCCAATCAGCGACCAGCAGATGAATGCTGATGAGCAGAGATGGGCGTCATTTCTCGTTTATCGCGTCTGATCAGTTGGCGCAATTGGCCTGTGAAGAGTTCCGCAAGTCTCCTACGCGGGCCGCACAGTTCGGCCTGTATACGTCGAGGATTTTGTGACCAACGTCCTAATATTACTATCCACCTGAGCACATTTCGTATAAATGCGCCACCGTGGCCACCCCCTCCATGTTTCAGAGACGAACCAGATAACCCTAGACTCTTCCACACGCAGTGCCTTACTCACTCGAGACCTTCTTGACTTTTCCTTCGAAGGAGCGCTGCCTTGTACTTTTTTTTTTCATTTTATTTCTCGTTTGATTTCGCTCTCTTCGTGTGCTTCCTGTACATCGCATTTCCAGCCTTTGAGCCATGACTAGTACCAGCGATATTGACATGGGTGCTACGGTCTGGATGATTGCATCGACTGCTCTAGTGTTCCTGATGATCCCTGGCCTTGGCTACTTTTACAGCGGGATGGTCCGTAGCAAAAATGCCCTCTCCCTGGTGTTCCTCTGTATGATGTCGCTGGCAGTAGTAACCATCCAGTGGGTGATGTTTGGCTACTCGCTGGCTCTCTCTGAGACCTCACCCAGCCGTTTCATCGGCAATATGCGACACTATTTCTTCCTGGACGTCAGCTACGAGCCCCACCCCAATGCGCCGACCGTCCCCGGCATTGTCTTTGCCATATACCAATGTATGTTCGCCGCCCTTGCCCCCGGCCTGGCTATCGGTGGAGCCGCCGAGCGTATCCGGATCCTGCCCACCATCTTTTACGTGTTTGTGTGGACAACGCTGGTCTACGACCCGATCGCTTACTGGGTGTGGGCGCCCAACGGCTGGCTGTTCAAGTTTGGCGTCTTGGATTTTGCCGGCGGCTGTGCTGTTGAGACTGCCTCAGGCTTTGCTGCTCTGGCGTTCTACTTTGTTCTCGGCAAACGCAAGGGCTTTGGCGAGGAAAAGTGGGAGCCACACAACTACCTCAACATCATCCTCGGCACAGCCTTCCTGTTCTTTGGTTGGTTTGGGTTCAATGCCGGTGCTGCTTCCCTGGCATCGGGCAAGGCCGGAATCGCCTTTTTGACTACGATCCTGGCTGGCGCCGTCGCGGGCTGTGTCTGGGTCGCCCTGGCTTACCATCGCGAACACAAGTTCTCGAGCTTCCATTTCTGCTCCGGCGCCGTCGCCGGCATGGTCGGTGTGACACCTGCTGCCAGCCTTGTCAGCACCTGGGCCGCTTTCCCCATGGGCGCGATTGTCGGCGTTTGCTGTTTCTTCATGATTGATTTTAACTTGCGTCTCGGCATTGACGACTGCATCGACGTGTTTGCCGTGCACGGAATCGGTGGCATCCTTGGTGTGTTCCTCACCGGCGTGTTCGCCAACAGCAAGGTTATTGGGCTTGATGGCACGGAGTCATCAGGCGGCCTGATCAACGGACACGGGAAGCAGCTATATATTCAGCTGGCAGCCTTGGCCGTATCCGCTGCCTGGTCGTTTGTGCTGTCGTATATCATTTTGACCGTCATGAACTGGATCCCGATGTTCCGCTTCCGTGTTGACCCGGAGCAGGAGGACCACGGAGTGGACTTCGCTGAGCTTGGTGAGGCCGGATACAAATTCATTGACGAAATTGCAAAGTCCCATGCCAGTATGATGAATATCTACCGGTCTGCTACTCCGAGCATCAGCGAGTCGCTCCAAGATCCGAGCAAGGAGCGCCCGGTTATTCGGGAGGTTTACTCAAGGCTTCCTGAATCTACTACCGACACTTCCATCCCAAGCGATACTGCCTAGTCTATCACTTGCAAATTGCACTACACCTCTGTACATTTATACAAACACTTTTCCTTTCCAAATGCAAATACTGTATATTGATATACCACCGCTCTGGCAGGCCAAAGAAAACATAAATTTAATGCCAAACAAAATCTAATACTGGTACCATTTCTAGTTACAAACCGACACCAGGAACCAGCATCTCTGAAATTCTGACTACCCTTTATTCCACCTGCTTTATTCCATGTGCGACAACGGGCACATGACATATGGTATACTAATGCTACGATTTAAGAAGCTAGTGTCCACAAAAGAGGAAGATCCAAAACTTATTTCAAAACTGATACGACTTGGAGACAGGATCATAGGATGCGCGGGCAAGCGGATTCAAAAGAACAGCGGACTCTTGGTCATCGGTATACGGCGGTGAGTCCTTGGTCTGAACGAAACCATGGCTTCCAATAAGGGTATCCTGCCAGTAGCGACACGATTTTCCTTCACGCAACTTGACTTTGCCATTATATTCGTCTAGCTGATCCTTGCCCAATGTTGCCAAGAGATAGTCGGGGTGCACGACCAGCATCTGGCAACCGACTTGCCCGAATCCAAACGACGACATGATTGCTGCCTTTACTCCTCGCGTTTGGATTGACCTATTGGGGTATACAAGGTACGTGTGCTGCCTAAACTCCGGATCAATGTCATCCGCGTTGCGGTTGCCTGGAATGATACCGGTCTGCATTGTTTGCAACACACCATTCATCATGCATGCGGCAGAGCCTCCTCGCAAATGGCCAATTAGCCATTTCTGGCAGATGACAGGGAGCGCGTGTCCTGGCGTACGACCCAGATGCTCCATCTGCTTACAGTAAACCTCAGATTCATTCGTGTCATTTATCTGTGTCGATGTCCCATGGAATGAAGCGACACCGATGTCATCTACCGTCAGACCCCAGACAGCGAGAGCACCGCGTATCGGCGAGATGTGTGGGTTTCCAACCCAGAACTCGTTGCCCCATGCGTCACGCGCTTCCTTCTTTCTCTTGTCAGCCTCCGCGTGGATAACTGTCATGCGCTTTCCAATGAACCTGTCTTGATCAAAGCAGTCCCCTTGTGCAAGGCGGATTTCCTGAGCATCGCGCCTGGCACCCGTCTCTTCTTTCACTACCCATTCGTCAATACACTCTAGCCAGCCTTCCAATTTTGCCCGACGGTACTTTACATCGAGGTAGAGTTCCGAAACCTCATCGTTCGGGTAATGAACCTCGCGTGCAACACTCACAAGACCCTGTCCAGGGGCAGGGAGGTTGCGGCCTTCTTTGTCGGATGCTATGGAAGTCATAGCAACAATGCCGTAAATTGGCGATCCAAACTCGATCGCAGCCGAGGCAGACATGAGCATCACGACTCCAGCGCCAGTACTCTCCACAAAGCCATTACGAGTCGTTGTGCATGGTCTGGATGCCTCCTTCAATGTACGACCACGGGCCCTGTCTTCCATATTATCGACTGTCGCACCCATCGGAGCAAATGCATAGTTTGTGCCTTCCCCAGTATCCTCGAAGCCACCAGCAAACATAACTCTCGCCTTTCCTGCCTTGATCGTGCTTATTGCCACGTCGACAGATACGTGCGATGTACCACAGGCTGCGACGATTGGCATTATCGGGCCAGACGATGACAGGAGCAACATGTTGACCCATGCCCCAGGTGAGTTAATAAAGATCTCCTTAATCAGGTCCGCTTGGATTTCAGTATCATGGAAACAGCTCTTGGTCATCTTCCGAAGTGCATCAGTGCCTCCCATTCCCGAGCCCACAGTTGTTCCTACCTCTGTCACATGGAAGTACTTGTAGAGCTCGTACGGATCGGTGATACCGGCTCGCACCAGCGCCTCCACCGTTGCAACCAGTGTACATAGGGCCATTGGGTCCACCTGCTCTATGATTTCCTGGGGAATGCCATAGCGCTCTGGACTCCATCCAGTGGGAAGCTGGCCAGCAACAACTGTATTCATCTGCAGCGCCTTTGGGACCATGATCACAGCGCCCTTCAGCAGCTTGACAGACCACGACCCATCTGGATTCTCCCAGGTGTCAACCTTGTCGCCATTTTCACGGACAAAGTTTTCTGCCTCCTCAGCTGTCGTCTCGAATGTCTCCAGATCATGAGTAATCTGCAGTTCTCGGTATATCAATTTCTTGTTCGCGTCGAATCCATCAACCAACTCTGGCTCGACCATGCGGATCCCAGTGTGCTCAAGTATCTGCTTCTCGTACTTTGCCTTCACATCTATATCGCGGATTGGCTCATCTGTTGCTGTGTCAACCCAGCCCGTGTAGTTCTCAGTTGACAGCGGCAATGGCCCGTTGTGGTGTTTGATGAACCCCATGATCCACGCTAGTTCGATGCAGCCTTCCAGCGAGAACTCACCGTATGCCTCCATCTCCCAGCGTGAACGCGAGTGCCCATATGGTCCAAACTCGCCATATCCGGCAATAACGACAACCTTGTCCAAGTTGACCATGCCCTGCAAGTACTGCAGATGCTCAAGCTCAGCATAGGTCTTGGCAGACATCAGGCTTACTGAGTGGTTGGCAAGCGGAACTGTCGTTTCATGCTTGTTGTATGGGAAGGTATGCTCACTATATAGCGAGCTTTGGTCTTCCGTGAGCCCGCTCAAAACTGACTTTCTGCAAGAAGACGCCTGCAGGATATTTTGTCGTGTGATGCCCAGGTTGCGAACACTGGCAAAGTATTGTTCATCTGGCCCAGTGAAGTCTGCATAGACAGGGTGGTCCTGGACAATGTCATCAATACCTTCATGCAGCAGCGTAAGAATATTGAGCGACATCTCCTTTGGAGAAAACGTGCGCATACCAGAGCGCTCAATCTCACAAGCAACCATACCATCCAGATTGTTTTGACTAGCGTCTCGTACCCAGCCCATGGCTGCCATCGTGACATCGACATTTTTTGTGCTGGGTTGCGGACTATTTCCGAAAAAGGTCGCCTCTATGGCAACGGATATCTTTTGATGCCAGACGTTATTCTTCTCGTTAAATGTAGCTGCTGAAACAGGAACAATAACACGCGTTGTCGATGCTGATGTTCTGCTGGGAGCTTTCACTTTTTCTAGGCAGTCGATCAGCATGCATATGTTGGTGGCATTTGTCCTCAGCACACTCTCGTCTAGAACTGTGTCTACTATGCCGCTAGCAGTGCTGCTCATTGGATCTCCAAAAAGAATAGCATAGTCCAGATCCCATCCCAAGTTCTGCCCATCAACTGGGCTACTGTAAATGTAGGAGACAAGAGACTTTATGTCAACAGTGGAGCCCAGGTTAAATGGGACAACCACCAGCTCCGACCCACGGCTGCCAAATCTCTGGTATACTCCTTCAAAGAGTGTGATGGATTCCCGACTGAAATCTGATGCTGTTGCAATCACCTTTGCACCACCCATGAGGAGCCCCTGCAGCACCTCGGTAGCAACTGTGCCAGGCCTGCACCCTGTTACCAGCGCTGTTTTCCCCTCGAATGATAGCCCGCTTGTGCAGATATCTGACAAGCATTGAATGTAAAGCTCAGTTAAGGATGAACTTTGTACCCAGCCACCAGCGCTCGTGCGCTCTTTAAGGCAGATTACTGGAGAATTACTAGTCGAGCCTCCCATTTGGGCAACATACGACTCCATATCGGGAACATCGCTGCGCTCAACCTCGTCGTACAATAGATCTCCGGACTGGGTCATGGTCGCTGATGGACGAGTTGATGGTCCAAATATTTTGTATATAGGTGGTTCCCCAATATGGTGCTCGCAAGACCGACATATTGACTTCAAAACAAGAGAAGCATGGCCAATCGAATGCTGGTCACTATCCATAAGTAGCGCAACCTGGCTTGATAGGAATGTCAGTATCTCCTTACTGGCGCAGTTTCTCAAGCGCAAAAGCCGAAGTTCATCCATTAGAATCACCTCTGCATCATTGATACTGCGCTTGGTGTCGACAACAAGCTCAAATGCATCTTGGCGAGCCCAGTTCCACCATGATTTGTAGAGCCGAGCTTTCAGCGCATCAAACACAGGGCGGATGTCGTAAATGAATTCTGAACCATGGTCTCTTTGAATTGATGCCAATTGCTCTTTCAGGTCAGCAATTTCAGAGTTGGCTGCCACCAATTCTCGTTCGCATTCGCGTGGGTCGAATCCGATATGTTCTGCCAAACTACGCATTTGCTGCACAGCAAGAGCACGCTGAGACTCTCGGATACGACTTAGTTCTGCACTGCTGATTGTGACATTTGCTGGCCCAGAACTATGCTCGTTTCCTTTGGCCTCATATGAAATGCCTACCCGTTCAGCATATTCCTTGGCTACGGTCTCAAGCCACGCCATTGCCTCTTCTTCGCTCCCCAAGCGAGACTTTGGCTCATTAGGCAATGCAACAAGCAAAAGCCCGCTCTGCCTGTATGGTCCCAGACCATACTCGGACTGGATGTACTCACGGATCTTTGAGTACGAAAATCCACCTGGCATCTTTGTGCTGAGCATCTTGGAGATGAGAGCAATGCTCTGTGTGCCCAAGGTTCCGCTAAATGCAGAGAATTGGCTCCCAAGTTCACCAAGTGATAGTTTCTCGGCACCCTCCTGAATTGTTGTCTCGAATTCCTTCTGCAGCGAACCAAAGAGGTCATTGATCAGTGTAGACTTCCCACCTGCCAGGTCGGCTATGTTCTTACTGGCGGTAACCTCTTGCAGCCTCTTTTTCAGCTTGTATGCGACCATACTCTGGATGATCTCCAGTGGTTGAAGGGGCGTATCAACAAGTGGCCTGCGTGTTGGTATAGGCACATTTGCTGAAACTGGATTCTCTTCAGCAGCTTTCGTTGGTGGTTCCTCAGCTGTGATCTCCGCTACTGGTGGGGTTGGTCCAGTCGCACTCTGCAGATCCAGATAGTATACCTCATTCCTGTTGTGCAATATATGCAGAGTGGACACACTGCACTCGGCAAACAACGGCTGTTTCAGCGATCTCTCTGCCATTCCACAGAGAGTAGGTCCTGGTCCAATCTCGATAAATCGCTTAGTATTGCGGCCGAGGAACAGAACGTCCTGAATCTCAATCCAGCGGACAGGCGATGCAAACTGATACGCAAGTATTTCGACGAGTAGGACATGTGCGAGTCGCTGCATCCCGTTGGTGGACTCTATTTCAGATTCTTGCCATGTGGCGAGCACTTCAGAGATAACCTTCGATTTCGTGATTGAGTGGACATCCTCACAGTACTCACGCGAGACATCGAATGGGGCAGCCGTGATGTTAGGGATGTATTTCCCCACAATTCGCCTGCAGTCAACAGCTGACGCTGGGATACTGCGTTCCAGTACCTTGCGGAACGTTGCAACTGAGCTACCAAGGCGACTTGAATGGGATGGGACATCTACACCAGGAATGACTGTGGTGGCGATTCCATTCTTTAATGGAGCAACGACAGGCTTAGACGCCGTATCACTCACAAATGTGGCTATCGCCTGCATGCCGGTATCAGTAGATATGTCAGCATTTTGTCTTGCAATATGGTCGATGGTCAGCTGGAGAGCATTTAGTGTTGACAGATGGCCTGTAACAACATATTGCGATCGCTCCACATTGTAGTTGATGATCTCTAGCAGCTCATCGCTATTTGCTCGCAACATATCGATAACAAGCTTCAGCTGTGCGATGCTGAAATTTCTTCCAGCACGAGATGGGTTGATGGCAACCATGGCATACTGGGAAAGTCCGCTATCGTCACGCTCAACCGATGCATGCAGCAGCAACCCGCGATACAATGCAATGTCAACAGCCCCCTCCACGCTCACAATCTCGCCCATTGCTGCGAGCGAACCAAACTCACCGAGTGAATGGCCAGCAAATGCAGCACCAGTCTGAGCTAAACCCTTGGCGCGCAAGTCCGCAACACATGCCAAGGCAAACACTGTCTGGATGGGCTGAGTGAACAATGTAGCATTAAGCAGACCATTCGCCGAGAAATGGGTATAGCTGGCTGAACGACTGGTAATGTCTGGGAACAGAGGGACGATCGTACCATCCTCTGCCTGTCTGGTCATATCCATATACGTCTGCCGAATGCTCTTTCCGGATTTGCCACCAAACCGCACAGTCACCTCGGTAGGATTGTAGCGAACGATATCCAGGATTGACACACCGTATGTTTTGATCGAGTGTCTGTCGGCACGGTCCCAGACAAGCCTTGCTGCATCGGAAGAGCCATACAAATCCATACCCATGCCAGGGAATTGTGTACCCTGCCCAGTAAATACATATGCAGTAGACTGCTGGTCTACTTCTGCCGTATATGTAATTATCTGAAGACCCAATTCGTTCTCAACATGACCTTTTACCATCATCCGCCCATCCTTCATGCCTGTAATCCACATCCTTGGCCAGATGCTGACTCCCAGATGGCTGGCCCCTGTAAAGAAGAACTTGTATTTACGAATCCTGGTCATGTCTCCATTGGCGACGTTCTTGGCAATTGCGGATTGTACACATCCGGAGATCCATTTTACGTTAATGACAAACATTAGGCAACCCTGAGGCACTCGCCATGTACTGGTTAAGATAAATTGGAGTATTGTCGCTGGTAATTGTAGCAAATCTCCGGTTATCTTCAATTGTCACAGGGAGTCCTTTGTTGAATTTGCCAATATCTGTGACTTCTATCCCATCACCTTCAAAGGCAACAGCAGGTGAAGTGAGGTGTCCATGAAGGAGGATGTAGTCCGTTACAGGATTTGAGAGTGACTCACCGCCGATATAATGAACAGATGCTACGTGCACACGCTCAGCAGGGGATTTTACGAGCCAAACATCTCCGTCAGTGGTTATGCTTCTAAAGACAGTTTGCGACTTGAAGCGATAGTCAGAAGTGAGCTCGAATTGCAAAGTCGATCCGATAGGAATGGCTTTGTCAAGACCATCATCAGGAATAAACCATTCTTTGGAAAGCAACACCGACAGCTCATCTCGAGAGGTGATGCGGAGTTGCATTGGTTCCTCCTCCACACGCTGGAAAGAGCGCGTCATGTCTAAGACGAACCCCATGAACCTCACAGTACTATCCATGGATGCAAACTCTTCTCCATCTCGGAAGAATCTAGTCTTCACCAGGATGCGTTCACCGTCAGGGTGATGTACTATCCCAGTCACATACACCTTCATGTCAACAGCGTCGCCTACCCGCAGTGGTCTTGCCCCATCAGTGAGCGTGTAGCTGTTCCCAACCTGCATCGCCCGGAACATCTTTCTACGATAGTCGTTACCCGCGGCTCTCAACACAATAGCCCTCCATTGAGGAATAAGTAAGATGTCGACAGGAGCGAGCTGCGGAACGCCATCGGGTTTGGTATAGAAATCATCGCCATTGGACACTGCCTGGCAGTAGTTTTTGACTGTGTCTTCGTCAATCGAATAGCCTTTTACCCAAACAGGAATCGAGGGGTCGGCTATATAATCAACTGTGTCCGTATTGAAATCATCCCGATCGAACCAGTATGCAAACAATCCTAGCGAACTAGTTGCAAAGTCATCGATCAAGAACTTGTATGGAGCAAACGGCGATGCAGGATTGAATTGGCACCTCATTATAAGAGGGACGGAAGGGCGCCCAACAATTGACAGCGTGATTTCTATAGCAAGAACATCATCGTCGCCCATTACCATATACAAGTCAATCTGACCATTCCTGGTGATACGAAGTGACTTTTCCTGGCTATCCTTCATTTCTATGACAACGGTTTGTCCAGAACGGGGTAAAAGCATATTCGTCAAAACACCCGCATTCCAGATTGGAGGGTAGATGTACGTTGGGCTGTTTGCTAGTGCACTCAACCAGCTACGTGCTGACCCAGCCAAAACAGAGAGCCAAACTTTTTTGTCAGGGAGAAGGGAATCATCATCGGGAAGAGTGTAGACACGCTGAGAGTTGGACATGTTGGCAACAACTGAGCGCGGAAGCCTCACTGGGACCGCGTCCGGAGCGATAAATGGCACATATTTAATCCTACTCTCATCCCCATCGTGATAGCGGGAGAGCAGCGCCGATATCTGTCCTTGGTAGATATTGTCCAGGACGGATTTCACAGACTCATCCGTGCTGAGGCTAGATCTCATAGTAGAAGCGCTGCATGGAATTAGGACACGCTGCGCATCGCTGTCTGCAACAGACCGCAAATCCCTCAGCTGCCATGTCATATCCCGAAGCAGGAACATAGCAAAGTCCTCGTCAATTACAGGGATAAATGGCACCGCCACACTCCGTGGGTGCTTGCACCTGGCAATAAAGAACTGGATGTCCTCGGATGCAATCAGCGTCGTGCGTGCTGCAGGATAGTTTGAAAGGGTGTGGTCCATGAATGCATATGGCTCATCAAGCTCGCCTTCGTATTCGACAATGCGGTCTCGGACATGGCCCGTGAATCGATCCTCCAGGCGTCGCATAAAGTCAAACACAAGCGACCTTAAGGACAAATGCACCCAGCGAGACTGCTCTTTGGAAAACGCCAGCTCGAGAAGTCTTTCCATAACCTCAGCATACGACATATCCTCAAGATCGACAACACGGCCATCCGAACTTTTGCCGAACCATGGCCGCATGAAGTCAGCATTGAGGCGGTGGATGATATCGGCCTTTTCTGCCAGTAGTGTAGCCTGCTGTCTTTCGACCGGAAGCGAAAGGATAGAGTTCTGCAACCAGTGGATGAGCATGGCACCGCGGTTAGCAGCCACCTGCAGTAGAGCTCCATCCAAAGTAGTGATTGAGACTGTTTTAGCGAAGGTTCCACTGTTGCTACTCGACGCCTGTTCATCATCGACGCCTGACATATGAACAACTAGCTCCTTGATTGCGTCATCAATTGGTGCTTGCTTGCAAACAAGCAAAGGCGAACCAAGCACGACACCATCAATCGGCATTGGAGGGCGGCCAAGTGGGACGCTCCAGTCGCCAGTAATGTAAGGCAGGGTGTCACTGGAGTCACCAAAGTCGGACCCAACAGTCAAGGTGATGTTAGGACACATTCGAATCTTGCTGTACAGCTCCAGAAGGGGCTGATGGAAGTCCTCAGTGGAGGAAGAGTCGGCTCTACCTCTACCGAGCCACTGCAGAATAAACGAGTATGTCGGGTGAGCCTTGGCGATGCTGATTGCCTGGCGCAGTTCGGCCGGCGTCGTGAGCTTGAATGCGATGTAAGTGATTCCGAACACCTGCAGCTTATTCACAATTTCGCCAATAGCTTGCATCCCTGGAACGCCACCGCTGATGCACACACCGGCGACTCGTTTGTTACGGAAGCGCAAATTCAGCACCGCCGGGAACTGAACTGACCAATGGGCCTGGTCTGCGTAGTCACAGCACAGGAGCAGTCCCCGTTCTATAGGAAGTTGCAACAGGGCTTTATCAACTAGGTCAGTGACCTGGTAGTCGGAAGCCATTTCTCGAACGTCTAGCTCGGCAAGATACCCAGCATTTCCAATAGCGGCAACAAAGCCTATATCCACTGATAGTGGATCGACGGTCCCGACAAGAAGTGGAGGCAAGCCAGTCACATAGTGCAGCTTGGTTTCGATGTGCAAGCTGCCATCGAACGTGGTGCGCACGATCCGCGGACCAAACTGATGCTGCCAGCTTGGAATGAAGACAACCTGGTTGGTGTTATTGCGGTACAGGTCGGCCTTGGTGCCAAATGGCAGTTTGGCTGAAGTGGTGAGTGCACTTGCGGATATAATTGCCTTGCCGCTGCCCTCGGTAATGCTATGCGCAAGCTTTGCAAACAGGCTAAATCCACCAGGACTGAAGTCAACAATGTGCGTAGCGTCGATATTGCGAACAACATGGGGCCAGTCGCACGAGAGTGAACCGAGGGAGCGCATGAGGAACCAAGTCAGGTCCGGTTCGCCACGGAGATCGTGTGCATCATCGCCAGCATAGACCACGGTCCGCAAATTAGCTGAATCGAAGGTCCACCCCTTGTCAGTGACGTATGCGTAGTCAACTTGCTCGTCTTGTGCCATCAGTGCACAATGGCACAGTACGCTGGAGTAAAGGTAGTCGATGCTGGCTGTAGGCTTGCGCTCAGATGGTGGCAGATGCGACTGGTCGAGGCTCAGGTCTGCGCATTTGGAACGCGCGAAAGTGACAAACCTGACGACTGGGGAGAGCTCGCCAGAGACCACAAATTGGTCGTACGAGTTAATGAGTGACAGATACACACACGCCTGGGGTGACTTCCGGTGGTCGTTGAACTCGGCAATAAGACTCTCGAGCGAGCTGCGCTGAATGCCACGGAAAGACACCATGGGCGATGGCTTCCCTCCGTGCTCCATTGAGTCTGCAAGGTCATCGGTACTGAGTGCGTGCGCAGGATGAATTATCTGCGCCATTGCACTAGTTACCATGAGAATTCCCAAAGCGCGCTTTGAGAACTCAGTAAATGAGGGAAAGTCCGTGGCTGATGCAAGAGCAACAGCTGCGACTACTCCTTGGCTATGGCCAGCAATACCTACAGTAATACGAATAGTTAGAACTGACATGTTAAAATGCATAATAGTTTATCAGACAGGGCATTGGGATTCTTACCTTTCAGTACCGCGGATAGCTCGCCCGGTGATATTCTAAGAGTCTTTAACAAGACTACAACATGCATCAGCTGGATGAGTCCCACACTGGGCACAGCGACCGCAGCCGATAGCATGTATTCAAGGTCAGGAATAGCCTTGGAGTTCAACAGCCATCCCAGAAAATCGAATGGGTGCTTGTGCTCGCTGGAAATACGAGCATCCTGCGACTCACGGCCAAGAAACTGGGACATTTCAGCCACGAACTCCTGAATTACTGGACGGTAGACATCAAAAAGCCAGCGTGCCTCGTCCATGTAATTGGGCATGCCGCTCTGCCCGCCAAACATGGCTGCTAGTTTGACCATGGCGTGGGTAAAGAGGGCAGGCGTATGGACCTGAGGCAGCAGCCCACGGGTGTCAAGGAGATTCCAGACGGAGTAGTATCCCTTGAGAACTGCCCTTGCCTGGGTGTCGGTCAGGCCATGCTGCTGAACGCCGACATGGATGTTCTCGTTGGCACAAAACACCCCATGAAAGTGCTGGAAAGCAGCAATAGCAACATCTTCATTGCGAAGCGAGCAGAACTCGATGAAGCAAGAAGTGGTCTCGATATCCGATTGCGATGGCTCTTGCTCGTTGGCAAAGGCATCAGCAAGGTCCTGGGCGACAGACACCAAGGTGGCATCGATCGAGATGGTTGCCTTTGAAGGCAAAAGCACGAATGACATGGTGAAAGAAGCTGGTGGTTGGAAGATAGCTTGAGATGGGCTAGCGTAAGATGCTTTGCTGTAGAGTGTTGTCTGCTTAGCAGATTGGTATTTATATTGATTTAGTGCATCTGGCAGCGATCTCATTTGTGAATACCTGCTGGGTGCTATATTTTTGAGGACAGGATGGCATTGTGTGACCTTCCAAACACAGCGATGGAATAGTACCTTCGTTGTCCACACGGTTTTACATAAACATACCTGTAACAAACTGTATCCAGCGGTATGCGCAACTTCACTCAGCCTCGAAGAAGCCACCACAGAAACACAATGCGGAAACGTGCTATAGTGTCTCTGCATTGTTTATGTCCTCTTTGCACAGCTCTAAGCACAAACGCCAATGTCCTGCACTACACCCAGCTGTTGTACATTCAAGCTAACACACAAAAGGAACCCACACCTGCACTATACTTTCCTTCTCTGGGAGTGTCATTCAACACATCCGAATATGCCTGGCCACAAAGGAAAATTAACAGGGCTGAAAAGATGTGATTGCTGCTGTGGCTGCAAATGTATGCTTTGACAATACATAAATCCTGCAGTTAGTGACAAAGACAGATAAACAGATTTGGTATGATGGATTTGTAGTATATGGACATGTTTCATATAGCAATACGTCTAAGGATGAGGTAGCTCTTTGAGTACCAGCTACATGTGGATAGCTCACCTCGACGCCTTGGTGGTATAGGGCAATTTTGGTCTCATGATAGCTTTGGGGGTGCAGTATATCGGTAGCAGAACCATGAGTGTTGATATGTGGTATTCTGAAGAAACAATTTTCAGCAGAATGCTTCATGTTGAATAGCTTTACATGGTGCTGCCAAAGGTGTATTGCCAGAAAATATAGGCAATTGCAGCCCTCCCACAACAGTTCCTGTTGGTGATCCGCGAATATTGATAAAACTAAGGTGATTTTTGCCGATTCTCGGATTTTGTCCAACTCACCCCAACTCTTCTCCACACCTCAATTCCACCACAGCGTCATTAGTTTCCCAGAACAAAAAAAAATGACACAGACGCCAGCAGAAATGCCTAATGGCAAGCACATACCAGCCAAGGGCAAGTTCATAGCGCTTCTGCGGCGCGCGCAAACCGTGTTTCTGTTCTCCGACCCAATCTTTGTGCCCGATGGCAAGCCGCTGCCTGATCTGCCCGAGGGGCTTCAGTACATTAACATCCATCCGTCGTCGATCGAGCCGAAACCACAAACGCTCAAGGACTATTTACCGAAAGCGCACGCGCCAGGCAGTCGCCAGGACACGGCTGCTCCGGTGACATTGCCCACGGAAGACGTATCGAGCATGTTCAATAGCTTCCTGCCAACACGCGACTCGTCCACCATGACTCTGCGCGACCGCGATGTCCCAGTAGTGCAGCATCTGAAGGCGAGGCAGGAAGATGCAGGGGTCAGCGCCGACGAGGCATTGGCGATTGCACACAGGGTTCTGGGCGATAATGCAGATTCCGTGGAGCCGCCATCGCCGGCAGTTTTGCGGGAGTTGGGCCTGGCGGTGCCGGAAGAGCTGATGACGGGACCGGAGACCGCGCAGACGATTTTGGCAGAGAACCGAGAAATGCTAATACGGCTGGCAGAGTTCCAGGAGCAGCGCGCGGATAGCGGGGACATGGCCACGATCAGCAAGGAGGAGCAGCAAGTGGCGGATAGGCTGCAGCGGAATTTGGCGCGCGTTATTGGCGCCCAGAGGCCGAAAGACGTGCGGCCGCCAGGTACTGAGATTGCGCGTGCGGTGAGTGAGCTGTTGGCGTACGACGAGCTGTATTCGGGCACGCTGCCGCCGCAGCGGCGGTTCGCATTCGTCTCCAATGCAGCCACGTATGCTGGGTACCCGCCCGCGGCCACCACGGTGCCGATGGAGCGCGCGTCGCGGAAGAAGCAAGCAGCTTAATTTTTTGTTGAAGAAAAGTGAAGCATTTAAGAAAAAAAGTTAGGCAAACTCGTCTTCCAGATCGACGTCTTCGACACCGCCCTCCATCTCGGCAAAGTTCATGAAGTGGCTGGGACGGTGCATTTCGTCGTAGAAGTCGCGGGGCACGTCGAGCTGGAGGCCATACGACATGTCGGCCCTGTGGGCGGGGCCCATGAAGTTGTAGTTCCAGATGCCGTCATCATCGGGCACCATGAAGAAGCCCATGAAGCGGTCGGAGAGCAGCATCTGGACGCGCTCGAAGCAGGCGGGCGAGAAGCCATCGGGGCTGGCAGACTGCATGTCCTGGTTGTTGCGGCCCCACTCGAAGCCCTGCGGGGTGAGCTTGTAGGCGGCCAGCGAGCAGGAGCCAGGGGTGAAGGCGCAGGTCATGACGATGGTCTTTTCGCCGTCCCAGCGGGCGCGCGGGATCTCGGCAGTGCGGGCCAAGGTGCGGGCATGGAGGGTGGCGTCCTGCGGGGCCAGGTGCGGGAGCTCGTTGGGCATGGTGTGGAGCCAGCCGAGCGGCTCGAGGCCGCGCAGGTACTCGTGGTCCGGCATCTTGTCGGGCAAATGGACTTGCTGATGGGTGGCCCACTGCGGGACCATGGCAATGGCGCGGATTTCCTTGACCTGCTCGTTCTCCTTGGGCGAGACACCGAACAGGTAGCCGGCGATCTGGGTGCGTGGATCAGCAATGGTGATAAAGCGCTTGAGCAGGTTTTTGGGCAGCACGTATGTGCACGCCATGTCGCTGATATCGTCATTGTTGACATACAGGTGCTTGGTACGCAGCGGCAGGTTCTGCGCAGCGATGGCACGCAGGCGCCACTCGGTCTTGGAAGCGAAGGTCTGCGACTCGTAGTTGCTGGTGGTGGTGACGACGATCTCGTCGCCGTGGACGTTCTGCGTCTTAGTGGTAACGGCGGTCATCTGGGCCTGCTCGCGCGCCTGCTTTTCGATCTCGGCGATCTGCTGGCGCTGCTGCGAGGGCGCCTGGATCTCCATACCCAGGATGATGTCGCGGATCTCGGAGGCTGTCAGGGAGGCCACATTGACGTTGTTCTTCTTGCCGTAGTCTGCCAGAATCAGGTCCTTGAGTTGGTTCTCGACCTTGATCCACTGCTCGTCCGTCAGCGTCGGCCACAGGTGGTGCGGCTCAGTCACCGTGTGCTTGTCGGGCCGCAGGATGATCTTGGCGCGCTCGTTGTTGATGTGCAGGGCGCGCAAGATCAGGACTAGACGCGAGAACGCCGTGTAGGGAGAGACGGTCGCCAGCCAGTTGTCGTAGCAGGTCCACATCGTCATCTTGGGCTCGGTGGCCTTGAGGATCATGTCGCCGAGCTTCTCAACCTTGAGCAGTGCCTGCAGTGGCAGCTGCATTTCGCTGCCGCGGATGGTGATGTTGGGGAAGTCCAGCATTGTGACCTCGAGTGGATCGAGCATGCCCTTGCGCGAGACAATCAGCTGGTTCGGCTGCTCTTCGACCGGCAGTGAGCGCACCAGGGCGCCGGTCTCCTCAGCGGTCTTCCATTTGGCCAGCTGGCCAAGGCGCTTTTGGCCTGCCCACACCGATGTGTGAATGACCTTGACGAAGAGCTGGCCGGTACGCGGGTTAAGGATGGTCAGGGCGCCGTTAATTGGCTTGGTGGTCAAATTGCCCTCAAAGGTCTTCTGCACGGTGACGCGATAGACGTTAGTGTCGTCGATGAACCAACACGTCTGGTGCGAGAACAGCTCGGCATAATTGGTGCTGTTCAGGTAGCTTTCCGTGGCCTCGCTTGAGAACAGCTGCAGGGCCTTGCGGATGCGCTCGCGCACCACGTGCAGGGCCGGACTGGCTTTCATGATCTTGGCCATGGCCTGCTGCATCAATGGCTTCATTCCGGGGATCCAGTTGCCGTAGGCCGAGTACATGTTGTAGGCAAGGTCGACGCCGATAATCAGGCCCGTTGGCGACGGGTAGATGCTGACGCCGTCACTGGTGTAGTCGAAGAACTTGGCGCGCGTATACCGCTCAATATCATGCGAGTCGTAGTCGCCCCAGCGCAGCTGCACATCAATCCAGTACTTCTGCGTGGTGCCGGCATCCATGCGGTCACGGGCGTCCGTCAAAAGGCTGGGTGTCGAGACTGGCCACTTGTACGAGGCGAAGCAGGTAATGTCTGCAGCCGAGCTCGACATCTTGTATGACTTGCGCGGATGAATGGCCTCCTTCTGCACCGTCTCGATTTGCAACGGCTCGAGCTCATTGTCGAGCACCTGGCAGAGGTCGAGAATCAGGCTTTCGTGGGATTTCTGCCAGGCGTGGCTGCGGAACAGACTCACATACGAGATCTTCAGGGTCGGCAGTTTGCCGTGCATGAAGATACCTGTTAGATCGAGCTGCACTTGGAAGCCAATGTAGACGTTTGCGCGGTTGATTGTTGGCGACCACCACAAAGTGAAGCGCCGGTTCGGGATCTGGTTCAGACCGGAGCGCTGCGCATTCGTCAGCTGTCGCTGCCCCATGGCACCCGAGAACGAGCCCGAGTTGTGCGTGATCAGACCATTGGCTAGCACAAACCGCTGGTTGGCACCAGAAACAGTGAACCCAAAGTACGGCTCCGTTGCAGCCTTTTCCACGGCAAACTCGACGAAATTCAAGGCACTGGAAGGTGGTGGGCGTGCCAAAATCGCGGCTGCAAATAGCGCGGGATGCTGTGCGATAGACGGCACATAGTCGACGCCAGAGAGCTTGACCCGGACTGTGCTGTGCTGGTCGCGCACTGTCAGCGTTGCTGGCAGGCCCAGGGCGATCAGCAGCGTGTGCAAGTCCTGAGCAAGCCCTGAGCTGCAGCGCGCGGTGGCAGTGAACGTATTGTCAATCAGCGCAGTCTGGCCAGAGGCGAAGCACGCGCCAACAAAGACCAGCGCACGTACCAGCGGGCTGGAGTGCGTGCGGAAGGCACCAGGAATGGTTGGCCGGGCGGTCTTGGTTGCTGTGAGCCTCTCAATGACCTCGGGACCGCTCTGGCCACTGCAGACCAGGCCACTGCAGGCAACAAGCTCCGAGACATGGCTTGGCGTGGTGTAATCGGCGAGAATCTGCTGGCAGCGGCGAGTGGCCGACTGCCCGCCAGCACTTAGCGCCAACTGCATGCCTAGAAGCAGGGGGTCGATGGGGAGCTTGGAGTCTGATGCAGCAGGGTAGCTGATCCGGGTGCTGAGCATGCGGAACTTGGCCTGGGCGGCGCTTGGCAGATCAACGAACTCGCTGACGGTACACTCGACGATGTTGGCGGGCGAGTCGACTGATGCAAGGACCAGGATATGGTTGGCAGTGACAGTGGTGCCGGCATTACCCCAGCACGGGATGCGCAATACGTGCATATCGCCGAACGGGCCATATACCAGGCTGCCGACAACGCGTGGAGCCGAGTCGTCGCCCATCAACAGGTCCCCCTTAGCAATCAGCTCAACCGCGCGCGACGTGCCGTCAGCCATCATGACCTGGGTGCCGCGGGCAAAGCACTGCTGCTGCCAGAACAGCCCCTCCCAGGTCGGGTAATAGGTGCCGCGGAAGAGTGAGTGCTCGAGAATGCACTCGACACCGCCCAGGGCCTGGATCATGTCGGTGCGGTAGTTGTTGAGCTGCCAGAGCTTTCCGTCGTGCTTGGCATGCGTCCACCAGAACGGGTTGGCCTTGGGCAACTGGTACTGCTTCCATTCGGTGCGCAGCCGCCATCCCTTATCGTAGGCCAGCGTGTGGCGGTCCTTGGAGAACAGTGTGTTGATGCGCGGGATGCCACGATCCCACGAGTCCTCGAGGTCCTCGAGTGTCAAGCGGCGGTTCTGGGCATTGGCCTCCTGGCGCTTCAGTGCGTATTCGGCCCAGACGCGCTGCGAGTCGGTGAACTCGCTCTCCCACGGCAGAATGTACCGGAACAGATTCGGAATCAGTTGGCCCTCAGCGTGCGACATGCCAGCGCGGAAATGCGACACGCCCGTGTTGGTTTGCTTGGACCACCGCAGGTCCGACTGCGGAATCAGCACATGGCCCATGGACAGCATGCCCAGGCCGCCCAGCTCCTTCGGGCAGTTCGCGCCCACGGCAAAGTCCGCGTGGCAGAACAGCGGCGACTGGCCGCTGGCTACCTGGAAGCCATGGTAGTCGCCGCTGCGCTCAGGCTGCATCGACACCTCAAACAGGGCCGTGGTGGGCGTGGGCGGCGGGCGCCGCGCCAGACTGCGCGAGCACACAGACGAAACACACGGCAGGCAGGAGAGGTCGCCGCGCGCATACACGGCGCCGTGCGAGAGACTGCGGCGCGACGTCACCTCCAGGCCGAGTGACCTGGCAATCTCATACACAAGCCGCAACACCGGCTCGCACGCCATCGCCATGACCACCGCCACATATCCATTGGCCATGGGCTTGCCATGGCCATCCAGAATGCCCGCCAGAACTGCCGACCGCACCTCCAGCGACTCGGCCACCAGGAGCTCGCGCAATGACTCGGGCACTGCACCATGCGGCAGCTTCGTCAGCCCCAGCGACTCAATCGCATGCATGAGCAGTGGCGAGTCGTGGCCTGGCTCACAGACTGCCCGGTCATTGCATCCGCACGACAGCCAGCGGCCAAATGCCCAGCTCGCGTAGCTGGTAGCCGGCATCGTCAATGCGGTCGGGGAGGCACGCGCCAAAACCGCAACCAGACCGCCGGGGCGTTGCTCTGGCCAGGCAGTGACGCGGGCGCCGTAGCGCATCCGGCAGGGCACCGGCGTTTGGCCGATCACAGCCATGCGGCGGACGTAGGCGAGGTAGTCGCAGAGAGAGACGAGCCACGTAACCGACTCCACCTTCGTGGCCACCGCGGCGCTGTGCGCGTCCTGCTTGGAGCTGAAGACAAAGTGCGACGCGCGCATGGGCACAGCTCCATAGTAGAAGGCGCGGCAGGGCGGGGTCAGGTGTGGCGGGTAGTTGTTGGAGATGACGCGGAACGCGGCCTTTTGCTTGTCATGCATGACGTAGACGCAATCGGGCATGGCGCCATGCTGCATGGCGATGCGACGCGTCTCGTGCACGTGCTGTTCGGCATGGTGTCTTGCCAGTTGCTTGCCGTTGTCGGCCAGCCCGAAGAAGTCAGAGTTGTACTCGAACACGTGCTCAGCAGAAACTGGCCGCGTGAATCCCAGGGCCGGATCGAATTGCAGTTCCGTCACGGCTACAACGAATGCGCCGGTGCTGCACCACGGCGACAGACCGGTGCGGCTGGCACGCTCGCGCACGGACCAGTCAGCAGAGACCTCGATTGCCAGCCGGTGCTTTTCATTGCACAGGAACGCATCGTCGTACAGCAGCTCGTCGAGGCTGTCGCCCGAGTCGCTGCCTGACATGCCCGAGCAGATGCTGGGCACGGAGATGCTGCTGGCGGTGCGCACTATGGGCGCAACTTCGTAGCCGGGCACGTGCAGATCGTCGCTGTCGGGCTGCGGCCGCGCCAGAGAGACGCGGAACAGCGGCGCTGAGCCCGACATGGTCTCGGCGACATCACGCGCCAGACCGTCATCGCCCAGCACCTGGTCGCCCACGCGCACGTGCTCGATGGCCCTGGACGAGCCGTCGGCCATGCGCACGCGGTGGCCGGCGCCGTAGCAGTAAAAGATCACCGGCGGCATACGGTTGCTGTCTTTGGAGTTGAGGCCAAGCATAATGCGCGCCTGGATCTTGGTCTCGGCCTTGACCAAAAGATCCAGCAGCTCGCGCGTATGCACCACCGCTTCGCGGTAGTAAGTCATCAGACCGATCAGCGCCGTGTTGAACTTGTTGGCGATCTTGGTGAACGTGGTGCTGCCCGAGGACATCAGGATCTGGCGGATGCGGTTATTGAACCGCTGCATCGACGCATCGTCCACGCGCAAAAACGCGGTCGCCGTGCGCTCCTTGGTGCGGTCGTCCACCAGTGCCCACGACCCGTCCTGCAATGCCTGCGGTTCGCCCAGCTGCCTGGCCTTTGGCAGAATTCGCACCTCGAATCCGGCCATGTCGAACAGCAGGTTCGGATTGTCCTGCGAGTACACGGACACGAATGTGTCGGATTCGTCCCAGTCGATGGTCGTCAGAGATCGCGGGATCCGGTTCTTGATGTCCCAGAACACCGCCCGCCCCAGGTTCACGTCGTGCTTCATCAGCCGCATGCGCGAGTCGCGCGGCCAGCACCGCTTGTTGTTGTATCCGACCACGTTCTCGTTGTTCGGGTCCGGGTTCTCTGTCAGGAAACGCTGCACCAACTCACGCGAATCCTCCGCATCATCGAACCGCAACAGCATGTAGATCCGGTCAATGTACCGCATGTACATGCGGATCGGATGGCGCCGCTCGGTCTCAACGTCCTTGAACTGCAAAAAGTCATTGGGCGCGTTGGCCGGCCCGGCGAACTCGGACGCGCGCTGCAGCCCCAGGATCAGCAGATCCAGGATCATGCCGTAGAACTGGAACATGAATGGCGCGAACTGCAGGCCGCGGATCAGGCCGTACGAGTTCACGTGGTTCATGTCCTTGAAGCTCAGCACCACGTTGTTTTTGGCCGTCATGTAGTCAGCCAGATTGTGATCCAGGATCAGCCGCAGCAGGCGGTTCAGCAGCGTCAGGTCGATCTTGTCAAAGACGCTGGCCAACGTGGCCTCCAGCATCACCGTGCACTCGCCGTTGCTAGTCTGCCAGGCGCCGTCCAGGTTATTGATGCCCTGGCACCACTTGTACACCAGCAGTGGCGCCGGCTCCGAGTCGGCAGGCTTGATCCACGGCGCCCACAGCCGGCGCTTATCAGCCTCGTACCACAGGTACTGGTCCAGATACGCATCGGTGATTTTCTCCAGCGGCTCAACGTCATACACCGGGATCATGTGCGAGTACATGTCCATGAACTCAATCCCAACCTCCTTGAACGCACGCTGCGTCAGCAGCAGCCGCTTGATGCGGTTCAGGGCCTCGTGCGGTGCATCAAACGCCTGCTCGATCAGCCCGAGCTCCTCACGCTGCGACGACGTCAAATGGCCCTGTACCGAATACGACTCGCGCAGCCGCTCCAGCGCCAGCACCAGCAGTTTCGGGTCATGCTTGTACGATAGCGGCGGGAACGGGATCGGCGCGAACCGCCGCGATTCGAGCCAGTGGACCGCCGTGGTGTATATGGCCACGGCCTCCTCGGCGCTCACATACGGTCCGTCCTTCAGGTAGCTGCGCTGGCGCTCCTGCTCGGCCTTGAGCCACATGCGCGTCAGCCGCCCGCAGTTCCGCCGCGCAATCGCCTTATCCACTGTGGCGCCACGCCGGATCCGCTCACGGTTGTAGTGCGTCACTGACATCCACCAGTCGGCCTTGGACTTGACGTACCGCAGAATCATGTTCTCCACCGCCTGCGGCATGCCGGGCACCTGCCACGGAATGTTCGCCTTGTAGCAGTTGTGCACCACCAGCCAGTTCTCCAGCAGAAACAGCGCCGAGCCGCCGAGCTCGAAGCCCACGTACTCCCCATGGTCGCTGATCTTTCTTACTGAGAACTGCACGTGATGCTGCGCGCATGCATGTTTGGCGAGTCTCTGCTGGTGGCACGCAACCAGATGCACATCAGCACCGCCTATCAAGCAGCTCCGCTCTGCCTGGCCGTCTCCAGTGATATCGCAGGTCAGCCCCAGGCTGCGTGCCAGGTGCTGTGCCAGATCTACCATCTGCCCGCTGCCCTCCGCCTCCACGCTCTGCGTCAGCTTGTATGCGCCCGGCTGCTTGCAGTCAGCACACAGCGCGGCAGAGCCGTTTCCGTCAATGAGGCCGCCGAGAACCGAGCGCCGCACCTCTGCGCTCAGCGCCAGCAGATTCATAACCAGCGCCTCTGTTGCCAGAGGCCCGCCGGTTGCCAGGTATCCCATGCGGCGGAACACAGCAAGCAGCGCGTTCTCTCGGCCTTCGTCTGCCGGAGCCAGACTTACACACTCTTGGCTGGCACCAGATTGATCAACACACTTGGCCACCAGCCCCATCGAGCCCGCAATCCCCTGCAGGTAGTCAACTATGCTGCCTACCTTTGCCTTAATGGAGAAAGACGCCTGGGATGCGCTGCCACTGGCCATGTGCAAGCCGAGAAGATAGCACACGTCGGCGGCGGTTGGCATGGGGGTGCCGGGCAAGGGCGTCACCAGCTCGGTAATAAGCGCTGCAATGTCTATTTTCCTTGCGGAGGGGGCAGTGGCCGGTAGATCAATGCACTTTGCGCGCACCATGCGATAGGCACTGGCTTCAGCCGGATGGGTAGACGCAAACTTGGCAAAGGCAGCTGTGGCGACTGTCCACGTCACCGAACCCACGGCTTCGCGCTCCAGCCTGAATGCCTCGGCAGCAGCACGCGCAGTATCTGCGCTGACGAACTGCTGGTCAGCACCCATGCTCTGCGCGTACGAGAACACGCGGCTGGTCGACCGCAGCACATCGGCCATTACGGTCTGGTCCTCGAACGGCACGACGTCGGCGTAGTGCACCTCAAAGCGCTGCTGCGCGGGGTGGTGGAGCAGACTCACGCGATCGTACTCGGGGCTGACCAGCACCAGGTCATGGCGCGAGTTGCATGTGAACCCGACCTCCTGAGACTGCACTATGCCCACCTCATACATGGCATCGAACCCGCCCATCGTAGCCTTGACCGGCAGCGCCTGGCCGTCGGCACCCAGCACTAGGTCGCCCACGCCCACATGCCTGGCCTCCTTAACGCTGCCATCGGCCATGCGGACGCGCGTCTCGGGCGCAAAGCACCGCCAGGCCTCCGACAGATGCGCCAGAATGACCTTGCTCTTGTTGCCGCGGATGCCCTCGGGCATCATGTCGAGGATATCGTGCATGACGGCTGCCCGCAGCTCCAGGTCAAAGTGCGAGTCCACGCGCTGCTTGGTCACTGACGCTGCGATGCCCTTGGAGTGCCGGCCCTCGAACTGCCGCGCCAGCAGATTGCCCAGCCAGCGCTCCAGCAGCGGCACGATGCCGCGCAGGAAGAACAGCCAGACGCGCCAGCCCGGCGCCCAGAACCCGATGCCTGGGCCCTTGCCGATGCCCTTGTTGGCGTTGGAGTAGATCACGTGCTTCAAATCCTTGCACGCCCGAATCTGCCGCATCAGCCGGTACTTGTACCGGTACATGCCCGTGAGCTGTCCCACGTGCGCAAACAGGTACTGCAGCCCGTCGGCGAGCTGGAACGCATCGACGTTGCCGAGTCGGTACTGCACGTGTGAGTCGACAATCAGCTTGGTCAGCCGCAGGATCTCGCGGCACAAGTGGAACGCATTGCCGAAGCGGCTCTTCTTGCGCTCCTTGGTGGTCAGCGTTTTGACTGGCTTCAGGTTGAAGTTGTAGTCCAGGTGCAGATAATTGAGGCTCTTGCGGTGGATCAGCAGATTCAGCATGTTGTGCCCCTGCCGGCACACCTGCAGTCCGGCCTCCACCCAGTCGATCTCAGTCGACTGGAAGAACTTTGTGGCCTTGAACTGCCGGAACAGGTACTTTTTGCGCTGCGCCTTGGGCGGCTGCGTCCGGATTGCATTCAGCACGTAGTTCTTCAGCAGCTTCTGGTACGACACCCGCACCTTGACCGGCATCCCCTGCGGGCACCGCTCCATGTACCAGTCCTTCACCAGCGGCACGTCCTCGGCGCGCCGTGTGCGTCCCGACCGAGCACTGAACGGGTGCGGCGCCCAGTACAGGGCAATTCCGTTAGCCGTGTTATCTGTTTCCAACGGTGTGTCCTCCAGGAACGCCGATGCGTGCTCTGGCAGCACAAACTCGTCATCCTCATCGCCGTCACCAAAAATCTCGTCCTCCACTGCGCGCGCGTCATCCTGGAACTGCGACACCAGGCTGCGCGACGAGATCGGGTTGATCACCGGATCAAAGTAGAACGCCGGCAGGTCTGGATCGTCTGGCTTCACATACTGCACGGCCGGCGTGTGGTACGCCGACACACGCACGTTGCGCGGCAGCGAATTGTAGAGGTGCGGGAACGCCACCTTGTACTCGGTGCGGATCGGCTGCCGGATGATGATCTTGTTGATGTCATTGAATTCGTTCCAGTCCTCGTCTGCCGGGTTGATGTCGCGGTACATTGGTTCAAACTTTGGCCCGCCCGGAATCGCCATGTTCAGGCACTTGGCCGTGATGAACGAGTTCAGGTCGAACAGATAAAAGTAGTTTGGATCAATCATGTCTGACAGCAGCTGCCCCGCCAGCCGGTGCAGATTCGCCATCACCGGCAAGTCCAGCCGCCAGCGCTTGTACGACGTGCCGTTGACGCGCCTAAATGGGGCTTTGCGCTTGTCCCCGTCGTCGGAGTCGCTATCGCTGTCCTCGTCATCTTCATCAGCCAGCGGCATGTTGTCGTACAGCCAGTTTATGACCGGCGCATCGTCCTCCTCGTCCAGCTCCATCTGGATCGCCTCCAGCGGCTCGACGTCCAACAGATTGTCGCCATAATCCAGCGGCGCCTCCTCATCGTCGAACGGCGGGAACCGCATGCGCTTAAAATGCTTGCGGTCGCGCTTTTCACGCCGCATCATAATCCACATCGTGCCCCACTGCGCCAAATACACGGGCTCGATCACCCACGGAATCTGGTTCACAAACGTGATCGCGCCTGTGACATGGTACAGAACCGGTACTTCGCGCACCTGCTCCCACGGCATCGGCATGTTCTCCAGCAGCTTCAGCACTGCATGTGGCACGTACTTCAGCGCTCCCAGGTAGACGCGCTTGTCGTGCCGGAACTTGCGAGCGCTCATGTCCCCGTGGTCCTTGATGATTTTGCGCAGGTGTTCAGCGGGCATGTCGGCCTTCTCCTGCTCTGCAAACCCCATCCGCCGCTTCGTGTCGTACCGCTTGCTGTTCAGTGCCCGCCACTCCTGCGCCTTCTTGTCTAGCTCTGACTCAGAGGGCGCGACCGGCACGAACTGCGCGTCCGTTGGCGCTAGCTGCTGCTCGCCATGCCCACGCGTTTCGCGACCAGTCATTGTTTGGTTGAAATTGCTCTTTGGTTGCAATCAAAGTCCTTACAATATAAAATAAATTGCTTGATTGAAGCAAAGAAACGCTGAAATGATTCCAAAGGTGAGGGAAAAAAACACACTTGGGAATTGCGTGTTGCCGGAAGAAAGTCGCAGCCAGTGAAAAAGTATACAAATCACCACCACCGAAAATCAAGCGATCATCTGTTGATTCCTTCCTCCAGGTCGGAACTGCGGAATCGCATGTTAGCGACTACAATATCCGCACGATTTGTCTATGCGAGTGATTTACATCTCACCCTACTCCATGCAACGGATCCACAAACGGCCGGCGCACTACTTAAAAGGTGCCCCTATGTCTAAGAGAAGGGTAGCTGCCATCTCCCCTCTTCAACTGAATTTATCCTGAACATCTTTTAACAGATACCAGCAATGAAGCACCTATATACCTCTGCGCAAACCTACAAGTGCATTTCTTCTAATATTTGTTCTTCCATTCAAAACGATGACTCAACCTCCCAGCAAGATGGTAAGTATAGTTTGGCTTACGTTCAGACATCAAGTATATCAAACAAGATAATATAACCTATATTAAATACCAATACCCGTTTCTAGATACATTGTAGTTGCCAAAATACCACTATTGGTACCGAAAGTGGTATTTTTGGCACAGCTCTCTACGCTAGAAGACGGTGAATATACTAGCTATTGCCTTTCACTTATTAGGAAAGCTCATTACTTCCAGTTATTTCTAGCCTTTTCCTCATTATGTTTCAATACATTGCATGTTGGAATGTTGGTTTTACGACCAAGAGGTTAGCACGTAGGAGTTTCTTTCACATACATTGCTAACATAATCAAAGCTATCTTTTCAAATATAGTACACCCAAAAAAATATGTTTTTACTTCGCACTGTCAAGTGAAGTACTTTCCGTGATAACGGATATGCATCTATTGATTTGTAGCGTATGTTGTATCTCGGGTACGATACACTTGGATAGACAGCCTCCTGCAGCTGTCTGGAACACGTTTACTCTCCAGGCGCCTTTCCATGACGTATATTGAACGTATGAAATATGCTGTATGAAAGAAGGAAGGAGGAATCGCCAGGTGAAAGGGCAGGTGCCCGTCTAAGTAGTGGCGCCAGTCGCCTGGAATAGTACAGATGGCCATTGTGGCCAAAGAGTCTTGATCAACGGGTTCCTGAAATCATGTTGATTTGGAACCACACGCTATTCGCAAACGCACCTCTTGCGTGCGTCATCATTATTGGACTCGCCCGGCAGATGAATATGGAAGTAGTACCAGTAATTGCCATCCCAAAGATGCTGACTGTGAGATTTCTTATCGAGGATGATGAGGAGCAGGATGCAATTGCCACCAGGCAGATTGCTTGTACATTGCTAAGGAAACCGTTCACAGTGCAGCATACAGAAGTTATTATCATCACAAGCATACCGGTGTCACTTCCTGACGCAATGTTGATGGGGTTGAAAAGCTTATCCCTCCAATTCCCGGTATACCTCATTCAGCTCGTTGGCATCCTTCTACAACTTCCTCACCTGCAGTGGCTACTCATCGGCGCAATTTACGACACAGAATTACATTGGCCAGCTGTGCAGTGCAGTCAGATATGGAGCGATACAGTTCGGTTTCTCTGTCTTTTCTCCAGCATCGTACATATCCCAACTGTGCCATCCCTTAGTGCAATGCAGATTCTGGTGGCTGGGCTGCCATCTCTGCTTAGGCTTGCTCTGCCTGATGGGGTGCTAGACAGTGCAAAAGGCGTTCTTGCTGAAGGCGATGCTGCAATGGGACAATACGATGTGGTTAGCTATTATCCAGATCAAATCTCTGAGTATCTCAACTACCAGGTACCGTACAAGCGCTGAATAGAGTTTTCAATAAACTATTTTGTATTTGCGACTGACGAAAGAGGATTGAGGTTCGGCCACATGCAGTCATGAGCCTGGTGCACTATCATTTAGCCACCTTAGTACAGTGTGTGCACTTGAGCTCGTAGAAGCACCAGAGCTGACTCACCAGCGATATATTGTCTCGGATGTGGTAATTGCTCAGACCCCGGACTGCCCGGCGCCATGATGCTGCGGGTTCCGTGTTAATGCTCACAGTCTCTGAGACACTGTGTGCTGCTATGATAACAAAGTGCGCATCCCAGCGCCATTACCAAATAACGGCCCGGGTTTTGCGCTGTCCCCCAAAATTAACACGCCCAGCTCGGCCGTTTTGGTGAGTCAAAAAAGCGATACCGCAGAAAATCGCCTATAAAAGGCGAATGTTCCCGACACTGTCGGCCCCTGCTCCGATATCTGTGCTTTTCTCTCCCGAAATCAATTTTCACATTCTTCCAGCACTCCACGTAGTCCAGAACATGATCAATCCCGCCAGCGACCGCGTCCTCAACTTCTCTGCAGGCCCCTCGACTCTGCCGCTATCTGTGCTCGAGGAGGTGCAGCGTGATCTGCTCAACTACAAGGGCACCGGCGTGTCGGTCCTCGAGATGTCGCACCGCTCCAAGCCGTATGACGCGATCATCCGCGAGGCCGAGGCTACGCTGCGCCGTGTCCTCGACGTCCCCGCCAACTACGCCGTGGTGTTTCTACAGGGTGGCGGCACTGGCGAGTTCGCTGCCTCCTACCTGAACCTCTTCGCTAGCAAGTCCGTGCGCGCAAAGCAGGCAAAGCTGGGCCGGCCGCTGTCCTGCGACTATATCGTCACGGGCTCGTGGTCCAAGGCTGGCATGAAGGAGGTCAAGCGGCTGGGCGGTCACATAAACACCGTGATCGACGGGGTTGAGGGAAAGTACGTTGGCGTGCCGCCCGTCAGCGAATGGCGGCTGGGAAAGCCCGAGGAGACGGCGTTTGTGTATTACTGCGACAACGAGACTGTCAATGGCGTTGAGTGCAGGCCGGAGACGGTCGTGGATGCGGTTGATCCGTCGGTACCCGTGATCTGCGACATGTCGTCCAACATGATGTCGCGGCCAATTGATATCAAGCGCTTCGGGGCGATCGTTGCGGGTGCGCAGAAGAACATGGGGCCCGCCGGCGTTACCATTGCGATTGTGCGCGAAGACCTGCTTGAGCGCGACGATGATCCGGAGGTACTGCGGGCTCTGCCATCAGTGCTCGACTGGCAGTACTACAGCAAGGCTGGCTCGCTGCCGCACACGCCGCCGTGCTTTACGATCTATGTCTGCGGGCTGGTGTTCAAGTGGGTCGAGAGCCTGGGTCTGGAGAAGGTCGAGGAGCTGCGCGAGGAGCGGGCCAAGCTCGTCTATGACACTATTGATTCGCACCCAGAGTTCTTCAAGGGCCCGGTCGACAAGCAGTATCGCAGCCGCATGAACATTGTGTTTAATCTGCCGACCAAGGAGCTGGAGGCGCAGTTTGTCGCTGAGGCGGCCCAGGAGAACATGATCCAGCTCAAAGGTCACCGCAGCGTCGGCGGAATCCGCGTGTCGCTCTACAACGCCATGACCATCGAGGGCGCACAGGCCGTTGTCCAGTTCATGCTGTCATTTTATGAGCAGAATCGCCAGTAAATAAACTTTTTTATTCGCTATACTCAAACGGTTGCCTGGCGGATCAGTGTGATGTTGTCGCCCTTGAGCATTACCCGGCCCAGCGGCTTTCTGGTGTCCTTCTTGGTGTGCAATTCCTCGGCGTCATCGAGCACGAACATTCATGAACTCGTCGAAGCCCAGAATGCGGCCCTCGAGCCGCAGCGTCTTCTGCTCAAACAGCCAGATCTGGACGCGCTCCTTGGTCTGCAGGAACTTGAAAATGACGTTGATGGGGTTGACCATCACCTTCTGGACTCTGGTCGACATGGTTGGAATGTTTCTGAGATATTTGTTTGCGGAGGAAATGTAATCGGAATGGGCTGGAGATATGTGTAGTAATCAGCAAAGAACGCAAATTCCCATTCCGTAAAGGCGGATGCACGGACGACAAAAAGAGAGCAGAGGGAATGCGAGGGGATGGAGACGATACGGAGACGAATGCAAAAAATAACGTGCGAACGGAATATGCGCTCTGAACACTTTTACTGCACGTCATCTCCCCGTTATGGCAAAATGACCAGTAGAGGGGAAAAGGGCGGGGTGGCAGAAAAGAGGGCTTGCCGGACTGGCCCATTCTACCCTTCCCCCTTCCCTACGCCTGCGTAATGCAGCGTCCAGGTTGCAACCGCCGTATGCGAGAGAAGAATAATGCGTGGCTGTAAAGGCTGCGAATTTTCGCCAGTTGTTTCTCTCTCCTCTCTCTCCTCTCTCTCCTCTCTCACTGCACTTTTTTCTATTATCTAGAGCTGAATTTCCTCTTTTCATACCCTCCTCCATTCTTGGAAATGTCGACAAAACGAACGCCGTCCGTCGGGCAATATTCCTATAGCCGGAATGAGCAGCGTCGGCATGACCGCGTCGTCGTCCTCGTCGTCCTTCACAGAAGCACCGTGCAACCCCAGCCAGCAGCCACCACCATTCCACCAGGCTGAAAGCATGAACATGACGCCGTTCATGACAAACGCAAACTACCGCATTATCTCGCCGTTGGTCCAAAGACGACACCAAAGCGCCGAGTGTGATGCCAGGGCTCCCTGCGTGGATGTCGCCCACATCAGTGTCTCGCACGTATTTCCCTGCCACGCTGGCGAAAGACGTAGAGGCAGAGGAGGACATGGGCATGTGCGGCGGGTACGATGGCGTGGTGGACGGACAGGGATTGCGTACCGAGTATGACGTGTTGCCTTACGAGATCCACGCATGGTCGAGCCATTCGGCCAATTTCCTGCCACATAACATTCAGGTGGATCGACCGCACGACCAGGCGTCGAGGTGGTCGACCAATGCCAACAACCACCGGCAATACATCACGCTGCGGACTCGAGCATCCAGCGCTTGTCAGTAAGTAGGCCACATGAGATTGTCACTTTGTTCTAGCAGCAGGCGATTTGTACTGCATTTGTATGTGCGCATGGCTGAATGACGGTCGCTTGTGCGCTCTGTTGCAGTGGATATTCTCTTGGATGCGAGGGGAGATTGCCCTCTCCGTTGTGTGTTCTCTTGCTAATCGTTCATATCACGTCTGCACGCTCTCCGGGCACGGGGGCGAGCCTCTGCTCTTGGGCTCTTCTAGGATCGATAAAATTCGGCAAGTTCCACAAGAGTAAGTGCATACACAGCGAAACGTAGGATGAAGCGCTGAGGCAGGCGACATGTGTGTTGATATCTCCCCTTTCCGTAGCCCATGTATGCAACCTCAAGGAGTTCAAGGTCTTTGGCGGCATGAACCAGGACACCATGACCGAGCTGCTCTACAGCGGACTACGCAACGACAACGAGCCCGAGACAATATCGGTCAAGCAGAGGCTTAGTGGATATGTAAGTAGCCTGGCCCCACTGCTCTCTCCAAGGCAGCATTGCCCGCATGCAGCACAACTGCTAAACAGAAAAACGCAAATAGTACATTCCGTGCCAGTACATCAAGATCCAGCCGTTGCTAGCACACGACCAAAAGTTCAACTTCAGTGTTTGGTACGTGGAGTTGCGCGGAACCATGGATCCTCAGATTATGCAGCCCATCATCCGTGACTTTGAGCAGCTAAAGGAGCGCGAGGTGGTCAGATCGTGCCTCAAGTTCTTCCGCGAACGCAACTACACCGACGCCTTCAAGGCCCTGCAGCAGCAGTCAAACGTGCAGTTTGAGACTCCGCTTCTGACACAGCTGCACGAGGCCCTGGTTGACAAAGCCGACTATGATCGTGCTGAGCAGCTTCTCCAGCGCGCTGAGCAGTCAGGCATCTTTGGCACCTGCATTGCCAAGATTCCGTACCGGGCCAAGTGGGGTACGGCCGCGGATCCGGAGCTGTATCCATGCCCATCGCCGCGCGGCGGCCACCAGATGTGCGTGGACTCCGAGAACCGCGAAGCATATCTGTACGGCGGGTGGGATGGCGCCAACAACATGGGCGATCTGTGGGTGTTCAAGATGGACACAGGCCGGTGGACGTGCATCAGCAGCAACACGCGGGACCATGGCGGACCTGGCCCATGCTCGTGCCACTCGATGTGCTTTGACAGCGTCACAAAGTGCCTCTACATCATGGGGCGCTACGTCGAGCACGAGCACCGAGCCAACATCGGCCTGGAAAACGACCTGTACTGCTATGACACAATCCGTGACGAGTGGCTGATGCTGTCGGAGAACACAGGAGGTCCTTGGCGGGCCCAAGCTGGTGTTTGATGCGCAGATGGTGTTCGATCCGCGGTTCTCGAGCATCTACGTGTACGGCGGTAAGGTCCTGCAGCCAAACAACAGCGACACTGACTATGTGTATAGCGGACTGTACAAGTTTGATCTGCGCCGGCATGCCTGGACCATGCTCAAACCCGACGCCCACATGCATGACAAGGACCAGCATGTGCGTGGCAGGTACTTCCACTCGATGACGATTGATCCGCAGCTGCAGCGCCTGTATGTCGTGTCCAGCAAGCGCGACGTGGCGACGCCCGGCGATCTGTTCATCTACGATATTGCCAGCAACACGTTCTACGAACGCACTCAGGACCTGATGGCCACATGGGGCACGAGGCAGCCAGCAACGCAGCAGCGGTACCTCGCCGAACACCCGCACTATACCACGGGAATGGAGCCGCAGCGTACGGCGCTGATGGCGCCCGAGGCCAGCGAGATCCACCCGCACCACGTCCACCTGGTGCAGGACGGCCGCTCGGTCATGACCACTCTGGACACTGAGCGTCAGGAGCTCTACGTGATGGCGTCGGTGCAAAACGAGAGCAGCAGTGCGCTGCCCTTGCAGTCGATGATGTCGATGCGCAGCCGCGACGTCATGGGGACAGCGGAGCTGCATGCTGCCCAGGGCGCCTATGCGTCGTACTCGTCGGGCGCCGGCTTCCTGCCATGCTCCAGCATCATGGACTCGGGCGTGCGGTACACTGTGTCGCCGACAATGTCGACCATGCGCCCCAAATCTAGCCGCAGAGATAACCAGCGCAAGGCTGTCGAGGAGTGCGTCCTGATGGTCGTGCTATGCTATCATATCCCTACAGAGACGTGGACAGAGGTGTACCATTCGGCACGCAGCCCTGCAGCACTCGGAATGGCTCCCGGCTCATACCCGTCGGCACGGTTTGCCCAAGACTGGGTATATGACCGGCAGACACGCAAGCACTTCATGTTTGGCGGCAACCCGAACTGGCCAACCAACAAGAGCGCCCGCTTCAACGATACATGGGAGATGAGCATGATGAGACCCAGCCCCCAGGACATTCTGCGCCGTGCCCTCTACCTGGTACGCCAGCGTCGCTACCTTGACATGTGTGCAGGCTTGGCAAGCCAGCGCCAGCCCAACTGTGTGGACGAGATCAAGGCGTCGGCCATCCCAAGCCCGAATCTGATGGACGAGAAGCCAGAGCCAATCCCTGGCCTTGGAATGACTGTTTCTGGTCCGCCCACTGCATCGACATCAAAGGGAGGCACAGCCCAGGCGCTGGCATATCTGCAGCAGTGCGTTTCGCCGCTGGTAAACCACTCGGATCCCAGCGAGAGTCACTCATTCCGCGCACTGAGCACGGCGCTGTTCCAGATCTCAGCGAACCAGAGTGTGGTCAAGCCGGCGCCCTCACACGAGCTGCTGCGCAAAGAAAGGGCTGATGTCTACAATGCACTGCTGTTCTACTTCCCAGAGAGTGGGCGGCAGCCAGACTCGCAGCTAGATGAGCTGGTCCCGATGGTCCTAGACTGAAGCCCGTTATAGTCATAATTTAAAAAAAAAAAGACTGCTCTACCTTTTATTAAGAACTCTCTACATCCTCATCCACCGAATCAACATCAACGTCATCGTCTTCATGGTCTACTGGCTCCCGTGCGACGCTGGTATCGCCAATAAATGGAATCAATGTGCCGGTGCGCCTGCAGTAGCTGTCATACTGCGGACCAAAAAACACTCTCAGCGTGTGCTCCTCATACCTCGTCCTCCGCAAAAAGAAGTACCCGAGCACTGCTGCAAACCCAATTACCGATACCGGGTTCTTCAGCATAATCTGCAGTCCGACCGCCCACAAGAAGAACCCTACGTACGATGGGTGCCTCTCGTACTTGTACACACCATGTGTAATCAGCTGGTGGTCAGATTCCTTCCGATTCGCAATATAGTGGTTGAAGCTCGATTTCGCTGTAACCATCGCCAGCGTACGCATTGCCTGGCCAAGCACTGCCATCACCAGACCAGCACAGGTCACCACACCTGGCGCCTTGCTCGACCCACACAAGTACGACTCGATGCAGTACTCTGCAATTGACACCAGCATCGCCTTGTAATAGTGGTTGCCCTCGTCGGGATTGAACATGAAGGACTCCATGGTGACGCGCGTCGGATTGTACATGGCCACGCTCAGGTACTCAAGCATGTGGTAGACAGCAGCCACGGCTATGTAGAGCCCGAGGACTCCAAAGTGCGTGAAGCCAAGCGTCATAGCGGCAGAGAGACCGAGACCGATCAAAATGCCGAGACCACAGGCTGTCAGTGCAATGTTGTGGGCAGAGTGAATTTCGTAGTCGAGCGAGACTACCGGCGTGTACCATTTGTCGGTGGTGTGCGGGCGACGCCGGAAGAGGCCAACTCGGGGCGTGAATGCTGCTGCCCGGGCATCGTCGTCTGCCATTGTGGAAAATTCAAAAGCGAAAAATGAGTGGGTGCACAGTAAACAAGCGCACCAGTTTGTAGAGAAAAAACGCCTGCATCTGAAAGTTTGGGTAGGACCGCTTGGTTCCACATGTCATCAGCCTCGCTGTCTGGTCCGATCGCCATTGGGGGTTTGTGTTCTATTTCCCACTATGAAACTGTCACGAACAGCAAGTAAATAGAACGTGCTCCCTCTTCTCTCGTCTTTTCGTTCTCCTTTGCTTTCCTCTCTTCCACCTTCCATTTTTCACGAACTACCTTATTGCCCTCACTCTCTTCCTCCCCCACCTCCTGTTTACCATGCGTGTCTCAATTTTCGCTCTGACCGCACTGCTGGGCAGTGCCGTCGCTCTGGACAAAATTGTGATCAAGGACAACAAGTTCTTCAACTCTGTGACCGGCGACGAGTTTTTCTTCAAGGGTCTGGCTTACCAGCCCGAGAACGGCGAGCCGGATCCCAACAACCGCGACCCGCTGGCCGACACGGTCGGATGCAAGCGCGACATTGAGTCCTTCAAGGACCTGGGCATCAACGCCATCCGCGTGTACCAAACCGACTACACCAAGAACCACGACGTGTGCATGGCTGCCCTGGAGAAGGCCGGCATCTACGTGGTTCTGGACGTGCCCGCCCCCAGCTACGCTATCAACCGGGCGTACCCGGAGTGGACGACCGATCTGTTCGCCAAGTTCCGCGCCAAGGTCGACAACTTTTCGGTCTACAAGAATGTGGCCGCGTACGTCATTGGCAACGAGGTCACTAATGACGATAAGACGACACCGGCGGCTGCCTTTGTGAAGGCTGCGGCACGCGATATCAAGGCGTACCTGAAGAAGCAGAACATCACAACGCCGGTCGGCTATGCGTCGAACGACGAGCCCTCGATCCGTGACCAGCTGGCAGCCCACTTTGTGTGCAGTGAGAACAACTCCGAGAACGTCGACTTTTATGGCATGAACCTGTACAACTGGTGCGGCGACATGACGTTTGAGACGTCCGGGTACGAAGAGTTTGTCAAGCAGTACGCCAGCTACCCGGTCCCCGTGCTGCTGACCGAGTACGGCTGCAACGCTCAGCGCCCGCGCAAGTTCCCTGAGGTTGGATCCCTGTATGGCAGCGACATGGACACTGTGTTCTCGGGCGGCTTCATGTACGAGTACTCAGAGGAGGCCAACAACTACGGCCTGGCATCGGTCACGTACGGCAAGACTGGTGTCGAAAAGACTGATGACTACGACAACTTCAAGAAGGCTCTGGCGGCGGTCTCCCCCAAGGGTGTCAAGATGAGCGAATACAAGCAGTCCTCGGCCAAGCGCCCCTCGTGCCCCAGCGTTACTGACACATGGCATGTCGCTCCCAAGATCCTGCCACCGACGCCCTCGTCTGCCAGCTGCCAGTGCATCTCTAGCTCGTTCTCGTGCGCGATCAAGGGCAACGTCACGGATTCGGATGCTGGCAAGGCGGGCGATCTGATCGGCAACGTGTGCAAGGACGTGTCGTGCTCGGAGATCCAGACGAACACCGCCAAGGGCGAGTACGGACACTACGCGTTCTGCGACGTCTCTGTGCGCGCATCGTACGCCGTTAACGCATACTATGAAGACAAGAAGCAGTGCAAGGCTGACGGATTTGATACGCAGACTGCCAAGCCGTCGTCGAAGGCGGACTCGTGCGCGGACAAGACCACCGACATCAACACACCCAGCAACAACAACGGACGGGTGCCGACGGTCGATGACTCGGAGCTCGAGGACCTTGAGAGCGGCAGCTCATCTGGTCACCGCAGCTCGTCGGGCAGCTCGCTGGGTACCAGCGCTGCGGGATCTGTCTCCATGCTGGCTCTGGCGTCAACGCAGGTTGCTGTGGTGTTTGCCGCCGCCATGCTGATTTAAAGATAGGGCAGTGGGATACTTTGTGTCTGGGATCGGATTTCCAGCGACCATTACAATGGCTTTGTTGAAATCGAACAATGTTTGAGAAAATAACCTGAAATCCCGCCACAGGCAGCCTGTGTCGTCGTGTGTGGCTGATGCAGTGCTTCTGCATATAGGTGCGCAGACATATGCGCAGCACACGTCAATGAACACGGGGGTGCGGGGTCAATGGCCGTATGTCAATGCCCAATTCACCTCGGTTGCCTCCTTCACTCCACTGCTTCTGTCTGATCTCTTTATCGACCCAACGCATCTCTATCTCTCCGTCAGCTTTTTTTTGGTGGGGCCAGTAGCGAAGAATTTTCTCGCAAAGAGCCTCGGTCCACGGCGGGATTTCGATGCTGGCTTTCACTGACTCGGGGCTGCACCTTCCTTATTTGGGACGGTGTGAACAAAAAGAACCAGTGCGCCGAGTGTTCATGACGCTGTTGCAAGATAAAGCAAACGGGCCAGCTCGATTCCGTATTCGTAGCTGTGCGTTCTCATGGACATCGACTAGTTGTTTGAGGTACTTGGTGGGCGTTGATGGAGGGCGTGCATGGCTAGCATCGGCAGCCTTACTCCTTGTTTGGTTAGACATCTAACCCCATTTGTCAGCTTGTAGAAGCGCGCGCGCCAGGTACGACTCGAAATGGCAAGGGCTATTTAAGCTATTTTCCGTCCCGCGCCCGTCTGCCGATTCCTTCGTGTCCTACCCACATCTCAGGACGCTCTTCTTCTTTCCTCATTTTATTTCCTATCCCTCCTTATGCACAGCTGCACAGACCCATCCACGCCATTACGCTGACATCACTATTCTTCTTAGCCAGTATTTGCCCTAGTATTGCTTTTACACATTACCCTTGATTCTAGACATCACGGACTATGTCTGAGCGCAGGTCCGACGCCAAACAGCCAGAAAATGAGAAGGAGCATTCCGGGGACGCTGCTCCAGGGTCGACGCCACTCGTCTCTCGCCACTCCAGCGATAGCTCCCTCCCCTCCCTGAGCCCGCGCCCATCCGAGGAGTCCTTGAGCAGCGTATCGTCAGACAGCATGCTGGAGACAATCAGCAGCAAACCGACGTACATGGACAGACCTGCGCCGATCGACCGGCACGCTGAGGCCCGCGTTGGTCCATTCGAGCGTGATTTGTCGCGGCTGGCAGCCCGCCTGCAGCCAGACCCTACAGCCACCAGCTCCGTGCAACGCACAGGACCTGGACGCGTGCAGCGGCCACTACAAATTCATCTGGATGTTGCGGCTGTCGAACATGACATCGACACGCCCACCAGCAGCGCGCCTGCTGGAGCAGACAACCCAGGTCTGCTGTCGCACTATCTGCAGCTTGCCGATATCGACCAGCAGCGCGAGCGGCTGGGCCAGAAGCATATGGAGCAGAAGCGGCGGATGCAGCATGGCACGGGCTCGCGGCGGCGGCGGATCCAGAAACTGCGCGACCAGCTACACGCCTCCAGCCTGTCACGTATCAGAAACAGATCGCACAGGCAGTCGGTGCAGCCTGACGCAGAACCTAACGTCGCGAGCAGTGAGACATCGGTGACAAAGCCAAATTTGGCCACAGTGCCTGCTAAACCAGCGGCAGCATCACGCCATGCAAGCACAAGGGCTAGTGTGCTTGAGGAGCCCACAGATCCTGCAGAGTTCAACGAGAAGGTCACCTTTGCCAGCGAAAAAAATGCGATTGACCAGACAAACACCAGCGGGTCGGCGCCAGCGAATAAGACACCGCCCGCCATGCGCGCGCCGTTCAATGCAGTCAACCTGACGCAGTTTCTGCCATATGCACTGTCGACACCTGGCCTGCAATCGCTGATCAACTCGCCAGCCATCTCACGCGCCAACAGCATCGACGACATGGGTGACTGGATGAGACGCCATGGACCCCTGCTGGACACAATTGCACCTACACCGACGTCTGTGACTCATGAAAAGGAGGCGGCCATTCTAGACGCCAAACGCAGGGCGCTGATGAAGGGAATCCAGAAGCTGCTGCTGCACCAGCGCCTGCTCTGCTTGCTGGCAGAGGCTATGATGCAGTATGGTGCGCCCCTGCACCACCTGGAAGATAATCTGCTGCGGATGGCACGGCATCTGTGCATCACTGCCACGTTCACAACCATTCCTGGGCTGGTCCTGATCTCGATTGAGGATACGGCGACGTCCACTACGGAGACCAAGATCATCCGCTGCCCGAACGGCTATGATATGCACCGACTCGAGTTAACCGACCGCGTGTTCAGGCGTGTAAGTCGCGACAAGATGACGGTTGAAGAAGCCCTGGGTGAGCTGGACCGCATCATGAGCGCACCACCCCTGTTCGCTTGGTACTGGCAGGTGCTTGACTGGGGACTAGCGTCGTGGTCCGTGTGCCTACTGGCTTTTAGTGGATCGTGGTGGGACTCGCTAGCAGCCCTAATCCTTGGCATCGTCATCGGGTGCCTGAATCTGGTTGCCGGTCGACTAAAGGGCTACACAAACCTGTTCGAGGTCTCGGTCAGCATTCTGTCTGGCTTTGTTGCTACAATCTTCCCTAGCCACCTATGCTTTGCCGCCGTCACACTATCCGCCACCGTGGTCCTGCTGCCCGGCCTGGTTCTTACTACGGGCGTCATCGAGCTGACAGCGCGCAACATGCACGCTGGCACGATCCGCGTATTCTACGCGCTAGTCTTGGCATTCATCATCGCATTTGGCATCGAGCTGGGCAACAACATATTTGTGGAGATTTTCTCGCGGCCAGGACGCGTTCCAGACATGAATACAGGCACCTGTAGCCCTGTCTCTCAGTGGTACTGGTGGCTAACCTTCCCTGTTTCAATCTGCAGCATCTGCCTCCTGATCAACGTGCACCCGCGCGACTGGCACGCGTGCGTTATTGTTGGCGGCGCCATGTTCGCCGTGTTCTGGTACTTAGTGATGCACCTGCAGCTGACGATTATCGGGCCGGTTGTTGCCGCGTTTGTGCTCGGCCTGGTGGCCAACCTGTGGAGCAAGCTGTTCAAGCACAATGCGTACGCAGTCATGCTACCTGGCATGATGATCCTCGTACCAGGGAGCGTTGGTGTGCGTGGCATCCTGTCCATGTTCACTGCTTCGGGATCGAGCACGCAGCTGGCGGTACAGATGATCCGCACGTCGCTGAGCATCATGACTGGGTTGTTTGCCAGCACATTTGTAGTCTACCCACGTGGCAAGAAGCACTCGGCGCTGCTGACTGTCTGAGGATGAGTGATGATATCCATATTGCCATAGTATGTAATCATCTAAACGCGCATATATTTTCGAGATCATCAAAAGCTTTTGCCTCTGTAACCCACAGCATTTTTTTGTCTATATATACCATTGCTTCTGAGAATGCCCAATTACCAGGTCGTGCGCTGTGCCGAGGACAAGTGTGCTCGGTTCCAGACTCAGCAGGAGAAGAAAACCAAGAAATGGTCTTGCGTTGTGTGTGGCCTAAAGCAAAGCCTAAAACGTGTATACTTTGAGTCAACTGCGTCCAAGGACTGCCGTCCGATCGTCATGGAGATGAACATGAAGAGTGGACAAACAAACCAAGTTAAGCAGCAAATGATGTCATGTCTTCCATCGCTATCATCCAGTTCGCAAATGGTTCAGAGCCAGGAGCAGAATACCAACGGCGATATCCCTCGATCCAAATGGAATCGGTATTTGGATGACGCGAACGAGCCTGACGATGTAGCGACCGATGATCAACAACTGGACAAATCCGGCCGTATCACTCTGGGACCAGCCCCTAGCAAGGAAGTGAAGAATTGTAGGCCAACTGCGGCAAAAAAAACTGTTGATGTTTCCGGAGCCAGAACATCACTAACGGTGCGCAGTAAGCCATATGAGCGACCGGCGACACCTATCACAGCAAACACTTCACTTTCCGCGGCCCTGGCGAACCTCCGGCAAAACAAACAGCCTGTAGCGAGTACTCGTTCGACTGCTCAGACCTCGGTCCCTGCCCAGAGACCTGCTCCAGCCCAGCCCGCACCCAAGATCTCCCATGAGTCCTCACGCTGGGACCAGTACATCTCCGAATCAGAATCCGATTCAAACTCCGAATAAAAAGCGTCTAATTCTTCTTTCCCTTCTTCGACTGTGCCTTGCTTGCCCCATCCTTTGTGGTTAGGAACCCGCCGTCCTCCAATGCTTGCCGCGCAGCATTGTTTATAAGTTTGAACCGGTCAGGCCCCAGGTGCGTGCCACCAAACCACCGGGTAACGACAACCATGACATCCTCAGCTTCAAGCAGCTGCAGCAGATGCCCAAGTCTTTTCCCAGCAGCCGTCTCGCCGTCATCGTCGTTGTCTTGGCAGATCGAGCCGTTCTCCAGACGGATTCTGTATGCTAGAATGTTGTGTGTTGCCTGCGCAATTCGCTTGTCTTCGAGCAGACGGTCGCGCACCATTACCACATCCTCGCTGCTGGTGACGCTAGCGATGTGCGCGACAAATACACTCTTTTTCATCTCCAGCGGCAGTCCCGTGTAGATCTCTGGCCCTGCGTACTGGGATTTTGTGCTCATTTGTGCCATTTCGCCTGCCGTGCTGCCACCAAGATCAGGCTGAGGCGAATTCTTGGTTGCTTGGTTGTCGGAAGGCAGGGGGATCGGATCTAGCGGATGTGGCCAGTGCGCCTCCAGGTATTCCGGCAGCCAGGATGCCCATGAAAACACCACAACGTCCTTGCCCAGGTCTTCGTCCCAGATGCGCCGTAGCTCTGCCGCGACATCCTCACGCATGCCAGCGGTCAGCGACAGCTGCCGCTCTGGATACACATATCCAGGCTTTTTGTCTTTGGACTGGCTCCGTAGATCGTGTGATGCAAGCCATTCAAACACCGGCGGGTCCTCTGACGGATATGTTGCTGGTAAATGGAAGCGTATATCGGCCTGGGCCTCCAAAATGTCGAGAGGCACATAAAGTTCAAACGAGCTGTCGCCTGTGATTTCGCTTGTTTTGACTGCTTCATCGCCAAAAATTGCTACTAGAGCTAGGATCTCGTCCTGCTGTCGTTGCCGATTATCCTCAGTGTCTGCCATTGCGTCCTGTGGTTCGTAGTTGAATAGGTGTAAATAACAGAGAGGTGTAATCGGCTGTGAAACCCGCAGCTCTTGGGCATACCAAAAACCCCCCCTCAAATGATTGTAAGATGCAGTTACACATTGTTTTGGGCAATCGTTAGCCCGCATTTCAGCAGGATACCTGTGGTCCTGAATTGCATCCTCATAGCCGAATCCCTACAAGCTATCGAAAGTAGTGCATAATGATGAAACCTACATCTCCCTCGCCGGTCAGCTATACCTGCTTTCTCCACCTCAGCACTTCTCTATCCACAAGCCAGCGCTCAGATGCGAACGAAAAGACAATATCCATTCCCTTAAATACGTACACAATGACGGAGGTGGCGGTCCACAGCCACTGTCTCATGTGTACTTTAGTTTTCCGCAACTGAATGTCAGTTGAAAACGCTCACTTTACATTCCACACTAGTCTATCCAAGTCTTCTATTTATCCTGCTGCTATAATGATGCTGGACTTGAGTACCCCGCCAAGCGACTCTATCACAGAGCCACTGCCCATTGCGTCGCCCGAATATACTGACGAAGTCAAGGAGAAAGCAGCCATTGACGAGAACGATCCCAGGCTCAGGTGGGCCTTTAGAAAGGTAGACGCAACGCTTCTATTTGTGCTATTCCTTAGCAACATGCTCAATTCGATGGACCGCGGAAACCTTGGGCTTTCCAAAGTCGTTGGTCTTGAGAAGGACACTGGGCTGTCTGGATCCGACTTCAACGTCGTCGCCAGCATTATGTACCCGACATACCTTCTACTCATGCTTCCAAGCAACCTGGCCCTGCGCAGGGTTGGAGCACGGCACTGGCTTTCTCTTCTCACTGTTCTGTGGGGCATCATTAACATGTGCATGGCTTTCGCCAAGAACAAGACCGATCTGATTCTGTGCCGTCTGTTCCTTGGTGCCGCTGAGAGCGGTGCGACGCCGGGTGCCTTAATGCTGATCACGCTCTGGTACCCTCGCCAGATGGTTACATCGCGCATTAGTCTTTTCTACTCGGCATTCGCTACTGGGGCAGTCATCGGCGGACCAATTGCAACCGGCATTGGCAAAATAACCAACACGCGCTTCAAGCGGTGGGAGTGGATTTTTTTCATCGAGGGACTGGTCACGGCTGGATACGGATTTATCATGTACCTCTTCTTGGCGGACTATCCCGACAAGAGCTGGATCCTAAAGCCAGAGGAGAAGGCGATAATCAGCCAGCGTATGGCACAGGACCAGGCCGAGGGCGGTAAGAAGGAGATCAGCCGCAAGCGTCTGCTCGACCATGCCCGCGATCCGCTCATTTACTCCCAGGCGCTCATTATGTTTTGCTCCAACTTTGGAATCAACACCATCTTGACATTTTCCTCGATTATTGTCAAGGAGATGGGCTTCAGCGCCGGTGCATCACAGGCTATTCAGGCAGCACCAGGAATCTGCGGTTTCGTCGGAATCCATCTTGCCCGTTTCTATCCAAAGTGGTTTGGTTCCCACTTTCGTAGTTCGCTTTTCTGCGCATTCTGGCTCATCGTTGCATCAGCTATTCTACTGAGCGTCACCAACAACCCAGCGCGGATCGTTGCTCTCTGCATGTTGTCGTTTGGCGGGTTTGGCGGCCACAGCATCGGTCCTGGGTGGATCATGAGCAACGTCGGTGGCCCAACGCGCGCTGCCATTTCAAGTGCGGTGGATATCATGTTTGGTGGTTTGGGCGGCCTTTGCACATCGTACATCTACCGCAACAAGGATGCACCGCGCTACCTGTTTGGGCACGGTATGAATATGTTTGCTGGCTGTCTCACGGTTGTCGTCTCCCTTGTTTCTCACTATATAATCTCTGTTCGTAACAGGCAGAAAGAAACCAATCCGCTCGATATATCTGGAATGCCGCAAGACGAGATCGACTATCTAGAGAATGACCACCCCGCCACCACACCCAGGACTTTCCCGCCTATGGTGCCATTTAAGGGTTGGTTTGGCCTCCATTATGGTTATCCCTTCCTCCCTAATACCATTTTGATCCATTTTGGGCCATATTGGCAGGATTTTAACATTACTTGGCAGATATGTGTTATAGACGGCAGATGCAGTTGCGCACCAGCCAGGACAAACATCAAACGAAGTCTCACTTCTTGTTGTGGTGCGGCGCCAGAGCGTGCTTGATCTGCAGCCCAGTGAATGGGCTTGACGATGGTCCTTGTCATACAGGATATCAGTGGCCTCGTCGTCATACGCGGCCATGGCAATGATCGGCGTATCGCGGTTCGCATTAAATGTGGACTTGATCATACGGGTAGCCTCATCGCCATCAACGATTGGCATACCAACATCCATAAAGATGGCGCGGAACACAGTGCGCCCCATGGCACAGCGGATAGCCTCAGCACCATTGCGCACGACCACGCACTGCATATGTTGGCGGGCAAGCAGAATTTCCATGATCTTGCAGCACACTGGGTTGTCATCAGCTACAAGACAGATGCGGCTCTTCATGAACGGCACGCGTGGCTGATCCATAGCACTGGCTGACGAGTCTGTACGCTGACGGGGTGCCTGCATCGGCACGCTTTGCTTGATTGTACTGATGGCCAGCGGGGCGGCAGTCGCACTGCTCATACTTAGGGTCTGGCCTGAGACAGGCGGGGTCTGGACTGTCAGCGTCGATGACGACGAGCCAGCCATTGATAGCGGCATGTTGCTTGTCTGCAGATGATCGGAGGCAGCTGCTTTGCCACTGGCACCACGACTTGACGTGGCCAGCTCATTGCGCGGATTCAGCAGACTGCCTCGCCGGCTGAGCGACGTAGAAGACGCACGTACATTCATTGGAATGGTGAATGCCGATGTAGTGGTAAGTGAGGGCATGGTGGGCGTGGTGGGTGTGATGTCAGTGCTGGTACTAAATGCACTGTGGGCTGCCTACTCCACTGTGGCTGCCAGAACTCCCGGAGTGGTTGCTGCCGTTCGACGAACCTGATATGACCCGGCGCCATGGCGGAAACTCATGGTGCACGCGGTGATCAGTCGGCTGTGGCAAGCGGTGGCCGATATTGCCTACAGTAGCCGCACGCGCCAGGGGAACACCGCTGGGTGGACTGGTAGCCCGTATTCCGCTCTCTGGGCTTCGGCTAGTGTCAATAAACAAACCCGATGACGCTGCCTTCGCTGGAATGCCTTGCAACTGTGTTTAAATGGTGGAGCGTAGCTGGTGGTGGCGGCGACAGCAGGCTGAGGGATTGGCGGCTGCGTGGTGAATCGACTAAAACCGATTGCACGCTGTGCATGCTTTGTGTGCCACTACTGCTGGTCAGGAACGAGCCATGGCGCCGTACAGGGTGCATGCTGGGCGGGGTCTCCAGTGTCGAGCTGTGTGCTGTGGACGACTGTGTGTCGCTGCGGATCAGTGGGTGGTTGGCAATATCCATCAGCGTCGAGCGGCGCCGCAGCTTGATGATCTCGTTAAAGTTGGCCTGCTCCAGGGCATGCAGATTCTTGAACGTGAATCCGCCGAACTCTGGGTCGTCCTCCAACGCCTGGCACATCGTCCTCATCTTTGGTCCTTTTTGCAATTGGAATCGCCCGTGGCTCCTTCGCACGAGATATCCTCTGGCGTTTCAGGCTCCTCGGATAGCCTGGCTGGTGTGGTCTTGTAGCGTTGGAGCGGTGCGCCCTCGATCGAGGTCAGTGGTGGGAGATCCTCTGACTTGGTTGACGAAATCGGATGCCTGCACCGGCACCACCAAGTGTGGATTTTGGCTTCTCCTGCTCCTCCTCTTTGTGAGACTCGTCGAGCGTGGCACCACGCGAATCAAAATACTCAGTATCTTCGATGTCATCGACCTGAGGCACAAACGCCGGCTGTGCATCCAGGATCGTATCCCAGTTGACTGACTGGAAGAACGGGTGGCTCTTGACCTCAGCAGCGCCATTGTAGCCGAGCCGGCGCTTCGGATCGCGGGTCAGAAGTTTTGAGATGAAGTCGCGTGCTTCAGGTGAAATATCAGGAATACCAACATCGTCGTCGTCGTCGCCATCATCGTCATCATCATCAACAGGCATACCAGCTGCAATAGCCTGCATCTTGTGCTCCTCGCGAAGTTGGCGCTCATCGCGCTTCTCCTGTCTCAGCTCCTCGCGCATCTCGTCGTAAAAGTCGATATCAGCCGACAGGATGTTCTCAAATACCTTTTCTGGGGTCTCATCATGGAACGGCGGCACAGCCGAAGAGAAACTCGATAGCAGATGACTCCCAACGCCCACCAGTCGACGCTCTCACCAGACTCCAGTCCAAGGATACTCTCTGGGGCAATATAGTCGGGAGTACCCAAAGCATGGCGTTTCGTATGTGTGTGGCCAGCATCGCTGGGCACTAGCCGCGCAGCTGCTCGCTGAACCGCTGCTGCTACTGGTGGCAGTCGTGGCTGCTGGCTCCAGGAGAGCTCAAACCAGGGGGTCCAACAGCCTCCCTCAGCATCGACACACGCCTTGGACGTCATGGGCGCCGATGGGCTGCTGGAGTCCTCAGCCCAACTCGCGTTTCATTGGTGGCGGGGTCGCAATTGACGGAAGGGGCATGGCGGTCTGTGTGCGCTGGTAGAAGTAGTCGGCGCTGCTCGGCGGCAGGCTAATTGGCGACGGCGCCATAGGTGCCATTGCATGCGGGTCTGATGATCCAGCGACTGGGGTTGGACGCTAGAGCTAGTGGTGTCTCAGTGAGCAACTGCTGCGGAGTCCGTACTGGGTTCGCCACATAGGGCTGCCACACCCGACCTGTGCTGATCGGCTCCATTGCTGCAAGTTCGCTATGCCCGCTGGCATTCATCTCCTTGCGAGCTACTCCAGGTGCTGGTTGTTTGCAAGCGATTGCTGCTGGTCGACACGTCGGCCCAGGAATCCGAGCTTGGATAGCCCAAAGTCCGTCAGCTTCAAGTGGACCGTCACAGTCAATCAGCAGGTTGTCTGGCTTCAGATCGCGGTGGACGACATTTCTCCCATGCAGGTCCTCGATGCCCAGCACAACCTCAGCCAGGTACTGCTTGGCCCAGTCCTCAGGCAGCGCGCCAATCGATTTCAGCAGCGAAGCACAGTCGCCACCGTTCAGGTACTCCATGACCAAGTACAGGTTGGTGCGCGACTGGAAAGTAAACAGCAGACCGGACTACAAACGGGGACCCGGTCTGTGCCATCATGATTGCGCGCTCGGCCTTGACGTTGCTGATCTGGTTCTTGGCTATCATGTCTGCCTTCTTCAAGATCTTGATCGCGTAGTACTCGCCGGTCGTGCGTTTCTTGGCTAGAAACACCGACCCGTAGGCTCCCTTGCTAATTGGCTTCAGGAGAACAAAGTCGTTGATCGACGGGATCGTGGGCGTTACCAGGTATGATGCGCTGCTGCCCATGCCCATGGTTACGGTTGACGGAATGTGCGACTTGGACGGGTGTAAACTAGATGTCGTGATGCGAAGTGATCCTGGGGAGTTGTGTGTTTGCGACGAGCTGTCGGCAGCGGGCTTGATAGACGAGGGCACAACGCTGTCCAAACGCCAATGGTGAAGATTTTGGCGATTTTTCTGGCCCGCTGGTTTCTTGCCTGTCGTTTCCCACAGACGCAGCATTTGGACTCGCAGATGCACTTGCCGCAATGCTTTGCCGACGAAAGCCGCTGCGCAATAGCCGCCCAGGTGAGGAGTGCTGCTGCTGTCAGGTGCTGAAGCCGCCAGGACGCCCGCGGGTGCCGGTGAGCTCTGCATTGGAAGCTTTGCAGCTGCAACCGGAGCAACCTCATCGATTATATCCTGAACCGGAATCAACCACCTGCTGCATGCAATGGATGCCTCAATGATCGCGTATTGCAAGCTATCGATAGCGTCGCGCTTCGCCCTCATGGCTAGAATGGCCGCCTGGGCTAACTCATCAAAGCACGGGTCGACAAAGGTAAGCTCAGGGAGCTTGAACCGCTCCGTCTCCAGCCAGCTTTCTGAACGAATAAAGTCGCCGGCCTGAGACGAAATGGATGACGTGTTGGAACCCTCTTCTGGGATATCACACTTGGGGGTCGCATCAAAGGTGTCGAGGGTCATGGCCACATAGCAGATGTGCGAGAGACCCGAAATAGCCTCGCTGGCCTCGCCCACCAGCGTCTCCCACATCGGGCTGCCGATCTCTGCAGCTTGCAACTCAGCATGCTGCTGCACATCAGCAGCATCGGTCTCACCATGTACCAGCTCTTCCAGCTCAATGATACTACAGCCAGGGTACCATGCATGCAGCTTGGTCTTCATATCCGACAGTTTGTCGTTTTGCTGCTCAACATCCATGGCGGCGCGATGCGACCGCGCACACAGCCATGTGTGCTCTTCAAAGTAGGCTGCTGGGATCGCGCGGTCGCAGATCCGGCATGTAATAGATTCCAATGGCGACGATGGCGGGGTGGTTTCTCCTCGAGCATCCACACCATCGTCTCGACGCGGGAGCATCGAGTCCTCGATTTCAAACTCTTCTGGCCTTTGCCCCAGCGGACCAAGCTGGCTGACCGACGGCGACATCTGCTGGCTAGTCTGCTGGCTGCCTTTGCGGCTCGGACTGGCTGTGGGATCGCGACATTGTCGAGTAATCGGACGAGTCTGTCGACAGTTCGCAGCTGTTGTACGGCGGCGATGGCACGCGCGGCGACGAAGACTCGATATAGCGCAGTACCCAGAGAATGTGGCTAGGCTCATCGCGCAGCCGATGGTAGATCAACATACCCTTGGCCTCGACATGCACAACGACATTGGGAGTGGGCGTGCAGACGCTGAAGCCAATCTCCACAGTACGTGTTTTGTCGGCAAGCAGCTGCTCGACGGCCGAACGGCATACTGGTATGTCAGAGGGCATGATAACAGTTCCAACAGGCTGGTCTACCTAGCGCCTCTGGATCTGAGCCGATCAGCCGGCGCCATGCCGGACTCACGTACCGGATGTGGCCAGTCCAGGGACACCTCCATGAGCATGTTCAAGCCCTTGTCAGCCGTAGGCTGCATTCTGCAGGCTGCTTGAATCCGGGTTCACGCCAGGAGCCCAGCGAGGCGCCTGGGGTGGCTGGTCTGGCGAAGATGAAATGGTAACCAGAGCCGGGTCATTAGAGTAGATGCTAGACTGGCGCTCGTCAACAGTAAACACCATCCGGCACAACTGGCAAGCCGCTGTTGGGCGTGCCTATTTCCATTTCAGCTGGCGTTTCCACAAACTGGCTGCCGAAATCTGGCACCCCAGCAGTGCCTAAATTCATTGCACCAAAGTCAATGTGCAAAGCCTGCTCATCAGCATCGGCGCCACTCTCCTGCTTTCTAATCAGCTCCGACCGTCGGTCCAACTCATCGACGATGTCCTCGCTGTACATTGACCGCACGGCGCCATACCACATGACAATGCGGTTGAGCGACGATATTGCCAGCAGCGAGCGGAGGAACAGACCCCGGCAAGGCCAAGGCTGCATACCATTGCTATCTTCCATCGGACGGCGACAGCCACTGGTCGCCAATCTCCGTCAGGCCGCTGCACCCAGAACTCCGTGGGCATCAGTGCAGCAATCCGACTCCGTTCATCGACAAGGTCCTCGATCTCAGTCGTCTGCAGCCACAGCATCCAAGGCTTCGTCTAGCATATGGCCAGCCATGGGCCGCAGCATATCTCCGGGCTGGCATGCTCACAACATGGCCAATGATATTGACCAGCTCCATGATGGCACGCAAGAACGGCGTTGGCTTTGAACTCGTCCTCTGCAATCAGCGGCGATGTGAGCAGAGACTTGGCCGATGCTACAGAGTAGGCTGACGAGCGCGACATACTACGCCGGAATGCGTTATCGCTGCTGTAGCTGCTGGCTGAGTCATACGAGTCATCAGATCCGAACATCTCCGGTAGTATCGAACGTGCGTGCCCTGGCTCGTCCTAGTGGCGACTCATGCTGGGATGGAGAAGACCACGAGTGAATGCTACCGTCAATCTCTGCTGATGGCGAGCGACTTGGCTTAAGGGCTGGGAATGAAACACCTGGTTGCGGCTTGGACCCACCAGGTGCAACAGTGCCAGTCCTCGTCCACCGTATAGTTGTGCCCCGGGTTATGTGACGGACTGTGTTGTGCTGCTCAACCATGAGGGCAACATTACCGGCAGTGTTTCGTTGCGGCGGACAGCGGGGCCAGATGAAACGACAACTTCAGGAATAGCCGGCTGGCTACTAAACGAAAACGACGAAATGACACTCGTGTCAGCTGCATCAGCAGCAATGTCAGGCGTCAATCGACTAGCCTGTAGCGATTCATACCCTGGACACGCCTTCATTTGACACACCATCGTCGTTACACATAAGAATAGTGTCGTCAAATGTGCGCGATGTTGCCAGAGGGTGGCGCTGGATACCCTCATTCTTGTGATGACCACTGCCTGGGCTATTATGATGATGCTTGTGGTGGTGGTTGTGAGAGTTCTCTTGCGGATGGCTATTATCCGTATCAGATCCCTCACCCTTCCTGTTGTTGTTGTTGTTGCTGGTGGTGGTGTTGTTGGACAAGGCTTTCAGAAATGCCAGTCGACGGATGGATGGCGAGCGACTGAGCTTGTGCGTAGACGACGGCACAGCCTGTGCTGCGACCCGCTCGAGTCTCGAGTCGACTGTACTGAGCGATGAACCGCTGGTTCCCGGGCCGCTGGCACCATCGCCTACCTTAGGCGCACCGCTGGCTGCAGTTCTGGTAGCTTCAGTGGGCTCCGATCCGTACTCGCTGGCGGCTGTAGAGTTGTGCAAGCTAAGCACATCGTGAAGCTTGCGGTTTAGATGCTTGAGCTCCCAGGTCGTCGTGTGTGTATCGGCAGGCTTGTGTGGCAACGCCCTAGCCGTAACCGACGTGTTTCTCGGCACCAGCGGCGGCGGTGGCGTCAAGCGAGCCCTTCTGTCCGCCCCATAGAGCGGTGCGATCTGTAGCGGCGAACCGGTTAAAGACTCAGTGTCGGCATCATCGACCTGGTCATAGTCAAAGGCAGATACTTCAGGGAACTGAGTGTCTGACTCATACTCATCATCGTAGAACTCGCCGGCATCCTCGTCCCTCACGTAGCTAAGTCCCTCCTCAACAAACTCGCCCAGGCTCTGGATGATGCTGATCAGCTCCTCCTCGCTCTCTGTCTTGGCCTTGGCAAGCCGCACTGTGAGCCGGGACACAAAGTTCAGCAAAACCTCGACCGCCTCATCAGGGTTGTCCACGCGCGCCAGCATCCACGTGTATTTCTCCTGCGCGCCTGGGATGGCGAGCGCAGCTTGTCTCCGCATCTTTAGTACTCCGGCGCAGCGGCGATTCTGTGCGCTCGTGCAGGTCCTCCATCGAATGCTCGCGCACAGGCACCAGTTGCCTCTGGCCCGGGGTCGCAGTGCGTGGTGGAGACGAATACAGGGTGCTGCGGATACCGGCACTAGTTGCTGGTTGATAGTACTGGCGCCTTTAGTTCAACGTCTGCAGGCCTGGCTCCAAACTAGCTGACTGCATCTCGGGTTTGTACAGCTGATACGGGTACTGACGCTTGCGATGACTCGTGAGGCGACTGCACGCTGGAGTAGTTGGATATGTGGTATATGGCTGAAAAGGCGTCGTTGGGCGATTCACGGCGGCCAGACTCTGAGCACCCACGCTGCAAGTAAGCGGGCTCCATCAGGAGCTGACTGATGACCGCTGCTGAGCTGCCATGCAGCCCGTTTTCAGAGTCGACAGCCGGCGGCGGCATTACCTGCGGCACTGGCCGTAACGCTACACCTGGAGCCACTGTTCCTTCACCGTACGTCATGCTTGGCTTGATTGGCAGCCCAAAGTAGCTGGATGAGCTGTCGCGCCTGTGCTCGCCCCTGTACTTGTGGCCATGCGCATGGTGCCAGCTGCGAGATATCCGAGCCCACATATTTAGCACTCGGCTATGCACCAACGAGCCTGTAGGAGTACCGGGCATGTTGATGCTGTCAGTCCACACCGGCCACTGGATCTGAGTTGCTGGGTCATGTGCAAACTGGCTGTGCTGCCGCCGACGCGCAGTCGATCGAGGCACTGTGCCAGGCTGCTTTTGGCTCCCAGACCGCACCCGCCCAATGCTAGTAGGCGCATCGATAGTAGATGCCGTGTCCCGTCGTGTCAGCCCGCCAATGCGTGGCGACGGTGTGGAGGTTACCGACTGACTCTGCGGCTGCGGCTCAATGGAGGTCTCAGCACTGTCGCGCCTGGACAAAGGTGCTTGGATGTAGCTGCGTGGCATCCTTAAGCCAACGATGTGCCTTCACACTGCGTGACAGCGACAGCAGGTGCTCATAAAATGCGTCTGGCTTTTTGGCCATGCATGGTTGACCGGACTGCGTAGGGTGCAGGGGCATCATGACGATATCGGGCGTCGACGCAGGTATGCCGCAGCAGCGGCAGGTCCAGATCTGCGTTATCGTGATCATCTGTGTCCCCATGGTAGTTTAACTCGTCGTCTCCGTCACACTCAAACAAGCCGCCATCGGCAATTGACCGGCGGGCAGAGTGCTTGGGAGCCCGGACCAATCCGCGGCGGGACTTGGATCCTACCAAGCCGTGTGAGCCAGCCCAATGTACGATTTGGCCAGCGGGTGTGTCTCGCCAGGCGTCATCGCGTCACTGCCGGTATTGCTGCCAGCTGCTGGAATCAGCTGGCCCACTTACACGTAGCCGCGCCAGAGTGTTGATGTTTGCTGCCGAGTGGCCTGATTTCGAGGCATGGAGGTCAGAAGAGAATGGGCGCCGCCGCCCACGCATGCTGCCGCTGTTGCTGCCGCTATCGTGATCGGATGTCGCATGTGGGCTGACGCGACAACTGCCGTAGGCTGCTCTCCATACTGCTTCGCTTCGACACTGCACTTGTGTTAAGCGATGGGCGGCGCGTGTGTTTGGGCGAGCTGCGCTCACTGTGCATGCGTCGGGCCACCATGCCTGTCTGCACGTACAGCGGCTGGCTGCTGGCCTGGCTGCTGGACATACCTGACGAGCTGGCCAGTGGGCTGTCGGCAGAGTACCGCACAGCCGCTATCTCGTCGGCGCCAAGGTCAAAGCTGGATCTGCCACTAGGCCGCACCCGCTGACTCCTGCTTGGTGTCCATCGACGTGGCTGACCCAGAGTTTGACTTTAGTGAAGACTTGCGGCGGGACTGCGCCGACCCGATCATTTCGCCAGCCGTATCCTGGTCAATGGTGGACTGTGAGCCTGCCAAGGCGTCGCTGGTTGACTTTTGGCTGGCATACGACAAATCGAATACGCTATATCGCCGGCTGCGGTTGCGGGAGCGAGACGGCAGCCGCGCCGTAGTAGCTGTAGCATCCCATCCTGCCAACAGCGCCGATTGATCATCGGATGCGTTTGACAGGACCGACGCTGCGTCCTTGTTTACCGATGTAGGCGTGGCACTGGGCGTAGACAAGTCGGTGTTGTGCGAGCTGGTGCGCCGTGCAATGGGCGTCGCAGTCACGATACCGCGCTCAAGCGGCATCTGGTCAGCGGCGCCTGGTGACATGCCCTGCTTATCGCTGGCCGAAACGCTGAACCTCGATGCCCTCCTAGTGCTGCTCACGCTACTGCTTATCGTGCTCACTGTGCCGCGGCGCCTGACTCGCGGCCCGTCCTGCACATTGCCGCGCATCGCATCCGCTGTCCAGTGCGTAGGTGACACGACGGTGGGCGAGCTGCTGCCGGCTGAGTCACCCGGTGTGTCCAGCATCTTCAGCCGGAGCTTCTCTGGGATCGGACAGGTACGGATCTGCGATGGCCTGTGCGACGAGGTGGTGGGGATCTCGGGATTCTCGGACTGGTGCGGGCTTGCTGCCACCATCAGTGTCTGCTTATCGGCATCTTTGTCCATGCCGTGAATTGACACGGGCGTGGCGCTGGCGTCATCTTCGGCCACTGATTCCAAGGCAGCGCTGCTGGACGAGCTGCCAGGTGTGCAGCAGTAGGTGCGAAACCCGCTGCAGCGCGCTGGCCATGGGCCGGCTTTGGTGTTCCTTTTGTGCCTCCAGCTGGCTAGTAGTGCCGGCATCTACGAGTGTGCGGTTGTGAAGAGAAGAATGTGCTTTTGAGAATACCGTGCTCATGTGTGAGTGAAGCTGTCTGTGACGCTTGTTGTCGACAGCCACCATTGCCCACACCACGCTCTTCATATACGCTGGGCCGTGTGGGTATGTGGTGCTGAAAAGTCAGAGAGTGAAAAGCAAGGTGACAACCTCCCTGCTTCCAGAAACCTCGCACCACCAGATCCCTTGCGGGTCAGCTGCAGAGTGGGTGATTTGAGGGGGGAGGCGACGGGTGCAACATTGCGGAACAGACATGCTGCCTACGCATTTAATGTTCCACCGAGTCTGCCCCTCTTGCAACTAGACAGGTTCGCCAAACCGCTCGTAGAGTGTTGGGTCAGCGCATGCCCAGACAATAGCTGCAATTCTTTCAAACTCTGGCAACAACCAGATGTATGTGTGGAGAGTGATTGTGGCCAGCAAGTCAAGGAGAATGCATGAATCCTTTTTTTCTTGGTCAAGAGCAGCTGGACTTACCGGCTAGATCGTTCTGCGATTGTATGCTGTTGTCCAGCGACAGCTCGCTGGCATCATCGGCTTCGATGCTCCTGCTGTCCTTGCTGTCCTTGCTGTCCTTGCTGTCCTTGCTGTCCTTGCCGTCCTTGGTGTCTGCTGGCGAGCAGGACTCGCCACTGAACCCAAAGATGTTGAACAGCCCGAACCGCTTACGCCGCGCTGTATGCCGTCCTTGCTGTGATGCTGCTGGTCCTCCGCCACTCATTCTTTATGCGGGTGATTCAAGGGATTTCGGTTAACGCGGTGTTTGTGTTCACTTGCAGTTTTGTGTATGCGATAAATAGGGGTATTCCAAAAAAATCCAAACGGGTATGCGCGGTGAAGAGGGTCTCGCCGTATGTATGTTGATTGTCCGGCTAATATGTCCCTAAAAATACCATGCAGAACAGCGAGAGGGGCGTGATAAATCCTTTTGACAGACGAGTCGTGTCCACTGGGACGAAGTTTCTTGGTAAAATTGCCGATGGTGTTATCTCTACTGAGCACAAGAGCCAGGGTCGGTTAGCACTCTACGTCCAAAAAGGCACGAGCAGGAAACAGGGTTGATTGAGAAATGGAGGATGGGCAAAAATGCATCACCAAACTGGGAATGGCCAGCTAGGAACAAAAAAGAGCGACCTGCAAGGGATGACGATGCCTAATAGCGGGGAGCGGCAGCGAAAAAAGGGCGTCATGTTGACGGGGCTACATACAGGCGATGCGCTGGGCCCGCCCGATGCACCGATCGGCGTGTGTTCTCCCTCAGGATTCCCAGTATTCGCCGGCTGTAAGCGTACACCACCGGCAGCTGTCTATCGCCAGGCTGCTAACAAAAAAAGGTCGAAATGAGGAGAACGCAACTGTATACCTTTAGAGTCGGCGGGCTAAACCTGGAGTGCCGATAGTCTGTAGAGGCAGAAAACCGCACAGGGGGACGCCAGATATTATTTAGAGTCTGAAATATGGTCAGCTTCCTGATAATAAAAACGACGGTATGTAAAAATATATGCCAATAGGGCTTGGCTGATGGGGAAGGGCTAGAATTACAGGGGCTAGGAAAGTGGGTAGAGAAACTAAAGAGGGTGCGACAGGGGCGCGAGGTGAGGAGAAAGTCTGGAAGAAAAAGGAGGCAAACAGGCGAGTTGGTATTGCCAGTCTGTGAAACTTGGGGAGGAGGGGGGAAATGCAAACCCACTGACAGAGCGCCGCCCTTTCTCCAATCCAGCTGCATCTTGCGCTCTCAATCATGTGGACACTCGAAGAGCGGAGGTGGCCACAGCGGTAGAAAGGCACGGGCAGCAATACATTGAAGCGGCTGCGTGGCCCAAAGGGAGGGGGCGCGGTGTGCTGACAAGCTGCAAACAAAATCGGCCGTGGTACCGCTTGCCAACAGGCAGGGCAGCCCACCAAGTCCGATTTGCACCTGTGCACAGTTTGCTTGCTCGGACAGTACGCAGGCCGTCAAAAAGGTGCTCGGCTCTGTGGCCTGCCCAGTGAACACGCTACTAAGGCGCCTGCCGCATGAAAATTGATGGATGAACCAGCTCTGACATCACACTTGCCTCGCCGCTGCTCGCTGTGCCATTTTTGGGCGGCGAGAAACACGCATGGTTTCCGTTTTTCTTTTTCGCTTTTTGCTTTGCAAGGGCTAGGTCACCACCCCCTCAGTCCGAGAAGCGCGAGCGCTGGGTGTGCATGTGTTGTTGGGTCGGCATGACGCCGGCGACAGCGGGCTTTGTTGGCAACTGCTTGCATGAGGTCACATGCACATGGCTGGACCCAGAGAGCAAGGCGTATGCGAACTCAGCAGGAGACATGCATCCAGCGTGATTCGATTTGCTGATTGTGTGATCGGAATCTATATCCTGAGAGCGGCCGACGCGAAAAATCGCGTGGTTCCACTGCGAAAAGGACCTGGAACCGCGTGCCACTCTGAGCAGCCCAGTTCGCGCCCACACCTTTGTCTTTTTCCTGCTGCCGTCCTGTGTTTACTCTATATTCGTACTTTCACAAATGTTGCACAGCTGCAGCAATGTCGGGAGCATGGGTGCAGTACCGGAAGCCGACAACAATACTCCAGCGCAGCCAGCCGCGCCTGTACACCCGTTCTTTATGTCGCGGTCGGCAAAGCGCACACAGACACAGACAGCCACTGGTGATGCAACGGCCAAACGGTCCAAACCGGTGGTGGTAGAAAAGCGCGGCCGTAAGCCGAACTCCCTTGCGCAGCCAAAGCCCGGAAAGAAGAAGCAGCAGACGCTGCTTGGATTAAAGCCCGCAGCCAAGGATACGGCGCCTGAGCAGCAGATCGACAAGGCAGGAACAGACACCAGCAACGACGATGGGCCAGCGAGTGTGCCTGCTGTCGAACCCAAGCCGTTTGCCAGCATCAACTCCGAAGCCGACTTGCGCAAACTGGATCGAATGGCCGCAAGGGCCCAGGGTACTCCAGCACCCTATCCAACAGTGGAGTCCTCGCATGTACCCACTCCAAAGTTCCTGCCATATATAGCAAATCATGCAGTCAGGGTTCCTGATGCCACAGCACGGGGAATCCAGTCTGCAGAACCTCTGCCAGATTCGGCATGGCGCTCACTGGTCGGTTCGTTGCTTAGCCCGCATGCTGCTCGCCAAGTGCACAATCCTCTGCATATCCCCGTACGCGCGACATTCGGTATTGCACTCCCAAAGCTACCAGCGCACGCGCTTCATTGTGCGCCACTGCTCCGTGCGCTTGTAAACGAATCCGTCAGCAATCCCGCCGTGCAGCTGCTTGCATCGCGCTACCACCCGCGCAAGGCACGTGAGGTCCTAGGCAACAATCGCGCTGTCGGCCTGCTCCATTCCTGGATTGACAGTATGCGGCTGAAGCACTCGTCGGCAAATGCAGCAGACGTGGGTAAGCAATCTGCTGGCAGATTAGCGAGTGTACGCGGCAGACACGCACGTCCTTCACGGACCCGCCGCCGAATTCTCGATACCGACGATAGCGACAGTCTCTTAGACGGCAGCAATGACGGGTTTGATGATGACGACGACGATGATGATTTTATGCCGACGCCAAAGCCCCGGCGCCGTGGCCGTGCAGCTGGAAACGACAAGGAGCTGAACGACATTCTGGCATGGGCAAACAGCGATGGTACGCTGAGCAGTGTGCGCGAGAAACGACGCGCTGTTTGGCGCAGCGGCAGCGATACGGAGCCCGAGACGTTCTCCAACATCATCCTGCTGGAAGGCCCCTCGGGGTCATGCAAGACCGCCGCTGTCTACGCATGCGCTGACGACCTCGGCTTCCAGGTGCATGAGATCCACCCTGGCCAGAAACGCAGTGGCAAAGATATTCTTTCTGCCCTTGAGGATCTGATTCAGAGCCACACAATTTCAGCGCCCTCGAATCTGCCGTATTACAGCCAGCCCGGCGCTTCAAGCGCTGGCAGCAATACCATGTCGACGGAGAACCAGATGCTGATCTTGATTGAGCAGGTTGATGTGCTGTTTGAGCAGGACCAGCGCATGTGGCCGGCACTGAAGCAGCTGGCGCATAAGAGCCGTCGGCCTATCGTGCTCACCTGCACGGACACGTCGTGTGTGCGATGGGGTGCAAGCAACTTCCACTCGGTGCTCAGCTTCCGTAGACCCACAGAAGACATCTTGGTGCCGTACTGCTTCCTGTTGTGTCTCATCGAAGGCGCACTGGTCTCGCCCGCCGAGCTATCTCAAGTGTGCCGCGAGTCCGAGTGCAATATCAACCGGATGCTCAGCGTATTGGAGCTGGCGATATGCGAAGCCAGATCAAGGCAAAATCTGGAAGAGAATTCGCCACCCAGGGACATCGATCTTAGCGGCACCCTCGCTTGGCTGTTTCGGCCATTAGAAGCCGGCGAGACATCGAGCACCTGCTACAACTTTTGGCGGGAGCTGGTTGTTTCGGCCCAGCCGGCGACACCAGAGTGGTTTCGCTTGTGGCCGGATCTGCCACCAGACCCAGTCAGAGTCGACTATGACACAGGCAGTGAGAGCCGTCCACCGCAGAGACTTGGGTCGCTGTTCAAGAGACCCCTGTCTGCACATCAGAACACATTCTTCTCAAAGCCAGCTCCGACGATAGAGCCGCACGCTGACAAATGCCCGAATCCGACGCTTGTTTGCCGCACTGTCATCCCAGTCTCCCTGCACATCACGCCGAATATACCGGCAGACCAGCCAGAGTCTGACGACTCTACGCCGCCGACAAACCAGGACCCGAGTGCGGAGCAGGCCCAGCTGGATCGCCTTGCCGACTCGCTCGATATGCTCTCGCTAGCCAGCGCGACAGTTGGGATGACCCAGACCGACCACGAGCTGCAATTAGAGCAGACGTTTGGGGCCGCAAACCCAATGCTCGACGAATGCCTGGGTGTCTACTATGTTAAGCTCGACTCGGATGTGCTCTCTCGTCAATCGCCAGCATGTCTCCTCGATAGCCCCACTGATGAGTGCTGCGCTGGCGAGAACGCAATCTACCGCTGGCTAACATCGGCAGAAGTGAAGAGAAGCGGAATTACAGATGTTTCACAGAGCATGTCTCCAAACAGCTTCCGCTCAGAGCTCACGGCACACGACCACAAGCGCAGTGGCGTGCTACAGGATCTGTGCTGTGCCCTAGACCTTATCGGGCATCGGCGTGAGCGCACTCCATCTATGTCGCTGCAGGACACAGCAGCGTATCTTGCATATATGGTCACATGGGACAGCGTCCACCAAGGCAAGATTGAGGCACCTGCCAGAGCACAGACGACATATGCGCCGTTTGGCGAAGAGGCGCTCTCCCGCATCGGCATCCGGCGAACCCGCATGAATACCTACCGCGCACACATCAAGCGGGTCCCGGCACCCATGCAAACGCTCCTCATCAACTGGGCGACATTTCCCTCACCAACATAAAAAGGTAGCGCTGTGAATTGGGATCTAGGAAAATAAAAAAGAACATAACCGCTGCTCATAAATGCGATATCCGCTCAACCTGCGAGATGCCATTGCGGAACCGCGCACGGAACACGACATTGGCGTTATTGAACATGCCCTCCTTGAGTGACACCACAATGAACTGCGACCCCTTGAATCGTGTGCGGAACAGCTGCCCAATGTTTTGCGTATGCGAAAGATCCAGCGCTGCATCAATCTCGTCGAGAATGTACATGGGAGCGGGCTTGAACTGCAGCAACGACAGAATCAGCGACAATGCAATCAGCGACCGCTGGCCGCCACTGAGCTCTGTCAGACTCTGCTTCCACACGCCGCCAAGGTTGACCTTGATTTCAAGACCTGCCGACAGCGGCTTGCCCTCGAGCATGTCCAGCCGCGACGTGTTACCGGGCAGCAGCTCGGCAAAAATGGCGCCAAAGTCCTTATCGACCAGCTTCCACGTCTGCTCCAATGCCTCGACCTTGTATTGATCCAGCGACGAGATCGTGTCCTCGATCTTGCGCTTGTCGCGGATCACAGTCTTCAGCATGTGCTTCAGACTCGCTTCGTGCTTCGTCACGTTCTCAATGTTCGTCATCACCGCGGTGTTTGTCGTCTTGCGCATTGACGCAAACTGGTCCTCGAGCTTGCGCAGCTGCCGCTTCGCCTCGATCGGGTCGTTCTTGGCGAAGTCGTATAGCGTGTTGGCCTGTCCAAACGACTGCTTCTGGTCGACGATCCATGGGTTCTCCTTCAGCAGCGTGCTGTGCAGTCGCTTGTTCTTGCTGTGGGCTGCCGCTGACCGCTCCAGCTCGTGCGCCAGCTGCTCGCTCTCCAGCTGAATTGTCGTCAGATCAGATGACTTGGCGCGGTGCAGCTGATCAAGCTCATCGATCTCCTTGTCGTACACCAGCAGCTTCTTGCTCAGCCGGCTCAGCGCCGACTGCTTCTCCTCGAGGCGCTCCTTAGTATCAAGCAGCAGCTTCTGGAACTCGCCCTGCTCGGTCTCGAGCGCCTTTATCGAGCCATCGCTGGCCTCGATCTGCTCGGTGTACTCTGAGATCTCGCTCTCGATCTCCTCCTTCTCCAGCGTGACCTCCTGCGTCTGGCGCTGGCACTCCTTCATGCGGGTTTCGGCAGCGGGCAGAGCAGCCTTCAACGTCGCCAGTCGCTGCTTCAGCTGCTTGATCTTGCCACCCTTGTCGGCACTGAACTCGGTCATCTCCTTCTCAATACGCGCTGCCCGCTTCTGCGCCAAATCGAGCTTCTGCGTAGCCTCTGGCAAAATGGCCTCCTGCGTGGACAGCTCTGTGCCAATCTCCTCCAAGCGCGCCGATAGCTGCGCGTGCGATGTGTACGAAAGCTGCTGCTCAACCAACGACAGCTGGTGCCGGGCAAGCTCAAGTTCGCGAGAAATCTGATTGTAGTCGTCCTTCAGCTCATCGATCTGCTCGAGTTTCGCTTCGACCGCCGCCAGCTCCTTGGCCAGCACAGTATGCTCATGGCGCGCGTTCTTTAGCGTCTGTAGACGACCCAGAATCCCTGCTGACGAAGGCTTGGCGCCGCCCTGCATCGTGCCTGCCGGATCATACACGTCGCCCTCCAGCGTCACTGCCTTCTTGCGGATGTTCTTGTGGAACGCCATCTGCTCTGCCGTCTCGGGGTCCTTGCAGATAAACGTCGACCCAAACACATACGCCATGGCGCTCTCGAGTTCCTCCGGGTACCCGACCAGCGATAGCGCCGCGTCAACCTTGCCAGGCGCCAGATTCTTGGCGAAGTTGACAATGGTCGGATCCAGCGTGTGTGCTGAGATCTTGTTGAGCGGGATGATCGTGACACGCCGCTTCAGCCGGCCATTCTTGAGCAGCAGTGCGCCTGTGGTGTCGTCATCTACAATGACATTGTAGATGCGACCTCCAGCAGTGATCTCCAGCGCAACTGAAGCAAACTTGTTCTTGTCGTCGATATCGATCAGCTGCGCAACCAGGCCCTTGACCTTGGATCGATCGAAGCCACGCACCGGGTCCTGGTAGTCAAAGTCAAAGTTGCTCAGGCGTGCCTCCAGTCCACGCCGCTTTTCATCGACGCCCTCCAGCTGCCGCACGAGCCTTGAGCGCTCGTCTTCCAGCTCGCGCTTGGCCTCACGGTTGTACGAGTGCGAGTTTAGGCGCTGGCTGAGCTTGGCAATTTGTGCTTCAAGCGTCTTCTTCTCGCCCAAGATGGCCTGTGTTCTCCGACAGTGCCTTCTTCAGCTTCCCGTTGATCTCTGCAGACTCGTTCTTCAGCAGATTGATCCGCAGCTTGGCCTGCTCGATTGCAGTTGACGACTCATTTGTCTCGTTGCGTGCCTCCTGCAGCTGCTGCATGAACCCGCCCTCGCGGCCCTCGTCGGTCGCGACGCCCGTGGTCAGTGACTGCAGTAGCTCTTCCAGCTGGCTGACCTTCCTTCACCCTTGTCGTCGTACAGAATCCGCTCCTCGGCAAACTTGGCCGTCTGCGCCTCAAAGTGCTCGATGCGATCGCTCAACATCTTCTGCGACGCCTTCTGCGACTCGGTCAGCTTGGCCCTGCTTGCCTGCTCTTCCTTGATTGACGCCAGCTTGAGATCGCTTTGCGTCTTGATCTTGACCAGCTCCTTCGCTAGCTCGTCCACCTTGACCTGCAGCGACTTGTACTCGCCATTCTTCGACATCTCCTTTTTGCGAGTCTCCTCGATCTGCGCCTTGCTTTGCGTGATCTGTGTCACCTCTACCTTGAGCGACTCGAGCTGGTGGGCCAGGCTTTCAAGCCGAGCTTTGCTCTCCTCCTGCGCCGAGCTGCCGTTGTTCAGCGCCTCTTCGCACTTTGTAAAGTCGTAGGCAACTACCAGCCGGTGCAGACGGTCGAGCTCAATCTCAACCTTCTGGTACTCTAAATACGCCTGCTTCTCGTGCCGCAGCTTGTCAAGTTTGGGTGTGATCTCCTCGGCCAGAATCGACGAGATTTCCTCAATCTTCTTGTCCTTCTTCGCTATGGTTCGCAGCGCCTTGTCCTTGCGCTCCTCAAACATGCGTGTACCGGCCGCCTCCTTCAATCATCGCCAGGATCTCGGGCGGCTGCATGTTTAGCACCTGCGTAATCTTGCCCTGCATGATAAGGAAGTGCGGGTTGTTGATGCTGAGCTGCACCGACTGCAGCATGTTTGCAACCGCCTGCTCTTGCGCGGAATGCCCATTAATCATGTACTTGTTCTTTCCGCCGACCATTATCTACAAGCAAGCTTTCCAGTTGAGCATACACAATATGCAGCCTGTTGGTTCCCTGCGATGCATGCGTCTTTGTTTATCGTACCTGTCGTGTCAGCGAAATCTGCTTGTAGTTTTCGTATCCCGAGCGGACTGGTCTTCCGGTCATTGTTCCTGAACACAACCGTTACCGAGGCCTTGATAATACCAGCCTGCCCGCGCTTGTAGATGAGGTCTTGAATATTGTTTGCTCGTAGCTACCACGGGTAGAAAGCAGTGTTGGATCTCAGTAGCACCGGTCCTAAGCACCGTTGCTTTTACTGCTCGCATAGCCGGCTTTCTGAAGGGTTGCATCAACTTACCAGCTTGTAGTTGCGAATTCCCAGCACGAAGCAAATAGCATCGAGGATATTGGACTTGCCCGACCCATTCAGTCCTGTAATCGCATTGAATTCGTGGTCCCACCCGGTAATGTGTGTACGCGCCTGCGTACGACTTGAACCCGTCTATAATAAGCTCCTCGACATACATTTCAGAGACCAAGACGGGAGCATGTATTGAATGTGGAATAAAAAGTGGATGTGGAGCAGGTGTCGTCAAGCAGGGGTAAGAGCAGAAAAACAAAACAGCCAGCACGAGCTGCCCAAACGTGTTTTACCCACTACGAAATCGCCTGTTTACTCTAAAAAGCAACTGCTAATTTCCTGATCTGATGCTCTTGATTGTTTACCTGCCTTGGACCATGGCTGTGCCGCTTGGGCTAGAAACGCCGGTGCAGCGGTCATCCGGCGTTTGCGCCATAGCTAGCAAGCCAGGGCACCATTCTCGCCGGCAGAAAATCACAGATGCGCCGGGATGGTACCGGCCTCGAACTCTGCCAGCTGGCCAACAAAATGCCCCTGCGGCCTATTTCAGCCCGGCAGAGGAGCCAATCGCTGCAGCTTCGGATTGCGTGCGAGATGCGATCGCTATCAGCGACGCTGAGGCTGACACATCTTAAATAGCCTGCAATGTCTGCACACCAAGGCTCTCTTCGTTATCACTTTGCGTCCTCGCTTCCCCTCGCCCTTTTACAGCTACATTTCCTGCTACTATTACCAATGTCTACCAATCATCACCTGGCACGCTGGCAACTGTCACCCGCGAGGAGCGCGCAGGGCTCCTGAAGCAGAAGGGCCTGACGATCTGGTTCACCGGTCTGTCCGCCTCGGGCAAGAGCACGGTGGCCACCGCGCTCGAGCAGCACCTCCTCCACAAGGGCATCAATGCGTACCGTCTTGATGGCGACAACATCCGCTTTGGCCTCAACAAGAACCTGGGATTCAGCCCCGAGGACCGCACCGAGAACATCCGCCGCATTGCCGAGGTCAGCAAGCTTTTCGCCTGACTCCACTGCTCGTCGCCATCACCAGCTTCATCTCGCCGTACAAGGCCGACCGCGACACCGCCCGCCAGCTTCCACACTGACGCGGGAATCCCGTTCGTTGAGGTGTATGCTGACGTACCGGTCAGCGTTGCCGAGGAGCGCGACCCCAAGGGCCTGTACAAGAAGGCACGTGCTGGCGAGATCAAGGAGTTCACCGGTATCAGCGCCCCGTATGAGGCTCCCGAGGCCCCCGAGATCCACATCCGCACTGACCTGAAATCGGTGGAGGAGGCGGTTGCCGAGATCACTGCGTATCCTTGAGGCCAACAAGTACATTTAGGCATATTTCTTCAAATACACAACTCAATTCTGTAAATGCAAAGCGACAGAAGCATAGGGCCGCGCCAGTGTGCAAATGGACATATTCAGGTTGGATATATTAAAGGCAAAAATGGTCTTGACCCGGTCATTTACTCGTCCTCCTTCTTGACCTCCTCCTTCTTCTCCTCACTGGCAGCAAGCTTCTTGTTGTTCTCGCGGGCCTTCGTCGAAGGCAGTCTTTGAACTTTTGCGCGTTCTCCGAGTTGCCGAAACGGATGGCCAGCAGCTGGCGCTCGGCCTCGTCCTCGACAAGATCGGCGATAACGTTCCACACCCACGAGCGGTCCGAGCCGACGTTTGGCGACAGCACCATGTCGTCGGTGATATAGTGGTTGGCGCACACCTTCAGCGTCTTGATCGCGGCGCATCAGGAGACGCACCTTGCTGTTCTCCTTGTGCTTGAGCAGCTTGACGTCGCCAGTACCGCGCTCCTTCCACTCCTTGGCCTCCGAGTCGAAACGGAACAGCTTAGCGCGCCTACAACAATACAAAGAAAGACATACGTCAGCATACAAAGCCAGAGCGTATTGTGTGAAATATGTGCACGGAGGCAGTTCTCGCAGCCTGCTTGAATTTGGGGCATTACTTACATCTTGAAGATGACGTCCTCATCCTCCTCATGCGTCTTGACCTCGACATCGTCGAGCTTGATGACCGGCTCAAAGTTGACCTCGGGGCTCTCGACGACCTCCTCCTACGTGCATTGGCGCAAAATGCAGCAGTTTAGCAGCAATGGCCAATTCCCAAACATGCTGCGGTGGCAATTACTGCCCAACACTCCCCCGCCCCCAAAACTTACCTGGGTCTCGGTAGTCTTCTTAGTATCGGCCTCAGACATTGTAATTTGTTTGTGTTTTTCTAAAGAGTCGCTGAAGAGTAATAAATTGCTGACAAGAAAAAGGCTGCAGAAAGGTTCTGGAACCAGCCTCGCTGGCGCTATGAGCGGTGAAAAAATTGCGATTTTTGTTTGCCTGCTCAAAGCTCAAGCCCAGCAGTGATTCCGCGATCAGACTCGGATCACCGGCACATGTGAATTACCGACTGGTCTGTGCAGGCGACATCCAGGATAGCGGAGGGATACCACACCCCTGTTGCGTATATAGTCGGAGGAGAGCCCTGCTCTGCACCATGTTTGTGTTTACCAGCGCACAAGATGGCTCTCTTTGAGAGTACCTTTGCGCCAGAGGACATGTATTTTGTTGTTTTCTAAACAACCGGTGCCCTAGAGTGGGCGGATTCTGCTAGAGCTATATTTAGGCCTGTTTATAGCATCGCTGCTGACCGCGTAACACGGTCTCCGACATACACGGTCAATAGCGTTGGCCATGTCTTGCCAGGATCCGCGGGTTTGGGATTGGGATTAATTAGCGGTCACAATCGGCGCCATTCTGCAGAAATCCAGAACCAGAACCAGAATAAACACAGATCGCATGGACGGCTGGGTGGCAGAGCCAATGTGGTATGCAGTCGCCACGGCATCTCCTCCGATTGCATGATAATGCGCATACGTCGCCACGACTCCCTCCGGCCCGGGTTCGTCATCACGCTAGCTGTCCTCCGAGCACTCTCCATGGAGGCGTGACTGGCCAGACCCAGGTTCTTGCCGCGCTTTTCTGCTGCGTACGACCAGGTGCGCAGCGAATCGCCGACCGCGCTAGTGCAAGGGGGCAGCAGACCCCTTGGCGGCCATTGGCTGTGTGCTCCCGTGGTCGAGGGATCAAGGCAGGCATGACCAAGAAGAGATGGGAAATGCAGAGTGGTGTCAGCCGCTTGAGACACATGTCTGGTCACGACTAACCTCACTCGCACCCCGGGAATCCCCCTTCTCCTACTCAGCCGTCCATTCATGCAGCTTGCCCATTGTGGATCCACGGCTTCTGCCGAATTGCGGCTATTGCGCAGGAATACGTCTCCTTCGTTGGCCGAATATTTAATTTCTTTATCCCTCTATGAGAAATTGCTCGAGGAGCGTGACGATGGCCTACCACTGGGAAACCCCTCCCCTACGCCGTTTCGCCGTGCACCTTTAATACCGCTGCCTAGTTAGCTGCGGTGCGACCCTCGCTTTTCTCCCTTTTCACCCTCTCTCTGAACCCTATTTCTCTACTCTGTGCTCCTTTTATTTTGTCCAGAAATTATCTACACTCCTCTACCAGCTATTACCCACTTCACGACCCTCTTGCTCGCAGGCCAGATCGACAAGCGTATGTAAACACCAATTGTAGCTCCGTTACCGGCCGGGGTGTGTACTTAAGCTTGCGGCCGATACCGGCCGCCCTCTGCGCACCCTGGCCGAGCAGCAAAAAGCTCGTGAAAATTGGCTCATGTCTGCAGCATGGCCACATGTCAGTCCTCTGCTCCAGCACCCTGACTGCCAAGGATTCCATTGCACCTTTGCAACCATCTCTGACGTCGTTTACCGTGGCATGGGCTGCAAAGACTGATCCATGACAAAGTGGGCGCTCGCCCTCGCTTCGTTCGGATGCTCTGCACCAGCATATTGTGCTCCTCAACCAACCAGGGATTTTCAGCATCCACTTTTCCGAAAACTTGCATACTACGCTTACCTGCTTCTCCTCACACTACTTACATGTCGCACAGATTAACCTTGCTGGCTCTGTCGTCCTTCACCACCCCAATTTTTGCACACACACCCATTCCGATCTCCCTTCGGCAGACAGCTGCACTGGTCTATTATCAGCAATTATTGCGCGGGTGGAAATTGGCTAGCGCTCCAAGGCCGACCACGCCCAGCAAAAATGAAAACAAAAACAGCCATGGGCGGCCTTGCTAGCGAGATAAGACACTTGGAAGCAAACGCGAACACATGTAAAACTCAGCACCATTCGCTAACCGCAGGCTTCCCTTATTTAGCCTATAGGTCTGTGCAACCGAGTTCGTTCTAAAAGCAGCTGTCTGCTCGGTATTCCCTTGGCCTAGCCAGCCTCTCGTTGCCAGGTATGTTAGCCGCCCATTCATCCAGCCTATGACTCTGTCCTTGCCCGCTTTTGGTGCCTGGCCGAATGTTCCATTTTATAATTGAAATTACTTGATGTTCGCGGAAATGCTTACCCTGGTTTTGATTGTACCACTGTTGAATGAAATCCGCGACTCCCCTGGCAAGCATGCTTGAAATAGCTCAACAATCGTCGCCTGCAGCGTAAATATGGCTCCTGCTGCGAGTGCGAGCTGCAGCTCTTCTTGATTGCCTCTCTCCCGGCTCTTGTTTTGGATCAGGCGGGCACACATGCTCCAAATGAGGACGAGCAGTCAGCCCGCGTATCTGCTGCATTCTCTCAGTGCCTTGCCGTCTGCTCTGTCGCCTCCACCTCGCCCTTTTGTTGTTGTTGTTTCCACCGCTATCGCCGCCATTGTTTCTTGTTGGTTGCTGTTTGTGGCTCTCGCAGTTTAGCCAGATCCACTCGTAGCACTCGCAGGAACTATGGCAAACTCAGCCCGCGGCACAGCCGCAGCGGGGTGCTCTTTGGCTCAGGATCGCCACCGTCTTCCCGCTGCCAGCAAACCTAAACGCTTGCATTACGCGGTGATACCATTATCCTGCGTGTGATCGCCGCGCCTGGTTTGCTGCCGTGCCTGTGCCTTGAAAACAACAATATGGCTTGGCGTTTGTATACGCGGCTGCTAGAGTGGACGTTTGTTGTCGCGGCTGCATCCCCCGCGGCTCCTTACTCGCTTTGAGTCATGCTCCCTCCGCAATCCTGGAGTCCTGTGCAACCGCTGGCTATTTCTCCGAGGAGGACCCAGACGGAAGCACTGCATTTGTTTTTCGCGACACGTCTGGTGGTGAGCAAAAAAGTGGGGAGGGGCAGTTGTGGATTGCTGAATTTTAGCTATTTCCTAAAAAAGCATATGCTGCAATTGTTGTCCCACCGTGCACCAGATTCGCCTGCCTGGCCAGCTGGAGCAGGCGTTGTCCAGAGTCGGACCCGCTCCACTCCCCACTTTCCAGGATTTGCTCCTCGCTTGCCAAAAAAATATTTCCCTCGCGACCCCCCCTAGGAACCCACTGCCTGGACCCGCTTCCTCCGCTGCTTGTTTACGCTGCTTGTCGCGAGAGGGGAGATGGCTGTTTTTGCTCGGCAAGGGGCGATGTAAATTTGGCTCCCCCGTTCATTGGCAACTCACATCTCCTTACGTGGTCACGATTACTCTCCCTGTTTTTTGTCTTGTCCGTTCAGTTACCAATTCTGCATGAGAGTTGTGGACAATTGCACAGAAATTCCCTGGTCCTTTCGGCTGCTGCCGCTGTTCCTCGTCCTGCAAGCGCGCATTTCACATCCTCTTGTGACAAAAACACTGTTCATTCATTTTTGCCTTGCGCATCCTCTACACTCGCGCTATAAAAAGAGCGACGCGGATGCCAGCTCCTCCACCTCAACAAAAAAATTTTGTCTCTCATATTTCAGTACACTCATCACTATCGATCATATCTCCTCAGCATACCGGCTGTGCCCGCCTATTCTCTTATCACTCTGCTCCTCTTTCACTCCAAGCGCCATTCTATTTTATTATTACACACCTCTGACTGTACATGTACGTAGCAATCGCCTCTCAAAGCCCCTGTTTTTGTGTCCATACCCGCCGCCTCACCTGCGTTCCTCACTCATTCAGCCTTGGCGCAAACACGGACACAGAAACACACAAATGGCTTGGGCATCACACTGGCACACCACGGTACGGCTACTCCTGAAAAAAGTGCCACCAGCCGAGAACGAGCAGCCTCTGTCCTTACTGCTTTCTTTCTGTTGCCGACCGAGAGACCTCCCTCATCCACTAAGCCTCCAACCTTATGTTTATCCCGAACAGTACCCCTCCCTACATTTAACTTTTTGAGCGATAGGGAGAGGCTGCTAGCCGACCTTGCACAACCCTGCGCGCCCATTCGCAGATTCATGGCCACTAACATCTAGCTGCTTGAAACGCTTTTCCATCTCTCGCCTGTAGTAGCACCCGTTCACTCCAAGAACACCCCTTCATATCGCCTTAAACATACCCCAGCTCTCCTCCAAGCCGAAAAGAACCCGACTCCTCAAGCTATATATTAAATATCAAAGTACCTGCGCTTATGTCCACCGCCGCCATATGCTAACGATTCTCCAAGAACCAGCAACCGCCGCGGCAATTCCTCAACCAGCTCACCATACCTCTGTCTACTCGATGGACCAGAACAACATGTACCCCACGACACTCGCCGGTAACTTTGCCACGCAGTTTACTGCCGCGCAGACCCTGGGGATGACCTCGCCCTCGTCTCTGACGCCATCCCTCCCTCAGCAGCACCAGCACCAGCAGCACCAGCAGCAGTATCAGTCGTCTCTGCCGCCTGGCGTCGACCAGCAGCAATATATCCCATCGCCGCAGGGCCAGCAGGGGCCTGGCGAACAATCTCTCGGACCACAATGGCAGTCACAGGGCCACCGCCAGTCGATTGCCTCACATGGCGACAGCGGGGAAATTGCCATGCACAGCCGCGCCCAGCAACTGCCATTTGGCATGCCTGCACGGGCTGACGAGCCGTCGGCGTTCCCGCCGCTCATGTCGTCGCCGCCACGGATGCCCAGTGACACGCTCTGCATCAGCACCGGTGGCGTCTCTGATATCGCCCTGCTGCTGAGCGGTGCCACACAGCTCAAGACGCACACTACTGGCAAACCGCCCTATTCGTATGCGACCTTGATCACTTATGCCATCATGCACCACCCACGCAAGCAGATGACACTCAACGAGATCTACAACTGGATCATGGACAAGTACCCGTACTTCAAGACCGCCGGCACCGGCTGGAAGAACTCGATCCGCCACAACCTGTCGCTGAGCAAGACCTTTGTGCGCATTCCACGCCCGATCAACGAGCCTGGCAAGGGTGCATATTGGACCGTTGACTTGGCCGTCCTCGATGCCACCATCCAGAACAAGCAGCGCGACCCTGTACACCGCTACTCGCTGCCAAAGGAGAAAACCGCTGGTCTGACCAGCCCCGGTCTTCCGGGGGTCGGTGGTCCGACGCTCGAGCTACCGTCCCCACACAACATGCCAGGCACCTCGCTCAACCCGTTTTTCCAGGGCATCACAACCAGCTTTAGCGATGCAGGCGGCCTGCCACGCACTCTGGGCGAAAGCAATGTCTACGCCCTGCGTCGTGCATCGCTGCAGATTCCGGGCTCGTCCACACTGCACCGCTACAACCCGTATCCGATCTCGCCGTCATCACTTTTCCGTGGCAGCATCGGTGGACATATGCACCCGCAGCCGCAGCCACAGCTCCACCAGCAGGGTCAGCAACCGCCTGTCCAGCTGGGACAGCAACAGCAGCAGCAGCAGACACTCGATCCGTTCACAACGATCGCCGTGACTCCAGCCGTGACGGCTGCATCCAGCATGGGTGTCAGTAACGTTGCCGCCGCTGCTGCTGCCGCCGCCGCCGCTGCCGCCGGGATCATCGCTGAGTCTGCATCTGGGTCTGCATCTGGATCGACAGCTGGCACCACACCGCTGCTCAACCAGCCTCAGCACCAGTCTGGGCGCTCAGATACCAACTTCCTGGCACCACATCTACAGGGCGGCAGCGAGATGCATCCGCAGCCGATCCCGCTACAGTCCCACCTGCCGAATAGGCCCTCGCCACTGCTTCCCAGCTACCTACTACCTCCTCAGCAGCAAAACATGCTGGATCCCCAGCACAAGCAGCCGGTGCCTGCATCTCCGGGCATCATTGAGCCTGCTCCGCCAGTCGACAACAACGAGCGCACAACGGCAGCCATCGAGGCTACCCGTAGCCAGTACCAGGGCTTGAGCCGTGCTCCTGACACCGGCAGCGCCAAACCAGGCGACAACGAGCAGGACATCATGGGCAACATCGGCGAGCTCTCGTCCTACTTCACATTTGGCGAGAACACAGCTGCGGCTGCTGCAGTCTGTGGCGAGATCTCTCAGTCGCAGGCCACTGTGAACCAGGGAAACTCGCCATCCTGCGTCAATGACCCGGCCGCCATGCCGTCGACGATATTCTGAGCCCAAGCGTGTGCTCTAAAATACTGGGCTCAAACTCGTCGTCACCTTATTTTTTCCTTTTTTTCTTTTTGCCGTCGCGTTCCTCTTTCATGCTTGCCCTTAGTAGGGCTCTTTTGCGCTTCTCTTCGTGAATTGTTTATACATGCTGTATAATTTTGTACTCTCTTCCCGAGTGGCAATGTAAACAGAGCTGCCAAAATTAATGACCTGCCGGCGCTCATTGGAGAAGGCTCCCCAGGGTCGCTAGCCAAAGAACGCAGGCAGCAATCGCGCCCTTTGCAAAGCCAGGCTTCATATTGCAGATCCCCTTGCATGCCCATCCCGCTCCGTTCATTGATGCTTAAAGGTGCTAAGACTTTCTGCCAAAAAAAGTACCCTTGCGATCTTGTGCAGCGTCCGTCAGCTGTCTCCAATTCGGAAACGTCCTTTTCGTGCGAGTGTCGGTTCTTTATTCACAATAGCGCGAACCACAATGCGAAGGCTATATGGAGGTATACATGTACTTATTTTAGCAATAGCCACAACAGCCTTGCATTCCGCCTTCGGCCAATGGCTGGTATCCTCAGCGGATGCAGCCTGTGCCAGACCACATGCAGCCGCTACTTTTCTGCCGCTGTTCGCCGCGCCTTTTCCTAAAAACACAATACAAGCCCGTGCGATGGGGCTTCCCAGCAGCATGGGGAGGCATTCTTCCTATTTCTGCAAGGCATTCGGTCTATTGAATGCGCTGGTTGTGGAAAGAACACCCCCATGAGCTCACCATAGGCATGATGACACTGGGAAGGGGCTGTCTGTTTTCATGTGGCCAGGGGCCAAGTAAAAATAACTCGTCAGCTCTGCTATTTCTGCAGGTCAGTGTTTCTTCCTCACCAAGCAGCCCAGCAGGAGTTTCTTTGTTGTACATTATTTTGTGTTGCCACCGTGTGTGCGACAAAAGGAACATGCTCCAAATGGCATTCCGAAATGTATTCTTATAAAACGCTCAGACTTTTCCTTTCCCTCCCTGCCCAGGAAGATTCAAGCACCTCACTATCTTCCAACTATTGCTTCCTTCTCTCCTCCCAAATACCACACCTATAGCTTACCGCTTTTACCACCACCCTGCTGACTGCCTGATACTTGGCAGCCTATTTCTATTTTTTTTAACTCCCAACCACCACGCAACCGGCTTCTCGCGCCTATCGCCAAGTAGCACTGCTCAAACCGACCACCTGCCTCCTACCGCCCGACAATCACTTCTAGCCGGACGTCGTCATTTCTAAAAATATTGGCGTGCAGCTTCTCCTGTACCTTTTCGTCACTCAACCCCTATCGCAGATTTAATAGCCGCAAGGTCGTTCCTGAGGCTATCCGTCCCTTTTTCTCTCCTGTGCCATCAACCTGTGCTCCATTTTTCACCACTTTTCATTCACATACACACAAGCATGGACTCGTCACGCTCCAGCACAAGCGACGCGACCAAGGTCGACTACGGTGTGCTCTCGGTTTCCATCCCAAAGGACCACTCGATGGAGCTGAGCGACACGGACTTCACCACGTCTCCTGCCAGCGAGGCTTCCCAGCAATACAGCCATGCTGGCCGGGTAAAGCGGACCGCGTCGTACACGGACTTCCACAGGCTCTCGCAACAGAGCTTGAAGCAGCAGCAGCAGCCACGCGGCCACCAGCGCCGCAAGTCCAACTCGGGCGGAGCCGTCGTCAGCGTTCATGAGGCAACCATGAACGGCGGTGCTCTGTCGTCGCTCGAGGGATACACACTCATCAGCCGAATTGGAGAGTAAGTATTTTTCTCCTGCAAACCTTTTTTTTTTTTCGCGGCTGCACCCTTTCTGTTCCCTTCCCAAATATGCATGCTGTGCATACACTATGCTCATGAAAGCGTAAGGGGCAAAGAGAGATAATGGATCTTGGCGTTGGGCCAGCCCAGCGTGCGGATTGTCTTCCTTCCAAAAATACCCTTCCCCGCAACTCACATGCAGCTGACTCCAACCTGTTTTTTTCTTGCCATGTGTAGAGGCGCGTTCAGCACCGTGTACCAGGCACGCAACGAAATTACCGGCGAGCACGTCGCCATCAAAGCCATCAGCAAGTCGGGCATGACCGCGGTCCAGACCGCCAATGTGCGCAAGGAGGTCGCAATCATGGAGTCGCTGCAGCACCCACGCATCATCAAGCTGCTTGAATACCGCGAAGCACGCGACTACCACTACCTGATCATGGAGCTGGCACCGGGCGGCGAGATGTTTGAGCGCGTCCTTGAGCTCACCTACCTGAGCGAGCGTCTAGCACGCCACGTCATTATCCAGGTGGCCGAAGCCGTCAAGCACATGCACGCTAACGGCATTGTCCAGCGCGACCTGAAGCTTGAGAACGTGGTCTTTGAGCCCATGCCCATTTTCCCGTCCAATATCGCTGAAAAGCAGCGCCAGGGCGATACACGCCAGAAGAAGCCCGAGGGTGCATTTATTCCTGGTGTTGGTGCTGGTGGAATCGGACGGGTCAAGCTGATCGACTTTGGGCTCAGCAAAGTGGTGTGGAACCAGGCAACACGTACACCATGCGGAACTACGGGCTATGCGGCGCCTGAGATTGTGCGCGACGAGATGTACACGAAATCCGTCGACATGTGGGGGCTGGGCTGTATGCTGTACGCAATGATTTGCGGCTTCCCGCCCTTCTACGACGAGGACGTTAAGGTGCTGACTCGCAAGGTTGCAATGGGCCAGTACGAGTTTCTGTCGCCGTGGTGGGACGATGTCAACCCGATGGTTAAGCACTTGATCAAGAACCTGCTGGAGCTCGACCCACGCCGCCGTTACACTATCGACGACTTCATGAACCATCCGTGGATCCGCGAGGGACTAGAGGAGATGTATGGCAACCAGTTCTTGGCAGATACCGCGCGCGCCTCGGTTGACAGACGCCGCAACAACATTAGACGCAATGCGACCCACGCCAAACTCACCAGCGCACTGAGCATTAACCCCAGCGGCCAGTTCTCACCACGCCAGAACATGAAGCACGCCTATGATCTGGCATATGCTGTATGCCGTCTGGACAACGATGCCATTGCACACCAAAAGTTTGCAAAGACACCTGCTTGGGACGCCACCTTTGGTGACAGCCTGAATCTCGGGCCCGCCGACCATGCTATGGGTGGCCAGCACTCGACTCAGAGGCCGCAGCAGCCGCAGCAAAATCACTCAAGCAGTGTCGGCCGTAATCGAGGACTGGATATCGGCCGCACCCTCCCAAAGACACCGCTGTGGGTCGATATCCAGGCAATGGCTACCCCAATCCAGCAGCGCCACTGCTGGCAGGGCACATTGGGCAGCCCGATCGATGTTCAGGCTGCGGAGGCTGACTTTAGCCTTCTGTCACGGGCGCTTGAGACACAAGTAGCTGCTGAGCGCCATGTTGACATCCGCACCCGCAAAGCTGCCACTCTCTCCGTATCTCCTACTGACAGCACAGGCTCTGGCACAGACTTTACTCTAAACATGAGCGAAGGAACGCTGCTGAAGCGCCGGTGTATTGCATAAACCTCCATTTCTTATTTCCTCTGCATATATTTATTATCCTGCCTCACTCCATTAAACATACATAAAAATAGACATCAACCGATATCGAGGAACATAGTGGTGCCCGCTAGTAATCCACTAATAATCGGCATATGGCGGCTATTGTCTAGGAGAAGGTCTCGCTACAGAAGTCAATCTTGGTGTTGCTCTTCTTACGCAGGATGCCATCCCACTTGTGTGCCTCGCGTCGGACCTTGCGTGCCATAGGCTTTGGTCCGCAGAAGAATGTACCGATGCGCTGTCCGGGATGAAGCTCGCCGAGCGACTCCAAAATACTGTTAAAGTCAGGCCGCCCAACATACGACTTGGTGCCAATTGACGTGTTGATGACCTGGTCGCCGAACTTGTCGTCAGGAGGCGCAAGCTGTGGTATACGCGAATCAGGGATCTTTCCTGTGAAGTATGTGCGCACCTGGACGATCGAGCTCAGTCCCTCCTCATCAAGAGCCACGAGAAGGTCCTTGAACCACTCCAGTGTGCCGATGTCGCGGTACACCCAGAACAGGTACACTTTCTTCGTGTTCATGGCGTACCTGTCACGAATCCACTGGAAGTATACGCTTCGCAGGACTGATGCGGCGGGAGTGACCCCAATACCAGCGGCAATAAGCACACCGACCTCGTAGTTGAAAAAGTGCTCGGTAGGCGCCGTGTATGGACCGTCGATGTACAGCAACGGCATCTCGCGGCCCATCTTGATAACCATGTTGCCCTCCTCTATGTGTATCGAAGGGGAGCCACTTATACCACTGTTCGGCCGTGTAGCATGCACAATGACCTTGGCCAAGTTATTCTCGTCGTCGAGCGCCAGCGCTAAGCTGTTGCGAATCGACGTGCTGCCACCCTTGGCGACCATATCAATGCTCACATACGAACTGTTGCCGCCGGCATTTGAATATATCGGAGCAGTTGTCGGGTCATGGTGCAGCGGGTGGTAAGGAATATCGAGGTGTTGCGACATGGGACGTGGTTTCTTGCTCTTTGCAAACTTGAATACATCGACACCATCGTCCTTGGAAACGACATTCTGCACGCTGGAGCCGCGGGCATCCTTGTCAAAGTCACAGCCGAGGCGCTTGGCCAAGTTGCGGGTCCAAGTGCCCTCGAGACGGAAGTGGACTGTGAGAAGCTCCTCCTCAGGCGCGCTGGAGATTGTCAGAGGGTGCCACTGCAGCATTGAGACCGAGGGGCAGTAGACCTTGACGTACTGGCCAGGACGGACACCGACGATCTTCTTGTCCATCTGAATCTCGACCACACCAGACGGGTGCTGGACTACAGCGCGAATGGGCGACTTGCCAACAATGCTGCGTAGACTGCGGTAGAGACGGTCGAGGACATAGAGGGCGAGCGGGCCGCCGAGGTACTTGTAAGCAAGCTGATTGTCTCGGTGAAGGAATGTGAATACAATTATCACTACGAACAGGTGGTGGACGTAGTAGAATAGCTCGAACTGGCGCCTGCGGACAATCTCTACATCCCCAATAAACAGCTTTAGAACATGTGATGTTTCAATATGCGTTGAGTTTTTCTGGAAGCAAGTGGCAAGAATACATGGCAGTTTTCAGCATCTCATCATCTTTGGAAGATGCCGCAGCAGCAACAAGGAAGGCGATGTACAGGGAATTTTGTCGGCAACACATGACCCAGCAAAGGGGCGAAAAAGGGCCGAATAGCACTCTGGATTCACCGGCCATGAGCTGCGCCAAGGGAAATCATCTCGAAAAGCGGGCGGAGTGGAGAAACCAGTCAGCAATGCAACATTGCACCTTGGCATGGACCTGCTTGAGCAGCATGAAGTTCCACCAAGGTATACTTACTGATAGCCGTGAGGGTCATGAAGAGCAATGCGAAGGTCAAAACATGTCCAGTCCACCCAGTTTTAACCTTGAAGAGGTTCTTGACAAGAGGTGTACCGGGAACAAGCTTGCCATCTTTGATTTTCGGATGCGATGCATCGATATAGCGATCATAATAAATTCCTATACACGATGGGGTACCGAAAGAAAAGGAATTAGATGAGCCCGTCTGACTGTGTTTGAAATGAAGCCAATGATGCAGCGTGTTGGTATCGGACTAATGCTCGGGTCCTGTCAGCTAATTGGAGAGGGTTCAGAAAGAAGGCTGCATGCATAGCACAGCACACGAAGCCAAATAGGAAAGAGTAGCCAGATGCTGCAGCCAGGAGCGAGCCTGCAAGGCGTGGAAGATTCCATTTCAACAACAAATGCGCTGCAGCATCGCTAAGCTTACAGAAATGTGGCGATTTGCTTTGGGATTCGCCTGGACGGCGATTTGCGCTTTGGCGGTTTCTGTTTAATCCATGAGATGAGGTTGAAGAGTCAAGGCGTAGTGAACTTCAAGCATACTTACCGACGTGAAGTGCCGACCAGAACAGTAAAGTATAGGATGCCACCTTGTGAGCATGAATATTTTTTTCCAGTTTGACAAAGCGCGGAAGGAATGTGCGCTGTAGCAAGAGCATGAAAGTGGGCGACATAAAGACCAATATACTGGCCATGTCAAACAGAATGCAGTTCTTTGACGACAGCCGCACGCGGTCAATCAGTTTGTTGCTTGTGATAGAACCATTGTACGCTGTAATGATGATATGGGGTATGGTCCAGATGAAGAAGAAAGCAGCACGGCGCAATGTAATCTCCGGATAAAACTCGGGGTTGGCCAGGTTGCTCCACTGGAATCCGCGGCGCGGGGCGCAATCCGTGTCAACATCGCTGTCAGACCCAGACCCAGCCTCAGCCGGTAGTGAGCCGTCCTTGTTGGCAACCAACTTTGGAGGTATGGGTATGTCTAACGGAGCTAGGCGGGCAGGTTTGCCCTGACTACTGGATGGGGGATGCTGGCTGGTACCATTGGAGGGAGTGGCGATTGTCTGAAGGGATTCTTGGGCAGAGCCTTGGAGAGGACTTGAGGAATACATTTAGGGCTAGTCTAGTAGCGAATTAAATACTATGAGAGGTGGGGCTGAGAAGAAAAGGCATTCAACCCGTCGAATAGAGGGGATGGCCAAGGAAGCTTTATACGAAAAATAAGAATCGGCGGCAATTTGCCACTGCTGAGCCAGAACAAAACAAGTGCTGTTTGGAGCAAACGGCCATTATACAAGCCAAAGTGGATATAAAGTTGTGGAGATAATTTCTTCGGAAACCAACCTTGGAAAACTTGTTTTCCGCCTGCCGTCACATTGGAGTGGTAGCAATCCGTAAATATAATCATGTTTGGCGGTAAGCAGCCCACAAAGCCACCATTTCCAAAAGAAAAATTTATGTAGCGAATTTTCGGAGCAAGAAGTGCATGATTACGGATCATCACTGCCCTTTTTATATACTGTACATATTGGAGTTGAGAAGCATATAGCACTGCTGGTTCATGCAGGTGGTGGTTGGGAGTCTCTTGGAACCACTGTTTGCACACATCAAAATGGCAAGGGCTACAATATTATAAGCTGGATTGGAAGGTATCTACAATGCCTTACGCACGTTGCTAAATTGCTCAGGTCATTTCATGATGGATAGCTGCATTCGATATCTAAAAGCAAGTAGTTGCAGGCACGGCAGAAGTATATTTTTGTGACACATATCACCCATGCATCACCGGATGAGAGTGTGCTCGAAGACTAGAAGCGCTGGTGGAAAGTATATCCAAGCACAATAAACTACATAAAGTGGTTTTGTTTGGACGTAAAAGTCGATGAATCATTCGTCATCGTCCTGGTCGCCCTTGTTAGTCCGCTCAATGAAGTTTTTGCTGCCCCACACAAAGATCGATTGAATCGCAGGGACCTTATTGGTCTCCAGGGTATGAACATTGCTCAGAGCGCCATTGAGCTCGTCGTCAGCGACATACTGTCCGTCGGCATTCTTGAGCACGCTAACCAGAGCGGCATCCTGGACTCCCTCAGCCGCAGGCACATAAGACACAACGAGTCGGTCGCTGGTAATGGTCATATCAGTGGGCGCGCGAGCAATGTCGATGACCTGCGGAGTTCCGAGAGCGCCGTTGGCAAACGGGAAGACAATGACTGCCGGGATATCTTCGACAAGGACAGCAAACTCGTTCGTTTCCTCAATACTGCGAACACGCAGAACGCCGAACCGATCCGCCTTCTCCTGATCTTGCTCAGACTCGCGGTACTGCGCCAAAATGTCGCCCAGCACGACTGTCTGCAGCAGTTCGCCGCTCTCGACATCCCACAGCCTTACGGTACCGTCACCGGAGCCGGTAACCGCGTTATTCACGGCGAATTTGGCCGTAGCCACTGACGTCACAAATGCCGTGTGTCCGAGACAGAACGACTGAATGTTGTATGAGTTCGGATATTTGCTTACGCGCAGCTTTTCATCGCGGTCGCACGTCAGGACATACGGCCGGTCGCCATGTGTGAACTCGATGTCGCACAGAATCGATACGTGGCCGAGCAGAACCACTGGTTTCTCAGAATCGCCGTCGGTAGCTGGCGCGGCTGTGAGCCGCACGACGTCGCCAAATTTATCTGCAGCAAGGACGTAGGCTCCTGAAGGATCGAATACTACTGCGTTGGCGCGCTTGGGCGTCTCGGCTTCGCGGACAATGGACCAGCTGGCAGTGCTGTAGATGTACAGGCCCTTGTCCATGGTGCAAACAGCAAACAGATCACCAGCAGGGCTGAAGGCGACGGACTTCACAGAACCCTTCTTCGATCCAGCCGCCAGCTTGACATCGTCTCCGAGGCCCTCAACTGTCGACGCGACGATCTTCCCAGAGCTACCTTTAGCAAATGTGTCAATTAGCCGGGGGGGGGAATTTACAAAGCTCCTACTGCCTGCGTGGAATTCTAGCAGAGCGCATGCGCCTTACCTGTTGACGATATGGAAGTCCTTGTCAAACACAAGAGCGATCAGACCGGCTGAGCTGGCCTCCACGAGCGAAACGGGGAAATGCGGCATTGTATAATATTCTTTCAAGGCAGTAGTCCAGAAGCAAGAGTTTAGAGAGCAGACCTTTGAACCGGCGACATCGGGGCACACTGCAGAAAATTATCGGTGGTCTTTTGCGAAAATGTAAATCTGTTGATCGGTGATTTGGGAAATCTAAGCCTTGTTGTTGATCTGCGCATACATCTCGTCGATGTCCTTGCGGTAGTACTCGGAAGCGACATTGCGCTTGAGCTTGAGGGTCGGGGTCAGGATCTGGTTGTCCTCGACATCGAACGGCCGGTGCTCAAGCTTGATGGCCTTCGGGAACTCGTATCCCTGCAGCTTTGCCTTCTTGCCATCGGTGGTGATTTGCTTCAGCATTGCCTGGTTGACAGCCGATGCCTGGCACAGCTCCTCCAGAGACGCATTGCTGTTGCCGACGATGTTGCGGGCCCAGGGCACAAAGGTCTCAGGGTCGGGAACAATGACGGAAACCAGGGTGCTCTGCAGTGAATCGCCATGGACGAACATCTGCATGATCAGCGGGTTGTTGGAGAACACGTTCTCGAGGTTCTCAGGCGCAACGTACTCGCCCTGCGACAGCTTGAAGATGTTCTTGACACGGTCGATGATGGAGATGGTGCCGTCGGTGTTGAACTGGGCGACATCACCGGTAGCCAGCCACCCACCCTCGACAATTGCCTCGCTGGTCTTCTTCTCGTCCTTGTAGTAGCCGCCAAAGACGTTACCGCCACGCACCATCATCTCGCCACGTGGGCATGGCTTATCGGTGGCATAGTAGTTCATGCTCGGGATGTCTCTGAGCTTGATCTCGACACCATGCTGCGGGGCGCCGATACGACCGCCGAGGAAGGCGTCGTTGTGGTTCAGGATGCCCAGACCACAGGATTCGGTCTGCCCCCACCCCTCGGAGACAATGCAGCAGAAGCAGATGCGCAGGAACTCGAGCACCTTTTTGTCGATCGGTGCGCTGCCGGTCAGCACAAACTGCACATTGCCACCGAGCACAGCACGCACCTTGTTGAAGATGATCCTGTCCCAGAACATGTGCTTGTTGCCGTTGCCTGCCTTTACCTTTGCTAGCTTGACAGCGACCGCGCGACGAGCGAGAACGCCGGTGAAGCCGGGGGCGTGGATGGTGCCTGCCACCAACCGGTCGTAGATGCGGTTGAGCAGACGCGGCACGCTGTTGAAGAAGGTAGGCTTGAGGGCCTGCAGGTCTTCGACGACGTTGAGGATGTTGCCGGAGAAGTAACCAAGCTTTCCGCTCTGAGTCATGACATAGATCTCGATGAAGCGCTGGTAGATGTGGGCCAGCGGTAGGTACGAAAGAACGACAATGTCGCCGACAATCGGAACACCAGACGGGATTGCGCGCTGCACGTAGTCCATGTTGCTGTGCATGATCATGGCAGCCTTGGGCGTGCCGGTGGTACCCGAGGTATAGCACAGGCAGAAGATGTCGTCGGGCTTGGCAATGCGCGGGTGCACCGGCTCCTTGGCGCCCATGGCCTCGACCTGGGCCAGGTCGTACAGGGCAATGTCCGAGGCTTTGGCCCACTGCTGCAGAACCGACACGCTGGAGGTGTTGAAGGGGCTGGGCAGGCCCTCGGCGGGCGTGTTGGGGCCAAAATTGTCGAGCGAGATGATGGCCTTGAGCAGCGGCAGCTTCTCGCGCATCCGCAGGATCTTGGCGACCTTGTCGAGAGAGCACACAAGCACCTGCACGCTGGCGTGGTTCATGATGTACTCGATCGAGTCCGCACCCAGCGTGTCGTAGAGCGCGACTGAGTAAAAGTTCTGCGAAACGCCAGCGTAGTCTGCCAGCGTCCACTCAACGCGGTTGATCGAGTACATGCCGAGCGGCAGCCGGGTGATGGTGTTGATATCGGCATCCAGGGAGCACGTCCTTCTTGTAGACATGCACCAGGCCGCTGCCAATGTTCAGAATGCGCTCGTACGCCTGCTGGTACGTGATGAACTCGTACGCGCCAAAGGTGTTCTGCTCGCGGTTGTACGGACGCCGACCCAAAAAGTCCTTGTTGGGCGTGGCCTTGACCGACTGCTGCAGGATCTCAAAGACGTTGTCTGCGTAGTAGGTCCTTGAGGGGCGGGATTTCGAGCGAGTCCTTGTTTTCCAGGTTGCGGATGATGTACGAGCTCCCGGGCTCCTCAGAGTTGGGAACGCGGTACGACTGCTGGCTGGGAGGGTAAGGCATGCTTATCGAACACTCAGTTTTTGTGTTAGATGGAGAAAAAAGTACAGGTGTTAAAAAACCGAGTAGGTAACGGCAAAAAGTAGGGAAAGTGTGGAGCCTTACTACCTTTGTGGCAGCGGCGGCAGCGGCGCTTGACACGCCTTATATACTGAGGCACCAGTTCCGTGTGCGGGGAAGGAAAGCGCCCGGGGACGTGTGTGCAGAGGGGTCAGCGAGAAGGTTAAGAGGCCGATGACAAACCTGCTGCTCTTCCCGGAGCAATAAAGAATCATCCTCCTGCAGCATGTGGTGCATTGGGAATTATTGGCGCTTTATCTCGACTGCCTCCTGGAAGGATCGTCCGTGCGTGACAGGCTAGCACAGCCGCCCAGGCGCGCTCGTCCTCATATCAGCAGCGCCCGTTCAGCAGTGTTTGTCCACGTCGTTCGCACGCAGTAAGCAAATCGGATTCCGGGGGATACCCAAAGGGAGCACGCACCAGTCTCGGGCCGCTAGTGGGCGCTTGCGGAAGGACAGCCGGATCCGCGACCTGTCCAGCTGAAAGCCCACCTGTGTGCTGCCTGGCAGGTACCGCCCCTCACATGAAAAGAAAGTAGGCGAAAATTCACATGCACCTGCATCCCCTTTTTCTTTTGCGCTGTCACTGGAGCTGGCACCGGCCTGCCTTGCAACAGGCTGGAGGCGAGGTAACCACTCTCATTTGCAGTAGGCGCCGCCATCCCGTGACCAGGAGGCAGTCTAATTGCTCCGGACAGCAAAACTGTGTATTTTCAGAACCAGGAAATGGGAAAGGACAGAGCGCGGCCAAAGCGCAGGCCTCAGCTGTCCATCGGCGCTCGGCGTATAGGGCGGCGGCGGATCCAGGATATCGCGCTCATAGCCGCTGTCGCGGTACACGCGCCTGCGCGGCATGCCAGCCCTCATTTCCACCCTGGCACGCGACGCCGGCACCAGCTCGAACTGCACGGCAAAGAACGTGTGGCGGCCATCGCGGGTGCGGCACTCGTAGCGCAGCGGCGTGTCGGGGTCAAAGTACGGCATGGGTTCGACGATCGAGTTTGGCATGCGCACGCACTGGTTGTTGACATCGATGAAGGGCGAGTAGAAATCGCACGCGTACACGTCGTCGGGTTTGATTTTCCAGTGCTGGCGGTGGGACGTGCGCTCAAACCACTGGCGGCGCTTCTTGGACTCGGTGTTGAGATGGTCCTTGATCGGGAAGTTCTCGGCGACCCGTCCGCTCTCGTCAAAGACACCCTCCATGGGCTGGATTTCGCGCAGTATCTTTGTGTTGATCTCGGGTACGCTGGTGGCTGGTGGACCGTGCTGGTTGGTCTTCCACGTCGACAGCTTCTGGACCGTCGCCAGGAGTGGGCTGCACGCTGAGGGCTTGTCAGACTTCATGTCGAGGATCAGCGTTCGGTCCATGCGCTTCATGAACCACTCGTAGAGCCCCGAGAACGGCGGCAGATCGAGCCTGCGGTCGAAGAAGTTGCCAAAGATGATGTCGTCGGCCGTCAGCCCCGATTTCAGGAATTGCCCGACAATCTGGATCGAGTAGAGCGCGCGCCGGCTGAACCCGTTGGCAAAGTATGCAGGCTGTGGTCGGTGGCGGATGGCAGGGGTCGCTCATCATCCCCTGGTAGCCGTAGACGCGCACGCTGATGTAGCCCTTGAACTCGGGCGTCTCGAATGCGCAGCGGCGTGTGCTCGTAGTTGACATCAATATTTTGCATTGTCTCAGTGTTGGGGCCTGCACGCACGCGCAGCACATAGTTGGCATTGCGCTGCTGGATCATCTGCCGCTGCATGGTGAACGGATCAAACATTTGCTGTTGCTGGCCGGGCATTTGCCCGCCAAATAGGGATCCAAGCATCATAGTGAAGTTGAAGGGGGGATGGTAGAGCAGTGATGGAATATAGAGGGCTAGAGTTGGTATTGAAACTAAATCGAGAAAACGACATCTCTTTCTCCGACAGATGTTGCTCCGGGCGCATATTTATATCCAGCGCTCGGGGTACAGCAGCATCCAAGGCTCCAATGTTTACGATCATTGCTGTTACCTCCAGGAGGACAAGCCAATCGGCAGTACTCTTGTTTGCACATCCTGCATCATACCTCCGAGCACAATATACACTCGGTGCTCTAACGCCGTTTAAGCACCCCACTCGCCAGTGCAAACACAAGACCCAGTCGGCCGCATGAGGTCAGCGCTCTAGACCATGTGCGAGCTCCCACGCAAGCCGAGCCCGGTCCAGTGCTAGGCTGATCCTGCAATCCATTTTCAGCGATTACCGCCAGCTGATCGATCAGCAGAAAAGTTTAGACGCAAAATTCTGATCTGTGCCCGGCTTGGAATTTTTTGCAGCTGAAGGCAGACACACTGGTCGATAAAAAATTTTTCGTGGCAAGGCAGAACCCCCTCTTCTCTCTCTTTTCTGTTGTAAAGCACTTTCTCACTTTATATTTACCACCTTCCCTCCGTTTTTGTTTCTCTAACCTTTCTTTGTGCCTGATACACAGCTCTAGTTCAGCGATCACACATAGAAAGCAGGAAATCACCCTCGTCTAAAGACATCAAAAGCACTTCAGGTATCTAGCCTCTTTAAAACAAAACAAACCTCACAAGAACAATGGCTTTCGGTCAGCGTGGTGGACGTGGTGGTGGTGGTGGTCGCGGCGGCTTCGGCGGTGGCCGCGGTGGATCGCGCGGCGGCTTCGGTGGAGGCCGTGGTGGATCGCGCGGTGGCTTCGGTGGAGGCCGTGGTGGAGCCCGCGGTGGCGGCTTCGGCGGTCGTGGTGGAGCGACTCGCGGTGCTCCCCGTGGTGGAGCCCGTGGTGGCCGTGGAGGTCGCGGTGGAGCCCGCGGTGGAGCCAAGGGCGGTGCCAAGGTCATCGTTGAGCCCCACCGCCACGAGGGTATCTTCATTGCGCGCGGCAAGGAGGATCTGCTTGTGACCAAGAACCTTGTGCCCGGCGAGTCCGTGTACGGCGAGAAGCGGATATCCGTTGATGGCCCCGACGGCACCAAGACCGAGTACCGTGTGTGGAACCCGTTCCGCTCCAAGATCGCTGCCGGTGTGCTTGGCGGTCTCGACCACATCTACATTGCCCCTGGCAAGAAGGTGCTGTACCTTGGGCGGTGCTTCGGGCACCACCGTGTCGCACGTCGCTGATGTCGTCGGCCCCGAGGGTGCTGTCTACGCTGTCGAGTTCTCGCACCGCTCTGGTCGCGATCTGATCAACATGGCCAAGAAGCGGACGAACGTCGTCCCCATTGTTGAGGATGCGCGCTATCCGCAGAAGTACCGCATGCTGGTGCCCATGGTTGACGTCATTTTCGCCGATGTCGCCCAGCCCGACCAGGCCCGTATTATTGCGCTCAACGCCCACCAGTTCCTCAAGAACGAGGGCCACATCGTCATCTCGATCAAGGCTAACTGCATTGACTCGACTGTTGAGGCCGCCAAGGTGTTCGCCAGCGAGGTCAAGAAGCTGCAGGAGGAGAAGATTAAGCCCCAGGAGCAGCTCACCCTCGAGCCGTATGAGCGTGACCACGCCATCGTCGTCGGTGTGTACCGCCCGGAGAAGAAGTAAAAAATTGAGTCTTTATCAATAATCTCTCTCTTTCCTTGTTCTATTTCTCGCCTCTTTACCATATATGCTGGTCTGGCTGGGCGCTGCTGTTTAGCTAGTGGCCAGTGTATTTCTCACAAATACATACAAAAACATTCATTTCGGTTGGCAAACCCAGCAGTTTCGGGTATGTGGCCGTCACATATCCAGGTGGACCAGGATTCAAGGGGAGGAAATCATCGGACTGCAGTTTCCCAAGAAGCTTAATGCATATGTGCACATGCATCATCCTTCGGTGGTCACATAGCAGCAATTTTCCCATGAGCTATTAGCTGCTGCCAGTCCTCCCCTCCTCTCTCCTGGACATCAGCGCAATAGCAGGTGGCATAATGGCCGAGGATGCAGGCTGCCGGTTCGCATCACGCTCTCGCCGAAACTCGGACGCAGCAGGCGCCAAGCGGATTAATGTGCTCATCTGACTCTGCCACACACCACCACCATTCGGGCAGCGATTATAGCGTCATGTGGAGCGGTATGCATTGCAGGCCAGGAATCGATGGGGGCAGCTGCGTAAGGAGAACATCCTGGTATGCATGCTGGCATTAATGAGAGGATCCGCAGAGAACCTTAAAAGGCGCCGCTGCGGTCCCACACCAAAAGGGCGAGAAATTGCGGGCCTGCCGTGCAATTCCTCCATGCACATTGTGGTTTGTCCTGAATAGGAAGCGGCCGGATGTAGGCCAGGTCACGCCTGCATGTGGCCAGCGAACAAGCTGGTTTGACTAATACAGGCCCGCTCTTGCAGGATTCGGCGCGCCAGGCCGATCCGCACCTTTTTGCCGCCCTTATTCGGCAAGAAAGAATGGATTCTCCGACTTGCCCTAGGGCCGCCAATCTTGTATTAAAGCACACCGAACAAGGACCCACGCCCAGTTGCCGAAGGGAGAAGGTGTTGGAAACTGCAATCTCCTTCTTCACTTCCTTTGACAGCCTTAATTTATGACCCTGTAAGCATATACCTATTTTCGACATACCCACTGCTGCCTGATTCACTCTAAATACGGCTACGACATGCTTGCCTCTGAGCGCCGCTCCATCGACGCACTGCATGGAAGCAGCAAACCTCTGAAGCCAGCCAACTCGATTCTGGGCATGGTGCGTCGCCGCAATACAACAGCCACACCGGCAGTCCGTCGGCCTGTGGTCATAACCCGCGTTGACGCACCCAAGCCGCAGACGCTGGAGCCCACGCTGGACCTGGGCGAGATCATCCGACGCAAAGACGACATTCTCGACGCCATTGACCAGGGCGTCGCCCCATCCAGTCCCTCCGACACCTCCAGTGTCACCATGGTTCCGCCGCAGCTGCGCTCGGGCAAGCGGCCGGTCTCGTGGGCAACCAGTGAGCCGGCAGCGCGGCGACACTCCGACATGGCCCGTGCCTCGACCGACAGCCGGCCGAGTCTGGGCGACGGGAAGCGGCGGCTGCGCCACGACTATTTCCGTGTGGCCACCATGGACGGCCACCCGACGATCCCCGCCCAGTACCGGTGTCCGATCGCCCTGTGCGGGAGCAGGTTTTTGTACTTTGAGCAGTTGCAGGAGCACTGGACCGAGCATCCGTGGAACCGTGGCGGGATCCTGACGCCTGTGTGCGATGGCGGCACCAGGAGGCTTGGGTGGTGGGAGCATAAGAAGAAGTTCTTCGCTTCGCTGATCCATGGCTCTCACCAGATTGAGTTCCATGATGAAAGCGACCGGCTGAAGCTGCGGAGGCGCGCGGTCAGTGTTAACCAGGCGTGTCAGTCGGACTATGGCGATATCCACCTGTTTGGGTCGCGCAGTTACCATGTGTCGCCGAGAGTGGTTCCCATGCGCCAGGTCGTTGCTTGGGAGAGAGCGCGCGACAGGCGCTAGCTGGCTTTCACATTTGTTCTTTATCCTTGAGGTAGTGGTGGCTTGACTATATAGTTTGCCACACGTCTTGGGCTGTCCGTCATTAAATGTATTTTATAATATGTATTGCCGCTCGCCAACTGCTGCGTCCAGCCACAAATTCGAGCTTGGACTCGAGTCAGCAGCCACCAATAACATGGGTTGAATGCAGCCATCGCCATTGAGCCACAGGATGGACATGTGGCAAGTATAGAACGGAAAAGCGAACCAGCTGGGGGAAGCCAAGGCCCACTGGCAGATTTGCTGCAATGAAATTATTGGGCTGTTCTCACCGGCGACAGCAGCGAGTAAGCCAGTATGATCCCAGGTGGAGCCAATGGGGGAGAAGGCAGACCATCGTGCTCCGCTAATTGCACATTACTCTCGCCCCCACCAACAGTCACCCAACAGCGCACAACATGCGCTCAGTAGGATCTGGGCGGACGCTGGTAGCCTTTTCCCACCCCTTACCACTCTGTAAACATAGGGGGGCAGGTACACTCTGGCTGAAAAGCTTTTTCCTGATCCGTGTACATGGGGGAGAGGAGGGGGAGATGTAGTGCAGCAGCATGGCTTGTATGCCAGGTACAACTGCTTGATCATGCCTGTTGCGGAATTCCCTGAACAAGGGATGTCGGCATTACCTTAGCATGTTCGCGTTGGGATGTTTCCATGCATGTCGCTTGCCAGCAGGACATTGCGAAAGGAAGGTGCGGTCGGGGCTAGTAATCCCCATTTCCCTTCATGGTGTCCAAACAGTCGCCTGAAATTGGATGGGGAAAGCAGCGTCGATCGCAGCTACGGATTGAGCGAGGTCCGGGCTTTCAGAGGCGCGATGGGCAGAAATCGGCGACGAATGATGTTACAAGCTACTGCTAAAACGGCTACTGGCCGAGGTGTGTCATTGTTGCTATCCGGCGTCTGGAGTGCATAATGCTTCCATCGGGACCAGGAAAAGGAAGGATGCACAAGCGCAGCGGGATGGCCACAATCAGCGCCAGTTCCTTTTCACCGGGGCACAGTTTGATAATTCTTTGTGTGGGGTAGGCGAAGGAGAAAAGTTATTTAAAGGGCCTGCTCGCACCCCCCCATGCAGCCCTCCGACACAGCGAACGCTTTTGCATAACTACTCGACACCTGCTTCTATTCTTCAACCCCCTTCGTTCTCATACATATTTCTGTAATACTATTTTTTTCTCTTTCTTCACAATGGTCAAAGGAAACCGCATCGAGTTTGAGCTTGACCAGCCGGAGATAATACTGCGCGGCATGGTCGATGAGGCGTCAGGGACGATTTTCTCCGGGACCCTGGTGGTGAACCTGTCCGAGTCCATCCGGGTCAAAGGGCTGAGCATGAGCTTGACCGGGTGCGAGCACCTCGAGTGGGACTACCGTAAGTATCGCGCTTAGGGCTATTTGTATACCCATCCACTGGAAAAACCATTTCCCCCGACTGGCTGAGTAATATGAAAATCGCAAAAACGTGTATGCATGAATGACTTTGTCATGCTAGGCATATGACAAACTTGTCTTTCCCATGCAAGCGCGGACATGACATTCTATCTATCCATTTCCGGGTGTATGCTGGCGGCCTTTCGGGGGCTACAGCTGCCCAGATTAGCCGGGCAGAGGCAGCAAAAGGGTGAAGTCAGGAAATGGGCTTTGTCTGATTCCTATTTACTGGTGTGAACTGAAAGGATTCATGCAACTATGGCGACATGCAAATGCGCTTCAAAATGGGGTAGACCAGAAGAACCACGAACCCTCAACTGACGATCCAACGCGTGCTTATAGACAGCGACGACCTCCTGGCGACGTTCCACCGCGAGACAGTACCAATCAAGCACACATGGACATTCTTCAGCACATCAGGACGGACGCAAAGTCGAGACATGGGAGGCTGGGCGGCACGAGTTCCCGTTCTCATTGGTGTTTCCTGGCACATTGCCCGAGACAATCAGCATTCCGTACGCCAACGTCACATACACATTGAAGGCGACACTGCGGCGCACCGGCATCATGTCAAACCTGTCTGCAAAGCGCGAGGTTCTGGTAAAACGCGATCTGACGATGGACGGCGGGTTTGGCACGGGCGCCATTGACGTAGAGAACCGGTGGCGGGACAAGCTGGACTTCCACATCGTGGCTGATGCCGACACATTTGTGCCGGGCGACGAGATGATGGCCAAATTCACATTCCAGCCGCTGGTCAAAAACATACATCTGACGAAAATCGGCGTGCTACTGAAGGAATACGTGCGGTGCCATACGCCGATGGGCGATGCCGAGAAGATGGTGTCGCGGGCAGTTGCGTTCTCCGAGGTGGTGCCAAAGTACGATGCGCTGCACGAGCTATGACCTGGAGATGGCGGCCATTGACGATTCGCGGAATCCAGTACGTTGCGCCGACGACGCCCAGGTCGGAGTCGGCAGTGCCGCTGTCGTCTGGTAGTGAGGCAGTGCCGCCCATGACACACTCCAACACATCGCCATGCATGGCGGGCGAGATCAGACCACCAATGCAGGCACACACATCGACGCACAGTGGGCCGTCATCGGTATTTGGCTCACTAATATCGCATTACCACAGCACACACTCTAGCAACAATAGCAGCAGCGTCAATCTCCCGTCCTCCAGCAGCAGCCGGCTGCAGCAGTCACCACGCTTCGGCGGCATCAGCCTGCTGCCGCTCGACCACGGCCACCCGTCGCTGGCAAAGTACGATAAGAGCGCCGGAGCCTCGGGCTCGCGCACCCCCACGTGTGCTCCACCGGGCATCGACCTGACACACGCGGTCGAGGAGTCGATCCGACTGAAGGTGCCCGAGGCATTCAAGCGGCTGCAGTACGACCACATATCGTCGTATATTGAGGTGACGCACAAGCTCAAGTTCTCGATCCATTTCAAGGACCCTGACAATCATCCGCACACGCTGTGGATCAGCGTGCCGGTCTCGATTGTGCCGGTGATCGCCGGGTCCACTACCCACGGTGTGACGGCCGAGCTGCCGACCTATGAGCTGGCAGGCGCTGGATGAGCGCGTGGCCGTCGGAACCGCTGATCCCAACCCGCCAACATACGACGAGCTCCTATCAGAAGTCAACTCGGCCGCATCATCCATCGCCCCTCTTTCGCGACCACCCACTGCCAGCCTGCGGTCCACCGACGACAGCCCCGTGGAGTCCGTCCCGCCCTCTGACACTGAGGGAGCAGCAGAGCAGCAGCCCGTGCCGTCAATCGACGTTGTGGGTGCGGGCAGCCGGAGCTCGAGTGACTCGGAGCCGCGCATTATCGTGCCGCCAGCGTACTCGTGCCGGCGCCAGAGCCGCAACCACCTGATGGTGGATGGGGACCGCCCGCAGGTGCACCCGGTGGCGCTGCAGAACTTTTTGCGCCGCAGCGTGGTGATGTTCCCGGCGTCGACCGAGGCCACCCCAGTGCATTCGCCGTCGGGCTCGCCGATGGCGTCGCCGTTGATGAAGGCGACCGCTGACAATATGCTGCCATCGCTGGCCACATATACGATGGCATCCCCGTCAGGATCTCTCCAGGACCAGAGCCGGCTGGCCGACGACCTGTCGGTACTCAACATCCGCATGCCTGAACGCACCCACCCGCACACAAAGTAAAAACTCTAATTGTCTAATATCACGCATTTTATGTTACTTGGCAAAACGTACAATGTTACTCATAGTGTATCGCTGTCGCAATCTGACGTGCTTGGCGATCTCACTACCATTCCCTCGACGTCCATCCGGGGCGCCAGCCTGATCCACCGCTCCGACACCACCCTCCGGACAGTCTCATTCGCAATACACACAATGTGCCTGCCGCGCCAGAACTCCAGAAGCCCCAGGTCATCCAGTGTGAACAAAATGTCCTCGATACGAATGCCCGTGCGCCCGGCCAGCCGCGCCAACGACACTATCTTGGTACTGCCGTCCCTCAGCAGCTCATTGATTACAGCTCGTCGCCAGTACGCCCGGAAGCTATGGAACCCTTGCGGCGACAATGGCTGCTCAGGCCCGCCCACCATGCCATCGCGTCTGGCCAGCTCGTAGCTGATTTCTATAAGCAGCTGGCCAAAGTTCTGGCCCCGGAACGGCGGCAGAATCAAGATGCACGCGAGCAAATTGCCGTCCACCGACGACTTCTCCTTGGAGAAGTACCCGACGAACTTTAGCCCCCTAGGTGTGCGTGCCAGGAGGACGTAGAAAAAGAAGCTCCCGATATCGTAGTACACGGTCTTTTGGTCCAGAAACAGCTTCGACAGCAGGCACAGGTTCTGGCAGTACAGCAGCTCCTGCTTCCCGTCGATCTCACACACGCTAGCCGTGCCGTCCTCGTAGATCTTGCGGCCACGCGGAAACCCGCTATGGCACGCGTGCGTATCAAGGGCCGTGCGCGTTTTCATGTATTTCAGGCACCGCTCGCATATGTACAGGTCGTGCTGGTAGCCGCTCGGGTACGGAGACGCGTACCACGCCGCGATACGGTGGCTGCCCAGGTGTATTTGTGTTATTTGCCCATTGCTCTCTGCATCGTGCGTTTGCGCAGTCGCCGTGGTTTTCTTGCCCATGTAATAGCCGTGTAGCTGCACCCGAGCTGGGTCCGGTCGTCTGCGTGTAGGTTATGTTATAGCGTAGTGAGGGGGTCTGAAGGTGAAGACAGCTGTAGATTGCATTGGCCCTAGGTAGGGCGGTGTAGAGAGCTGCAGAGGAGAAAAATATTTTCGCTCTCTTCAATAGGCATTCACGTGATACACAATTTAACCTTCTTTCTCTGCTCCGTCTCGCTGTCTGGGTCTTCTTTGACCCTGTTTTCCAAGAATTCCACAACACTATATAAAATGTATAATGGCATTGGCCTGACAACACCCCGCGGCACCGGCACCAGCGGGCACGTCGTGCGCAACGCGTCGGCACTCAAGCCCAGCCAAAAGCACCGGCGAATTGAGCGCAAAGAGCGTGCCCCCAAGCCCGTCGACCCGAGCATTCTCGAGCACGAGCGCAAGCGCCAGGTAGAAATCAAATGCCTGTTTCTGCAGGACGAGCTGGAGGAGCAAGGACTGGAGGAGGCCGAGGTGGAGCGCCGCGTCGGTGTGCTGCGCCAGCAATTGCTGAGCAACCTGGAGACTGCGAGCTTGCCGGAAGCTAAATTGCGCAGTTTCGAGACACAGCGAGTGCGGGAGCGGAAAGAAAAGGAAAACGAGCGGTTCGCCAGAGCCATGCGCATTGACAAGGAGCATGTGGAGGGCGAGGCGTTTGATCCAGGAGCTGGTTGAATTGAAGCGCAAGCTGCGGAGGCTGGAGAGGGAGGAGGAGCGGGAGGAGGAGGAGGAGAGAAGGAGGGAGCGGGAGGAGGAGGAGGAGAGAAGGAGAGACAGGGCGAAGCAGAGGCGGATACGGTACGAGAGAAGCGGATCAAGAGACAGCCGCCGCAGTGCGTCGCCGGGTTGCAGCAGATCGCCTGCGCCGGCGCGTGCTGTGGACGGCGGCGAGCCCGGCGAAATCGAAGACACGGAGCCCATTAAGGAGCCAGTGTCAGGCAGCGAGTCGGGCGAAGAGCGCGAGTAAGAGTGCATTTGTTTTGGTCTCAATGAAAATCTATGAAAACAGCTACTCATCGATGTCCGAGTCGATGATGAGCGGGAAGTTCAGGATCGCTGCTACTCCCGTCAGCTGGTTCAGCTGCTCGCCCGACACGTGCAAGCTGGAGAACACCAGCACGTTGGCGTTCGACAACCTTGCATCCTCGACCTAGCTTGATGTACTTTCGGCGCGTCGGGATATCCTGCTGCCCGGAACAGCTCATCGGTGACCAGCAGTGTGCCAATGGCGCCGTTCTCTGCTGCCTTGCATACATCGTCGTACCCGTAGAACGCCCGGTCCGGGTCGTTGTTCAGCATCTGGTAGAAGCTGTCCAGCGCCTTGACCTCCTGCGCTGCCTTGGTAGTCCGCCAGCCTTGCCTTGATTTGCGCGTCCTTCATGATCTCCTCTACCGCGCCCTTGTGGCCCGACGACGTGTGTACCAGCAGGAACTTCTTCTTGTTTTCCATGATCACCTTGTCGTCGGTTTTGACTGCCTGCGCTAGCATGATGCTCGTAGAACTGCTCGCGCACGAACCCGGGACTGCCAATAACCACCACCTTGACCACGCTAAAGTCAATGTGCTGCTTGATTGCCCGGTACACGTTCTCGTAGAACCGCACCACGCCCTTCTCGTAGTTGGTCGTCGACCCTTTACGCTTGCGCGGAATCGCCACCTCCACCCTCTGCCTGACAACCGTCATATATTGCGTCAGCAGGCACACCACCGCCAGCCCTTCCTCCATCGTCACCACCGCCACATCGGCCTGCTTTGTGATATCGCAGGCGTCCTTGATTCGCTCCAGGGAAATCATATCCCACTCGCCCTTTGCCAGCGTGAACTGCTGGTTCATCTCCACGTCCAATGTGTGGTACTGCCCGAGGCCAACGTACTTGTTCTCGGCGATGTTGCGCCCGTTGATGCGCAGTGCCTGCTGCTTGCACGTCAAAGAATATGTCCTCGATCGATATTGTCAGCTTTACGTGCACGCGGTCTGTCGACACTGAGCCGGTCGAGGTCTCGGTCTTGACCCCGCGCACTGAGGTCGCTGTCAGCTGGTCGCCCTTTTGAATCAGGTTGTAGAGATGCCACATGTCCTCGGGCTGCTCGGGAATTAGCCGCACTGTGCCCGAGCGGTCCTTTTCGATGTTCTGCTTCAGGAGCTTCATTGCCAATTAGTGTGAATTGCTCGTACTCTTTACTATTATATGGCACAGACAGCAAAAAGTGGAAAAAAAAATCGAACACCAAGCCAAGCTTGACCCCAGCCCGGCTGAGTCAGCCGGTGGCGATCGAGGAGGAAAAGTGGATCAGGGGTGCACAGGCACCAGGTTTAGCTGGGCAAACAAAGATTGGGAATGTCGTCCCAGTGCTGCCATATTTTGGCTATCTGGACATCCCGCAGGTCCCCTCTGTACGCACATGCTGCCTTCTGCACTCTACCAATACGTTTATAGTACCAAGCATCGAGCACAACTCATGCATCTAGTTACACTGCATTCTGCACTCTGTATATCCGCTCCGGCTCACCTGTGCCTCACACACAAGATTCGACTGCTTTATATAGATATCGCCAGCAACATCGTTATATGCAATATTTTCAGCTCTGACAAGGTATTTTTGAAGTGGCAAAATACGACCATCTTGAATAGATGCAAAAAATGCTGCTAATGAAAGTCATACTGATGGAAATGTTCAGCATCAGCAAGCCATTTATGCCGATCAGTTGCGCCCCCTGATGCCTAAATATGGCATTACACATGCTCAGCCGCAATGAATCAGCCTTCCTTATCCGCACCATGGCAATGGCGCCCTGGCTCTACCTGCTGCATATCAGTGTGAAAGTACTGGGCTAGCCGAGCCGTGGGCAGTTTCGATTTACTTTGCCTCTCTACTTTCCGCTTATATGTTTAATATCAGGGCTAGTCACAGTTCATCCTACATTGATATGCCGAACCACAGAGCTCCCTACTGTTGCTCAATACCGCTGCTCTACTTGCGGCCTCTTGTTTGATAGCATCCGCGAGGAACTTGTACATAGCTACTCGCACAGAGCAGTATTTCGAATGATGGTCCATCGCGGCGCTATGCTTGAATTCAGGATCCTGGATGGAAAGCATGTCATATGTCGATGTGGTTTGACATTTCCAATCAGTTTCATGCAGAACCACCACGCACGGGTGTGTAAGCTGTGTATTGTGGAAGCGCGTAGAGCGCTCTCAAAATCCACGATAGGTGCTGCAGCTACACCGGTTGCTGAGCCTCAAATCTCCAATGGCAAATGGATAACATACAATGGTCCAACAAATCTGCTGGCCAACTCCCCGACAGCATCCTCCACATCAGCCAGCCTGCGCACCAGCAGCCCTCTTGACGCGGTCGGGCTCTACATAGATCAGTCCTCCAGCTTGCTAATCTGCAATCTGTGTAAAACAACTGTAGTATGTCCTGATATTCGGAGTCATTTCGCATGGTGTGTGGCCAACCTCGAGTCGGGGCGATATGATGTGCCTACGTCTCAGCAACAGATGTCTGCTGTCAAATACCTTGAGGCGGTGCCGCATGCCGTATGCAGCTTCAAGGCGGCTAGTGAATGGCTCGACGCGCACAAAGGAATGAGCATCGCACGAATACCCTACCTTCCTGTATTCATTGCGGACAAATGCCAAAAATGCGGGTACCTGGTCGGACCATTGAATTCAATGCCAGCGCATTACGCTGCCTTGCATCCAGAGCTGCCTGTACCTGAGGGCCAAACCCTGGTGCGTGCACATCGACCTTTCCGCCAAAATCCACTGAAGACGTTCATTCAAATCGCTGACGACAGAGTTGCCGAACCACAAGCATGTTTTTCTGGCCAAAATCTCTCACCTGCGGATTCTGCAACCATCAAAACGCCATTGGTGATGGGCGGTGGGAATTTCAGCCTCGTGGCGGAAATATTGGGCTGGAGCCAACTGCTAGAGCCAGCATTATTCCGGGAGCTGGCACCATTGACACGCTGGGCAGATCGCAGCGACAGAAGCTGGAGGCACATATTCGAGCGACTTGTCGAATGTGATATCAACGAGGCGTATATAACTGGCTCGGAGTTGGCAGTGAGCGATAGAATTCGCGAGTCAAAGTTTCTGCTTGACGCATGGTTTGCCATCAAGCCGCATGAGCGAGAACTGGTTGACAGTGGCGCCCGGATCTACATGCTGCTGCTGCGAGCATGTGAGGAGTGCCGCTTCTGGGTGCCGCTGGGGATCACAACGGAGCAGGTCGAGGCTGCATTAAAGCTCAAGCAGCTCTTGGAGAAGGGCTGTAATGAGGACGCCGGCAATCTGACCAGCGAGCTCGTGTCCCTTTTCAAGGATCTCAACATCGCAATGTTGGTGTACTCGCTACCAGCAGGATTCTCTTGGAATAGCCACTTTATCATTCGTGCACTGGGCTTGCTTGCATGGAGTGGCAACCACCCCTTTGACCCAATGGCTATCTCCAAGTGTGTTAGCAGAGTCGCTGTCTGGTCTCGTATTGCATTCTACCTAGCCCACCAGCCGATGATGGACATGGAGCATCACCAAAGTGCACTTCTAGCGATTCAGCTTTCGCATACCAACTTGCTTTCCGAGAACCAGACGCCATACGGGGCGATGTCAAAGGCTGAGTGTGTTTTAAAGTGGGCAGCGATCTGTGATCCATCAAGCGGGATCATTCAGTGGACTCCAAACAGCAGCTTTACCCAAATGACGTATATTCGGCAGCATGTACGCATGGATGAGATCTCGCGCACATACACCTGCATCATCGCCCATCTTGAGGAGGTGCTAGCAGACATTCTGGGTGATTGCGGTACAGACTTGACCTCTATCTCGGTTGCTAACAGCATTGCCGATGACACCAGCGACTATACCAACAGCCGGATCGTTTTTGAGACACCCAGACAACGGATTCGTTGAGCATGCCCATCAGCTTTTTGGAAATATGGTCGAGAAGGGGGTGTTTCTAAAGGTAAATGCAGCGCAGCCCGATGCATGGGACCGCAGCCCAATGGTGAGATGGCAGCAGAGAGTTAGCGAATTCGTCGACTACCTCATCACTGCTCTCTGCATAGTTAGCCATGCGCTGGCTCTCCCCTGCGACCTTGCTGATCTTCGACTGCAAAGCCGCCTGTGTCAGCCGCGCAGCGTGTTTGCTGTCAACAACACGATCAAGCTTGTGTCATGGCATGGCAGTGGCACGTCTCTGCTGCTGCATGCAAGGCTGGCCGACATTCTGCTCCGATATTGTGTGCTGGTACGTCCCTGCGAACAGTCTGTAGCCATCATTCTAGCTGAAAGCGAACAGCAGAAGGTAGCACACGCCTTGAACTATCATGATTTCCTGCTGGTTAAAGAGGGGAGATCCATCGGTGAAGACGATATTCGCAGTATCTTTGCCTCAGTCTGGGCCAACGAGTCCAGCTGCGGCTTGTCTCTGAGTGATTATCAACGGATTTCTGGAACATTTGCAATTGCTTTGCTGCACAGAGGCATGTCGGCCTCAGCTATTACCAGATTGTGCACGTTGACTGCTGCCGGATACCAGAAGAGCACCGCAGCAGATAAGATTCAAGCACCTGCCACAGTCACACATCTGCACGACTGTGGCCATTCACAGCTCTGGGCAGATTTGCTGGAGTCTGTTCAGCGCACCAGTTCAAACCACCACAAGTAATAAATGGCTAGGGCTTATCTTCACCAACAACACGTCTATGGTATACAATAGCGCCATTTATTTAATGAGATACGGGAGAAGCAGAAAAGTATGTGCAATTAGTGTGTAATCGAAGGACTCTCGTTCACAAACTTGCCCTCCAAGATGCACTGCTCTAGAACAAAGTGCGCGACATCGGCCCTCGACACATAGTATCCAGAGGCACCGTACTCTGCACGGTACTTTCCGGTAAGAGCGCCGTTGGTCAGCAGTGTCGGACGCACAATCGTGTACGGCACCCCGCTCTCCTTGATAGCTGTCTCTGCCACCAGCTTGTGCTTGTGTGGGGTCGCTAGAGCGATCTTGTACAGCGGCCTCATAATATACGGCACATCATAGCTGCCGCCAACGCCCGTGGACGACACCATGACGACGCGCGGCTGGCTCTCAGCACGTGTCTCCTTGATGATCTCCAGGATGTGCGCGGCTGCAGTTTCCTCGATACCAACGTCGTTGGCGGTGGTGAGGCCGGTGGGCGTCGCCCCCAGAGAGGTAACGATGATGTCGGCATTGTCGATGGCCTTGGCCACGTCGTCCTTGTTTGTTGCGTCGCCCTGGACTACGGTGATCTTGGCAAGCTGCTCATCGGTAAACGGCAGCTTGGAGGGCGTTCGAGCGAGGACAGTGATGCTGATGTTGTCCTTGGCGAGGGCCTGCTCGACGAAGGCTTGGCCAGTATGACGAGAAGCTCCGAAGACTGTGATGCGCATGGTTGGCTATTTGCAGGAAGATGGAGATGGAAGTAGGGTAAGAATCTGCTGGTGCTGTCCTCAATGTCGCCTGCAAATTCCCCGGCTTTTATACTCGCCCTTTTCTCTTGGCTCTTGGCAACCAGCCTGCAACTCCCCTCACATCTATTTCAGACTGTGCAATAGGTGATGTGAATCCTCTTCCCAACAACGTTGTTTGACTGTGCCTGCTGACCAACAAAACAGCAGATCCTGTTCTGCATCCTGGCAGGACGTTCAAGTCCCGCCCGTGCGTGCCAAGGCACAGGCGGAGGCGCGGGACACCTCGTCTTACCAGGCGATACCTGGTTGCGAACTGCTCGTACTGAATTATGAAATATATTTCTTATGTATGTTTTTCTAACCTCACTGCTTGGGAGCAGGGGCATCGGCCGGCGCCGGCTGGCCTTGAGAGAATCCTTCCTTGAGCATCTTCCAGATTGTCATGTCCTTCATTTGCTGCTTCATCTCCTCCTCGTACTGCTGGCGCTCCTTCTCGATCGACACGAGCATCTCCTTGTGGTGGGCCTCAAAGTTCTCGCGCATCAGTTTGCGCACCCGGTCGAACTCGGGCTCGGGCGGGTGGTCCATATCGGCGGGTCCGCCGCCAAACACAGCTGCCTTCCAGCTGTTGGCGTTCTTGCGCTTCTCCTCCCACTCATCGACCAGCTGCTTGCGGATCGAGTCCTGCCATTTGCTGAACTCGAGCGCGCCGTCCATGCCCTTGTATGTCTTGAGCCAGGGCCGCACGTCCTTGGGCTCCATCATGCTGACATACTCGAGGAACTGCGTCATCTGCTCAATCCAATTGTCGCCTAGGCTGCCCAGTGAATGGCCGTGCCAAGAGCCCACTCTCCGGCTGCAGCTCAAAGGCCTCAGGGTCAATGTCAATCATGATCACCTTGGACATGTCGCGGTTTAGGGCCGACAGATCCTTGTAGTTCTTGCCGTCGATGTTGCGCATGTGCTCGCGGTATAGCCGGTACGGCGCATAACCGAGGGGGTCCAGCCGGGACATCACCAGCTCGCCTGAGTGGGAGGGCTGCGTCGAGAAGATCACCAGCTCGTACATGCTCGCCATGTACGCCAAAAAGTGGTCGAGTCCAGGCCGCTTGGCGATCCGCCAGCCGCTCTCCTTGGTCCAGTCCATGTGGATCAGCAGGTCATCAAGGATTCAGCACCAGCGTATACGGGGGCATGTAGTCAGCCGGCTCCGGCAGCAGCTTCTCCGACACCGGATCTGACAGGAACGAGAACGACGCACTGCCGCGCTTTAACACACGGTGCCACAGCTGCAGGGCAAAGTTCTGCTCGGCGTTGTCCGAAAGACCCTTCTCAATCTCCTCGGACGTATACGGACGGCCAAAGTAGCCGACCGCGCCGATAACCAGGCCGATCGCCAGTCCGGTTCCAGCATACTTGGCCGCCTTGACACGCGGCTCATCCTCCAGCGGCGGCAGATCGGCACGCTGCCGACGCGCACGCCTGGCCTCTGCTGCGGTCATGCCATCCCTCGACTGGTCGTGTCCCTCATTGCCGACTGGCTCGCCAGTCTCGTTGCCCAGGATGCCACTTGCCATGCCACCGCCCGTCGATGCAAATCCGAACGGCGAGGCAGCAGATTTGGCTTCGGCCTTTGGTGCTTCAGTCCTCTGCACTGGGGGCTTCGGCTTCTGCCTTGGGGGCTCCAGTTTCCACAGCGGGTTCCTCGGCGCTGATGGGCTTTGGTTCAGTCTCCTCGGGCTTCTTTGCCGGCTCAGGCACACTCTCGGACGACTTTCTGATCCGGATCATCGATGGCATCGTGGTGCCCAGAGCCCGCGCCTGCAGCCGAGCAGCAGCCGCAGGAAGTCTGGTGCGGCCGTTTTGGACTTGCCGTGCAAGTGGCGATGCAAATCGACCAAACATTGTTGTAGTTTTAGGTTTAGAAGAGCGAGTAAAAGTGAATCGCAAGGTATAATGAGTCTGAGAGATAAAGCGGGGGTCGAAGAAAAAAGCGCTGACGAGAGAATAGCATAGAAGGACTCGGCTATCAGCTGGACCTCGGCTTCGCAGCTTACGAGCCTCTTCACTGGTGCGCCGATATTTTTTCTGGCCGATATTGGGCGTCCATCCCCTGGCCCCGCACCCGGCGATCAGCAAATTCCACCGGCGCGATCAGTGATTAAAGAACCACGAAAAAGCGCGTCCTTTCGGAGCATTAGCAGCGCCAAACATTTTGCTTCTTTTCGCAGACCGTCACTTTTTTGCGCCCTTTTCTGCGCCCTTTTCTGCTGCTGAGCATATTCGGACTCCTTCGGTTCATCGGTCGCAAATGGATACAGATATCGAGGATCCGACAGACTGGCCAGCAGAGTTTGCCCACCTGCGTGAGACTGACCAACTACTGCGTTGTCCAATATGTAAGGAGTATCTCGACACAGCCATGGCCTCTGCGAACTGCGGCCACACGTTCTGTTCCCTCTGCGTGCGCCGGTGTCTGAGTCAGAAAACCCAATGTCCCATGTGCCACGACCAGCTGACCGAGAGCGACCTGCAGCCCAGCCGGCTCATTGATAGTCTCGTGAAGTCGTTCAAACAGGGCCGTCGCCAGTTGCTGGACACGCTGACTCGCAATCCGCAGTCCCCAGCGCCTGCGCAAAATGGCCATAGGAAACGGCCGCGGATACAGACGCGCAGTTCTACACGAACTGCCGAGGGAATGCTACCGACACCGCAAGCGACCTCGGACAGACTGGCAGCAGCCGATCTATCATCAGACAATGAGCTGCCTGCAGCTACTGACGGCGAGTATCTCGGAAGCTCCCCCAGCAGTGTACAGATCATCGATGACGACGACGGTGACTACGATGATGATAGCGACTTTGCGCGGCTCATCGCGCCGCGCCAAACCCACTATGGTCTCCTGCCCCAGCTGCGGCGCAAAGGTGCGGGAGTCAACCATCAACTCACATCTGAATCGGTGCCTGGCAGGCAAGACCACCGAGCCTGATTCGAAGAACTTTTTGCGTTCTCGCCGCACTGTCCCATTATCCACAGGTGCTAGCCGCCTGCCTAAACCAACAAAACTCGCCTACAAGCTGCTGACAGAGTCCAAGCTACGCAAAGTGTTAAAGGAGCTTGGCATCAGAGCCACAGGCGATAAGCACCAGATGCAGGCACGGCATAGCGAGTGGGTCAACATATACATGGCCTAACCACGACTCGGAGTCGCCGGTATCAGACCGCCAGCTGCTGAAGCGCCTCGATGTCTGGGAGTCCACTGCGTCCAAACCCGATGCAACGAAAACACTTGCCACTCAAAGGGATGTCGATCGAGCATGCAGCCAAATATGCCAGCACGTTCGCTGCCCTGGTTGCGCAGGCGAGCACGGCCCGAAGGCCAGTGGTGGCATCAATTCCCGAATCACCACCATCGTCGCAGGTATAGAAATTGTGTAGTTTTGATTTAGTTATCGGTTCGACGTTGAAAGATATTTAGCGCGCACTCAATCGTAAATGTACACCAAAGCGTGCATAAGGGTCCACACCAGCACATACGACAGCATGGTGTTCATGATCGGTGTCACCGCAATATCCATAGCGCTCGACTTGAAGAACACGGCCGGCTTGCCCTGGCACTTGACAAAGAACACCAGCGTGGACAGAAACACCCAGTTCAGCAGAAAGAAAATGAACCCGTTCCACCCGGTCAGCCCGAGCACGCCCGCCGCTGTGCCAATGCCCCACGACGCCAACGTATGAATGTTCGACAGCTGCAAATTGTTCCACTGCACCGTCGGCTCAAAGTACTTGAACATTTCCGCCTGCGCATCTGCCATTGTATGTGAAGCGTCTAGGGATTACAAGTCGTTTTGAAATTAAAGAGGGTGTAGAGGAGAAGCGTGTTCAAGTGTGGAAAAATGTGGAGATCAAAGAGAGCTTCGCCTGGCCAGCAAATTCTGGGCCAGCGCTCTTTTTTCTTCTTCCCGTGTTTTACATTTCCTCATAAGCTTGCATTGCGACAATAGCTGAAAATGGGCAGTGGCGATTTGAACATGAAAAAGTCGTGGCACCCGCTGACTATGGCGAATCAGCGGCGGGTGGCCGAGGAGAAGCGCAAGGCCGAGGAAGAAGCCCAGCGCACTGCCAAGATGCAAAAGGAGCTGCGCGCCGAGCGCCAGCGCGAAGAGATGGAGCGCCTGAACCAGTCGCTCAGCGGCAAGAAGACCAACCAGCTTGAGTGGATGTACAAAGCGCCGACAGTTGCATCGCAGACCGACGAGGACCTGGAGGCGTACTTGCTAGGCAAACGCAGCATCGCAGACATCATCGATACGAAGGAGAAGGCAGATGCTCCCGAGGATAAGTGGAAGGGCGACATGCTGGCGTTCTCCAACCGGAATGTCAACAGCGAGCGAGACCTACGCGCAAAGGACATGGAGGATCCGCTGGTGGCTATTAAGCGCCGTGAGCAGGAGGCGATACAGCGGATGATGAGCAACCCGCTGTACAAGAAGGACACGCAAAAGACGAAAAAGTCGAGGTCCAAGGACAAGAAGCGCGACTCGAGCAAGGACCGGGACGAAGAGCGGCGGCATCGTCACAGGCATAGGAACCGCCATAATGGTAGCAGCAGATCCATACGCGACGGGATCGGAAGCATCCCACGGCGAAGAGTCAAAGGGCAGCACTGGCGACAAAAGCAGCAGCCGGCATCGGCACCACCGCTCGCGGACAGACGGTGCTCGGGAGTCGCGAGATGATTCGGGCACAGTACCAGGGACAGGCGGTCCAGGTCCCCGTCCGACCGGCGACACAAATCCTCCTCTTCCCACCGCCGAGACTAATGTATTTGCTTTAATAGAAATGGTGTTGGTATTGAAGTCATGTCTATAAGGGATAAAAGTGGCAGTTGCGAATGAGTGAGAGGGCATGTGGTGGTATTGTATCTTGAATATCTGAGGACAAGCAATGCTTTGGCCAAAACCGACAAGCACAAGGCCGGCTAGCCTGTGGGGGGCGTAGAGCCCTAAGAGTCAGCCGGTGGAGCGTTGGTATCACGCTGGATCCTGGCCTCAAACGCTTTCCGCATCTGTGGTGTGTCAAAGTAGAAGAAGTACTCTCCAGTGGCAAACCTGATTGAGATGGCGTTGGCGATGAGGAGGTCGTCAGAAACATCGCATGGTGCCGTCAGCGGCTCCCCCAGGCTGATGACATCCTGACGGGACGACGCTGCACTCGTTGATGTATGTGAATAGTTTATCCTCTGTCAGCACAAAGTACCGGCGCTTCCAGAACGGGCAGGTTCGGTTCCTGGATCGTCATGTAGCCACGCAGGCCCTTCTTGACTGAGCTATCCAGAATGCCCTGCCTTTTCTGCCTGGCGAGACACCTCCTTGCGGTGCACCTTGACCGAGTCAATGAGCTGCACCACCTCCATAGAATCGGCAAACGAACCAGCCATGGACATCCTAGAATCGCCTTTGCTGCCTAAAGCACGGTGCCTGTCAATCGGATGGAAGGCGCTGTGGCGCAAGCCAGCCGGCGTATGGGTGATTGAGAGTGAAGACATGGCGCCCAGTCAGCGAGTAGCGGCCATGGTTGATCTTTGTGTCGGACGCACTAAACGATACGCGCGGGTAGCTGCTCTTGTGGTCACTCACGTAGCGCGATGTTTCGCCGCCGCTTGGAAGCAGATTCGCCTCGATATACTCGGCGCTGGCAATGCTGTCATCGATCGAGAATGAGCTTTCTGAGCTGCGGGCGACAGAATTATCGCCGCCATAGCCCTCGTCGGGGGCAGCCCCGTCCTTCTGAGACTTGGTGCTGCCATTGAACGATCTCGGGGTGGGTGGCGCGATAAGGAAGTCTGCATTGGCTACCTTGCCTCGGCGGAACTCGCTGGTGCCATGGGAACCTAGGAGAGATGGGCACATTATTATTAGTGTATGCTGAGGGTCTATTAATTGGGCTGGAAGGCTGGAGCTTTCGGGGGTGAGAGAGCAAACTGACGGGTGTGGATAGGAGTGCATCCTAAACCATCAGCTATATTTTATACAGCAAGGGCGAACGCCCTTCCATAGGTCATCGGCCTAAAAAGTCAGTAGAGCGCATGTCAAACAGGCCGATATGACACTGGCAAATTATTAATAACTCTGCAGTCTTGGATCGAAAAACTAGGCGAAGTCTGAAGTTCCTGAGCCCAAGATTTCGCCATTTGGCCACTTAGACAAGAGGAATGCAGTGTGGGGGAGAGGGGAGTAGCAGGCAGAATATCGATTGCGTCTTTGCGGTGTCAGTATGTGTGATTTCTCAAACCAGCGCTGGCGTACTGCGGGCTCTCCACTAGGGGCAGCATATTTTTAGCCTCCTTGTTACATATGCACCATCTACTTTTCTTGGTCGATGATTGCTGCATATCCATGTAGTTTCTGAGGGGATAGGGAGGATACCCAGAGCGACCGCATGGATACTGCAGCATTGGCGCACCATGTATTTTCCTCTGCAAGACCTACCTTCGCCATCGTCCGTCAACAGACATCCTGTCGTTGTCTTTCTCGGACGTCTCTTTCCAGCACCTTTTCTTCCTCCATAGGCACATCTTCATCCCGTTCAGGAATAGGCGTGCCAGACCGGGAATTGGACCCGCCAGCATCGGTCATGGATTCGACGATCGACGCGAGTGACTGCGTTGCCGCTGAGCGCTGAGACCAGAACTTGTTTTTCGGCCCTGTTCGGTGACGACGCTCGAGACCGCTCGTATCCTGCTATAGTAGAAATTGGGCTTTGGATTTTAACAAGACAGCGCTTGCCGGTGCTGAGCCATGGTGAAAGCAATGAGCGCGAGTGCAGAGCAGCGAGGATGCATAGGGCTGTCCTCTGGCTCTGAGAAGATGGAGGGAGTGAGAAGGAAGCATATGTACAGTGAGTGAGGGTGACGAGGGCGCCTGCTGCTTTTTGACTGATGGTTGCTATAAAAGACGCATAGTTATCATCTACCACGACCACCGCTTCCCTGCTGCAATACGCCATTAGGTGTGGTAGGATCAATCTGCCCCACACATCACGCACAGAGCATACGCAAATGCGCATCGTCGCATACAATACCTTTCATGGGCAGCGTCTTGATGGCCAGGTGGCTGGTTTTGGCACGCAGCATGCCTGGTGTCAGCTCTGACGGCTTCGAGGTGTTGACAGTGACATCGTAGTGACTAAAGTATGCTGCAACGACTCTTTGGTGGGCCAGACCGCGGGCTATATGTCAACATCAAGAGGTCTGGATCAGCTTTCGAGTGTGGTATAGTCAGTGCGCCTCAGAAAGGGCCGTCTGTGGGCCAGCTGTATTCTGGAGATGCCGGACAATGAAGCATGCTCCATTCGTCGAACGCTAAACACTTACCTCTCTGGACGCCGCTAACAATTTGGACATACATGGAAAATCACAATATTGACATTTGTGTGAGTTAGCTGCCTTGCCAAATAAAACGAAACTTCAGCTTCGACAGGCAACAATACAAGGCGATATATGGCCCGCAATATGCGCCAGGTTTGTTTGCTTGCCTAAAAATTGCTGTCTGTTTGCGCTGTTTGCGCCATTCTTCCTTACCTGATCTTTTCCGAGACATGGGTGACCAAAACATTGGACCCCTCAAAGTAGATAAACGCAAATACAACTTCTTCGGGGATGCTCTGTGCCATTTCGTTCACACCGCCGCTGCCTGCTTGCGTACAGCGAGAGCTTGTCGCGGGTGCTGTGGTACCCGACGATCATCCTAGGCCATAGCAGTAACAAGACGGCACAAACGCGTCAGCTTCATTGCAATGACGTGCATAAATACATGCTCTATGGCACAAAAGTGGGGCAGGCTGCCCTTTCTTGGCAGAGCCAGCGTTGCCAGTCGCTCTTTACAGCCAGTGTAGGGGGAGCAGATCTCGCCCAACCCCTGATATTTAGGGCCCGCCCACAGCTGGGTTCAGTGCGTGCTTCTTACCAGTCGATATCGTCGCCATTGATGATGCGGTTGTATGCGTCGGCTATCTCGGGATTACTCAGATCGCACGCCATCGCCTCAATACTGTGTTTCTTTCCGTCAGTCGTAAAAATAGCGTATGCGTAGGTAATTCCAGCTTGAGCACAAACTTTGGGCTGCGCGCAAAAGAAAAAGGGTGTCGTTATTCTGGGGGTTAAAGTAAGAAGAGGTGGAAAAGATGCAGAGGAAGGGAATAGTTGGAAGAAGAGAGAGGCTTCTTGGCACCGGCGCCATCTTCTTTTGTGTACTCGGCCCAGCGAGGCTGGTGCAGGGTGATGTTTCTGAGCGACAGCGCTTGTTCGCTGAGCGTCCGACCCAAAAAAATCCTGCACATGCATGATCCGGGAGGCGACTGGGCAAGTGGCAGGAAATAGGAGCGATCGGTGACTATGATGTCGGCCACCGCTGCCAAAAGACAGCATGTGGAGCCTGGAGGAACCCTAACGCGAGGACACAGCGGTGGTGCGCCCGCTTCCACAGCCACAGTGCAACAAATAAAGATCCTGGAGCTACCTCTGAGCATCCCTGGCTCAGTGACGACCAGGGCAATTTTTTCCCGTCGATCCGGCCCGGGCACAGTCCGAAGACGACATCGCTCACGTGTAACGGCTCTGTGTCCAATGGCATTGTTAGGCCGTGGGATCAATCGACAATTATCAAACCCCTCTCCGCCGGCTCTTCCAACTCCACTCGATCTGTTTCCCAGCTATTTTTATACTTACTTTGATACTACTCGCTCAGAAGACATGACCAAAACTATCGTTATCGGCGTTCTGGCTCTGCAGGGAGCCTTCATTGAGCACATCCACGCGCTGAACACGCTGCGCGAGGTCGAGCACATCCGCGATGTCGTCGAGGTGCGCACCAAGGCTGAGCTGGACAAGGTCGATGCCCTCATCATTCCAGGCGGCGAGTCGACAGCAATTGCACTCATTGCGGAGCGCTGCGGCATCCTCGATGATCTGCGCGAGTTTGCTCGCACCAAGCCTACCTGGGTAACGTATTCATGCATTTCTCCCATGGGGCTACAATCACACCTGCTACCGCAGTGCTGTGAGTATCGCGGGATCATGACACACTAACTGCATGGCGTGCCAGACAATTGATCATCTTCACAGACTCTAATGACTCAGCTGCTAACACCTGCCTGTTGATCCCACAGTAGGGAACGTGTGCCGGCCTGATCCTGCTGGCTAAGACGGCCATTCATCACAAAGAAGGGCGGCCAGCAGCTGCTTGACGCCCTGCCAGTGACTGTGTCCCGCAACCAGTTTGGCCGCCAGGTCGATTCGTTCACGATCAAGCTGGATTCGAAGCACATCGCCGGCGAGCCGTTCAACTATGTGTTTATTCGCGCCCCTGCGATTGTCTCCGTCGATGATCCTGAGGTCGAGCCGCTTGTGGAGCTGCCGCCGGGAATTGGTCAGACCGAGGAGTCGGAGAACGGCCTGCTGGTTGCGGTCAAGTACCGCAGTATGCTTGGCACCTCGTTCCACCCAGAGCTGACCCACGACAACCGCTGGCACCAGTACTTTGTGCGTATGGCGCTGAGTCTGATCTAAATCCTCTTTTACCGAGCCATATTCGCTGACATCCAATGAATAGAATGATTTAAAGGCAGTCAAGCCGCGCGCGATTTCGGTATTCCAAAACGCTCTTTTTGACACCATTTGCCTGTTTCTAAACTTCTTTTTTCTGCAAGTAATGAGCAACACAGACAACCACGTACACCCGCAACCACAGCCGACTGCGCGCACAAAGCCACTGGTAGAAAGCGCGATCGAGTTTCCCGACGAGCCTCTGCTACTGCGCATGGACAAGACAACCCACGCATTCTACAAGACTTTGACCGATGAGGCGGACAAAAAGATGCTGGAGGTGGTCACACACACGGCCAATGTCAGCCCGATTCTGCGGCAGGCCAGCAAAAAGGACTTCAAAAAGTACGGCAACCCTGAATACCCGACGATTACCAGCTCGATTATCGACAAATACGCCGAGCGCCAAAAGGTGCTGCTGTCGTCTGGCACCCTCGACCTGGTGTGGGGCATCAGATGGCTGCTGTCGTATGTGGTGCTGATCGACTACCCACTGCAGGGCACAGAGATGGTGGACACGCTGATTTCGGTCACACAGCGGATGGCTCGAGGCGCTGGCTGATGCAGACATTCTCGAGGTCAAAGGAAGTGCTGCCACAGTTGATCGAGGTGCTGGGAGTTGCTCATCAGGAGCTGGTAGTCAGCAGGCAGCTATCGACGATGCTTCCCGGCAGCTTTAATAGTGCATGCAGCATCGTATTTGCCGGCGAGCTGAAGACCATTCATGTCAACAACTTTTTTGCCCAACTGGGTCACCAGCAACCCCGAGATTGCGCATGCCAACGGCATTGCGGGTGTTGAGGAGCAGACGGAAGGGGTGGCAGTGGATGCAGTACAAACAATTGGTGGCATGGTCGACCGGGATTCAATATGCGTGAGCACAGCATCAGTCGACCTGCGCATCATGTGCAGCAACAATGACGACGGTAAAGTTGCTGTTACAGAGGCTGAGGGCGACTATTGTATGGATCAAGGTCAGCGAGTTTGATCGCAGCATCATGAAGGATACAGGGACGCCGTTTGAGCTGAAGGTGGGAGCGAGCCGTTGTTGCCAGCCATGCGACCAGGGTTTGTTATTGAGGGAACGCTGCACCGGTTGAGCGACGGGACCCGCTATATCGACCAGGTGACGATGGTGTGGCCGACGTACACGCCGCTAGACTATGTTGATCTGGCCCAGTTCTAGCTAAACCAGCCCCGTGTGATAAATACATTATTGGATACCGTAACCACCCGCCATAACAAGTGTGGTATATACAGAGATTGCCTTGTTGATGCTGCGGGATACCATCTACACTTGCGTGATATTTTCGCCTACTCTCTCCTGAATCGAACCCAATGAGCAGCAGCAGCCAGCTAGACATTGATGACCTATGCGCAAACTATGTGCAATCGGCCGAGGTCGTCCATGGCACCAGTGAAGTGGCTGTAACCCAGCAGCTATTTACTCTATCGGCTGAAATAGCTGCATCAGCAGACACAGCGTCGGTGGTGTTCCTTGAGGTGCACCCTTGCGACCACCTTGCGTCCAGTATTTCACAAATCGAGGTCAACGGCACCGGGCTAGATCGAATAGCGATCAAGTACCTGACATCGGGTATCCAGCTCAAAGCCCTGCTGGCCACCTGGCATCGTCTGGCGCCAGGCTGGTCAGAACCGGGCGTACACTGAGCAGGACTTTTTGACATGGTCTGCAAGTGAACGCACGGAGGAATCTGATGCGCCGGATTGCTTGGTCATTGACGGATTTGATGTGCTCTCCTCGGAAAACAGGTAAGCTCCGGGTTGAACATCATTCATCGGGATTGGCAATATCCACGTGTATGCCGTCCCCAGTGCACGCTTGGCCACGGAGCCACAGGAGGCGAGAAATAGGGGGAAACAGACTCTCGGTTTCCGGAAACTTATATATACCCGGGCAAGCGGAAGCGACAAGCCTGTTTTTTTTTTTTCATTTTACGTTGCCACACTGTAGCAGCATCGGCTATATTGCGCTGCTCAACAACACGCTCGACCTGATAAACCGGACACGGTCCAGGTAAGTTTTGCCGCGTCATTTTCGTGTCGAGAAATACCTCCGAGGCTTGGTTTCCTGCTTGCTATCCGCCAATACCACTACTTGCGACTCAGGCTGGGGGAAATGGTTCTCTTGTAGGCGTGGTCAAGCCCGCTGTCGTCTGGTGCTGGGATCGACTGCATAGCCACGCTTTGCCTCCATTATCTCTTTGTTGGTTAATGAACAAGACGCTTATCTTGCAGTATGCGCCAAGTCCGGGCACAGGGCCACTGCCGCCCAGACGCAGCAGATAGGAGATGGCTTGCGCAGACAGCTCGCAGCAATCTTATCGGAGCGGGTGTCTCTATATGGCCAGTTTGTGCAATCTGGGGAAGGGAGGGCCATGACCAAAAGAGATATGATAGCGTCGACGGAGCTGCCAGAACCATTCTGTTGCGTATGTCGCACACCATGGCCTATTTTGGGGGCAGGTTCGGTGTGTATCCCGTCTGGGCTGAGCGCTCCTTCCTGGCATGTGCTTTGATTGACGGCTGCTTATATCCCGTGTGAAAAGAAGCCTCCCCACAGGCGTAGGAGGATGCCGGAACACAAATGTGGAGAGCCAGCCCAGCATGGAGGCGCAAGCACGGGGGTGTGCATCGCGGGAGGTCAAAAAAGGGAGATCTGCAAGGCAAGTGGTGGTTGCGCATACGGAAAAAGGAGGTGGCAAGGAGAGGGCCACAGAGAGCCAGCCCAGGCTGGAGCACGCGATCAGCAAGGCAGCATGTCCGCAGGAAGGGCAGGGCAGAGCCTTTGGGGTCAGAGTGGGCGTTCTGCCTTCGCACGTCAACCGGATAGCAGTCACAACGTTTGTTTTTGCAGACACAGGCCCATCGCCGTGCCAGGTGGGGGATGTGGACGAAACGGGCGCGGGATTTCCCGAGCGTGCTGGATGGCTTGAAGGCAGACCTGCATTTTCGCAGTCGCCTACGCGGTGGCCCGGGCTCGCACAAACTTCAGCGACAATAATTCCCCTTCTGCCATTCTCCTCTCAGCGGATATATTCCTCAGCGATGGATGCAAATGAGGTGGTGGTGATGGGTTCTTTGAATACAACACAATATGTGGAAAAATGGAAAAATTACAAACAGCAGCGCTTTGCTGCAAAGAAATCGCGCGCAGGATGGTCAACAGGAAGGCAAATGTTCCCAGGGGCCCGGATATTCACGACATGATGAAGTTGATTGAGTTTTTGATATGTGGCTCCTCAAACTCCATCTTCTGCATCAGCTTGCTGTCGGCGATTTCCTTTGGCAAAGGGCCGCTGAACGGCGTAATGGTAGATGCTGTCGATGAGGCCTTGGAAGCAGTGGCGGAGTCAGCGGTGAGATCTGGCAGGTCGTTGCTGCTCAGCTCGCAGCCCGGGGCCGCCCACGGCTCCTCATTTGCATCCTCTCGACAATCGGGCACACGGGGGCAGGGGCGGGGCAGGGGCAGCGGCCGGCTGCTCAGTCTTCACGGGGCTGGCCCTGGGCGCAGACAATGGCAGGGCGTCGAGCGCGGAGGCAGCAGCAAGAACAGCTGAAAGCGCAGGCGACTGGGGGATTCGAAGCATGTGAAGCGGCCGGTGATGCAGTGCGACGGCGACAGGGCAGGCGGGCTGCTGGTGTCAGCTGACCCGCGGCTACTCTCGTTGCGCCTGCGCTTGGCGTCGCCCGGGTGCATGACGGGTGCGTCGGCCGTTGCCAGCTGCAGCTCCTTGATGTAGCACACGCACTGCTCAAGCACCTCCAGCTTTTGCAGCCGAGCCTCGTTGCGGAGCCAGGGAATCAGCTCCTTGAGATCGTTGATGATTGTGTTTGTGACGCTCGCGGCGACGCCGCTCCATTGCCGAATGTGACACACGGCGCTTGCGCTCGCGCTCCTCAGCGTTCATGATGGGCACCCGGAACCGGATGTCCGCCATCGCCGACCCCCACTGACTGGCGGGCTCCTGGGTGCCAGCCCGATCGTCGAACCCCGGCGCCGGCTGGCTAGCCGGACCAACAGCCATCGGCGCTGCGGGCGGGTAGGGATAGTGCATGTGCGGCGGGTACGCCATGTGTGGTGGCATGTTGCGGGCATGCTGCTGGTGTTGGTGGTAGTAGTAGTCGGCAGGAGGAGGGGGCGGCGGGCCCTGGTAGCGGTGCGGCGGCATTTCGCGCGCACCAGCAGACTGATCTGGGGAGCCAGAAGGACGCGGCGCAAAGAATGCGGGCGACTGGGCAGTAGGGCTAGACTCGTTTGTATGGCTCATGGCTAATTATTTTGTGTGATTATATATGTGGAGGGAATAAGGGTAAGCTAGTTGGTAGCAATATGTGCGGAGTGGTATTTCTGGGAGAAAATGTGAACTGGTTTCATAGGCGAGCACAAAAAGGGCGGGGAGGGGCATGCTGGTATTTATATGGTGCGCGAGCGCGGCCACTGCGCTGGTTGCATCGTACGGTTGAAAAAGGCAAGAAACAAAAATGTGCGCGCGCGCACGTCCTCCTAAGCAAGGAGGATAGTCATGAAAAGAGGGGGAAAGGAAAAAGTGGCTCGCTAGGAGTGCTCGGGGGTGCCATGACCCCGCGTTTCCCCCTCCCCCTTTCTCATGGCGGATGCCGGATTGACTCGGAACAGCCCGCATTTGAAAATTTTTTCTCAGCGATACCAGGGCAGGCCAAGGTGTCCTTTTTTTCCAGGCACATGAACCCAGTATGGCCCCTTTATGCTGCCCGTGCCGGTTTCACATGGGAGCTGGTGCGGGCCTATGCCAGCCGTTTCCAAGAGTTGGCCAGCCTGCCACTTGTGATTACAACGACTGTCCTACCACACACGGTCGCGTCCCAGATAAGAACAAATAAAGTGGAGCTCGGAGAGAGGGACTGGATTAAGCTGGCACATGCCAGATGTGCGCAGGGGAGTTTCAACACTCTCGCGCATCGGACCGGCCGTCCACACTTTGCGTGCTCAGCAATAGACCACTTTCAGATGCCCAGCTGCTGAAACTGGCCCCTGCTGCGTGAACTACCATGCACGAGCCTCCCCTTGTGCTCCCCTTGACCCCTCGCCGTGTCTCAAGATCTACTGCATCCCCAGACATGTACGCCGTTTTCATGCCTACCTACATCTTCATCTTGCATTGTTCCAGGCCGAGATTGCAGACCGCCATGGTCACAGACATGCGGGTATGTGACCATGCGGTCCACAGACCCACCGCTTGGGATAGTCGGTCCGGTCCCGGTGTCGACTCGTTGGCTGGGCATTGGGCTCGAAAGCAAGCACACCGCTGCCGCCGGCTGTATGCAACAGCTCATGTCTGGAATTTCGCGCGGGCCTTTTTCTTTGGTTCGTCGGTGTCATGGACTGTTGAACAGTCCAAGTCATCCCGACGGAGAAAAGGACTGGCTTGCGCTGTTGCAATTTCGAAAAGCAATGATTTGCCAAACATGCCTATGGTTAGGAGTCGGCTTTTCGTGACCTGTGCGTGACCACGGTGTACCACGGTGGATCTTCCAGAACACATACCTGGCGCTGCGTAATCTTGATCAGTTGCTGGGCCAATGGGTCTGTAGAGCCACCTTTTAGGCAGCCTGGGCAAATCATTTTTCAGTGCGCTGCTGCCACATGGTTTCCCACACACACCACTGTCCAGCACTTGGAAAGGGATGCGTGCTGGGAATGGTGCACAGGTTCGTGGGAAAAAGGGAGGGCAGGGTTGCTAATTCCAGCAGTGCCCCCGCCGCAGTCCTGTATGAACCAAAGCGTCATCGCTGCTGCCCCCTTTTTGCTGCCCCGTGCGCAACTCCAGAAGCAGCAGCTCGTATGGATAATTGTATGCAGAGGCCGGCACGGCATCCACATGTGCATTGCCACTTGATGGATTTAGGGTGATGGATTAATGCACAAGAACGAAAGCCATATGCATGGCATGCACGGTGTGTGCGGCGGGCAGCAGGAATAGCCTGAACGGATGGAGATTAAAGGTACCAATCGGAACATGTCCCCGCTGTTAAATATACCGCGCAGAGTCTGCTACGAGATTCTACTGTGCCATATGTATAAAAAAGCCTGACGGGCCAATGTACAGCAAGCTCGGATTACTGAGAAGTAAGGGTGATAGCTTGGGTTTTTGGAAGAGGGAACTCTGCTATTTGGACAAAAGGAGAATTTTGCCAGTAGGATGGACAAACCCGGCGCAGTGGCCATTGCGATCATCACTGACCTGTAATTTCTGATAGATGGGCTGGAGGAGATCATGCAATCGAATGCATTTGGTCACAGGCATCCGTAAACGCGGGGGATTTTGTGGTAGCAAGGGGACGCTGCGCTGAGCTGTTGGAGGTTTTGCATTTTGAATGTTGTAGCCACCCCCTTCCTAGCGACGTCTTCCGATGGGGCCAGCCCAAAGACATTGATGGACAATCAGTCGACCTCTTGTGTTCCGAGCATTTCTACGGATCCATCCTAGCACAGCATGCGCGTTTACATATGAACTGCAGCACCAAATATTCGCCGTAGGCGTTTATTTCGCACTCTGGCAACGCAGTGTGAGGGAGAGGTCGGATGTGGCACTGGAGTGTTGTTTGGTTTATTTTCGACACTGTGGAGTGCATCCGTTGTTGTTGCCAGTTCGGAATCAATTTGCCAGTGCAAAGCGGGATAACTTTTTAAGGCTGCCAAGCTCCTACAAGTCGGCAGAAATACGCCGCAGTACATGCATAGCGACGCTTTGAGCGGTATCCAGAAACTTGCTATTTGCCCCAGTCTATCAATAGAACATACGAGGGATATGCTCACATCCGGGTAATATTGGGCGGCAAGTGCTTTTTGGCACATGTCGACCAGCAACATTTAGCCTCTGCAACAACAGGTTTCAAGCAATATGCATAGTTGGCCAGTGCAATTTCAGCGCGTGGAGAAGTTGGGGAAGAAAGGAGAAGGATGCAAAGCGACCTGGGGACATTTTCACGGTGCAGCGACCTTTGAGGCGCAAATCGCTCTTGTGGAAGGCGGCATTTTGCCATACACGGCGATTAGCAAGTCGACCGGTGTACACCGGTGCACATGTCGTTCGGTCTTTTTTCAGAACGAAGCTGGCATGCAACCAACAACAAATGTCAAGAGATAGAGAAATCATGCAGCCTGAAAAAAATGTGCATGGGCGTCTCTCTCGAGTTTGCCAATCCTCGCTCTCTTGTGTGCATTTTGTCGGCACTCGGGCTCATCCTTGCATGCACGATGCTGGCCCACCCTTTGGCGTCTGAGAGGAAAATAGCTGTAATCCTGTTCTGCCGCCATTGGAAGGCACAGGGCGGAGCATGCACCCGCAAACCTGATTCAAGAGGTGGAGCTACAGAGCTCCCAAAAATACCTTTGGGATTTGCCAGAAACCCACTCGAGTGTCACTGGCAATGCTCCTGGCAAATCATCCAAGGAAGGAGCGGCCGCCTGCACATTGGCCAGTAAAGCTGTGAACCAAGGTGAGGCGATGCTTGTGAACGGATTCCTGGGCTGTATTGATCTACACAAATATCAATGTACAGCACTGGATGCTGACACATGGACATGGGCGACGAGGGGGAAGGTGTGCATCGGGGTCTCACTGAGCAGCATGGTTTGCACCGTTGCGGTATCCACTGGGCAGTGTGCAATGCGGAGTGCATGCTGGCAAGCGCTTGGCTGGGATGAATTGCGAAATGGCGTTAGAATATGTACAGGCTGCAGGTTGTGATGTGCCCAAGCAGGACATGCGCATGCCGTTTAGTGAGATGTGCCACCTCCGCTTGGTACAGAGTTTAAAATGCGCGGCGCACTTGCAACTATCAGTGGCAAGTCAATTGGTGCAGTCTATTTCATTCTCACCAGTCACTTTATTTTTTTTTGGCTACATTCGACTTTTCACCATTCGCCCCACCCCCACCCCCACCCCACACACTGCATTCTGGCCGCTTTGCCACCAGTTCACCCGACAATAGTAAACGTGCAGCTCTAAAGTCCATTGCTGAATGTTGACACGGCTGCTTACTGAGCGCTTAGAGGCCGGTATGTGTGGAGAGCGTCAGAACAATGGGGTTGCTGGAGAGGGCTGTTTGCTAATGTTGCTCGAGTCCTTTCATCAACTGAATCCGCTGCCTGTCGTCCACCTGATTCCCTTGGCAGCGGTAATGAAAGACAAATGCAAGGCTCCAAAGCAGGAGCAAGTGTGAAGAACACCGCCAGCACTCGCTCTCTTCTATTTACTTGCCTTTTCTGAATAGAGCTGCTGCGCACACACCCGCCAATAAACCCATGCGTGCGCTGTGCAACCACTCCCAAAATCAGTCTCTTGGCCGAACAATTTTCCACTGTGTAATGTTCTTCCTTCCCTCTCCCCATCGGAGAGTAAGGAAGGAATGGAGTTTGTGTATTTCACAAGCTAATGCGCCATCGGCGTCGGTATCCAGACGCAACTTGATTCGTTTCGGCTGATTCAACAGCGTACTCAGCTAGTACCAATAGGCCTTTTTGGCGGTATCGCATGTGTGGGGCTTAAATAGACGCTTTAATATATCCTGACCTTTCCATAGACACCTTTTGCATCTCGGTACAGAATCGGTGCAACGGGAGGGAGAGGAAAATGTTGAGAAGAGCTGCACAATACGGCCTTTCTCCCCATCAAAAAATGGTCAGATCTTGGCTGGGAACTGGCGTGCAGAGGATGTTGCCGCCCGTCCCTGGTGCCTGGGATGACACCGCCAAAAGAATAGATAAACCGGAACACCCTGGCATTTTATTCCCATGCAATGTAGTGGCCAACGAGCTCGAGTGCCCCCAGGCCCAGAAACAACAAGATTCGGACCTCTTTGACGGCTGGAGTGCTCCTCCTCTCGTTCCGCTGCTGAGGCTGTGTGCTTGGCGCAGAACCGGTTGTGGGCCAATCCCCTTTTGTCACAATTCATAATAACATGATAAAGCGAGCAGGCGCAGTGTGGGGAGGCGAGAGCGCGGAGAGAGCAACAGGCGTGGAGAACGGGACAAGGCATGGTAAATCCCCCAAGGATGGAGAACAGGCACCAGGGGAGGGCTGGCACCCGAAGCTGCAACACCCCTCTCCATACCGCCATTTTCTTGCAATAACGCAATTCACTACGCACTTGGAATCGCACCCGTACAGGCTAATTTTTCTTGACTGCCAGGCACTGAAAAAAAAAAAAGAGGAATACAGCGCACACTTTTCTATGGCAGGCAGCCCTTGCTTTCCACGCTTATAAAATCTCCATGTCGGTCCAGCAATTCCCTCCTTCACCTTCTTCCCCATTTTGCCATTCCTTTACCTAGACTTTCATACCCTTTTCACTTCGCCTCCTTTATTTGGGTTGTCGAGTATAATTGGCGCACCGACTATTCGCCATCCAGCTTATCTTGTTTCTTGAGGCTGATAAGACCGTCCTGGGCTTCCCTGGTTGAACCGCCGTATAAATAGCACTTCTCCCACCACGTTTACCCGGAAGCTTGTTTCTCCACACCTTCACACACCCCAATTTTTCTGTATACGGTCCAGCAAGGAAAAAATCCTTTTCTTTTGAAACCGAATACTGAATCGATTCCCGTAGCCGCGCCGCGGACTGCTGTTGACTCTGGCATTTTGGAGCATCTGAAAGAGCGGCATCTTTTTATTTTGCAGCGCACCGTGCTGGTCACATCCCGGCCGTTCCGATACATAAAACATTGCTTGCACATCCCTTCCACATTTTTATACTTCATCTCTGACTCCTATTCTCCCTTGACATTTTTCACCGCCTCTATTTCTATTATTCACTAGTCCTTTGGACAGCAGCGACAAAAACTGTAGTCATGCCCGGACCTCAACCCTCTGAGGAATACACATCAACTTGGGCCACATGCCAGGACCAAAAGGGCAGGGAGCCCAATGACCTGCACAGCAGCTATTCCCCGCCCTCGCTGTCAGCGGTCAAGCACTCGGTCGATGCGATAGGTGGGCATGCGCTGGCACAATCGCCCACACGCTATCACCCGGGGCAGCACACGGTGCATCAGGCGAGCAGTCAAAAGTGTGCGTTTCGGCGACACCCAGGCGGCGGCATCGCACGTGGTCGACGTCTTGAAAGGGCGCCATCCGCAATACTCGCAGCCACCACATTCGTACTCGCAACCTCAATCGCACTTGCAGTCACCACGCACACACGCTCCACATCCGCCACTGCCTGGCGCTGCGGGAGGTGAGGCTGGCGCTATGACTGCAGGACAGCGCCCCCATGTACCATACCACCCCCTCTGCGCACTACAACAGCCATCCATCCCCGTCTGCCACCACTCCATCCTCCTTACCCTCACACCATATGCCCAGCTACTATCACGATAGCCCGCCGCAGCTGGGCAGCCGCACCAGCTCGCAACAAGGCTACTACTACCAGCGGCACCCGTCGTACGCACACACAGCGCCTCGCCACCAAACAAGCATGAGCGTGTCCATCCCGCCGCAGCCGCATTCGCAACGGCTGTATTCGTCCTCCTCTTCTCCGGTCACCGCGCCAGGCGCGCGCCCGTCATTCTCACAGAGCCGGCCGCTGACTGCTGAAGAAAAGGAGATTAAGCGCAAAGTGTCGCACTCGGCAATCGAGAAGCGGCGGCGAGAGCGCACCAATGCAGTGCTGCGGGAGCTGCAGAACATTGTCCCTGGTCTGTGCAAGCCTGGAAAGATCCAGAAGCTGGAAATTCTGGAGGCTGCAGCAGAGTACATCCGCCAGCTGTCAGCGCTGCCAGGCCTCCACGCAGCATCGGATGGGCGGCGGCCTTCCACCGGCGGCCTCAAATCAGCACTACCCACAGTACGTGCCTCAGATGCAGCCGTTCCGGCAGTACACGGGACCCCCTGTGACAGCACACGATGAGCCAAAGGATATACGGTCCGGGAGTGTGGATCAGCAGCACCAGTCGGTAGCCACGCCCATGTCCGCCTCCTCTGGAACCGTTCACGAGGACCTGCCTGATGATTCGCTCCAGCCCGCTATGGCCGACCCGGGATCGTCAGCATCAGACCCCTCTTCAATGAAGGTCAACTTTTTGTTATGCTGATATTGCCTTCCGCTCCGGCCCATTGCCAGTACTCTTTTTTTAGCTGCCGCATTGCCAAGTAATAACAAGCCTGTGAATTTTTCGTTTTTCCCACCTGCCGCGTGCTTGCAGGCGAGAGAAACTCCTCATAGAATAGCGCAGTCCCCATCCATACGCACAGCAGGATTTCTCCGGCATAGGCGAGGGACTGGCAGGGAAACAATGCGTGCTGCACATGAAGGGCATGGAGGGCGTGAGCCAAAAAAAGTGCGGCTGCGAAAAAAAACCAGTCTGGTCAATTTTCCCACGGACTATATCTGAAAATCTATATCGCTTCCGTTCGAGTGGGTGGGGCAAAATGCAGGCTGCTCCTTCTGTTGCTGGGAAGTAGCATCGAGAACGGAGCAGCAAAAAACCAGCATCCAATGAGACCGACAGCCGAGTGACGGGGATTGCCCTCTTCTGCTAGCTGTGCACCTGCTGCTGCAGCAGCCGCAAGTCACGGGCTGTGAATATGGCCCGGTGGAGACCGCCTGAGAACAGGAAAACTGACCGAGGGCTGGCACGGCGTACCGAGCAGCAGTGAAGCAGCGCGCTGGATGGGAAAAAGGTGCGGCACAATGAAACAGTGCGTGATAATATCCCCCCCCCCGGAAGGCATCGGCCTACCTGCCTTTGCTCGTGAGAATCCGCTCCTGAGGCACCACGCACGCATTGCTGGTCCGTGCACAGCGCTTTCTTTTTGCTGCAATTGGTGGGCACAAGTAAGAAATCATCCTGCATGCACGTATTGCCCATCATGTGCTCCAGCTTGTGCCAGCTGCACCCGCATACATGCCTTGTTATTTACAATCATGCCCAGTGTTGAGTGTGAGAAACGGGGACCATCGACGCCTAGCTGGCATATGCTTGGCCGCTTATCAAGAGCAGGGAGGGGAGCGGCTGCGGCAATTCCGAAGCATGTGCGCGCCTGTATCAAGATGGCCGGTGATGCTGTGTGTCCGTGGGAAACAGCAAGGTTAGTCACACTCTCAGGTTGCCCGCCACTCGCCGTGCTTCCCCGAGGGGCGTACCGGTATGTGGGTTGGACAGATGAGGAGCTGGCCGAGATGACAGCATGCCGTGATTTGATATAAAATAATCCACAGATAATCCCGCCACGTGTGTCGGTTTCCGGTTCTGTGGCTTCTGGTGTCTCTTCGGTCCCGAGGGCAAACCTCCAGGTTGTGATGGCTGAGACATCCCCCGCCAGGATCGCTTTGTAATGCCTGGCTGGTGCTGATCCTCTTCCTGCTGAGCTGCCCGGGAGCCGTCCGGCAGGTACCGGTTCCGCGATGACCCCAGACTGAGGGCGAAAGGGCGAGATCAAGTAGTGGCGGATATTTGGCGATCCCTGCCTTCTCTATACGGCAGGTGTTCTTGCACGCTCCGCTTCGTGTGCATAGCCAACTCTGTGGCGAGCCGATTTCCAAGCGCCCATTTCCTAACCGCCCTGTCGTATATTCGCGCGGATGGCGCCTAAGTGGGGGGGGCAAAAATTACCGCTCTAGCCCTTCCTCCCACATCCCGCCTTCCATCCAGCTTTTCGCATGCACATGCGCAAGCGCACCCCGGCGGTCACGTCTTGTCCATGGTAAGTGGGTACCCCCTATTTTCCAGCCCGCCAGGCGGAAGGGCCGTCCCGTGCGTGATAGCTGGGCGCTCTGGCCTGGTGCTGGCTGGCTTGAGCCGCTGTCTCCTTGAGCACCGCCCGCCAGGGCTCTTCTCCCCAACGCAATTTTCCCTGGCCAGCTTTTCGCAGAGCGGATTTTTTATTGAGCGCCCCGCCATACGACAAAAAACCTCCACCGCTTGCCCGTCAGCGACTGGCTCAAATAGCCGTGAGGGGCACCAGGCGTTGGGCAAAGCGCCTGCAAAAAATTGGCGCTGTCCCCTCAACGGGCGTGTGCGAGCTCTGCGCTTCCTCCCCCACCACAGCGGCGCAAAAATATCCAGGCTGTTTTGACTGTATTTAAAAAATTGTTCAAAGACAGTCCCGCCTTTATCTCACACTATCCCCTTTCTCTCTCGCCTTGTCGAATTTATCTTTATTTTGCTCACCTCTCAATTTTGTTACAAATTCAGAGCCTTCCAATCACAAAAAACATGTCTGCTGCTCTCAAGTCGCTGTTCAAGACGCCGGCCGCCGCTCGCCTGGCCTCGCGTAGCCCGCGTGCCCTGTTTGGCTCCATCCGTTATAACACCACCGTTGCCGGTGAGCAGGTAAGCGAGGAAAAAAGGAGGGCGATCCGCACGCTTTTCGGGCACAGCTCCCGTGGGGTTCTCCTGCAGACGCAAGCTCACACGAGTACCGACCGTGTCAACTAATTTTTTATGCAAGCCCTTTCTCAATTTCGGCCAATTCGCAAAGTAGATCACTGTCCGTGAGGCCCTGAACGCGGCTATCGACGAGGAGATGGAGCGTGACGAGAAGGTCTGGCTCCTCGGCGAGGAGGTCGCGCAGTACAACGGTGCTTACAAGGTAACGTAATCAACAGCACACTGCCCTGCAGCGATGCCAGCCTCACAGGCATGTGCTGCAATGCGATTCAGCACCCACTAAGCGGCAGCTACCCCCTGCTCTACATGTATAGGTCTCGAAGGGTCTGCTCGACAAGTACGGCCCCAAGCGCGTTATTCGACACCCCCATTACCGAGATGGGCTTTGCTGGTATTGCCGTCGGTGCTGCCTTCCACGGCACCAAGCCCATTTGCGAGTTCATGACCTTCAACTTTGCCATGCAGGTAAGTTCACCCAATACCAGCCAAGCTGAGGCGTGGAATCCGATCTTGTTTGCAGGCACCGCAGCTGCAGCATGGACCTGTTCGTTTTGCTGTTTTCGTGGAGACGGGAACGATCAGCATGTATAGCAAGGGAGAAAATGACCGCACCTTAAATTCGCCTCTTTTCATGGCTGATCCCGTCTGCCTCTCCTGCTCTTCAAACAGCTGCTGTTGCCCGCTGTGATATGCTGCTAACCTACCTGTGATGAATTTCCGCCATATAGGCCATTGATCAGGTCGTCAACTCGGGCGCTAAGACCTACTACATGTCGGGTGGCTCCACCAGCTGCCCCATTGTGTTCCGCGGTCCCAACGGTGCCGCCGCCGGTGTCGGTGCCCAGCACTCGCAGGACTACGCCTCGTGGTACGGCCAGATCCCCGGTCTCAAGGTTGTCAGCCCGTACGACGCCGAGGACGCCAAGGGTCTGATGAAGGCTGCGATCCGCGACCCGAACCCCGTCATTGTGCTCGAGAACGAGCTCATGTACGGTACCAGCTTCCCGGCCACCGCCGAGATGGCCAGCAAGGACTTTGTCATCCCGCTCGGCAAGGCCAAGACCATGCGTGAGGGCACTGACCTCACCATCGTCACCTACTCGCGCCCGGTTGCCTTCGCCATGGAGGCTGCCGAGCTCCTGGCCAAGGAGGGCATCAACGTCGAGGTCCTCAACCTGCGCTCGATCCGTCCTCTGGACCTCGACGCCATTATCAAGTCGGTCAAGAAGACCAACCACCTCATGACCGTCGAGCAGGGCTTCCCGCAATTCGGCGTCGGCTCTGAGGTGTCGGCCCAGATCATGGAGTCGGAGGCCTTTGACTACTTGGACGCCCCGGTCTGCCGTGTCACCGGTGCCGATGTCCCGATGCCCTATGCCCAGAACCTCGAGAGCCTTGCCCTGCCCGACACCGAGGTCATCTACAAGCAGGTCAAGCGGGTCCTCAACATCGAGTAAATTCGAGCTTTAAAGTAATATCCTTTTGTGCTCTCTCCAAACTACATTTTTCACCCTTCCACCTGAATTGGTATACCAAGGGCACAACACGTCATCGGTGCTGTTTCCATGTAGAACACGACGCTTCTTTCTCTGCCAAGCACGCATAGCCTCGGGAGAAACGGCCGCACTGCTATCCTGCGGAATCAGAAAAGCACCTGTATACAAATACCGGTCAACCAAGCGTCGGATTCTAGGCCTCGTGCCTCTATCAAACGCATAGCATGCCACCGAATAGCTAGACAGGCGCTCTGACACATGCGAAACAGCTTCAGTGATGCACCCAGTCCTTCGTCTCCGGATGCAGAGCCATGCAGGCGCCAATTACCATAGCGCTGACAGTCGCTGCAAGTCCGACACCTCTCGATCCAGTGTCTAGACTACAAATACGCAATAATGCCAAGCAAACACAGATCGCTTGTACCCACATACTGTGCCATCTGCCTTGGCACGGGCGGTGACGTGCGCAAACAAGCTCGTGCGCTCAGATTGTGCCCAAATATATGACTGCGATCGCAGTGCGGCCCCTTGGAAAGCCGTCGTGGAATGGAAGCAAGCAAGCTGTAATAAAAACCCAGTCATATTTCCCTGCACCCTAAATCCCTAGCGTTGAGGTTCCCCTTCTGAAGATTTCGCAACATCTACCACTACCAGTACCATAGAGCCAATATTCAAAATCTATTTTCTCACTACTCTTTTACCTTACTTGCAGCAAACAGGGATCTGAAGCCTAGCTCCACCACCCGACAATTCTAGCATGTCCAGGGCGAAGAGCATGTCTCGTCGCCGGTCTAGCATCATGGATGTTAACCCCGGCGACGATTTTAGTCCGTTATCTGAGACTTTCAAGCCTACCTCGACGCGCGCGCATTTTGAGGAGCTTGTCGACCAGTATCGTAGGTCTGATGCCAGCATCGGCAAGGCCCAAGGCAGGCTTGATACTGTTGCGAACAAGAAAGACTATGTGCTTGGTTTTTTGAATGATGTCAAGTAAGTTGACCGCTATTTTCCTTCATATGCTGGCCAAAAAATGGACAGGTGCACGTTGCATCACTAGATACCTATCGCTTGATATGCAGTAAAGCCACATCCCAACTCAATATTTTCTTGCCCAAATAGGAAATGGCAGCTTGCCCTCGACCCCAGCCATGACCAAGGCCATGGGCAGTATCGACTTTGAAGCAATGAGGGAGCACACGACCACTGAGCCCGGCCTGGATGTTGTCAACAAGCTTGAAAGGTCGAACACCGCCAGCATCAAGCTGATCGAGCTGGTCAACGGTGACGACAACCTACAGCGGATCGTTGCCAACCTCAGCAAAATGCGCAGGAAGACTGTCGACGACCGCAAGAAGCTCATGGACAAGGTCAAGAAGGGGACCAAGAAGCAGCCCTCGGAGGAGACCAAGGAGAAGGCGTCCAACTACGGCAAGGATCTCGTCAACGTAACCAAGGGCATTGCCACGTCCGAGAGCCTGCGCAAGGTGCTTGCTGATGCGTCCAAGCTGATCAGCGACACCATCAGGGGCAAGGAGTCTGTTCTTGGTGAAGGAGCCAAGGATGCTGAGGCGCCCGAAAAGGAGATGGACCAGATCAAGAAGGAGCTCGGGAAGGCGGGCACCGATGTCAGCAAGGATGCCTACGACGCTGTCGCTCCGCTTGCGCAGAAGGTGCGTGATGGCGAGATGACCGCCGCCGCCGCCGCTGCCATGATTGCCTCCAGCTCCAAAGAGAAGCTATCCGGGTTTATCGCGAAGGGCAAGAAGAACCTGAGCAAGGAGCAGCTGAAGCCTCTGCTTAGCCGTCTGCGCGGTATTATTGTCGAGGCGCGCAAAGATGACACTGTCCAAAAGTCGATGGCCTCCATGTCGAACCTGTACACCACCATGTATATCAAGAGCAAGGCCATGGCCAAGGACGCCAAGGGCTCTGTCAAGGACCATGCAGCCAAGGAAGACATGATAGACACCCGCAATCGCTTTGAGGATGTGCTCAAGAACCTGGGAGCTGGGTACTCTGTGGTGCCCATCTTCTCCGCGCTCAAGTTGCTGGGCAAGGACTACCACGAACGCGAGGACATTCGTGAGCTCGTCGGTGACGCCAAGGAGTTTAGCAAGTGGGCCGTTGCGCTTGACCCTGAGGAGCTGTCGATGGACGAGTTCACCGAGCGCGGGTCCAGCATACTGAATCGCAGTAGGGAGCTGCTTGATCCCAAGTCCAGCGAGCATTTTGACACTTTGTCCAACGAGTCCAAGGACTATATCGAGGCAGTCAAGAAGAACCCTGTCATCGAGGAGTACACCGACTCGATGAAGGCGCTGACGTATGCGGTTATTGGAAAGGGTCTCAAGGGCGACGCCTGGAGGAAGCACATGAAGGCGCTGACCCATGAAACCTTGGCCAATTTGCCTGTCCTGGTGCAGTCGATCCGCTACGTCCCGCTGCCGCGTATTGCGGGGCAGAACAAGGATCTGGAGTTTGCTGCCGACAACATTGTGCTCGACCTGAAGCGCTTCGTCCCTGAGCATATGAGCTTCGACTCGCACACCGAGGTCTACCCTCGCTCCGCACTCCTCCACAAGAAGCACGCGATGAAGTCGCGCATGGGATTCGACAGCGAGCAGTTCTTCTACCACACGATCACTGGTGCCAACTGTGTTGCCAAGAATGTGGCCTTCTACGTCAAGAAGAAGACAGGCATTCCGAGGATTGCCGAGAAGGGCATTGCCAACATGGTCATCGGTGGCCGTGGCATGGATATCTCGGTCAAGACGCGCATGCTGCATACCAGCGAGAAGAAGGCGCATGTCGATAAACAAAAAGTCGAGCATCGACGAGTCGGGCAAGGGTGCCAAGTTGGCCAAGAAGCTCGAGGACCATACCACCGAGCTCGACAGCAGCCGCACGTACCCTGAGCGCCAGTTCGACATTGCCAAGGTCGCTGTCAAGATCCACAGCCTTGATGTCGATGTGCGTCACAACAAGCACAACGTGCTGAGCGGTCTCGCTATCCCGCTGGTTATATCGGTCGCCAAGAGGCAGATCGAGCGCCAGATCGCAAAGTCCATCTCTGATGCTATCATCCGCAGTGACATGCTCATCTCCAAATATGGTCCACGTCGCCACGCACATTGCCACCACGCAGGGGAAGAGTCTCGCTACCAAGTCGGTGGCTGCCGCGAAAAAAGGGTGCCAAGACCGAGCAAGGAGAAGTACGCTCAGCTGAAGGGCAAGGCCAAGACGACCAAGGACAAGGCCAAAGACGAGGCTGACAAGGCCAAGGAGAAGACCAAGGAGGCAGCTGAGAGTGCCAAAGCAGATGTGAAGGATATGAAGGATGCGAAGGATAAGGGTGACAGCAACAGCCGGCCTGATGAGGATGGAAAGCCCAAGAGTGGTCCTGCTGACAAAGCGAAGGACAAGGCGAAGGGCGCTATTGGTGACGCCAAGAACAAGGCGAAGGGTGCCATGTATGGCACCAAGAACAAGGCAAAGGGTGCTATGGACGATGCCAAGGGACAAGGCAGAGGATGCTATGGACGATGCCAAGGACAAGGCAAGAGGTGCTATGGACGATGCCAAGAACAAGGCAGAGGGTGTTATGGACGACGCCAAGAACAAGGCGAGGGCGTTGAGGAGCTCTTGACGAGAACAAGCCTAAGAAGTCCAAGGCCAATGATGACAAGCCAAGAACCATGATGACGAAGACCGTGCAGCAAGGACAAGAATGACGACATGGCTGACAAGACCAAGCAGGCCATGGCGGCCCGGCATGACTCCTATGGTCGACGAGGCACCGCCCCTAGTTGGTGCCGATTGAATCGAGATAGAGGTCCCGCCTCCAACCAAGAACGCGGCACCTCTGCTGATCAAAGAGTTCGTCTACCTTTCGCTGTATTAGCTCATTTAACCACTCAGTCTCTTTACTTTCTTCATTTGCTTTCTTGCTTTTCCTCTTGCGCGGATGCTGGTTTCTTCCTTTCTCTATGTCGCGCAGCATCCAACACAATGTAAACGTTGAAACCCATTTCATGTATCTAAGTGCCGGGTATTCCTGATGGCGCGCAGGCTTGGACACCAGCCATTGCCGCTGATGACGCTGTCTCAACTGATTGGCCCTGCGCTTTTTTTGCGAGCAGTTAGCCGGTCGTTTGGCCGCTGTCTCGAGCAAGCCCATTGCAACTGATATGCAGTAACTCACCTCTTGGTTGTCCTTTCCTCAGCAATTAAAAAAAAACTCATACCCAACTGCCCAGCTCTTTACACCGACAATTTCGCTATTCTATTAGAAATGCGCATAGGCACAGCGGTGGCAACAGTGGTGGCTCTGCTGCCAGCACTGCATTCGACGCATGCATTGGGAATGAGCCGGAGGCGACGACTGGAGCTTAGGTACATAGCACATGCACCTACTACTGAGAGGAGAGATAGATACCGCGAGGGAGGTCAGGAGCAGTCCAACTAATATTTGCAAGCTGCGGACTCTGTAGGAATGAGGTGAAGGTAGGCAGGACCACGATATACTGCGTAGGCTACGGCTGCTTTTTGTAGGAGGTTTCTGACGATATGCCATTAAACAACTCACGGCTATAGGAGTCATTTTACCATGCCTACAATGGATACATGGACTACGCATTTCCGTTTGACGAGGTAAGCAGATCAGCGTTGCGAGTTTGCGGGTAGTCGAGATATGCATTTCATGCCCGTTATTTCCTGTTGACCAATGTATCAGTTGCTCCCCTATTAGCTTAACCCAGTTACATGCCAGGGCCGTGGGCGAGATAGAGCCGATCCGTAAGTGAACTGAAAAGGCGCAGACCGCTAGCAGACCGCACAACCAGTCAGCAGACTGTGCTGACCGGGCCGCTGGATGCACAAGCTAATCACGATCTGCACCCAACACTAGGTCAAATATTAATGTGAACGATGTGCTGGGCGATTACCTGCTGACGCTGGTGGATACACTCGATTCGTTGGCTGTTCTAGGCGACAGGCGAGCATTTGCCAAGGCCTGTAGCCAAAACGATACAATTCCTACCCGATTTTGACGTCGACAGCCACGTCCAGGTGTTCGAGGTGACAATTCGGATGCTTGGTGGACTGCTCAGCGCGCATATTATCGCCACTGATGAGAAAGATACTCTCGGGATGCGGATCGACAAAGATGGCTCGATATAACGGTGAGCTTCTCGGTCTAGCCCGGGACCTTGCGTACCGCCTATTGCCGGCGTTTGAAGCGTCGCCTAACGGGATTCCCTATCCGAGGGTAAGTTGGCCTGATTAGTGCCGCACGAAAAGCGCGTGCTGCTCATATTGTGGCCATATACTCACAAGCATCGGGCAGAGTGGGCAACAGCTGAGTGGTTATAGTGGCGTTAAAAACCGGCTTGACAACTAACCTGTCCAGAGTGCGAGCCTGTCTTTGACAGCAACCCTTAGACTAACTTGAAATACGGCTTTTTGCGCGGCGAGACACCGGAAACATGCGCGGCAGGGTTTGGCACCTTACTGCTGGAATTTGGCACACTGAGCCGGCTAACGAATGAGACGATATTTGAGGCAAGTGCAGGTTGGCATGTTGGCTATTGGCATATACTGTGCATACACTGTGCATACATATGGCTAGTCGGAGCACACATTGCACACTGTGCATCCCGCGCTTGAGTGTGTCTGTGTGCATGGGTATAGAGGCGAGAGTATGGACTTGCTCTGCATCTGTGAAATGGCTTCTCTGGTATTGAGGCCGGGGTGCATTTGCCAACCGCATAATCTTACTTCCGAGCAGCAGATCATACACCTTCACTGCAGGCGGGCATTCACCAGTCACTTTGTGGTACGGGTAGGACAAGGTAACTAAATTTAAGCAAACGTCACTCCATCCTCTTTGAATGTAGGATGTCGCCCGGCAGGCGCTCAATGAGCTGTGGTTGGCCAGATCGAAGAAGAACCTCTTCGGGAACGTGTACAATCTGGAGCAGCGGAAGGTAAGGACTGGGTTTACCCCTACTGGACACTAGGCCTCATTGACTGCTGTCTCCATTTGGCTGATCTTTTTGCCTTCAAAGGGATAACGCCAATGGCAAGCTGTTTTTTATTGCTCGGCCCACTGGACTAGCGAAAAGTATGCCGCGGGGCTGATTGGATCGTCCTTCAGACTGCCAGATCATCCAGGGTCTCTTGGCGGTGGTGGGGTGAACCCGGGCGGAATAAGCACGATGTATTGCACAGCAGTCATTGGGCAGTGGACTGCTTTGCATAGTCCTGTAGAAAGCTTCGGACAATGCCGAAAAAATCGCCCATTGGTTCGATTCGGCGTGGCTATTTGTCGCACAAGCCCTTTCTGCAGCGAGTGCAGCAAAACATTGCACGCAAGGGACTACCATGGCACGCGGTTGGGCCGGGCATAATAACGCCATCCTAGCAGCTTCCTTAACAGTCCACTCCTTCCGAAATGTGTCCACAAACCAAGCGCTCTCTGTGGCCCGTCGGCTCAGTGTCCAGGCCCTGTGTTAAAGAGGTTCCCACGCAGTCCTGAGATAATCGCGTAATATGCCGCCTGGTGCAGCTGGGCTCACTGCGCATCTGCAGCAATGTGGCACGAGCAGCTCTTTGTGCAAATAATCAGCACCACACGGGTTTTCTTGCCTGTCGTACTTACACAGACGACGCTTTTGTCGGCCACTTTTGTGTTCCTCCTCCTGTGTAGTGGGTAACGCCGGTTGCTAGTATAAGTGCCTGGCGTCGATTCGCTCTATGAGTACCTTCTCAAGAGCTACGTTTACTTTGGCGACACACAATATTTGCAGACGTTCGAGGCGTCGTACAGTGCACTGATGCGCTATGTGAGAGATGCCGTCGGCGGCCACGCATTCTACAACGTGGACATGCGTACAGGTGAGGTGGCGTCGACGTGGGTTGATTCGCTGTCAGCATACTTTCCAGGACTGATGGTTCTAGCAGGGGACGTTGATGGGGCAGAATCAGCATACTTGCTGTTTTATCACCTGTGGAGGCGGTACCGGGCAATGCCAGAGCGGTACAATTTGTATTTGCGCGAAACGGATGTTGTGTTCTATCCGCTGCGGCCCGAGTTTGTCGAGAGCACATACTTTCTATATAGGGCAACGCGTGATCCGTTCTACCTGGATGTTGGCGAGATGGTGCTACGCGATCTAAATGCCCTGCAGCGTACAGAGTGCGGATATGCATCTATGCAAAATGTCAATACGCACGTCGTCGAGGAGCGCATGGAGAGCTTCCTGCTTAGCGAGACGCTAAAGTACCTGTACCTGCTGTTCGACGACGAGAATCCACTGCATTCGCTTGATAACAACTACGTGTTTACCACTGAGGGCCATGTACTACTACCGCTCTCGCCCCCAAGCAACAGATCGGCACAGTACCCAGCCGGGTCGTCGTTTGCAAAGCGCAAGCTGATCCACTCTGAGGATGCACCGGCAGCTGTCGAGCCATTCTTCTATCACATCGACAACATCCGCACCAAACTCGCATCAGTGCACCCAGATGACATGTTTCCGATGCCTGTGATGTCGGCGGATATCGCCATCGGCAAAGCACACAGTTCGCATAGCGGACATTACACCGGCACTGGCGGTCACGGGTCCCGCAGTACTCCGGGCGAGCTTGCCGGAGATCCACGCAGATGTCCGATCCCGCGGTCCATGTTTGCAGAGTTCGGGCGGCGCTCTGCAGGCCATGCCAGCAATGCAACCCAAACTCCACGGCAGCCAAATACCTTGGATCTGCCTGGTGGTACCCAGATCCGGTTTGGGAACCGATCAAGTCGGGCGCAGAGTCCATTGCAGCAGCTGGGCACGCAGCATGAGCTGGCGCGGGCCCTTGTGCAAGCACCGCGGCACCTGATCAAGGAGCGGCAGTATTTGAGTTCATTGGTGGTCAACACTGCCACGCAGACGCTACCGCTCCGTTCAGACTTTTACAATGTCGGGGTGCTGGCAAACAATGGACGTCATGGGGCGACAAGTGGACGTGCCGACAGGTCACAGGTACTGAAGGCAGCGCTGCAGTTGGGGTTAGAGAGCGGCGCCATGTGTGTAGCACCACTGCTGCAGCTAGAGCTGGCAGAGCGACACAATGTCTGGCAGTCGGCATTGTACGGGGAGCTGGGTGCGGCAGCCGACGCTTATTGTGTCCGGGAGCCGCCCAATGGAGCCGATACTTGGCTTACGCCCAACACGCGGCAGATGCCATTTATGAACTTTCTGGTTTCGCGTGCTGAGGGCCGCAGCACAATGGCGTGGGATGTGCCAATGAGGCCAAAGACGCGCTCGGGAACACCGCTGCTACGGGATGTGTGGGACGAGGGCCTTGGACAGCAGCAGCAGGACATGGCGCATGACCCACAGAGGAATATGAAGGGGTCCACGCGACCCAAACAGCGCGGGTACGCCGCCAAAGCCGCACAGCATGAGCAGATGCCCGGCACTCGCCAGCTGGTGATCACCAATGGCGCTGGGCAGGTCCTGACCGACTACGTTATTGTACGGCTCAGCACAGATGACGCCCTGCAGGAGTTTGTGCGGGCACTGCCTGTTCACAACGACAGCGTGGATGGCAGGGCAACGACGGAGAGCAAGCAGTATTCGGCCATGTACAATGCGGATGCGCCAAATCATGAAGCCCTCGCAACCCCCGGTGCCCACAGCAGCGCAAGTGACCTGCTTCCCAGGGGTGCACACGCGCGCCAGGGCGACCGGCACCGGAGACGCGACTTCGCCGGCCGTCTGGCATCGTTCGCTGAGCCAGCGCTGTACCGCGGGCACCCGCCGTACCTGGTTCCGCAGCCGACCACCGTGATCATGCTGCACTTGTACAGCTCGTCGTCGGCGTACGGCTGCGAGCAATACACGCCGCGTGAGCAGCGCATGGTCAGGGGCAAAATTGTCGCTGTGCGCCATGGCGGCGGCTGCTCGGAGTGGGACAAGGCAATGTATGCGACCAGGGCTGGTGCCCAGGCGCTGCTGGTGGATGCTGCGCGCATGGGCCCCAGGACTCGCGACGATCTGGCCTCCCCCATTCGCAGCCGGTTTATTTGGGATCGCTGGTTCTGCATGATGGGTAAATGTATGCCAGAGGAGCGTCCCGCGGATAGCCCGTTGGGTGCTCAGGCTGATGATCTGCGCCACCGGCATCACGCCGAGGAGCTGGGCGAAATTCCTATGCCCGTCGTCATTGTCGGCAGGCAGGTTGTCAATGAGCTGGAGCAGTATCTTATCTCTGGCTTGCATGTCCGCGCGGAGCTGCTCTGAATAGGTTTTTAATATGCATCACGGTACCGGTACCATCATGACCCGAACAACAATGCCGCATTTAGGTGCCCATCGCACAGGTGTATATTAAAGCAGCTTTGTTTATATGGCATGGGAAAAGAGCACGGTGCATTGTATGCTGCCTCTGATTCTCCGGCCGCCAAACACCATGCTTGGCTGGCCCTGGCATCGTTCCGAGAAGCAGCATTTCAGTCTGCACGGCGCTGTTGGTTCTGCCCAGAGCTCTGCCTCTCCAGCGCACCTTCCAAAATCGGCGCCCAGCCTCTCCCCTGCCGCTGTCATGGTATCATTGCATGAGAGATGATCATCTATTATCGGTATTTTGGGGAGATGGGTATCAAACGGAGTGCGGTCCGCTGGAATGCGCAACTGACGTGTATTGCGACCAGCTTTAGGATCTGGAATCGTAAAGCAGCGGCTCCAAGCTGTTTGGGGAGGGAGGGGAAGACCAGCGCTTTCTGGTGGAGATTAGCAGCCAATGGGTATGAACTCTGGATATGGCAAGGCGAGATCCAAGGTTCGCTGGAGTGTAGGCCAATGACTTCGGCGATTTTTGCGGCACTTTCCCTTCCCCACCCAATTCCGTTTAGGGAAGAGCCCAGACAAGCGATGCGGGGGGTGACGCAGGATTTGTTTTCGTTCGCACAAGACAGCCAGAGAGAGACGCTTACCATGCGTCGCTTGCTTGCTTGCTGTCCTATGCACCCCTTGTCCCGAGTGTCACCGAAAATAGGACATTGTGCAAATCGCCTTTTCGCCTGACATTGCCCAATATATATGCATTTGAACAAAAGGCCATGGGGCTAAAAATAGTGCGACTCTTCCTACATAGCAGCAACCATGCACAATCCTCCTTCCTCTCCCCCAACAAGCAGCGATGCAGCAGCATGTCGCTGCATGAATCCGGGACGCGTAAACGGCAGGTGCCAACAAAGCAGAAATGTCCAAAACAAGATATGGACAATAACGCGGGTGTGCCTTGCAGCAATGCAGTGCTATGAATCGCGCATTTCCACAACAAACCGCTGGGACGGAATAAAAGCTGCCTGGGATATACGCTGGAACCAGACACACGCTTACTCGCTCCCTGTTTCAAGGAGCGCCAAGTGCAAAATAACGCAAGAGCAGCGCCAAAGGAGCTGTAGATCCAGGTCACTCCCAATCGCAATACTCGTACAATAAAGGCCATGTGGGAAAAAACATAGCAGGTGGATCCCACCGCATGGTGCGCTGTGCAGACCGCAACAAACGCCGGTGTCAAGATAGCAGTGTAAAAAAGATGGCCCAAGGGGAAAAGGTCATCTGAGCACATCCACCTTCGCCCTCTCCCGCACATCGGTGATCTGCATACGTCCCAGGCGCTCGAGCAGTTCGCAGGCACCTTTTCCCCCGAAGGAAGTGAGCTGGTTGGTCTCCTCCTGCAACAGGTTTGAATTCAGCCCCTGGCCAAGGTTGAGGGTAGGCAGGCATCACTGGTATTCGGACGATAATGTCGGCGATAAAGAGTCCGAATTTCTGGCATGTGGCCCAATGGGAGCACAGGCGCCAGGGGTTGTTCCAGGCATATGCAGCGGTGATGGAGCGCTGCGCAAATTTGCGAGCCACATGATCTATTTCAGCAGAGTACGCACTCTTCGGCCAAGCAGGCAGTCGGCGGAAGAGGACATGCTAATCGGAGTCTTTAAATCCCGTCCTCTCTTGCCGACATGTACCATGTGTCGCCGAAGAAAATCAGGATGCCGACTGCCTCGCGAAGACTCGAGGCCGGAAGGACCGTTTGTGCAAGTCCGGACGTGTCCATCCGGTCGCTCTAATGCCGCCCATTACACCGTGCCAGAAAATCCACCTTGCAAATGGTGCTCAGCAGTGGGAGGGTTTTTTTGCAGAGTTCTTACTGAACCCATCGGCGCCAGATGTAAACAATGGCGAGGCGGCGGATCTGGGGCTATCGCAAGGGGATTTTGGCTCTATCGCAAGCATATCGAAGAACAATGCCGAATCTGTATATATCTGAGGTGGAAAGGTGGCTCCCTCCTATCCCCCTATGCCGAAATATGAGGGACAGGATCTATAAATAAAACATTGGAGCAAAAGCTGTACATGTATCTACACACACGATAGCAGTGTAGTAGGCAAGCATAAACTTTTGGTCTGTGGCCCGCAGTTCCCCATTTGTCAACCTGTTCCTCGTGCAAATGGTGGAGGTGTGGGAAGCGTGCGGTCATATGCCACATCCTTATCGCTCCCTTCTGCCACAGTTGCCGTGTGGTTGTTTTCGTTCTCCACTGCGTAGATAAGCACCGAGCGGGAGGGAGTGGAAAAGATTGACGTGTATCGCATGCATTTTCCAGGTTGCGTTCTTCCTTTTTTCTGCCCGACACTTGGTCAGATGTGAGCAAGTAGCCAGCAACAGAATAATTATTGAGAAACGCAAGTCGCGCATTTTTCGGGCAGCAAAGCGCCCTTCCCTTTACCTCGTGGAGGTCCGCAAGCAAGCACGCATCCTGTCGCGCATGCAATCCATCCCAGTCACCACCCCTTTCCAACAGCTACATCGTAGAAAACGAAGCGGGCCATTTTTATGCCAGTCGCACTCTTGGCAAAACGGACCACACTGTATAAATGTTTTCGACATGGTTCAAATAAACAATTCTGAGCTCGACCCAATCAGCAGCGCGCCTTGCCGTACTGCTGCAAATGAGACATGGTGCTCTGCGGGCAAGCCGGGCGGAGACAGCAGAATGCACCGACAAAACAGCCATAGGGTATATTTAGCTGGTGTGGAGAAATGACACATGCCCACCTTAATTAGCTCTATGGAGCCCTCCCCTTCAAGTCCTACTAGGCCATTACCGCGTGGGACCTTGGGTGCCTGAATAATGCTTCCAAAAAGGAACATAAAATGACATTTTAATATCAGGTTTGGGGTGGGATGGTGGGTGTACACGCGCTTAATGGCCAAGAACGGCTCTCTGGAAGCTTTTGCGAGGACGCCTTGGCCCCCTGTACGGTCAAAAACAAGGGGCATTCCTGCGCTCCACCCCGGGATCCACACGCCGCGCGCCCGGCAACCACAGGACGGATGGACAGGTGAGCAGGCAGTGGAGTGGGACAGGCAAATCCTACCGAGAGCCTCCTTGAATATGGCCGTGGGGTGGTTGGCCTGGAGTGCTTCGTTGGGCTGGGGCGGGTGTGCGCCAAATGGACAAATAAACGGTACTTTATCCAAACACTTTCCACGAGCAGGCACGCAGAAAAAGTCCCACTATGAGGGATGGCGACGTGGGCAAACAGTGCACGCGAAAAATTACCGGCCCATTAAGTGGGCTTTTTGGCGGTAGCCAATTGGCCCGACACTTCAGACTTCATCAACACGCTGTCACACGATTTGTGCCCTTCCGGTGTAGGGGGTGGGTTGGCGCCCGGGGCGTCGGGGGGAGGGGCGGTTGCACCCCTGGAGGCGTGCGGGGAGAGGGGAGAGGCAGTGGGCCGACTTTTTCGGCGTGCTTGACACAGCGATGTCGAAAATAGGGATTCTCCTCGCTGTGGGAGGAAGCGAGAAAATGCCCATTTGCTGGCCCAGCAGCAAAATTTTGCTTTTCTGCTCGCGCGCCCCGCTTGGTCCTTTTTTGTTGCGCCTTTTCGGTCTTGTCTCTGCCCTGAACACTTATAAAGCGGCCGCGTTTTCCGCCGTCGTTGAGCCTCACTACTTTCCCCTCCAGCCATCTCCTCTTCCCCCTAAGATACCCCTCCCCTTATAAAGCAAACAATATTTTTCACAATGTACCAGACTGCTACTCGCTACCAAGCTCCTCCCCGCATGTTCCTGGAGCAGCCTGCGCACAGCCTGCGCACGCAGATGCCTGCCTACCCCTACACCAAGCCCGCGTACAACGCACCGGCTCCCATGGTCCTGCCCCCCATCATGCACGCAAATGAGCACTCTCCCTCCCCCTGCTACTCGCCGGGCGCCTCCGACGCTACAGTAGTGGACTACGCCAACTCCCCCTCCCCCGCCCTTTCCTCCAAGGCCACCTCGCCGGCGCCCCTGGCGGCCCTGGCCGCAGCCGCTGCTACCAAGCAGGCTGAGGGCCCCGTGCGCCGCCGGCGTGGCGGACGCGGCTCGCGCTCCATCTACACAGCCGAGGAGAAGGAGATGCGTCGCAAGATTTCGCACTCAGCCATTGAGAAGCGCCGCCGCGAGCGCACCAACACGGTGCTCAAGGACCTGCAGGAGATGGTGCCGTGGCTCAGCAAGAGCAACAAGGTGCAGAAGCTTGAGATTCTCGAGGCCGCGGCCCAGTACATCAAGGAGCTGCGCTCGAGCCAGGGCAGCGACTACAAGGGCTCGCCTGTGTCATCGGCTGATACGCGCTTTGATGGCGAGGAGGACATTGAGATCGAGAGCAACAATGGCCAGAGCGCCATGAAGCTCAACTTCCTCCTGTCCTAAGTGCCTGCGCCTGCCCCTCCCTGCCCTCGCCCTGTACCATCACCAACCTCCCCTGCCTTCGCTGCCGCTCGCCTTTTCTTCAATTTTTGTATATTATAAGAAATCTTTTTTCCTACTCTTTGAACCGATAAAATCTCCGCAAAATGCGAAAAAGGTCGGGCGACTGCTCTCTGCCCTACCAGAGGCCGCGGGCGCGCTTGGGCAAATACAGAAAGAGGGAGCAGATTTGCCTTTTCTTGCAGAGGACGGACAATCACGTGTGTTGATGATCGAGCCGATTGGCCAATTGTGTGGGCTTGGTTCTGAATTCACGTGTAGCCGGGGATTCCAGTTGGCTGGCCCAGTCGTGGCTGGCTTTGTGAGCACGGCTTTGGCAACAGCGGTCGTTGCACAGACACATCATCTGCCAAGCACTTTTGCCAACACGGGCACCGTGGAAAGAGGCCACACGAGCAAAGTGCTGTGCACGCTTTACAGGCCAGAAGGAAGCCGAGAACGCGCGGTCAATGCTTTTATTCCGCTTTGCCGCAAAGGCCATATCTCCTGATAGCGCTGGGGATGCGGTGTGTTTCTACACAGCCTCAGTGATGGCACTTGGAAAGATGATGTCCGCTGTGGATGCTGTGGGAAAATTTTGATAACGACCGCCAGCCTGTTATCTGAAAAACAACAAAAGTCTTGCGACTCACAAAGTTCTGAATCTAAGGGATGCGGAGAATAAGTTTGCCCGTGGTCTTCCGACCCTCCAGGTCCTCGTGTGCCTGGGCGACGTCCTTCAGATCGTACACGCCCGACACCTGAATGTCGAGCTTGCCCTGGTCAATCAGCTTGAACACCTCCCCCATATGGTGCTGCTTCTCCTCCTTGGTCACAATGTACCCAAACAGACGGGGCCGCAGAAGCGTCAGGTTCTTCGCCGACAGCTTGAACAAGTCGACTGGCGGCACGGCGCCCGAGGCATTGCCAAACGACACCATGGTGCCCAGCCGACGCAGAGACTCGAGACTGCCCTCAAACGTAGACTTGCCAACGCCGTCAAACACAGCGTGAACGCCCTCGGGAACGATCTCGTGGACGCGCTCAGGCACGCTCTCGTGGGAGTACATGATAATGTGGTCGGCACCTGCAGCCCGGGCCACCTTCGCCTTGTCGTCCGTGGACACAGTGGCAATGACATTGGCGCCCAGGTGCCTGCTGAGCTGGATCAGCAGCCGGCCAGTACCGCCTGCGCCCGCATGCACCAGCACCCAGTCTCCAGGCTGCACTCTGTATGTGCGGGTCACCATCGTGTGCGCTGTCAGCGCCTGAATCAATGTCGCTGCGCCCGTCTCCAACGAAACCCCCGCGGGCAGTTTGACGGCGCTGTCGGAGGGTGCGGCGGCGAACTGCGCGTACGCGTCCGCGTTGGCCAGATAGGCAACCTGGTCGCCGACACTGAAGTCTGTCACGCCATCGCCAATAGCAGAAACCTCGCCAGATGCTTCCTGGCCTAGCGAGGACGGCAGCGCTGTCTTGTAGAGCCCCGTGCGGAAGTACGTGTCAATAAAGTTCACGCCTGCAAACCGGTTGCGCACGAGGATCTGGCCGGGCTTGGGAGTTGGTTTGGGGATATCGACAAGCTGGAGGACAGAGGCGTCCCCGGTCTGCGAAAACTGAATGGCCTGCATGCTGAGACTGCGGGAGATAATAGAGCTGGTGGTACGAGCTAGGTGTGGGTGACAAAGCATTCAAACGAGAAAGGTGAGAAAAGTAATAGGTGCTTGCTGGAAGAACAAGCAGGAGCTGTGGCTTTATGTGAGCGTGTGATTACTAATGCGGAGTGCTACTCTCCTCCGTCACGTGGCGTCAGATTGACGTAGGTAGCAGCAACTGGTTCCAACTAGCCCATGTGGAAATGCCAAACTCTATCTTCGCCTGCTGGGGCTACACAGCCCCAGCACCGTCTCTTGCTGTTCACCAATGCCCAATTTATATGTATAGAGATTGCAGTTATCCACTACTACCAGAATCTAGCTATCCTTTCATAGTGTTCTCTGACGTGTTGGCATGTGTCGAGTATAGAAATATGTATCGCAAATGTAAATAAAGCTGCAGCTATCGAAGGCCATTGTTGCAGAATAGCGGCCTGCTCAGGCTGTCGCAATGCTCGTCGTATACTGATTTACCAATCTCTTCCTTGCATTGATTCAGTATTTCACTGACACGTTCAGTAGTAGCCATCCTGAGGGATAGAAGCTTGGTAATAGCGATGGCCAACTGCAGATTAACAGCTCACAAGCTTTGTAGGTCTATTGACCTCAGACTAGTACTGGAAATTGGGAGCTCTGCCAACAGCCTGCTAACCTCGTCCGTCCGAGCGATTAGAGTCATCAGCTTTGTCAGATTTGATTTCCTTCAACTCCTGATTCTAATGAGCCCTAGGAATTGAGACAGGACCTATTGGAAAACGCTAAGAGGACGCACCCTTGGTCAGATAGTTAGATGACGAAGCTGCAGGTGGAAGTGGTTCTGCGGGATGATAGACGACAGAGGCTAACTAAGAGATGAACAATTCGTAGTAACTCTCAACATGCTGGACATTAGGCGCAGTCAAAAAAAAAAAAAGACAGGTGTGCAGCTCCAAATACATCGACTATATCATTGAACGTCTTCAGGAACATAGCATCCCGAACACGGATACATGTGGGGTTAAGGAACCCACGACTATGAAGCGGCCTGGCAATAGGTTCAGCGAGATACAGTCGTAAGCAATAGTTGATTTTCACCGACATCGTCAATTATAGCACCGATATCAATGCTGCAGTATGTGTGCAAGGAAAAAGTTGGATCAATGGATGGAAACGGGTTAACATAAGGCATATCAAACCCCCCCACCAATATCATATCCCGTCTCGATGGATAAGCTTGGTGCAGTTTCGGGTACATATGATTGAATAGATGTTCCAGGTGTTCTGATATCTCCCCAACGGCACCCTCATCGTCATGATATGATAAAATATGAAACATCAGGTTTCAGTAGTATCCTTGATAGAGTAAATGATTGGACACTCAGAGATATGGTCCATTTCGGGATACATACATCGAATACCAGTGCTGGAACCGCCTTTTATAGGGACATGTTCCAAGTTCACGATCGTGGAAAATAAAGGCTTGGCGCTGGTGCGATAATACCCTTTGGATCCTTGCATATGCCCTCATCAGCGACCCGGTAGCCCGGAACGAACAATGAATGAGCTGTTCTGCACGTTGGGAAACAACAGGCAGATACATTCAATGAGAGAATCGACTTTTGCCGAGTATTCACCCTTGGGAATCTGAGATAAGCCATACAAATGTAGAGCGAACGCAGTCATGTTTGGGAAAATCCCATGGATAGAGCACCAGCATTCAGCAAGCGGATGGAGGTGCTGTCAACAATGTGGTCAAGCGGGAGGTGAAGGTGTGCTGAACAGACAGATTAGCTATGTTCGGATAGCAGGGTTGCGGGTATTACTCTCTGAGACATGCTTATAGATGGTCCCTGGTATGTGACAAAATGTGTTTTCTACTGCATCCAGGCAATTCACTTACCAAGTTTACAAACCGAGACATTTTCCAATATCTTCCCCAATCTAGTGCTTTCTTTGAACTTCTGGTGCTATGATGTGTTAATATTGTACAATTAATTGAAGGGCTGCAATGCAAGGCATGTATCTAAGGTTGCCTAGATGGAGATGGGCTGTGACGCATACGTTTTAAGAGTGGTTTAGAATTCGCAAGGGGCATTAAATGTCACCCCACCGGTATCTTGGGGTTGAAGCTGTAATGAAACCCGGTGAGTTTGGTGCCCACGTCCACGCTGACCAGTCCATCTCACCAGTGAATGCCACCTATCCAGGCAACGAATCCCGACTCGTCGGCGACTGGCACCAGGTGGCCTACCCGCTATCAGGGTCAGGATGTGGTTGTAACAGTTTTATCGAGTGTATTAGTAATATTAAGGGTGTCTAGGAGTATCAAGTTGTGAGGAAGGGTGCCTTTTTGGAGAATGGGGAATCTTTTGGTTCCAGCAGGAGACATGCTCGTTTTATCGAGAAATGGAGCTGGAGTTGCAATGTGTGGCTCTCAGTACTCTGTCTGGCAGTGAATACCGCTCGCCGCGTTGGCCACCACCACGCATGGCTTTCACAGTGAGCTCAGCAACAACGCAGTGCAAAATGCCAGAGAGAACGCAAACGTGCTATCTGGTAAACATAGGAATATCCAGCTGGCCAATGGAGCTTGGCAGAGGAGAGGTGAACATGGAAAACACGCAGCGCTGTCTTTTGCAACTCCATTAGCCCTATTCCTATCTTTCCGAGGGTTAGGATCTAAAGATGCACAAACGAGCATGGGTATAAACTAGTTTTCTCAAATATTCTTTTTGCAGTTACAACGACAGTACAATCTTAGCCGAATAGCTTCCAGAAAAAAAGAAACACGATCAAGGATATTGCCAAAAAGCGCATGTTCCTGTAGGCTGCGATCCACCGGAAATCGAGCCTGTAGTCCAGCATTGGCTGCGGCACAGTAACCTTCCCGTTGATAACCGCCAGCAACTCCTGGTACCAGTGGTTCATGCATTCGTTGGTCTGCGGGATCCTATCAAGCACCCACTGGCTCTCATACGACCTCGCCTCATATTCTTCGTGCAGGCCCACGATCTTTGGGGCTTGCATCAGCGACTGCGCAGTGAACTTGCGACGGCCCGTCTTGAGCTGCCACCGGCCGCGCTGTGTCAACATACCGTGCGACATCTCGGGCTCGGTGATGCGGCTGTCATGCTTTGGCCGGTCGGCGTACGCGGGGTTACAGCTCATGGATTCGTCAATACGTTCGGTGATTTCGCGGATCATCCCGCTGGATACACCGAATACTGCTTTGATCTTGCCGTACATAGCGCTGATGCGCCTTCTGCACTTCCTGCAGCTGGCGTGAGCGCTGGGCGGCAGAGTTTGTCGAGGACAGGCTGAGGCTGCCGGGCGAGTCGCCAGTGGCGGACAATATGCGCTGGATTACGGCAAATATGTCGTGCGCGACAGTCTTGGCTTGGTCGGCAGTGTCCTGTGGCACAATCAGGCGCAGTTGGCGAGCCTGCCAGCAGATCAGTGGTGTGCAGGGCACGCACTAGGCGGAGCATCAGCCTCCCAGGTCTGGTGAACACAGACACCAGCGGCGGGTTTCCAAACTCGTCAATTAGGACTCGCTGGAGCACCTGCGAGTCGCATTTCATGCTAATGCAGCTTGCTGCGTACGGCATCACGCCCGGGTGCATCCGCAGAACCTGCTGCTCAAACAGGGTCCGGGTTTCGTGGCGAGCGTCCCTGACTGGCGAGCCATTCTCTGGGCTGCCAGCTCCTGTGGACTCCCAGATCGGCGGCTCGCGCGGAGCAATAAACTGCGAGCGCATGTGCAGGTTCGCGTCGAGCTGGTACTGCTCGATTATGTACAGTACGGAGCGCAGGCCCTGGTCGGTGAAGGATGAGAGCACCCGATCGATGACGCTTAGCAAGTCGCTTTTGCCCTCCGCAAGAGTGTTGCATCGGGCAAGCAGGTCGGTGTTGGGATCGGTAAGCTGCTTGATGAACAGAGAAAACACCTGGCCGTAGAGCACTGTTGCCATGTTGTTGGTCATTGCTGCCACGCGCGAACCCCACACATTTGTCATGTCGACTGCGGGTGGTGGTGCTGTGCTGCGCCACGGCAGGGCAAACCGGATCCAAATCTGAGCCGCATTATGCAGCATGGCTAGCCACACATCAACCTCAACAGTCCCTGCGCGGTTGCAGCTGCCAAGCACCAAGCCAAGCATGTCCTCGATGCTGGTGACTATGGTGCGTGCCCGCAGGAAGTTGCGGATAGACCCATTCATGCCTATACGTGTGCCATTGGCCACCAATTTGCTGTTCGATCCGTTGGGACCGGGCACATGGAACTGCTCCATCTGGCGCTCACCTTTGGAGAAGTAGCTCACCAGCATATGGAACATGTTCAGGCCCGCCAGGTGGGCATTGTTTGGAATCCAGATCCAGTCAGGCTTGCCTGTTGCAATCGCTGCACGCACATCAGCTGGTACAATCGGCATCCAGAGCAGTACCGTAGTGGCAACGAAGTATCCCGTCAACTCCAGCGTCGCGTTGTAGTCCATTGTGTCCAGAATGTCGGCTTCCATGGTGCCCGGTGTCCGGATAGTCCTTGGCAGCTCATTATGCTTCATGGGACTGAAATCGTGGAGCCGGTTTCTGATCTGGCCAATCGGGCTATTGTCAGTCTTGGTCGGGGTCTCGGTTGTCATACCGGGGACGGCAACGGGCACAAACATCTCAATGTACTCGCGCACCAGCAAGTGCACGGTGGAGCCCGCAGGTGCAAAGAATGTCTTGCGCGGCCGCTGGTCTGCGTCAAGAACCGGCGGCGCGCCTACTGTGCTCTCGCGCGGCGGCAGCATGGCCTTGCATAGGTGGTAAAGAAAGTATTCGAGCGCGCCGACTCGGAACCCCACGACCTTGTTGTCCTTTTGTGCGTCTTTGACTACGCGCTTCGCGTACTCGGGGCCAATGTCTATCTGGCTGTGGTACTCGGCCGGCATAGCGTCGACTGCAATCATCATGTCTCCAAGGCTGCTTTGCCCCCGCTGCAGCATGTAGTACCGCAGCAGCAACTTTACTAGACGCCCGTCCGGACGTATCAGCGCATACATCGCATCTTTCTCGTCTTGCCGCATTGCCGTGCTGTTCAAGAACCACGGATAGACAAGCTTGCTGATTGACTGTACGATTTCATTGATTGGCTTCACTGCGCCCGTAGAATTGTACTCGAGCCGGAGAAACGGCAGCAGCGAGTTTCTGACTACTGTTGGTGTCCCGCATTCGAAGGCTGCACGCAGCTGCTGGATAGAAACCTGGTCTGGAGCGCTCATTTTAGAATAAACAACTGGAGAATATATCGAAGAATGACGGCGTGTAAGGAGCAGCGGGGTCTTTTTAGAGCGGAGTTGCCCTGTGAACAGGACAACATCACAGAAAAAATAAATAATCCGTGCCAAAATAGATAATCAGCTAGCATGATCACCAGGAGGTTTTGCATTCCAGGGGTTTTGCGACTTTTTCCCACTTGCTTTCGCAGTTCAGCTCCACATTAGCCTCATTCCACTCTCGCAAATGCCCAGAGTAAAGAACAAGAGACGGCGCCCGGTGACAGCGACACCGATTCGTGCGCCAGAATCCGTCCCGCTACCGCCCATTCACGTCCAGGGCCAGGAGAAGATCACGATCAATGCGCCAACCTCGGTCAAGCTCGGCAAGCTGGGCAAGTCCTCGGCCGACACTCGGCGGCGCATCAACCACTTCCACACGCTCATCAAGCAGTACTCACAGCTGGCGGCGCAAGAAGACCAGTCTTTGGAGGTGCGGCAAAAGATCGACGCAGTGGCGAAGGAGATGGCGGAAATGGGCGGTCTCGATTGGTACCAGAAGGCCAGCCTGCTCGGCCAAAGCAAGGGCCGCGGTGGCGATACCAGCCGCTGGCTGGTGCCGAAGCTGAAGGAGCTGAAGCTGAAGGGGCCACTGCGCCTGCTGGACGTGGGAGCACTGAGCAGCCTCAACTACTTCAAGGAGCGCCGCTGGATCAACGTCACGCCGATTGACCTGAACTCGCAGGAGCCGGGCATTGTCCAGCAGGACTTTCTGGATATTGATCCAGGGCGTATGGAGGGCGAGACTGCGCATCTGTTCAAGGAGCCGTTTGATATTGTGTGTCTGTCGCTGGTGGTCAATTTTATCGGCGATCCGGCCAAACGCGGCGAGATGCTGAAGAACGTGTCGCGGCTGCTGCACCCGCAAGGGCCTGCTATTCCTGGTCCTGCCGCTGGCATGTGTCAACAACTCGCGCTACTTTGACGATGATCGGCTTTTGGAGGTCATGCAGTCGCTGGGCTTCGCGCAGCTGTTTGTACACCACACAGCCAAGCTCGCCCATTACCTGTACCGGTTCACCGGCGACACTGCGCAAAAAGAGTTCAAGAAGAAGCTCCTGCACTCGACGCCGAACCGCAACAACTTTTCGATAACAATATGATGTATTTCTGTATCACGCCTTTTGCGCGCTGCGATGGAACAGCACGTCAAACATCTTTGGGTTCTTGAACCAGCCGGCCCGGTTCATAATAAACGCATAGCTGTTGCCAGGCGCATGGATGCTGTACTGCGGGGACCCCGGCTTGGTGACTCCATTTGCTCCCTGCCCTGTGAACAGCAGGTCCCTCGAATACAGCGACGTGATCGGGTACTCGCGCGCCTTGACACCGTAGCCAGTGATCCGGTACGTCTCGATCCGCACTGTCTGCCCGTCCAGCACCTTGACGCGCGCAATCGATCTGCTGATGTAATGCAGAATGCCGCCGCCAATCGACACGCCGGCCAGAATGGCGACTGCCGAGATGCACGCGCGCTTCCACGGCGCCGACAGCGTCAATTCGCCCGTGGTCTCGTCCTTGTCCATCGAGTACCGCCAGTAAAAGTCGGCAAAGTTTATCCACATCAGCATCTGCCCGGCCACCACCCACATGCCCCACTTGTATGTCTGCTTTGTTTGCCGGTCGAATATCGTCACCTCGGGCTTGCCGTGGAACTGCTGCAGTGCCTTGCGCTTCTGCACGATGTCCATTTGGATCGATCCTGTGTGCTTCAGTCGCCGGCCAAGCAGCTGCCGCAGTGCCTGCTTCGGAAGGAAGGCGACGCGAGGAGAGGTGTTGAATTTGGCAAGAATTGAGGAAAGCATCGTCTAGGATAAAATGCAAGTAAAAGAAAAAATGGAGCAAGATAACAGCGGGGCTAAAATGCCTGGTCTCCTGCCCTTTGTTGATCAGGCCATGCCAATTTTGCGCTAAATTTTTTCTCAGCTGCTTCAGGTGCTGGTTTGTCGGCAGTAAAATTGCTGACAAGCTTCAAGCGGCAAAAGCCAAAGCGCTGTATTGCATAGAGCCCTACCATGGCCTACAAACGCGCTGGCCATTGCATATGCACAGCACTGCAGGCCCTCTCTTCAAGAGGAAGCCAGCAGCATAACGGTGTTGAAATGAATACTGAGCGTGCGCTACACTGCCGCTTTTTCATATGCATACATACAATGGCTAGTGTTAATGATGAGATGAAGCAGTACATCGATGCAATTGCAATGTCTTTAAAATGATGAGGTATCGAAGGAAAGGTAGAAAGTAGATATACAAAAAACTATTGTAAAGAAAGAGTAATAGGCTGTGCCAGGGCCTCACTTGTCTTGGCCATCATCGCTCGCCTCGCTGCTGAGCATGCCAAACGACGAGCCACGCCTCGACACCTGGAAACCAGCCGGCATCAGACCTACAGTCTCATCTGCATCGTCGTCAGGCGAAATGGTTGGATCCAAATGTGCATCGGCCTGGACCTCATCCGAGTCAAGCACCGAGTATGACGACGAGGCTGTGCGCGTGCCCATCGACGACGCAATGTTTGCAAACAGTCCGCTAGGACTCTAGCGACGCTGCAGCGGCGTCACTCAGCAGCGGAGCCGTCAGCGGGCCCTGCGACATCCAGGCCGGCGAATGCATGATGCGCGGCAGCAGCGTCTCGTCGAATGCCAGCAGCAGGTGGCTGCGGTTGCGGCGAGTCGCGACACTGCTAACGACATTAAAATCAGACAGTTCGGCCGGGTGGTCGGATTCTTCCTGGTCGGTAGGCTCATGCGGCAGGCTCGGGCGCCGGCGGCGAGCTCAGCGAGATGCCGTGGGCCACGTCAACCTCAGTCCAGCAGCGAGTCGTACGCCTTGCTTGGTATCGGCAATCTGCTTCATCCACATGTCATAGTACAGCGATTTCCTGTCACCAAACAGCTCGGCGATGCGTGCCGCGCTCAACAATCTTGCCCCCCGACACGATCATGATCTGGTCAGCGTGGACAATGGTTGACAGGCGGTGGGCGATGATCAGCGTGGTGCGGTTCTGTGTCATCTCGTGCAGCGATGGTCTGGATCTGGCGCTCTGTCGAAGTGTCCAGGGCGCTGGTTGCTTCGTCGAGACACACAATCTTCGGGTCTTTGAGCAGGGTAGCGGGCAATGGCCACGCGCTGCTTCTCGCCGCCCGGACAGGCGCTGGCCAGCGCTCAGCCAACGCGCGTCTCGTACTTTTCCGGGAAAGCCATGATCTTGTCGTGAACCTTGGCGGCGTCGGCAGCGTTAATCACGTCGTGCATGGACACACCCGGGCTGAAGCCTGAGCCAGCGCGGCCATAGGCGATGTTGTAGCGGATCGAGTCGTTGAATAGAACCGTGTCCTGCGGCACGACGCCGATTGCCTGGCGCAGCTCGCCACTGCGGCACACTGCGGATGTCCTGGTCCGTCAATCAAGATCCGGCCAGCCTGAACATCGTAGAAGCGGAATAGCAGCCGCAGGATGGTGCTCTTGCCGCTCCCTGACGGACCAACCAGCGCCACGGTCGACCCGGCCGGCACCTTGAACGAGATATTCTGCAGAGTCGGCTGCGAGTCGTACGAGAAGGACACGTTGTCAAAGACGACTTCGCCGCGGTTGACCTCCAGGGGCTCAGGTGCCGGCAGATCCTGGACCTCGATCGGCTCGTCGAACAGCTCAAGTAGCTTCTCCATGTCGATGAAGTTCTTCTGGATCACGCGGTAGTACGTGCCAAACCAGTTGAGCGGCTCGTACAGCTGCTGTGATGTATGCCAGAAGCATGGTGAAGTCGCCTACAGTCATTTTGCCGTCAGACACGCGCTTGGCGCTGAGCAGCGCGCCAGCGAGCAGGCCCAGCTGGATCATCAGGCTCTGCGCCATGTTGAGCAGGTTCATGGCGGCGTTGCTCTTCCACTCGGCGACCTGGAACGCATCGACCGAGTGCGAGTACTCCTTGCCTTCGAACTGCTCCGCGTTGTAGTACTTCACCGTCTCAAAGTTCAGCAGCGAGTCGACCGCACGTGCCTCCATCTCGTTGTCCAGCCAGTTGGACAGCCGGCGGTAACGCGTGCGCCAGTCGGTCAGCAGAATGGTGACGGCCAGGTACGACGACATTGTGGTCAGCACGATTGTGCCAAAGTACAGATCGAACATGGCCGAGAACAGGTAGCATGCGAGCACAATGTCGGCAATTGTCGGGATGATGTTGAACAGCACTGACGTCAGAAGCGAGACCACCGACGTGACGCCGCGGTCCTGCACACGCAGGATCTCGCCGGTCTTGCGGCCAACATGGAACCGCAGCGACAGCCTGTGCAGATGCTCAAACATGGCCACCGAGATGCGCTTCGTCGTGTTCTGGCCCACGGGCAGCCAGACAAAATTCTGCACTGTTGTCAGCACGCCAGCCGTTCCCTGCATCGACCGCAGCACAGCATACAGCAGCACATTGGCCCAGTGGAACTCGACCGGCGAGTCTCCCTTGGGTGTCAGTCCATCCACAACCACCTTGAACTGCAAGGGAACCAGCAGGTTGACCAGCCGGCCCGCTGCGACGATCAGAATGCAGCCTAGAATGCGCAGCTGCAGCCTTCTGTCTTCGGACGGCCACAGGAACGGCCACAGATGGGCCATGCGCTTTCGCAGCCCAATCATATCGTGGTCGAGCTCCTCCGACTGGTGGTACATCTTGACCTTCTTCACGCCGCTGCGCAATGCATCGGAGTCATGTTCGTCGTCGTCATTTTCGCCGTCCGACTGCCTGCCGCTGGGCTTGCTTGCGCTTTGGGCTGCGTCCTCGGGTGTCGCTGACAGGCTGCATGTGCTGGTGCGTGACCCAATGGGCGGCTGGTCGGTCGATTGCAGCAGCGGCGTCGTCTCCGTAGATCCACTGTGGGCACCTGTGTGGTTGTGGTCACTGTGCAAAGTATTGTACTGGCTGGGTGTGTGTTGACATTCCGCGCCAATGTTGATTGTGTCCATACTTCCGCAACTATCACCTTGCACGACCTGAGCAAAGCTGTGCTGAGCAACTCCGCTGGCATGTGCCTCAGCGACTGCTGTTCGCTGTTGCTGTTGCTGTTGCTGTTGCTGTTGCTGTTGCTGTTGCTGTTGCTGCTGCAAGACGTGCATTCCGCGCGCAGATACTAACCAGTTGGCGCCTGTGCAGAACAAGCCCATAGAGAGCACACCCAACCAGCATGCAGTTGACCAGGATGCGGATGGAAATCAGTGTCAGCAACATCAGCGACTGGGTTGCAGGCTCCATGTCCGCTGCCTCTGCTGCCAGTGTGCATTTAATATATGCAAGCAGCTCAGCACCCGATGCCAGCAGAGCAAACGTCCAGAATCCCTCGCGTCCCCACGTCCACAGAAACGACGGGTTGGCTGGCGGCTGGCTGATATGGTGTGGGCGCACCTTGAACCGCCGCTTGAGCTGCCGTAGCCAGCTGAGCGACACGCAGAACTGTGCAAAGATAAGCCATTCAACCAGCCTGACCTCGCTGTGCGAGTGGGGCATGTGCCGCTGCGTCTCCTGCCGCAACGCGAACCCCAGCATCAGGTGGATTAGGCACTCGCCGTTGATCACCCAGATCAGCGCGTTGCCTGCCAGCTTGTCAAGCACAATGCGCTGCGCAATTGCATCCACTGCGCCTGACTTGCGCCCCTGCGAACGCGACTTCTTCTTTGCTTTTGTTGTGCCCGCTGCCGCCGCCACGCCCCCATGTGCTGCCTGTTCCGAGTATGCTGCCAATGCCTGGCTGCTGCTGCGATGAGCTCTTCCCAGAAGCTGGTGCTGCAGCTCCGAGTCACCTATCTTAAGCGAGTGCAGAGCCATTAGTGCCATGGGCGGGTTTGCATGTGCCAGTCAGTGCGTCTAACGGCCTCTGGTGGTACCCATGCATAAATTCGAGTCAAGCATAATGCGATTTGCCTTTTTCGCTCCATGTGACCTCGGACACCGTCAAACAACACAAAAATGATGCAAAGTTGACATAGCCCCCACATAGTGCACAGTAAAAGCGGATGTGGTGGCCACACTTGAGCCATGCCCCGCACGTAAGACATACTGCACTTCTGCACGAGTCAAAGTCGTCACGCGGCGTAATGCACAAAGGAAAAGAGCGTATACATGACTCGATAAGAGCCAGTGCTTTCATCCACCCCAAAAGACAGGCCAGGCAAATGCCGTGTCTTGGCAGGAGAGGTTGTCAATATACCCATGAGCAAATGTACTGGTGGTCATGAGCCCTTATGCTTTGCAGCATGCAACGTGCTTTTTTTCCTCAACCTGTTCACGCTACCCACCGAAAGGAGAGCCAACATGGCGATGTGTGCCAATTTGTACATATCGAGACAGCGATCGGCACTTGCACGATAAAGGAACGCGAACCTCTGCTGTGGCAATCGTCTTCTGCTATGGAAAAAAGGCTTGCCTCCTATTTCCTTATTGTAAAAAGGAGAGCGGCGCAAAATGGACTCAAAAAAAAAAACGTGCTGTTCCCAAAGGAAGATAATGGCATTTTGGCTACTCTTTTAGCCGCCGTTTCCCGATATCCGCTATTCGAAAATGCAACAGGTTGGCCACGTCTAAAAAAAAACTGCATGCGCAGATTCTGGTCGACGCAGTGCATGTATGAAGCACAGCAGCTTGCGCATGGGCATGGGCGAAAAAAGGGGGAGGAAAGAGGGATCGTGTCAAGTTGTCTTTGTTGGCCCTTTTTTTTGCTGCTGCTGAGTGCAATTGAGCGCTCCAGGCAGAGGAAATACAGCCACCTCCGCAAACCACCTTCTACAGCCAAATAAGGTCACGCTCGGCCAATTTTCCATCCCTCCATGCTCACCATGTACACGGGAAGAGAGACTAGGGGTTAATGGACTTACCCGAGCGAAGCCGCCTCAGTTGCCCGAGCCACGCTGCCAGCCGACTCCAAAGGGCCGGGACGATAACATACCCAAGCATTGCAATGCCTGGTAGTATCAGCACCGCATATTGCTGCCAGGAAGCGATCCAGTTACGCGTGTAGCCGTCACCCGCAGATAATACCGGTGCCTGCGTTGTGTGGAGCATGCCTTGTGTCTGCCGTGTGCTCCCGTCGCTGTTCAGGCCCATTTCTAGTTATACAGGAGGGGGAGGAGAAAGGCTGGAGGAAAGGTATACAATAAAAATGAAGAAAAAACGAGGTGGAGAAGAAAGGTAAAGATCGAAATCCACTATTTTTTTAGGAAAAGTTCTAGCGACTTTGGGAAAGCTATGCGCAACAAGAGCGGCTTTGAAAATCAGAAAAACTGCCTGGGGATGATGGCTGCTCAGGAAATTCTCAGCCCACACACGGGCTGTTGGGAAGACTTCAAGGTCTGTTTTATGTGGTGCACGGCACGAGAAAGCTACGAATTCCCTTTGGGCAAAGGGGCAGCAGTGCCCAATGTCGAGTATAAAACGTCGTGTGCACGGGCTCGACACAAAGAGGCTTCGCACTTACCCTTTAGTGACTAACGATGCCATTGGCGTGGGTGACTGGGGTATGCAGTTGGCTGAGGACTCGGACATGTCATCAATTGCGAATTTCCTGTGCTCTATTGCGGAGGAGGTTATGCGCGCGGGGTATGTTTGTCGTGGATATTTTTACGCAAATCAGGCCGGGCCGACATGAGCTTTTCATTAACCCATACTTGGTCAACAAGTGGCGTATCGGTGTCATTCACTCATTCATCCAGTGATCATGATCAATAGATCGGTTGCTTTGCCGCAGCCGCGCCCCAAACTTTTCCTTCGGATGGGGAGCGAGACGACGCCGAGCGCTACGCCCTTTCTGCTCTATACACTTTTTCTACACTTGCATTTCCAGCCATTTCCTATCTACATAATTACCGAAATGTCTTCCTTTTACGACGAAATCGAGATTGAGGACATGGAGTTCGATGAGGACACCGAGCTCTACCACTACCCGTGCCCCTGCGGCGACCGCTTCGAGATCAGCCTCGAAGAGCTGGAGGCCGGCGAGGACGTGGCAAAGTGCCCGAGCTGCTCGCTCATTATCCGGGTAATCTACGATCCGGACGAGTTCCTCCCGGGCGACGGCGAGGAGGAGATTCAGCTCGGGACCATCGATCACCGTCGTCTAAAAACTATCTGGAGGACCTTGCTCTCCGTTGTACAATAAAGAAGGTGCATCCAGCAACGCAAAAAAATACAGGCTTTAGGTCTGGTCCAGGTGACACTGGGAAAATGGGTATACGTGGGAAATGTGCAACATCTATGTGCTGCGTGCTGACTAACAAGGCGGGGTTGATCTACCCGGTACGGATGAACCAATTCGCCGTCTGTCAGTATAAAGACTCACTAACTCTCCTCACAGCCGGAGCATTTCCCAACTCCCACTGCCATCTTCTGTTTTGTTGTTTTCCCAGCAACTTGTACTTCTTAGAACTGCCCTAGCTTTTTTTTTTCTCTCTCGATACCTTACTATGCCAGTAGCGCCGCACTCCAAGGACCTGTCCGGGTACTTCACGCAGACCACACGGCTGCGCAAGAACAGCCCGCTGAAGTCGCTGCTCAAGTACATGGCAGCCGACCCCACGCTTGTCTCTCTGGGCGCGGGTCTCCCGCACCCGGCCACATTCCCGTTCGCCAGCATTGGCGGCCAAGGTAGCCGAAGCCGGCAAGCCAGCCACCTCAGCAGACACTGCATTTGTTGATGCGTCGATTTCAGCCGGCGATGTGTCGTCCATCGAGGGTCTTGACAAATTCCTGCAGTATGGCAACGGCCGCGGCGTCCCCAGCTACTCCAAGTTTGCAATGGAGCATACGGAGCGCGTGCACAACCCAAAGTACTCGGACTGGGATGTGGTAGGTGTCGAGCGGCAACACCGATGCGTTCGTCAAGGCAGCTGATGCTGTTCTGCGAGCACGGCGACACACTGCTGGTCGACGAGTGGACGTACCCGGCGATCATGGAGACAGTCGCGCCCATGGGCATTGAGCTGGCGCCCGTAGCTATGGACTCCCAGGGCATAGTCCCCGAGGCCCTCGACAAGGTCGTGGCCGAGTGGGACGGCAAGAGCCGCAAGCCGCGTGTGGCCTACCTGATTCCGACTGCGCAGAACCCGACGGGCGCGACCATGTCGGCTGAGCGCAAGCTGGCGGTCTACTGAGGTCGCAAAGAAGCACAACCTGGTGCTGATCGAAGACGACCCGTACTACTATCTGCAGTTTGCGCCGTACATTCCGGCTGAGCAGGTGCAGGACCAGGAGGACCGGTATCGCGATCTCCCGGGCCTCAGGACGCTTGTGCCGTCGCTGCTCTCCCTGGACACTGAGGGACGCGTGATCCGCCTGGACTCATTCAGCAAGGTTCTGGCACCAGGACTGCGGTGCGGATGGATCACGGCGCCCAAGTATATTACCTGACAAGATCCAGTTCCACAACGAGACGAGCACGCAGCAGCCGTCAGGACTCAGCCAGGCGCTGGTCTCTCGGCTGATGAACGAGGACTGGGGACACTCCGGCTGGGAGAAGCATCTGGTCCAGATCCAGCGCGAATACGCTGTGCGCCGCGATGTGTTCGTCGACCTGTGCTTCAAGTATCTGAAGGGCAAGGTCGAGTTTACCGTGCCCGATGCCGGCATGTTCTTGTGGTTCAAGATCCATTTGAACGAGGAGGCAAGGGCGAGGAGGGGGTGATGCAGGACATCTTTGACGCCATGATTGAGAACCACGTCATGCTGGTGCCTGGGTACATGTTCTCGCCGCTGGGGCAGTGCGACGAGGTCATGGACAAGCCGTATATGCGTGCAGCGTTCTCGTATGCATCCATTGACCAGTTCGAGACAGCGGTCTCTCGGTTTGCCGAGGCCCTGGCCCCATTCACCAACTAGTACTGATAGCGTGCAATATATTCAAATCATTACACATTTTGTCTGGCTTTCGCTACAACATCAGTCAGCCTGCGTGCTGTCTGCACTGCCAGCTTGCTGTCAATGTCAAGCTTCATCCACTCGGCCTTGTCCTTGGCGCATTGAAGCAGAGATGATGGCAGCCCAGCCATGCGCGCGACGTTGAGCCCGTAGCTGTCGTGGGATCCGCCTTCAACCAGCTTGTATAGGAACGTGAGCTGGCTGATGCCGTCGTCAGCCGTCCGCTCCAAGAACGACATGTGAAATGACCGGATCTGCTCGCTACCAGCAAACTCGTCGACCAAGTGAGCGTAGTGCGTGACAAACAGGGTCAGTGGCCGCCGCCGAGCCAAGTAATCGAGCACAGCAACCGCAATGGCCGCGCCATCATGTGTGCTGGTACCGCGACCGAGCTCATCCAAAATCACCAAAGAGTTGGGTGTCGCCTGGCGCATCAGCTCGGCGGTCTCGCGCATCTCCACCATGAAGGTGCTCTCCCCAGCCATCAGGTCGTCTGACGCGCCCATGCGCGTGAATATGGCGTCGATGATGCTGAGCTTAGCAGCCTCTGCAGGCACGTACGACCCGCATTGCGCCATGACGCAGACCAACGCGACGGTGCGGATCAGCGAGCTCTTGCCGCCCATGTTGGGCCCGGTCAGAATCACTGCGCGCGCAGGACCTCCCAGCGCAATATCGTTTGGCACGTACGGCTTTGTGGAGTCGCTGCTGAGCACTGGGTGTCGGGCGCCTGTCAGGCTAATCTGGGCTTCATTGGAATCTACGATCTCGGGCTTTGTATACCCATCCCGCGAAGCCAATGTGGCAAGCGACAGCAATGCGTCAAAGGTGGCCAAGGTATGTACCAGTCTACGCAGCTGCTCGTAGTTGGATGTGATCTCGCCAAGGAAGTCGCTGTACGCGCTGTTTGCGGCACTGGCCAGAAGCTCGCGGTACCGCTCGCGCTCAGCCAGCTTCCTGACAATGAAGGGCGTGTGGAAACGCGAGTTGGTTTTGGTGCTTGAGATCTTGACCCAGTCATCCGGGACTGTCCGCGCCTTGACGTTGGTGACGTCGACCAGATAGTCTATGCCAGAGATGCTCTTGAACATGAATGTCTTGACACCCAGCCCCTGGGCAACCGAGTCTGCATGTGCCTCTAACTCGCTCTCCACCTGGGCGATTTTAGTGTGGAATTCCTGCACGCGGCCATGGAGAGCTCCGGATTGGAACAGGATTCCTCTTGTCGCCGCTCCGTGCGCAGCGGGGGTCAAGCTGCGATTTCCACGAGCTGACTGATGCCCGAAGCTCCTCTGTCCAGAATCTCGTTCGCTCAGCACATCGGCCAGCAGACGTGGTTCCTGTTATTTCAGTGCCGGGAGACAGCAGACTGGCAGCGAGGTCTAAGGAGCGCAGGAATGCGCAGTAGCTCGTTGGGAGTCGCTCGCTGGTACCGAATCCGGCATAGTCCGCGCTCCAGATCAACCATACGGTGCAATGCGCCTTTAACTCGCAAGACGGTCGCCTTGACCGGGTCATCAGCCGTTGCCTTGAGTCATTTTCTTTGTCCAGCACGCCCTTGAGGAACTCAACCGCAATAATGCGCTCGTTCAGATCAACTTTCGATACCAATGGGTGAGCAACCCAGTGCCTTAGCAGGCGGCGGACCAAATGGCGATGATGTAAAGTCCATGACACTGAACAGGGAGCCATCTCCGCCATGCACATAAGCACTGTGCACACTGCCGAGCCTCGAATCAGGCGAAAGAAGCGACTTGAGCTCCATGGCCGAGTCGGTCTTCCGCGTATCACCGGATGTGAATACAGCCAATGTATGCATAGCAGTTGCTCCGAAGAAGCATGCGCGAACGGGTGCGGAACGGCATGAATGCTTGCTTGGTGCTGTTAAGAAACACCTGGGTCAGACCAAATGGCTCCAGGTACTTGACCAGCTGTGCCACACACATAACAATGGTTTCTGGGAGATCGAGCACACGGCCAAGCATTTCGCCGGAGTGGTTCTCTGCGTAAAAGTCTGCGACAAACTGCACTGCTGCTGGCGGGTCATGGAGCGTAGGATCGCTAAATGCTACACGAGCACCGGTCCGCTGAGCCTGCTCCAACGTGGGCTCCACCCTGCCTGCGCTAGATGCAATCGGCTGGTCACAGTACGCAGATAGCACCTTTAGTGTTTCGCTGCTGAGTCCTTCGGGCACTACCAGCTCGCTGGGCTGTAGATGTGCTAGTCGTGTGTCAAGCTCGCTTCGCAAGTACCCGTCCTCGAATTCATCGTATATGACATCGCCAGTCGTAATCTGCACTGCCAAGACTCCGATCCGTGCACCATTGTTGGCACATCTCTCTGGCGATTCAACAGCACAAAACAGATACTTGTCATGTATCCTGCCATTGCCACTAGCGTAGTCCTCGACCTCCTCGACCATGGTACCAGCAGTGAAGACCTCAGCTAGTTCACGCGTGAATGGCGCGCTCTTGTTGTCGCCAATGGCCTTGAGCGCTGCCGTCTCGACCTGCCGCATCACACCGACTTTGTATCCCAGCATGTACTAACCGCCGCACATGCACCATGAGCCGGGGAGTCGGAATGCTGGCGTTGTAAAAGTTGTTGGCGGTGGTGCACATAATACCCAGCACCCGCGACGCAATCCGTGCGTCTTCGCCAAAGAACCGGTACTTGTACCCAACCTCGACTGCCAGCAGAATGTCTGGGTGTTTCGTTTTCATATCCAGCACCTGCATCTCCAACGGCGTGTACTTTACTCCCTTCTTGCGCTCAACCAGCTGGATCGATGTGCCTTCAACGGTGCCCGTTGCCATACCGCCCGATCCTTGTGACAGTCCGTTCTCGCGGATCCGCTCCCGCATCCGCTCTGCCAAGTCAGACGTGTCGGAGACCGATTTTACCAGGGTTGCCTGCTGCGTGTCTGATCTGCAATGCAACTCACTGAGGCTCTTTCTGGCCACCGGCGGCCGTGACTTGGCACCTGCTAACGCCTGCTGCCCGTCGACGTAATCGTCGTCCATGTCGTCATCGGAAATGACGCGGGCGCGTTTCTTTGGCGTTTCGGCGATGATTGTCAACTGCTCGTCCACATCCATGTCGCCATCCTCGCTGGCTGCTGCGCTGGGCCGCTTCGACGGCACATCATCGGCGGGCGCCCTTTTGGATTTGAAGAACGACGACAGCGATGCCTGGACCTTCTTGCTGCCGCCCATTGGGAGAAATGTCAGAATCAGGTTGAATTTGGGAACAGAGTAACGATAGGGAGGCTGCTTGTCGGCCCAGGAGGAATACAGTATTTTTTTTTTGGATGGGCTAAGCCACCTGCACAGCTCGGCTCGCGCTACTAGCATATTAAGTGGTGGTCCCGGAACCGCCACTCATACGGCAAATGGCGCAACGACTGGGCACATTGCAGGCCCTCTGGCTGTGGCCAGCAGCTCTACCCAGGCCTATTCCATTGCCTGCGCCCTTGCATGAGCAGAGCAGGCGACTATGACCACACACGCTGCTCGGCTGTTGCTGCAACTCAGTGATATCACAGCTCCTGATCCTAGGCAGGAATGCGAACGCACATGCCACTTTTTTTTCTTGCCAGCTGTTCCTTCTTGCCAGCTCCCCTTCGCCTGCTGCCTTTCCAGCAGCAGCATATGCACGAGTGACGCCTGCGCATGCAGCTTTAAGTGGTGTGTGCCTAAGGGCAAGGATAGTGTTGGCGGTGGTTGGGCAGCGCACATACCCACTGGCAATCGTCACCCGGGCACCATCATGTGGTTCGGGCCATTTGCGCTGTTGACAGTATTGTTCGCTAGAATGTCAGGCATTCCGAGTGTCTGCGAGTGGCCGTCGCGCGGTGTGATCTACGCTGCTGGCCGCCAAAAAGGGCTAGGCACCATTTGGTTTTATAAGGATTGACACGAGACCTTGCGCTGCTAATCTGGCCACTCTTCGTCTGAACTGGCGGGGCAATAATTGCGGTGGAACCAGGCATGCTACAGCCCTTAAGGGAGATATCTGTGCCCTGTCCGTGCAGCCCTGAGGCCAGCAGCTGTTTCTTGTATAAAGCGCAATCCTGCCCGCCGGCCAGACGAAACAAGGACTACTTTCCAGTCTTAATTCTTTTCCCTGCCACTTTCAATACTCCATTGCAACCAGCTTCAAAAAGAGCACAGCCATGCCGAGATCAAGACATCGCCGTCACCGCCGCCTGGAGTGGACAAACTCAATGCAGTCGTCTGTAACTCTCGTTGCTGTAGAGGGAGCCGTCGCCGCCGCACAGCAGGAGGAAAGAGCATACCTGGAGAACTCGCCAACCTCGGCCATGGCACCCGAGCGGCGGCCACACTCAACGCAGACTCCCAACAGCCTGTCGCACACAACCGGGTCTTCTGCTAGAGCACGTCGGCAGAGCGCGCCGGGCTATGTTGCTAGCACAGCGCGGGTCGCCCGGTCGAACTCTGAGCAGACCTACGTCGTCGGGCGATGCACACGATGAGTCCACCAAAACCGCACATGGGCTTGCAAGCCGGCTCAAGCGCAAGCTCAAGGTCCCCTTCACGCTTCCTGCACGAGAGCATCCTTGGCCCGCAGATTCGCGGCTCGCACCCAGGGCGTGAACTCGTACTACTCGGTCTCTACCCACTAACCTAATCTATTCTGTACAGCCAACACAATAATTTCTTTCTTTCGGTTCTTCAAAAAAGAAGCCAGAGTACTCACGTCAATGGGGTGCTGGTCACGAGTGCAAGAGTGCTATGGTTTCATGTCAACTGTGTGTCGATCGAAGGACTGGAGGAAGAGCGAAGGTGGATGATGTGCAAATGCAGCATGCCCATATGGGGGCCACTCTCCACCACCTTTCGCTGAGCTGCACCAGGTGACCATGTCTCCAATTTGCATGCCTTAGTAGTGGTATGTGTATTGTAGAGGCGAGTAGATACTGCAGCCTGTGGCACACTCTGCGCACATGCGCTCAAAGTAGTACGCACACAGGTGACAGAGTTGTCTCAGCTTGCGCTTGATCCTGCTCGCCGCCCACCGGCGCCTTGACTGACTGTAATCAACCGATGGGTACTCTGACGATTCGGCAGAAGATGCTGCCCGGTTCTGGCGGCCATTCGGGGATATACTTTCAGGGATTGACTCGGTGTCCAGATTATCCTCATCAACCTCAGGAATGTCTGCGATGCGAGACGAGTTCAGATCGTGGACCAGCCGCCGAAGCTCGACGGGCTGGATTCGCGGGTTCGGGCGATGTGGCCCGGAGGTCACTGCAGTGCGCGGACTCGCGAGTTGGAGTTGCCAAACAGTGTTACTGAGCTTCCCATCGAATCGGTCCATGATCTGAGCGGGCGATTGTGACGGCGCGGCATGCTTGCGTATAGAGATATGTTGATAATATGGAATGGAGAGTGTCAGTGAAGAAGCCAAAGTGCAAAACGTGGAATACCACGCGCCATCCCGGCGTGTCTACATCTCTTGCAGGTCTGTTTTTTTGTTTGCCAAAGCGGGATTGAAAACACCTGTCTAAGGAACAATGGCGGCGGACATGACAATTGTGTTTATAGCTGTGGTCAAATTCCGCCAGCGACTCCCTCTTTTTGACTTCGTCTCGTTTCACGGCTATTTTTCTTCACAGTACAGGCAAGGAACTGCCATGCGATTACCAGACACCCTAGTCCTTCAGTCTTCTGAGACTCCACAGATGAGCCAAGAGGCAGTTGTCGATGCGTCTGAGTGAAAGTGCTTGTTATTGGTACCAATGTTGAACCTAAATATTTTGCGGGATATGACATCCTAGTCATCAGACGTCCAACAATGTCGCAACCCACAAAGATACCTTTTGACTCTATATCGGTGTTGCTGTATTGTACCACAGTCTGGTGATGCAGTCACTATCTGGAAGAAAATATATTCATTCTGGAAGTGAAGCAATTCATATGGTAGGTTGTTGCAAAGTCTGTGCACACTAATTTGTGCTGCACAAACGGATATGTACGAGTATTAGACATATCCATAGTACACAAAGTTTGTAAATTCATGTACTTTGTTGCAAATCCACTGCACCACGCTGCACAGGCATTTCCAATTATTTTTATCCAGCATGTACCTGAAGCGCGCTGCTTTAGTATCCTGCGGCGCACTAGTTACACTCGCATCGTACTGGATTATGCGCGGACAGAAGAAGCCAAAGTACTGTGTGTTCTGCCACCCACTGGACCGTGTGGTCTACGAGGACGACGAGCTCATTGCCTTCCACGACATTAAGCCGGATGCGAGGCTGCACCTGCTGGTGATTCCGCGAGAGCACTTTGGCACCGTCAAGGAACTGACAAGCGGCGATATCCCGATGGTCAAACGGATGCACGAGCTGGGACAGCGCCTGCTGCGCGAGCAGGGATTCGAGAGCGAGAACGCCCGGTTCGGCTTCCACCGCCCGCCGTTCAACAGCATCCATCCACCTGCACATGCACTGCCTGGGCCTGCCGTTCAAGCACAAGCACTCGGGGAAAATGTTCCCCGCCGAAGGGGCCAGGTGGTTCTACCCTGTGCCGCAGCTGCTCGACCAGCTCGAGCAGGATTAAATCAGCGCATTAGATCAACCACGTCATCGCTGGGCCTGAGCAATCGCAGGGCGCCGAGTCTGCAACCTGGGCTTCTGGCTGCTGCGATTACGTGTGTGGGCTCTGCGGCCTTCCATGACTGCGCGTGCATTGCCAGGCCGATGCAAAGGGAAGGCGAGGGGCCGCGGCTCTTTTGCTCTGCAACGCTTTCTTTTTTCCATTATTTTCTTTCGCTAGATACTTTTGAAGGACACTCCTATTTTTAACCGCAGTCCACTCTTATTACCTGGAGACGCTCTATCTCTCTCCTGCAGACAACCGCACCTACCCCCAAAACGGATAAACCCCTTTGCATTAGTAGCAAACGCAGCCTGAACGCAAATGTCTGACGGCGAACGCAAACCCCTGCTCCAGTAAGTATCTGTTCCACCAGCGCGCTGATTTATATCTGCCTGGGCAACAGCTCTGCTGCTAATTTAGCGCTCTTTGAATTTAGGAATGACGCGGCTATCGACCTGAACGCCAAGCCGGCCGACCCGGACCATGACTTGGCCACTGCCATTCTTCGCAAGAAGTCAGCGCCCAACAAGCTCATGATCGACGATGCAACCAACGACGACAACTCAGTTGCAGTCATCTCGCCAAAGACGCTTGACACCCTGGGTCTGTTCCGCGGTGACACCATCCTGATCAAGGGTAAGAAGCGCAAGGACACAGTACTGATTGTCATCCCCGACGAGGAGTGCGAGGACAACAAGATTAAGCTCAACCGTGTTGCGCGCAAGAACCTGCGGACGCGCCTGGGCGACATCGTCTCGATTCACCCGCTGCCCGACATCAAGTACGGCAAGCGCATCCACGTGCTGCCCATTGACGACACCATCGAGGGCCTGACCGGCGACCTGTTCGAGGTCTATCTGAAGCCGTACTTCACAGAGGCCTACCGCCCCGTCAGGAAGGGAGACACGTTCCTTGTGCGCGCTGGTATGCGCGCAGTTGAGTTCAAGGTGGTCGAGACTGACCCCGAGGAGTTCTGCATTGTTGCACAGGATACCGTCATCCACACCGAAGGTGATCCCATCAAGCGTGAGGACGAGGAGCAGGCTCTGAGCGAGGTTGGATACGACGACGTCGGTGGCTGCCGCAAGCAGATGGCCCAGATCCGCGAGCTGGTCGAGCTGCCGCTGCGCCACCCGCAGCTGTTCAAGTCGATCGGTATCAAGCCGCCGCGCGGCATCCTGATGTACGGTCCGCCTGGTACCGGTAAGACGCTGCTGGCGCGCGCTGTTGCCAACGAGACCGGTGCCTTCTTCTTCCTGATCAACGGCCCTGAGATCATGTCGAAGATGGCTGGCGAGTCCGAGTCCAACCTGCGCAAGGCCTTTGAGGAGGCCGAGAAGAACAGTCCGTCCATCATTTTCATCGATGAAATTGACGCCATTGCGCCAAAGCGCGAGAAGACCAACGGTGAGGTCGAGCGCCGTGTCGTGTCGCAGATGCTGACGCTCATGGACGGCATCAAGGCCCGCTCCAACGTCGTTGTCATGGCCGCCACCAACCGCCCCAACTCGATCGACCCGGCGCTGCGTCGCTTTGGCCGCTTCGATCGCGAGGTGGACATTGGCATCCCTGACCCGATTGGCCGTCTCGAGATTCTGCGCATCCACACCAAGAACATGCGCCTGGCCGATGACGTCGATCTCGAGAAGATTGCTTCCGAGACCCACGGATTCGTCGGTGCCGATGTTGCGTCGCTGTGCTCGGAGGCTGCTATGCAGCAGATCCGTGGCAAGATGGACATGATTGATCTCGAGGAGGATGAGATCGACGCCGAGATCCTCGACTCGCTGGCTGTGACCATGGACGACTTCCGCTACGCGCTTGGAACCTCGAACCCGTCGGCGCTGCGCGAGACCGTGGTCGAGGTGCCCACCACCAAGTGGGACGATATTGGTGGCCTGGAGAGCGTCAAGCGCGAGCTGCAGGAGACTGTGCAGTACCCTGTCGAGCACCCGGACAAGTTCCTCAAGTTTGGCATGTCGCCGTCCAAGGGTGTTCTGTTCTACGGCCCTCCGGGCTGTGGTAAGACGCTGATGGCCAAGGCCATTGCCAACGAGTGCCAGGCAAACTTTATTTCCATCAAGGGCCCCGAGCTGCTGACCATGTGGTTTGGTGAGTCCGAGGCCAACGTGCGCGACGTGTTCGACAAGGCCCGTGCCGCTGCCCCCTGCGTCATGTTCTTCGATGAGCTTGACTCTGTGGCCAAGGCTCGCGGCAACTCGGCTGGCGACGCTGGAGGTGCTGGCGACCGTGTGCTGAACCAGATCCTTACCGAGATGGACGGCATGAACGCCAAGAAGAACGTGTTCGTTATTGGTGCCACCAACCGCCCCGACCAGATCGATGGTGCCCTGCTGCGCCCTGGCCGTCTGGACCAGCTGATCTACATCCCGCTGCCCGATCTGGACTCGCGCCTGTCTATCCTGAAGGCCACCCTGCGCAAGTCGCCCATCGCGCCGAATGTCGATCTCAAGTTCATTGCCGAGAAGACCTCTGGCTTCTCGGGAGCCGATCTGACCGAGATCTGCCAGCGTGCCAGCAAGCTCGCCATCCGCGAGAGCATTGAGGCGGACATCCGCCGCGAGCGCGAGCGCCAGGCCAAGGATGGCGAGGACGCTGCCATGGAGGATGCCGACGAGGACTACGACCCGGTTCCCGAGATCACCAGCGCCCACTTTGAGGAGGCCATGCGCTTTGCTCGTCGCTCGGTGTCGGACAACGACATCCGCCGCTACGAGATGTTTGCCCAGAACATGCAGCAGTCGCGTGGCTTTGGTGCCTTCAAGTTCCCCAAGGGTGGAATTGACGGCGGCGAAACCAGCGAGCAGGCTGCTGCCGCGGACTCGGGTGCTGCCAACCAGCAGTTCAACGAGGACAACGGCGACGAGGACCTCTACTCGTAAGCTGCATCGGTCGCGTTGCCTGACAAGAGCTTTTTTTTCACTTTTCCTTACAGTAGTTTCTAACCATCACGTACAACCAAAAGATATTTGCAATTTAAATATCGCCTGGTCTCGACCCCCATGCTACCCGTGCATTGCTGCAGGAGACCACTGGCCGGAGGTTTCAAAAATGCACCAGCCAAACGATGTCTGGACAACTCAGCTGAATTAGCAGACATCCACAGGCTCTTTGCTCTAAATCCAACTCTTCACATTAGTACTCTCGACAACAAAGCCAGCTATGATTGACCCGGATGACAAGGAGTTCTGTAGCTGGGCGCCGGAGCTCCCCGATTTTAGCACTCTGCCAGACAGGGTATCACCAATATACAGCTTTCTGGCTATGGTGCCACTTGAGGTCAAGCGCGAGCAATTCCGCGCGTTGAACAACGTAATCAGGGACTACCGCATATCAGACTTGTTCACAACCGCGAGCCAAGCGCGGTGGGCGGCGGGTGTCATCAGGCTCGGCCTGCAGTTACCACTCGAGGACCTGGACCTAATCTCCGATGCCCTGGACCAGAGCAGCGAGCTGCTGCACACGATGCATGAGATCGATTTCTGTGAGGAGGAGCCAGGGCTGTCGCTGGAAGACCAGGAGTCGCTGACTTCCAAGTGCACAGTGAGTGTCATCTGGCGGCTAGGAGTTCTTTTCAACCCACGCGTGTTCTTTTGGGATCAGATGCCGACGCGAGAAGTCGTCCACCAGAGCAACCAGCGGATGGGCCAAATCACCGAGCCGTGCATCCGGATGCCGCAACCGCCCAGAAACCAGCGGGCCTCACCACCCCCGAGCTCTCCTCTACGGCAGACGCTGAGCGCCAAAGGCGGGCTGCTGCAGGTTACTGGCGTGCGTTCGGGAAAACCCGCCTCATCCACGGTGCCAACTTCCGAGAGCAGTGCCAATATCGTGCCAGAAAACCAAGGGGACAGGGGCGGAGCAAGTAGGCATAGCTACTTCTCGATATCGACTCATGTCGATGAGCCCTCGGCCGACTCCTCAGAAAAACCAAATGCCGAGGCTAATGAAGACGATGACACAGCCGATGACCAGTGGCTCGAGGTCATCAGCTCCAGAGAAGATGCTACTGCAACTGAATCCGGCGGTTTGCGGCCGCAACTTCAGGTACCCAGCATACCACTGCTGTCGATAGCAATGCAAGACGATCCATCAGCATGGTTCCAGCCAGCGTCTAGCCACATCGATTCACCGAAGCAGCAGTTTGACGATAAAAATACGAGCGAGCGGCAACAGGCGCGACTACGACGTGCTGCGGCACTGTGGGAAGGGTATGTGGAGCTGCTCTCTCGAGCTCTGCGGATGTTTTTGGCTGCGCTTAAGCACAACAAAATGACCGTCAGTGGCAATCAGCTGCCACATCTGCACCTGTGGCTCGTCACCATTGTGGACCTGATCCTGTCGCAGGATGGCGGCAACCCAAGACTGGTTCCGTGGACAAAGCGATACAGGCCGTATATTGGAGCAGAAATCTGGGACATTACTTGGGCGACTTTGGGCGACCGGCTCGAAAGCATTGCATTGGAGCTACTAGCGGCAGTGTGGGGCAACCTGGTCGGTACCACAGGCGTTAACTGGGAGTTCATGAAGAACTTTCCTTACTGGATCCACCGCGAGAGTGTCATGAAGGAGTGGCTCCATATGCTCAGCGATACGGCAGTGCGTGTCATGCGCTCACATTATGCCTGCAGCCTCGACAGCAAGCTATACCTTGAAAGCCGACAGCCACACATGTTTGAAGCAGTCACCGACCTCTCGAACAGTGATGCCGAGGCTCTGCTCTACTACTACACGACAGTGCCGCTTGATACGCATATGATCCCACACAAAATCTACTATGCGTATGTGACAGATGTGTGTGAGATTGTAAACAGGATGCTAGATATCAAGCAGGCCATTGAAGTGGATGGTGTAGTCCATCTTCAGCGACCCCCTTCAGCCAACTATATTCTTCACTATTTCGGCACTCCGCTGTTTAACATGGGTATGGCAGAGACTGACGGGACCAGCGAATCCGTAAAAGCAAAGACGCAGGCGCTCGTGGTACTGAGCCGCATTCTGGCTATGCGGGTGCAGCGCGATGACCCAATCTGGCAAAAGTATCGCGACCGGATCCTGCGGATCTTGTACGAGGTTATCCACAAGGACATGCAGGCGCAGATCATCTTGCCCAGCGTGCAGCTGCTTCTGAATGAGACCAGCTATATACGTCCATTGATTCCAGACATTGTGGCTCTAACCGAGCGCGAGATACAGCTTGTAAGTGGATATGTGTGTAGTCAGCAAGCGTGTTGCCAGTATTGTACTTCCCTGTACTAACATTTCTCCTTTGTTGGATGTAGGTTTCACCGCTATTGCTTCAGCGCGAAAAGTGTGCCCGCAGACGGCAGGCGCTGGCCGTGTTTGGCTCACTCATTGCGTTTCCTCTGTACTACTATAGCCTTGGCATCCTTGACAGAGTGGATCAGCTGCATGAATATGCTAGTTTTCAAATCGACAGGAGCGTGTTTCAGCCTCTTGGCGACGAATGGAGCATCAGGATGCAGTCTGTGGATCAGCTCATGGAGCAGGTAAGGGCTAGCTATATCCCGTTTGCACCCCATTGCGTGTTTCTCGACCTGTCCTCATATTCACCTTCTCTGTAGATTGCAAACAGCAAGTTTGTCAACATTGGCAAAGAGAGCCCAAAGCTGAATTCGATCATCGAGAACATCTTCAAAAATCTGATGACAGCGCTGGCCACTGAGACCGATGACCTGAACCTGCGACACACGACGAGCATGCTGCTCCTGTTTTTGCTCCAGTACAGCAACCACAACCCAGGATACATTGGCCTGTACTTGCGGTTCCTGGTTGAACAGCTTCGGATTTCTACGCGAACAAGCATGTCGGGGGTATACGCATACGCACTGGCGATGGGCGCGGCGCTGACGTGGGAGGGGAAATTTGATCATGCGCAGCAAGGAGAGCTAGTCGCCCATTTGGCTAGGACGCTGTCTGACTGCGACCGCCACCTCTACCGGTACACACAATGGGATCGGTACCATCAGCTGCTTATCACGTCGATCCAGTGCCTCAATACCTGGGTGGGACTGTCTTTCAACCAGATCCGCATACTGCCTGAAACAAAGAAAATCCTGGTTGGCATATCGGAGCGGTTGGACAAGTACCTGAAGGCAACCGAAGGCCACAATGTAGAGGACCTGCAAGCAGTTGGAAGGCTGGCCCACCTTAACACTGGGGCAATTAGCAGTATTGTGGCCAAGAAGAGGGACTACTCGACAGCGATCATCGATGAGACCGGCTACATATCGTGCAATCCGCAGGCAGCACTACGTGAGTTGGAGATTGTGTCAGTGACCTCATTCGGCCTGTTCACTGATTCCAGGGACCCGGGATACGTCAGCACCACCGATAGCACTGCAGTCCGAAGGACGCACAAAATCAGTCCGTCGCTTTACAGAGTGCTGTTCACCACACTTGTGTCGTTCAACTCGATCTTGACTCAGGCATTTGAACAGGCATGGCCCATTCCGTCGCGCGATCGACCTGACATCCTGATGACGCGAATGATCATGCGCAAGGAAAAGCTACCTGACAACAGCCAGCTCCTATGCAACTACCACCCCGATCTCTTGCGAATTCTTGATGGCTTCAGACCAGTGAGTGTCAGCTGGTACTCATCATTCCATCGTTCACTGTATTCAGAGATTGTCTTTGAGAACCCCGACGGCGTCCCAGGAGAGAATACACGTGTGTTGGTCACTGCCCGCTACCCGAGCGCGACACGATACTGGGTCATGCAGCCCGGCGACTCGATCAACAGTGACATACTCGATGACGCACATGTAGCCTCCATTCTGGCCACTGAGAGAAGCTTGGAGGGCACAGGTAGAACTGCAGAACAGCCAGGTAGAAGCGATAAATCCTGGTTAGATGCGGAGCTGAAGGCTGGAATGCGGAAGCCAAGCAGCAGGAGTCAGGAATTGCTACGTCGTTTCAAACCGCTTGTTGACATAGATGGCCATGAGGAGTTGACTGAGGGTGTTCTGAGGGAATACGCGGATATGTGCCAGAGTGAGCATCCACCAGTGGTCCAGTTTACTGCTGCACGTCCCCGCAGCAGTGTACCATACGGTAATGGGCACTTCCGTATGTGTACCAGTACATGCCATACGGGCGACATCTCGTTTATCAAGGTTAGCCAAAAGCTCTTGGAAGACGTCGATCGTCTGGACGACCTGTCGATGCCGTATATCGCCCATGCGGGTGTCGTGTACCTGGAATCGTACGAGAAGCTGTTGACCCATCCCGCATCGGCGAAGGCGCAGCTCCGAGGTATCAGCAGCGAGTTCTGCCAGCTCCTGAATCAGCTAGGTCGCGGGAAGCTCAAGCCCATGGAGTGCTTGAAACGAAACCCGGATGATGCATACCTGCTGAAGTACAAGTTCTGGGCCGAAAACACTGAGGTCGCCTACTACCTCGCGCCGAATATCAGTGCCCTAGTTGGTGGCCGTCCGTTGGACAGCGAGTATAGCGAGGTGTTTTGCTCCCGGCTTTATCACAGCGGCATCTCTGTGATTTGGCTCAACGATTCGCCACACTCGATAGACATGGCACATCTGTGGAATCTGATAGACACTGCCAACAGGTGGTTTGAGAGCACCACTGATGATGATAATGACGATGAATCCGGAGCGCCACCATCTTCAAATCCACCAGAGCCTTTCGAATACTAGACGGGCTTCGTCGGCAGCACCACGCAAAGCCCAGGGGGTGCCTGTAATCTCTATCCGTACAAAGAGAAGAAGCAATGGCAAGAAGACCCATGGGCACTCGGCTGTAACTCGCAAGCGCACGCACAAGCAGTCGGCTCTGGATAAGGCCTCTGCAGCACAGCAGTACAAGTCGGGGTCATCGTCAGCGCAGGATTCGCCCTCGGGCGGACGGCACCGGGCACGGGATATCTTTCGTAAGGCCATTCGTCGTCATCGCGGTGTATCAACACTAGCCACCAACGAGTCGAGCAGCAAGACCAGTAGGGCCAGCAGTGCATCCAGAGGCAATGAGTCGCCTGTAGTACATCCGGACGAAGATCGGCAGTCGCAGGCACCTCCGCAGAGTGGTCGGGATGCTTCTGTAGGCAATGCTGCAGCAGGTCCAAAAGAAGAGTCGCCGAGAGATCCTCCACCTGCCGGAAACCCCGATCCATCTAATCACCCGGCGACATCCGGCGACAAGGCCTCTGGTGCACTGGTGAAATACATGATTGTGCTTGCACCACTCAAAGACACAGGCGGCCGACTGATCAGGGTTCGCCTGGCGGCAGCGGGCAGTACCGAGCGTATGAACAAGGAGTTTCTCAAGATGACAGGGCCGCTGCAATCAGAGATGGTTGTGCAGGCCCGGCTGCTGGCTAACCTCCTGATCGATCACGATACTGGATGCAGCGGCAAACATAGCATCGCTGAGAGGTGAAAACTTTTCGGCAATCTTCAAGCGCCGGGTGATGCTAGCGGACGATGGCTGACGAGCACGGTGCCAGATTCAAGACTGTCGAGGAGGCGGAGAAGGCGCTGTATCCTGTGGGCCGGAGCGGCATGGAGATGACGATGGTCTACAATAAATGAATCAGCTGCATGTGAGCTGGTAGCAACACACATCGAGCGTGGAATTCGAACAAAGGCACTGAATTGCGCAAGGAATGTCCGGCAAAAATAAACTCACGCTGTGGCCGCATATTGATAGCGCCCAGCTTGACCAGATAAGCGCAGTGTGACCGTCAGACGAAGAAGGGAGAGTCACGATTCGAAGGGGATCATTGCGACGGAACGTCCGAAGCCTTTCTCGATTTCGACTGCCAATCCATCCGGGCTTGCAGCACCATCAGATTGCCCGGCATGAAAACTGTTGGGCTTTTGTCCTATCTAATTAAACCCAAATGTCGTTTTTTTTTCTCGCCGCTGGGAATTGCAACATCCTTCAATGACAAGGCTTGCCGACGCAACCCCACCGCACTCGCTGACGTCAGCTGAGGAGCCATATAAGAGGAGCTACGCTGGAGTCGTGCGCGGAAAATACCTCGGGCGAAGCTTCGCCAGCGACCTTCTCAGCTCCACTCCTAGAAAAGAAGTGGGCACAGTGTTGGGGGTGAGAAACATCCAGTGGTACTTGTTCCTGTACCTCAGCACAAAAAGAGTAGGAGTTGAGCATGGACGACAGGCTCGGCATTTCGGTGGCCTGACATTGCTGCGAGCCCTTTTTATACCTCTTCGCCTGGACACAGGCTGCTTGCTGGACTTGAATACGGCCTCCACTCCTATCTTTCCTGTTCAATCTTTTTTCAACTATAATCTATCTTGACCAGCGCCAGTGCGTTGTCGTATATAGCTGTTTGTACTTTTAATCTACATCAATCCCCGTGGCGAGCATCCAGGTGCTGCCACCGCATACAGGACACACAACGCTCCCCTTCCATTGACAGACGCACAAAGTCATGTCGCCAGACGAAGCAAAGTCATCAGGTGGCTGTGCACAGTAGCGAGGATGCACCATCAGCTGTCCAAGAAGCAGAAAATCCTGGCATTCCTCAAGACGGTTCCTGACCGAATCCCAGAGATCACAATTTCGCGGGCCGTATTCTACAGCATATTCCTGGTGTACCACTTTGTGATGCTGGGAATCTACTTGCGCGGCACCAGCGACAGCCTGGCTGTACGCATGTACTTTATCAACGATCTAGGCAATGGACATCATCATGCTGGACCTGGCGATTGCGCTGTTAGCGCAGTGCTATGAGACGATGCGGTTCCTGCGGCTGACGTTCGTGCCCCGGTTTATCAACTTTGAGCGCAACATTGCGGTGCACCGGCTCATGGGTCTGTTTGTGGTCAAGTTCTCGCTCATCCACACAGTGGGCGAGTACAAGGGCCTGTACGAGGTGTCCAAGTCGTTCTTCTCGCAGCAGACATACAGGTGGTACCTGCTTGAGCGGACATCCGGGTGGACCGGGCACTTGCTGCTTGTTTTGCTTATTGTCATGATGGTCCTATCGATCGGTCCTATTCGGCGCAAGCACTACGAACTGTTCCGCTTCAGTCACCAGATCATCTTCGTCATCGTCATCCCCTTCCTATACATCCACGGCAAAGGAGCGTGCCAAGATCCACAAGTATGTCTCTGGTCCCCTGGCGCTGTTTGTGCTGGACAAGGCCTGGCGGTATGTGCGGCGCATTCGTGGGCTGGCCCATATCGAGTGGGTCCGGTTCTTCCCAGGCCAGGCTGTCGAGGTGCGTATCTACGGGCCGTCAATCAGGTTCCGCCACGGCCAGCACCTGCGAATCAACTGCCCGTCCATTGCCCCGCTGCAAGTGGCACCCGTACTCGCTGACAAGCGACCCCGCCGACCCGGATGGATACACATTCCAGCTCAAGGTGCGTGGTGACTGGTCACTGGCCTTTGCCCAGCGGCTAGGCGCACCTGAGTGGTTCTTGGAGGAGTGCCGGGTCGAAAAGGCTCGCGCTGAGGCTGAGGCCAAGAAAAATAAGGCGAGGCGTAACAAGAAAATCAAGAAGCACATGCGGTTCTCGCGCAGCAAGTGGGAGGACGACGACAGCATCGCCGAGTCTGTTCAAGATACATGCGCCGCATGTCACTGTGCACACCGACATGAGCAAGCCTGCATACACAACTGTGCGCGAGACCCACGACATGCCCAAGATCTGCATCGACGGTCCTTACACTGGCACACTTGAGTATGCGACCAACTACAAGCAGGTGGTGCTGGTTGCTGGCGGCAACGGCCTGAACCCAATGGTCTCGTATCTGTACGCTGTGGTTGGCCAGCTCAAAAAGCAGGCAGCCAAGGCAAAGCAAACTGGGTCGACCGAGGCGCCTGTGCCGCCCAAGATCGATCTTATCTGGGTAGTCCGGTCCAAGGGCTGTCTCAGCTGGTACCCTGATCTGTGGCAGATGCTGCGCGAGTCTGGGCTGGAAATCAACATGCACCTGCACTATACACGCAAGGCTCTGACAGACGAGGATGATGCAGACACCAGTGTGCGTGCCAGCTCCTCTGACAGTGTGCATGAAATCGACAGCGTAAGCAATGCAGGTGACGAGTTCAGCGATGCCGGATTCAACGAGCTGGGCAAGGTGCGTTTTGGCAGGCCACAGCTGAAGAGCATCATCGGAGATATTGCACAGGACGCACCGCACAAGCGCATTGGTGTGTTTATCTGTGGGCCGCCCAAGCTGTGCTCTGACACCAGCCGGGCCTCTCACTACTGGGCGTATCGGCTGGTGCGCCAGCAGCGCACCTGGCTCGAGGTCCACGACGAGCCGTACTAGCACCTCTATTCTTGCCACAACTAGAAATATAAATATCCAGTGTCTTTGTTTCCATGGGGCCAACAACGGTGTAGCATGTAATAGGTTGCTTGCCAGTGTGTTGATTTCATGCACAGCATATGGACAATCCCAAAGGGCCGAATAGTGGAAGAGGAGAGAAAATATGTACAATTAAGGTGAGGCGCAACATCAAGCGTGCGGTATAGCTGTCAGGACTTGTAGTGGAAATGGTCTCATGTGCCCATTTGCTTTATTCGTTTCACACAGCCATCCTTTGTCTAGTTTCCGAGCTGCTGCAGCATCGCGGGAGACAGCTGGCATTTTCCACAGGGACCTTTTACATGTAGGACGAGGCAAAGGGTGTCATATTTCCCTTTCCTATACCTGACAGGCTCCATCGATGTAAACGTGGTATAAATAACTAGTTGGAAGGAGCGTCGAGGTTTGCCATCTCTTTTCTAAATATCTTTTCTACATATCTGCATTTTGTCACCATCCTCGCCTTTCTCCAACTCATACGTATTGCTATATGAGATACACCATCTCCTTCTAAATATGACTTCCCTTCTCACAGCCTTCACATACTTTCCGCTAATGCCATCCACATCCGAATTTATATACCACCTCCAGCACCGCTCACTAAATAGAAACAGCGCCGGTCATAATGAAGAGCAGGCAGAAGAGGCACCACGCCGCCTTAATGCCACATCGCAGGCCACACTTGTTGAAGAGTTTCCACTACGGGTCACAGACGCTGCGCCACGCTGGGCTGCTGCACCTCCTGGGCCTGACGATACTCGAAGCGGCATGGTAGATGGCCAAGGGTCGGGGTGCACCCTGGAACCGACCACCCGAGTCACCTTGGATATCGAACGAGGCGTGAGGAGCAGGGGGACTCGAAGACAGCGTCTCCGGCATCGTGTGCACAGAGTACGACGCAGAATGCGGCGGCTGCTTATCGATATTGCCGGGAAGGGGAATATTCACTGGGATTTCTTTGCCACTGGCGTAATATCCATGACTGGTGCAAGCACGGTACCACTGTTTTATTCGCTGTAGCACACAATATATGGCATTTATCCATCCAGGATATCATGGGCATGTGGGCGAGCCTAAATCCCGTGCAGGAGCTGCATGCGCATATCTTGCCTTCGGTTGCGCTTGGAAACTGGCCGAGGTGTCTAGCGGATTGCTGCCCTTGGCTGCCTCTGCGCCCTTCTCGGACTAGGGATAGCGTGCCACAATGCACTCAAGGGACAGCCACGGGCAAGCCACCGTGCGCGCCAGCCGATAGCTAGCTGCTGGCATGTATCAATTCTCTGGTGAAGAGATCGTTCCTCTGATCTGAAAATAAATCGAGCCAACCCCTCACGCGCTATAAAAGGCGTGCAAGCGCGGCCGTCGTTTTTTCTCTGCACTCTGGAATTTCCTCACAATTTCTTTTCTTTGCTGGATCAGGCGCCCTTCGCTGCACTCTTTTTTCAACATTCGCATCACCTCACCTCATTTTCATTCCGCGCTGCATGATAATGGACCACATTGGACAGGACCGGTCGCTCGAGACGATACTCGCCGAGCTGCAGAGCATAAAGCCACCGACCGAGTCCGTCAGCATGAACCACATTGTGCGGCTGGAGGGGCAGCTGCATGAAGCCAGGAACATGTCGATGCAGAGGGTAGAGTCGTTGAGCGAACGACTGGACGAGCTTCGCGCGGTGGTGGAAGACAAGTCCAAGTCGATCGACGTGACCGGCAAGGGGTTTGAGATACTCGTCAACCGGACAAAGGAGTTGACAGAGAGTATTGACCAGCTGACTGTGGGGCGGGATAGCCTGCATCAGACGACGGCTGAACTGCAATGGCACGTCAGCCATACCAACAGCAGCATCGAGGAGATCCGCAAGGAGATCAGCCAGGCTGCAAAGGACTGTGCAGTGCTGAGGCAGGAGGTCCAGGAAATGCGCAGTGCACAGAGACGTGCTGACGAGCAGGCGAAGCAAATAGAAGAGTTGAAGAACACGCAGGCCACCATGGCGGCGCAGATTGCCCAGATGCAGACCATATTGGCGGCGCAAGGAAGCAGCAATGCAGCTCGGGTGCCTGTGCGAGCCAGTGCGACGCCAGCTGTGGCATCTATGGGGGAGCTACGTGGGCCGGTGACGTCGAGTGTGGCGATGAGCCCTGCTGTTCAGGCGACTGTGGCTGTACCGCAGATGGCGACCTCGCAAGCTGACATGGCGCGCCAGCAAAAGAGAAAGCTGGAAGACGAAGAGCTGCAGCGTCTCCGGGATCAGCGCCACCAACAGCTCTTGCAGAAGCATCAGCATCAGCATCAGCAGCAACAGCAACAGCAACAGCCAGTGTCGGCACCAATCCAACAGCAAGTGCAACAGCAGGCACCGCCGTCGTTTGTCAGCAACATATCGTCTGAACACCTGGAAAAGATCCGTGAGTTCCGGAGGCAGCTTGAGAGCGAGAGTGTGCAGAACAACACGCGGCTTGAGGCAATGAAAACGGCCGAATTAGGTAACTTTCTAAAGGAAAAGTTGAGGGCACAGCAGGCTGCCAGCAGAAAACTGCGCACTCCTGTCTCAAGCGCTGGCACCACCCAGCAGACTCGGAATGAGGTACAATATAGCAGCCCAGCTACCGGTTCAGAAAGCAAATGCCTACCCGCCCGCCGGCCTGAGAGCCCACGCCATGCATCTAACAACTCCCCACTTTCTGAGGTAGTGAACCCGCACGCAGTCCTCTCGCCTTCTTCCTTTGCCAACATACAGCTGTCGCCAACTCCCCAGACAGCCATATCTGTTTCAACTACCTCTGCTCAGAGGCCAGCACAATCTACACAAGCAAAGCCTGCACCCCAGCTTCAGAAAAAGTCTGTATCCCCAGCAAATCCTGTGGCAGCACCAGTGCTCTCGCAGCGCCCAAAGGCAGCAAGGCCAGCCGACAACCACTCGCCCAGTCCTATCAGCAAGAGACTGCCTACTCACTCACCCAAGTCTGTCTCTAGTAGCGATTGGGACAGCAGTTCGCGGCCGCGTTCGACAGCAAGCCCCATCGAGCCTGGCGAGATCGGGCACATGTCGATCAAGGGCGCTTCGAACAAGCAGAATCCAAGAGCGGTGTTGGCAACTGGTTCATCAAAAGCTCAACCCAGCGAATCGCTGTCAATAAAGGGGCGGTCGCGCCTGGCTAAGCAGCAGCATGGGTCGTTGGATTCTGAGATAGAGTTCCCCGACACCAAGCGCGGCTTCCATAGCCCGCGCCTCACAGCGTATAGCGGCGGTGCTGGGACTGATGACAGCGGGGATGATTCCGATGATCTGATCAGTAGGCCCAAGGTGCCGTCTGGTAGTAATGCACAGGCACCCAGCCAGCTGGGCATCGTAGGCGCATCGTCAATCAGTAACCGAGCGGGAGGCAACCTTCGCGGCGACCTGGCATCTCGGCTGGGTACCAAGCATAGCCGCTGGTCTGAGAACTCGGACCAGACGCCACCGTCGGCCCACGACTCGGACGCCAGGCTGTCTGATAGCCGGTACGACTCACGTCGTCGCGAACGCAGCCCAACATCTCGTCGCAGGCGTAGCCAGTCTCCTGTAGGCCGCAGCCTGTCGTGCAGGAGCGAGCCAGCTGACTTGGAAATGAGGGACCAGATGGGCAATGAGATTACAGCCGAGCGCATATCTACGGTACTTGGGCCCTTCTTCTGCATAGGCTATAGCGCGATCGGGCCAATGTACAAGGCATTCTATGGCTGCCAGCTGCTGGCCATGGGCGTGCAGGCCAGCGATCTGCACAGCCATCTGACGCATCTCGAGGGGCTTCGGCACTTTAAGACAGCCTCTGGTCAAGGCTTTAGTCGGCACAGCATTGTGCGGTACGTAGCGCGCAGCGGAGCGGCAGCATCGCAGATGGAGCGTCGTCTCAGGCGCAATCTCCTTGATCCAGAGGCTGTGCCAGAGCCACTGCTGTACTACCACATGCTGACGCTGTGCTGTTGCCGGCTGTCCGACACCAACGGCAGCGTGGTCCAAGATGTGTTGCGGGAACTGACCAACAAGCGGCTCGACGATCTGCGCACGGTAACGGCAGATGGAATCGTTTGCATGAGAGCTGACGAGGTGTGGGCGCGCACAGCTGATTGGGCATCGATGCTGGTGCAGTTCATCCGCAGCCACAATGCACAGAGGGTGCTGGCGTGCGCCGACAGGTGCTACGAGACGTATGTGAACCAGTGTGAGAAGGCCAACGTGTCACAGGGCGGGATTCTGGATCCGCAGGGATCGGTAGCCAACAATATGCTAAAGATGAACATGGACCACAGCAAGCTGTTTCTGGGCATCAAATCGACAGACCTGAAGCAGCTCTACCGGTACCTGCACTTTATCATGTCCGCGCGTCTAACTGGCGACACAGCCAGAGATGACATAATATTCCTCGAATCCCTGGCCAAGAGCTACATCGACATTGCCTGAGGGGCGGACACAGCGCTAGCCTGAATGGCGCACAAGCACTTGGACAGGGTAGAAGGAAAAGGGGACTGTATCGTACTTTTACAGGCCAAATAAATTGAAGATATCGCAAAGCTGTTTCAGAAAAAAAAATCTATACTGCTCCTGAGTGGCTCTGGTCAACACCGGCTGTTGCCGCGGTACACATAGAATTGCCACAGTACCAGAAGCTCGAGCCAGATCGTGCCGGCAGCGCCCAGCAGCCACGCAGCATACTTTTGCAGATAGTCCAGTGTCGGGCGCTGGTATGTCAGAATAGACATGCAGTACGTGACATTTGCGAAGATGACCAGGACGAACATGGCGACCGATAGGCCCTCGCACGATTTGCTGCGGTAGTTTTCGAGTATTTGCGGGAAATATGCGCCCAAGTACACGGCGGCCGACAGATACCCGCACAGCTGGGCGATGGCCTTGCGCATATCGACATGAACCAGCCATTCCTAAATATCGAGCTGCATTAGCGTCTGGGCGTGCATAAAGTGATGATGCTGTTTCAGATAATGCGATACTTACCGAGCTGTTGGCATACGCATATGCAGCGATGACAGCAGACCCCAGCGCCAGGACCACGACCAGCGCCGTCCACTTCCACTTGTGCGATTTAGAGTGCGACTCTGCGGGCATATCCTGGCAGGTTTCCTCGTCCAGCAGCGCCTGCTGCTCGGCGTCGCTGCCTACGGGCCGGTTGCCATAGTACATGTAGAACTGAGTCAAAACCACTGTATCAGTCAGGATGTAGTACAGCGGCAGGATAATCGCAGTCGGAATCATGTTCTCGAGGCATGCGCCAAGCAGATTGAGGGCATCGCCTAGCGACCACATGAGGTAGAAGGCAAGAGAGACGCCTTCACACGACTTGCGCTTGTAGTTTAGGTGGATCTGTGGCATGAGGACAACGAACCAACACGCAATTGAGACGTATCCGAAGACGCTCGAGACTATCTGGCCGATTCCTGCGTCAAGCATTTCTGATAAGCCGGTGTATATGATAAGTGAAAAGGTAAAGAGAGAAAGAAGAGGAGGGCACTAGGCTGCGCGGCAGAGCCAAGTATCGAAAGTGACACACCTTGTGTGACTGACTAGGCCAAGCGAGAGTGGGAGCAATAGGGCGGATTCGCGTGTTCGTCTCCCCAACGGTTGGCTGGGGGAGGGGCTTTAGAGCACTCTTCCAGCGAATCCCTTCTTTGGCCCTCTCCTGCGCAGTTCCAGTCCGAGAGAAAAGGAATCCCCACTCACCGACCCGGGCACGACTCCCAGGGGGACGATCTTTTAATGGGAGGGGGAATCCTCGCCAGCAAGCCAGATAAGATCCACGACGCCTTCGGCTTGATGAGTCTCTTAGCGGCTCTGTATCACAATGCCGCACTTTGTGCATTCACGCTGCGGATGCGACCAGCAGTACAGCGGGCCGATGCAGCACGGCAGGCAGACGCAGGCAAAGGCCCAGAGCGACTTTGGGTAGCGGTTCTTCCACGCATGCGCATGGCCGTCAATGCACACGCCTGTGCCGTCAACGCGCACAAGCACTGCAGGCTGCGGCGGTGGCACGTACTGCGAGCGCCTGGCTTCTACGTCACTGCTACTGTCGGCAAGGAGCGGAGTGCTTTCGTTGCTATTTTGCATTTGTCATAAAGTGGCTAATTTCGATGGGTGTTAAAAATGGGAATGCATATACATTTGCGAGGAGCTAGAAGCAAAGAGGGGAGGGCATGCGGCCAGAGTCAAAGGACACGCAGGACTCGCGGGTCACACATGGATGGCATGCAGGTCTCTCGGGCAGGCATGATGTCTCTCCGTCACACTGACACCCTTGGTCACCTTGGCATAGCGGTTGACCTTTTCTCCAGTGTTCAATGGAGCCATTGGCTGCCGCAGGCAAGCAAGCCAGAGTGAACGCCTCTCTGCCTGCTCCCGGCTATCAGCGTATATGTGGCCATGGCCCCACATGATTCATGGACGAATAGCCTCAATAGGACACAAAGCGACGAATTGGAAGCTGTGAATGGGCGGTGGCCATTGTACGCTGGAGCTTCTCTTGCGCTTCGCAGAATACATGTGTCGGAAATAGGGGGTGGGTGCTTGTTCAACCTACTGCTCCGCCTTTTTTCCTGTTACGAATAAACACAGGGTCATGGTCGTTTCTTTGGCCTGGTCTTTCTTCTCCCCGCTTATCCACCGACTTGCCTGGCTTTCTTTTTCCTCTTTCTTCCACGACTGCCCTCACACTGCCATCTTGTGCTTCTACACTATCATCTTCTCTAGTAGCTATCATATACCTCCGGTTCCTTGCAGGCACACGGGGACAAAATATACCGGCGAACCAACAATCGGCGCACCAACTCTCCTCCCCCTGTGGTAGATCCTATTTCCATTCCCCTGCACGCGATATCCCCGGGCGGGTTCCAGAGAGAAAGGTCTTGGCAACTCCACTCTCTGTAACAAGAGATATCTGGGCACCACACCACGTATAAACCGTAAGTGGTCTTCCCTGTAGAACAACTCGCCCAGTTCTTTCTTTTTGGGAAAACGTTTTTTTTTTTTGCTGACGACTGGTCTTGACATAATTCTAGAATGACCTCGCCAGCAGGCGGTTCCCCAGCGACATCGCGCAGCAAGGGGCATCTCCGCTGGCTGCACCGGCCCAAATCGAAAGATGCAGAGACTCCTGTGACCGCCATGCATGCACAGGCGGCCAACAAGGCGAGTGGCCGCGTCGCCATGAAGCTGGCTGAGCGGGCGGTGACGATCACGCGGCGGATATCGTTCGGAAAGAGCCGAGCTCTGACCGAGGCAGCACTGGCTCTGCCGCCCACCGCCGTCCGGACCCCAGTCATCGGCAAGGCAGCCCCGGGCGAGTGCTCCCGCGAGCCATTGCCGGCCCCAGCACCAGGGGCTGCAGTACTGGCGAACCCTGTGGATGCCGAGACCAGGGCGCGCGCACACCGGCAAAGCACCGTGAGCAGCCGCCGAAGCGACAGTTCAGCCGGCATGAGCGACACCGACTCGGGCGCTGGGCAGAGCTCAAAGAGCTGGCGTCGGCTGTGGCAGATATTCCCCGACGCCCCATGCTCGCCCAGCATTGCCGACTTTGCCTGCACGCTGGACCACGCCGGCGTGCGCTGGTATGGCCGCCTGTTTGTCACCGACCAGTACCTTTACTTTGGCGGCACCTGGGCTGTCGCTGGGCCACGCCAGTTACGCGTCTGGCGAGCGGTCGCGCCCATCGACCATGTCGCGCCCATCAAGCGCTGGCAGCGCGACGTCCATCAACTCGGCGGTGGGATACTCGCGCCCCCAGACGCCATTGAGCCAGCACTACACCCAGCCGTCGTCTCAAACATATCCGGTCAACTGATTCAACCAATGTGTTCCGTACACAAGACTGATAAGCCTCTATTAACTGTCAATAGCCTGGGAGGACGCCACAATCAACAATCCGGAGACCATCACAAGTCCGACCAAAGTCCGCGCGAGCCACCGACCGTGGCACCGCTCGGCAATCCGCCTGCCGCTGAGCGACATCACACGGGTCAGTAAGGAGCTGACCATGGGGCTGTGGCCCAACGCACTCACTGTGGCCGTTGGCTGCCGCCACTACATCTTCACCAACCTGATCCGCCGCGACAAGGCGTACCAGCGCATCTTCGATGCCTGGATGAGCGTGCAGCTGTGCAGCGACGACAGCGAGACCCGCTCAACCTACATTTTCATTCCGAACCTCAACGAGAGTTCTGCTGACATGGTTACATCCCAGGTGCCCGCCCGCCGGAATGCCTCGCTGGATGTCAACCGCGGCCGCCCAAAACTGCACCGCCAGAGACCGCGCCGTGCAACTGACGTCAAGGACCCGGTGATGCTCGAGCGAATCGACAGCAAGATGGACATGGCTGTGCGTACTGTGTCGTTTTTGGAGGAGACCGAGGATATCCCCCATGCGGCCTTTGCTGGCGAGTCGCCGAAGCGCTCCAGGCAGCCCAAGGCTCCTGAGATCAGCAATCCCAGGCCTCCATCGCCGCTAGGAATTTTGTCTCCCGATGCGTCTCCACCGGTCTCTGAGCGCCGGCGCCGGCGCGTGGCATCGGACGCGACCGTTGTTGGCGATGTTTCGCAGCCCATGCGCGTGCCCAATATTGATACGTCGCCGACGATCCCTGAAGACGCCTCGTCGAGCACATCAGATATCACGCCAGTCGATGAGCCTGCCGAATCTGCCGAAAAGCTATCGACCGAGCGCTTGCGCGAGCTGCTGATCCAGCTGTTCGAGTCCGTGCCGCCGCGCGACGAGTTCTCCGACTCAGGTTGTCGGCTGGTTCATGAACCCCCGCGACAGCCAGCCTGAGGACCTACTGGTGGCACCCGACCCAATCACATCGCTCTACCTGTCCTGGGTCTTGGCTCACCCGGAGCTTGCGCCCTGGTTCATCTCTGTATTTCATTTTCATAGTCGACTCGCATACGTTCAGCGTGTTGGGAATCTCGCTGGCCGCTCAGCTACAGTGGACCCTGTGGACCGTCGCCTGCATTGCGTGGCGCATGCCGAGCTCGCTCAGCACCCAAGGCGATGTGTGTGTTGTGCGCCTTGACCGGGTCGCCTTGGCTGCTTTCTTTGTCAGCCTAGTGCTATACCCGGTTGCATTTGTCCTGGATGCCGTGTGGTGCAAGGTGTCGCCGCAGCTGGCTGTATCGTTGCGAATTCCTGCGATTGCTGCAGCCATTGCCACTGCCATATGGATGGCTCTGCGGAGATGGTCAGCGAGTGCCAGTGCTTCCAACCTGTCTTAAAAATGGCACCATTCTGTATTCTTCTTACTGCCAAATGTCTCACATGTATATTTTTAGCACATTCTTCACATCCGGTAGTCTAAACACAACTTAATTATCCAGCATACTACCATCATGAACTGAGCCAAACACAACCTTTTGGCTGTTGCACGCCATCCATGACCAGCATCAATGCCAATAGCATAACCAATGGCCAGCATCTCGGGACAGGCGTATAAGGATGGCACCCAAATCTTGCTGCAGACAATAGCGATAATGCCTCGGACCTTTGAGGAAATGGCAGTATCTTCCCATGACGTGATGTCACGATTACACACAAGTCAAAGACACCCTTGTCATATTGGGTGTATGTGCTGCCACCTCGGACCCTGTACTCACTGTCTTTTCTCTCCTTTCTCTGAGCAAGAACCCCATTTCAACTCCACCCGAAATTCCCCGGAACGCAGCTGAACCCTTGTGATATTTCCAGTCACACATAGCACCGTTGGAGAGAGCAAATGCCAGCGCTGCCTTGACACATCCGACATGCAAACGCCGCACTGTCCACTTCGTGGCAATCCATGCACAGCGGCCATTGTTCCCGAAAAATGTTGCATCATGTGCCAGAGATGTGTCCCCTTCGGACATTGGATTCGCCGAGCATCCAGGACACATAGAGGCAGGGATGAAAGGCGGGCACTTTCTGGGTTGCACATGCTACACATGGTGATACCCAGTTGGCGGCAGGAAACTGTGGTTTATTATTCTCAAAACAGGGCAAATGCGAAGGAAAGAGGAAGAAAAGGAAAGGCAGAGTGCCGAGCTGCGAACGAGCGGCACCTGGATCACATGGCACACAGACGCACCATCGCTATACCCGGAAGGCGTCTTTCCTGGCTCAGTGCCGAGGTGGGGGTGCAGACCGCAACAATGACTAAACACGGAATCTTCCGACCCTTCCCTTGTGTTGAGTGATGCGAGAATATTTTCCGATGTCTCTCCTTCGCCAAATCCCTGTCAGCACAACCCAGCTCTGCTGTGTGGGCACAGGCTTCAAGGTGGCTGGTTCCTCAGAAATGTTTTTTGGGGAAGGCAGCGAGCTGAATGAGGCTTTTTATGGATGGCTGCATGGGGTGAGGGCCAGTGTCCAAGGAGGGAGAGGAAGGATGCGTATATATACACCAGTAATACAAGCAGACTTAGAAAAGTACAAGGAATGGAGGCTGTGTTAAGAAGATAGCCATCAAGGCGAAGTGCAAAGGCAAATCCGAAGATGTGCCTTTCATGGGAAATTCTCCGTAACGGAAGGAGGTGTGGGTTCGACCAGATCCAAAGTGATTGCGCTTTTGTTGCCTTGCTGTCCGGTTACCGCACCCTCACCGGCCCAGGCAATGGATGGGAGCTGTGGAGCGACCGAAAAAATAGGGCTGTGGTGGAGAAGAGGCAGGAGAAATAAATAAAAATGGAGGTGGACATGACCGGTGCGATAGGTAGGAAGCCAGCTGCCGGCTAGAGGTGGGGCAGGCGATATACTTCCCTCCCCGAATACACAGGCAAGACCCAGCGCTATTGCGGAGTCGCGTGGGCTCCAAGGGCGCGCGGAGGGAGTGTGCCGAGCTGGAAACAGCCCCCATTTTGGGCAGAGGTGTCCTTTTTGCGCGGGCCTTAGTGAAGCACCCGCTCCTCGAGGCAGCCGACGTACTTGACAATGCTGTACTGGTCGACCACCAGCACCAGCGTCTCGCTCGGCAGCAACAGGCCCTGGGGCCACAGCATCCCCGGCCGCACTACCCGGGCGGGTTCGGGCAAGTCCTGACACATATACGACGTCGTGGCAGTCGAGCCCCCCAGGCAAATCCTCGCCTGCGACATCGATCCACCAGCACCCGGTTGATGTAGCGCATCGCCATGACATGGTTCTTGTTGTACGGCTCAAATGGCATGCCAACAGGCATGGGCATGTCGTTCATAAGCATAGGCTAAGGAAGAAAAGTATCAGAGTATATTACTGTCTGGTTTGGAGGTGATAGAAAAAGAACAGGAGGAGGGAAAAGAAGAGGCGGGCAGAGGAAAATGGGAGGGCCACGCAGCGTACTTTATATAGCCGCAAAGCAGCTAGCGTTGAGGGTGCCCACCATTCCAGAAAAATTCGTGAAGGCGTATTGTGAAAATCAAACATGGCGCAGTAGCTGGCCAGGTAGCAAGCGGCGATGGGCACTGCATCTCCTGGCCGTAAGCGGCACGCAAGCAAAAAAAAAAACAAGTAGGTGGAAAAATAGAAGCACCGCTGGTAGATGTTGTAAGCGTGTGACACTGCACATGCATGTGGTGTTGTGCAGTGATGGCAAAGGTTCACTTGCTGGCAGGGGAAGATCTTCGTTTGCGAACTTCCGAAATGGCAAACAGAGGGAGAACGTGAGCAAGCCTGCCGGTGATCTTTGCGCGATGTGGTGGGTCTGTGGGTCTTTCATTTCGGCCAGCCTGCACTGGCTGCCCAGGGAGACCTGAGGGCTGGTTCTTTGGTCGGGCAGAGAATATGCTATGTGGCCGGATGTTCCTTAGAGACAGGCTGCTGCTGGCCGTGTGACGTGATGTAAATGCCAAGACGACAATAAAGGCAGGCGTGCATTTCTGAAATCCGCCCAGTGGCGACTCTTGGCCTGGTTTTCCTGTCCCCTTTTTTGCATTTTCTACTCATAGCTTTGCTGCTCCCTGCTTTTATTCCAGCTCATAGTTTTCCGAATTCCATTACGCAAAATGTCGGGCGTCATAGGCAAGTTGCAGAGCCTAGTCAGCATCGTAGTGACCCCGTCGACACAGCGCTCCATATCTGCACCGCAGGACTACTCGCAGTCACCGCGGGTAACAGACACGCCGACGCTGACACCCGGCGAGTGCTGCTTAGAGCTGGAAAAGCCTACGGGTCGGCCGCGGCGACAAACAGATGTCACTGTGGACTCCATATCGACCGTGGTCAGCGTGGATGCGCCGGCAACACTGACAGCAAGTAGGCAGGATGTCGAGAAGCTGCTACCGCATAGAATGCCCGACCTGGAGCGCATATCAAGGCTACACCCAGTGCGCAAGTTTCTTCAGGTAAGCAGACGCAACTGGGTTTGCGTGGGTGGAGGAGGGAGGGGTACAAAAGTCAGGGCCCAGGTTCACTAGTTTCTCCTTGGCTATCCGGTCAAACTTTGCTTGCATAACTATTGGGAAATTGCCCGGCTTGCCCGCCTACTAGCATGCTAGCGGAGGCGTGCCGCCGCATTCTTTGGCATTATGAAAGCCATTGTCTGGCGTAGGCAGCAAAAGAGAACTGCTCCCGACGACATAGGTGCTCTTACTGCCCAAACCAGACTTTTGCTAATCGATGCAATTGCCCTGTAGCAAGACTCGTGGGACTGCGGACTCGCCTGTGTGTGTATGATCCTGCGGGCATTCGGCTACACAACATGCTCGATCCCGCAGCTGATCCGGCAAGCAAAGACGGACTCGATCTGGACGATCGACCTGGTATTTCTCCTGAACCACTACCTGCAAGCCGACTTCACATACTACACAAAATACGCCGGCATTAACCCTGAGCACACCACCCAGGCGTTCTACAAGGACGAGCTGGATGCCGACGAGGCCCGTGTGCAGCGGCTGTTCACGACCGCGCGCTGGGAGGGAATTGGCGTGCTCGAGATCGCCATCCCCCTGCTGGACCTCAAGCGGTTTCTGGTCCACCGCCAGTACGTAGGCATTTTGCTGGTGGACAGCACAGTGCTGAAGTGCGTGGCATGTGAACGCGCCCGGACCACGCGCGGCGGCCATGTGCGCAGCAAATCCATGAACATGTTCCGGCCCAAGGAGCCCGAAGCAGCGCACATGGGCTCCGGCCTGCTTGGGTGGTTCTCGCGCCGCCGCCCGCTCAAGGACCGCGACGGGTATCTGGGCCACTACATTCTGCTGATTGCGTATATTCCGTCCCTGGACATGTTCCTGTACCGCGATCCGGGCATCCCCGAGGAGTTCTGTGTGGCCAGCGCCCAGACCATCGACAGTGCGCGCAGCCGTCCGGGCACCGACATGGATTGTATTATTCTCAAACTCAAGTAAATCTTTATACATTTGGCTCATAAATGGTCAGGACATCGCTGTCCCGCCACCCGTGCTTTGTCCGCAAATCCAGGGACTTGGCCGCGTGCTCTGCTGACATTTCCTCTCCGCACGCCGTCGAGGCAACCGACGCTCTGTGCACCGATCCCTCGCACACCAGGCGCTGGAACCGCGGGTCGTCTTGCCGCTCCGTCTCGCTGTCCAATTCCGCCAATGTTTCTAGTACCGCAACCGCAGGCTCTGTGCACACGCGGCGCTTGGGCGATTTCGCGTGCTTCGGATACTTCTTTGGCGTCGCAAAAAACTCTTTCCCGTACTCCATCAGGAGCGGCGTCGACTCGCTCACCATGGTCTTGCACCGCCGGTGGGCACTGGCGGTGCGTGGCCGGCTGACACTATTTGCGCGATCTAGCGGCGGTGTGCGCTGGCGCCTAAATATAGACAGAGATTAGTGATTGTATACGCCCTATATGTGCTGCCAAGTATATCTTGTTGAGGCTTGTCCGTCCTTACCGCGCCAGGAGCACTGCGCCACCAACCACGCCTGAGAGACAAACTCCACCGACCGCAAACGCAGCAATCATGGCCCAGTCCAAGGCTGCTGGCAGTGGTGGGAGCAGGCGATGGAACAGACTGTATATCAGGCTCGATATATCCAGCGAAGAGATAGGGCTGGCATCTAGTAAAGTGTAGACCATGTGAAAAGCGCAGCGATGTGGAAAGGTGTAAAAGGTAGATGTGGCAAAGTTGTTGAAAGCAAGAAAGAAAAGGGGAAGGAGAAAAAAGCAGTCTTATCGGACCGTACCTGAGGGCAGGCGAGAAATGCCGGTGCGGTGACTTGAAGGAACCTGCCAACCACGCGCGTGCTTTCCTTCCTGCTCGACGTCCATTGTCAAGCGCTTGGTTGTTTGCCAGGCTGGGCGATAGTAGCGGGTGGAGGAGCCGTTATTGCCGAACCAAATATAACTGCTTTTTCGCCAGTCTTTTGTACGTTATCCTTTCTGCACTCTGGATATAGGGGACAAATTGTCAGCATCAGCTTTAATTTTTGAGTAGCTGGGATCTGGTTTCTGCTGGAAATTGCTTCTGCGTGTCGGTTTAATAGCCGTCCGTTTTGTCTAGATGGCTTCTTTCAGCACCCCTCCCCCCAACAGATCCGAGCGGCATACATTGAAAAAGGGGGGCGAGGGACAGGGGATTACCATGGCTAGCACCCGCCACTGGGACTGCGCAAAACCGAAGCAGAAATCCAAACAAACACGAGCCAGCATATGCGGACACATATTGTGCGCAAATCTCCTGCCGCTGGAATTTCCCCTCAGCCTTTCAGCGGATCAAGAGATAACGAATGCCGTGTGGCATATAAAAGTTTGCAATATCAATTAGGATGAGCATGTACAGCAAAAAAAAAGTCACCTGTTGAAGAACCCATTGAGCATGTCATCAAGGTCGAGCTTCTTTGCTCTTCCCAGCTGTCTTGAGAGCAGGATCGGCAGTATTTCCAGCAAGCCACGGATATCGGCTACGTCTAGGCCTTCAACCAAGTCCAAGGTCGCCTCTGCTGATGTTGACCCAACATCCCAGGCCTGCACCTTGCCCACCAGCCACTGGGGGCCATGCATGATAACTTTGTCAGCTAGTAGAACCAGCCAGTCGATGGTGCTTGTCCACATGTCCTGGAACACTGATATCTGTGCATCCATGCCGCCTGAACCGCCGTTGGGGCGAATACGCTGAGGAAAGTCTTTGAGTATACTAGTCCACAGACGGAATATAGTGGTGGAGCTGTTATACTCGACTGGCCACAGGACGGTGGTGGCCAGGTAAAAGTAGAGCTGTTTCTCTGTGCCCTGTGATGCAACGATTCTATTGTAGGCCTTATTGCTCATCAGTGGGCACTTTTTGTGGAGCAAAAGCGTGGTCGGGTGGTTGCCAATTTCAACCTGCGTTGCGGTTAGCTCGCCAAACTCTTGCACAGCCGATTTGATGTGCCTCTGGTTGGAATCGCTCCACAGCGATGCCTTATACACGCGTTGGAACAGCGACGACAGATCGTTGAGCGGCACCCATGCACACACAGACCACACAGGCACAAGACGGCTGTATGTCAAGGGGATACCTGCTCCATCCTGGATATTAACCATCGCTTTCATCTGCCGCTTCTCAGGCGACATCAGCGCCATCATTATGTTGTCATCGTCGTCATCTTCTTCCTCATCATTGGCCATGCCCAGTGGCCATGGCCGTGTCGATCTTGAACCCCGTATCGACTCCCACCTCAAATCCGTGGCTAGCCTGCAGCTGTGAACTCGGCCGCCTCACTAGGCCAAGATCACTATTTTGCGCAATAGCACCGTTTTGGTCGGGTGAGGGGGATATGGCAGACATGTCGGTACTGAGTTTCCATGCAACAACCTTTGAGTTGGATGTCGGCGACTTGCTATCGTCCACCGCCCAGCCTACAGTGCTAGTCGCAGGGTTGGGGTCATATTTGGGAGAGTACATGCTGACTCGCCAGCCACGATCGTTGACGACCTCCTCTTGCCTTGGGGTTCGGCTCTTTGCCGACGACCTCGCTCGACTTGTGTGGCCATTCCGGTCGGTACTTTCATGGCGACTAGGCCCTCTTGACTTACTACGACTGCAGTTGGAGCTGTGACGGGTACGGGTTGGTGACCGGGGTTGCCAAGATTCACCCTCACGGCTCCGGCTGGACCTGCGTGGGCGACCCACCCCCCGCTCTCTTTGTACGGGACTACGGCTGCGGCAGCCATAGCGTGGCGGGTATCCTCTATCTTGACTGCTCCCACTGCGCCTTCTGCCAATGCTACGACTACGAGATCTGAGCGATCTATGAGAATGACTTGTGTCCTGGGACTTTGGACGCGACCTAGATCTCGAGGACCTCCTGTTTGTAGCTGGGTGAGGATCTGGACGAGCAGCCTTGTGGATTGTACGATGGCGTGGCTCTTCTTGGCGCTGCCTCCTATCTTTGGCATGGATAGAGCCGTTCGTTGTACCAGAGTCCTTGGTGGCACTGCGGCTTGTGCTCGAGGCATTATGTGGGGCCACATTGCGGCACTGCATGTGCTTGGTGCCCAATTCGCTGCCTTCGTCCTCGTCCTCTGATACTGGCAGAACAGCTAGGTCGAGTGATATCAGCTTGGAAGCCTCCACTGGCAGTGGCTGGGAAGGGGCTTGTTGCCCTGATACTGTTGTGATGGTACGAGTTTAGGCATCGGCTGGTTAAGGGCACGGCTTTCAGTAGCAGAAAGCTCGGGGCTGGTTTGTAGGTGGTCAGTAGTTTGAAGCTTAAAGGTGGTGGTAGGCCCAAGCTCCGGCGACAGCGAGTACTCATCCACTGGAGTGCTAGGCAGCATTGATGTTAGACTTGATGTCTGCTGCTGCTGCATCACATGGCTTATGAAAGGTGTCGTTGGATGTGGATGTGGATGTGTAATCAAGGCATCATCGCTGTCACTGTCAGTGAGAGACTCATCGGCACCCAGCGCACTTGCCGACTGCTGTAGCACAGAGACCAGGGCAGCAGTGCGCGCATACAGCTTGCGCGAGAGACGAATGTTGTTGTGCTCAAGGCGGTTGACGCGGGCAGTCAGTTTCCGCAGTTGCAGGGATATGTCGGCGAACCTAGCGTCATCGTCCATCGTGGCGAGATAATAGAGAAGAAAAGTGGAGTACAAAGATGGGAGAGACAGATCGCGGCTAGTGGGGGGCAGGTGGTTTAAATAGCGGCTGATGCTGGTGTCTCAGAAGCTCTGCCGGGTGGTAAAACTCGACCACTGTTCCTCTCGGAGCCCTCACGTGAACTATAAGTGTGTCAAGCCTAAAATTTTTCCCAAGACTAAAAAGCTCGCCACTCAAAGCCGTTGTTGATCCTTCTCTTTTTAGCTCCCTTTTTTCGCATTGTTGTCCGTTTAGCAGAACATAAAGCAGAATGGTGTCAGGCGAACCTGAAAAGAAGCGCGTAGCCCAGCCTGCCGACGGTGATCATGGATTTGTCGAGACGAAGAAGGCGCGGCACGAAACGGCAGAGTTTGACGCGCGGGCCTGCTTCCGGCCTGGGCTGTTCGACACAGTGGACGAGCTAACGCAGCAGTTCAGCTCATCGCAGCCGTACCGGCACGCGTTCATCGAAAAGTTCTGCGACGAGGAGCTGCTGCGCGGTGTGCGCTCGGAGATGCTGACGCGTCTGCACTTTACGCTGAAGGAAACGGACATTCTAAAGTACCACCAGTCGGGGGATCTGGCGAATCTGGATGGGCTCCCGGAGGAGGAGAAGCGGCAGCTGCCACACCTGCAGAAGCTGCGGGACGCGATCTACTCGCAGGAGTTCCGGGACTTTGTGTCGACAGTAACCGGATGTGGGCCGCTGTCGGGATCGCGCACAGACATGAGCACGAATCGGTACAAGCAGGGCGACCATCTGCTGCTGCACGACGACGTGATCGGCGACCGGCGCGTCTCGTACATCATCTATCTGCCCGATCCGGAGATCAACGATGGGGCAAGCTGGCACGCCGCGGACGGTGGGCACCTGGAGCTGTATCCGCGCGAATCGGATGCATCGTGGGCGCCAGCAGTCAACCCGACGAAGCGCATAGCGCCGCAGTGGAACCAGATTGTGTTTTTCACGGTGTTGCCCGGGCAGAGCCACCACTCGGTAGAGGAGGTGGCAGGACTGGGCAAGGAGCGGCTCAGCATCCAGGGCTGGTTCCATTTCCCGCAGCCCGGCGAGCCCGGATATGCGACCAACCAGATGCAGAAGCTGTGGGCGCACGGCGAAGTGTCAACGCTCAGCCAGATCGAAGCCAAGGCGCAGCGCTCGGCCGTGCAGTCCGGCGATGCCTTTGCTCCCTACAGCTCACCAGTCGATGATATCACGGAGCTCTCTGACAGCGACCGCACGGTGCTGCAGAAGTACATGAATGCAGACTACCTGGGCAATGAGATCATGGCGCAGGTGGCCAACAAATTCGCTGACGACTCCAGCATCCAGTTGGCCCATTTCCTCAACTCTGCCATAGCCAGTCCTCTGGCCGAGCTGCTGGCACGCATCGACGAGCACGACGGCATGATGGGCTCGCATATTCCGCCGCACGGCACCGGCGAGCGCAACCAGTGGCATGCTGTCGGATCGCCGGTGGTGCGCCGGTACATGCGCCTGAATGCTCCGGCCACGGCCAACACGCCCGAATCCACCGGGCCCACCGATGACGGGGCGGTCACTGACACTGAAGACGAAGCGTCGCGGCTGCTGGCGGCAGTGCAGGAGGAGCTGTTTGATTCGGGAGCGTTTGCGCGCTGGCTCAACCGCATTACGACGCTAGCGCTTACGGCACGTCGCGGCATGGTGCGCCGGTTCCGTTCGGGGCTCGACTACACGCTGGGCACCCCCGACGGCTCCACCGGCGTCATGCTCGACGCGACCCTGGCCCTGGCTGCCAGCCAGGAAAAGTGGGCTGATGGCGTCATTGGCGGCTACCAGTGCTACGTTGACGGCGGCGATGGCGACGAGGCCTCGAATGACGGCAGCGTGTATCGCCACACCGAGGAGGACGGCATTCTGCTCACGACGCCGGCTGCCTGGAACACCCTCAATCTGGTCATGCGCGAGCCCAGCGTCGTCAAGTTCATCAAATACGTCAGTGCTGCTTCGCCCGGGTCGCGGTGGGACGTGGCATTCGAGTACAAGGTGCAGGACGATGACGACGACGACGAGTAGTCTGACGGTATATTTGAAACAAATGTCATAAAACGTACATGAATGCTCAAAAGTTCTCCTTGTGGAACACAAACTTTGTCTGGATCGACCGCAACTTCTTGGACCACCGGTTCGTGGTCTTGCGCAGCGACCGGCCCATGGGCTTGGGCCCGCAGAAGAACACGCCGATGTCGGTGTTCGGGTTGCGCTTGCCCACGTCACTGAATATGTTGTCAAAGTTCGGCCGCCCAAAGTACGTTGGGCTCTGCACGAACCCTGTGATCGGATCTGCTGCCTCCGAGTCATGGTACAGCGCAATGTTGTTGATCTTGTCCACCGGCATCTGCCCTGTCAGGTACGTGCGGATTTCCAGCGTGTCGCCAATATCCTCCTCGTCCAGCGCTGCCAGCAGATCCTGGAACCACTCCAGCGACTGGACATCGCGGCATACCCACAGGAAGTACACCTTGCGCACACGCCGCATACACGGCGGCGACAGTAGCTGGTAGTACATGCTCTTGAGCACCGACGCCATCGGCGTCACGCCAATTCCGCCGCCGATGAGCACCACGCACTCGTAGTCAAACACCTGCTGCGTCGGCGCTCCATACGGCCCGTCCACCAGAATCCGCGGCAGGCTGACCAGCGGTGCACTCTGCACCACCGGGTTTGGCGCCACAGTCCCTGACAGCCGGAAGTCCATCTCGGGTGGCAGCCGGTCCAACAGCACCTGGCTCTGCCGCCCCACGCGCGACCACGGCCGCGACTCGCCCGACCCGCGGTGATGGTTCAGCGGGTGGTACATCGTCTGCACCCCAGGTTTCGGCAGTCCCGACGCCGGGTCGATCTCGCCTTTCATCATCAACATCAGTCGCTCCTGGTCCGCCAGCGCACTCAGCGTGTTCAGGTTCCCTGGGTCCGTCGGCACATTGCGCGCCCGCTCCAGCCGCTCAGTGACGCCTGTCGACGCAACAGATGGTGCTGCTGTCCCCGGCCGCGTCCCCATGCCAAACAGCGACCCACTGTCGTTTGCGTCACTCACCGCACACGCCCGCAGTGCCGCCACCAGCTGCCGCGTCCAATCGCCGCTGACCCAGATGTGCAGCGTCAACTCGTCCTCCTCCGGCGCGCTCGTCAGCGTGAACGGGTGCCACTGTAGGAGTGAGATCGACGGCACGTTCAGATACACATACTGCCCGACCTGTGCGTTGATACCGCGTTTCTCAATCCGCAGCTCAATCACGTTCGACGGATGCTGAATCACACTCAGAATCCGCGGGTACCGGAACCGCGACCGCATGAACCGGTACAGCCGGTCCAGCACATAGATCGACCCTGGTGCCACAAAGTACCACTGGAATGACGCTGCACTGCCGTGCAGAAACAGTAGCGGCACAATCGCCAGAAACAGATGGTGCGTGTAATAGAACACCTCGTGGTACCGCCGCCGCACTGCCGGCACCGATGACACGTAAATGAAAAAGAACGCAAACCACAGCAGGTGCCCCGTGACCCCCAGCCGGTTACCAAACAGCTTGCTGGCTAACGTCACCTTGCCACCTGATTTTTTGACTGTCTTGTTGAACTTGTAGTAGAAAGTGGCCACATGCGCGATGCCCCACACTGCAACTGAATACGACGCAATCTTGTGCGCATGTATGTTCTTCTCTATCGATACATACCGCGAAATAAACGTCCGCCGCAGGAGCTCCAGCAGCGTCGGCGACATGAATATGAATATCATCGCAAAACTGAACATCAAGCAGCACATTGTGCCGTCAGTGAATCCGTTCAGGTGCCCTTGCTCCTTGCTAACCTTCGCCCACCGGCACCCCATGATGATGGCCTGCAGCAGTAGCCACAGTGTTATAAAGAAAACCCGTCGCAGCGTGATGTCCGGCATCATCGCTGTATGGCGGAACCGCCGCCGACTCTGTCTGAAATCCATTGACGGCGCAACGGCTTGGCTGTCAAACGCATGGTTGCTGGTCAGGATGTCGGCGCGCGATATGCGCTTGCCGCTCATAAACTTGGTGTCGCTCATCTGAATAGAGTGGGAGAAAGGTGCTTGGTCCAACAGTATCTGTGCCAGCCAGATCCGTACGGGCGATGAGAAATAATAATGAACGTGAAAAGCGTGGAGATAGATATGCGTGAAATGGAAGAGAGAATGAAAAAGGGTGCTAGCAAAGCCAAAGAACGACACTCGACGAACTGGCCAGAGCTTATAAGCGACGGTCTGTCGTGAGAATCGTCGCCGAGTCAGGCGGTATCCCCCAAAGCCAAGCACGAGAATGAATATGGCGCGACCGCTTAAAGGTTGCTTTTTTTTTAACCACATTGTCCATCTCTCACATCACCACACGGAGCGCGCGTGGTTGGCCGAACTGCACCTCCAATTCAAGTCTCACATCTTGGCTGTGCAATGCTGCTTCTGCAGGTTGAGTGTGTGCGAATCACTTTCCCGCTGCCAGCCAAATAAACCGAATGTTTGTAGCCTTTCAGAAACCATACTGACAATAGTCACCACAGTGGCTTGAGCGCAGAATGAACAGCAGGCAGTGTGTTTTGGACTACCCAGACTACATTTTCCAGCATGACATCATTTCTAGCGATCGACATCACATTCCATTCGCCGCCTGCCAAAAATAGATGCCAAAACCTTTTTCTCTTTCTGTCCCAAGGAGTCGCTGGAGTTCATTGTTTCTGGCACCCGACCGTATATTTCGATATTGAGCTGAGTCGCCGGATCGGCCGGGAGGATACTGGTGAACAGCGCCAGAATTGGCTTTATTTTTGTTGCTGGTCACCATCATGCCTGGCTTTTGGAACATTCTGCTGCACCAACTAATATTTTAGGAGAGCGAGGTAGGCCTGTTTATCGTGAGCCATGCAGCTCCATGCCGGGACTCGGTGCCAAACATGCACCGCGTAGTTGAGCTGCAATAAGAATATGCCAGGTTTATATAATCATTTGGTTTATACTGCGCGTAGAATGGCATTTGGTGAGGTGTCAGGAAACCTAGTGCTACGCTTGACTGCTCATCTTCCTTCATACGCGAGTATCTCTCCTATTTTAATGTCTGTAGGTTGACTGGTGTGCGGATGCTGTCTACGAACTGTAGACCCTCTGATGCTAACAACCCTGATAGCATTACTCCATTTATTATAGCCCAGACCAGATTTAACTACGACACTACGTGATCCGCGTCTACACCTTGCCTGTTAGGGAAATCCTATCACCCGCAAGCACCTGCTTGTAAGTTTTTCTGCCGATGCCTTAGACACTAATCTCCTTGACCTCCAAGACATTCCTAAACAACTTTAGTTCTGTTGATTCTTCTCCTGATATCCGGTCTGGGTGACAATAAAATACCGCAATAGATGGCACAGGGCTACAGAAAATACACCATAGATTTTCCGGCATTTCTTCAACCTGTCTTTACTCTTTTGTTTGAAGTACATTTCTTTTAGACCAGCTGGTGTCTGTCCAACTATCTTGGCACTGTGACTACAGTGTGTGCAAAGTGTGTTTAGTGCAACTGCCTGGGTTGCTGCTGTATGCAGCCACCAAATTAAGGAGGCTACACGATTCTTGCTTTGCTGGTGTACTGTATGGCGGCTGCGGCGGCCTTAATTTGGAGACCCCATACATCAATGATTCAGGGCGTTGCAACAGGCACCATGACACAACCTCAGCAGCCTTCCGGTTTGCACTAACTCTACCCTGCTTGTTACAGGCGTGCTTTGTATTTTGCTGAAAAAGCTTCAGCGTTAAATATGCTCTCTGTTTTTGCATATCCATAGTTGTTCTCAGTTACAGGACCTCTCCCCTGCCACTCATTACCATCAATTGGTAAACCAGTCCTTAGGGAGCAGTGGTCCCTTCTGGATTCTTTTCCATCCATGCGTATTCCTGATTCCAATAACACATATCGTAACCTCTGCTGACTATCTTTGTAAACAGTACTGTTGACACTCTTGTTGTGTCTCTGGCCTCTCGTACATTTGCAGTGTAACTTGATGCTCTTTGTCTGGTGACTGGCATGAAGTTGCATCAGTAGCCTAGATGTAGCGCGCACAAGGTTATCACTTCAGTCCTCGCTCGGTTCTCTTCGGTCTTGCTCTGCACAAACGCGCATGCTCCTATATTTCATTTTCTTTGATCACCGCTTCAAGCCAATTGCGCTTGGTCTCATCGGATATCTTCCTTTTACCTTGTCCCCCAAAAATATTTTTAACTAATTCGTCACTAGCTAATGCTCACAGCAGCTGGATGCACAAAACCAGCGATCGGGACGATCTATGGGTACCATTCGTCGCCCATTGGTTGCAGCGGATGCAGCCAGACATGCATTTTCACACACCTCCTGCGCATTTCCACCGATAAAAGGACAAGTAGACGGACAATAAACTGAGGGAAGAGTCTCCGTGCGGCTGCACTGCGAGTATAAATTACGTCCGCCACCAATACAGCGGCATGGTCTGCTTCTTAATCCCACTTTCACCTCTTCAACTTTTCTCATTAGCTTAAAAATGGTTGCGTACAACAACAGCGCAAACTCGTTCACAGCGCTCGTCGATAGCCAGTCCATTCTGACCCTGTCCGAGTTCACACTCGAGTCTGGTATTACACTGCACGACGTGCCCGTCGCCTACAAGACATGGGGTCAGCTCAATGCTGCCGCAAACAACTGCATGGTGATCTGCCACGCACTGACCGGCTCTGCTGATGTCTCCGACTGGTGGGGGCCCCTGCTGGGTGCTGGCCGCGCATTTGACACCAGCAAGTTCTTTGTCATCTGCTGTAATGTCCTGGGCAGCCCGTACGGCACCGCATCGCCACTGACAAAGAACCCAGAGACCAGCAAGGCGTACGGCCCAGACTTTCCGCTGACCAGCATCCGCGACGACGTCAAGCTGCACCGGACCGTGCTTGATCTGCTGGGCGTCAAGCAGGTTGCTATCTGCATTGGCGGGTCGCTTGGCGGCATGCAGTGCTTGGAGTGGGCCATGTTCGGCCCAGAATACGTGCGGGTTATCGTGCCCATTGCCACCTGTGGAAAGCACTCGGCGTGGGGCATCAGCTGGGGCGAGGCCCAGCGTCAGGCCATCTACAGCGACCCAAACTACTGTAAGTACAGATGGAATTGCACCATCCCTGGCGCAGATTGCGTGCTTGCCCGATGCAAGGAGCGGCCGTGCATAATCTCGAGGTGATATTGTGATCTAATTTGTCGGTTTTATTTATAGGCGATGGCAATTACACTGCAGACAAAAAGCCCGATCATGGCTTGTCGGCGGCTCGCATGTCCGCATTGCTCACATACCGGTCGCGCGACTCGTTCGAGTCTCGCTTTGGCCGCAAGATGATGACCACAGGCAACGTCAAAGTGTACAAGAGTGTCAACCTGGTCGATCCGGCCACTGATACCAGCTCAGAGTCTAGCAGCAGCGACAGTGAGCCGGCACGGCTCACCACAGGTGCCGATTCCCCGCGCAGCGCCATGGACGACCGGTCGTCATCCAGCATCTTCTCTGCGCAGAGCTACCTGCGGTACCAGGGCGACAAGTTCACCAAGCGGTTCGACGCCAACTGCTACATTGCCATTACTCGCAAGATGGATATGCACGATCTGGGCCACTGCCGCGGCAGCTATATCGGCGCTTTGAAGACGTTGAAGCAGCCGGCTCTGGTGGTCGGTATCGAGTCCGACGGCCTGTTTACGATCAATGAGCAGTACGAGCTGGCTGAGCACATCCCCAAGGCGCAGATGGCCACCATCGACTCGCCCGACGGCCACGATGGGTTCTTGCTAGAGTTCTCACAGCTGAACCGCCTGATCCGGTCGTTCGTGCGTGACCAGCTGCCAGAATTTGCCTCCGAGGACGCCGATGTCAATGCGCCGTCCGAATTCGTTATCAACAAGTCTAGCGTGTTTGGCGAAGCCGAGGTAGACGTGATGAAGTGGTAGAATGGTCTTTTCAAATACATTACATTTTTCTGTAGCATCCAGCAACCGTGCTTCTGTACAGTAGGTACTGGTTGGAATACTCCCGCTGTCCAGTTTTCTGGAATGGAGCCAAACAGTAGGGGGACAGACCCGCCATCACTGCTGTTTTGTCGTGGTGCACCAGTGGCGGCAGCGTCTTGCCTGATATAGTGTGTGGTCTGACTGTAGCCCAGCGGGGTATACTGGAACCTACACTAGCGCCCAGTTGACTCCTTCATGTGCTCTGCCAGGGCTGGTACCGGTTTCTGCAGAAATGAATGGGAGCTGGACAGGAGGAGCACAGTGCTGCTTCTACAGCCCAACCATTTGCCCCCAGCAGGTGCATGAATCGGTCGTCTCACCACTCGATGCAGCGGTTGTTTACGGGCGATCTTTGCGCTTTAAGCGACAACAGGTGAAATGTGGTGTCCAACAGGGGCATCTCTCCTCGATTTGTCACCATTTGGCGGAGCACAGTAGCGGGGGTTGGCTGGGAAATCCGAAACCTAACATTCTGCCAGCAGGAGCAAAGGTTCCTCAACCGGTCCATTTCCACAGCCGTGGGCTTCCTTTTCCTTTCTGCGTGTTATCAGCAGGCTAAAAAAACATTTAATAGTCGCTTTTGCACTTTCCTTTTGTTCTTGTCCAGGATTTTTTGTTGACTCCACACGACCCCATCTTCCTTATTTCCCCGTTCATATTATCCTTTTTCCCACCTATCCTATTTTGTTCTTTTATAACCGCAAAGAAATTCAGAATGCAAAACGGCAATCAGTACACAGACTATCCGGCGCCGGCAGGAGGCGGCACGCAGCTCCCGCCAATAAGCACTAGTCTCGGCCGCCCGCCGCCGCCCCGCATGGTGGCACCGCCGCCCACAGTGAAGCAGCAGCACCCGTACAGCTTCGGGTTTCACACCAGTTCAGTGACTGAAAACGCACAGACGCAGCCAGAGCTGTATACAGAGGTGCCCAGATTCTACCCGGGTCCCAGCGCCCTGCACCACCTGCACCAGCGGCAGCGGCAGCAGCAGCAGCTCCACCAGCCCCCGGTAAAGCTGCTGCAATCGTGCGACAGCTGCCGACGGCGCAAAATCAGGTGCTCGGGCGAGAAAGCCAATGTGCTCGTCGTGTATCCGGTACCAGGAGGTGTGCCATTACAGCCCGCTGGCCACGCCCAGGAGAAGGGCGGGCAAGAAGATCAAAACCACCAGCTCGGCCACACCAATAGAGAGCCCCCGGATCCATCCACCGCCATCGCGGCTGCAGCAACACAAGCACGGAGAATGCGAGCAGAAGCGTCGAGCCCTCGGAGGCGCCGTCGGGCAGTGGGGCTGCGACCGAGGATGGCGCGGCGTGGAGCACCGAGGCATCACAGATGCGCAGGGAAATCCAGGGGTTGGCAAGCAAAGTCGATCAGCTGAGCGGCAAACTTGACCAGCTGCTGGGATTGGCTGGCCACAAGCGCCCGCACGCCAATAGCGTGTCCGAGTACGATGAGGAGGAAGATGAGGAGCAAAGGGCCAGTACAGCGCCATCCGATCCTATGGCTGGGCTGGATCCGGTAGACCAGCGGTCCATCGAGGCGATGATGAATATGAGCGAGACCTGGCCTCGAGGACCACCTGATTGATACGTTCTACGCCAACGCCGAGATAAACATTGTGGCGGTGGTGCCACGCAAGATGTTCGACCGGCTCAGGCGCGAGGGCCGTGTGCCACATCCATGCTGAATGTGATGCTTGCCGATGCCTGCCGGTTCTCGAACCACCCGTCGCTGGAGGGCACAGGCACCAACAAGATGGGGGTGCGCAACCGGTTCATTGAGCGAGCATACAAGTCGCTGTTTGAGTGCCTCGAGTACGACTCGGTCGAGCACTGTGTAGCACTGCTGCTGTTTGCCATGATCATCTCGCAGGCGGGCCTGAATCGTGCGTGGATTATGCATTCGCTCAGCTCGCAGATGGCCATCCGCCTGCGGTTCCACGCCCTGGACTCGCCCATGAGCACGGCAATGTTCCGCGACGACTCGCCGGTTGACCTCGAGTGGAAACGCCGCGTGTTCTGGCAACTGTACACGTACGATGTCATGACATCGACGCTGAGCGATCTTCCGCAGTGCCTGTCGATTCACGACGTGCAGTGCAATGCGCCGACGCCGCTCGATGAAAACACTGCTTAATAACGACAAGAGCGGGCTGGCGATGCTGGGCCCGGCGCTGGTGATGAGCGATCGACCAGGACATGATTACGCAGCAAATCGATATTCTGGCCATCATCTACGACATCAGCATAATGCAGTGCCGTCTGAATCCCGAGAATGAGATGTTCCCGGCCGAGTTCCAGGTCATCTATAAGCGTGTCGAGGAGTGGCAGGACAAGCTGCCCTGGTTCAAGGTGCTGGCCCATGGCACAAACGAGGAGATCGACAGCACTTTTGCGCAGGCGCCCGGCCGGCTGTTTTTAGGACTGATGTGCGAGTATCGCTGTGCTCTTTATGTGCATGATCAAGGATACGTGGCTGCCATCCGCCCGCGCCATGACCGCCAAGGAGGAAGAGACGCTGGTGTGGGCACGCTCGCAGGCCGTGATGTCTGCACGCCTGGTGCATCGTGTGGTGCCGCTGATCCGGCGCACGCAGCTGCGCGTCATCAACCCATTCGTCTCGTGCATCGTGTTCCAAGCCTGCATCGTCAGCATGTACTCGTGCGCCTGGCAGTCCGACCCCAAGCACACAATGGATGCCATTGACCATGTACAGAACGGCCTAGAGTACCTCGAGTATGTAACCCCACGGTGGGGCTTTGCCAGCGTCATGTCGATGTCCCTGCGCACGCTGATTGTCGACCGCGGATTTAGCAGTGGCGGCGAGCAGAGAGGCAGGAGAGACAAAAGCGAGACGGACAATCCGGCCGCTGCCATCGCAAAGGCCGTCGATCGCATGCACATGTCAGTAAGGAGAGAGAAGGAGGCGCATCCGGAGCGTCCGTTTATGCCGACTCCGCACTTTGACATCTACCATGCCATGGGGCAGACCAAGTTGCACCAGGTGCAGGATGCAGCAATACCTGGCGACCCGATTCCTGAGGACGATGAGGCCGCGCAGTGGGAGCGGATCCTACGCACCAGCAGCATTCCTGATGCAAACAACCAATAGGTGTCTTTTTTTCGCTAGAGCCAATCCAACAGTCAGGCAAGAGCTGATCCTCATCATGGGGCTGTCGCGTATAAGCAAGATTTCACCTGAAAGTAAAATCGCACAGGCACCAGCCTGTTTGACGGGATGCGGGGCTCTCTCGAATGCATGTGGTGCTTGCTGGTAGATTTATTTTCAGCAGACTCGTCCTATGCATCCGAGAGACCGCTGCTTGAGCGCTAATCCCTTTTGGATAGATCTTTACCTCTCTATGTGACTTTATAGTCCAAAAGTGTCCGACTGTCCGCTAGAACCTTGTTAATTAGTTGAAAAACTGAAGCCCTTTTGACCCTCGCAGCGAGTATGCGTGACTCGCTCTGTAAACTCTTAGCAAACAGCATTCTTTTATGGCCGATGGATTCAGATCCTAAGGTGACAGATATATCTCAAAAGCACTCGAATAACCGGATCCAGAACCTTGGTTCTACTAAAGTACCACTCATCTCAATTGCTTCGCATTTCATAGATGCAGTAATGTAAAAAACAAATAACAACTTCCACATCCCCGGCACCTAAACTTGGAACCATGAACTTAAGCCGGTGAGGGTGATAGCAGGCTGTCCGCACGGCCCGCAATCGATCTCATTTGTTTATGAGTGCTCAAAAAAGGAACCATTGGCTTGCTGGCCAACATATATCCTACATATAAAAGCGGCCTTTCCTGTGCCATCCACCTTTTCTAATACCTCACCCCTTCCCACCCATTCCGACTTCCCTACAAACTCCTCTACATTCCGTTATCTAACTTTCGTAGCTGCCAGCCATGGCATACCTTGGTGCGGGGCTCGACTCGGCGATGCGTATCGCCAACCACTCGATGGATACATCTGACTACGCAAGAATCACCTGCCCTGGACAGTGGGATGAACCCCACCACTGCTCTGCAACCTTCCGCGATAAACATCGTTATACCATACCTACAGGCTGGTTGCATCGGGCTCTCTTTGGGGGCACATACCTCCTGCTGTGCCAGACAGACAAAACTCTTGCAGGGTTCTGCTACTGACCCCGCCCCTGATGGCCCTGCTGCCACCTAGACTGCAGGCAAGCAAAGAAGTACTCGGCTGCTGCCAGCAATGGCGAACCAAAGCAGCATCGCTAGCACCGATCAAGCACCAGAGCAAGCACCAGAGCAAGTCTGCAAGAGTAAATTCTTTTTTAACTTTCCAGACAATTGCTATCGCCCTGTGACAGACTCCCTGCCACATTATCGACTGTCTAAATCTTACCGACTAGCCAAGCTCGCAATGCGAGCGCCATAGGTCTAGCACCTACATGCCGACAATGATAACAAAAGAACTACACAGTGCAATGGAGGGCAGTTTGTTGCAAAAGATACTTGGTCGTCTCATTATTTTTAGAGAGGAAATTAATAGCAAGAATGAGGGAGAGAATGAAGGAGAGAATGAAAGAGAGGAAGGAGCCGCAGCTTCTCTTATTCCGTTCTCCACACTCAGACCCTGAAACACAGCACATGCAGGCTTAGAGGCAGCAATGCATTTCCTTCATTTACCAGGATGATATATTCATCAGACACCCTGATGGGCGGCTATATAGGCAACCACCAGCATCAATGCCACACCCAGAACTCTTGTGCTGGTGCTCAACACACTCAACACTTTCGGCTTTAGAAATGAGGGCTATTCAGAGTGTAGGCAATAATTCCGTCGAGTGTGACTATTAGCGAAAGGCGGTGAAAATTTATAAAGTGTACGGGGGTGTGACATGTGAAAAAATGGGTGTTTTATGCGTGCTGGCTGGCCAGGCTGACCTGCTTGCGGTCGTTCCAAAGGTCGATCCAGCTCTTGACCTTCTCGTACACCATGAATGTGATAGCCTGGCCAGGTGCCACGCGCAGCACGCGCGGTGTAAGACCCCGGTAGAAGGCCTTGTATCCCTCCTTCTGTGCGATGTCGCGTGTGACCGTGACGAAGCGCGTCCATCCCGACTCGCCGGCGACAGATGTCGACTTTTGGATGCGGGTCTTGATCGTGTCGATGGGCGCATTGGAGATCGGGCCCATGGCGCCGCTGACACCACCGAGAATCAGATGCTGGTATGATGGCAGCTCATCGAGACCCTGCAGCTGGCGCGCAATCCGCTTGAACTCCTGGTAGAACGTAAAGTTGACAGCCTGGTTGGTTGCCTGGCGCAGCGCGGTCAGCGCCACGCCCTTGTAGAGCGTCATCGGGCCCTCCTCCTTGATGATGGTGAAGGCGGCATGGATGGCGTTGCGGTACTTTGGCACGTCCTGCGGGTCGACGGTCGAGTGCCGCTGCGCCTGCAGCCGGATCTTGATGACATCCATCGGGGTCACCACAGCCACAGCCTCGGTGACACCGGCACCCAGACCCGCCAGGAACACGCCGGATGTGGCGACCTTGCCGGTCTCATCGGCCAGCCACGACTTGTACAGCTCAAAGCTCGAGAACCGAATGGCCATCTTGGGCACGATGCCCGATACAACTGCGCCCAGGCCCTTGTACAGCGCTAAGATGCCCTCGCGCTGAACGATGCGCTGACCAACGCCCAGGAACGACTTGGGCAGGGGCGCCGCGGCATTGACCGGTGCCCGACGCATGTTGTTCAGCTGCATGCGCACCTTGATTGTGTCCAGCGGGTGGCAGCAGAGTGCCTCGGCCAGTCCGGCGGCGCCGCCAGCGAGCAGATGTGTGGTCAGAGTCTTCTTGTTAGGAGCGGAGGCAGTGGTGGTCTTGGAAGCCATTTGCGAGATGTGTATAATATTACAGAGGGGGTAGAGAGAAAAAGTGCAGTGACTGCTTTTTGTGAATGAATGGAGTCTACCTGCCACATGCCGACCCGAGAGTCCTTATATACCTGCCCAGGCCTTGTCGGGATACGAAGCCATGACGGCTTTTTCTCCAGCCAGCGCCCATTTTCACAAATCCGTGATAAGGACCTTTTTGCTCTGCCCTCATGCTGGTGCATGAGAATCGCTTTATTTTTTATCTTGCCTGACAAATTTTCAGCTCAGGGCAATGTGACTACAAATTCTCCTATCTTGCAATCAAGCGACTGTGCTGCACTCGTCCAAGGATGCCACAACGGACGCCTGTAATTTTCCGAAACCGCTATTTGAGTCCTGGATGCCGATCTCTCCGGAGCATACGATTTCCCACACCCAGTGATGCGAGAGCGCGGACGCCGTCCACATACCAAGGCGCGTGTGAAGCAAACGCTGGCGTGTCTGGGAAAGTTGTCGTGGACCTTCTTTAGCAGTGCATTTCATCATCATCACCATCACCATCATCGATGGCCACGCATCGACCACCGCCTTGCTGGGCGCCTATTTCGCAGAAGACATAACCGCCGCATTCTGTATTATCCTTGGTGACTTTTCAAGCAAATATCCTATCGCGGCCGTTTTCCCTCTACCTGCTCGTAATCTTCAGATGGCTCTTAATCTCTGGGCCAAAACCCGCAGGCTCCAAAAGGCTGCTGGTGACTCGGAGAATTCGACTTATCTATATCATTAGCTCCGAACCACATGCCCAAACAAGATGGGCTGCAATCAGGAGCAGCGAGGGCAGCGCTTTCTTTTGTGACTCGCTTTATCCACACGTGAAACTGTTGCGGCGCGAGGCACCGATTTTGCCCAGAGCAAATAATGCCCATTTAGGAAGGTGGGCCTGATAGCGAGAACAGGTTTTTTTTTATTTGTACAGAAAAAATTAGTCGTCGTCCTCGTCACGACCGTTGGGCCCGCAGCAGCGGGAATAGAAATAGCACTGCCACAGGATGAGCAGCTCGAAGCCCAGAGTGCCCGCAGCACCAAACAGCCACGGCGCATACGCAATCAGATACGACTGCTCGGTCGAGTAGGCCAGAATCGACAGGCAGTACGTGACATTGCCGATGACAGTGAAAATAAACATGCCCGCCGACAGCCCCTCGGTCGACTGCGCGGCAAAGTTCCAGGCAATCTGGGGAATGTAGGCCACAAAGAACAACGCTGCCGACATGTAGCCAAACACCTGCGACACCATGTCGGTCAGGTCATCCGGGTAGCTCGCCAGCACCACGCGGGTCACCACACCCGACCCCACCAGGAGCACCAGCGTCAGTACTGCAATCAGCGTGGCCTTGACACGCTTGCCACCCATGATTGGCCGCACGTGGTCCTCGTCCGGCCCACTAGTGGCAATTGGCTCAACCACGATGCCGTGATCCAGCAGCACCGCGTGCTCGGCTGCCTGGTACTCCGCCAGCCGGCGCTTGGTCGCATTCCTCCCCGACAGCCGGCATGCCCGCCGCCCGCGTCGCACCAGCAGCGGTTGGCGCTCGGCGCCCTCGGGCAGCTGGGAGTCGCCAAAGGCGTCCTCGTCGCCCTTGCGGTAGCAGAACATTTGACCCAGCAGAACCACGTCGGTGAACACGAAATACAGCGCAATCAGGATCGCCGGCAGCAGCAGGCGACCAACGTACGCGCCAAACCAGTCACAGAAATCGCCAGCGAGCCACATCATGATGAATCCCAGCGACAGGCCCTCGCTGGACTTGCGCTTATAGTTGAGGTACAGCTGTGGCAACAGAACCAGCAGCCAGCATACAAACGAAATGTAGCCAAACATATCCGAAAGCATTGCGTTGGAGGGCTTCAGCGCCTGCGGATCAGAAGCTGCCTCCTGCAGGGCGCTGAGCATTTGTTGTCGGTGTGTCGTCAGCAGATACAAATTCATTTTTAAAGAGTGTGTAAAGGGTTTGTCGCAGGAGAGTAGTAAACAAAGAAGTGAAGTAAAGAAGCGAAAGAGCAGCTGCGTGGAGGGAGACCCCTTTTCACTGGCGCTGGCCCGTACCCCAATAGTACCCACCTAAAGTGGCTTCCCCAAGGGAATGCCCGACCGATGGGGAAGGGTCGTCGGTTTCTTGGGTTGTTGGATATCCTTGTGCCTCGGCCGCATGCCTGCGTATTTACGTGGCTATGCTCATGCCGCACATGCCGCTCATGCATGGTGGTTGAACACTACACAATATTAACCCCTGCCTTCCTCTTTAGCGAAATTCCACTATTTCCTTTTTTTTCTGTACTATTTTGGCGAAATGCGCGGCTACACTGACGACGAGCACAAGCCCTTATTGCCGGCTACCACGAAGCGCACGGGCTACTGCCCACCGCCCGCACCGCTATCGCCCGAGGACATTATCCAGCGGCGGCGCTCTCTGGGCCTATCTTCTGTGTACTCGGCCTCAAACCACTCGCAAACCAGCATCAACTACAGCAGCATCGAAGCAACAGCATGTATCGACGGACAGAAGCATGTGTGGGAGAAGGCAGATCGCAGCGAGGCGTGGTGGTTCTGCTGCCGCGGTGATCATGAGATGGACGGGTATCGAAAATGTGCCAGGTGTGGAGTGGTAACGAGCGAGTGAGGAGCGGCTTGTGCGTCATCATTATGTGCTGGTGCTGGTGCTGCTGCTGACACACTAGAACGTCTGTGCGAAATCTCCGCTCTGTGCCGACTGTTCCAGCGACTCGGTTTTTCAATTGTTCTCTCGACCCGGGGGAGACCGGTTCGAACCGAAGGAAGAGCCACTCCCAGCAGCATCCCCGAGTGCGGCTATGATGACAAATTCTACCGCCTTGTACGTTCCTGGATGGCAAACCGCAGCATGCAGCCCCATTAAACTGAAGAGCGCCATTTCTGCAGCTGCAGCTTGGCAGCGGGGTCGGTGGACGCAGAGCACACATTTCGCCGAGAAAATGGCGAAGAATATTTTTCTGTGTTCCTATGCCAGCCGAATGTTTTGGAGTAGCGTGATGTGGAAGGCAGCACATTTGCCAGTCCATCTTGAGAAAATTTTTGGGCAGATCGACATCCTTTTACTCAGCAAGTTCCTTTCCAGTGCGCACTGGCGAATACGGCAATCTGCTCAACCCTTCTGTGCAAGTGTGCTAGCTCTCATGAAGCGAGAGGCGGACACAGTGGAGTGCTTTGCGCAGATATAAAAGAGACGCAATGTTCCAGTGCTTTTGTGGCAGGATACTTATCTGACACATAGTGTTTTCTACCTTTCACTAATCTGCCCCTTCATCCCCCGCCACATCTGGGCGCTATATGTAATCAATTCGTCGGATATCCTTGCTAAATATGACTACTGCTGACGACTACGGTGGGACCACGATGACGCGGATCGTGCGCAGGTTCAACGACTTCCGGTGCACGCCTGCAGCAGTGCTTTTGGTATCGACCATGGCTGTGTTTGCCGACACCGTTGTGTACGGCCTCATTGTGCCGTTCCTGCCCGACATTCTGCAGGAAAAGCTCGGGATGAGCAGCTCAGCCAACGGCATTCTGTTTGGATGCTTTGGCGTGGGTGTGCTGGTTGGCGCACCAGTCTCAGCCTACATATCTGATCGCTACCACATCCGCAAGTGGCCCATGATAATCGGTCTGCTCGGTCTGGGCGCCACTAGTGTTCTGTTTGCGCTGTCGAATGCGTTCTGGGAGCTGGTTGTGGCGCGCCTGGCGCAGGGCGTGTCATCGGGGATCACGTGGGCCATTGGTCTGGGCATGATCGCTGATGTGTACCCGCAAGACTCCATTGGCAAGGCAATGGGCATTGCGTTTTCGGGGTTCACCGTGGGATATTTGGGCGGCCCGGTCTTGGGCGGGTTAATTTATGACGCAGGCGGCGTCCATGCAATTGCCATTTTCGTCGCAGCCATCACTGTGGTGGACCTGGTGTTCCGTCTTTTGCTGCGCGAGCCCACCGATGTGAACCTGGCAGTGTCTCGGCAGCAGTCCCGGGTCAGCCTGGCAAGCGCGCAGCGCGAAAAACTGCTGAATACCGAAGGTGCAGCCGATCATATTGTGCAGGCGCCTGCAGACGTGCAGTCCGCGCACAATGGCGAGGGTAGCAAAAAATCGGAAATAAGCTGTGCCTCGGAGACACAGCAGGATAGCACGGAGGTGTCGGTCAAGAGCGAGGAGGCAGGCGAGCAGCCAGAGCGGCGGCGCACGACAATGTGGGACCTGCTCAAGGACTGGCCGATTCTGGCCTGCTGCGTTGCGACCATCACTGTGACTGGAGCCTCGGGCGCATTTGAGCCTGTGCTGCCCATCCACCTGAGGAACGACTTTGGCTTGAACGAGAAGCTCATTGGTGTTGTGTTCATTGCGCTGGTGGTGCCCAATGCCATCGTCGGCCCCATTGCCGGCAGATACACCGACGACGAGCGGGTGCTGAACAAGCTGGCGCCGTACGGACGCTTTGGATTCATGATTATCGGCTCGATTTTAACGGCGGTCTCGATAGCCTTCATCGGCCTGCCGCGCAACCTGGCCGGGCTGGTCGTCAACCTTGTGTTTTGCGGGCTGCTGAATGGCGTCGCGGCAGTGCCCATCATGAGCACTATGGGCGTGCGCGTGCATCGGCTGGGCGGCGACGCCTACGCCAAGGTCTATGCGCTGTTCAACATTGCCTACAGCGTCGGTGTCATCATCATCCCGACCATCCTGCCGCCCATCATGAACGTGATAGGGTTCGCCGGGACCATGGGTGTGGTGGCCGCGATTCTGGTCTTTGGCGCCATCATCTTGGCCATCCAGCCGACGATCTGGGTGTACAAGTACGGTCGAAACGCGTTTATCGGCGAGAACGCCAAAGCATTTTTGTAGTCTCTGCGTCCCCTGGATTGGGATTCTCATAAACGTGTGTTGTCCAAATGATCAGCAAACTCCCACTTTTCTCTTTAAGGGCCATTGCTGGCATGTGTGGGACCCGAGCCGATCCTGAGGGAGCAGCAGAGCGTTTTCGCGCTTTTTGTGAGTCAGGAGCTTGCGGTCGGCAAAGTAGTGCGGTTCGGCAAAAGCCCGAGTCATGTGCTGCAAAGGAGAAAGCCTTCATGTATTGTCCAGCTCCAGCTTGCATCGTTTGGGTGGTAGTAGGCTTTGGGGATGGAGATTGTCTGCCTTTTTTGAGTTGGCTAGCTCCCTCGCTCGCATGCTGAGGGCCCCTGTTTTATAACCGGCACCCTCGGCACGCCCACGCCCCTTCCTCGTCGCCATCCTGCTGCTCCTCCATCTCAGCATTTGTTTTTCCCGCACTCTTAGCCATGACCGCCGATACGCGTGACCTCGCCGAGCCTCTGGTAGTGCCAGAGCCATCCAAGACCGCAGCCCCCGACAAGGGCGAGAGCACGACCAGGGTGGGCTTCAATGTGCTGAATGCTATTGTGGGCAGCGGCATTGTGTGTCTCCCGTACGCACTGCATAACGCCGGCTTCTTCTTCGGTGTCTTCATGCTCGTTGTGATTGCCGGGCTCTCCCAGTTCACGCTCTACGCTCTGGTGCGCACTGGGACGCGTACAGGCACTGCGCATTTTTCGTCAGTGACTGAGGCTGCGCTGGGCAGATTTGGCTACCACGCTCTGAACGTCAGCATGCTGGTGGACATGCTGGGCACGGTAATCCTGTATCTAATGCTCATTGGCGACCTTGTCGAGTCGCTGGTCCAGATCTACGCGCCGGTGCAGGTTTCGCGCGGCGTGCTACTGTCGGCCATTGCGATTGTTGTGATCCTGCCACTTCTGTTTTTCCGCAACACCGGTCCGCTGGCTCAATTCTCGATTGTCTCAGTCCTGTGTCTGCCGTATATCATCATGGTGGTGGCTATGCGTGCACCCCTGTATGCCGGCGAGTCTTCCGTTAACTTCGATGTCTTTGGCCCGCGCATTCTGCCTGCCATGGGCGTGCTGGCCTTTACGTATAGCTCGTGCCATGCGGCGTTCCCCAATTTCCTGGGTCTGCGCGACCGGTCTATCGGGAATTGGGTCCGGGCGTCGGCCGCAGCCACAACTGGTGCCACAGCCATCTCGATGGCGTTTGCTGTGACCGGATTCCTGGCCTTTGGCAGCTCGGCCCAGGCCAATGTGCTGATGAACTTCCCCGATACCGACAACTGGGTCAACTTTGGCCGCCTGCTGTTTGCCGTCACGATGGTGCTGACCACGCCCATGGCATTCTACCCGGTGCGCGATACTCTGACCGAGATCCTGAAGATCGATCCTGAGCGCCATGCCGTCAGCACAGTCTACGAGTCCACATGCACCGTGGTGGTGTTTGTCATGTGCACCGCTGTTGCCATCGTGTGTCGCGACTTGGGTCTGGCCTACGAGCTGATCGGGTCGCTGACTGCCAGCGTCATCAACTTTGTCCTGCCTGGGCTCGTCTACCTGTGGGCTGGCACTGATGTTTCGGTGGGCATGATCTTGAGCCGCCAGAGCCTCGAGAGCGCGCCGCTGCTGGGCGGGACTCCGGTCAGACTCACTGCCTGGAGCCTGGCCAAGTGGGTGGTGGCATGGATGGTCGTGCTATTCGGCTTCTGGATAATGGTGCTAGGAACGTACAATATCCTTGCAACCGCTTAAAATTATTTTTGAAGAGCAAATGTATTATTTTCAACTACAGTGTTTGTCAAACACGGTTGTTTATGACATGTACTGCATGCCTGGAGGCAGCTCAAAGACTTGGTTGTCTGGCGGAATCATGATATTTTCAGCCGTAGGGTTCAGGTCAGTGGTAGCGCCTGTCATGTCGACTGAGAGCACCAAATCCTGGCATCCCTGCACATACTGGGCATAAACGGTGGTTGCGTTTGGTACAACAACAGGAGCATTTGAGGGGACCAAAGGATATGTCTCGAGCTTGGGTATCTCCTTGCACGATTTCTTGGCTATACAGTCGACGAAGCGGTGGGCCCTCTTTTTCCGGTCTTTCTTGCCACGGGCTTTCTTGACCACACGCCCATTCGCCTTGTCCAGTTCTCTCTGCTGCTGTTTCGACATCTCCCGAAAGGAGAGTTTCTCATCCTCAGTCATTTTCTTCCATGCGTCAGTAATAAGCTCTGTTATTTTCGATGCAGACAGACCGCTGTGCTTGAATTTGCCAATGACCGACTTCCGAAACAGCATATATGCGTTAAGTGCGCGCGTTTGGCACTTTAAAGGCCGCGGAATTACCAACTCAGATGGTGCTAGCTGCGAGAGGTCTGTAGGTAGGATCAATGCGCGTTGAAGCGGAAGGATTGGTGATGCAGCTGCGCGTACCAGCTCGGGTGTGCTGGGGGATCTTGTCAATATGGGTGTGTTTGGAATATTTGAAAAGTAGCTGGGTAGATTGGTGGTTGGTAGAGGCTGGAAGGTTAAACGACTTGGGTCAGCAGATGCAGACAATGGAATGTGGCTAAATTCATATAAAGGGGTGTGAGTATGAATAGCGGGTATAAAGCCAACAGGTTTAGGCAATTGACAGATATTAGTGTAGCTACATGCATCAAAGTTAGAGGTGTTGGGTGTGGTCATTATAAGCGGTGTTTGCAGTAATGGTGAGGAAAACTCGAGAATAAGGGATGAGTAATATATGCAACTTTGAAAAAAAGGCCCAACCTGAGTGTTTTAATGGTTTCCACTTGTTGGCTCTGTTGGAAGTGTTTGGCTTGGGAGTGTATTGTTTTATTGATTTTTAGAAAGAGCCGGTTTCCAAACCTGGTGCATGATGCATGCATGTGCATTTATCATGTGGCGAGCTAGAATATATGAGCTTTTTTCCCCCTTAGACTTGAATTCAGAGACCCGCAGAGAGCTTTTGGAGATGTGTCTCTTGATTGTCGCCCATTGCTGATCATTATTCAACCATCCTAGGCTATATTTATTCAATTTCGAATTGATGTTATGATAATCGTGCAATTTCCTTTACAATCCTCAGTCCTTTTCTTGGTAAATGTTCATTTCACCAATCACATTGAATATGACCGTGACACCAACTCGGCACTGCGTTCATAATTCATGATTGTGTTTCTGACAAAGTGTCAATCTTCCTTTCAGCACAAAACTTGGAGTAAATCCCGCTGTCCGAGCAGTAGGATATGGCCTTCATGCCAAAGAGCCAAACCAATTCAAGTATGAGTAATAGTGAGTGCTCCATGCTGACACTTAGTAAGAACAAAACCATGTTTACCCAGTATTTCCGCAAGCAAATCAGGAAACCCATTCGCACTGAGCCGGATCTCTGTACCATGAATCCAACGGCTAGCCTGTACCTTTATTGATTTGGATTTTAGATACTCCAAAAACGTCCTGAATACCTCTAAGGCACAGCCTTAAAAAGGTCACTGCTGGCAACCTGAAAGGAAACAATCGCATTGACTCTCACTCCTTATTTCTCCTTTGATTTCTCCTTGATAATTTATCAACACTGTTCTATGTTAAAACCTTCTAATTCTCATAGGCCTGGGTTGTCATGTTTCCTACCATGCATGGGCTCGGTGATTGATAGACGCATTCATGGTTCATTGTTATTATCCTAATGAGGCCATCTACTAGTTTTGGACACTCCAAAACTGCGAATCGGCCGATGATCCAGCCTCTCAAAATTTCCTGGAAGACTTCGCTTTGTGACCAGTGTGTCATGTCCGTCTATTGCTGCACACTGCACTTTTTCCTACTCGGTGCAAGGCTTTGCTTGGTATCAATATTATGATTTCCCCTATGCATCTCTGTTACATTTCGGACCAACTACTGTTGAAGGTGCCAGATCCATAGAGGTCGATCAGGTACTAACTAGACCTGATGCAAATGAGAACTACGGACCCAAAAAGATAAACATAGTACCAGGTGTAGGGCTTTAGGACAAGAGTCAGGTCCGTATTATGACAGCCGTACACGCACACAGTAGGACAATTCGATTAGTTTAAAGGGGTACCGGTTCCTGTTTCGAACACCATGCTATGTCTTTCCTTTTTCTTACAATGAATTACATTAATTAGTACATATAACAAAACTGTAGTGCCAGATGCCTTCTTTTTATCGGCGCTCATAATAGCCCATAAAATACAAATAAATAGAGACGGTATGTGCCTAAAGAGACCTCGGTCAATTTGTCTGGGATAAAGGTACTAGGTACGGTGTTCTCCTAGTAATAAGCTATATAGATGCTGATGAAACCAAATGTAAGCGTTCATAAAAATATATTGGAAAAACTAGAATGAATCCCTACTGCTAGGAGCCAGCAGGGCGTGTTTAAGCAATCGCCGAGTGCGCACACGGAGCCCTTAGCTAGGCCGCGCACGGCCCTAGATAAAGCTGCGCCACTCTCAGTGGGTAAACTACCTTGGGTAAGATGGAACTACCTTAATGGCATGTTACATCATATAGTATATAGCTATCTATAATTTTTTGTTTTAACCATACGGCCGCTACATTCGGTCATTATCATTTTAAACGCTCGAATGTGCACAAATGGTTTTGTTGGTAACATCACAAAATTAAATATACGATTTACTCAGATTTGGCCATACATAGGAACCTGGCTGCAGACCCAGCTTGGTGACGCGAGACAAAAGTAAAAGGGTTCTACGAAGTTAATACACTTCAAAATCGTGTTTACTTGCGGACGGGGCCAGTGCGCTTGCGACGCCGAACAATGGCACGACGCTTAACGAGGCAGCGGCACCGTTGGCACTTTTGCGTAAAGACGCACGTCGATTTGGGTGGGGCCGAAGAAGTCGGAGCACTCGTGGGTGTCGCACTTGGAGTCGGAGTCGGAGTCGGAGTCGGAGTCGGAGTCAGAGTCGGAATTGGAGTCGGGGTCGGGGTCGGGGTCGGGGTCGAGGTCGAGGTCGGGGTCTGAGTCGGTTCAAGGGTAGGTTGAGAGGTTGGTTCAAGAGTGGGCTGAGAGGTCGACTCAAGGGTAGGCTGAGAGGTCGGCTCAAGAGTGGGCTGGGGAGTAGACTGAGGAGTAGACTGAAGAGTAGACTGAGGGGTAGGCTCAAGAGTGGGCTGAGGGGTAGGCTGAGGAGTAGGTTTGAGAGTAGGCTGAAGAGTAGACTGAGGAGTAGACTGAGGGGTAGGCTCAAGAGTGGGCTGAGGGGTAGGCTCAAGAGTAGGCTGAGGGGTAGGCTGGGGGGTAGGCGCAGCAGTGGTCGGTGGAGTGACGACCTTGAGCTCGAGGTCAGGGCACTTGGGGATCTCAATCTTGCTGCTGTACGAAGCAAACAGCCACATTGCGATGCCGTTGGTCCGCATCGGGTTAATGTCCGCGTTGCTGACCGACGACAAGCTGCCATCAGCGTTAATCTGGTAGCTGCTGTTGGCATTGGCAGATGAGCCGACCGAGTTCTGATCCAGCACACCGTTGATAGAGCCACCGTTGGCATACCAGTCGCAGAACGCCTGGTCGATCGTGCCCTGCACAACGCGGGTTGAGATGCCCTTGAGCTTGGTCGAGAGTTCGTCGCTAATACCCAAGTGCTTCTCGACAGTCTCGGCCGACTTGACCAGCATCTGCTGCATGGGTGGGTTCACATGCGGGTAGTCCCACGCCTGGCTGGTGTTGAACAGCGTGTTGGGCAGGCCGTTCGGATAGCGATCGTACAGGTTCGAGACCGCCGTCAGCGCGAGCTTGGCACCGGCAGCTGGCATCTTGTCGCCAAAGGCCCAATACGGCCACAGCGCGCTCAGAGACCAGATGTCCGTCCTCTTGTTTGCCTCCAGATGGAAGTCGTTGAAGAAGCCGGTCTTCTCGTTATACGTCAGGTCGAACAGTGCCTGGCGGCGCTGCTCGGCGCGCAGGCGGTATGCCTTGCAGTCAGCGGTGACGTTCTTATAGACCAGCTCCTCGAAATCGGCAATGATCAGCTCAGCCTGATACAAGATCGAGTTCAGGTTGACAGCGATGGTGTCGTTGACAGCAACCGAACCCAGGATATTGAGCTGTGTCGAGTTGTACTTGGCGAATGGGTTGACCAGGTCGCCGATAGTTGCCGCTCGGCGGCGCAGGGCCATCTTTGAGAGCTGCGGGAAGACTGTGACGTCGACAGGGCTAACATACTGCACACTGGGCACGGTGCCAGCCTCGGATGCAGCCAGCAGATCAGACGACGTCAGCGCCATTTTGCTCAGCTGGACCGAGGTCTCCAGCTGCGTGGCCAGCGTGAGGTCCTGGGTGTACGTCTCTGGTCTCGGAGTGAAGGAGGACAGGCTGTTCTGGCCATTGCCAGTAGGCAGCGCCTGACTGCTCAGCACTGGACCGAATGTCGACAGAAGTGTTGTGGCGAGCTGGAATCCGCTGGACTGGCGCTTGCCGAGCGAGACTGTAGCATTGCGGGTGTACGTGACGTTGACGCCGCGGTACGTCTCCCAGAAGGTGTGCTCCTTCTTTAGCAGCGGCAGCGCAGCCTTGACAAACTCGAAGTCCTTGGTGGCCTCGTAGTATGTCTTGATCATCAGTGCCAGCAGCGGGGGCTCGGAGCGGTCCGTGAAATAGAGGCGGCCGCCGGTGGGCACAAACCCGTGGTAGTAGACCATGTCGAGAAGGTTCTGCAGCATGCCCTTGGTTGTGGTGTATAGCCCGGACTCGAGCAGTCCCAGCTCGACATAGTAGGTATCCCAGTAACGGAACTCGCGCGAGATAGTGCTGCCCGAGACAAAGAACGTATTGTTCAGGTGGAGCAGCGACGTCTCACATCCGTCGCACTGCTGCACAGTTTTTGCTTTGCGGGCCAGCTTTTTCCACTGGTTGTGCAGCTGCATTCCGTAGCCGCGCAACACAGGGTCTGTGACGCCGTCCAAGAACGGTGGGGTTTCGGTCCAGTCTGGCAGCTCGGCCTCCTCGATATCGGAGCCCGCAGGTGCGAAGTGGTCGTCGACAAAGCGGGACAGCTCGGCCTTGGTCACATTGGCGGGCAAGGCGCTGAAGGCGGCCACAATCTCCTTTGACCGGCTTGCGGGTGGGCATGTCGACAAATGTCTTGTCCTCGTCAAAAATTCCCGACCGCTGCACCTTGTCAAGGATAGGCCCAGTGCAGTAGATAGGATGGTCACAGGCCTTTTGCACGTACAGGCCGCTGTCTCGGGCTGATGTCACCGGGCCGGGCGACGACTGTGCTGCGACTGATGATGCGCTCGCCAATACCGTCGCGAGCGCCCACAATTTATATCCGGCGTTCATCGTTCTGCTGTGTGTATAGGATGTGAGCAGGTGGTCCGGCTGTTGAACAAAAATGTACAGGTGTACTGCCGAAAGTCAGCTATTTAAAAAAGCGGTATCCGTATGATTGTAAGCTTCTCTTGGATATATAGACAAGTGGAGAAGCCGAATAAATATCAAATGCGTGTATGCGGGCAAAAGTGTGGTTTGGGCTATGAACTAAAGCAGCGCAACACAGCAAGTGGGGAACAGGGAGGGCAGAAATGATAAGGAATTGGTATTAGAGATTAAAGAGAAAGCTACAGAGCAGAAAAACTGACGAGCAACGAACAGAAGGGTTCTGCAGATGAAGGGCGATGTAGCGGTCGGTGTTCTTGCGAAAGCGGTCATGCATACAACCTCTCCAGTCTGTTCTCGCTAGACGGCTATTGTGTTCCCCATTCACCCAAGGCGGGGCAGCCAGCGGCAGAGTGTGCGCCTGGCCCCTTGATGAACACAATTGGCACGTAAAATAAGCGGCATGCATGTCCTGGGGTTGGGAAATCAAGTGGTGGTCGGGGGTTTGCGCAGATTTCTCGCAGTATAGTGCAAAGGCCAAAGCCAGATTTTCGCCTGCGCCATATGCAGCTTGCCGTGCCAACCTTGGCAGAGGGTGTGGTCCGCGCCGGGGTGGTGTTCGCTGCTGCGTAGCATGCCCCCCAAGCACCGGGTGTGCCCGCAGCAGCGGTACCAAATTCGCCGTTGAATCGGTTGGAGACATATCATGTGCGCGGGCCTAAAAATACGTTGTGATGGACTGGCCGTATCGCCCGCCATTGTCCAGCCCAATGACCTATTTATGGCGGGCCTATATCTGTCCCAGCATGCACTCTAATGGCCGGCACGGTGCCATGGAGCACAGAGCAGCTCCGCTATCTGGAACCGCCTATTGAGCTGATGACATAAAACAGAAGCCATGCGTGTAGCAGTGCAATAGTGGGCTCAATCCCTCGTCGTGACCACCATTAGAGGTCCGCAGGGTGCAGCGCCCAGCAGCGAGCAAGAAAAGCTCGTCAATATCTTGCTTTTGACTTGCTACATTTGCGTTGATTTTCTCCCAGGAGCCATATACGCGTGACCGGCAAGGGCGTTGCTATTGCATGGCCGTAGTGCCATTTGTTGTTTCCCGGGTCAGGCTAGTGCAGCAGCCGCCAACACCGACACCGCCCTGTGGCCCTGCTGGCAGGGAAAAACCTGGCTTTGTTGCTGTTCCCAGGATAGGGGCAGGGATGTAGCAGCCATGCACACCGGGATTATCCCCTAGCTACAGACCTAGAGCCGTCCTCGCTACTGCGGAGGGTGCCGAACGTTGAGGTCCTCGAAAGAGAGCCAAGCAGCTAACCAATGCGAGCCATACGGCGTCACGTGTGTGGCTGACTAATAACTGGCTTCGTTGAGACGGGCAACTTGGTTTCCTCCTTCGCTCTCAGCCTCTTCAAAACAACTCTACTCATACTCGAATTAGCCAGCAAATGACAGTCGCGGTGCCCACTCCGGTCTCGGTCGAGACGACCAACCCGAAGCGCCCGAACAACATGGGCGTTCCGCGCATCTTCACCTGGGACGAGATCAAGGAGATAGTTCGCAGTTGGGCGGCTGGAGCTGCTGGGCCGCACGACACCAAAGGAGCAGGCGTACCGCGCAGACATGCAGCAGATTCGCGAGCAGTACGGATCGGTCACGAACTACGTCTTGACAGTGAAGCTGGGCAGGTTCATCAACGACTCCTGCTGACGACTACCTGATGATCCCGAACGACTATCCGTACGCGCTGCCCTGAAAACACCTTCCACTACATTGTCTGGTCAAAGGTGGCCATGTCAGCGGGCACTGTGCCTGACCCGGTGGTTAAGGAGCTGTTTGAGCGCAGGTTGGACGAGCTGCATGGCACTGCAGGGCGTGAGAGCCTGTGGTTTGTAAACCCGCCTGCGCTCCAAAGCATACCGGAGGTTGTACACGGCCATCTCATACGTCAAGATGCTCTAGAGCATGAATAGAAAAAGAGTTGTTTATACATTGGTGACACAGATTCAGGGAGTTGTAATCTATGATCCAGAAGGTGCATCCTGTCAGGAGATCCTGGGTGATGCTTCGCGCGGCGTCGAAATAATCGATGGATGAGCTGCCAGCTCCATGCATGCTGATTTCCTGTTGCAGATTTGATGGCCTGGAGGGCCGGGTGTCGTCAAAATTGTGTGGGAAGATGTGCAGGCCGTCATTAGCGACAGACATGTCACCGCCCATGTGATCCAGCGGTAGACGTGGCTCGTCGGTATTGCGGACAACTGGGATTTGGCCGGTGGACATTGGCCGCGCAACCTGCTGCATCTCGTGCTCGCCGACTATGATGGTGCTTGACAATGGAGGGATGGGCATCTGGGACGTGCGAGCCCGGGGACGACGATGTGGTTGACATGGGCTCAGCCGCACGCTGCACCATGCCCTGCACATCATCCGAATGTCGTATGGCCATTATCAGTTACCGGCGATGCCGGCGGCGATGGAGGCTGCCACTCCGACGGTCCAAATCCATCCATGCCCGTAGCATGGCGAATGAAGCCATCAGGTGAGCGCATCGTCCTTGACTGGATCCCGCTTGTTGCGCTGGGAACTGATCCACTGGCCAAAGGACATCTTGCCCGTGGCCATGGCACGGACGCTGCTGGCAAACTTGCGCAGGCGGCGGAATCCAATGTCGACAGCACGGTCTTCGCTTCCGTCGCCAAACGGATTGTAGTTTCGGGTGCTTGATATGGCGGCGGATCTCGTAGGCGACCAGGCGGCGGCGGCGCTTCTCAATACGGCGCTGCACCTGGGTCTGCTTCATGGCACGGGCGAGCAGATCGGAGAAAAAGCCAATGGCCGAGACAACCAGGAATGTCTCGAGCGCGACGGCGACAAAGCACAGGCAGATGAACACGATAGTGCCCTGTGTGGTCTCTGGCACAATATCGCCATACCCAATTGTGGTGAACGCAACGTAGCAAAAGTACATTGCGTCAAAGTATGACCAACGGGGACTCTCGCAGGCGTAAAAGATGGCGGCGCTGATGAGCCAGAAGCAAAAGTTCAGGATCAGCGCTGCCCACAGCTGCCGCGTGAGCTTGCTAAGGAACGTTTTCTTCTGCTTGCTCTTCTTCTGCTTCTGCTTGCCGGTCAGAGAGGTATCCTTCTTCTTCATCCTCCTGGCTATCTTCACTGTCATCAGTGCCATCGTCCCCATCATCGTTGCTTTCCTCCTCCTGCCTGTCTACGGCGTTGTCTTGAGTTGCCGCCACCGCTGCTACTGCTGCCAGCCTTGTCATCAATTAGGTCGGCGGGATCCGTCGTCACCATCCCCACCGCTACCCCCCTTTGATTTCTTGAGCTTGCGTCTGTGGCGAATGCGCTCAAAGAACCCTGGTACAGAAATGGCCTCGCGGACCTGCGACAGCCGCGATGCCGTCGTGTATGATCTGCCTAGGGGCAACGGCGCAGCATTCGGGTCGTCACCCGGCAGCTTATTCTTCCGTCTGTAGACACTGCTGGCCCTCTTGTTGGCAGCGGTCGAGGTAGTACGCTGCTTATCCAAATCTCGTGCATTGAGCGTGCGATCAGTGCCACGAGCATCCAGAAAGCCGATGGTCCATGCCCAGCTCCAGATCCCTGTCGGCTTCATCCTCGCTGCTGGACCCATCGAGTCGTCTGCGCAGCCAGTGCGGAATGCCAATGCGCACACGGCGGCGGTGCGGCAGCAGCACGCGGCCAGCCAGATCATTGAACATGTCGTGCCAGTTGCGAGGCCTGTGGGCGAGCAGCCAGGCGGCGCTTGACATGGCTGATAGTGACATCCTTGCTCGAGCTTCTTGCGCTTACCGAGGATTTCGCGCTTCGCCTCATCGAGCTTGTCGCGCGTAATCTGGATGATGACGTTGCGCGTATGCAAGAGCATCATACCGAACATTAGTATGCCCAGTGGCCCGTAGATGAGCTGCAGGATTCGTGAATACGTCTTGGTTGGCGACCTGTTGCCGAACCCGATGGTGGTAACAGTGACCATGCAGAACATAATCGCTGTTGGTGTGTCCCAGCCCTCGATCTTGGACCACGCATAGCCGCCAATGCCAATCCACACTACAATCAGGATGATGTTGAACTGCAGCATGCGCTGCTGTCGTGACATTCCTGAGCCGCGGTAGCGGAATCCAGGCGTGATCAGCATGTCCATGAGCAGAAGCAGGGCGTTCAGCAGGGCAACCGCAGCACCGGCATACGAGCTGTAGAACTCGCCGGTGATGTGGGCATCGGGGTGGCGCGGGCGCTCGCGCTTCTCGTAGATGAGTGCGCTGGCCAGAATGAGCGCGGCATTGGTGAAGTTGGCAATGATTGAGGTCATGGTCGTGCGCATCACGTCAAACTCGAGACACCGCATGACGAAGCAAATGCCACTGGACACAATCAGGATCAGCGATATAACCGACGTGATCAAGTAGCCGATGGGGTTGTTGACGGCGTGCGGATTCTCCATCGGCCCCAGGATTGTTGTACTGCAGCCAGCCACGACCCAGCAGGATGACGTTGAGCAGCACGTTGATGGGGATGAGGTATCCGCCATATGTCACCAGGGCACGGAAGTTGTGGCGGGACTTGATCAGGTGCTTGAGTGGATTGGCGCGGCGTGCTTGCGGCTCTTCTGGCTGGTTGCTGAATGTCAGTTCAATGCGGCGCAGATCGTTGGTGATCTCGCGACCAAGGCGCATAGGCGGCAGATCGTCAATCCCAGTTTCCATGTCTCCGCCGTCTTTCTCCGTGACCGAAGACATGGTCATGATGCGGGGTAGCGGGAACGGCGCCTCGCCCATGGTCTGGCGGCTCCATCCTTGGCGGCCACGCAGATTCGCATTAGTGTCGAGCTCGTCGAGCGTGTATGCACGAGGCAGGCTCAGCGGTGCAAAGAGGCGGTCTGAGGAATCGTTTGGATCGGTCTGGACAGAGTCGTCCGAGTTTGATATCCGGCTGCGCTGTCTCCGCCCAAGGTCGTAGTTGCCAACAGTTGTGGCCCAGTGGGCGGCAAAGGTGTTGAGTGGGAGTGGAGATGCCTGTGATCGGGATCGCTGCCGTGGCGTCCACATATTATCTGTCCTTCTCATTGTCCTTGCAAGTCCAAGTACATGCTGGTGTGGCTCCGCACGCTGGCCGGCTCTGGCTGCGACGATGGCGCATCGTCTACTGCTGGCGTATTGGCTGGCGCCAGCACACTGTCACGGTCCTCTGTATCACTGCCCTGATGGCCGCTGAATAGCTGCGACAGAGCCGAGTGCGATCTGACGTGGTTCCTGATCCCCAGGCGAGCGCGCAGCGACGACGCACCCTTGGTCCTGGCTCGGCGCTGCAAAAGACTGGTGCGGCTGCTGGTGCGTCCTCTGCGAGATCATGTTTTCACGCATCCCCCGTGAGCTTGGGCGGTGGAGTCTGTGCGCAACCGCGGTGGAGCCATTGTGGCTGTGGTGGGCGTCTTCGGTCACGCTGAAATACGCTGCACTATCTTCGTCATTGCGCGACAGATCACGCGGAGCTTCAAGAAATGTGACCACTGGGTGATGCCACCTGCGTCGCGCGTGCTGTCCTCATCGTCGCTTGAGTCTATGTCGTCGCTGGTATCGTCGCTGTTGTTGTTATCTCCATCGTAATCGTCGTCGTCCGTCGTCGTCGCTATCGTTATTGCTGGTGCGATTGTTGGCAATGCTAGCAAGGCTGGCGGTGGCCATGCTCTGCCGGAGTTCCTCGGGCTCGGATTGAGGCACGATGTCGCCATCGGAACCAGGATCCACTGAGCGCGGCATGCGTGTAGAAAGTATTAGAGGTCAAAATGGCGAATATTAAAAATGGAGTCGTAGGGGTCGGGAGAAAAGGCGAAAATGGAGGAGAAAACAGTCGCAAGGGAAGAGTCTGGTTCGCGGCGAGGAGGAAAAAAGGTGGAGGGGGGAGAGCGAAGAAATAAGAGGGGTTTAGAATTCTAGATATCTTTTCCACTTGCCAACAACCCAAAGAGCCAAATACCATGACAGTTGTTCACTGACAAGATTTTTTTATTTTGGCCGACCAGCCAATGCAAATACAGAAACGGACCCATCTTCCATCGCCTGCCTGGAGGAGGGATGGGTAATGTAGCACTAGGGATATTAAGGTTTTCAGCTCTTGGCTCAGCACACTTTTTTGTAGAACACGGCCGGTGGGAACAGGAACGCGGCCGATGCAGAGTTTATTCATGTGCGGCTAAACCTACATGGAAATGGTCTGGCGCCAGTGCGACCAAATATGCGGAGCTACATGAAAAGTTTTTCAGACCTTGGCCTCCCCTCGATCTGCATGGGAAAGCAGCCAGGCCCACTGGGCCCCCAAAACTCAGTGCCTGGGCAGACTGGCAAAATCATATTCCTGCTGGATCTGGGCCAGGAACTGGATCATAAACTGGTGGCGGTCCTTGGCCTGCTGCTTGGCGGCATCAGTCTTCATCATTCCAGCAAGCTTGAGCAGCTTTTCGTGGAAATGCGCAACAGCAGTGCCAGAGCCGCCCTGCTCCACATACTGGGCGTAGGAAATGTCTTCTATGGCGACATCCTTCGGGTCATGCAAGGTGCGATTGCGGGCGCCCGAAAACGCCGCGCACCTGAGCACGCCAAACGCCCCAATGGCATCGAGTCGGTCAGCGTCCTGCACGCACGCCAACTCCACACACTTCCTTGCGGAACACGCGCTCCTCCTCAGAGCTCTTGCCGAGCTGGTCCAGTTCAATGGCCAGCAGCTCCTTGCGGAACGATACATGGTCGACAATGCGCTTGACCAGCTGAGCGCGTGCAGTGTCCAGGCCGGCGGCTTGAAGGAAGGAGGGGATAGAGAACGGAGTTTCGTCGGGCTTACGGTACTTTGCGTCATCGACGTCGTGCAAAAGGGCGGCTAGGTGGACTACCAGCGTATCGACGGGGCGGTCGACAGGACTCGGCTAGGGCGAGCGCCTGGCGCACCACGCGCTGCACGTGGAACCAGTCGTGCGAGCAGTCGTACTTGGACATGTACTCGCGGACGAGCTCTTCGGTGCGCTGGACTATGTCGGACATTTGCTATTTATTTACGGATAAAAAGCACAAGAGAGCAGAGAACGGGAACCAAGGAGGATCCAATCCTATCTCGTAGAACACAAACTGCAATTCCGCAGCTGGCGACTAGTTGGTCCGCCGATAGTATGGGCTGGGATGGCGCTTCTCACCTTAATACACGCATCTAGACCGGGCCCACGTAGTTCAGGTTCGTGTTCGAGTTGCCCTGGACATTAGTAGCGCTACTGTCCTTACTATTGATATACACAGTATTCTCGCGAGAGCGTGCATCCTGGACGCTCTTGTTCTGGCTGTTGTTGTAGCTGAAGGCAGGCAGGAATGCTTGCAATACCAGGGCACAGCGCTTCCAGGCACAGCACCGCAGGGCTGCATTCCCGTTTCCTGCAGCACGCGCCTTTCCAGTGACTGCTTCGGCACCGATACCGACGGGGCTCGCGCCGGCCAAAGGCCAGTGCAACGAGGGCTACAGAGGCGAGCGAGTAGTACATTTGCAGTCGGACAGGGTTGGGAGTAAGAAAAGAGAAAAAAAAAATGCCTCTGGAGAAGCTCCATCTGGCTCTGGTTCACCAAGGTCTTTTATACATCGAATAGCAGCAACATGGCGTGTGCATGAGAGGCTATGTGTGCTCCCACATCGATGCAACATATACGTGAGTATGTAATTGTTTATTTGGGAGTAGTAGAAGGCTGGCTTTCCCCGAGCGAGATGCATCCGGCAACGAAACTGCACAAGGCCTACTTGCGGGGGTTGATTCTACGCTTCTTGGCCCCGTCCTTCTTGACCCCGTCCTTCTTGGCCCCGTCCTTCTTGGACCCTGTCCTTTGGGCCAGCGCTCTTCTCAGTATTGAGGCGCTTCTCGGCAAAGGCCTTGCTGCGCACAGTGCGGCGCTTCTTGGCCGACGGCTTATCGCCCTTGGCCGACCTTGTTCCCTCAAACACACCGGCGACCGGCGCGCCGACATTCTTTCCCTTGCCGCGCCTGGCCATGGTCGTCTTGGCCGCCGCCTTGGCGTTGGCGCGCTTTGTCTCCTTAATGGCCTTTTCGCTGGCGCGCTTAACAGCGCAGGTTGCGCTTGGCCAGCAATGAGCCGTCGAGCTTGAGCGCCAGGTCGACGGTCGCGCGGTCCACAAACTGCACGTACGCGAAGCCCTTGCCCAGGTTGGTCGTGGCGTCGCGCACCACGCGCACATTCTCGACCGAGCCGCACGTGCCGAAATGCCGCCACAGGTCCTCCTCCTCAGCCTCAAAGTCCAGATTGCCAATGAACACCGAGCGCTTCATATCGTGCGACTTCTCGTTACCGGCCAGGTCCACCCGCAGGTGGTGGTCGTGGAAGATGTTGCCGTTCAGCCCAATGCACTTTTCCGCCGCTGCCGTCTCGACAAACTCCACGTATGCATTGCACACCTGCCGTTCCGAGTGGAACTTGCCCTGGATGAACGCCAGCTTGCGCGGCAGCATGTCAGAGAACGAAATCGACCGGAACCGCACGCTCTTGATCTTGCCGAACTGCTCGCATAGCGAGCGCAATTCATTGTACACTTTCTTGTCAGTGATTGCTGCCACCGTCACGTTGCCAAAGAACGCCGTGCGCCCTACCACCTCGGCGTCCCGCGGCATCCGCCCAAGCAGCTGCTTCTTCTTACGACTCGCCTGCTGTGCCTTGGCCTGCCTCCGCATCCTCCAGCTCCTCCTCCTCGGCGTCCAGCCCGTATCCCACCTGCCGCGCGCGCCGGCTCTTTGCTGTGCGAATCGAGTCCTCCGGAGTCTCCGCCGTCTGCGCGTGCTTCCGCTTCTTCTCCTTGCGCGGCTTCTTCTTCTCAGTCCACCTGTCAAGGCCGTCTCCTCGCCTGCTTGTTCGGTCTTCTCGGGCTCCGATACCTTGATCGGGATCGGGTTGGAAACCACGGGCTTGGCCGCGACCTTGGGCGGCGCGTTCTTGAACAGATCGTCTAGCTGCGTGTTGATCGCCGCGCTCTTCTTTGCTTCGCCGACCAGCAGGCTCGACAGCTCCCCAGACTTGAACGCTGACATGGCTAATGTTTTTGGCGTGTGTGTATTGAAATGACTAGAGTTGAGGAAGGCAAAGGTAGAAAATGTTACAGGCATACATGATCCGTCCAAGTTTTTTTTTCTTCGTTGGCCATGATCGAAATCAGAATAAATCAGATCAGTGCACATCCTAGCGTTCAGTATGTACCAAGTTCGGCTACGAGGGCATAAACCTAGGTTATTGCCCGCTGGCGTTCGTCCTGGCCCACGTCACCCATTCCTTGAACAGCTTCTCGCGTGTGTCCGTCTGCTTGTCGGACTCGACGATCTCGCACTGGACCAGCAGCTGCTTCATAGTGTTAACTAGGCCGACTGCCTGATCAAGCCGTTCCTGCATCTGCTTTGCCTCAGTGGTAGGCGTGGTGTACTTGGAATCCAGCTATCTGTGCTTCGACCGGCAGCGGCCCGCTGGTCTGTGGGCAGGTATCCACGCCCTCTACATGCATAACCCAGGGCAGAATTGACCTGATTTTGTCGCGCATATCGTAGGGAAGTGCCTCCTTGAAGGTGTTCCAATGTACAAGAATAATTGTGAGCATGACCGTGCACGACCTCCATGGCGGCGGTGCAAAGTGCCGCTGCAGCACATCCTGCCATGTCTCTGCGTATGTCCCGGCCAACTTACTCGACAACCGCTTCACTAACAGCCTGGTGCAATCCACAGGTATCGCTGTACGTGAACTTTGTGACCTCGCGCGAGACCCCAATGGCTGTCCGACTGGTAATGCTGTTCCTCTTGGCAGCCTCCTGCTGCTGTCTCTGGTATGTCATCCAGATACACTACCACTGACCCATCGGCATTCTTCACTGTCCTCGGCGAAGCCTGCACAGCTGCTGGAGGCCTCCATGCAGCGACTGGTGTAGCAGGTGGGATAAGGCTTGCGCATGCTGCTGCGGTGTAGCTACTGGCGCAACAGGCGGGTAAATAGGAGCATGCGGTTGTGGACTTGGATCCAGAGCCGCCTTGGGGCTACTTGTAACCAGCATCTCGACATCGACCTTCCATGCCCCCGTCGTCCTCGCTATCTGAATCCTGGATGACAATAGGTGCCTGCTGTTGCTGTCCGCTGCGGACACAAACCACTAATTATCGCTGCAAATGATCCATCAGCGGCATACTGTCCGTTTGTGACGTGGTTTGCCCAAATCCTAAACCGAAATCCAAATCCCCTGATTCGGTACAAACGATGCCGGGTCTCCCGATCTACGCTGCTTTTTGAATGAGTTTGCATCGCTATCCCTCACATCGTCAATTGGGCCACTAGCAGCGCCAAATGAAGGCCCAAAGCTCTGTGGTTGTGGTGGCTGGTAGCTGATTACAGGCAATGTCGGGAGAGTTGTGCCTGCACGCAGTCGGCTCTTTGGCACTGCCAACTTCCTCCGGCTTGCCACTGCTCTCTCCGATACTGCCTGAGCACTTGGTGGCTGCGAATGTGGGGGAGAGTCGGGAATAACAATCGGCTCTATCGACACCTGCTCCTTCCGACGCAGCGATGAGGTATTCTCTCCCGAGCACCTGGCAATCGCATCCACCAGCCCTGCCGCCGTGCCTGTCCAGTCGCCGCACGTAGCGCATCCGTTGATTCGTGCCTTGACGTTCATGTTTCGGTCGCGCGACAGGATCGTAACGGGCAGCCCAAACTTCTCCATAAAGTACAAGCAGCAATCCAGGATCTGGTCATCATTCACAGTCTCGATCCTTCAGCGACTCTGAGCGCTTCTGCCCGCGCAGTGCACTGCCTACTCGCCCCAGCTCCTGCTCAAAGTACCGGATCGCCTCACGCGCCAGGAACGACGTGCTGCCCACTTGTCCGTTTGAAGTCATCTTCGACTTGTGCGCTGTCTTCAGTCCATCCAGCTCCTGCACTACCACCCAGGGGACCACAATGACGAGCTTGTGCTGCAGTGCAATCGATGCCAGAGACTTGATTAGGTCGAGGCTGCTCAGGAGGTAGTTTAGTGTCGATGACTGCTATCATTGCTGCCTTGTCCAGCACGTCGCCATGCACGCGTGACACTGTATGTGCGCTGGCTGTAAACACTGTCCTTGGGCTTGGCCGTGCAGGTCTCGCACTGCCATACCGCCCATTCAAATACTGCTCCCGGAGCGAAGTTCCTGCGCTCGATGTCTGTGCTGTTTGCTGCTCGTGCTGTTGGTGCTGCGGGCGCCGTGGCCCGTCTGTATATGCTGGCGGCCACATGTAGTGTCACATTAACTGGAAATTCTAAAGTTTAAATGCTGGACCAAGCGAAGAAAGCGTCAGCACTATAAAATTCCGGCTGCTGCCCAGGGGTTTTGATCTTGCATCGAGCTGAAATTACCGTCCCTCGATCACCGCCAGCTCCTAATAGTTTTCTTCTGGTCAGTCACATGGTGCAGTGGTCATGTGGAGAGGGCACTCTCGCAATGGTGATCCACCACTATATCTTCCCACACGTACACAGATATAAATTGCTTTCAGACATCTTTCCCCAGTCACATAAAGTTTTCTTACTCTCCTTTTTCCAAGTTAATTCTTCCTTTTTTGTTTTCTCATATTCACGCCCCTTCCTCAGCCAGCCATGGACGCTCCAGGAACCAATTCTATCAACGGCGCTGCGTTCAACGTGCTAAACTCCATCATCGGCTCCGGGATCATATGCTTGCCTATAGCGCTAAAGAACGCTGGCCTTGTAGCCGGTATCCTGCTCCTCATTCTGGTCGGCATGATATCGCAGTTCACGACATATACGCTGGTGTTCACTGGGAAGCGCACAAACGCCATGAGCTACTCTGAAGTAGCGCGCCAGGCGCTGGGCACCACCGGCTACCGCATTCTGAATGCCTCGCTGATATTCTCGATGCTGGGCGCACTGACTACCTATTTGATTATCGTCGGCGATATTCTGACGGCGCTACGCGAAGCATACCTGCCAGCACTCGCATGGGCCACTCGGTCAGCAACAATCATAGGCGTATCAGTTTCATGCATCTCGCCGTTCCTGTTTTTCAGGAACTCGGGCCCACTGGCCAAAATCTCCTGTCGTGTCAGTGTTTGCGCTTCCGCTTATTCTCGGGATTATCGCTGCGCGCGCACCAGTCTATGCGGCTGTTGCGCAGACAGACTACCCACTGGTGCTTGGCAGCAAGGTGTTCCCGGCCCTGGGCATGCTGAGCTTCTCGTTCTGCTCATCGCACGCCGCCTTCCAGAACTTCCTGGGCCTCGAGGTCCGGTCTTTGCAGAACTGGCGCAAATGCACTATGATTGCAACGTGGGCGGCACTAGTGATCTGCTGCAGCTTCGCAGTCATCGGGCTGATGAGCTTTGGGTCGGGCGTGCAGGCAAACATATTCCAGAACTTCCCGCAGAACGACCCGTATGTCAATGTTGCGCGCCTGCTGTTCTGCCTGACACTGGTTCTGACCTTCCCGCTGACGTTCTATCCGGCCCGAGACACGCTGACGCACATGCTGCACATTGACCAGCCGCAGCTGGCCCGGCTGTCCACGCGCGAGATGGTGTGCTCGCTGACACTCTTCGGCTTGGTCATTGCTGCTGCCACACAGTGCACGGACCTGGGCATGGCTTATGAGCTGGTTGGCGCTGCCACTGCGACTGTCATTGGCTTTGTATTCCCATCCCTGATCTTCCTGTGGTCCGGCTCGGATCTGACCGTGGCCAAGGTGCTCGTCTCTCGGCCGGTGGCCAGCCTGCTGCCGCTGATTGAGCGCACCAAGGACACTGACGAGGACAACATTGCCCAGGGAAGACAGTCGGTGACGCTGTGGAGTGTGGGCTGGTTTGTATTTTACTTTGGGATCACCGTCTTCTTCGTCGGTACCTACTCTATCATTCATAGATAACCTCTGGCCTCTGCTAGAGACCTGGCCATTTGACATGTCTAAATAGATTGCGTGTAATACTAGATGCATGATTAGCATTAAACAAACCTGTGCTACACTGCCCAAGAACGGCGCTTTTTAGCATCGGTTACCTCTGCTACTGGTGAATGGACAGCCGAGACTAAATAATGGTGGATTTGTAAATAGAAATTCTGGTATTACTGGGAATGTATGGAAACTAATAGCATGCTTAGTGGATGTGGTGAGAAATGCCCTCCTCGATCTTGTGAGAGTCACCGGTCTCGTCTTCTCTCCATTCACTGTTGTTCTCCTCCTCACGCTTCAGGCTCGGGTCCATAGCAGGCCCACTTGCCTTCCCAACGACCATGAGGCGGGTACTGGCCCTCCCAGCGGGCAATGACGCAGGCGGCAAGGCAGTTGCCCATGACATTGACACCAGTTCTGGCCATGTCCAGGAAGGCATCGACGCCGAGGATCAGTGCCAGCGCATCGTTCGGGAATGTCAAAGTTGCCGATGGCCGCGCTGAGCACGACAAAGGACGCACGCGGGATCGCTGCAACGCCCTTCGATGTGAGCATCAGTGTCAGCATCAGCACAACCTGCTTGCTAACCGACAGATGCGTGTCCGTGGCCTGGGCACAGAAGATCGCCGCCAGACTCAGGTACAAGCTGGTGCCGTCGAGGTTGAAGCTGTAGCCGGTGGGGATCACGAAACCAACAATGTTCTTTGGGATGCCCATGGCCTCCAGGTTCTCCATGGCCTTGGGCAGTGCCGACTCGGACGAGGCCGTCGAGAAGGCGATGAGGAACGGCTGCCAGATGGTGCGGAAGAAGATCTTGACCGGCACCTTGAACAGCAGCATGATTGGAATCAGGACGATAATGACGAAGATGGCCAGCGTGCCGTACAGAGTGCCGACAAGCTTGCCAAGAGAAATAAGCACCTTGAGGCCGTTCTTGCCGACTGTGGCGGCAATCGAGCAACCGATACCGATGGGCGCATAGTTCATGACCAATGCAGTGACGCCAAACATGATCTTCGACAGGGAGGTGAGGAACCGCAGCATCGGAACCTTGTACTCGGCAACTTTGATGCGGCAAATGGCGACAGCAAACATCAGCGAGCAGAACACAATCTGCAGAATCTCACCGTCAGAGGCAGCCTGGAAGAACGACTTTGGGATGATCTTGAACAGCTCGCCGTCCCAGGTAATCGGACTGCCTGCAGTCGTATTAGCCTTGCTGTCGGTATCAATCTTGACGCCCTTGCCCGGCTTAATGGCGTTGACCATCAGGAGGCCGAGGAGGATTGCTAGCGTCGACACGACCTCAAAGTAGATGAGCGACTTGATCGCCAGCCGGACCGACAGTGAACAGGTCATCGCCGTGCCCAGCAATTCCGACGACGAGCGTGGAGAAAATGAGCGGTACGACCAGCGTCTGGATCATGCGCAGAAAGGCATCTGCCAGCGGCTTAATCTCGACCGAAAAGTCGGGGGCAAAATTGCCTACGATAATGCCCAGGACGAGGCCAAGCAGAATCCACATTGTCAGGTTGGTCTTGCGCAGGTACTTCCACACAAACCGGGACGGTGGAGCAAGCTTGCGCTTTGTGCTGGCCGCCATGCGCGACCACGCCGAGGGCTTCTCATCATCGGCTTCAATAACAGCTGCCGGCTCGGCAACAGGGAGTTCCCGGTGTACAGACTGAATAGAGTGGGGGCGTGATGATCCAGCAGCCATGGCTCTACTGTGTCGGTGACAGAATTATATGTAGAAGAGCGAAGGTGCAAAATAGAAAAAGGAAGAGGCAAGAGAGCGTGCTCCTTTCAATCCTCTCTTTCGTGACTGGACAGGCAAATCGGCGGTGTTGGCCTCGTGTCTCTTTTTGTTTGTAGTGAGGCGCTATGAAACAGCGGGTGGCGCGATGTGGGGAGCAGAGTAAGAGATGAACAGGATGACGATGGGCAGCGACGGCAGCTGGAGTGCGGCTAGAGTCTCTTTCAGAGAACAAAAACGGTGCAGGGCAGAGTAAATGGGAGGAGATACCCTGGAGCTCAAGGAAACGAGGGGCAGCCACGCCTATTTATACCGAAACGGCCGGCTGCAATGCGATTTGGACCAGTGCCCCTATCCCCCTCTCCCTCAGCATCCAAGTCGTTCTTTTGGGATTTAGACGGACGCCTGCCATGCAAACGATGCACGGAACGAACATCCTGTGCAAACATTGTGTGAGAACGCTGAGAAAATTCAGCACACAAGATGCCACCTGCACGTCAAATTGCATGAATGAGCCTAGCGTACAGGCTTTTGCGCTATCTCTTTCTCTCTTTTCCTCGGCAGAGTCTGGCGCCCGCCTTTCCAAATGCGACCAAAAAGCGAGAATTTTGTTGAACGATGGCCTAGCCGAAGAAATTTTTTCCCAGACCGTTTGGCTGAGAATGGCAGGAGAGAGCAGATAGATAGCCCCGATTCTTTATATCTGTCTGTGCGACAGCTGCCAACCTATTAGGCCATATTTAGTCCACCATTAGCTGCCTGTAGTCCTAGGTGAGGAATTTCGGCAATGTGCAGACATGTGCCTACTCGCTTTCGGATAGTGTTCTAGAAAGTCACATACTGCGAAAATGGCAGGGATCGGCCGCGCCGAAAGATAGATCGACATGCGGCAGCTTCGTTTTGCGAAACGCAGCAGTGGGAGACAGGGGCAATCGTGCCGTTTCCATTCGTCCGGGAGCACCGCATAATCGAGCCAAACATTGAGGAACTCGCGAACCATCTGTAGGTTGGATGGTGATTCCAAAAGCACGCGACGCAGGTGCCTCCCATGCTGCTGGCAAATGATGGCTGTCTCGTCCGGCTTTGGCAGCCGTTCATAGAGGATGGCACACACTCGATTCGCTCATTTCGCTGATGTCGCGCGCGGTGGATGTGAGGGCGTCTGGCCGTGCTTTGCTGAATTGGCCGTATTAACAGCAGTAATGTGGCCGGGCCAGAAAACATTCAAACAAACACGCAGGCGCAGTGAGGCACAGCAGTGGCAATCGCTCTGCACAATGGTGCAGCGATTTGGCGACACCGTGCGTTTGAACTGGTTCAGCACCAAGCTGCCAGGATGATGCAACGACAATGCAACGACGTGTAATCATACATGAATCTTTTCAGAGCACGTCTGTTTTTTTTATTTGGGAGATTCCGAGCACTACCTCGGGCAGTATCCGGAAATGCAGGTGGGCATGATGGTTTCAGCACCTCGTGGACACTAGCTGTGCTTATCGTGCCAAAGAAAAATCCAGAAACCAAGCATGGCTACGATTTACCAATGAATGTGTAGGCGCTGGCCCAGAAAGATGCAGGACAGCCAAGCGACTCCAGCGAGCAAAATCCCCGCAGGCTCTGTGCACAGCTGTGTCGGCCAGGACTGTGCTACTGAGCATCCCATGCATTTCCCCGCTGTTGCGCTTTCATGTCTTGGATGCAGACAGGATCATGCTACACACTGCAGGCGCATTCCACAAATATCATTGCTCAACAGAAAAATAGCAGGGAACCTCGCTCAAGTCCTAGCAATCGGCCATGCTCATTGAGGGTGAGGGATAAGGGCGGGAATATTTTGACCTGAATTACAAAGGCGGCATTAGAAAGAGAATACAAGGGGAAGGGTATGCGCAGACATGGCTGGCTTCGAGGGCCGGTTTGCCCCTTTGCTCAGCTTTGCTGCTCACGCGGGTTGCGGCGCAGGACAAAGTTGACTATTCTGTCGGTGATTCCAGGCGTGTAGGGGAAGATCTCGATCTCGCCGCTGCGCTCCATCTCAAGCAGCGTGCCGCTCGAAACATCAGCTTCGTCAAGCCGGACAACCTTGGTCTTCTTGAAGAACTTCCAGCCGAGCCACATAATGACAAATAGCGGCAGCGCAATGTAGGTTGAGAAGAAGCTCAGGGCATCGAACTTGGGCGTAAATGTGCCATAGCCCTGGCCAACAATGATGACAGCCAGCAGGCAGCATGCGTAGATGGGGCCGAACGGATAGAATGCGGCACGATACGGCAGATCCTTGATATCGAAGCCCTGGCGCACATACGCCATGCGGAAGCGCCAGTGGGACAGGGACAGACCCAGCCAGAAGAGGAAACCAGTGACACCGCTGATGTTGACAAGGAAGACATAGACTTCCTTGTTACCAATGAACGAAAGGACCAAGCAGGACGCACGACCAGAATGTGGTGAAGATCAGGGCCCAGATCGGAACACCACCCTTGGTAACTCGGCAGAAGATACGTGGTGCCTTGCCCTCCTTGGCCATATTCCACAGGACACGCGTGCAGGCGTAAAGTCCCGAATTGCCAGCGGATAGAACGGTGATCAGCACAACTGCATTCATGACGTGGGCAGCCCACTTTGCACCGGCAAGATCGAACACCAGAGTAAACGGCGAAATGGCAATATCCTCAACACCGCCTGACTTGGCGAGACGCTCGTCGTCCCATTTAATAAGCAGGCCGAACAACCATGATAGCCAGGATATAAAACAGAAGAATACGCCAGAACACGGAGCGGATTGCGCGCGGCACATCACGGCGCGGGTTGGCTGACTCACCAACAGTGACACCGACGATCTCAGTTCCCTGGAACGAGAAGGCAGCGGTAATGCAGGCCTTCAGGATGCCGACAATGTGGTCGTTGGAACGGCGCTCCCTCGACATGCCACATCTCGCTACCGTAGTGGTGATTGCCAAGGACGCCCGTGATGGTCAGGATTCCGACAATGATGACGATGACAACAGCAAGCACCTTGATCATAGCGAAATAGTACTCGGCCTCACCGTACCCCCTGACCGAGATGGCGTTGATGGCGAACATGATGACCATAGCAACGAGACTCCAGACGATACCGTTCAGATTCGGCAGCCAGAACTTGACGATGAGACCACATGCGACGAGTTCCGAGCCGACCGTGAGCATCCACGACAGCCAGTAGTTCCAGCCAAAGGCAAAGCCGAGCGCCGGATCTAGAAAGCGGGTGGCGAAGTGGTTGAAAGGATCAGAGACTGGAATGAACGTCGAGACTTCACCCAGCGATGTGCACACAAAGTATACCATGGTGCCGATCAAAATATAGGCGATGAGCGAGCCTGCCGGTCCAGCTACGGCCAGTGTTGTTCCGCTTCCGAGGAACAGGCCGGTTCCAATTGTGCCACCGATAGCAATCATTCCCATGTGACGGCTCTTCAGGGAGCGCTTCAGCTTGCGGTTGTGGCTGTCGACGGCCGCATCCTCGACCTGGATGCCCTCCTTGGCGATGTACTCGTCAGACCCTTCTGTCGGGTACAGGCGGGGCGCGGACTCGTCTATGTAGCTCTTTTCGTGGTACTGGTCCATTTTTGAGGTGGTAGATTATGTTGAAAGTCAATATGGACGTTTGGAATAACAAAGCGAAGGGGCCAGAAACTAGTGAGTGCACCAGGAAAGTAGCCTTGCAGCCGTGGCTAGAAGTAGAGATATGGTCTTGAAGGCGTGAAACAGAGATGCAGTATCACTACCTCGAGAGGTCTATTAAAGGCAGGAAGGCAAACTGAATAAAAATGGAGAGAAAAATTGGACTCACAGATGGGGGCTGCTCGAACGCTGTCAATGAAGGGTGCGCACAGCATTTTAAATCAGCCGCTGTCATAAAGAGGGCGGCCATGTCTGTGCCAAACATCCTCCCCTGTCTCCCACCAGATTTGCGGTTGTTAGCGAGGATAACAGACGAATCGGGGTGCCCAGGGGCTGCTACTGGATGGGGGATGGCCTAGGGCGGCGATCGACGGCAGCCGGTCGACAGGAGGCACATACATCGTTTCATACACAGCACTCCAAACGAGATGGCAGGATCACTGCGCGCGGAGGCCTGGGTGTGCGGTTGAGTACTATCCTGGTCCACTGATTTCGCCAGGCGGGCACTTTTCCTCCGCTCCTTCCTCTTCCTTTAAGAACGTCGACGAAGCCGGGCCAATGCTAGGCCGGCAGAGAATCACAATGCAAAGCATAAGCGCATGCATACATGTGACCGGCCGCGAGCTACTTGGGCACTTGTCGCCTCCAGGTACAGTGTGGGAGTATTTATTGGGCGTGAGGATTTGCTTTCTCGTCATGGGCTAGGATGAGCGATTGCCCTCCGAGGTCCAGCTCGCGCATATGCAGCGGATGAGCACAGGCGCCCTTGTCTCTACAGCGCCAAGGCTGGTGGCGCTCGCGCTTCTGCCCAGCCGCCCCTGCCGATGACGGCACTGACTCTGGCGTATCGGAACTGCGCTAGGTGCAGTTTCGGGGAGGCGGGTGTGGCAGAGCCTGCAGTTGCGGGGGCAGCTGAGATGCAAATGGGATAATTGCTGGATGCCGATCGTGCCGCTCGCATTGAGCCAGCCAGCAGCCGCAGCAGCCAGCCAGCCCAACAGCAGGCCGCCCGCCAAGACATGTGTGCTCCTTCAAGCGGCTGCTATCGGCGCCAATCGCCAATGGACATGGATGCGCGCTTTTGTTGGCTTCTCCCCCCATCCCGGCTTCTCCCCCGCGCAGCTAAAAATAATGGAACATTTGCAAAACATCCGAGCTGGAAAAAGGAATGCCGGTGCCTGTACTTGCTGTCATGCGCTATCTTCTTCCCGATTTGCACTCTGCATTGGTTGCACAGGCGAATATGTGCTTTCCCACCACGAAATCCTGTCCCATGACACAGACTACCTGCTGGCGATCTTGGCCACATGACCACATGTCTACCTTTTATCCCACGCGCTCTGCAGCAGCCAAACGACCACAGCTCGCCTGGCTAATGCATACCAAGACACAAAAACTATAAAGCAAGGCACCCCTCCTCCTGTTTTCGGTGGACTGTGCGGGCCGTCGCTTCTGCAGCAAGACAGAATCCGCTCATCTAACATGCATATGCGCGGCCAAGAGCTTGAGGCGATGCACGCTTCCATTCGAACGTCACAACAATCCTGCAGTTGCACCCAGGCAGGCGGCATTTGCTTGATACGCGTGTGAACAGCGAAAAGTATAAGTCGGGACACATCACCGCTCTGCTCCTGGATTCCGCAGCTTGTGCACTGTGGTATGGTCTGTGTATGAAAATGCAGCATCACAGCTTTCCAGAGGCAGAAAACAGAGGCTGGGGGTCAGTAGTGAGTCACAGCGTCCACTTTTGGGCTGTGATCTTTCAACTGGATCCAAATTTCAAGGACCTGGGATTGGACCATGATATCAGGTACCAGTCCCAGGCACCGATAAATGGATATACCAAATCAGGAACCGGGGGCTCCGATAGGCACCATACCACACCCCGATTTCCCAATGCAGCCATGTCAGGCAATCTCTGGAGACCAACGCTGACATTTTCCAAGGCCTTTTTTTTTTTTTGGATTTCTGTTTAGACTGCTCTCCTGCACAAACCATGCTTCGCTCACGACTATTCTCTTCAACGCAGCCATTCGCTCGTGCATATTCGTCGTTCCCTCTGAGCAGACCGAGCTGGAGCGTCGGCACGCTCCTGGAAAAACCCACCAACGCTGCTGGGCACGAAGGCGCCAGTGACGATCCATTGGACGCCAAGGGCATCCAGCACCTGTACAACCTCGCTGGTCTACGCATGCCTGACCCGACACAGAAAGCGGCAGAGTTTGGCCGCCTGTCAAAGGATGCACACCAGCTGAGGGACTTTTTGAGCCATATCCAGGCTGCGGCCAGGACAGAGGACCTGTCCGGTGTCGAGCCTCTGGTGCGCATTGCCGAGCCGATAGAGTTTTCTGTCGATTCGCCAGACGCTGGTCTGGATCATTCGTCTAAACCGTCAGACAGGCTTGGGCGCAAGGTGCTGCAGACTGCGTCGAGATCAAGTGGCGACTACCTGATTGTTGAAGAATAGCCGGAGTGAACTTATTTAACACGAAAGATATTCGCAAGCAATTAGTTTGTAAGATACGAGCTGTGCAGCATCTGCATAATGTGCCGAACGTAGTGGTAATCAGATCCAAGAACAGCTTCGAGCAGCGAGAATTTGGACGAGAAGCGCATTCTGATGTCGGATGCAATGCGGGCAGCCCGCCGTCTCTGGCTGGGTCTGAGCACCTGGAACCTGTCAATCTTGTGCAGGATGATTTCACGGATATCGAGCGGCAGCTGGGCAAAGCCGACCTCTGACACAGAGCTGTCTTGGGCCGGCCTCGAATACAGGATGATGCGACCCCGGGCAACCATCAGCAGGGGAGCCGTGTAGCGCTCAATAGCCAGCGTCGTGTTGCGGGTAATTGCCCGCTCCAGACTATCCCACACGCTGCTCCAGCCGTCGAACGGCATGTCGGCGTTGATCCGCAGGATGTGCTGGTTGGCCCGGCACCCATGGCTCAGGACTGTGTAGCCCTCCTTGGTTATCTGGCTGTTGTGTCGCATCGACAGGCTGATCAGCGCTGTGGCCTGCTTTGACGTCGACTCCAGCGTCTGACCCATGGTTGCCATCGACCTATCCGTAATGTCGATGTGGTTGATGTGTAGGTATAGTAAGTGCCCGTTCTCACGCAGTCCCTGGCACAGCACCTCGACACCGTCGTCGCGAATTGGGTTTGCCGAAAGAACCAGCGACAGGAGTCCGCCCTGCTCGCTGCTAGTCATGGGGCGGCACAGGTAATCCCGCACTGCCTCGGCGCCCGTGTGGTCGATGAAATTGCCAGTCAGATCGAGGTGCTGCAGTGTCGAATTTCTGTGGAGGCTGGCAAACAGCAGCTGGCAGCCCTCGCCAAAGATGTTGTTGCGGGCAAATGACAGACGCACCAGCGACTTGTTGGTCTCGAGCATCTGGCCCACGGCGCGGCTCCCGGCTCCCTCAAAGCGGTTCATGTCAAGAACCAGCGACTTGAGGCGGACCTGCGGAGATTCGATGATGGCACGCATCAGCGCCTGAGCGCCATCGGCAGCGATCTGATTGCTGCTGACATCCAGATGCTCGAGCTTTTCAGCCGACGTCCTGATATACTGCGCAACATGGTGGGCACCGGCCGACTGCAGCAGGTTGCTGGTAATAATGAGCGACTGGATCTGCGGGCACCCACGTGCCAGACCCGTCAGAATGCTGGCAGTCCCCTTGGCGCCAATGACGTTGCCGTTAACACTGAGCCTGCGCAGGTACGGCTGCTGCTCGACGACCTCGCCGAGCCACTCGCAGCGCTTGTCGGTAAGCCCCATCTGCACAAACTCCATCGAATACAGACCCATGGGCGCCGTGTCGAGCTCGTCGAAGGCCGGCTGGGGAGGGTGTGCGGCGTCACTCCACTCGGCGAATTGCGCTGTATTGCCTGCTGCCTGTGCGCCATATGCATAAGCCTTATTGCCTCCGCCTGCCGCTGCGAGCGCCTGGTGGTTGACCAAAAGTGGCTGTGAGAACGTCTCACCCATCATCGACAAGGCGGAAAACATGATTTTCCGCCCGGGCTCCGTGAACGCGCAGGAGTTCATGGACAGGTGACGGCAGCGGCATTGCGGCGAGAGCAGAACCATCGCCAGCACCCGCGCCGTTGTTTCATCAATCGATAGCCGCGACAGCCGCAGCGTGCAGAACGATCGGTGCAGGATCTGCCGGTGCTGCGGGTTGTTCAGCAGGCTCTTCAGCTCGCGCACAGGCGGCAGATGCGCATAGTCGCCTTGGAGGATGCGCCCAACAACGGCCCGCACTGCCGCCTCGCTGTGGATGTCGACGTGAACCACGCTGCTATCGGCAGAGCTAAGCTCCCGTACACTCACTGCCATTGTGCTGCGGCTGTGCCTGCCGCCGTTGGTCATGTTGAAGAGCGCTGACATGTATACATCCATCGGTAGGTGGGCAAGCTTCCCGTCGTTGTGTTGAAAAAGCGGTGAGTTTGGATAGTAGAGACCCAAGCGATTGGATAGTCAAGAGGTACAAGAGGGCTATGTAAGAGAAGTCTGGCGTGCGAGCAAATATTGGAACAATGGTGTGCATTGCAGAGACAAGAGCAGGCAGCAACAACGCAGCCTATCACCTAAGAAGCAGTTTCCAGAAAAGGCTCCTGTTATCAGAGCGATAGTGGCAGCTAAGCCTTGCATGCATGCTGGCAGAGGTCACGCACCACTGCAGGCAAGGAAGGAGGCACGCTTCAGAAAAATGTGAATGCGAAGGCAGGCAGCACTTTGGAGGACGATTGCACCAAGGCGCTTGATTGGCCTTCTGCCTTAGGTGTGGCATACGGCATAGCTTTACTATTTGTAACTAGTATCGCGCCATCCACCAACTGGTGGGCGGTCTAGTGGCTGCTATCAGCGCGCCAGCTTGAGGCTAGGTAGTAGGATAAAACAGGAAAAATATATTAATGCACAAAAGGGTAGGTAATAATAGTGGTAGCGGTAATGCTGGGGTATGTGTTGCAGACTGCTGTCTAGATCTTGTAGCCGTCGATCAAGGTCTCGAACGGAACGTAGATGTAAGGGAACACGTAGCAGACGGCCTTGTACTTGATTGGGATATCCTTCAGAACGCAGTAGTGTGCCATGAGCAGAACCACCAGGTATACGAGACCAAGCGAGGCAAACACATGCCACCAGGCGTGCAGCTGCATGTTGAATGGCAGCACCGACGTCGAGTCCTGGCCGTTGATGTACTGGCACAGGTTAGTGTCGATGAGCCAGACAGTGCCAGCAAGCGCATACCACTTGAGGCCGTGGAAAAACAGGCGGGAAATCTCGGGCATACCCGCGCGCTCAAGGTCGCGCTTGGCACGCCATGTCATATACAGCATCGCGATGCTGAACAGGTTGAAGGTGGTCTGGAAAACAACAAACTCGAGCTTACCACTGGTGCATGCGGTCATCACAGTGGTGAATGCGGTCCACGAGATCAGACCCCACTTGAACACCACCTGGTGCGATTTGAATTGCATTGCGACTGCCAGGTACAGCGAGATTGCAATGGCCCAGATCATCGGCAGCTCGTCAGCCATCTGCATCGAGTACTTTAGCGTCGCGTGGAACAGCCAGCTGCCGAGTCCAACCACTGTGATTGAGTGTCCGAGTGCCGTGAATCCCTTGTGGCCCGTCGGGTTCATGTACGCGCATGCCTCGCCTAGGATTACCATGGCCAGCGACGACCAGCTGTTGAAAAACTCGGCAATATATGGCGTCAGCTCATAGTTGGTCTCGCACCAGTCAATAGAGGCTGTGATGTCGCCCCAGTAGCCGCCAGCAAGAGCAGAGTCCATGGCTGTGCTTGTGGTATTGTATGTAAAAAAAAAAAAGTAACAAGTGAAGGAAAGCTTCAACAAAAGAGGGTAACTAAAAGGAGGGCGGAAGAGAGGTGAGGTAGGTTTAAAATCGCAGAAATGAGGGGAAGGGAGGGGGGGGAATAACTTTTGCAGCTAGCAGGATGGCCTGGATTCAGAGACGCACATTCCGCGGGCTAGTCTTTATACATGCCAGGAACTGGCACCTACACAGGATGGCCAAGCAATTTCAGAGCATGGTTGGCCGCCACAGTGCATTAACTATGAAGCAGCTGCAGACCACCAGCTTCTACTAGCATGTGAAGTCCCGAAGACATCCTTGCAGTCTTGTCTGCAGCGAATGGCATTGGATGCCACCCGCCATGGCAAATATGTTTCACAATGGGCAAACAAACAGCCTTGCGCTGCCCAATCGAATACGCGATATACTGCGGTTGCGTGAGCCAGCACTGCCGCCTCCACCCATCCCGCCCTCCGCAATCTCGTCGGTCAGCACATCTTGGGGAAGTAGTGTTCCGACTGGTTCGCGTCAGTTCCTCAACCCGCGAGACAGGTGTTTCCGCGTGCACTAAACATTGACTCACCGGGCTGGATGCTTGTAAACCGAGACCGCATGAGCCGCAGCTGTATGCCAAGTTGGTCCAAAGCCCTAGTGGTGCGTTACTGAGAAGGATATCTGCAGGTACTGTGGGCGACCCCGCTCGGTCTAGTGCTCGGTCCCGCTGCCCGGGGAATCGTCAGAGTCGACAAACTCCTCAAAATCCGAATCCGAATCCTCAGTGACATTGTCGGCCGAGTAGTGTGTGATTCTCAGTGACATGTCGTTCAGGTTTTGATCTCCGAGGATATGCCGCCATTCCTCGTCGTCGAAAGGATCGCAGGCAAACACTGTCAGTGAACGCAAAGCACCCATTCTTGCCAGTCCTTCCGCCAGAGAGATCCTGTTTCGACCGCCCCTCGTCCTCTGCGAATTGATATGCAGCGATACAACGTTGGTTCTGAGGCACTGCGGCATTGTATCTCTCCCGAACAGCGCTATGCTTGTATGCAGCGTGGGAACACATATCTTCAGCTGCTCGAGGTGCTTGAGCTGGTGAAGCACACTACTGAGCCCCTGTGCAAACTCACCTGCAGCATCATCCTCATTGTGCATATCATGCAGCAAGAATTCTATAAACTCGCAGTCAGCATTCAGTGACCTCAGGCCAGGGCACGCAGATGGGATTCGGACAAACAGGGCCATGAGCATGGTGCAGTATGCCATATCTAGAGCAACTAGCCGCGGCCACTCATAGGCACAAAAGTTGGTAAAGAACTCGACTGAACCCTGTTCTACCTTGCAGCTGAAGCCAAGAATCGCAAGGTACGGTAGGCGCTGAGGAGTGATATACTCAGCAATGAAGTCCCTATCCACCACACATTCGCGCAGTGTCAGACTTGTAAGCCATGAGACTCCTTGCGGTGTGCCAGCCAGCTCCGGAGGTATCTCGAATATGGGCTTTAGAACAGTGACAGCGAACGGGGCTGCAGTAGACAGTGAAACAAGCTGTAGCTGATGCGGCTCCGGGATCGCTCCAATTAGGCCAGCCAGGTCGACCGGCAGCGATGACATATCCATCAGACTCAGCTCACGCATACTACAGCCGGCCAGCGCAGTGCGGACCGACTCCACTGGGAGCCGCACACCAGCTATATGAAGCTCGGACAGGGTGTTCATTCCAGCCAAATGTTCCAAATCAATTGGGGACGTCGGAATACCTGGCACATTATCGCGGCAGCTCAGCGCTAGATGGCGCAGTCGGCGAGATAGGCTGCGCTGTGGATTTGCGGCATGGGAGAACAAATACGCCAAGTAGCTGGCACTTGCATGGCTGCAGTCGAGCGTATCGAGCTCGAGCTCGTTGATCAGTGGGCAGTACTCACAGATTGCGTTGAACATTGCAAGGTCAGCCTGGCGATTCAAGCTGCTGTCACTGAGTTCCAGGCACAGGAACCGCACTAGCGACCCATGCCTGACCAACACATCAGGTATATGCACTTGGCCAGTCTTCTGGTCCACACATATGTACCACGTCTTGACCATTGAGTAGGGATCCTCGATGGCATAGTCCTCGCCATGGTTTCTAAGCTTTCGTCTTCCGATAAAACAGCGCCATATTGCAGGCGCACACACGCGACGCAGGTGTCGACAGCACATCGACAGGTTTATCAGTTGCTTCTGGGGGTGGTTCACATCGTAGACCGCATCATTTGATAGATAAAAGCTGATGTCGCGCAGCAGCTCGTTAGGAAGCAAAAGGATAGATGACATGATGAACTTTTGAGATACGTGCCAGAGACATTTGTGGATTCTTCAGAAACATCGCCTGTAGGACGGAAGTATTGCCCAAATGCACACAGTGGCTAACTTATGCATTCGATGAGTGATGAGTGGAAGGACTCTTAGGGAATAAACACTGGAAAGTCAAACATCACCTTAGCAGGAGTGGCTTTAGAGCTGTTTCCCCGTATGTGGATATGAATAGAATTGAAAGTAGCGGTTGATAGTAACCGCAGATGCCTGTTCCTGTTCCTCCCATCCCTGAGTTCAAAGCATGTAAAAATAGAGGGTCTTTGAAAGTGTTGGCTTGTCCTTCAGTCTCACAGGCCTACCTACTTTAATAAAGTAAAGATATGAAGAGCAGTTCTACTAGCACAGTATCAGCACAGCGGCTCTGGAAAACTCTGGGCCTGACAGCGCCTGCTCCCACTTGGACTTGTGCTTTGGGTTCTCTATTTCAATTACAACGCTCCGCAGCGCCTTCATTTTGGCTAGCCCGGTAGCAATGGCTTGCAGGTTGCTTTTGCCACCGTATCTTGCCACCTCCTCACTAAGTCGAAGCGATACCAGAGATTCCTTTAGCACACCTGGCATATTCGGTCCAAACAACTGGTCCAGCATTCGCTGAGATGTGAACGCCAGCTCCAGCAGCTGGAGCCGACTCAGCTTCTCCAGCATCTTCACAAAGTACCTCCCGATCCGGTGCTCAAACAAGGAATTGCCATCGTTTTCTAGCTCGCCAAATTCTGCAGCGATGCCGAGCGTGCGCAAGTTTGGACACATGTCACCGATTGCTGGCAACATCTTCATAGATATCACCGATCTGCTGAGGTCAAGCGAGTAGAGGTTCGGCCACTGATGTGTGCGGGAATAGTAGAGGAGCTTCTCGCAATCAATGGACTCGCAACCTGACATGTCTAGCAAGCGTAGGTACGGGAACCGCTTCGGGGTCAGATGCCCACCCAAAACAGCATCGTCCACACTAGCGCAGTTAGTTATGCGCAGGGTCGACAGGCATGAATACGTCCTTGTCTGTATCACTTAGCTCGGCTAGGGCTTGGGTCAGCGGCTGAAGGAGGCTCGAGGTGATAAACTCGTTATTGCCAACCGCAATATCCCGCAGCAGAAGCGGATCCTTGACTACAGATAGTATGGCATCTGGGTCGTCTCCGTCGCACTCGCTCTCTGAAAACATGGCAGTCTCGATAGACTTTCCTGCAAAGATCCTGCAAAGCAGCTTCTGAGATATTGCCACGCCTAGCGAACTGAAGTGCTTCAATAGAGGCAGCCGTGCCAAAACCTCAGCCAGCTCTGTATGTGGTGTATGATCCATATCAAATGCGTTTCGGATAACCATGGCTGAGTTGAGTCGGCGAAAAAGATTCGGCAGTTTTTGCTCTACCGCACCAAAGAACCGGGCAAAGTAATCAGTGGAGGCATCATCCAGCACATGCACAACAGCAGACAGAGCTGTGATTCCAGGACAGTGCTTTTGCAGCTCACAAAACATCGCCCAGTCGGCGTCAAAGCTGGGCTCGTCCAGACTGAAAGTGACCCTAAAGCTGCGAACAAAGCAGCCATATTTGATGAGGGCTTCTGGCACGGTCACTTCACCCGTTGATCTGTCATTGTTGACAAGCCATGACTTGGCCCCAGCTCTGTCATCATCGATCGTGTAGTCCTGGCTGTCGCTACTGGTCCGTCGGCGCATAATGAATTGGTGCCATATCGCTGGTGAGCAGGCGGCACGAAGCTGGCGGTTGCACATGGAAAAATTCAGCAGCTGTTGCTGCGGACGCCTTGCATTGTATGTGGGGTCGTCGCACAGGTAGAAGCTGATCTGCTTCAGCAACTCGTTTGGTAGGGTGAGCAGGTCGGATGCACTGTCCATGATAGGCAGTAGGGTGGCAGCTGAAGAGTGCAGAAAGGGAAGTGTATCTGTAATCTAACCTGCACAAAAAATTCCGAGCTAATATTTAGTTGAGGCAAACGTCGACTCGCGTTGTGGGGATGGGTCATGTGCTTTATTTAGAGATCGCAGTTCGTTTGAATCTGGCACAGCGTTGCAGCCAACTCTGCATCGCCCAGTCGCGGACCCTCCATTGATGTGACATATCCCTTGTACAATTCCGAGTATGCAATGTCTTCGCTGACATACGACCGTTCGCCATTGAGGCCATGAAGCGGGACCAGCTTGGTATGTGCGTGGTCAATCATTAGACCCTCGATGATGACTGCGCACCGGTCGACCTTTAATCCGCGACGGAGAACCTTGTCCACCTTTCTTTGTAAACAGCATTAGGTCTGTGTATACGCTGTCATCAAGCGCCAGGACGTCCGAATCGACATGCTGTTTGGGAATAACCACCGTAAAGCCAGGGGTGTTTGGGGAAATAGAAAGAAAGGCAATGTGCTTGGAGTCTTCTAGTACTGTGTGGCAAGGCTCGGAGCCGGCAACGATGTTGCAGAAAACGCAGCCCATCTTTGCAAAGCAGAAAAACTGTTAAATAGTGAAAAGCGCAATAATAATTGAAAAGAGCCAAGGAAGAAGGCAGGCGGCAGATCTGAAATGTGTGTGGATTTATAGTATGCATCAGCCAGATTACCATCAGTGGTTTTGAGATGCGCAACTCACTTGTGCAGATTGGCAGATACGCTGAGCAGATTATGTTGACAAGTTGGTACATGGAATTGCAGCTACATATTGGCGCTGGCATGAACTCTAGCAAGTGTTGTAGCCAGTTCCTGGCCGCTCTAGCGTGAGCAATTGATTGGACGAAACGTATCCTTCGTATTTTTCGAAAAATTGTGTTTTGCTTCCAGCAAACAACGTGCAGCCATTGAGGCCATTCGTCGACATTGCGGAGAGGAGCAATGTTGGTGACAAGGGCTGGAGGCACGAGGGCCGTCTGTCGAGTTTTGTCGGAGCTCTCTCTTGCTATAAGGTCGCTCGAGGGGCGACATGCTGTGCCCCGATTACTTGGCAACTGATACATCGCAATGTGGAGTGCTGGTGCTTTTCAGCGCTCGGCAATGGCATTGATGGCAACGGCATCCCAGAATCCTTCATTGAACGGACCTGAAGAGCAATCTGGATCGGTGTGTCTGATCACCAGTGTGGGATTTTGCGTACCGCTCAGGGCAACTGCGGCCAAATGATGTGCCCAACGTCGACTGCCGCAGCAGGAAAAAAACAGGGGCAGCCCAGAATGCAAGCAATCATCGTTTTGTGTCTCCGCTAGACAATTTTTGTTTTGCTGTTTTATAGTAATGTCGGAACACTTGATTGACAATTTGCCAGAGGAGCTGCTCATTCACATTCTGTCGCTGCTGGAGCCTAGCGAGCTGCGGCAGGCTGGGCGGGTGTGCCGCACCTGGCGCCGCATCGTGACTGATGACAGCTGTTGGCGACGCGCCTTTGCACGCACCTTCACACAGCGGCCCTTTGAGCGGCTGATGCCCAACCGCATGCCTGCCAAGGCAGGATCGTCCCAGAGCCTAGTGACCAGCGGACGCGGGAGTGCCAGCAGCTGGCAATTCGAGTACCTGCACCGGCAGAGGCTGATCAGGCAGTGGCAATCGATCGGCGGAAATGGACAGACCCGGCTGGAATACAACGTGCGGGCGAGCTCGGTCGACAAGGTGATTGTGAGCGAGAAATACGGGTGGGCGCTGGCAGTATCTATGGCGGGCAAGGTAGCGATAAGGAGCATGCCGATGACAGGCAAGGTATTTGCGCGCGATAACGACATACAGGACATCGTGTTTGCACTGCCACATGTCAGCGAACCTGGACACTGGATTGATCAGGGCCGCGCCAGTTCTCTGTCGACACGGATAGACAGGATTGTGTGGGGGTTCGATGACGGCGTGGTGACGGTTACCCATATCAACAAGTTTGGCAGGCTGCAGAGCCGAACAATTTCTAGGGGGTCACACGTGGGGCCAGTGCTTGGGTCTGCTGGGCCGCTGGATCAGCTAACACAGCACCAGCACGAATGGCCAGCCGCATACGATATAGCTGGCGATGACAGGGTTGTTGCCAGCGCTGGTGCTGACGGTGACGTGCGTGTTTGGTCCGAGGATACCGGTGACCTTGTCTGCGTCTTGCGTGGAGTATTTGGGACACCGCTTGTAAAGGTATCTTGGGCAGAAGGACTGCACTATGTTGTTGCTGCGAGCTCGTCAGGAGCTGTGTTTGTCTGGGACTTCGAGGAAGCAAAAATCGTGACTATGGAAACAGGCTACGATTACTCTGAGTCCGTGGATACCAGCGCACCTCCAGGTGACGTTTGAGAAGGTGCCCTGGCTTACACCAGCGCTTGGCGAGTACAGCAATGCGCGGTCCAAGCCAATATCAGTGTTTCCTATCCCTGGAGCCACAGGATCGGAGCCCCATTCCATTGTCGAACTAGTTGGCGACCCGTACAGAAAGTCCTTGATCATTGCCACCGAGAAGGGCGTTTGGCGCATGTCGATTGAGGGCGATGTTCTGGCAACATTCACTCCGCACCACCACCATCCGGATCTTCCATCCGGATTTGCCACGGTCAGCGCAGTGAGGTGGAATTCAGAAGACGGTAGCCGGCGTGTTCCTGGAATCTCGCGGGCACCGTCTAGATCTGAGTCGGATGTTGCGCTGAACAAATTGGCTGCAAACAGCGATCGGGCAGTCACCAAGGAGAGCAGCACCGTGCTGCGCCTAAACCTCTCACATGCGGCTCCGCCGTCAGCAATGTCGACGAACGAGGTCGAGACACGGTTGCTGCTGGTTGGCGATGCGGCAGGCAGCTTGTGGATGTTCGACTCGGACGCAACTGGGATTGCGACACCAATAAGGGCATGGCCGCGGCTGCACCGCTTCGCTGTTTCTGCACTGAGCATCAACGGATGCATGATTGTGTCGGCAGCACGCAATGGCCAGGTGTTTATTATCGACCCGCTTACTGGACAGCCTCTGCGGGCGATGCGCTGCCGTGGCGGTGGCCGAGGCGACCGCCGGAACAGACGCCGGCGAGAGCACCAACAACCAGGCGGACGATCACCCAGCAGCAGTTGCTGATCGCGGGCCGCGGCGTCTCGACCCGTGGTTCTGGTCGATCCACCCAGCGGTGATGAACAGCGAGACTCGCAACGACATATTCCTGGCGCAGCTGCTGGCCTCGCGGACATCCGAGCAGTGGGGATTCCAGCTACGCAACCGCACAGTGGATACACTGGACCGGACGCGTGCGGATAACAACGCAGACATACAAGAGTTTTTCCGTCGCTCGCAGTTCCTGCCCAACGTGGTGCATGCGTTCCCGACCCTGGTGTCAGACGTGGCCAGTGGCTACGGCTGGGTGGTCCTGGCTAACGGTACACGCCTGCAGACTGCCTTTGTGGGCCAGGGCGCCGGCTCACACAGCACTGCGCCAAGGCACAGGCCAGTCGGGCTCGGCTCGGCGCACTGCCTCAGCCCTCAACATGGAGGAGATGGAGCAGGAGGTGGAGGAGAGCCTTGAGGAGCTGCGCTTGGAGGCGGAGCTTGAGCGAGAGCGGCGGATATCCGAGTACGATCGCCGGCAGTACATTGATCGCGAGTTTGCTGGCCCGTCCGAGGAGCTAGGTCTGAACCAGGACGAGCAGCTGGAATATGCTCTGTGGCTTAGCTCGCAGGAGAGCAAGGCTGAGCCCAGTCACATTGCAAGCAAACAACCAGAGGGCAGTAGGCCGGACAATGGCCCGGTCGACAACTTTGTATTCGAGGACATGACCGAGGAAGAGCAGCTCGAGTACGCGCTGTTTCTGTCGCGGTCTGCATCCGAGGTGCCAGCACATGCGGCTGCAGAGCCGTCGGGCGGCATGCAGCGGAATTAGCGACATGTGCGGCTACCACTGATCCGTCCGCACGTACTACGAGCCTGGCGTCTAGCTGCTACCATGCCGAAGTCCGCAACTTTGTAGCGCTTTTTGGCAATGAATTGTTGGAATTTTCCACAACCAAACTCGAAACAACGAATTGTAGCCAAGAATCGGTTCTAGAACTGCTGGACCGTGTCGGCTGTGCCAAACTGGGAATCCAGAATGCAGCTGGGGTCTTGGCGCTCGCTATTATCCTCTGACTCTGGTTCATAGGCATTGGGAGATCCAGCAGTGTCTGGTGGGCGCATAGTGGTGGGATGTGACGTTCGCACCCGCTGCCAGCTTGGTCCAGCACACAAATTCTACCTTGCGGCATCGCCAGACGCGGCACTGTGCAGAGCCCCTCCCCAAACGCTAAGTGTGACCGCAAAAATTTCGGATCTCGGGTAACGTCGCTCTCAGGGCATGGGCTTTTTACCGAATTGGGACAATCCGGATCAACGACCGCTGGCTGTTTGTTTTTACCGTGCAAGCGATGAGGTTGTGCGTGCGAGAGGCTGTCTTGCAGGCTGCGGCGGGTGTCTGGAGCACTCGATGGGCAAGCAAAGGCATGTCCATGATCGCCTTTTGCTGTCGGGACCCAGGCGGATGTCTCAGAGCAAGGCGATACATGGCTGGCCACGGCCATTGGGTGCACCGCCAGCTACATATCCGCAATTTGCTCTGCACCGATCCCATGTTGGCAAAGCGCATGAACTGCGGCGGCGTAAACATGAATACAAAGCCCACTGGAGCCTTGCCGCCGAACTAGCGCAGGAGCCAACCATAGCCGGCATCCTGCACAAACACGCGGTCCAGAGAGTGTCGCAAAGGGAGCCATTCTTCTAACGCCGGCGATTACTATCACGAGTGTGCGCCTATTGACACAAAGTCCGCCCGCCGCGAGCGGTATGATCGTCATCGAGTCACTCTTGGGTCGTAGACCGCCGCTCGCGCAAGAGTCCGACGGAGGTATAAAATCGCCACAGTGCGGTTTCCCCTACCCTCTTCAATGCTCCCTTTCGTCGATTCCTAAGCCCACGTTGTAAACTACTCGTGCTCTTGTTGTGATTTCCTCCCCCTTGCTGCCCAAGATCAGAAATCCCTTTTGCTCCGGACACTCTTGTCCACGCATAGTTTCGAACCTACCAGTATTTCTGCGAGGGTACACGGTTTTTGCCTTGGCGCCGATCGCTTCTAGCCTTCGTCCCCCAACGTCCAACCCGCCTCACACTATTGCGGCGCATAAAGGAGAGAAGAAAAGAAAACTTTTGCCTCTCTGTCTGTCTGTCTACAATCCTTTTCCATTATTACCAGCCCCAGCCTCCTTACCAGCCCAGCGGAGCACCTGTATTCTAATAGCACTATGCCGCCACTTGAGAAGCGTATTCCAACAGTTGTCGCAGTGGCAGGAACCGAGCACGGCCGGCGAGGCGGACACCTAGTAACAGACCCGGCATCGGAGCTCGGCGAAATGCCCGTAAAGGCGAAACCGCGGCCATCAGACGCAGTCACAAAACAGAAGCGTCTGCGTAGGCGACGCGCGTCCCTCAAGGCTGGCGCAGATACCAATGCCAATGCCAATGTTGATGTCGACGTCGACGTCGACGGCCGGCCAATTCAGCGCCTCACGTCGACAAAAAAGAACGTGGTGCTGAATACGCGTAACCGCTTCATTATCTGGCTGGCCAACAACGAGCTGCATGTATCGGTAACGCTGCTAGCCATCGTTCATGGCTTCTACTGGCTTGGGTACGAGTGGCCGCTGCTGTGGATTTCAATGAACCACAAAGCTAAGGGCGCGGATGATGTCGGTGTCGGGAGCGAAAAGTACGTCCGTGGCGTGCACGACTTCAAATTCGTGTTCTATTGGATCGTGCAGCTGATTGCCATTCGGTCAGTCCTTGCTCCATCCACATCCTACCAGCGATCCCCCGGTTCTTGGGCATTACCAATGAGCGCAAGCAGCGCAGGTTCGGCGAGATGGGATGGACGTTTTCGTATATTTGCGTTACGTGGACCATCGGGTTCAAGGTGTGGATGGAGTCGCCCTACTATATGAACACAGCGAATCTGTACGCGAACTATCCCGACGACCACATTATGATGCCGTATGGCCTCAAGTGGTTCTATCTGGTGCAGGCGGCGTTCTGGCTGTCGAACGTCTACACTATTCACGTCGAGGAGCGTCGCAAGGACCACGTCGAGATGCTGACACACCACGTGGCGACCATTGTCCTTGTTCTGCTCTCGTACACGTTCCATTTCACCCGCTTTGGCCACGCATTTATGCTGATCATGGACTTGCCCGACATCTTCCTGACGTCAGCCAAGATGTTCCGCTACCTCGAGCATGAGGTGATTCCGAACGCCCTGTTTGGCATCTTCAGCCTGTCATGGGTCGCCACCAAGCACGTTGTCTGCCTGAAAATGATGATCTCGATCTGGACCCAGGGCACCAAGCTGATTCCTGAGGAGAGGCGCTTCCCCCACTACCCGAACTCGTATGCCTCGTACCCTATCGTTAGCGTCCTGTGGGTCTTCCTGTGCGTGCTGCAGGTTGTTTTGCTGTACTGGTTCTACCTGCTCCTGCGTGTCCTCAACCGTGTGCTGATCAAAGGCGAGAATGTTGACGACAATCGCTCGGACGATGAAGGCAGCGACAACGAGGATGACACCAGAGACAACGCTGAGCACAGCACTGACAGCGGCGTCGACATTAATGAAGAACCACACTCGGACCGCCGGCAATCGTGCTAGTAGCAGTGCTTGCATTTCATTATTCGTGAGCTTGACCACAGTATTTTTAATTTTCTACTCTATTTCCGTCAGTTCCATTTTTTATTTCGTCTGCTCAAACACCAATTTCTGACATGTAATCGAACAAACATAATATCCAAAACATTGGCTACATCAGCTGGACGACTCGATATCCAGGTCGCCGGTCTTGAGCACCCGGTTTGCCTTCTTGCGCGGCTGCGGAGCATTTGTGTTTTCGCGGACATAGAATTTCCGCAGCATCAGAATCGCCTCGTCCTTGTAAAACCCGCCCTCGGCTGGGTAGGGTGTGCCGTCCAGTCCCTCATCTGTGTTGACATTGAGCACAGAGTCGCAGCCACCAAACCGGTCGTTGCCGCAGCCATACACAACTGACCGTATCTTTATCTGGCGCAGCGCAGACGCGCACATTATGCAGGGCTCAACGGTCACGTATAGGTCGGTTTGTTGGAAATCTTCGAGCTGGAATCCCGAGGCCAGCATACGGTCGATGGCCACAATCTCGGCGTGACGTGTGCCGTTCTTGGTCTCGTTGGTCTCGTTCCTGCCCCGCCCAACCACCTTGCCGCTATGCACAAACACACAGCCGACGGGAACCTCCGAGGTCTGTAGTGCTTCTTCAGCCATATCCAGAGCCTCGGCCATAAATTTAAGCCGCTGTTCGCGGGTTGCCATGTCATCGAGTCCAGACATTCTGAGGAGAGCGCAAAAGTAAGACAAATGAATAAATGCTACCAGGATATTAAGGATGGCCCTGGTTGGGCTGGACCCCGTGTAGAGAGCAAACGGAGCCCAAAGAAATATGGGGAGGCCAGTCACACTAGGGGCAAGTGACTGTGAACTGTGGCAGGCTGATTTAGAGATATGAAGTCTCACCACAATGGGTGCACGGAGCTAGACGCCAGAGTCAGGAATTATGTTTGCGGTGTGACTGGCAGAGCCAGTGCGGTAGTATGCCTCTCGCGCCTCTGTCTGGCGCTGGTTGTCTGCTGCCAATATACGCACGCCTTGGGCTCCTCGGTGGATTGTCGAGCTGCCCCGTGCGCCGAGTCTGCACGTGCCCACTGCTGGTCCACCTGAGCTCTGCGACGTTTTCTGCTCAGCGGTGCTGCCGACCCGGGCCACGCGCTGTCTGCTGCGAGGTCAGATGGGGTACCTTTCAGCAAGAGAAAGCCAGCAGCAGCAGCAGCAGCAGCAGGGGCATCTGGCGAATGGGGTGTGTGTAAATATCAGCAGCGCGTGCAGCGAAATTGCTCCGTGCCTGGAATGCTCGCTGTCCCTGAACAGGTATCCTCGGCGCTGCTGTCTCTTATCGCGCCTGCGATCTAGCCGCCTATCGATGCCTGCTCCTGCCGCTCTCTGGTGCACTCGGCTCTGCTGTTTCATCTGTCTGCTCACTGCCGCCCCCGTCTTTCGCCTGGCCTACCATTGCGCTGCTGGCGCTCCTGTCTTGTTTGCTGTCGCCTGATGTCATGTTTACCTCTTGCCTCCACTGGGCTGCTCAGACAGGCTGCAGCCAGGCCGCCAGGGTGGGTCCAGAAGGAAGAAAGCGACGCAGGCCATGGATGCGATGGGATGATGGGAGGCAAGGGAGGATCCGGATCTCTGCCAACTCAGAGGAGCGCATGCCTCAGCGGCCGGGAGCAGACAGCAGGGGCCAGCAGGGGCCAGCAGAGGCCAGCAGAGGCCAGCAGAGGCCAGCAGGGGCCAGCAGAGGCCAGCAGAGGCCAGCAGAGGCCAGCAGAGGCCAGCAGAGGCCAGCAGAGGCCAGCAGCCTGATTCTGCTCGGCACCACAAATGTCAGGCGTGTGCGGTGCCGGCCAAGACCAGCTGACAGCTGCCGCGCCATGTATTCGGAAGCAGCGTTGTTCTGCACTCGGGTACCTAGGGAGAGGCACCAGTCAGCAACGGCAAAAGGGGCTAGTGCAGAATGGTGGTGTTCCTGAATCTTCCACTTGCTTAGCGCCAAACAGCCGCCTCCTCCACCTCTCCACGTCTACACCGCTGCTGCCGCTGCCACTGCCGCCGCTGGCTGCCGCTGCGTATAAATACCGCTGCATCAGCGCCGTGTTTTTTTGCCTGTGTCCAATGCCCGATTAACCACTGCCCAGACTCGCCGCCTCATCCACCACCTTCCAGTCTCTCACCTCTGCCATTGCCATTCTGTCTCAGCTTCGTGCGCCTTGACACCTGCCTCCCGAAGTTTTTTTCCAGCAACCACACACTGGGCTCCGCCGCTTTGACAATCTCCCGCGCCGCTCCGCCGTAGCCTGGGTCAATCGTCCGACTTTGGGTTCGCCTACCTCGTCTGTGCGGGAAGCCGTATCTTGTTTCCACTCTGGCACACTGGGCACAGCAGCCATATAGTGACAGCAGCAGCAGCAGCAGCAGCAGAAACACTAGCAACACCAGCAGAAACACTAGCAACACCACCAGCAACACCACCAGCAAGCCCTCGCTCGGTCCACACAACTACTCGATCGCCTCCCAGACACATTTCATCGACAGTGCGCTTCGAATGAACTCGTAGTAATCCCGAGCCCCGCTTCCCCCACCCCTCCTCTCTCCAAGCAAACCACCTCCTTCTTGTCCTGCACTGCCAGCCCGCTTTCCCAGACAATGGCCCTCGCCCAAACTCTATCTCTGCCGCAGGCATACGTAGGAACACCCGCCGCACGCGATGCCGTGCGGTGCCCGGCGGCCCAGGACACACAGCCCACAGGCGCCGCCGCGGCTATCAGCCTGCCATCCGACGTTATCGATGCCATCGCAGATGCCTTGATAGCAATCGATGTGGGTGCAGCACATGCCACGGCTACATCACCATCGCCATTGTCGCCGCATGCGTCGGTGCAGCGCCTCTGCTCAGCCGCCAATCAGACACACCGCGCGCTGGCGCTCACTGCCGACGCACAGCGGATTCTGCGGATGCTGGCACAGGTCAGCCGCAACTGGCGCCAGGTGCTGCTGCACCGGGCCTGGCGCTCGGTCGAGCTCACCGGGTCCGCCAGCCCCGACGCCCAGACCATCCACGCTTTTGCCGGCGGGTGTGCGCGTCGGCTGGCAGTGCCATGGGGCGCGATGGCGGCGCCGGTCTCATGGCTGACTCAGGCTGCCCATTCCGGCAAGCAGCTCGAGTTCGTCGGCGTCAGCCTCGACTCGGCGCGCCAGCCAGACCGCACCCACATTGACCGGCTCGACGCGATCTTTGGCACCCAGGTGTGGCCACGCGTCGAGCACCTCGACATGTCGTTCATGCCGCTGATCTCGTACCACGGCCTGGCTGCACACATCCAGCGCACGATGCCGGAGCTGGCCACCATGCGGATCGGCGGGTATGTGCCGGCCACGGCGCTGGCCGATATCCTCGGATCCAGCCTGCACCTCAGGTCGCTGGAGATCTCGGCCAGCGTGTGGGCAAACAGCGGTGGATCGGTCAGCACGCTGCGTCGCAGCTCGGCGTCGTCGTGGAGGTCGTCGACGTCGACCGTGGTGCCGCCTGCATTTGGCGATGCTGACGACGCAGAGGCAGCTGTGACCAGCACGCCCAGCGATGCCGATGGCGACCGTCTCGAGCCGTGCTCGTCGTTGGACACGCTGGCAGTAACAGGCGAGGCACTGCGCGCACCCCCGGTTCTGTCGTTTGCTGTCAACCACGCTGCAACCCTGACCACGCTGCATCTCCTCGAGAGCGACTACAAGATCATGAGCATGCTGCGGGTTGGCCGCGTTGACGAACGACACCAGGTATCGGTCGAGTACGGCTCGTCCATCATGGTTCTGCGGCGCAACACCAACGCCGCCAGCACCACCAGCACCACCAGCAGCGGCAATTCAATGACAGTTCACAGCAGCATGTGCTGGACAGCCCTGCGGTCGCTCCACATCCACCAGTACACAATGGCGCCGCGTGAGAACACACGGCTGTGCATATCGGCACGCAACATGCCGGCACTCGAGGAACTGGCGATTGGTAGAATGGAGCCGTGCGACAACCACCACCCAGCACCCACCGCAATGGATGCATCGCAGGTGCCGCAACTGCGTGGACGGTTCGCCAAGCTGGTCCGCATTAAGGCGCCGGTGTTTGACATTGGGTCGCTGCGCGCGAATGCTCCGGCACTCAGGTATCTCAACATCACAGGCACAGGCCGGCGGGATCCTCTGATACTGGTCCGTCGATGCTGCCGACTGGCAACGACATCCAGTCACTGGTCTCTGACCGGAATACCGTTGCAGCGTGCTGTCGTCTGTGGCCAGATTGTTCCACTCAACGAGTAAACTAATTTCAGCCTGATAGTAAGAAAAGCTATTTAATGGTATTTGAGATATCGAGAGAAGTACAGCACAGCGGTTTGCAAAATTAACCCCAGGCAGGTGCCATAGAGTAGTAGAATACAAGCGAGTTATCCACACAAAATGACCGAGCGAGGTTACCCAGAGTCTCATCAGGTGCAGGCGCAAACGCTGTGCCCACATAGAGAAACAGAGTGTCGCTGTCTTTGCAATCGAGCTTCGCGCGCAAGAACTTTGTTAGCGTAATTATCCTCTGAGACGTCGCAATCTTAAACACAGGCTGCTTCAGAATCGGTGCGTTCCCAATGTTGCGGAACCGGACAACTATTTTCAAGTTTGGAGAGTTGTAGTCGGGCTGTGTGCTGGTCGACCGCACAGATCCGGTCGGACTAGTGACTGATGTGCTGGCCATTTAGATGCAAACTGGCGTTGTGTAGATGTAAAGTATTCAACAAAGAGGTTATGCTCGACTTTGTGATAATCGCAAAATGGCACCTGCATCTGTAAACGTTGTGATGATGCCCCTATTATTTTGGGTGGGCAGTCTCTTGTAAGCTGGCTACACATCTCCTACTAGACGCTGTCCTTTGACTCTTTATAAACCACTCAAATGGTAGACGATATAGAATTGAGTGCATGTGGAGACTTCAAAGTGGTATGGTGTAATATAATATCACTCATTTTTTGAGTACTGGCCATCCTCAGGGCATGTCCACCTGTGCGCATCTACTCCTCTGCCATCATGCAGTAGGCGTACAAGCATTATAAGAATTTGTTGCTAAATACCATGTGCTATGTGCTAGCAGAATACCCTAAGCATGTTACAGACGGCTCCCATCGCCAGGCAGAATCTCGTTGGCCTGTTCGCATATGATCTTGAGTTCAAGCATCGCCTGGCGCAAGGTGAGTTCAAATTGGACGCACGTCGGACCCATTGCCGGCCTCTCTTGTTTTGCTCTCTGTGCCAAACTTGATGCAGCGCGGCTCGATCATGTAGTTAATGCCGTAGCCTCGCTCAGCAACAACAGCGCCAAAGCCTGTATGGGTGAAGTAGTAAGCAGGAATCAGGCCAGAGGTCGATAGCTGGTACTTTGTGGACTTGGCCAGAGCTGGATCATTAAAGAACCGTTCAATGGTATCCTTCTCGTTCTCTGTCAGGGGCTTCTCCTGAGGAAGCGGATCCAGAAGCCTGTATGCCAGCCGCAAACCCATTATGTGCCGGTCGATGCCGTTTCCAGAAGACGAAGCACGCGAAACGGCTTGGTGTTTCTTGGCAGCACGGACCAATGCCTTCATACTTGTCAAGTGAGCTTGAGGCACGATCGGTCATGACCCGCATAAAGTCAGCAGACTCTGAGGTCAGCGAGCGGGTGGCTTCGGTGCGACCATGCAGGTACTGGCGAGTGCTGGCCGTCTCGTAGACAGCAGCAAAGCTGTTGTGGAGGCGGTAGTATGTCAGCTGCAGGGCCAGCTGGGTAAACGCATCGGGGCTGACCTTGGCAGCACGCTTGATCCAGTCGGAGCCGTAGTTCATGAATCGGATTTGGCGGCTCTGGCTGTTGCGGGCCGACTCGACGAGCTCCTTGTTGGCATCCTCAATTAGGCGAGTCACACTGTTGGGCACGTCTGTAAACCGCAGGCGCCGGATGTGCGGCTGGTAGTTGGGAGTGCCCACGCTCTTTGTTGTCGGTGAGATGTACTCGGGAGCGACGTGTTTCGCGACAAAGTCCAGCATCAGCGCCGGGATCAGTGCATCGCAGGGCGAGTGTTCGCCGTTGTATCCAACAGCACCATTGCGGTCAATGATGTAGTTGGCACACTTGTCGTACCAGCGGTTGTGGCCAGGCTGGATACCGTGGCACTTGCAGCAGCGCTGGTGGGCATTGATTGAACCACGCGGGTCGCAGAACGTGGTGTCGAGTGACACGGCAAACAGCGACTCCTGCGTAGCCAGCAGCGTTGCGTTGTTTTGTGGCTGCTTCTCAAGCTGCGCATACGCATCCGACCAGCGGTCGCGGTGTCCCGCAGTCAGCACAGGCACAGCCGGGTCCAGGTCGCCGGTACTGCGGCGCTCGGTGACGTCAGCCGTGATAGCAAACAATTCGGCCTCGAGATCACCATCAAGCTTGCGGTGACCGGCGCTGTCGTACACCTCGACGCTGTACAATTGATCTTCCACAATCACAGTGATTGTACGTGCATTTGTGGTGACTTTGTCCTGCCGGATCTCGTCGCAGCCCATGCGCGGAATCCGCGTCGTGCCGAAGATCCGGGTGTACTGGTCCATAGCACAGCGGACCAGCCCGAGTCATGTCCACTGGGATTCTGCCGTCGGCAACCAAGTCCTTGAAGTCCAGGGTTTTCTGGATGAACTTTACCGCGCGCCGGATCTGGAACTCGCCGTACTCGCGGCTGTCCCAGACCTTGCCTTGGCGGTGCTCGGGGTTGCTTGGTACCAGGACGCTGGCAGGCGTTGCCAGACCGTAGGCATGTGGGTCCTCGACGAATGCAATCCAGTAGTTTGAGTTGATGCACAGGCCCTCGCGCCAGCTCAGATACGCATAATCGAACCACCACCGCTCGAGCCAGCTGTTTGGCTGCGTCATTCTCGTAGGCTATCAGGCGCTGTTGCAGCCGGTCCGCCACCTTCAGAAACTCGGTTGCCCGCTTGTGCGAGTCCACAAGCGCCGCCTGGTCACTTCCGACTATTGGGGCGATGGCCGCAAGGTGCTGGTCGATTGTCTGCTTAAGCGGCGGGATTGGCAGACGCGGGAGCTTGCTCTGCATCGAGAGCATGTGCGGTCTTGGTTCTGCGCTCATTGATGGTGTCTTAGGAATGGCGTGTAAGTGCGTGTGATGGGCTGGGATACGACGATAGTCGGAGAGACGCAGAATAATGTTTATGAAACAGACCGAGGGAGTAGAGAGAAAAGCGTGGGGGAGCAAGTCTCTTCGAGTGCACGGCTACTGCACTCAGTTATATACCTCTGCGCCCCCTCTCAATGCATCTAGCAAACAATTCGCTGGCACATGATCGCAAGCTGCGAATAGACCCCTCGAGCCCTGTGTGGGTGGGTGGTGGCAGGAGCCACTTTGCAGGTGAAAATCTCTTCAAATGCGCCGGCGAATTGCTGTCCTCCGCTGGTGCGTCTGGTGCACCCGAGAGATAAAGCTCCGACCGCCGCGTTCGCGTGAATAAGGCAAGTGTTCAAACACCTGTAGGCATGTGAAAGCAGATACCGGCCTTTGCAGCGGCGCTCACATGTCCCCATGCTCGCTGCTGCAACGATTGCCTGCTTGTCTTTTCCATCGAGTGCCACTCCAGTTCTCCACCAACCCAGGCCAATGCGCCTGCACCTGACCGTGCACTAATACAAGTTTGCTTGGGATTCTATTAATACCCAAAATGCTTCGAATTGCTACATATTGTGAAGGATGCAGTGGGTGGTGGGATGATCAAGCCGGATCGGCCGGCATTTTAGCGAGTGGACCCCATATCCAGGCACTCTCCCCTCGCGGTTCCAAATTCCGGAGCTGAAATTCTTGGAGGGGTTAGGTCGCGTATTACCAACACCTACCTGCCCCATCCCAATTGCGATACCATCCAGATGTCAGACCACGAAGCAGGTGAGAAGCGGAAGCGGGTTGTGGAAAAAGTGTCAGCAGTGCCGGACCAGCGATGCAAAGTACAAATGCCCCGGGTGCATGGCACGCACATGCTCGGCCGCCTGCTCAAAGGAGCACAAGCAGGAGACTGGATGCAGCGGCCAGCGCGACCGCACAAAGTTTGTTAAGCGAGCCGAATACGACGCCAACACCCTGATGAGCGACTATGGCTTTTTGCAGGAGCTTTCGCGCGACCACGATAACCTGACCCGCCTCGTCAAGGAGCAAGGTGTGCCTACAGGCAATGCAAGCAAGGGCAGAAAGCCAATGCAGCAAGCAGGCCTGGCGCTACTACCCTCACTCCTGACGCAAAAGAATACCGTGACGCGTGCCCGGGTGAACCGCAATGTGAGTATTCGGTATATGAGCCCCGGAATCCAGAGACATGCGCAGAACAAGACGCTGTGGTCAAAGTCACACTCGCGGCTAGTGTGGACCATTGAGGTTTCGGTGCCTGAGCTGGAGGGCGTGGCAGACAAATGGATCGAGACCGGCTTCCACGATGTATGCCAGCTTGGGGATCTGTGGGAGCGCCTGCTGCTGTTCAACTCTAGCGATAGTAAGAAGCCGGTTGACACTGTAACCTCGAGCGCTGCCGATACACGTCCTCCCCCACGCAAGCGTGCTAAGCAGGACTTTATCAAGATCAGTCTGCCCTCCGACGACGGCAGTGAGCATATATTCAAATCGAACATCCCTCGGCCAACACTGGATGCCATCAAGGCCAAGTTTGCCACTAGCGCAGTCACCGAGCTTACCTGGCTGATCAAGGCACAAGACACACCAGCAAACAAGCCGACATTTTATCGCATTGACCCCTGCCAGCCGCTTCATACCCAGCTTGTATACCAGACAGTTGTTGAGTTCCCGACGTTCTTTGTCTATTCAGCACCGCCAACTCGACTTGGAAACCACGAGATTACGATTCTCGACATCCCCGTTGCGGTCCAGGCTAGTGACTCTGAGAGCAGCGCGTCGAGCTCATCCGAGTCGTCGTCACCATCAGATTCGGAGGATAGTGACGACGAAAACAAGACCAAGGAGAAATAGGCGTTACCAGCACTGTTTAGATATTCTGTTTCTTGGCATTGAAAAACGTATACACCCCGATGTTCAATAGTGCCCTCAAATTAATTGACAGGAGCCACTTCTTATATTACCCTCCTCAGTCTCTACAATGAGCATTGTGGCCACATTCACTTATCCCCCAATGATCGCATACATGGGCACCCGTTGCTGTGCACTGGCTAATTAGCTGTATGCTCAGCAGCCAACATTCACTCGTTCGTGGGGCTCAGCCTAGCTAATATAGTCTAAGCTTCTGTATGTATAAAGGGACTATAAAAGGTCGTTAGCTGGACCACCCTGCTACCCGATATCTCACATTTATAGCTAACACCAAAACCATGAATCTACTGACACTCGCACATTATACACTTTTCTCCATCGCTACTGCCGCCCCTGTGATTGAGAGGCCAGGCTATCGAATGCATCTCCCAGCTACTGTGCCTGTTACCCTTGAGGCTGTTCCTAAGACTGCAAGCGAATGGCACGTAGATGCCATAGAGATGTTGATCCCGCATGAATGGCTACTGTGAGCAGCCCATGTATCCGCTCAGCTAATACACTGTAGCATTATTTTCTGTTGTTTGCCTTTTAGGTAATGCCAATAATATGGATTGCTCCTTTTCGTTCTGGTAATATGAAAAGCGCATGATCATGCGGCATTTTATGACAACCAGCCTGCTAATCTTCAATACCTACGTCTTCATTCGTCAAAAAAGAAAAAAGTACAGCCTGGAAGGCGATAATACCAGCGTGCGTGTATTCAACTGCGTCTTTTAAAGTGCCTTCACAAATACCGCATTGCTGTACCCAGACAGGCTGTTAAAAATACCGAAGCGTGCGCCGCATTATGAGATACGCTCCCTGTCCAATCCGCAGCAGAAGGCTGATGTGTCTGGGATGGGGAGGTTGTGGCCGCAGATGGGTAGTCATCTACCGCGCATGTGGAGAACCCTGTGACAGGTTTGATCAGAAAAGCCTTGGTAAAGGAGAAAATTATGTCTGGGCATGAAGTGCAGGTTAATAATAGGTGCATTGCAACCTTCGCGCAGCCTAATGTATTATATAAATGCGCAACAGCCGCCCTTCCAAAAAAAAATCATACCCCCTATCCTCTCTACACAATATTTTACTACTCTTTATCAGCACACATTTTTCACGCAATTCTAATGGACCAAACATACCCAGAACACATACACAGGGTCATGGAAAGCAGCCAAATTGCTGATTATTCTTCCAGGGCAGCTGGGATATTTGGTTTTGGTGTTGGTGTGCGGAATGACGAGCAGCCCCAAACACAACAGCCAACTGAGCCCGTTGGTCGACAGGGCAATTCAGGTAACGCATACTATCAGATAGGCTCCCATTACCCACACCAAATCTCACGCCATGAAAGCAGTGGCAAGGGAAACCACAGAAACGACCATTCTGAAGTAGATGAGTTTGGCATGCTTCATCTGGTGCATGAATATCTAGCAACCCAGCGTGGAACTCGAGGCACACACAGAGAAAAGATGATTCTAACAAAGCACATTACGCGGCTGAGCAACGACCCACGTATGCTTGAGATCGCAGGCTTGGCATTCTTTGCTACCCTGGATAATGCGGTGTTTCCAGGAAACGCCAAATTTGATACCAGAATTCGACATGTATACGGAAGCAACGACGGCGAGGGATACAATATTCGAGGCCGCCTGGATGATATTTACAACAAGTACAAGGCTGACGTATTTGCCTTCGAGCACCTCGCCCCAGAGACCAGCGTACTGGACACACGTACTTTTGGAGATCACTGGCTGCCGAATAGTGGAAGGAATCGTCCGTACGAGACATATCACTGGTACATCAATAGCCTAGACTGTCTTATTCCGGATGCAATGAGTGAGACGTTCCAGCTGCACGGAGTCAAGTGCAAGCTTCGTTTGCTTAAGAAATTCAGTCTCTCAAACGGCGAAACGTGGACTGGACTATGGCTTCACAATGTCGGCCGCGGCAGGGATGTGATAAATGGACCGTTTGTGCTTGCTATCTCGAATGTTGCCTACCCCACCGAGTATCATGCCCAGGTTGTCTTGCCGAAGGGTGGAGTACGTCCATCGCAGGGAGTCGGAATGAAACTCTTCGTTGAGTACAAGGAACTATTACATTCGACACACAAGAACAGCCGCCCAATATGCGACTCCGATGGGCGTGTTCGCGTCAGTGTGATATCCATCTGACCAGACATTTCGGGGACTTCACACATATGCTCAGTAGTTGGCTGCTCTACTGTACATTCAATGCGTGGCCACGAGCTGTTTCTCTTGTTATTGCATTCATCATTAGGCAACCATCCTGTACATGCCTTTCAATGTGTTATTAAAAATAAATTACTATCACACATGCATCTCATGGGGCCAACCCCACATACCACAGGTTTTGTCAGGTGGTATTTAATGGCGACATGTGTCATCGCTTTGGATCGTTCATATTACTAGATTATTGATATTGAGGGTGTATGCATGGCCAAGATGCATAGCTACTAACTTAATGGGACAATCTGGCCACAGATGACAGCACGCTGCAGCGGTATTCCAGCAGAGACCAGCGACCGGATGTCGTTGCCAGTCGGCAGCATCAGCGCACCAGTATCAGAGGATCCACCGCCTGTGCCTGTGCCTGTGCCAGTGATGCTGAGATACCTGAGCGCCGGAGCATTCGCGCGCAGCGACCCAATGTCAAACACCGGCGCCTTAATGCGGACCAGCTTGGCGAACCGTCCACGCAGTTGCGGCACCTGCGATGCATCCATTGCGGTGGGTGCTGGGTGGTGGCTGTCGCACGGCTCCATTCTACCAATCGCCAGTTCCTCGAGTGCCGGCATGTTGCGTGCCGATATGCACAGCCGTGTGTTCTCACGCGGCGCCATTGTGTACTGGTGGATGTGGAGCGACCGCAGGGCTGTCCAGCACATGCTGCTGCGAACTGTCATTGAATTGCCGCTGCTGGTGGTGCTGGCGGTGTTGGTGGTGCTGGCGGTGTTGGTGTTGCGCCGCAGGACCATGATGGACGACCCGTACTCGACCGATACCTGGTGTCGTTCGTCAACGCGGCCAACCCGCAGCATGCTCATGATCTTGTAGTCGCTCTCGAGCAGATGCAGCGTGGTCAGGGTTGCAGCGTGGTTGACAGCAAACGACAGAACCGGGGGTGCGCGCAGTGCCTCGCCTGTTACTGCCAGCGTGTCCAGCGACGAGCACGGCTCGAGACGGTCGCCATCGGCATCGCTGGGTGTGCTGGTCACAGCTGCCTCTGCGTCGTCAGCATCGCCAAATGCAGGCGGCACCACAGTCGACGTCGACGACCTCCACGACGACGCCGAGCTGCGACGCAGCGTGCTGACCGACCCACCACTGTTTGCCCACACGCTGGCCGAGATCTCCAGCGACCTGAGGTGCAGGCTGGATCCGAGGATATCGGCCAGCGCCGTGGCCGGCACATACCCGCCGATCCGCATGGTGGCTAGCTCCGGCATCGTGCGCTGGATGTGGGCAGCCAGGCCGTGGTACGAGATCAGCGGCATGAACGACATGTCGAGGTGCTCGACGCGTGGCCACACCTGGGTGCCAAAGATCGCGTCGAGCCGGTCAATGTGGGGGCGGTCTGGCTGGCGCGCCGAGTCGAGGCTGACGCCGACGAACTCGAGCTGCTTGCCGGAATCAGCAGCCTGAGTCAGCCATGAGACCGGCGCCGCCATCGCGCCCCATGGCACTGCCAGCCGACGCGCACACCCGCCGGCAAAAGCGTGGATGGTCTGGGCGTCGGGGCTGGCGGACCCAGTGAGCTCGACCGAGCGCCAGGCCCGGTGCAGCAGCACCTGGCGCCAGTGGCGGCTGACCTGTGCCAGCATCCGCAGAATCCGCTGTGCGTCGGCAGTGAGCGCCAGCGCGCGGTGTGTCTGATTGGCGGCTGAGCAGAGGCGCTGCACCGACGCATGCGGCGACAATGGCGATGGTGATGTAGCCGTGGCATGTGCTGCACCCACATCGATTGCTATCAAGGCATCTGCGATGGCATCGATAACGTCGGATGGCAGGCTGATAGCCGCGGCGGTGCCTGTGGGCTGTGTGTCCTGGGCCGCCGGGTACCGCACGGCATCGCATGCGGCGGGTGTTCCTACGTGTGCCTGCGGCAGAGATGGAGTTTGGGCGAGGGCCATTGTCTGGGAAAGCGGGCTGGCAGTGCAGGACAAGAAGGGGGTGGTTTGCTTGGAGAGAGGAGGGGTGGGGGAAGCGGGGCTCGGGATTACTACGAGTTCATTCGAAGCGCACTGTCGATGAAATGTGTCTGGGAGGCGATCGAGTAGTTGTGTGGACCGAGCGAGGGCTTGCTGGTGGTGTTGCTGGTGTTTCTGGTGTTGCTAGTGTTGCTAGTGTTGCTAGTATTTCTGCTGCTGCTGCTGCTGCTGCTGCTGCTGTCACTATATGGCTGCTGTGCCGAGTGTGCCAGAGTGGAAACAAGATACGGCTTCCCGCACAGACGAGGTAGGCGAACCCAAAGTCGGACGATTGACCCAGGCTACGGCGGAGCGGCGCGGGAGATTGTCAAAGCGGTGGAGCCCAGTGTGTGGTTGCTGGAAAAAAACTTCGGGAAAGCAGATGTCAAGGCGCACGAAGCTGAGACAGAATGGCAATGGCAGAGGTGAGAGACTGGAAGGTGGTGGATGAGGCGGCGAGTCTGGGCAGTGGTTAATCGGGCATTGGACACAGGCAAAAAAACACGGCGCTGATGCAGCGGTATTTATACGCAGTGGCAGCAGCGGTGTAGACGTGGAGAGGTGGAGGAGGCGGCTGTTTGGCGCTAAGCAAGTGGAAGATTCAGGAACACCACCATTCTGCACTAGCCCCTTTTGCCGTTGCTGACTGGTGCCTCTCCCTAGGTACCCGAGTGCAGAACAACGCTGCTTCCGAATACATGGCGCGGCAGCTGTCAGCTGGTCTTGGCCGGCACCGCACACGCCTGACATTTGCGGTGCCGAGCAGCATCAGGCTGCTGGCTGCTGCTGGCTGCTGCTGGCCTCTGCTGGCTGCTGCTGGCCTCTGCTGTCTGCTCCCGGCCTCTGCTGTCTGCTCCCGGCCACTGAGGCATGCGCTCCTCTGAGTTGGCAGAGATCCGGATCCTCCCTTGCCTCCCATCATCCCATCGCATCCATGACCTGCGTCGCTTTCTTCCTTCTGGACCCACACTGGCGGCCTGGCTGCAGCCTGTCTGAGCAGCCCAGTGGAGACAGGAGGTAAACATGACATCAGGCGACAGCAAACAAGACAGGAGCGCCAGCAGCGCAATGGAGGACCAGGCGAAAGACAGGGGGCGGCAGTGAGCAGACAGAGATGAAACAGCAGAGCCGAGTGCACCAGAGAGCGGCAGGAGCAGGCATCGATAGGCGGCTAGATCGCAGGCGCGATAAGAGACGGCAGCGCCGAGGATACCTGTTCAGGGACAGTGGGCATTCCAGGCACGGAGCAATTTCGCTGCACGCGCTGCTGATATTTACACACACCCCATTCGCCAGATGCCCCTGCTGCTGCTGCTGCTGGCTTTCTCTTGCTGAAAGGTACCCCATCTGACCTCGCAGCAGACAGCGCATGGCCCGGGTCGGCAGCACCGCTGAGCAGAAAACGTCGCAGAGCTCAGGTGGACCAGCAGTGGGCACGTGCAGACTCGGCGCACGGGGCAGCTCGACAATCCACCGAAGAGCCCAAGGCGTGCGCATATTGGCAGCAGACAACCGGCGCCAGACAGAGGCGCGAGAGGCATACTACCGCACTGGCTCTGCCAGTCACACCGCAAACATAATTCCTGACTCTGGCGTCCAGCTCCGTGCACCCATTGTGGTGAGACTTCATATCTCTAAATCAGCCTGCCACCCAATTTCCAACTTCACAGCTTTCATATAGCCATCATGTTGGGAGTTGTAGACTGAAAATACATTTTAATTAGGAGGGGCAATAGACTAAGTGGTAGCTCAAGCTCTAGTGCTCATCGCACCAGCGTTTGAGGTCGGCCTGAGTATATTCAAGCGTGATGTTGGTGCTCTGGTACGCCCTGGCCAGCAACGTCACAATGCGCTGGTAGTTGGAAATGACATCCTCCGTCATCGCCTTCCACACAATTGGCTTCAGGCGTGGCTCGTTGACAAAGTGCTTCTCGACACGCTTATACAACTGCTTCAGACTCTCGCGCATCGCACTGCTGTTGTGCGACTGGATCACCTTCTTAAGCTGCGACTTGCTCAGGTTCGGTAGGTTCAGCGGGTTGCTATTCGACGCCAGAGCGCGCTCAACGGCATCAAAGAAGTCAAGCATTTTACCCATCGGCCGCTTCAGCATGTCGCGGTTATAGGCTGCGGTCACCTTACGCTGCAGGGTCTGTGCCTGCTCAATGTACTGGTCCAATGTCGGCTTGAAGTACGGCTTGGCAGTGCCCGTACGGAACAGCTGTAGGCCGTTAAGCAGAACAAACAGGTTCTCGAGCAGCATGACGTATGTGTTGAGCTGCTCCTTCAGCGCATCCTTGTCATCCGAGTGCTTCGTCACATTCCGCTCGGCCTCACGCAGCTGCGAGTCCAGCGAATCGAAGATAAGTCGCGAGATGCGGCCATACGCCCGGTCGACGATTGTACGTGCCTCCGAGCTGCTGTTACCAATCAATTCCTCGATATGAGCAACGAATTTCGGGAAGATCCGTGCATAAGGCAGCGCGCCAACGCGCTTCTTGGTCACAAACTTTGTAGCTTCAATGGCGCGTGCTTGCTCTGAGACAAAGTTCTGGAAGATCATCTCAAGCTTGTCATGGCACTTTTCCAGGATGTTAAGCAGGAACCCCTGGTCGCTGCCGCGGCACAAACTAAGCGCTTCGCACACAACCTCAAGCATGCCGATCGCCTGTGACGGGTCGAATCGCGTGCCCATGTCGACCATCGAGTCGACTTGGGAGACTAGATTTCCAAACAGCAAGTCCAGCATGCTCTTGACCTCCTTGACGGTGCCGAAGTGAACAGTGCTGCTAACCACACCCTTTGAGTCGAGCTTGGTACGCGGTGCATCCCAGTGGCCGACGGGCCTAACGTTCTGTGTGACCCAATTGTAGAAGGTAATGTGCTCGCCAACCTTGACTTGCATATCGTCAATACCACCGTTGTCTCCAGCCAATGCTGCTGCAGCGTTTGCTTGACCACGGCGCGCAGCACGGATGTGTGCGGCGGGTACGTAGTGGAACAGATCCGACACAAAGTTCTGCTCGGCAATCACGTTGGCAACGACGTTCTTCACCGCCTTGGCGAACGCCTCGGCAGGTTGCATTTCGCTGCTCGGGGTAACGCCCATGGTTCCCGCTGTGCTGGCATCGTTGCCACTCTTCGAAACTCCTGCCAGAGCCATATGGGCTGCGCCGCTGATGCCGTCAAGGCTGAGTCTACGGTTGGATGCAGTGGAAGGGGCACCAGAGACAGCACCTACATTGGTTGAGAATGAGAACTCGGCGATCGGATTGGTTCCGCCGGCGCTCACATCATGGCGGTAGCGGAAGAAGTACGGTCGGCACGAGTCCACCAGTTCCTTGGTCTGTCGGGTATATAGCTGGTTCATACACTGTAGGTACAAGCCTTGCAGATCCTTGTCGGCTGAGGGCTTCGCCTCCTTGAGCCAGAGTGTGAGTCCAACATACTTGATCACTTCCTTATGTACCGGATCAGGACCAGACAGCAGGCGGATCCCACGAACGCCAAGACGTGATTTGTCGTTCATGACACCGTCGACCTTGAACTGGAACATGACCTTGAGGTAGTCGTACACACGCGTCGAAAAGTTGGAGCTATAAAACTCGTATTTTTTCAGCTTCTCATGGGTAGCCTCCAGCCCACCGAGATTTCCGCTGGGCGTTGTTCCTAGCATGCGCTTCAGCGAGGCCGCCACGCGCTCGACACGCTCAATGCCGGAGGTGGTCTCGAGAGATTCGTTTCGCAAAGTCTGCAGCTCCTCCTCCGATAGTGTGATGGTCTTTAGGATCTTCTCTAGCTCCACAAGTAGCCGCTGCTGGTTTTCCTCCTCGATCTTCAGGTTCTCGTTCTCCAGCTGGATCTTGCGTACATCATCGTCCATTGACTCGAGCTCAAGGCTGTAGAACCGCAGCATCTCGTCCATCTCCTCCAGATGTGCAATCGCCTGGTCGAGCTCCTTGACAATCTTTGGTACTTGCTTGTCAGCCTCCAGCATATCCAGCACATTCTCTGACTCGAGCTTGTGCAGCTCGCCCAGTAAGCGCGATTCGAGCTGAGCAGCATCGATGTTGGCACGCCATCCAAAATCGCCGACCAGCTCGTCGGCAGACAGCATGAATGCCTCGTCGAGTAGTAGTTCTTCTGCGTCATCCCCGTCATCGTCGAATCCAATGGTGTCCATGATGTTCTCCGGCATTCCGTCGGATGGCTGGGCGCCCATTGGGACTAACGCCGACACATCTCCCCCATGGTCTGCAACGTACTTTGTCATGCGACGCATCACTGCGGTCTGCTCGCTTGGCATCCGGCTGTGGTGTTGACGCGCCTGCGGCTGCTGCTGTTGTTGCTGCTGCGGCTGTCTTGAGCCACTTCTCGACGCGATTTCACCATTCGCACCCACTCCTTGCTGCTTCCCCAATGCCCTGGCATCAAGCTGTGGGGTGTGCGGAGACGTGCCAGGCATCTGCTGTTGCTGCTGTTGCTGCTGCTGCACATTCTTGGCATATGCTGTCTTGGGACGATTGTTGCCCATACCACCAGCCGGCACTGGCCCGCCAGCACCGCCCGACACCGTGTTAATGTACTTTGGCGGCTTGGCCGAATACTTGTTGCAAAAGTTGACGAGCATCAGCACGAACCCCTCGACGAGTGTCGCATCAGCCGACGTGAGGTCGTACTTGTGGCTCAGGTGCAGCGAGAATCGCGTCGGCTCCTTGAACTCGATCACCTTGACGTCGTCAACACCCCAGGTCTTGCTAATTACCGCAATGTTGCCGTTCATCTTCACCTTATGCAGGCGCAGCTTACGGTTCCGCTTTACGGTGATACAGAAGATACGTGGTTTGGCTGTGCTCGAGCCCTTGGTGCTGTCGCGCTCCATGACGCTCAGCACATTGAGCAGTCGCTCGCGCCGTGGCTGCTGCCCGCCCGAGCTTGCTTTGGCTGCATTTTCTTGCGCGGCTGTAGCCTCGACGCCAATGAATATCTGTCGGCGGAGCGTGTCGGCAATTGCCTTGACTTTGGCCGCCTCTGTCTTTGAAGCCATCTTTTGTGAATGCTGAAAATGCGTGGAAATTCGGTGGAGAAAGAGGGCAAAAATACGTAGCCGCTTTGGCGACCCGCCCAGGCGCTTCTCTGCGACTGACGTCGTGATGCAGACCACACCAGATGCCTGCTCGATGGCAGAGCCGTGGCTCGCTGTCAATCGGGAACTGAGCCGATCAGTCCAAAAATCTTACCGAGAGCGACACTTTTTCGCACTTTCACAGCTGCCAATTCGCCGAACCCGCTCTTATCTTCGTACCATTTCCTTTCTTCTTGCACCTTTCCTTTCACTAGCTACAGTTCTAAGGCACGATAAAAAAAATGTCAGCACCGAAGGCAATTATTAACATGCTTGCCACAGGCACACGCATTGTCGGCCGGGCATTTGTTGACGCCTACAAACAGGCAAACATAAACTCTGCGGCCGCGCGCGCCGCCGCTGGCAACATGAAGGCAGTCGCTGACGGCGACAAGATGACAAAGGCGTCAGGAATCACAGTTGATGAGTCACTGAAGATCCTGAACCTGGACGACGCCAACGACAAGGAGTCGATGCTAAAGAAGTACGAGCATTTGTTTGCTGCTAACGATCCGAAGAAGGGCGGCTCGCTTTACTTGCAAGCAAAGGTCATTCGCGCTAGGGAGCGGATAGAGATGGAATGGGCCCAGGAGAAATTGAAGGCTGAGCAGGAGATGGCTGAAAAGCAGGCTGCGGAGAAGGCTGCCACCGAGGGAGCCAAAGTGGAGAGCAGTGAGGGCCAGAAGGCAAAGACAGAAGCGAAGCTGGACGAAACTGGCAAGAGCCAGTAATGCGTGTATAAAATCTAAAAAAAACATGTGCCAGGCGTGATCGCTATTGCAGGACATAGATCATAAACCTGTATGGAGGTTGCCGATGAATAAATGCTGTGAAAGACATGTATTGTGATAACAGGATTGAGACGATGGTAGAAACATAGTTAGAACGAGGAAAACACGGGGTAGAAACAAGGGTAGATACCGGGTGTGACGAACACATTTTTACAAAAAACTAATTCTTATTGTTCAGCATGCACGCACTCAGGAACCAGCGACGGCTGGGGCAGCAACAGGTATGCTGTCGTCGACAGGCACCGGGTCACTGGCGTATCCGGAAAGGCCATTAACCAAGCCATTGAAGCTATCAGTGAGCCCTTGCATTAAGAAGTTGAACGGATTAGCACCACCATTGTCCGGGTATGCTGCAGGATTCTCTCCCGCAGTATTGTAGTCTGCAGGTGTCGCAATGGGACCGGTTGGGATCTGGCCAGTAGGAACGTCTCCAGGGACAGCAGGCGCAGGTGGGGAGTACGACAGGCTTTCAGGATTTAGAGATCCATACGGTTGGTGGGGAATATCAGCAGCGTTGCCAGCTGGGGCTGGTAGCAGCTCGGGAGCATCGACAGGTACAGAGGGAGCACCAGCGGCATAGCCAGCAGGAACCTCTGGCAGAGCAGGAGTATCATAACCGGCAGTGTTGAGTGGGGCAGGCAGCGACTCAGGAGCATATAGAGGCGTATTAAGACCACCTGCATATGCAGCTTTGTCAATGGGAGCCGGGGCGGCAACTGGCACAGGCAACGGGACTGGGGCAGGAGCAGGAGCAGGAGCTTCGGCCTGAGCGCCATATGGTGCAGAGTCAATGGGTGCGGGCGCCGGAGCATAGATATCAGGAGTAAGTTGTTCCTCGGGAACTGCTCCAGGAAGCGTTTCAGCGGCATAGCCAGTGGTGCCCGCAATCACAGGAGCCATAGGAGCCACAGGAGCAGCTGGTGCCGCCGGGGCAGCCGAATCATATGCAGCAGGAACTGCAGTACCCGGGAATTGCTGAGTAGCAGCTACTTCGTATCCAGGGATGGTAGATGGAACCTGTGGCACAGGTGGCTGAGGTAGGTATCCAGCTGCCTCAAGGCTCGGGTCTAGCGCAAGTGCATCCGCGACATTTGCGTAAATCGAAGCCTCCAGGCCGTTTGCCACTGCTGCAAACGGATCCTGAGGAGTTGGAAGTGCTAGAACTGGTCCCATGGCCAAGGCCATGGTAGGAATCGCAAATAAGCGCATGTTTGTTTGGCTGTCGTAAGGGTCGTGACGAAGGTATCGCAATGAGCAAGCGGGTTTCGTTCGGGTTCGTAAAGGTAGGGAGAGGGGAGACGTGAATGGAATTGGTTGATTGGCAAAGAGGGTGAAGAAGGGCAAACATACACAAACCCCTTCGGTCTACGGGCTAGTATGCTGTGTCCTAAGGAGCCGTTTCGAATATCCTTATTCTCGCGCCACATATTCTGCAGCTGGAGCATCGGGAATAGTGCATAGGTCAATATGTGTGGCGCAAGATCTTCCAATATCAACAGCCAGCGCCCAAGCTGCTTGTTCTTGTTTACCATTTAGTAGACTGCCAGCGATTATATTACAGGACAATATAGACCAAGGGGTTTATTCACTGCGCTAGTGTACATGGTGGAATTGGCCAGCATAAGCCGCTGGCATTTTCCTTCCCCACAGAACAATATCCTCGCGGCCATTTCGACATTTGGCCAGCTGCTGCCAACCAGCCGCAAACACTGTGAATATGGCTCTTGCCTGGCAAGGAATCTGCGTGAGACGCAAACACAGACCAGTGGCACTATTGCGCAACGCAGTGGCTGCGAGAATATAGTCAATAGCCCGAGCAAATTCGCACAACACAACCTGTTGTTGTGAGCAGGCTGTAAAGTGCAAACTCGAGCCGCTCCCGGTCTCCAATGGCAGCCAGCAAGTCGCATATAAATGCTGGAAGGTAGTCCGGTCCCGGAAATGACTTGTCATAGCCATTCCTCATTTGCTTCTTCACTGCTCTCCATTACTCTCTGCCCAGAGTACACATTAACCCCACGTAATTACATCAACCATGAAGACCTTCGCTGCCGTCGCTACCCTTGTCGCTGTTGCCCTCGCTGGTGAGGGAGCTTATGAGGCCAAGCCCGCTTACGTGGCCGCCCCCAAGCCCGAGTACCATGCTCCTGCCCCTGAGTACCACGCTCCTGCTCCCAAGCCCGAGTACCACGCTCCTGTCCCTGAGTACCATGCTCCTGCCCCCGAGTACCATGCCCCTGCCCCCGAGTACCACGCCCCGGCTCCCAAGCCCGAGTACCACGCCCCGGTTCCGGAGTACCATGCTCCCGCCCCGTGTACCACGCGCCTGTCCCTGAGTACCACGCGCCTGCCCCGGTTTATGTTGCCCCGGTCTACCACGCCCCTGTCCCCGAGTACCACGCCCCGGCTCCGGTCTACCACGCTCCTGTCCCCGAGTACCACGCTCCTGTCCACAACGCCTATGCTGCCTACTAGAAAGCTTAACTCCTGGTACATCCATCTCCTTAATATAAAGCACTCCAAAAAAAACCACATTTCTATGTATTGTCAGTACAATGGGCCTGCATTGTTTGTGCTCTCAGCATATCTGGGTCTTGCGCCACGTATACGGCACCATATACATAGAAGCAGGTCATTGTTTGGCAAATGCTGCCATGGCAAGCCTCAGACCGGTGGTCTTGATCTGATCTAATAGGTCGCAGCTGCTCTGGTGATCTGTTGATATTATCAAACTTTTTCTGCGGCGCAGTTTGCGTCTGGGCTTACCAGCTAGTGCGACTCAGGGAGCGGGCTGAGATCTTTCTCTTTATTAGTCCAGCGGGGTATCTAAGGAAATTTTTATTCGCATCCATCATGGTACGCATCGGAGATCGCAGCGGGGGAGAGGACGCAGCATCAGAGCAGACTGCAGAAGACTCTGTTGGCTTTCGTTATTAAACTCCTGGCGGGATGCTGTTTTTGCTAATTTCAGACGACGCCGAATTTCAAATCCGCACACCTTGTAGCCGTTCGTTAAGCAGCAGAAGAACAAGGCTTACTTCAAGCGCTACCAGGTCAAGTACCGTCGTCGCCGTGGTACGTATATTTCATCTGCTTGACGCGCAGTGCTTTGACGCGGGCGGGGCAAGCCCTCTGGTGTGATGATGTATAAAAGTATAGTTCATCCGAGTTTCAGGAGCCTTCCAACGAGTCGTGCTCTTGGTGATGATCAAATCTTTCGCCCCTATCTGACCAAAGACGATCCCCCGCCTGCCGAATTCGCCGCAGCTGGCGTATGCTGGTGCCTGTTTGAACGGCCGAATTCGGACGATGTAAACTAAACCCAATTCCGACATTGTTTGCATTATAGAGGGCAAGACCGACTACTTTGCTCGCAAGCGCCTGGTCACTCAGGCCAAGAACAAGTACAACGCCCCCAAGTACCGCCTGGTCGTCCGCTTCACCAACACTGACGTGATCTGCCAGATCGTGTACGCCAAGATCGTCGGTGACGTTGTCCTGGCCGCCGCCTACTCGCACGAGCTGCCCCGCTACGGTGTCAAGGTTGGTCTGACCAACTGGGCTGCTGCCTACGCCACTGGTCTCCTGGTCGCCCGCCGCGCCCTGACCAAGGTTGGCCTCGCTGACAAGTACGAGGGCTTCCCCGAGATCGACGGCTCCGTCCAGGAGGTCGAGGCCATCGAGGACGGTCCCCGCCCGTTCAAGGCCTTCCTTGATGTTGGTCTGAAGCGCACCACCACCGGTGCCAAGGTCTTCGCCGCCATGAAGGGTGCCTCGGACGGTGGCATCTTCGTGCCGCACTCGGAGCGCCGCTTCCCTGGCTTCGATGTCGAGTCCGAGGAGCTCGATGCCGAGACCCTCCGCAGCTACATCTACGGTGGCCACGTCGCCGACTACATGCGCACTCTCCAGGAGGAGGACGAGGACCGCTACAAGCGCCAGTTCTCGCGCTTCATCGCCGCCGGTGTCTCCGCCGACGACCTTGAGGACATGTACGCCGCGGCCCACAAGGCCATCCGTGCCGACCCGTCGGCCAAGCCCACCGAGAAGAAGGCTGCTGGCTCGTACAAGCGCTTCAACCGTGTTGCCCTCAACTCGAAGCAGCGCAAGGACCGCGTCCGCCAGAAGATCGAGGCCTTCAAGCGCGCCCAGGAGTAAATCTCCAGCGTGTTGCTTGCTGGCGCAGGCTCTCGTTGATAACGTTCCGACTACCCAATACCAGACTGCGAGGTGGCACCCCGCCACATTTTTTGCCCCATCGCAAAATGTTGCTTTGCAGTGTATAAGTTGTTTAAAATTGTGCAATAAGAGCCCTGTCCATCTTCACGTCCTACAAAGCACAAGCGAAATGCCGGTTATTTGCGCGCTGGCGATACTCGTTAATTTAAGGGGTCTCAGGGGGAGTCGCATGCACGTAGCTCAAAAAAGCAATTGCTGAGATCCGAGCTCTGCGGTGCGCATGAGTTTGACCTGGCGTTGCGCTGGCGCCAGCAGCGCATGAAGCACATCAGCTGCGCTATTTTTTGATCTTGATTTTTGGAATGCGAGTATTTTTTGGTACAAAACTGGGAGATTAAAGTTTGCTAAATGGACAAGGTTTGGTCGGGGAGAAGGAAACTTAGACGCAGCCCTGGCTGATCATCGAGTCGGCAACCTTGATGAAGCCAGCAATGTTGGCACCAGCCTGGATGTCGCCCTTGAGGCCGTAGCGCTCGGCAGCGACAAGCGAGTTGTTGAAGATGTCCTTCATGATCTTCTCGAGCTTGTCGTCGACCTCCTGGCGGGTCCACTGCAGGCGCTGCGAGTTCTGGGCCATCTCGAGGCCAGAGACAGCGACGCCACCGGCGTTGGCAGCCTTGGCAGGACCGAACATGAAGCCGGCGCTCTTGTAGACCTCGATGGCCTCGTTGGTGGACGGCATGTTGGCGCCCTCAAAGACACCCTTGACACCGTTGGCAGCCAGGACCTTGGCGTCCTCCTCGTCAATCTCGTTCTGGGTGGCCGAGGGGAAGGCGTAGTCGGCAGCAACCTCCCACGGCTTCTTGCCAGCAAAGTACTGGGCAGTGGACGAGAAGGCGCAGTACTCGGAGATGCGGACGCGCTTGACGTTCTTCAGCTCCTTGACGTGGTCAATCTGCTCCTGGGTGAAGCCGTTGGGCTCGAGGATGTAACCGTTCGAGTCGGAGAAGGTGATGGGGACAGCACCAAGCTGCAGGAGCTTCTCAGCAGTGTACTGGGCGACGTTGCCGGAGCCCGACACAATGCAGCGCTTGCCCTCGAAGGCCTCGCCCTTGTGGGCAAGGTAGTTCTGTGCAAAGTAGACGCAGCCGTAGCCAGTGGCCTCCGGGCGGATTAGCGAGCCACCCCAGGCGAGGTCCTTACCGGTGAGGACACCAGTGAAGTTGTTGGCAAGGCGCTTGTACTGGCCAAACAGGAAGCCGATCTCGCGGGCGCCGACGTTGATGTCACCGGCAGGGACATCGGTGTCCGAGCCGATGTGGCGGTGGAGCTCGGTCATGAAGGACTGGCAGAAGGCCATGACCTCACGGTCGGAGCGGCCACGGGGGTCGAAGTCGGAGCCACCCTTACCGGCACCCATCATAAGGGTGGTGAGCGAGTTCTTGAAGGTCTGCTCGAAGGCCAGGAACTTGATGACCGACAGGTTGACAGTCGGGTGGAAGCGCAGACCACCCTTGTAGGGGCCCAGGGCAGAGCTCATCTGGACACGGAAGCCGCGGTTGACCTGCTGCTTGCCGGCGTCATCAATCCAGGGGACACGGAAGACGATCTGGCGCTCGGGCTCAACCAGGCGCTCGAAGGCCTCGAGGTACTGCGGGTCCTTCTCGAAGACGGGGGCGAGGGACTCGAAGACCTCCTCGACCGCCTGAAGGAACTCCTTCTGGTCGGGGTCGCGGCGACGGATGTTGGCGCGGACAGCGTTGATCTGCTCAGCAACAGTGGACATTGTTTGGGTTGTGTTTTTTGATGGGTGTGAAGAGTCGAGGTTTGGTTGTGGTGTAGAGAAAAATTTTAGAAACGCTTAGGGAAATGCCCCGGGGTTTTATACTCGCGATCCAGACTAGCGCGCGTCCAGTATATTGCGCTTAGCCTGACTTTCGCACTTGCTCTAGCTCGCCAGGCCCCCACCGCCCAAAGCTTCTGGCATTTTGGATCGATTTTGCGCCAATAAAGACGCCCGGAAATCCCAAGGTTTGGGGGAGGTTCGTCACACACCCCCTGGCAACGGCCCGCAACGAGAAAAAAGGGCCGCTGCGGGCGAGATTATTTGACGCTTTCGCCATGACCAGGAAACAAGCAGCTGAAACAAAAAGTAGCGAAATTAAAGCTGGGTGGATTGCCTATCACAGACCAATCTCGCCGTGGCTGCCGGCCGCTGCAGGCCTGGGGCACTGACCCCTCCCGGCTGCAAACTTGCGTCTTGTTCTGCGCACAGGCAGCATACCCGCGCGCGCATGCCAGCCAGCATGCATCCTGTATATGCCTCCTCTCCTGCCCGGATTGTGCCGGAGCCTGGTGTGTTACGGAACGGCTGGCGCAGGCAAAGGGGTGGTGGCCCCACCTGTCCCTGGCAATAGATGGAGCACCATGTATTGGATGATTGTCTGCATGTAACCCCACCCCTGAGCGAGGCCGCCATGTCAGAGTAGCAGCTCGTGCGGTTTGCTCATATTGGGGGCCGGCTGGACCGGGCATTCGGCGTGTTTACAATGGCCTGAGGGTCTGGCTCGCTCTGCTGCCAGCCATGATGCGGCGGCAAGGGCTAAATTCCCCTTGGTGCGTGCGCTAGCAGAAACTCGGAACGCTGGTTTGTGCTGCATGCGATAGGTAGCGTGCAGCATGTGCATCAGCGCGCAATGATGGCTAGGCACCGCTATGCGCTGACGCTATACTCCCGGATTCCCTCTTGCTGCTGGGCACTCTTGCCGCATCTCCCCCGCGAGACTGCGGCGCACCCGCAGCGGCAAACTGCTGTGGCTCAAATGCCGATGGGCTCCGAGATGCGAGGACCGGAACCAATGGGGGCCTAGTAGCCGGCTCTCCAGCGCGACTCGGAAGGCCCCGGAATCAAAAGGCCCACTCCCAACCCGTAAAGCGCAGTGGGCCATGGCCGGGTCCGCTGGGCATTAACGCGGCAAATTGTCATGATGTCACATTAACGGCGCCGGTAGATCCCTCTCCGAGCCTGCGTACAGCAGATATCCCGACCGCTCTTCTTTTCTCTTTATCGCGCAGCGATCGCAGAGCACCAATTGGCCGGACTCTGCAGAATATAGACCAATGCTACATCAATCCCCAGGGGCGCTTTTGTTTGCATGTCCACGCGCCTTATCTCCAGAGATCATGGCCTCAAAGGCGACAAAACGCATTCTTCATTGACGTTCAGTCATATGCCAGACACTACTTCTGATGGATAAGGGGCATATAGCACCGAATGCAGCACCCCATGCCTCTCCCCGGCCAGCTCCGGGACTCTACAAGTGGATATGGTGAAGACCGACCGGCACTTCGTGCTCGCAGCGCCGCACAAGCGCGAGAGCCCAGAGCCTCCTCCAGGTCCGTCCAGGCAATTCCTGCCCCTGATGTGTGCGCCTGTCCCTATGCTGTCCTTTTTCGCTGCCTATAAATACCAGCCAGGGCGCGAATTTCCTCACGCGACAGAAAAATCCCCGGCATTTCCTCTTTGAACATTTTACTCTCCTTCTCATAGCCTTCAGAATAACTTTCCGTCAGTTTCTGTAAACCAGAAAGCCCATGCACTAAAACTCGCTTGCATTATCTCTGCCCATCGCTGGGCTCATCAACCTACCGGCCCAGATAAGAGACACACCCCCTTAGTCGCTGCTGGAAATGCGCCTGACGGAACAATCGCAAAAACAGCCGCGCCTGGACGGCACAAGCCAAAGCGTCATAATGGGCCCTCACATGCGGGCGTTTACAAACCTCGTGGTGATCCCCTTGCTACTCCCTATGCACCTGGGAGAGTTCCATTCCAGGGGTATTCTCCGGCAGGCGCTAAGCTGCACACCCGCGGAGTGGTGCTCATGCCGCTCGATGTGGGTGTGTGCTCGGTACAAGTGCCAAAGCTGCTTGCGCGATGAGGGACAGATACTGATGCCGCGCTGATAAGGTGCCCAAGGGGTATAATGCGTCATGTGTTCGCGTATTCGAGGCACAGCTGCGGGTTCTGGCCAGGAAAAGCATTATCTTGGGCAATCGCTGTGGTCAAGCAGGCATTCCTGCTGCGATCCCGAGCACTGATTGCGCGGGATAATGCACGTCACAGAAGGCGACACTAGAAAGTCAGCCTTGGGGGATGTGGATTGCAGTTTGGTCTTATCTCTTGCCATCAGCACGCTTTTAGGCGAGAACGGAACTGCGGGTGGGGGTTGCGTGAAACGCTAATTAGGTGTGTTGTCTATAGTTGGCTCGGAAGTTTTTTTAGATGGCAGCGATCTGGAATGGGCTTTCACGAGCCTGATTGACGTTTGGTGGACGGGGGATTAAGGTTTGTAGGGGAAAGGGGCGATGGGTGGTTGCACACGGTGCTGGGGTTTAGCCAGGATCTGGTGGCAGGACCCGACTCGGGTCGCCCCTTGGAGATTACAGCGCAAAGTTACCTGATCAGACGCAGAGCTTGTTTGTCCACGTACCCAGAAAGTGTGAGAGACTACTGGCAGGTCGCTCGATCGAGATCAGCAGCGACAACACTGCAGCATGAGGTGCTCGCAGAGGCGAATCTAGATGAGTATACGCTCACTGCTACCCAAAAAGGTCGTACTAGTGGCAAGCGGGTCGCAGCACAGCCACTCGGCAGGTCCATAAATAAGGCCAAGTAGCCCACTCGTCTCTGGTCCCTGGCTCACGCCCCAGGACGTTTTCCTCCGAATATATTCTCATTGACCACTATATTTCCACATATTATTTTGGTAGCATCACTAAGTTACTCCATATGAGCCACTCGAAACTAGCTGGTGAATCCAGCGACACGTGCAAGGTGGAACCGATCTCCACCCTATCCCCAGCTCAAGTTAGTGAGCAAATGAACCTAGCTCGCCTCGTTAAGGACTCAATTTTCAGCACCCCACTACTCCGTCTCAATGCTAAGGCACCCGCTCAATGGCTAGCTCGCGCTGAGGATGCTATGTCCGTCAATGCCCTGCCCGAAACCCTGTGGCCCCGAGCCATACCGCATATTATCGATGAGTTTGTCCACGAGGACTGGACCACTTACCGTGGTAGCCATGGACTGTCGGACCCAACATGGGCTAACTTCCGGTCCTTCATTATGGCTACCTATGGCGGCCTGAAGACCTCAGTAGAAGCTGCACTCCAGTTCCGCAACCTCATGTTTGATGGAGATATCCAGGCATTCAACAACCAGTACCTAGCTGTGATTCGCCGCCTAGGTATTGATCGTAAGCTTGAGTGGGTACACATCGAGTATTGCTTCCGTCTACCTGACCCGATTGGTGCCAATACGCTTGACAAGAGCCCGAAGGACCTTGAGCATACTATGACGCTCGCATCACGCCATGCCGCATGGCAAAGCATCATAGCAGCTGCACGCAATGACCAAGGAGAAGGCATGATGGTAGATAGAACAGTCTTCGGGCGTCGTACTATCCGTGCTATAGGCACGCGCCAGTCAAAGGGCTGCCCAGCCCAACGTAACCAGGGGGAACCACGCGAACTGCGCCAACGACCGCCTATCCCTTACGAGCCCTACAAGGAGTTTTGCACGAATGAGGAGTTCCTAGACCGACTTGCTAGAGGCCTCTGCATCCTCTGTGGTAAGCGCGGCCATGTCAAGGCTAACTGTGCCCTCGGGATGCCCAAAGCCAAAGCCAAAGCCAAGTCAAGACAGGCGACGATGTTCCCACAGGGGGCGGCAGAGTCTGACAACAGCTATTCGGATGCTGAGTCGCAACTGGGAAAAGACTTCTGAGCCATGACGCCGGTAGTGTCATAGGCTCTCCCTCTTCACCGAATGTCATTGTTAACAAGACAAAACTGACAGATAAAGCTACCGACAGTATGACCTTCCCTGTTGACTTAGGACGCCACGTTGTCCAGGCAGTCATAGACACAGGCTCGACTGGCACACTCCTGGCACAGGCTGTTGTAGACAACCTGGGGCTGAAGACCCAACAGTTGACTACACCACTGGAGATCTGCCTTGCAGATGGCAGCACGCGCTACTCAGCCATGCAGAGCGTCACTCTGAGGGCCAGATTTGGCAAGGACTTGCCGCCTACGAGCATAGTGTGCATCGTCACACCTATCCGGGATGACATCTTAGTAGGCTTGGACTGGCTTGTGCAGCACGACGCCAAGCTGGAGGCCCGTACAAACTCTATGACATTCACTGCTGCTGGTGGCGAAGTAGTCACTGTGACAGCAGCCCGGGCGCTGACAAACACCCGAGAAGGCTTGATCAAACATTCGAGCCTGTGAACCCTACGCCACCAGTGCGATGCTGGCCATATCCAAGAGGCGTACCTCATCTTCCCACGAAAGGTCGACGTACAGTGTAGTAGCAACATGATGCCTTCAATAGCAGCGGGATTGGTTGACCGCTTTGCAGAGGTCTTTGCTGAGACACTGCGACAAATCTTAGATACAGATGAGCGCCACCAAATCCTGACCCCCAATGAGAAGCCGACATCCCAGAGACCATACCCGCTATCGCCATTAGAGACAGAGGAGCTCAGGAAGCAACTAGCGGAGCTGCTAGACAAGGGGTACATCGAGCCCAGCAATTCGCCCTGGGGCTTGCCAGTCCTATTCGTCAAGAAACATGATGGCTCGCTGAGGATGTGCATAAACTACACTAAACTCAACGATCAGACTGAGAAGGACTCCTTCTTATTACCTCGTGCAGATGAGTTCTTGGATGTCATTTTTGGTTGCTCTGTTTTCTCTACACTTGACTTACGTGAGGCTTATTACCAGATCCCTATAGCAACTGAGGACCAGTACAAGACAGCGTTCCGTACCCGTATGGGCACATTCAACTTCAAGGTACTGCCTTTCGGTCTGTGCAATGCCCCAGCAACTTTTTAGCGAACGATCCAAGGAGTCCTTACACCCCACATCGACGCAGGCTACTGCCTCGCTTACCTTGACGACATACTGATTTTTAGCCGAAACCAGGCAGACCATGAGCGTCATTTGCAAGCAGTGCTCCAGTCCCTACAAACAGCCTGTATGCACTGCAAACTGGCCAAGTGTTGCTTATTCAAGCCGAAGGTAGACTACCTAGGGTATGTCATCGCTAAGGACTAGGTCAAGATGCATCCAGACAAGCTTAAGGCTATCGAGTCCTGGCCAGTCCCAACCTCAGTCCGACAGGTCCGCCAATTCCATGGGCTAGCAAACTATTACCGCCGCTTCATTCGTAACTTCTCCCAAATCACTCGTCCACTTACAGATCTACTCAAGGATCCAACGGGTATGTTTGTGATGACGCCAGCAGCACTAGCAGCATTCCAGGAACTCAAGTCCACGATTCTCACAGAGCCAGTCCTCCAACCATATGACCCCGACAAGCCTAAGCGCATTGAAACAGATGCCTCTGGGTTCGCTATTGGTGCTGTTCTACAGCAGCAGGATGCTTCAGGTTGGCACCCTGTAGCCTTCATGTCAGCTAAGCTAGCTAAGAGTGAACTACGCTATGCGACATATGGTAAGGAGATGTTAGCAATCATTCGGGCATTGCAGACATGGCGACAGTACCTCCATGGTATCCACTTCACAATCCGTACGGATCAGCGGGCCTTGCAGTTCTTGCGTATCCAGGCTGCAATCAATGACATGTATGCACGCCATCTCGATTTTCTAGCCCAGTTCGACTTCACTGTGGAGTACATCTGAGGAGAATCGAATATAGTTGCTGATGCACTGTCACGGTCACCGCACTACAAGGAAGAAAGCCGCCTACAAGCACATGCCGACAGCTTACACCAGAACCTCACAAGTCTACTGGAGCAAAAACCGCTATTCGAAGCATCGACCCAGCTATTAGAGCCAGACCCTCAGTACGATACCCTACCCAGCCAGGAGCAGCTCATTGTTACTAGTGATGCCAAGATCTCTAGTACAGATGTCCTCAAGACCCCGAGTCCACAAGCCAATACCGATATTGCCGATCTGATTACTGGCTTCGAAAACCTCCATATCTCCAGATGTGAGGCAGTGAGTACAACGCAGGGATCAGGGGCTAGCCGTGACACACTTGCAGTCCAACGCTTACACCCGCAAGCACGTTTCCCCCAAAAAGCCCATGCCTCTGATGTAGGATTCGACATATTCAGCACAAACTCGGTGACAATTGGTGCCCAATCGACAGGGTGCGTCCCAACAGGCATTGCATGCAGACCACCTCTCGGGTCATATTTACAGATTGGTAGCCGCAGCAGCCTAGCAGCCAAGGGCGTCGTCGCAGTTGGTGGTGTGATTGATCCCAACTATACAGGGGAGGTTACAGTCCTACTACATAACAGCACAGACACCAAATATGTAGTAGATGCAAACACCCGTATCGCCCAACTGATCCCACTCCATTTCGCTCACCCGAACATCGTTGAGGTCTCCAGCCTAGGCAAAACCGACAGAGGTACAAATGGGTTTGGTTCCACTGGTACAGGTCCAGAACCTACCCGTGTCCGTGCTACCTCAGAAGCCAAGTCCGACTTGCTAGAGTCGCCAGAGGACTCCTATATTGGCGATAGCTTCCTTACCAATATCGCAGAGTTCTTGAGTGGCAAGACGAAGCATGCATCATCAGCGACATCTACACTTACCAAATTCCATATCGCCGACGGTTATTTGTACAAGAATTCGCGCTTATGCGTGGGGCGGAAGAAGATCAGGCGCCAGCTACTTGAGGAGTTCCACGAGTCCCGTGTAGGTATGCACCTTGCCGTCGAGAAGACCTACGACAAACTGCGCAAATTCTTTTATTGGAGCGGGATGTTCTTAGACGTTAGAGAATTCGTTGCCAGCTGCCCACAATGTGCCGAAATTAAGGGCCATGCTCATAAGTCTGGCCTCCTACAGCCAATCCCCCCTGACAGCCAACCATGGGAGGGCGTTGCGATGGACTTCATAACCAAATTGCCACTATCGGAGGGGAGATATTCAGCAATTCTCGTGGTCGTTGATAGGCTGACAAAAATGGTGCACTTCATCCCTACAACTAATTCTGTCACGGCCGAGGAAACTGCCCAGTTATTCTATGACCAAGTATATCGCTTACACGGATACCCACGCTCAATCATCTCAGATCGCGACCCCAGATTCACATCAGCGTTCTGGCGTTCCCTAGCCAAACTCACAGGCACGAAACTCCGAATGAGCACAGCCCACCACCCCCAGACGGACGGCCAGACAGAGGTGACAAACAAAACACTCGAAGCGATGTTACGGGCATTTATCCATGATGTAGGCAACAACTGGAGTAAGCTACTCACCGACGCAGAATTCGCCATCAACAGCAGCCTACACTCAGCTACAAAGACTTCGCCATTCTACGCCAACTACGGCTATGAACCCAGACAACCCGCATTCTTGACACTTCCTGGTGACGCCCCATCCGACTACAACCCCCTCGCTTCCTCTCGTGCCAAACACCTTCGACTCATGCGTGAGGCAATCAAAGAAAGCATCGAAAAGGCCCAGGCTGCAATGAAACACCAGCATGACAAGCGTCGAGACGAGCTTGTATTCGCAAGGGGAGACAAAGTAATGCTCTCTTCAAAGCTGACAGCCCCAACACGGCTTATGCCCAATGTTAACAAGTCCTTACTACCCCGTTGGCATGGTCCATATGTAGTAATGGAAGCCATTGGTAAGAATGCCTACCGGTTAGATTTGCCAAGCGACATCAGGATCCACCCAGTCATTTCGGTGGCATTCTTAAAGCCTGCGGTGGAATCGGTTCGCTATAGGCGCGAAGGGGGACCGTCGACGCCAAACCCGCTAGTCGTAGGGGGCGAGTTAGAGTTTGAAGTCGAGGCGATCTTGGACCACTGCTGCCCTCACGAGGGGGAGTCACTGTATCTAATCCGCTGGAAAGGACAGGGACCAGAGTACGACGAATGGCTGGCCGAATCCGAACTGGTCAATGCACAAGAGGTGCTACACGAGTATCTTAGCGGGCGAGAGTCCGCTGCTGGGTACAAGGGGAGAAATGCTACCCGAAAAGGTCATACTGGTGGCAAGCGGGTCGCAGCACAGCCACTCGGCAGGTCCATAAATAAGGCCAAGTAGCCCACTCGTCTCTGGTCCCTGGCTCACGCCCCGGGACGTTTTCCTCCGAATATATTCTCATTGACCACTATATTTCCGCATATTACTCACAGTCTGCTAGATGAAAACTGGATGCTGTAATTGTATACCTTTTCGCTCTAATATATGGAATAGCCCTCAAAACACCAAAAGATCAAGCAATGCCTGAGGGGGTTATACAGAGACACTTATCTGCCCATTAACTATTTATGCATGCTGGAACTATTAGCAATTTCAGTGAAATAAAAATTTCACCCAAACCGCCATCGGCATCTTGGAAAAGTTTCAGTGAACATAATTTCCTTGTGGTTGCTTAGCCACATCTATTGAGATATTGACTTTTGTTGCCCAATGATAATTAACCCCAAATATGCAAAGTTTTTCTTTCTGGTTGAAATTATGTTCACTGAAACTTTTCCAAGATGCCGATGGCGGTTTGGGTGAAATGGCAAAAAAAATATTTGTATTTTTAAAATCAATTATACACACAAAAACATTCTGGACACAATAACAAATAATAACTATAGAAAAAATAATTAGTAGCAAAAAATAGTTCTGAAAACGATTATTCAAATATCTATCTAACAAAATTGCAAATAACTAAAATTTACAAGTCCAGGAATGACCCCCTTCCAGAGTGAACTAAGAGCATTACTATCAAGAGTGTTATCAGAAAGAAGAAATATGCCTGATGTCGCTGATGCTAGGTATACTGCTAGAGGTATAGAGCAACTTGGATTTGAGCATTCTTCTGAAATATTTGTTGACTCATTCATTGTTGAGGTTGTTGTTGAGAAATGCAGTGAATCAGATATAAAGGTGAAGCAGAAGTCAGCTAGTGTTAGATTGCATAAAGTATTTGGAGAAGGTTTTGGTTATAAGTATGTTAGAAGTAAGATTAGTGAAAAATATGGTCCAGTTGCTATTTACAAAGTATCTACCCCAAATATTGCAATAGCTAGTTCTTTGTTAACAGTGAAGTTTGCTGCTATGGCTGATTACAAAATATATCTACAAAATTATGACATCACAATGGATTGTATGAATATCTCATCTAGAAATATTATCTATAAATACCTTTTAGAAAGAGGAGTTGAAAAGAAAGATGTTGTAGATGATTTACGCAAGTCTGGCTCTAACTGCATTAGCTGGTTTACAAAGAAAGGAGATGTTAAAGTTAAGAACAAAATTTACAACAAGTTTATTCAGCTTCTTGAGAGTGGTGAAGTTCGTAATCCTCTTAGTTCAAAACTTTCTGAATTTATAATGCCAACTTTGCACAACTTTGGAGAAACATTGTATGCTTGTAGAAACTCTGGTTTGACTAGGATAGAACTAACTGTACATTCTTCTCAGATGCAAACATTTGAATGGAATAGCAGCTTGCTTCTTAACACAGTTCAGTTTATGAATAAATGCAGAACATTTGCAACTTCTTATGAAAAGCAGTGGATGGCACTTGTTGATAAAGTTAGTAGTTGTTATACTGTTTGTATTTATGTGAGACAACAGCATACTCTAGCATATTGTCATTGGTTTAACTCTATCACATCAAAGAAGCAAGGAATTATTAAGAAGCTAAACAAGAATGATGATCCAATGGTAGTTGTTGCTAATCTCTCATTCAACAATAGACCTACACTTTATCAAATATATGATTCACTTGAGAGTGGTCTTGAAACAGAAAAAGTTCTTAGAAGAGTTGATGAGAATATAACTATTGTTCCAAGTCAGAGAAACTCCTTCTGGTCAACTTATCCTACAACTAAGCAGTATCACACTTTTGAAGAGATGGGATTAGTTAACTACAAAGGAATGCATATTGGTTGGATAGATAGTAAGCAAGCAAAGAGTAAGATATGTTTATCAGAAATATCAGAGGTTGATTATTCTGCAAAAGAGGAAAACATCAATGCATTAACAACAGCAATAGACAATATCACACTTGATGAAACTAGACATATATTTATCAAAGAGAATACAGATCTGAAACCATCACTGTATAGAGTTGCTTACAATGTTCTTCAGTTAGATGATGAATTTATAGTTACACATTATGCACTCCATACTTTCAGAGGACATTCATACTTCTATGTTGATATTCATATTAAAGGGAGAGATAAACAGCCAACTCTTATTAGGACACCAGCTGACAGTTCTATTGGAAAAGCAATTTCTCAACAGTTAGGAGAATCAAAGCAACAAATATATCTAAGAGCTGTAAGTGTGGGATATAGAACAATCACAGTTGAGTAGCAGCCATTTTAAAACATAGTATATGCAACCATTCTCTCCATATCTCTATGGAAAGTTTGACAAACATCATACACATGTTCAACCCTTACCTCACAATCAGTAGCAATATGTTGGATCCAATTACGCACTTGTATTGCTAAGTCATCACTCATATCAAAGTCATGAATAAGTAGCAGAGTAAGCATATCTCTTTCTTCCTCACACATCTCAGCTAAGTGTTGCTTGAAGAAGTTTTGGAATGATCCCATTTTCTAAAATTGATAAAAGTTGAAATTTTTATTTATGACTACCTCACACAGATGGACAATCAATTACAAGAATTAAGAGAGAAGGAGTGGAATGTGCTCTACACAACAAAGTGGAGATTTCTTGATGAAGATTGGTTAGTACATAAACAACAGAAGTACTATAGGAGTGAAGCTCATGAAGTGAAAGAAATAAAGCTCATCAAAGGTACACTTGTGAAGCAACTTGGAATGATCCCTGTGTTCTTCTTCCTAAATGTTCTATTTGGTGGAAAGCAGTATCCATGTCCTTACAGAAATGTTGAGAAAGGACTCTTGATTTTATACCAGTTAGTTGCTGGGCTATCAATCAATGAGATGGAGAGGTTTATTCCTAAGAGCAGCTATCAGGTAATTCATAATATGTTCTATCTCTCAGAGTTAAGTGAGTTGAACAAGAAGCTTTCACACTACTTACACACAATGTTCTCTACTCCAGAACTAAGAGTGATCTCAGCAAAGATTCAGAATCCACAAGGGTTTAAGCATATTACTCTTATGTTAGATGGACATGACTCACGAGCACTACATAATGGTGCATACAAACCAAATCTTTATTCCTTCAAGTTGAAGAAGTCAGGATATAGAACACAAGTTTGCATTGATTTGAATGGAATGGTTGTCCTTGTTTCACCAACTGAGGAGTGTAAAGACTACCCAGATTCTAAGATGATTAAGAACATGTCACTATTGAAATACATCTCTCCAGTAGATTGTGTTGTTTTAGATGGTGGTTATCCTCAAAGTATTCTGGAGGAGTTAACAGAAGCAGAAGAGATTGAGAATTTTGGAATGCATAACTTTTGCTTACCA